TTTTCTAACTTAGAAGTCCCGCCGTCCATAGCACATCAAATGGATTATTTTCTTCGTTTCTTATCTTTATCTGGCTGCCTGGACACACAATACTTGTTATCCTCTCTTCTAGCTTGGTCCCACCGCAAGAATCACGACTGCTATTGACCACATGATGGCCAATTCCGATCATCCAACCAGGAGAGCAGCGTCAAACTTCTGATTCCACCTAACCAGTGTGGTCTGTGCCACTTCCAGTGTAGGCCTCATTACCATCAGCAGGAGAGCGCTTCCCAGTGTGGTCTGTACCGCTCCCAGTGTAGGCAGTATCACCATCAGCAGGAGAGCGTTGAATCACTTCCAAATTTCCTATCAAATGTAAGAAAATGTAAGAGGGGATTCATTCGTCGCGTCTTGGGTTATTTCATACAATTTGACGGGAGAGGAACTGCCAGAACTCCTGCCATCAGAAACGAGGAAACCACGTAGAGAGCCTTGAGCTGCATGATTTCTATTGAGGTAGATAGATAATGAGCTGTATATATTTTAATGAAAGACCTTCGGAAATTGAAGAGAGCTGTGGAATAAAGTGCAAAAGATTGTTTAGCAAGTATTTATATGTGTGCTCTGCCGAGGGCAGAGTACTTAGACTACCTGTCTCTCTCACGGATCTACTTCGTCGTTCGAATGGTTACATCGCATGGCCGATGCTTCTGTCGTTTCACTATCAAGCTCTCTGATATCGTGTCCATCAGACCATCACGCCATCAGACCATCACGTCATCACTTTTAGCCGAATCTCAACCAAGATATGGTCTTGTAAATCTCCCAATGGATAATTGTCCTATGCAGATCAAGAATTGGGACAGCTTGACACCAGCATTACCAAGAAAGATGTGAGTTTTGCATAGTATAAAACTAGAGCCAAATCTTTATCTTTACACTAACTGAGCTGTATTTTCTGTCACAGCCGGCATGGACGAAGAAAAGTCTAAGATAGAGAATCGTTACCATCTCTTAGGCGAGGACAATGGGTCCAAGTCGAGCTCAGAGGAGTCATTTCCTCTGCTTATAAACGGGATTCATACACGACGAGATCGATCTTATCAAGCGCCAAGGTTACTGACTATTCTTGGAAGCGTCGCCATTTTTCTTGTATACTCGTTTCTACTCGTGTTTGCAACTGCCAAGGTGACCCAGCTTCAACGGCTTCAGGGGACTAGATTTATCGGATGTATGTCATCAGTCGATCTTTCAAAGAGGCAAATAAGCATGAAAACTAACCAAGTTATCCGATTCTCCTAGCTCCTGTTAGCGGTTTTATCAACTATGAATCACGGATTTTTGAACAAAGAGAGCGACCTGGTCTGGAACCTACATACTTTACGGATCCTAGCCTAGAAGTGGATGCAAACTGGCATGAGTTATTTGAATGTAAGGACATCTGAATCAACTAGCATTTTTGAAAAACAGTAATTAACGCTTGTGGTATGTATAGACCAAAACATTGGCGTTTCGCCAAAAATCATGAAGAAGCTTGGGCGCCTAGAGGAAGGGGTCAAACTTCCGGATGGGAATTAATGTGGATCCATTATGGTTTTCCATCATTTGCACTGTTTGGTATGTTATCTCGATACCCATCTCACCAAAACACTAAGTATAAGAGCTGAGCATATCTGACTAGAAAAACGTCTACCACGCTTTCCATCCACAGTATTACAACCTTACGAGCCTCTCAGAGGAGGATCAGAAACTGCAAGATATTCATCTAGGTAAGTTTCGTGTCAATCTTCAATATTGGACCATAACCATAGAAAGTTGCTAACTTGACATCTTTCAGCGCACTGTCTTCACCTGATCAAAGACGGACTTATGTGCCAGGCAGATCCAACAGTCTTTACCATGAGATGGGGGGAGTATGACCTATTACCAATTCACAATATGACGAATCCCCGGGAATGCGTGAACTGGGATAAGTTTATGGAAGGTGTCAAGGATATCTCACAAGATGTCATCCAAGACGGCGTGCTTGTGCATCCAAAATTCGGTAAGTCCATGGCTCTCCTACAAGAAACCTTGATGGAGAGTTCTCATGTTAGGACACTTCTCTTCCTGGTACTTTTGCTGATAAATGCCAGGTCCCCTGTTCAAGAACCGCGAGCCAGTGGAATGGGAAAGACCTCCAATGCTTGATCATGTCGCCTAGGATTTAGGAAGTGCTAGCTGTGAAATACGACACTTATCCTATGTCGCGTCGCTGTCTTACCGCCTGTTATTGTTGGACGTTGACCTTTGCGTCGAGAACTTACGTTGACCGGCCCTTCATGTCTCTAGGCCCAGTGCTTTTCAACCCGATCAATATGTTGACGGAAATTGCGATCAAACACTTAATTATCAAATTATTCGTGCTAGTAGACCTTAGTTAGTACTTCAACTGCCTCGCCTTAGGTCTGACAAGGTTGTTGGTACGAAATAAGAACGTACAACCTCATCAGGGGCCGCGACAGGTTCCAGACAACTTCTACATCTTTACACGACACCGTGGTTCTGCGGCGGCTTCTTGCGGTACCATAGAATAATCTGAGCCTCTGTGAAGCGGACTATCTCCCCTTCTCCGTCGCTGTTGCATATGTGATGACGCTTCTGAATATAGGGGGCGTGGAGATTAATGTAAGCAGAGCTTAGCAGATCCGCCTAATCTGTCAAGCGGCAGAAAAGGCGACCTTAAGGCAGTTAGACTCTTGGTGAAGTGCGGCGACCGCCTGAAGATCAACTTTGGCACCATAGCGGCTTAAGACACGCTCTCTATAGGCTCGGTTGAGGTTAGCCAGTCTCAACCCGAGCCCATCGTGGGTTGTTCTTGGGTCCAAGGCTTGGACCCATTGGCAGGTTCTGCCAAAGTCTACTTTGAATCCTTATACGTACCTTATGCGTTAGAACACTCTAATATTGAAATCATACTTTAATTAACTCTAGCCTCAGACATACTAAGTTTTTAGATTAATTACTGTAGTATTACTGATCCCATTCGGCTAATGGACCCACTTTTGCATCCCATACTTAAGACCGAGGCCCTAATCTCATTCGAGTCCAATATAACCCCCCCCCCCCCCTCCCCCCGAACCCATGGGGTAGTGTGAGAGTCGTGGATAAAGATTTCTACATGTTGAATGACGAATCTAGAGAGACGCGTCGCGGGGCGCGTTTGGAGCCCATGGCCTATGTTGCGAGGACAGAAGTGAGACAGATCTCATCTGGATCATCGATCGCGAACCCTCCTCCCCCTCGCGGTACCCGCGCCAGACCCTCCCAGATCGTTCGGCACGCGCACCCCCTCTGTGGCGAGGGCCAGTGACGGGGCACGGAACGACGGACGGCGACGCCTGCTGCCAGGACCGGGACCATCAGACTGCAGGGAAAGGTGTGCCTCCCGCGCGACGCAGCACAATTCAGACTGCAGGGCGAGGCTTTGAGCATGGCAGAAGCACATTTGATGTTTCATATCACACCTTAGTACTTTTCATTCCCTGTAGTGGACTGTGGCAGATAAAGTCACTAGTAGCCGGAGTCCGGAGTGTACCCTTGACAGGCGCTCCCCGCTGAATACGAGCTGCAGCATGGGATGGGTGGTTGTGCGCTTGGCCACGCATGAATACGAACGCCACCCATCCATTTTCGAACCTTAGGGCTTGGATCACACATTTAGGGGTAGCCACAACAAAGTTTATAAAGAACACGCTCTTGGCCTTGGTCTGGTCGTCGAGTAAAGATTATTTATGTACCACTGTATGTGTCATCATGAAATCCGTAGTTTCTCTCGCTATTGCTGTCTTAGGGGCACAAGTCGCATCTGCAGCAGACATCTTCGACAGGTCTCTAGAGTCAGTTTTTCCGCTTGAAAGCTTTCGGAATGGTAGCACTTTATTGGGATTCAGCACTGTTGTGTTTCAGCGGGGTGTAGAAGAGAGTCTATTCCAACGACAGTCAGAACAATGCGTTGATCCGGGTTATAGTACTCATCATTTCTCCTATAGCATGACAGCAAACTAACTCACGATACTTTCAGTACCCTGCTCGAACGTGGCTGACAAATGCTGTCCAACTGGATCCGACTGCTTCACCGATATCGGCTGTTGCCAGTCCGGTAGCCAACCATGCCCTGGCAGCTCTAGTAACTCGATAAAGTGCTATTATGCCTCTAAAGAGCAGTGCTGCGCAAACGGCATTTGTTTAGATGATCAAATCTGCTGCGAGAAAGGATGCTGCAACAAGGGAACTTACTGTGCCGACTCCGGTTGGTGCTCTGCCTGCCCGCCGGCCGTCGAGACCTCGACCATAATCGTTGAGTCGACGGATGTGCGGTGGTTTCGGGTCACGGTCACTGAGGTCGATGAGCCAGAGGAAGCGAGCGAATTCACTTGCTTGCCAATGACGGTAACAAATGCGCAGGGCGCGACGTTAGAACTGGACGAGGAGTGCGCGCTGTCTTATAGCCCGCCGAGCACTACGACTACTAGCGCTGCACCAAAGGATTCAAATAATGCCGCCGCTGTGTTGCGCGTGAGATCCGAGGCTCCTCTGTGCACGCAGGTTAAAACTAGCACCGAGATCCTCACCGTATCGAGGGTTACCACTAGTTTCTCGACTACCACTATCACCGTCACTACATCCGTACCAGACTTCTCGTGCCCTACTATGGCTGTCACGGATTCCTATGGTGCCGTCTTGGCTCTGAATGAGGGCTGTTCTTTGGAGTACACACCGGGTTCGTCGACCACCGCGCCGTCAACGACTGGGCCGCAAGCTGGTGCCGGCCCCGTCACTACGGGTGGGGGCGAGCAGTCCATTGGACGGCCGGTCGATGGATGGTGGATGTTAGTTGCCAGATTGTTAGGCGTTTTGGTGCTTGTGGGGTAGGTGGTGAAATGGGGTAGCGTGACGTGGGTAAAAGGGCTTGCTCCAATGTGTTAATCGGGTGATCTAATTAAAATTCCCCGGTATCTTTTGAGTTGCTGGAATAGCATCTCGGTATTTGCTTAAGAGGTGGTGAAATTTGAACTACTGTAATAGTTGCCTCGGTGTTAAGGTCGGCTGGGTATGTCTAAAGAGCGGTGAAATCCGACCACTGAGATCAATCCTGAATCGATATTATGAAGAATACATGGTGGATACAGATATGTTAGAAAGACTCGTCAAAATTTAATTATCCCGATAATTGCTGGGGTGGTGAAATGGTCCGTTAAGACATTTTTGAAAGGTTGTCAAACCTAACCGATCATTTTTAGGGTGATGGAGTGGCTGATGGCGGCTCCCGTAAAGACTGCGGAATCTTTTTTTCTGGATTCTGCCTGGTCTTCTCTAGGAGCGAAGTTCTACTGCATTTCCAAGCTCGGTTTTATCTTTTCTTTTAGGACGGATTTATTTCCAGGGAGGAAAGTCAATGATGTAAGATCCACAAGTTTAACTGCGACCCCGGGAGCCCACGGATAGTCATTTGGGCTACGCTTCTTAAAACGGCAAGGGAGCCTGGTCAGGGCTAAGCTATGGTTCTTGGGCACGGTATCACGGCCCGCTTAGTACTAGGGATTGACACCAGCAAGCCTATTTCGAACGAGGAGGAAGATCCTAGTCGGGACCTATGGTTGAGGTCTAGATAAGTACCTGATGACTAAGGGAACGGTTACGGAACCAGCGGCAACTACTAACGGTACAACGCGGTTATAAGTCATTAGAAAGTGTGTTGTATAAGAGTGGAATTCAGAATAAAAGCTTTAAAAAAAGGATCTCGCTATACACAAGGAGACTTTCAGGGTTCTATCCGGGTTCATCCATATATGAAGGTATATATATGAAAGTGCTAAATGGAATATGAGATAAAGCGGAAGCACTGTAATGGAAACAAAGTATTCGGATTGGCATTCATTCTCATAACGTTTGAAGATAATACAGAAACTCAAGATGCAATTCGAAAACCGATCACGATGGTAAAAAAGAACTGCTTTAGTATCCGCCCCGCTGGTTGCCGACAGGGTTTTGCTGATAGTTCGAGACTTGGCCTCTGGGGTCAAGTTTGTTCATCTGCTGGGGATTCTCAGGACCAGACAGCCCTCTGGCGCCTGAGTTATTGTCGTTGTAGCTACTGCCACCAGTTGCGCCGCCACCGAAATTTTGCTGACCCATACGGCTGCCATGGCCAGGTTGGGCACGCGGTTCCATCTCGCACGGCTCGGCGTGAGCAGTAGTGGAGTGGGATTTGTGTTCCTGCGTGGCGTTACTGTAGCTTTCCTCACTAGTCATTTTGTTGTCGGAGGTGAGAGGCTGAGTGCGGGATTTCTTTTCCTCCTTGGAGCTGCTATAGTTGTCCTCGCTAGTCATATGATTGTCGATACCGCGGGACTGTCCGATGGAGCCTGTGCTGCTGGGGTCGAAGCCACGAGCACCGCTACCGGTGTCTTGGGACCCGACGTTTTGAGAGTCGGTGGTCCCAGGGTAATTGCGGCGGTTATCTATTTGTTCCGGGTTAGCTTTTATGGCTCTTTGAACTATAAACGTGGACATGGCTCGCGGGATACTGTGCAAGGCACAATGGGAAGAGATATTCGGATGCGGCAATAGAACGTAAGAAGTGTCTTATCGTGTCTAGAAATCCAATGTGTTCTAGCCAATAGCAATAGCTCAACTTACCTAGATCACTATCAACGCGAGGATCCATCTTATTGGCTACGTTTGAATCATGAGGCCCAGCATTGGTTCGGCCACCTGCGTTCATACCGGCGTTTTGGGGGCCGACGTTTTGGGAATCGGTGGTTCCAGAGTAATTGCGGCGGTTATCTATTCAAGGTCCCAAGTTAGTTTTCTAGCTCTATGGACCATAGACGTGGATATGACTCGCGGGATACTGTGCAAAACATAATGGGAAGAGATATTTGGATGCGGCAATAGGACGTATGAAATTTCTTATCGTGTCTAAGAACCCCACGTGTTTCAACGAATAGCAATAGTTCAACTTACCTAGATCACTATCGACACGAGGATCCACTTTGTTGGCTACTTTTGAATCATGAGGGCCAGCATTGGTTGAACCACCTGCGTTCCTGGCATCTACATATCGAGCCAGCGTGTCAATCAATGGTACAAAAAGAGAAACAAGTATTTGGAAACTAACCGGCGACATTGGCATCGCGATAACCAGCCTCATTGCCATAGCCAGGACCAGAGCCGTAAGTGTTAGAGCTCACGCCGGAAGAGGGGCCCATGCCAGAAGAGCGACCCGATTCGGAAGAGTCGTACTGGTTCGGCCCGGAGTTCGCAGTCTGAGGATTATCCCTGTCACGGTGATCAGACACGGCATCCTTGACTTTGTGCATGAAGTTCGACATGATAGCAATCTGTCTTAGCAAAAAGGCTTTTAATTTTGAAGTTGAATACTTGATAATATAATGGGATTAAATAGTCCCGGGTTGCTATATTTCCTGAAATTATAACAAGATTTGAGACTTCTTGCGGGTTTATATGCCTCTACCACCTATGACTAAATCATTGTTTGCGGAGACCTAGTGACGCCATAACGCGAGGGGTCACGAGTACAAGAACCAGTGAACATGGATAAGGATCTATTAAACTGCCTTGTGTTGTATGGTCATGACGTTCCAAACAGGTTTAAAGTAGCCGAATGAGTATGTTGGCCGAAAGTGAGAGAGCAGTGGATGTCATCCGTCGTCATGTCCGGGATCTAGTAAAGCTAAGAATACCACTGAACCAGAGCCCTCCAGGAAAATCCAAAAACTGGGGAGGATACCCACTTGGAGATCTTGGAGGTCCGACCAAGGTTGTCTATTGCGATTTCCATGGTTCCCTCATCACCAATAGCTCCATGTTCAGGTTTTTGACAATTACCAATTCCGGTGTGTCATTGGCCACCCACACAAGAATACCCAACTTCGTAAATTCACAATTTACACTACTCGGGATAGCATTTTTTAATTCAACATCAGGATTTCTCCATGGGGAGCCCATGGGATGCAATGCATCTCAGTTCGCGGATTCTCTCAACTGGGAGAAAAAGTGGGGCCATGTAGATCAACCCATATATATACTTTGGTATGTATCAATTTTATGTACTAAGGGCCTAAGTACCGTACTTGGGAGTACCTAGAGGAGTAGGTCTAGATGGACAGGGTATTTCAGCGAATTCCTTTCTACCCGCCCACTGTAGCCGGGCCGTCACCGCTCTCGCTGGTGGGTTCACTATTCGCTCGATTGAGCCATGATGGTCTCCACAAAGTCATACCCAATATCAAATCGTATACCATCTGGGTTAATCAAATCATATGGCCTATCTATAATGCATAAATCAGCCAAAGGGAACAATTACTAAGAATGGAGTGGAGCAAAACCAACACCAACTTCCATCAGCCTCTGGGCGAGGACCGACAACCCCCACCCACACATTCCCAAAGGGTGTGACCGAAGCAGCAATGTTATTGTTGCTTAAGTACGTTCCTAGGATGATGGCAGACGCATTTTGCGGTAATTCTATAACTGCTCCATCCTGGAAGAACAACCAACGGCCGCTCTGTAGCTCGCCCATTTCCGGGCCTGTTTGAAAGTGCCAGTTCACCTGAATTATAGTGTTTCGGGAGTTTTTTACCTGCGCCCCTGGCTGAACAATTTCTTCGCCTGTAATAGAGCGGGGAGGGAGAATATCGAAGCCTGGAGTATCGAAGTCAGGGCTGTTGCCTGCCATGTATGCCCCAACGCAGAACCCGGCATATCGGCCCCCGCGCGCAACAAAATCACGAATGGCTTTTTTGTATTTCTTTGTATGATCCCATGCTGGTTTAAGACCTGAAGATAACCAATTACTACTAGCGAACTGGAGAGGAAGCAGAGGAAATCTCTTCCTTTCCCCAAAGGAGAACTTACTGCCACCCCCTGGCTGAGCGTAAAGCTGAACTTCCCGCAATGTTTCTTCCTTGACATCTATGTTCTCATTGGGGCCCGCATACTGAACATCAAAGTGAGAAGAGGAAGATCGGAGAAGCGCAGCCACTGATTCCGGACAGCCATTACAAGCAGCTGGTTTACGGTAGACCAACGCCTTCGGACGTGATTCTGGCGGACATGCGTCTAGCTGACCCATGGCCATGTTACCTGCTAGGAGGACGGCGATGGAGAGATAATTGCGCATTTGGACTAGAATTATAGGAGTTGGGGTCAAATATAAACAATGAACACAAAGTAGAAGTTGGCTCTGCGTAGAAATATTCATATGGAAGTTTCGGGACTTTTATGAATAGTACTTCCCTTGTCATAGGATCGGCAGTGCCGGGAGATTGGGTCGATTGGAAATGATCACTTTTCTCAGGGCGCATCGAAATCGGCCTTCTAGACTAAAGTTAAGCCGGACGGGAAAGCCCCATTGCCAACACTACGTACTATGTAAGATTGTTACAGTGAAGATTGAATGCCTTGCGTCTTTGCCACTGTAGGGTAACCTTAGGTGAGAAGATTGAGTTCACAAGGCTGTGAGGCGCAATGGTGATTTAAGTTTGGCCCCATGTAGAACTCAGTGGCAGCCTTAAACAGGGTCAAATCCAGCCGCTTTCCTTTCCTGTTTCAAATACATAGCCAGGATGTCTACAACTTCCCGTTTAGACCTCTAATTTGATGTCATCCTCTTCCCCCTGCAGGCTAGTAATACCCCCCAGGCGACACCATCATCGGCAACTTTGGTACTTAGACGCTAGATCAGTAATTTGTGCCGAGGCCACACTGGCCACACAAAGATCAAGATTGAACCCTACGCCGCTTATTGACCTGGCCTGACCTTCCAGGATTATGTTATTATTACTATCTTCACCATCCATAAGCCGCGGGCCTATTGCCCAAGCCAGTTGGCTATGCAGTCCTTTTGTCAAGGATTGGGATTTCCTAAAGGAACGCGGTCTACAGCCACGCTAATCTGAAAAGGGCCTAGTCGGATCTTATTGACGAGCCCCTCTCGTCCGTGTGTCTTTCCATGGATCTGACAGACAATTGACTCTTGCCAAACAGGTCAAGTCGTACGCATACAATGCCAAAAGGAAAGCGCATCATCCTGTGTTTGGATGGTACGTGGGTCAACAGCGACAAGGGGTATAACCCGCCGACCCTGGGCCAGCCGGATGCCACTCTTCAGGTGCCTACAAATGTGACGCGCGTCTATCGGTTCCTGAAGAAACGGGACGCGAATGGGAAGAACCAAGTCATGTACTATCACCCTGGTGTTGGGACTACTGGGAATATCACTGATGAGATTGCGGGCGGAGTTTTTGGTTCTGGGGTTTCTGAGGTGCGCTGAAATCATACTTGTTAAGGTGACGGGAAGGGAAAGGCAGATTTCTAACTACAAGATGACAGAATATTCGGGAAGCGTATAGTTTCGCTGCAACGAATTACGAGCCGGGTGATGAGATTGTCATAGTGGGCTTCTCTCGCGGTGCATTCACTGCGCGTAGTGTGGCAGTAAGCATAGCCGTTCTCTGAAAAGTTTTTGGGCATTGATATTCATGGTTTTAGGGTCTCATCACCGAGATTGGACTGCTTAATAACAAAGGAATGGAACTTCTCTATCCAATATTCAAAGATATAGAGAACATCAGAAACCCTCGGTACAGGGATGAATTTCCGACTACACCTTTCCCTAACAAGCCCAGAGACAAACGGGAGTACAAGCATCGCCTGGAAGATGAGGATCTCACGCGACTGTATGACCCAGATGGACGCCGCATCAAAGTTCGTTGTGTTGCAGTCTGGGAAACGGTTGGAAGTCTAGGCATCCCGGACACCAACTTGAGCAACAAACTCAAGATACCTCGCTCTACAAAAGAATGCAAGTTCTACGATACATCACTATCGAACGGAATCGAGTACGCCTTTCAAGCCCTTGCTTTAGAAGAAGATCGCACGTCGTTCGCTCCATGTGTTTGGAACCGACCTCGCAATGTTCGCACCGATCTACGCCAGGTCTGGTTCCTTGGAGCTCATTCCAATGTTGGGGGCGGGCTTCCAGACCAGGAACTGGCCAATGTCGCCATGGCCTGGATGATGGACCAACTAACATCAATTGGTGTGGCCTTCGAGGAAGACACTATTGATCGGATCTTTCAACAAAGTGTCCGCTATTTTTTCAATCATCCCCACCCGCAAAAATCACAGACCAGCTCCAAACACAAGCCATGGAGCCAGTGGGCCGTTTCCTCCGTCTACAACGAACACAAGCCTGTTCGACCTTGGGGACTTGGTGAAATTGTTCAGCCCGAGACCGGATACTATCACCTCGCTGGCAAAACCACTCGCACACCGGGGATGTACCATTATGTTGATCCAAACACAGCTCTTCCCACGTCTGAGTTTCTGACGCATACCCATGAAAGCGTGCACAGAAGCGTGCGCATTCGTCTCACCCTCGAGGGTCTCGGATACGATGATGTAGGGCTGTATACGTGTTCTGCATTGAAGGACTGGAAGCTCGAGCGGATGCGTGTTGTGTCTCACCGTGATACTCACTATTCCGATGGGAGAGAAGAAGATGAGATTATGGAGAAGATACAAGATTATCGATGGGGGTGGGTATACGCTGGGCCAGAGCGAGATAGGCCGCCGAAAGCTATTTTGATGGAGGAGCCACTGGGCCCATATGAAGACAGGTTGCTCCATCTCAACAAAGGCATGTTGGCATTCCTTCTTGGGGAACTTGGTCGTCTGTTTATCAGAAAAATTGTGCATGCTACTCAAGGACGTTTATGCTAATTCTACCATCGGTGTCACAGGTCGGCCATTCTACAAAGCTATGCTTGCGGAAAACAGGCGATGATGAAAGAAAAGAGACTGAGAATTTCTCAGCCCTCATGCGTCTTAAACTGATGTTATAATCCTTGCCTAGACTCGACCAAAATAAAGCATTACTTCCGTGATCGAAACCGGCACTTTAATCCATGCTGCTTGGCAAACCAGAATGTCTCCACCCGCCATGTCGGGTCGTCAGATGCCCACTCAATCTCGAAGTGTCGCATTAGCTGTGGAATCAGTTTCCCCATCTCCATAATAGAGATATTCTTTCCAATGCATGTCCTCGAACCGTACCCAAACTATGACATATCAGTATGGTTGCAGAATAATGAGAGCATTGTACAGACGGTCATTAGATGGCGATCCATAATTTTCATGTTTTCATCACTAGACTCGATCCATCGCTCTGGGCGAAAGTCACTGGCGTCATCCCCAAAAATTGTCTTCTCGTGGTGCATCACTGCCGGATTGATACCGACGATGGTACCCGCTTCGAGATGAACGCCACAGAGCTCAGTTCCTCCTTCAGGAACAACTCTCTCTAAGGGAAAAGCAACTCCGGGATGGCACCGCATGGCCTCTTTCATTACTGCTTGGCTGTTTGGTTGGAGAGAGATTAGCCAATAGTGCATGAAAGTACAGTCCAATGCTCACAGGTATCTCAATTCAAGACATTCGGCATAAGTGACATATTCTGAGAGTTTTCCGGCCTGGTCAGCTTCATCAACCTCGTTTTGAAGCTTATGATAGACCGTCGGATTCTGCACAACGTAGTAGACAACCGCTCGGAGGGAGACAGCAGTAGTATCACTCCCAGCAAGTCTGAGGAGGTGGCAAGATTGTTAAGTAGTCTGGGGCCTGAGTCTGTGTCCATGAACTTACAAATTGTTACTGAGATGATTAATAATATCTCGATTCAGCATTGGCTTGCCCTTTTTCTCCTCGTTTTGAAGCCATGCAAGGAAATCCGGCCGATTGCCGTATTTTTCAACAGGCTCGCTGTCATAATCATCAATGCATTGCTGAGTAAACTGCAAGCAATTAGTCCTTTATTGATTTACTCAGTCATATCTTAGAGAACAGAGTACTTACCTGAACAATAGTCCTCAAAGGATCTGGGACTTTCACAAACGGCTGTGCAGCTAAGAACTTTGATAACAAAAGATTACCCATGAGCCATGGGTGGAAGGCAGGCACTTGACCAATAGTACCTGCATAGCGAAGGACAGCCTCGATATCGGCAATCATGCCCTTGAAATCCTGGCGGGTCTCCATGAATCCAAACCGGCGCTGGAAAGTGATTGCCCCAATCACATCAAAGGCATACCACTGGAGCCAAACACCCAAATCAACGGGTTCACCTTCAAGATCTTTCATAGAATCGATGAATATTTTGGTGCATTCATCTGCGAATACTTCTAGGGCTTTGATCGAGGACATGGAAAACTTCTGTGCTACTGGTCGACGAAGAGCCTGGTGCCGGTTTGGGTCGCGCACAGTAAACATGCTAGGCATGATCTTGTCTTCATAGAACGGGCTCATAGTGTCATAGAATGCAGACTATTCACGCGTTAAAATGTCTTTATTTGTAGCTTAATTGTACCCACTTTGAGAAACTTGCTGCTGATGCCGTATATGATTGGCAGTGCTTTGGGGTCTGAAATATCTACTGTCTTCGGCCCAGTGCGAACAATTCGACCATATTGACGGTGCAGTCTCAGATAAAAGTCGGGGGCGTCGCCCCTGGCAATCTTCCAGAGGCGGTAGAAAGGCGTGAAGCGTGCAATAGCCGGGCCTGGTATTGATCTTAGGCCAGGCTTCAGCGCGACAGCAATAAGCCTGACAATAAAAAATACCAACAAGGCAATAAAAACTCCCAGAGTAAGCCGATTGTGATTCTGACTCGAAATGGAAGAGAGAGGTCCAAGGTTGTCGGGTGTTGATCGTGAGGCTGCCATCATCAATGTACTTAGTCCAAAGCGAGCTTGAAATCATGATCTAGTATGCCCCTTCTTTTATCCTATACTATTCTCCAAGATTTCCCCGCAAGTTCTCACCTCCTGTTGCCAGTCTAACCAATTGTCTTCCGATTGAGTTTGTGGGGTCTATGACAGCTGCTGGATAATGGTGGGGAATACTCTTAAACCTTGCACGCCACTTTCTTAGTATCAACCCACGAACTCTCTTGTCAGAGTATATTTGCCTCCATCGAACCTGCAAGCTGTTTATGGGAGTGGTCATAATGGGTATGCATCTGCTCGTTGCTCTTTTCCGCTTCACTTGCTTAAGAGTAATTCAAAAGAATTAAATAGCAATTTGCATCAGAACATGTTATCAAGGCACATTTATCTGATGATTTCTAGTAAACACAGTTTGCAGACAGATTAGAGGCTAATGGCGAGGAGCTCTAGCAAGAAGCTCTTGGGCATTTTTAAGATACACATTCTCTTTCACTTCAGACAAAAAATCACTTTCAAACCCGTCATCCATTTTCTTAGCAAATGCTAGTACGGCCGGTACCGGTGTGTAAGGGTAGTCGCTCCCATACAATAGTCTTGACGAATTCACCAATCGAAGAAGACCGTGTATTTGATCAGGGAATGGCACTCCAGCAAGATCAAAGAAGAATCGCGTTTGGAGCATCTCTTTCACCTCCTCCCCAGTAACTCGGAGCTCCGGACTGAGCAAAACTTGAGAGAACTGGGCAATCCGCTCCATCACCGGTGGAAATGTGCCTCCACAATGACATGCCATGAATGTAATGCCAGGACATCTCTTTACCATGCCTGATGTGAGGAGACTCATGAGCGACCGTGTCGAATCAAACATGAATTCCGAGGTCACAGACCCATCCTGCCAATTGTGAATATTGCAGCTGGTTGGATGAATGAAAACAACAGCTTTCCGCTTACTGAGTTTGTCGAAAACTCGGCTGAAGCGTGGATCTCCCGGGTAGATTCCGTGCGAGTTGGTCAGAATTTGAAATCCGACTGCGCCCAGGTGGTCAAGCGCATAGTCAATCTCGGATAGGGAGCCTTCAACATCCGGCAGTGGAAGCGAAGCAAAGAATAGAAAATGATCTGGATGGTCGGTGCAAATTTTGGACATGTCGACATTCACGCGGCGGGTAAGAGACCGCGCCTCCTCGTCATTGCTGGGCGTCAAATGAGTTCCCGGAGACGAGATGCTCAAATGGATTTGGTGATGTTCAAGTGCTTCATCAAGTCGATATGAGTTTGCGGGTCCCACTCCTGCATTTTTCGTAAATCCTCAGAAATATCAGTATAAGCTTGGGATCACCTACGGGGATTGCTGGCATGCCATCTGGATGCCCTTTTCCCGCAAAGTCATTCTGCAGGCAGTACTCGCGATAGGCCGGTGGCACACAGTGAACATGAACGTCTATTCTCTCCATTTTGTTGATTGTTCAAGCAGAGTGGAGTACAAGCAGAGAAGAAAATGAAAGTTTTAACGTTGGAGACAGAGCATAGTCCCCGCAGCAGCATGCGTGGGCCCTATCCATTGCCCTGAGCATGAATCTCATGACAATTTTGAAAATGTGGGAAATTTAGGCGATATCTACAATCGTTACAATTGTTAGCATAGATACGCATTAGCCACTAGTGCTACATACGATTCTGCTAATTCCCCCACTATTGCTATGGTGCAACTGACACGCCGAAATTCAGAATAGAAGCCCGATTATATACTAACAAGAGGTATGAAATTAGCAGCTGCAAATAGAAATCTCATAACTGCAAATGCATCAAGACATTAGAGAAGTTTGAGGTGATCGATCCATCGATGAATCTATGACTTTCCACCTCTGATTAAACAACTCTACCATTAAATCTGTCATCAAAACTGCCCAAAGAACTGTGTCCCGAGATTTCTGCGGCCAGGTAATGGGCAACCCGTTTGTTTGTCCTGGAGCATATTCAAGCTACGCCGAAAGCTTGGATTTGGGCCCCAAACAAGATCACAACAAAATAAACTACTGCACTGCGCGATATCGGCATAAATTCCAACTGTTTCAAGCTCAAAAGTCAGATAAGCGGAGGGTTGCAGATCGACAGTTGTGCTAACCTGGAGAGTGCCAAGCCGGCCTGTTTCCAGTGCGCTCATTCGACCAGTGCCCTGCGATCAAGGGTCCGGCATATCCACAATCTGGCCCTCAATCATGAGATTGGATCTACCGTACGCCGCTTCGTAGGTCCAAGCGCAAGAAACGGCCTGCCTAATAATAATCATGGTTCGTCGCGGCCTAAGACATCCTCTAGCCGCAATTTTTTCCCGTCAACATCGGCCTCTCCAGCCATTTCACTCATTATGGCGTCTCCCGATGAGCAGCGTGGGATGGATGCGGCCTTTTGGGCGCCAGGGACAGTGACGCTGGAAGATCGTAAGCATAATTGCCCAAGTCCAATCGAGAAAACGACGCGCTCACATTCGATGCAGTTCACCAACCAAGAGATCAATTGGTTCTCTTTCCCACCCCCTCCTCTGACCCAAACGACCCTCTCAACTGGTCTACTGCTCGCAAGGCCCTCAATTTTACCTTGGTCAGCTTCTACGTCCTTTGGACCTTTGTCCAGCTTGACATTGGCTTTACAGCATGGGGTCCCATGGAAACAGATCTCGGCTTTACGTTCGATAATTTGAGCATGGGTGCCGGAGTCAACTACGCCGGTCTTGCTGTGGGGTGCATATTCTTCATTCCTCTGGTTCACAAATATGGTCGGCGGCCGATTTACATCTTCAGTGTTGCTCTTCAGTTGGCGTCTTGCATTTGGCAGGCCAAGGTCTATACTTTTGGTGACCTCATTGGAAGCAATTTGATATCTGGGCTTGGAGGCGCAATCAGCGAGATCATTGCTCAGATTACTATCGCGGACATGTTCTTCGTTCATCAGCACGCCACCATGAATGGTTGGTATGTCATCTTCCAAAGCACCGGTGCTTTTCTCGGTCCCGTAGCCTCTGGGTACATCACTGTCTCGCAAGGTTGGAGGTGGATGTGGTGGTGGTGTGTCATCTTCTTCGGCGTGACGCTACTCGGCGTGGTCTTCCTCTTTGAGGAATCGAAATACATAACGCTTATCAGCGGCGGCCATCATGTTACACCTACACCTGTCTCACATAATTCAAATTCAACGGGCGGAAAGTACAAAGCTGAAAATGAAGACTCGACCGACAGACAGGCCGTGGCGAATCGAGTCGCGCAATCCGACATCAAGCCGAAGACATATCGCCAACGAATGGCCCTCGTCACCACCGCCGACGAGTCGATTTTGCAGCATTTTTATCAGCCATTTATAACGCTTCTGACATTCCCAGCCGTTACATACTGCGCCATAACCTATGGCACCACGTTGTGCTGGTTTGCGGTCATGACCTCACTGCAAGCATCGTACATGATCTACGCGCCATACAATTTTTCTGCGATCGGCATTGGCCTGATGAACCTTCCAGCGTTTGTGGGTGCTCTTCTAGGCTTCCCATTTGGTGGATATATCTGTGACAAATTCATTCTGTGGCTCTCGAAGAGAAATAGAGGTGTTTACGAACCGGAGATGCGTCTTTGGCTGGCCCTTCCTGTTGCTATCATAAGTCCAGCCGGGATATTGATGTTCGGCATAGGTATTGCTCATGTATGTTTGTATCTCTGAAAAGGCTTCACGCTCTTAATTGATTTGGAATATAGGGTGTTAGCTGGGGTCTTTTGGCCGTTGGCTTTGGCTTCTTTGGGTTTGCATTAGCTTCAGTCGGCGCTATCTCGCTATCTTACCTCATGGACTGCTATCAGGATGTGAGTGAGCCTACAACCATATGGTCTTCGATCTGAACTAATTGAGTTGCTTAGATTATTGGCGATGCACTAGTCGGAGTTGTCTTCATGCGAAACATCTTGTCTGTCATTGTTCTCCTTGTCCTGACTCCATGGGTCGAAGGCATGGGCCTGCAGAACCTTCATGTTCTTATTGCGCTCATTAATTTTGTCATTTTATTGCTTCCAGTGCCTTTGCTTGTTTGGGGCAAAAGGGCAAGAGTCGCTACTGCAACGAGGTACAAGAGGATGGCACAAAAACAGCTTAGCCATCGTACCATCTGACGAGGGTCAACAGTACTAGAAATTAGCTTTCAATTCTTCAACTTGACCATTCGGTCTGATAGTCCGCTATATTGAACCAGTAGAACTGAGTTTCACAATCTTGCGCCGCCCACACGGATATCAAATAGGTCTTGAACAACGCCACAGAATGTTTCGAGAATTATGTCCGACTGGCTCCTCGCAAGCACTGCTCTTCGCTCTTCTAAATCTATAAGCTTAAAGCAGGCTGCCTGACAGGCGACCCCAGTGCAAGGTATTGATCTTCCAGTGCTCTTAATGACCACTCCAAATTCCTCTAGGATAGATTTCGACATCTGAATAGCTTCTCGATCACATTGAACAAATGGATGTCGTAACCGATGTATAATAAGAAGCGCACTGAGGCGGAGAATCCTGGCCTGAGCCAGCATGATAGTGACCTCAGGCTGTGTGAATCGATTGGGAAAGTTTGCTGGAGTCAATGGCTGCCATTTCTCTACCAAATTTCATATTGCATCAAGACGCGTCATCCGTTTTCACGTGTGCAGCTTCATCACTGTGTCGGAGTAGGTGACTAACTTCACATATGTGATAAACAAGGGCCAGCAACGAGCCACTGAGCCCAATATAACGATCAACATGACCTGTTGCGTTGACCCCAATTCTAATAGTTGGTTTTTCGGATCAAAGCAGACATTTACAAGTTTCGGTGGTGATGAGACACAACAAGAAATCCATCGTCTCTGAATCGGGGCCCAAGCCTGAAAAGGCACGATATACAGCAGTTGGCTTGATGAGGTTGAGTGTTTAGTGGGCTATAAGAATTGGCTGACCATCTTCCACATGCATGGCAAACGTAGCCATAGCCACACCGAGTATCAAAGCGATGGCAAGATCGCCATGGTCGTAACCTTCAGACAACTTAGAGATAACACGGCCGATGCACCTCGCCGGTTGGCAATTTGAAGGCCGAGGCATTGGTAGGAACCAATTGATTGCTATGTGTTTCGACGGAGGAGCTGGGAAGTCATAGTTTTGGTACCTCGGGGCTTTCTGCCAAGCCGAACATACCGGCGAGTAGTGTGGCAGGCGTGATTGAGTCGAGTACATCGTTCGCACGGTACGATAATATTAGGCCGCCGACACTTCTTGAAGGCGTGGCATTGGTCACAGGCTCTTTTCGTTCCGCACGGTGCGGGCATTACAAGTACTCCAGGAAAAGAGCGTCGATGAAGTAATGAACAGTTGACTAGCGAGTATTGTTGTAGCTTTCGACAGCTTGACAATGGGTGGAAGGAGACGTGGGGAAATGGCGTGTGAGAGGGGCAGATAGGGGGTGATCGAAGCGCTACCTATCCAATCAGACTACTCTAGATCTTCACGGCCTCTATTGATTGACACATTTCTCCTGTACAGATGCTGGAGTATGTCCATTAAGAGCTTCATGAAGTCTTTATCTTGGAGTGTAGCTCATCCACACGCTTCTCGCGGATCGCCTTTGTGGCTAGCCCCCCAGAAGGGTGCTGGTTTCCGGGGTCCGTTTCCATTCAGACTCAAGACTTGCGAAGTGCTGGAATGAGATCTTAACATCTACCTGGCTTCGCTACAGGAACGGTTTCTTTACCTCGGCAGCTTTTGTCCAAATTCTGAAAGAATGGAGGCTGCCGTTAACGGATATCTTCGGCTGTTCAAGCTTCTCTATTTCTCTTTGTGAGATTATAGGAATACAGGTCTTGCGGCGCCCGGTCAATACACTAAAACAAAATCACATTTCGCGAAAGTCCCTCGATCGTTGGAGGCAGAGAGAACATCAATGATTTGCGGTCAGTCGGGGATAGGACCATTACTATCTTGCCCGTGCATTCTTGCAAACAGTTGGGCAACCTAAACCGCCTGCAGGAGACGCAGGCACCACCATATTTCTCGATCATTTATTATTGGAATGCGGGCTATTGTTCCGCTTCTGCTGTTCAAGCTCTTCTCTTTCTCTTTCGATGACGCATTGACTTCCATGGTAGGTGTGAGAGGAGCCAAGGGAGAAGAAAAGAAAGGAGTGCGTACCTCCAGAGCTTTAACCGCAGAATAAATCGTCGCCCGTTTATACTTCTCGTTATCGCGCACGGACCCTATTCTCCCGCCGCTGAGGAAATTCTTCCTTCGCCCCCCCCTTCTCTCTCCCCAACACTCCCACCTCAAACCCTCTCAATATGGCGCCGTCGACCTGTTTTCATTGCAATCAGGCTCGCGCAGTCATTATTCGACCCAAAAATCGACAAAAGCTTTGTCGCGCCTGCTTCCTCCAGATCTTCGAGACCGAAGTCCACGAAACAATCACCGGCGCCCGCCTCTTCCACCCCGGCGAGCGCGTCGCAATCGGCGCCAGTGGCGGCAAAGATAGCACCGTGCTCGCGGCTGTTCTGAAGACACTAAACGAGCGATACGACTACGGGCTGGATCTTTGTCTGTTATCGATCGACGAGGGTATTCGCGGCTATCGTGACGACAGCCTGGAAACCGTCAAGCGCAACGCCGTGCAATATGACATGCCACTTGAGATAGTGGGGTACGGCGAATTGTACGGATGGACGATGGACCAGGTGGTGGAACAAATCGGCAAGAAAGGCAACTGCACGTACTGCGGCGTCTTTCGGCGACAGGCGCTCGACCGGGGCGCGGCGCGCTTGGCGATCAAGCATGTTGTCACCGGGCACAATGCGGATGATGTTGCGGAGACGGTCATGATGAATCTGTTGCGGGGGGACGTGCCCCGCTTGTCTCGCGGGACTAACATCGTCACTGATTCGGCCGCTTCGGAGATCAAACGCAGCAAGCCGCTCAAGTATGCATATGAGAAGGAGATTGTCCTTTATGCGCATCACCGTCAGCTGGACTACTTCAGCACCGAGTGCATTTATTCTCCGGAGGCGTTTCGTGGCAGTGCACGCACTCTGATCAAAGACCTGGAGAAGATCCGCCCCAGCTCTATTCTGGATATTGTCAAGAGCGGCGAGGATATGGCAGCGCTTGTTCCGCAGGAAGGGTCCCAGAGTGGGAAATCAAGACAGGCTGCGGCTGCGGCAGAGGATGAGTCGGCTGGCGGCTGCGGTAGCCAGAACGGGCGATCCAGCGGCGGCGAGATGGCGGCGATGGAGAAGGAGCTAGCGGCCAACGACGCGGCCGAGTCGCGCGAGACAGAAATCGGACTTTCGACCAAGTCGTTCCGACCGACGGGCAAGCTGGTCAAGATACAAACCATGGGCTATTGCGAGAAATGCGGCTATATCTCTAGCAACCGAGTCTGCAAGGCCTGCTCGCTTCTGGAGGGTCTCAATCGGAACCGACCCAAGACTGCTATTGAGGTCGGCGTAGGCATAGAAGACGAGGAAAGCAGCACGACCTTAATCCGGCAGATGGAGCGCACTCATCTGACGAATAGCTGAGGTATCTCATCGGACCATGCATGACCGAGTACCTTTCCCTTTCCGAAGATGAAAAAAGCATCACGAAGTCGGTGCTGTCAGTGAGCGCCCACTTTCAACCACCTGAGACACTGCTGTTACCAACACAGCTTGGAAACCGTCCAGCGAGGAACAGTCGCAACAGCATTGACACCTGCATTCCAAGGCTGCGTCGAACATAACAGCCCTGGATGATTCTCACGAGTCTCTTTAAACAGGCACCAAAATCACCAGTGGGGTTTTGGCCAATGTGTGAGTCTCGTCTCCTCGACAGCGAGATCGATGCAAATATCATGGAGATACTAATTGTCCAAAAAATCGAATTCAATTCCCTCTTTGTACAAAACCAATCGGCCAAAATCGTAGTATACATAGACATAGACCTATATTAAAGAGAAACGCCCATTCCATGGCCTCAAGTCGCGGAATATATATGCACCCAGCACCACAACCACCGCCAAGAACAACACCAGCAATAACCAGAATATTTCATGCGGTATTTGCCTTGTCCTCATCCATATCAAACCCCCAGAGCAACAACGAAACCCCGACTATCCGCTCGATATGACGAACAGTACTCCCATCCCAGGCAATAAATAACTCCAACCTACTCCTCCTGCATCTCCTTCACCACCGGCAAATCAAAGCCCACCCTCCTAGCCGTCAATCTAACCCTCTCCTCCTCATCCATGTCCATGCCAGGGTTATACCGCTCCAGCAGCGCAGCATAGGAGCGTTGCGCGCGAGCATACTGGGCTAGTTGCTCCGCTTCTTGGATGCGTAGAGCACGTTCTTCTGTTGTGGATGGCGTTGAGAAGGGGAGCGTAAATGTTGGTTCTGCTTGTGCTGATTGTGTTGGTGTTGGTGATGAGGTTGAGGGGGCTGTGGTTTCTGCGCGGAAGAGCTGGCGGAGACGTTGGTGTAGTGGGGATGGGGTGGAGAGGTGCCGGCGTGGAAGTTCGCGGAGGAGGGCACGGTAGACGGTACGGGTCCGGAGGGTGAGTGGTTCGGACATTTTGATTTTGATTTGGAGGCAGCGGTGAGGGTACAGAGATGAAGCTGAATAAATAGCCGGGGTTGTTGCTGGAAAAGTCGGTGCTATGTGATCACGTGATCGTCGACGTTGTGTGGTCTGGATCCTGGATTGAACAAAGATACGGTTACAGATTTTTATTATCTACTGAATGGGAAGTGGGTAGAGATGTATATATTAGGACGCGGAGATTCCGGTTTATACCACGGGGCCGGTGACACTCCCGCCGCCAGGAACAGACGTACTCTATGTACAAAACATCGTCGCGGCCTCATCAATAATCAAATGCATGCGCCGCTCCCAGGGTCATGTCATGTCACAGCACAGCTCACGTACCTTCATCAACACGCAGTGAAAAAAAGAGGCAATATATCATAGAGGGGCATATCGACGTGAGGGGGAGCATGTTGGGAAGGGAAGAAGGGAGAGGGAAAACGTGGTTTTGTATAGGGGAAAGACCCCAGAAGAGGGGGGGGGGGGGGGGGTATGGTTATCATGAACGTAACCAGCCGAATTTTCTGCGCGGTGCCTCGCCACCGGTCGGTGGTTCGAGATACAAACTGCGGCTGTACAAGTCCTGGCAGGGTCAGGTGAGCCAAAAGGGCAATCAATGACTAGCACAAGAACTGGGCTCACTCACCTCTTCATCGCCAGAGAACTTGGAATTCAAAATCAATCGCTCCACATCATCATACCGGTGAGCCTGCGGGTGAGGCGTCTTCTGGCTTCGCTGGATTCCCAGCACGACCTCGCCCATGACCTCGAATTTCTTCCAATTAATCCGAGACCGATTCTCGCCGACGAAGGTCTTGTTTCCTTCCTCGGCAGAGACTAGGTCACGCCGATGTAATGGCAAGAATGGAATACGCTCTGTGAAGGAGTTCTCCCATGCAAGACGGTAGGCAAAGTGACTGCGCTGGGTGCTCATGAGGATGACCAGCCGCATGAACTCCTTCTGCGTGTGGGCGGGAATTAGATCCCGGGTTTGGTTCAGGCGGTGGACCGGGGTGCCATTGATGGCAGCGATAACGGCGCCCAGTGAGTTGTAATTGTTTTGGCGGCGGAGTTTCTGAATTACTGTCAGCAATGATCTGAGACTAAATGGGAAATAACAAAACTTACCGCCGCGATCAGCATGAACTTTTCCAATGCCTTGGCCCGGTGCTTCGGCTTGTCGCGTAAGAGAATCATGCTTGCCACGAAAAAAGCGAGGTGGTTGAATTGCTTGATCATCCGGTTGACATTCTTCAAACTCTTGATTTTCTCCTTATCCACGCCGGAGATGCTCACATGGCGGACGAGATCGCGTGGCCGGAACGAGTTGTACATGATCCAGTCGATACGCGTCAGTTCCCGCGCGAACTCTTCTTCCGGTGTCTCCATGAAATACCGCCACTGGATCTTGCTCAGAAGAGTACGAGGGGTAAGCTCCAGACGCGCAGCTTCTTTCTGAGCAGCCTCGGTTGTCAACATAGTAAATGACAGGTTGAGGGTGCTGCTGGGCTTCTCCGGGTTGGACGATAGCGAAACGCTTGCCGAAAGCCGGGAAGTCGAGTCATGCGGCCCATCGCTGAGATCAAGTGCGCTCATGCTGTAGATAGGATCCTCCTCTTCCTCGTCGTCGTCGTAGGCGGATGTGAGGAATGGAACTGGCGAGCTTCGACCAGAATTGTAGAAGAACGTCTCTGTATGGCCGTTGTCCTCGATGTCGCCATCCGAAAAGGCCCAGCTAACTTCGTCATCCTCGGCATTCAAGTCTAGGTATGATCCGATCTCCTTGGCGGCAAACATGTAGAAATGGCTCTTCTCAAGCGTCGCCACGAACTCGGCGATGCGTTTGTGTGTCTTAGGGTAGGCGAAGTCCCCAGGGTATTCAGATGCCCATTGGGCAACGACATTCAACAGCCTCAACTGATCGGCAATGCGGGCAAGCTGGTCGGTAGTGTTGGTCTCATTCCGGTCAAAACGAGTGATCAACGCTCCCAGTAAGCTTGCAGGTGCGGCGAACTTTCGGTATAGGCACAGAAATATTGACTGGAACTTGTTGTCATTCTTCGACATGGGCATGGCAACCAGGCGGTCCACCAGCTCATCAAATGATAGCCCTGATTCCGCACTCGAGTTGCTCTCGCTGCTAGGCTTCGGCCGAATCACCCCACCACCAGAACTGGTGGGGCGGCTCTGTCCGTCTTCCAATTCCTCGTCCATGTTCAAGAAGCTGCTGAAGGCGTCCAAGCCAACACTGTCACGCCAGGCCGTATGCATTCGCTGCTGGCGGTTTTGGTCTCGGTTGGGCGAGTCGCTCGTGGCGGACGGTCTGCGTGGGTTCAGGCGAGCCGCGGAGGGAGGCGTGTGCGGTCGCACAGGCTGGGAATTGCTCCGAGCATATCGCGAGGAGCTAGACGGACGGGCGGTGGTTTGTTGAGCCAGGTTGGAGGAGGGTGCCTGGTCGGTGGGCCGACGGGTCCCGCCGTCCCTATCGACTGTCCGATCCACGGCCGTCGTTGTTGGGCCGCCAGCGGCTCCGGTCAAGGTAATAGGGTTCTCGGACTTGGAGCGGGCGTGGTGTCTGTCGGTCGTCGATTGGCGAGTCGAGTCGGGAGATTTCTGGGGGGAGGATGACGGAGCAGGAATCGAATTTTTAGGTTGGGGGGATAAGTCTGGTACAGGAAGGCTGTCAGATTCGAGTCCCTGGTGTCCTTTTTGGGGGGGGCGGCCTGCGCTGTCGATCGGTGGGTGACAAGAACAAAAAGGACCGCTAACGCCGCTAGTGGCTCACCAGAGGCCCAAGCTCACCACAATCGGATTGAACGAGACAAAGAAACAGGCACTTACCTTCTCGTAGTGCAATGATGGTCCGCAGCACGAGTGCAATACACATCCGCTGCGATCGCGGTGATTCGGGAGATGTGCGACGGATCTCGTAGCGCCCATGGAGCGGCTCCAGCTTGCTGTCATCAGTGATTAAATCGCATTTGCACGCCACCAGCAGGAACGGTAGCGTCGCGGCATCTAGGGAGCCTGTTCACAGTCAGTCAATAATATGCCCGAGAAGAGGCTTGGGGTCGACGAACCCAGTAGATCCGTCATCTCTTCTAGCTTCTCCGGCTCCGTGGCATCATGAAGCACCAGAGCCCCGTCAATTCTGGGCGAGGATTTAGGCCATAGAATGTTCTTCTTGCTGCCCAGTCGGACCTCCTTCAGATCCACCTCGAGCATGCGCACGATGTAGACCGACCCGTCCAGCGACATCTTCTTCTTGCTGGAATTCGCGACGGGCGTCGTCTTCAAGTCCAAGGCGCGACGAATGAAGCTGCTTTTGCCCGCATTCTCCTCGCCGACCACCGCAATGGTGATTTCGGGGAACCCGACTTTGGCCGATTCCTGTTGGAGGTTAGAAACGCAGTCACTCCATTGGGGGGGGCGGTTTGCTGCCATACCTCGTCGCCCTTGCTCTGAGCCGGGGCGGACTTGGCAGGGACCGGAGGGCGCTCTTCCTCCTCGACGAGGGGCTGGTCGGGTCTCGAGCCCTTCCGCCCAGGGTCGGGTTTGTGGGAGCCACTCGAGGAGGCAGACGGGGTGCGAGGGATACCCGGTCGAGGGGAGGTGGGCATCTTCTGGCCCTGGTCGGTGGATGCTCGGCCAGATTGAGACGAGGCCATGACGAGGGGCAGTCGAGCAGGCGAATACGAGTTATTGCGAGCACCAGCAACACAGCGCTGGACCCATTATTATTGTCGGACAAAGTAGACAGACCATGTAGGGAGAGAGGTCAGAACGAGAGAGAGAATACGAAGAAGGCGGTCGATCGATAACCCAGGAGATGTCAGGTGCAACCAGGAGGTCCTAGTGTCGCTGATTAACTGACCTTTTGTTAACTAAGTTAAGTTAATTAGGGGCCTAGTAAGTTCACAGTTAGTCTCCTACTAGTCAGTCCTATCTACTTCTTCTTCTTTTTCTTCTTCTTCTCTTGTGGGATTTGGCCCCGGACGCTGTGTCTCACTCGTCTCCATTTATTAGTGAGAACCGTATTCATTAGGTAACTATTCATTACGAGCATGAGTTCATTCGGTCGCATGATTCTCCTTGGTGACCAGCGCCAAGAATTGCATAAAACCCTCTGCCCCAGGCCCCGTCTCCAGCCCTGCCTCACAGCGCTGTCGCAGCTGGCGCACCTTGCCTAGACCGCGATTGAATCCCTTGTCGGCCGTCCACGGGCCTCTGCTGCGGCGAGCCGATCCTCCTCGGCCACGGCCGCGTCCGGCGGGGGGATGCCATTCGACCCATTCGTCTTCTAGCGTGGTCTGGTATGTATCTTGCAACTGACCGCGAAGCTGCGGGCATCGCTGCACCAGGTCTTTCAGCTCGGGTGATGCCGCGATGGTGGCGGGTGTGGCTGTGCGCTTTTTCTGGTCGGGAGGAGTGTCGCCATTGGCATCGCTAGGTAGCGATATAATTGGTGGGGGTTCCTCGTGCGACGGGCTCGTCTGGGGCGCACAGTATATCTTATGGGACTGGGTGCAGGCCAGCGAACAACTGCCTCAGTGAGTTAGTAAGCTGGTTTGGCGATGTGAATAAGAACCAAATTACCTCATGAGCCCGCAGGTGGGACAGCGATACTTGGCTGCTTCTGACGAACAGACCTCACAGGTCCCCATCGTGTGGTGTGTGGGTTTAGAGGGAGCGAGGATAGGATGGTGGCACAAGAAAAAGTGTCGATGCCTGAGGCTGGAACAGCTGCACTTGCCTGTTGCGGTGCATCACGTGACCATGCGACCGACCCATTCACGTTGGAGGTAGGGGGATTGCGGGTTTCGAATGGACATGATGGGCCTTGGTACTAATCTGCCACTGGCCGGAATTCATCCGTCAATCTCCCGTCATAGTTAGCAAGAAGGTCGATTGGCTGATTTATCAGCTCTAGGTCAGGTGACCCTCTAGATTGCGTCAGAGTCCGTTTTTCTCCGCGGAGGATGATTGTTTCCAACCTTGCCATCTCTCGCAATCAAAATGTCCCTGGGCACTGCATCAACTGCCATGCTGCGCCGCACACTTCTCAGTGCGCGCCGAGCCACATCCACTACGGAGTCCTGCACCCGCACTATCAAGCCTGTAGTATTCAGCGCGGTCCGCCGCATCTCCAGCAACACCCGACTTCCAACCCTAACAGCCTCGGAGACTCGTCGACGCCCGACCGTCCGCCTACACCAGCCGCGGGCTTCACAAACGCCCCTGTATCCGAGCAGCAAACGGACGATCTTCATCCAGACCGAAAATACCCCCAACCCAGATGTACGTCTGATTGACCTCTCTGGACCTACCATTCGCCACCGAAAGGAAGAATTACGCTGATTGACAACCCATTCTGCAGGCTCTCAAATTTATCCCCAACCACCGCGTCCTGCCCGAAGACTTCCCCACCACCTTCCTGGAGTATCTCTCTCCGCGCGCGACGCTCGCTCCGCCGCACCCATCCCCGCTGGCCGCGAAGCTCCTCGACGTCGAGGGCGTCACGTCCGTCTTCTACGGCGCGGACTTCATCACCGTCAGCAAGGCCAGCGATGCGCAGTGGGCGCATATTAAACCCGAGGTATTCAGCATCATCACGCAGGCCGTGACGTCGGGCGAGACGCTCGTCGCCACCGTGGAGAATGTCGGCGCCGAGAGCGCGCAGGAGGGCGGTGGGGCGGACTCGCTTGTTTACAATGAGGAGGATGATGAGGTCGTTGGCATGATTAAGGAGTTGCTGGAGACGCGGATTCGGCCGGCGATCCAGGAAGATGGCGGGGATATCGAGCTGCGCGGGTTCGAGAATGGGATTGTGTTGCTGAAGCTACGGGGCGCGTGTCGGACGTGCGACTCGAGTACGGTGACACTGAAGAATGGGATTGAGTCGATGCTGATGCATTATGTGAGTTCGTGTTTCTCTCTCGACGGCGTGGGTGCTGACTGCGGGATAGATCGAGGAGGTCCAGGGTGTTGAGCAGGTCATGGACCAAGAAGAGGAGATCAGCATGCATGAGTTTGCGCGGTTTGAGGAGAAGCTCCGCCAGCAGAAGGGGGCTGGGGCGACAGCCAGTAGCCCGCTGGATAGTGCACCGCAGTAGTTAGGGTCTATTACAATCCCATCCTCTACATCCCTTTCGATCCCCGTGTAGTCCCAACTCCCTCCTCCCCGTAGGACACCCCCTCCACCTACGTCAGCACTCTGGCCAGCACCAACAACAGGATCGATTGGCCGAGCCGCGCGGGGGGAGACGACTCGACGTGCCCCGGAGGCTCGGGGGGTGGCATGATTCGCCTGTGCGCTGTACCCGTGTGTGATCAACAAGCTCTCCCCGCAACATCAATCCGGGGTAGTCTAGAATCGTATCGTAGGCCAGTCAGCACTAACGCTTGTGACGACCTCGCTAAAGCATACCCTGTCCCACCTGAGCTTCGGGGCAACGTTGCCAGATCCGTTCTCGCTGTCCATCACCCCCGCCCTTTCTTTCGTTCTGACTTTCTGACTTTCCTTCTCCCTCTCTTCATCCTCCCCGATCTCTTCTTTCCCTCTCCGTCCCATCTCATCTGCTACCCCGCCTCCTGTTCTCTCATCGTCAACAATGCGCCCTTAACGGGTCGTCGGTCCCGACTCCACAACGTCATCCATAGTCACGCCACCACTACTGCAACGTCGCGCGCATTCCTGCACGCGAGCACCAAGAACCCAAAAAGAACTTCTGCCGACCGACGGCGATTCCTCTCTCGACCACGAGCAGGTGTTTCGCGACAACACCAACGCGACACTCCCCTTCGTCGGAACTGGTCTGCTCAAACCTCTCCCTGCTACCAGAGAGGAGACCGACCAGAAGAAGCTTGGCCGCTTCAGTCAACCCAACCCCAAAAAAAATTCCAGACTTCTTTTTTTTTATGAGACCCACGAAGAAACATATTTGGTTTCCCAATAGATCTGGCCCGATAAAAGAAAAAGAGAAATACCCTTTAGAGTGGTGAGTGGACGCATGGTTCCCCTCTCTCTCCTCCCCCCCGGCAATACGGGAAATGCGACGGTCGCTGACTGGACCACCATCCATCTCCCACGCACACAGACACGATTACGATCCCATCGCTATTTGTCGCATTCCGTTACTCTCTTCCTTCTGGTGATCTTCACTCGAACACACTATCACAATCACCTCGGTGGCGATAGTCGCGTGGCGGACACCCTGCCGAAATCCATCCGGTACGTGTGCAGACTGCTGGGCTGCGCGCTGAGGTCCCATGCTGCCATCCTTTTTGATCTTCCCACTCTCGTTCGCCTTCCTGGCGTGGTATCCCTCCCTATGGTATCCCCGAATCCTTAGAGCTCTTATCAGCTGGCTGGAGCTTGCGATATATGGTCTCCCCACTTTCGCCACTGGCAGAGCTCGGCCATCTCCACATGTTGCATGCTCCTCTTTGGTGTCGGTCTGACAGCAAGAAACCATCCGATCGTTGTGACTGACTGTTTCTTTAGTGGATCATAGTGCGAACGACCTCCCTCCCTCCATCAGGTCTTTGAAAGACTGAGCTGGTTTCTCGGTCTCTTTCTCTATCGCGTGAACACCGAAGACCGGAGCTTTGTCGCGTGTCCACGTTCTTTTCTTTCAGACTCCGTTGTATCGACCCTTGTCCTACGGAGGTCTCGGAGGTGAGCCTATCCCGGCCTTGAATCATTTGCAAAGTTTCCTAACTACGACCAGTTCCACCATGGCCGCACCATCGAATAAGCTGGCCTCGATCCAGTCAAACACGCCACCCGCGCCGGGTGCGACAGCTGTCAGGCTGGAGAAGAGTCACCCGGGTGTGCGCCGCTCGACCCCAGACTCGGAAGCGCTGGCCTCCTCTGATGATGACGGGGACCATATCGCTCCCACCCAAACCACCGCCCCTCAGACCAAACCTGTGCGGCGCCCCTCCTGGTTAAATGAGGTGCCACTGGGCGCTCAGCGAAAGTCATCTCTCCCTGGAGGCCCGCTTGCTGCAGGTCCGTCCAACCCCGCCAGCCCTTCTGGCGACCAAGCGCCGTGGGCGACAAACCCGAGTCCCGGACTGAGCGGCGGCTCCTTTAACTGGAATCAAGCGGGCAGCAGTTCATTCCCCTGGGGGACGGGTATCTGGAACACTGAATCCCGCAAGGAACCACCGTCTCGGCTGTCAGAAATTGTGCCGTCGCCAACTATGACCAATCCTCCGCCCTCGAGCGGGAACCTAGCCGACGACATGTTGAGTCCAGTGACGCGCACTATCTCCGGTGAATCGGCAATCCCATTCTCGATTCCGCTTCATCCGACCCCCAAGACCTATCGCTCCCAATCCTATTCTGTCGGTCAGATGGATCCAGAGTTGCTGGGTTTAATGGCCAGCACGGCAGGGACTGGTGCTCCGTATGCAGGTGGTCGCTCTCGTGGACCAGGTCAAATGTCTGCTGTTCAGCCTCGCTCCGCACGACCCAGTGTTCTCGGTGAACTAGGCCATGACCCAGCGACGCTCGGCCAGCTACGAGAAGACGAAGATGGCGATGATGATGACAACGGCGCGGACGATGGCAATTACTCCGCAAGCCAGGCCCGCACAATTGAACAGCTTGCGCGCGAGAATGCCATGTTACGACAAGCTGCAGCAGGTCAAATGGACAGCCGATTCCGGGACCGGGCTTCTTCGTCTGCTTCCGTGGCCGGTGCCGCGCATGCCTTGCATCGTATCCATGGTAGTGTTCCAGAGGAATCGGATCTGGCCGTTGAAGACATAGGAGAGCTGCGCGATATTCAAGGGTATAGCAATATGCGCAGTAACACGCGGAGACGGTTCTCTGAGCATTCAGCAAATCTGGAGCCGCAGTTTTCGTCGTTCGCTTCTCCCCTGGACAATCGTGCGCTGGACAATGTTCGCAAGGCTCATTGGCAGACGTCGCTGGGGTTTGGGAGTCTTGTCGATGTGCCTCAGAGCCGTCGCCACTCGTTTGCTGATATCCCGGTCCGGCACACATCGGCCGGGTCGGTCGATGCCCATGCCGCGGGTCCTCGACCGGGCATGGGAGATCGCGAGGAGAACTATGATTACTCTAACTCGCCCATGCAGCCACGTAAGTCTTCACGTCCATCTGTGCTTTCAGGTATGATGCTTACTTTGTTAGCATCCTTCTACCCCCGTGAACAAACCTTACGCGGTGATGGTTCATCAGGCATACCGACTTCCCTTAATCAGTATGGCCTGTCAGGTGCCTATGGCCGTCAGCCAGGCTTGTCGCACGCCCACCAGAACCAACTTCTGTACATCGTAACATTCAAGTGCCACCGTGCGGATGTGTTCTACATCCAAGAAGACACAGGTCTCCAGGTCAAAGCCGGCGATCTGGTTATTGTTGAGGCCGATCGAGGTACAGACTTGGGCACTGTTCAGCATGCCAACGTCTCTCTTCAGAAAGCGCGGGAGCTCAAACAGCAATATGCCGAGGAGCATTACAAGTGGCTCATGATGTTTTCTCGACAGGGCCAGCTCGAAGCGTCGAGCGTGGCAAGTCCCACTGGAGGGATATCAGGTCTGGGTCGAAGTGCAACGGGAGGCATGGGCCCCCATGGTCCGCACGGTGTGCAGGAGCCTACTACCGACATCAAGCCCAAGCTTATCAAACGCCTGGCGCAGAATCACGAAATTCTGACTCTGCGAGACAAGGAAGGAAACGAGGCGAAAGCCAAACGGGTCTGCCAGCAGAAGGTTGCCGAGCATCGACTCAACATGGAAATCCTCGATGCTGAGTTCCAGATGTAAGTTTCTTTTGTTATCTTCTCTCTTCTGAACATCCAGCTAATTGGTTCTCTGTAGGGACTGGAAGAAACTCACCTTTTACTACTTCGCGGACTCATACATCAACTTCAACTCGCTCGTCACTGACCTCTTCAAGATCTACAAAACCCGCATCTGGATGTCAGCCATCAATCCAGCCTCCTTCGTCACCCCACCCAGCGCGGGCCTTCAAGGCCCACCGAGCGGGATCAGCAACCCACTCTACGGCCAAGACGGCCCGCACACCGACCGCCGACACCAGCACGACGGCAGAGCTTATGCTGGCGCGCGCGCCGACGTGGATCCAGGCCGCGAGGGAATCCCCAATCCTATGCTGCTGCGCACGAATTACCCCGAGTCGTACCAGCCATTCGCGCAGCCTTCCCACCAAGCAGAGGGTCAGTCCGACCCGTTTTCCACCTACTCGCCTACCAGTTTCGGTCCCCTCGACACAGCAGGGTACGCCGACTTCTCTCCCAGTGGCGCTGGCTCAAACGGTGCCTCGCGCATGCATCCCGCCCAAGGCGAATGGGTCAATCGTTTCCAAGGCCTATCACTCAATTCCTGAGTGGTCATATTTCGATCGATTCTTGTTTCCATTTACTTATTTTACTCATTTGCTGACTGGCTACTAAACATTTGTACAATCTGCTTGAAGTCTGTTGTTTTTGTTTTTGTGTCTTGTCTTATTCTGTCTTGAATTGTTTGTGCTTTTTGTTGCTATTTGTTCCCTGGCGAAAGAAAGATTCACACACGCGTTCCTAGACTTGTTACGGTTCGATCCATACGCTCTGACAGAAGTTTTTATTTTTGTTTTCAAGCTCATCTGATTTGACCTGATTTGAGCTATTTTGCCTTTTGCCCCCCAAGAAATGGATGATGGGATGGGATATGGGTGCCACTCTCTATCTAATTTCCGCAAGAACTGCAAGATTTGCAAGAATGTTTCTATTTGTTCTGTTCGTGGGCCCGTGGTCTACTTTTGTCTTTTATCTTTTCCTTTCTGTTTCTTGTCAACCTCCCCGTGTACGAACGACTTCTTCAAAGATTAGAATTCATACCCCTGGGGTGCACACGGGACGGAGAGACCCGCAGTCGTTACCACCGCTTTCTTCCTTTTGAACTTTTTTCTGCTTCTTAATAGATTGATACTAAAACGAATAAGAAGAAGAAAACATTTGTGTTCTAGTGTCTAATGAGTTGAGATCTCTGTTGAAATGGAAACTAGACACGATGTTATGGTGAGAGATGCTCTTGATGTCGTCTGTCTACTGCATCTGTAACTATGGTCTCTCTCTCTAAGTTTCCAGTGGAATAAAAGTGAGAATATCCCGTCAGGATACTTTGTGATTGGACTTAATGGTCCTGAAATCCAAAGGTCAAAAGAAGTAGATATACTACATAATGCATATGCCGAACTTCACAGCCAGCTGGGTAGTTGGTATGTGTGTGAGATCTAGCAGTTGCGCCGGCCGGGTACTAATCTCTCAGTATCTTCCAAGTTGTTCCCCTGATGGAGATGGACTGGTGATCTTTTGTTCTTCAGTCGTAATGTCTCTTGGCGAGCAGGATCTGCAGCGCACAAAGAGGCGGGTGCCACACTCGCTTCTTTAAGTAGATATTTTGGGTTGCTAGTGAGGAATCGAGATCCTTGAGATGTTCCGCTGAGCTGTTGGTAGCTCATCATCTATCATGAAATACATCCAGCCATTCAGGAATGTACTCATCTCTGGCCTGCAGTTTTATATAGGCCTATCCTAATTAGCATTTCTTCCTACCAAGCCCCAGGGAGAAGAAGCAGAAGAAGAAAACAGAAACACACCTCAGGCAAATTTATCATGCTTCCCCTTAACCCTAACATCCAACACCTCCTCATGAAAATTGCCCTCCTTCCTCGCCCTCCTCAACCGTTTCACATCCCCGTCATCAAGTTTCCTCCCCACAATCCCCTCCAACTCCTTACGACTAATCTTTTCATAAGCCTTGGACTCCTTCGACGCGCGGAGCTTCGGCTTAAACCGTGCCTGCATCCGAATGCGCACCGTCGTGTCGAACGAGAGCGCGCTCGCATCCCCGCGGATCTCGACGCCTTTCGCGGACTCTTTCACGCTGAGAAATGTCTCCGAGTCGCCGCCGCGTGTTTGCACTGAGAATGTCCCTGGCAGGTCGGGTGATGGGATCGCGAGGAAGGACTCGTAGTGCGATACTGCTGATGCGGTGGCGCTTAGGATGCCGTAGTTGTCGCTGGTGAGGTACCTGCCAGCCACGCTACTCGTCAGTGAATGGTATGGTGTGGTACCCCTGCAATAGAGTGGGAAAGGAGGAAACGCACTTTCCATGATGCCCCTTGAAACTTAAACTCTCCGTTCCCGCCACGCGCGTCGCAACCCACACCTGCCGCACATCATGCGGCTCCGCCGTGCCGGGGTCATCCGCAATGAGATTCTCCAACGCGCTCGCAAAAACGGTCCCGTTCGCGTCGCTGGCGATGCAGGTTGGTTTGTCTGATGCGAGAACTAGCACTATCGGGCCGGCGATATCGCTCGGTGTGTCGGCGGAGACCCAGCTCTGGTCTTCGGGCGGGTTGTCGTCGTCCTCGGTGGTGGTCTTAGCGGGTGCGGAGGAGGGGGAATCGTCGGTTTTGAGAGTTTTGGAGGATGATTTATCCGGGTCGGAGAGGTCGCGGTGTTTGCGCTTTTTGGGCTTGTCGCCTTTGAAGGTTAGGGGTTTGACCATTTTCTGGGGGTGGTGATGTGCTGTGGCTAGTGGGAGGTGAAGGATGGAGTTGGAAGGGGAAGGGGAAGTGGAGATATCGAACGACTAGTTAAGCAGTCGCAATGATTTAATAATTAATTCGTTCCGAACATTGTTATTAGATGATTAGTAGTGCTAGGTCAACTCGAGCATATTTCAAGAATAATTCTAGTTACTAAGGTCAACAGCCCACCTACCTACCTTGGTGGTTGCCCCGAAGGTCCTCATTCATACCCATAAATATAAAAGTGCATGTTCAAGGAAGTCAATTTTTCTATTAATCAAAATCCTGTGTCCAAATATCCAATATGCACTCGCTCATCTCATAATTCATCATGTTTAACCGGCTTAGTCGAAGGTGATGGCAGCCTTAATGGCGCTCTTGTTACGCATTGACTCCAGGCACTCGGCCCACTGGTCAATCTTGAACACCTTGTTGACAATACCGTTGACCTTGACCTTTCCGGAGTCCAGGTAGTCAATGGCAGCAGGGAACTTGTACGTCTCGGAGAAGCTGCCGATAATGGTGATCTCGTCACCAACTGCGCAATAATCAGCAATTGAACCACACCTTCAAAAAAACAAAAAACTTACAGATCTTGGACGGAGGCCACGAGACGCGGTCCTTGCTCGAGTACACGCCGTACACGACCAGCTTGCCGCCACGACGAACATAGTTGATCGAGTCCTCCAGGATTTTGACGTTACCGGTAGCCTCGACGACAATATCGAAGCCGTACGGGTTCTCGGCCTTGAGCTTGTCGAACTGCGCCTGGGGATCTTGGCGCGACAGCTCAACATACACATCGCCAGCACCAAGGTCCTTTGCAAGTTCCATCTTCAGACCCTGCGGCGCAGCCACAACGACATGGCAGCCACCACACTGACGGAGCATCTGCGCGAGAACCAAACCGGTAGGTCCAGCACCGAAGATGAGCACGGACGAGCCCATCTTTGGCGCGATCTTATCGAGACCGTGCGCTGCGCATGAGGCCGGCTCCAGCAGCGTCGCGTCCACATCGGACAGGTTCTTAATCTTGAACACCCGGCCGGCGGGGTACGCGCAGTATTCGGCAAAACCGCCGTTCATCGTCACGCCGTGGGCCTGGAAGTTCTCGCAGAATAGCTCGTCGCCGCGGCGGCAGTAAAAGCAGGTGCCGCAAAGCTCAGAGTTGTCGGCGACTACACGCTCGCCAACTTCGAAGCCCTTCACCTTGGGGCCCACGGCTGCGACCACGCCAACAGTCTCATGACCAGGGATCAGGGGGAACTTGTGGAATTGTGAGCTGTCTGTCACAGCAATAGGACTGGAGACATACCTGGGCGATGAATTCACCCTCGTGAATGTGTAGGTCAGTGCCGCAGACACCGCAGGCCTTGACCTTGATCTATAATGTCACCACAGTCAGCTACCAGCTTCCACACGGTGTACAACGGTCTTACCAAAATATCGTTCTCGCGCAGCTCAGGTACAGGAACCTCGACGAGGCCATAGTGCTCTGGCTTCGAGTATCTATAGTAGGTGGTCAGCATACCTGCAACATAAGGCAAGCCACATAAGGTAGGGACTAACTGAAGAGCGCGCATAGTCTTGGGAATAGCCATGATGGAAGATTGGGTCTAATTCAACCGGATGCAGAGGAAGAAGAATACAGGGTTCAAGAGGGAAAGAGGGGCATTATATACCCGCGGCCAAGGAGGGGCCATTGCAACGCCATCATCTACTTGACTATTCCCTCTTACATGGTTACCTCTCGTCATGAAATCACAGCCTCAAGTGGACCTGGATCGACATCCACGGGATTCTGCTCCTTTCGACTCCACTATTGTCTCTCCAAACATCGGCCATTGTTGCTCGTGGCCGCTATTTGCGCATTGGTCCGATAGCGGGCAGGCTGCCCGCTCTTCTGGAGAATTGATAATAGTAATCAACCAAAGTAGAACAGTTATTTCATCCAGATCCCAGTCGGATTCAATTCGTTGATCCGATAGGAGAAACGTTGTTGTTGTTTATGACTTCATTTGCGCCTTCCGACGGCCCCGCCCTAAAACAGGGCAATGCTGGACCACATCTCAGTATGAACCACCAATTCCACTTGTAATTATTGCCTGCATCCCTTCCTAGTTTCTCGGCAGAAAACTCTTCACACCACCTGACGTCCCCCAAAACAAATGCAGGAAACTCGTGTTGCTCCTAACCTAGATCTAAACTGACTGACTTGTCCATCTCATCTCATCTCACCGCCAGCTCCACCAGGGTGGGGGGGGGGGGGGGGAAGCAAATGACAGCCATGGCGGCGCTTGGAACTTATTACGCGGACCAGCTCTGGCCATGGCTTATTCTTGCCAATTCGACTACCTAGGCGAGTGGACGCGATCTGGACTCCTTGACCGCTGCGGAGGGGCGGCCGATTTGGGACGCCAGCTCCAGGAGGTACTTACGAGGGATTCCATGTTTGTTCCCCAAAATCAATGGGCACGCTGGGGGACGGGCGGTTGTGACTCGTAGCTGTTGAATGGGTCAGACCGGACTGGAATTGGTGGGGGGTCTACTGAGTTTGAATTGGCAGCGTCGGGATTAAGCCTCTGCTAGTCGATCTTTGGGATTCGTCTATTAACCTAGAATTGTTAGAGTAAAAGTTCGATATCTCTAAGCTTGGGCTGTATAGTTGATGAAATTCGCATTCCACAGACTGGCCCGACATAACCCATTAATGTAGTGGCACCCTCCACCTCTTGTTTCCACAACAGGCCAGAAATATTCTACATTTCGATCTATGTCCCCAAAGATAAAATGGTTGCTTTACTCCAAGTATGCTTCTCAGTCAGAAAGGGTGAAAGGGTCCAATATAGTCCAAGGGATTGTATAGTTCTGTTCTGTGTTTATAATCTAGATCCAGAGTAAGCGGACCGGGTAGACTACTGGGCCACAGTCCACTCCGCTCAGTCCACGGAAATTCCGCGGAGTCAACCGTGCCCCTGATTATAGTCTGTGTCTTGGGAGCCGTTCAAAGTCTCGTCTCTGGGAGTGGACCATAAGCAGACCAACGTAATCTGAGGTAAGATTTAAAGAACAACCACCCCCTTCGCTTCCTTGTTTTCTTTTCTCTGCTTCTATCCCAGAACCTCGATCCATCCAGCTCCCCAAAATGAGCTCATTCCTCGCACAACTCGGCCTCCGCGCCGCACCCGCCACAGCCTCAATCTCAAACTACGGCCCCGCCTTCCTGGGATTTAACTTCGTCTTCGCCTACGGCGTCCTCGCCAGCCGCACGCTAAAACAAATCTACGGAATCGACCATCAGGAATCACCGCGCGAAGACCTGTCTAAATATGGCGAAGCTGCCGTGCGCGAGGGCAAGATCACTCGCGCGCAGCTAGACATGCTGAAGCGCAACGAGGCGGCGCATGCGAACGCTGTGGAGAATTTCACGCTGCTGGTTGCCAGTGTCCTTTTTGCATCACATGCTGGTGTCCCAGCGCAGACTATTAATGCTGCTGCGGCCTCGTACACCCTTGCACGCATCGTTTATGGAGCGGTTTATATTCTTATTGGGCATCCGCGATGGAGTCAGGTTCGGGGACTTGTGTGGTGGTGGGGGAATCTGAGCTGCTTGTTTTTGTTGTGGAGGGCTGGGGGATTGCTTGCTGCTTAGGTGGGACGAGGTCGAATTTGTAACAATAGTAATGGTACATTATCTTCGCCGCTCAGTCAGGTTTATAGAAATACATGGCCAGAAATATAACCCACGATAGGTTCTCATTATGAGGGTAACAAGCCTCATCTCCATTCCTATGTATTTATAGAAACACTAGCAGAGCCACCTCGTAAAGAAAATAAAAATGGTATCCATGGACGCCGAGCCAGCCCATTCGTGTCATATCATAAAAGTGTCTTCTGCCAGGGTATTCAAGACCAGCAGGGCTGGAGAAGTTATTCTTCATCCCAGGCTTCCAATTCCGCCTTTTCATATTCATTCATAGTCGCAGTGTCGAAAATCGTCTCCCCAGCAGTGGGGATGGTGGTTTTGATGTCTTCAAAGATAGGTCGGAAAGCATCACCCCAGCGCTTGCGGCGATCCATCACGATCTTCGCGGCATCTCCGACGGCGGGGCGAGAAATTCCGGCGCCGGCAATATGGCTACCTCCACCAGCACCACCCGGCCGGTGCTTTGCCTGGGAACCCTTCTTGCTCTTGCCCATAGTGCGGGTACGTTTGAGATAGGCCTGTTGGACTTGAGAGTCAAGGTCGTCCTGGATAGTAGTGAATTCCAGAAGCGCCATGTGCTCCTGCGCGATCTTCAGGATGCGGGCCTTGCGCGCGTTGTTGGTAATGATCTGCTTCTTGAGCTCATTCTGAAGCAGACGGAGGCGCTCGGCAACTTCATCGTCGTAATGTGCGTCATAGTCCGGGTTGTCATCCGCACCCAAGAACCCAATGTATCGTAGCTCGGCTTTTGCGCGTTCGTCTAGTTGGGCGTGGTCGAGCTTGGCCACGGATGTTTTGAACCCGTTTGGGTCGGCGTCCCGGAAGGCTGTTGCCGGAGGGAGCGGCTTGCTCTCAGTCTTGGTCTCTAACTCTCCGTTCGTCCCATCAATGTCCATCGCATCACCTCCCAGGCCGCCTGCTCCGGAGGTGTCGCCATTAGAGGTAGGGTTGTCATCCGGGAGAGTGCGATGCTCGTACCGGAGAAGGGAGCATAGTCGACTGAGCAGTGGTCCGATCGAGACTTCGTTGGTTTCCAGCTTATCATCCGTCAGTTGCTCAATGCTGCCACGTCCTTGGTTTAGAGGTAGTTGGTCCTTGTCGTCTTGGCTTTGATCGTAAGAAAGTCCGTCTTCCTCGGACCAGAGCTGACGGTAGTTCTTCTTTCCCCGACGCGGATTGATAAAAGGGGTCACGCGATCGCCCTGTGTTTAATTAGTATCCTGTGCTGCCCCGATGTGAGCGGCGCAACTTACCCTATCTCTGAGCCAAGCAATGTCTTCTTCGGTAAGAGGCCGAACGAAAGGATCAATGTATGCTTGGAACGTATTGGCGCTGACCTGGTTGGAAGGCTTGGCGTTGCTAAAGTCCTTGTCCGGAGGCGTACCCGCCATCAAGTCCTTGAGATCAGTTTTAGGGAAGCGAGCGACACTGTAAATCTCCTTTTTCTCGTCGTCGGTCATATCTGCCAGGACTTCACGGATATGGTAAACAGTGGGATCATCGAACTTGAGTGGATTTGCTCCAAAGACCTGCACCTGGGATACTGCCGGTGCGGGTTCGGGCTGGTGGGATTCAGCGCCGGACTCGGAACCGGGAGAGCCAGGTCCGGTAGCACCTTCATCTTTCATAGTTGCGCCGTTCGGGGACATCGATGGTGGTGAAAGAGACGAACTGCCTTCAGAGGCGGCGTTCTTGGCATGTTTCGAGACTGGGGAAGCAGCTGCAAGTTGTCAGATATTTTGAGGTCCGAGAACAGTTCAGATATCGACGCATCACTCACCTCCCTCGACCTTCGTCTCTGCTCCATCCTGCCGAGCGACATCATGTGCACCGTGGCTCAATGGGCGCTCCTCTTTTGCGCTGGCGCGCTCCTTGCGCTTCTTCAACTTCCCTCCCTTGGGCACATCGTCGTCATCCTCCGTCTCGCGCTTTAGCTTCGAGCGTTCTCCTACCTCCCGTTCAAGCTCTTGGTCATCGACCACCTCTTTCCGTTTTTGGGACATCTCACGCATTCCAGCATTGAATGTCTCGCCACGCACATCTGCCATATCACTAAGGGATTTGAGGTGTTCCACCAGCCTTTCGAGGGTCTTAGAGTCGGGAATATTCGGTCCGGCCACCAAGTCGAGCAGGTCCGTATACTCGGTATTAGCTACATCAATCTGCTTCGTCACATCATTGTCGAGGTAGCTGGGAATTGATGACGCTGCGGCCGTGGGTGCACCCGCGGTGGATGGAGTGGTGTTGCGGCTTCGCGACTGGCGCGCGTCGCGGCCTTTGCCCTTGCTCTTGTATGCGGAAGGCATGACTGGAGGCAAGCAAAAGCTGTTGTGAGATAGTCGGGAGAAAGTAGTTAAGAGGGTTATCAATGGGGGCGAACTGAGAGGGTCGTTCTTATGAGGCACGGCTTGGAGTCCGGTAGGACATGTCTTCGGTCGGTCACTGGGTCAGGAATCGATCAAACGAATGGTTGTCCGCGGTATCGCTGCACAGCCACACATACGCGTTTTTGATAGCCAGTGATGAATGTCGACAGACACGACGAAGTTGGGCGATGTCCAGACTCCCGTGACTCCCAGGCAAAGTCACGTGTTGTCGATCACATGATGATAAGCCGATAAGTAATTGACTGATCACGTGATCGAACGTGCTCAGCTCTGTTGAGTGGTTTTTTAATTCTTTGTTGGTTTACAATAAAATGGTTTTCATTTCGTAGACTTTGGGAACGCATCTAGTTGATTTAACATCTCTAGGGTGGTGAGTGAAGAGGCCTGTGCAAGCTAATATATATTTCGGAACTGTTGAGTATTGCGCCCTTCTAAAACCATGGCAGCGATTGGATGAGGTACAACATCGAAGAAACGAGCTATTGTTCATAAATGAAGCCGAATAATTCCTATATACTACATAAATAATGTCCAAAACATCTATTGTTGTGCGAGTGTGCGGGAAATAAAGACCCCCCGGAAGCGTTGTCCTTCCGCAAACGGCAATCCAAATCCGGCAACCACTTGAGATGAACAGAGCACCCATCCACCCCTTGGCACGATTGCGGATATGTTTTGGTGTTTGTCTATACTAATAATCAATACCAATTATGGGCCACAGACGCCTCGTGGTCGGAACCAGACATATGGGCATTCCTACGACGGACCCGATCAGGCATGGCATTCTTTTGGCCACTCACGATAGCCGAAGTGGCTGCAATAGCTATGGTTAGCCTTTTTTGGCTGGGATCAAATTCCTTGATATCTCCCAGGCTGGCCTCTAAAACTGATGCTTTCTCATAATTTCCTTCTGCTCTTCCTACTCAGCTACTGCAACTCCACCATGTGCATGCACCCACAATTGGTCAAGCTGATCCTGTGGAGTTTATGCTTCAGCTTGCATGGTGCTCAGTAATAGAGCGTTGTTGCCATTATGTCTCGCACTTACTCGTCCGACTCGTCGCAGTCCACGGTGGCCACACTTTTTGCGGGCCCCGGGAGGGCATCCAATGACACGCCGTCGGTAAATGTAAGGATATAATGATCCTCCTTTCACTTTCGGATGCGAGAAGCTAACTTGAAACCTCCAGGATAACGTTGGATTTCGCTTTGTTCTCGACAACACAGTCCAGACACTCTCAAGCTATAATGCGCCGAAATCCGGTGCCATCTCGGGCCTCTTATTCGTCCCCAGTCTCGAGCCGAGCGACCCATGTAATGCAATCACCTTGCCATGGGTGCCACCAAATGTGACTCGCCATGAAGATGTCTGGCAGTTTGGATATCCCATTCTCGGCCTTGCCCCATGGGTGAATGATGAGTGCACAAAATCCTTCTTGGCTGCCTCGGAGAAAGTTGGAATACAAGCCCTCATCTTTTTCCAGCCCACCAGCAACGAGACGGGAATACCACCACCACCCAACGACGATCTGTGGAATTTGAATGATCGGGATGCGTGGAAATCCAACAATCACTACCCTGTCTATGCGATCCCTGGTCCGGCAGGTGAAACGCTGATGCGTGAGCTTTCTTGGTTTTCAGATGGTGGGAACAAGAACAATGTCAGCAACAGTAGCCATCCATTCATGGATCATCGTGCAGAGGATAGTAGGCTCTTTGCCATGATTGACATTAGTAAGTGAATGCACAAGATGTATTGTAGCTAGATTGAATTGCTAACCTCGTTCACAGATGACCCAGCAAGCCAGATGCCGAGTCTCTGGGGGTTCATCCTGGCTATTTTGGGAACTATCCTCGTGCTTACTCTGATCATCCTGGTTCTCTATCGTGTTTTACAGCGACGGCGGCGGAATATGCTCCGCAGACGTATCGATGCGGGCGAAGTTGACATCGAGTATCTGGCCTTGAATCAGATCAAGGTTCCTCGCAATGTCGTGGAAGAACTGCCCCTTTACACATATCCCAGTATCGAATCACCTCCCGCAGCGACACTGGCCAAGGACAATACGCACTCTGGTGTGGCTGAGGTCAACGGTGACATCGATTCCGCCACGTCCGCCGTTGAGAACGTGGATGAAGCTGGTCTAAAGAAGCTCGAGCCTGCGGCGATCACCTCAGCCGCACAGACTGTTTCTGAAGACCCGAAAGCCCATTATCGACTGAGCCACACGCAAACAACCTGCGCGATTTGTCTTGATGATTTTGTGGCTGGCGAATCCACGGTCCGGGAACTACCTTGTGGCCACATTTTTGACCCAAGCTGCATTGACCCGTTTCTCATGGAGAACAGCAGCCTGTGTCCACTGTGTAAGAAGAGCGTTTTGCCATCGGGCTTGTGTGAGGTGCAAGTGACGAACGCGATGGTGGAACGGGACGATATGATGAGACGCTTTCGAGAGAGGCCCGCACGGGGGTTGCGCCGGTCGACCAGACCAGATGGCGAGACGGCAGAGACTGTACAGAGTGAATAGTTCTGGAGTTGGTTTAAATGTTGAATTAAGTTGATTAACTAGTTAGTTAACTTAGATGGGATTGATTAGTCATGTCACAAATCCGTTCATGCCTGAGGCAGTGTAAGGCAGAAAGCGACTCCGCCCTCGCCTAATCCCACACACAATCCATCCTCTTTGCTTCCGTCCGTTGAACTTTTCCGCCGACCGACAACGAACGACACCACCACACAACATCTAAACCGACAAGGTATGCATTACAACAATTGAAACTGCGACAGTCCCCTGACCTGAATTTCGATTTCTGACTGCCTGTGTGTTCTCCAGATGGGTGCCCTCAAGTACGTGGAAGAGATCCAGAAGAAGAAGCAGTCCGACGTGATTCGCTTCCTGCTGCGCGTCCGATGCTGGGAGGTGAGATAGATCCCTACGAACCCCTTTGATCCGCTTAACATATCCGCCGGACGTTCGTGTGCGTTGCTATCGGAAATACCTTCTTGGTGGTATTGCGAGGCTCGAACAAAAATCGATTGGCCCGGCGGAAATGCTTTTTGTGGCACGCAAGAGACCTCCCACCATGGAGTCCTGTGTCTTGCTATACACTCGTTGAACTTTGCTGAGAGTGCATCAATATAGCTCCGTCAGCTGAACGCCATCCACCGTGCTTCGCGTCCCTCTCGCCCCGACAAGGCCCGCCGCCTCGGCTACAAGGCCAAGCAGGGCTACGTTATCTACCGCATCCGTGTCCGCCGCGGTGGTCGCAAGCGCCCTGTTCCCAAGGGTGCCACCTACGGCAAGCCCACCAACCACGGTGTCAACCAGCTCAAGTACCAGCGTGCCCTTAAGGCCACCGCTGAGGAGCGTGTTGGCCGCCGCTGCGCCAACCTGCGTGTCCTGAACTCCTACTGGATCAACCAGGACTCGACCTACAAGTACTTCGAGGTCATCTGCGTCGACCCCCAGCACAAGGCTATCCGCCGCGATGCTCGCATCAACTGGATCTGCAAGCCTGTCCACAAGGTGAGACTTGTTTTGCCCCCTTCTGGGTTCTACGATTATACTAACGTACTGTGTTTTAGCACCGCGAGAGCCGTGGTCTCACTGCCACCGGCAAGAAGTCCCGTGGCATGAACAAGGGCCACCGCTACAACAACACCAAGGCCGGTCGCCGTCACACCTGGAAGATCCACAACACCCAGAGCGTGTGGCGTTACCGTTAAGTGCTGCAAGGCACTGGGTTGGTGGAGGTTGGAGGATTCTGGCAGCGGCATATGGATATCTTTTCAAAAACTTGTCGCCCGTGTGTCATCTACGCTGGGGTTGAGTTTAATACAACCGACCGGTTGGATCTGCTGTTAGCCAAAAAGCTGATTTTTCATAACGAAGCATGACTGGTTCAACTTGGGTAGTTTGTCCGGGGTCCTCGGCCAGTAGAGTGTAGCACGGAACCACCGAGTAGTCTGCAGCGGTAATCTTTTATCCGAATCTAGACTGGGTCCACAGATCCTCCCAGCCTAGTCTGGCAGGTCTTCAGCCGCACTAGCTGATATATAATTTAGAGTCGCATGGTGTCCGTCCATCAGCTCATAGTTCCGCGCCCGGAGTTCGTTGCTGCCTCAGGCCACAACCAGGCACGGGTTGGCGGCTTCCCATGGTCGGGTGAGTTACCCTCCGCTTTCCCAATCCGTCGACGATAGACTGCAACTCACACTCCTTCACTCACTCACCTTGACTTCTTTGTTGCTTTTCATCCCTTCCTCCATGTACGACTGAGTCCTGCCTTGGGCCGGCATCTCGGCTCTCTTGGTGCCAAACGAGCGACTTTGAAGCCTACAACTTTCCTTCCTACTAGAACTGTTCGCCGAACCGATGCGCCTCCATGCCGTCCTCTGGACGCAACCTGCCTGTCCCTCCTCTCTCCCCTCTCAGTCCGCGACGTCCCTCTTATCCACATGATACTCTCCCGCTAGTCAGTGGCGGCGCACCCACCAGTCCACACCGTCGCGGACATTCTCGCTCCATCTCCCTCACCTCCCCATTTTCCGGCAGAAAGCAGAAAGGGGGCACCCTGGACATCTGGGATTCTGATGATTCCGACGATGACGATTTTACCCCTTTGGAGTCTGCGTCGACAAGTCCGCGGAAAGGACACCCGGCATCTCGAGGGCTTATTGGCGACGACTTGGCCACCGGCAAGTGCGCGACATGCAATGCCACGGTACGGTGGCCGCGAAATATGAACTCCTACCGATGTACGGCATGCCTGATGGTCAACGACCTGGAAACCAGCACGGATGTGAAAAGCCCAGGTGATACTGAGCTTAGGGTTCCGATTCCCTCAAATCCTACCAACACCTCACCACCATCCCGTTTGCATAGGAAAGAGGTTCCTTTGTCAATTGAACATACCCGCGTACTCATTGGGACATGCGTGTCGGCCTATTTTCGGAGTCTTTTAGATGGTGCGGACTCAACTAGGTTATCACCCGGTGATAATCGACCTGGCAGGTCGCGGGATCTAAGACTTGAGGCCTCAGCACCGAGTGCTGCGCGCAGTTCCGCCGGCAGATATCTTTCGGCTTCTCGACCAGGTGATTCTCGAAGCCGTAGTGCATCTGCATCTAGTGAACGCGAACGCTTCGACGTGACGAAAGAAAACTCGGCTTATCTCACACCGCAAGCTGCCCACCGAGATAGGAAAGTTACCGCTCGGAAGCATGTCCCACTCAGAACCCGTGCGAACTCAGACCTCCAGAGCCCGAAAGCGGAACGACATCCAGCACGACCAGCAGACCCTGATTCAAAGAGCCGCAGGCCGGCGCTGATTTTCGGTCAGCTAGAAGATTACATTATACGTTCATTCAAAAGTTGCGAATGCCTCAACAACTCTTTCACTACGAATTCTCACCGATCAACTCGTTCAGCCAGCAACTTCAACCCTCCTCTGCTAGAGCAAACGACCACCACAGAATTGCCAGCAAATACAGCAGTCTTTGAACCTGATGCCAAAACTCTTCTCTTGGGCGACTTGGCCGAGAACTCTTCTTGGTGGATGAATGAATGGGCCCAAACTGATGGTTACCGTGCCCATTCAAGGAAAACCTCACACAGCGGATCTCGCACTGTTTCATCGCGAAGCCCTCGAATCAATTGGACTGATGTCTCACAGTGGTACCAATTGGTACTCACTGCAGGAAATTCGTGGGCCGAGCAATGGGCTGCAGAAAAGCCAAACATATTGCAGTCAGACGCGGACTTGATGAAGAAAAAAGTATGGGAATCTATCGACCAGTCTGTGATGGAGAGGGAGCTTGCCGATGCTCGTATGCATCTTCAAAGGACTTTGCTGAAAGCCACCGAGAATCTTTTGAAACGACCACGGCGGCCTTTGAAGAAAATTGACGATACAAGGTTTCTGTTCATATTGTTGGCGAACCCTATTCTCTATTGGCCCCATTCCCAGCCGAGCTCACCATCTCGAGAAGGTCGACGGCCGTCGACTCATCACCAAGGCAAAACGCGACTGATGCCCCAGGACGACAATTCATCTCGAAAGTCTTCCGCCACGACTTCTGCGCGCCAAAGCAGCTCGAATCACCATTATGGAATTGTCAAGCGAATTTTGGGCCTGATGTCCAATATGTCCAATGACTGTCATCACTACTTCGTGTCTTGGTTTTCGCGTTTTTCCGCCGGACACTTTGAGCGATTGGTGGAGCTGATAGGTAGGTTCGTCACGTACCGGTTGACTCGTCAGCATGGCCGCAGACGGAGTGAGTCGGCGCAGAATGGGAATGAACTGGTCCCAAGCTTTGCCAGCGCCGCCGGCAACACGCCGGCCGAACTGCATGCCGCTATCAATCGACGGAGCCCGAATAAGAAAGCCGCTGCTAAAAAGGAAACCCCTATGGTGTACGAGGAAGACTGGCAGATCCGAGCCGCGGCCAGGATGATGTCGTTACTCTTCACGGCCAACAATGCAAATGTCCCACGCCAACCGGACGGAGTTCTAGGAGCACTAAAGACTGTGCATCGCTTTGACTCTGCCGTGAAACATTCGGGGCACCGTCAGGGCAACATGCTCCCATTAAGCTCTTTCTACAACACCCTTCTTGATTACTCGGACTTGGTTGCAGACTTTGAAATTTGGGAATCTCGAAGTGCCAAATTTTCGTTCTGCCAATATCCCTTTTTCCTCAGCATTTGGGCGAAGATCCATATCATGGAGCATGATGCGCGTCGTCAGATGGAGGGGAAAGCCCGGGAGGCATTCTTCAACAGCATTCTGAACCATAGGGCTGTGAGCCAGTATCTTGTTTTGAAAGTGCGGCGCGACTGTCTGGTTGAAGACAGCCTTCGCGGTGTGAGCGAAGTCGTTGGATCTGGACAGGAGGAAATCAAAAAGGGTCTCCGCATTGAATTTATTGGGGAGGAAGGTATTGATGCCGGCGGCCTGCGCAAAGAATGGTTTCTCTTGCTCGTTCGAGAGGTGTTTGACCCGCACCATGGTAAGTAGACGAGGCATGAGTGAGTCTGCTGGATGATAGCTAACGAGGGAACAGGACTGTTTGTTTATGACGACGATTCAAAGTATTGCTATTTCAACCCAAGTTGCTTTGAGTCGTCTGAGCAATTTTTCTTGGTCGGGGTGCTCCTCGGGCTTGCCATATACAACTCCACCATTTTGGATATTGATCTCCCACCGTTCGCTTTTAAGAAACTGTTAGCGGCGGCACCGCAGAACACTGGGCCTCAGCCTATAACGTCAGCGCGAATCAACTTCAAATGTACCCTGGATGATCTTGCCGAGTTCCGCCCCGCGCTCGCTAAAGGGTTTCGAGCGCTACTGGAGTTCGATGGTGACGTCGCCGAAACTTTCTGCTATGACTTTGTCGCTCAGGTCGATCGCTACGGTTCAATCGTCGAAGCGCCTCTCTGCGCTGGTGGCGAGAAACGACCGGTGACCAATTCCAATCGACGCGAGTTCGTCGACCTGTATGTCCATTATCTCCTGGACACGGCCGTGGCCCGACAATTCGAGCCATTCAAGCGAGGATTCTTCACTGTCTGTGGCGGCAATGCGTTGTCTCTGTTCCGCCCAGAGGAGATCGAGCTGCTAGTCCGCGGCTCGGACGAGCCACTCGATGTGCTTTCGCTCAAAGCCGTGGCCATTTACGACAATTGGAAGACCCCCAAACCCGAATCAGTCCCTGTCGTTCAATGGTTCTGGAACTTCTTTGAGACTGCCGCGCCACAGGAGCAGCGCAAGATCCTGTCGTTCATCACGGGCAGCGATCGCATCCCCGCAATGGGGGCAACCAGCTTGACGATAAAGCTTGCTTGTCTGGGAGATGATTGCTCGCGATACCCCATCGCGCGGACATGCTTCAACACACTGGCCTTGTACCGGTATGCCACGCGGGAGAAATTGCAGCGTCTGCTCTGGGATGCAGTCGTCAACAGCGAGGGCTTTGGACTGAAATGATCGAACGAATTTTGTATGGGATGGGGTTCGTGCTTCTGTCTTTTTTATTTCTATGCTACTTCCAGAACTTCGAACCTGCTACGACTTGATGAATCATTGACACGCTGAATAGGGCCATCACAGATCACAATGGAGGAGTTTGGAGTTTGGCTTTGTTTGTTTTTCTTTTTGCTGCTGGCTTCGGGATCACGGATTCGGCGCATTGCTTATTAGCTAGAGTCTGATCGAGACAATCATATCAATGTTGCTTTATCTCTAGAACGGTATTCATAACCCTAAAATCCAAGATTATGTAGCCCTCCTGCTTAACAACAACGTACTCGATTTATCACGTAGCTTCGGGCCGCCCTAAGCAAGGAGATAAAACCCACTACGTTCCAACCTCTCAGCGCCAAGAGATTGGAGGAAATGGTCAGGATCTCAATATTTCAATATTACAATAAGCAACATGGCAAAATATAAATAAAATCGTAGACGACATCTATTAGCAACTGCCCAGCCCCGACAGCAAATGCCATAGAGGTAATAGAAATCGAATCTCGAACCCCGATAAAAGGAAACCAGTCCTTGCAATATAACGCCAGGGGAAGAACACGCCGCTTGATGCAAGGCTGTCACAGACTAGCCACGTAAGACCGAAAAATGCGATAGAAGGTGGGAGGGTTACCTCACCGGGCTGTACCGGAGGCCGGGTTGGAAGACGACGGAAGAGCCGCACTTGATGCCAGGATGTTGACTGTTGAAAGCGGGATTGATTCGAAGAAACTCGTCGCGCTGGTTGCTATACGTGTACCCTCGCGGTGCCGAAGCGATGAGAGGAAGTTGAGTGGTTGACCAGCACGGATAGCATGGAACATCTCGCTGTAGCCTCGCTCTCCATCCCCGACCTCTTTCAACCACTGTTCCCAGTCCTCATCGAGAGGTACGTTGGCTCCTTGGTCTCGTGCGGCCATGGCGGCCAGAAGACGGCTATTCAGCGCGACGCCGCAGCTCTCCATTTCCTCATCACTATAATCCTCCTCTTCCACTTCGTGGTCTTCACCTTTGTGCTCCAGAAACTCAGTTGAATTCCGTTGGCTCGCGCGGACGGTGTGGTCGCTCCGGGTATCGATGTTGTAGTCCAGTTCCTCTTCTGGCCCGCAGAAGTCCTCGAAATGCACCTCAACCGACGGCGAGGGAGGCGGAGTGGCTGGACGGATCGAATGGGCCGTGGTGTCCCGCACGCTGATCCCTTCTTCCTTCTCGTAGCGCTCGCGAGCCCACCTGGTCCCTTCCCAGCGACAGAGCGAGAGGATTTCGGCCTCTGTCAGCCCCAGCTCATCGAAAACACGGAACAGCTCGTGATGCCATGTGAAGCGGCCGAGTCGCATGCGATGCGGTCCGTAGGAGTAGTCCAGTCCGGGGTATTGAGCCTCAATACAGTCCAGCGAGCCGTAGAAAATGGACGTCTCGAGACGTACCTCTGGCACCAGGTTGCGGGTGATATGAGCCGCGAAGGAGCCCGGGTCACTCGTCAGAGGACGAGGGAACGTGGCGTTGTACACGATCTGGGCGAGCGACGGTTTGTGCATAGTGATGGGTACGTTTGGACGGATATGATGAAGAGGAGGCTAGGTGTTAAGAGGGGGAATGAAAAGGTGAGCAACACAGACAGACGCAGGCCCTGGAGGGATGCCCCTTGCCCTGGCGTTAGTGTAGTTGTACGGGTACAGGAACACAAGAAAGATCTAGGGATAAGCACCGCGATGGAGAAAAATGACAAGCACCACCTTTGAGTCTTTTTATGTCGGCGACTCGCGGTGGAGTGTGCGTTGGCCGTGCAGCCGCCAGCTGGTCGACCTGAACACGGAGAACAACACGGGTGTTTGCTAGCCTGAGGCACCCCATCAGTCATGGGATTCGATCCTTATGTTCATCTACACACGTTATGACGCCTCTCCTACGTTCATTCAACCATGTCTCTGTAAAGCAACCTGTATGTGTATGCCTGTCTTTGTGAGGCATATGAGGCATTCGGTTTATTGTCCACATGTCTTCGCTTCAGAGCGCATCAACGACCTTACTCTGAGACATCTCTGCCTGGATCAGTAAGATCTCTCGATGAGAGCCTCACTTGCCCCTAATGTCGACCTTTGATGGCTGCGTGGAGGGTAAGTCGCAGGCCGTATGTAGAAAAGTGAGCGAAGCTGACCGCCAGTGACAGAATTCCCTGACATCCAGAGTGAGTTGGGCGCCTTGTTCTTGTAAAACCGCCGCTGACAGCCGCAGTCGACTACTTCCGCAAGAGGCTTGAACGGCCACCCCTAGCATGCTTCCTCAGCCATGTGCACAGTGATCACTTGCAGGGCCTGGAGTCCTTCCGGGCTCCATTCATTTATTGCTCACCTGCTACGCGGGAGCTGCTCTTGCGGATTGAGAAGTATCCCCATCGGATGAACTTTCGCAAGGGCATCTTGGAATCGCGCCGGCTTCATTACAAGCACCTCGCCAAGCTATTGCGTCCGATTCCATTAAATACGCCCACGGAGATTGAACTCACACCCCGGAGGCGCGTTCGGGTTACTTTGTTCGATGCAAACCACTGCATTGGAGCGGTGATGTTTCTCATTGAAGGAGATGGGAAAGCTATCCTATACACTGGTGATACCCGAGGTGCGTTTCTTTCGCTTTCTAGTTTTGGATGTTCAGTGGCTAAAGACCGCCAGCTGAGCAATGGTGGATCAACAACTTGGTCCGGAATCCGGTCTTGATACCATACACGCTGGGCCAGAAACGGCTCGACAAGCTGTATCTCGACACGACCTTTGCACTTGCAGCGAACATGTTTCGCGAGTTTCCATCCAAGGCGGTTGGGCTAGCCGAGCTTCTCCGAAAGGTCGAGGCATATCCAGACGACACTGTGTTCTACTTCCGTGCATGGACGTTCGGCTACGAGGATGTGTGGATAGCGCTTTCAGCGGCGCTAAACACCAAGGTAATCAACTAATTTCAGAGCTCTTCCGCATGTTCGCTAATAACCCTCCAGGTCCATATAGATCAGTACCAGATGGGTCTCTATCGGTCACTCGTGCGTGCCTCCGGCACCTGCAGTATCAGTGAGGCATCTGCACTCTGTGGATTTAGTCTGGGCAACGGGACGGTCGCAGGTTGTCTGAGCGGCAACCTCACCAGCCGAGTTCACAGCTGTGAACCAGGGGTATCATGCCCTACAGCACGCAGTCCCAATACCGTCTACATTGTTCCGATCGTTAACCGCACTACCGAAGGCGCTGAAATTCCGGAAATCGGTGCAGGCGGCGGCATCGGAGATCTATATCAGACTCACGAGCTTGAGCTGCCTGATGAGTCTTCGCTTGAGGAGCTGGAGAAGCTGTATCTGCAGCAAATTCATGATGAGCAGTTGCGACAGCAACTACGTACTACACTCATCAAAGCGTTTCACTCAAAGAAAAAGGTGCTGTCACTTGACGAATACGGCATGAAGGAAGAAGGAGACATTTCTCTCAAGAAGCTAGTAGATTTGCTCAGCCATGGCATGTCTGAAAAATCATCCGGTGCCATCACATTGAGAGAGCCTATGGCCAATCTACCGAAAACAATAGTGAGTTGTGCCACCTGCCTGCAAGACACTTTTCCTAAATTTTCATCAGCGATTCCCATACTCTCGCCATTCATCCTATGATGAATTATGCAACTTCGTCGCCGCTTTCCGGCCTAAAGATATCCACCCCTGCACCGTGGACGAATCAACTTGGACCGAAGATGTCTCCATCCGGCATCTGTTCGGTCATCTATGCACAGAAACTCAATTCTCGCATGATGCCCACATGCGGGAGGTTCTCGACAATGCAGACGAGAATGACGAGGACGGTCCGCGTGGGAGAAAAAGAACTCGCTACGATCCGGATCTTTCAACTCAGTCTACCGAGGGATCTAGCAATCTAGTTATGGACGATGAGCCGAGTACAGGAATCAGAGATCAGACTCAAAACCAGACTGCTGCCCCATCCTGTGATACAGTACAAGAATCTGTCAACAAACCACTCGAGTTCCGACGGTCCAGTCCGGAAACCGCAAAAGCGAAGCGGAACGAGATTCGGGAGGCTCGTCGGTACCTCCAGGAATATGCAGATCCCGAAATGTTTCATGTCGGCGCTCTCCCTTCTTCGTGGAGGACAGAGGGTGATCAGTTCGAGCTCGAGCAGAAGGAGAAATACGCCTCCGAAGCAGAAGAGCGGCCGGCCACTACCGACATTGAAGAGTCTCGGGAGGTGTCAGAGACAGATCGCGGTGGTGATGGAGCCACAGACTCGCAAATGGAGTCTCAGCAGGCTGACAGCCAGCACACGGCGCTTTCGATTTCCGAATCGGCATTTGCCTCTCCGCTGCCGGTCGAAGAGCATTCTGCCAGACTATCGGAGGACAATAAACGTGATTCGGAAATTACTCCCACTCACCATCGATCACGCACTCATACCCACGCTCGCATCGCGGCATACCTCGCTGCTCGTGCGGACACCTACTCTGCATGGACGGATGTGTCTCTTGTCTCTGCGGGGGATAATCACACCGAGGAGGAGATTGAATTATGACCTACTTAAAGTCTACGTTATGTTACATGCCACACTCAGAGATGGGAGGGCTGAGTGGGAATCAATGCATCGTATGAATCTAACTGGTTCCATCGTTAATATGTACTTGAAATGGGAGGAAGAACAGATATCAATCAATCAACGCTCAGGCAGAGAAGCACAAAGGTATAGTGAAAAGAAAAGGGCAAGACAAGATGCAAAACTTGAAGCCGAACAGGTGAAAGGAATGCCATCTAGAAGATATAGTACGCCTGCGTCAAGGGTAACTCGGCCGCAGGCTCAGCGTCACACAGCATGCCGTCCGCTTCGACGGTCTGTGCGTGGAGAGAGTGATATTAGTACTGAATAATGAATCACAAGAGAAACAGAAGAAGGAAACTCACATAACTCTCCGGGTCAACCTTCATCTTCGGCATGGCATCGTTGAACTTCATATCTTTCTTCCCGACAGAGCGGCAATTCTTAACGGCTTCGATGCGCTTGCGCAGACCGTAGGACTGCACGACCCCGGCGTCAATGGAGGCCTGGGAGACGAACATGATTGAAGCGCTCGGGAGACGAGCCTGTTTTGGGGATGAGCAGACGCTTTTGAGAAATAGAATATAATCTTCAACTTACTCCGAATTGAGGCCGCACGATCATAGGTTCGATGGTTGGGATGGACGCGTTGGGATCACCCTGGTGCGGTCACAAGTCAGCAGAAGTGCCAAGAAAAAGCCGGGGAAACAAAAAAAAGCAAGCAAGGAAAGACAAACCATCTCAGCCATGACGATGAAACCACTCTTTAGGACTTGCACCGGCTTCGTTCCGAATGTGTTCGGGTTCCAAACGACCAAATCTGCGACCTTGCCTACCTCCACGCTCCCAATAGCATGCGCCATGCCCTGCGCCAGAGCAGGGTTGATGGTGTACTTGCTCACATAGCGCTTGACCCGGAAATTGTCGGCGCCCGTGCCCTCATCCTCGGGCAACGGTCCGCGCTGCGCCTTGTTCTTGTGCGCGGTGTGCCAGTTGCGCAGGATGACTTCGCCGCAGCGGCCCATAGCCTGCGAGTCCGAGGACATCATGCTGATGGCGCCGAGATCGTGCAGCACGTCCTCGGCGGCGATGGTCTCGGCGCGGATGCGGCTTTCGGCGAAGGCGACGTCTTCGGGGATGTTCTTGGATAGGTGATGGCATACCATCAGCATGTCCAGGTGTTCATCGAGCGTGTTGAGAGTGAATGGTCGGGTTGGGTTCGTGCTGCTGGGTAGGACGTTGGGGTGCTCCACCACCGAGATGATGTCTGGGGCGTGGCCGCCGCCGGCACCTTCGGTATGGTATGTGTGGATGGTGCGGCCCTTGAAGGCTTCGATGGTTTGCTCGACAAACCCGGACTCGTTGAGTGTGTCTGTGTGGATCATGCACTGGACATCATACTCGTCGCAGACGCCCAGACAGGTATCAATCGCTGCTGGCGTTGAACCCCAGTCTTCGTGCAGTTTCAGGCCGGCTGCTCCAGCTAGGATCTGCTCCTCGATGCTCACCCGCCCGCAGTCGTTCCCTTTGCCCGTGATGCCGATGTTGATCGGAAGACTATCGCAGGCCTGCATCATCTGGCGCAGATGGTTCGGCCCGGGTGTGCACGTCGTCGCATTCGATCCTGTCGTGGGACCAGTGCCACCGCCCAGGAAGGTCGTGATGCCTGATGCCAGCGCTTCATCCACCTGCTGCGGACAGATGAAATGAATGTGTGTATCGATCCCACCTGCAGTGATGATCTTATTCTCGCCAGCCATCACGTCCGTGGAGGCTCCCACCACCATGTCCGGATGCACACCGTCCATGACGTCCGGGTTGCCTGCTTTGCCAATGCCCGCAATAAGACCGTCCTTGATTCCGATGTCGGCCTTGTAGATACCGGTCCAGTCGATAATCATAGCGTTCGTGATGACCGTATCCAGGCACTCCGCCGCCGACCTCCCAGATGCCTGGCCCATTCCCTCACGCAACGTCTTGCCGCCACCAAAGGCGCACTCATCCCCGTAGACTGTCAGATCTTTCTCAATTCGCACCCACAAGTTCGTCAGTGCCAGTCGCACCAGGTCACCAGTGGTCGGACCAAACATGCGCGAGTACGCCTCGCGCTCCATCGAAAACCCACTAACTAGAGCACTATCCGCCGTCGGCTCCGGTACATGCGCAAACCCAGCCGTCTGCAAGCGCTCCACGATCTCCTCGGTCCGACTGAGATCCACGGGCCCATTGGCCAGGAAATTTCCGCCGCGAATAACCCGGTTCCCGCCAATCTCAACGAGGGTCACCGTCTTCGTGTCGCCTGGTTCGAAGCGGACCGATGTGCCTGCGGGGATATCCAAACGGAATCCGTACGCCTGGATACGATCAAAATGCAGCTGCGGATTCGTCTCGACAAAGTGATAGTGCGATCCCACCTATTCCCCACGCCTCTTAGTTTCTGCAAGTCAACCCCTCCTGACGTGAAGACGTACCTGAATCGGCCGATCCCCTTTGCTCATAACCTTGAGCCGAATCCTCCTCCTCCCGTCATTCAACGCGACCCTCGCACTCTTGACCGGAATGATCGCGCCGGGCATTTTCTCAGGCAGAAAATCATTGGGGTCTGGGTCTGGAAACGCATCTCGCGGCGGGATCGGCAGGAAACTACTGTATAGCGCGCGTTCGAGGTCGCCCTCGTCGCTACTGATCGGGTGGTGGACGGTGACGAGGTACGTGCCCGTGGGAAAGGTGCCTTCGACCTGGAGTTCGACGAGAGTGGCGACCACGGAGGGCAGGACGTGGCGCCGGCCTAGCATGGTTTTGCCGATTGACATGAGGTCTGCGACGGAGTAGATGCCATCACGGATGAGCTGTGGGGTGATTGGGTTGGTGGGTTGAATCTACTAGAAACAGAAGGGCAGGGAAGGGCAGGGCGTACCTCGTGGAGATTGGCGGAGATCAGAGCCTTTGCAGTTGCGTTAGCCTTTTCTCTCCCTCTCTCCCTCTCTCTCTTTCTTTGGGAAGGTCATCGGGTACTCACCACTGCTTCGGCATGGTTCAGGCGCACTCCGCGGGCCAGGCGACGCTGCGCCAGGAACCCCAGATGCGCGATGGTGAGCTTGTCGAGCTGGACCAGTCAATTAGTGGGCAGTCGTGCAATGTAGAATGAATCTTCACACACCTCCTTCGGAACCAACTGCATGGCGGACCTGGTTGGACGACAATGATGAAGAAGAAACCAGTGGTGTGGGGGATGTTCTTTCCTGTCTTTTCCTCCAGCTGGTCCGATAAGGGCGATAATGCCTCGACGGCCGATTGGGTCGTCGGTCGACCATGTTAGTCAAGGCTTTATTTAGTGAACCTAATCAGTGGAGTTCGGCGAATGAGATATTATTGAAGCAGTAGTAGTCAAACCGGCAGTTATCCCTAGGGTAGGTAGCATATTATTCATCGCAGAGACATTCTCGCTACAGGAAGTACAAATACAGCCATGATCACCAAACATTTGCCCCCATCTACTCCTTGTCCGCCTCGCTCTTGCGCTTCTTGCGCTTGGGCTTGCTCTCCGCGGGCTTGTCCGCCTTCTTCGCCGACGCGGGCGGCTCGCTCTTCTTGGCCTTCTTCTGCGGCGATGCCTTCTTCGCAGGCGCGGGGGTTTCGACGTCCTTCTTGGCCTCGCTGCGACGGCGCTTGGACTGGCTCTTAGGAGGCGTCTTCTCCTTGGGTTTGGGGGAAGGGGACTCCTCCGAAGAAGACTCGTCTTCCGACTCGGAAGAGGAACTGTCCTCGGACTCGTGCTCGGCAATGGCGAAGTCGTTCAGCAGCTGGTTCGCGGCGGGATCGTCGTCATCCACGGCCTTCTTGGCCTTGTACGCCGCTACTTCCACTTTGTACTTGTCCAGGTTCTCCCCGTACAGCTTCTTCCAGGTCTGTGAGACGGGAGTTAGTGATCATAGTTCCATCGAGCGTTCGGGATACAACACATACCTCCTTCTCCATGTCCGGCATCTGCTGCCAGCGTCTGGTGCCCTCCTCGGCGACATCCTTGGGGCGCGAGCCCTGACCCAGTTCTTTGGTGATGTCCCCTCGTCGGTGCTGCATGTATAGGAAGTACGGGGTCAAGGGCCGCTTCGGCGCATTGGGGTCCACGACGCGCTTGCGCTTCTGCTTCCCGTCGCCGGCTTCCGACTTGACACCGGGGCTGCCAGCGCGCGGTAGGCTACTGGCGCCGGCGAACATGGGCGGGATGTCGATAGTGGCGGGCCCGCCGTTGATGACATTTTCGGCATGCTTGAGGTAAGATTTGCTGAGTTCGGCGACGTAGGATTGCAGGTCCATCAATCGCATAAGCATCTGCGATCGCGAGGGTTAGTTTAGGGTGCTCTCGAGTCAATAGGACATGGTGCGGTGGGGAGAGTGGTCGAAAACATGGCGGCGACGCGACGAGTTGGTGTCGCGCCAGCGACAGCTAGAGGGGAGAAACAAGAAAAACATCATAATAAGGAGAACGAAGCTTGGCAAAGGATGCTCGAGCTTGCGAAGATCACATTATAGGCTGGAGGGAGGTCATGGCAAGCTTCGGGGCAAGCGACGCGTAGGCGACGCGCGACAACAACATTAGATGAAAAAAAAGCCCTCACGAACAAAATAAAAAAATAAAAAAAGAGAGAGGAAACTATGACAGAGAACAGTAAGACATACCGCATCCTTAGACTTTCTCAGCTCGTCAATGTTGACGGGCACAGTGGCCGCGCCGGGGGTGGAGTTCTCCTTCGGGGCCATGGTTGCTGGCTTGGGAGGGAGGGAAGGAGAAATTTTCGGGGCGAGCGATGGTTGAAAGTTGGGGGGGGGAGGGGGTGGGCTAGGGGGGCCACTAAATACCCCCGAACGCCGGCCTGGCATGCCTGCCGTCTCTGCTTTGGGCTTAGGCGCCCCGAGCCAGATTCTTAGGGGAAGGCCTGCCTGGCTTGCGCCCACGGTCGGGGATACGGTTAGATATGTTCCCTGTTTCTGACTTGCGGTCGCTGCCCGTGGTTCCAAGGTTCATTTCGCGTATGTGCCGGGGGTAAGGTTTGAAGGTCATCACTTACAGAATTCGCAAAAGAAATACTATCTCAGCTCAGAGTTATGAGACCATTCTCCCGCTAGACATATATTTCTGCATCTCTGCAAGACTGAACCGCAAAGCTGAGAACGAAAGTAACCCCCAAGTTTGGGAGGTTACAGACATCCCCAGCAGCACAAGGGCTCTGCCATAATTATTTCTCCAGATAATCCTATCGTTTTGTTTTAATCCAGAAAGACAGACGAAACAGTTACATTGTCTAGTGGATCTAGCGGATATCCTATGAGATAGAAGAGAGAACAGAACCCGAACAAGACGCATCAATATACACAGCCCATCTCTATGTCTCTGCCATCTCGGTATTATGCAGTCTTCTATTTTAGAACTTGAAGACCTGGTCCTTGCTGTAGCCCAGCTCCTGCAGGACGCCGCTGAGCTCACCCTGGTCCTTGGGGCTAACCTTGTTACCGCTGATAGCCTTGTACAGACCCGGCGGACCGCAGACGAAGAGCTTGATGTTCTCCTCCTTCGGCTCGGGGAGGACGGTCTTCAGGAGCTCCTTGTTGATGTAGCCCTTGCCGCCGGACCAGTCCTTGGGCGGGTTGTCGAGCACGTAAAAGGCGCGGAAGCGCTGCGGGTACGTGTTCTCCAGCTCCTGCAGCTCCTTCTTCATAAGGATGTCCTGCTCCGTGACATTGCCGAACACCAGCGTCACCTTGGTCTTGTCCTCTGGGTTCTTGAAGATCTGGCGGGCCAGCTGGTACATCGGCGTGATACCCGTGCCGCCTGCGATCAGGCAGACGTGGTTGTGCTTGTTGGCCTCCCAAGGGTACTTGGGGAGAGGACCCTTGAACGACAGTCGCTGGTCGGGGGTCATCGAGTGGATGTGCTCCGACATGGGGCCGTTCGGGTAAGCCTTGATCACCAGATCGAGGTAACCGGGGGTTTCTAGTGAGCGTCAGCAATGATTATGCAAGTAACCGAAAAAAAAAGACATACCCTCATCGCTGGTAGGAGTGTAAGGACGAATAACAGGCTTCTCCGCGCCCTCGGGCTTGAACTTGGTCAACAGCGCAGCTGAATGTGTGTCAACAGACCGGTCTGATATCAATCCCAAACCACTTACAGGCGACATGCAGACCGGAGACAGCTTCCTTGTCCTCGAACTCGAAGCGAAATCTCTTAGTATTGTGGCTCAGATCCTCCACAGCGGCCAGCTTGAGGTCCACCCATCCTTGGTCACCACCGACAAAGACCTTCGGGCGGTCCTTGGGCTCAGCGGCAGAGCCGTAGTAACGCCACAGACCAATACCCACGCCGGCGGCACCGACCGTGGCGTAGATGGGAGCGAGGGACTTCTTCTGTTGAGGCGCTTCCGAGGAGTATTTGCGGAAGCTCTGTCGAGGTGTTAAAACTTAAAAAAGCCTTCATTGGGCCTGGAAAACGTACCTGGCGCAGAGGTTGCGCACAGCGGAAAGACTGGCGGGCAAACATGGTGTATGTGGGAATCAACTGAGATGTATGGGAGATGAGAGAAGGAGAAGAGGAGAAGCGAAGAGGGTGGAAACGGGCTGATGAGAGAGGAAGGCGGACAAGCTCGGCCCAGGCATGACGCAATCAGCCTGTCGGAATTACCGTTTGTCGATCTATACGTGGTCAATTATTAATATTGGGGCAAGTCATGGATTGTTATTGTCGTGCGCGGCGGATAATAAACACAAAGTTCTTTAGGTGTGGGATTCGACTTCGGCGTACATGGGTTGTAGGGATCCATGGTAAGCCAGGACCCAATGTTCCGAGGCCATCCGGCCAGGAACCGTATGAACCCAGTGAGTGCTATGTTCCGTCGAACACATAAGATCGCTGCGTGCAGCAATTACATAGTGTACGGTGAAGACAGCTACGATAATGTACAAAATGAAAGAAACCCGATAATTTTTTTCAGATAACACCTCGAGATGTCACTATACGGGACTAGGGACATCCAAACAGGCCTGTGGCCGGTCTCGTTCATGCATGCTATGGCCATAACACAATTCTCATCCACACACCCCAAATACCCAGAACATCACGTTTAAGCAAAGGTCGAGGGGCGCGAGTAGGCGAAGAGCTTCTTGCCAGGCTTGACAGCGCGGTGGGGCAGGGGGAACTTGAGGTTCTTGGTGAGGAGCTGCCGGATGTAGGGGCGACGGATGCTGTCGGCGTTGTCGATCTCGACAACCTTGAGGATCTGCGGAGACGATTAGCATATAGTCTCTAAAAATGACAGCAAGAAAACATACGTGGATGGAACCGAAGCGGGCACGGTGGCGGGCAGCCATGTCCTGGTAGAGGGCCTCGACGGCCTCGGTGCGGCTCATCTCACGGAACTCCTTGTACATGTTGTGGGTACCGGAGCGCGAGTTGTAGCGGAGCCAGATGCCGAAGTTCTTGACCTTGAGAGGGCGCTTCTCGGAGATCTGGGCGTTGTCAGTTTTTTTAGGTTTGTTGGAAGACGACATAAAAAAATCCCCCGACATACCACGTTCAGGCTGACGATCTCGCCGTTGGCCTTCTTCAGCTTGCGGAGCTGAGCGATGAAGTACCAGAACCGCGACTTGGCGACGACGGTGTTGGGCGCAAAGATGCGCATGCGGTACAGCTTGGGCGAAGGGTTCGCCTCGGTGGGCAGGTGACGCCCGATGACCTGGTACTCAGTGAGACGCCCTAGATGAATCCGTCAGTCATTGTCCAAAATCCCACAGATATTCCTTTCCAAATCAAGCGGGTAGACGGTGCGCGGTCGAAGCCAGTGAGTGACATCCAGGGCTGCGGATGGATGGATGGATGGTGGTGGTCGCTGGAAAAAAAATATTTCGAGATTCGATTTCCGACTTTCACTTGATCGCAGTGTGCGCCCAGTTCCTCCATCGCATACGATTGCATTCCCATCACTTTTTTCGCTGCGTGTGTTGCAATTTGCCGTGGTTGTCGCCCCTTGGAATATTTCGCCAGTCCGACCGTCACGCACCGTCGCCCCAATTCAGACCAGAAGAAAAAAGATGGCACTTACCCATCTATAGAATAAAGACGTTAGTATGATTTCAGAAGATCGAGCAGCGTTGGCACAGCCCAGGGGAGGGAAAAGTCACTCACTTTGATTGTCGCTGTGGTGGATGAGTCGTTAGTGGTGCCGTCGGGGTTGAGGAGAATTGTGAGATGGGGTGGTTGTGTGCAGCCCTAAGCCCTTAGCGAGGGTGGGTCACGTGCTGGGATGGAGACTTCCCCAGCCACAGTGTCCGCACCAGCCACATCTTCTACGCGCCCCACATGATCCCAGCTTCTCCCACCTTGTACTCTGTGATGGTGGTCACACTATACTATACTATCACATCACGGTCATGAGCACCACTGCAACCGCGTTCCGGGATGCCTACCTTAACGGGTCAGGTCCTGCCCTCGCTGCAGTGCTCACCCCGATCTCTCCACCCGAAGATGCGGACCGATTGCACTCCTTCTACCAGTTCTCCAACCCGACCTATCTGACCAAAGACCTCCATTTCCACCTCTTCCACGGCAAGAACCTCAAGCTGTCCAAAGCAGAACAGAACGCATGGGTCGACATCTTTGCTGCGTACTGGGAAGCCGTGGGGGAGGTGCTCAAATGCGAGGACCGACACCCCGGTGCCTCCGTGGTCACAGTCTTCAATGCGTGGAAGAAGGTAGCCAATGCTGTGATCAGGGGCTACTCGAGCTCTTCCGGCCTTCCGGCCTGGACCTTACCTTGTCTGTACACGGTGGGGAAGTTTTTGCGCACATTTGCGCTCAAGGCGGACGTCGAGGCGGCCTCCCAGGGATCAACGGGCTTTGGCTTCCAGGATGATGTCGCGGCCGATGTGGACAAGAATGCAAACTTGGAGGAGGCGGCTCGAATTATCAATCGGATGTTCACGCTGTGTCTGAATGACAGGTGAGTGACTTGGGGCTGGTGAGAGCTTGCATGGCTAAACTGACTGGATTCCCAGAGCGGCCATTGAGGAATCGCGCAAATGGGGGGTATACAACATTACGAATCTGCTGTTCAAGACCTACTTCAAGGTATGGGATGACCGGATGGAGTATTGAAGGCGTTGCTGACTGGTTGCAGCTCAACTCCGTTGGACTCACCAAAAACCTTCTGCGTGCCCTCAATGCCCAGTCGGTCGATCTGCCCCCATTAGAATCCTTCCCCAAATCGCAGATCGTCACTTTCAAATACTATGTGGGAGTCATTCACTTCTTGGATGAGAAGTATGCCGAGGTAGGTAAGATTGAGAGACGTGATGGACCCAGCTGACTTTGTCCTATAGGCGGAAGAACATCTGACATCTGCATGGAAAATATGCCACCGAGGGGCATCCAAGAACCGGGAGTGCGTATACCACTTGCTTGTAGACGAGCCTTGACTGACCAGCATGCAAGACTCATTCTCACGTATCTCATCCCATGCCATCTCGTGACGACGCATACGCTCCCCAGCAAAGAACTTCTTGCTCCATTTCCACGACTCGAAAAACTCTTCCGCCCTCTCTCCAACTGTATCCGTAAGGGTGACCTAGTTGGGTTCGATCAGGCCATGTCCGCCGGGGAAGACGAGTTTGTCAAGAGACGCATCTACTTGCCACTTGAACGAGGACGAGATATTGCCTTGCGCAATTTATTCCGCAAAGTTTTTATAGTAGGTGGGTGGGATGAATCCAAGGATGGACAGCCTCCTACTCGGCGATCCCGTGTCCCTATTGCGGAGTTCGCGGCGGCTCTCCGAATCGGGACTCATGCAACTGGCCGATCGCGAGTTGATATGGACGAGGTGGAGTGTTTGCTGTCTAACCTGGTCTACAAGGTATGTTTTACTTAAAGATTTTACAAACCCAGATTTGACAGCTCTTTAGGGCCTTATGAAGGGGTACATCCACCGTGAGAGAGGAATGGTCGTTTTGAGTAAAAAGAACGATGCCTTTCCCGGCACTGGTATCTAGTCAACGGTCGACGCCTCCGTCAGTGCTGGACTGTACTCAAATTCATCGTCCACACAACCATCCTAACGTGACCACAACCACCCTGGAGCAACCACATGCCTTCAAAGTCGCTGCCGAGATTTCATTTAATGGCCACGACATTCGAGGCTACGCTGTCATCCTACCGATGGGCCGATATATCTCGAACAATACATTCAAGGAGACCAACATCGATACCCCAAATCCGCATCCTTACGACCGTTACTACCTCGTGACCCACTTGTGAGAAGTTCACTCTCTCATACAGGAAGGACACATGATGCGTAACAGCTCGACGAAGAGTGTTTCCTGCCAATACCCGCCACCGCTCTTCAGGGTGCTGGATGGACCATATAGAAAGGAGGTCAGCCAACAACCTTTCCTCGGCGCAAAGATCATGACAAGAAATCAATTAGCATAAGAAAGGATAAAATGCATCACAAACATATGGATTCTTAATTGAGTAAGATTACAGTATGTAGGTATAGATATGTTTGTTTGCCCTGGGATTCTAGCCTTCTGTTTACAATACATCTGTCTAAACACCTTCCTTCTCTCACAAAAAAAAGAGGATAAAGAGGATGTCGATAAGTTCAGCTTTCATTTTTGGCTTTTTTGGGACCATGCGGACTGATCGTCAACCAAAGACAGTAGCGCACGCTTGATAATTTTTGCGTCGCGGTCCTTATTCCCATCAGCATAAAGTACAAGATCTTACGCAGACAAATCCTATGATATTGCTGCTAGCTGGGCGAGACCATCACTGGGCCATCGAGGCCTGAACAGCAGCAGCGGGACTCATATCATCCTAGACATACAGATCAGCATTATTGCCCCCCTCCCCTAATCTCTCAAAATCAAAAACCAGAAGAAAAAACGAGAGAAAAAGGACATACCATATGATTACACAACGCAACAAACAAATCAAAAAACATCTTCCCCCCACGCTCCATCTCCATTTGCATCGTGCCACTCTGCTTGAAGGTCTCGCGGCACCGAACTATAAGCGCCAGATAATGCGCGCGCAGCTTGGACTCCGTGTCCGGCGTGTGCGCATAGGCGTACCGCGCGCTGGCGAGGATGGTGCTGCATGAAATCCCGACATGGAGGCCTTGTTTGCGCAGGGCGAGGCGTTGGAGCGTGGGGAGGGCGTATTGTTCTGCGGCGCAGCTGGGGTTGTTAGCTTTTTCTTCTTTGATAGTATTGGGATGAATAGAGAATCGAGGGTAAGTAGGAAGGAAAAGGACCTACTACACAGCCGTATCCCTCAAAATCAACCCCCCAACCTCAGCACAGAACATCGTCGCCCCAGGATGATCATCACTACTCCCTCCCTCTCCTTCAGTGCTCATTGCCCCCTCCACCACCCAACACCCCTTCTCCTGATCCCGTCTCAACCGCGGGGAATAATCCCCCTTGTACAGAAACTCCAGCACACATGCAAATACCTCCGGCTGCTCATCTGGCAGATCGATCCGTCTCGCAGGCGGGTGGCGTGGCGGTGCCCGGGTGCGCGAGCTGAAACTGCGACAGCGCGATGCGAAGAAGGGGGATATGCTAAGGATGGACTCGTGGGCGGCGAAGAGGCGTTTGGAGGGGCCGATGCGGAGCATTACTACTGCTGCTGATGAAGTGGATGGAGAGGGCGAGCTTTGGGTTGATGTGGCTAGTCAGTGATTTGTGTAGTTGATGAATGAAGAGGGCTGGATCGGTATAGATGATTTGATTGTCCTTTCGGCTGAGAAGACGTACATTATATCGGGAGGATGACTCGGTTTTCGTCGTCTGTCCTGACGTCTCGAGCTGTTTTCTCCTCTGTTGCGATCTCGATCTCTCATGACAGATTTGGAAGCTCGGTACCGAGCTGACAGCACATCGGGAGGCTGTGTTGGCTTTCGAGTGGACAGCATGCTGGAAAGTCAAGGAGACCGATGAGATGAGAAGACCAGGAAAGATTCAGGGGCTTCGCCAGCTCTTTATACGCCGCTCAGGAGGCCATGCAGGTACGAGACAATGCCCGGTCGGGCCTTGTATTGCTGATCGGTGGGCCACTGTCCAGTCAGAGCACCCAACGAAGCATTGGACAGCCCCGACCGCGTACGAGCTTGTACTAGGCGTGTATCGCTGACGCCAAATGGGCGCGTGGTCACGTGTTGGGGACTAATGTAGCCATATTCGGCAAGTTACAGTGGACGCTAGTTAGGGACGGATAGCACGAGAGTCGCTTAGGATGGCTGGCTGGCAGCCAGCTGCAATTGCAATATACAACCATACCCGGGACACTACGGACAATTCATCCCTCCATTCATCGATCCACTCGCAAACGCCAAACGCCACGATTCCCGGGATATAGCCCAGCTCAAATGACGGGAAAAAAAGACGATAAGAAAAAGGAAGATTACAAGAACACCTTTCGAGCATCCTTGAAATGGCTCTCGTTTGGGCAGTATGGGCATTTGAACCTATTGCCCTTGCTCAGCCGCTTCAATGATTCCTCAGCAATGACGTGCCCGCATGGCATCATCATCGGCGGATTCTGGTCAGTCGCTTGCTCCTTGGAGACGGGGCAGACGAAAATGGAGTGGAAGAGGTACGAGGGAGGAAGCGATATTTCGACCTGGACGGCTGTGAGTATCTGGAAAAACAGGTGGCCGGTCGGGTTCACACTTACTGGAAGCTCATTCTCGGTCGTCCATTCCGTCCGCTTGGCCTTCATGATCGTCTGCAGCTTCAACAATGTCGGCAGCGCAATTGCACCAGCGGTGGCGGCGATATACAGGGGCGAGTCAGCGGACAATCCCAACAGCGAGCAGAACTCGCGCGTAAACGAATGGGCGACATCCTCCCACGCGGACGGATTGTTGAAGATGGACCCATAGGGCGAGTCCTGCAGGTTGGAACAAAAGGCCATCGCGCCCATCAGCTGCTGGATCTCCCGGAGATACCGGGGCACAAAGGAGTGGAACTCGCGCCGGGCGTATTCCAGGGCTGCCTGCCGGCCACCTATCCCAGTTCCCTGCTGGTCCGATGCGCCGTGGTACAGCCAGACAAACTGCAGCCGACACAGTTCGAATTCCAGGTTACTGCCGCGAGCTTCCAGCGCCTCGCGGTTCTCTCTTGACCATTCGATGGCCGGTAAGAGGTTGTAGTTGTCCTGCATTTCCTGAAGGATGTAGTACATCGCCGCGAACTGCTTTCGGATCTCGGTAGACGGGACTTCGTCGACGTCGAGCAGGTTGACAGCATGATCGGTGGATTTGGGATCCAGTGCATGCGCTGTCGCTCGCTTCTCAGTGATTTCGGAGAGAAAGGTCGCCGCGACGGAGAACTGGCCCTCGCGGAGGAGGTGCATGGCAATGGCGCGGTTGATTAAATGTTCTTGGGAGGAGAGAGCATCATGCTCGGTGCTGGGGAGGGGTCGGTCTTTGAAAAGCTATTGGGTGGGTTCGTTAGAGAAGCCCATGAACGAGATGAGTGCGGGGCCCAGTAAGTACCTTATCTAGAGACTTGGTGTACTTATTCAAACCACTGTGAGTTTCCTTCAAGCTATCATTGATCGAATCAAATGAAGTCTTGACGGGATTTTGGAGTTTGGCGAGGGTGATCGACGCTTGTGTTGGATCTACAGCCCGAGGGTCAGCTTGCCTCGGACCCTATCTGGGGGGAGGGGGTTCTTCCTACCAGCGGCGATGGAATCCCGAGCGGACTGCAGCAAGTCGATCGAGGCCTGGACATTCTTGATGCTCTGTGAAGCCTTGAGTCTCTTGGAGAGCCGCTCGTGCTCTTTCTGCACCAGTTCCATGACGGGATGGGCAGTTCGGGGGCGGAGTCGACGTGGGGACCACTCAGGTTACCGCTGCTCGGGCCGTGTGGACGGTGCCATGGGGAGGATGCAGGAATAGTCGAGGCTGTATCTATAGTGACTCCAACACTAATAGCCGTTGCGGAGTGGGCCGTAGGAGGCGGGCGAAGTGGTGTAGGATGTTGGTGGTGAGGCGATGACCTGCTCCAGTCCCGGGATCAACTGACGCCATGGGCACGTGACTGCCGGAGTGGATGATTCGGGGAGGGTGGGTGGTTGTATACCGGGTCCTACATCGGCGATAGTAATGTCGGCCATGGCTGGCTGTCTCGATCCCCGCGACCCAGACATTCTCCCCCCCATCCTGTCTCTGCTGTCTCTCCCGCTCTCGCTGTCCCTCGAGCTGTCCCAATCGGGTCAGGCGGTTGACTCACCCCGCTGAGTCATACCCGCTCTCGCTTACGCTAGCGCGTTTTCGCGGCCCGGTATTTAAGCAGGGGCCGCGCGGGTTCCCTTCCTTTTCTTTTCTTTTCTTCTTCATCCTAGTGCACGGGTTTTACACGCATCAGTGAGGAGACATCCGAGATCGTGTTTTTGCTAGTTGAAAACTACCAAATTGACTGCTCCAGTTGGTCTTCGGATCGTCTGGGAATTTTTGAAACACTACTTGCCCTGACAGATCCTGCTTGTTGGGATGTCAGACGGCTCTGGTCGCCACTACTTGTGTATGACTGGAGCTGGGATCGGTTCTTCTTTTCACTGCTGCTTGCCGACCCGGTTGTTGGCCTGTAGAGAAGAGAGTCTCGTTCCTGCGATTGGTTATTTTGGCTGGAGGTGTTGCCCCTTGCGAGGAAGGGAAGTGCCCTGTCCATATCTTGTAGACTGTTTCTTCTCTTAGCACAGTAGATTCACCTCCATTCATGATGTTCCGTATGCCAACTGCCCGTCCTTCTGTCGTCTCTCTGCCGTCCCTCTCATGATCCCCCCATTCGCGTCCCTTGGCTGGCTCATCCCAAACAACGGTGGTGGCATCCCAGGAGCAGGCTCTGTCGCGTCCAACGGCGGCAGCACTTGCACCTTGAACTCTTTGCGACCAGCCAGGGTCGCCTTCTCGTTCGCCAACCTTCCATGTAGCTCCCACGATCACACATACAACGATGCTGGATCTTGTACATCTTGAAATCGGGCGACACGACGCCCCCCTTCACTCGTTTCGTCGGGTCCCCGTCTAACAGGTTGGGACCCAGCAGCTCGCCCAGATCGATCTGGCCGCTTGGCACCACGGTGACCGGGATATTCATTCACATCCCGACCCAGCGCCCTGACCGCATGACGCGATATGAGGGTTACGCGGTCTCGTGCACTCGTGCAGCTCATAGTCGATTTTGACCTCGGTGATGGGCTGGCGACGCACCACCAGGGTCTCGAGTTTGATCTGCGGCGGCACTAGCAACGACTGAGCGTTGCCCTGTTCTCGTCCAAATAACAGATATTCATACTTCGCTCCATCTTCTTCGGGTCTAGAGTCGAGATCAAAGTCTAGTAATGTACCGTCGAAGGGATCGTAATCGCAAATGACCAGGAGCCGCCACTCTCGGACTGGACGGGAGGCCTTAATCTTTCATAAAGAGTCATATTGAACCTTTTTTTTTTTAAAGTGTCATCGAGTGAGGCGCAGTGTATAGATACCAGATTGAGGATATATATAGAACGATGATTTTGGATCCCACGGGGGAACCGCGCAAGTTTAGAGAGTCGACATCAAACCCAAGTTGTAGGGAACCGGTATATGTACTACTAATACTCGTTTGACAGGCACTGAGGCGCCCATACACGATACATATGTCGGGTGTAAGTGTAGGAGTGTGATCGAAATAATTATGTACTAAGTAGATCGCCGATTCACCGCCCGCCAGGGTGACGTCGGCTTCTGCAGGCTTCCGCTTTCTGTCCACTGCTTCTCTTCTCACCCCTCGAGTCTCCATCTTCCTGGACATGTCCATCCGCTGCTTCTCCCCGACCAGCACTGTCGGAGGATCGGGGAAGGTCAGCTCATTTCTTCGAGTGACCGGGTGGCGGTAGACAGCAGACGATGATGCAGCCCACTACCCCCGGCCCGTCCTCGGATCGACGGGATCCCGTGAAAGGCAGTCCCAGCTCGCTCCAGGAAAGCAACAAGCCATTCCCACAGCACGGCCACCAGCGCCTCGTCTTTACCGATCCCGTCGCCTTGCGATACCTCGAAGAAGACCCCTCGACCGATGTGCTCCATCGTCGCACAACCCTCCAGGGCTACGAGCTCTACATCGTCGAGCAATGGGCCTGCTCCCGAACCCATCCCACCTTCGTCATCTCGACCTACACCGGCGATCCCGCGCACAAGGTGATTGTCGGGGTCCTCAGCGTTCCCACCGATGAGAGTACATGGTCGCCGCGGTTGCAATTGTATTTCGATGCTGTGAAGCAGTATGGTGCGCGGAAGAAGGATACACCCCTGGGGACGGTCATGGTGACGGATCTGGGTTCATTCCCTTCCGCCCTGTCCGTCATTCCGGTGCCCGAGGGCGACATCAAGAAACACAGAGAGGATTTTATTGTCAATGAGAACTTGAAGAGACTGGGCTGTGCAGGCCGTGCCGGTCTAAAGATTCAAACGCCGTCAGCGGCTACCGAGGCCAAATTCCACCAGCTATACCGAACGAGTGAGAAGGTGCCTCTCTACCACGCCGTCTTCGAGCTGGTCAAGCAGTGTCAGGTCGCTTTGTTGGTTTTCGGCAAACTCGCCCCGGAGTACATTGATGGCCTACTCTGTGACGTGACCGAAGGGGCTGTCGCCGACTGGTGGACAGATATCGGGACGGACCTGTACAATCTTGAGCCGAGCGACGGCAACTTGGGACCAACGAGCGTGGCTGCTCTGCTGGGCACCCTTCTGGGCGCTCGGAACCGATTACATGCCTACGGAGCACCCGTAGCCAAGGATGCTTTCGACATTTCCTCGCTAAAGAGAGGAATTGGCAATTTCCAGAAATCGCAGAAGATGGCTCGGACACGGAGACTGGACCGACAAACCTTGGATCGACTCCATCGGGTCACGGCCAAGGCGGCGAACGCTGAAGGATGGACGGACGCAGTGAAATCCACAATGGCCGAGCTCAGCGGACAAGGAGGCGAGATGGTCATGGGAATGGTTCGCGGCCGCGAGAAAGGCGGTATTGCCGATATTGAAACCCTCGACCTGGACACCTTTGTACAGTGCTGCTCGGGAGAACGAGCGAAATGGTTGTGGCTGGGCAAGCCACGCAAGAGTGGGCTTGATGACCGCTTCACTCGCGGGCCAGCAGCGGACATGATGTTCACGACCGATGAGCAAGGTGGTTACGTCTGGACAAGTCAAAGGAGAAACTCGACCCAGGATTTGTTCGCTGATCGACTGGGCGCTGCATTCGACCGCCCCAGTAAGGTGTTGGAGCCTTCCTCAGAGGAAAGGGACCCGAGACGAAAAGGTGTCAGCGGACGAGTCTCGGATGCACGGGCAGGGCTGGGCCGCTTCAAGGATGCGGTTGGGTTGCCGGGTCTTCGCTCACATCACAGCAAGCCATCACGAGATGGCGTAGTGACACACGACTTAGCTTATCATCTACCGATTGACAGTGACACGGAGATACCACCACCGGCCAAGGAGCAGTCTACCTTCGCCTTGCTATCTGAACCCAAAAAGGAGATTTCAAGCCAACCACTCTCCGAGGATGACCTTGAGCCTCTAAGTGCGATCGAGTCCGACACTAAAGCACCTGAGATTCATATTCAACCTGCACCTCAAGCCCAAGATTTCGAGTCACCACCACAGCCGTCGGACCAGCGTGCAGTGGAGCAGCCTTCTCGAGGACGGGAAACGGAGTTAGACATGGACCGCACGAGAACTCGGTCCACTGCAGCGTCGAGCGAACGAGAAGAACAAGTCCCCGGACTGGCCCTCATGGCCCTACGACGGCCTCAAAGCTGTGGTGATTTCAACCAGGCCGATAAACAGCTATACCGCCGAGACAACTATTATGCTCGTCATCTGTCCTTTACTGCCGTCGAGGAAGTCGTGCTGGGCTGGGAGCCACTGATCGGCAAGGTGTCTGTTAACGACACCGCCGAAGGTACGCTGGAGGAGGCAATTATCCAAGAAGACATACTTGCCTCCGAGGCGCGGATCTTCAGCTCTCGAATGCTCGAGCTGAGTCAATACACCGCCCCCTGGGTCGAGCGGCAGGTGGATTCTGTCGATGGCCTGAACCAAATCCTGTACGACCGACATGAAGAACTCAATTCCGTCTACCTGGAACGACTGGGCGAGTTCCAACGACTCCGCGAACGATCCAGCGACCTGCTCACCGACGAGCAAGCCCATCTCGGCGACAGCGTGAAGCGCGTGGAGCTACTGGGCGCCAAACTCGACTACGAACTACATGTGCTAGAGTCCAAGGTCGAGGACGTGGAGGACGGACTGAGCGATTTCGAGCGCCACATCGTGAACGTCGAGACGAGAATGAAGGCCCTCGTCCGGAACGAGGAGCAGCACAGTGGCTCATCGTGGGTTACCTGGCTGGGCCGGTCCATTGGATTCAACATGCAGTGAAATGATCGAGAGCGTGGTTGTACGATATTTCCATTTTCCCAGATCTCCTTTCGTTCCCCACCACGTTATTGTACATAGAATATTCGATCTCGACAGACTCCTGGATAGAAAGATATGAAGTTCTGAGATTACATGCCAAAGCCCACCCCGCCACCCTGCTTGTTGGCCGCCTCGCCCTGCATCTTCTCGCTGACCTTGATGTTGACGTCGAAGAACTTGGACACGCACCGGTCCAGACACACGGACTCGCCCTTGTTTAGGTCGCCTTCCCGGTAGTCGGTGGGGACGCACTTCTTGGTGCAGGACTCGGTCAACCTAAGGGATTGTCATGGGTTAGTTTCTCTTCCTTTGGTGTGATTGCTGGAGTCAAGGCAAGATCTTTCTTTCGTACCGGTTGAACATGTCGGAGATCATCTCGACCTCGGTCTCAGCGGCAGCAATCTTCTCTGCCGAGGACATCTTGGGGGCACCGCCGAAGAGGAAGGACATTTTGATAGCGTGATGGAATGATAGGTCCGAATCAGTGGGAGTGGTAGTTGTTTCGTTGTTGCGCCGGAAGTCATCATGAGCGAGGTTCAGCCAAGGCGGAAAGAAGCTTGGACCCACCGAACCCGAATTTTCTTCTTCTCTTCCTTCCTTTAACACTTTCCCAACCATCATGCATTCAGTGCGCCCTCGGGCACTGTGGTCAGGCTTCGGCCTACAGAGGAGGTAAGAACCATGTCTTTCTTTCTTTTTGACTCTCCAATTTTTCATGATGATATTTTCCCATTTGCTTCAGAACCGCTGCAACTGATGCTCCTCGCGGGCACATGAACTCACCGGAACTCCATTTCTGACCTCATTTTTTTGCTTTTCCCATTGAACCATACAATTCTTGGTTGTGTGCCCTGGCTGACCCAGAGCTTTAGCACAGGATTGCGTCCCTATCTCCAGACCCCCCGACACCAACAACAACTAACCAAGCAGCCCCTGCGGAAAGGTAGCACGACCGCGTCCTCTCCCGAAAAGGCATTCCAGGAGCGACTGCACGAAATCAGCAATGCCTGCGCAGACCCATATCCGCGCCTTGCGGTCGATGCGCGCTCTCTGAGCTGTGCGCAGTTCCGCGCGCGGTACAGTCAGCTGGCCGTTAACGAATCAGTAGAGGACACGGTCGTGGTCACTGGTAGGTTTTTTGCAGCCATATAATCAATGTCATGCCATGTATACTTAGATTAGCTTAGGTAGGATCCGTACCTATAGACTCGCGGGGAGCAAATTGATCTTCTTCGATATCTTGCAAGATGGACACAAGTTGCAGGTAATGTGCAACCAGCGCCGACTGGACGGCGTGAAGCCTGAGCAGTTCAAGCGGCTGTACCGTCTGCTGCGAAGGGGAGATACCTTTTGTATGATTTTCTTCGATCCTGTCTTGTCTACCTTAACCCTAACTAAACCCATATCAAAGCTATCACCGGCAAACCGCACCGGACTGGCCGCGGCGAACTCACCATCGAGACGACGGAACTGCCTCAGCTGCTCTCGCCGTGTCTGCACGATATCCCCGTCCACGACTCCACACATGAAACCTCGCCGTACCCACGCCATGTCCAGTTCCTGGCTGATCCCGCTGTCGCGGATATCATCCGGGCCCGGTCGTCGATCGTCCAGTACCTGCGTCAGTTCTTTCTGGACCGATCGTTCATGGAGGTCAACACCCCGATTCTGGGGGCTGTTGCCGGCGGTGCAGTTGCGCGTCCATTCTATACATCAGCCACGGAATTCTCCGAGCGGCAGCTGTCGCTGCGAATTGCGCCAGAACTGTGGCTGAAGCGGCTGGTTGTCGGTGGGTTCGACAAGGTCTTTGAGATTGGCCCATCGTTTCGCAATGAAGGTGTGTATGTCTTTATGGGAACGTTGAACCAAATGCTAACGGACGAGCGCTAGGTCTGGATAAAACACACAACCCCGAATTCACCACCTGCGAATTCTACCACGCATACGCCAACCTCGAAACCCTCATGTCCATGACCGAGGACCTCCTCTCCGGCATGGCCGCCCACATCCACGCCTTCAATGAGAAATCGGGAACCCTCAATCCCACACCCGTTAACTTCACCGCGCCCTTCCGCCGCATCGACTTCATCTCCGGCATCGAATCCCAAATCAACCGCAAACTCCCCGATCTGACCTCACCCTCCGCTCTCTCTGAAACCCGCCACCTATTCGACGCCCTCTCCCTTCCCCTCCCCGAAAACCCAACCCTCCCGCGCCTCCTCGACGAGCTAGCCGCCATCTACCTCGAGCCCCAATGCAAAGACCCAACTTTCCTCATCAATCCGCCAGAATGCCTCTCCCCACTCTCCAAATCTTTTATTCATCCAACCACGCACCAGCGCGTTGCGGCGCGCGGGGAACTTTTCATCGAAGGCAAGGAGGTCGTCAATACCTATGAAGAAGAGAACTCGCCGTTTGAGCAGCGCCGCAAGTTCGAGGACCAGCAGCGGTATTCCAGGGAATCCGGCGAGCCTGGTGAAGTCGATGAGAGTTATCTCGAGGCGCTGGAATGGGGATTACCCTCGACTGGAGGGTGGGGGTGTGGTGTTGATCGGTTGGTGATGCTGTTCACGGGAGCGCAGCGCATTGGGGATGTATTGCCGTTTGGGAATTTGAGGGCTGTGACGAAAAAACCGACGGGGGATAATAATCAGTAAGGTGATACGATAGCATAGTGTAGAATATACACAGATACAACACAATTTCTATGTACGACGTATACAGTATGAACTAATTATGGAGGATATCCGCTGCTAAGCGTCCAGCCCTCGTTCGGCGCGGCCCGATCTCGCGGGGAAAGAAAACTTTCTCCTTCACCCAGTTTCAACATCATGACGAAGGGAATCCAGGACGCAACGGTGGCCCAGGCGGTTACGGTGAGCCTGCAGGAGCTGATTGACGGTACGTTCCAGGAGTTGCAATGCGAATGAATTTTAATATCTATAAAATCATCTCCGATCTAATAATGCGGACGCCGTCCACCCCACAGGCACTGTCTCCTTCGACACGCTGACCGAAGCCTTCGGGCCGTCCTCCCTGGGGATTATCGTCGTTAAGGACCTCCCAGCGGACTTTGTGAAATTGCGCGCCCAGGTCCTCTCCAATGCGTCGTATCTCGCTGCTCTTCCCGCCGAGGAACTAGGTGAGCCATCCAACCTCCATTCCCAGCTATCACAGCAAAGAACTAACGAACGAACCACCCAAAGAATCCCTGGAAAGCCCCGAATCCAAGTACCTCGTTGGCTGGTCCTGCGGCAAAGAAACCCTCAAGACAGGGCACTTCGACACGCTGAAGGGATCCTACTACGTCAACTGCGCCTTCTACCAAGACCCCTCTCTGCAAAGCGCACCAGCAGACGGTTTCCCGGATTTGCCGCAGTACACAGCGCCCAACATTTGGCCGTCTGGCTCGCGTCTGCCCGGTTTTCAAGACGGGCTCGAGCAGCTCTGCGCGCTGATTATTCGCACCGCGGCGCTCGTTGCGCAGGCTTGTGATCGCTACGCTGAGGCTAATATCGACGGCTACAAACCTGGTTATTTGCATCATGTCGTTACGACCAGTTTGACTACCAAGGCGAGGCTGTTGCATTATTTCCCGGCGCCGGAGACAGAGGCGCAGAAGGGCTCTGGGCGTGAGGGTGAGGGTGAGGATGAGGATGAGGATGATGATGATGATGATGATGATTGGTGTGCTACCCATATCGACCATGGCTGTCTGACGGGTCTCACGTCGGCAATGTTCCTCGACGAAGCTGCTTCGCCTCCTACTCTACCTGCATCTTCATCTTCATCCTCCCTCCCTCTCCTCCACGAACTCCCCCGCTCGCCAGACCCGCAGGCAGGCCTCTACATCGCCTCCCGCACGGGCGATATCGTCAAAGTCAACATCCCCAAGGACTGCCTCGCTTTCCAAACAGGGGAGGCCCTCCAACTCATCACGCAGGGCAAGTTCCGTGCCGTCCCACACTTTGTGCGTGGTGCGCGGCGCCCGGACACGGCGGAGTTTAGGAATGCGAGGATTGCGCGCAATACCCTGGCTGTTTTTACCCAGCCGAATCTGGCGGAGGAGGTGCAGGCGGGTGTTTCTTTTGCAGAGTTTGCCAGGGGGGTTGTGCAGAGGAATTATTAAGCATTCTACATTTACATCTACATTTATATCTACTTTTGAGAGTCATTTCAGTTCAGTTCAGTTCATTTCGAGATCTAATTGTACATTTTGGGGAAGTGGTGTAATGCAATGCTATGCTCGCTAACTGATTCGAGGAAGGGGATCATGGGGGTATCTGTTCATAAACATCATGGGGTTTGCACGAGTGTAAGATCAACTCGAGAATAGAATAGGGGGTGCTCATGCGTTACCGGGCTGGTATTCGCCGAGCTCGGTCTCTTCAGTTCCTCCACGGAAATTGAGCAGCTGCGGTTCACCTCGGAAGGGATCCTCCTGTTCGCTCGAGCTGGACTCGGCCCCGGACTCGCTGTCGACGGGAATGGCATTACCGGGACCGTTGCCGCTGACGGTGTGTGCGCCGTGGAGTCTCTGCCGTTTGCCGCTCTCGGACTTCACTTCTTTCTCTTCCTTCTTTACATCCTCCTCCTCCTCATCATCATCGTTAGAGACTTGCCCCAAACCCGTGCTAATAAGCTTGCTCGTCTTGCCCAGCTTTTGAAGTTCCGAGTCCTTCTTGAACGGACGGGCACGCTTTCTAGGGAGACGGGCATCGCGCTCGTCAGTAGAAGTCGCGTTGCCGTCCAGAATCCGGAAGATAGCTAGCCAGGGTCTCATGTGGATGGGGTGGTTGGGATCGTACTCGACCTCGAGATTGGGATCCCGTCGCTGCTCGGCCGCCACGCCAACATCATATCCGTTCACACTCTCCAGCCCCAATGTCTCTGCGCGGTAATCGCCCCAGAACCAGGTGCTACGCTCTGGCATGCGGGAATCGGCGATGCGGGAGTAATCGCGGCCCGCAAGGATAGCTGACAAGTCATTTCCGAGGTTATGATTTCCCCAGTGGAACAAGTGAGCATCAGGATCGTAGCACCGGCCGAGAATCACGTCCTGCGATACAACAACCGTCTTGCCATCAGCCACGCGGTACCAGCGGCCGTATTTGTTCATGATGTTCAAGTTAAATGCGGTGGCCACCTCTTCCATCGACATGGATTGTAATGGGATATTCCCAAATACCGCGGTGTCGGGTCGATCTTTCTCGAGAGTGTAGATTTTGCCCTTGATTCGAGCGCTATACTGGGCTGCCAGCTGCTCATTATCCGGATCGTCAATGCAGTCCTGCAAATGCACTTCGATCTTTTCAATAACCATCACATCAGTAACTTGAGAAAGGCTGGTTCCATCGCGCGAAAGCGGACGGAGTCGCGCCGTGTCGCCCACAGCTAGCAGCTCTGCGCCGATCCAGATTCCCTTGCAGAAGATGGAGGCGTTCGGCCATGTACCCTTGAAGCGGTAGCGGGATACGACACTCCACGAGGCCATGGTCATCATGGCGTTTTCGACAGACGGGTCCCACTTCTTGCGAGGAATGGTACGCAGGAAACACTGCCAGAAGCCGAACGGCTTGATACAACTCAGCGGGAGATATTTGTAGTGCAGCGAGGCAGACTTGTCATCCTCAATGGGATGCGGAAGGGTTTCAACCCGGAAAAGAGCAGAGGTCCAGTCTTTGAATCCTTTGTTCGAGGCCAAGTTTCCTGGTTTCCTATCCTCGGGTGTGATGATTTCCTGGCAGAGGATTTCTTCCAAGGGTGTCTGCGTGATAATACCAGCCAGCCATGTAGGTTCGCGGACCCATTTACCCTTGTCATTGCGGACCATGAGGGTTTCGGTATCTTGGTTGAATTGGAGGTATTCACCCGGCTTGAGAGACGACGGAGTCCAAAGCACCGTCTCCCCGTGGCGGGGGAGGAAGGCAGGTTGGAGGTTCAGCAGTTCAAAATACTCCGTGAGGCGATCGTTGGTGAAACGCCAGTCCATGTTCATGCGCTCTTCGATCAACTCGTCGATTTTTCCAGGAGCCTTGGTCTTCATGTTTTTGATAGCAACCCTGAACACATCGACATCGGTTGGGACACTGCGGTCTCGAACCTGGCGAGCGCGAACAGGAATCATGCTGCGGGCTGTGAAAAGGGTTAGACTGTGATCTCAGCTGAATGGCAAAGGAGAATAGCATACCCTGCGTCTGAGGTCTGGTATCAGAAGGTTTTGCTCTCCCACAGAGGTCACAAGGGCAGTTGGCAAGAGTGTTGGTCATCAAAGCAAAGAAGTGTGGGTAGAAGCGAATCCGCGATTGGAAATACTTTCCGCTGGGATGGCCGAAGAGAAATTTGTCGCGCTGTCGGGAACAACGTTAGACATGTGTCAAGTACCCAGCACGAGAACAACAGCAACAACAACATACGTACAGGGCCTTTCGGGTCGCCCCCGCGGGGCGGTCACAGAGCAGGTAGCCCTCTGGCAGGCTAGGGATGGTGTAGGTAAGGCCATGAGGAGGGTGGAAGTTGGTGGCAGTCACATTCACATCTGGGCAGATTGTTAGCCAACGCTCCGCCGTGCCTGCAAACTGGCGTAAAGCCATGGATGTAAGTAGAAACTTACTCGCGCCGATCTCTCCAAGCACTCCGATATCCTTCATCCACATCATAGCGAGACCATAGCACCAGTTCGTAATATCGGCCATCTCATAACGTGCATCGCCCTCCTCAGGCCAGCAGTCCTCGTTTCCATCACTGACGCCCTCAAGCGGGACGACAATCTGGGTAGAATCTTCTTCGGATTGGGAGGACATTGTGTGAGCAATAGGAGAAAGCTAAAGACCAGTGAACCGAAAGAGGAGGACCGTGTAGAGGAGTAGAGGGTCCATATTAAGAAGGATAGAGAGCTGCTGCTGTCTCAAGCTACTCGTTTGGACGACGTGATTCTTGGCGATAACAAGTCACGTGGAGATAAGCCAAAGCTTTGGGGAAAAAACAGTATTCCTCATCAGGTAGGCCTGACTAGGAAACATCGTTACCTTAATTGGATAAAAAGGTGACTATTGATTCTTGTCTTATTTAATAATCATATATACTAACTATGTCCTGTCCATCAATTAGCGGTTTCCTCAATAGGACCCTCTGACAGGGGCTGCTCTTCTTCCTCCTGGTAAGGCGGCGGCGCAATTTCGCCTTCACTAGTCCAGACCTTGCGGAGTTCATTCTCGATCTCCTCACGGCGCATCTTCCATTCATCCACGCGATCGAGCCGTTTGCGCAGCTCTTGCAGCTCTTTCTCAACGCCAAGCTTCTCCTTCTCCGTGCCGATCCGTTCAAACTCCCACTGCTCGCCTTCAGCGCCGAGTCCGAGAATGAGATTATAGGTGTGGTATTTCTTGAGGGATGCGCGAGTTGAGATGGTGATGAGCGTGATGCCTCGCTCCTTGGCTCGCTCGTACAGCACACCCTCGACATCGGAAGAGACGGCTGACGTGCCTTCGTCGATGAATGCATACCGCGGCTCGTGATAGAACAGTCTCGCCAGGCCCATGCGCTGCTTCTCGCCGCCGCTGAAGACGTCCTTCCACTCCTTGCGAGCGTCCCAGCCGCCTTCGCGCGCAGGAAGATACCCCAGATGCGCGGCATCGAGGATCTTCTGCAGGTCGGCGTCGGAGACTCCGCCCTCGCGCATGTCGATCTCGGTATGTGGATAGATGACTTGATCGCGCAGGGTGCCTACACTCAGATAGGGCCGTTGGGGAAGGAACATGATGCCATCAAGCCCAAACCCTCGCGGCCGGCTGACCAGACCGCGATACACGGGCCACAGTCCTGCCACAATGCGGGGAATCGCAGACTTGCCCACGCCATTGGGACCGGAAATAAGAAGATGATCGCCAGAATGCACGATGAAAGACAGTGACTCGATGAGCTCTTCACCTCCGCGTGGGTGGAGAGATGGTGCGACTACCGGGACCTGCTCCAGGCGAACCCCGTCGAAGCCGTTGTGGATAGTTCCTTGCGAATCCGCAAGAGAATAAAATTCAGGGTGTGTGCCTCGGGGCATATAGTATGCATTGGCGTGAACGCGGTGCAGGGTGGCAATCAGACTGTACACCCGCGAGGTGTATCCGGCTAGTTCAGAGATATCCTTGATGCTGTACATCATGCGGCCACCTGCATCGGCCAACGAAAGCATGAGGCGCTTGTTCGTGATGAACTCCTTCATTCGGCCTCGCTCGCGGCCCATGCCTTCGGGTGCATCGGCCAATTCCATGGCACCACCCATGCCGCCCCAGGCGGGAAGGAAGATAGGCAGCGAGGTGACGAGATAGCCAAAGGCTGACCACGAGTACTTCAAAATCATATCTTCGAGCATGTTGTACCGGATCTTGAGGCTGTAAATGCCTTCCATCCAGCGCTGGAGGTCCTTGAAGCTGCGGACCAGGAAGACTCGCTCGATATCGGCTCCGCCGTAGAACGAGATCTCTTCCGCATTGGCCAAAAGTCGAGAGTGCAGACCGCGGAAGTCGCCTTCCCTTTTGCCCTCGACGGCCTTGAGCTTTCCGAACGGCGGTGATAGCTTCCGGAGTACCACGGCTGTACTGAAATATCCAGTGAGAATCCCGCTCAGGGCCAGCGGCCCGAGTGAACGGTACAGCTGGTAGTTGAACACGAACAGATCCACCAGAGGCTTGCCCAGGGACGAGTACAGCGCCGCAGCGGACGAACAGAACAGCGTGAGATCTTGCGTGATGAATTGATCGGGACCATGGCCAATGCCTCCGTCCAGATTCATCAACTTGTAATAATTGTTGTTGTCGGTCAGGTAGAGGTCATGGATATACCTCGTCAACCGAGTCCGGAAGGCGATCGAGACCTTGGACTGAAGGAATTTGATCATTGCATTGGTGTACGATGCGAGGGTTCCAATACCGCACCACTTGACAATGCCCCAGGTGAAGGCACGGCCTTTGCCGGCAACCAAATCTCTGACAATCTCACCATCCAGCCGTGCAATCAGTAGCGAGAGATATGTTCTCAGCAAGAGAAACACGCCGTGGCTCATCAGCAGGCCAGTTTCTTTGCTTCCCCATCGCGGGACCATGATGCTGCCGAGACTGAGAAATTGATGCAAGAAGGCCAAGTTCAGACCTGGTTTCGTTGTCGGTGGGGGGATTTGGGTTGTTGAGCCATCATCTTTGGCCCGCGCGGATGCTGGGGGGTTCAGGAACAGTCGTCGGTGCGCATCGAAGGTGGTCGGCTTGGTCGGGTGGATCAGCACCTTGGAGGTCTTGGATCCCTTGTAGGGAACATAGATGGTCCGCGACCCATCTTTACCCCGGATCCCCGAGTTTCGACGCAGCAGACGGCGGCCCTGCGCCCGTTCTTTTGCTCGTTCCCGGAACCAGGTGTAGCCACCGTATCCTGACCCGATGATGGACAGGAGCAGTGTGATGGTGGCGATGATTCGAGTTGTGCGGGAGCTTTGGCGAACGCGTGTACGCAGCAGGTCGGAGTAGTGGAGGTATAGCGCCAGGAGGGGATCCTGCGGGCGCCGAAGCGTCGACTGGGCGGCCATGCTGATGCCCGATGTGAAGTGTCTCGGTGTCCTGAGATGCCTCAATGGCGGGTGGTTGTTTTACATATGGGGGGTGGAAGCCATGCTCCCGATGCCTGAGCAGTGCAGACCAAGAAGGAGAGGAAGCAGACAAGAGGAAGGAAGCAACTACATCATGGCATGTGAACAGCCTCGGTGCCGGAGAAACTCACGTGGCCGGGGTAATCGGGTCACGTGGTGGATCCGTAATCTGTGTTTTGTTGGAGAGTCACGATCTGAAATCTCCATCCGTTGATGACTAGAGTATGACATGGCAGGAGGAAGGAACCTAGAACGCCTTCACAGCGAACACCATAGAATTGTGCCCCTTGAGTGACCGGAACATTGGAATCCGCTAGTAGTGAATCCTTCATTTCCTCTAGTCACGTGTGCTGTCACCCAGGGTCGTACTCACGACGACGAGAGGTGATTGTGGAATAATTGTGGTTCTTATTATGGGGTAGGCCAATAACGAGTTCTGGTATATCCACCGTTCCCAAGGCGTAAACTCGATAAACTCCAATAGATGTGGATCAGGCAAGCATAGCTACGATGTCCTGTCCTATAATGAGGAACACTAGGATAAAAATAAGTCTCACTATCGTCAAGCTTCTTAATAATGGTAGCTTTGGCCGCGTCACCATCATTACATGACCATCTGCACGTTGTGCTGAACCACCTCGTGGGTGATGGGCCAGGGAAAAGGGGCCTGTGCAGCCAGCGAGCCAGTGGTGAACATCCCAGTGGAGCTCGATCTGATCGGACGCTGATGACTGTTATTTGTGCGAAAATCATACTGGCTCTGGTCCAGGCCCAACTAGTCTCAGGGGCTGGTCCAGGGTACTTGGCTCGTCCCTTCACCCGGCCCGGAGGAGGAGGTACCTGGTACATACTGTCGCGATGTGACGACCACTCTGATTAGAGCACTAGCCGCCGAGGGCTGAAGAGGGAGGTACTATACCGTAATCCTAGTTGAGCTCGTAAATTATGGCCCCCCCAGACAGACAGAAAAGCAACTCCAGGGCTTCCAGACCACGTGACCTCGTCGACTCCTCTTCTCGCCCTCCACCCCCGAGCACTTCTTTTCGTCCCATCGGATCTTCCCACCGTTTCTTGTTGATTTCTCTGAGCCTGAGTGTGTTGCTGCCATCCTTGGCTTGTTCAACAGCACATAGTGTTGGCTGATTATCTGGGGGGCTCGTTGAAAGGTGGTACGTGCTGTGTTCCAACGCCAGAGAGCTCAGGGCGCTTGCTTATCCAGGAGGTCGGCCCATGTTCATAGCCGCACTCCCTCATTCCTCGTGCCGGTGAGCCACCTTCTGGTCTGCTGCTGCATCCCCTCGAGTGCTTGTGCACTACTGGATCCTTTGCACTGGACAGCCTTCCGTCGCAGCTGCCCCCGATGCGTGGCGCGAGCACGGGGCGAGACTCCTCTCCCTCAGCTCCGCCTACCCAAGCGCCCATGAATTCCACCCCTGGACAGTCGGACTCGAACAGTAAGTCGATGCGCTTGACCCTTCTTCCGCTCTGTTGGCGCCTAGAGAACATTGCCCCCCTGACGCGTTTCGTTCTCCAGATCCTGAATCACCCCCAGGTCCAAGTCGCGCTGCCGCCGAGGAGGCCGAGATACAGCCCACCGAGCAGTCACACCAGGCTTCATCTTCTGTCGCATCAGCATCGAGTCCTCCCGAGGCTGCTGAAAGTGCAGACGCGCCGAAGAAGCACCACCTGCTGATTCCCATGCCGTCCCGACGCTCCTCGAAGAAGGCAGACAAGTCCTCCGTGTCGGAACAGACCGAAGAGACTGAACGCAAAGAGCCGACTCGGCGACCTTCGAAAGTGAACATCTTGAAAGCTGGCAGAGACCGGAGTAGGGCCAGCAGTCGCCGGTCGCGCCGGACGCAACAGGACGTGGCGAATGTGGAAGAGAGCAAAGAAACTCCTGCGCCCGCGGTGAACGGTCCCGCGAGACCCCAGAAGAAAGTCCCTAACAAGTTGTTTGCTTTCCTGAGTTGCTGTTCTTCCCCGGACGTTGATGCCGACGATGCGACCCTGCCCGCAAAGAAAACTACCAAGCGACAACCGGCCTCCAATCGGCTGCCCACCCCCGATAAGGCGGAAGTCCACAATGGCGACTCGAGCACGGCCGAGTCGAGAGACCCGGCATACTTTGGTGACGAGAAAGCGAGCTTGACGGTCAGCGCAGACCAAGCGCAGTCTCAGGCCGAGGAGGAGCGCAGTTCAGCTGCGACTGATGTGCGGGCAACTGCCGCGGGGCTCAGCCAGCCTGAGTCCGGCGCCTCCCCTGCGTCCAAGGAACAATCCGAGGATCATGCTGCCAATGGGACGATAGCCGCGTCGAAAACGGAGGGTGTTCCGCTATCAAACGAGCCACCCAGTCCGGTGCCTGAAGAGCCGGCCGCAGAAGCAACGTTGTCCAAGAGTTCAGGCGACGGTGTTGATGAGTCGTCCCATGAAGAGGTGGTACAGTCGACGACCGTTCTTCCCCCGCCGCCACCACTGGCGCCGCCCGCTCCCCAAGTTCACTCTGGAACCGACGAAGAACAACAGTGGTTGTTGGGGCCTCCGCCACCTCACCTCAAAAATCGAAAATGCCTTGTCCTTGACCTTGATGAGACTCTGGTTCACAGCAGCTTCAAGGTAAATAAATTCTTTTCCGGCAACGTTGCTAGTACTCACCTTTGATATAGGTCCTCGAACGCGCCGACTTCACTATCCCAGTGGAGATTGAAGGCCAGTATCACAATATCTACGTGATCAAGCGGCCAGGTGTGGATCAGTTCATGAAGCGCATGGGCGAGTTGTATGAAGTAGTAGTGTTTACTGCATCTGTTTCCAAGGTAGGTACCAATCCCCCCTTCTACCACTACATGCGCTGATTGTGTTCCAGTACGGTGATCCTTTGCTGGACCAACTGGACATCCACAATGTGGTCCATCACCGGTTATTCCGAGAGAGCTGTTACAATCACCAGGGGAATTATGTGAAGGTCCGTATCATCTGAGCGAGGAGCAATAGCAGACTCTGACTATCATGCAGGACCTTTCCCAGGTCGGACGAGACCTCCGGGAAACCATTATTATTGACAACTCCCCGACGTCCTACATCTTCCATCCCCAACACGCGATACCCATCAGCAGCTGGTTCTCTGACGCGCACGACAACGAGCTGCTTGACCTTATCCCCGTCCTGGAGGATCTGGCAGGGGCGCAAGTCCAAGATGTTAGCATGGTCCTGGACATCACCCTTTGAAGGTCCGGGCAGTACGCCTTGAGATTCCAGTTTTTGAGCGAGTTCTTTTCTCTTACATGCGCGAAAAGCCTCTGTTCCAGCATTTCTTTCTCTCTCTGTCTGGGGGTTTACTTTCTTTTGGCCCCTCACCCTCAAGGGAACTGGTCTCCCTTGACATGACCGGCGGCATCTATTGCATTGTTGTTCTAGGATTGCCACTTAGCCTGGCATCTTGTTGACATTTTGCATCTGTGTGATTCCATTTGACTTGACCAACGCTCCCAGCGAGCCGGATTCCCCCCTTTTTCTTTCCTTGTTGTTGATTCGATTCCCTGACGCGCTCTGAAATCCTTTCTTCTTGTCTTCCCTGTCCAAGTCCTCTTTCCGTTGTTTCCTATGCATCCCGCAGGCGTCCATTGGTTCTCATGTCAATGCTGTACCCTCAGCCAGCCTTTTCTTTATTACTTGTCTGCCTCGCTACCTACACTGCCAGCCGGTTCTCGAAACATCCCCCTCAATCCATCCTGCTTCGTTCCGAACCCTCCCCAGTGAGCGGTTTAATAGGCCCCCTCCCTCCGTGCCGCCACTACGAGGAAGGACGCCTCCTGTTGGATAGTATTGATCGAAACTACAATGTACATGACCATGAACCCCGCCCTGGCTGCCGCTGTAGTTATGTCTGTATATAGTCGTATAATCGCTGGTTAAGTTTATGTTATCGATAAACCATGCGTAGTCAGCCACTCCAAAACTCCCAAAAAAAAAGCTCCCCGCATCATCGTCATCCCACCCGCTCACACCTCCAGCCACAACTCGCAATCATGAAGAACAAGGAAGGCTGGGACGGAAAACTTCGCATGGAGCCCCACGCTGTACTGGCTAACCCGGAGGCCCTGGAAGATTCCGATTACTCGGATCCTGACGCGCCGCCCGTGGACGAGATCGAGGCCGATGAGGGTGAGTGGGCATGGCGGTCTCCTCTCCCCCAACACGGAGGGAATGAATGCTGATAACCCGGCAGATCTACTCGCCGATGAGGATCCAAACACAGAGGAAATTGATATGGTACATTGTCGCATAACCTCCCTCGCAGCGCTCCGGTTAGAGCGCTTTACAAAACTTCAGGTACTCCCACTGCTCCCTCTCCTCTCTCAAACCAACCCCATACTGATACTAGGATGAAACAGAGACTCTGCTTCCGACAAAACCAAATCACCAAAATCAACTTCCCGCCCAACATCGCCGCCTCCCTCACCGAGCTCGACCTTTACGACAATCTCATCTCGCACCTCAAGGGCCTCGACGAGTTCCGCGATCTCACGAGTCTGGATCTCAGCTTCAATAAGATCAAACATATCAAGAATGTGGCACATTTGACAAAACTGAGGGACATCTTCTTCGTGCAGAACAAGATCTCCCGCATTGAGGGCTTGGAAGGGCTGACCCAGTTGCGAAATTTGGAGCTGGGCGCGAATAAGATTCGGGTGTGTCTCTCCCCCTCTTTCTGGTTGTGGATTGATCTGACCTGTGGGCTAGGAAATTGAGAATCTCGAGACCCTCACGGCTTTGGAAGAGCTGTGGTTGGGCAAGAATAAGATCACCGAGATGAAGGTACTTTATCCTCCCACTTTCGGGAACTTCCATGGAACTGACATCGTTATAGAACCTAGACCATCTAACAAACCTCCGCATCCTCTCCATCCAATCCAACCGCCTCACCAACCTAACAGGCCTCTCCTCCCTCCCACACCTCGAAGAACTTTACTTCTCGCACAACGCCGTCACCGACCTCTCCGGCTTAGAATCCAATACGGGCCTCCGCGTCCTCGACTTCTCCAACAATCAAGTCTCAAATCTAACGCATCTCTCGTCCCTCAAAAATCTGGAAGAACTGTGGGCGTCGAACAACCAACTCTCCAGCTTCGAGGAAGTGGAGCGCGAGCTGAAAGATAAGGAGAAGCTGGAGACTGTTTACTTTGAAGGGAACCCGTTGCAGACTGCTGGTCCCGCGGTTTATCGAAATAAAGTCCGGCTGGCGTTGCCGCGGATTAAGCAGATTGATGCTAGTATGTATATGTTTCGTCTTGATCAGGGATGATTTTGCTAACGTGATTGTTCTGCCCAGCTTTCGTTCGGGTTTGATTCACATGTGGGATTTTCCCATGTATGTGCCAGTAATGGCTCCGGTGTTCTGTCGGTTTTTATAGCCCTTTGCTGCAGCCAATACAGACGATGCGATGTGCTGCTAGACCGTGGGTCAATAGCGTAGACGGTCCGATTTGTGACGCGGGTATCCGACCTGAGCCGCTGGCTCTGCTCTCTAGAGCGACGCGTATCTGGCTGTCGGAAAGGGATTCGTAGACTCCTTGCGGCGGGGCAGAGTCTGCATAGGTAGCTCCTCGATATGTTCGAAGGTGTTGTTCTCAGAGGATTCTCCTCCCAGCAGCACCGGCTCCAATTCACCCAATATCCTTCCCGCCCTTCTTCGGCTCCTTTTCAATATCCCGCGTCCTATCCTCCCTCCCCATCTGTTGGTCCTGTTCCTCAATGTCCATCCCCTGCCCCTTCCTCCAAAGCCCCATCAAGCTCCCCGCGCCCAGTGCCTTCGAATTCTCCGCAATCTTCTCCTTCACCGCATTCGAGATATAATACTTTTTGCTCGCAAGCACATCCGCTAATTCCCGTAGCGGGATCGCGGTTTCTTTGCCCGTCAGATCCTCGTAGTGCGGGTTCTTCTTGTAGACGTTGTATGTGCTGTGGAACGGGTTGCGGCGAAGGTTGCGCGCGTGGTTGTGGTATGAAGGGGAGATGGTGCATGTTAGCGCTGTGGGAGGAGTGTTCGCAGAGGAGGTGGTGCTGAGGGATGAGAAGAGCGAGGAGAGAGATGTTTTCTCTGGCGGCGAGAGCGGGATGGTGATGGGCGACGCGGAGATGGCGCGCTCGGCTGCGTCGGGGGTGCCGAAGATGGCGAGTATGGATTCGTCCTTTTTGGGGTTCGTGTTGAAGACATCGTACTGGTTCATTTGTCAGTCTGTTTGTAGAGAGTGCTGGGGCTGGTTAGACTCACCTTCAGGTTCCGAAATGTCACCACCTCGCCGAACTTTTGCAGCGCTGCCAGCACCAGCTTACTATCGCCCAGTTTGCGCGGCACGGGATGTGTGGTGATGTGCACCTGAGCGCGCGTGATGGTCGAGGGGGAGGCCATCGGGATTAGGAGTAGAGAGGTTGTGGAGGGAAAAGAGAAGAAGTTGTGATCAATGAAGTGCCGATCCAATAATTCTTGGCACTTTTCTATTTAGCCTCAAAACTACAACACACAAGGTGACCAAAAATATCATTTTATCATTTTATATACACAATCCGAATAAAAAGTAAGTCGTCATCAAGCGTCGGGACTCGTCATGCTCTAGGACCATTTCTTGACATCTAGAAAATGGGGACATAGAGGCCGTACTATATAGATCATCATCAGTATCTACTCCAACATTACAGAAAAAGAGGGGGAAGACTCACAGCAAGGGGGTCATTGAAACGCAGACCCTTGTCCAGAGCACTGATCGAGTCAATCTCGGCAGCGTCCAGCTCAAAGTCCGTGACCTGGAGGTTCTGCGCCAGACGAGTCGGGTTGTTGCTCTTGGGAATGACGGCAATCTTGCGCTGCGTAGCCCAGCGCAGCAGCACCTGCGCCGGGGTGCGGCCGTGCTTCTGTGCAATAGCAGTGATAGCGGCGTGCTCAAACAGCAACGGCGTATCCTGCGCATCCTTCAAGTTCAGCTCGAGGAAGCTGAGCGGGCCGAACGACGAGTACGCCGTGACGGTCAGGCCCTCCTTCTGCGCATACTCGACCAGCCGCTTCTGGGTCAGGTAGGGGTGGTGCTCGATCTGCAGGGTAGCCGGGCGGACACGCGCATACCGCAGCAGATCCATCAGCAGCTGGGCGCTGAAGTTGCTGACGCCGATGCTGCGGGCCAGCTTCTGGTCGACCAGCGTCTCCATGGCAGTCCAGGTCTCGCGGATGCTGGCCGAGCTGAGCTCCAGCTTGTCGTCGGCGGACATCCAGCCTGGCGGGTAGCGCACCGCTGGGTCAACGTACTTGAGCGCGATGGGGAAGTGCACGATGTACAGATCGAAGTAGTCCACGCCCCAGTCGGCGAGCTGCTTGCGGCAGATCGGCTCGACCTTGTCGCCATCATGGAAGCTGTTCCACAGCTTCGACACGATGAACAGCTCCTCGCGCTTGACCAGGCCGTCTTTGATTGCGCGTGCCACACCCTGTCCGGCCTCAACCTCGTTGCCGTAGTCTGGCCGGCTGTGTCAGTTTCTAGAAATCTCATATATACTGTGAAAGGAGACTCACCGCAGGCGCCGTCAAAGCAGCGGTAGCCGGCCTTAATGGCATTGTAGATCTGGTCCGCGCAAGTGTCATTGTTGACCTTCCACAGGCCGAAGCCCACAAGGGGCATTTCGAATCCGCTGTTCAGCGTGACGGTGGGAGCAACCATGGTGAGTGATAGGGAGTGTGTGACAAAAAAGAGGGAAAAAAAGAGGAAATCTGACCGGATCCACGACAAGCGAGGGACGAGTGTCCTCTTAAACTTACATTTACACGGTGCCACACTGCTGATGGTCCAGGCTAAATGCCCGAAGCATCCAGGACTAGCGGCGGGTAAAATGCACGGCTAAATTCATCTATGGAACCTCGCCACTGATTTACCCCGGGCCCTCCGGAGAATCATGCAAGAGGAAGATCGTAACTATTATTATTTTCCAGAAATCATTTTGGTCCTGTCCGGACGCCACATCCTTCCCCAGACCCCGAATAAATAAGTAGAAAAATCACATCGTATGAGCGTACATGAGAGTTCCGAGACACAGTAGTACATAATTATCATTACCAATAAAGAGCTTATCTCTTATCCAGGGGAAATATTTCCTAGACGGCATCCACCGCGTTCTCTCCGTAGCCATTACCGGCATGGTCGGGGCCCGCCCCGTGAGCATGGATGCCCGGCCCGGGATTCGACATGCGTCCGACGATCTTGTCCATCAGGTCGTCGCCCGGCATAATGCCGTCGAAATGTTGCTGCGAGTCCCGCGAGGATGGTTGTTGCTCCGGCGCATGGAACTGAAGGTGATGGTAGTTGCCGCTGCCGACGTCGCTAGCCATCTGGCCTGAGTGGGCGCCCCACGACGCCTGGCCGTGACTGAGGTCGTCCAGGGACTGCGTGTTGGGCGCAAAGAAGCCGTTCAGCATGTGGTTGTTGCTGTCGTGCACGCCGACATTGTGCTGCTGCGGGGGGACGTACTGCGACCCGTCTGGGCCCATCCCGTATCCTCCGAGACTGGAGTGAGAGAGCGGCAGATCGTGCATGTTCAGCATCACGGGCCCGCCGCTGGAGACGCTGAGACTGGTGGGTTGGGAGGTCTCGGGAGCGAGACTTGTGGGGAAAGAATCGAGGACGGAGGACCCGGAGGTCTTGTCGCCAAGTCCATCTTCGGATTTCATGAAATCAAGATGTCCCGGTGAATTAAACATGTGAGTCATGTTGTCGTGACCCGAATACATGGGCCATTGAGACTGGGACTGGCCCTGATGGTGTATCAGTTCCTGAGGCTGCGATGCCTGGTAGACGTTCTGAGAAGGCTTGTTGAGCAGAATCGAATCCAGGGAAAGAGGCGGGAGGTCCACCCCAGACGCGGGCAGCGGGCTGTTGGTCGACGTTCGGTCTGGCGGTGGGATCAGACGTCTCCAAGTCGTGGTGCCTACTTCATTGGGCCGAGTTTGGCGGAACTTCCAGACCAAAACGGCCATCCGCTTGCTTTCCTCGCCATGGTGGCCCGGGTGATTGGCCATGCGTCGAGAGTTGGGTGAAACGGCGCGAAGCTCTTGCACCGCAGTCAATGATCGCAGGAAGCGCCGAGTGCGCTCTTCGGCGGCATGGGCGGCTTCAGGGTTGCCCGAATCTTCTGCGATACGCTTGTCCTGCGTCAACTCCGTGAAGACCTTGGCCCACCAGGACGACTCGAAGAGCGGCTTGACCTTAGTCGACTGGGTTTTGGGCAGGTCGTGGTATGTCTCCAGGAGTCTCCGGCCATCATCGTAGATGTGCGTGCTGCATGTCCAGTTCTCCATCTGGCTGACCATCAAGACATCTCCCGCGGTAGGATGCCCGAAGTCCAGATCTAACTGGATACCTAGGCGCGACCTCGCCGGAGGAAAGTCGTTCATGAGTTGGAGATTGACCTCCAGCATGATGATATCGCAGTCCAGCGGACTATTGATATCCTCAACCATGGAAGACAGGTGAGGAAACGAGGTCCGCCATCCCGAAACAGTTTCGAGAGGCATGGGCGGTGCCACGGGATGGTGCGAGTCACCTTGGAGACGGGTATACGCATGCAGGGCTTTATCAATGCGGTTGGCCTGCTGAGGTGCGCTCACCCACATGTCAAAACTGAAGCCGTGGATACCATGCGTTCCTGCGTCCTGCATACTATGACCCATGCTGTAGTGAGACGAGGCAAGATCCCCATATGGCTGCATCGATCTCATATGATCCGGATAGCCGGAATGAGCATGGCCCCCATACTGGCTGGATACCGATGGGTGGTCCATTGAGGTACGCCATTTTGGGCCATTGGCCTGGGCATGTCCATTCGACCGCTCAGCAGAGGCTTCACGTACCAGGCGTTCCCCTGCCGTTCCACGTCAGTCAACTGTCGTAGATAGCTTGTCATATACTCACAGTCCGGGTCGCCCTTCAGGAACGAGTCGAGCACCTGCAGATGGCTCGAAACCTGCTTCCGGGTTCTTCTCTTGCCGGTCAATTTGAAAATATACTCCGCAATGAGCTCGTTTCGACCATAAGACTTGCCCCGTTCGGACCACTTTCTCCGGCCCATGGGAGGGTTTGCTTCGAGGGCTATATAAAGCAATTGTCAGCATCATCTTTGTTGTTTATCAGGAGAGAAACCTTACCCTGCTGGAACGCATCTTCCAATTCATCCGACCATACGGCTTCTCCATCCTTGCCAGTGTCCCGACGAGGACGTGCCCTATATTCCAGATACTTTTGGGACTTGAGGTAGCTTCTTGCACGCCGAGCCGCTACATTGGGTCCAACGGAGTGAAGCCGTCGTAGCTTTCGGGCATGCAGCCTGGCTGCTACGGCCTGCTGATGCACGTTGGGGCCTTGCAGAGCATGAGGAGGAGGAGCGACATGGTGAGCATGAGGATACTTGTAGCCCAACTGCTGGAGTTGTTCTTCATGACTGGTGGGGTCGTTGTGAGCCAGGCTATCCGAGTAGGACTGGACATTCCCAGAGGTATTCTGGAGAGCACGATCCGAATGAGCACCGACAGCGGGCTCCAGGGACGGCTGGTTCTGAGGCACGAGGCAGTCGGGCTGCCAGTCAGCAGCCATTGGAGGCAGCAGGCACCCAGCGTGCTGTTCTCTCGAAAAGAATGACGGATTCCAATGAAGGATTGGAGAGATGTGAGAGAGTGTGGCACACCGGGCCAAATGCTTTCTGCCTGGGCAAAGGAACGCAGCGCAGTCACAACACACTGCCGACCCAAGAACGCAAGATAGTCGGGAAGAGAATGTAAGAACCTGGGAAAGAGAATGTGAGAGCGAGCAAGATGGTGTTTATAGGGACTACCATAACTCTTCGCCCTAGAGGGAGGATGGAGGGGGAGGGTGGGACGGGATTATAGTAGCAGCATTGCTACGCCAGGCTGTTTGTCGCCTGCCGTCCCTCGAACGCCATCTCCATACTCCTGGGCAGGTCGCAGTCCTGGCCGGTTCACGCGTTGATGGGGCCAGAGAGCAAAGGACGGCCGCCTCTCCGTCCTTGCCGCAGCAAATCAGGAGTCAAGAAAGGGCTCGATGGGAAGGAAGGTGCTCCCAAACGCAAGGGATGCAGAGCAGCACGACCCAGTGAGCAGTCAGCCGGAGATTTTGGGTGCTCGTTCATCGACGACAATCGCCACTGATCGGTAGTAGTCGCGGGCGAGCTGGAATGTTGCTCGTCCCACAACATTGCCATTCGCGGGCGCTGAAGAATGTTGGGGAAGAAAAAACCTCACAACATTCATCGCTGGAATGTCGACCTGGATGGTCTGGAGGGTCTGGCTCTGTTGACCCTGCAATCCAGGCTCGTGGAGGGTACAAAGGGTGGGTGTGGTGCACGTTGGTTGGTACGAGGTAGGGTTAGGTTACTTGGACGGGGAGATCTGGCGCACGAGGATCGACTGGCAGCACATTGACAGCCGCAGGAACGTGTTCGGGGTATCTCTTTTGTGTACAGTAGTAAACTCGGTGTTTCCTCCATTGCCCTCCACCGCAATGCAAGGGATACTTGCTTGACCAATCCATGGCCACCCATCGATCCCTGGAGGGAGCCCAAGGCCTGGAAAGAAAGAAAGGGACCAACCAGCCTTCATGCCTCCTCGTCCTCCTGGGCCCCTACGGTGAATTTCTTCCTTCCCGAGCCCGTGAGCTGCTGGAGCTTGACCCTGTCCACCTGTTCCCCTACCTTCTTCTCGATCTTTGCGATCTCCTCCTCGGGATCGACGGCCTCCTCGCTCGCGAAATCCAGCACCAGTCTCCGGCCCAGGAGATGCGTGTTTTTCAACGCGTCCATGGCATTTTCCGCCTCGCGGGCGCTTACAAAATCAGCAAAACCAAATCCACGCGCCGTCCGGTCGAATTTTTTGGGAACCCGCACAGACCGCAGTTGGCCGTAGGCTCCGAAGAGTGACCAAATGTCTTTTTTGGTAGCTTGGAACGGCAAGTTCTTGATGATGATCTTTGTCCGTCGAGCGGCGACCTTCTTGGCGGTATCCTCGCGACGCCGCTCTTCCGCGGCATCCATGCCCTTGTGCGATGCACGGATGACAAGCTCATGTTGGTCCAACTTATAGCCATTCATAGCGGCTTGGGCAGCCTCGGCTTGAGCCTTCGTCCGGAAATCAACAAACCCAAAGCCCATACTGAGTGTTTGCCCGGGTCGTTTGGGATCGGGTTTGGTCTTGATGCGGCCTGTGATGAAGCCGTCCAGCGGCCGGAAGGCCTCCACGAAAATTTCGTTGGTTGTGGAGAAGTTCAAGTTTTTAACAAACAGTGTCGAGGTTGCGACCGAGCTCTCGGGCTCATCTGCCGCGAAAGTGTCTGCCGTAGAGAATCCTTGAGACTTGCCCCGAATCTCCGGAGCAACTGTCTGCGGAATAGCGGTGGGGTCAAACAGGTTCTTGGGTGCTTTTTCCAGGAAGAGAATAGAATCGCCCAGCTTGCGATAAGCAAGTCCCCTGAATGCCTTTTGTGCTTCATCGGGCCGACTGAACTCCACAATAGCAATGGTGCCACTGGGCGGCATCAATAGTCGGATAATCTGACCGAAGGGCTCAAAGAGCTTTCGCATTTCCCCCATCTTCACACCGAAAGAAAAGTTCTTTACTAGGATTGCTGTGTTGCCACGTTCTCGGTGCTTGAAGGCATCAATATTGACTCCGTTAGACGCGAAGTAGGCCTTCGTCTCTTGGATAACGTGCGTCTCAGCATGTGCTTGTTTGACGGCGGCGTCGGACGACGTCGGGTCTAGCAGGTCTGCTTTCGAGACACCGAGTCTATCGGCTACGGAGGACATGACAGCATCCGCCTGGGGGAGTAGTTAGCATATAGTATATTTTCAGTGTAGCGGGCAAACTGACATTCATATAAAGTGAGTTCCAACTGAAGTTGGAGGAGGTCGCGTCCATCCTGCGCTTGATTTGCTTCTGCTTTTTCAAAGGGAGCTTCGATAGCTCGTACTCGTCAATCTTATATGTCTTCTTCGCAGAAGCCGGCAGAATATGAAGGAGGCGACCCTGGAAATGCTTGCCGTCCAGACTTCGATAGGCCTCCACGGCTGCATCGGCGTGCACATACTGAATGTAAGCGAAGCCTTTGCTAGTCGTGGAGCGAGTATCGAAAGCGACGTGGATCTGCATTCATTCTGTCAGCATTTGATCAATGAGAAAAAATGTGTTATAAAAAGAATGGACGAGTGGCTCTTCAGATAAACAAGAGCATCTACTAAAATATCTTGACCTGTTCACATCACATGCGTTTTGCATCAGATGTCCCTATCAGGAAAATCATCATACGAGCACTCTGCTGGCATATATATATATATATATATATATATGCCAGCATGTCCAATGGGGAAACAATATAAGAAAAAGAAAACACTAACCTCCTCGATCTTTCCAAATGGTGTAAAGAGTGGCTGAAGATCCGCCTCCGTTAAATCGTAAGCCAGGTTCCTGACAAATAACCGAGCAGAATCATGAATGAGATCAACATTCTGATCGTTCTCGGGTGTTGCTTGAGGTACATGATCATCATCATCATCATCATTATTAATATCGTTAGTTGCGGGTTGAGCCCCAATGGTCTCAATTGCCGCGGTGCGGGATTCTTCATGGTTGCTTGCTGGTGAGTCGGCACGTTCTTCAACTTTTGGTTGATTGAATTCAGCCTGTTCGTCCTCATCCAGAAGTCCCAGAAGACGACTCGTTTTGGACCGCAGCCAGTCTGCATCTGACACCGGTTCAGCGTCACCTGGAGCCGAGTCTTCTTGCTCTGCCTCATCCTTATTCTCGTCTGCTCCACTTTGGTCGATCACAATGGGCTCAGGACGCACAGCTGGCACCTGGGTCTTGGCTTTCTTTGGTAGAGACTGCAACTCCTCGGCCACACCATCATCGTCGGGCTGGTTAGTGGAAGGCACAGGATCCTCCGAAGCCTTTGCCGTTTCATCATCATTCGCCCATGTCCGAGTCTTGGATGAATGTTGCATCAAGGAGAGATATTCCTGGAGCTTTGGGTCCTGAGATTTGATGTCGGCATCCCTCTTACGCTTGAGCGTGTTCTCCGAGTTATCGGTAACAGCATCGTGTTTTCGTGTTGGATGGGCCTTTTCAACTGGGGTTGAATCAATCTACAACGATACGGGTCAGTCTCCAGACCACCTTGATCGGTCAGCGTGCGCGGCGGCGAGAGGATGAGACCGATCAGTCACCGTGTGCGTTCACATACCGGACGAGCAATGTCTACCGAGATCTTAGACATCTTCATGTAAGACCTGTTGAAATAGTTCACAGCTTTTTTGGCGGCTTCCTGGCTTTTGAAGCCGACGAAGCCCATGCGGCGTTTGGGCAGGACATGGGCATCCGTGACTTGGAAGCGGGTTGAAAAATGCTTCCGGAGCTGATCATTCGAGCAGGATGGCGGCAGACCACTGACGAAGACCCTTGTATTCTCCATTTTGAGGGAGTCCGGAGTCGAATGCCGTTAAAGAAGAACAGAAGTAAAACCGCGGGAAAAACTTTTTTTTTCTCTTGTAGAAAGACCTAGGCGGTGAGGACGGGGCTCCGACAGGCGGTGAAGGGAATGAAAATTCCCGGCAATACTAGTCAAGGCGGTCAGCCACTGTTGGTGACGCGACTCCCATCACCGCGCAATTATCATGCCTTGTCACCATCATTCGACCGACACCTCACACTTCTGACCCTCTCCATCCCGTTCAATTACATTTAGTCGCCGGTTGCGAACATGGCTTCAGAGAAGAAGGACAAGATGGAGGGTATGTTCTGCCCCTCCACGGTGGTACCACCTGCTAAACATTGTGCGCAGCGCAAATCAAGTCCGTCGACATGGTAAGAGACGCGGTGCGATGACCAAAAGTACGGGCTCTCATTCAAATTTTTAGACGGAAGATATGCAGCAGGAGGCGATTGCCCTCGGTATGAGACCATGCCCACCCCAGCGGACGACCAGAAAACGGTGACTGATCTTCCACAGCGATCGAGGCAATGGAGAAGTACCACATTGAGAAGGTGAGAGTGTATATCTAGATATTTTGAATTAATACTGACGTTCTATAGGACATTGCGCAATATATCAAGAAAGAAGTCCGCCGCCCTCAAACCCTCCCTCCCTCGCCCGCAGCGCTGATAGTTAATCTAGTTCGATTCGCGGAAGGGAGCCACCTGGCACTGTGTTGTCGGCCGGAACTTTGGCAGCTTCGTCACTCACGGTGAGAGGATCTCCAATAGGGGCCACCATAGGACAAATGCTGATATTCAAAACAGAGACAAAGCACTTCATCTACTTCTACCTCGGACACTGCGCGATCCTCCTCTTCAAGACCCAGTAAATCTATTATTTGCAATGCTTTAAGATCAGCATATCCTGCACAGTCCCTGATTTCTTCAGCGATCTTCTTGTCTTCGTGTGGTCACTTTCTGTTTGCGGGCCAGTTGTCTTTTTGCCCCGGAATTGCCGTGTCCCTCTGTATACAATATAACGATGCCTTGATCAGCAATCCTGTGCACTTATCCCTAGGAATGAGTGTAGCACGACTTACTGTAACCAAGCCCAAGCCAGTACAACCTGATGGCGTAGAGATCCCAATTTGGGCTTCGCACAATAATGATGCGCGGGTGCGACCTCCTTAAACATAATCACACGAATGCACCCCCGACTTTAATGCATCCAGTTTGTTTTTAAAGTATACAATTGAGGCAATGGAGAATTAGTATATGAATCAACGAAAGAACCAGAAGTTTTTGCGCGTGACTCTTAGAATGGACATGCCTTGGCATTGCAAAAGGCGTGCCACGAGAGAAATGGTCATTACTAACCGGTAGACGTCTAATAATCAAACAGCTGAAATTTGACTCAATATGACTTGGGCAAGCCCAAAACACGTTCACCAATATAGTTACATATCATCTCCCGACTCACTGGCGCGATCCTAGGAATGAACACTTCACGGAGATACCTTTCCACATGATACTCCTTTGCATATCCCATCCCTCCATGTACCATGACGGCTCTTTCACATGCCTCAAAGGCAGCCTCCGCGGCGAGATATTTTGCTGTATTAGCGTATTCCCCTCCGCCATATCCTTCGTCATACATTCGAGCCGCATGATATGTCATTAGGCGAGCCCCCTCCAGTTTCATCCAACTATCTGCAAGAGGGTGCTGAATAGCCTGATTTTTTCCAATGGCACGCCCAAAAACCTTTCGATCGCCGGCGTAGATAGCTGCTTTTCGCAAAGCTGCATAGCCAAGACCTAGAGCCTCGGCACCAATGAGAATACGCTCAGCATTCATTCCATGTAAGATCATTTTGAATCCTTCATTTTCATTTCCAACCATATCACTAGCCGGGACCAGCCAATTGTCGAAGAAAAGAGTGTTTGTGTCGACTGCTGCACGTCCCATTTTAGGAATTTCCGTGATTTCGACGACAGATGGATCAAGGTCGGCATAGAAAAGTGATAAACCTTGTGACGGCTTTTGGACTTGATCTAGAGGCGTGGTTCGAACGAGTATAAGGATTTTTTGCGCGTTTTGGGCGGTAGAGATCCAGATTTTTTGACCCGAAAGATTATAGTAGTCCCCTTCTTTCTGAGCCCGTGCCTGTAGTTTCAATGTATCCAGTCCAGTATTCGGCTCAGTGACACCAAAACATGCTCTTTCCTTGCCAGCAATTAGCGGCTCAAGCCAGCGCTTTTTCTGCTCCTCTGTGCCAAACTTAGCAACAGGTTCCAGACCAAAGATATTCATATGCACCGAAGAAGCAGCTGCCATTCCACCACCAGACTCGGAAATGGTTTGCATCATGATAGCGGCTTCAGCAATACCCAGCTCGGATCCACCATACTTTTGTGGTAAGCAAATACCGAGCCAACCATGCTGAGCAAGCTCCTGGTGCAGCTCGGTGGGAAACTTCTTGCTTTCCTCTTGCTTCAGCCAGTATTCATCGGAGTAGTTACTGCAAATCTTGGAAATTGCTTCGCGGACAGTCCGTTGGGAATCGGTCAAGTCGGTGTCATAGTTCTGGAGGTACTCAATTGCACGAGCTTGGCCATGGACATGCCGCAGACACCTGGTGAGATTGGAAGATGATCTCAGCGGGTGCCTCCTCACCGGACGTATACTGGATACCCTCAACTGGGAGAATTTAGTAAGTCATGCATTTTCCGCACCGGTGAGGGGGAGAGACAAACAGGAAATTTGCACGCCGGAGACGCCATCTCGATCAAACAGAGAGACCCTTGATCACAATTGACTTCTGCCAAAATGTCTTTATAAACACCCAAAATCACGGATCACTGGCTAACCCGAAAACACCTAAAGAGAATGCCGAGTGCATCACTTGTTCGCTGGAGCCAAAAGATACTCCCAGTTCGGTCATACCTTCGGTGCCGCGGTCCGAATGGCCTCCCCGCTTTCTCCGACTGTGGAGAATCTTCGGCGCAAAAGTCCGAAGCCCTCCCTGGAGGCCCGTTAATTGATCGCAGTGCCGTCGTATGAACGATGGGACATAGGCAATTATCGGACAATCCTAGAATCTCGCTAATACTATCACTTTCAAGCAATGAAAGAGGCTGTCATGTCAGATTTTTGTATAATAATAATCAGCGGGGAGTAAACCCCGCTGTCCGAGAAGAGCCCTAGAGTTCGAAGGGACAAACTAGTTTTTTTAGTAATGTTTCACAGAAATAAGCATAAACAGTGCCTTCTCTTCTTTCCAACTTTTCCATCTTCAATTTCCTTTCATATAATCAGCGGTAGTGGATTGGACACAATTCAAGATGAACTGTTTGACTCGCACCTTACCAAGTCCGTCTTCGCGTGTATTGTCATCCGCGCTCTTTAGTTCTCGCATCTCTCTCATTACACGTGGGAACCACACACGTGCTTCGCGCATCGCTCCCAGTGGCCCATTGGCGGGCGTCAAAATCCTTGACTTGACACGGGTCCTTGCAGTACGAGCTCCTTGAACGATACGGATAGATGGCTTCAGGGTATCTGATCTCGATAGGGACCATTTTGCACTCAAATCCTTGCAGATTACGGTGCAGATGTAATTAAGGTTGAGCATCCGCAAGGCGGAGTATGTTAACCTTTCATCACCTACCTCACCAGCGAAATTGCCTAATCGCTAACGCAGCATGCAGGACGACACGCGCCTTTGGAGAGAGGCTGGTGAGGAGAATGTCTGGAAGCCTGAAGCTACTGGAACTTCGCTTTATTTCAACGCCATTAATCGAAATAAACGCTCAATTGCCGTCAATTTGAAGAACGAGAAAGGGAAAAACCTCGTATTGGACTTGGCACGCAAGGCAGACGTCGTGTGAGTTTTGTGACAGCCCGTGAGGCAATACTCTGTCATGGTTGCCTGACATTATACCTTTTATACCAGGGTGGAAAATTTCATTCCTGGAAAATTAGATAAGATGGGCCTCGGATATGATACTCTGAAAAGTGTCAACCCGTCTATTATTCTGGCTAGTATATCGGGTTTGTCGGCACACTCTTTGAAGTTTATTTGGACTCTAATAGATTGCTGTTACTTTTAGGCTACGGTGCAGATGGTCCATATGCCCAGCGTGCAGGATACGATGTGATTGGAGCGGCTGAAGGTGGTTTACTTCATATCACTGGCGAAGCAGACGGCCCTCCTACCAAACCAGGCGTTGGTTTAATGGATATGTGTACGGGGCTATATCTCCACGGCGCAATTACGTCTGCATTGCTTGCACGTGAAAAGACCGGTTTCGGACAGAAGATCGATACCTCACTCTTCGAAACCACGATATCGATTCTCGCGAATGTAGGGATGTCTTGGATGAATCTTGCCAAAGAAGCGCAAAGATGGGGAACAGAGCACCCCACTATTGTGCCTTACGAAGCATTCAAAACGAAAGACTCGTATTTCGTCATTGGTGCGGTCAATAACAGGCAATTCAAAAACCTGTGTCTACGCTTAGGGCACGAGGATCTGGCAAACGACCCTCGGTTTCTAGACAATAATTCCAGAGTCCAAAATCGAAAGGATCTGAAGCGCATTCTGAGAGAGTCCTTTGCGCTAGGGACAACTGAAGAATGGGAAGAAGCTTTCGAAGGAAGCGGGATGCCTTACGGTCCTATCAACACCCTCGAAAAAGTATTTTCGCATCCGCAGGCTCTAGCGAGAAGAATGGTGGAAGATGTTGAACAAGATGCAGCAGTAGGGGGAAGAATTAAAGTTCTAGGTATGTCTTTTGCTAAATATCGGACATGACAGGATCTAGCGTTTGCTGATCATATAAAATCCAGGTATGCCGGTCAAGTTCAGCGGGTCAAAGCCCTCAATTCGACAAGGTCCACCATCCCTGGGACAACACACAGACGAGGTGTTGCAAGAGATGGGTTTATCTTCTGATATAATTGCAGAACTACGCAAAGATGGGGCAATTTGATTTTGTAAATTGGACTAATCGAGCATGAGATGCTATGTGATGCACGACCTTCTTATATACATCAATTGCAAGATCTATTCATCCGGAAAATGCTACCTCTCAAACCACTCCTGTGCAAAACCTAGCATAACCTCGTCTGTCTGCGTATGTCCTTGGACGTTAATATTGTTCTGCAATTCCTGAAACATCTGCTGAAAATCCACAATGGGATCGGAGAGGGGACCGTCGGGATACTGAGCGAAGGCCACATCGGGAAATCCTGGAGAAGGATAGGTTTGATGAGGCGGCAACCGTGGGGAGTTTACCGTAGATCCTTGCCCTGATATTATTCCTGCATCTACCAAAGCAGGTTGTATGTTTGTTTGTTCGCTACCAGGGTCTGTCCTGGAGGTAGTCGCATTGGTGCCTTTTTGCAGGAAGTTTGTTGCAGCAAGCTCTTTTAGAGCACTCATGCTCAATATGTTGAAAATATCGCACGAACTCCGAGCGTCGTCCCATCTTTCACAGATTGCCGTTAAAATATTGGAACATTCGCGAACATCGGAGATGACATCGAAAAATGGAGGCAGGAAAGCTATAATTCCCCGTTTTCGTCTTTGCGCACAACAGCCGACGGCGTAGATATTTGCAAGACCGGCCATGAAAATTGTGTACAGACACACCCATGAGTAGTTCAGGTGACGCGACCGCAATAGCTCTGAATATTTGGCTAATATGAGACGAGATGAATTCCATATCATCTGAAGTACGTCGTCTATATCCTCGTCGGATTCAAGCCCTTCCATGGCTGGGAAGGTCGCAGATGGCCGGAACAACAGGAGACACCCACTATGATACAAAGCCTGGAACCAGCTTGGATGTAAGTGAGACGACGAGATGTCAGATTGTTTATCTGCTGAAGGCAATGAGAGGAGAGAGATATTCCTTCTCCATTCTTGAAGCTCATTAAATATGCCTCTTCTGATAGTTTGTCTCTCAACGAGAGGAAGTGCCTGAACCGACCGACTGGTATACATGAGACGGTGGATCTTAGATTGAATTCTGCGCAGATGGATGTGTTGCAAGAAAGGCGTTATTCTTTGTGTTGTGTCAGGCGACGTCTGACCGAGTTCATCGTCATCGGCTGAAGACGGTAGTGGTACATCAATGTCATCGTCATGAAGAGCCAGAGGCCGTCCCAAGGAGATATTTACAATTCTGTCTTCTTATCAGTGATTCTTTTCTCATTTAACAAAAAGACATTTTGGTACCTCTCTAGATTATAATAACACCAAAAGCATCGGCGCTGCATCTCCACTTGTACCGAGACGGGTATCTGCCCAGAGACATGCATGTTGCAATTTGGAAGAACGGTCGAAGTGTTGTGGTGTAAGCCAATTTGTACACATAATTGAGTTGCTTTCCCTAAAACACCCCATAATTCACTGGAAGTATCACGCAGACTAGCATGAATACCATACTTACAATACAGCAACAGCGCTTGTAGGGATCGTATGTCGTGAAAGCTTGAGACCTCATCCAAATGGGTCAAAGCTCGGAAAAAATGGGATTCGGCATCACCATTTCCAAATTGAACTCGATTTGATGGCACAGATCCCAAAGCCAAAACAATATCAAAGGCGAATGCATAGGCGCAATTCTGTCGATAGAGCTGTGGGTCGGCATAAATAAGGTCTACCATTTGCATAAACGCGGGACGATAAAGCAGTGGGAAAGCCAAGTGCCAATGGCTAAAGTAGGAGTTGATCAAGGGCATTGCAACTTCCCGGTTCACCAGCACGACAGACTGAGGAATTGAAGGCAAGGTCACTCTTTCAGACACGCGACGACCACTGGCCACTCTCCCAAACAGACCACTCGTTGAATGGGAAGAATCAACAACACGTTCAACGACTTGAACAAAATCGACTCCATTACTGGAGCCTAAGTAGCGAGCTTCTTCGCCTGGCGTTCGGTGAAGAGAGCCCGCTGGCCGAGGCGGCGAATGCAGCGCATCGAGAGAATGGGATCCGACTGAACGACGTCGGTTGTCTGGTTGAAGAGAGTCAGGGGAGGATTGATGTGACTGGATAGCGTTGTCTGGCTGAGCCGATCGAGCCTGGGCAGATGCGTGCTCTCTGAGTTGCTCGTTCTCATTCTCCACCTCGGACAATCGCTGCTCGAGTGACTTCACATATTCCTTTTGCATTTGTCGATCTCGACGCTTATTGGGATACTGGCACATGACCTGGGCTTTTTTGCATGGACTGCAACGAGGCAGGTGGCGGTCACATTTGGTTTTCCGCGAGTAGCACCGCTCGCACGCCTGCATGCTGGCGAGAGTAGATGCTGACTTTGAGAAGCAATGAACAACCTGAGGGAAGTTCTCAAGAACTCCTTAGTTCTCGTGTCTCTTTCCGGTTGGCAGCAATGTGCTAGGAAGGTTTGTCCGAGAAGTGTGGGTGAGGCACATCCACGCATATTACGTTACAGAGGGAACGATCATGGTCAGGTGACCCGGACTATATAAATTATCTACGAACTACACGCTCCTTCCAGTTCTTCCAAATACGACAAATCCTATCAAATGAGACATAAAGGGGCGCCCCAGACAGCAAACTGAGCACTGTTCCACACTTTACTTATGTAGCCCGTCAATTGACCAAGATTTCATACACTCTGTCAATTGGCTTTGTATGAGTTAAGAACTCGTGAGCCGCCTCTGCCTGCTGAAGGAATTCATGCTCTGGTTGTTCCTTGGGATGGAAAGTGAGAAGGAGCAAAACTTCAGTGCCATCTGTTGGATGCGCCGATGCTAAACCGTACTTCAGTAGATCTTCAGGCAGCATCAGGCATCCGAGTTATTTAGTTAAGGTTGTTCGACAGAATCACGTGCCCTGCCAAGCTGCCTCGCCACAGCGCAACGCCGCTGCCTTGAGATCTTCAGTCTTTCTTCATCTCCGGTCAACTGGTCTTGTTTCTTGTTATTGCACCCGACTTCATCATGGCTATCTGTATCACATTTGGCATGCACGGTGAGTGTGCCTGTCCCGACTAGCCTTGTTCCTGGCTTCGGCAGCAAGTGGACCTACCCTTCCCGTTCCTGAATAATGAAGCCATCCACCCCATCCACCCCATCCACTTTATATTTAGCTCCTCTCTACTGAAATGGCGACCACAACAACTGACATGATCGCATGCAGAGTTTACCTCCATGCTGGAGGGCTATGAGAACGTGCGTGCCTATTGCTACAATTGTGAGTGATTTTTGTGTTGCTGTGGCGTAGATGGCTGGAAGCTCTCTTTGAAGCTTCCAGCCCACCTTCCAATCGCCCGCTAATCAATATTGTTCTTCCAGGCCAGCACTGGAATGGCCACTGCCTCACCCGATGGTATGTACCTTTTTTTTTTTTTTGCTCCGTTGTCGAACATGACAAGCTCACTTCTCTCGCAGGCCTTGGTTTACCCTCTGCTTTGTGGTAAGCTTCCTCAACTCAGGGAAAACTCATTACGGAACATCAAGGTCATTAACCCATATCCCAGCCTATCCTTCCGCTCGCCATACACAAATACAAGGTAAAACCCAACCCCCCTCTTACCAGAGCCTCTGATACTGATCCCCTTGCAGGAGGTGACCTGTTACACCTGCCGATTCACACAAGACCTGCGGTAGGTTTATTTTGCCCATCGTGTTCTTTATTTTGATGGACTAATTTCCATGCCAGCGACCGGCCTGACATTACTCCCGAAACACGGCCCCCTCAGGGAATGAACTATGGTCCGCAACCGCCACCACAGGCGTATGCCTCTGGAGGGTGGCAACCGCAGCAGCAAGGGCCTCTGCAAGGGACTCCCAATCAGATGCCACAGTCTGAACAGCCACAGAAAACAGCCGATCATTATGTATAGCTCATGGTCGAGGTCTGGGTTTTTATGGGAGGATGACTGCGAGGTGGGTTTACTTTTTCCTATTTTCTTTGCTTCCTTGTGACAAGGAATCCGAAGACAACTGGATGGCTTGAGCGGTTGGGCAGAAAGAAGGGGATGCAAACGCGGGTTCTCTGCATATCTCAAGAGTCGGTTTCCTCTTCTGTGTACGGTATTTTCTTATTCTTTTATCGAATCAATATCCCTTATGGCGCCACAAAGCTATTCAAACTTCAAATCGTATGAAAAGTGGTATCATTAGTTAAATAGAACTATAGATATGTGGGGGTATAAGAAGACGAAAAAGACAAGAACAGAATAATCGCTGCATCCAAGAAGAGTCCATCTTCCGACAAGAGAACAAAACCTCAAGCAGAGCTCCCCAAAGCTTCTTTGGCTTTATCATCGCCAACTTTCTCCGTCGGCGTCGCAACACCAGACCTTGAAGCCTCCCCCTCAGCCTTCCGACCCCGATAAACAGTCATGGGCTTCCTACCCATCAGGTCCAATGCCATAAGCCGCGCAGTACGCACAATACTCTCTCTGCCCTCATAGAGCGGGAAGATAACAACCCCACAAAGTGTACAAAACAACCAAATCAGACCAACAACCACCCATCCCGTGAAGAACTTCTTGCTGAAGACGTACGACGAGCCGTACATGGGGATGGGCCAGAGGACCAGAAACGCAATGGTCATGAACACAGTCAGTGTGCGGGAGTACAGTGCTGCGCGGTCGAGTTTACGCGCTTCTTGTTCTTTCTCTGCGTCGGTTTGGACGGGATCGGTTTCGCCGGGGACCAGCTCTGGGTCTACGTGTGCGGCAGCAGTGACTTCGGTGTCGTCGACTTTGCGAATTGCCCGCATGGATTCGTAGTTGTAGTTTTGTGGGCCGAAGGTGTAGGTTAGAATTGGCACGAAGACCAGTGGGCTGAGGAGGGCGGCGACGTTGCCGGCTAGCATGGGGTAACTAAGACTTCATGTTAGTATATGTCGAAGATGGTGGAAGCAAAAGGCTCACTTGGATCCGGTGGTAGTGACATTCAAGACACCGTACTCCTTTTTTGCAGTGACCAGCCACGCGATGAGAGAAACGGCCAATCCCAGTGGCGGCGATGCAGCAGCAGCAATCCAATTCTGTCCCTTCCAGAGGAGAGTCATAGCTCCGGGAAAGACAGCAGATGAGATGATAACACCCATAAGCAAATAGAGATACCCCATCCCAATACCAGCATAGGCAAGACCCGTCGAAAAGCCAGCCATAATAAGGGAATAAACAATACAAGACATGTGCGAGATCCACACCAGCTTCTTGCCCTTGGCTGCGGGCTCGATGTACGCTTGGTAGATGTCATATGTCACGATGGAGGAGACGGCGATCAGCTGCGCCGAGAAGGCGGACGTCACGGCCATGAAGATCATGAGCGTTGTGGCCACTGCACCGCTGTAGCCGAGGAGCTTGACGGCGGCGAAGGGGAGCACGAGGCCTGCAGTCACATCGTCGGGGCTGATGCGCTGGGATCCTTCTAGGGCTAGCGCGGAGATTCCCATTGTGCTGGCGCAGAGCCAGGGAATCGCGAACCAGCAGAGTCCGCCGATGACATAGCCAGGGAATGCGTGGACGGGACTCGCAGCGATGGCTATAACCATGTCAATTAATTAAAGGAAAAAAGCGGAGAGTGGCTACTAGATACCTTTGTTATAGTATCCATTGTCGAGGAAAACAGTGCTGGGTAAACTCAATTAGTATAAAGCCGTCATATATGAGGACATTCAACGAACCCAAAGTTTCCTGCATTGCCATCATAGGTCAGTAAAAGCCATAACAAATAGCCTTAGAGCTACTTACCGATCAAATTAATTACCCAGAAAATCCCACCCTCCTTCGAGCGCATAGTCAGATAACTCCCCTCTGCATTCCCTTCAACAGGATGCCTCTTCGCAGCCGCAACCAAAGCATCATACATTTTCGCCGGCGACCCGAGATTCGCATTAGTCGCGTACGCCGAAAATGCGAAGAGGAAGATAACGACCAAGATGACAACGGTGTGCATATAATCCGTGATGAAGGTCGCCTTGATTCCGCCGAACAGAGTATATAGCACGACGCCGATGGGAAGCAAAAAACAGGCCGCGGCTGTGTTTACACCTGTCAGGGCTGTCATTACGGCTGAGCCGCCCGTGAGTAGCATTGCTGTGACTAGGATATTGGTCATCAGGCAGAAGATGATGAAAACGACGTGCACGGTTGTTCCATAGCGGGCGCGGATGACTTCAAGGAAGGTGTGTGCATTGGGGGCTCGCCGTTTTAGCTCAATTGCCAGCGTTGCGAAGAGGAGGATCTGAACGGTTGCACCTTTTACAAGAGAAAGTTAGCCTAGTTCCTTGAGTCTGGGGTGTGCGAGACCAACCGGATGCATAGAAGAACGGGCCTGAGATGCCATACTTGTACGCAACAGCCGACGACTGCAGCAGAGTCGCCGCCCAGGTCCAGCTGCTTACCACAGCGGCCGCGACCAAACCCGACTTCACGGATCGTCCTGCAGTGGTGAACATCTCAGAAGTTTGGACTTCATACTGGTAGCTATTAAAGAGATGTCAGTGGAGGCCAACACAAGCAATTAGAAAAAGCCTACCGTTTCAAAGCCCAAGTAATGAAAATCATTAGGAGCGCAAACGCAAAGCCGAGTCCCAGGATAATGCCATAGCCGAACGCTTGGGAGAGGGGAGCCACGAACTGGACGTCCCCAGACATAGCTGTTGTGGAATAAGTGGATACGGCCAGGTGGCGTAGGCAGTAAATTATTGACTTTGTAAATAACAAAGAAGCCCTCGGTCAAGTATGTGGCGGCAAATCAAGGGGCTGATGTGGAGTGCAAGTACTGCCGCGAAACCCAGATTTTGTATAGATATGGATAGGAACAAAACCAACCATGGGTACGACGAACTAAATATATAAGAGCTGCATCAACACAAGGGCCTGCAATTATCCGCCCACCAGCTCCGAATTCGCACGATCCGGGACACGACATGGTGCGTCCTGGGGTAAGTTGAGATAAAGATACGGAGATTGGGCGATAAGGGACCAGGCAGGGGACCATAGGCTCTCGTAATATGTGATATGGAAGAGGTTAGCGCGCAGGAACGCAGACAAGAGGTGCGACCGAATCTCTCCGCGTGGAGTATTATCAGCGGTGCTTTAGTGGGAAGTGAGCGAGTTGAGAGGGCTTATCAAGTCTGTAGATCGCAGATGGGCTGTGATTGGTTAGCTAGACCCCGGCGAGATAAGACTGTTCCGATCCTCACCTGGGTCTTTTTTACGTGAATTGCTTGCTTATAGGATGATTCGAAATCAATTTCACCATTTTATTTTCATAGATTATGGCCCAAACCCTATTCGCTAATCCGTACTTGATTTAGCCTGTTTCTAAGTATCGAAATGCTGATGCGGTTGGTGCTCTAACACCTCGATGCTGGAAACAATATGTGATTACTTGTTCAACAAGCCTTTGCCTATACGTGACTAATATAGTCCTTTATGAGACGAGTTGGTTCCTTGCGCGATTGTGCTCTTTTTTTGGTCTCACAATTTTAATCCAGCAAAAATGAACAGGGTAAAGGAAGGGTTGCGAGATCCAGTAGAATATCAAGACCATTTATCGCTTCTTCACCTTCTCTTCGTCCGGGAACTTCATCGCCTTTATATTCGCCGTCGTTGCCTTATTCAGCGCCCACCGAGGCAAAATTTCAAACGCCAGCCCCTGCACCCAGTGCCAGAAATATCCGTATACAATGGCCTGTCCACAGCCAATACGATTCAACCCGGCCTGTGCCATCACCCGCGGCGTCGGCACAAACCAGCCCAAAGCAATAGGGAACCCGGGCGTGCTCACCTGGCCCACGCGCAGGCCCAGCACCTCGACTCCGCGTCTCTCGGCATCACATTCGGCCTGCAGTGCAAGCGTAAAGGTATCGACGAACCCCTTCGTCGCAGCATAAGTAGTCACATAGGGCAACCCCCAGGCCGCGACAGACGAAATATTTAACACAACGCTTGGGTCTCCCTCCGCCAGAAGCGGTAGCAACACGCGCGTGATCTGCGCAATGAAAGTAGCGTTCTTGGCAATCGTCGCCTGCACTACCTCGAAGCTGCAGTTGTCCAGCGTCCCAGACGGCCTGCCGTCGCCTCCCACATTGTTCACCAGTACGGTCAGCTGGCCCCCATGGGTGGCTAGAATAGCAGATACCACGTCAGCGACCCCGTCTACGGTGGAGGTGAGGTTGATAACGTCCAGTACGATGATGTCCGTCTTGCGAGTTGGGAAGCGCTTGTTTAACTCGCTGGCGCGGCGCTCGAGCTTGGTGCGGTTGCGCCCATGGAGGATGACATTGAAGCCGCGGGCGCAGAGCTCTTCACAGAAGCCGAAGCCGATTCCATCGGTGGCGCCTGTTACGAGGGCCCAGTTGGTGCCGGAGCGGTTGTAGCGCCGCGTCAGTGTGGTGGGGAGGAGAAATGGTGTTGCTTGGCGGGCGAAGTGGATAGTTTTGTAGGCCAGGGCTGCGAGGCCGATATAGCTGAGTGGAGTGCTCCAGCTTGAGATATCCATATTGGATTTTAAAAATGTTGTTTATGCTGTGGGTTGTGATTATGACGATGGTGTGGGAATGAGAAAAATGCGAAGAGAGAGTGGCCAGTCCCGAGTTGTCGACAGGTGGGAATTCGAATCCTTGCAAGAATACCGCAAGATTACCAGACCAGCTAGCCAGACGCCTTGCCTATTTGGTTTGTTTGTAGGAAATCTGTTCGATGCAACCTCTGATGTTATTTTCATTACGTCATTTAATACTGTGCCTCATTACTATCAGTAGAGCGTGTTTACGAGACAGAATCCATGCGGTAAAGCGATGATACTGATTTCGAACCATCCTGTCCTATTACAGACGGAGCGACAGTGTCTAGCTTGATGCTGTCAGTGATGCTAGCTACATAGTTGAAGGATGACTGATAGCTGATTGGAGATGTCAGGTATGCACTTGCATTTGTCTTTTGGATTTATACAAGAAATCAACCGGCTGATTGATGAGCTCAATTACGCATTTTTCATACAACGAGCAGACCAGATCGACTGATCGATTACGTTACTACAAAGAGCAACAGTAGAAGACTCTTGTCCCGAATGATTCAATGCAGCAGATTTCATCTTCGCCTGGTAAATATTGTACAGACGTCCGACAACGCACAGCATCGGTAGTCGATTCTCTTTCAAACAACCGTTGCTCTCTCCAACGAGCAGAATCGCAGAGAAATGAGCACAATCGGTAGTCTGATCCAAAGAAAAAACCCCTCAGCAGTCGACGTCGTCAAGCTTCCACACGGGAGAAGTGATGCCAGATCGACCTATGCAGCGGATAGGTCTCCAACGGCTGTCTTTTTGCAACGCCCCCCACACATGCCATTAAAAAAAAAAGAAACGGAACCATGCCCGGACAGGAGGGTTCCAGCGCCACCACTAGGATCAAGGGAAATGACCGGAAGTCACGGGGTATAGGAGAAAGAAGGAATTCGCAGGAGAGAGAGGTGGAGAGAAAGTCGACGATAGCTTCACCCAGTCCATGCCGAGCAGCAACAACATATCAAGGCCACGCAGCAAGCTCACGAGGAGAACTTGCGGGTGATCTTGGCGATGACTGTGGAGAAGAGATATCAGCTTCGATCGATCGAGAAATCACACTCCATAACAAAAAAAGAGCTTACCGTGCAGGCCAACGACAGAGAAGATGAAACCCAGGCTCAGCACCAGGACAACAACGGGGTCGACACGCAGACCGGGGCTCTCATCGGTGTACAGCTTCAGCATCGTGCCGGACGAACCACCCGCACCAGCGGAGCGAGTCGAGCTGGGGCGAACATTCCGCAGCGATTCCTTGTGGTCTGCAGCCGCGCGACGGCGCATAGCGGCGCGAGGACCACCGGGGGGAGTCGGCGACGAAGGACGGCTGACGGACGAGCCGGTGGCGGCAGCACCAGAGCCAGAGCCAGGGGACTTGGCGTCAGGGCCTGACTCGGCGCCGGAGGTGAGAGGAGAAGCAGGGCGAGGAGAGGCCTAAAGAGATTGGGGGTCAATTCTGCGGTGCCATTGACAGACAGCACAAGACACCTCAATGGGAAAAGACACAGCGGACTGGGTGTCTGGGTGAGGCATTGGCTGCTGAGAATGTAGGGACTTACCATTGCGATTGATGATGTTAGAAGGGATTGGGGTTAAGTAAAGAAATGCCGTGCGCTGGAGAAAAGAAACGAAGGGAGAGGATGTCCGGACAAAAGACGAAAGGAGGTTGCGGAGAGACAAGAGGCCACGATCGCGGATCCGCTAGCTTCTCCCACACGTGACCTTTCCTCCTCCAGATTGGGCAGCTTAGGCCGGCGTCCTTGGAACTTATGTTTGGGTAGTACGCTACCATAAAAGATATTTCGGAGAGAAAAGAACAACATGGTAGAAACTAAATCATCGTAAATTTCGACCAGTCACATAGACTGCAACAACGTAAAATCTCACACACCACGAAAAGTCACAGCTCCGACGCAGAGGGAGGTATCATACCGAAAGGACAGGCTAAATGTCCAAGCTGTTCATACAAAGAGAACTCAAGTCACAAAAGAAAAAGGGAAATAAAACATGACGCTCCTAATTTCAAACGCCGGGGGGATATCAACTATGTAAACTAAATAGACAAACATATCACCGCACTACTTTTTGATCATCAAATCTCGCTGCTAACTCGAGGAATCAGGAATCAGTCGATCATCATCCGAGACGGAACTTGGCCTCCAATGTTGGAAGATAGCTCAGTCGTCTTTTCCTCCTCGGGTGTCTTCTTCTTGTTGATGTGCGGCTTGAGGCCACGGTTGAAGTTGTTGGCGCAGATGCAGGCATTGATGATGGTGATGACGATCAAAATGAGTGTGATAACAGCGAAGAACGTCATCGAGGGCCGGGCCGGTAGGTACTGGGTGAAGGTTGCGGGTGAATACATTCGATAAAGCTTGAAGCAGAAGTATGCCATGGCCGCGAAAAAGAGTAGCTGTAAACAATCTGATTAGCATCAAAGTTCAGACGGTGTTGGGCCAAGATACGAGGACTTACAATGATGACGACCATACCGAACATGTTTTCGCGTCGGACAAACAGTGCAGCGCATGCCAAGATGATGATAGTCACCGGGATAGCAATGATGGTAAGGATGAACTCGGCATCGAGATTGGCCGAGACCACGACGAGAAATTGAACAGTAAATCCGAGAAAGAAGAAGAAGTCGAACTTCAGCAGAGCGATGTAGATCTACAGGATGTTGGTCAGAATTTTCCTAAACACAAGTAACGTCGGGACTAACCTGGAAGGTGAGGTAGCGGCGTTTCATGCGCAGGTCCGCGCTGATATGCTTGTAGATCGTCCAAGCGAATTCATCATACAGCTTCCACGCAACAAATGTCATTAGGACGGTCCCCAAAGCCACGATGCATGGAATGATGATCAGAAAAGGCTCCGTTTCTCCCCAAACACGGTGGTTGGTTGCGTGATTATCAGCCAAGACGCCGACAGCGTTGTGGATCTGCCGCACCTGCACGGCGCCGTAGATGAGAAGTCCGACATTGCAAACGCATAGTCCAATGATCTGAATGGTATTCTTCATGCGAAGAGCGTCATACACCAGCACCAATTCGTAGATGAACCCGAAGCTGTACAGAGCCAAGAAGGTGGGGATTGTTTTGGCGGCCGGGGAGTCGGGGATATCGAGTTGAATCTGGAAGTTCACAAAGATGTAGCTAGAGGTTTCGTTAGTGATCTGAGAGAATCCTCCGGACGCTTGACCTACCATTCGAGCCCGAGAGTGACGAGGGTCTGGATGAGCGTCACGATCGCGAAGGACCAGGTCCACTGCGTATTCGGTAGGTAGCATTTCCGCGTTGTGGCTTTGGACTGCACATTTGTATGCCCTTCCCTGGCAATAAACACGTCCGCCTCTTGGTGCGAGGAAGGATCGAATGAACCCTCCCAGAGGGAGGCGTGCGACCCGTGAGACGGAATCTTTGCGAAGTGGCCTGCCGACGCGGTCGGCGGGACCACGCGGTGACTTGGAGGGAGAGACACGATGTTGGTATTGACCACCTGACGGTGGTTTCGGGGATTAAGAGATCAAAAAAGAGGGGCCGGCACTGCGACCAGGCTGGACGATGACGGTTGGAACGTCAGGAGGCTTAAGGGTTGTACGGCTTGGCGGGTTTGGTGGTCGGGAAAGGATCAGGAGTCAGCCCGGAGTGGCATCGAACCAGGTTGAAGAGCTCTCGAACCAGCCGAGATGAGCGAGCGATGGACGGTCGGGAATTATTTCTTGACCCTTCTTGCCTGTGCCCAGAGACGATGCAGACGGGTGGTGTGATGCTGATCGTTCTGTAGGGCGGACGGATGGATGCAGGAGTGATGTTGTTGACCTCCTGAACCGAACGAGTGACCGGGGGGGAAGGGAAGGAGGAAGAAGCACCGTTGGGATTTTGGGGGAAGCGAAGAAGAAAGAAGACTAGGGGCTGCCTGTCCGGGGTTGGGCATTCCACAGCCGGGCGGGTCACACAGCGACAACCTCCATCCTCTGTCTAGACTTAATTCTCATTCTCCATCGTCAAATCTTGCCTCCTGGTTCCTGGTGGGTCGACCCGTCGATTCGCGACAGGCACCGTTACGCCATCCCGGGCCCAGAATGGCCGGGAGCCACTAGTGACGGTGGTTGCCTGCTTACATTATTTTTATTATGATGGTTGTAGACCTGAAGAATAATCTTTTCTCCAGCTCAATCTATGTGACACCCGGGAAGGGTTTCGCCGGGGCCCAGAACTTTCCTACACTGTGGCTGCCACACGCTGAAACATTCCGGGCGATGGCGATCACTGTCAACATCAGTGGCGGTGGCTGGTGCAGTTCTACGCGGAGAATGTGCGTTGGACTCGTACAGTCATTCACATTCACGTCGACACAGCCACCAGATAGAGCGGCTTTCGCATCCGACCGCCGTATAGGTGCAGCAGGACGTACGCGGGGATCAGGCCGAAGGTGCAGACAATCGCCTGTGCCGAAAAGGTCCAAGTCCAGCCTAGAAAGCCCAGTCAGCAAAGCATGCTCCGCCAATAAGAGCAGTGGATTACCGGAGTTCTCAACCCAGATGCTGATGAACCACGGATTGATAAAGGCCGACATCTGCTCCAGGTATATGGTCAACAACCGCATCGCGAACCACCTATGTGCACACTCACATTGATCACCACCGAATAGAACATGATGACTTCCATGGCGAACTCGGGATAATTGTCCACAATGTATGTGGACAAGACCGTATTCCCGACCTGTGTCCCAAGGGCATCTGGGGAGTGATCAGAAAGGAGGATGGTTAAGTGTGGACCGATCCTTACAGAGGAAAAATGCAACCTCGCCGGTCATCCAGTGCCAGCCTCGCTCAACGGAGATGCCCCAAACAATGAGCCCGACCGATGACACGACTGCGGCGGGATACCCCAACCACAGTCTCATCTCGGGTTCCCGCTGGGCATTATTGCGGCGTGCTAGCCGGGCGACAAGCCAGTCGCTCAGACTCCCCGAACAGAAGACCTCGGCGAAGACCAGACCGACAATGAGGCCGATGAACAGCAGTCCTTGTACTTGCACCCGTTTGGTCTCGTATGCCAATGGCTCCATGGTCATAATGGAACAGATCCTAGATCGTGGCATGAGCCTTGGCCTCATCTGGGGACGTGTTCACCTACCACCAATATTGGAAGAATACGTATGAGCACACGCTAATGGAAATCGTTGGGTAAGTCCACAGCCTGCAAAACTCGAGGATAGCATCCCAGAACTTCGGGTGCCTCACTCCAGGGATTGGATGCAAGTGCTGTGGCGATGTTAGAGACGAGTGCCAAAAGCAATATCTGTGAATTTACCAAATATCCCAGCTGCTTGGTCCTCTTCAAGTCATCGGATTCCATCTCCTCGGACCGGCTACCATGGGCTTCTCGCTCGAGCATCGCAGCTCGTGGGTAGTGAGTTTCCGGTAAAAACAGACATTCGCAGACCAGCAGCACCACAAACAAGATTGTGACATGATAACTAATCCAGTATTGCGAGACCGACGCCAGGAAGCCACCCACTGGACATCGTTAGAATCACTATATCAACCCGGATAACAAGAAATACATACCCACAGCTCCAAGCACAGTTCCAATATTAGCCGACATGGCCCAAAGTCCTACACGAAAGCCTCTCTCATGTTCAAAGGACAGATCGTTGATGATCGTCAGCCCGATATTAGCAGACGGCCCAGCGCCCACACCCTGGAAAAATCGGGCAGCCATATATCCTGATAACGAAGTACCCTTCAACGAGGTGCAACCGCTCGCAATGACAGAGATGACCGTGCTAGCAATCAACACAGGGCGGCGTCCATACGTCTCCGCCAGAGACGAAGTGAGCAAGGGACCCATTGCTAAGCCGAGACACGGCACCGCGAAGGTCCAGTTCACTTTTGTATAAGTGGTATGGAACTGCTTCTCGAGCTCGGAGAAAGCAGGGACAGACGCCGTCGTGAAATAGGTGAGGAGGCAGTAGGCAAAACAGACGAGTAGAATACAAGTATATTTCTGGACGAGAGACCAGTTCAGCGGATCCAGGGGATCGCTCGTTACTGTTGGCGAGAGTGGGAGACCCGAGGGAGCGAGTCGAACTGGCTTCAGCTCGCCTGCCTCGGCGGCTGTTGGTGACGCCGCGTTTACATCCGGTTTCTTGGGGAGCATTTTTGCGAACTGGTATTCGACTAAACAAATTATGAACTATGTCTACGGTCTTTATATAGTTGGTGACTTCATAACACTCCTGTACGGACTTATCTCCCATGATTTAATCGTGATGGCAGATAAGCTCTAACGCTACTATCTGCACTGATCCCTTCCGTCTCCTCAGCTTGCCTAATCGGGGCCAAGTGGCTTTCCCCGCACGAGATACCAAGCGGATCAACTTTCAACAATTGAACTGCTTATCACAATTGCAATCCAGTCTTGGTCATGTTTGGATTTGTTCGGAAAGTGATTGCATCTTCTCGCCCTGGGAAACTTCAAACTTTATCGGTCTACTCTCGTCTTTACTGGCTGGAAGGTCTTTTCACTAAACATGCTGTCAGTGTGGGCAGGTGTCTTTCTCTTCGTGTTCTATATCTTGACCCGAGGGTTCTCTCCATTATCCAAACTACCCGGACCATGGTATACCCGATTCACCAGTCTATGGATCAAGTATCAAGAGTTCACAGCGAATCGTCGCCAATCCATCCATCGGCTACATCAAGTCTACGGACCTGTCGTCCGACTGGCTCCAAACGAAGTATCCTTCACTAGTCTCAAGGCTATAAAGGAAATCTATTCCTCCGGAGGAAGCGGGTATGACAAGACCGAGTTCTATGATCTCTTTAGGCAATTCAGAACCAAGTAAGTTTTCTGCTAGTAATTTTATGGCAGCTACTTAGGGACCCGGGCAGGACGATGTTCTCTACACTATTCAAAGATGAGGTTAGCTAATGACTGTCGAGATGGCAATGCATTCACTGACGCAATCTGCAGCATAGCAAGAGAAAACGGGTCTTTGCGGAGCGATATGCTATGACCAATGTCATGAAGGAGAAGCCCCTCGCGGAAATCAGCGAGTGCGCCACATCTTTTGTGTCTAGATGCGCTGAGGCTGGTCAGAAGGGTGTTGATGTCTACGTATGTCTGGGACACGCATGAACATAGGAACCTGGTATACTAAATGCATTCAGGCTCTCCTCCACTGCTATGCCCTCGACTGCGTCACACATTTTATGTTCAGTCCCAGAGGGCTTAAATCTCTCGATATCCACAAGGACTTCGAAGTGATGCAAGAGATGACATATCATCAAAGCCTGCAGCGTAAGTTCCGCTTACCTGGAACCAGTCAACATCTCTAAAACCCAAAATCAGAAAACCTACTGGCGTACTACCTCCCACAGCTAGCGCCATATTTCCCAAAAGCAATCCGGCCAGGCGCCTCGCCCATAGCAGACAAATACGTAATAGAGATGGCCTCCCAACCAAACCTGGAATCATACACACTCATGGAGAAACTAACCCGCAAAGAATCCGGTCTCGAGCCCATGCAAGCCGCCGCAGAATGCAAGGACCACATGGCAGCCGGCATTGACACGACCGGCGACGGGCTATGCTTCCTCATGTGGGAACTATCGCAGCCACATAACCTCGAGTTCCAGCGCCGGCTGCATGATGAAATTGTTTCTGCTCGAGCGGATGCAACACTTGACAGCCTTGTCTATCTCGATGCTGTTATCAAGGAAGCGCTCCGCTGCTCTCCGCCTATCCCCATGTCGCTGCCTCGCTATGTGCCTGATGGCGGCCGGGTGATTGATGGGTACTTCATGCCAGCTCATACAATTGTCAGTTGCCAGCCCTATACCGTGCACCGTTTGAATGAGGAGGTGTTTCCGGATCCGGATCGTTTCTACCCGGATCGATGGCTTGAGGCGGAGGGTGCGGCGGATCGGAATAGGCTCTTTTTTGCGTTTGCCGTTGGGGGGCGCGGGTGCACAGGGAAGAAGTGAGTTTATTTTCCTTTATGGACGAATAATTCCACGCTAACAGCTCCTTGGTTTGTTAGTCTCGCGCTGGTGGAAATGAAAATACTTCTTCGTGAAGTGTATTCGCGTTTCCAGACCACGGTGGCTCCGGATATGACGGCGTCGATGGAAATCCACGAGCAGATTATCTCTGCGAGACCCAAGGGGCAGAAGTGCGAGCTGATTTTCAGTCCGATCTAGATGAATTTTAGTAAATAGAAGAATAATGAGTGGTTGAACAGACCAAGTTGCTCCCATGAGGGGAAATGGCCAGCCGAGCGGGGAACCACTGATAAGAGTTTCTCCTCGACATTCCAGATCTGTCTTGATTGCAACCACTAGAACTAACTCTCGAATTGACAACTCTACCCGGTACCTCATCACCCCCCGATATCATAAGGGGTGCCATCTCTCTGCTCTTACGATTGGAAAAATAACAGAACAACCCAAGAGAACCCCTACTTCACCACCATGGCCAACGAAGTATCCACCAAGACAGAATGCCGCTTTTCGACCCGCATCTCCATCCGCTGGCTCCCTGAGCCAGCCCGCGAGACAACAGACACAATCGTCATGTCTGTGAAGGATTGGTATCTTGATTTGCGCATAGATAAGCAAACAGGCGGCATCGACTGGGCCATTGCCGGCCAACGAATCATCGAGAGTCAGGAGCCAAGTCAGTCATTCATCATATAATCAGAAAAACCCCCCAGCAGAATTGACCAATTCCAGTGCGAGTCGCATTTACACATGAGCTAGATTCTCATGGCGAGTTTAGCAGCGCCGACTGCGGGACATTTGTCTCATTGCCGAACGGCGATGACCTCGAAACAGGCGTTATGCCTCGTCCTGATGTCCCCGGTGCACCACCAACAGAATACGAGGAGGTATGGCGGGAGCTGCCATTTAGGGATGGTCCTGAGGGTGCGCACGGGGGCATTTCCTGGGTATTGGAGTCGGACGACGACGATCTAATTGGGAAGGAGGGAGAGTTTACGGTAACGAAGACATTCCTGGGTAGGATCTGGGGCGTGTATCTGGCGCTGCAGCAGATACAGATTCATACCCGGCGGAAAACCCCTTCTGGTGAATGGGATGTCAAGAAGACCGGGGCTGATGTTTGTGTGCGAAGGGAAGAGTGGAGTGCTGCTGGATGGAATGCGAAGTATGTGGTTGGGGGTGCTGCGGGTACCTTGCCTTCAATGGTGGCTGGATTTGAGGGTGAAGGTGAGGGGGCATGGCGTGTGCCGGGGGGTAAGGTTGTGGTCAATGGGAGACAGTACGTTGTTCGGGCATTTGAGATCGGTCGACTGCCGAAGGGAAAGGTCCCCCATTGATCCTGAAAATACGTAAAGCTGGACCACTTTTTTTACAGGCCATATAGAAGATGCCAGTTGTGTTTCCAATATGTCCCCGTGATATAATGTGGTAATCACAGGCGCCGAAGAACAGTTCCGAGTTGAATCAACCATCCGCTATGGATGGCTCTGACCGCAATCTTGCTTGCTGTGTCCGATGAAGTAGGCCAGTGATTGTTCACAGCTATCTTTGATATTCTCAATAAGTCCCGTAATAGCCTCCAGCACAATGCTCTTCGACTGGTGAGGAACAAGCAGCTAGTTAACTTATATACATAAAATGACTAATCCATGGCACGTGATCCAACGACCCACCGTGGTGATTTTCCCACTGTTCGACTCACTTTCTTTTTCTTCTTTTCTCAAGCGCCATCCCCACCAATGCTGCGTTTCTTTGCTACACACGACAGCCGGACAAATTGTCCACTGTCCTCGGGGCCTGAGTCCTGGCACTCAGGCTCCGAGAACCCCTGCAAATGAGAAATTCGGAGGAATCTTCATCCACCCAACCCGCTCCTGGTTCTGAACCAGGGGCCGGTACTGCCCGTGAGGGCCTGGTGTGAGACACAAACCACGGCTTTAACCGGCCGTGGCACACCTGCACTCGGCATCAGAAACATCGGGGGATTTCAAACCCCATGGGAGAGTCGATGCGAAGATTGTGTGTGATGCCACTTTAGTGCAATACGCAGCATACCTCTTGTTCCTCCGTCTTGATTTTCGGGATGGGGGAACTGGTATCATTCGATTCCGATCATTCGGGTGGGGATGGCGCTTCACCTTTTTTTCCCTTCAGGTCAGTGTGTTCTCTCTTCTTTTCCGTCCCCGGGTACGTGACTGGGGCGGTTCTGGAAAGATCTGCCTTTTCTGGTAACTCTGCTAATTGGCAGGGTTGCCGGCCATATTCCCTCAGGTCCTTCTAGGTCGTCCTTTGAGGAATTGGCGTTGGGTGGACAGCGATAGATGGGTAGGGATGGAGAAAATACCTTACTATCCAAGACTTGATGGACTAGATATTCCAGGTTTTATGAAGAACAATTCTAGTGTCCATGTCGAAGAAGATCTACTACTACTGTATGCTACGCACAATGGCACGGAATAGCGAGAAGTAAACACGCGACGTGAAGGGTCCAGAATCCGACCGCTGGAATCTAACGGAAAGAAATCATCGTAGTACACCCCCCTGTGTTCTCGAAGCAGACTGGGACAAAAAATTCGTTGCTTCCATCACATTCTCTCCGTGGTAATCAGGGTAGTTTTCTCGTTTTGCATAATGGGTTTGACGTGAGCAAGGCAGCTTCTTACTCCTCGTCTCCGATCTGTGGGGAACAAATATGTTAGGACAGGACAAATCTCAGAAGAAAGGAACAAAACAAACCTTCGGAGCCAGGTAGAACCGCAGGTGGCCGCTGCCCAGACTATACTCGACGAGCAGTGGCACCTCCTGGGATAGGTGCAGCTTTACCGAGTTGGACAGGTTGGAAGCCTTGCAGAAGTTGACAAGGTACTTGAGGGAGAAAGTCAGGGCGACAGGTTCGGAGAGGGAGATGGTGACGTTCTGGTCGGGCTTGTCGACGTTGGTGTGCTGGCGGATGGTGACAGAGCCGTTACCAATATCACCTGTGCACGAGAACTTGACACCTTCCTTGCTGGCCTCGATGACGACTGCAATCCGCCGATTAGCCTTGCACTTCATGGTCCCCGATCTGAGAGATGTGCCCTACCTGACTCCGACAGCGCGTTCAGATCTCTGCAAATGCGCTGAAACTCCATCGCGGGCATCTCCACGGTAGCCGCATATTCGGTCTCGGGGATGGCCAGGTGCTCCTGGTCGATATCCATGAGCTTAATATCATATTCGCTTAGCCGGTCGGTCTCGGCGCTCTCGAACATCAGGTTGACCGCGTCGGGCGAGTCCTCAGCCTTGAGGGTCAGAATGTCTTCATTCTGGGCCGCCCGCAGGACCTTCGTCAGCGAGGTCAGGTTGATACCCAACGCGATGTTGCGGTCGCAGCGATAAGGGGAGAATCCCTCAGCGCGCAGCAGCATCGACACCAGCGCCACGTGAGAGTTATCCATCGCCTGGAGGGCAATGCCCGAGTCATTGCAGTCGAAGTTGCAGTCCTGCACAAGATCCTTGACCGCGTCGACGACCTGGGGGGAAAAATACAATCAGTCGCCTGTGCAACGGATGTGGGATTGGGAGCGTCCTGGTATACATACACGCTTCAGAAGGCTTGCCTGCTCTAGCCGTGCTTCCAACACTAGAGCGGTTGTTCGTTAGCTAGCTCAAGCGAGAGGGCGAACGAGATGATGTCACAACATACTGTTGACAGGTTTGTGAGAGAGAACTAAGGTTGTGTGTGGGAGAGTAGCAAAATGATGACGAGGAGGGAGGGAGGGATTGAATGAGATGTGGGAGGCAGAAGAATCGCGTGTGGAAGTTAGTTTGGTGGGCGACTGAACGCGCGCGAGTCACGCGTCTTCATTATGCCCCTTGGGGCTAGAGTGGTGCCTGAGGCATCAAATAGGAGGTATACGACAACACATTATTTAAAGTTCATTATCTCATGAAGACGAATATATACACTGCTTCCTTCTGTACATGGGGTATCAAGTCGAGTTCCAACGGTAGCAGTTTGAACGATGCACATCAAATGCTCGTCACTCTTTTCGAGAGGTCATTCCGCGGTCGTTGCTGAATGACCATCTCCAGTTCTTTGAGCATGTTCGTGTTCGCATCCACCTTCTCACGAGCAGCGGCCTGCCTCGCCCGATCTTCGCGAACACGCGCCAGCCGCTCGTCTCGCGTCAAAGAGGCCCTCTTGTTGCGAGACGATGGTAGCACAACAGCTTCAAAGATCTCCTCATCGTCGAAAGCATGTGTCAAGTCGGGTCGGCCCTCCCCGTTCAGTGCTTTGAGCGCGTCAGTCGGGCTGCCTTCGACGGCCGTAGTGCCTCCAAGGCTCGAAGTGGGGGACAAGGGCGAAACCATCGCACTCGATGGTCGCGATCGATCTCCGGCGCTCTGCCGCTCGGCGCTGTGCAACATAGCAACTTTGCCTGCTTCCCATTCCTGGAGCAGGGCCCGAATGTCACTGCCGATCGACTCGTACTGTGCAAGGAGAGTTGCCTCGAAATCGGTAGAAGAGTCGGTCCGTTCGATATTGGCATTGGACTCCTCGCTGATAATGTGCATCTTGGCATGTAGGGCTCGTACTCCCTGTGACAAGGAGTTGAGCCTTCGGAACTGCGCCCGAAGATTGTCCTTGCTTGGAGAGGCCATGGGCAAGGGAGATGGAGGAATGGTATCCCCTGTTTGGAAATTAGCCTCTGCTCATCCAACCAATTCAAAAGTACTCACGGTCCTCTTCGTTCAAAATGCTTGTCATTTTAAGCATGCTCGCTCCGGTCACCGTGGCAAGATCTCGCATTTCCTCCACGGCGGTGCTCCATCTGGCAATATCGGAACCTCCTCCATCAGCGCTCAGCGCCAACAGACAACACAAAACGCTCTTTCTCACGCTGTATAGTTTCCCAAAGAGATCTCGCAAGGAACGCAATGAGTACTGGTCGTCTGATGTGCGGTGCGATACTGTCGCTTCGATTGCTTCGAGCTCCTCTAACCCAATGTCATAAATATCGTAATACTTCGCGAGATTGCCTTCATCGGTGAGGGGCCGCAGGATGTTCTGTGACCGAATGTATCGCTCCAACATCGAAAAGAAACACTCCGAGACCACTCGGCGTAGTCTCAGGCACCTCCGTGTCTGTGTCTGGTCTTCGAGTCGGCTAATAGGCGGTAAGGGAGTACTGATCCGATAGCCACGCGAGACCAGCTCGACTTCCTGTATAAATACCACCGAGGCAGATGAAGCAGAGTCAAATCCCTGGGCGTTGCCAACGAAAGCCCCAGCAGCCTGAACAGCCTGGTGTCGTAGATACTTCAGCCACTGACGTTTGGCAAAGGCATAGAACAAGGCCCCCACAATGGGGACGAGGATGAGAAGCACTATCACTCGCTTCGGGCTAAAGCCAGCTCCAGACCGTGAGCGACTCCAGTGTAATAACCATGCGATTGAGAAAGACGCCGCCGCCGTAACGACTGCGCCTTGGATTCCGAACGTCGTGGAGAGGGATGGGAGGTCTGCGGATGGTGAAGTCGACACCACGTCTGTGGTAGATGTGTAAGAGGGTGCGCTGTGCTCATTCAGCAATTGCGACGCGACGATCACGTAGCCGAACTGTTCGAGGAATCGCTCGTTGTCGCTTCGCCCGATCTGTGCATTTAAAGCAGACTGAAATGATGAGTCCATCAGTCAAATTGTCTAGGGGAATTGCAACCAAAAACCATACCGAGCACGCATCGTACATCCTACCAAGAACGACCCCCTCCCGTGATCTGTTGAGGTCTAGAGGTTTGGGCAGCTTGTTCCGGACGCGCTCCTGGAACTTCGAAACGCCTCGAGGGGCGAAATTGGATGCCGTGTCATTTGGGTCATGTTCGCTGCGTGTTTCCTCCACGAGCCAGCTTTCGTTGCTCTCGCCTTCCCCTGGAATAGGCACCGGTGAGGGGGTTGCATGCGACACTTGTGTGCTGGGTGACATACCTTCGAGGTAATCGGCCAACGGTGAATTCTCATACACAAGGGATTCCATGACCCGGTATCATTCCGCGCGGAGTAGGTCGAGGACAGAGGAATTGTCAACGGGTCTTAGTCGAAAGGGCGATAACTGACTAGCGGAAGGGAGGAGACAGGGGGAAGGAGGGGGCAGGCCACGATATGGCGATCATGCGCCCATGTCGCACAGGGTCGAAGAGCGTCGGGCGAACAAAGATGGGAGATGGCAAGCCACGCAGGTGTCAGTGGTCGGAATGAGAAGCAAGAGCCACGTTGAGGCATTCATCCGGGGACAGGAGTAATGATCTCGTGACTTGCTCCACAGTAGCCCTACAACACTGTCCAAGTATGATTCGGGGTTCATTCAGCATTAACGATGTCGGTTATATCTATTTTACCCTGAACATCTCTTTTTCCGGCTGCGCACTATATTTTTGACTTTGGTTACACAGTATATTAATGATAGACCAAGCATGGAAATATATATATCTTCGCGTCGAGTCAGGGTGAGACACCACCCATGTTGACTGTTCAATATACAGGAGCCGACCCCCGAACAAGAGACAAGGGAGCCCAGGAAGCCTGATTATTGACTCAAGCATCAGCAGTATTCATTATTATCATTGAGCAGATCATCTCCATTCGGACAGAGTCACGTGTACTATCTCGATTACATCAGCATCGTTGCCTGGGACAACCAGGATCGTGTCAACAATCTGGATCGCGCCTTCCCCGGTCGACGACACGCTCGCGCCGATAACGAAGGAAGCTGCGGATGTGTCATTGTCATTCACGTGGCAGCCGACTTGCTCTCCGTGTTTGGATCGCCCCATCTTGCTACCCAAACATCCCTCAACTTCACCGCTCTTCTTGATCCACCTACTACTTCTGTACCACACCACGAACTACATTCCATACTCCTCAACATATATGCGCCACTAGCTCGCAACACCCAGACTTGATGTTCCCGCACCATGTCAGGCATTCTCAACGAAGCCGCCACCCCGTGCCCCTCGAGGGCGAGGTCCTCAAGATTCGGTGAACGCAACAGTAGAAGCGACACTTTCGACAGCCTGTTGGGCGATGACTCGGCATTTGAACAGACAGGAGAGATCGAGTTCACCACCGAAGTACGCGCGCCCATTTTGACGGGTACCCGTCCCCGACGAGCCCATCAAGCCGGATCGGCTTTCCAAATTCACGAAGAAACTGAGAAGCCAGCGGGCCCTGCGGAGAAGCGCCGACGACCGAATGGATTGACGCAACAACTCCCAAATCGCAAATCGTCTCTGCTGGCTCAACCGGCCCAGAGATTTCGGCCAAAAGTCAACTTTGATCCCAGCCCGCCATCTCGAATCGCAAGACAAGAACCAGAAACGCAGCCCAAGACGAAGCGAGTGGGATCAAAGACTAACCTGGAAAACCTGTCCCCGGTGCGGATTAACAACCAAGGATCCGAGAAGAAGGGTCGCGTCAATGACCTCAAAAGGGGTGTGCGTCGCGATACTGTGTATATCCCGCCGGACGACACGACCGTCGCCAGTGTTTTCATGGGCCTGTTCAGCCCGATGAAAAAGCAGCAGCAGTCCGCAGCGTCACAAATTCCGGAAGAAACCACCCAGATCAACACACTGGAGGCACAGATTGCAAAACGGCACGCTAGAAAATCACTGGCAGTGTCTGCACGCAGAGCTCCACTCCAGCCAAGCCAGAAGAATGCCCAAGAGACTGCACTTCGAGTCGACATTGCCGGCAAGAATGGCGGCAAGGAAAACATCCCCCCGGGAACACTTGTCGGTGCAAAAGATAAAACCTCCGTTGATTATGCCCGGCCGCTGAAGCCCGGCCGAACTAGCATTGCACCAGAACGGAAATCGGCTCGCCGAGATACCCCACGGCCGCCTGCAAGCCCCAAGTTAGAGCAACCTTCTGCCAGAAAGACGAACCCACCGCAGAAAAAGCGATCGGTGCTGGCTGAACGACAGAACGAGGTGAAAATCCAGACATATTCCGTCAGTCAAGAGAAGGATGCTGCCGCGGTGCCCAAAAGGCCAACGGAAAAGGCTTCTTCTGTCAATGGGCGAACCACTGTCCGGCCTGGTCTCTCCACGAGCCGATCTTCTTCTAGCATGAGGAGTGTACCCTCCAACCCCAAGCTGAAGAAGTTGAACCTGGAATACCCATTGCTTGTCGAGAATATCTCCAAACCATCTCTTTATGATGACGACTGGCTCTCGCACCAGGAGATTGTGATAACCCAGCTGGTCAACGCGTTATTTGAGTGCACGGCCACCAACATAAATGCCTTGGACGCAGATGGCCTTCGCCTAGAATTGCTCGAACTTTACCACACAGATCACTTCACTCGTCTCTACAAGCGGATCCAAGCATCTCTTTCGTGTGGGGCGCTGAGTATCCCACGAGATATTCTTATCCAATACCCCCGGGTCAAGAAAGATGTTGGAATCCAGCGAAAGTTCTTGGACCTTTGGACCCAGACGTATGACATTCATACATTGGTGGCTGCAGCAGAGACCGTCGTTGGACGGAGAGTTTCGAATGAACGGATCTCTTTTGGGTCTGTCACCGAGAACGCCCAAGAGAGCACAACTGGTCACAAGAAAGCCATGGTCAGGAAGGCGGAGGGCTTTCTGGACACGTTTTTGTTGCGAAATGATGACATGGTCCAGTCTGCAGAGAAGAGAGACACTCCTGCAGAAGAATCGGCCAAGGCGTATCGCCGCACTATGCTTCGGTGCATCATGCTTGTTGCTCTTTTGGACAAGACTAGACAATCGCTCGCAAGTGCTGTGCCTCGCCAGCTTTTTGTCGCCTCATCTCCGTTCAAATCTTCTGCCGACCTACTCCAAGCTTTGGCTCGTCTGCTCCTCCCATCTTGTGGGGACATCATCAAACCCTTAGGGCACCTGGACTGCCATTTGACGTACAAGCAGCACAAGCTACAAGAGTACAGCTACCAAATCGACAACATCGCGGTCGATTTCAGAGACGGTGTGCGCCTGACGAGAATTGTCGAGGTCCTATTTTTCTTGCCCAATTCTGGAGATCAAACCGAGATCTCTTTATGCACCGGAGATGTTCTTCCACTCTTTGGCGAAGACGCAGACCTTCCGCTATCCAAGCATTTAAAGGTGTCATGTGCCAGTCGTGCAGCCAAGATTTTCAATGTGCAAATTGCTTTGGGAGCCTTGAGCTCCCTGGAGGGCTCCAACGCAATTATTGGCGATATCCGTGCGGAGGACATCGTGGACGGCTACCGTGAGAGGACCATTGCACTCCTCTGGGCGCTTGTTAGCAGATGGGGCCTTGCAGGACTGGTGAAGTTGGACGATGTGAGCAAGGAGATTAAGCGACTGAAGCGCAAGGCCATCTCCGAACTTGGGTACGCACAGATCAAAGATGAGCACTGGTTTAAGGGTGACGGTATGGATGGCGGTGAGCATGCGCAACTCCAGCAATGGGCATCCATCTTGGCGGCACTAAAGGGTCTTCGTATCGACAATATGACAACCAGCTTCGCCGATGGACGGGTCTATGCGAGCATTGTGGATGAATACGAGCCGTTCATCGCAGGCAAAAAATCATCTGGCGTTTCGCTGGAGGCACGTCTTGAACATCTGGGATGCAGCTCACAGTTTGGTAAGTTCTCAACTCCTGAGCAATTGACAAATAGCCACTAACAATGAAATAGCATTCCTTGTCTCCCCGACTTTGGCATCCTCACGTATTCTGGACGCTGACTCCACTCTGGCCGCTCTTGCATTCCTCTGCTCGCGACTGCTTGCCGCCTCGAGACGCTCACGAGCAGCCACTACGCTGCAGCGCGCCTGGCGGACAGTTTCAGAGGAGCGAGACGCCAATCGGCGTGCTGTTGCGAAAAGTCTCGCTACGCAGTGCGCCGCCGTGGTTCAGACACGAGACCAGATCTTGTGGGCTAAGAGAGTGATTGTCGAGTGGTGGAGGACGACCGAAGCTCGGAAACAGCAGCAGCGCGCAAGATATGTCCAGCCTGCGCGAAGGTTCAATCGCTAAGTATACCTTGGCCATCGGTCTTAAGAGGTGCATATTGCGCAGGATTGACGACGAGAAGAATGGGATAAGCTCGAAGGTTACGACATTCATTCATAAACTCATTTCTTTCTTTTTTTTTCCCTACTGAAGTTTGGCGCTATCCAGCATCTGACAGCGTGGCATATGGTGTATGGTTCATTATCCTGTTGATTCTACGTTCGTTGTGTGTACAGATTACCTTCATTTGACATAGAACATGATAACCCTTAGGTATCACATACTTCGCTTCATACTCCGCTGTGGAGCTAGTGAGTAGATAGAACTGAACGCGCGTACCTGTAAGCAGGCATGATACCAGTTCCCAAGAGCATCATCAACCTATGAGCCCGATACCCAACGACTCACTAAGCACATTCATGATCATGCGAATGTCATCATCTCTCCAACACACGAGGCCGAAAATACCTCAACCACCTACCTCATCGAGTCGCCATCCATTCGGTGTGTAATGTATACCCACGAACTCAATCCCCCACGCGAGAAACGCGTCATGGAATCCCTGCCCTTTCACCGCATTTGAGGCGCCGTTAGGAAACAACCCCACAGCCAGCCAACCACATAGGAAAAGGAATCCCTGTAACCCGGGACTACCGTACTGCGGGCTCTATGCAAGATCTGACGTATGCCCCAGTTTCGGAGAGCGCCGGTAGCGTAAGCACGATCCCGATGAACACCAGTAAGAAATGCTGCCGGGCAGTTAGGCTAATAGCGAGAAATCGGGGTCATTCACTTGTTGCTGTCTGTGCTTTTTGTTGTTCGTACCGTACCTAACAAACACAGGTCATCCATCCCTGCAACATAGGGGCTGTAGGTTCGAGCGCAGACGCTCGGGGGTCGGCTCTCGGGTGGTGCGCTGACATCACTTGTCTTATGCTGGGATGTATCCGGGAGATCCCTGGATATTATCCTACATAGCAGTTTATGTTGGAGAGATGTACGTATTCTCAGACCACTGGTCAGCATTCTGTGTCGACGTTGGCACCGTGGGTAGATATGGATGGAGCCCAGTGGATTGGCTGCGTGTGCTCGTCATCTCACATAGAACGAGGAAGCAAATAGTTATAAGTGGCCGTAAATAACAATGAATTTGCATCCACGAAGTAAGCTCGGGGATTTTGCCTCCTGGCTATGTATCGGCCATTCAGTCCTGAACGATCATGGAGCGCCTCCAGAAGGCAGAAGAATAGAGGTTGCAAGTTTCAGCCCCATCTTCATTAGCTTGACATCATCTCGATAATACCAGCCCCCATTCTGTTTCATGGGCTGTGGTGACATAGTCTGCGTGGGGCCAGCTTCCGTCATATATCCGCAAATAGAATTGTTTGAGGCGAATGTACTGCGCTGGATGCTGTCGCAGATGTGGGATGTTTGAATACGGCCCCATCCGGCGGCGCTCGCCCCATACCTACTGCACTGCCTACGGACAGGAGGAGTAATAATAGTCAGGCTGCATGCATGGAAGATCTGATTCGGTGTGGGCCGAAGGGTATCTCAGCTGAATTATGTTATTGGGGCTGATGTGATCTCCGGTCATTACCGAATCTCTGGACAGTTGGGTATGAGAGATTGTTCTCTACTGACCATAGCAGTGCGCAGCAAGTACCGCTAGTTCAAGTATGTCCCGAGTCGCGTAAACACACTCCCTCATTGGACGGGAGTGACTAATGTGCACGCTGCACATCCGATGACCCCGATCATTCACCAACCAGAGTCCCTGCCTGGCACACCCTATCGGCGGGGACGAAAGAGCGCTCGGGCGATCGTGTCGATCGGTGCTCATCACGTTGCCGATGATCGGGGGTGAATTTGCTATTTGTTATTTCCATTTACGCTAAATAACCGTATACACAGTATAAAACGTAGTTGAGAACTGGTTATGACATCCAGTGTGGTACCGTAGTTTAGGCCTGTAGAACCTTATACAGGAAAGAGACAGACCCTAGTGAGATGCCGTATGGCAAGACATGCTGTCTCGCGGTTTGTTTACGCGTTTGCTTCTCCGTACAAAGAATTATGTCTGGCTTCCCCTGGACATTGTCTTGTAGTACTCGGATCCTCGATCGGACTGGACGGAGAGGAACATACGGTATGTCTTGGCCGGATTGCCGATTCTAGACATTCCAGTATGGTACAAACTGAGGGCATTGCCTGAGAGTACAGTCCTATCACTCAGTGCAACAACGACTTGGGGCCAACGATCAACAATCAACACCAATAGACCGAAATAGCCACCAATAACAGAGAGGGTCTCCTAAGTCTGGGCGAACCCGATCGCCCTTGGCAACGCTGTTTCGATATCCCTTCTGCACTGCCTCATCGATAGTGCAAGATGTATGGACGTTTTGCCTTTAACTTGCGGCAATGTACATACATAGGGCCCTCTTGGCGCCGGGAACAGCCTCACCCCCTTTCCTCCTGCTCTGGCGTTGGGCACTGGCCCATTGTTGATGGCTGAAGCCAAGAAGTATCCATAAAACAAGGGGTGGAATCACTGCTGCCTCCCTGATATGAATGTATGCCCCCCGGATCTTCCTGCCGCGCTTGGCAGTGCTGTTGCCAGTCAGTCCGCTGCCCAAGGTCGCACGGGGCGCATTCTGAAAGTCGGGCAATGCCCAGCCTGCTTGGCGGTTGGAACTATTAGACGCTGGTTGCCAAGCACGGTGGAAAGGGGTGGATTTGTCTGCGCTGCGCTGCCGGGTAGATCATGATCTGCTCTGCCCAGACTGGAGGAGAGGAGGTGATTCGATTCGGCCACTGGAGTCTTGGACTGTACGCCGTTCGAGCTGCGTAGGGGGCGTGACCGAGGCTGGCCATTGTAATAGTTGTACTGATGATGGATTCAATCATTTGGTCTTGAATGTTTCAATGCCTTGGCCATTGTGTTTGTTTCTTGGGATGTGTTTTTGAAATCATTACTGCCAGGTAGAGTCAGTCCGTCAGTTAGGGCAAGATGAGAGCAATTGAGTGGAAGTACAGACCAAGTACAGCACCCCTATCAGATGAATCTTCCATGCTGGGCAGTCGTAGCTCCTATGTAACTAGCAGTCCACTACGAATTATTGTCTAAGCGCACGAACCGCAACCTTCAACAACCCTAAATGGTTGACATCCCGGTTAAACTCCATCTGGCGACAGTTGCATTGCTCCGGGACGGGACCAAAAATGCCTCATACATACACAGCTCTGCCCCTAACTAGTTAACTAATGCACGTCCATCCGGTTGTGAATAATAATCGAAGCTAATTGCTCCCCAAATCGTCCGCTTATCGGGCGCTGTTAGCTCTCACTGGTGCGCCCGGTCTCTGCTCGTGCCATCCTTTGGTGCGTGACCCTCCCACCAGCACAGTTCACACTTTATTCGAGTAGTGGATGGAGATCTTCTCCGGTCGGATCAATTAGGAACGCTTCCACAATCCCAACCATTTCGAGCCACTGCCATTGGTTGCAGCCTCGAGCCGACAACGGTCAGTCCCGTTGGCAACTAGCTCCCCCTGTCTTTGAACGCTGACCCGGTTCGTGAGAGCCAACAGGGGGTATGCCTGCTCCGGACATCTGTACATACATTCACTCCTGTGGGGGATCTTCTCGGACTCGCAGAAGCTTAGTGTATTATTCATTATTAACGCTGGGTGTGTTTTGCCAGGTTTCATGTCTGCCCTCGACCCAGTAAATCTGAAAAGAAGTGCTGAATCTGTAACACACGCGACACGGGATCGCGCTGACTGACCGCTCGTCGCTCACCAACGTGGCCGCTGTGCTCCATCCCGTTGCACGACTTGTCCTGCCGATCGGAGCGGACTTGCCATGTCTACGCGATGGTGGGCATGACAACGATCGACCGGGAGGTGGCAGGGCCAAGAACCGGTCAAGAGGGTTTGATACTACTGTACTACGGTACTGTGAGTGTGACGGGAGCCGATCGCAATGGGCAACACCGAGTGGTAAAGTTACGTCACAGGGGAGCAAGGGAAGGGGACCAAGCAGCCCAATTATTGATTTCAGCGCCAAGACGAAGCGCGCAGAGCGCGGCGGTTATACATAGACACGATGGCTTCATCGGGAATTTGTAATTTTGGGACGGGCTTGATCAAGGCTGACTGGACCAGGCACAAAACAGGCACTGTCCCGACGCTGACGCTGCCATCCATATGACCGTGTTGTGGCGGCGGCTTAGGGTTCGCCCCCGACAGGGACTCTGGAGGGCAAGAGAACGGAAATGCCCAAACAGAATAGACAAGCGAGAACCCACAGTCCATCGTCCGTCAGTTAGTTCGGAGTGGACCACAATGATTATTGCGCTGGCACCGTCTGTGGAAGTGATGGTCTCTCGAGAAAAGAGCCTGATCCGGATTAGTCGGCGACAAAATGCCTCATACTGCTGGGGGTTTCATGAGTATTTTTCAGGACTCCAACCTAAACCACCCGGTCCACTTGATGAAACAGTAATACCTGGATCCATATTATTGTATTATTGTCACTATTCTGATGAGGATGAGAATGGTGATTATTCACTCATCCACGGTCGGAATCCAAAGATAAAACACTAGCATCAGGAAGTAGGAAGAAATCCCCGTCGCCGCATGCATCGGAGATGCTGATTAAGGCTGTGTGGCAAAATGGAACAACAGAAGGAAAAAAAAAAAATTCATTACGGCGCTAGGCCCAAAACGACCTGCCGCTTTCCCGTCACAGCGCCGTAAGTATCATCACTCGCATCCCACTTACACTAACGACTTCCTTCCTTTCCTGCTTCCCCCTCCCCACCCCAAACTGTGCCTGAATTCTTCCTCTTCTTCTTCTTATTTTCGACTTCTTCCCTCCTCTATTACTCTCACACACTCTCCACTCTCCACTCCTCCCCTCTCCCCATACTTCGAGTCTTCGCATTCTTGCGGGCTCTTATCGATCACTGCGCCTCCCCAGCACAGACCATATCAAAAGTCTTGGGGGGCATCCGACATTTCCTCGGCGCTCGATCACCCCAGAGCTGCCATTCTTGCACAACCTGATTGTTCTTGGCGACTCTCCTGTCCAATCGTCCCTCGATTCCACATCCCAGTCAATCATGCGTTTTATATCATGACGGCAGTCCTCTCCGGGACACCATCTGTTCCACCCTCCGGGTTGTGATCGGTCTCCGTGATCGATATTGAGAAAGCGTTCGCCCATTCAAGAACTACAACCGTCACCGATTGAAAACATTGCTTCACACCCTTTGGATCTTCTTGGACACCTCCCGACTTTTGTGGTATGAGAGAACAGAATGGCCCAGTCTCGTGGCGACCGTTCGTTCTCGTCTTTCCACAATCTCTTGAAGATGATTCTCTCACCCAACAACGCGTCCACTCGGCCGACGCACGACGATGCCGACCTGGCCGACGACGTGGATGAACCGCCAGATCACCGTATGCACCACGCGACCACGATGCACTCCGAAGATGTCATCTACACTCGTCCCCCCATCCCGGATCGCAAGGAATCGCTGCTCACCCGTGCTCTCAAGAGTAGCCCCGAGATGTCTCCGACCGACCAGCACCCACCCTCCCTCCACGACTCGACCTACATGTACCGCTCCTATCCGCACAGCAACATTAGCGGCGTCTCCACGGCAGAGCTCACCAGCGATGGCGGCCTGACGAGCCCGTCTTTATCAAACACTCCCAGCCCGCCTCTACCTCCACAAATGATGGGCAAGCCAGGCCCAATGCCGGGCCACAAGGAGCTTGCGCCCAAGGTGAAGGTAGTCGACACCAACGAAACCACCGTGGAAGCCAACCTCGGGCGCAAGCGATGCATTAGCTTTGCTTGTGGCCGCAAGACCGAACAACAAAAACCGCCAACCCCGCCACCTCAGCCGGAAGAAAAGAAGGACGTGGCTGCTGAGCCGCTTCAGCGGCGGACCGCCCTCACCTTCGTATGCCCCGGACGAGACTTGGGAAAATTGCGAGATCGCTCGCCGGCAGCCACACGGAAGACCGCGTTCCGCACGCGCTGCCGTGGTTCCCCAGCACCCGTCGGCCGCAAGCCATCCCCAGACCGAATGGATGCTCCCTCAACAGAGAAGGCCACCGAAATCTCGACGCCCAAAGGTGTCCCCACCAGTGGTCTGGGCAAGTTTGAGGAATCCGAAGCTACTCGATTTCACGAATTCGCCAGCTCGGTCGAAGAGGACGACGAGTGGGTGAACAAGGCGGCTGAATACACCCAAAAGATTACCTTGAACGACTGTATGAAGAAAGAGATGGCCATTCGACGGCTCGGCGAAGAGGCCGAAGAGGAGGCTGAGGAGGAAGAAGAAGAAGATGCCGAGGACGCTGCCGATGATGACTCGACCATCCATGACTTTTCTTCGGATGATGGCAACGAGTCTGACAACGAAGCCGGCTTTGCGGATTCAGATGAGAGCGACGACGACGACGAGTACGAGTTCTGGGCTCTGTCGCGCCCGGCTCCGAGTTTTCCTCCCTCCCAAGCTTCGGACACCATGCCTCCGGCCATTGAACGTCGCGCCTCGAACACGTCTTGGGGCTCGATGACCGATGACCACCAAAAATGGCTCCCGGCTCCCGTGCAGCGAATTGCTGGTGCTCGCCCTGCCAAGGTCTCGAAGATGCGCCCGGCCACCCCCAACCTGCCGGACAGCACTGATTTCGTTTGTGGAACTCTTGACGAGGATCGTCCCCTCGAAGTTGCCTACAAGTCTTGCTTGGAGCAACGGCGTATGTCGAAGCACATCCTCATCCCGCAAGATATCGACCCCAGCTTCCCGACGAGTTGTCCAGAGGATGAGGAGGATGAGGAGGAGGACTGGTCGAATGACGACCTCAAGGAGGTTGCTATGCGCCGTGAGGATTCGAGCCGCGGCCGAGCAGAGGGATCGGCTCGCAAGCCATCTCCGCGACACTCGCCCAAGCGTATGGTGTCCCCGCCGCCTCCTCGTGCCGGTCGGTCGTCACCCAAACGCCTCAAGTCCCCGCCTCCTCGTCTGAGGATCAAGTCTCCTTCTCCCGATACCAGCAAATGGGCCGAGGATATGCCTCGCGCCCAGTCACCCGACGGTCTCAACATCAGCCACCTGGTGCAGCGGCGGCCTTTGGTGCGCACCAAGTCGTTGCCACGGACTCCTAATCCATTCTTCACTGGGTTGGAGAAGTCGCACCGGTGGCAGGGCATTCCGCCCTTGACCGAATCCCCCGAACGTGAGCGATCTCGCACCCGGGAGTTACACACGCGCGGGCCCGTCGACATTGTCGAGGGCCTTGAGAAGAAGCGCCAGAAGCGCAAAGAAAAATTCTGGCGCCAACATTGCCGCAAAGCTGCCAAAGAGCAGATGGAGCGGCGGCCGACCCCCGGCCATGGAGCCGAACGGATGAAGGAGCTTGGCCTCGAAGTTGCTGAGAGGTGCAGGGCTTACGGTGTCGGTCAAGACACCCAGCTCGTCCTATCTGTTTGAGGCATTCCTACCCTACCCACACCTATCCTACCCTGTACATATTTCTTTTTATTACAGTTCGGTCTGTGACTCGGACGCCTTTCGCTTTACATACTTAACCTGATGGTCCTTTTTCCTTTCTTCCCTCTTTCTATTCGTGGCGGATCTCTCTCGCTCTCTTCTTTTGCATTTCCTATTCGCTGCATGGGTTCCGGAGCATATACCCCCTTTGATATTTGGTTGTATGTGGATATAGCGGAGGATAACTGAAGTATCATATGAACTAGAGATATTACTATACCAGTATTTCAATCCAATAAATAATGGTCTATATTTCTCTCGTGTGTATAAACCTCGGAAGACTGGGTTGTTGCCACCGCCGATCTTGCTGCCTGAGGCCACCACTTACCACAACCGATCCCCGAAAACATCACCGCAACCTGTCTTCTTGCTTCTCTCCCTCCCCGACTCCATCCACACTTCAACCCCCAGCCCTTTTCTGGACTGTCAACTCCATCTCCTCTTCCTTCCTGTCGAGGTTCCTCCGTTTCCTGAAGTGCTTGCACCCGTCACCATGTGGATCGTCAACTGGTGTAAGTGCCGTCCAACCCACCCATCACAGTCTCTATAAGTCGGGCAGAGCAACAAGGGGAAGATTGTTTGGACATTGCACACAGTCCAGGACTAGTGTTGGAGATGCTAGGTCCTCCACCTGGAAACCGCGACTTCCAACACCCGAGATGTTTTGAGCCGCGGTTCCCTCTGGCGTGATGCCTGTGACATGGGAACAACAGGACACCGGGAGGGGTGTCGTTCTGTGCGCCGTTACTGATTTGATTTCATACAGTTTACGATGTTCTGGCATCGCTGGGTCTTATGAACAAGCATGCCAAGCTCCTCTTTCTCGGTCTGGATAACGCCGGAAAGACAACGCTGCTCCACATGTTGAAGGTGAGTACTGTTGATTTGCGGAGACGAGACAGACAGATAGATACTGACCGTTTCACCTTCAGAACGACCGCGTTGCCGTCCTCTCCCCCACCGCACACCCGACCTCGGAGGAACTCGCCATTGGCAACAACCGGTTCACAACCTTCGATCTGGGCGGTCACCAGCAGGGTGAGTCCAGCCACCCCACTCCCTTCTTCATCCACCTCATACAGGTCCGCTGATAATGTGTGATAGCCCGCCGCCTGTGGAAGGATTACTTCCCCGAAGTAAGCGGGATCGTCTTCCTGGTCGACGCAAAGGACTACGAGCGCTTCCCCGAGTCCAAGGCCGAGCTCGACGCCCTCCTCGCCATGGAGGATCTGGCCAAGGTTCCCTTCCTGGTGCTTGGAAACAAGATCGATCACCCTGATGCCGTGAGCGAGGATGAGCTCCGCCACCAGCTTGGTCTGTACCAGACTACCGGCAAGGGCAAAGTGCCGCTTGAGGGCATCCGGCCCATTGAGGTTTTCATGTGCAGTGTTGTGATGCGGCAGGGTGAGTTTTTTTTTGTCTTCGTTTCGAGAATATTTGTGAGATACGTGCTAATTTGTTGTGCCCTATAGGATACGGTGAGGGTATCAGGTGGCTGTCTCAGTATGTCTAGACAGAGTCCTGAGAAAAAGGGACTCGCGTCTTCGCTGCTGTTGCTGTCCTTCCATTTCTGAAGCCCACGGTTAGACGTCTTTGCTTTTGACTTCTGTTTCTGATTGAGACAAGCAGAACGCAAGCCTGGATGAACTGGCTGACCGGATGGATGGACGAGACTATCACTGAAACCGAAATGAAATGAAACCACCCAACCACCCCATCACCAATCACCCTTTGCCCGTCCCCTCGGTCCCCCCATTTCGCTTTTTCTCCGATATCTAGATTTTCCCCTTCCCGTGTCCTTCCTAAATCCCCGACTTCAAGTGCGGAAGTCTCCTACTATTCCTGTTGATCATGTTCTTATTACCTTACTACCTATCACTGTTGCTACAATCCATGGCTTTTAATTACGAATTCTTTTCGTGTTGTCTCCTCTCTTCGATCCAATTTGTTCGGTGTGTGGTTGCTCGGCGGCGTACTGTTGTCCTTGCTGTTAGGCAGTTGCAGTTAACTTCAGCCAAAAGACCTGAACCTCACTTAGACTTCCATAGGAAAGACAAGAAACAAAGTCTGTTTAACGACTTGTTTGTTTCAGTGGCCGTTACAAATTGATCAGAGGATAAATGGAAAATATGACCACAGACTGCGCAGAACAAGACTTGCGAATAGCGCCTTCATTATCCAAAGGAATGTGCACTGATCCTCCGAGGACCAGACAGAGGAACCGTAAAGAATCCGAAAAGAAGAATAGTTGGTCCAATCGGCCAAGCAGGTCAACAGCGCCAGAATTGTAATGTATAAGCTATTTGCCATTCGCTCAGCTGAAGGTACTGAGGGAACCAAACCCTGCGAATCCCACTAAATCCACTTGGATGGAGTGCCTGCGTATCGAAGCCTTGGAATGATTGAAGGAGTTGAGACCAAAGTTATGCGAGAGAAGGAGACAAGGCTCATGCAAAAGCTGAACACAGAGAACGCAAGCAGCTCATCAATTCAATTCGTTAATACCCATCTACCGTGATCTCGAAATGACAACTATTCCTCGACTCCAAGCGTATCAGTGCCCTGCCTCTGTCTGCTCTTGTATCCCATATGGTTAGTTCTTCGGCAATATACAGGTGAGATGCATTGTCTGTAAACCATATTGCTGGTGTCCTGGAGGTCGTATTTTAGGATGGAAGGATGGAAAGGCCGTTTTTGACAATCTGGAAGCGTGAAGCCCAAGAGCAGACCAGGTGGATCGGCAGGGCAAAGCAGATATTCCCCATGCATGCATGCATGCATGGCCCGCGGAATGCGCCAAACGGGAACTACAGACGCATTACCCACTCCATGCAAGGGAATATCTCCTCCCATCTTGCAGATCTGGAACTGGTCTACTCCACTCTTTGCGGACTAGCAATCTATTCAGAAGAGATGGGCGGTGAACACGCTAGCCGACCTACCTTGTTGAAGACAATGTACCCAAACTAGTGGTGGCAAGACCGAGGTTACCAGACGAGGCATTACCAGAGCAGGTAAAGGAACAGAAAAATGGATGAAGACTAGAATAAGAGACGATAAACAAACAGAAGACAACGACATGAGCTTTCGGAGAGAAAAAAAAGGTGAGCGGGAAGGGGGAAGAAGGTTAGGAAGGGGAAAAAAACACTCGAGACATCACGAACATAACCAGTCCCACCCCTTCCAGGATGCCGAAAAAGTAAAAACCGTTCCAGATGGTAGGAAACAAAAAAGAAAGACGGGAAAAGAAAACAACTCAAAAGAGGACTCATTCAACTCCGCCTGGTGTGTCGCACAGGCTTCGGCCATGAAATGATGATTTGATGCGGGGGATTGTTCGCTAGTTCGCACGGGTGCCCGGGGTTTGTTCCGTGTGTGGTTTTGGAAAGGGGTGAGGATATTATCGGCTTGTTTCGAGAAGAAAAAAACGGGGTGATAAGGAGGCCGGCACCGCTGTTTGGGTTTTGTTGTGGGAAGACTGGCGAGTTCCCTCGATCATCGTGCATCGTTTCGTACTGTAAGAATCCGGGGACTTGCGGCGGAGGTTGTATGAGTGGTGGTGGGTGTGATGGTGGGTGTATCATACGTGGAGGCGCCGTGAATAGAATTGACCGTCAAGAGACTTATCTCCGCCCGAACCTGCTGCACATGGGGAAGCTCGTATTGATTCTCATTTCTTCTTTTGCTTGCGCGGAGGAGTAACGGGCCCGCCGGAGCTCATGCCACCGTAGACGTACTTTTGTTTCTTTTCCGCTGGTTTCAAAATCTATGCAGAGAAAAAAAAAGTGGTTAGTGTGGGAAACGTCTCGACAAACAAAGACAACTCACCTGGAAGGAACAGAGAAGACTCTCGTCGACACTCATCATGGCTCCCGCATTGTCGAATTCACCGCAGTAGTTGGGTGCGCTGAATAGAGTGACCAGCTGACGCTTCGAGAAGAACTCGTACCCATCCTCCACGACTTGATGAGCGCGGCATATCAAGTCCATGTCGTGTTTTTGCAGGAAACGCGAGACCACATCCGGACCAAAAGTGAACGATACACCACGGTCGTTCTCGCTCCAGCCAGTGATGTCCTTGTCAGGATCGGACCACAGAAGATCACAGAGCAGGCCGCAGTCGGGGATCTGTTGTCAGTGTTAGCGCATGGGGCCTTCAGCTGCGGAAAGCTCGGCCAGAAGGAACAAAAGAGAAAACGTACATCCGTGGGGCGCATGACCCTGCGAATCTGCTCCATAGAGTTGAGATCGGGGCTCAGACCGCCGTGCATGGTGAAGATCTTCTCGTCAATGATGGCTGCAATGGGAAGGCAGTTGAAGCAATCCGTGAACGTCTTCCACAGCTTGATGTTGTATCGTCGCTTGCACTCATCGTAGAATCCGTAGATACGGTTGATCGAGGCGCACTCGTGGTTCCCGCGCAGAACAAAGAAGTTCTCCGGGTACTTGATCTTGTAGGCCAGAAGGAGGCAGATGGTCTCGAGCGACTGCTTGCCACGGTCGACGTAGTCGCCGAGGAAAAGGTAGTTGGCCTCCGGAGGGAATCCGCCGTATTCAAACAACCGCAAGAGATCGTAGTATTGGCCGTGGATATCACCGCAGATCTGAAGAGAGGACACGTTAGACCCGCGGGGCTCCCCCGTTGAGGGTGCAGACACGCGACTTACCTTGATCGGGGCCTCCAACTCCAGCAGTATCGGCTGAGAGATGAAGATCTCTCGGGCCTTGGTGCAGAGATAGCGAATTTCGGACTCCAACAGCTGCACCTGCTTGCCCGGCCGGCTGCCCCTCACCTCCAGCAGCCGATCAATGATAGAGTCCAGATCCACTTCCTGGTCGGCCATGTCGGTCGGCCTCTAACGAATGACACGAAAAATAAGGAAAGGAAAAGGAAAAAGAGAGATGGAGGGATTCGAGGGAGGAAGGGGTGACTCCGGAGCGATCGGGAGGATGGACGGTGAAGATTTAATGACGCGGCGGCTATGTCCTGTCACACTCAGGGTGATAAGTTAGCGAGGTCTCTCAAGCATCCCGAGGTATTTCAAGACGGCTGCAAATGGGGCCTCGAAGATAAGACGCGTGTTTTTTCTTTGCTATCATTCCCCCTTGAGGAAGTGTGGGTGGACTCGTCCGAGGGAAAACAAGGATCCGACAAAGGTGACCTACCAAACCAGAGTTCAACGAGACCAAGAGACTCAAGAAGAAGAAAAAAGGGCCCTACGGCCGCGGAATCAGGGGTTGGACGGAGAGTCCAGATGAGGTGGACGATGCGCCTGCGGAGAGTGAATCGGATGCGTGGATAACACGAAAGGGCGGTTGGGGAGCGGCTCCTGGGCGCCTCAACGGAAGTTGGGGCTGAGCGAAAGACGGTTGGAGTCGATGTGGTCAAGGCCGTGAACCAAGCAGACGATAAGAATCGACGCGATGGCGATGGGTTGATGAGGTGGAGAGAATCGGGTTATGATGGTGAAGGAAGGAGGGGTGTGGGAAGGGAGTCAGGGCAATCAAGGGAGAAATTTTTTTTCGGACCTGGAAACTCTTCGCGGGCGATCGGTCGGGGGAGATGACAAAGGTCGCAGGGATCCAAAACAAACGAGGACGAGCGTGGGAAACGAAAGTCCGGGAATTGGGGATGGAAAGAGAAAAGAGAAGGAAGGAGAAGTGAGAACACGAAAGAAAGCGAGATTCTGGCGGGCGAGAAAAGCGGGAAGCGGTGTTTGCATTGCCTGTTTGGCTGGGCCATTTGTTATATATAGATCCAACTTGTGTAGGCCTGTCTGTGTCACGCCTTTTCCCCTAATTACTATACGAAAACTGGTCATGATGTAGAAATCTCTCTCTCTTGCTGGTCTAGACTCGATCGAGACTTACCCTGAGGATGCAGAGTCTATAATGTCATTGTCCTGCTAGGCTCCACCAGGCACCCCCCCCGATAAGACCGGCGGTCCCGAAGCTGACAGTTCCAACTATTTGCCTAGGCATTTATTTATTTACTACAGAGGATCTCTAGGGACATGTCTGGAAGACATCACCGGCCCGGACTGTAGTCTGTCGAGGTAGTGTTCTGCTCCAATTACAGATCGAGATACCCTCCTTTCGGGAATTCAGGGAAATGTCCAACGACATCCGGATACGACAGGCAACACCACTCGACTTATCTCCCATATTGCAGTAGATGTCCACCGCAACGGCCAGAATACGTCTATCTCTTCTTCCAACGTGAGGAGTGTCTCGAGGCCTATCGGAAGTATTTTCGCACCCTCGTCAAGCACCACAGTATCATCCCAGATTGCTTTGTGATAGTCGCAGAAGTGGCACTAAGCAACCAGATAAACGGGTACTGATTGTGAAACCACGACATGGAGATAGAGATCGGGCCGAATTCAAAAGAAACCCCACTGCAAGATGACTAGTTAGTAGGTAGGGCAGCAAGCAGCGGAGCTGCATGCATGCATCTCGAATGTGAATATGAATATTAGTATATCTGACTGATAGAGGCTAGCCACTCTCCGCACCATCAGAGAATCAGAAACAGCATATCATATCTCCATGCCCTTCGACGGAGTAAAGTTGTATGAAAAGGCCGGGTTTAATGAGTATGGGGCTTGGACGTGGGCTCGACAGGTGACTGAGATGGATAAATTGATGCGGTGGGATCTTTGACCATGTACTCGGTATCAAGCTTGTTACGAGACATATACCATGCAGCCTGTATCATTTGTGGTCTGGAAGAAGAGAAGATTTAAAAGATCTTGCTTTATTTTGAGAATCTGGCTCTTCGCGCCTCATGTCTCATGCGATCAAAGACAACAACAAAAAACAAAATAGCACAAGGGGAATAGGAGAAAAAAAAGCAACAGCACAAAATCCACCAACGCCAACTCCAAGGTACAGACAGGACACGCCAGCGCCTGTCTTTTCGGAAAACGGTAAACACAACAAAAGCACAGTAAAAGCAAGAGGTTCAATCGGCCGTAAATTTGATCATACATCCGACCCGCCATATCTCGTGGGTAACCCAAAACCAAAAAAAAGAAACAAAACAAAGACGCCAGAAACAATGCACTTTGACGGGAGAAGAGTCGTCGAAAGGAAGGTCTTCGTAGAGCTGATGACCGGTCCACTTGTGGCTTCGGGTTTCGTTTCATCCCAATAGACCAATAGACGCGAGAATGCCACACAATGTTCTCGGGAGATTATGAGAAGTGTATCTTGAAGATAGGAAGGTAAGAATCGACAATCGTATATGTTTTAGCCGCTCAATGTCCGGCCACTGCTCACGATAGCCTGGCCGTTGGCGCGGGAAAGAGATGAGGCTGGCAGGGCTGTCGAATGGTCCAAGCCCGAGCCAACTAGGTGAGCTGTTAGGTCCTTATGAGAGTTGTCCCAGGCATGGTCTCCCAGTACCGTGAGCCAGCTATGGCCCACCTCGTGCCGCAGGACCTCCAACTGTTGACGACAGAGTTCTTCGTCCAAGGACCAGTCCTTGACCAGGGCCGGCGGTTGCATCAAGGATGCCTGCAAGGGTGGAGGACTTGGGGAGATGACATGCTTTCCAGGGCTCTGGATGCTGGATGATCCAGATTGAGTTCCGCTATCCAGCTTCCATTGGGGATCGGAAGGGACTAGGATAGATGGGTTCATCGGGGGTTGGATCTGTTGAATTGGGAGCACCGGGGGTATCGCTGCGCTTGTACTGCCGAGTCCATCTGCCATGAACGGATTGTCCAGTGAGAGGTCGACGATTCGGCGCCGTTGAATCTTCTTTCGTCGATTCGACCCCCCTTCACCTTCATTCCGCTGCACAGTCCGCAGCCGCGAGTCCCCCGCATCCTGTGACGACCGTGCCGCTGCAATACCGTCGGGGAGTACGACAGTGGCGACTTTGTGTACAACTGTTGACTGATCTGTCGCGCTCGACCGCACAACCGGTGCAGCTTCGGGTTCCGCTGCTCGGTCAACGAGCTGTTTTCTCTCCGTGTATCCTGGGGCGCGGCCGTCGATGATGATGTCTTCTGAATAACCGGGGGTCCGACGGAACAGGTTCATGATCGTGACGCGATAGCCGGAGTGTGTCTTGATGAACGGGTTGCCAGCTACCCAAATCTCCCGTATTTCAGGGAGACCGGTCAGTCGGGCTATCTCGGTGGGGTCCATGAGGTTGTTGTCACGTAGATCCAGTCTCTCGAGAGACAGCAGTCTTTCAATGCCAGCGAGTGAACGGAGACGGTTGCCGCGAAGGTTGAGGGCTGTAATAGCCGGAAGGGGGTTCCGGGATAGCGAATGTAGAGAATCTATCATGCACTGAGAGAGATTGAGGGCTCGCAGAGACATCAAGGATGCGAGACTGTCGGGGATCTCGGTCAGGAGGTTCGCTGACAGATCCAGAGAGTTCAACGTATTGGCTACGGGGGCCAGACTGGCAGCGGAGACAGACGTTAATGAATTCTCCGGAAGACCCAGATGTCGTAAGAACCGCCATTTGGACGGGTGGAGTACTCCAGGAAGAAGGGTGGAGGAGCTGCCAGTGCGATAACCACCCGACGTCTCACTCGAGTTTGAGCTCCCTGAGCCCGTGCGTCGAATACGAGACGACTGGGCCCGGCTGTGGCGGTGACTCTGCTTCGAAATGGGTGGTCGAGTCGGCGAGATGCTTCCAGCTCTAGCGCGAATTTTTCTGTCTGCCCCTTCCGACCCAGCTCGTACCATCGAGGCCGCTTTGGGACTACTGCTTGTTCCTAAGGCAGTGTCGGCGATAGGGGACCCCGGAGCAGAAAGAGGGATGGCGTGGTCCATGCCCGGGTGAACCGGCTGGGAACCTGAACCGGTGCCGGCCGTCCATCCAAGTAGCGGTGATTGCTGAGACTTGGCGGACCGCCGCCGACGCCGGTTGATATCATCCAGCACGATCCTCGTCAGCAGGTCCGCCGGGTCATCTAAGTGAGCACGCTTGATGGTCAAGGTGCGTAGTTGCTCAGACAGTCGGTCCCAGCCGTAGAAGGAGCGGTAGTCTATGTCAATGATCTCTAAAGCGCTCAGGTTTTTGAAAGAATGCAAGGGTACAGCCGTTTCGAAAGGAAATTCTTCGTATCCACGAATCAAACGAGCGCGGTGGTCCGGGGCGAGGCGCAGACAGGGGATCTTGGTGAAGGCAGAGTAGAGATACTTCAGGTCTGCTTCTAGGGCCGCTTTGGCTTTCTCCGATCGGGAGGGGGAATCCTTTGATCCGAGGCCAAATGAGGACCAGAGGCCACTCATACCGGACATGACGCTACGAACGCTGGACACGGAGTGGATGGAGTCCCTATCGCCCCTGGAGCGCTGGGGCTTATTGAGAAAGGAAACGTAGGACTGCGACACCTCGGTATGGATATTCTCCAGTCGAACGTTCATGGGGCCCACAGCAATGGAGAGGTCCTCGAAGCGCGAGAGCAAGTAGAAAAGATGGTGGGGGGTCAGGGTGAGCTTGGCCGGCTTCAGGGCTTGCGTCGTAAACTTGAGCGCACCGAAGGACAACGCCGATGCCAGGGAGGTCGAGGAGAAAGCACTCGCGCTGGTCGGGGATTGGGGAGTTGCGCCATTAGTCTTCGAGGGCTGGCGTCGCAGTTGCAGAGCATTGGCGAGCGCCTTCTCGTGGGTGCGAACGAAGCTGGCGAGATTCTACACGGGGTCAGTGGATTTGAGGCACGGAGGGTATTCTTCGGGACCGACCTTGATGAAGAGTTGTCCATCTTCTGTGTTGAGTTTCTCCATGGTCGTCGAGGTAACGTCCAGACGGACCAGGTCTTCGCTCGGAGAGAGCTCAGAAGATGGAATCGCTCAGCAGGTACCGCCAGGGAAGGGAGACATCTTTGCCGGTGCAACCAGCAAAAAAACCAGAGGAAGAGAGTAGAGGGGGAAGGAGAAGGGAGTGTAACAGTGAGGGAAAAAGAGAGCGAGAGAGCGAGGAGAGAGTCAGAGAAGGGCCGAAGCGAAGGCGCGGCGGGCGCTAAAGACGACGGTGTCGATAACCCAATAAATCAATAATAAGCCGGTCTAACTAATTGCCTCTCCCATCAGCACATTTTTGTATTTTTTTTACTTCGGCTCTAGAGGATATTATCCTCCATCCTCTCGGAGTGTGGTGGCAACGCTACGTTCTGACTGGTCCTAACTCTCTTGATGATCCAAGGTCCCCCACCTCACCTCGTCCCGCTCCAAACCAAACCCAAAAAAAAAAACAAAACAAATCCTAATCAGTGGCGGCCGCGCAGTGATCACCAGCACCAGCAGCCACACACCATGCAGGCCCGGGTGGGACTGCCGAGTCACGGGCTGATTGGTGTAGGAGAGGGATATTTGCCAATCTCTTCGGGTCATGAACCATCGTCAGCTCGCATTGACATCTGACATTCCTCTGTTTCACGGCAAACGATAACTCACGCGCCCCGCTACGATTCTTATCAGCCCCGACCATGGTTCGCTGTGGTCCCTTCATCTCAGGGATCTCATCTATGTGAGGGATGTTTGGACTTAATTCACCATGGCCAACATCCTCCATTTTACTTTCACCCCCTGAAGTATATTGGGCCTATGATCCCTGGGTCGGATCAAACAGCGCGGGGTACTCTTCACTATGTACTTTCGCCGATACATACTTCCCCGATTGTTGATCGCAATGGCAATTCCCCAGGAATGAAAGACACACATGGGAATGCATGATCGTCCATTGGATCGCCCCCCCTCTCACCCTCTGCCCCCCTGCGTGTAAGTTGGCCCCGAACCCTTTGGAGGAACCCAGGCATCCTGGAGATTAGACGATCCCGCCGGAGTGGTGGCTGTGGTGTCTGCTGATTGGGGGAGACATCATTTGCAGATGCCAAGATGTAAGCGGGGGACTAACTAGCGGCCTGCAGAGGGCCCAATGCGGATCCGGGTAGGATTATTGACGTCTCTCGCGGCCAACGAGGGCTAAAGGCAACTTCAACGGGACCACGGGGGGGCGCCTATCGCGCCATAGGAGTTTCGGTGGTCTTGACCCGAGGGCAAACAATGAGGGAATTGGGATTGCGGCGACACTGGACGATGTAGGGCATACTAGTGATGGCTCAGCTGTGAGAGTGATACATTGTCGCATGGAGGTAATTGCTTTTGTCCAGTAGAACCACCAACAAGCGCAGTTGGCCCAAGCTGAGCCTAATTAACCACCATTCCGTGCATCCAGCGCGCCACCTAAATTGCAGCTGCTGCAAATCATCCCGTTTCGCCCCGTTGAGATTCGCATCCCTGACCGACAACTGGGGGCCGCGACGGTCACCTGACCATCCATCGTATGTACACCACAAGGTATGATTCTTTTTGTTCGTAGTGACCCGGAAGCATTCCACACCGAACAATACATCGTGGTAGCATCGCCGTTGAGATCCTAGCAGGACGACGAGTCCGGGTCCGATATCGCGCAGTAGCTCGTCTGCGCGGCACGTCAACACGCAGTGTGATCCATGCTCCAAAGCAATTCTCCCGATGAGGCGCCTGCCAATAGCAGTTGGGAGATTGCCGTCTTCACGCTGGGTTCGTCGCTAGCGACCATCTAGCGGTGAGATAGAGTGTGCCGCTCGGGGACTATGGGGTGTGTTTGATCAGCACAGATTCCTCTGGCGGGCTATCCCTCAAATTTGGAGGGCTGAACACTCGCGGTCGCCGGTAGGCGGGGGACACATTCCAATCTTGTCTCGGTCTGGGGGTGAGCGGCCAATGTCGTTGCGATATGGGCTCTCCGGCAATCACGGTAGCATTATTATTGTTATTATTGAAGATGCCGAATTCCGACCGATGAATGACTCGGGCGTGGAATGTCAGCAGCCACATCTCGCCTACATCTCGTACCATTTGCCCTGTAGAGAACTACCTACTGGCGGTGCACGGGCAAGAAGATGACCGCGCCCGTAAGATCATCCATCTGCTGATTAGGGTTTCTGCCCGCCACCAGCCACCGCGGATCAGCTGTGGCTGGTGCATGACCACGTGACGCTGATGTCATCACCGCCAGCTGCAATCAAGGTACAACACAACACCGACTCCAACCTTCTCACCCATCTCTGTGCCGGCATGCCTGCTCGCCGAACATGATCCCGGACGAGAAAGCCCCCGATCCATACGACCCCATTGGGCTTCCGGACTACGATCGAGAATTCATCGATCCCGACGACCTGCACCGGTTCGAGAAAGCGTTAAATGCGCCCGAGACCAACAGCTTGACCTTGGTGGCCATCAACGACTGGCGTCCGATCAACCAGAAGGTTCGCAAGCGCCGGAAAGCCCCAAAGCGAAGCAAGGATGAGACGAGGGAAGGTGTGCTTTACACGCTCCTGAAATGGCCGTTTCTGGTGACCGTGTTCGCGTGGATCACCGTGCTCAGTATCGGCTACGTACTGGTCCGGGTGTATATCTTTCTGTACGAGCAACTCGTGACGTGGCGCGGCAAGCGCCAGAAACTGCGTCGAAGCCTGTGGACGAAGACCAATTATCCGGATTGGTTAAAAGCTGCCCAAGAGCTGGATGCCCATTTGGGTAATGTCAAATGGAAGCAGGAGGATGAATATGCCTACTACGATCACCTGACGATCAACAAGGTCGTGGCTCAATTGAAAGATGCCAGGAAGGATGCCGAATGGGAGTTGCAGCACCGGCGCATCGACGCTAGTGAACCGCCTGCCGTGGAGGAGCTGCAGGCTATCCTCGAGGCGTGCGTCAAGAACAACTTTGCCGGAGTGGAGAACCCTCGCGTCTACAGTGAGGCGTACTCCGGGACAAAGGATCTGGTCCAGGAATACATCGACGAAGTACACGCCTGCATCAAGCTAGTTCTTGACAGCAAACAAATTGACAAGGAGGCCAAGTACCGGCACTTCAAACACCTGGATACCAATTTCGGACGCACTGCCCTCTGTCTTTCGGGAGGAGCAACCTTCGCTTATTACCATTTCGGTGTCGTGAAGGCACTCCTGGATAATAATGTCCTGCCGGAGATCATCACGGGTACGTCTGGAGGCGCGCTTGTGGCGGGCTTAGTCGCGACGCGCACCGACGAAGAACTGAAGCACCTACTGGTGCCAGCCCTCGCTCATCGGATTCGTGCCTGTCACGAACGGTTTCCCACGTGGATGCGTCGCTGGTGGCGAACTGGAGCTCGATTCGACACCCTCGATTGGGCTCGACAATGCAGTTGGTTCTGCAGAGGGTCCACTACCTTCCGGGAAGCGTACGAACGGACGGGCCGCGTCTTAAACGTCACCTGCGTGCCTTCGGACCCTCACTCGCCGACCATTCTAGCCAACTATCTGACCTGCCCGGATTGCGTTATATGGAGTGCCGTGCTGGCCTCGGCAGCTGTTCCAGGGATTCTTAATCCAGTGGTGCTAATGACCAAGAGACGCGATGGAACACTCGCACCGTATTCATTCGGACACAAGTGGAAAGATGGCAGTTTACGCACCGATATACCCATCAAAGCGCTTAATTTGCATTTCAACGTGAATTTCACTATCGTTTCTCAGGTCAACCCGCACATCAACCTCTTCTTCTTCAGCTCGCGAGGCACTGTTGGACGACCAGTGACGCATCGCAAGGGGCGCGGCTGGCGCGGCGGTTTCCTGGGCACTGCGATCGAACAGTATATAAAACTGGACCTGAACAAATGGCTCCGCGTTCTCCGACACTTGGAGCTTCTCCCTCGACCAATGGGCCAGGACTGGAGTGAGATTTGGTTACAGAAATTTAGCGGCACAGTGACTCTCTGGCCCAAGACCGTCCCGTCCGACTTCTATCATATCCTCTCGGACCCCAGCCCGGAACGACTAGCGCGCATGCTCCACGCCGGCCAGCAAAGCGCTTTCTCCAAAATTCAATTCATTCAGAACCGACTCAAGATCGAGTTTGCAATCATGAAGGGTCTGAAGCAGTGCGCCCCGGCAGGGACCGTCGGGGGCCGTGCTCTGTCCCCGATTCTGTCTCGCCGGGTAAGTCATCCAGAGCACGAGCCCTCGGACGACGACGCGCTGGTCCGGCGGTTGGACGAGAACTTTCCTGAGCGAGACGGCTTCAGCTCCAACGCTTCAACTGCGTCCTCGCGCCCCCAGACCCCGACTTCTCGCCGGCGAAGCAGTGTTATCGAGGAAATGCGCCGCCAATCAGCTGTGTTCTTTGACGACGATATCTACACCGACGAGGATGCCATTGTCACTTGATTCTGATTTGATCATGTTGTCATGGAGCCGTGCGTGAACCTTTTCTCCCGAGCCATGACGTCGCACAGCCAGCATCGGTTGGAATTCGAACCCCCTCTTCGGGACACCCGCGTTTCTCGCTCTGCCGTCACAAACCTTATCCCTCAACACCCCGCGCGCAGACAGTATTGCCCGACATGACAGGCGGCTCTTGTCGATCTCTTTTGCTCGGAGACTTTCGGATCTCGTCGTCCTACCAGCATCTCGGGGTCTCGACCTTCCCCCTCTTTTTTGTTTCCCGCCCCCCATGCACATACCCCATACCACACTCATTTTCTGCCTGCATTCTCTGCGTGCATTATCAAGGAGTTCTGTATCACTTGTTGCTTCATGATGCCCCCTTTTCCTCCGTTTGGTTTGTTGCACACGAGATTACGACGATCACGGCTTTGCTCACTTTGGTTGTTATTCGCATTATGAGTTCACTTCTGTTAGACTGGGAACGCAGAGAACAGGGTAGCATGTAATACCTAGCCTATACAAGATGACTTAGTTCTACCCTGTGTATGAATACAACTTCTTTTTTTCATTGGCAGTCCTCTCGAACCCTAACTCTTTTGTTATTTGCTCTTAATTTGTCCCGTCGAGCGGGCTTGACAAGACTGACGTCTGCCCATCACTCACCTGCTAAACGAAGGACTACGGGTTACGCGAGTACTGAGGGCTTAGCAAATAACGTCTGGTAAAGATGTCATATGCTCAAGGATTCGGATATCAAGCAGAGGATAAAGTAAAACTACTGTATGCACATCTAGTGAGATACCCCCAACAAAAGGTAAGAGAAGACATTGACATCATGTCCTTAGCCTCGAACCCAACTAACTAGTGGGAGTGGAGGAGCGAAGGATCGAGGGAGGGTGGCATCGCGTCGCAGAAGGCGCATTAGATGCATGTATCGAACCGTGTAAAACCCCTAAAATCACAGCAAAGTAAATTAATTCCCCACTGGCTCGCAGGAGCGTGATCGACGTCATGCTACAGCGTGTGGTGCACGAGATGACATAACTATGCATGCCAGATTGGAAGAGAATCAGTGGGGAATTTAATCTAAGCCTATGCGCAAATGCATTATTACGCTAGAGGACACTGCAATAAGTATAGGGTGTGGAGATCTGTGGCAAGCGATGATGCTAGTACGACGGGGGTGGGAGGATACTGGGGATCAATTAAGTCACTTTAGGCTTTCTTTTGAATTAACGGATGCAAAAAGCGCCTAGTGTACATTTCATTTTTGCATGCTGTCATAGCTAGGAATAACTCCGAGTCAAATGTTCGTCGTATCGTACACGCTAAAGCAAACGGAAAAATCGGCATCTTACCATGCCCAGGACACATGATAGCCAAAAGGAAAGAAGCGACGGTCGTGAAAGGAATGCCCCAAGACGGATCTACTCCCATCATATAACGAGCCACTTGTCAGTGACCGCTTTTGCACTGTGGAGATCACCGCTCAGAGCGTGAAGGTTCTGTAGTGCAAAGGCGGCGTCGCGCGAGAAATCCTCGATATAAGTTTGCGATGGCCCGGTTCCGTCGCTCATAACTGCGTCTTCACCACTCTCCTGTTGGTGCTGTTCTCGCTGGATCTGCTCGCCTAGCACCAGCACCAGCTTATATGCCTCGATGGCTAGATGGACCAGGCTGAGGGCGTGGTAGACACGGGCGAAGTTGAATTCCATCTCCTGGCGCTCCTGCAGCAGAGTCCCCGGTTTCTCGCGGACGAGGCGGTATTCATGCATGAAGGAGAGGCCTTGCATGATCAAGTAGTGGCGGTTCTCGGACTGTCGTTTGAGGGCGTGGTGGATGTAGCAGAGGCTGATGGAAAGCAAAACAGCTGGGTTTTGGTCGTCCAGCGCATATGCTCGGAAGAAGTAATTTAGAGCTGGGTAGAAACTGTTCCCCGAATAGAGGATATGGCCATAGAGCACGAGAAGGGCGATGTCTAGTTCTTTGGCAGGGATCGGTTCGCCGAACTCGTCCTTGGTCGAGAGAGCTGCGCGCTCTTTCCAGATGGAGGGCCGTGATGGCTGAGGTCGGGAGACGTCGGGCAGAGTAAAGTCCATCGCTTTGATCTGGCGGAGCATGAATTTCATGTTTGGAGAGGAATGGAAGAGTGACCGATGAGGGTCGCCGGATAAGTGGCTCAGCATGGAGAAGAGTCGATAGGTGTCTGTGACGAACTGGTACTCCTTGATGAACCAGCGTGCCTCGTTGGAAAGGGCTTCTTCATCTTGAGCCCGGAGCGCACATGTAAACCAGCAAATATGTATCAATCGGGTTTTGGGCTGGCTGTGCAACCAGACACTGGCCATGGCCGCACCATTCAATGCTTCATACGCTTCCTCCGACTCGCCCTGCTCCGTTGAAAGCAGGCCATATTGAAGAAAGATGTCAAGCCAGTCGTCAAAGGAAATGCCGTGGTAGTCATTCGGGATGGCCCCCAGCAAGGACTCATCGGTCACCTCGCCAAGTGATTCTTGAAGACGACCGGCCATCTCTTGCATTTCGTCCATCATGATCCTGCTCTTGGATTTTCCTTTCTTGTGCGCATCGACCGAATATCCCTGGAAGGTAATGCTGCGAAGCATGGGGTAGAAGATTCGGTTGGATCGGAAATCGCGCAGCAGAGCGTCAGCAATATCGAGCCAGTCCTCGATGGCTTCTGCCGCACCCTCCTTTATCCGAGGCTCGAGTTGCTGCATCTTCGAATATAGGAACTGAATATCTTCTGTCCGGCTACCTTCTCCCAGTCCCGCTTGCCCCCTACCGGCTGTCAATGTTGTCAACGTTGTCGATGGAGGTCTGAGCCCAGGTGTTTTCAGAGCTTCTCCGGCTTCCGCCATCCTAAACTCCATGGCCAGTTGCTCAAGCCGAGTGTCTTTCCTCTTTCGTCGGGTTCTGGATTCTTGTCGACCGATCAACACTGCCTCGTTGACGTACTTGAAGGCCTGCTCGCTCATGCCGAGGCTTTCGTAGAGCTTTGCGAGTTGTACTCGTGACTCCATGTTGGCAGTGTCATTCCCGGCGACTATGAGATAGTAGTGTTCTGCATCCTCTACTTTGCCCAAATCCATGCAGCACCCTGCCATGGCCATGAAGTAACCAACATCCGCGTACTCCGTGGTCTGCTGGATTGGAGCGTAGTATCTAAGCGCTTCCTCTAACACGCCTGTTTCTTTCAGGGCATCGGCAACTTCTCGGAAAAGATCACCATAGTCATAGATCCGGGCTCCTTCAGATGTATCTTCCGGATTCAACCACTCGAAATGATGCTGCAATCCACCTTGTTAGAAACTATCGCTCTTCAGGAGCGGGAGATCTACTTACCAATGCCTCGTCTTGATGCTGATCGCCCATCTTCAAGCGGAAAAGACCCATTTTGATCCGGAGTTCAAGCGGAAGTCCCAGTCCATAGCTCTCCAGCGGCCATTGTCCGGGGATATAGCCATCGGTCTTGATGCGGCGAGGGGAATCATCGAAATCCCATTCGCGATCGTCTTCATCAAAATCCTCCCACATAGTATCATCCTTGCGGCCCAACAGCCATCGTGAGAGCCCTTTGAGGGCTGTCAATCCCTCTTCGTGCTGGTTCAAGTAACTGTAAAGCTCGACATAGATATTGGCATCGGACCAACCGAAATCGAGAGTTTCATCTGGACTGCGCGACATGAAATATTCGATGCTGTCCGCATAATGATCCACCGCCTTTTTAACATCATCTAGATCGATGTATGTCTCGGCAAGATGTCGGAGTGCCCGAGCGTTGTGAGGACGTTCCTTGAGAATGCGCTCGTATTCGCCAGCCGCCCGGCCATTGTATCCCAGTTCACGGTAGACTGCAGCTCGCTGGAACCGGATGTTATAGTTCCTGGGTTCAATGTCGATCACACGGCTGTAGCAGTAGATGACGTCGTTCAAGACACTTTTGCGATTCTCCCCAACGCGTTCCATAATGAGTCGAGCAACCTTGGCCCAGACGGTTGGATCTTTCGGTCGCGTGTGGGCTCCGCTGAACAGAGCCGTCAAGGCCTTGTCTTTCTGGCCCTGGGCGAGAAAGATCTCCGACAGAAGTGAGTGGGCAGCAAACATCTCAGGATTGATCAGAATTGCTCGTTTCACCAGGTCAATGGCTCTTTCGTAGTCTCCGTCAATGAAGGCCGAGGTGGCTTCTGAATGAAGCATCTTGAATTCCGGACTGGGCTCGATCGGCCTGCGCGGCCCTCTTCTGATGCCTTTTCCACCGCGAGCGCCATAACGGCCCGAGAAACGCCCTCCGCCACGGCGTCGGCGACGTCTGGCAACTGAATCATCGTCGTCGTCATCTTCCGCCGGTTCATCTTCATCCTCTGCACTGGTGCTTTGGTCCTCCGCGTAGACATAGTCCGAATCGTCGGTCACGTCTTCGGCATTGAGATATGTCTGTTCTTCATCTGAGAGGGCTTCCTCATTGGCGTCATCGTCTTCAGAGTAAGCGGGGCCAGCCTCCTCCGACGCGTTCTGCGCAAACAGATCTCGATACAAACGTGGATCAATCACCGAGGTATGGACATCTCCCGCTGCAGACGGTTGGTTGCCTTGCCACGGATACTGCACGGTCTCATCGATGTCCGGGTAGACCGAGTCCTCCGGGGGGAGGTTCCCTCCATATACAAGTCCGAGTCTGCCATAGTTGGTGCGGGAATGGCTGCTCGGCTAGGCCATGCCCGGGAAGCCGATGCGACGTTGAAGCACCGAGATGGGGGAATTATTTCACGGGCGCCCAAATGCAAGAAACATACAACATGAGGTTGCAAACCCGTCCGTTGCCATATTCGATGTGATGATTGAGGTTGAGGAATGGATGGCCATTCCAGGCCCAGAGCGGGCGGTAGAACCAACCCCGTGATCTCGCGGCCTGAAACAGAAAAAGCCTCTTCTTTCTTTCCCTCATCAAAACTTCTTCTTTCCTCTTCACTCCCCAACACCCCTCCACATCCCTCCCTCCCTTTCCCCATCACTCTTCTTCCATTTCTTCTTCTTCTTCCCTTCTCTTGATTGATTGATGCCTGGGACCAGTGGCTTGCTGTGTTTGACACACTAGTGCTTCTGCTCCTGGCATCCTTTCTGTCGTTTTCTACTCCCACACTAATCGAACTCCCCTCCCTCGACCTTGTCGAGGTACAGCCACTGGCCTGGACTGTGCCTTGTCTTGTCTTGCTTGGACGGTTCTGTTCTATCGTTACGCAAACTCAGCAGGCGCTGCAGGTGTTTTGCAGTAATCATTCCCCACTCTGTATTTACTATTCGCCCAAATAAACCATGTCCAACCACATCGGCAACCGCAACAGCACCCCGGAGGCTGGAAATTCCACGCTGCGTCCCCCGTCGTCCTCCCGCAACCTCGGATCGCATCAGCTGCGAGCCTCAGCAGACATGTCGGGATTCCCTGCACCGCTGTCGGCCCGCAGCATTCGTCCTTCGTCCGAAGTCTTCTTCAACCAACCGTCTCAAGGTCAAAACTCGACGGAGGATGCTTTGGACCGTGCAGCTCAGCAGTGGCTGGCAGATATCGACCAGTATGAGACAACTCTGGAGGAGATGGCGGCTGCCACGCTCGATCAGGACTTCAAGGATGAACTCAGTGCCATCGAGCAGTGGTTCCGTGTCTTGAGTGAGGCTGAACGCACTGCGGCTCTGTATGCTTTGCTTCAGCAGACTACGCAGGTGCAGATTCGGTTCTTCATCCAGGTCCTGCAGCAGATGTCCCAGGGTCACCCGATGTCTGGGCTGCTTTCCCCTGCCAACTTTGGCGAGCGGGGTATGTTCCTCCTGTGTAAATCTGTGTGCTTGTACATAGCTAATACGTCTCTACAGATGCCATGTCCAGCCGTCTGAGCGACGCCATGTCGAAACTGGATACTTCTCGCAATTCCTTGGTCCGGCCCCCGCCGTCTCCAGGCGCGAAGCGCAATTCGGCCCTCGACTCGTCCACCATCAATGCCATGTTTCCAGATGCCGCCGCGGCGATTGCGAAGAAAAAGGCCGAGTTCACCCAGCAGACGGGCAACGCACCTCCCTCCAACCGCAATAGCGCAGTCTTCGGAGAGCGTACGTCCTTCGTGGCACCGACCATCTCCGCTCCTGACAACAATTCAGACAACTTGGGCCAGCCGCCGGCGTCGCCATGGACCCAGCGCGGGTTTTCAGACCAACAGCCCCCCATTGCTCGGCCCAAATCTTCCTCGGGACAGCAGCCTATGGGTCAATTTAGCCAGCCCTCAGGCATGCGGTCTCCTCTTCCGCAGACTGCTAACATTCCCGCTCCTGATATCGAGCCACCCATGCTCTCGCCATACAATGTTGGGAACCACAGCTGGGCGTCTATGACCAACACTCCCATGACTGCTACGTTCGGGCAACAGCAGCAAAACCAACAGAATCAAAACAACACGCAGGCGGACATGGTGGCCAACGCGACGGCAATGAAACTGGCAGCCCTTTCGACGGTGAACAACCGGATCGCTCTTGATGATGCGCGCAAGTACCGCCGGTCCCGCTCGAACGATGGCCATGGTAGGAATTCGAACGCCAACCCCGCCTATTCCCAGGGCCTGGCTAGCCCAGGTCTTCCTGGTCAGAATTTGGTTGCAGGTCAGCTTTTGAATGCACAGCAGCTGGCAGCTTTGCAGGCTCAACAACAGGCCGCCATGGCGGGTCGGCGTTCTCGCCCTACGTCTCCCGGCATTGCTATGCAAGGCGGTGGTCTGGGTGCGATGAGCTTTACCTCGCCCCAGAACAATGGATTCTTGGCCGCATATGATCCGAACAACCCACTGATGGGCAACGGCCTGGGTTCTCTGGGCATGGGTCAGTTCGGTCTCGGCGGTGAGGGATACCTGTCCGACCACTCGGAGGTGGCGCGTGGCCGCTCCCCGCGTGGTCGTCGTGGTAGCTCGAAGCCGCCAGAGGATCCCACGGACCCGGCCCTTTTGAAGGACATCCCCGGCTGGCTGCGGTCCCTTCGGCTGCACAAGTACACGGACAATCTGAAGGACCTCAAGTGGACCGAACTGGTCGCATTGGATGACAAGGCCTTGGAGGATCGCGGTGTCAACGCACTTGGTGCACGGAACAAGATGCTGAAGGTGAGTCCTAATTCGTCAATCGAGCCATTCCTTTACTAACATCGGTTCAGGTCTTCGAGCAAGTCAGGGAAGCCCAGGCGGATGGCAAGCTCGACAACCTTTCTTGATTGGCCTTGTGTTGCATCGCAATGATCCAGCGAAACATTTTTTCTATCTTTCTTTACCATCATCACCGTTTTTATCTTTTTCTGTAGTTGTGTGATCTTTTCTTTTGGATGTGCCACCGGCAGGCAAGTGGCTGTGGATTCGTTCGGGGATGTATCAAACGCCGTCATGTCAGGAAACGGATTTCATGAAGGGGAATCGTCGCATACTTAATTGAATCGTAGATATTTTTCGATCTTCCTCCATAGTTCTTCCCTGGTGGTCCGTGCGCCTTCCAGAAACTCAGGCCAACTCCCGCTCTTCACTCACGCACTTCACTTCTCCCATCATCTTCACGTCCTCTCGACTCCCACCACCTCATCCAAGACTTGCGCGGGTCAAGATAACGACTACAAGATGGCACCCACGAAGCAGGAGCTGTCCCTGCTCATCAATCCGCTGGTGCCGGAGAGCGTCCAGCACAATACCCGGGTATGTCTACGACGCCTTCACCCCCTCTACCATTCTACCCCCTAACTACCCCCTATGCTCTGTATTCGCACAAAAGAAACCCCCATCCAAGCCACAATTAATTCAACTAAAATCCACCTCACTAACCTCCCGCTAAACAGGTCCTCTCGACCCTGCACTCCCTAACCTCCTTCCTCCTGGGCCTGTCAGCTGGGATCCTCGCCCTGCAATCCAGCTCAGGCTTCCTCTTCTACGGTCTCGGCACGGTCCTCGTCTCGGGATTCTTCCATCTCCTTCTGATCCACCGCTCTGGCGGCGCGGGTGCGGGTGCGTTCTTCCCCGGCAGCAATAACGGCGAGATTGACGGCGTGGTCGAGATGGACCCGAAGAGCCAGCGTGTGCGCATGCAGTTGGCGTCGAAGCCTGGTCAGCTTATAAGGAGGAGTGGTGCTTGGAGGGATGTTTGGTTTGGGGGTGGTGTTTTCTCTGAGGCCCTTAGTGGGTTTGTCCTCGGGTGGGCGGGTGTTGGTGGTGTTTTGAGGTGATCTCTTCTTCTCTTCTCTTCGAAGAGAGAGTGTGTGATTATAGATATTATTGGTCGAGATTTAGGATGTGACTAGAACTGTCATCCCTCTCTACCCATCGTATTGGCATTTCTGGAGTTGTCTCAAGACAAACCCTAGTTGCTACACTACGGACTACTAGGTACTACGGATGAAAATGTACAAGATCAAATCAACCCAATTCATGCATGAATTGAAACCACGACTTTCTATATACACCAGACTTCAAAAGGGTATCCTTAGAATTGGCCCAAGCATAGTGTAGCCGAACCAGCAAGTAAACCGACCATAAAAGTAGACAATATAACGCCGAGAAGAGAGAACAGTCGTGATATAGATGATCACACCGTGAGAGAAAAAAAGAGATTAACAAGTCATATCAGGGGATATCAGATCGAGCGAAACCCTCCAGACCAGGGAGGATAACTATAGCGCGATTGGATGCAAAAGAGAAGAGAGGAATCAACCGATGTGCGGGATCGTGTCGGAGGAGTTGGCCACAGCACTTTGCAGAGCGCTGGTCAAGTCGATGTGGAAGAACGGCCGGTTCATGCCCTGGATGAGGGCCATCTTGCGACGGGAGCGGTAGGCCTTGCTGTCCGTCAGGTCGCGCTTGAAGTGGTCCTCGGAGCTGATGTCGCTGTTCTCGGCGCTGGCCGACGAGGCCTCGGTGACCTGGGTCGTGCTCTCTTGCTCGGAGGTGGCCTTGATGCCCGCCTCGATGTCCTCGGATTGGCGGTGTGCGTGTAGCTGTTCGGCGCGCTCGCGCTCATTGTTCATGATCTCCGCGTGCGCCGCGGCTGACCCGCTGCCTTCGATCTCGGCCACGCTGAAGATAGGCTTCCACCGGTGGAAGCCCTCGTTCGAGGTTGGGGTTGGGTATCCGAAGCCTGCGGCGGCCAGAGCGCGCTTCGTCCACCGGTTGTTGATGTGGGCAAAGTGCCACTGCACGGTGCGCGGCGTGGTATATAGATCAAGCTGGTTGCGCACGTCGATCAGGTTCTGGATCGAGGTTGTGTCCACGTTGTTCACGGACGAGAAGTCGAGGATGATGGCTTGCAGAAGCGGCAGGTGCTGCTCGCTGGATTCGTCCTGGCCGGCCCTCGGGCCCGGGTCGTTCCACGGCCGGTCGCCGTTGCGCGAGTACGCGTGCAGGTTCGTGCGGCGGGTGTGCCGGAAGACGGTCTGCACCAGGTTATCCGTGTAGTGGTTGGCGTTGGGGTAGTTGAAGCCTTCGGAGAAACGGTAGATGAAGATGCCAGGGTACGGCTGCTCCACGTCGACATCCGGGTTGGAGCCATCGGTGTGGTTGATGGGGAGGAAGATGGACCGGTGAAGGCGGTCCTCATCCTCATCCTCGGCCGGGGCCTTGGTGGCTCCGAACGAGCCGTACTTGCCGTCGCCATCCAGGAGATGGTCGCCAACCACGGAGTGGATGGTCACCTTGCCCAGGAAGTGGCCGCGGGCCTTAGCCACGCGGAAAAGCAGCACGGCCACGGAGACACAGATCGTGCAGTAGATACCGTCTTCAATCGAGGTGAACATCGTCACGAGCACACCAATGAAGAAGATCAGGCAGTCCAGTGGTGCCACGCGCCAGAACTGGTAGACAGTGTTGGGCGGCGTGATCAGGTCACCGACGGCGTGAATGATGACACCAGCGAGGGATGCCTTGGGGATGTAGAAGAAGAGCGCGGGCAGGGCGTAGATGGCCAACAAGACAACGATCGACGTAATCACACCTGCCAACGGGGTACGTACTCCGGCCTTCGACTTGATGGCAGTACGGGAGAAAGATCCAGTGGCCGGGTAGGCACCCAGGAACGGACCAAGCAGGTTTGTAACACCAATACCGACAAACTCCTGCGAGGGGTTGATGGTATAGTTGTTGACACGGCCAAAAGACTTGGAGATAGCGATGTGTTCGATCAAAAGCACAATCACGGCAGCGGGCAGCTGGCCGCCAAAGGCAGCGATGACCTTCGACTCGAGCTTAGGCACAGCGGCATTCTGGAAGCCGCGAGGAACGTGGCCTAGAAGCGAAAAGGCCGGGTTGTCCTTGCGATGCAGATTGACCGCAGCACTAATCATGGTGTAAAATAGAATCACAAACACCGTCCGCAGGGTAGACGCGAAGAAGAATATCCTGGCCCGGTGAGGCATCTTCTTCGCGGCGTACATGCAACCCGAACGGATGGCGTACAGCATCACCATCGCAGTCACGCCCATGGCCGCATCGATTGTGGAAGTGGGCAGATATTTGAGAGTGTTGATGATAATTAGGTACGTCGAGCCTCGGGTAGAGAAGTTCGCCGTCTCGCCGAGCATGGTCGGCACCTGTCCAGAGCAGATATTCAGAGCCGATCCCGTCATGAACGCCGAAATGGCGGGAAGCGGGATGAAGTCCACAATGAAACCCAGTCGGATCAGACCCATGAAACAGACGATGCCACCGCAGATGACGGCTAACGCGGACGCGACCACATGTGGAGGGACCTCGGGATACTTCGCGGTGACCTGGGTGACAATATCCCCCGTCAAGGTAGACATGACAGCGACGGGTCCAATTGTGATATCTTTGGAGGTCGCAAAGAACCAGTACACCAGCACCCCCATGAACGAGGAGTAGAGACCGAACTGCACTTCCAGTTTCGCCAGTTGCGCGTACGCCATACCTTGCGGCACGACCACAGCTCCAACAGTGATACCTATCAACGGGGTTAGCCATTTCCTTTTTGCCACTCTCTTCACGGGTGTTCACTTACCGGCCACCAGGTCACCGAACAACCATTGCAAGTTATACCGACGGATCCAAGTCAAAAATGGGAAGAGGTTGAGGAAATATTGGCCGATATCCTGGAACGACGGGGTATGCTCCTGCAACCATTCGGTGGTGGTCGGTTCGGGTTCGTTGTACGAGTAGGTGTCCACGGTGCCGACGGAAAAGGTCGACTCGCCGCGGGTGACGGTGTCGCCGGTGGCACCTAGAGGGTCTCTGTAGGGCAGCTTGATGCCCAGGCCCTTGGCCACGACCTGGCCGAACTTGACGTTCTTCTCGGTCTTCTCGACTGCCATGGTTGCTGTATCGCAGATGAACAGCCGGGTTCAAAAATGCGATACCCACGGACGTGAGGAAATGAGTCGGGAACAAGGTGACACGGGGAAAAAGTGTCCAGAGGTAGCTTGAGTATATAAACGAATGACAAAGCTAACAGGAGTTAAACCACACAGTCCATTGCGGTCACTATGACAGGTGGATTAGGCGGTGTTGGGTTGCGGCGGAGTGCGTGATCGGGAGCTAAATGGCGTGATATCGAAAAAGGCACCCCGGATTCCACTTGGCGCAGGAGGATTAGCGTAGTAGGCGCACTCAGAACGAGTTGGAGAGTGGACAGTGTGAAGCAGTGCCCCAAGAACAAGAAATAATGGTTGGTGAGAATGCAATATAGGAGGGACGATGCAACGGCGGCAGATGCAGACAGTTAAAGGGGAATTGACCAGATAATTTTCGCAGCGAAGACGACCCGTGAGGCCCACCGAAGATCTCTCAAGAGCCGATCCCTGAGAGAAGTTCAGGAGTGGAACCCAGTCTGGCCGCCTTGGAGACGATGACGACGGGCCGTGGAGCAGAGGACCGGTGGTTAGTCGGGTCGTTTCGTGTGTGACCCCATCTGATAGGTGCGAAGGATCGTCTCGCCCGGATGCTGCTTCCCTCGCCCCCTATCGCTGGACTCGCTCGTTTTCTCTCACCCTGTTCTTTTTTTCCCATCTGATTTTCATCGAAATCAGCCTCGTGGAGGCTGACTAAGGGCGGGTGCCAAGTCTGGCCTGAGCCAATCGCAATTCTCCGCCCTCCACCGCCCCAGAATACGAGCCAATCGCATGCCGCCCTGAACACGCCATCGCTGTGGCGGATGGTGAAAGCAGTTCCACGTTTGACATGTTGCGTTTTGGTGGTTGGCTCATTTGCCTCTTGTCCTGCTTTTCCAGGGCCGTTGCCTCACAAGGATGACATTGGGCCATTCCGTGGAAATGGTCTTGGCAGGGCAGGCGGATTTGGGGTGTGAAGAATTGCTGCTCACAGTATTCCGACGATCGGCGAAGTAGTACGAAGTATATCCTTGAAGGACGAGCATGTAGTACGCTTGGCCAGTGCGTCTTGCAGGAGGGCCACCAACGCCATCCAGATCCAAATCACGTCATCGAGCTTATTCGTCGCTCCATCCCCACTCGACCCTCATGCTCCTCCCACGAGGCCATGCTGTCAGGAATGGATTGTTTTGTTTGTCATCACGCACGCGGTTGATATTCCCGCTGGTCGAGAGTCGAAATGAAGGGCCGGGTGATGTCTCCGCTGCGGCCCTGACACTCACCTTGTGGGAAGTTGCTTCAGCTCAACTTAGGCTTTTTCTTTTCTATTTTGATATTCGCCTTCCCGCAGCTCTCTGACGTGATTGAGCTTATATATTTGGCGGCGCCTTCCGCGCTTCATGCGGTACCAGGGCGCAAAATTAAGCGATTCTTTCTTCAGCTTCGCGGACCGTGATGCTATCATCACAGGTGCCGAGAATAGTAATGATGTCTTAGCGAGCTCGTATCCGGTCTCCGTTGGGCGCCAACTGTTGTTGCGTCGATGATGTCAACGCGCTTGGGGGCTGTTTCATGCATGGGATGGCTACACTGGACACAGGGCCTTTGCAGACGTATCTGCATGCCAATGATCGTCATCTGATCCTGCGCGATGACCGAATGCGCCGACGAGGCTCTGTTGACGGCAGATCACCTGACCTGTCCCGCTGATATGTCGAGCAGGTCCACGGGATCCTACGTAGGAGGTCGGATGAGAGTGCCAAAGAGGGTATCTGCAGATCTACAGATTTGATAGATGGACGATTGGGTTCTAATCTTGAGCATCGACCTAAACGAGAATCGTGTGAATTGTGGAGGACATGTCTTGATTGAAGTGTCACACATGAAAGAATCGACTGGCCCCATTAGGGCCAAGTCAAAGACCTTCGTAGTTCGAAACGTGGGAATCCAGATGTTCCAATAGAGTAAACCAGATAGCATGTGGTTAGATTTTATTTACCTAACTCCAACTACAACTTAAAACACTCCTCCGACACCACCAGCTCACCAGTAGACTCATGCAAAAACCTCGCATACACCAGCCGTCCATACCCTGGCCTCTCTGATACAGCAACGACAACATCATTGAACCGCGCCTGCTCAGGAATATCACATGCAGTGACCGCATCCTCTCCTGTTTGATCTCTGGCAGCCTTCTCCTCCAACTTGGCCACCTCCTCCATGAACCGAGCCATTAAGGCTCCCTCCCACATCCCTTCCTGGCACGTAGTACTCTGAAGCAATGAGATAGCTGCACGTCTTATATCTCTGTCACGGCATTTAACAGAAGTTATATACAAGGCTGGAATTATGCCGGACTCCAGGGTGAATGTTAAGCCGGGGAGAGATGGGGATTGCATGTAGGTGGAGGGTGCCACGCCGTCATTGAACTTCTCTGATAGACGGACGATGCGTTTGAAAGTATCAGCAAAACGGTCGCAAGATTGTTCGTATGTGTCGCGAATGGTTGATATTAGGAAGTGCAGGTAGAAATGCTGGATCTCTAGCAAGAGAGTAGGCCGCGCATATGAGTATAACGGGTGTATGGAAAGAGCCTTGAATGCAGATGACCACCGAGCCAGATTTGTAACTAGGTTGTCTTGTTGCTCTTGTAGTGTCGGGTGATGGCATAGGTTCACGGTTCGTGCCCGCGAATGATGCAGACAATGCCGGACAGCGAGGTCCATCTCGGTGAGCTCGTCTCCGATCTCCAACGCTGCTAGGCGGAGTAACTCGCCTCGAAATCGGAAGGCAGCGTTTGCAAGAAGATCAAGAGACTGTTTTGCCTCGGCGACACTCGCGAATGCTTTTGGAATGCCCAACTGGTTGTCGGCAGGGAGGAGAGCAAGGACTGGTGTCTGCTCCCCGAACATGGTAGCCTCATAGTCCAGTCTAGTAAAGACTCTAGCAAGCTGTCCCAGAGGAGTATGCTCTGTCTCAGAACTTAATTCCAGACTGATGCTTCCCTGCCGCGGATCCAGCTTCAAAAATTGCACATGAAGCCCTGACAAGATCCGCAGTCCCGTCCGAAGATGAGCAACTGCTGTCGGTCTGTTTCCCTGGAGCATTTCAAGGCAGATAAACAACAGACACGCGGCTAGAGCAACCACCCCACAGCTGTCGTCGTTTGGTGATCCTGCAAGTCGGCTTCGGAGGTGGTTCAATGACTTCACGTATTGTCTGATCGCGAAGGGGTTTGCAGGCTCAAGGAAATTGCTGCCTGCAAGGAGAGAAGGACACTGGCCTCCGAAGAGCCGGTGCATTGCACCCACTGCCACTGCTGCATGGAGGATGCATGGCTCTCTATGGCTCAGCTGCAGAATGAGTTGCTCCCACACCGATGAAATGAAATATCCCGGAATCTCGCGGGCAGACTGGCGCCGAAAGAAGTCGAAACTGGTACTTTCAGCCACTGAAAGATTAAGTCCATAACTGCCGTTCATGCATAGTATATGATTCTGGTTGCCGAGTCCTTGTGGCTGCAATAGTCTCTTCCCCTTGTATTTCTGAGCAGTCTGACGCGCAGCAACACTGGGCACTTCATAGCCATCACAGACCCGGCCAGTCGAGCAGCACCGCTGACAGACGGGCCGGTCCTCATCACATTTTACTCGCCGAATGCTGTATTAAAGTCAGAATGGTGCCAGATGGGCGGTTTATCCCACGTACCGACAAGTCCGGCAACCAGTGCGCCCTCTTCTTTTCTCAGGGTTTGCCGGCATGGTTTAAGCAAGGACATTCCAGTCACCGTAGCCAACCTCATTTATTATTCAATGCGACCATGTTGCACCCCCGACTCTTTCTCGTTCTCCGTGAACAGAAGCAGTGCCTTGGCAAGGCTGGGGGCCAACCAATCCTCCCACCTCATTCGCCCGTTCGCTAACCAGCTCCTCTCGGCCAATCAAGCGTTTCTTAGTATAGCTTCATAAAAGGTCATCTGGCCTAACTACTACAGAGGCAAGTATTGGGTAGCAAGCGAGTTTGATCAGCGCAGGTGCTAGACAATTGCAACTCATCTACAATATAAATATGACCATAAACCCTTCCTTGAATGAAATAGAACACCAAGTCCAAGTCCGTCCATTCTATCTTAATACCCTACCGAACAATTTACAGCAATGACACCTATCCAAATGATCCACATCCACTACCGTGGCAAATTCCTCTCCCTCCTCGACTCAGACGACGCCACACCGCTGTACACCGTGAAAGTGTGCCGCGAAACACCGCAAATGGAACTCGTGCGGATGAACCGGAGTGCCGCAGCCCAGAACACGAGTCCCCAAATACCGGAACCATGCACTGCATCCTTCAATTACTTGAGCCTAAACGTCTCCCTCAGCATAAGAGGTATACAAGTCCGTCTCAAACGCCACGGCACGTTCTCACGCACTTATGCCTTCGAGAGCACTGCTTCCCCCGGCACGACGATGCTCTGGGAAGCGGATGGTGCGCTGACGGGGGATTTCAAGTTGAGTGATCAGTTTACGGGCCGGGTTGTGGCGAGGTTTCGGAATAGGCTGTTTTCTACCTCGGAAGTTGGGTCGTTGGAAATGATTGGGGAGGTGGAAGAGGTGCTGCAGGAGGAGATTGTTATTAGTTGTTTGGCGGTGCTGGTTATGGTGCAGAGCTTGAATTTGGCGACCATGGTTTTGGTTGGAGGGAGTCCGTAGATGATGAGCAGGGGTGGTTTTAGGGTCGAGTATATATCGGAAACTACGTTTCTTAAAGGAAAGACTAGGTAAATAACCATGCAACAATGCATTTTAAATCAAAATCCACGAAACGTCTATTCAAGTTCATCATCAGTGCAGGTGGAAAAATGAAATCCCATAATGATCGGCGCCGTCCCCGAAAACGAGTAGGACCTTGTTCGAAAGTGCCGTGGTCTCATCTTCGTTGTTCGACGCAGCCAAAGCTCTTTCTTCTCTTCGTCATGGCAACTCCTCTCGTCCGCCCACCCACGCACTCCCGCCATTCTCTCCAGTTCCGGTTCCCATGAAAACAAAAGGCATGAAAAAAAAAAGGAAAAAGGACAAGCCATGGGCAAGAGAGAGAAAGATTACAGGAAATGGGGGAAAAAAGGAAGGGGGAAGAACCGAGAAGAGTAAGTCACCCCCGTATGCCCTTGTCATCTTCCAGATCTTCAAAGCGAACGCCATCACAAAGCAAGGAGATAAGAGATAAAAAAGCGTCAATCGGGGCCAGAAGGCCGCCCGCCCCCTCTCCTCTTCACATGGTATCAAATCATAAGCGAAGTTTTTCTTTTTCATCAGTGGCCTAGCCTCACGACCGCCCCGATTGAATGAATAAGGCTCCTTTACTGAGAGGCGCACTGCACCCGCTCAGCACCCGCAGGAACGTCATCGTCATCCTCATCCATGGCCCCGGCAGCACCGTGGGCGCGGGCCTGGGAGCCTTCGCTGGTGTCGATGTTCTCGAGCTCGAAGTCCTCAACCATAGCATCCGCTGGAGGCTGGGGCTGTTGCTTGCGGGGAGGCAAAACCTGTTCCAGAAGTTCCAGGTTGCGCAGCTGGTCCTTCTCGGGGAACTTCACGTCGAACTTGATGTAGAGGTTGCCGTAGTCGTGGTGGCGGAACGAAGGCATACCCTGGCCGGCAATGACCTTGATCGCATCTAGAAGGCATTAGCATCATCTGCCAAAAAGAAAAATTGTGAGGGAGGTACATACCAGGAACGATAACCTCGCCGGGAGCGATGTTCACGGTCAACCACCGCTCATCGAGGTGCTCAATGTGAATAGTACCGCCGGCAAGCGCGGTAAGCAGATCAATCTCAGCCTGGTAGAAGAGGTCGTCGTTTTTGCGTTGGAATCGCGGGTGAGGCTTCTGCTCGATCTCGAAGACGACATCACCAGGCAGCGAGCCGGGCATCTGATCACCCTCGCCACGGAACTCGATCTTGTGGCCGTCACGCACACCCTTGTCGACATGGACGTGCAGCACCTTGCGCTCGACGGTGGTCTTCTTGCCGTTGCACTTCTTGCAGCGGTCCTTGTCACGGATGTTCTCACCCTCGCCATTGCAGTCCGGGCAGACGGTCTGGAAGCGCTGGATCATGGGGCCCATCTGGCGCATCATCGTCTTCATACCGCTGCCATTGCAACCCGTGCACTCCTTGACCGCGCCCTCCTTGCCGCCACGGCCGTCACAGCCCGGGCAGATGACGGACTTCTGCAGCGCCAATTTCGACACCTTACCCCGGTAGATATCCTCCAGGTTGACCTTGTGCACGTGGTGGATAGTGCGGGCCTTCTTGGGGCCCTGCTCGCGCATTCCACCGCCGAACATGCCGCCAAAAGCACCGCCGCCACCGAAGAACTGCGAGAAGAGGTCCTCGGCGTTCATTCCTCCGGCACCGCCACCGTGCTCCAGGCCTTCCTCGCCATACTGGTCGTAGAGTTGACGCTTCTGCGGGTCGGACAGGATCTCGTAGGCGTGCGACAGCTCCTTAAACTTCTCGGCGGCGTCGGGGTTGTTGGTATTTTTATCTGATGGACAGTTAGTTCGTGTGCAGGTCGGGATGTCCGGCGGGGGAAGGGCACATACCCGGATGAAACTTGAGAGCACCCTTCTTGTAGGCCGACTTCAGTTGGGCATCAGAGGCCGTGGGAGGGACCTTTTAGTTGTTAGCCAGTCTCGTTATGCACTGCCGATTCTCATCAAACCTACCCCCAGGCAATCGTAAAACTTGGTTTCCTTGACCATTGTGAGAGGCGGATCAGGGAGGTCGAAATCACCGCGAGAACAAAAGAGAGGAGCTCGGTCGGAATGATAGGAAAAAGGATCGGGCTCGGAGGAAGAGGACGAGGTGGATAGAGATGCAGGAAGATGGGATGGACGATGGCCACAACAGGAGCAGCCCGAGCGGTCACTTTTTTTCTGCCAGGCACAGGGTGTGGTCACGTAAGATTACCACGCCAGGCACTTTTCGCCTCAGCAAGGTTCGTAGGGAGAATAGGTCACAGATGGAAGGGTCTAAAGTGATGCGTGCGAGGGTCAAATGTTTTCTTATCCAGCCTTTCTCACATAATAATATCTTCCGTCGTTCTATCCGTGTCCACGCTCGCTTGCTTCCACGCGATTCCAGGGCCTTCGATGGCTTTTTCTCCACGCTTCCATCGCTGACTCAGCCCTGCAGGATTGCATTGTTGCTCCCTATTGTTTCGCGACGGAAACTACAGACAGCGAAGGCTCTCCCTCTGAACCAAGGGACGAATCGCCACAGCAAACTGATCCGTCACCGCCTGACCAGATACAGAATTTTCCCTTTCGCCTCTCCTCCGCCACAATGTTTCCAGCCACAGTGATTGAGCTTATCGATAAGCTCGATCCACTCCTAATGGAGGGGCCCGGAACTGACCGATGATGACTCCCTTCAGAGCCCTCAATCTCAATTGCACTTTGACCACATTCCCCAGTCACCATGGATCAGGACCCCGGTTTTATTGCTGCCGTCGAGGAGGCCAAGAAAGGTGCTGCCGAGGGCGGCGTCCCCATCGGCGCCGCGCTGGTCTCCAAGGAGGGAAAGATCCTCGGCCGCGGACATAACATGCGCGTGCAGAAAGGCAGCGCCATTCTTCATGTTTGCACTACAACCCAATGGTGAAGTCCATGGCTAACTGTTTCCTGTCCAGGCTGAGATGGCCGCGTTGGAGAGCTCGGGCCGTTTGCCGGCTTCGGCCTACGAGGGTGCCACCATGTACACCACCCTCTCGCCGTGCGACATGTGCACGGGTGCCTGTGTGCTTTACAAGGTGAAGCGCGTGGTCATTGGCGAGAACCAGAACTTCCAGGGTGGGGAAGAGCTACTGCTGAACCGCGGCAAGGAGCTGGTCGTGCTGGATAACGCCGAGTGCAAGGAGCTCATGGCCAAGTTTATCAAGGAGAAGCCGGAGCTATGGTACGTTTACTGTTTTCTGGGCCGGCCCTGCTATCCGTACTGATATTCATTCCCTGCAGGAACGAGGATATTGCCGTCTAATCTCGCCAAAACTTCGTATATAGTAATCCAATAGATACTTCGGAACCTTTTTTTTGGACAATCCACGTAATTCGAATAGGACCCTTCTGTTTTAGTGCTTCCCCTCTCTATGGACCGGGCTAAGATGCTGTCAATCGATGGATCTCTTCGAAGAAGAACTTCAAGTTCTCCGGGTCGACGAAGGGAGTGACGCCTAGAATGATCAATCAGCACAGAGACAGTGCAAAAACAAAAGGAAACGCACCGTGGCCCAGGTTGGCAATCCATCCTTGCTTGCCCTTCTTGAATCCCTTGACCATGTGCTCAACCGTCGGCGTGATAGCCGCACGACCTCCGTAGAGCACCCCCGGATCGGCATTGCCCTGGAGGGTCACCCGGCCATTGGCAATACGCATGGCCTCCGCAGGGTCGTGAAGCCAGTCCAGACCAACGACGTTGTATCCCGAGTCGCAGAGGTCGTCGAGCGCGTACCATGCGCCCTTGGCAAAGACGGTCATAGGCACGGGCTCCAGCCCCATCTCCTTGAGCCGCTTCGGCAGATTCGCAGAGATATGACGCAAGTAAGGAAGCGAAAATGAGCCGAACGAGCTCGGTGACAGCTCTCCGGCCCACGAGTCAAAGACCTGTACGAGCTGCGCGCCCGCCGCAACCTGAAGCGCCAGGTACTCGACACAGATCTCGGCGATCTTCTGCAGCAGCGCCTGCGACTCTGTCGGATACTGGTAAACCCATTTCTTTGACTGCACGAAGAGCTTGCTTCCGCCCCCTTCCACCATGTAGCACAGCAGCGTCCAGGGTGCGCCGCAAAAGCCGATGAGGGGCACGCGGCCCTGCAGCTTGTACCGAGTGAGCGTGATCGCCTTGTAGACATAATCCAGCTCGGCCTTGACATCCACCTTCTTCGCCATCACTTTCTCGTACTGGCCGTCCGTGGGCGACTGCAGCGGCTCCGGGAAGTGTGGGCCCTTCTTGTCGACCATTTCTACGGTCATGCCCATCGCCTGTGGGATGACTAGGATATCGGAGAAGATGATGGCAGCATCGATGAGCCCCGCGTAGCGATCAATGGGCTGAATTGTCAGCGTCGAGGCGATCTCCGGCGTGCGGCAGCATTCGAAGAAATCCCGGCCACCCTTCGCTTCGTGGTACTCGGGGAGGTAGCGGCCCGCTTGTAAAGTGAGATGATCAGTTCAGTATTCTCTACTGTGAAATGTCCTCTGTGACCCGAGACGAGAGCACTCACCCTGTCGCATCACCCATATCGGCGGCCGTTCAACCTTCTCGCCTGCGATCGTCAGTCAGTCGGGACGGAACCTCGATAAATGATGAGAGCCTAATTACCCCGTGCGGCCCGTAGCAGCAAGTCATTCTTCAGCGGCTCGAATTGTTGCTGCATCGTGGTGTGGCCAGGTATGGTGTGCAGCGGCGGGTTGAAGATGGTGGGATGGACGAAGTGCGATGGAGTTGGGGGAACCGCGGCCCGCGATCAACCGAAAGTCATGGCAGAGCACTCATCGTACTACGTAAGGCCTTCGAATATTACTTAATTACTATTAATGTACAATTATTGATTCAAAGGCTATGCACAGGGGATTGATCCATTATTCGTCCCAAGATCGCTTGCGCAGGTTGCCCAGGCTATACAGCGAACCGGTCAGCTCCTTCTTCTGCTTGTCATCCAGCGCCTCTCCCAGCCCAGTAGTACCCTGCGAGGCGATTTGACCGGCGAGAGGATCATGAGACGGAATCCAATGCAAGCCATCCGCCTGGTTCTCGGCCCGGAGGCATTCAAGAAGCATCTGCGGCGACTCGACGCTCGGCTTCCACGTATCCGTGGAATTCTGCTGATGCACCGTATCAACGGAGACGGCAATCTCTTTGCGCGACTCGATGACAACTAGATCCAACACATTCCCAGAAAGCTGGATGGGGATCTGCTGCTTCAGTGTTCCTTCTTTTTCGAGCGTGAAGCAGAGAAGTTGCGAGGACCTGCTCTCCAAGTCAGATAATTTCATCAAAAAATAGAGAGCTCGCACTTACCCTTCAAGTGCCACCAGAATAGCCCGTAGCGGATCACCCAAGCCCGTTACCTGTGCAAACGAAACTTCCCAGATCCCACGCACAATGACTTCCGTGGCCTCCGACGGGTCAAGCAACGGGACCTTTTGCAGCATCCGTCCCTCAGTCCATTCCCACAACATTAGATAGTTGTCCCCGCCACCTGAGACGAGAAGCTCTGGAGCCCACGAGGGAACAAAGAGCTTGCTGATAAAGGCCGTGTGGCCCAGACAATACTGCTCAATGACGTGCGCTTGTGGAACACCGCGAGACACGCGGATATGTTCATCACGATCCGCAGTCAGGATATAACTCCGCGAAGGGTTTGTCGGAGAAGGAACACAGATCAAATCCGTCAGCAAAGAAACATGGCCCAGGATCACCTGGTGTTCGAAGGCGAGAGCAGTCTTCTCTTCCACTTTCTTTGCTTTCAGCTCAGCCTGGCGCTTCTGTTGCTCCAAGGATTCGAGATTGCGCTTCGTGTGCACGGTGAGCGATGTTGCCGCCGGCTTGTATGGTTTCGCCTCGCTTTGCACCTCCGGCACATAATCCGTGCTGGGAATCAGCGGAAGAGAGTAGGCATCCCCGAACTTGTCAGCGCAAATGATGGTCTTGCCATCTGGAGTCAAAGCTAATGCGCTGGGTCGCTTGGCCATTGTCCTGTGCGGATATGAGAAAGCGTCCAATTTGGAGGGAGAATCCGACCTACCGCGAACTCAATTGCTGCAGTGTTCCATCATCGTCCAGCTGCAGGACACGGATACTCTTGTCCTCTGCCGTGACAGCCACTACGTGCTTTCCGTCGGGAGACACCTTCAAAATGGGGATGGTGGACCACGTCGGCTTATCCGATTTCTCCTCGGCAGACAGTTTTCTCCGTTTCTCAGGCGGCGCCTGATCTCCTGAAGCAGAATTTGCCGAGTCTACATTCTGAGGCCACACATCGAGGCGCTTGCCAGTGGGCGCAGCGTAGGAGTAGATTCTTTGGCCGGCCGAGCCAATGAGGAGATCCGTGGGTTGTCTTTGGACATACTGCAAGCAGTGGAAAGGCTGCTGGAACTGGGCCATGGCGACGTACCACTTCAGTCACTACGGACTCCGTCGCGAACGAGTCTTGTAGATGATCACGTGACCCACTAGCGAGCCACACCGAAAAATGTCAAAATTCACCCGCGCTTTTCCGCCTTTCCTCAACAACCACACACACTTACAATTCACAATTTATACCCTTGCCCTTAAACATCCTATCTTCACTGAAAAATCAAGAAGACATGGGGGGCAAGTCAGCTACCAAGGCCGCTTACTTCGATAAGCTCAAGGCCCTTCTCAATGAGTACCGCACGGTCTTCATTGTCGGTGTCGACAATGTCAGCTCGCAGCAGATGCACGAGATCCGTATGTCCCTCCGTGGAGAGGGTGTTGTCCTGATGGGCAAGAACACTATGGTACGTGAGCTATGGCGCACTTTCGGTCTATCAGTTGCTAATTTGCTTTCCCCTGTCAATAGGTTCGCCGTGCTCTCAAGGGTTTCGTCGCCGAGAACCCCGAGTATGAGCGTCTGATGCCTTTCGTCCGGGGCAATGTCGGTTTCATCTTCACCAACGGTGACCTGAAGCAGGTCAAGGCCAAGATCCTGGCCAACCGTGTCGCCGCCCCCGCCCGTGCCGGTGCCTTCGCTCCCGCCGACGTCTGGATTCCTGCCGGTAACACTGGTATGGAGCCCGGCAAGACCTCTTTCTTCCAGGCCCTCGGTGTCCCCACCAAGATTGCTCGTGGTACCATTGAAATTGTGTCGGACCTGAAGCTCATCGAGGCTGGTCTCAAGGTCGGCCCGTCCGAGGCCACCCTGCTGAACATCCTGAACATCTCGCCCTTCACCTACGGCATGTCCATCGCCCAGGTGTACGACAACGGCCAGACCTTCGGCGCTGATGTTCTCGACATCGACGACGAGCAGCTGCTCAAGTCCTTCACCCAGGCCATCAACACCGTCACCGCCATCTCCCTGGCGACCGGCTACCCCACCGTCCCGGCCACCATGCACTCGATCATCAACGCCTACAAGAAGGTTCTTGCCGTTGCCGTCGAGACCGAGATCAGCTGGCCCGAGATCGAGGATCTCAAGGACCGCATCGCCAACCCCGATGCCTACGCCGCTGCTGCTCCCGCCGCGGCCGCCGCCTCCGGTGGTGCTGCTGCCCCCGCCGCTGCCGCCCCGGCTGAGGAGGAGGAGGAGTCCGACGAGGACATGGGCTTCGGTCTGTTTGACTAAGCGCCTCGCCTCGCGTGACGAACCCGGAATGCCGTGTATTAGATTTTGTCTGACCCAGCCTGAAAATGGCAGGGGAATGAAAATACGACTATTATGGCAATGCTTGTTGTCTTGTTGGCTTCACAGTAGACTCGTATAATGGACCGTAGCCACGCTCCATTATCATGTCACTGCATCAATGGTGAGTTTCTAATTCTATTCTTTGTCTTCCCATCTGCCCAAACACCAACACTTCCCTCCCCGGCGAATGATTAAAAATTTTTAACCCCGAGCAATGGCTCTCCGGAGTCGCGCTGAAGATTAAAAACGCAACAACAACACTCTAATTTTTTGATGACGCCTTGCCTTTCACACCATGATTTTTCTCTGTCTCTTGATGCCTGGTTTGCAAGCAATTGCTAACTATTTCTCAGCAGGTAACTCTACAAATAGTCCATGACCGATGTAGACTCGCTCATTCATATGCCCGTAGACACTTTTGAAAATGGATGGCATGAGATTAGATAAAAATGAAGTTGTTCTCCATTAACCAAGCCCACCGGCCTTCGACATGCAGGGGTGACGTCTTCTGTTGACTACCATGCATGGGACTGCCTAACATACTGATCTACCTAAATGTCCATCTATGCGCGACTGGTAGCAAGTCAACGATCTAATTTAAGCTAAGTGCTCCGTAATATGGAGGCATCTTGAAAGCATCCCTCTATCATGAAACATGTTGCAATTATCCCACCCTAATATATAGGCGCCAGCAAGCACCAGAACTTCGACTTCCGATTGACCGGATGTGAAATAGTTGGTTATCGAAGATAGAAACAATGGCTCACTTCAGGAGAAGTAATAAGGCTGCACCTGAAATGATAATATGTATGCTGTTGTAGTTCTGCATGAAATATAGCAAGTAGTTGGGCATAGTCCAACCAGGGAAAGCAGTAGCATTCACATCTATTGACTACAACACAGCTGAAGAAGCAGGCTTTAGGTTACTCTTCACCACCCCTCCCAAACCGACCACCAAAGCCACCCAAATCTCGACGGAAGAACTTTCCAATGTTCTTGAGGTTCTCGTTGAGGGTAGCGGTGCTTTCAGATGGGGTATGTGAATGCGAGGGCGGCTGGGCAGGGGCTGTCGGGGCCGGAGATGACGCTGCCGAAGTGCCGATTAGAGCTGAGGTAGACGCTGTGCCGCCAACGGGGGAAGAGCTCAGCGGGTTTCCAAAGCGATCTACGCCATCCTTTGCAGCGGAGATAATGGCAGAACCGAGCATGGTGGGATCAAACCGGGTAGGCATGGACGCAGCGGCGCTGAGACCTTGGGAAACAGATCCGGTGGTAGTCGCCGTGGAGCTTTGGAAGGCTGTGAGGATTGGATTGCTTTGCTGCAGGTTCGAGGCGTAGCGGTCTGATGCGCGGTGGAGCTGGAATAGCTCGACAAGGTGGTTTTGCTCTTGGCGGTTGCGGATGCCTTTGATGTCGAGGATCTTGCGGAAATTGTTATTGTTGCGGTCCGCGATGTGAACCAGGTAGGCTTGTACGAGGGCCTCCGGCGGTGAGGGGTGGACCTGGAGGGTCTTGAGGAGGGCTTCGATTTTGAAGAAGCTGTTGTTCACGCGTTTGACGAATCCTGCTGGAGCTGGAGCGGGAAGAAGGGATGAAAGGCCGCTTTTGAGGGTGTAGGAGTCGAGCAGCATCTGAAAGTGCGTAAGCAGTTGTTAAAAATAGCGATATGGAAAGGAATTTACCTGTTCTGCACCCGTTTCTGAGACAGGCTTGCACTGGAAGACATTGCTGATGAACAAGCTCGATATGAGCTCGACCAGATGATCGGCGAAAGCCCTCGCATATTGCTGCTTGTGCAACAGCTGTGTGATCTCCGACGCCCTTGTCTTCGTCCGTGAAAGAAGCTCGCCCACATAGGAGCTCTGGTCACTGACAGCCTCCATTCTGCTCCATGGCGTATTGCGCATTTCCCGCCAGCAAGATTCCAGGTCAAGTTCCACCTTCCGCACAAGGCCTCGAACAGCAGCCGAAGCGATCCCCATGAAGGAGTCGGCCTGACTCTGTAGGTCCACGCTCTGCTTGACGGTATCATCGAGTCTTCCCTTGATTTTCTCTTCTAATTGGGTGCACGTCGTGTAGCAGTAGTCGGCGGTATTGAGAACCGAGATAAGGTCTTCCTCTGATGGCGTTTTTGATGGTGTATGAGCCGAGGGCCGCTCACTTATATAGTTGAGAAGAACCTGCTGTGCGTACTGATCTAGATACTTGGCGAACACCTTTGCCAGCTCCGCTAGACTGTTCCCTGTTGAGAGCTTGGCACATTGCTGCAAGGAATGCCTGTAGAATGCGAAGAGTTCAGTGGATGATGGGATCACCGTGTGCGAGTCAAACTCTTCATCGATGGGTCTCAGGGGCTGCTGTCGATACTTGGGCAGCAGTGCAGCCAGCTGCTTGTCCTGAGCCTCAACCCAGACACTGAGATAGGGCTCAAAGGCTTCAGAGATGGATTGACTGAACACAGGAGCCTCATTTGAGGCGAAGGTGTCGGTGGATTGTCGTGTCGGAGGAGCAAAGCGACGTTCAAGTGAATGCTCGAAGTCTAGTGTTTCCTGCAGACATGAGAGCAGGAGATTGACATCAATGGTTTGGCCGCTGCGCACAGACCTGGAGAGAATGCCCTTGTAATCGTCGCGCGTGCCTTCACAGAAGACATTGGCCAGAATCTCATTGACCCGCCAGGAGGTCGGAAAGATGGCCGCATTCTCCTCGTCATAGATCTTCAATATGCGCCGAAACCACGCGTATCTGCGAGAGATGTTGTCCAAGGAGCCTGCCTCTTCATTATTCCGGAAGACCTGCCGGTACTCGCGTAGCTGGGTGTTGCAGTACCAGGTTACCAACCGAGACCGCGCATGCTCGCCTAGAGCGTCCACGACCTGACACGCCTCCGACAAGATCCCCCGCTTCTGAGTCACATCGTTCTTGGAGAAAGCCAGCTCAAAGTCCTCGCAGACTTGCTCCAGCAATTGCCGTTGTATGTCCGCCACATTCTTGCTCAGGATGGCAATCTGGTCGATGGATCGGTATGACTTGAAATGCGCCATCAGCTGGATGACCGCCTGAAGCAGCTGCGCACACTCGCGATACTGGCGTGTCCGGCTGAGAGCCTGTAGCTGGTCGTACGCGGTCGTCAACATCTGCAGCCGCTTCAGCGCCGTCATGGACAGAGTGAGGTTCTGCTTCGCATTGTCCAATTGCTTGATGTCGGCGGTCATGTCCGTAATGGATTGCTCCGTTTTGGATGCGCGTTCTCGCACATCGTCTATCTTCTTGAACAGCTCGGACAGGTCCGCCTTGGCTGTCTGGATGCGCTCCACGCTCTCCGCGTTGGAGGTGACCTGGGTCTCCACGAGCGTACCGATGTCATCGTCCAATTCATTTTCGTATGTGTGAAGGGCGCTGGAGATCTGGGCGACGGACGATAGAGAGGAAGGATGGGCGAAAATGGCGTTGAGGTGGTCGATCGGGTCGTAGTCCACTGCCGGAGAGAGGTTAGCGATTGCAGGCGCAACAGGGGGCGCGGGCTCAAACCTGCGTCCAGGGCATCGGGACTGGGCTCCGCGTCGGGCGGCATATGGCCGGTGGTTGCAGGAGTCGCAATCATCCCATTAGTGACGACGCATTATTCGCTCGTTCAAGTCGGGACGGACAAGGCGGAGCGAGGATGGCGGAGACTGGGTGTCGCCAGCTTGGCATTATTAACTATTCGTTGGGGCGAGTTGACCTAACTCACTAGGGAACTCCGACAACACGTCAAAAACAATCGGATGGTATCTTCAAATTTTACCATCACGACATCGATGACCCTCTTAGCCATTCCTCTAGGTAGCCTTAGGACACGGTGGAAGTAGCACCGTGAATACCCCCAGAAGCTATTTACATCACCTCCGCGAGCATATACTTCTACGGACTTACAATAGTAGAACAGGCGAGTATCTTACATGATGCCAGCCACCGCATCTTACGCGTCGGCTCAACTGGCTAGCAACCTATCATATTCGGCGAATCGGCATCTTTGGTTTGACGTGCCGGTCTCGGGAGTCAATCGAAACGGGCCGGCTCCTGACTTTTCTGCACGTCCACGCCAGTTATTCGACAACATACAGTTTTGACATGGTGGATTCTCTTCCAACAGCAGGCAGTTTTGGGTTCCGCAGATGGAAAAGACCGGAAAGCTTTGGATGACATATCCAAATAGCCAGACGGCACCTATTTCGGAGGACGATATGGCGGCCGTTGCACTTGTGGGTCTCATGACAGACAGACTCACAAATCAAGCCATCGGCCCCAGTGGCCCTATCTCGGTCAGTCAGCAAGAGCAGGTAGAGGCCTTCAATCATCTCAGGGAATCAGAGGGTAAGAAGCCGGTCGAGTTGATCATCTGTTTGCCCACAGAGTGGCGGTCTCGGGTATCTGGTTACCTGCCTAGTGAACTTCAAACCCAACTTCTTACGTGGTGGGAGATGGGGATGGCAAACCGGCGATGATTCTGTCTTTCGATCGCATCACCGATACATACACCGTCAAAGTCATATGATGACTGGCTGGTTTTGAACAAGAGCGCGTTCCTCAACTTTTGACTCTTACGAGTCAAAGAATACAAGGCGATCAGGGTCTTTCAGTGAGCAGCTTGTATTTGTTACCATAAGGGTTCATCATGGACCATGAGATAAAGCGATTCCTGATTCAAGTAGCTAGGCGGCTGGCGATGAGAATAATATCAACATAGTATCAGTATTGCCCCGAGCTAGTCCTGCGACTCGACATTAGAGATCTCAATGACGTGAATTCCACCGAAATCAATGAAGCTGGAGAGCAAGGAACAGACGAAAAGAAGAAGAATGATGATCCACCAATCTTATGACAAGAGACGCGTCCGTCAGGGGGCTGTGTGCAGATGGGGAAGGGCCGCGCGTTTCTATCAAACGAGACCATCCAATGATTTCACACCGTAGCGCAGCTGAGAAGGTCAATGCACCGGCTGTGTGATGAAGAGTGACTCCCACTCGCATCCGAGCCCTGTCGAGCTCGTATGAAGGGGACTTTACAACCGACAAGGCTGTCCATGCGACGCTCGGGCCCTCTGGACGGGGATCAGGGGCTCAGGAGCCGCTGCGTGGGGGATTTGAGGTTGAGCCTCAACCTGGCCCCCAAGCCGGAGCCACCAGAAGCGTGTGGGGAGGACCGTCTTGATGTCTTGGGGAGAAATGGGTGAATATGAATGAAATATAAGACACCGTTGTGACACCGTTGTTGAAAAGCATTCTGGTAGAAGAATGGTAGAAATATCGATAATCCATGGACGCTACGAAGCCCAGAGCAAGTGTTCAAGATCCATTAGTGAGTCAGACTCTCAGCCCACTAATTTTCCCCTGGCAGAGTTGACGCCACCTGAGCAGGCGTGCTCACCTCCGGAGCACCTTTTGGCTCTGTAGCGGGTTCTATAGCTGGCTGTGCTTTTGGCTCTGCAATAGGCTGTAGAACTGGCTGTGGGACCGGCTGTGCAGTGGCATACTTAGATGCAACCTGGCGCTGCTCCGGAGGGAACATTTCATGTGCTGGTCCATCATGCGGCTTACGGGCCACCTGCTTGCCGCAGCGAGTGCAGAAGTGATCTGTGTCTGCGCACCAGCCGCACAAGCTGGGAATGCAGACACCGATAATGCCACAGAAGAGACAGCATAGCAAAGAGGCCGTCCTAGTTATCGTCCCCCTGTCAGGTAAAGCAAGAAGGAAATAACAATGGGAAAGGAGACGTACCTTGTTTCCGATGAGTTTTCCTCTGCGACCCTTGTTTGCGTTCTTGCGTGGCAGTGAGGACAATCAATCCATGCAGGCGTTTCCCCAAGCCGCGTGAGAGGCGTTACCTGGAGTGGTTGGGTGTAGGTCATCGTCGTGGGCCTGATTGTGACATAGTCAGCCTTCAGGAATTTCCTCACTTTGGTGCTATGTTAAACGTACACATTCGACTTCATTTGCTCTGTGGGCTGGCCTTGCTGGGCAACTGGCAAAGCAGCTGGGGACGGTTGCTGGGGACTCGTGTAGGAGGGGGGTCGTTCGTTGTTGTATGCATCGGACGTCGTTGAAGCCGACTGGGTTACCTCTGGAGCAGACAACGTAATCTCAGGGGTTTCCACTGTGGAAGCCATGGTTGCTGTTGCTGGATGTTCTCTGTTCCTTGACTGCCTGGTTTAATATGTGGTTGTTCAGAGGGTAGGGAAGTAATAAGAATGGGGAGCTGAGTGCTCTCGGTACATCTCTGCTTTATATGTCTGTACGGCCCCTAAAATTTGGGGTACGATTTAGCTAGTCACTAGAGTTAACACGTTAATAGGCTGGGTCTGACCTATTAAGTGATCGACAGTCAGATCTTCTACCGAAATAGCCATTGCCTGCACACCCCTGTCGATACCAAGGCTAAGAACGTAAAGCCTGATGTGGCTCTGGTCGCTAGGACTGTGCCTGGGGCGTTCAGCCCTAGTAGATCTCGTGTACTATTTATAGTGGTCCCAAATGGGACGCTACAGAAAGCTACTTTCATGAGTGATCCTTCAGGTCTGGATCGAGTATCTAGGCGCGGTCCTCATAGACTGATCCATTTCTACCTACTTTACTAAGACCAAGCTTGATTATAATAGACAATTTGATGATCCATTTTCAAGGATTACAAAAACAAAGCCAGTTCCATTTCGCCCAAGCCATGCAAAACATAATAAAAGCTATTGACCACACACATGCTCCAGATGAACTTTCAGCAAGTAGATAGATTCCAGTGTACCATCAGCCATGAGGAAAAGAGAATACAGAAAAAAAAATGTCCAGGTGGGCTCGAGATACATGATGTTTATGCCGGCAGGAAGGCATCGGCGGGCACTCCGCCTTGCGCCTATATGATGTTAGTATCGCAGATAACCAATCAACTCTGATGGAGACTTACCCTCAGTTGCTCGAAATTTTGCCAGGCAGTTTCCAAATCCCAGTTGTTACTTGACAGAGCCATCTCCGAGAATTGCAGGGTCATGCGCGATCGCGCACTAAGCTGAGCGACCAATTGCTCTTGTTGGACCTGAACGTCGGTCTTGCCGGGCCCAGGAGCACCATAACCGTCGGGGATCCCGGGTTGAGCCATGGGCACCAGGGGCTGAGCCGCAGGCGCTGCGGCCGGAGCTGCGGCCTGAGGAATGGCCTGAGGAATGGCCTGGTTCTCGGGACTCCACGCCTCATGGCCGCCGTAGGCACGAAGACACAGAATGTCGCTGATCACTCGGATACCACCAACGCCGCCGCCAGGACCGAGGATGAAGGTGCGGTCGAAACTGCGGGTCTCCACTTTGTTTGCGACGCTTTCCTCATACTTGCCATGGACCATGACCAGTAAGCCGCCCACGCCGGATTCGCTCTGTCCACTGGGGTCGGGGAGTCCAGGTATCGGATGGCATTCGATGAGCCATTCCTCCGGATGAGCCGCCATGTCGGGGTGCCGGGTGGGGGGAGTGTGCTCCAGATTTCGCGAATGCTGTCTGCGCCAACATAGGAACGTGACATGCGTGCGGGGAGATGGCTGATTTTCAAAAGGTTGCGGCTCTTCTTGATGTAAGGGTCCCAGCCAGCGGTTTCAGTATGCTGGGCTTTGGGGGCCTGGGTGTTGACGTTGAGAGAGAAGGTGGAGCGGCTGTCATATACGCCGTTGAGGAGATCGTTGCGGTCGTTGTCATAGCCGACGAAGAAAGCACGCACAAAGTTCTCACCGATTTGGGATTCGTCCTGGAAGTAAGGAGCTTGGACAGGGATCGGTGTCTTCTTCTGAGCAGCAATGTCTTCCGCCGTTCGAACCTCCACGTGGTTCAGGAATCGCAGTTTGGGGTACCACTTGAGCATGGTATCCTTGAAGCCCGGGTCCGCGCTGAAAGGGTTGCCGTTCAGATCAAGGAACTCGAGGCTTCGGAATTTCCACCGCCATGCAATTAACGAGTGCATATCTTTGAAGTTGTTGTTTGAGAGGTCCAAGTTCTTGAGGTCCGGGATTGTTTGAGAGAGAGTTGTAACCACGGAGATGGTTGCAAGCTGGTTGTCTGCGAGGCTGACACTTTGGACCGCTTCGCGCCGCTGCGCCGAACTGGTGAAACCCATCTCCCAGACTTTCATAAGGGCAGGGAAGAACTTGGATTCGGTCGAGGTGCTGTTGAAGATGCCCATTGCGTGCAAATCCGGATCGGTTCCGAGCTTCGAAAGGTCCAGCAGTTTGGTGTCTGGGTAATAGCGCTTGGCCAGAATGGCTGTCATTTTGGATTTGGTATCTGCGGTAGCAGCGGAGGTGCCGGTTGTCGCAGCTAGCTCGTGGTCCAAAGATCCGTTGGGAGTTTGTGGCTCGATAGCGATCTGGATGCCTGCAAACTGGTTGCCATTGATCCGGAGCATTCTTTCTGCGAGTTCGGGGCGAACAGACACCACGAGGGAGTCACCTTCAACCCGCGACTAGTTCGAATTGTTAGCAAGGTGCAAGACACCTTGGGGCTGCAGTGACCCAAAGGAAGAAACGCCCGAAAATGCCAGGGAGTGTCGATCGTCATTCTGCTGGAAGGCCCTTCTTGGAAAACGAGAGAACGCTGGAGCGCAGGGACGTCGAGGCTGGAGTATCGGTGACCGTCACTTCGCAACGTAGAAACATACCTTTGTGATTTTTGCGCGGGGGCCTGATTTTGTGATTGCGTTCAGTCGTCGTTCGAGGAATGCGACGAGACTTTCGACGCCGCCGTCTCGGTTGGATGCTGCCTTGCTCTGTTTCCAACCGCTCACACGAAACTGCTCCAGGCTGGCTCGTGCAGCACCCTTCGACTGTCGGATGTTTGCCTGCGACTCCTTGGTGCTGCTGGAAATTGCCTTCTGGATCGCATCCATGGTCTTGTCTCGAGTCTGAGCTCGGCCACCACCAGTCGCACGACCGGTGTCGCCTCGCGTCCTTTTGCCACGGCCAGGTCCATCCATCTCCATATCACCGTCGCGGTCGGTCCGCGTAGGACCTCGCTTGCGGATGCCGCCCCGGTCAGCGCCACCCGCACGGCTCCGAGTCGATTTCATGCTAGGCATGTTGGGCAACCCAGAGGTGGGGAAAAGTCGAGAAGGGGAGGAGGGGGAGTGGGTGGTAGAAAGAAGCGTCGAGATGCGGGCAGAGCGCTGCGCGCCTCAAGACAGACAGAAGGATCGCAGTTCGCATGCAGTTGCGGGAGAAAGAAGGACAGTTGTAGCGCAGAGGCAGTGATCTTGGATAAGCAGCGACGCCGCCAATAGGGACGACAAAGAGCGCGTTTGAGTCAATCAAGTCTAGTTTTGAGCCGCTACAAAGAAAAAGTGACGCGCAGCACGTGATGTATTTAGCTAAGCAGGACTGACTGCCCCGGTCCACCAATCAGCGATTGTCGTCTGTCCTCTCAATACACCCGGAACTATTTACTTCCTCTCGCAAGCCCCCGGGCAACACCGCTGACGCTGACGCAGAAGCAAAGAAAAGCAAAGCAAGGACTGCGAGTTTGAATCGCTCATACTCGGCGCGTGGGTAAGTACCCGTGATTTGGCCCCGTTGTCCTCCCCGGCCCCAGTTCGGCCCGCTTGCGTGTTCAATAGACCTGCTAACTTTCCGTCTTTACTTAGGACTTATATAGACGATTGCTCGTTGCCGCCGACGCTGCCTGCGCTCAATCCCCCTATAGTTTGCCCTATGCTTGCCAATTGACCGCAGAGATGCCTGCAAAATCGCGATTCACAAGGCTGGACGCCTTCGCCAAGACCGTCGAAGATGCTCGCATTCGCACGACCTCTGGAGGTGTCATCACCATCGCGTCGCTGTTCATTGTTCTCTGGCTGGTCTGGGGAGAATGGGCCGACTACCGGCGAGTAGTGGTGCTGCCGGAGCTCATTGTTGACAAGTCTCGAGGTACGGATTCGATATCGAAACGCATCATGCATGCATGACGGGTCCACTGACAGATTCCTGCACAGGCGAGCGCATGGAGATCCATTTGAACATGACTTTCCCCCGACTGCCGTGTGAGCTCTTGACTCTGGATGTCATGGATGTCTCCGGTGAGCAGCAGGTAGGCGTTGCGCATGGCGTGAACAAGGTCCGCCTCAGCCCAGCTGCAGAAGGAGGTCGGGTACTCGATATCCAGACTCTGGAACTGTATGTGGCATTCTGTTTTGGATCAATTGGGGGTTCTCTTATTAATTCTACGCTCCAGGCACTCGAGCGAAGAAATCGCCAAACACCTGGACCCGGACTACTGCGGCGAATGCGGTGGCGCGCCGCCGCCGCCAAACGCAATCAAGCAGGGCTGCTGTAGCACATGTGAGGAAGTGCGCGAGGCCTACGCACAGAAGTCATGGGCCTTTGGTAACGGCCACAATATCGAGCAGTGCCAGCGCGAGGGCTACTCGGATAAGATCGATGCACAGCGGCGCGAGGGATGCCGGGTGGAGGGTGTGTTGCGGGTGAATAAAGTGGTGGGCAACTTCCACATTGCTCCAGGCCGCAGCTTCACGAACATGAACGTGCACGCGCACGACCTGGAGAACTACTTCACGCCCGACTCGGCACCGGCAGACCAGCACACCATGACGCACATGATCCACGAGCTCCGCTTCGGTCCTGCCCTTCCTGCCGAGCTGGCGGATCGCTGGCAGTGGACTGATCACCACCACACCAACCCGCTGGACGACACGAAGCAGGAGACAGACCAACCGGCTTTCAACTTCATGTATTTTGTCAAGGTCGTCTCGACCGCCTACCTGCCCTTGGGTTGGGACCCTCTCTTCTCCACTGCCATCCACACTGCCTACGACAAGGCTCCTCTTGGCACCCATGGCCTCGCCTACGGAGCCCAGGGCAGCATCGAAACGCATCAGTACTCTGTTACTTCGCACAAACGCTCACTGATGGGCGGTGATGACGCTGCGGAGGGTCACAAGGAACGCATGCACGCCTCTGGCGGTATCCCTGGTGTCTTCTTCAATTACGATATCTCCCCTATGAAGGTTATCAACCGCGAGGCTCGCCCCAAGACCTTCACCGGTTTCCTGACGGGTGTCTGCGCCATCATTGGTGGTACCTTGACCGTCGCTGCTGCTTTGGACCGTGGTCTGTACGAGGGTGTGATGCGCGTCAAGAAGATGCATACCAACTAGGACATTGGATGGAGAGATTGTATGGTGTCAGAAAGAGGCACGACGAAAGACACCTGAGGACCTAGTCCTCCCCTAGCATGGCCACAACTACGACGGACTCCTCGAGCCGAGGGGTTCCTGTATTCGGTTAGCTATGCCAGACGATGAAACTAGGGCATGAAAGACCGCAGACACTCGTGGCGTTTGGGAATACCTTTTACATTGCTTTTAACATTGTTCTTTATTTATGCACCGACTCAGATATTCACACTGAATGAAGATGTATCTTGCAGTGACTTTTCTCGTGTATGTGGTGGGATCTGCCCTTGACAATAACAAGTAGGTTTACATTCGACGTCCGAAGCCATTATCTTATTTGAGACACTGTCGCCTACTGGTTCCCAGGAGTATAGGCCAAGGAGATAATGTTTTTCTATGCCGCTAAATTGGCGATATACTAATCTGAGACACGGGTTCGTATCGGTTACGTTATGGCTGTGTAGATGCCCACTAGCCTAGATCGTTGATTGGGATTAGAGGCTCTAATAATAATTAGCCTCAGAAACCTCATTCCAACATCGTCCCCTGACGCTTTGCGAAAGAAGAGTCGGTACAAAATGGGTAAGACACCCCTGCCCTAGCTAGTACGATGACAATGTCTACTGACCTGCAGAACGATAGGGTATTCAGAAGTATTGTTTTCTCCGCGATTAAACCACTCGAATTTTTCACTGAGAAGCTCACTAGTTCTACTGCCATTTTTGCGGGGTGAGCTTCAATGTCGCTCGCAGCCGCAAACCTGGCGAGCCATATTCAGCAGAATGGGCCTATTCGGGTTCACCTTGGGGAAGTGGCCGGGAGGTACAGGTGGACTGGACGGACTGTGCTCGTCATGGGTGCAGCCTCCTTATTTTTGCCGGATTTTCCCAAGAAGATGATGCAGTTCACGACCCGGATTATATCCCCCCCGACGACGATGAATATGATCCCTACGAATATGATTCTGACCATGAGTCAATCGACCTTCCGTTGCATGAAGAACAAACAGACTTGGATAGCGACAGTCATGCCCAGGACCACGAAGATCAGTGGTATCAAGATTGGCTTTCCACGTTTGTTTCCCAGGAAGATCTGCCGGGGGAGCCCATTCGAGTTTCCGACGGAAGCCCAGAGCAAGATGTGTTTATACCCGTCCATGACAACGTGCCAGGGATGTACACACCCGAAGATCTATTGCACGTTCCTGGCCCAACTTGCGGGAAAGCAAATACATACAGTGGCCATGGAATCACCCTTGAAGAGATGAGAGGTTGCCGAACAGCGCAATGCTTGATCCATAACACGATCCGTGAGAACTGGGAGCGTGACGGACTTGAACAAGACTGGGAACTTTCAGGAGAATATTTTCTTTCTGGCCTCAGCGATGGGATGCCGTCTCGTGACGAAGATCCGCGAAGAGTATTTCCAGTGAGAGGCGGAGTTGCCAGGCCAGAGTCCGAGAATATTCTTTTTGATGTAAGCTCTGTCCCGTCCTTCTCGGATCCTCTTTCCTGTGTCTTGCGGCTCATGTTGCACAGCCTTCCAGGGACTCAAGCGAATTTGCCTTGCCTTTTCATCCGTGGTGTTTTGATATTTTTTGCCGACAGTCGCAATCTCATTTCGGGCACGTCAACACCACCGGTCTCATGAACTGGCGGAAAGCAGAATGTACCTTCGAAGATTTTCACGGATTCCCCCGCGACGCAGCTGTTATCGCTGGACAGGAGCAGTTTTGGCTCCATGAACCCGGGCAGGAGTATCTCGTTGCGAATCCACTCTACGTGCCGAATCTGGTTCCTCTTCTTCTAGCGGCAATCAAAGAAGATGGAAATTTTAATCTTTCTTACGGCGCATTTGACATAGATCAAGAAAGAGAACACCACGAAGATCGCAGCCTGGAACATCCAAATGATCCTTTGTTCTCTTTGTCGCATGATTTGCGGTTATTGCTTCTTGAGTACCTCGGGTCTCACGACATTGCGAATCTAAGGCTAGCTTCAAGAGCATTTCATCAACTCCCTATCTCCCTGTGGCACCGTCTCATTCGAGAAGAAATGCCCTGGGTATGGGAGGCATGGGATGAAAATGAGAACAACCATTCACTTTCATTGTGGACTTCCATCACAGCAAATGAGATGCAAATGCTATGCAAACTACGGAAACATTATTTCAGCGTGCTTGGAGATGGGTCACAAGATGCTATTCTCGATGGGAAAATCATCGATGAAATGCTCTCTTGGCCACCGGCGATACCAAGTCAAATCAAACTCCCAAGAGCAAAGACAAACTGGTACGAGGTGTACTCTGGGATAACTCGTAACTGGGACCAGTTGAAGGGACTGCAGAATCGCAAGCGGATCTGGAAGGATGTGGATGGGATTATTCGGCGCATCCAAACGCATGAGCAATGATCTGATTACTTGTTTGAGAGGATAATGACAATCAGCCATGTTTTGTAGATAAAAGTGTATTCACATCGGCGAGGATCCATCCAAAGCAACTGGGACACAGGACACAAGCAAAAGGCCGATGAGGTATGTAAGGCAAGCAGCGTTTTCACAAAAGGGACCATCGCGCCAGACCGACTCTGTAACTCCGTTCTGATGCGCGATGCAGAAAAGACAAGAAGCAAGGAAAGAGGTTATGTAAATGACCGCCAGAAAAGAGGGAAAAGGAAAGGACAGGTGAGTGTATCTAAGTCTAAAGCGATGAGGATATGTATGCAGGAGCAACCATGTGACAAAGCGAAGAAGATATAGACGAGCAAGGGTCGAAAATGATTTGACAGTTGAAAGATGGGAATGTATAATCAAGGAGAGCAGTTCACGAATGCATTGTGTGAGGATTGTTGTAATACCCAGGTTGCTGAGAAGCGTAGGTTTGGCTTTGCTGGTACGATGGAGGAGTGTTTGGTGCCTGGCCAGTGGACTGAAGTTGTCCGTACCAGGACCGACGTCGGGGCTCGTCGGGGCGGGCCATTGGGAGCAGAGTATCCGCGGTCCGGCTGGCAGTGGGGAGGTTGTACAGGCTCTCCTGAGCGGCGCGCGGACCATACATCGAGCCGTCTTGTGGTTGCCCCATATATGGCTGCGGCGGGTATGGCTGCTGTTGCTGGAATGATTGCTGCTGCTGAGGGTAGGGCGGTTGCTGTTGCATCATCTGCTGCTGGCGCTGAGCGATGGCGTGCTGAACCATCTGGTTGGACATGCCCTCCTTCAGAGCGCGCTTTTCTCGCTCACGGGCGTCAATGGCCGATACAAGACCTGATGTGTTTGGCTGTGATCTCCGATTGTCGTTGGACATATTGAAGAACGAGGACCCAGTCATGCGCGCCACATGCTCTTGTTCACGAGCGGAGAGGTGGGCAGACATCTCGTTGTGGTTGTAATTCATCATATTGTTGGCACCGCGAGAGGAAGGACGATAGTTTGCGTCACGATAGGTTGTCATCTGTGAGTTCGGACGGGCCTGTTGTGTCCAGTCGCCCGATGCCGGTCGTTGCAAGGGGGGCGTTTTTGACGGCGCACGGTAATGCCCGTGCATTGGAGGTGAGGGCGCTGCGCGTTGCTGCACATACTGCTCCGGCGTGAGACCGCCTCCGGGAGTAACAGGGCGGCCAGTGGCCATACCAGGCTGCCAAAGCATGCTCCGACGGTACTCATCCTGATTTGGAGACCGAGACTGCGCGCGGGTAGGGTCCATGGGCTGTGTAGGCACAGAAAGTTTGTACTTCTCCGTGCCATCCGAGTCCTTCCTTTGGTGCACTGGCTTCCGCGTGGTTTCTGGGCGTCCAGTTGTGGGCATGTAGGTCAGCGTTGGCCCGAAATCCACTGTAGGGATATCGGGGTTTTGAATTGGGTTTGAGGTTGCAGACTGCTCCCGACTGTAGCGAGCATCCCCAATAACGAGGTCTTGGTTGGTCGGCCCCGTGCCCACCGTCTTCATAACACCCATACGAGGCCGGGTGGATCTGTTTGATTTCTTGCTGTACACGGAGCCGTGGGTGCTCGCATAGTCGGGCGTTGCTGACGACTCGTCGTCATAGACGCTTTCTTCCTCGTCCTTTTCCGGTGACACCGGCGACTGGAGCGAATGAACAGGAGGCGCAATCCGATTGAGTGCATCTTCATCCAGGGTGTAACGAAGTTCCTCCATGCTTGGCTCTCCCCCAGGTGACTGCGACGCCTGTGGGAACAGTTGTCGTTGGGGAAGTGGCTTCCGTTTGACAGACGCATTTGGGTCGATCTGGGGCCCACGAGGGGACGGATGAGGGGACGGGGTACTTGCAGTGGTCGAAGTGCCCTCCCGATGTTCCGGGACTCGTGGTGGTTGTACCTGGCTCGCAAGGGTAATTCCTTCGTCGCTAGAAGAATGTGCAAGGGAGCGATTTGATGGAGCAGTAAGCTGGGAAGCATAGCCACTTTCAAAACCCTTTTCTTGCGGGTGTTGACCGTCCTTGGATTGAGGTCTAGATTGGGACCGCTGGTCTGCCCAACCCGTAGCACCTCCACCCACAGCAACTCCGGCGATTCCCATCTTTCCTGCCTGTGCAAGCTGGGAGAGGGTGGCATGGGACATGCGATTGTTGGCTTTTCTCATCTCCGAAGACGGCCGCGGTCGGTTGGACGGCACGTCTCCGGGACCATGTGAAAAGGCCGGCGGGTTTGAGACTGGAGCTGGCGGCGTGGGCGACGGAAGGTGGCCGATCGCAGAGAATTGTTGGGAGTCTGGGAGCTCGAGATGCCCTTCATCTTCAGAACTGGTACGCTCAGCAATAGTAGCCACAGTGGATCTCTCCCGCTCCATTAGTTCGACAGCCGACGTCGACGAATGAGGAGAATTGTCAAACATATATCCAGAACCTGGACCGAGGCCTGTCTGGAAACTAGTGGTGTCAGAGTAGCCTCTATTATGATATGCCGGAGGCAAAAGACCGCCCCTGGGAACCTGAGAAATAACGGCTTCGGTAGACTTGTTATATTCGGGTTTGCCGGTGGGAGGGCCAAGCGGCCGGCCAGGGGATTCGCCAGTCGGGGTATCACTGTTTCGGACAGGAGGAAGGCTGGAACGATAGCGAGGTCTTTGACTGGTGACACTGTTGGTACGGCTCCTGCCAGTTGAGATCCGTTTCTGGGTTGCCTCCTTGAGTTGTTTCCGCCAATCCGCTTCGGTCCAGTCCTGACTACCCGGAGCCTGAAGGAGGTTGGAGATATCCAAAATGTCCAAATAACCATAGCGGCGTTGCTTGGGGAAGGCGAACATGATGCTCTTGATGTGATTTGTGTCCGCCACCAGCCGCGTGGGACGGCCATAGAGGTTGAAAGTGTCAAAGGTTGAGAAGAGGAACCGAAGCATCATCTCGAAGCCAGACACGGCTGGATGCACTTCCGGCATGACGAAAACAAACCCTTCCGCCGAGGTCTGGTTCTTCCCGTGGGTGGTGATCCGTCCCTCCAGCTTCACCAAGGTCGACTGTTCGATCAAAGCCTGCGACTGCGGGTAGATAGCGTAGGCCGAGTAGACGCTCGTCACCGTTGCGATGGGTGTCACTTTCTTCGTCTTCTTCGAGTCGTAGAACTTGATATTTCCCGTGATCGGCATTGTTAGGCGATCGTAGGCTGATTTCTTCATGGCCTTTCGTGCCTTCTGCAACTCCTTCTCGTCCGGTGGAGTGACCACAAACCAGCATCGCCTCCACGGGGTTCCCGCCCCAAATCGCACTCGCGCCCAATCTTCATACTTGAACCGACAAGGCATCAGAATGGAATTGATCCCCGGCAGGTTTTTTCCCCTCGCCGCAATGAGAGACCCGGTATACGCTTCGTACAGGGAGGTGTGTTCGAACATCGAGAGGCGGATGGCCCCCGTCCACTGGGTTAAGGAATGAAACGAGTTGAAGTGAAGCAGGTATCGATTTTGGCCGGCCGAGCACAGACTGAGGACATTCTTCAACGGAGCAACTGCTCCGTTGCGAATCGGAAGGGTCTCAATCTAGCGCGCGAGGGTTAATCTTTGGGCAGGTGACCGGGGCAGCTCACGTACCATTTTCATCGACGCATCGGCCAGGTTAATGAAGGTTGGAGGCACCTCTTCGCCGCCTGCCGCGTCCAGCGCCGAGGCATCCCACAGCGACAGCACGGTACCCACGAGTTGAGCGTAGCATTCCAACCACTGGCGATCGGCACATGGCCGGCCATCTGTGCTGGGTCAGCCGCCCACTTTCCCCACAACTGCGCGACCGGGGGGTAACCACTTACGAGAATCGAGGTCATTTAGTTTCAAGAAATATCCTTCATGGTAGACCTTGTTCGTGTGGGTGTTGAGGTACGAGAAGATCGGGGCCAGCTCGGCCGGGGTACTGTCGTCCTGCTGCATCAGCGGCGGGTTGCGCGAGAAGACCATGGACGCGGGTCGCGATCCGGATCCGTCCCCTCTAGAAGAAGCGCCCACGGGCGATAAATCGGACGGTGGCGAAGGCGTGTCAGGTGAGGGAGTCGCCCACCGTGGCGGCGTCTGGACAGGGGTTGCAGAGTTGGATTTTCTGCTGTCTCGGTCGGAATCATTCTTGGACCCTCCAAAGGTGGACATGAACGAGAAGACTGGTAGAAATGCAAGGGACACCAGGTCAGCCCGAATGACTAGTCCCATTCCCGGATGATCCGGGGCCGATCAACATTATTATTCAACTTACCACGCGAGCGACCCATGACGACTGAATGTGAGGTGTTGCCAGCTAGGTAAAGACCGTATCAACTGCGACGCGCCTGCGCGATACCTTGTGAGAATCCAATGCGAAACGGCGGCGAGAATGAAGTCGGGCCCAGGGGGTGGGCCGTAGGATTCGAAAGGAACCCGATGAAGCGCCGGGGGTGAGAGATGAGGCGAGAATTGTTGAGAATGAGCAAAGAGAGAGGGAGGGAGGCGGAGAAAGAGAGGAAAAGGGAAAGAGGTGAGAACCGGTGAGATTGGGGAGGGAAATTGGGTTCAAAAGAGTGTGGATGTGGATGACGTTGCGGCCAGACCGGAAGTGGGACGGACGTACTATGTATGTTTGGATGGGCCGTTGCTTTGGCATTAGTAACTAGAGGAAGCACGAAGAACAATAATCATGGGCGCAGGATGGTCTCGGCATGACTGGCCTTGCATCTACTGCCGCAATAATGGGAATGGCAGCCGGCAAAAGTCGCTGCGGGTATCCCAGGTTGGCGTCACTAGGTCACCGCGCCTCCACTTTATAATTAGATGTCTTACTTTGACACCGATCGGAGGGAGTGGCATGTAGAGTACGTGATTAGGTCTGATGATGGCCAGGATACTGGAGAACATACTAGGCATCGAAAGGATAGTCCCGCGGTTCGATTCTCATCATGGACTATTATTAGTGTTGTTATGATTATTTCCTATTCGATTCTCTTCATCACCAAGACTCGCCACAGCTTATCGCTCACCACACTGCCGGCCACGTACTCCTTCCCGCCACACTAACGGCACTCCGCCACACTAGGCACGTCCTGCACTGCCGTTTGGAGGCAGGTTCCCGAGACCAGTCATTATTCATTGTCTCCAGTGAGACAAATGCAGGTCTGCTCGATGAATGATGGTCAATGAGGAAATTATGCCCGGGCATAATTTCATAATATCCGTCCCTGGTCATGATTGTCACCGATCTCTTGCAGCGGGACTAACGTTCGTGCCTCAGGCAGACCCCAAGCCCTACTCCAGGTATACTCCCAGGCAGGAACAATATATTCACTTACCACTTCCCTTGGCTTGTTTCTCTTCTGCTTGCCTCCCCCCTCCCAACCACCCTCAATGCCATCCGCTTCAACATGGACAGTTCGTCTTCCTCGCAAGACTTCTCTTCCACAGGGCCTTCCCGGGACGACGAGGAGTCGGCCGCGGGGGATCCTGGCTCCCTAATGCCCTTCAACTGTTCCCTGAACGATGAATCACCTACCACAGTACATGTTTCCGAAGCTGACGACGGTGAGGAAGAGGACAACGAAGAGGCTAACATGGACGAAAGCTCGTCCTCGCTCCCCATCCCGATCCCCTCTCTCGACATCGCTCGCCCGCTTGACATCTCCAAAGCCTCCCACGAACTTCTCCTGGAATCAGTCGCCGATTTCTGGATTGGGTTTGATCTCAGTACCTTTCCACAGTTCATCGCATCCTGGGTTCCCCGCCTGCGGCATACCGCCCTGCCGGGATCGTACGAGCAGCTTTTGTTGCTGTTGTACGATGACCTCGCCCACTACGTCCGGCTTCAGAAATCAATGGCAGACGGCATTCCAAACTATCTGACCACACATAGGGAGCGGGTTCTTCATGAAGACAGGCTGCGTAACGTGGGAAGAGCTTATGAATGGAGCCATCCGCGCTACCGCAAACCTGCCACGCTGCATGCTAGACGCCCGTCGTCCCTGGCAAGAAAACATGCTGACGAATCTCTTTTCTTTGCTGAGCTGCGGATGCTGAGGGATCTGGTTGCCCCCGTGCGCGATGCTTCCCTGCCCGTTTACTGGATTACCTTGCGAGCGGATCGAGCTGACGATTTGGAACCCGAGTTTGCTGCGTCGCAAGATATCATCGCTAGGCTCAGAATATATTTGCAGGAGTCACTCTATGACCACCACAAGAACTGTAAGACAAACCCCTCCAGCTAACTCGAATAACTAATCTCTAACGCCGTCCAGACACCATCCACTGCGCGAGGTCTTCTACAGCTGACCCTCGCAAAGCTCTCAGCCTCAAACAGTTTCGTCTGGACACCTGCAAGGGAACGCTGCTCTGGGAGAAGTATCCCCCAGACCCGATGCACTTCACCGAATTTCACCAGCACTACCGAGACCACCTCCTCCAGACAGACCCCGTCGCTGCTCAACAGGCCGGATTCCTGCCTCCTATCAATACACCCCCACCTACCGTCAAGGTTGCCGATCAACCCGGCATTGATCTAGGAGATCCTTGGGCTCCAGTTACGAACGAATCGAAGATCCTGACGCTGTTGGTGCGAACTTCGCAGTGGTTGGCGCTAGCCCGTGGCCTCCCCGCCGTGCATCTCTTTTATGATGTGACTCGCCTTTTCACCATATACGGAGTTGACGTGGCCAATGCTACTCAGATCGACTTTTGCAATCTTATGGACCGTCTGCGTTTTCCTCGGGACGTGCATGTTCCACCCCCTGGACGCTTTTCGCCAACTCCATCGGGTGGAATACACAACCCAGAGTATTTCAGAGATCTTGAAGCTGCCAACCGTGCCATGGCGCAGGCCCTTATTAATGAAGATACTCTGCTGGGAAGAGATGACGACAGTATCTCTTGGGACTTCCCGCATCAAACTTTGGTTTGGAGTTCTGATGGCAGTGAAAGGAAACTGGTGCTGAAAAGACCTTTCCAGCGTTGCCGATTCAACCCCGTTCATGTCGTGGATACCGAATGGGAGAATTTCATTGCTGCCCACGTTGAACAAGATCAGCACCAGGATGACGAGGATTGTGGTGATTTGGATGGAGGAGTCCCGATCGGAATTTTTTCAATTGCCGATAATAATTACTTCAAGTAAGTGATTCTTTAGTCCATTCTTGCCAGTAGCTGACATCCTCCGCTCTGATATATTTCAGGTCGACTATGAGAACAGCCCCAAAACTCCCGAGTACAACCCCGCAGTGATTTCCCCATTCAGCATCCCCTCTGCTGCAAAGTCTTCTATTCCCGCCGCAGGTCCTCGTTTGGATCCCATCCTCGAAGATGAGGAGCTTTCCGCCTGGCTCGACGCTAATCCAGGCTCGTCTCTTTTCTCTCGCAGCTATCATGCTCATCAGTTGATGAACAGCTGTCCATCGGCTGGTCCGCGCACTGACAACTGATACCGGTTTTCTTATTTCTCAGCTACTGCATCCCATCGGCGTTTTGATTCAATCCGGTATGATACAATGAATGCATGGCCGGCGCAAGCAAGATATGTAGAGACTCGAGATCGGGATTGTACAGTTGGCAAGTTCTTTTTATTTCTACATTCTGCTGTTTTATGGATTCCTCTCTCTCTTGTGCTAGTTTCTCTTTGTATTTAGGCTGAACATATTCCTAGGACGTCTCCAAAGGTACCCGCATATCCATGACGTTTCTTCCCCATATTTTCTTCATTCATCAATTTCCAAAACTTCCTTTCGTTTTCCCAAGTGCCCCACTTTGATCAAAGGAGCTATCTTTTTAACATGTCGTTTCTAGGGTGACTGATCATTCTGTGGTATATAGTCCTAAGTCATGCTCACCGTCAGATTTGGTCTCGCCTTAATGGTTCACTAATCCCTCTCAAGCATGTGTCGATTTGCGTTCCAAAAGTTGTTGATTCATTCGACTACATCTTTGTTTATTTCTCACTTGGTCACTGACAGAACGATTTCAAAGACCCCAGCCATTCCAAACAACAAGTCCAAGAACAATGCCCCCCAGAGAATGACCTATCCATTTGCCGCGCCATCCACCATAGTCCGACCCTCCATGGACCCAGACAGTAATTGCGTCCACTTGCGCTGCAATCTAAGTAAATATTGAAGGTCGTTAGAGAGAAATTATTCTCGAAGGTGTATCAACAGAATTGACCCCTACCACTGTGCCGATCATTAACGCCTTTAACCCTTGTTGGTTATGCTGCAAGCCCAGTAGTACGTATGTTAGGCCTAACGCCAGATCCCGACCAGCGTTGGCATAGAGAAATGGTGACGGAGAAGTAGAGGAGGGTAGTGGCAGACCGAAAAGCTTGTATGCGTTCTGCGGGGCGAGGAGTCGCAACGTTCCAAGACCCAGCATGGCCGTACCGAGGAACGCCGGAGTTGGTGCAAGAGAGAAAGACATGGCTACAGCAGGTAGACAAGTTACTATTATTCTTTGGACGCGATATGTGCGAGAAAGGAAGAGTAATCTTACATCGTGGCTCTGCAATCACGCCAGCAAAGCATAGATGAGAGTAGAACTTGCCAAACACGGGGTTTGGGTCGGGGTTTCGTTGTCTCGTACCGGCCCACGGGGTAACCCGCCCCTGGTTTCTTGGCGAGTACACGTAGGTATAGATCTCTTCTCTTCTCGCTATTTGATACTAATGTGGTCTCCCTAGTGTAGCTTGCGATGGGTACATTTAAATGAGCCTTTGTAGGTTACGTCATTGGTGGAAAAGCTTTCTAGAGCTAAACATGACAGGAGTTTAGACCCGAACCAAGTGTTTCATTAAAGAGACCAGTTAAGCATCATGCGATATCAAAATATCAAGTCTGCTTAATAGTTACAGGGATTGTTCCCATTGCCCCAGACTTACTCCAGTCGCCAATGTCAACCGTGTACTTTTTATCCAGGTTCTGTTTCTCGAATTCATTTCGCTTTCCGGGCTGCATAGAGGCTCTCCAGGCTAGAGAGCAAATTCTAGCATCCGTGATATCGTCAATCAGATCGATGCTTCCTTGAGCCTCGCTCACGGAGTCCGTATCTCCACGAATGCAGATGGACCGTCTACCACCGTTATGGCGGATAACCATGTCATCGACATCGTCGGAGGACAGAATATCGCTTTGATCACCTTCTCTGTAAAACTGGCCGCTGTTCATGTCTTAAAACAAACTCGTTTTCCAAGAAGGGAGAGGGAAATACCTCGCAAGGGCCGCATTTTCAATCCGGATATCGTACTTCAAGTCATCTTCAATTTGAATCTCGAACGATTGTTCGGCCATGTTGAGTCGATAAGGCTGTTTGAATCTGAGGAAGCTCTTGGTAGAATGTGAAGAATACGTTTACGTTCAGAGGAGCACTTTTCAGACCGGGGGATACGCACTAAATAATCATAGGCGACACCATACCCAGGTATGTGTATGACAGCTATTCAGTTCGTCAACCATGGGACGACGAGGGACTCGACTTGCACCGAACTATTCATGATATAAAACGGTGATCATAACGAACCATAAAGTGACGTCATCTGTTCTCAAGTAGGATGTTTGCGTGCGCAAGCTGCATAGTGACAGATGTAGTTTTAGCCCTCTTCGAGAAGTATGACACACTCTCGCTTGAAGACCAACATCGGATATCGGATGGCACCGCGCCGCTATATTTACTATGAGTCGAACTATTCCGTGGCCAAAGGCTGGCACTTAAGCTTTGGGGGGATTTCGGCTAGAGAAGCTTGGCGGGGGTGTTTACGAGCCAGTAATTTTCACCGAGCCTCTCACTCTGTGGTCGTATGTAATAAATTTACGACATGAGAGGGGTGAACAGTGCTGCTTGTCGCAGACACACCGGGTGGTGCTTGGGTATTGGTAAATACACGTGACCTGACTGGCGCTTCCCCTGCTCAGATTTTGGTTGGCTCTCCCAGTAAGTTCTGATTCCTCAGGTAGTTGTGGCCGACAGGGGCCCGTAGCAAACATGCCCGGAATGGCTTCTTAACCACAATGTATGCTCGGTTTCTCGGAGCACATAACCGAGGAATGCCTGCCTGACTACAAAAATCCAGCCACATTTTGCACCAGAATGCAAACTTCAGTACCAACTACTAAATTGCAAGAGCAGGATTTTTTTCCCGGGGAAATTGGGGAAATTGGAGGAAATGTGAAAAGCCAAATTAGGCACCTTTCCCAAGTTCAGGGGTCTCCTCGCATCTTTAACTCTCTCAGCCCCCTGATCTGAAACATAACATTCAATGAAGGCGACATGCAAGGGCATCTTCCAACCGAATCGGTTCGTGCACCCGAATACTGCATCGCCATTGGCTGCAGGTGAGTTCGCTTTCGGGTATTTTTTGCCGGTCATAGGGCTATAGAGAGCCAGGAATGGCAGCACTCATCGAAGAAAAAAGCTAGCAGGTGTGCTCCCTTTTTTCACTAGTTCTTTAATTGTTCATAGCATATTTGACTAGGTCAGGTATCATGGACCTATGCATACGCTTTAGTATTGTAGTACATGGACCAACACAATGCTCTTGTTCCAGGTATACATTGCTAAATCTAGTACTCAATTGTTCTTAATGGGCTGAGACGTAATATTGAGTAAACGAGGCACTTCACTGCGCCGTTTCCAGGTTAGTTACAATTGACCCGATATATTTGGTTGCCTGTCACTGATATTACATTCTCCAGGAAAATTCAGTCAGGTCACAGAATGGTCTAGGACATTCGCGAAATTATTATCGATACGCCATCTTATCAAGCATTGGTGGACGAATACCCAGCGGATTGTTGTAGGGCTACGGTATGATGAATAGCATTTCTTACTGCAAAATGTTCAGCCTACTGGTGCAAACACATTGGCGTGCAAAGAATTGCGACTCCGACGTATAAAATAGCCCATGATATCCTGTCGTTTTGAGTCACTACCCTCTTCTAGACCTTTACGTACTTTATATTTAGTTGCTTGTCCATCATGCGGTTACTCTGGAGCGTCCTAAGCTTGGCATTGCCGACAAGTATCCTTGCAACGTCTGGCAATACAAGAGGCTCTGAAGACGATGCAACTCTCAAATGTGTTGTGATTGAGCTCGTGGTGGATATACTGCGCGACAGCCCCACAGCTACCCAGTTTTGCGAATCCTTGCTCGCTCCTATAACAACCAAAACCATTACTTCGTGCGTGAACACAGAGAGAGTATAGAGAGCGAATCAATGCATGCTAACAGATTCTAGTACCAAAACACACTCTAGCTGTGCCTATGCGTATTCAGCGATGGCCGATGCCCGGTTGGACATCGGTGCGGCTGCTCAGGTACGCCATTATAATCGTGATAAGAAATTATGGGCCCAGCTAATTTCCTGGCCAATTTCCCCAGATTACTGCTGCACCTGAACCCTCGCCAACGCCCAAAGCGTTGCAGCTATATCCCAGTTCGGATATCAGCCAGGCTTGTAAATGCCTCAGCATCCCGGCATCCGACCTGAAAACCCATACCTCTACGAAGAAGGCAACCACCACGACCACACTCTGCCCGGTTCCCACGACCTGTGGGAATGAGGGTGTCCAATGGGCATATTATAAAGATAGTGCAATTCCCTACAACGGCATTCAATGCAGCGGTCCTTACACCTGGGACCCGACTGAGATTAAGAGCATGGCTCCATCCTACTCCAGTACAACCTCTGACATCTACCTCGACAGCACCGGTGCTACAGATGTCTCGATCTACGGCTCCGATCAAATATTCGACGTGACCTACATGGCCCTCAATCACCGCGGGTACATCTACGCCGAAGTCTCGGGCGAATACACGTTTGCCTCACCGGAAACAGATGATATTCTTTTCTTTTGGGGCGGCTCCAAGGCAGTCTCAGGATGGACCGAAGCAAATGCCGACGCAACCAATTACTACTGTGGTCCCGGAGTCTCATTCACCGTGTCGCTTCTCTCGGGGCAGTACTATCCATTCCGTATTGTGTATGCCAATGCGGAGGCTAATGCGTACGAGAGCATTACTATCACTGCCCCTGGCGGTACAGTCATCCTTGGTCCGACCTCCGCGGCGTCGCCATACATAGTGCAGTATTCCTGTGATGGCACTTCGGCTCCGCCATTCCCGGCTTTTGGGGATGAGTCCTAAATGGGATGCGTTTGCACCGGGTCGGTCGATTTGATATCGGTGCGCAAGCGCAGAGAGGTCCCTTCTTAATCTTGTCTCAGTGACATTTGATAGATGTGGTAGTGATCGCCTACTTTAACTTTAAATTTAAAATCAAATAAATGTTTCTGACCTTCTGATCACTCTGTTATGTGTAGACATTAGCATGGGACGGGAAGCCTACCCCGGTCTAATAGCCTCCTGTCGACGCCTTATTTGGCCCGAAACAGTCCAGCTAACATGCGGCTAATTTCCCGGCACAAATATTAGCTTATTGACTTTTTTGGGAGCTAACGCTTACAGTGATCACCTTTCTACCCCTCCACTACGTAATTATAAGAAATGCACACTTTTATAGGCCTTCAGTACTGTATTCCGCACCATGTGGTCGCATGTACTAAGAATGTATATAAAGCTACACATATCCACAAAGTGTCCTGAGACAAAATCAAATGCTCTCGTCTTGGTACATTATTATTGATTGTGACTCACGGATTCTTACCCACTATCAAGGACCTTGTTTAAATACTTATTCACTTTTTATCCAAGTAAAGCATTTCGAACACAAACAGAAAATTTCATTCAACCTTGCATCAAACAATAATGGTACCTAACTACATAAAATTATAAGCTAGAACAGGGTCAATCAGCGCCGTCTCATCGACATGGCTGGGTATCATAAAATCAAAATCTCCATCCGCATCGCCCAGAAAAGCATCCTGCATCATCGAATCGGATCCATCCTGAACACCAGGTTCATTCTGCATATTGAATGGCATGTCATCCCCGGAATGATCAAGGCTCAGGCCATACATCCCCAGTGTATTCCCACCCAGCCCGCTCTCATCCGCCAGCAGAGCCCGCTGCATGAATAGACCCTGGACGTCGTCCTCGGAGCAGCCATGTTTCGAGCTCATGTGCACCCACAGGTCATAATCGCGATGGAAGCGGTATTCGCACTCATCATAGAAACAGGCAATATGTCGCCCCGTTTCTTCGGCGTAGCCCTGCCCCGTCAGGGCTGCGAGCGTGGACATTTGGTGACTGCCTCCGGGAGTAGTGTTCGAGCCATTCGCCAGACCGAGTCGTTGGCGCCGCTCGGCTTTGGCATTCTGGTACCCCAAATGCGCGGTGCGGACATGTTCCTCGAGAGCGAGTTTGCTGCCGTACCGTTTTCCGCAGCCGATCCCATCCCACCCTTCCACTTTCTTTGAGGTGGAGAGATCTGTCTCTCCGCAGGCAAACCGTTTCTCCCCTTCGTGCACAGTCCGGATGTGTACGGTCAGATTCCCCTTCTTGGTGAAGCTGCGCCCACACCCGGGCACGGTGCACTCGAAGACTTGCCTCTCTTCGAGACTGACGTCACCGTGCGCAACCTCGAGGTGACGACGCAGTTCGCGAGATGTCGCGCAGATGACCGGGCAATTGGGACACTGAGGTGGGTGAACTGTACGGATGTGTTCTTGGAGCAGAGCGTAGCTCGGGAATGTCACCGCGCTATCATCAGCGCGCTGGTCGGAGCACTCGGCACAGCTGAATCGCTTGTCGGTGTGGAGTCTGCTCTGGTGCGCGCGCAAATGTCCTGCCGTATCGAATGCCATGGGGCACTGTTGCCCTGTGCTCGTGTCCACGTGCGGACAGGGGAATGGTTTCTGTTTCAGATGCACTGTCGTGACGTGTTTCTGGAGCGTGGAATGCTTCCGGAACGTCTCGTTACAGGGTGCATATTCGGTGCACCGGTATTTATCTCTTCCGTCGTGCGCAGCCAGATGGCGTCGCAATCGTGAACCAGTCACAAAGCTTTTATCGCAACCTGGTCGATCACAGACATAGTCGCGGACGCCGGTGTGGGCGCTTTTGACGTGGTGGTTTAGATGTGATGCTCGCAGAAAAGTCTTATCACAGTCCTCAAACGTGCACTGGAAGAGTCGCTCGTTGTTGTGCGATCGCAGATGTTCTTGAAGTCGGGCCGGCCGGTTGAATGCCTTGGTGCAGCCGTCGAACGGGCAGCGGTGTGTTTTCAGCTCGGACGGGTAGCGGGCGGAGGTCGTTGAGAAGGGTGTTGCGGGTGTCTCGTTGAGATCATCGCTTGCTACACTTGGTGACCCCGTGGCCGAGTACTCGGCATCGGAATGGGTTTCCTCGTAGATCGGGTCTGGGATGACGGGGTCAGCAGCGGATGGTGGTTTAAAGGTAGTGAGTCTTACCCGAGCCATCCAGCACCGCCTGTCTCTGGATCCGCTTAGGATCTGGCGTGTGTACCGTTGAAGCCTTGCGCTTCGGGGCCATGGCACCCTTCGATCGATGATATCGTAAGATCAGTAGTTAAGTGCTGCAGGCCAGAAAATGAAATATTTTGCCGGTTGTCAAGGCGGTGAGTCCCAAAACGGCCTAGCGCCAGCAGTTTTTCCTTCGCGCTTTCCGCTTTGCTCGATCAATACTCCGTCAGTCCGTCGCATCTGCTCGTTCCCTCGCTGTTACATTTGTTCCTTGATCTCTCCGTATTACACACAAGACCACTCACAATGTCTGACTACGGCGGTGACCACGAGGGCGAGGACAAGTAAGACTCCCCGCCGCCGCCAGAAGAGCTTTTAAAGACTCGCTTTGCGCGCTTTTCTGCAGCACCCCGTGAATCAGGGCTAATATCCTACCATCCAGTCTCGACTACGAGCCCCATGAGGAGGTGTTCGATGACCTCGAGCCGGAAGATTTCCTCGACCAGGAGGGTCTCGAAGGCGAGGAAGGCGCTGAGGGCGACTCGTACCACCCCGCCGTCAACGGTGACGACCAAGTCGTGGTCTCGGGCGATCCCAATGCTGGCTACTCGGGGAAAGTGATGGAACAGTCGCGCGAGAAGAAGGTGCCCAATGACCAGCGCTCGACTACGCCGTACCTGACCAAGTACGAGAGAGCGCGCGTCCTGGGCACTCGGGCTTTGCAGATCAGGTGTGTTGCGACTGGGATTCCCATTGACGATAGGCATAATGGATTGCTCACTGTGGTTTAGCATGAATGCCCCTGTGCTCGTCGACCTCGAGGGCGAAACCGATCCCCTGCAGATTGCCCTGAAGGAATTGAACCAGAAAAAGATCCCACTGATTGTGCGGCGATATCTGCCGGACGGATGGTAAGAACTCCGGTTTTGTCTTGCGCAGACAGAGATTAACTGAGATTGTTTAGGTACGAGGACTGGACGTGCGAAGAGCTGTTGTAGTCACGGTCTTGGGGGTTTCGAGTCAATATCAGCATAGCGTTTGGAGTTTCTGGAGTCTGCAGCAGCCATGGCTTCAAGCCCATGGACGAGAAAATAACAAATATATCCGTTATGGTTCACCTGGAACAGTAGTTAAGCGAGCGATGCAAGTAAGCCGGTAGTCTACTTCGGGGTTGGCCGATCTCTGGGTAACCGGCACGCTCTCGGCACTCAGAACAATCCGATTCCCGCCAACCATACTTAGTCTATTCTCCGTCCGCTGCATCCTGCCCTGTCAATTTCTCACAGCTTGAGTGGATCGGTCCCCGCAACTGGGTGCTTTATAATCATCCAGCAGATTTTTATCAACTATCTTGGTTCGCTGATTTCTCTCTTCAACCACATCAAAATCAGCTGGGTCCGGTACTCATCAACCGGAGGCAATGGGTTCGACTAATCTGGAAACAGAGCAAACGACGGTGCTCGCCGATGGTGCCAATGCCGCGGCCTCTCCGCCTGCGGAGAAGGAAGCCGAACCGAGTTACGACACCGGTATCACGGCCTGGCTGCAGGTAGTGGGCTCATTTTTTTTGTTCTTCAACTCATGGTATGTTGGTCCTCGGCCAAAAGAAAAGAAAGTATGCTGATCCATGTCGCACAGGGGCGTGATCAACACGTGGGGTGCTTATCAAACCTACTATGAACAATACTTGCTCGTCGGCACCTCGTCGTCCTCAATCGCCTGGATCGGGTCGCTGCAGTCCTTTCTACTCATGTTAGTCGGGGTCATCACTGGCCCGCTGTTTGATCTGGGTTACTTCCGCAGCCTGATCTCCGTCGCCGCCTTCATGATGCCCTTCGGCCTGATGATGACCAGTATTTCCACCAATTACTGGCAACTCATTCTCGCCCAGGGCGTCTGCGTCGGCCTGGCCGCAGGCTGTCTCTTCGTACCGTCCGTTGCACTGCTGCCGCAATATTTCCGCCGAAAGCGCGGCCTAGCCAACGGATTGGCGGCGAGTGGCAGCAGTATTGGCGGTGTTGTCTACCCGATCATGTTCAACCAGCTCCAGAAGACAGTCGGCTTTCCCTGGGCAACGCGCGCACTGGGGTTTCTGTCCTTCGGTACGATTTGCATCTCGGTGAGCCTGATGCGCCAGCGGTTCCAGCCCAAGGAGAAGCGCAAGCTGTACCAATTCTCGGCTTTCAAGGAGCCCGCTTTTTGTATTTTCGCGGCCGCCATGTTCCTCGGTTTCCTGGGATTCTACAACTTCCTCTTCTACGTGCAGACCTACGCCATTGAGACCGGCATCGTCGGCCCGAATCTGGGCTTTTATCTCCTGTCCATGCTGAACGCCGCGTCGACCTTTGGCCGTATCACGCCCAATTTTGTTGCCGATCACACCGGTCCCATCAACATGCTGTGTCCCGCTGTCACAGTCACCGCTGTGTTGGCCTTTGTCTGGATCCGCGTGCATACTGTTGCGGGCATTATCGTGCTGTCCGTCTTGTACGGCTTTTTCTCGGGTGGCTTTGTCTCGTTGCCGCCCGTCGTCATGGCTTACATGACTCCCGACGTCCGCGACCTCGGCACCCGGATGGGCATGGTGTTCGCCATCACTTCTATCGGTCTGCTGATCGGTACTCCGATTGGCGGTGCGATTCTCAGTGACACGAACCAGTTTCTGGGCGTGCAGCTGTTTACGGCATGCTGCTTGATCGGATCAGCCGGTCTGATGGCCCTTTTGCGTGTCGTGCGCGCCAAGGGCCAGCTTATCGCCAAGGTCTGAAGGCGGACACACAATTCATGAATATACCCGATGCTTTTCTGTCTGCTGCAAGGTGCTGTACAGACAACCACCGCGCTTTACATATTGCATATCATAGAATGGGGAAACGGCGTTCTCTTGCTCGGTTTCGGTCATACGGAAACCAGCACTTGTTTATAATCTATTTCATCATTGGCATATATCATCAAATGAAGTATCTATAGCTGCATAGTATGGTCCCATGAACACCATGCGGATTTCCGTGCAATGGACGCCCAAAAAAACGCCGCAAATGTCCCGGTGTCAAATTTATGTGACATCCTCCGGACTCACGAGGAAGTCCTCTCCTTTTTCTCGCACATGCTCCAGTTTCTTATCTCGACCGCACGGCTTGCGCATGTCAAAGGCATCCTCCCCAAACTCGGAGAGCCCTGTTGGATCGTCGCTATAGTAATTGACCACGCGCCGGAAGACGGAGTACCTGCCGGATCGTCAATAAAAAGCCATCCAAATCCAAAGACCTGAGTGGAGACTTACCCCATGCCCTTGTACATATCCACGGCAACCTTATTGCTGGCGCGGACATACAAATCCACAAACCAGGCATTGTTGATATTTGACGCCTGCTCCAGCTGCTCGGTCAGTTTGCGCGCATAGCCGAGTCGTCGCCAAGCTGGGGCAACGGTCAAGACGGTGATGTGTCCGTGCCATGGGGTGTAGTGCTCCGAGTGCTGCATGGAGGGGTGCTGTTCCTCCAGTTTACCCATAACTGAATCTTCCGGTCAGGATATCTCCTTTTTTCCGTTTGTATAGAGAGAGCAGGTGGCCATACTGTATCCGACAATGCCCTCGCTGCGGTCTTTGACCGAGTTGAAGAGCGACGGCCATCGCATTAGGTAGTTGAGATAGAAACCCAGGTCATAGTTCTCAGTCAGGGGGTCTAGGTTGGTCAGGTTGAGGGAGAGCACGTCCAATGGGGACGTGCGCTTGATGGAGCTCATGGCGAGCGAGTACAAAGAAAAGAAAGAAGAATGTGGGGGTTCAAGCAGTGCATGGCTGGTTCTGCCGGGCGGTGGTGCCAAGGAAGATCAGCTGTTCCCTACCAACAAGTGTTGGTTCAGGCCATGTCGGTTATAGACATCATTATTATTATTCCTGTGGGTTGTGTCTGGTCATTGACTATTGTCTGCTCGAGTATCCCTCCGTCTGGGTAAAGTGACCTGTTCCCTCGCTGTATCATTCACGCTCTAGCTGCATTTGTACTCCTCCGATTCCGGGTACAGGTTCGTCCCTCCATCTTTCGTGAAGTTGCAATTCCCATCCACCCATCATGGACGACTCCCCTATCTCGCCGAGCATGGCAGCTACAAACGGATATGCGCCCCGGAGTCCCCAATCCCCCAAGACACCTCGGCTATCTGCCCCTCCATCTCCGGTCACTCCGCGGCAGACTACAGCACATCGAGGGTCAGAGGATTTCTCCGTGGCGCAAAGTGGCGGAGGCGGTGGGGGGCTGGGGAATCTGGCAGACGAACTAGCCGATGCATGGGAACAAGAAGAAGAGGGATACGGATATGCATCGGGCCAGGAGAATGGTCGGACAGGGTCACACCAGGGCTACAGTGACGGGGAAGATGCATATCTGCAGTCCGTCCGCGATATGCGCACCCGATCCCCATCGGCCGACCTCTCGCCGGAGCGTGCGATGAGAACAAACCACCGCTCGGCTCACCTTCGCCAACATCGGCGCCAGGAATCATATTATGATGGCTCGGACTATGGGAATGAGTCGGATCTGGACGAGACCTCGGATATTTCGCCCGGCCTCGACAGCCAGATGGCCAGTATCGATAGTCTTGCCCGGCGGGGGATTGAGAACAACGGCAGTGATAACGACCTTGTCATCCAACGGACGGTGGAAGCTCTCCGGGATCTGGGCGGGCAGAGCGGAATTGAGAACAGTGCCATGAGGTTAGTACAGCACGTTACTCACCTCCAGAATATACCCTAATTGGATTTGCAGACTGATCACGGCACACTCCTCGATTACCTCGCATCTCACCCATCAAACGCGCACGCTCCAGTCCCTCATTCACCCACTCCTCTTCTCTCCATTCCCATTACTCTCCGAAGACGCCATCGACGCCCTCATGCCCCTGATCGACGAGGGCCTACTCCCCAATCTGCCCTACCCATTCCCAGACCAACATCAACAAGCCCGCCATTCCTCATCCAGACCATCTACCCCTTCGCAAGCCACAACACTCAACCCACTCGTTTCTCTGCAGGCTCTCATCTCCCAGACAGCAGATATTACCCACTCTCTGCGCAGCCTAAGCGATACCCTCTATGAATCGCGCCAGCTGACTTCAACGGCCTCTCGTCGGCTGCGGTCAGCGCGGGAGCTCGTTGCTGATCTGCGTCGTGAGGAAGAGGGTCGCGAAGAGGGCTCGCGTTGGATCGAGCGCGGCGAGTGGGATCGTCGTCTGAAAGATCGCGAGGCGGGCAAGGTCTGCGGGGACGTCGTCAGTGGCTTTGAGGCCGTGTGTGGTGAGTGGAGGGAGAAGCTGTTCGGCGCCGCCGAAGTCGCGGCTGCTTGAACTCGACTTTTGGGCCCTGCGGAGGTTCAAATGACCTTGGATATATTCATTCTCTTGTCACTAATTTCCTTCTTGTTGGATAAACTCATCATCGCGTCAAGACTAGACTTCTGCTTTTTGGTCATCTTTTGTCCCCCTCTCGTCTTTTGTCAGATATCCCCTTTTGCCCTCTCTTGTTCATCATGTTCATATTGGCATTCGCCGTCTACTTGCATATGATATGTATAGGTCCTTTGAATATATTTCATCACATACCGCTACTTCTTATTTTTGCACGCGTTTGGTATGTTTGTTGTCTGCCTCGGGCACACCCTTCGTGTTCTACGCGGCAGACGGTGCCTGTAGTCCCAGCCACGATTGTGTCTGTTTCACAGTCATTAACCCTTCTAGTCCGTGCCCACCACAGACAGCAGAGCTGGTTCCCGCGGCCACTCGATACTGGCCTTCCTCCAGACACCATCGGTCTTCTCTAATGGGAGGCCGATATTCTTCGGGAGGTTGAACGTAAACGAATCTGTCGGGCTGGCAAGCTTCCAGGATGCAGTCTTACAATCGACAATCCTGGGGGTTATCCTTTTTTGCATTGACCTGGATTCCGGGGAGACCACTTTGATGGTCTGAAGATCTTCCTAGACGACCTATTCACGATAAAGTATTAGGCCAAATTACTGCGATATATGTCTCAATTATTGATTGCACTAAAGAAACTCGAGGTACGTCTGATATTTTGTTAATGTACACTAAGGCTGAGCTTAATATAACAGGAGTCACCGCGATTGAGCATTTCACCTAAGTAATAGAGAACAAAATTCGTCAGCTCCGCGATGGCTGTCTTCCTTCAAAAGACTACTCGGCCTCAACAACCACCTTCCTCGCCGATACTCCCTTCTTCAACACCTCATAACCCTCCTGAATGCCCTCCAGCCCCTTGGTCTGGACTATCAACGGCTCCGGTGCAACAACATACCTGCGTTCCGCCAGCGCGCGAGGCAGAAAGTCCTCATATATCTTGCACACAATGTCATCCTGACTCCCGAAAACCATCTTTGCTCGCACGCCATTGGGCACTTTATCCTCCGGAATTGGACCTGAAGATGCCACAAATGGGCCCGCCTTTGTTTTAGCTGCTATCTGGAGGCATGGTTCGACATTTCCTGCTGCGTGGAAGATGCCTGCGCACAACCCAGGATCTCGGGAATCCAGCTCTGCGACGATATCGTCGACGACGCTCTCGCTCAAGTAATCAAACGCCATGCTGGCGCCCAGCTTCTCAACATGCTCAAAATTGCGCTCCGACGCCGTGCTCAGCACATCCAATCCAGCCGCACGCGCCATCTGGATCGCATTGCTTCCTAGCGCAGAACTACCGCCCCAAACAAGTAGATACTTCCTGCTATCACTTTCAGTCTTCTCGACCTGTGGCAGCGGTAGTCCGAGCATCTGACTCGAGAACAGCGCATGCGCAGACGAGTATATCGCAAGCGGGAACACGCTCGCCTCAGCGAAACTGATCCACTTCGGAATGGGACTGGCCGTGTCAGCGTCAACGACCACATACTCCTGGAACCCGCCCATTGTGGGTCCGCCTGTCGTGCCCTTTGCAAAGGCGAGGATACGGTCGTTGGGTTTGAAACGTGTCGCTGCTGAACTGCCGGTGGACACCACCGTGCCGGCGATGTCTTCGCCTAGGATCACGGGGTACTTGACGAAGGGGAGGGCCACATCCTGGAGCATGTGGTCGCAGGGGTTGATTGCCCAGGCTTGAACTTTGACCAAGATCTGGTTTGCGACAAGTTCAGTCTCGTAGGGTGTTGACCGGATCGATAGCTTGATCCCAGCTTCGTCTTGCCAGGCCGCACGGTTTGAAGGCATGGTGAAAGAGAAATGTTTTTCGATAGTTCGAAGTTCAGGTGAGATGGTTTGATTGAATTTATCTAATCGGGGTCAAGGCAAGACTCTTTTTATATTGTGCCATTGCTCGTGCATACAGTCAACTTCGGATAGGAACCTGGCCGATGCTGAGTATGCATTGTCTTCGGAGATGTATATCTTTTCCCTGCGTCGTATAGAAACTGGGTTATCCCCGCTTAGCTCCGAGCGAAGCACCAACTGCCGTTCAAAAATCTTCCGGTCAAAGCTGATAAAGACTCATAAATGTCATGCAAGGTACGAAGCTTCTATCAAATAGCCTGAGTCTACGGAAAAGCATAGAAGAAATAACGAAGACAATTCTATATCATCCTGGTATCGAGCATCATCATACCAGAGAAACAAGAGGTAATAGAGAAAACATGGCATTCACATCAAGGACAGTGAAACCTATCCTGAAAAGAGATTAAAGACAATGGGGAAACGCAGGGACCAAAAGACCTCGTAGGGCCGATGATATACGAACACATGATGCAAAGGGAAAAAGGGGGATTTCGTGAGAACATGCGCCGGATAGAAAGAAAAGAGCTTCAATACACTTTTTCCCCTCCCATTCTTGTTTTCATTTTTATTTCCTACTCCTGTCATGCAGCGAGCCGTTTAGCTCTGCTGCTGCTTCCACCGCGGAACCCACTTGCCAGAGGATCCCTTGGGCTCCTCTGCAGGGGGTGCCGATGGCTGTTCAGAGGCAGGATCGCGCATGCGGCGGGGCACGTAGCGTTCAGACGGCGGCCCGTTCGAAGACTCACGGAGAGGTGGCGGGGCGGATCCAGAGCTGGCTCCCGCATTGCGCAGATGCGGCGGCACGTATCCACCAGTTCGGCGAGGCGCTTCCTCGCGCGCAGGCGGGGAAACGGATGGTGCCTCGCCGGTTGCCTCCCTAGCGGCCTGTTTCTCTCTCCAGCCTCCAGCACCACCGGTCCGCCCGGCGAGGTTCAAGCGAGGAGCGGTACGCTCGGTAGTAGGCTCGGCAGGTGCTGCACCAAATCCAGTCTTCCGCTGGGAACGACGGGCTTCGGCCTCTTCCTCGCGTTGCTTTTGTCGGGCAGCAGTCTCGTCGAGTTTGCTATTGATCATGTTAGACGGCAATTAATACAAAGGCACAGCGGGTTGGAACTCACGCTCTCTCTTCCTCGCGCTTGGCCTTCTCCTCGGCCAGAGCACGACGGCGCTCCTCCTCGCGGGCGACCCGCTCCTCCTCCTCGCGCTGAGCGCGCTCTTCCTCCTCCTTGCGGTGGCGCTCCTCCTCTTCGCGCTCCTGCTTCTCGCGACGGCGACGCTCCAGCACCTCCTTGACACGCTGCTTCTTCTTGGCCTCGAACTCGCGCTCGGCGGCCTTGCGACGCTTCTCGAACTCCTCGTGGCGTTTCTCCGACAGCTCCTTGCGGAAGCTGCTGAAGTGGGGTACAAGGCGGCCGAGACGGTGCTTCAGGGCAACGGCCTCGGCGTGCTTCTCCTTGGCCTCCTTCAAGGTCTCCTCCTTAGCCTTCTCGTAAAGCTCCATATCTTGCTGCTTCTGCTTCTCGTAGTCCTCGGGGATGTGCTTGAGCTCCTCGCGGCGGAAGGCACGCTCCAAGTGGTCGATGCGCTTGGCCGTGGTACGGATACGGTCGTTGAGCTCGTTCTTCTCCTTCTCCAGCTGAGCGAGCTTCATGGCGCGCAGGCGGTTAGCATCCAGCTCATCTAGGTCAATCTCGCTGATATCGATGCCCTTCACGCCAGTCTTCAACTCCTCAAGCTGCTTCTTGAGCTCTTCCTGTCGGATACGGTCTTGCTCATCTTTGATGCGCTTCTGCTCCCGATCCCGGTGTTCGTTGAGCAACCGCTGCTTCTCCGCTTCCTGGATCTGTTGGGTCCGGATGCGCTTGCGGGTCTCTTCCTCGCGCTGTTTCCGCTGCAGAGCATCGGTGGCTGCCTCCTTCTTCTTCTCAATGACCAGACGGCGAGCCAGGGTCTCCTCGTGTTCCTGGGCAGTGCCAGCCAGGGCGCGGGCCTGGGCGGTCTGCTTGGCTTGTAGACGGGCCTCGTTATAAGAGGGATCCACGTACATGCATGTAACGTGAAGAGTCTTGGCGAGGCGGGCGAGCTGGAAGCGGGCAATCTCGGCCGGGGTGTGCTGCAGACGCTGCACGGAGCCAAACTCATTCTCTGCCGATCCAGCCGCGCTGCCGGCGTGCATGGCCTTGGACGAGGAGAAGACGTCCGAGTCAAAGGTGAGGACACCGGAGATATGATCCACACGGATGGCGAGATCGCCCTTCTTGCAACCGTTCATGATGAACTTCTCGATCATGGCGGGGGTGATCTGGAAGGGGGCGGGGAACTGGGCCAGCTCGTACACAAACTTGAGCTCAACGGACTCGTAGACCTGCGAGAGCTGCTGGAACAGACGAGTGAGGATGACCTGCTGCAGCGGCAGGACGTACTTCTCCATCTCCGGATCGGCACCAATTTCCTTGAGGATGGGAGTGATCTTCTTGCAGATCGACAGCGGGTGGAAGTCGACCTCCAGAATGTTGTACAGATCCCGAATCTCAGGGCGGACACGCTTGAGAAGGCCCTTGTTCAGGGCATCCCGGAAAAGCACAGACCGAGACGGGGGCTGCAGCATACCCAGCAGGTTCGTGAGACGAGTGTTCTTGTTTTTGCGGGCCTCATCAACGTCGACCAGGGCGCCGCGCGAGCGGGTGGTGCTGATGACCGGGATAGCAAGAGCGGACAGGAGCACAAAGGAGGCGGCCTTGGTCATTTCGGTCTCCGTCACCGAAGGGTTGTCCTTCTTGGTACCCTGACCGGAGGCCAGAGCGACCGACGACAGGCGGAGCAGGTTGTAGTAGCGGTTCCATGCAGCAGCGTGGAAGAGGTAGTTCTCACTGACGAGGAAGATGCGAGCCAGCTTCTCGTAGTAGTTGGCCATCATGACATTCTTGGCAGGGCGCTTGCTCAGGTTCAGCAGGGTGTGGATATCCTCAATGCTGCGGAAGGCCTCCTGCCACAGCTCCAACTCCACGGCCACATTCAGCTGCTGGAAGCGGGTGTCCAGGTGGCGCTGCAGGGTATCCGGGTCGCTCAGGTTGATGGCATGCATCTGGGAGGAGTACTTGGCGGCATTCTGGACGTGGTTCCGCAGAAGCTCACAGAGACGGCGGAACTCGGTCTTGCGGGTATACTTAAGGCAGAACTGGAAGGCCTGCAGGGCGGTCGACTGATACATGATCTCGAGGCGGGCATTGTTCTTCAGAATCTCGAGGACGGTGCGGTAGGTCTCCCACAGGAATTTGAGCCACGGAGTGACGACGGCGCGGTCGGTACGGTCGCGAGACTGCTCGCCAGAGACAGTCGCAAGCAGGATGGTCTCGGGGGTTTCGATAGCCTCGAGATCCTCGACATTGCTGGAAGGCGCGGCGGATTCGAGGGACGACTGGATCTCATCGGCCTTGGCCTGAGCCTCGGTGACTTTTTGCTCGGCGAGCTCGATGAACTTCTTCAAGACGATCTATACCCCTACAATCAGTTGTGTCCGAGCAAAGAATTCCTTTGGTCCACGAACCTCGATGGTGCCCACGTTGGTGTTCTGGGCGATGTTCTTGTACTGGTAGAGGCCATCCTTGGCAGCCTTTCCCTTGCGCAGGTCGACCGACAGCTCCACGAACAGCAGCATCACGGGCTCGAGGGAGGCGATCGGGCTGCTACGCGTCCTCTTGGAGGTGACATGTTCGTGCAGGACGGTGAGGGCGGCGGGGGACTGGCCCACGGCGATGAGTTCCTGGGCCCTCTGGAAAAGATCATCAGCGCACTTCCTTCATCATCATCCGATGGGCGCTTACCTTGAGGACATTCTCAGGCTTGATATGCGGCGGAGGCGGCATGACGGGCAACAACCCACCCCTTGTAGGACGGGAACGAGTTTTGGTGAAAAATTGGCCGGGAGAGGAGGAGAAGAGCGGAAGCACAGTCCGGCGTCAGACACGGGGCAGCGAAAGGTGAGGCCGTGTAAAGATGCTGCCACGCGGAAGGCCCGATGAAGAGGGGTGGGAGGAGTCGGGGCTTTGGGTTGTGCGTGAAGCAGCGAAAATTGGAACCCACTCCCGTTTCGCCCACTCTGGGATAAGCGATCCTCAGGTCAGGTGATGTGTGTGTGTGTGGATGCCCCAGGTGTCTATCTGCTGGTATTGCCATTACATACAGACAGTTGACGAATCTCACCGAGGAACTATCCGACTATAGGTCTCACGAACATTCGCATGGGCATCCCGATCTCAGCCCGTTGCAATAGCGATAGCTCTGCCTGTCTGGCCGGGGATGCGACCGGTGCATCGGGTACATCGGTTGTGGGCGAGTGAGCCGGAAGTACGTGTTACATACCGTACGGACCTCCTGGCACTCGGACCGCCCTCTCTCTCCCTCTTCCCCCATTATTTCAAACTAACGGCTGAGGTCCCTTCCCTTGTCCTCCCAACTACCTCACTTTCGCTCTCTCTCTCTTTTTCTCGCTTCCCTTCCATCTCTTCTTTGTCAGGAAGACCTCCCACACATCCCCCCATTGGTTTGTCGTTGGGACGAACACCTTTCCGGCCCCCCTTCTCGCACTACCACAACAGACCACCGCACCGCCCGCCCCCCCTTTCTTCCACTTCCCGCGTTCCCCCTGTCAGCTCCCCAACCTCGAACCCACCACACCACAATGCCGGCCTACGAACTTCGATCCGGGGGTGATGTCAAGAACAAGAAGCAGAGCGTGGCCGACCTCAAGTACCGCCGATTGACGGAGCTCAATGCCCGTCTAAAGGAGGATCTGGACCGTCCCCGGGTCAAGGTGTCCGAGGCAGCTCTCTCGTGAGTGTTGACCCAACCGAAACCCCGTTCGTCACCCAACAAAGCACAGTCGGCTGACGGCTCCAATCTCTACAGGCTCATCAGCTACTGCAACAACACCCGCGACTTCATGGTTCCGTCTGTATGGGGACAGGTATGCGACTCCATTGTTGTGCCCCGATGTGGAAGCTGGGTTTTGGACTGACACTGAAACCTCCCTGCAGGTCGACAAGCGCGAGGACCCGTACGCTCCGCAGCAGCAGGGCGGCTGCTGCACTGTCATGTAATGGACTCAAGACCGGAAATTGTTCCGCTGGTTCCCGATCGCCATGACCACGTCGCCATTTTTTGTCCTCTTTGCTCTCTACCTTTAATCTCATCATCATCACGACCACTACCTCCATTGGATCCGAACCCAACTTGTGCGATATTCACGCAGCTGCCGGGCGCGCTGAAGATAATACCTCGTCTGCTGGACCGGCTCGACAAAACCTCTTCCGCGCCTACGATCAGGAACCGGCAAGTCCCTTTTTGTTTCCTGTGGCCGTGAGCGTCACACCTTCTTTATTTACTTCCTGTCTTCTATTCCCCCACCTCCCACCACCATTTTCTGATCTGAATTTGAAACAAGCCATTTCCTTTGTTGCGTCTTACTGTCTGGGATTGTCTATTTTCTTTTTTTCCCGAAAAAACTCTCGCTTTCTCCGCCTCGTGGAGTCTGAGAGTCGGCTGCTATTCGTGTATCATAGATTCGATTCGCATCCATGACCATTCTGAAGAGATTTTCCCTTTCCCTGACCCCCCTAGATACCCCCGGACTGTCTGGCTTGGCCCCCAAAACGGAGGGGGGTGTCGTTGCAAAGCCGGGCGCGGGTTAGACTCAACTAGACGCCCCTAGCGATCCTGCGGGCGCACCGTTTTACCCAGTATGTGCACACAGGACGAATCGCAAAAATCAATCTCTCCCGTTACTTCCATTATCACCTCTTATAGTTCTCGTCGATCGACTGCAAATCAGCTGACCGCCCAATCCAATCGGGTTATCTCCCCGCTGACATCACCCACATTATTATCATCTTTCGACGACAATCTCCAACCGAGCTAGAGACATTGCATTCGTGTCTGGCGCAAGCCCATTCCATCATGACGGAACCAACACCCCCAATCGAACAGAAACCGCCCACGGCCACCATCCCCAAGACCAGCAACACCGCCCGCGAGCACGTGCATCTCCCACGCATCGCAATCGCCTTCTGCACGCAGTGCCGCTGGATGCTGCGCGCTGCATACGTATATTGCCCTCCCTTTTCTTTTCTTTTCTTTTCTTTTCTTTTCTTTCCTTATTATCAACCGATTCCTCTATCTCCCTCTCGACTATGTCTATCAGATAGAGATGCCATTTACTCCATGCTACTACCATCTTCCAACTATATATTACAATCAAACCAACCTGCAAGGCCAAGACTAGCTAACGAGTATATATATGTGTACATCCAGTTCGCCCAGGAACTCCTCTCCACCTTCAGCACCGACCTTGGCGAAGTTGCCCTCGTGCCCAAGACCGGCGGTGTCTTCACCGTGACGATCTGGCACGCTTCGTCGCAAATGCCAACGGGTTCGGAGACGGAGGTCGGACTCGGGCCCGGCCCAGTGACGAGGGAGACGCTGCTATGGGATCGAAAGCGGGACGGGGGGTTTCCCGGTATGTCTTTCTCTTTCTTCTATTTTACTCTATTCTTCTTGTATTCTGTTAGAATTCTTTTTGAGGACAACACTATGAATGTCATTAACTATGATTGCAGATACCAAGATCCTCAAGTCGCTGGTGCGCAATGTCATTGCCCCTGATAGGGACCTGGGACATACGGATCGGGCGTTGAAGAAGAAGGCGGAAGAGGAAGAGGCCGCGAAGCAGAGTGACAAAAAGGAATGCGAGGATTGCAAGTGACAGAGAATGATCAATATATATTGGAGAGATAATAGACTATTCCAACACATGAGAAGAAAACAAATCCGGCCTATAGCCGGGCTCTAATGGAGAAGACCACCCCAAAAGACCATTTAAGAAAGAAGGGCGGCCCTCGAAGATCCAGCACATCACATACAAAAGCGGACAGAAAATGCCCGATGCAAGATTGATAAAGGTAAATGGCGAACCACACGAGTTCCCGCCTGCGCCGGTATGCATTTTTTGGGGTTGCCAAACATCCAGCATGGCACTATCCTTGATCTGGACTTCGTATATACCATCGTGGTAGACCGTAGCCAAGGCGCATCTGAGTCTGCTGGGGCGTTGATTTGTCGTGAAATCATGCAACTCTGTTAAGAGAGCCTTAAGGCTCGTCGCAAAATGCACCATTCATGAGGCCATTATCACGCTGTACATGGCCGTGTTCGGGGATGTTTTCCCCATCCAAAAACACCGGAAAACAAAATGCAAAGTCAAGACCCGCCGCGGACTTCCTGCTGGTGGTGATTGCGGCGTCTCCAGAAAGCAAGTCGCAGGCGACTCCGCTTTTTCGGGAGCCTGCGCAGCCCATCACGGGAGTCATCCCCTGGAGGTCCCTTGTGTTTCATGCTCTCCCCAGTCGTTGTCGACTGGGTTGGGCTGCGAGCTCCGTTGACGGCGGTCCTGGCGTACTCCTTGCCGGATCCGTTCTCATTTAGGGAATGGCTGGTACCCAAGCTCCGGTCTGGGCTACAGCTGTTGCTATGTTCCCCGGTGTAGGCATCTGACGTGCTGGGGCGAGTGCTGCTGTCGCAGGGAGCACCAGGATCACTTTGGTACGAATTGTCTCCGGAGATCCGGCTCTCATCACCGCTGTCAACCGCCAGATAGCTGGTGGCGTTGGTCGAGGGCGAGATCGGGGTCATGTTGTTGCTATAGGTACTGATACTTTGCGTTCGCGTGCAACTGTTGCGATTGGAACCCGTTGGGGCAGACGCGCGACCCGTAGAGCTATGGTGTGCATGATGACGCGAAGCTGAGGACGAAAGGCCATGGCGAGAGCTGCTCGGTCTGTCGGCTGCTGATTCGGCTGCTTGGTCGTCGCCGGTCGTGTTTCTGGTTGCCGAGTTGGCGTATAAGACAGCAGCCAAAACGGCGGGGTCCCCTGAAGAACGGTTCACATCCGTGAGTGGCGTATGATATTGTGTTCCATCGGACCCATGCCTCTGTTGTGACGACTCGGGGATGGAAAAGTACGTGAGGTCTGGCATGGCACTCGATGACTTCCGAGACGACACATCGGGCACCATTGGAGTGCCTGTGATCTCGATCTGAGGACCGGGGGTGTCTGGTGAGACAACGGGTTCAATAGAATGGAGGGCGATGCTTGTAGATGACCGGGGAGACCTGAACGTATCCGCTGCGTCTGCTATAGAACCGACGGGTGTTCTTTCTTCATCGTGGTCCTCGCTTGACTCGGCTGGGGGGCTATGGGAGCGAGGCGAAACGGTGATTTCGGCTTGGTCATCCATAGGAAGGCGTAACTCGGTATTGGAGAGTTGTTGCCACTGCGCTTTGTTGCGGCCGATATGATCTACCGTGAATTGTAATTGCGGCATGAGATCGGAGACGCCTTCAAAGAGCGGCATGGCGAAGATCGACATGAATCCAATCTGGCCGGTGGCCAGCTTATAGATGTTGCCAAGTTCTGGTGGTCCGCCAAAAAGGGCAGTCTCCATGCCAACCTCCTTCTCCATTTCGCCTTGGTTGGCAAACTCTTCCTGCAGGATCTGAGTCCATTTTTCTGCGATTTTCCACGGACGGGCAACATTACTGATGTCGGCGCACTTGATCAGTAAACCGCAGAGAAGAGTCTTATACATGTCAATGTCCTGAGGTTTCCAGCCATCGACGGACTTGCCGTTCTCGTGGAATTTCTCTTGCAGTGATCCCATCCGCTCCATGAATTTTTGATGGACGCCCATGTCAGTCGCCAGAATTGAGCTGATGAGAAGCTTGCGTAGCTGCTTGTCCTTGAAGGCAGATGGCCATTGCCGGCGGAGAATCTGAGAGAAGGCTGCGCAGTGGAAAGCTTCCAAAACCGAATTGTCGTTATAGAGCTGCGCCAGAGGGGCATTCAGCTTGACGAGGAAAAAGTTGTTCACGCCCGGATGACCGACATCGTGGCCAATTGCCGAAATCAGAAGAGTGAGGGAGTCGAAGGGCGAAAGAAGAGAGGCAATGGCGGATTTTGGGACAGCGGCCTGGCCGATCGGCTCGTAGGGGGGTAATGCGCCAATATGAAGCAGAAAGCAAAAGAGACACTGCAACACATCGATCGCATGGCGGAAATTGTGATAGAGGACGAAGCTGTTGTAAGCGGCACGACAAGCGAGCAGAAAGCTCCGCAGTTCATCGGGCGACAACCACCACTGCTCCAGCCCTGGCATGGTGAGAGCATGCTGGAGCATTTCACACGCTCCGAAAACCAGCTCATCCTCCGAGAAGTCATGGGCCGAGAACTTCCAGCTCCCCACCCGCTCTTTGATGATGGATTTCCGGCTTGGGTCGATATTGAGTTCCCGGTCTTGGAATTCTTCAATGGTCTCCTCCGGATTGCAGATGCCTCTCATGAGTTTGGACACCATCGCTTCCCGCAGGTATGCGTAGGGCTGTTCATCATGAACGCCGACCCAAGAATATTTCCGCAGCTTTTTCCGGGCTAGAAAGCGAGACATCTCTTTCCGGGCTGCCCGGCGGGTGCGATAGGCATGAACCACGAGCCCCTGGATTCTTACGCGATCCAGCGGGGTGGTCAACACATCCACAGCACCAGCATCCAGGCACCGAGCGATCTGTTTATGCTCCACTGTCAAGAAACTACTCCGTCCCTGCGACTCTTCCACTGGTGCAAGATCGCCGGAGGCATCCGAACCAGCTGTGCGCAGAATAGCGATCGGAACCACTAGATTCGGGTAATCTTGGGATTGGATATCGGTGGAGACCCCCGATAAAAGCGACAAGCCATGCGCTTCATCGGACGATGAAAATGTGAACGTGCGATGGATCGATCCGGGTGATGGAGGAGCGGTGTCGGTCCATGAAGCACGGCTGACTTTGCGCCGGGCGAGATTTATTTCGTCGCTGCCAAAATCCACATCGAAGAAGGCAAAGATTGGGGTACAGTCGTCGCCAGTATCATCGCTCAATTCGGCCAGTTTGCCGGCGAAGGAGGACCCGACATTACAGAGATAGACTAGGGAAAATGAGCGAAAGCACGACGCCGGATGGCCAGGGAATACTCACTCTGCTTGCACACATGCAAGAGGGCCTCTACATCCTTCTGCAACGATGCGGGCTCTTCTTCAGGGAAGGAGGACGCGACGGGGGCCATCGAGGCATCAGTCGAATTACGGCGCACCCATCGCTCCGACCGGACGCGGTCGTCGATGTACACGCCCGGACATTCCACCGGATCCCCCATGCTTTTAGGGCCTGAACCACGGGAGCGTAGCAAAATCAAGGGGAGTGACAAAAGAGATGGAGGAGGGTTTGGGATCTGGCCGGGTTGGCATATGGCTCAAAGGACGAGATGGTACAGAAAACGAGCGGCGCGATCCGGATGGACGAACAGAGAATGGGAATCGATTCGAGACTGCGCCAAATCCAACAATGCGGTTGTTTGTTCGCTGCAGCTGGACCCGTCCGAGTTGCGAGGCTGCACCCTTTGTTGCGTTGGAATCCGAGACAGAGCCCAGACCCCGGGGATGATCGCAATGTAGCAAGATGTCTCGTGTGTGACAAGAGGACCACGCCACCAACGGCGGTGCACGTGAGATGAGACGAGATGAGGTGAGGTGCGTTTTGAGGCACAGGGGCGGAAGCGGTCGATGGGTGGTTTCAATGGTCGGGGCGAGGGAGCGTCGGGCGCAGATCGGCAAGATGAGGTGTGGGCGGGCGCGGTGATGGGGATTAGGAGAGCATGTTAGGAGAGGGGGGTGGGTGGGTGGGTGTGTAGGGGAGGAATAGTACAGTATAGTAGAGGGTAGGTCGGGTAAGGAGGGAGAGTGATGAGAAAGACAGAGAATGCAGACAAGTGTGACATCGAGGAGGGGAGGGGGGGGGCCGGACACGGGGAACGAAGAAGGGGCATTCTTGGCTCCTTCCAGAAGCCTTGGGGCCGGGACGGGAGGATCTTTGTTCTAATTAGCCAGGATAATCGTAGTAGTCATGTCGCCCCCTGTAGGATGATTTAACTCGGTAGGTAACGATGATCCACCATGTCTCGGACACGATGAGTGCGTTTTAACTATGATCGGCTGCTAGTCTTGAGATCTCCTTCCCTATCTACGTGGATGGTGTTCTTCTTCCTTTGCTCAGCCTCCGGTGGAGCATCCTCGTCAGAGGGATCCTGACTTTTTCTAGAAGGCCCACCGGGCATTACTTAAGCGGCCCAGATGCAATGCAAGGAATCACAGTTACTATTAATAATAATTATTGATAATGAAAATGATCATTTGGAACGACTGGAAAGGCACTCATAGGAAGGGTACAAAGGGTAACTAGACTGAGCAGCACTGGAATCCATGGGGGCAAAATCGTCGCGATGATCTCATCGTATCCTCAAGACTCTCTGCGCCAGCATCCGTTTTCCTGGTTCGACTTGATTGGGGGGCTCTGGCCAGCCAATAATGGGACTTCTTTGTATCGCCAAAAAAAAAAAAAAAAAAAAAAGAAGACGACAAGACTACTCCCTCACTCCACCACACAGATAATCTTGCCCTTGGTCGTGTTGCTCTCCAGCAACTGGTGCGCCGCTACAATCTGCTCCATGGGGAACACCTTCTCGACAAACACTCGAAATGTCCCGTCGCAGAACTTGGGCAGCGCATGCTCCGCCAGTATATCGCGCAGCCGGCGCTGATACTCCTCGTCCCGGCTGCGGAGCGTGCTCCCCTCGAACCGGATGCGCTTGTACAGCAGCGGCGCAATATTGACGCCGTCTGGCAGCTTGCCCCCGCCCATCAACCCCAGCAGGACCACGCGGCCATCCCGCGCGGCCACATCCAGATTGCCCTGGAAGTAGGTCGCCCCGATAAAGTCGACGGTCACGTTGACGCCGGCGCCGCCCGTGGCCTTTTGGATCTCGGCGGCCCAGTCCTGCGTGTGGTAATTGAACGCCTTGGTCACGCCGAGCTCTTTTTCCAGGAAATCGATCTTCTCCTGCGACCCGGCCGTCGCGTAGATGGCCTTGGCGCCTTCTGCTTTGGCGAGCTGGATCCCGGAGATCGACACCGAGGACGCGCCTGCGTGCCACAGGACGGACTGCCCGGCCTTGAACTCGCCGATGAGGAACAGGGCCTGCGAGGCTGTGATCCATGTCTGGCCGTTGTCAGCTTCATTCCCGTTTATTGTAGGGGCATATTCACCTCCGGCACGCCCGCCGCCTCTTCCCAGGACAGCGCTTTCGGCTTATGCACAAGCATCTTGGTCGACACGGCGATGTACTCGGCGTAGGCACCTGTAGTATCAATTAGCAATCGTTACCACCTACCCTGGTCGATCCATAATAAAAATCAAGTTAAATATGCAAGGGACAAAGAAACATACCACCGTACGCGAGTCCAAACACCGCATCCCCAACCTTAAAATCCGCCGGCGCATCCCCGCCAAAGCTGTCAATTGTACCGGAGAACTCCACGCCCATGGTGACAGGCGCCTGCGGCGGAACAGGATAATTGCCTTCGCGCTGCAGGAGGTCCATCCGGTTGAGCCCGAAAGCGCGCAGCTTGACCAGGGCCTGGCCCGGCGCGGGGACGGGTTTGGCGATCTCGTCGACGTACATCGAGGTCGCGGGGCCTTTGCCTCCTTTCACAGCTGGGACCAGGGTTAGTTTTGGGGGTCATTGGTGGGCATATAGACGGTGTGATGATGCATTATCAACCATGGTGGGGGGAGGGGGGAAATGGGGACGGAAATGGATGGATATATGTACCGATCGCGCGCATGGTTTCGCTCATCTTGATCTGTGTAGTGCAAGTCTGTCTGTGTGATGGATAGGAAGAGGAAGTGACCCTTGTCGCTGTTCCTCTTATAGTGTTGAACACGCTGCGAAATGGGTCTGCTGTCCGGGTTATCCGCCCAGGCAGTGGAGGGAATTTGTCAGCACAGTTCGACCGTTCAAATGTTGATGTATTCGAAGAATAGCAATGCAATGGATTCGTCTAGCAGACCTCAAACAAAATAGAATCAGGGTAATAGTGAAAGTAAACATTATCCGACGCCAGGTCCTCTACTTCCCGTGTTTCCTTGTTTCCTTCCGTCAATTCCACTCCCCCACCCGGGTTCTTGATGTAGACCGAGATAAAAACGCCAGATCAAGTAGTAGACACAAAGGAAAGAAGGTAGTGCCATCTGCATGGGGGGCAAAAGGGAGAAAAAGAAACAATAAAAAGTCAACAAGACGCCAGGATCCATTTGAATCAGGCGTTCCCTTTTCCGTTCCCTCGCCATTCCTTTTCATTCCACGCTTTTGTTCTTCTCGGAAATGCCACGCATATGCAATGAAAGCAGGAAAGAGGAAGATTATCATACAGTTCATCCCAACAGTCCCCGAAGAGCTCAGGTTCATCATACAAACAACAAAAATTAAGAAAGAAGGTTCCTGAGAGAGGGGCTGGCACTGGCGCCGGACCCGGACCCGGTGCCATTCATACCCGGCGGCCGGCTGGCACTGTGAGAAGGCGTATCGTCGGGGCGGTTGGGAGGCGTAGGGCCGCGCGGATCCACGAGACGCGCCTGCGTGACCGGGGGCGAGTGCGATGGTGCGCCCAGGACCCGGTCGCCCGAGTACATCCGCGGAGGCGGTCCGCCGTTAAGCGCGCTGAGCGAGTTTTGTGGTGATCGGTTGACTGGGGTTGCCTGCACAACTGGGGGGGATGCAGATGCGGCATATGGGCGTGGAGCCGGGCCTGCCTGGGACAGGTGTGGTGACCGCGCCGACATTGGGCCGTATGGGCTCTGGTGCGTCGAGTAAGACTGGAGCGGCGGAGGGCCTGTGCTAGGATAGTGGGACGGCGGCGGAGGTCCAGCCGGGTGCGGCGTTTGATAGTGGTGAGTGGGCGCTGGTGATGCAGAGGGATAAGCAGATGGCGACATGCCATTGCGCCGATTGTCACCCCCGGGGCGCTGCTCGTATCCACCACTGTACGAGCTTGGAGAACGGCCAATCATGCTGCTATTCGGGCCAGAGTGGGTATGCGGCACAAAGGTGTGACCAGGCATTCGCGGAGTCGGTAGCATAGGTGGTCGCTGCGCGGCATAAGGTGAGGGTCGGGGGTCGGGCGACGGCTCGGGTGGATGCTTAAGATGACATTTGTGACATTCGTATGCCTGTTCGGCATCCCCGGGTTGTCCGAAAGGCTGTGGTGGATGGCGGGAATGGAAGGATGATCCGACGCCATTCGCCAACGACGGCCGGCTCTCGAAGCGTCGCCCGTAAGGCCACCATCGCGGGCTGAACTCGGACGAGCATCGGACGCACTTGCGGGTCGTCTCAATGCCGGACACAATCCGAGGTGCGACGTGGTCATCCGTGTCGATATCCATTTCATCAGGCGCATCCTCGCTTGGCGTCGGCTGCAGTTTGTCTTTTGCAGCAGCGACTCCATTGCTCGTGGAGGCCCGTCGGTGTCCGCCATGGTGCGGTGGAGCTGCAACCGACTGCTGGATGTACGCTGCCCTCCGAACAGTCCCCGTAAGAGTGAGATCGGCCTGCTTGTATGTCTGGGCGAACAACTGCAGGGCATTGACGCCCTCCTGGCCCGTCGGCTCTCCAATCTCATGCACAACAGTGGTCACGGCGTGGTGAGGGCAGTAAATCGCTGGCACGGCCGCCCCCACTTCGCCACCTAGGCGAATGGTCTGCACGCTATCGCGCCGAGAACTCTTCACGGGAGTGACATCGAAACCGAGGCGGTATTGCGCCTGGAAAGCACAACCGACGTGGAAGTGGGCGTTGCAACCAGTAAAGTGGCAAGGGACACACGCGCCCTTGTTCGACTTGCAAATCTTGCAAACTTCACGCCACCGGTCCTTGGGGATGAAGCCGAATCCCTCAGCTGGCTCCAGTTCTTTGGCATCTCCATACTTGAGCTCAGGAGTCCACAAAGAACACAGGACATGAGCCCAGTTGTTGCCAGCGGTGCGTTTCAATGGTTCACGAGGACCGACAGGTTTGCCGACAGCTTCTTGTCTCTGCCGATAGAGCTTGATCGCCTCGGAGACCATCTCCTTCTCCAGCCGTTCTTTCTCCTTATCCCGATCGGATTTCTTGCGACTAGTATTCTTGGATGTCTCCATCAGGTCATGTTCCGTCCATGAGACAGGGCAAAGGACGCATTCGTAGGTGGTCGAGATCGACGGACTGCGGTCATTAGAGCACATATCGCACAACCACTTATTGTTAGGGCGCGAATCCTGGATTCCGTAGCAGTTGCGGTGAACAGTCAGGCGACAATCCCGACATGAAAGGTGCTGGTCGCCTGTGGTTGGCTCGACCCTGTTGCACACCGCGCACGAAAGAGTCTTCGCCTTCGGTGGATCAGGAACAACCGGAAGATCGGTGCCCTTGGCCTTCTTTGGCATAGGCTCAACAGAGGTTGCGGTTGAGGTTGCCGTGCTGTCTTTGTCGGTCCGCATTTTCCTCTTCGCAGCATCCAACTTGCCCTCGAGCTGCAGGACGGGGTTGTCCAACGGGATGTTCAACGAGGCCGCAACGGCCGCAGTGGCTGCAGTGATAACGAACGGGGTTTCAGTTGCCAAGATCAGCTGCGTGAATATCTCCTCGTCAATGCGCCGCCGCCATGACTTGTTGCCGCTGGTCGCGATCCGTTTTCCAACCTCATCAACATCCTCCCATTGGATGGCGTACTTCCGCCACATCAAAGCACATTGGATGCAAAGCGAGACTGTAAGCGCAGGGCCCTTGTCCTTCTTCGCCGAAGGATCCGAGAAGACAGTAGTACCTGGGGGCACTCCTGGAGCACGCCGCCACTGTCGTGAGCTACGCGTGTTGCAGAATTTGCATTGGAACCCCAGTTTCAGGGTAACCGCTTTCTCGCTGTCAAAGGCGGAGTCGTCATGATCGTCGGCAACGTCGTCGACTAATTTCGATGTGGTACTTGCGCGTCGGATATCTTTCTTGCCGCGACGGCCTTCGTAACTGCCCCAGATTTGCTTGCCACGAGGGGTTTTCTTCCACATGTAGTAGAACCGAACAATCTGCCGATGAGGCACGGATCCGACATGCTTGGTGATGTTGCGCCATTCTGATCCATACTTGGTCACACCCTGTTCGAACAGCTTAAGCTCTTCCGGTCGCAGATGAGGCTCCTTGAGATCTTTGTATTTGTTGACTTTCTTCAACTTGGCAAGAGCTGCTTGCGAATCAAAGCTGTTGGAGTAGAGCAGTTCGAGGGCCTTGTCGAGGAAGTTGGTCGAATACTCGGGCACTCCAATGTCGGAGGCCAATTTCTTGGCTTGAGCCACGTAGTCGTCGACGAATTTTTCGCGGGCTTCTTGGGTCTCGAAGGCAGCTGGGCCATCGTCTTCTCCTCGGGGAATTTGTTCCGCAGTTGGCATCTTGAATATTAGCTCTGCGGTACGCACTTGCTTTCCATTGACCGTGACCGGCTCATCTTCGCCGCGAGGAATGTACCCTGGTGGTTCATCCTGAACCCACTTGGGTCGAGTAGCCTTCTCCTGCTTTGCGTCCATCGCGGATTGGGTCTCCTTGGAAGGTTTGCTGTCCTTTTTACCGGCGTTCATCTTCGCGTACTTTCTCTTGAGGTCTATGGCCTTGACATATTCCACAGGACGCCCTGGCCAGGCAGGAACGATCGCCTGGTGTCGTGGTCCCAAGCGAGAACTCGCACGGGGATAAATTCGGTCGTCGTAGTCAAGAGCGTCCTCCACCCGGCAATGTACGCCCAAGTAGCGATAGGGCCACATTTTCGCCTGTGCGATTTGCTCTGCGGTCGCAGGAAGAGGCATCAAATCGTCTTCGGCAGCTGGGGTGCTGACACCGGTACCGTTCACAGCGCCATTGAGATGTACTTCCTCTTCCTCTTCCTCCATGATCTCATCCTCGCCCTCGTGTCGTTTTTCGCCGATGATCGGGGTGTTACGCGCCTCAAGCTTGCGTTCTTGGGCGCGGCTACAAGGCGCACAAGCCCAGGCAAATCCACGGGCAGGCTTCTTGGTGAGGACGGGGCGAACGCATTGCATGTGATATGTTGAGCGGCAAACGGCGCAATCCACCGACTCAGAGTTGGCAGCGAACAGGTGGCATTTCGTGCAAGTTTTGACCGCACCTGTGAATTCTTTGGCTCTCCCTGTCTCGACCAAGATGTATTTCCACCGATCATCAAGAACCCTTTTCACTTTGGAGGGAACGTTGATTACATCCTTGGTAGGAATGACATCGTAGAAACGGTGGATGTACCGGTCGAACATCTTTTCGTACCAAAATGAATCCCGACTCCTCTTGAATTCTACAAGGTCGCTGATTTGAGACACATGGCGAATTTCACATTTCCCTCGCAATGAGGCAAGAGGGCATGTATCGGAGTGCATGGAAGCATAAACAATGCGAGGGTCGGCACTATGTCGTTGGATGTCTCGAGGGCGATAATACCAGTTGACTCGGATTGATTCGATGAACCCGTCGGGCTTGGTCTTTGATGGCACAAATTCCATAATTCGAGCCAGGTAATATGCCTCCCCTGGCGGCTCACAGACCAGGTAGACATGATCTGGACATTGGTGTCAGTGGAGGAAACAATACCAAAGAACAAAATCCTTACCATTAATAGCGAAGGTCGTTCCATCATCAGCGTGTAATTTTTCATCGATCAAATAAGGTCCCTGGCCTTCAAAGCTGACCATGTTGGTGAAATAAACCCCATCAGCATCTCCGGGGGCAGAGGTGAAAATTCTCTTGGTCGAAGAAGCGCCGCCAGGGTTCAGCTGTGAATTTGATGTGCTGGCAGCATGTTTGCGTTTTCGTAGTGAACTGGTCCCATTGACATCATCTGGTCTGGCCGAAAATGAAGAGGTACCAGGGATGGCTTCTTTTCCGTTAGTGCCGTTGGTCAGACTCTTCCGGGGGTGCACCGGTGAGGGTTTTTCACTTTCGGATTTAGAGCCATTGACAATGCTGTTAAGGGCGACGCCATTATTTCGTTTGGCCACCTTGGACGCAGGAGCATTCATCTCAATCTCCATGTCGACGTCATGGTCCTCAGCGTAGTTGGGCCGTGGCGCGTTGCGGCCTCTCGATCGCGTGCCGTAAGGGGTCGCGGCTGAGGAGCTGGCCGCATCGGCCTCTGCCTCCGGGGAGTTAGGCGTGGTCATCGAGTGCGACTCTCAGTCATCCAAGGCAGTCTGGTTGCAGGGGAATGGACCAGGGAACCCAAGGGTGGATGACCAGAGCCGTGATGGGAGACACACGTGTGGTGGTTGAAGTGCGATAGCTGTGGCGGTGGTTAAGCTCGAGACTAACATGACACGCTCGATGCGGGTGGAAGGGAGTGTATGTGGATAGCGCAGGCGCGGGGGGCGAAAATCTCAAAAACGGGTGGATGCGAAGGTATGTATTGATTGGGGGAAAAGAATCATGTGGGATGTGCCGAACACGAACATCAAGGAGTGGCGGGAAGGGGAAGATAGGGTTGGGTAGAGCAGGGGAGAAAAAGAAAAAGAGAAGGGAAGGAAGATAAAAACGAACGACCACAAATAGAGTGGGCCTGGGTCAAACACCCGTGGCTGATCGGATTCTCTGCAGGGGGGAACAGGAAGAAAGGGCGTATGGGGGCAGACGTGATATCAAGAACAGGCGACCACGGGGGCCAGCGAGTGACCGATACCAGGCCAGACAGTAAGGGAAAAAGTCGTGAACGGGTGAACGAAGCGATGATGATAATGATGATGATAATGATGAATAGTTACCTACCACAAAGGTACACGCAGATGCGGGAGGTGGATCTGGATGCGAGCGATAAAGCGGATGGGCAGAGCGATCTGCGAAACGCAGAGACGCGTGCGGGCCGATAGGATAGAAATGGGGTGGTGTACGGATCGATGGACCGGGAGAGAAGAGAGAGAGACGAATGAAGGGGGGGAGAAAAAAAAAGAGAGAGGAGGTGAGAGAGAGAGTGAGAGAAGGGAAGAGAGAGAAGGGAAGAGAGAGAGAAGGGAAGAAGAAGACCGGTGGTGAGGTGGAAGCAGAGACGAGGATCCCGACCAGCCCTGGCCCCTAGTCCCGATATGTTAGTTAATATGACGGATGGATGGCATTGGAACCAAAGGGCGAGGGAGAAAACGGTGCTTTCTTTTTTCCCCCATCCGCTTAGAGGAACCCAAACCAGCCAGCTCCCTTGCTCTCACTCAACGACAGGAATGCTGGGGCATGCCGTGTCTAGATCGGCTACGGGAATTGGGGGCAGGTCCGCCTCGCTAGGTGGATGAAGCAGTGAATAATAAATATTAATTCCCTGCCGCACTACGACGTGATCCGAAATCAGAGTCACTAGTTTAAGAAAAGATGATATCGGACGAAGCACTGAAAACCCGCACTAGGCTCCACCCACGATCCCTGCGACCAGGATAAAATACATACTACCATCCATACCGTAACCCCCTCGAGCTCGGCATTTTCCTAGGTGTAACGAACTTCTTCTCATCATCGCAGTAATTTAACCTTCTCCCGGACCAATCGTGGCCCTCCATCCCCCCGGGGGTGCGTGGTTCGCCACCGGCCAGGACTGCGTGCGGAATGAACCCTGAGTCTTACAGCCGGAAATTCCCTGGGGGGTCGGCACTATTATTATATGACATATGGAGTCTCGTTCTGCACTTCCTTCTGTAGGGGTACGTTCCTGGACTTGATTCGGTCTGGCCGGACGGATTATTGCGCTCAGACCTCCGGGGAACCGTTCAGGCTTGACATTTCGCTAGTTATGATATTTGCAGGCGGGTTTCATATGACCGCACAAACGCCCTTTCAGTTGTCAGACATGTCCACGGTGGAATGCCTGATATTTTAGGCGGTAGGGTGTGTCTTTTTGGAGTTGGAATATGTCGATTGAACCTCAACACCATTATTGGCAGCGACACATTCATCAAACACAACGTTGGAGACGGGAACAGCATGATCATGGGTTATAACTATAGTTGCCTATATCGTTATACCACCACCCCTGTCCTGGTGGATGACGCCTCGGCCGAGAATATAACCATGACAGATGGCCACTCTCGGTCCACCCAGGTCCTCTGCTTGAAGGGCATCCGAAATTTTCAGCTTCCGAGGACCGGGGCGGGGACACTTGGGCAGGGTTCGGCGGACCGGCCGGCCCTGAACGACCAGCTGATGTCTTAGAGCATTTGACTTGATTTCTAATGATCAGGTATATGCCAATTTCCTCTTCTCTTACTACCGCACACCGTCGCCCTCGGATATATATTGCGTGTAGAACGCTGGGTATTATTCCAGCCAGAAAATCCAAGTATGAATTGAGTGGTTCCAAAAGGGGCCATAAACCCATCCGATGGACTTCCTCCTTATAGGAAGATACGTTTTATTATTAGATGAGTAGCTCAGGCCCGAGGCGTGCAACCGGCGAGGGCTGGGGCTGTTTGATGCCCCCGGAACAACGTAGAAAATAACCGCGTCAGCGCACAGACTCTATCTTCCCAGCCAATCAGCACGACCCGTTAGGTAGCGTCAAGGTGATCGTTATTGGGGTCGTGCAAGGGGTCCCCAGAATCGCCCCCCGATCACGTTATGACTAACCCTTTGGTAGACCTTCATCGATCATAATTCGAGGAACACCATTCGTATAGAACTATCAGAGTATCCCGTGAAGTAAAGAAATGAATTACCTCATCGCCTGACATAAGCCTATGCCTGAGGCAGACATCTGCACTGGGCCGAACAAACAAACAACGCCGTGCTTGTTTGGAAGCCCAATATGGGTTGAATTCCAGCATGTCCAATGGCCTCCAGTTTAGCGGGGGCGAGACCTCGCTGGAGATTGCCCGCCGACAAAGCTATCAAGTAGCGCCGCTGGCCGGCCACAAGCGGGCAGCAGCGACCAACGCGCCATATAATGGAGACGATGTATTATTGGAGTCGATGCCGTTGGAGGCTGCTCGAGCCTCGTCTCCCCCCTCAGGTCGCTTTTCCGCCAGCAGGATCCATCCGGGCCCCGGCGAACAACGCGAGAACCAACAGCGAGCCACGCCAGTCGCAGCAGCAGCGCCCGGGTCCAGTAAGAACCCGCTGTTGTTGCTATCCAATCCGCGATACGGCCTGCCGCCAGCGCTGACGGCCAATTTTGCGGCCTTGGGTGTCAACCGCATCTATCCCTGGCAGGCCTCGTGCTTGCTGGCGCGCGGCTTGCTCTCGGGGGAGCGGCATTTGGTCTACACTGCCCCCACGGGTGGAGGCAAGTCGCTCGTGGCCGACGTGCTGCTCCTCAAGCGGGTGATTGAGAATCCCACGCGCAAAGCCATCCTGGTCTTGCCCTATGTCGCCCTCGTGCAAGAGAAGCTCAAATGGCTGCGCCACATTGTTGAGAATGTCGAGAAGCACCTCCCCGCCCAGGATGAGGATGACCACTCGTTCCCTCCTCGCAAATGGAAAAAATTGGAGAAATCCATTCGCGTCACTGGATTCTTTGGCGGCAGTCGGACCACGGCCACGTGGGCGGATACCGATATTGCCGTTTGTACGATCGAGAAAGCCAATTCATTGATCAACTCCGCCATCGAGGAGTGTAGCATCGGGGATCTGGGTGTGGTTGTGTTGGATGAGCTCCATATGCTCGACGATGAGCACCGCGGATACCTCCTGGAATTGATGGTGACGAAACTCCTGCTCCTTCAGCAGGATATCCAGATCGTGGGCATGAGTGCCACCCTTTCCGTACGGCTCTTCGTTATCTGTGCGGGTTCATGCTGACCTACTTTTCTAGAATACTGAGATGTTGGCACAATGGATCAATGCCAAGTTTTACATCTCGAACTATCGCCCGGTTCCAATCGACGAATATCTGGTCTATGAAAATGCCATTTATCCAGCCGCGACATCTAGACAGCTATTCCAGACAGCATCGAAATTGACGACAGCGATGTCGACGTCGTTGCATAACACTATACCCCCGCAGAGACTCATCGACCCATCCTCATTCAAGGAACTCAGCAATGCCGCCACAAACGCCATGGTCGCCTTGGCGGTGGAAACTGCTGCCGGTGGCTACGGGGCACTGGTATTCTGCGGCAGTCGCCAGGGTTGCCAGATTCACGCAGCGACGATAAGTGAAGCCATGCCCAGTCCAGCCGAGACAGATGAATTGGGCAAACGGCTGGATCTTCTGGCTGAGCTGCGCAGTCTCTCGTGTGGATTAGACCCGGTTCTGCAGAGCACCATCATCAAGGGGACGGGTTTTCATCGTAGGTATTCCTTTTCTCCAGCGGTTGCAATTATTGATTGGTGTTGTAGATGCTGGCATGACAACCGAAGAACGGGAGCTGATCGCGCACGCGTACGACCATGGCGTGCTCCGAGTCCTCGTGGCCACATGCAGTCTCGCGGCGGGTGTGAATCTCCCAGCCAGACGAGTAATCATCAACGGTGCACGAATGGGTCGGGAACTGGTAGGCCCCGCAATGCTGCGACAAATGTGCGGACGCGCAGGACGCAAAGGGAAGGACGACGCCGGCGAAACGTATCTGATATGCGTGAAAGCCGACCTGGAAGCTGTGTGTGATTTGTTAGATGCCGATATGCCCGCTATCGAGAGCTGTCTGGCTCCTGAAAAGAGAGGACTGAAGAGAGCACTGTTGGAAGCCATCGCGACGGGGTTGGTTTCCGGATGCGAGGCGATCAAAGAATACGTCCGATGCACGCTTCTCTGGCGCACACTGGACAAAAAGCTTGTGTACAGTATCATGAAATCTGCGCTGCAGGAACTAATCGATGAGCAGCTTCTGGTTCTCAAAGAGGACGAGGCCTACGAGGCAACACAACTAGGCCAGGCAGTCGTGGCCTCAGCCTTCTCCCCCGAAGATGGCCTTTTCGTACACGAGGAACTCAAGCGCGCTCTCCGGGCTTTCGTGATGGACGGGGACCTGCACGTCTTCTACATGTTTACCCCATTGCAAGCAACCACAGGCATGCCCATCGACTGGCAAATCTTTCGAGACCAGCTGGACCGCCTGGACGAGAGCGGCCTTCGCGCGTTACAGTTTATAGGCGTCCAGCCTGGCTTTGTGAATACCATGTCTGTCTCCATCACCGTGTCTTTTCTTTTTAATATGAACCGAATCCTAATCCCCGATAGGGTCCAATCCGGCGCCTCGCTCAAAGAGACCACCCCCGAACAATTCAACCAAGCCCGCATCTACCGCCGCGCCTACACAGCTTTCCAGCTCCGCGACATAAGCAACGAAGTGCCCCTCTCCACCATCGCACAGCGCTATCGCATCCCGCGCGGCACCGTCCAGACGCTGGCGCAGCAATGCCACGGCTTCGCGGCGGGGATTGTCAAGTTTTGCCAGCGCATGAACTGGGGTATGCTCGCCACCGTGCTGGACCATATGCGCGATCGGCTTGAGGCAGGTGCGCGCGCGGACTTGTTGGAGATGGCACAGGTTACTTATGTGAAGAGTTGGACGGCTCGGTTGCTGCGCGATAATGGGTTCCCGAATTTGCGTGCGCTAGCTGAGGCCAACCCTAAGGATTTGGTTCCTGTTTTGATGATGGTCGGTTTTGCCCTTTGCTCTTTTTTTCTGATTATAGTTGCGTCTGAAACTGATGGATGGGATGTCTAGGTCAACCCGCGCAAAACACGAGAAAGTCAGCTCTACCCTACCGAAGCGGAGAGATATTCTGCGAAACTGCTGGCTAAAGCCGAGACGATTGTCGGATCGGCCACCAAGATCTGGGGTAGGTCACTTCGGGATTGACCGGACCACTCACTGACGTCTATACATAGAACGGGAGATGCAGATCGAGCCGGAGGAGTGAATAATGACGCATTAAGACAGTATATTGTCTCGATTATGCTACATCTGGGTGTCTGCTTGGTACTTGCATTAGATAGCGTTGATATATATAGATTGTTTCGAAGAGCCCCAATGTCAGATCATGAAAAACATATCATTTCAGGGTAGATGGAAAAAAAGGCTCATGTACAATCATCCAAGCAGCGCATGTATATCACGAAACCCTTATAGGCTCAAAGGCTATCCATATTCGACTGAGCCAGCATCAGCTGCCCCTGATCCACAAAGTCACAAAGCACAACATTCGGTGCACGGCCATACAAGCCCTCGCAGAGCGCTGCGTTAGCTCCAATACTCCCTTCGCCCACCGCGGCGTTAGTGTGGGCAGCGGCGTCGCGGTCCGGAATATCAATACCGGCGATGTCGAGATCGAGGTAATGGTTGATGAGATACATTCGGCCATCAGCGGACGCACCGGGTGGTCGGTCGATGCTGCAGTTCGAGAAGGAGGCGTCGGTCACGTCGTAGGGCGTCTCAAAGTAATAGGCGAACTCATCGTTGATGTAGTTGACCGTGTTTGTGTCGGCGCCGTAGTCTACAAGATGGATATGTTGGTTTAGTCGGGGCGGCGAGAATCTAGGAGGACTTACCCAGGAACACAACTAGTCGCTTTCCTCCCGAGATAATATCTCCTAGAGTTGGCCAATCGCTGATACCCAGTGTGTTACCGGCGGACGTGGGCACAAAAGCGTAGCTGTCCACCCCCCGCGGCGGAGAAGGTATCACCAAACTCGGAGATGTCGACATTGTCACCATTCGTCAAGAGGAGGGTCAAGACCTCGTTCGGGTTCGCATCGAGCCAGCTCTTGATGGTCTCCAGGTACGATTGTAGCGTGCCTGCATCTTCGAGCCAGCAGGAGGTGTGGCACAGCTCCAGGACGCTGTCATCCGTGATGGAGTGGTGGGTTTGGGCTTGCAGGTACCGGATGCCCATATCCAGCTGCGCGGTAATGTTGATATTCTGATTCTGCTGGGGCAGGGACCCGACGAAAGCCGAGTCGTGCGAGCCCACAAAGGTTATGTTCGAGTAGGACCGATTACAGAAGTCGGCATTGCCGTTGCAGACTCCCGTTGCGGACGGGGAAGGTGATGCTGACGGCGTGGACGATGCTCGGGCGAACATCCAGCCTGGCACTGCTGAGGCGGGTTGCAGGAGCAGGAGCCCGCTGAGCAGGGCTCCCGTGAGTCGTGTATAGTTCGGAGACATGGTGGATAAGAGAGGCAGGGTTGGTTTCCCTTGGCACATCAGACACAGACTTCTGTCTGGGAGAGCATGCTTCCTATATAAGCAGCGAGTCACGGCACGACATGACCAGACCACAACCACGCGTGCCACAGAATGATAAGCTCATGCCCTTGCCGAGGAAGGTCGCATTCCGCATGGTGTCGATCGATGACCGAACCAGGACAAGCAGCGTGGGAAAAGGAAGAAAAAGGAATGCAGGCCAACTGATCCAAACGACGCCCCATGCCCGCGCGGCTCGGTGATAGGGCATGGTGTCGCACACGCGCCTCGCCCGGTGACCGGGGGGTCTGATGGTGGGATGGGATGTAACTGCAGATCATCAGAGATCCTGGAAGCTTACTGGAGTTAGTCGCACGGCGTAGTCCGAGCTTTGCTCCCGCAGGTACAACACTATCGGCAGCCCCGGAGTCGCATTCGGCTCAGGGATGTGCAGGATTTGGACCCAGAAGGGAGAGGGGTGTCAAGATTCCGATACGCGGGGACAGATCCATCGACGCTGGGTGTGTGAAGTGCACGGCGTGTCTGCCCAGGTCCTGGTAGCAGCGTATCTGGCAGCGTCTTGGCCTGGATACAGTATCGTCAAGAATCGACCGTCCAAGTAGGGCAACCTGCAAGTAGACGCCTGTTGGATCAGGCAGAAACTGACACCCAACATACCAGGCACTAACCATAGTATGTATGTCACCAACTATTTCTTTGGATAATTTCGCTTCCGCACTAATCACTATATCCGTTGAATATACGACCCATTTAATTGAATGCGATGTGCTTGTACAGACAAGTACTTGGTGAGTAAACACGAGTACCTGGGCTGTGGGGCGCTCGGCGAGCTCGACTTCCCCGTCATCATCTCGGAGCCTCAACTTCCCCCCCCATCCCTTCGTTTCCATCGTTGTCTCTGTCCACCTGCGCTGGCCTTCCGGTGGCTTCCTCCCTCTGCGACTACCCCCCCTGTATTGGATATAATAGCCCCTCCCTTCCCCTGACAACCACCGGGAGCAATGGTCAGTCGGAGATCTTGCTCATGGGCTCGATGATGGAGAGCAGTGAGGCCCGGACACGAGAGGATGAGCTTGACCTGGGCGCCGAGAACCAATCAGAGAACCTTCCTCCGCAGCCCGACCGTGATGCTCTCGATCATCCCAAGCCCTCTGCCGGGGCCTCCGACGCCGAACTGGACACGGTAGACGACGACGCGCCCGACCAAGCTTCGGAGAAGACGGTGGAACCGGGTGCTCATCAGAGAGGACTGCGGAAAACACAATATGGCGAACTAACCGCGGCGCCGGGCAGTGTGGATGAGACGGCTTCGACCCCCGACGACACCCCATCCTTACATGTCAGTCACCCCCCGCGGATAGCTTGATCATTGGTCTGATTGATCCTAGGACTCTCTTCCATCCTCCCAAAGCAGCAGTGCTCTGGCACTCCGAGGCTCTCCACGCGCCAGCCCAAGCCCGGCCCACCGTCCCTTCGACCTTCGCTTTCAGTCCCGCTTATCCTCATTGCCATTGAGTGCGCCGGGATCACCCTTCCTCGCCCACCTCCACTCCCGACACTCCTCCATCGCAAGCCAGGTCTCTCCAAGCCCCGAATTAGACACTGAGCCAGTCCAAGGGCCTTGGGATGTCGTGCGATGGACCAAGCTACGGAAAATTACCGGACAGGCATTCTCGGAAATCGGAAAGCGCAATTTTGGACGACCAACTTGCCTAGCCATATCTACAACCATAGTGATAGGAACGTCTAAAGGGATTATCCTTGTCTTTGACTATCAGCAGAGTTTGAAGGCGATCATTGGCAACGGCACAAAAGGTTGGTCCAGAAACACGACTATGAGTGAATGTCAAACACTAACAACGTCACTCTAGCTGTGGAATGCGGCGCGATTACTTCGTTGGCTCTTTCTGCGGACCATTCGACTGTCGCCGGAGGACATGACACTGGGGATATCTTTACGTGGGAAATCTCGCGGCCCGCGCGTCCCTTCCTCCACATCCCTCCAATTCCAGCGGACCAGGTCGAGAACCGCATTTCCGACGGCCATCTGTCGAGCGTATCGGTCATTCATGTTGGGTTCCTCGGAACACGGCGCACTGCAATTGTGTCGGCCGACAAACAGGGGATGGCATTTTCACACCTGGCCACGCGGGGCATGGGAGCAGTAGCACGGACGGTGAAGACGACTCGGATTCTGGGCCGATATCCCTCGATTGCCCCTGAGGAAACCCGCCGGCGGAAACCCAGTTCGGTTCTTGCTTTTTCGCCTCTCTCCTCTCGGCAACGTGGAACAGCGCACTGATTCATTGGGTCTTGTTGCTTTGCTGACGCCCTATCTCCTGGTCATCGTGTCCACCACCCCGGTCGCTCAAACCCAGCACAAAGCGTCGCGCCCAAAGGAAGTTGCCGCTCATAGTGCCATGACCGGGGCCCTGGCATGGTTCCCGGCAATACGACTGAAGGGCAAAGATAGCCAAACATCGAACACGAAGCTTGTCTACTGCTGGTCAAACGTGTTGACCATTTTGGAAGTGACTGAAGCCGAAACAGATGAACCCGTGGATAAAGATCGCCCTCCGAGCCTGGTCTTCAGAGCGCGGAGCAGGTGGAAGGCGGATGAAGCCATCGTGGCTGTCCAATGGTTAAGCCGTTCCGTCCTCGCAATCTTCACCATCACGCAGCGACTTTTGATTCTTGAGGATTATTCTATGCATGTCACAGACTCAATTGACCTTGCCTACCGACATGTCTATCACACCGACTTCTTTTCATCGCAGCTGCACAACCTGGTCGAGCAGCTGGATGAAGAAGACACATCGATGCATGGCGTGGTTGCGGACGCATTTTATATGAGCTTTCGTGCCTACAAAGGGCGCTTGTTCCTGCTCGGTTACAACGAAGCCCTTGTCGGCAGTCTGTCAAACTGGGCTGACCGGCTGCTTGCACTCATGGAAGCCGGTGATTTCATTGAAGCAATTCGATTGGCGACGTTGTACTACACAGGCGATGGCGAGAAGCTCACTGTGGGTCTCCCCGAGGAGGATGCTTTGCGACAGCCACTTGTCCAGGAGAAGCTTCTGGAAATGATCTCGGCATCGCTCAAGTACGCCTTCGGTCGAAACGCTGAAGCAGACAATGGGCGACTTGAAAATCAGGATCTCGAGCAACTTGCGGACGTATCGATCGCCGCTTGTATCCACATGGACGACATCGACTTTCTTTGGGAGGAAGTTTTCAACTGGTATGAGGAGCAAGAATCCTCGGGGATCTTCTTGGATGCTCTCGAGCCCCGAATTACCGATGGGACCATTCGATCGCTGCCTCCGACTGCCGTCAAGGCCCTCATCAACCATTTCATCACGACACACTCAGCTGGCCGTTTGGAGGAGATAATCTGCCTCCTCGACACGACAACCATGGACATTGACCAGGTCACCACGCTCTGCAAGCAGCATAATCTGTACGATGCCTATATATACGTCTGGAACCGCTGTCTTATGGACTATGTTGGGCCTCTGGAGGAGTTGATCCAGTTTATCCCGTCTTCCACTGAACCTCTCGTCAATGGTGATTATGCCGTTGAAATGAAAAGGCACACGAACGCGATGAAGATGTTTCCTTACCTATCCTTCATCCTTACAGGGCGCGTCTATCCAACAGGAGACGCGATGGATGACGCCGAGGCACTACGGGCCAAAACGGTCTTGTACCAATATCTATTTTCAGGCCGCCTGTCTGGCACCGGCGATACCTCCGAGGGTGCAGACTCGTTTTCTCAGCTTCGGACGATGCTCAAATACGATTCATCCAGTTTCATGAGTATGCTCAACGAAGCTTTTGAGGACAGCTTCCTGAACGAATCCGACGCTGAGGACGCTCCTTCTTCAGGCGTGTCGATCAACCGACAATATCTCGTCAGCATTTTGCTTCAAGTTATGAATACGGCGTTCTTCACTTCTTCTGATACCATCTACTTGGACATGTTTGTTGCGCGCAATCTTCCCAAATACCCTCAGTATATTCTTCTTTCGGGCACGACCCTTCATCAAGTGCTTGGGCGACTATGCCACTATCCGGACCCGGACATGGTCGACGACTGTGAATTGAGCGCGGAATACTTGTTGTCATTCTACCACCCACCTGACATCCAGAGCATGATCCCGCTCTTCAGAGAGGCACGCTTCTTCCGAATCTTGAAATCGACCTACCGTTCTGAAAAGCAATACCCTCAGTGGATCTTGACATACCTTGAAGACCCGCATGACAGGGAGGCTATCTTTACAAGTTTACAAGATTGTCTTCGCGCGGGGTCCGGACTAGGTAAAAAACAGAGACGGGATGTGGTGGACATGGTGAAGAGCCATGCCAAGGAAGTGGCTGCCATCGACGTCAAGCGAACCGCTCAGACCATGCAAGATCTGGCTCCCGACACACACGAGACATTCCTCCACATACTGGAAGAGGACACCTACCAGCAATATCAGTATCTACTGGTCCTTGTCGAGCCGCAGGCCCAAATCAGCGTGGAAGGTCGGGCCCCGCCCCCAGTCGAAAACTGGATGGTCGAACGCTACGTGCAGCTGCTATGCAAGTACAATCCGGCCCACGTCGCAGACTTTGTTGATGGCCTGCGGGTCGGCGACATCCACCTTGAAGAACTGCTGCCGGCTATCGAGGAGAGCGGAGCTATCGACGCCGCGATTATCCTTCTTGCACGACAAGGTCAAGTACGAGTGGCGTTGGACCGTCTCATTACTCATTTGGGCACACTCGAATCCGGTTTGGTGGGAATTCTCCAGAGCCTGGGTGACAGTCCCGACTCTGCCAGTACAGCCGAGGCGATTGACGACCTTATTGAGTCTCTCAACAAATATGCTGGAGTCGGAACCTGGCTCTGCCAGGGCCAGACAAAGGCCGCCAAAAATTCGCGGACGGGTGGGACGAATGGAAAACGCGGCGTGGCAGATCAGGGTCTAGCGTTCGACGAGAACCTTTGGCTTGATCTCATTGAGGCAGTGGTTCGCATCGCCAGCAATGTATTCGGGCTCCTGCGGGATCAAACTGCTCAGGTCACCGAGTCTCTCGGAGGTGACACCGGCCGGTTGACAACCTCCTTCCGCATGCTGGTACAGCAGGTCTTCACAGCCCTACTCTCCAGCACCGTCAAAGGCGGTGGTCCCTCGACCCCCGAGCGGACTGATCTGTCCTTTCTTCGGATCTTGCGTGCGTTTCTCACTCAGGCTGCGAGCTGGTCGCCGTCGCTACTGGAGCTGCGCGCGGTGCTGGCCTCCATCTTCTCCGCGTACTCCTATGAGACGTCCCTGCTGACTCTGGCCAACGGCATGCTGGACCGGGACCTCTTCGTGCACGTGGACGAGGTCACCCGTCTGCGACAGCAAGGCTGGCGACCTCGCGGCCAGGTCTGCGAAATCTGCCATCAACGCATCTGGGGTCCCAGCGTCGGGTCTGCACACTGGTCGGCATGGGAAAAGAAACAGGGTGACGAAAGCAAACGTCGCATTGCTAAGCGACTTGAGGACGGATACGATCCTGCCTTGGAACGGGGGAAAGGGAAAGCGGCCGCCTCCGTCGTAGGTTCTGAGCAGCCGTTGCATCCGATGCATGCTTCAAACTCACCGTTGGCCGTTGACGGCACGGAGTACGGCACTTTGGCCAGAGAGAGCGCGGAGTCCGGGGTAGTGCTGCAGCCCGCCGTCGTATTCTCTTGTCGGCACCTCTACCACCGGCAGTGTGTGCTGGAGGCCATCAGTAGTTCGTCCGCGGGACGGGACCGGCAGCCACGAGTGTTTCGTCACGAGCGTGCCTTGTCCGAGTGGTCGGGAGTCGAGTTGTTCTGCCCCGCATGTACATAGTCCTATTTTTTTTTTTTTTCTATTTTAATTTAGTGTCCCTGCACAAGGGAAGTTCTGGTTGGAAGATCATCTCGATCGTAGCAATCCTTATAGTTTCCATGCATCTAGACCATGTGCCGAGAAGCCTAATCCATGCTAATCCATGCCGATAGTTGCACCGTTCCGACACTTATACCTCTAGAAACAACTAAACCAAGCGGACGCTATTTGCCAATGCAACCCGTCGGCTTTTATCCATCTACTTGTAACTAGTGCTGGGGTGACCGTGGTCCGATGAGGGTCGCATTGAAGGATTTTAGAACGGTTTCGGGCCAACCACCTTTCCCAAAGAGGACATTGGCAGCAATTAGACTGCGCGCTGGTGCCGGTGCTGAGTTCCGTTTTGGGGGAAGTTTTCAGTCAGGAATGCACGGTATGCACTCTAGTACTACTGCAAGCAAACTGGTACAGTATCCGCATTGTTTCGGATTGCGATCGGCGTGCGAGCTGACTCTTGTATGTAGGTATGTATCCTATTTTTGAATTTTGGCTTTGTGATCAGAATCTGCTGTCTTTTTGATGGGTTTTTGGCCCCAGTGGTAGTTATGCTGTGTTCGCCACTTTAACTCTAAAGATAGCGAACATTACACCATTTGGGGGCAGCAATCAAGACACAGCCTCTTCCAGATGGACCCTGATGAGCAATCTTGCAAACCTGTGGACTGGATCTCCGTCAGCACCGAAAACGAACGGCTTCTGCTGCTCCCATTTTGCCGATCCCCTTGCCGCCACCCATAAGCCCGCCCCTGGCCCGCGGAGATTTTCTACGGATCTGCGTCAGGGTCTAGCCAGTCAGCGCGCTGACCTGGCTTGTTCGCCACCAACGTTACCTTTTCCGGTCAGGGGCGACGGCGAGTCAGGCACCAACCGGTACGCGCTCGTCTCTGGTTCCGAAACGCCGTGGTTTCGAGTTTGTTTGAGAATATTGTCAGAGAGATCAAGAGTGTGAGGGCTGTCACAGAAAAAAAAACCCACTGCGTGTCGTCAGGTCGCGGGGTGTGGCCAGATGCGCCGGGCGCCTGACACCTCTTTGTCTGTCAAGTGTTATCATTCTGGCTGCCTGGTTGTCTTCTTCGTCTGGAAGTGGGTCCGTCCCAGTGGATAAATATTCCCGCACTATCTACTGTGTTATCAAGCAAAGAGGGTGGATCCTCGTTCTAGCCCGGATCCCGTTCGATCCATTGTCCCTGAAGGGAACCCACCTCCGCCTACTCTATCAAGTGGGCCGGGGCTAGATGGCGCCTGCAACACGCCACCATGTGGTCCCATGTGGTTCACTTTTCACCTGTCGGCAGGGGTCCGGACCCGTACAACTGAATTAGCTATAATAAGTCCGCCGCCGCCATCTGAAATATTTTCCTTCCCACGCGTCCTTCCTTTGTGATCTTCTTGGTCTATACAATCCTTTTTCACCAGCCCGGTGTATCATTCCTTCTTGTGGTCCCTAGTTGGATCTATTTGATTTTATATACAGACTGTGTCTGCTACAGGGGTTCTTTGACAGATACCCGTTTACTTTCTTGAACAAACATACTCAACATGTATATGCATACCCTCCTTTCCACGGTGGGCCTCTTCGCCCACCTCAGCTCCGCTGGCTATACGTTGCTGGACGACTATGGCAATACGGACTCATTCTTTGACCAATTCGACTTCTTCACGGGCACCGACCCAACTTCCGGTTTCGTCAGCTATGTGGACCAGGGCACCGCCGAGTCTGATGGCCTTATCTCTGCCAATGGTGGCGCTGTCTACATCGGGGTTGACAACTCGTCCGTGACCACGACGGGTCGCAATAGCGTGCGCATCTCGAGCACAAACACCTACACCCAGGGCCTGTTCATCCTCGACCTAGGACACATGCCCGCTAGCGCCTGTGGCTCGTGGCCTGCCTTGTAAGTTTTTGAAATCTATAGCTAAAGCAACAAGACTCTAATTATACGCTATAGCTGGCTTCTCGGCTCTGGCACCTGGCCCGACAATGGCGAGATCGATATCATCGAAGGCGTCAACGACCAGTCTACCGACTCGATGACCCTACACACGACGGACGGCTGTTCGATCAACAACTCTGGCTTTACCGGTACCTTGAGCACTAGCGACTGCTATGTCGACGCTGCCGGCCAGAGTAACAACGCCGGCTGCGGTATCTCCAACCCGAACACCCAGTCCTACGGCACGGGATTCAACGATATTGGCGGCGGCGTCTACGCCACGGAGTGGACCGACTCGGGCATCAACATCTGGTTCTTCGGCCGCGACACGGGTATCCCCTCTGACATCACGAGCGGTGCCCCCGATCCTTCGGGATGGGGCGAGCCCGCTGCTGCGTTTGCCGGCGACTGCGACTTTAGCGAGCACTTCTCGGACATGTCGATCATCTTCGATATCACCTTCTGCGGCCAATGGGCCGGTGCAGTCTGGAGCTCAGACGCGGTCTGCTCCGCGCTCGACAGCAGCTGCAACGACTACGTCGGCAACAACCCCACTGCTTTCGAGGATACCTACTGGAGCATCAACGGCCTCCAGGTCTATCAGGATACCTCCGCCACCAAGCGCGACGCCAACATGGCTAATAACCGTCGCATGAGTGCCCCCAAGCGCGTCCGCTCTCCTCCCACCCCCATGCGCGGCAAGTACCGCCGTGACCGTCTGAACTACTTCGCGTAGACGGGGGGGATCTGGTATCTCCATCTTGCTTCTTCTTTTTTGCTTGGAAAGTTCTTGGCGGTGTTGGATTTCCAACGGTGTTATATTTCTCAACTTTGCTTTTGATCATGTCGCATTTCAGCTTTGATATATGGGTAACGATTGTTCCGTGTTATGTCTCTTCCTGCTATCATTTTTGTGAATACCTGCGCTCAGCCTTTTGCATTTTGAAACCGGAACGATTGTCAAATCCGACCTAAGGTTCTTTACCCCACACTGCATATTCTATTATTAGTTCCCATCGTAGATTCATCTCCACAATGGAGTAGACTCAATCTGAAAGAAGATTAGAGACAACAAAAACCAGATCTAGCCCCCAAGCCCCACCCAAACAGACTCCATGTCAGCCATGCAAATCATTAGACACATTATGTACATGATGATGTTTTATGACAAAAGATTTTTAACCTTTGTAGCCCAACACATCGCGCCGATCATCCGTCAAACGGCCCCACTCCAGAAGTAGGCGGAAGAAGTAAATTTCCATATCTTCCTTGCGTAGGGCGTCCCCAACCCACTGGCGACCCTCCTCAGCAATTACGCGGCCCTGCTCCTGGTGGTCCTCCATGCGATTCGGTACATGGTTGGATGAGACACCTGTGAAATAAGCTAGGGTACTCCAGAGACCGTGCAGGCGAATATCAACAGGTACGAAATGGACCCATGACGTAATCCTCGAGTCGAACCATTGTCGGAATAACCCCGTCTTCAAGGGGAGGCTGTGGCTCTGGAGGAAGGGGAGGAAGCGGCCGCTGAAACCGGCGCCGTCGAGGTCGAAGAGAAATTTGTGGGTCCAGTGCTGTTGGAAGTCGACCCAGGACACGGTGCCCATTTCGGCGCGCTGGAGCTCGCAGTCGTCACAGCGGACGAGTGGGTCGGCGAGGTGGACGTTTGTTTGCAAATTGAGTTGGGAGGTTGGTGCGTTACCAGAAAGAACCTCGTAGCGGTATGAGTCTGGTTCACCTGCTGGGAGTAGAACGGAGACGTGGCCATGTGTGTTGTTGTTGATCAGGTGTGCGGTCCGTTGTCGCGGCATACCCTTCCACTCGCCGAAGCGACTGACTCCCTCGGATGTACTGCCAATCCAGAAGAGATCGCTTTCTTTGTTGACCCACGAGAGATCTGGATGTTCCCTGGAGGGTTTATATTCGACTTTGTCCATGTAGTTCCACGGGCTTGGAAACAGGATGTCACTGAAGCTGGATAGCGCACTCTGGCTGAACACCGGCACAAGTTCCTGGGAGACCTTGAACGAGGCCGGAGATAACAACAGCCCGTGAAGAAAAGCCAGATCTGGTTGATGGCAAATATCGGAGGCGAGATTAAAGTCCAAGGGGAACTGGCCCATCGAGTGCGGGGGCTGCGCAGCTGATACATATATCGTGGCGGTCCCAAATCCTTCGAGAGCGCGCTTTGGACGACGGTGGACAGGTTACGCTCACATACGGGTCGAATATTCCTCTCCATGAGCTGTCCGTAAACACCGTCTCGTTGGTTTGGTGAGCAGGCTCAATCGGGCCCCAGCCTTGATCTCGGTCCATCGACCAGCCGTTGACAATTTCCTCTTCGGGAACGGGGGTTTGGTGATGTACAATCCGTTTCAGTGCTCTCGCCTTCCTATATGGCACGGCGACTCGAGGCTCATCATTCAAGTTGAAGACCAGATCCATGTCCGGGAGGTGTTCAGAGAACTTCTCAATCATATTTGCAGCCCCGACCACCATCCAAGCATGAGTCGGCTTGATCCCCTCTTGCACTCTAGCTTTCCCATTGCGAATACTGATGGCACCGAGATCATTGAATGGATTTGTGGCGAGCTTGTGTGTCATATCCCGTAATTGATCGGGACGCAGGGCCCGGAATGGAAGCAGATTGTCATAGATCTGAGGGAAATCGTCTATGACAACTGAGGACCGATTGATCGCATACTCATACCATTTGTCAAATCCTGGTGGTGGATGCTGATTGTATCGCCGCCGATATTCCATGACGGCCTCTTCAATGTTGTTACTGCTCTTAGCTTGTATTAGGAAGTTCTGGTGATTGATTCGTCCATTTTGAATGAGCACGTCAATCGGGTGGGAATGAACTAGTCTCTCTTTATTGACGACGAACCACAGACCTATTCCAAAGAGCGAAACAAATAGCACTTGGAGGACAATGTTCGTTCGGCGGAAAGGTCTCGTCTCCTTTTCGGAGGCAACTTGTGCACCAAGGAACAGTAGAGCCCCCATCAAAGATGTACCCAAGGCGGTGGTGGCGTAGAAGGGGGAGATGAAAGGGAAAGGCGCCGGTTCTGCGTAAAGTGTCGATACGGAAAATGTGTAAATGAAGACAAACCCTGCCAGAATTGACACCCCAATGATGCCATAGTGCGGCAGCTGAACCACTTAGTACTATTTCCCACGAAACATGCAGCGCAATACTTACAATATGCCAGGCTGACAACACCAAAATGACTGCCAGCAGTGCTTGGCTCAGAGCACTGCGCGAATACTTTGCATCCAGAAATAGCTGACCGTTGTGCTCAGGGAGGTGACGCTGCACAAAAATCCCGATGATCGTCCAAACGAAGGCCACGCCCTAAAGCCGACAGTTAGACTACTAACACAGACAAACGACCGTCTCTCACTTACAAATAGACCGATTCCCAGAGAAACCAATGTGCGCCTTCGCTGCAACTCTTGCATCCGACTGATTTCGCGCCATAACTCGGCGATACCAATCAGAAGAAATGAGTCGAGGAGGATGTTTAAGATCTTGTATGTCCGTAGGCGCAGTGCCTCGCCAACAACCTCGGGACAGATGTAGGTCGACTGTTGTCCAGCCGGAAGCGATGAGGCCAAACAGCCACCAATCAAGAGCAAAGAGGCAGCTATCACAAATCGCAAACGGCCTTGGAATAGGTAGGACAGAAAACCCCGGCTGGGAATAGACAGAGACGGCGATTGTGGCTGCGCAGATTGCGCTAAAGGGATATAGTCGCTCGGTCTCCGAGACCGCTGATTGCGCCAGTAGTCGTAGAGAGAGACGGCAAAAGGGACGGCATACTGATGGCACAGGACTATCAGACATCGAGCGCTGCAGGTGAGCATTTCGGACAACTTACTTCATATGTAGCGGGCGCGCATTCGGTATGGAGCGTGATCCGGCGGAACGTCTCAATGCGTAGACCGCATAGTCCGGCCAGCAGAGCGACCTTGGCCCACTGGGTGACTTGCCATCGGGATCTCCAGGAAAGAGGAGTGTTTGGATTGCTAAAGCCACTGAAGACGGAAGCCGGCGAGGATACCGAGAAAGGGGACGAGGCCGATAATGGCGAGGATATCGGCGATTGGGTCCGTGATGGATTCCGTGAAGGCAGTTCAAACTGGTCGGGGAAGGGATTGCCAGACGGTTTGCGCGTTGGCGATGGCGGCCGGTTTACTGATGGAACCAAACGAGCCCATATCATCAAAGCCACGCCCAGAAGAATACACACCAGGATGGCCGTGTCGACCGGGCGGTCTATACATGGTCAGTCCATTCCTCTCTATTTTGAATGTAGAATGTGGACCTACCAAAGGCGAAGGTGGCATTGTAGGACGTGGTGAGGAAGAGAGAGCTCAGCAGGAATATCCTACGGAAAGGCGTCAGTGTCGGTGGCTTGGTACAAGCTAGGGAGATCGCACTCACCCCACACAGACCTTGAGGCCAGTGTCCGGCGAGATTTGGAACATGTTGATTAGTCCCGCGTGACGGCGTCAACGGCCATGGCGTCAGGAAATAATGCGCCTGGGGGAAGAAGAAGGAGCAAGGGGAAAGAAGCGCGTTGGACAGAAGACCAGAAGATGAGGAGGAAGAAGAAGAAGAAGAAGAAGGAGGAAGAGAAGGTGGTGGAGTCAAGGGGAGTGCAACGAGGGAGAAAGGCTGGCCAAAGCAGGGAACAACGGTCTGGGCGGCATTGCGTCAACGGAAAATACGATGATGATTATTGACTGTGGTGCATGTATTATTATTTATTGATATCTTCTATAGCTGCAAGTAGAACTAGATTAAATAAGAAGATCCAACAGACGACTGTCGCTACACCGAAATTGACTCGTTCCTCTCTGCAGTATCCAAGTGAGATCATGAAGTATGAAGGGTTTTAGCTTAGGGCAAACTTGGCTTTCCTTGGCCTGGGGGCCCACTTGCGCTGTCAGCGATTTTCCCTTCAAAGCTGCACGCGCAGACCCTGCATCGACAGGACGCGTCATCCAATGCCAATAAAGTTACTCTACTAGTAGCCGCCGCTAAACGGAATTCAGTAGGAAGCCACGTGACCAGAGGAATCATGTGACTCGGTCGAGGCGGTATCAGATACAGCAAGCGGTGACGGACGGCAGTATGGTTTTTTTTTCGTTCGGTCGATCGACGGAGCAACTTTTTTTGGGTTTTTTGTTTCCGACGCACTCGAACTAACCACCGAGCGTTCTGGAGCCAGTGGTGTCCCGGGTTATCCTATATTACCAGTCTTGCGAGTGACCTTCTTCGGCTCTCTCCCGCGGTCAGCTCCCGCGCCCTCCTCCCACAACCATCATGCCTCGCAAGGCCATCGACTCGCGCATCCCCGCGCTCATTCGCAATGGCGTGCAGGAGAAGAAGCGCAGCTTCTTCGTCGTGGTGGGCGACCGCGCCAAGGATGTGATTGTGCATCTGCACTACATCATGTCCAGCGTCGACGTTAAGCAGAACAAATCCGTGCTCTGGGCCTACAAGAAGGATCTGTTGGGCTTCACCAGTCACCGCAAGAAGCGCGAGGCCAAGATCAAGAAGCAAGTCAAACAAGGCATCCGCGAGCCCAACCAGGAAGATCCCTTCGAGCTGTTCATCACCCTCAACCAGATCCGCTATGTCTACTACAAGGAAACAGAGAAGATTCTTGGTAACACCTACGGCATGTGTATCCTGCAGGACTTTGAGGCTATGACGCCCAATCTGCTAGCGCGGACGATCGAGACGGTCGAGGGAGGTGGTATGGTGTTGCTGCTGCTCAAGAGCATGAACAGTCTGAAGCAGCTATACACTTTGTCCATGGACATTCACTCGAGATACCGGACGGAAGCACACGAGGACGTGGTCGCTCGCTTCAATGAGCGGTTTATCCTGTCACTGGGCAGCTGCGATTCGTGCTTGGTGGTCGACGACGAGCTGAACGTGCTGCCCATCTCCGGCGGCAAGAATGTCAAGCCGCTTCCTCCTCCTGAGTCAATCGATGCCACCAAGTCCGGCCCACAGAAGGAGCTGAAAGAGATCAAGGAAAGTCTGGCGGAGTCGCAACCCGTGGGCCCTCTGGTCAACCTGGCTCGCACCGTCGACCAGGCCAAAGCGCTCCTCACCTTTGTCGATGCAATTGCAGAGAAGACCTTGAAGAGCACAGTTGCGCTCACAGCAGGCCGAGGACGCGGAAAATCGGCTGCCCTTGGTGTTGCGATTGCAGCAGCCATTGCTCATGGCTACAGCAATATCTTCATCACTTCCCCAAGCCCAGAGAACTTGAAGACGCTCTTTGAGTTCATATTCAAAGGCTTTGATGCCCTGGGCTACTTGGATCATGTCGACTATACCATCCTGCAATCGACAAACCCTGATTTCAACAAAGCCATTGTGCGCGTTAATGTCCACCGCAACCACCGTCAAACCATCCAATATATTCAGCCGCAGGACGCTCATGTTCTGGGACAAGCAGAGCTTCTGGTTATTGATGAAGCCGCAGCCATTCCGCTGCCGATGGTGCGGAAGCTACTGGGCCCTTACCTGGTCTTCATGGCCTCCACCATCAACGGCTACGAGGGTACCGGCCGATCATTGTCGCTGAAACTGATCCAACAACTACGGGAACAGTCCCGCGGAGGTATCAAGGCCGACGACACCGACGTTGCAGACCGTAGCACAGGCAAGTCTGCTAAGAACGCAGATAAGAACCTTGGTGGTCGCTCATTGAGGGAAATTACTCTGGCCGAACCGATTCGGTATGCCCCGGGAGATTCTGTGGAGAAGTGGTTGAACAAAGTCCTGTGTCTCGATGCGACTCTGCCCAAGTCCCGGATGAATACCCAAGGCTGCCCTCACCCGTCGCAATGTCAGCTGCTCCAGGTCAACCGTGACACCCTGTTCTCCTTCCACCCTGTTTCCGAGAAGTTCTTGCAACAGATGATGGCATTGTATGTGGCCAGCCACTACAAGAACACGCCCAACGACCTCCAGCTTATGAGCGATGCCCCTGCACACCAGCTGTATGTGCTCGTCCCGCCTATCGACGAAGAGGCCACAAAACTACCGGAGCCGCTCTGCGTCATCCAAGTTGCTCTTGAGGGTCGCATCAGCCGGCAAAGCGTTCTCAACAGCCTGAGTCGTGGCCAACGAGCCGGTGGGGATTTGATTCCCTGGCTGGTCAGCCAGCAGTTCCAGGATGAGGATTTCGCCAGTCTATCAGGTGCTCGCATTGTCCGGATTGCGACCAACCCGGAGTATGTGGGTATGGGTTATGGCTCGCGGGCTCTCGAGCTTCTGGTGGATTTCTACGAGGGCAAGTTCACGAGCTTGTCGGAAGACATGGCTGCGCCCCAAGAGGAAATGGTCCGCGTCACAGACGATGAGCTTGCCAATTCTAATCTTTTAGACGACAACGTTCACGTCCGAGACATTCGCTCCATGCCGCCGCTGTTCGGCAAGCTAACGGAGCGCCGTCCCGACATGCTCGATTACATCGGCGTCAGCTACGGCCTGACTCCCAATCTTCACAAATTCTGGAAGCGCTCCACCTTCAGTCCAGTGTATCTGCGGCAGACTCCCAACGAGCTGACGGGTGAGCACTCGTGTGTGATGCTGCGTACTTTGACGGCCGGCACCAACGATGCCGCTTGGTTGGGCGCCTTTGCACGAGACTTCCACCGCCGGTTTCTGGCTTTGTTGTCGTACCAGTTCCGCGAGTTCCCCTCTGTTCTCTCCCTCAGCATCTGTGAATCGGCCAATGCAGGCGCAAAGCTCGACCCATCTATTGTTGGGCGCCCGCTGAAGAAGGCCGACCTTGACGACGCCTTTTCGCCGTTTGACTTGAAACGTCTTGACAGCTACGCCAACAATCTTTTGGACTACCACGTCATCCTCGATATGGTGCCCATTATCTCCGAGTACTATTTTGCCAACCGTCTCGCCGGCAAGGTCAGTCTCTCGGGTGTGCAACAATCCATTCTCCTCGCCATCGGCTTGCAACGCAAGAGCCTGGATGCTCTGGAGAAAGAGCTGAATTTGCCTTCGGCGCAACTCCTCGCCATGTTCCTGAAGATCATCCGCAAGGTGTCTACCCAATTCCGGGGTTTGGTCGAAGGTGCTGTCGCCGACACCATGCCCGCCGATCAGGTCCCCTCGGCCATCTCTGCATCCGGAGCTCACGACGATAATCACGTCTCTGAAGACCGGTTCAAACCACTAGAGACTGGCCTCGACGAGGAACTGCGCCAAGGCGGCCAACAGATCGACGAAGAGATGCGCGAGAAACAGCGCGCACTGATTGACGCTCTCCCACTGGACCGGTAAGATCAATCGATCCTCGTCCACAGCCAGGAATGAACAATAACTGATTTCCAGCCTCCAGATACGAAATTGACCACGGCTCCGCGGCCTGGGACGACGCGGAGAAACAGATCCGCTCTGGCGGTGGCTCCACCGTGAGCGTCAAGGGCAAGCCGTCGAAACGGAAGAAGGGCGAGACTGCGCGCGAGATCTTTGACAAGGAGGTGGATTCCAAGCGGCAGAAAATTATCAAGAAGGGCACGGAAGGCCGCAAGAAATAGATCGATATCTGTCTTCTTTTGCATTTGACAAGGTGTTCCTTTGGTTTCTGCTGGGATTTTTCTTTTGTGTACCTTTTGTCTACTGTGTATACAATCCACATCATTATTGTTGAAGCGAGGACTTAGTGGACCTCTCCGATTGCTCCCCATTCCTTCCATCCACCACACCGGATTTTGTGACGATTTTCATCGAAACTTAAAAACCCCGGGTTTTGTGGAGGCCGGAGGCGATAGATGTATCATGTACTACTGTATCCCGAACCCCTGCCCGTGCCCCTTTTCCATGTTGGCATGCGATTGAGCAACCCTGCCTCGGCATAAACACAATTATGGTTCACTCCACAAAGGGGAGGACTTTTTAGGCTGAGCATGGGGACCTACCTAGTCTGGTTTAGGGCAGACAACCCCAGCCAATAATGATTTCTAGACTCTGACTCGTCCGGTTTTTCAACTAACAATTCCATGCCCGCTCAGACAGGCGCCAGTTACACTAGCCACCCACTAGTCTCGGTTTCTCCGACTTCCGATAGGTACGCTAACGACACGAAGGCGGGAAAGAAATAGGACTCTTGACGATCGTTCTCAATCCCAAGGCCCACCATGACTGAAGCGTGTTCCCCCGTCACCCGAGGCTGTCTCCGGGGACATGCCCACAGCCTGCCATGTACAGGGTTTAAATATAACTGCAATTCTCTAGTCGCGTGGCCCATTCGTCAATGGTCCGTCCGCTCATTGTGAAGTCTTATTTGGCCATGTTTCTCCCTTCTCTCGGTATCGGCCTCCTAGCAGCTTCGGCGTCGCTTGCCAATGCAGTCGAACTCCCGGGCTACGAGTATGTCGTCGTCGGCTCAGGGGCCGGCGGCGGTCCTGTGGCCGCTCGTCTGGCCATGGCGGGCCACAAGACACTCCTGATTGAAGCTGGCGATGACCAAGGCCAAAACGTGAACTACAGCGTCCCCGCATACTCAGCCAAAGCCTCCGAGGACCCGGCGCTGGCGTGGAACTTTTTCGTCCACCACTACGCCGATGACGAGCGCCAGGCTCTCGATTACAAGACTACTTATGAAACTCCCGATGGAACCGAGTATACAGGTCTCAATCCGCCTGCGGGTTCGACGCTCAAGGGGACGCTGTATCCGCGGACGGGTGCGCTGGGTGGTTGCACCGCGCACAACGCCCTCGTTGCCATCTACCCGTTTGAATCAGACTTTGAATACGTCGCTACCCTGACGGGTGATGGATCCTGGGCCCCGGATAACATGCGCAAGTACTTCGTCAATGCAGAGCGGAACCACTATCTTGCTCTGAGCCCAGGACACGGCTACAACGGCTGGCTGCAGACCGAAGAAGCGCCGCTCACCCTCGTACTCGAGGATACGCAGCTGCTCAGCATGATCACCGGCGGCCTCTGGGCCCTGGGTAATTGGACCAGCGGGATCTTCAACCTCGCTACACTGGCCGCGGGCGATGCTAACGCCGACTCGCTGGCGCGCGACCAGAACCCGGGGTACTATCAGATCCCTATCTCGTCCAAGGACAGTGTGCGTGTCGGGTCGAGGGACTTTGTCGTTGACGTGCGTGATGCGAAAAATGTAGATGGCAGTAAGAAGTATCCACTTGATGTGCGCACCAACTGTTTCGCAACCAAAGTTCTCTTTGACGACTCTGCGAGCCCGCCCCGTGCAACGGGCGTCGAATTCCTCGACGGACAGTACCTGTTCAAGGCTAGTCCTCGATCTGGAGAAGCGCGTGGTACTCCAGGAAGCGTGACGGCATCCCGCGAAGTGATTGTTGCCGGTGGTGTGTACAACTCTCCACTGCTTCTAAAGCACAGCGGCATTGGTCCTAGAGACGAACTCGAAAAATTCGGCATCCCCGTCGTGGCAGACCTGCCCGGAGTTGGCTCAAACCTGCAGGATCACTACGAAATCGTCGTGCAAGGCAGTGTGCCAGAAAACTTCACCCTGCTTGATGGCTGTACATTCACCTCCAAGGACAGTACAGACCCATGCCTACAGCGCTGGGAGAATCCCGTTCTCGGAAATAGAGGCACGTACGCCTCGGATGGCTTTGCATCTACCATGTTCTTCAAGAGCTCAGCTACGGCAGATGAGAACTGGGATGTCTTTGTCTTCGGCGGACCTGTCAATTTCCGTGGATACTTCCCTGGATACAGTATCAATATCACCGCGCACCACGATGTCTGGAGCTGGGCTATCCTGAAGTCTCACCCGCGCAATACGGCCGGAAAGGTTTCCCTGCGCTCGGCGGATCCCCTTGATCTCCCTCATATCGTTTTCAATTACTTCGATACCGGCAGTGGTGACTACAGCGCTGATCTCGAGGCTCTGTATGAGGCTGTTGAACTTGCCCGGGACGCCATCGCACGCCAGCTGCTTCCTGTTGAAGAGATCTTGCCTGGTGCGGGCGTCACATCGGCAGAGGATATTGGGGACTACGCCAAGAATACAGCTTGGGGTCACCACGCCTCGTGCACATGCCCGATTGGTGCTGACGATGATCCGATGGCCGTTCTGGACTCGAAGTTCCAGGTCCGTGGTGTAAAGGGCCTGCGTGTGGTTGATGCTTCCGTCTACCCTCGTATCCCGGGAACGTTCACGGCAGTTTCGACTTATATGGTTGGTGAGAAGGCTGCTGATATTATCCTCGAGCAATTTGGGCAGACTTCGCTCACTGACCAGGGCTTGGTTAACTTGGGTGATCTTCTCTAAATGCTTTGGGGATTGTATTTTTAATTGACTGTCAAATTCACCCCCCATCGGATGAGATATTTTGAGATCTCACTGTCTGGACATAGAATGATTTGGGTCTCTTTTTTGTATATATGAGAATCGTCATGAAAGATGGTTACGGAAACGTGATAGTCACTGTCGTTGAATCTAATGCAAGGGTAGCCTTTGCCCAAAGAACAATCGATAGGCTACCATCTCTTCTTATTTTGTTCTGTTTGATTCCCTCCAGCAGCTAATAGAACAAGAGTTGAATGAATCCCGACCTGTTCGAATAGCTGAGAGAGTGTCTTAGAGAACCGTGAAACACCTGGACCCCGCAGATTGTTTATGTCTTGAATGCCCCCGGCCGACTAGTGTCGAACGACTCACAGCTCTGAGACGCACATCACGAGTCTACTTTCTTTCTTTAGCTTCAAAGCCATATGAGGAACCGTAGATACGGCAAGGCTCCGAAAATAGAATAGAAGTAGGCCTTCTTTTCACAGATTGATGTGTGGGGCGGACATCTATACTTCCAACAATCCCCAGGTGAAAGAAAGAGAATCATTAAATTCAGAAAATAGATCCATATCTCCCCGAGATATAGGACGAAGAACATGCAATTCGCTAAATGAGATCCGAGATGAAACCATACAAGTAAGTAAGCAAGGCAAGAAGGTTTGTCTGGCCAGCTCTCCCTCCATTAAAGCTCATCATGCTCCGGCTCAGCCTGAGATTCGACCACCAGTCCCTCCGGCAACTTCTCCTTCGCACCCTCACCCAACCGGAGGGCATCCACCCAAGCCTCGAGAGCGTGGAGACCAAAGTCCTCACTCTCACCGTACTGGCGCCACCATCCACGGCGGGCATTCAGAGCAACGATTTGGACCGTTTGGTCATTGGCTAACCCCAGTCCGTCGCGCACAGTCTTGGAGCCTGTGTTGATGGCGGGGACCGCATACAGCGGGAAAAGTTTCGTTCCGCGCTGGGCGTGCTTATGCGCGATCTCGGCCAGATTGGCCAGTACATCTGTTGCGATAGCGGGGAGAGCGGCATCCGCCTCGCTAGGCTCTGGGAGAAGAGCAAGCACACACGTTCCAGACTTGGGTGCGAGGCAACTAGACTCGAGGGATTCGGCAGTGGCGAGAGTGGGGATCGGGGGTGTGGCGATAGGAACCTGGGCAGGTTTGCTTTCAGCGCCCTCCACATTGGAATCGTCGTCGGCCGTGGGTGTCGGTTTCGCAGCCTTGGAACCAGCGGCGGAAGCCGCAGCTTCCGCTAGCGCGCCTGGCAAGGCGTCCGGATTCGGCTTGGCCGTTAGGCTCAGGAACGCAGTAATCGGGAGTTTCTTCATTTCGCCATTGTAGACCTTGTTCTCGCCGCTGTCGGCGGGAACCAGGACAAGTGTTGGGAACTCGGTGATGTCGTATTTGTCGACCAACTCTGTCTCCTTGTCGCGCACCTGGGCGAAATCAATGGAGCCCAGGAAGTCGATCGCCAACGCGCGAACAAGCGCGCTGGTTGAGCCCTTTTCCGTGAACAGGATCGCCTTGGGCCGGTCCTCGTTCTGGGCCAGCCACTTGTCCAGGTCCTTGTTCGTAGCGCGCTTGACGTGGTTGGGGATCTGGTCCACCACTGCGTCGACAATGCCCTTGGCAGTACGCGCGCCCTTGTAGTCCTCCACGCGTGGCTTGCCCGGTTTCTTTCCAGGCGTCACGATCTTCAACGTTGGGAAGCCCTGCACGCCCAACTGGCCGCAGAAGGCCTTGTTCTCATCATCGTCGCAGTTGACGGCCGCAACTTTGGCCAGACCGTTCAGGTTCTTCGCCGCTTTTTCGTATGCGGGCTTCAAATTCTGACAGTGGCCGCACCACGGGGCATAGAATCTAGAGCTCGAGGTCAGCGGGGAAGAGCTGCGATAACGACACGTGGGTCCAAAATGAGGGAAGAGAAGCTTACTCGACAATCTGTACACCGATGTTAGCTGCGGAGTAGCGATGTCAAGCAAGGGATTGACTCACGGAGGTGTAGTTTGACTTGGCAATGAGATCGCTGTAGGTCTTCTGGTTCAGGTTGAGCACTGGCGACTTCTTGGAGTACAGGCCGTCGGCGTAAGCGGGCAGCGCCGCCAGCAGGGCGAGCAGGATAGAGTTGGGCAGCTTCATTATTCTGTATGGCGATGCGAATGAACAGAATGGGGAGAACAAGGAGGGAAGGAAGGAAGGAAGGAAGATGCCAGGTGTCGTCGGCGCCAGGTGTCCTGTGTGGGGAACACAACTCTGCCAATGACAACACCAACACCCGAACTGGCCACGCTGCCCCTGGACCTCTTCTGGGTCATTACGAGCCAGCTATCCTTCTATGACGTCGCGCGTTGTCGCCAGGTCTCGCGCTCATGGAATGAAGCCTTTTGCAGCGCATCTATCCTCGTGCCGCTGGCGAAGCGATGGTTCTTGGGGACCCCGGAGGCCGACGAGATCATAGCCAGAAGCTCCGATATTGACAATACCGAGTGTCGCCGTCTGTTTGACCAAGTCGCTTCCCGGTGGCATCGAATGTCGATCCAGAAACCTCGCTCGCTGCAGAAATACCAGCTGTGCGATGACTTCGGCAGCAATGGCGAGCGCGAATGGTTCCCCATCCCGCCGTGGGAGTCGCATGCTAGCCACTTCAGTGACCTTGTTGACCGACCGTTCGGCGAGGCGATGTGGACGTGTGCCGATCACTTGCTGGTCTATCCCAGTGCCCATCACCAGTGTTTGGTGCTGATGGACCTCGAGACGGACCGTCACTTTATGGTGCCATTTATCGTCCATGGAAAAGTCGTGCGCCGAGTACGCCTGCAGAACCAAGTGCTTGTTGTGGAGTGGGCAGAACCCCAAGCCTTTCACTGGCTCAACGACAGCGACGGTGTCCATCGCCACTTTGCCTCGTCCTTCGACGTGACGCGCAACTCCGACGATGGTTGGAGCATTGTCCCGCGCAACGAATGGAAAATAATGTTCCTGGGCCACCCTCTCAGTGACCGAGACCGCTTCTTCTCGTCTCATACTAACACGCACTACGTGATCTATATGTGGCAGCCGAACCGCAGTCTTTACACTGCAGACGAAGATGCGCCGATTGAATCCTTGTTCGTCTGGGACATTTCGAAGCCGTCCTCTTATCGTCCGTCTCTGGATCCTACAGGCAGTCTGAGAGATCAAGAATCAGACGCACCCACGGTCGAGGTTCGCTTCGGTTTCCGCGATCTGGAATTCTTCGGTATACGACAACGCGGGTGTCCCAGCATCCAACGACTAGAAATCACAGACGATGCCCAGGCTCTAGAAATTACAGAGAATATCACTGATGAGGAATACGAGTGGTGGCCATCATCATTTACTATCGTTACCAGCATCCCCTTATCGGGCTATGGCCCGCACCGTCGGCACCGAGTTGAGGCTCCCCTAGTGCCATATCGCGGGAACTGTAGCTTGCAAGCGACCCCGCTTGGGCCTGTGCCTCTCCTATGGGAATCGAAGTACCCGGAGAATATCCTCGACTATGTTTATCATCCCATCGACTATGCTTCCATACCGTCATTCTTCTTCTGGGTCCTTCTCCTGAGCCGAAATCCGGAAACACAAGAGGCAAGCGTATACCTCCAGTTTCAGTCTCTTCACTACCCGCCCCTCACTCACCCGAATTTGGACTTCGCGGGCCGAGCGAAGCTCTGTGGCGGCGAGTCATACTTGGTGGGCGAAAACTGCAACCGAGAGCTGGTGATCTGGCGATTTGACCGCTGAACGAGTGCTACTCGGCATGGCGGGTATCAGGGACTTACTTTGATCCCAAATCTGAATGGGAGGAGCTTGCCATTTCTACACGGCTTTTCCACCACCAGTCTTCCAACGTCGTCATCTTCAATGAGTGGCTAGGCTAGGTCACCCATTTTACCAATGACGCAGCCCGAATCTTAAGGGACGGTTTGCTTGATCACAATACTCTGCAAGTTTCTGGCGTTCAAAGATACCACCCTGATCCCGTCGGACGTGATTGATACGTTCTTCAAGTACTATGATGAAACAAAAGCACACCCCCTATGGCTTGCGTACTTTGATCTCAAAGGCGGTGCGATCAATGATGTGCCCATGAACGCCATTGCCTCGTGCATAGGACCGGTCTTAATCTCTTTCAATCTTACGCCTTGGGCCTAGACTTTGGGCATGTGTCGCAGATCAAGAATTTATTTGAGGCATTGTGGATATCCTCATTAATGGAATGCCTGGTAAGGGCCACGAATGGCGGATACTCTAAATTATAGAAGCTCAGCTCAAATGGCTCTGCGTTCCCATCTCCTTATACCTCCCAGGCCTACCACTCGCGGTTTAGATATATTGCTTCATTACCCTTGTCCACGCTAACACCCGTAGAATCCGTCCCTGAATCATTTACCACGACCACCTTCGCCAAACCTTCTCTTCCTCTCACTACCCAGGCCCCGCAGAGCCCAGCCCCAGGACCCGCAACCAAACCAACTAGCACACTCAACACCGCAATCCGCCAGGCCGCATCCATAAAGACCCAGTAGAGTACAGTAAGTCCAGTCGCCACCACATCAGCATGTATGAAGAACAAAGCAGCACGTTTGGTGGGTGATCTGTCATCCGGTACAAATAGAATTTCGTAAAGGAGAGCAGTGTGCGAAGCTACAGAGCACATCAACGGTACAGCATATATCATGACGAGCCCCAACTTGGTTGATTCTGAACTTGGAGCTACCTCACGGGGCCTTCTAATGAAATTGGTGGCGGGCGACGACACCCACCGGCGGACGACCTGGGGAATGGTGGAGACATAAGCAGGGAAGAAGAGCCAGATAACGATCCATAAAGCGGACGGTGTAAAGATGACCAAAGCGATAATAGGAGCGTTAGATTAATTATGGAGGACTATTTCACCTATCAGAAACTAAAGAATCACGAACTTCTCACTTTTAAGAAAACAAACAAGGCGATGCATAGATTAAGGTCAACGAATACATGAAAAGAAAGCAATAACAAACACAGCGAGATTTGTTTTCACATTTTTCCTTTTTCATTTTTTTTATATTCTCATCTTTTGCCTCTTTTTTTCGTTTCGCTTTTTCTTTCTCTTGTTCTCTCTTATTTTCTTTCTTTTCTTTTACCTTTCTCGCCCTTTCTTCTCTTTTATCAAAAAAAGATCTTTCTCCACGAATTATTAAGCTGCAAGTCTTGAAAGGTCGTGTCTTTCGAGGTCCCCCATTCCCTGGATGTATGGTATTACGCTGCCATGCATGAACCGGATAGCTGAGTCTGAGGAGGACCGACGTCAACCAACTGTGCACCGTTAACTGCAGTGACACTATGGTCAATGCCCTCGAAGATACAATCAACGCCCTGAGTATCCAACTCTATATGAGAGATGCTGAGAGGATTAGCTAGAACAATTAGCTCAATTCATTCATCCAAACGGAAGATCGTAGGTAAAAGGCCATACTGATTTGCATAGCTTGACCATTTGTGGGGAAGCTCTGGACGAATTGGGCATTGGCTGCACCAATGAAGGTGACCTGAACCTGGCCACCAACAGGTTGAGGTTGGGGAGCAGGCATAGGAGGGTTTGGACCCGATCCCAGTGGCTGGCAAGATCCAGATACCTGGGTTTGAGGAGGGCCAACATCAACGGTTTCGGCTCCATTCACAGCCGTAACACTGTGGTCAATACCATTGAAAGCGCACTGGACGCCAGCAGTGTCGGACGAGATATGCGAAATACTCAATACATTAGCTGATGAGGTTAGAAACGATACATCAGATGTTTGGCATGACCGTCAATCAGTATAGCTCACAAATAGTGATAATAGAACCGTCGGCTGGGAAGCTTTGAGAAAATTGAGCGTTGGCTGCGCCAATGAAGGTTATCTCAACTTCCTGAGTTCGCTTAACTGGACCTCCATTGGTAGTCGTGGCAAGGGCAATCAAAGGGGTAAAAACTGTAAGAAACTTCATTTTTGGGGGAAAATATCCAAACGCCGTGTTCAATATTTCTGATGGGTTGGAAATGCTTTACTCAATTTGTATCAAGACAAGGATCGTTCAGAAGAACATGGCGTAGTATTTTATATGCGTGTTTTATTGTACCTTGAGAAAAGTCGACTACATCATCTGATGACAGTTATAGTAGCAGCCAAACAGTTGACTATATTGGGGCTATTTGGTGGCGTTCCGATATCCAAGGTTCACTATCATGGGGACAATCTGAGCATTACCAGTCTACCGGAACAGGTAAAATAAGACTAGATTAGGAGGTTGGGCCCTTCATGTCTTCAAACCCAAACTTTTGACGACCGCCTTGATTTGGATAAAGCTCTCAAGGTTTATGTTCCATGGTTGAAGGATACTAAATATAGTTGATCTACCAGTTCTTCGGTCACGTGGGAAGTCTCATATAACTCTCGTCAAGGATAATGTTACCATATAGCAGCATTCTGGCCCCCCACAATACATTCCTTTATAGTTATCTCACTTGGTATTAGCCATTCTCGCTGCCTAAATTGTATAGTTAACTTCGCGAGTCCTAGATAGTTAATCAGAGTTGACATCCTCTATATGATTACCACACGATTACCTGACCGGAACGGTACGCACGTGGTTCGACAATTCTTTGTTCCAGAGATGACGTGCTCTATAACCACGAAGGTCATATGCCTATAATCAATATAATGGCATTTTCGTTTTCGCTTTCGCTTAGGTTGTTGCCACCTCCAGAGAATTCAGATGTGGTTCCAACTATTCGTAATCTTGTCGCGCGGTCCGTCCAAATAATACCCGCTACTCTCTTCCCACACTCAGGGTTTTTGGCATTCTGATTGGCCTCCCTTACACAAGCTCGGACAACCTACTTTTGGCTCAAGGGATAACCACTCATTTGGCGATCACCGGTTCGAGAAAGCGGGGGTGGGCGAGCCGGATCCAGAGTATTCTGGCCTCATCTCTGGCTGAGGCCTATTGAAAGAAAGTAATTTGACGAACGATGATTACACTTTGCGAAATGCCGGAGGGTCTTAAGATCGGGAAGAAGAACCGGGCCAATAGAGAGACAAGGGAAGGACAAGTGTCTACTGTTTGATGAGGTTTCTGCGGTTCCATCCAGTTCCCCCTCCTTGCCAAAAGGCTACCGCTGCGCCAAACGCCCTGCAGAAACACCACAGCTCGCAGTCAAAGGCCATGATATACTATCGCGGCCTTTCCGTCGTCACCCTGACTTATATAGTATACTCGGGTGAAGGGGAAAACCGTGGCATGGGTCGCATGGCGTAGGAAACAAGCCATAACAGGCATGCTAGTGTCGTGAGGGGGTCTGATTAAGTAAAATAAGGGAATATTAAGGCGTCTTGTGATAAAGGGGGTAGACATACGCTTGATGGCACCAAGAGAAAAGCTGTGAATAGCTATGAGTACTCAATATTAGAGGAAAACCGTCCAGGACGTGAAGGATCTGACTTCATTAAGGGTTACACCTGTGACTCGGAGTCTTAGACAATTTTAGAGCATATGTAAAAGTATCTTTTCTAGCGAAACAAATAGAGCGGCCCGAATACCCTTTTATATCTCTAACTCACGATGTTCGCGCTATGTTTGTATACTTACCACATATATCACAAAATATGATACTAGGACGAATATGGTACATATAATGGGGAACATGTTTTTAGACATGACAGTACAATGGCCCTTATGTCTGCTTTTCAATCGTTATCCCTACATGTCAGGAATAGCCTTCGGCGCTATCATATTATGCGCCAACATTATAAACGCAGTCGAATGAAGGCATAAAGCCCTTAGTCGGGATCTTGTTTGTCGACCAAACCTTCTTAATGTAAGCCTCCAGCTCAGCAAAGGATTCCTCGATTGGGTTGAGACCCGGTGAGTAAGGCGGCAAGTAAAATTACACCCTTATAACCATCGCAGATGTGGATAGAATACTTTGAAAATGACCATAGACCAGTATCTCCTACAACGTATCGTCCAGAATGAACTCCAGCCAACCCCGAACTTCCTAAACACTATACGTACCCAAATAAAATGTCAAATATTTGGACTCTCTGCAAGTACCGTGCACATCTGAAACTCAAACAATCCCATCCACGAACTTGCACCGAGCACACGCCGTCGCACCACAGCTCGGGCAGGTCAAGATGTAAATCGGCATCCACAGGTGGCAGGCGTCACACTCAGGACAGCCAAGCGTCTTCTCCCAGGCGCCCAGATGAGGGCAGTCATGGTGATCGTTGCGCATGGCTAGTGGCTCGGCGTCAGGGTACGAAATTCGAAGGTCTTCCATCCATCCGCAAAAGGTCTCTAGCACAATTCCCTTGAGTTCCGCATAGTAGTCGTCTTCGGTGTAGCGGCCGCGGGAATCGCTGAGCTTGGCATTGAAGAACGACGTGAGGAGAGCAAACGGTTCCTGTTCTTCTTCGGAAGTCTCTTCAAGTTGGCTAGTCTCGTCGTCCCTGACCAGTGAAGCAACGAAGGAAGTGCTGCAGTCGAAGAAGACGGCATCTTCATCATCTGTCTCCATATTCACATCGTCCTTGTTGACGGGGTGCTCTCCATCGCCCTGACGGTGGCAGTCGTTGCCATGAAGCAAGCAGAAAGTAGTACTCTCGAATTCAGTCGTCTGGTCAACCGAAACATCATCATTTTCTTCCTCTCTCTCTAACTCTTCCTCGTCGCGTATCACCCGGGCCCTCATTGCCTCCTTACGCTTCTCCTGTCTCACTTCTTCCTTCGCCTTCTCAACTTCAGGATCAATACCCGCCCATGTCTGCTCCCACTCCTCGGCCGCAGCGCTGTGTCGAGCCCGTTCAGCCTTGGAATGCTCCGAGTCCGGATCCATGTGCACGCTATTCCCAAAGCTGTACATGTACCGGTCCCAGTCGTTGTTGAAGTCCCAGCGTTTCTTGCGGCCCCAGTCGGTGCCGTCTTCAAACCAGGTACGCCAGTCGTCCTCCGGGTGGAGATATCGCCTTTTCACATTCACACCCAGCGACTGGTCATGTTTGCTGCGTCGCTCTGGGTCGCGGAGGGTCTCGATGGCTTCTTGGATCTGTTGTGAGATTTGTTAATATATCATGTGTGTTTGAAACGAACAGTGCTTGATGTGGGAGTAAGGAGGATGGCTGGCGGTACCTGCTGGAAATGCTCGTTGGAGTCATCGTCGCCGCCTGTTTTGTCGGGGTGGTGTTTCAGTGCGAGCTTCTTATAGGCAAGGTTGATTTCTTTGGTGCATGCTGTTGGGGATACACCCAGGATGGCGTAGTAATCCATTGCTGAAAAGTCTCTTGGCGAGTCGAGTTTGTACTGATGGCCCTTTGGGGGGTTGTTTACATGACAGTCAGCGTAAGAAGGGTGTGGGAACAGGGCTTCTCGAACAAAACAAGAAATGCTGGTCGCAAATTAAGGGCAGCCAGAAACCAAGTCAGCACAGTTCTGAGAGTAAGGGGAGAGTTTGGGGGAGGAAGGAAGAGAGAGAGAAGAGAAGAAAGTCACAAAAGATCAAGTCAGGAAGGTGCCGGCTATACCAGACACACAAACTTATAAGCACAAAGGAAATTCGAATGGATTGACACTGATTTTACACGAGCTGAAGGTCGATCTAAACATATATGGACAAGTCTACACCAAAGGTGACTTCTTCCCGTAGACGTTCGGCCTTTACATATCCTCACTGGCAGTGGCACCGGTGATAATCTCGACCAGCTCACCAGTAATCGTGGCCTGGCGCTGACGGTTGTACAGGATCTGGAATCTAGGGGCTTGTTAGATCGAGATCCTAAACATACAAGGAGAAATACATACCGGTTGATCATGTCACCAGCGTTGTTGGAGGCATTCTCCATGGCATTGCGACGGGCCTGTAAGCAAGGTTAGCAGCGGCCACAAGAATATGAATAGACTGGTTAATACAGAAATCTCGCAGGCGTGGCCCTCGGCCATGGCCCAGAACAGGTTGTTGGCAAGAGAGTATTCGCGCAGGCTGGCCAGAGCCTCGTCATCAATCTCGAAAGCGGAGATGTTGGCTAGAAACAGATATTAGTCCTGGTTCGGTTGAAATACTCGGCAACGAAAACCTACGGGACTCGGTAATGGCCTCCTCGGAGTACGCCTCAACGGTGGTGGCTTCGTAGGTCTGGGCGTTGACGAACTTGTTGTAGACAATCTTGACGCTGGCGTAGTCGGCGGGAAGCAGAGAGATCTGGTCGGCGATGGCCTGGGCATCGGCAAAGGTGGGGATATCCTTGCAGACATTGGAGAAGCTCAAGAGGATCTTGTCGGCGGCGACCGAGGAGAGCTTCGCCTTGGCCTTCTCCCCGAGGATGACAATGTCGGAGTTCGGGGTAGTCTCGATCAGGCGGCGAGTAGCCTTGCTCAGACTAGAGTGGATACCACCGCAAAGACCCTTGTCGGAACTGGCGACCACGAACAGAGTCTTCTTCTCGTCCAGCGGCTTGGTCTCGGCATTCTCGAAGACGGCGTTGGAGGTCTGACCGTAGGCGCGGGACTCGTCCATGGCCTTCTGGGCACGAGTGAGACGGGTGGATGCAACGATCTTCATGGTGTTGGTGATCTTCTGGATGTTCTTGATGGACTTGAGGCGGCCCTCAATCTCACGAAGAGTCGCGAAGTTGGCGGCATTGGGCGGAGCAGTGCTAATCTCCTAGTCAGCAAAATCCAATTAATTCACCTTCTCCCACCACCGGAAGATAAATCAATGGCATCGTGGTGGTGGTGGTGGTCGGCAGCGTCGGGGTGTGAGGAGGTTGACACGAGTCGGGACTTACCGGGTCACCGCAGCACTGCCAGCCCGCACGGCCGGGCGGACAGCACGGGAGAACATTGCGAGAGGATTGAGAGGAACGAGGAAGGGATTGAGCCGAAAAGAGCGGTGGAAGATGGAGGGGAAAGAGGGAGAGAACAAGCGGAAGCCTCGCTGGTGGTGGTGGTTGAAGTGCGAAGTCAACTCTCCTGGTTCTGCCGTCCAACGCTAAACCGGAACAGGCAGGCAGGTACGGTGCGCCATTCCGGCCTCTGACGCAGTTTGTGGCCTTGGTGCCTCGGCGCCTGAATTTCCAGGCCGGATCTCAAATCCGTCGCTGGCGTCTTTCCATTCCATTCCTCATTCCCCCCGAGTTAAAGCCTCTTTCCTTTTCCTTGCTGCATTCTCTTCTCCCCAACTCTCCCGCCCCCCGAGGCTAACCACCACCACCACCACCCCCAACGCCTATCATTCGCATCATTCATGTATCATCACATTTCTTAGGACCACCTCGTTTTTCATTGGTCGGCATTTCCTTGACTTCATCCTTCTATCAGGCCCCGGCGCTGTTTGCCCGACTCGGCAGACGTACACAACACCTCCCCTGGGCCTACCCTCGAAGCTTCTTTCATTCATACTCTCGTCTCTCCCTGTCCTTTCCCCTTCGAGTCTCCATTATGAGCTCTTCGGAGGACGACACTCCTCTCATGGCCACCAATGGCCGGGTCAACGGTAAGTTCGGTTGTCTTTTGTGTGGCCATCACCCATCCAAGCCCTTGTTTCTTTCATCTCAATTATCAGTTTTGGTTGTCCTAGCTTCATTTGAGCATCACATTTCTACCTCGTGCTTATCTGACGTATGATCACCTGCTCCTCTAGGCACTTCCTCAACGGCCAAGGCCAATGCGAACTCCCCCACGGTCAAATCGGAGAGCAGTCAACTGGACCCTGGTGTTTCGATCCGGTTTGGCCCCGTGCAGGACAAAGATGTGGAAATGAAGGACGCGGAGGGCGGTTCCAGCAAGCGCAAGGGCCGCACAAGCGTCAGCCACCGGAAGTCATATGCGGAATCGGAAAGTAGTGATGAAGACGATCAGCCCTTGGTACGCCGCACCCTCCCACAGAATAGCCCTCGTCTCCCCCTTGCGACACTACCGTCGCTGTGTTGGTTTCAGCGATTGACCATTTTCGACAGAGCAAACGTCGACGCACCTCCATGAAGCATATGGATCCTGAAACCGATGAAGACGTGCCTCTGGCACGTAACGGACGAAAGCTTCCGAAGGCTTCCGAAACAGCCATTGGAGAGTCCTCCGACTCCGATGTGCCGATTGAGCGGAAGCTCGCGGCGCAAAAGAAGAAGATTGAGCAGAAGGCTGAACGCAAGCCAGCCCCGAAGAAAGAAACCAAGCCAACGCCAACCACCAAGAAACAAACCAACGGCATTAAGAAAGAACCAGCTGTAAAGAAGGTGAAGGCTGAATCGGTCTCTCCGCAGAAGGCCAAGGGCAAGGCCGTGAAGCGGGAGAGCGAGGATGCGGATGAGAAGGAAGATGAAGATGACGACGAGGAGTACCGATGGTGGCTGGACCCGACCAAGGGCGATGGGACCAAAAAATGGACCACATTGGAACACAACGGTGTGGTTTTCCCGCCGCCTTACGAGCCACTGCCAAAGAATGTCAAGATGAAGTATGACGGGGTCCCGGTCTTTCTTCACCCGGACGCCGAAGAGGTGGCTAGTTTCTTCGGCAGCATGCTCAACTCGACCCACAACGTGGAGAATCCTGTTTTCCAAAGGAACTTCTTCGGGGATTTTAAAGACATTATCAAGAAAACCGGAGGTGCCAAGGACTCTAAGGGCAACAAGATTGAGATCAAGGAATTCTCCAAGTGCGACTTCAAGCCCATTTTTGAATACTACGATACACAGCGACAGGAGAAGAAGAATCTGCCTCCGGCTGAGAAGAAACGCTTGAAGGCCGAGAAGGATGAGGCTGAAGCCCAGTATCAATATTGTATCTGGGATGGCCGCAAGCAGAAGGTGGGCAATTTCCGTGTTGAACCTCCATCGCTGTTCCGTGGACGAGGCGAGCATCCCAAGACCGGCCGCGTCAAGACTCGAGTGCAACCCGAGCAGATCACCATCAACATCGGCAAGGATGCGCCCGTTCCTCCGCCTCCCGCCGGCCACCGCTGGAAGGAGGTGAAGCATGACCAGGAAGGAACCTGGCTCGCCATGTGGCAGGAAAATATCAATGGCAACTACAAATATGTCATGCTGGCCGCCAATTCCGACGTTAAGGGACAAAGCGACTACAAGAAATTCGAGAAGGCCCGCGAGTTGAAGAAGCATATCGCCAAGATCCGCAAGGACTATCAGAAGAAGTTGAAGGACGACATGATGGTGGAGCGCCAGAAAGCTACTGCAGTCTACCTCATTGACCAGTTTGCTCTTCGTGCCGGAAATGAAAAGGGGGAGGATGAAGCGGAAACTGTTGGCTGCTGCTCGCTGAAATACGAAAACATCACTCTCAAGCCACCAGCCACTGTCGTCTTTGATTTCCTCGGTAAGGACAGTATTCGTTTTTACGATGAGGTCGAGGTCGATCCGCAGGTCTTCAAGAACTTGAAGATCTTTAAGAAGGCGCCGAAGAAGGAGGGCGATGAGGTCTTCGACCGGCTGACGGTATGTGATTCCACGTTTCCCATTGCTGATGATGTCTAACGAAAAATAGACTTCTGCACTCAACAAACACCTTCAGGGTTATATGTCTGGTCTGACTGCCAAGGTGTTCCGTACCTACAACGCATCCTGGACCATGGGCAACCTGCTCAAAGAGATGAAACCCACTGGTTCTATTCCAGAGAAGGTCAAGGCATACAACGATGCCAACCGTCGGGTTGCCATTCTATGCAATCATAAGCGCACTGTCACTGCCGGTCATGCCAATCAGATGGAGAAGTTGGGTGAACGGGTAAGTTTAGCCTTCATTTTGGTCAGTTGGTTTCGTAGACTCACATTTGTGCAACAGATCAAGGGACTTCGCTATCAGAAATGGCGACTCAAGCAAATGATGCTCGATCTGGATCCCAGCTTGAAAAAGAAGAAGGGCGCATCCTTCTTCGAGCTCGACGAGGACCTCGACAAGGATTGGGTCAAAGAACACCAGGCCTTCCTGATCGAGGAGCAGACCCAAAAGATCACGAAGAAGTTCGAGAAGGACAATGAGAAGCTGGCCGCTGAAGGAGAGAAAGAGATGAAGGCGACCGAGCTCGAGGAGCGTCTGAAAGTCGTCAAGGAGATGGAGAAGAAATTCAACAAGGAGAACAAGACCGGCAAGGTGGAGGCCGAGGGTAAGGGTCCAACTGTTGAGCGGTTCGAGAACAGCATCGCCAAGCTCGACCAACGCGTTGAGACCATGTCTCTTCAAGCCCAGGACAAGGAAGACAACAAGGAAGTCGCGCTGGGCACCTCGAAAATTAACTACATCGACCCGCGTCTCACCGTTGTCTTCAGCAAGAAGTTCAACGTGCCCATCGAAAAATTCTTCTCCAAGTCTTTGCGCGAGAAGTTCGAGTGGGCCATCAAGTCTGTTGAGGAGGACTGGGAGTTCTAGGTTTATGCTTTCCTGCTTGCAGAATCATTTTGCAAATCACTTTGCACGCCTCTTTTTGGGTACAATATTTCTCGTTTCTTTCTAACCTCACGCTCTTGTGTTCTCAGCCGTTCGTCATCATCGCCTTAAATCTGTTTTTATTCATTTTGCATTTGCAGCAGGAGCATGGAAGCGCCAGCACAGTCTCAGGCGGTGTTTTTCGCCTGAGATTCATATAGAATATGCGCATCAAGCTCCCTGTCTTTGTGTGTCAAGACATAGAAAACAAAAAGGGAAAACAAAAAAAAGCCACGTAGGTGCATGCATGTACTCAGTCATGGACTTGGGTTAACGAGTCCTTCTTTTGCCACCTTGGTTCTGAATCGAGCTTGAGTATCTTATTGCATATACTGTACCAGTAGGTAGTCGCCGGTGGAATGCTTGTTGTGTGTATATGTCTGCAGCAACCTCCATTCTCTTTGGCTCCAAAATTCTGACACTGGGTATATAAGGCAGGCAGGCATTGTTCGGGCCATAGTTCCGCCCGGAGTCAGGAAAAAGTGGATATCTCGGGCACTACAACAGCCCGAACTTGACCTTCATCCATATTATTCGAGCCAGCTGAAGAAAACATTGACTCCTCTCTGTACCATTTTTCTGCCTATAATTATTGTACAATCATGCCATCGCCATCTAAACTAAAAAGCATGTCCGACCCTCAAACATTCCCCAAGTCACCGCGAGTCCTTGCCTGCGTTTTCTGCCAGCAGCGCAAGGTAAGATGTGACCGTCGGTTCCCGTGCTCGAACTGCATCAAGCACCGGACACACTGTCTACCGGCGACGCAGATGCGGCGGAAAAGGAGGTTTCCGGAGCGAGAGCTTCTGAACCGTCTTCGGAAGTACGAGGATCTGCTCCGCCTGAATAATGTCAAATTTGATCCGCTTCATAAGACAGAGTCGGAGGAGTCTCTTACAGCCAGTTATGGTTCGGAGGATGAGCAGCCTGAGTCTGAATGGTCATCTTGTGAGAAGTTACAGAATGCTTATGAGGCTAAGTATGCCCTCTCACTCTCTTTGTCGCTCTCTTCGTCGTCTGACCCTTTATAGGAATATATACCACGCTATGAAGCATGGGGTATGGCAATGACATATGCAAGAGAAGCGGTGTACTGACAATCATTGACCAAATAGTTACCAGAGCCTACAGATGACAACGATACCTTGAGCGATGGTACCCTTCCCGGGGGTATTTCTGTCGGCAAAGCCTGGGATCAATTCGATACGGACGATCACATTCTCTTTAGTTCCCGCAACACAGCAGTCGATCTTTCAATTCTCCACCCGGAACCAGTTCACATATTCCGACTCTGGCAGATATATCTGGACAATGTCAACCCACTGCTCAAAGTCATACATAGCAATCTTCAGCAACGAATCATCGAAGCCGCGAGCAATATATTGAATATCAGTCCCGCGCTCGAGGCACTGATGTTCAGTATATACTGTATGGCAACTCTCAGTCTCACTGCGGAGGAATGCGCCACCATGTGTGGTTCGCCAAAGCAGAATCTACTGAAGAGGTATCAGGTTGGCTGCCAGCAGGCTCTATTGAAGTGCGGATTCTTACGGTCTAGTGACCGCGAGTGCTTGACTGCATTATTTCTCTACCTGGTTTGTTTATCAAGCCTCATTTCTAACCCTCATTGAGCATGCTGATACCATCTAGGTCTCAGTTCATCCAAACACAGATCCTCGGTCCCTCTCCTCTCTGCTTGGCATTGCAATCCGTATTGCGCAGCGCATAGGTATCCACAGCGAAGCAGCCAATTCTCAATGCACAGTCTTCGAAGCAGAAATGCGCCGAAGGCTATGGTGGTCCCTTATACTCTTCGACTCACGCATCAGCGAGCTATCCGACTACAAAACCACAATGCTAGCTCCTACCTGGGACTGCAAGGTTCCCATCAACACTAATGACTCTGAGCTTCGAGTGGAGAGCAAGGAGCCCCCTGTTTCCGGGAAAGTCACCGAGTCGATCTTCGCAGTTGTGCGCGGCGAGCTGGGCGATTTCATCCGACATGCGCCCTTCCATCTCGACTTTACCAATCCAGCCCTGAAGCCTGTTTCCAAACCGCGGGAGGGTGTTGACGACATAGCCGCTCTGGAGAAGATGGTCGAGGAGAAATTCCTCCATTTCTGTGACCCGGCGAACCCGCTTCATTTCATGACGATCTGGTCGACGAGAGCACATCTCTCGAAAAGCCGTCTCTTGGAGAACTTCTCAAAACGCCCACGCTCTTCCTCTGTACACCAACCACTAACGCAAGCCCAACGAGACGCTACTCTCTCATATGCCCTCCGCATGCTCGAGTCCAACACAAAAGTCATGACCTCACCTTTGACAAGGGGATACGTCTGGTTCTGTCACCTGCATTTCCCACTACCAGCATATATCCATATCTTGCAAGACCTTATCCAGAGACGATCATGGAGCAAACAGTCTCGACAGGCGTGGGAGGTAATGAGTGAGAACTACGAAGCGTGGTTCTGTGCGTCGAACACAAACACCCCGCCCAACTCGCTCGTCAGTGACACGCTTTTCGGACATTTCACCGCTATCATTCTTCAAGCTTGGGAGGCTCTCGAGACGCCTGATCAAAAGGACATGTTGGCTCCGCCGAGGATTATCTCTAGTATCAGGCAGAAAAGGGCGGAGGTGGCTGCCGATATACAGAATGTTCATGACACAGCATCGTCTGGCAGTGCTATAGATGCAAGCATCGACGATCTGTTTCTGTCCATGCCCTTGCCCATGGGCTTTGGTAACCCCAGCCCAGGGATTGGCATGGGTGAGCAAGATGACTACTCCGGGATGGACCCAAGGGTTTACTCTCACCTGTCACTTGGTGATATGAATCAGTCCAACTGGGCCTCAATGCACTGGGGTTTAGGATAAGCGGATTGACAAGTTCAGCCTCGGTTGAAGGTAAATAAAGGTTTTATAATCGTGTATTATTTACAAAAAATAAATAAAACTACCTAGTTTAACAAGAAATGAATCCGCGTCCGTCTCTTATCCATATCCAGAATCAGAGCAGCGAGCACAGATTGATCCAACCTAGCTAGTAAGATCATCCAGGGGACGGCAGGCTCAAAAAAGAAATCATGAAGAGGTCGTGCTTGAACGAAAGGGGGTAGTCGATGCTTCTTTCACACAAATGCAATGCTGATAATGTTGGGACGGTTGAGAAAAGTAGATTAAAAAAAAAGAAAAGGAAATGAATAAATCACCGGCCAGGAAGAAAGAAGGGACGGAAAGATTTATGGCCACCAGCCCATGCGTTTGTAGCTCTCGACCATCTCGCGAATCCCGTCGGCGTCGAAGCGTTCGTGCGTCGGCTTCCACCCGGTCAGGGACTCGAAGAGCGACCCGTCGATGGACATGTCCTGGTCCTTGAGCACGTCGCGCTCCAGGAACGGACTGATGGGACCCGGGCGGCTGACGTTGCTCTTGGCCAGCAGGTCCGCCCATGTCTGCAGACTGACCTCGTTCATGTCGTCGACGACATCGTCCAGGCTCAGCTTGGCCAGTTGTGAGACGAGCGAGCCGATGAACGAGACCTTGAGCCCGAACACCTCCGAGAGGGCTTTGGCCACGTGCTCCTGGCGCGTGTCGTTGTGATCGACCACGTTAAATACCTCGGGGAACGAGTCGGTCGAGTTCCGCGGACCCTTGCTCGCACGCCACTCTGCCGCGCGGAACAGTGCCGCCGCCGCGTCCTTAACGTGCAGCGTGTTGATCTTCAAATCCTTGCTGTACAGCAGCTCCAAGTCCTTGTCCAGCTCGACGTGCACGCGGGCCAGACAGATGCCCATGGCGAAGTAGCCCGAGTCGTAGGCGCCGTAGAGGTGCGGCAGGCGCAGCGCGACGTAGTTTGTCCCGGGGATCTTACGCAGCTCGTCCGCGGCCTTGAGCTTCCATTTGGCCAAGTTATGCCACGGCTGGAGCTTGTCGGACTCCTTGCGCGGCGACGATCCGCTCTTGTAGACGTGCGCGGTGGAGCACTCGACAAACGCCGGGATGGCCCGCCGGGCGACCTCGCGGCCCAGTGCAGCGGAGAGGCCGCAACTGCGCACCTCGTAGACGTCGTCGGGCTGGGAGTGGCGTGTCTCGCCGCCGCAGTTGATCACGTAGTCGAATTGCTCGCCATTGGCGCGGTCGAAGATGCGCGGGAAATGCTCTACATATCGAAATTAAGGACTGCCGATCACCGGTTTCGGGGGCTTGCACCACCTACGTTCACGACTGGCGTCCGCCTGCACGAATTTCTCCTTGGAGCAGGCCTCCTCGAATTCAGGCGCCAACCAGGCCAGTTGCGGGAGGACCTTGTCGACTAGCCGCACCTCGGCTGCGAGCTTGTTCTCATGGAGGTACAGGGCGAGGTGGCGGCCCAAGAAGCCTGCACAACATTAGCCGGTGATTGGGCGGGAGAGCCGAGCGAACGATGAACATACCAAGCCCGCCGATGATCAGGACGGCAGGCTTCTTGTCATCCCCGGCCATTTTGTGGTGCAAGTGCGGGGAGAGAAGGGGGGAAAAGGGGGGGAGTAGTTTGAGAGAGAGAGGGGGGGGGAAAGAAGAATGGAATCAGGAATAATACAACAGGATGAATGAATAAAGGAAAGATGGATCCGGAGAACGGGCGGGAGGGAGACTACTAACTAGTGTCACTAATTAGTTCGTGGACAGGGGCGGCGTGAGGAATGACCCCGGTCCACTACACTAGAAAATTCGCGAATGGTTCGTGGCCTGCCAAGCGTCGTGCGTGGGCCAAGTGGGTTAGTGAGTTAGATTAGGGTTAGTTACAGGAAGGGACAGGACCATGGTTCTGTCTGCGATCCGAGATCGAACCAAACATCGTATGTACCCTAACACTCCTCCACCACCAGCACAACCTCAATCTCAAACTCGAAACAGGGGAATTCCCCCCGTGACTTCGCCTGCCAGGCGTACTTCACTTTGTTCATCAGCACCTGCATATCACCTTCGTATCCCAATCGGATGGGGAATGAGGTAGTCGTCCACCTGGGCCAGGCCATAGCCGACACCACAACACGACGGGACACGACGGGAGACTCCCGATGAAGCAGGAGGGCGCTAGGATCAGCCATGAGTGGCAGCCCGCAGCTCTCGGCCATGACATCCAAAAAGCGCTCCGACGTCACAAAGTGCTGGAAGGGGGTGCAGACACTCGGTCGGTCGGTCACCCCATCCTCGCGGACCAGACACGAGGTTCCGGCCATGAACACCTCTTCGTTCTCGATGCTGGCAAAGTTTTCCTGGCTCAGAGTGGCTGTTTGAGGGGCATTAGTCAGTGGTGGACGATACCCACTTGCGCCATGGGGGTCAGGTTCTTACTAGTCGCTGGGGTAGGGTTGCGAAGAGCTAGATGGAGAGGCAGCGGTCTGGCCGGAGAGCAGTTGTTCGGTGTCTGAGACTGGAGAAGCACGTTGCGATCAATCAGTCGAGAAGGCGTGGGAGTGAGCGGAGACTGGGTCTACGGGTGTGGTCAGCTCAAGGGAATCTCCATGCCAAGTATCCAAGAAAACAGACCATCATGTTCGACAGGTTGGGAATTGTCGACAGAGAAGAATCAGCACTTCTCTCCTTTGTGAGCTTGGCGGTCTTCTCCAGGAGCAGCATCAATCCTCGGATCATGCTGTGGACTGCCAGTCAGCCAGCCCTCAGAAAAGAGAGGGCAGATGAAAGAAACTCACGCCTCTTTGCGCTCCGGCCACAGGCACAGATCGCGGGACTCGATACTTTCTTGCATCAGGTACTTCTGGCGGGTTTTATCGCTGCCCCAGAACTTGGGTCCGTTTTCCTCGAGGAAGGTTTCGGCGATCTTGCGACGTTCACTTTCCATGTTGAGGACGCTGACCCAGCTGGAGAACGAGGAGACCCAGGCCTTTAGCTTGAGGCGGAATTCATCCCAGAATTGAATCTGTAGGTCAAAGAAGCGCCGGAACTCGTCCAGGCGGCTCGTGGCGACCAGCTCCTCCCGGTCTAGGAACTCCATCAGAGGGCATGGAGTTTGAGCAGACGACGTTGGAGGAGCAGGTGAGATGTTGTCACCCTTACCACTGCGCAATTTGGCCATAGTGAAAAGATTGACAGAGGTATGTGAGGTACAGGTAGGACTGGACAGAGGAAGGAGGAGAAGAGAATAGAAAGTCGAGACAAGGAAAGGAAGGAAGGAAAGAACGAATGGAAAGAAAGGAAGGAAAGGAAACAGTAGAAATATGAAGCAAACCACAGTCTATGAATTAGGTAAGTACAGGTCAAATCAAGCAAAGGTATGTATTCATGTATTCATATGTAGTGAAAACACACTTCGACTGAATAAAAAGACTGTCATACAAATTCGTATCAACCAACAACAGTACTTGATGTTAGAGCTTCACTCCTCTCAGCAATCAAGATGCCCCCAGACACTTCAGTGAGTTCCTCAGCTCTTTTACAGCCGTGTCCACGTCGTCAAACGTAAGCGCGGATACAGCCCAGCGGGCATGTTTCTGCGCCAGGGAGATGGACTGGTCGTCTACCCCGTGAGACGGTCGAGTCGATGACGCAGCAGCGGGCGGTGCGCGCGTTGACAATGGTGCAGCAGGTGGCTGTGGCGCTGCTGGCGGTGGGATGTGCGCACTGGCACTGGAAGGGTCGTAAAATGACGCAGGATCAGGTGCGGTAGTGGGAGGGCCTGCGGATGGGGGAGGGAAGGACTGGAAGGCGTTGCGGGGATGAACTGTGGTGTCGTGGGCACCACTTCCGGGTGTATCTGGGAGCTGTGGCAGTGTGGAGGAGTTGCCGATGTTCCCTGGGGTTGAGGGAAGCTCCAACTCTCCTCCTGACGGCTCATCCGTGGCTTGCGGGTGTGACCCGGGGGCATTTAGTGGGACTGAAGGGATATCCGGCTCCGACGCGGTGGTGGAAGCGGCAGGCTGTCGCGGGATCGATGAGGCACGAGATGGATGGAGAGACTCATCAAGTGCAGATTGCCGGGCCAGGTGTGGTCCAAGACGGTCCGATTCATCAGGAATCTCTTCCACAGAGGGCTGTCGAGGTTTGGAGGCTTGTTCCGCCACCAATTCATCGAATTCCTGAACTTCGGGAGCTGTAACAGCTTCCTCTGTTTCCTCCCTCGGGGCAGGATTGGACTCGTTGGGGTCTTCGCCGGCTTTGATGGCCTTGACGATTCGAACGGCGTGGTATTTGGCGAACTTGATCCGTCCCGCCATCTCGGCATCGGGCTCCCCCCAGATCTGGCACAGCTCGAGGAAGGTAGCCGCAGCCTGGAAAGTGTCTGCTGTTTGTCTTGATCGCAATTAGCGAAAGGTGTGGGGACTGTTGGAGAGAAGCTCACTTGGTGACCTTGTTGGCAGTCATGGCTGCTTCGGCGCGATTGAAAACTTCCAGGCCAAACTGCTCGACAAATGCATGCGCAGCGACATTGTCCGTCAGTGTATCGTTGTCTGGGTTCTCGCTCTTGAACTGCGGGAGGACGGGCGTTAGCGATCGGCTTCACCGGAACGAAAGGGGGCAGACAGCGAACCTGCTCCAGCTTCTCCACCAGATTTGTCGTGTAGAGCTTGATCTCATCGTCCGAATTGTGGAGGCCTCGTTCGATGATCTGGTTGACGATGTGGAAGTTGCCTGTAGGAGAATATTGGCGATCGAGCTCAGTGTTTGTGCTCAGGTGGGGGGAACTTACACCAGTAAGCCACAACTGGCTTGACACGCTCGATCTGGGCTGCGCGCAGGGCAAAGCGCCCGATGTCGGCGGATTTGAGCGCGACGGGGATATTGCTGGCCATGGCTGTGTTGGAATGAAGGAAGAGGAGAGAAAGAAAGACAGGAAAGAGATGGATGACGTTTCGATCCCGTGCGGAGATAACGTGGGGACATCTACCACACTAAGAAAGTCTCAGGCAGAAGTATAGAACTACAACTACTACTATTGTTCGTCCACCACCCACTCCCCAATCTCAACTTTCTCTTCGGCCAATGCCTCAACCTCGAATTGATCCTCCACCTGCCCACCAGGACTCCGCTCAATCACAATCCACACCTGAATGTGAGGTTGAAGATCAACATCCTCGATCCGAACGCCCGACGCAGCATCGCAATGGCTTCCGTCCTCCGAGGTCGCCAAGATCTCCTTGTACGGCCCCTGGCCCAGTTCCACTGTCATTAACACCGGAGAAGGGGCAACCGCCCGCGCCCCGATCATGGATCGTTTATTCCTCGCCAAGAGCTTGAGCCGCGTGAGGCGTGACACTCGCAATGGCGCCAGCATGCGATCTCGGCCGGCCGACAAGACTCCTACTTGCGATACCACGATGCGGCGGCCGGCAGACTCGGATGCCAGCGGTTGCACCACGCACGGGATCGTCGAGGAGATCCAGAGCGTGAACCGGCCCAGTTGATCGGGTGCGAACGTGGAGCAGACGAGGGTGTAGCTGCCCCGATCCAAGGCCTTGGTCTCGGCCAATGCGCAGCCTCGGCGGTAGTCGCCGCTGTCGGCGATGATGTCTCGACTGCGTACCCTGGCAATGCGTGTACCGTTGGACCAGAAGAGCTTAACGTGCGTCGCCAGCTCGGCCTCGTGGGACTCGAGTAAGACCGAAAGATCGGTCCGCTCGGAAACCTGGATGCTGAATTGCGGATTAAAATGATACCGCGCGGATTCGGCGTTACCGCCGGCAGTCTGTGGATTCCAGTATCCATATGCCTTGTTCAAACAGAGATATTTGTCCGCAGAAGGGGCCAGCGTCACCGGAGATGGGGAAAGTGCGGAGAGTGTGAAGTTTTGGCTCGACGAAGCGAGCGACTGCTCGGAAACCACAACCGTATAGGTCGTCTCCGGAGGCATCTCCAGCCTCATGAGTGTGTTGGGCGAGTCCACGTAGGGTCCCCGATGGAGGGCCCCGTCGCTCAAGGAAACCCTTCTCCCGTCCGCTGTGAATATGTAGATGCTGATGAATTCTTGATCACTGATGCGGTGGTGGTCCACGGTCTTGAAATGTTTCCCGAGCAGAAGCCAGACCGTGCCTCCCGACTCGCTGTGAATCGAGAATTGAGGGTTCTTAATAAAACAGCCAGCAATTCCTCTCCCCTGGGACAGATCCCAGGTGAAGTGGACGTCCTCGCGGTATTTGAACAGGCCAGGGTTCCAATTCAAGTAGAGATTTTCAAAATTCTGCAGAAGCTGCTCGCAATCCATCCAAAAGATCCCTGGCGACAGAGGCGAAAGTTCATTTTGCCTGGAACCAGATTGGGTCTGCTCAGGTTCTTCGCCGGCCCACGGGTTCTTGAGAAGAAATTGGCGACGTCCGTGGACTTCCTTCATGTCCAGTATGGCATAGTCGTGCTCACTCACCAATCCCAGCCCGATTTGCTCCTGTTCGGTCAGCTTGCCCGTTCCAATAGTCAGAACCACGTCACCAACGTGGAACGGTTTGTACAAGCGGCCCCAAATCTCATCGGAGGTAGTATCCTCGTGGTGGAGGAAGACTTGCTCCGGGATCCACCCAGTCAGAACCCAGAGGTCGGTTCCTGAATTGCTTCCTGGAAAGTCATAGCCCCCACGGACTTTGAGATATGCCTTCTCGACAAGTGCAGGCCATAGAAAACTGTAGTTGTTTCGATCGATCACATGGAGTGACCGTGTGGTACTCGAAGACGGCAGCCGGTCGTCAATGACCACTTTTCGAAAAGACCCATTGAAGTAGAAACAGAAGATGTATTTCCCGGAAGATGATGTTTGGGGGTCCCCTTGGTCTCTTTCACACGGGAACATTGCCGGCATCGCATGCTAGTCTTGGTCAGCTTTGGATGCCAAAGAGGTCACATCATCGTACTTTTCCCAAGCCGCGCTCTGAGCGCGAGGTGGCGGCGCAGAGACTTGCAACCACCGAGCAATCGGTCAATACATCCTGCACCAGGTCCGTGGCGGTTGCCACGGACATGACGGGGTTATCAACAGCAGCCACTCTTGAGAGCAGCAGCTCGCGCGGACGTTTCCAGCCTGCGAAGATAGCCCGTTGACATTCTGAAATATGAAGGTCCGGTGAGTCTCTGCATCCAATTAGTCCTACCATCTGTCACGGCATTTGCTCCGACCTACGTGAAAACCTGGTTGTCCGGCAATATGAATTCCTCCGGAGCTGGTGGACGCTGCCAGGGCGGAAATTTAAATCCATTCAGCTTCGCTCCCTCGAGAATAATGATCTCTTCACGAGTCGTGAGCTTGCGCGTGGAAGTAGGAGATCGCAATCCCTTGCGAGACTCGCCCCACGCCGCCGACTGCCAGTCAGTAGCCCCCTTGATCTTCTCCGCTCTGGTGAGCAGGTCTTTGCATTTTGCATCGAGCGTCGCCTTCTCAGTAGCCGGCGCTAGACGCAACGCTTTCATGTAATGCTCGGCGGCATCGATCGCCGCCTCCAACGCCGCATTCCGCGAGGTGGCCGTGTCGACGGCGTCCTCAGCTTTCTGGGAGGACGGTCAGCCATGGCCCTCAAGATTAGAAAATAAACTGGGGAAGTGATGTACTCTAGCCTGGGAGACGTGCGACTGCGTAGATCCATTGGGGCTAACCATGTTTGAGGTCTAGCCAAATCGTAATAATTGCCGAAAAAGGGCCAGCCGAGCCGAACGACCTGGACAATTCCGAGCTTGGACGATAAATTCCGATGACTGGGAACCACCAATCAAGCTGGACTCTAGCAGGCTCAGAGCCGGCAGAGGGACCGGACAAAATCGGAGGACATGCACTGCCCTGTTCTTGCTGTTGCTCATTCAGAGTACCTCCAGTACAGCGGATACCGCGCCTGACATAAGCAGCCGAACGACCTCGGCTCGTGCCCGTCATGGAATCGCCGAGGTGCTGGGTCTAGTGATGCCCTCGGCGGTGCATGTCGGGATTTTTCTCGTTCTCATCCGTGTTGGCTGTGACGACTTGACCTGACCTGACTTGACCTGACCTGACTTGACCTGGTCTGCCCCCCTCTCCCAAGCATATCTCTCTGGTGAATCTGTTGTTCCGGAGCTCCCATTGCTGCAAGTTACAGCCCCGCTCGTCCGACCTCCCCTTTCCCTTGGCCGCTGAGATAGCGAGCCTCATTATAACTTACGATGGCTGGTCAATCAAAGCCTGTGCTCTCGCCATGGGGTAGTGCCGTGGCGGGCGCGACCGGTGCCGTCCTCGCCAATGCCATGGTCTATCCGCTTGATCTGTAAGAGAAGCTTGATGGAGAGAAGAGACTGGAGTTTGCTAACTCGATCCCAGTATCAAGACGAAGCTGCAGGTACAGGTGAAGGAGGCCGCCGGAGCCGAAAAGTCGGAAGATGTCGAACACTATAAGTCGACCATGGACGCCATCGTCAAGATCGTGGAGAAGGAGGGCGCCGCCGGGTTATATTCTGGAATTGCCGGCGCGCTCATCGGTGTTGCGTCGACCAACTTCGCCTACTTCTATTGGTACAGCGTCGTGCGGACTCTCTACATGGCCTCCAATAAGGTGCCGAAGCCACCGGGCACCATGATTGAGCTCAGTCTGGGTGCCGCGGCTGGTGCTGTGGCGCAGATCTTCACCATCCCTGTGGCCGTCATCACGACCCGGCAACAAACGCAGCCGAAGGGGGAGAGGAAGGGCTTGTTGGAGACGGGCCGCGAGGTTGTGGAGAGCGAGGACGGCTGGACCGGCCTGTGGCGCGGTTTGAAGGCGAGCTTGATCCTGGTTGTCAACCCGGCCATCACCTATGGTGCATACCAGCGCCTGAAGGATATCTTTTTCGCGGGCAGGACCAATCTCAAGCCGTGGGAGGCATTTAGTAAGTTTTGTGTTGTTGAAGCTTCATATATAACCTTGGTCCCTAACGAATTGTGTCTAGTGCTCGGTGCCATGTCCAAGGCTCTCGCTACCATTGCGACCCAACCTCTGATCGTCGCCAAAGTCGGTCTGCAGTCTCGCCCGCCGCCCGGCCGACAGGGTAAGCCGTTCAAGACTTTCGGGGAAGTCATGCGGTATATTGTGAAGAACGAAGGTCTGCTGTCCCTGTTCAAGGGCATTGGGCCCCAGATTACGAAGGGTCTGTTGGTGCAGGGCCTTCTGATGATGACCAAGGAGAGAATGGAGCTCATGTTCGTCCTGCTTTTCGCTTATCTCCAGCGGATCAAGAAGGAGAAGCTCCAAAAGGCCGTTGACAGTGCTGCCCAGAAGGCCAAGACGAGCATGCCGGCGACCTTGAAATGATTTTTTTTTATCTCTCCGCAATTCTCTTACGGCGTTTCCGTTTTGACGGTTGGACAGTCTTGACCTTTCTCCCAAGGCTTAATGATAGAAACCTGTGTTTCTCGTTGAATATCATTATAGACTTGTATATACATGCTTTATCTTGCACAGTCCGTTTGAGTGTTGAATTAGTTCTTTCAGTAACAATGTTCAATGCTACATGATTTTCCCTCGTACTAAGCCCTATAGTGCTAATAAATTCCAGCCTCCGTTATGGTCGGTGATCGGCAAGACAGCCTCCGCCGTGATCACCGACTTCACCCCGACACAACTCGCCACCTCCAGCTCGCCTCGTGTCTGGCCTGCCACACCAATCAAAAGGACACAGCTCGTCATGCGATGGCCGCCATGGAGCTCTCCGTCAACCGATGACGATCGCGACCCGAAGTCCTCCACCGTGTCGAGCTCATCCGCGTCCATCCCCGCAACAACGAACACACAGCTCGACTGGGCCGCCTTCACCGAACCCCGGACTCTCCTCCCAACCCTCATTCTCACGAGCGGAATCTTACTGGCTGTCCGTTTCCATCGCCGCTATCTGCGTCGCTTCCCCGATGCGTCCAGCATCTCACCGTCCTTCCTGCGTCGCCGCTCGGTCTTTGGGCCGGTGACCAGCGTCGGTGATGGCGATAACTTCCGGATATTCCATACACCCGGTGGTCGGCTCGCTGGATGGGGCTGGTTGCCGTGGAAGAAAGTGCCTGGTACGAAGAAAGAATTGAAGGATAATACTGTACGTCTTCCCTGACACCACCGGCAGACTCATTCTGACACTCTACTGACTCTATCCACAGATTCACATCCGTCTAGCAGGTGTCGACGCCCCCGAGCTCGCTCATTTTGGCCGCCCCGAACAACCCTTCGCGCGTGATGCCCACGTATGGCTCACCAAATACCTCTCCAACCGGCGCGTGCGCGCCCTCGTCCACCGGCAAGATCAATACCACCGCGTCGTAGCAAGTGTATTTGTGCGGCGCGCGTTCGACTTCCCACCGTTCCGTCGGCGGGATGTCTCGTACGAGATGCTGAAGCGCGGTCTGGCGACCGTCTACGAAGCGAAAGTGGGCTCGGAGTTCGGCGGCGACGACATGGAGCAGCGGTATCGGCGTGCGGAATGGTGGGCCAAAGTCCGGGCCAAGGGGCTGTGGAAGGACTATCGCAAGATCGGGTCCGACTGGGAAAGTCCGCGGGATTACAAGATCCGTATGGGCATGGGGGATCCCTCGTCCGAAAATAACGGAAAATCAAAGTCGTAACTAACAATGCATATGAACGAGATGATATGATAGACAAGAGAATATGTACATTGCTATGCTAGACTAGAGTGATCGAGCGCCGCGCTGGCGTTTGCATCCTAAGCAACCATCATGAACAACAGGGTATCAGACAAAAGACGTCTCACCAAATGTGAAAATATATGAGTACATGGATGGACGAGGGAACGGTCTAGCAGAACCTCCGCTCAACCTCGGCAATCAACTGAGGCGAGATCTCGTCGCTGGAGTTACCCTCAACGCGCCAGAGACACCCACGTCGATCGTAATGTTCCAACAGCGCCTTGCTCGTCTCCTCGAACTTGCGCAGCCGCTGCTTCCACGTATCAATGGAGTCATCCTCGCGCTGCGTCAAGGGCTCGCCCGTGACGTCGTCTTTCCCGGGGACTTTGGGTGCATGGAAATCCGTATTATACACTCGGCCTGAGGGCTCATGCACCCAGCGCGATGCGATGCGCGCGAGGATCACGGACGGTGGTGTGAGGAGGTGCACGACGAAGTTGACCGGGACGAGGGTGTCGAGGCTGGATGCTTGCGCTGCGGTGCGCGGGAAGCCGTCGAGGATGAATGAGGCGGAGGGGGATAGTCCGGGAGATGAGGATGAAGTTTCTGGGAGCCAGCCCTTGGTCTTCAATTCGGAGGAGATCAGGTTGAGGATCATGGAGTCCGGGACGAGGTTGCCGGACTGCATGGCGGCCTCGGCTTGAAGGCCTGTTGACGGCGTCTGAGAGAGAGATCATACACCGGAGTCGACTCACAACTTACCGAGGGGTGTCTTCTGTCGCACATTCTCGCGCAACAGATCTCCCGAGCTAATTGAAGCCAGTTGGGGGAACCGGGCGAGCAAGCGTTCGCTCTGGGTGCCTTTTCCGACCCCGGGAGCCCCGACGAGGATGATGCGCGCAGCTCTCTTGAGCTTCTGTGTTGTTGGGTGTGACATCCTGAGCGAGAATATACAGTGGATAGGAAAGAAGTCGGGGGCTATCGGGCCATTCTTGAATGCTGAGAGTGTGGGCGGATCAGCAATTCCTTTGCGATTTTGTGGGGTTTGACGTTCCAACTGTCTCGGGCGGCCGGTGAGCGGAGGACGGAGGATCGTCCGAAGGAATGAACAACAGTAATAGAGAGCCAGCCACTAGCTATAATGATTATCTGTACGGCCTAAGTGGATGATTGGACATGCAAGAGTGAAGAAGTATCATTTACTTGTTTCCTCCTACTTGTCCCGAGGCACCATCCAATCACGTGATCTTGCGCGTCCTCCGTTGGCGCGTCGCGTGTCTCGATCAGAAAGACCCTCACCCCGTAAGTCCAACACCAATACATACTGTGGAACAGCCAGCCGAACACCATGATCCGGCAAGACGCACATCGAATTGACCCCAAGCGCAGGGCTGTCATTGACCATAAAAAACGCCAGTTTGCCGCACCTGCCTACAAACAGCAAGACTACCCATTCCGGCTGAACCTCTACGAGACGCCGCCAACGGCGGAGATCACCCTCGAGCAATTTGAGCAATGGGCTATTGACAGACTGAAGAGTATGCACCGTGCAAACTTCCATCACTCTCGACTAACGCGGAGACAGTCCTGGCCGAGATCGAAGCATGCTCCTATCGAAACAAGACCCCCGCCGAGACGGCTGCGCATATCACGCCGCTGCTGCAGAAATTCCTCCCTCTCTCCTCCAACACGTCCTCCCCCAATGGTGCAGCGGACCAGCGTCTGAAGAATGAACGCCAGAAGGACCACTACTCCCACTTCATTCTCCGCTTGGCCTTCTCCGCCACTGAGGACCTGCGCCGGCGGTTTGCACGCGCGGAGACCATGCTGTTCCGATTCCGCTTCCAGCAAGATGACTCCAAAGAGAGACGCGCGTTCATCGATGGTCTCAGTCTCGACTGGGAGCCCGTTGGTGAGGAAGAGAAGAATGAAGTCGCGGAGAGTCTGGTGGGCGCCACGCCTGGGCTTCGTCGGGTGGATGATGAAACTTGGTATAAAGTCGACTGGGAGAAGGTACCTGAGCTGGTTGAGCGGCGGTGTGTCTTTCTGAAGAAAGGCAAGGCGTATGTTCCTGGCCGAGAACAATTGAGTATGATCATTGCCGAGTTCACGGCACGCTTGGAACGAGCACTAGAGGTACGGCGGCTCACCATATTACTCTGATATTTCACTGGTGTTGACTGACGATACAACAGCTTACGAGCCGTGCCCTGCCGCGCCTGGATGAGGACGACCGCCTGACTCCCATCTTAAATCACCTCTCCAAGAACTTCGGCAGCGCCGAGTCCGTGTACTCGGAAGGCGAAGGTTATGTGGACGGTGCTCCCATTACGGCCGCCTCCATTGACCAGCTCTCGCAGCACTTCCCGCTGTGCATGCGCAACTTACACACCAATCTGCGGAAGAACAACCATCTGAAGCATTTTGGACGACTGCAATACACTCTGTTTTTGAAGGGCATTGGTCTCTCCTTGGAGGAATGTATTCTCTTCTGGCGCCAGTCATTCAAGGGGTTTACCGATGACGAATTTAACTCTCGTTACAAGTACAATATCCGCCACGCCTACGGGGATGTCGGGGGAGACGTCAACCGGCGTGGCCGGGGCTATCCGCCCTACTCATGCCAGAAGATCCTCGGCGATTCCAACCCGGGTGTTGGGCAGAGCCACGGGTGTCCGTATCGCCATTACTCTGTCGATAACCTCGTCGGACTGCTCCAGTCCACCGGCGTTCACGACAAAGAGGTGTTGCGGGGCGTGCGCGAAGATGTGGGCAAGACACGCTATCACATTGCTTGTAACCGAGTGTTTGAGTGGGCGCACAAGAACGAGATCAAGAAGGTCAAGGAGGATGGGACCTGGAGTGCGGCGGATCTGGATACCATTGTCCATCCCAACACCTATTTCAAGCGCAGCTACCTTCTCAAGCAGCTGGCCAAGGCCCCGCGGGACGCGTGAGGATCTCTCTGGACAATCATGATTTTATGGGTCTTGTGTCTTTTGCGTGGAAGGGACTGTTTGGCGTTGGAGGCGCGAGGGCCGGTAGATTTCAATTCAATGAACGTATGGAATGCAAATCAATACATAAATATTCTATCTTAGCGAGAGACGTGTGACCACAGCTGATTCCCAGCAAATCCGAAAGGATCGGAACGACCTTTCAAAGCCAGGTGCCCAGCAACGGGTCAAGTCAATCTGCGCTCGACGCGAAAACAACCTCCGTCATAGCAGGACTAGAAGTTGTCGACAGTAATGTGATTATTGTTGGAGTCGGCGGTGGTGGAAGAAAAAGGAAAGGGAAAGGGACGAAATGCCGAAATTTCATTGTTTGGGTAGGGCGGGCGGGAGCGACCAGGTGTGCTGCAACCTGGCCTTAATCACCCCCGACTGGGGACACACAACAGTCAGTCAGTCCCTCACTACTGCTCCAACGTCTACCGGGGGTTCCGCTCTCTTTGCTTGTTTGGGTCTGGGTTGTCCTGTTGTCCAGTTCACTTCCCCCTACACCCAATCCCATCCCCCTCCGATCTCCCCAAACAACCCACCCCCAGCTCCCTCTCTCCCCCCCCCTCCCCTTGGTCACCACCGCCCCCCTCCCCGAGACCGTGCACACCCGCCGACAAGATGGATTACGAGGCGATGAAAGATCAATGGAGCGATGTCGAGGACCGCGATGGCATCAGGCTCAGTTGGAACACCTTCCCGAGCTCTCGCATGGTTCGTGGGATCCATTGGCTTCCTCCTTTAACCCCCATCGCGCTAACTCCCTCACTATAGGAAGCATCGCGCCTTGTCGTCCCCATTGCTGCCATCTATACGCCGCTGAAGGAGAAGCCCGATACCCCATTGCTACAATACGAGCCCGTGACCTGTAAACAGCCCTGCCGAGCTGTTCTCAACCCATATGCGTATGTTGTACTTGCCTCGGTGTTGGCATGAGAAGAAAAGAAAGACTGACACACAATGCCAGCACGGTGGATGTTCGCGCGCGGATCTGGATCTGTCCTTTCTGTCTGATGCGCAACCCTCTTCCCCCGCACTACAAGGACATCACGGAGAACACGATACCCCCGGAGCTTCACCCTTCGAGTACGACAATCGAGTACCAATTGGCACGCCCGGCCCCGGCGCCACCGATCTTTGTCTATGTGGTCGATACTTGTCAGGAGGAGGACAGCCTCCAGGCCGTCAAGGATTCCCTGGTGATGAGCCTGTCCCTTCTGCCGCCTAATGCGTTGGTGGGCCTGATCACCTTCGGCACAACGGTAGGAATGGCTCCAGCCCGGAAAGTAGTATGCAACTGACATCGACTTCAAGACCCAAGTTCACGAGCTCGGCTACACCGAGTGTGCCAAGTCGTACGTATTCCGAGGCAACAAGGACTATGCCGCCAAGCAGGTGCAGGAGATGCTCGGCCTTGCTCAGGCCCTGCGGCCCGGTGTCCCCCAGCAACAACCCGCTCGCGCTCCTCTTGGTCCGGCTGCACGCTTCCTTCTGCCGGTTCAGCAGGCCGAGTTCCAGATCACCAACGTCCTCGAACAGCTGCAGCGTGATCCCTGGCCCGTAGCGAACGACAAGCGTCCCCTGCGCTGCACGGGTGTCGCTCTGAGCGTTGCGATTGGCTTGCTGGAAACGTCTTTCCAGAATGCCGGAGGTCGCATCATGACCTTCACCAGTGGAGCAGCCACCGAAGGGCCCGGCAACGTTGTTTCGCCCGAGCTGAAGGAACCGATCCGCTCGCACCACGATATCGATCGCGATAATATCAAGTACTACAAGAAGGCTGTCAAGGTTTGTTGTAAACCAGCTCTTGGTAAATCCCCTGCTAATAGGTTCAGTTCTACGACAATCTCGCCAAGCGGGCTGCGCATAATGGTCATGTCGTCGACATCTTTGCTGGATGTCTGGACCAAGTCGGCATGCTGGAAATGAAGAACCTGTCCAACTACACTGGTGGGCACATGCTTCTGACGGATAGCTTCACATCATCGCAGTTCAAGCAATCCTTTGTCCGTGTGTTTGACAAGGATGACAATGATGATCTGCTGATGGGCTTCAATGCTTCTCTCGAAGTCCTCACGACCAAGGAGCTCAAGGTCACCGGGCTCATCGGTCATGCCATTTCGCTAAACAAAAAGTCGAGCTCTGTTGGCGAGACGGAGTGCGGTATTGGCAACACCTGTGCATGGAAGATGTGTGGTATCGACCCGTCGTCCAGCTACGGTATCTACTTTGAGATTGCCAACCAAGGTGGCCCTGCCGCCGTGCAGCCTGGTCCACAAAAGGGCATGATGCAGTTCTTGACATACTACCAGCACTCGTCTGGGCATTACCACCTGCGTGTGACTACCACGGCACGACCCTTAAGCGGACCTGCGGGCGACCCGACTTTGGCCCAGTCTTTCGACCAAGAAGCGGCTGCCGTGCTCATGGCACGAATTGCTGTTTTCAAGGCCGAGGTGGACGATGGCCCCGATGTGCTTCGATGGGTGGACCGGATGTTGATCAGGCTCTGCTCGCGGTTTGCCGACTACCGGAAAGACGACCCTACCTCGTTCCGACTGGAGAAGAATTTCACCCTCTATCCTCAGTTCATGTTCCATCTCCGCCGCAGCCAGTTCCTGCAGGTGTTCAACAACTCGCCCGATGAGACCGCGTTTTACAGGCACGTCCTGAACCACGAGGATGCCGGCGACTCGCTCGTCATGATTCAACCCACTCTGGACTCGTACTCGCTGGAGCAGGAGGGCAGCCAGCCAGTGCTCTTGGATTCTGCCTCCATTCAACCCACGCACATTCTTCTCCTTGACACTTTCTTCCACATCCTCATCTTCCACGGTGAGACCATTGCCGAATGGCGAAAAGCCGGCTACCAAGACCAGGAGGGATACGAGAATCTCAAGGCGCTCCTTGAACAGCCCAAGGAGGATGCAAGGGTATGTACAATCGTTCCTGTTAATAATTTCCCTTTAAACTGACATTCTTCAAGGAACTTATTGCCGATCGCTTCCCGCTGCCCCGTTTCATTGTCTGTGACGCGGGCGGCTCCCAGGCCCGTTTCCTGTTGTCCAAGCTGAACCCGTCAACCACCCACGCCACGGGCGGCTACGGTGGCGGTGTGTCTTCGCAGACTATCTTCACGGATGATGTCTCGCTGCAGACATTTATGGATCACCTGATGAAGTAAGTGATACTCCGTTATCCTGCGGTCATTCCATTCTGACTTATTCTTTTTCTCAGGCTTGCCGTTTCCGGAACTAGTTAGGAGAGGCTATTTGAGAGAGAGCAAGGTCTTGTGTATCTTTAGCGGTGATTTCTAAACTCTTCGTTTGGCTATAATAGTCGTAGATTGAATGGCATACAGTATTACTAGCCTAAACAAGTCATGTGACAGGGTTGGCCCTAGACGGGACGCACGGACCACTCGCTTACTGTTGGTGCGGCTACTTGCCAGATTAATTCTGCCGCTTCCTTTCTCTCTCTCCAACCACACCCCCTTCGACAACCCAAGGAAGATCGACTACCTTTCGCACTCGCCATGCGTGAGTATCATCTCCTTGGTTACCTGCAATATGGCGACTAACATCTCATTCTCCGTCAGCTCCCAAGCTCGATCCCAATGAGGTGAAGATCATGTAAGTGCAAAAATTCATCGATCCCTCTCAAAAAAATCTAAAACTGACTCCAGTGTCTAGCCACCTGCGTGTGACTGGTGGTGAGGTCGGAGCCCAGTCCGCTCTGGCTCCCAAGATCGGTCCCCTGGGTCTGTCTCCCAAGAAGATTGGTGAAGACATTGCCAAGAACACTGGCGACTGGGTGCGTCAACCACAAACCCCCCAATTGAAACACAGAAGCAAAGTCTAACAGCGCTCTTTTGGGGGCATATAGAAGGGTCTCCGCGTCACGGTCAAGCTCACCATCCAGAACCGTCAGGCCGCCGTCTCGGTCGTTCCCTCCGCCTCTTCCCTGGTCATCAAGGCTCTTAAGGAGCCTCCCCGTGACCGCAAGAAGGAGAAGAACATCAAGCACTCCAAGTCCATCCCTCTGGACGACGTCATCGAGATTGCCCGCACCATGCGCGAGCGCTCGATGGCCAAGGAGCTCCGCGGCACCGTCCTCGAGATCCTGGGTACTGCTTTCTCCGTCGGCTGCCAGGTCGACGGCCGCAGCCCCAAGGATGTCAGCGACGATGTCAAGGCCGGCGAGATTGACAGTAAGTTGTTTGTGAGGTGACTTGTCCGGATCGTACTAATTATTGTCTGCAGTCCCTGAGGAGTAAATTATCCTCTTAAATGAAGGATGAGGTGGCTGTCTGCTTTGTAACGGCGGTGCATTTGTGCATTTCTGCTTCGTTGCGGTGCTAGTTGCAGAGAATACGAACCCTCGAAAAAAATATGTTCATGACTCATGACCCTGATACCTTTGATCTCTCTGCGGGTATTCGAACGGATACATACCAATGGATCTACTCGCATCTTCTCTCTTCCTTTTCCCCATTCTTTCATCAATCCCCCTCCATGCCTGAATCTCAATCCTCTCGCATCCATTCTATGGCGACGAGGATAGTAGACGGCCCTTCCAAAAACAAAACCTTTGCAACACTCTGGCCCATACCGTTCTCTCCCTGCGGGGTTTGATCTTTATTTACATCGTGGTATCGGCTTATTTTAAGCAAAGGAGAGCAACACTTTCGTCCCATTACTCATCGCGGTATTCCTTGGAGGCTTCTGTCTCTGTGGTTGCAGCGATCCATCATACGGGTCTACATCTCTTAAATCCTCGTAGATTTTGTCACAGTGCGTGCACTGTGACACTGTAGGGAGTAGATGCTACTATCTACGTGTGGCTGTCCAATGCAAAATATGTCTTTCTATTTTACCGAGTTGTTGCTCTGCATTCGAATGCTTAGTCTGTTATGGAATTATAACTCAATGCCATGAAGCCAACTTTCTATGTGCATTCGTATACGTGTGGCCAAATGTACAATATAGTCCTGATCGTTACTCTAGTCATTCCGGGAGACAGCAGGTATAAGATCTGACTGCTCGACCTTCCAGTCTTCATTCTCTGTCCGAAGGAGCTTATCTGTCATGTCCTTGCCTTTCTAGCTATCCAATATCCAAGTCCATTACTTTCAAAGCTCTAGAGGTAGAGAGTAGATAAAAGGAAAGTAAAAAGACGGATTCTAACAAACCCAACGAAGGACTATCTTAACAAGTCCGAAATGAACAATATATCCGTCCGATTCGTCGCAATTATGCATATCCTACCGCAAAAAAGGCTAGTCCCCTATACTTAAGCAACCCCTAGTCTACTGGACCCAGCCTCAGCCAACTTACCACTAGATTATAAGAGAATTTTCTCGTGCAAAGCCGCAGACGTTGCTGGTGGCCTTGTTCTATATTTCATTGGTGATATTTCTAACTATATGATTGATACATCAAGATCTAGAACGACTACGTGCGCCTTGCCATCCTCCTCGCACGACACTGTAAATATACTCAGAATGCTACCATGATCAATGTCCTTGATTTCGATATGCGGTTCTGCAGCGTACCCTGTGCCTTCCCATAGGACTTCGTAGTCTCGATAACCAGTAAATTTAGTAGAGCGCGCAACGGTCAACGTTGGGTGGTGATTTCCCGGAAGAACAAAGTAAAGGTTGCTTTGTCGATCCACAGCCATCTTGCCTCTAGGTCCATCGATCCGTGGCAGGTGATCAGGAAGGTTTCTGGCAATCCATTCCCCTGGTTGTTGTCAGAATTCAAGCATAATCCAAAGCGCTTTTTCAAACGACTTACCAGTTGGACTGCGGTAGTAATGTCTCCACCTCTCTTCCCCGCTAGTATTTTCTCGATTGAGAATGTGGAAGCCCCCGTCACGGTCTACAGTCTGGCCTTCTTGATTCGCGATCCCACTGTGCTTTGCGAGATCGTACACGACGATACCACGCGAAGTAGGGAGCACGGTTTCACCAAAGCTTACGTTGGCAACTTCTTGTCCAGCACTATTCCGCCAAACCTTTCCCGCGTTGTCGGAATACATATACGCAACCGCGTGGTTGTTCTCCGAGCCGTTCGGCCCGGCAGGAACCTGGTGTATCGATGCATCAGTTGCTCGGGCGCCCTCATAATCCACGAAGCCGCGATACGTCCAGGATAGATGGAGTCGGCCGTTCCAATAATCCATGCCATTAAGGTACGGGTTGCTGTTGATACCGGTGAGATAGACGCCGCGAAACGCATATTCATGGGTCGAAGCAGAGTAGTAGTAGAGAGCCTCTGATCCTAAACCCGCCCTGCACTCCGTCAGTATTTAAAGTCATGCGCGGTTCGCTATGGAACCTTGACTTGCCTCCCCACCCGATGTGATAATATCAGGTCGTTCTCCATGCCAACAAAGCGGGGATAGGTCACTTCATCGAAAGTGCAGCTATCATTGATCCCAGGTAATGAATGTCGAGTCGGTCCAAAGAGCGATGCATCCCACCGGAAGCTCTCTGGGTTCGTCGCCAGGCCAAAGACAGAGACACGATATCGGAGTCTAGCATCTACATCAATCGGCCATACACCGCACACGAGCATCCACGGCTTACCGATCCGCATGGTGATCAAACGACAGATGAATTGTCCCGTCGCCTGCACAGATACCAAGCGATATGGTATTGTGGCCGTCGTCGGTGACCTGCTCATAATCTGGCAGGATCATCGTCGCCCACGCTGCGGAGCAGCCGGCGTCGTGGCGACGGCGCGCAAGCGTCACCAGGAGAGGGCTCCCGGGTTCCTCGATGACCTTGCTGGTATAGAACGTCGCGTATTGCCACCCATTGTGCGAGATGATAACATTTTGCTGCGCCGACACCCCGTTGATGCGATCCTGGCGGGGCGGATCACGACCAAGGAAGGTCTTCGTGGGAGGTGAGGAGAGAGGCATGATGAGAATTACGTGGTGATTGACCAGGAACCAGCGTGATAGGGTGGCTTTTTGGGAGAACACAAATGTCCTGCTTCGTTATTCGGATTCTTAAAACCCCAAACACTGGAAACGGAGGGTCGTGATTCGGGATAAACCCCCCACACTCCTTGCGATGCACGTGGAGTGCCCGTGACGGATGTGCTTTTCCACTTTTCCACCAACGAGCGTCACCGATGGTGCCCAGTCTGTCTCTGACCGCGCCGCTGCTGGAGGGATACTCATCATATCGCCGCCACTCAGCCTATGTCCTCGGGAATGTCATGCCGGAAGCTCTCCTGATTGATCCATGGTAGACAATTTGCGAGAGCATTGACCGACCCATGCGCTAACAAAGCACGGCAGCTACAGGAAATAACTACCGAGTGCATGATTAGCTCCAAGCCTGTACCTGCGACCCGAACGGAGGGGAGTGCATCTTTAGTCCCACCAATCACAGACAGCGCGGGGTAGCAAACCCTGGCATCTGGAGATCTGCATAATTATATAGAATCCGGGGACCACCCCGGATCGGCGATATCCAGATGTGCTCAACTGGGGATATCGGAGCAAGGCGACAGAACAACTTCAGCACAAACCATGGCACAGCCCAAGCAAGAGACGGAGGTCGAGATGATGGAGACGGTGACCGCCAACGACGAAACCCTCTCGCCGCCGGATGCCAAGGCAGGCGCACCATTGATGCGGTCCAAGGAGGACGATCACGACGTCTGGCACACGGTCCGCCGGTACAAGCGAGCAGGGCTGATCGCAATGGCAGCGGCCTTCTGCGCATCCCTCGATGGCTATCGTAAGGAGATCCTCAGATAAGTAGAGTTCACCGGACTGACCAGAGGGGAACCGGGTGCGCACAGAGATCAATCTTAATGGCGGCATCGTCGCTAACAAGGGCTTTATCCGCCAATTCGCCAATCCCGGGGAAACCATAATTGCCAGCAAGTATGTATCAGCCTGGGGCGGCATCCAATCCACCGGTCAGGCGGTCGGCCAAGTTGTGCGTGATCTCCTCATAAGTTTCAAATTGAGCGGCAGTTGACGAACATTGTCCCAGCTTCTCCAATATGCCACCGAGGCCACCGGCCGCAAATCCGCGCTTTGGATCATCTGGGTCATTCTGACCGCGGTTAGTGAGCCCCCGTTCCGCGGCAACAACATTGAAGTTACACTGGTGAAGATATTTATATGTATACCCCGGTAATGGTGGTGATGACATATATATCTGCAGTAACATATACTCTCATTGTGCTAACTCGCTTTTCGACTAGAGCATTTTCATCGAATCGTTCGCCAGCCGGTGGGATCACTGGCTCGTTGCGAAGCTCTTCTCCGGCATGGGCGTCGGCATGTTGCAGTCAACGGTGCCGCTGTACCTATCGGAGATTGCTCCGACTCAACTGAAGGGTTTCTTCATCAACGCATACAGCTTGTGAGTTTTGTGTCCCCGGGGGGGGGTGGGGGATGAGTGGGAGATGTCACTGATGTTGTTAACATTAACCAGCTGGTTCATTGTGGGCCAACTCTTCGCCTCGGTGGCCTTGAACGAACTGAACAAGTCAGAGCCGTACAACTACAAGACACCCATCTACACGCAGGTAAGGGAGGAGTCATAGTCATCGAGACGGTCCCCATGTCCCCATGTGATGCTGATACTGTGATTCCAGTGGGCGATGATCGGCGTCATCGGCATCGTCTTTCTCCTCATCCCGGAATCACCCTGGTGGCTCGCCAGCAAGGGAAAGATCGAGAAGGCAACAAAGGCGTTGAAGTTTTGCAACGGCGGCATCGAGGGCTATGACATCCAGGAAACCATCGTCCGTGCCCCTCACAAGACGATCTGCCTGTGCTAACATGGCATCTGCAGGAGGTCATGACGGCGACTGTCATGATCGAGCGTCAAAATGCCGAGCAGAATCAAGAGCTGGGCATGTGGGCCGTCTTCCAGGGCCGCAATCTACTCCGCTTCCTCATCGCTGGATGGTCCAAGATCACGCAGCAGTTTGTCGGCCTGACTGTCTTCAATACCTATGCCGTCTACTTCTGTGAGTCAACTTGCTCGAAGGCATCCCTTTGACGCCCAGCAGCCGTCTGACCCAACCCATCCAGTCCAATACGCCGGGAACCAGAACCCTTTTCTCGTCACGGTCATCCTCTCGTGCGTGCAGCTTCTCTCGATGCTATTTTCCGCCACCCTGACCGATCAATTTGGCCGTCGGCCCCTGACCGTGTATCCCTATGCTGTAACGGTTGTGTCGGTCTTGTGCCTGGGCATCATCGGCTGCGTCGACTACACAGCCAAGGCCACAAGCTCTCTTCTGGTAGGTAATAGCAATTGTTGCAGCACGCACGTAGGCTGACGGCGCTCCTTAGGTCTTCTTTGCCTGCCTGGCTACCTTTTCGACTACCGGTGCGTCGGCCATTGGCTATGCGTACGCGGCTGAGGTCCCTCAGCAGCGGCTACGTGCGCGGACGGCTGCTTGGTCTCTCGCCCTATCAAATTGCATCGGTATTATGTTCAGCTTCTGCACGCCTCTGATGATCAATGGTGCTGCCCAGTGGGGGGTCAAGACGGGATTTTTGTAAGTCCCCTCGGTCTCTCCCGGACTGTAACCCTTCCTATAGAAAGGGACGGCGATGCTGATTGATGCCCGTAGCTTCGCCGGAACGGGAGCCGTGGTCGTTGCCATCGCCTGGTTCATCCTCCCGGAGGTCACCCGGCGAACACCGGGTGAGATTGATGAGTTGTAAGCTTTGAGCCCGTGTGCTTCCGCATCATCGCGGCATATATTCGTCTGCTAACATACACCGCCGTCAAAAGGTTCGACAAGAAAGTGAACTTGCGCAAGTTCGACAAGTACGTTACCGACGTCCAGATTCGTGCCGATGAGCTACACAATAGAAAGGAAGCGGCGTAGGTACGGTCTGCTGCAAACACTGTCGCCTCCAGCGGTGCCCGGTGTCCCTCTATTATCGCCGCGCTAATTCGCTGCGAATGCCTCGCCCAACGCTAATTGTTTGTTGACTACGCACCCTTACGTAGCTCTTTCCCTACGTGTTTAGTAAACTGCCATCGGCCTCTGCAGTTGGCTCAACTAGACTCGGCCTTTAATTAGCTCTTAAATCGACTATAGTAATAATAGCAGATATCCCAGCAATTTAAGTAGCCGCTCAAGACTAGCACTAGTCGCTAGGTTTAAAAGGATATCCTAGGCTCGAGTGGCAATAGTATGTCAAGGATAGTGTTAGCGTACAGAAGTTTGGCCCCCACTATACACTCGTTCATTTTCCTTTGTCACGCTGGCCTCCCTAAACTGCTTCGCGAGCACTAGATGGTGGACTAGGCCTGACATCTTGCTTGCGATGACCGCACGGTTGGTTGCCTTGTGGACCCTTACGCGCAAAAGCTCACACTATGCATAGTGTACTATGTACTGTTTGTCTCGGCACCTCCGTTGGGTACACAGTCTGTACGACCCGGCCAAGCACGCTGTGCAAGTCAAGCACCCACGGTGGGGATTGCCGATCGCTCTGGGGGGATCCGTTGGAAGATTCGATTAGTCTGCGGCCCTATGCTACTTTTTTTTTTTTTTTTTGAGAAAGTGACATCTTGTCGGTGAGCGCAGGGGGGGAGAAGGGACGATCAAGGATCAGATGAGCCCTTTCCCTGTCAGTGATCCAAGGTGGCTGCAGGTTGGCAGGGCGCGTATGGACGGAGAGATAGATGGTCTCGGGTTGGTGCGCCTGAGGGATTGCGGTGTGGCGCCTCAGATAGGTGATAGTAGGGGTCCACCGAGAACGGGCTCGACTCGATCGTCACGGCGGGGCGTCAGCGATCCATGATTAGTCCGCTGGCTGGAGTGGAGGATTCAGCCGTTGGATCGAGTGGGTCGGTGGGGTAGGAGGAAGAGAAAGAGAGAATGAGGATGATGATGAGAGGGAGAGCAGAACGAAAGGGGAAGAAAAAGAGAGAAGAACGACAGTCGAGTCAGGTGAATCCACGGTCACTAGAAGTACTGGGTCCTTCGTCCCATCTCCCAAGCCTCCCTTCACTCCCGTTGTTGATCGGCCTCGATTTATTCCTCCCTCGCACACGAGTCTCGCCAAGGCCCCGTTCTGCCATTGGCCGCCCCAGCATCTTCTGCCTGTTCACTAAGCCCTTCCCTTCCTTCCCCTTGCTTGTCTTGTCCCGATCCTTATTATCAACATCGCCGGTCTGTCCTTCGTCGACCATTATCATCGTCATTATTCTTCTTTTTCTTCTTCTTTTTCTTCTTTTCCCTCTTCTTCTTCTTGCCGATGCCAGTGTAAATCGTACCTGGTTTGCTGGCCCGCAGACTCATGATGAGGTGTCGGAAACGCTACAAGGAGGATGCTTGTTGATTGTCCCGATCGAGTCCCATTGATCTTGTGTTGATTCTTGAATTCGCTCGGTGCCCCCCTGTCGCTGGTCGGCCTCGAGGCATTCCGTTGCTGTTTGTGGGTGGTGGAGGACGACGACAGCGAAGATGTTTCCGACCGTCGCACCTTTCCCCCCGGTTCAGCCGCACCATCGCGTCCACGAGACCCTCAACTACGACCTGCACGATCATTTTACCTCCATGACTCACAGTGACCCGTCCAAACCCTTCTATAATCCCATATCATGGACGCACCAGCAGCTTCCGCACCCCGTCCAACGCCCCAACCCCCGCGATGCGTCCGGCACAACCTCGAACCCCAACGCGGTCGGGGAGCATACCCTGAGGAGGAAAACCCCCAACGGCACGCTGTCGGCTGGCTACGATGGCACCCCTGGTGACACCACCATTCAGCCTCCGGCAACGAAGCACATTTTGGTCTCGCCAATGGAGTCCGGGCACTTTCTCTCATCCCAGCCGGCGATGCAGGCGGACGGCTGGCTACAATCCGCACTGGATCAATCCGTGACCCCTAAGCATTTGAATTTTCCACCCATCTTCAAGAACGATGCCGCCGGCGGCAGTGGTCTCCCCGCCGGAGAAGTGATTCAAGATCTGAACGGAGCCAGCTGGGTCCGCCCAGTCAACTACGCCCCTGGCATCGACTCGGTTCTCCAGCAGTCTCTTCCCCTCCAGCCATCCCAGCGTTTTCTATTGCATAACGGTGCCTATATCCCGACCGTGTTACCCGCGACTTTGCAACCTTGTGTTGGACCGACTGCGTCCGCTGGCACCGGGCCGTTTGGTCCATATTGGCCGGACGGTGTCTATATCCCCTACCGTCCCGCTGCCTTTCGCGATTCACGATTCGACTCACCAACTCCCTTTGCGAAGCAATTCGATGCGGGCGGCCAGCCCTTCTTCGGCCCGAGCCAGGCTGGGTTCAATTCCGCTCCAATCCCTCTGGCCAACCGTCCTGATTCGGCATTTCCATGGACTCCATCTACCCCTGGAATGCCTGCCTTCCCTCCTCGACACTCCGAACAACTCCCTTACCATGCTCGCGCGAACCGAAGTATATCAACGCTACCACCGCCACCCCCATTAAATAACGACTCTAGCACCTGGTCCGGCCGCCTATCGGGGAATAATTTCCAAAACCCAGGGCCAGCGGTGGCAGCGAATGTGGAATTCAAAGAGAAGGTGTTGTCTTGGGCACATGGAGTCTATGTTGATCTTCTTGCCACCATCCACCAGGCTCGCCGCAACAGCATCTCTAATGGAGGCGCTGATGGCCAGAACCATCGATTCTTGAAACCCAGCATCTACCCCAAGCCTCCGCGCCAACCGGGTCTCGATTTCTCCTCACAAACCTCTGCGCCCGAGATCCATCGTCATAATAGCTACCCATCAAGTCAATATGACTTGCACACACAGAAGATGAACGTTTTGAGACCAAACAACCCCTCCCACTCCTCTTCTCTTTCCCAAGGAAACGGCAACAATCGACGTCCCTCATTAACTCAATTCCAACACCACCACCACCGGGGGTCTGACCTCACCAATGGGCGATTCGCGGGGACTCCGTCAACCTCGCGATTCGCCGGTACGTTGTTCAATGAGGGATCCCCAGTCGCTAATGCCATGTCTGCACTGGAGATGCTCTCCAACCTGTGCTCCGAAAGTCGCTGGGAATGGATCGATGGAATGCTTCTTGGGGGTTGTCTGGCTTATGGACTAGGCGATTACCACAAGGCGATGAGATGGTATTCCAGGATTCTCGCACGTGATTCATCGTGAGTGGACTTTTTCTAACGGATTTACTTGATATTAACAGAACGCCAGGCATGTGGAAGCTATATCTAACCTCGCCGCAACTCTACTGGCACTCAATCGCCGAGAGGAGGCTCTTCAGCACTGGCTGCGTGCCGTGAAACTACGCCCAAGTTTCTTTGAAGCTGTCGAACACCTGATCGGCTTGTTGTGCACCAGCCACCGTGGCAAAGAGGCCGTCAACATTATTGAGTTTGTCCAAAGCTCTCTCCGCTATCCTAAGGACGGCGACTGCTTCAAGACGGATGAGCATGCCAGTGAAACCGAAAGTGATGCAGACAGTAGCGTGTCCGATGTGGGCATGTTCGACAAGGCATCGTTTGATTATGACGACGACATGGGCCGTGCCCAGAGTTGGAATCTTGGCTCGCCGGATACCGCCAAGCCCGTGGGGTTTGCGACTAGCGGCTATGAAATTCCGGGCTCAGACAATGGCAGGATGCTGGCTTTGGTCCATGCAAAAGGAAACATGCTTTATGCTCTTGGTGACAATGCCGGGGCGGCATCTGCATTTGAGGATGCCGTCCTCATTGCCGCTGGGAGAAGACGGCATGGTATCCAAAGCCTCATTAAGCAAATTTTCGCCGCTTTCTCCCAAGGATCGAGCAACGGCTATTCTGCATCGGTGCCTGATTCGAAGGACAGTGTTCTTCTCTACCCCGACCGGGCCTTACAGACCTCCAAGCTTGTCTTCCAGAGCGGCGGAATGCCACCAGGCCTCAAGTACGTCGCCGAGGGTCTCGCCAGGAACGCAGCGGTTTCGACCACTAGCAACTCTCTCCTGTCCTTGGCGAAGATTTACCAGGATGGCATGTCCAACATCTCGTCATCAGGCTCCCCGCGATCGACCCCCGGCGTGCGTGATATCCTTGCTCTTTACTACCTTTCTCTTTCCCTCCAGCCGAGTCCATCTACGGCGAACAACGTGGGAATCCTGTTGGCTGGAATCCAAAACAACCCGCCGGCGAGAGGACTAGTGCGCCCCAATGGAGAGAGCCAACATCCCGAAATCCCCGGCGTCGTGCCCGGCAGCGGAATTTCTCTTGCCCTGGCCTACTATAATTACGGATTGCATCTTGATTCGCGGCACGCACACCTCTACACCAACCTCGGAAGCCTGCTCAAAGATATTGGGCAGCTGCAAGCTGCCATCAAGATGTATGAGCAAGCGGTCCAGTGTGACGGCAAATTCGATATCGCATTGGCCAATTTGGCGAATGCGGTCAAGGATGCTGGCCGGGTGAATGACTCCATCTCTTATTACAAGCGTGCCGTCAAGGTGAATCCAGAGTTTGCCGAAGCCGTGTGTGGACTGGCGAATGCCTTGAACTCGGTCTGCAACTGGGTCGGCCGCGGTGGAATTGTCAATGGCCATGGCTTCCGCGATCGATGGCATGTGGATGAAAAGGGTATGCTTCGAGATGCCCAGAGCAATGACACAGGTGCTGGCTGGATCAAACGGGTTGTCGACATTGTCGATCGACAGCTCAGAGAAGGCGAATATTGGGGTCGTGGCATCTTGACCGCCACCACAGCGGAGCAGCTCGTTGCGCAGTTGGCGCCGGCTCTGGACTCCAGCCACTTTGCATCTAGTCAAAAGATGTCTCTGGCCAAGGCCCTTCAATCGTGGGCCGGGCGCAAATGGGAAGGTTCCCGCATTGTCCGCCTCGTCGAGCGGGCCACCAGGTTCATCACCTGGCAGTGGTATCAGGACCGCTATGTGTACGGCAAAGACTATCCTGCCTCCAAATACCGCCGTCCGCAGCTCCCTGCCGGGCTGAGCGCCCCCAACGCGCCAACGGTCCTGCCTTTTCACACCTTCACCTGTCCTCTTTCTGCCAAGCAAATCCGCCAAATCTCTCAGCGCAATGGTCTGCGTATCTCATGCTCAACCCTTCGGCTCCCCTGGCTCCCAAGCACGGTTTACCGCCCGCCATCTCCGCCGAATCCATATCTTCGAGTGGGTTATGTGTCGTCTGACTTCAATAATCATCCGCTGGCGCATCTGATGCAGTCGGTCTTTGGTTTGCATAATCCGTCTCGCGTCAAGGCGTACTGCTATGCTACTACTGCGAGCGACAAGTCTGCTCATCGCCAGCAGATCGAGAAAGAAGCACCGGTCTTCCATGACGCCAGCGGGTGGTCAGTTGACCGTCTTGTACAACAGATCGTCGACGATGGAATCCATATTCTGATCAATCTGAATGGCTACACTCGTGGAGCTCGCAATGAAGTCTTCGCAGCTCGTCCTGCGCCGATTCACATGTCGTTCATGGGGTTTGCAGGGACGCTCGGTGCTGAGTGGTGCGATTACATTCTCGCCGACCAAATTTCTATTCCACCAGATACTTTGAGTCCCGGACGGCGCACGGCGCGGATCGAAGATCATATGCTTGTGGACGATCATGGCGAGGATCTTGAGAACTGGGTCTACGGTGAGAAGATTGTCTTCACACGCGATACCTTTTTCTGCTGCGACCACCGACAGAGCGCGCCGGACGCGTCGGAAAAGCACGTTTCGTGGGATGAGGAGCAAATCCGGCGTTGGCGGATGCGCAAAGAGTTGTTTCCCAAGCTTAGTGATGATACCATCATCCTTGGGAACTTCAACCAGTTGTACAAGGTGAGTTTTTGTCTTCCGTGTACATTGTTAGCCTCAACTAACTTTGGTATCAGATTGAACCCACGACGTTCCGCTCGTGGCTGCGCATCTTGGCGCGAATCCCCAACGCAGTTCTGTGGTTACTGCGGTTTCCAGACCTGGGGGAGCAGAACTTGCGAGATATCGCAGTGGCTTGGGCCGGGGAAAAGACGGCATCCCGCATTATCTTTACGGATGTCGCCCCGAAGAACACGCATATTGCCCGAGCCAAGATCCTGGATCTGTTTCTGGATACCCCCGAATGCAATGCGCACACGACTGCAACCGATGTCCTCTGGAGCGGAACGCCGCTGCTCACGCTGCCACGGTACAACTACAAGATGTGCTCGCGCATGGCGAGCAGTATCCTAAGCAGTGCTCTCCCCGGCACAGAGGCCGGCCACCACGCTCGCGAGGAGCTGATCGCCAGTTCGGACGAGGACTATGAGAGCAAAGCCATCCGGCTGTGTCTGGACCTGCAGTATATACCCGGCGGCAAGGGCCGCGCAACAGGCCGTCTCGCCGATATCCGGAAAATGCTGTTCCAGGAACGTTACCGCAACAAGCTCTTCGACACGGCGCGCTGGGTCCGTGATTTGGAAGATGCCTACGAGCGTGTTTGGGCGCAATGGGTGAATGGCGAAGAAGGCGATATCTGGTTATGATCTGCACAGCGAATTATACCCCTTGAGCGGTTTTTTTTTCTTGATATTTGGGTTTTGGAATCTATTTGCATTTGGGCCTCTTTTTTTGGTCTTTCATGTCATCTATCCCAGGATAGCTGGGAATTTGCAACCCTGTATTACGTACATTGGGAATGTGCAGGAGTTTTTCTTCTGGATAGATGCCACCACGGCATGAGGTCGATCTTTGGTAGATGCATGGCTGGCGTTTGGATTATTTGCTGCTATATCTAAATTGGGCCCGACAGCATCGATCACGAAAGATTGAGAGGATCTATAATACCATGAATTATCCAGCAGTGTCATTCATATCGCCATCCAAAGGCTTCCTCATGTGTCATTTTAAGTACCTTCCTGTGTAGGCAATCCTTGCGTTTCCTCGGCTTCTTCCAGCGTCCAACGGCCCCGGTCATTATTTCCCCACGAGCATCCACAATCCATTGCCGAGTGTTCCGTTCAGCCCTAGGACCTTGCGAGCTACAGAAAGGAAAAACCAAAACATTGAACGGCTAGTCGACCGGAGGTATGTACTCAACCAGATCTAGCAGAACCACGGGTCGACAGTGGGGGAGACGGCACACTCATTCGCCCCATGGCCAAGATCGGGAGAGCCGTAACGGCTTGATCTACTCCATCCTTTTTAGGTATTTCCCTCATCGAGATCATTCTGCTCGGTCCACGTTCTGGAGATCTGATTCATTAGTCTTTTTTCCCTCCCGTGCTCTTCCAGTATACAATGTCAGACCTCAGGCACCGGCCCAGCAGGCGGGAACCTAGTGCGAGTTAGCGTTCACGCAGAGGTTGGCCGTGCACCAATAGTGTTGAGTAATCAATACGATTGATTACTTACACAAGAAATACTGACATGTTCATTATGTAGGACAGCAATTCGTTAGTAGGTATTAAATCGTCAAATAATCTACCACAATGTGCTACATACTGTACAGTCTGCTGATTTAAAAAATAAAAATAAAAAATAAAAGGGACCATGATCATAATTGTGCACTTTCATTATTGTCTCCGAGCAACTGGATAACCGTCACCCGAGGTCCAATGGTGTTCCGAGAGTCTGAAACCCTCGACCTACCGCCTCAGCGGGTAACTAACGGGTTTCAGACTTTTTCAACACCCCTGTACATACTTACCACGGAGTACTGTATAACCGTGTACTATACCCACGCCGATCCCTCGTTCGATCGATCCCGATCATTGCATCGATCGCCATGGCATACGTAGGCCGCCCAGAAATATGTCTACCGTGTCAGGCCACGCGCCGATCGGACCGGATCCAGCGCTCTGGGCCAACGGTGAGATCTCAGGAACAGAACAATATCTCGGTCGCCGTCCGCGCAAAGTCACCGGAAGTGTGTACGTGCCGTATCCCTACACTCCCACGATTTGAACTCGACCATCATTGTCGGAAGGAATCGAATGGCTGGAATGTTGTAGTACCTCGGGTAAAGTATATCCTGAAGGAATCACGAATGCCTGGATTGTCCACCCATCCATATTACTGCACTGGTCGACGCGCATATCCGCAGCGCATCTCATCGAATCCCTTTTGTTTTGACCCCTGAGCCAAACCGCGCCGTCCATGGTTCTACCGCCCCCTCCCTCAGCCGTCATCCACACCTGGACCCCACCGCGTGTTTTTTTTTTTCTCTTCTTTTCTTTCTGCCGTCTTTCTTCTCCCTTGCCTCCCAACGGTTGTTTCAGATGGCAATGATCGATCTGGGGCTTGGCGCCGTTGGACCCCCCTTTTTCTGTCATGTCCCTGCGCAGGAGCCCGGTGGTGGTCTGGGCATTCCGTTGCAACTTTGTTTCCCCTAATATGTAGCTATCAGGCGAGAAGTAACGATGGAAATTATTTCCAGTGTCTCATATCACCATATACGCTTGGAACATTTTCCGGCTGGACCTGGTGCTGCTTCCTCCCATGTATTCAGGATTCCGGAGTCAACACCTACCGTACATACAGTAATAGTACAGTCTCTACAATACTGTACAGTCGGGCAATTACAGGTCGCTAGCGCATGAGCTAAAAGAGAAAATTCCAAATACTTGGGTAGGCACAATGATCGATGTCACACATGCACAAATTAGTCCCCCTACTTCATTCGCTCAACTAGTAGAGCCGAAAACGTCACTATAGACATGCCTCCGCCAGCCACCCAACGGCCGAATGACAGAGCATGAGGTCAATAGCTCCAACCCGGGCTCCCTGATTCGGCACCAAGAATGGATCTTCGGTGCGGGGACTGTGATGGATGGAGACGCCCATGCCGTCCATGGCTGGCTGGCCTGGCGGTCCCCGTTCTTTCCCCTGGCTGTTACCACGGCAGCTGAATGTTCAACTGCTGCTGAAGAGTGGAACACACACAGCGCCTGTTTGATGTTGTCATCAAGGTCAGCCCGGATCTAGCGCTGGTTGGGCGCTTCCTTAAGCCCTAGTCACATCCCTCCCAGGTCCGGCCAGGGTCGAACCTGGCCATGATGGTTGTGGATTAGCAGAGAGAGACCAAACCTCCTTCATGCACCCACTTCCTCCGGAGTCCTCACCACTGGATGTACAGGGTCCGCTGGCTGACCCTCCTTCTGTGACGGGGCCCACGGATGCGAGACCCGGTGGCGAGTGCAAGCAAGCATGCAAACCCAGCACGAACACCTCCACGATGGCAGGCCGTCCGTGCCCCTCTCAGTGTGGGACCCGCCGTTCATTCCTTTTCGCCTGTGACCTGTTCGATCGATGCATCGCGCCCGGGGCCGACGGGCGGTGGCCATTGGCCTGTGGGCGCAGGTTGCTGGGTCCTGGGTTGACGGCGGGTGGTCGAGCATCCACTAATCACGCCGCCACCCTGTCGGCCACTCTGGTGACGGTGCCAGAACGTTGATCGCCTGCAGCCGCGGACGAACCTGTCGATTAAACTTCCGTTGTCTCTGGTCGGCCATTATTCGTCACCGTGCATCGTTGCTGCTGCTGCATCTGTCCAGATCCAGTGGATTTTAGCGTGGTGGCTTTCCCTAAGTGATAGTACATCGTCGGCTCAAAGAGGATGTACGGACAGGGTGTACAAGTAATTGTTCGATCTAGTGGAGCCCTGGTGGCCGCTGAGACTGCTTTGGTTTTGTCCAGGCCCCTTGCGTCCTCCTCGTGAGCGACATAGCGTGTTTCCGACATTCCTCGCGGAGAGCCGTGTGTCTGGTGGAGCTGACTCTTCAGGTCGCCACAGTCTGAGAAATGTGCCACGCAGCCAATCTAGTTGGAATGTTGTACCACTTGGGTTATCAAAAAGAAAAAGAAAAAATATGCGATGGATTTTCCTATTCCAAAATGCGCAGGGGTATTATATGCCAGCAACCAGAAAATATTTTCAAATCCCAAAAGAAAGAAGAAAAAAAACAAATCATGCGGGAAAGGGTAGCCCTTCTTTTTGGCCTTGCCCAACTCCCCACAGATGATGAACTCCAAGGTGGACGACCAATCCCAATTAGAGTCGTTCACTCCCAGCCTGCCCAAAAAAAGGATGGAAAAAAATCAGAAACCAAATTTTGTAAATCCGAACCCGAACACAAACCATGTGGTAATACACATTATGAGTACAAAAGAAAGAAAGAAAAAAAGGTCAACCCAAAATGAACGAAGAGCGAGTGTGGATGTTTTCAGCACATGTACAAGGTGAAGAGAACCGAGGGGAATAATATGGCACAGAAAATCAGAAGAAAAGTCGTACAGTCGTCAACCACGGGGGTTCTAATTCAGCAAGTTATTGACACCCATGCGAGTATCGCGGGCGGGTTCGGCTTTGGGCTGCCACTGTTTTTGCGAGTCCGCGGGCTGGTGCCATGAGGCCAGAGTGGGTTGGTACTCCATCCACCTCCGTTTGGAGGCGATTTCGGACAGAGGCTCAAGCGCTCGCCCGGGATAGCTGGGCGGGGAGTCATCCACGACCTGGACGGAGATGCTGGGGCGGCGAACATCGCCGTACTGAGACCGGAGATGCTCTGGGTGAGGCAGAAGCTGAGGAGATGGCAGAGTGCGAGGCGATGAAGAGCAGACGGAGTTGTGGTCGGAGACCATGGATGGAGGCTCGACTGAGGTAGCATTGGACACATCTGAGAAGGCGGGAGAAGTCAAGGGTGTTTCAATAGGGCGGTTGATGGAGGGGAGCGTGTAGATGGGCGAGAGCTGGCGGGGCACCGTCGAAAATGACTCTCTCCGCGAGTCAAGGTGCTGATCAGTGTTGGCATCCTCCGTCCATGGTCGAACGGGGAACCGCGAGCGAGAGGGGCTGTGAACAGAAGCCCGGGTGTAGGGGGCCTCAACACGGCCGCTGTAAGTGCGCGAGGCTGACGGAGTGCCCACGCCACGGCGCTTGCGGTTCATGCTGCCATTCCACCAGTTCTTGACAGCGTTGTCGCTGCGATTGCCCAGGCGGCGGGCGATTTCAGCCCAGCGCTTGCCCATTTCGGTGACCATACGCTCGATCATCAGCCCCTCGTCGGCGGAGATGGGCTCGCGATTGAGGGAAGGCTTGAGATTCTGATGGAAGCGCTCACGACATTGTTTGGGTGAGCGGTAGTGCATATGTTGCGAGATGCGCACCCAGTTGTTGGGGCCTTGCTCGCGGACTAGTTGGAGGAGCAGCTGGTCTTCCTCAGGGACCCAGGGTCCACGACGATGAGAGGGAGCCATGATGTGTGGGTGGGTGTAGGTGTTGTAGTTCAGGCTTTCAGATATATAGAGCGAGCAGAGAGTTAGGGCTAGGCGTAGTGATGGAGTGAGGTTGAAGTGAGGTTGAAGTGAGGTCGAAGTTGGAAAGGAATGTGTGTGTAAGAGAGAGACAACCATTATATCTGAATCTACCCAGGGGGATGGGTCCAGCAAAAATGGACTAACCACACTAAAGGTTGCTCCACCCGCACACACGATGGAAAGAAGATCACGATCCAAGATCTCGGAGCTGACAGCTGGTATTACAGTATTACCAGTAATACTGTATGGCACACAGTTCCTGTATTCCTGTCCCCCGGATACCTCATCCCCTATTATCCCACTCATGGCCCGAGTTAGGGCTCTTCTCGACAACTGCCTCCTCCCCCAGGTACCCATGTCCTTGTTTGCCCACTCGCCTCCTGAGGATACTGGATACACCCAGTCCACCCCGAAATATCATCCAGTAACACCATCCAGTAACATAACCTTTCCCCCTGTCGCACTATTGTATTATCCTCAGATCGTGGGGATCCGACCTCGTATGCAGCTGCGGCAACACTAGCGCCCGGTTATTGTCCTGCAGCGCTATCGCCAGAGGGGCGCACTTGACAGGGAATCAAAATACTCCGGCGATCTGCACTCTACCCGAGTATTCGGGCTGAGAACCACAGACCATCCAGTAAGGATCGGAGGGATCGACCTGGAGCCCCGTTGCTAGAATTCCAAATCATGCCCCACTACTAAGGCCCAATTGGAATCCTTCTTGTGCTGGTGGTTCCCATTCTTGATCTGTTCTTTGTGCCTTGTGGCCTCCGATTACTTCATCGCCGTTAAGATCTCGGACGAAACATGGAACCCCGATCCAACCGGCTGGAATTCAGATAGGGATAAAGAGAAGTGAAACAGGAATTCGACCTTCGTGAGGCACCTGTCACTTTTCAGTCCGTCCGTTCCAGCTCCACCCCGGACCAAAAAAGAAGCAATAGTTCAGGGGAAAAAAGGGGCAGGGCGGCACAGAAACGGCCAGGGGGGGTTAATCGTTAAGTGACAAGCGACCAGACGCGGTTAGAGATAGAGATTTCCCCAGCCTTCAGCCAGCCATGCACGACACCTCTATGCGATCGCGCCGGATCTCCGATTTGGCGCCCACCATTGGCTGATCGGGGCATTGCTCGAGCTGATCCATGCTTCCTGGGAGCTCCACTGCTGGATGGTGGAGTCTCGGATCATCGTTGACAAATTCTTCTGCCGGCGCAGTGCATATTGCTCCTTATAATTATTGCACGGCGACCCCGTAGGAATCGAGCCCCCGAGCATCGCCGAACATATACTATCGCACACTATAGATTGGTGGCCATGATCGACGAGCGTCGCACAGTTGCGATAGAGCACACACAATCATACCACTTTCATTTTTTCGACTTCACTCATTCTCTGCTGCTGCAGGGACAGCTCGCTTAGAAGTGCATGGGCCACCTGCCAACCTGTCATTGATTCTGCTTCGCTGCAAGCCGATCTCGATGATCCACCCCTGCGAGTGACAGTGGTATGTTCCAACCGTTGAGCCACACCTTCTTTGTACAGTAGTGTGTATGTAATAACAATAATAATAATGTATTTAATCATGGACTCTGTGACGAACCTCCGATCTCTAGGTATTTGTCATTTTGGGGGCGCGGGACTGCTGGTTTGGGCAAGGATAGGCTGCGGTTCACATCTAGGGCTCCACCCTGCAATCTATTCCATACTTCGTGGTCGCCTATGCTTAGTCGTGACGCCCGTTGCAAAGTCAATACTATTGACATGAGTGGGGGGAGCACAGCTGTCAGGTCCGTCCGTTGTCCGTGCCGTTGGCTCCTCTTTTCTTGGGATTATTGGATGGTTAGGGGAGTGGTGGAAGAGGCGGGGAGAGCCGGACGGCATCAGGTTCACATCGTTCGTTCTTCGATCGTGTCCATACCCCTGGGTACACCGTTGGCCATCTGGAAAAGGATTGAGGAACCGACCTCCTGGATGCAACATCGACTAGGGTGTTCCCGAGAAGTGACCTGTCACTTGGGCTCGTCGGGTCCGCCAATCAGGGGCACCAGCAGTATTTGAGATTTATCCTGGTCTGCCTGCAGGGATCCTCGCCGATCACGGATGAGTCCAGGAGGACCATGGCCATCCTCCACGATCTGGCCAGCTCCATCGTAGAGGGCGGTAAACAACAATCACCAGAAAGTCGATGACCAAAGATTAGGGGGTTCTACAACGCCCATTTCCATTATCATCATTGTTTGTTCGGTATTCGGATACGATGTGAGTCCTCTCTTACAGTAATACGAATACACACACTGCCCGACTGCTTCCTGACTGTCGGGTCGGATCACGTGGATGGTCCTGGTTAGGCAGTTTGTTGTGCGCGATCCCTGGAACGTTCTGACAACGGCACCATAAGACAGAGTCCCTAATAATTACCTCCGGTACTTGATACACTTGATGTTGTTGCCATACACGAGTGAAAATGAAAATGAAAAGTAATCAAATAAGACAGGTGTCTTTTGAAACCTTAACCCGGCCGTTGGGACCACCGTTGACTGCAAACAAGCCCAAACCAGATCCTTGCAGGGGGCCAAACTCTGACGTATTCTCGGGGTTCATCGGGGACTAGATTACTATAGAGCCCGACGGCCTGTCACACGTGGGTTCGCCCGGACGAACACCTCCCAACTCGGGCAACGGTCAAGGATCCACTCGTCCAAGAACTATGAACTGGTCGTCGTAGTGCCTACGACTATGTACCATAATGATCATGAAAATGCCTCGATCTACTACTGTATCACGTAAGTCAATAGTCATCTTTCCAAATAAGGGGCTGCCCCGCCGTTGTGCCGTTTCCCGTTGTGCCGTTCAGCGCCTGGCCCGCTCGGCTGTCAAAAGTCCGCGAATGCTCTCGCTTACAGTACTAATAACTACGTACGTGCTGGCGGAGTCTGTTCCATACCCACAAACAAGGTTTGCCTGACAAGGGTAAAAAAAAAAAAAAAGCAAGGAGGCGAGCAAAAAAATAAAAAAAAATAAAAAAAACCGCTCCCCCTCAAGGCATCGCACCGTCCTCACACATACTGGGCGTGGCTTGCTCTCACCTTGGCGTCACCGGTTCAACCCAATCTCCCCAGTCTAAACTCAATCGGCGAACCCCCCTTCCGGCCTTCCAGTGAAAAACCGGCCCATGAGCCACCAGCAGGGTTGTTGTGTTCTGCTGGGACGGCCATAGCTTCCTCGGTATGGTTCGGCTGGGTGCGCCTGCAAGCCCTATCCCTAGCCCTGTTCCCGGTTCCCGGCTTCGATTGGAAAGGTGGCTGGCGGTCTCGGCCACCAGGAATACTATGGGTATCTATTGGTATGTACAGTACTTTGAGGAGGGGTAAGGCAGGGTGGCGACAGGCTCTCCCATACACCTGCACGGCTACCAAAACAGAAAACAAGGAAAGCACGGGAGTGGAACCGGGCCCCTTCTGGATCAGGACGCCGTTGCTATGCCGTTGGCAGACGGCACCGCGGACTGACGAGCGCACGGCCGGGGCCACCCATAGCGATGAATAGTACGGACCCTGGATTACGATCCTTGCGGGCGGTCTTACCGTAGCATGGGTCGCAACGGTCTTCGAGACCTATATCCGAGCCTCAATTCAGGGGGGACGAGAGCGAGGCTGTCCGTGTAGTGAAGGGGAGAAACTTTTGCCAGCTTTGAGTTTGCCGCCAGTGATCCTGGCGCCGTTTGTCTTGTTGCTGGCCCGCACTTCCGAATCAGGTTGGTGGCCGCGACGCTAACTTATAGAGTTGGTGTCTGACTCGTCTGGCCCCCTGGTCTGGGGTTCATGGACGAACTAACCAATCTTTCTTAGCGAGTTGACGCTATCGTGAGTCACGTGTATTTCTTGCCCTGGAGCGGATGGATAGAGGCCATGTAGTCTACCTTACCTCGGTAGATACTCTGTGGAATTCGTATTGTTTATTTGAGAGAATCAAATGTCTCATATTATGGAGCTGCTCGTTTGGACGTTTGAAGTTTATACTTTTTTTTGTGTATGTTCACCATATTTGTGGTGAGATATATATTTGAACAAGCACGGCAACAAACCACTACTCGCTCGAACCGAAGTCACATCGTCTTGAACTCATGATCGATTGTCAGTAGCGTAGCATTATTTTAGTTGTTGTATTTGCCACCACTCTCATACAAACACAAAAACAATGCATTCAACGCCCGATCAACCTACACCCGAAGTCACCCTCCCCTGCTGTTCTGATGAGGTGAAAGCCACCACACCCACAATCAGCATGGGACACAAATCTCGTGGCTGCTCCCAATCCAGTTGAAACCGAAACGAGCGCATTGCTGCAAGGGAGTGCGTGTGGCGAGGGGCGAGATGCAGGTAGGTGTGCCCCGTTTACGGGAATGGAGGGTTGGACAAGACGCCGGACAGGACGGTACTGTCCTATTCTACTTGTATGGTAACGCGTACACCGTACAGTTTTCCATTGTAAAAGTATAGTTTTCAATTCCGTACAGTCCTTGTGCGAGGGTGGAGGTGCTTCGGCTGAGATGCATCATTTTTGAAAGTGGCCATCCGTAGCTCGACCCATGACCGGAGCCACGAAGAAACCATGTGGCCCGCGCGAAGAGGGTACTTGCAATGAAATAGACTAGCTCTGATGTTAATTGAGTCTGGCAAGGATTTAGACTCCAGTCTTGTGGCTGCTCACATATCTTCTTTTTGTCTGGTACGGTATGCAATACAGAAGATCCTCGGGGAGTTTTTTCCACGTACCGTATATGAAAGCAAGTTCCCGGCCAAGGAAAAGTCAACCACTGCATAGTACGAGGAGGCACTGGTATAGTGGCAATTTCCAGCTTTCGTGGTTTCATGCCCACTCAATAACCAACCAGTTGCGCCTACTGGAGACTGTCCGGCTCCTATGTCTCAACTAGTCCACCCCGATTTGCCACGAGAACAGTGGTCAGGCATATCCCGTGGGGGCGTTGATGTACACAGATGGAATGTTCAGAGTTATCTCAGCTGGACAGTCGCTTTGGTCTTTTCCGTTTCAATCAGGTGGTGACTGGATGATTGATCGATCGCATGCGTGGAGAGTTCCTGAATGAGCTGCTTGCGGAGGCCAATATACTTCTTAAAAATCGCGTACACCTACTCGTCATGCGACCAGATCTCATTGTCTGCCCCGCTGGGAGTAGGTTAGCCTTCTGGCTTGGGCTCACGATCTCCATGTAGTCGCATCACCAGACAGCATGCGCCCTACTGGAACCACCGTACGAAGAATTCCCCGAATGCCGGTCAATAGGGTTACCGCCATAGAAACCACCAATCTCTGTTGTTCACCCAGGGATTCTAGAGAGTCCCATAATTAAACCTGCAGCGAAGTGGTTCCGAAATGAATCCCAGAAGACGCGATGCCACCGCTCCAAACAACGCCCCGTATTTCTGGCTACCTGCCCAGGTGCACCATAGAAGTTTCACAATATTCGGTTGACACTGGGCTTGCATGAATTCATGAGAGCCACGCGCGTATTTCTTGGGTAAAATGTTGCCGACCTGGAAGTTACTGCCGGCGTGATAGCGGTAGATATTAAAATAATAGATAGAGTAGTCGGGCTCTACTTCGTCCAGCCAGAAAACCTGGATGCCTTTCTCGTAGTAGTTCTTCTTTGCCTTGCAGGCACACAAACTTGCGTGCCTCGGAATTAGTTGCGTCAAAGTGCGTGATGTCGCCGTCGCACTGCAGATGAATTCGCATGCCGCAGTCATGCCAGACGAGCAGATCTTTCTCCAGAATTTCGGGGTAGTTCTCGAAGGCGTTCTCGACGGTTGGTCAGACGGAAACTACGAGCTCTATTTTAAGCTCCTTGAGTTCTTTGACCATGGCGTCTGAAATCCAGGATAGCTAGTTGATTGCCAGCAGGAAAGCCACTAACCAGGATCCGGCGAAAACCCTAGATAAAATTTTCATTCGCCTTGATGTTTCCAAAGAAAGAAGTCGATAACCAGTAGACCCAAAGGAACTAGGCGGCGCCGATACTCGGCAATATTGAGCAACTGCTCCCTATTCCAATAGCGGAGATTACACTGCCAGAACTCAAGGCCATATTCGGGCATCATGGGCACAAATCCTGTCAAGCTCGCACATGCTTCCTATATCTCGCGGGTGTATCACCGCCCACAACCAGTAATCCAAAGACTTTTCTGGAATATGCGTCAAAACTCATGACTTTGGTAGCCGGCATCACCTGCCCAATAACGGGATTATTCCGTAGAGCCCCATCGGCATGCGAGGAAACGACAAACCTACACTCGCTTGGGAGTTGCGATGCGCCAGCTCGAATTTAGTACCTTTCAGATTCAGATAGGGCTGTTGATACTGGCCCATGTCGTATATTTTTCTTTTCTTTGGGATCGAGCGACTCGAACCCTATCGTGCGAAGGCAGTCTCCACGTAGGATCGGACGCAGCTCGCGCGCTTCAATCTCCTGTGCACTGCATTTTGGATTCTTGGGAGCTCGTCGATGGTGGGCGTACTCTTCAAGCGGCTTCTTTTCTTGGGATTTGAATTCTATAGTCATACCGTGCCTGGAAACAGTTGCTTTCATTATGCCGTTTGTAATGCTCAATTCCTTACCAGCGGGGATCTCGATAGTTGAGCCGGGCTGGCTGGTCGAGAGGACAGGGCCCAGTCCTCGATTGACATTGATGAGAACTTAGTAGGTCGCACTCGGAGTGCATGATAACCCCAGAGGCGAATCCATAGAAGGCGGTCATCGAACCGGGAGACTAGCTTGTCTTCTTCAGTATAGAGCATTTTGGGTGAATGTAGGCGTGTGTTAAGGAACTTGGGAGAGTTGGTCACAAGGGTAGACAGGCCCGATTAAAACTGTCGGTCGTCTAATTTTCCCTCACAATGTGTTGTTGAATGTTGCACAGGTCCACACTGTAAATGTAGGAGTCGTCTTTTCCTCTTCCTGTTCTATTAGTGCCAGTAGATAGCCCTAAATATTGACACCTCACAAAACAGGTGTCAAACGGTGCATGACATAATCATCCCCCACACGGCCGCTAACCCGATCAGGCCAGCCCATCAGCTTCGCCTTCACGCTTAGCTTTTCGTCCCCGAAATTCACTCACCTCTCTTCTTGCTCTCTGTCTGGCCTCGCTACAACGCAGGCAAACACGCAATCTCAGGCGCACATCACTTTGCGACTGCTGACGCATCAATGGATATTGACATGGACCTGGACCTGGGCCCGGCCCCCGAGCCTGAGCCTCAGCCCATCGCGATGGTGAGTCGTCACTTTGGCATGACATGCCCGGGGATTTTCTTGCATCCTAACGCGAGGGCTTTCTAGGATATGGGACACGTGGAGGGCGTAGTCGATCCGCTCACAGCCGAAGCGGATGCGCTGTACGAAAAGGTCCACGTCCGGGGCGTGGACGAAATGACAACGGACAACATCAGACAATTCGCCAGCAGCCACTTTGAGCAGGAGCAGCCGTCGCGCATCGAATGGATTGATGACACATCCGCGAATATTATCTACTCCTCTACTGAGATCGGCCTCCAAGCACTCGCTGCCTTTACGCAAGCCGGTGAGGAAGGTGACGCGTCTGCCTTGCCGCCTCTGCGCCTACGCTCGGCCAAGCTCCTGTCAACCCACCCAGACTCGGTCCTCCAGGTGCGCTCGGCGGTGAAGACCGACCGCAAGAGGGCTCGTGCCCATGAAGCTAGTCGATTCTATCTTATGCACCCGGAGCACGACCCCCGAGAGCGCCTACGACGGGAACTAGACGAAAGAAGACAACATGGTGGCGGCGAATCTAGCGATGGCGACTACCGGCGGCGTCGTTTCGATGACCGTGAGCTGCGACGACGCCGAGACCGTGATGGGGAGGACCGGTTCAACGTGGACATGTACGACGATAATGGCGGCAGCTATTCGGACTCGGATCGCGGTATACGGGAGCGAAGAGGCCGTGGTCGGAGAGATCTATTCCCGGAGGATGAGGATCAAACATTCGGACGCCTTCGCAATCGCAGCGCATCGCCCGGTCGCGACACGTTGGAGGACAACGAAAGGGCTGATCGTGCCGGCCACAGCAGACGGTTCCGTGAACGGTCGCCACGACTCGGCCGCCGCAACCAAGGCAAAGAGCTCTTTCCGACCAAGGGCGGCAACTCGGACACGAGAGAACTCTTCCCCAACAAACTGGCCTCCAGCTACATCCAGAACCAGAATAGCAAAGCCAGTAATCACCGACGTTCGGACGCATTTGATGCTGCAGACGAGACTGCCGATCTGCTTGGCCGAAGGATCTCTGTCCCACTTACCGACGGGGCCTCCGATAAGGCGCAGCGGAACAAAAATGTTGAGCTCTTCCCAGACCGTGGTGAAGATCAAGGTGCCGCCATGCGTGGGCTTACTTCGGAGGATCAGGGCTGGGCCATCCGAGGTGCAGCAAATGGCATGTCTATTAAAGGGAAGGGTTCCTCAGTTCGGGAGCTATTTCCGTCCAAGTATGGTGACAATTCTGGCAAGGAATTGTTCTCAAATACGCTGCAAGGGCGTGGAGGACAGCGGCGGCGAGCTGAGGACATGTTTGGCTGAAGCCACCGAGTCCTTGAACAGGAGGCGATGCATTTGCGTTCGATAGAGTGTTTTCATCAGCATGGTCGATGATATCCGGCGTTTGCCAATCAACGGGTGTTTTGAGATTCAGAATTTAGTAGATAGAACTGCCTTATGATGCAATGAAACATACGTATAATCCGAGTTGAGAAAAATTGATGTTAGTGATTGTCAATAATAATTCTGATAGCTAATCTTGATTCGCCGCCGCATATCTTCTCCCGCCTTCCTCATCCTCCCCACCCCGTGGGCGTGCATCGGCGACCATGGCTTCCTCTAAATCCGTCGATGCCCTAGCCAGTGCCTTGGTGGCTCGATTCCTGCGAACGAACAACTACGCTGAGACTCTCGGTGCGTTCATCCGCGAGGCCAGTCTTGCTCCGGACGTGGGGCAGAGCTCCGGCGATGACACCAACAGCTGGTCCATTCAAAGCCTGCTTGAGGAGAAGAAAACCTTTGACCAGAGCGTGGATTTTGAGCGATATGGCGCAGATAGCTCAAAGACGGGTCTGTGGTGTGTGCCAGGTGAGATATTATTGTCTGTTATTTGCCTTTCGACACCAGCTCAGTTGCCGCAGCACCCTCAAAACCAAACATTGTGCAAACACCGACATCAGCCAATCTACTCGCTGCATCGGTCGAACACTGGTGGAAGCCTTGCGAGAACGAAGATGTCGCAGAGTCAGAACGGGGCTACATTGTGTCCACTGGCGCAGATAGAAAAGTTCATCTGCTCGACACCGCAGTCGGCAACGACACCATTGTTTCGTTCTCCGGGATATCTGATTCACCCGTGCTCTCATATGTATCCGTCTTGCAAGGTCGATATATTTTGATGACCAACATGTCTGGCCAACTGCTCCTCCAGCGTGGCTCCGATACCCTGGATACCAGAAGAGACCATACGAAATACGCCGTCAAGGTGGTCGCTTACGAAGACCAATGCGGCTCCAGTACTTCTCCCCGAAAGCTGTGGGTTGCTACCGCTGGTTGGGATGCGATGGTATACCTGTACTGTCTCAACATCCCAGACGAAGTAGACAGTTCAGCACTTGCCATTGGGAATCCTGTTGCATGCATCAAGCTAGTCACGAACCCAGAATCTTTGCTCTTTGTACGCCACCTCGACACTGACGAGCTACTCCTGCTTGTCTCACGAAGGGACTCGACCTACCTTTACTACTACGGAGTGGAATCCGTACCACAAGGCGTCACTGAGTCCGAGAATAATACCCAACCACCAGTCCCAGAGTGCAAGCTCCTCGGACACCAGAATCTGGCACCCCATTCTAATGCATGGGTAGCCTTTTCTCCTGCACACATGGCACTAAGTCCACACGACCCGGGTCTACTGGCAGTAGCTACATCGACGCTGCCGCATCTCAAGGTCATTATCGTGCGGCTATTGTTCCCGTTAACGAAGACATTTGACCCAGAGGGCGATTCCGAGGTTTCCCTGACGCAGGCCTCTCAAGCATTCGCAGCGCTGGCGCTGCAGAACCGCGAGGACGCCGCCATCCTCGTGCAGGCCAATACCTTCGCGCCGCAGACGGCATACTCAACACCGCAGGTAGCGTGGCGACCTGACGGGTCGGGTGTTTGGGTCAATGGGGATGACGGCGTAGTGCGCGGCATTGAGGCTAAGACGGGGAAGGTGGTTGCTATCCTTAAGGACGGCCATGAGCCTGGTTGTAAAGTGCGCACGGTCTGGGCGGGCTATGTACCTGTGCCTCATGATGGCGAGGATCCGTCTCAAGAGGAATGGGTCATCAGTGGGGGATTTGATAAACGGTTGGTGATTTGGAAGGTATAGTTTGAATGTATATCGCGGTCAGAATGATAGGTATATGATAGCAAAACTTGAGATTGTATGTAGATGTAGAATAGATAACCAAATCTAGATCGATAGCTTCCGAGAAAAACTTCTCAAGACTACTGCTTACGGAGATGGGATGTGGCCGTCTAACCATGCACCTGTCCGCTTGAAGAAGCACAAACAGGCGATTGTAAATGGATGACGGCCTGGAAGACGCTCTTGGCACGTAGAAAATCCTTCAGCTATCGCACATGAGGAGAGGTGCGCAGCTGTACACACATATGCCGGGGGAAAGGGAAAGGGAGTATGGGGCGTTTGCCCCATGCTGGGGAATTCCAGATCGAGAAACTTGTTTAGCATTTGGCACCGCCGAGCGTTAAAAATCGAATTTGAAGCCTGTTGATTTCTGTATCTCACACAACCCCGGACGCGTCGCGCAACGGAATAACCAGACCTCTTCGAACACGACGGACCACGGTTGTCCGGGTTTTCATCGCAACGTTATGTTCACCGAGTCCTTCCACATTTTGCGTTTCTCCACGTTTATGCGATCTCCCGCTTGCCCTCCTTGCGCTCCTTCTGTTCAATGGATTAGTATCGTGTTTGTCGAGAGGTGGGTATCGATGGCGATTGTGAACGTACCAGCGCCTTCATGGTGCCGTGCAGAGCGTGACGGTGGTTGCGACGGAACTTGGGGTCGACACCCTTCAGGGAGGGGTAACGGTTGGTCTTGGGCTTCTTGATACTATTTGAGGACGAGGTGTCAGTGTCCGATTTTCAGGGTCCAAGCGACGCTGCATGGCTCAGGATTTGTCGGTCGATTGTCCGGGCGGACGTTCCATTGCAACACGGGGGGGGCAAAACACCCCGAACCAGTGACAACGAGCACGACCTCCTCTTAAATCTTTCCAGGCGCAAAAAAAGGGCGATGCAGTGACAGGGAAATCGCATCATGGGGAGGGTACGCACCCGTTACGGTGAGCCTTCTGGCTGTTGTGGTGCTGGGAGGCGTTCTTGGACTCTGTAGCGCAAGAAGATTAGTGACTGAGGGATTTGACAGGACAGGACTTCACGTACTGGCCATCTTGACGGATGTGGTTGATTGAGGTGAACGGGAAGGTTGGAAGAGACGGTCAAGTCAGTCCAGGCGGTCTCGGATCTGACTAGGGCTTGTCTGTGTGGGAGATAAGCGAGCCGGGTCATGTGACAACACGTGACCGTTGAGTATAGTCCCAGGACTGACAGTAGTGAATGGGTTCCGGTCTGCTAGCGATACTAAAGAGGGCATTATTACTTGGAGAGAAAATTGAAGGGTGGGATAATTCCAAGGCGTACGTAGACAGGAGATAATCCACTCCCTTGTGGTCATTTGCTGCGAATCCTGCAGGTCTCTTCACTCCCGGTCTCTCTTCCTGGCAAGAAAAACACTGTTAGAGACAGTCGCAGTATTTTGAAATAGCCAATTCTATGTGAGACCAACAGTTTCATTTTTTTTGTCCTTCCCACGTTCTTCCCTGTCTCTCTCCCCGACAGTACAGTATAGTCCTCGGATTGTCATCACGTGACGCGCTAGGGAACAACCGGCCGCCCGACTTCGACCTTTGCATCTTCAGTCAAGAGGGATCCATCCGCCTGCCTTCTCACCACCACCCCCCATCCATTGCACCATGAGCTCCCTCCGCTTCACTCGCTCTGCCCTGAGGGCCCGTCCCTCCATGTTCGGCGCCCCCGTCCAGCGTCGTGGTTACGCCGAGGCCGTCGCCGACAAGATCAAGCTGTCCCTGACTCTGCCTCACCAGGTGCGTTGACCAGCTCTAATGACCCTTGCCCACCATGGCCCTAGGACTAACTCTTTGTCTCCACCAGACTATCTACCGCTCGACTGGCGTGTATGTGCCGACCCCCTTGTTGCGCCCGATCGGCCGACCGCAGATACTGACAGATTCGCGATCACAGTACCCAGGTCAACCTCCCTGCCGCCTCCGGTGAGATGGGTGTCCTTGCCAACCACGTTCCCTCCATCGAGCAGCTCAAGCCCGGTCTCGTGGAGATCATCGAGGAGGGTGGCGCCACCAAGCAGTACTTCCGTACGTCCCGACCGCACCGTTGTTGAACAAAAACGTTGACTTGACGATTTTCAGTGTCCGGCGGCTTTGCCGTCGTCCAGCCCGACTCTCAGCTGAGCATTAACGCCCCCGAGGGCTTTGCTCTTGAGGAGTTCAGCAGCGAGGTAGGTTTTTTGGGGAGTTGGTACCGGGCCAGGGAACACGCTGACATGAATACAGGCTGTTCGTGCCCAGATCGCCGAGGCCCAGCGCATTGCTGGCGGCAGCGGCAGCGAGCAGGATATTGCTGAGGCTAAGATTGAGCTGGAGGTAGGGATCCCTTATGCGACCACTATTTGGACCGTTGGACTAACTTGATCGCGAACAGGTGCTGGAGACTCTGCAGGCCCACCTCAAATAGATTTGTTGATGTACATAACCACCTCGCGCACTCCTGATGTAGAATTATAGCAATTCTCCTTTGTCATCCTCTGTTGTATCTGTGTGCATCGCTCCTTCCTCGTCCCTCGCAACGTGACTTTCCTCCCGTCGTCACTTCCTCTCTTTCTTTCTCTCTTTCTCTTCTCCATCTCATCATGCCCGCTCATCTTCGTTCGATCAAATCGGATCCCCTGGGCGTCGTGGATACCCGCGTGCTGACAATGACCGAACCCCCAGTTCGGGGCTTACCTTCCCCTTCGTTAGCTTCGTTCTCATCAGTCATCGCATTCGAAGCGACTCCGCAGAGCCAGTGTCTTGCAGACAATCAAGGAGACAAGCTCACCCAGGATACCCACTCCCTCTCGAGCGAGGGGTGTACCGTCGATTCTGATGAATTTCGCGAAGCAACCTCGCATGTTGATGACAATTGCGAAGTAAAAACCCATGAGCTGAAGGCTTGGTTCCCTAATCTTGAGCTGGATGTCACACTAGACAGGTACCATGGTCAGGATGGCCTCGCTGAACCAATGAACCCGCAAAACACCCCAGCCTCGCCCAGTGAACGAGATAGTATCCCCTGTGAGCCTTACGGCACGGAGAATTTGCCCACAAGACCTGCACCCCAACGGGCATTCGCCCTGAACTGGCTAGGAGCGACGATTGAGAATTTTCACGACACACATTCTGATGGATGGCTTAAACCATCAAGATTGCGCCTCTCAGCAGATGAACAGGGTCCTCCTACGTCGCCGGTGGATGAGCAGAAACTAGTCAACGCCTACCAACGGAAGGAATTGGACCTCTCGCCGGTGCGATGTGTTCACTTCTCTCCTGGACCCCCGCTGCCCCTTCGGTCTATGAGCCGTCCTGTTCCGTCAGTGGAACGTCCGCAGGATTACGTCGCCTTGCATCGCCAAAAGAAGCAGTACGAGAAGTGGAGAGCTTCTCGCTGTCATGCTCGGGCTTCTCCGTATCGCAGCCCGACTAAACTTTCGGCTAGTCGTCCAAACAAACAGCCCAACATCCATTTCTCGTCTCTGTCCAACTTCCCCTTCCGCAGAATTGACCAGGCACGTCTTCAAATCAACGACGATGAGCGCGGAGACACTACTTTGGAAGAAGCAGATGTTAATGCCGTTGACCAGTCGACGTCTTCGGATCAAAGCAATCGTTCCGCGAAGCAAAGTGATCTCTTCGCCTTCTCTGTTGCTGTGCATAAGATTCGACATCTAGATCAACCATTGTCTCGAGATGTGCGAGTGTATTCGTATGTGTTCCAGTGGGGAATGGCCACGATGGCCCGACAAAGCGGAGAGCAGACGCAGACTGCTGTCTATCCAGTCCTGAATGACATGGGTTTGCACGTTAATCTCATTGTACCAGCGCGGGTCCTTCGCCTCGCCATTGCCGTCTTTTCTATTGCACGATCTCTGGCCTGCTCGCCTGTCGGAGTAGCCGCTCTCCGGCACGTCGGATCTATTTTGTCTCTCCTCGTCTCGTTCGCCGTCCTTCTGTTGTCCATGTTTGGAGTAGCTCTCGACTTCCAACTTGGCCGGGACCATCACCTCTAGGGGAGTACTTTGTATTGTTATCCGGCTTTATGTTATCGGATGGAAATGGATACTTTCAAGTCGGGGCTTGCATTATTTTCTCTGAGTCAGGTTCTCCAACTGTTATTTCTATTCCACGAGTCTATCCCCTTCCGAGTCTAGACCGAGGGTTGACTATGATATACCTATAAGCTTTTCTGTATGGGCTAACCTGAAATGAAAAAAAGTCTTCTGAGATTATATATACAGATGAACAGCCTTTATATCAGCCACCCTCAACGAAATGCTCGTCAGTGTCTGTGACTATACACGTGTTATCGAAATGAACTCGAAGTCGCCTCGAATAAATGCACAAGCCTTCCAGATTATAACCTAATCGCTTAGGTTTATGCCTGGGGATGCTCCACACACGAAGTGGACTGAGAACGAAATTTGGCTACGTGCGGCGCTGTCATCGACCCAGGGAGCCGAACCAACGGAAAAATGTACGAAGTGGAAGTTCTAGGATGTAGAATTGAGGCTATATGTAGGAATACCCTCCGTCTTGTTGTGGAAAATCAAAAAAGAACATCAATATCTGGTATATTGAGAGAAATCCCGTACAGAACAAACATGGCTTTAAACCTTGGAACGCTGGCGTCATAAAAGAGAAAAGAAAGGGAAAAGAAACCTAGCTAATAAACCCATTTCCGTTGTACTCGCAAAACAAACCCAGAGAGCCGAACCGAGCCGAATGGGATATCCATATTGACACGAAGCATGAAAAGAAGAGAACAAATCATTTTGTACAGATCGTGGAAGCGTCCAGGTTCGGACAGAGCATGCATGCATTAATCAGGTAAACTCCACACCGTGAGACTGTTGTCGATCCTGGCGTGCGCGAGCTCGTTCTGCACGGCGCCGGCGCCGGTTGTTTGCGTAGGATCCGCTGGCGTCAGTCCCGGTCCATGTCCCCGGTGACGTGACGCTACCGGCACCATAAGGCATGCTTGAGGGCGCCGGGTGTGGTACCGGAGGTGGCGGAGGCATATTGCTCATCTGAGACTGTTGGGCGTAAGAAGACGGAGCAACAGATGGTCCTCCTGCTGACCCTGCTGCAGCCGCGGCAGCAGCTTCTTGCTCGCGCTGCATTTGCTCTGCTTGTTGGCGCTCCAATTCTTCCACGCGGCGCCAGCGGTCATTGCTGCCTTCGCCACCTGACAGAGAGCTTGCGCTGCCGGTGCGTCGGCGAGAGCTCCTTCGCTCTCGGCGTCGTGCTTCGCGACTCGCTGCTGCTTCTTCTTCGGTTAGACGACGAAGGGTCACATGTCGGCCGTCGTTGTGCATCTTTACTTTTACAGACACTGGCGGAGACTCGACGTGCTCGTCTCGATGCCGGCTACCGCTGCTCGGACGGTAACTGGACGCGGCAGCGGCAGCTGCTCCAGCTGCGGCCCCAGCTGCAAAGTCTCTTCCCTCATGGGAATGAGTCCGTGAGGATCGTAGATCACCCGACAGTTGTTGGTGTGCTGGTGGGATAGGAGGGATATCTGAGGGCATAGGATGACCGGCTCCGGTGGGTTCCCCGCTGAGAAATGACTCTCCATGCGACTGCTGTCGAGGTGGCCGCGGAGTCATATCAGTCGAAGTGAGGTCGCTTTCACTGTATGCACTGGTATGCCTTCGCTGCGGGTAGAAACCTGGACCTGCGGCACCCGCGGCACCTGAAGTACCTGTAGCATATTGTTGTCGCCGCTTGCTGTTTGCTCGCTGCAGCCTTTCGTCTTCCTCTTCTGAACGTCGGATGTCTTCCAGCCGACGTTTCTCTTCGTCATCTTTATTGCGTCCAAACAGCTTCTTCACGGCGGCAAATGCTCCAGCGCCGAGTATAGCATCTCGAATACCATGGCCGCGTCCACCACCCTCTGGCTCGGTGAAGTAGGTGCTGTTGTAGTAGTAAGACGAGCCAGGACTCTGAGGCCGGCTTGGTGGGCGACTCGGAGGGCGATTAAGGGGTGTTTGATGACTCGGCTCCGGTCGTCCGTCTTCCAGCCTGCTGAGAGAATCTTCCGAGTAGCTATCGGTCCGTGTGTGGGCAGGTCTGTACTGGCCTGCCTCGGCATCCTCCTCTCGTCTTTTTCTTCGATCCCACCATCCTTTTGCCAGAAGACCAGCACCGGCGAGGGCGCCTATCTCAAGAAGCTTCTTTCCCCATCCACCTCCGCGATTGGAGACTTCATCAGAGTATTTTTCGTCCGAGTACGACGTGCGCGACTCCTCATAAGCTTGACCCGACGTTCGGCGCTTTCGGAATATAGCAGCCAGACCTGCCCCAAGAGCTCCACCGGCCAGAGCTTCTCCCCATCGGCTGTGATGGCGTTCTTCAGTAACCGCAGTTCCAGTGTAACGACTGCCATGCTCGCTTCCCATGGGATATCCTTCGGTGTCGTAACGATACGAGAGGATGAAGTAGGTCACTAACAGCGCAAAAGCCGCTAGAGCGAAGAGAATAAATAAAATCTTTGGAGAGCCGTAGAGAGTGAGCCCTAATGGTATTTGGACAATGCCCAAAATGGTGAGCCCACGACCGAGCCACCGATGGAACTGGAATGAGCATGTTAGTATTTCGCGGGGTTATCACCTAAACGCCATAACTTACCACTAGCTTCAGTGGAACATGGCGACTTCTTCGTTTGCTCTCAACTTTGTGCACAAACCAGCCCCAAAGAACTTGAAAGATCACTATGACATAGATAGCCAGACCGATCCCATGATGGGGGTTGGTAAGGCTTCTCTCTGGTCCAACCGCGAACCACCCGAGCACAAAAACGACTGTCGTCAAGAGTAAAGTAAGGACCTGGCACCAAGCATGAAGCTTGAAGGCCCAGAATGGATTCCACCGAGAGTAGTATCGAATGATGAGAGTTGAGGTCGGGACAATGCCCAGAAAAACAATGGTTGCAATGACACCGTGGGCGATAATTATGGAATGGTAACCGGCCATATCTTTAAAACGATTGCCCATACCTAAAAGGAAAGGTTAAACCAGTTCAAAGACATGTACACAAGCACTCACCATTGTAGCGCATCGTCTCAAAGTTCAATCCCATCAAATTCGGTAGCAGAAAGGTATCGCGCTGTGAGTCCCAAGTGCCATCTCCAACATGGAGAGTATTCGAGGAATATGTGCTGCTTCCTGGAGCTGCGAGCCCCGATTGTGACCCCATGATTGCGGAATCCCGATCCAACGTGGGACCTCGAAACTCTGGAATGGGAGACTTATTGAAGGAGATCTATTGAGATCTCCCGATCCGAGGAATGCACCATGCGACACAAGAGAAATATCCGATTGGCGAGGAATTTGGTGACAGATACTGGAACAATGAGGGTCGATCGAATGCGCTGAAGGAGAAGGAATGTGGGCTGCGGATTGTCGTGTATTGTGGCTCAAAGGACACGGAGCAGGAGGGGAGTAAACCGGAGTAACGAGGATGCAGTCGTAAACTCGGCTGGAACGAGAACATCCGGGAACACAAACAACAGATTGGCGCATCACCGGGACAACCATCCCTACACCGACCAATACTGCCGGCAGAGTGTCACCGCCTTCTCCCACCTCTCACCTGGCCTTATCAATCATCCTTCAATTATGATGTGATTTCGTTTTCCTCCCTCTTTTTTTGCCAGGGGAAAGAGTTCCAGGAGAGACGAAGCGCAATGGATCCTCAACTAGAGATCTTTGTCAAGGCTCTCTCTCGGTGTGTGGCCCTTCCTGACCTTATTGCCATCTGGAACTTGAACTGACCACTCACGTATTCCCGCAGCCTCTTGGGATGGATCTAGTACGTGGTTGATCCCGCCTTTGTACGCCACTGACTAACAGGATGTAAGCATGCTATGTTGGTCGGCCTCGTTCTACCCCCAGCCCATCTATAATTACCAGCGTGGTTCGACATCAGGGTTAGCCATCGACTTCCCAACTATCAACTTCTTGGGCTTTTCATGTTATGCGATCTACACGTCTGCTTTCCTGTACTCTCCCGTCATTCGTCAGCAATATGCTGCACGTTTCCCCAACTCCGGCGAGCCGACCGTCCGCTTCAATGACTTGGCATTTGCCGTGCATGCGGTGGTGTTGAGTGCGATCGTCTATTCGCAGTTTTGGCCCAGTATTTGGGGGTTGCGCGTATTGCGCACCCAACGAATCAGTAAAACTATGTTGGGGCTATTTTGGGGTTCGGTCCTGGCGCCCCTGGTCGTTGTTTGGATGGTGGTGGCGCGCAGCCCGGACGGCGGTCTTGATCCCGCATCATGGGCGTGGATTGACGTGGTAAGTACATAAATAGTCCTGTCAACAGGGCTGGTCAGTTCGCCGCTAACAGGGGGTATTTGTCAAGATCTATGCATTTTCGTATGTCAAGCTCCTCATTACGGTGGTGAAGTATGTGCCCCAAGCCTGGGTGAATTACAAGCGCCAGTCAACCGTGGGCTGGAGCATCATCCCCATTCTTCTCGACTTGAGCGGGGGGGTTCTGTCGCTAGTGCAACTAGTCCTCGATTCGAGTCTCCAGAGCGACTGGAGCGGAATCACGGGCAACCCCGTCAAGTTCCTGCTGGGCAACGTCACCATTGTCTCAGACACGGTTTTTATCGTCCAGCACTACTTGTTATACCGAGATGCATCGAAGGACTCGAAGGATGGGGATCGGGATCGGGGTGACCGAAGGCCGTTGTTGTCTGATGAGCCTTACGAGGCTTCTCAAGCCACGCGAGATCTAGTTTAAATTTGGATCTGAAGATCAAACATTGGAGATCGCCTATTATTTTGCGTGTTTTAGATTTTTCTTCAAGAATCCTGAGACATGTTTTTGGGGGCCGACGCTCGTGGCCAGCCGGCCCCCAAGATTTGGGGGAGCCATGCGAGTCTGCCTTTCCCTCTTATCGCCGAGCCGATGAACTATGCTTAATCGGGTAAACGATTCGGTGCTAACCTAGCTAATACCTAAGTGGACAACAGGCGTCATTGTGATGATCATCATCATTACAAATCATGATTTTCCCGGCGTGGTCCAACCTATTAGCTATTATTATTGCCGTCTTGGATGGTACTACTGTCGATGGACAACAACCACGACACCGCTCGCTCGCCGCGCCGCACCGGTCGGGCTCCACATCCACAGCACCCCTGAGTGGCTGATAGGGGCGCTAAGCATGGGAGTTTGACGAACCAGCCAGTCACCGGTGACAGGTGGAGTATGAACATTCGGCCAAACCGTCGGTGTCGCCCATTTTGGCGGGACTTTGCGCTCGCCAAATGCTGAACCTGCAAGCTCAACTAAGCTTTGCACTTCCCTGTGCAGGTAGGATCGTCGCATCCTCATCGTGCTGGACAACCTATTGATAATAATCCAATACCACGTCGCCTCATGCTACCACCTTTGGTTACCGTTGCGCTCCAGGATTCAATTCTCAGCTGTCGATGCTCCTGTTGCAGGGGTGAGCCTTGAGAGCTCTAACCCACGGATTTCGCTTGCGTCGAGCCTCTTCCCCAAACAGATTGGGGGCCAAACCCCGGCAGGACCCTTGTCACCTCTCCACTCTTGTAGGTGGGCGAAATTTCCGGGCGGAGGCACGGGGACGGACACTGTCCGGACCGTGCCACGACCGACGGACTGTAAGGCTGGAGGTGCCAACAACGGGTCTGCATGCAACTGCTTCAAACAATGCTCGTACCCTCGTAGCGGTAGCCTATCACTGGTGCACAGAGATCGGACACCAATAATGGACCCCTCCCCCTAGTAGCCGATTCCCCGGCTCGGGGACCCATGGACTCAGCCCTACTCGGAAGAGCCAATGCCCGCGCAGGATGGCACAATTGAGCCCAACTTGGCGCTGTCGATCGCCGCCCATCAGCGCGGACCAACGAAACAGGACGCCCCTTCCACTACAGTGCATTTGGAATAGTCGAATATCCACTTCGCTATTCTCGAATGGCTGTCTCGTCACGCCCACGGAGGCTGAGCAGCTGACCGCGGCGGGAAATACAGATGTCTTTTCTGATTCTAATTTCCTGTCCATCGGCATGCAGATCGAACCATCCACAGTGCTGGCGGAACGCCTGGATTAGGGTATTTCAGCACTGCCTCAGGTGTACCAATTAGATATAGATCTGCCGTCAGCATGTTTTTTGGAGAATACGCCACATTCATAAATAACTTCCGGCAACCTTATTATTATATACTGCCCGCTGCTCCCAAATCTTGGAATTCTCTTTTTCATCCGTCTTCATCCCCACCTTCATCCCATCCTCCGCTGTCAAAGCGTATGGCTCTCATTGCCCTGCCCAACGCTCAACTATCACTGCCACTACCACTACTACTACCATCACCACCACCACCCACTTCACCTTGATCTTCACGCTGAAATGCGTGCGCTGTTTCCTGATCTGTTGGACTCCGACAGCACAATCGGCACCCCATACACCGGCAAGGGCTTCTTCAGCGAATCCCTCTCCAACATGGACAGTGACCACAACTGGCAGACCCCGGAGCAAGGCAGTGGCTATGACGTTCATGGCCGCACGGGATGCTCCGAGGCCCTGGAATCTCTTCCCCCCGTAAGCATGATGGAGATCCCTGTCAGCGCCTCGAGGGCTCATTCTCCCGGCTTACAAGCACTGGAGTACGCACCGGAGTCGCTCTCGCACTACCTGTCGCCTGAACACTATGTCCCGCACCGGCGGGACTCCTGCATCAGCGACACCATGGGCTCGGTATATGCCTGGTCCAACGCCTCCTCAGCTGCAGATCAATATCTTAGGGCTACTCCCCCACCCTCTTCCGTCGGCAGGTCCGGTACCACCTCGCCCTTCATGCAAGACTATCTTATGTCGGGACACTCTGCCCAATTACCTCTGCCTTCTGCCTTTACAGACATCCCCGGGTATACTCCACCCCTCGACGGCCTAGCCCTGGAGCCCGAGCCCGCTGGCGGGTTCTTCCAAGCCCTCAGCCCGCTCCATTACCCCTCTGAACTCCCCATGGACACCGCTTCCGCCGTTCCAGACAACATGTGTACTGCCACCGAGTCCTGGATGCCACTATCCGAGGCCTTCGTAGGGCCTCCCGCCGTGCCATCACCCAAGTGCTCTGCCCCAGACACCTTCCTATCTCCACCAACATCAACAGGCCGTTTCCCCAACGCTCCGACCAGCAACCCCGTCTCCGGGGACTCCGCATCCATCCTCAGCACCTCCCCAACACCAACCTTTACCTCAGACCTAGACGGCTCTCCACCAGGAATGTCCTCCTCACGGACCCGCCCTTCTTCTCCATCATCCAGCGACCTCACCCGCTACGGTATCCCCATCAGCGACGGTGCCTGGCGCTGCGCCCACCCAGGCTGCTCATCGCAGGCCATCTTCCGTCGTGGCTGCGACCTGCGCAAGCACTATAACCGCCACCGCAAGCATCTCTTCTGTCGCCACGAGGGCTGTCCACAGGCTACGCACGGTGGGTTCTCTTCGAAGAAAGACCGTGCCCGCCACGAGGCAAAACACAATCCCGGCATTGTCTGCCAATGGCACGACTGCGGTCGTGTGTTCAGTCGCGTCGATAATATGAAAGATCATGTGCGGCGTATTCATCAGAAAGCTGGGCCTCAATGATTGTTTGGCTTATCTTTCATTTATACCTTCTCTCCATTCTCTCTGTGTGTGATAACTGATTTGATGTCGGTTTTGTGCGCTTTTCTGTACTATACAATCCTTGTGCGCGGTGTGGTTATCGTCGCCTCCTGGCGAGGTTGATTTTCGCTCATATAGCGGTGGGATATATTCATTGTTTGGACCATGTGAACACGAAGCGAAGGGAAAGGAAAACGAAGATTGTGGTTTTGTGATAACGGACTAGATATACTTTGGCCTTCTTCAACCTGGCAGGCTCTACTGATAGTATAAGCTAAACAAGACACGCTGAAGCTGCTAGACGGCTGCTCAAATGGTTTCTCTGCTATGTGCCATAGCTACGATAGCTCTTTTTTTTCTCAAGTCAATTCTACCATGGCGTGGTTTTAACAAAACAGCCAATGGCCTAAAGCCGGGGGAGGCATAAAGTGCAAAGCTTGGGTGTAAGAAGTATGATGTGGTCTACCATTCAATTACACTTCTCACTTCTTTAGTATTCTTAAATAAATCCGGTACGTACATGGTAATAGCATTATGATTTTGTGATTATCATTATATTACGAGCATGGTCAAGAAGAGGATCGCTTTTGTATGCAATCCTATCTCAAGTCCTTGAAACACTAATTCGGATGACGCTCTCTCAACAACGTCTGTCTTGTAGTTCTGTTTAAGTTGAAATAGAAGCGAAAACAGTCAATGTCAATATTTGTCTATTGTTTCCCAGGATTTTCCCTTCTTTCAATTGTGACTTTAACACCCTTGGTGTAGGTAAAGAATCCATTTTTCAATGACCATTCCTTTTGTGGGTTTGTGAGCTCAAACTAGTAGGAGGCAAACGATTAGTGTACTCCTGACAGACGGGGCAGCCGTAACGCCAAAGTGACTTACCTTGAATCTTACTAGCAGTTCAGGGATGACCTTATACATCTCCAGATACGAGATGTTTTTTCCAAGGCAGACTCTTGACCCCCCTCCAAACTAATAAAATCAATATCAGTATTCTCCTCAAGGTGATGTTTGAATCGGTGAAGAACTAACTGCAAAGAGGGTCCGTTCCATCTCTTTCCTCTTATCTTGGTTTGCTTCAATCCAACGTCCCGGCCTCCAGAAAGCAGCGTCTGACCCATACACCTCCTCGTTCCGATGTGCAACCCAAGCGTTCACTCCAAGCACTGTTCCACATTCGAAGTGCTTGCCACATAGCTCTATACCTTCCTCCGGAGCAACACGCTCCAATGGGATTCCTATCGCTGGAGTCATCCTCAATGCTTCCTTGATGCAAGAATCAAGGTAGGGAAGCTTATGTGCAATATCCCAAGGAACTGGAGACGGAAGATTGGCATTATCCAATTCAGCAAGCAAAGCTTTCATGGAGTCTGGATTCTTCAAGAGGTGATATATCACTGAAGTCAATGTAATTGCAGTAGAATCGGAACCGGCCTGAACGTTTTGTTGACACCAAGATATTATCCAACTACCACAATATCTCATATCAGTAGAGTAATCCAAGTACGTTGGTGTAGGGCTATCTCACGAATCAGGGATATTTGACGGATGACTATCTTTAATGTCCAGAAATCGGGCCAAGAAGTCCCGCTCTTGACCTTTCTTTTCAGGGTGATCACGGCGCTCCTTCTTCCGCTCTTCTATTCGCTTAAGAGCAAATTCCAGGACAGGAGACACCTTTTGCTTTGAAAAAAGACCGGATAAAAAGGCCACAAGAGGATTTTTATGCAATAGCTTATCGAGCCAGGGCATCTGGCCGGTCTACCAACCCAAGGGGCTTTGTTAGTTACGAATCACATCCGAATGCCAGGGACAGGTTTATACTCACAACAGCAACATACCAAAACCGGCCCTCTATTGTTTCCAGGATGCCATCCACATCCTCCTCCCTCTCCAAAAACCCAAGCCGCTTTCCAAATGTGATCTCCATAATAACGTCAGTCGCGAACCAATGCAGCCACGTGCCTAGGTCGAAAGTTCTCCCTTCGTCCGCCAATTTGTCTAGCTTGCTCATGAATAAAGACTCGGTGCTCTCTACCAGTGGCTCATACGTCCTAAGATTGGTCATGGCGTACACTTGCGCGATAGGGCGCTTCATCGTCTCGTGAACAGATTCGTCGCGTGTGGAGAAAATAGTAGGAACAACCTTCCCATGAGCCACGTTTCCCATAACCGGGTAAAACGCCGATTTGGGGTAGCGAGTCCGTGTATTATATAGGATGGGGATGGCGTCGGGAGAACCGACAGAGACATTGTTGGGCCCAAGGCGAACAAGAGGTCCATAGCGCTCGTGAAGGCGGAGGTGATGCTCGTGGGCAGATCCAGTACGAACCACCAGGAGACGGTATAGGTCAGTTAGTTTGGCAAAGGCTGGGCCTGGAATGGAGCGAAGATCAGAACGAAAAAGCGGAAAGAGGACGAGATGGTAAAGGAGGTACAGGACGATAGGTATGCTAAGGGTCACCAGAAGTGGGAGTGATGCGAAGCCATGAAGTCCGTCCATTTTGTAGTTTGGGGAATTCGTTGGTCAGTCAAGGTGTAATTCCGTGGGTGGTCATGGATATTTAACGCCCCCTCCCTGCTAACTAACCGAATCCGTGCTTGATGCCCCGATACTCCACCTGCCATCATAGCCACTCCCTTCCCGAAATGGCCAAATAAGTCCCTTACAGTCTCATTCGTAACCAGCACAGCTTCCTAGAGGGGAAAGGAAAGAGATGAGGCTCCACGGTAGTCCTTAGGGGGCATCGGGTCTCTAACTGCTAATTAGCGCGTGAAAACGATGTGTTTTTTGTGCGTGCTTTCTTTCCTTTTACGAGGTTTATAGGCACTAGCGCCAGACACACTTAACTAGCAAGCCTTCGGTGGCTTGCGGTCGCCTGTGACACAAGTCCGGTCTGCGATAGACCTAATTCATTGAATGTGACTGGACTATGTGAGCGTGAAGGGTGGGTTCTTTTGACCCATTAGAATTGCATATGATTTTGCAAGTGGCATAGGGGTAGTTACGTATTGTTAACTGTCAGGATGGAATCGGGTTAGTGGGGCACACGGCCAAGGCGGGCGAGAAGTTGCAGACGCTAGGATTACGCGCCAATAGAGATTCGCTCTTCAACCCAAACGGTTGGTTGGGGGCCATTCCTTCAGAAGCTATAAACCTTTTTTGACTTTGGAATTTGTCTTTGTTTCGAGACAGTTTCCCGAAGAATACAGGGAACATCTAGCTTCCGGCTGGAGGAACTATCATTCTTCTGGATCACAACCCCAGTGACTCTTGCATTGGATCGAGGATCACTTGGGCGCCTGTAAATATGGAGTTTGTGGAGAAGCTACAGAGCACATACTCTGCCGTCCGTTGTGGGTCAAGGGTCTGTCTTGGGTTAAGGGCCATGTCACGCATTGAACAACGCCAAGAAGGGCAGGATCCTTCTTGCAAACTATTTGCCTCCTGGACCTAAGCGTTGAATCCTTAGCGAGTCGGACGATCGCTGCCAGATCTTCATGACATTTCCTGTTTGTCACTTTACTCGTCCATATTTAACCCTTCCGCTCCCCTTACCGCAATTCCACTTAGTCCGAATCTTCATCTCTCCCAGACCCTTGACATAGAAGGGAGGTGAGAGCCATGGAACTTCCGCCACCACCTCCTGGTCTTGATATCTACGAGACTCAGACGGCACATGTCATTGCATCCGTGCTTGCTCCAGCTATACTCGCTGTCATAGCTGTGGGATTGCGGATTTGGGCGAGATATGTGTCCAAGGCGAAGTTCCAGTGGGATGACTATCTAATAATAATAGCATTGGTAAGGCTACAGTCATTGCTATCTATCAAATGCTATCAAGATAATTAACGCCCCCCACCAGGTTCTTTCAACCGCTAATTGTGTTCTCAATATCTTAAGTACGGACAATCGCAGGTGCCCTACTATTATCTGAACAGCCAACTAAAAGACAATACAGTGGCCAAACTAGGCGGAATGGGTAAACATATATGGAATCCTTCTGTCAATCTAGTGGTAATGTACAAGGTTAGTTGGAACCTGTCTTTGACCCAAAATGCCAAACTATTAACCCTAATCACCGGCCCTCAGCTTGTCTTTGTCATGGAATTTGTCTACAGCTGTACAATCCCTGCGATCAAAATGTCGGTGATCATGTTCTATCATCGCATCTTTCCAATTCCTCGCTTTACCTACGTCCTCTATTTCTGCTCTTTCCTCGCGCTTGGGTGGTTCGTTGGCGTGATGATTTTTAATCTGATCCAGTGTCATCCATACTCATATTTCTGGGAGCAATACGGAGATCCAAATGCGCAAGGCTCATGCCTAGATGTTGAGGCTTACTTCATGGGAAATGGCATTGCGGAAGCTATCACGGACTTTGTCATCCTGTGTGCCCCGTTTCATCAAGTTTGGAAACTCCACATGCCAACTCCCCAAAAGCTTGCAGTTATTGGCATCTTCGGTCTTGGAGCCTTGTATGTTTCCCTTTTCGACGTGTTCGACCAATGAACGTGAGACTGACATAGACCACCACATTTAGCGCTTGTATTGCGGGTGCGCTTCGCTGCTATGCAGTAGCTATCATGACCGAGAGTATGGACATCACTTGGAACTTTGGCCGTGGATTTATCTGGAGTTCTATTGAACCGTCGCTTGGTATTATATCTGCGTGCTTGCCGACCCTTCGACCTCTTATCCGATATATCTTTCCAAACGGGCTTGGTCGTAGCCAAAAAACAAGTGACTTTTATCGTCTGCAAGATGGCGGGGCCTTTCCGTCTGGCTCCGACGGACGTGCTCCAGGAAATAATAAGGTTCGCAGAGATTCCCCTGACTCGGCTGCTCACCTGGAGCCGCAGAGCGACCCGAACTCCTTTATCATGGTTCGGCGCGACATTTCGTGGTCCTCTAAGCAAGGCGGAGATTAAGTTGCTGGACCCCTGGCGGGTTCAACGGTCCATGCTACTATGTAGCTGCTCCCACTGTATAGTTATAACGAATTTCTATGCTATATATATACTTGAATCTCCTTTGGTCTGTAAGTCTCAACAAACCGTCTCGCATCAGATTTCTGTGCAGTGTTAGCGAAGCAAAACATCTCCCGCACCCCCTGGTGGATCTGGAACCACTCTCAAAAGTTTTAGTTTTACGGGGATGTCATGAGCGGAGCGTTATTCCTAGCCTGACTTCGCCCCTGTCAATCACCGGTTCCACTTTAGAAGGAGGTTCTACAGTAAGGAGGACTGTCAGATTCTTCTTTACGTGACGTCGTATCTAAGCAATTGCTTAGCGCCACAGGAAGCGAAGGGTGAGCACTATAAGGAAAGGACGAAACAAGTCAATGGTGGCAAGAAATCCAGTTCGCATGTAAATATGCCCCCAAAACTGCCAGAGAGTCTTTCACCCATGCTCAGAACCCCAAAATTAAAACAAGAAAGCCCATAGAAATCTGCAATGCAAATACAGACAGACATGCACACTACACTCCTTTGGAGTAGTCATCCAGATGAAACGAGAGTAAGATACATGACGATGAAAGACTCCCTAGTCAAAACGAATGGCCGTATATCATCATTCTGAATCTAACAATTGGAGCACATGGTATCATCGAACAATGAAGCTCATAAAAAAAGGTATCATAGAAGAAGAGGGAAATTCGTCGCTCGTAAAGCAGGTGTAGACTTCAAGGGTGGTCGTGTCTTCAACTTCTTGCAATGGCTACGCCCCCAGAGCAGCACTTGTCAGCATCATGGTAGATGCAGGGAGAAAAAGGAGGGTTATCTCATGAATTCAACCGTCGTCGTCGGCCTCGTGTACTGCCTGGGGGCCGCTGCGAGAGTACATCTCGCAAGATGGGATCGTCTTTGCTCTTGTCGACATGATGGACTCGAACGTGTCTTGATACAATATGAGCATGAAGCGAATGACTCGAGGAAGTTGAATCACATACCGTTGGAGATTATCCGGCCGCGGATACTTGTGCTGCTGGTCGAGACAGAATGGACAAACATAACCCGGCGAGTTGTGTACAAGGCCGTGCCGCATCATCTCGTTCTTACGCTTGAATCCTTTGCCGCCTATCGCTCGCGGACAGTTCTCTACCGGACAGAAATGTGGCCGGTCCTGGGAGTGCACATTGGCGTGGGAGCTGATATTTTAGTCAAAAAGATATCAAAAGCGGACGGGTCGGGGCATACTTTAATAGGTATTGGGTTTGGAACGGCGGGGCGGTGCATCCCGGATGGTGGCACTTGTAGTTACCTGGGGGCGCGTTCCCATTGGGAGATAGTGTCGAGTCGAAAGATGTACGGTCTCCTGGCCCGGCACCAGGCTGCTCTGTGGGGGTAGGATAACCAGCAGCCGGGCTTTTCGCCGTTATGGGGGACGGATCGTACGGAGAGGCTCCACTCGGGTGGAGCTCCGTCTGGGAGGGGTAGGTCCGCCAAAACGTAGGCATTGAAGCCGGAGAAGGATTGTTTGATATATCCTTGGTACTCGTGGGTGAAAAATGTGAAAAGGGACTGGGTGGAATATGCTGTGGCGGGGGGAACCGTTCTTGCGCTGGGTCGTTTCGTGAGCCAGCCGAGCTTGGGCCCGGGTACGGATATGGAGGTATCCCATTGACCCTTGGTGGGAATTCCGGTGGGTTTACGCCTAGGGTGCGTATTGATGGAAGCACTCGGTTGTTGCCGTTCGGAGAAGTTGCAGGGTTTGATTGAGGTGGAGAATGAAGCGATTGGAGGGCTGGGAGAGAGACTCTGTCTTCCGGGGAGTGTCTGACGGAAGAATCGGTGTATGGCGGAGATAATGCGAGTAGGTCTTCAGACGGCCGTCTTGTACTTGGAGCTGAGATGGCGGCCGAGATGGAGGGCAAGCGAGGACGGCTTGGCGACCTGACCGACGGCGCTGGTGGAGGGAGCGTCACTGAAAGCGGATTTGGTGGGGGGAAGGCTGTGGACCCGGCCAGCACGTCCAGCAAGGAGTCCTTGTTGTCTCGCAGCTGGTCTACGGCTGCTTTGGCCGTTGTCTCCAGTTCAGGTTTTGCTTTTCTGTCGTCGGCTGGATTGAAATCCCGAGGCGCCGGTGACCAGTCCTGCCCGAGCGGGTGCTCCCTCTCGTAGTAGGCGATGTCCGGCCGACTAGGCTCTAGAAAGCTAATCAGTACCGAATCGCCGTAACGTGTCTGTGTCCGGGATTCCGGCAAGTGCTTACGGGAACGGCCGGGCGTTCCCTTGGCGGCATCGTTCTCGGTAGCATTGGGAGACCCTGGCGGGACAAACGGAGGCCGTTTCTCCTCCACTCCATAATTGGGCTTAATGGCCACCAGCGGCGGCGAGTGCTTCCAGGCGTCGTCCGATTCATAGATATCGGACGTCATGAATGCGGGCCCAGGCGCATCAGGCGCGTGTTCTGTGTGCTCGGAGAGAGTGTTCTTGATCTGACCCACTCCTCGATCGCACCAGACGAAGAAGATAAGAAGATGAGAGGAACCGCTCTGTCCCAGAGTTAGCGATTATTTCAGCTGTAGTTTGGCAATGAGAAACCACTGTGATCTCCGACAGGCGTGTCGGTAGCCGCCTCTACGCCAGCCCTCGAGACCAGTAGTCGGCGACAGTCACAAAATACAACATAATAACCGGTTTTCTTGGTGGTCCAATTTGCGGGGGGAGGCGCATTCATAGGATTTGATGCATCAGAAAAACAGGGGGAGCTTACCCGGAAAACGTGAGCGGGTCTGATGAGGCTCAACGGAAGCAACAGATTACGACCGCAGCGCCATCTGCAAGCGACTGCGATAGGAGATGCCTTGAAACCAGTTGCAAGGGCAGCGCTTGAGGGTGGTGGTCGCGGCTGTTCGGAAATACAAAGGGTGAGAACGGGCGGTCAGCGGGTTAGTGCATCAGCCGGGGCGAGATGCTGTTGTTATCCTGCAAGGCCCGAGCAGAGGAGTCGAGAGACCTCGGGTTGGGGAGGGGGAAGTAGAGGGAGAAGTGAGTGGCGAGGCTGACCAGCAGTTGCGTTGAGTTGCGTTGAGGGAAGAAGGAAAAGAGAAGGAGAGAGGGGGGAATTGGGGGGAAGTGAGGCTCTTTAGTGTGGGCACGGGCGATTATGCTGCTCCACCAAAAGGAGGCTGAGAAGGGACGTGATCTCTTCTTCATCGACGGTGCATTGTTCTTCCATCTGCTCCTCCTCTCTCAGCGCTGCCCTCCTTCCTCCTCTCCTCCTCCTCCCCATCACCCTCCACCCCCTCCCAGGATGGCCCCCCCGGCCACTTTCCTTTCCCACCGCTTCTTCTGCGCGCCTCGGGAAGGCTCCACCTTCGGAGTCATCAACCGGGGTCCGTCGCTCGCCCTGACTCGCACCAGCAAAACACACCCCCCCACTCTCTCACTCGTCCTCCCCGGCTTTTTGACCAGGGTAGGGTACATGACGACTTGGGCTCCACCGTCTCTTTTGTCCGTGTTTCCCTCCTGTCGTTTTTGCATGGTCAACCTCGTCCCGCCTCGAGGCTGGGAGCCTCGTCCTGACGAAACTCTGTTCCAGCCAGCCTCGCGCCTCGCGAAATGACGCAGTTCCCAAGCGGCGTCACGGATGTTTCAGCTATTCCCAGGCTGGGCGAGCTAACCCGCCAAGATTCGCTGAGGCACAATACGCGGCCCGCCCCGACACACAGTCTTGTTCATGAGTATTCCTATTTTTCATTCCTCGCCGCCTGCGCCCCGGTGGATTCTTCACATCCTGAGCCTCATGTTCCCTTAGAGCCGCAAGCAAGGCAAACCAGCCTCATCTTCATACTTCCTATCTCCCTCCCCCAAACCCGGCCAATGATGCCGCTGGTGGTGAGGCGTCCGTGTCTTTCGTCCCCATTGTCGCAGTGCTTAACTACGGACTAATTCATAAAAGGGCTATCATTGGCTCTTCCGTGCTGATCCGTGCAGGCCATGATGTTACTCGCCAGTGCGAATGGGGCCACCTATGCGAGAGGATCGCTTTGCTCATCCCGAAGGATGTGTCTCTACGTCAGTCCGCTCTAGATTGTCTCGTTAATCTGCTACATGGTGAGGTCACCAATCCCATGAAAATGCGACTAACTATGAGAGGGGGTCAGCCAGGCGGCTACCCAAACACCTATCGTAGTAAATGCGGCTGCCCAGTAGATCAGGACATTATTGGCTCCAACCCTGACATAATAATAGAATCATGTACGATGGTTTTCGCCAGGGATTTTTTGTCCATTTTAGGATAGTGGTTTTTTGCCGGGTTTATTTGCTTAGCCGGTCGGCCTACTAACGATTCCCCGGTCTAAAGTGAGCGCTGCCGGTCAGTTCACCGGTATCTACGCTCTATCCCCAATCTTAATTTAGTAACGAGAATTACTAATTGTCAGTAGAATAATTAACACGGTACCTTAAAGGTTTAAACTTCCGCAATTGTCACTGTACAATGTATGAACTCCGGGAGCTTTCGCGCATACATTTCGAGGAGTGGGCGTCTGGGGAGGAGAATGTTCCTCCAGCTTCAAGCTACTGAGCGAAGCGAAGATCATGATCTCCACTGGCTTGCAATGACCCTCAGCCCGTAGAAAATTTGCCTACGCTCCGTAGCCATCACGATATTTGAGGCAGGGCCGCTTACGGAAACATACATCGTCGTCGGGCGCAGGGCGCAAGGCGCCCTCATCACTTCATTATTTGCTAACTTTGGGTTTAATTGCAAACGACCTCTATCACGTCGGGCGCCAGGCTCTGAGAAGTGTTGAAATTACCTTGCGACCACAGGATACTGGTTGGAAATATCTGGCTCGGACTGAACCCAGCGTTCAAATCATATTTATTTGAAGTATAGTGGAAAATGTTAGCTTTCAATGCACTATTGATAGGGCGGGAGACTCTTTCGAGTCCAGTTTGGCTTTCCTCTTGATATTATCAATTTGATATCACCCTCCCTACTACTCGGCTAAGCATCAGTAAGCCATTCCCTATGTTGTAGAACAACAACTGATCAACATTATCGATCAGCTCGAACGAGTCATTCGGACCACTCTCCGTGTCGGAAAGAAGGCGTTCAGGGCTGCAGAAACTAGAGCTGAGTAAGATGATTTGCGTTCATGTTTGGCCTGAATTGAGAGATAGCATGAGGGACCTTTCATTCCAAACATATTAAATAACATAGAAAACACAAACGGTTGCTCAAACGAAGCCGCAAGGTCCGCACAAGGTGTGATGCCAACGGTTTGACCCATCTGTACATTTAAAAGGTCCATCACAGTGAGAAATATAACATAACAAGCAACCAGGCTTTGACAGGTAAACTGGATCCTGAAAACAGCTTACCCCTTTATCTCCTCCATAGGTGATGCCAATTCATGTCTCGGACCACTTCCATGGGCATCAAGTTCTACCGGTGCTCTCATCTCTGATGAGCCGATCATGACGGGTTCTTCCTTCTGCTGCTGCTGCTGCCGCCGCCGATTGCGGCGCATGAAGAACCAGATCAGCCCAGCCACGATGACTATCGCAGCGACTCCGCCAATGACCCCACCGACAATTGCACCAGTATGTGACGAAGAGGACGAAGAGGACGCCGATTTCAGAGTATCAGGCGCAGGGGGCTGTTGGACAGGAGAGACATTCTTGGTGGAGGAGGGGGAGGAGGATGTGGTTGTATCGGACGTTGTTGTGGCATCGGTGTTTCCCAGTGTCGTGGTGGTGGATGAAGTAGTTGTTGGAGTGGCAGCTGTGAACAGCACATCGCACATGTAAGCACAAGGAACGTGAGGGATAGGAAAAGATCCAAATAGACACTTACTTGAGCCGTAATATGCAACTGACAATAGAGTCATGCTCAGGCCCAAATCGGCAATGTCGTCTGTACAGCCGACAAATGTATCTGGTCTCTCGAAAGCATGCTGGCCCTCAGCACAGCAAAAATATCCAGCGGCGTGATAGACATTCGCAGTGGCATTCGCACAGTGTTTATTAATCAATTGATCGCAGTTTGCCTCGGACGGGCAACAATGCACATTGTCTTGACCAGTCGGGCAAAATGTGCCGCCCGGACAACAGGCGTGAAAGGGAGCCCACGTTTGACCACAGTCGGCTTCGGTGCTTAAGCAGCCGCCACTTCTGCGAAGCGCAAGCCCATACGGGCTACCCAGGTCCTCAGACATCGGACGTGTTCATATATCAATCGATTAGGTGACGTTGGAGACCGGAGGATTCGAAAGATGGGGATTAGGCGACGGTAGACGAGAATAATGCCAGTATCAGGGAGTGTGCCCGCATCGGGCCAGCACAGCAGGAGGATTTCAAGGACGAAATATGCAAGTTGGAAACCAAAGAACCACGGAAAGGGGTAAGATTTGGTTTATGTATTGTTATCGTAAGGGAAAGGAAAATCCTACACAGGGGAACTCCGAGTCGGAGCCAAGCACCTGGGAAATATTACTAGCCTGTTGTATTCTTTACTAGCCTCCTTTGTTGCTCCACCCCTCCCCCCCGCTCGGAGCCGCCATCGCATCATTCTCCATCTGATCACGGTATTAAACAATGACATTATTATTATTACTCCGCAGTGGCCTTTGAGATCTCAGGTATAGCGATATAACTTTTTGTTTTCAATAGCGATCCCTGAAGTCAGAATCAGCTGGTTATTTTGATGGGTTCAAGAGTCATGTCCGGTGGCCTGAAACACTTGCTATAAGAGGCCACTGCTTATGCAGCGCGTGGCTTTCCCTAATGATTGGTCACAGCGCGGTACGCCGTAAATAACTGAAACCTGTTGGCATCTTTCAAGCCTCTCCTACTCGGGCCACATGGTCTCCCCTAGGATTGGATAAGATTGACGGCGCTAAAAATGGGGGCGAGTATGGCACTAGCAATGCAGATCAGCACATCCATAGCGAATCTCGACCGTTCGCTCATGCATTTATCATCTAACGAAAAGTGCAAAAAGATAAAGTGATAACTTCAGATGCAGGAACCCTGATCTACAGCAGCAAGAGGGATACCGTCATTGCGAGGATTTTTTGCCGTTTATGGAAAGCATTCAGACTTTGACTATGCCTCGCCGAAGAGATTTTCCTTAGTCTCCGTAATTGCGATAGCTAACTCCCTCGGCAGAAGCTTGATCCGGGGAAGCTAGATATCTCCTACGTATAACAATTCTCAAGACATGTCTTTACCTAGTTCCTATGCATTGAGGAGGCACATCTACACGGAGCGCCGCTTCTTGCATTTCAGCTTTCCCTCATGTTCCTTACTCCTGTGACCAAAAGTGTGCCTCAAAGATATGGAGGCATTCTTAGAAATGATGGCGTCACAATAGCACAGGTGGAGAGTCTAGAACGCGGCTGAAAATATCCAAAGGGATCATCAGAAAGGCATGCTCGCCAAATTGAAACTGTGACAGCTCACAGGATATAATGAAAATCATATTCCTGCTGCAAATTTAGTCACGCTTTTACTTCATCCCCACAAGATTCTCTACCTCTAAACAGTAAGCATTTGTGCTGGGGCGGCCGAAAATGGCCTCTCCAGCATAGTTCGGCGTACCTATGCACCCGTTCCCTACGACTATGCCCACCCTCTCGTCCCTGCCGCGTAATCTTCTAGCAAACGGAGGACCCGCCCAGACTTTGCCATAGCCGGTTGCCCCATGGTGATAAGTAATTATGTAACGGAATACAAAAATAAACATTAAGAATTCAACAGTTAGCACAAGACACTAAATTAGACATTACTTCGCATAAATCAACAGATCTACCAAGGCAAGATCATAGCTGCCCCCAGAATCATTCCTGCAACAGTGACACCGAGCACAGTGACAATCCCATTCCAATTTGAAGGTCTTGGACTAACTCTGGCCGCCGGGTTAGATGTACTTACACCCGTAGACGTGCTTACACCAGTAGATGTGCTTACACCCGTAGACGTGCTTACATCTGTTGGTTGATGCACGAGCCTGACGGGTGCAATTGCTGTGACGACAACAAAGCTAGACAATTCGCTTGGGTGCAAGGTATTAGTTACGGTTTGTGTAATCAGGGTATCTGCGGTGAATGACTCTATCAGCGCTTCGGCGGTGGTGCCATACCACCAAATCGATTTGGTTTCAATCGAGGCGGACATATCAGGGGGTGGCAGCCAATAATCGCAGGCAGTAGAAAACTCGTAGTTCGGTAATGTTGAGTAGCAAATTTCTCCGTTGTAACCAGGTGTCATAGACCTATAGATAAATTGGAATTAATCTTGCTTATCGAGATTGTGGAGTCAAAGACATACTTTGGACAGCACAGGACAGCAGTTTCGCTTGGGGCCAGAACCTGCAGGAAGACGTTGTTGGCCACGTTCTCGAACACCTCGAGATCTGACCCTAGCGAAGTGGGAGCGGGATCAAAAGCGCCATTCCATTCTACAGTCTTAGTCCCATTGCGCGATGCCGTTGCAACTGGGCCCCACCCGGAGGGACAATAGAGACCAGGAGAGTAGTATGTCTCGTAAAATTCGGCGCTGCGAGGGTCCTCAAACCATGAGGTCGCGGTTGGGATATTAGTGATTGTGCCTGTTGGATAGCAGCTCCAGTCATCATTGACTACGTCACAGGAGAGCTTTCCGACGTTGATCGTTGGAGTGCTGGCTTTGGCGATATAGAGGTTTTCAGACTGTATCGACTGACAAGAAGCAGGCGGGGTCCAGGTTGTGGTAAGTGGTCCCCAGTTGTTGAACGTGTATTGCGACAGAACAGAAACAGACGGCATGGTTGCGGGCTTTATTCAATATCGAAGTAAACAAAGCAATCGGAAGGGAGATTTGCGAAAGAGCTAATTTTCGAAAGTTCAAACCTGGGGAATGTAAGCCGGCTTTAATAAAAAAAGTAAAACTGACACAGCCCAGTAGCACTAATTAACTGGCTCGATCTCGTGGTACAAACAAAAAGGCTAAGCTTCTCAGGGCGCAGCCACAGGGCGCAGCAGCTGAATCTTCATTCGAGAGAACTCCAGTTCAACTAGACTATTTGGGTTACAGTAGTAGTGTCTCATGGAGTTACCGTAGCCGAGTACTACGTAAAGGGGAGGGAGGCTCTTAACCAACGGCAGATGGATGTCCCAGCAAAAAAGCCACAATTGTACCGATGAGGTATAGCTCCGCGTCTAGGCTAAACAAAAAGCCGAAAGCAAGTCAGATGCCGGCCGATATGGCGCGAAGAGTATAATTGGCATCACGCAGGAGGCACTCTGGGATTTATGTCAGATTGTTTATCATCTTTCAACCCTCTGGCTCGATTGAATGTAAATCGATGTTGTACGGTGCGGCATAACCCCAACGTCATAGCAGTCTGACGGTCCCAGATAATTAACAATTTAAAGCCAATTACAGGCCCGAGCCAAGGTGTCTCAAGATGCAACGGCTCAACTGGACTCTGAATTTCAGGAAGATTCGACAACTAAACCCACGTCAGCCTCTACCAGTCAATCGAACGCATTCAAGCCTCAGGAAGAGGACTCTCCAGAGCCCAAGGACCTGTAGCAAGCTGCTTAGGATCAAATAGACGAAACTCAAAAGACTATTCTGTCGGAAGTTGAGGTTCCTACTCATTTAATCAATGAGACGGTGAGAAGACGACTAGAAACGGCCGCCTTTGCCGCCATTTTACGCATCTCGCTCACCAGCGACAGCCTTGGCATCATGCGTTTCTTCGACCACGGCCCTTATAGCTTGCTTCCACCTTCGTGTCGTGTTGGCCGTGCTTGTTGCCTAGGCCATTGGTGTCCACTCATGATGCAGCCGCCTCGTCGTATCCTCGATCACTCTCGCTCACCTTCCAAGGAGGGGAGCCATTTTTGGCACCCTGTTGAAAGCTAGGCTTGCTGTGATATCATTTGACCACATCAGCAATGACTACAGTGATTCAAATTTGACCACTGAATCTTGGGTTGAGGGTTACATAACAACCAAATAGTAGCACTATAGCTCTTGCCATATTTGGAATACCAATCTCTCACGTTTTCAAATCCACAATGGCCTTTTTTACTTTTTCTCTACCAGAAAATACGACCCTCGCGAACCTGGCCATGAATATCAGCTTGCCGTCGGTGACCCATGGATGGGGGACATGTTTTTGCTGCCGCTGTGGCTTTTCTGCTTGCTTTTCTGCTTGCTGTGTAGGGTGTTGCTGCCCGCAGGAGGGTACCAGCTCGGCGTGCTCTGGGGCCAATGGGCAATCCATCGGTAAATTTGGCGCAGAGAGCTTATACGGGAAGTACTGAGCAGCTATGTATAGAAATTATGCCCGCCCAGCCTATACCGATGCCGCCACCACCACCGATGCCGCCACCACCACCGACAGCGTCCCCTCCTCCCCCCCCCGGGGGCCACGGGAACTGCCAATGAGCAGTCCGGCGAGTCGTCCCCTGAGGTCGTCTCCCAGAGGGACGACTCGCCGCAGGCCCAGGGTGTTTCCTCCGCTTCGGGTTCCGAGTCTCTCGGCTCGGCCTTCCACGCCCACGACGACGAGGAGAAAGCCCAGACGGAACAACAAGCGGCCGTTGATGCCGCGTAGAAGGCAACATCCTCATGCATGAACCGAATGAAAGTGACGCTCTCAAGTGCCCACAATCCAATCAAAGACTGGTTTCAGGTATTTCGTACATATACTAACGATAAATGCAGGAGAGAAATGATTCAGAAGAATGAAAGGTGGAGAATGGGGGTGGTCTTTTATTTATTCTTGTATAATTATCAGGAGGACACGATGGAGACTGTATTCTTATCATTTTTGTATTCTTATCCTTGAGGCGAATCAAACTATATTATTACAAGTACGCTTCCCTGACCATCTAGTTAGAAGAAGATGTCATCTCGTTGGAGGGGGGTTAGTGTTAAGATTGGGACGTGTGGTCATGATAGGTCAAAAGTGACGTGCCTATGCCGTGACCCACAATGCTGTACTGTGTAAATGGTTTTCTTCTCCTTACCTCTTCCCTTCCTTCTCTAACTTCGAAGTCTTCGTTTCTTACGCCCTCCTGCATAAAAGGAACAGGCTCTTGACGTTCTTAAATACATAGGATGTCTACACTCTCACGCAAACGCTTACCCGGCGACAAAAGATCGGAGGAGATTGCTCTAGAAACGGCCGGAGATATATATGCTCTGCAAAAATATAGATGGTGGTACTCGAAAGATTTACGTACTCCTAAGAGTGGCACAATGGAAGCGCTACTCGGTATAGAAGTTGCGCTTCGGGAGAATACTCAACACGAAGTGGCTCTTCTCGAGAAGATAAAGCAGATTGCGGACCATAGTGCGCCTCTTGTTCAAGAATTACAGGACGAGGTCTCAAAGTTTGCAAAGGAGTATTGGTTTCTGGAACGGCAATGGTGGGAAACAAAGGCTTCATTTAAGGACAGCACGCTAACTAGAGGCATGGATCTATGGCGCTCACATCCGAAATGGTATATGCACCGTGTGCTTCGCGAAGACTGCGTTGGAAGAGGGGGATGCTGTGGAAGAAACTGTGGGTGCTGTTCCAATCGCCAGAACATCCTACGAAAGTTCGCAATCGGCCATTGCACTGTGGAGTGTTCCTGTTGCGAGCGAGCCCGAGGCTTTGAACTCGATCCTAAGCAAAAGGCACAAATTCAAGAAACATTCAAACTCGAACTTGCTGGTCCACATCCGTGGTATTATTATCGGATTCTGCTCGCTTCTTTTTTGGGGTTGATGGCTGGTAACGACGGTAACCCATTTGATCTTATTGATGATCCGCCGCCTAGATATGTGCCTACGACGACATTTTGAGGAACAAGCATGCTAAAAGGGAATTGGTATCGGATTCAATTGATGAAATTGCTTTAGATGCGAAGTTGTGGACATCATGTGCTTTGCTAGCTTTTGCCAATACTTAATTTAGAGGCTCCTCCCTGTCTTATATGATCTCATTGGCTGATAACTTGTTGTGATCACGTTCACTAGCCGTGCGTGATCTTTTTATTTAACAACCACTAACATCACATTCTCCCATCGGCCTACGGGAAACAACTCTGTACTGAACACTATAAGACCATTCATTCCTCGTTTCTCCGCCTTGCTTCGCAATAAACCGTTTCCTATGCCTTCTCCCGGGCCGTCTTTACCGTCCGGCATACTCGTCGATGAAGAGATCTCGCTAGTACACGTCTCTAAGTACTTCTACCTAGCGAAGCCTAGAGAGGTACTCGCCGATCGTTACCAAACCCTAGTCAAGGTTGTCTAGGGCGTGTCTTCAATAGTATGGCTCGCGCGCGATTTGCAAGGGTAGCCTCCATTAACTTCTGTTTAGTTCGAAATCCTACCTCTCTCTAACAAATATATAGACATATAGAAGAGCCAGAGAGCGTCGTGGCATTAAAATTTGGAATTGGAAACAATAAATTGACATTTCAAAAGAGAAAAGAAAGTATGCATCCATCTATGTGTTTATTCTACAAGATCACAGTAGAGTCTGCACTTGCCCTCCTCCCGAGCAGAGACTCTCAACGACAGCAATATCGGCCAATGCCTCCCTAGCTCCTGCCTTTGCGTCGTGTTTCCCTCCTGCTGCGGCATCAAGGAAGGCCTTGACTTCTTCTGAGATCCCCTGTCCAACAATGGCTTCATCAATTTCCTTCGTGCCATCGGCTTTCTCTAGAACTATGCGCTGGCAATCCTCCTTCTTCTCCACACCCGAAACAGTCACGGATCCCTGGTCACCAACGAAAATAAACTCAAAAGTTCCCTTACAAGAAGCAAAGCAGATGCTCAGAGATCCAGAAGCACCATTGTCAAACTGCAATGCTGCATTGACGGTATCCAAAGGAGGGAGATGGGGATACGTCTGCCGGCACATGCTGAGGGTCTTGACAATCTCCTGCCCTGAGACATAACGGATCAATGCCACAAAATGCACCCCGCCATCAAGAACAAATCCACCCTGGTATTCCGGGTTCTTGCGCCATTCAGTCTCGTACCACTTGTTGTCGCCGGGCTGGATATTGCCCCAGACGCGGCCATGGACATGATTCAGTTTGCCGATACGGCCACTGGCCACCAGCTCACGAGCGCGAGTGAAGGCGCGATCGTAGCGAAATTGCTCAGCCACGGACAGCACTAGACCGCGAGGACGGTGGTCCTTCTCGTAATCGGCAATCAGCTGCACCGCCGTCTCCACGTTTTTGGCAAATGGCTTTTCGCACAGCACATGTTTTCCGGCTGCCAGACACTGGCGGACGATACCTGGCTGGATAAGGATCGGAAGAGCAACGACGACGGCACCAATATCCTCGCGCTTCAACAATGCCGAAAGTCCTCTATTCTCCGACGCCAGCTCCTCAGCATAGACATCGATGCCCGAGATTGGCACATTCAGGGCAGCAGAGGCACTGACGAGTGACTGCGCTGACGAGACAGAGCGTGAATAAACGGCGACAAGATTGGCCTTGTGCTCTACCAAGGCCGGAAGATGGGCTAAAAAAACCATGGTGAGTCTGAGATTCTTATTGTATCGCAGGTGATGGTCACATACCCTCTTTCGCGAAAAGACCAGCACCCAGTATTGCGATCCCAGTCATCTTGCTTTCCGAGAATAATATTTGCTCGCGATGGCGTCGATAGACTTCTGACAACTGAGCTCTTTAAAATAAACTAACATCACATCGTCGCCTGAGGCGATCGGCAAGGCCTTTTAGCCAGAATGCAGACCTTGCCGATAAAAAGAGATGGACCTGCCCAAGTTGACACGGAAGTCACTCCGCACTGCACCAATCGGGTGCGGGGACATATCTTGTGCCCGAATAAGTTAGACTCTACCCCCACACAACGCACGAAACCGCACTTCGACGCTCCGCTTCAATCCCGAGACCCGCTCAAAACTCGGGGGTTTCAGTTAGGACAGGCCAATGCCGTGCTAGCTGTCGCAGTGGCACAGTCATATATATGCCCCCGAATAGGCTTTTGTGCTTACTGCTAGAGTGATGTGTGCTTGGCTATCATTATTCAATATGTAATCAGTGGTACAGGAGGGTGATAATGTGTGATTATTGAGTATGCAGGGACTACTATTGTTAACTATACGAACGAAAAGATTGTGATCTCGGAGGTGATATAGTCATCATGTCGCTAGCAGGAGTTTTGTCCAGAACAGTATACAGGACGCCGTGTACGCTTGATTGTACCTTATTTATCAACCCGCCAACTAACTATACGCTGTCCATTTTCTATCCTTTGTCATCTTCCTTGTGCGTAGATTGAACTATTCGTCACCCAACTAGGTGTAGGCTTTAAACCATGAAAATATTACCTGGCAAATTACACAACAGATTATTAAATAAATTCCCATAATGCAGCTCAATATCGAGTACGACACACTAATGTATCTTCGAAAACATCTCCCAGAACAACACGTACCCCTCCATCCTTCTAAAATTCTCAATCTCGCTTTTCCAGACTCTTCTTCACTGGGTTTCTCGAATGGAATAACTCGTCAATCTCTTCCAAATTCCAGCCCTTTGTCTCAACAAACGTGAAGTATATGACCGCAACACCAAACGCATCCCATGCAATATACATAAAGTAGAAACGCCAGCTACAGTTCGCGATGCCAATGGGAGGAACGTAGGTGTTCAAAACATTTGCAGCATTCAACATGAAGTTCATAAATGCAAGGCCCTTGGCACGCTCGTTGTATGCAAGGACCTCGCTCGGATAGAGCGCTTGCATCGGGGTCTGTATATATTAGTGTCAATTATCCGTATTCTTGGAAAGCTTTTCTCTTACCCAGGCAAATGCAAAAACAACTAGAAACAGGTATAAGAACGCAATTCCAATACCACCCACAGCAGGGTTGTTTTTGTGATGTGCTGTGCAGGCTGTCATGATACTCAGACAGATAGTCATACCCATACTTGAGCTCATCAAAAGTTTTCGTCGACCAAAAGACCGAATGAAGCGTAGACCGCACAGGGCTGACACCATCATGATGGGTGTTTGAACAGCATTGAGAAGGAGCTGCGTCTGGTTGTTCTCAATACCAGCAGTTTTAACTATACTGGTTAGCAGTGATCTGAGATGTGGAACGCGAATATCATACCCATTAACGGAAAATAGTAGCTGGTAGGTGGAAGATCCAGTTGACCAAACCATGCCATGCAGGTGACGAGAAATGTTCTATAACACGCTGCCCGAGTATTGAAAAGACCGCGAATATCCCAGAATCTCTTATCGGTCCCATCGTGGCTAATGACTTGTTGCATCTCCTCTAGTTCCAGTGCAACCACCATTGAAGATGGATTCCCATCGCCGTGGTACTCAATGAGGATTTGGCGGGCTTTGTCCATTTGATCATTGGCAATGTACCTATACAAAGTTAGCCAAACAGAACAATCATCAGGATAGAAAGGTACTCACCAACGAGGGCTTTCAGGAATGAACCAAACGAGAAAGAGCACTAGAACCGATGGAGCGCCCTGAACAGCAAGCGGTAATCTCCAAACAGCTGATCCGATATTTTTGTGAAAGCTTAGGCCGTACTCTAAGAAGGTTGACACAATAGTTCCAAGAAAGAAGCAAGCCTGGAATCCTCCAGTCAGCTGCCCTCGGTACTTGGGATACGACATTTCAACCACATATGCCGGGCCAGCGCTTTGAAGAATGCCAGCTCCTAGTCCTAGGATAAAGCGGCCTCCCATAAGCATGTCTAGGTTTTGGCCAGCGGCCTGGACAGCTGCTCCAATAACACAAATAGCAGACCCAATGGCCATACCCATGCGCCGGCCCCATATATCTGCGCAGGGTCCTGCAACTAATGAGCCGCTGATATTGCCAATGACATATAGAGCCGCCACAAGGCCTTGGTTGCTAGTATTGATGCCAAAGTAATCAGTGAAAGTAATCATTGCCGAGAGGCCTCCTAGTGGTCTTTGAGCAAACAGTAGCAGCACAACAGCAAAAGGCAATGCTTACCAAATGTGTTAGAATCAAACCCGTTGGTGGCTGAGCAGAGATATGCGACAAAGATGCACGCATACAGACGCAAGAAACTTTTCCGGAAAGGCTTGATGTCCTCCTCTTGCAGTGCGTCCAACATGCGCTGTCCGTGAGTAGCAGACTCCTCGACATCTCTCTTCACTTCATCGTAACTAGCACGAGGCTTGGAATTAGCCATGCTGGAATTCAAAGGGGTCTCCGAAATGTATGCTCAGGTCGAGTTGGATTCTAGCAAGATCCTTGAGCCATGGGGGGGAGTATGGCCTATATATGGCCAGGGGCCCATGAGACGGCTGCTAGCACGGAATCGGCCTCATAGTTGGAACCCCAGAATTTGGTCAAGACTTGTCTGGGGAAAAGCTTAGTGTCAAAGAAGGCTTTCGTTTTTTGCGTTGTGTGGGGTATTGTCTAACCCTCTTAGGTACGGGATACGCCTCCGCTTTGCACCAATGCAAAGCGGAGTCATTGCCTTTTTAAATTTGGGCATTTGGCTCGGCAGCTTCCGCATTTTGGCCAAACGGGCTTGCCGATCGTACCGACTGCCGGGATGTGGCTTATTTTAGAGGTCTCTGCCGTCAACAAGTCATTGTCAAGAAAATTTCCTTGTTCTTGCAAGCCAAAATGGTTGGAATTGCAGTACTGGGCGCTGGTCCGTTCACTAAAGAGGGTATGTAAATATTATCGGCGGAAATGTTCGAATCGAGAACTAAATATTTAAGTATCGAATGTATATGTATATGTATACTATATACATACATACGTAACAGTAAAAGTGGTATGGGTGTAACTGAACAGGCCGAATAATCTTGCTGCGCGGGGTTGGATCCTCGTTTAATCCACCGTCAGGGCCGGGATGAGGGAGATGAACCGCGGTGGGATCACTGAAAGTCATCTATAAATTCATTGAGTTAGTGATTAGTCCTATACTTTCCACCGTACTGTGAGCATGAATGGCCTATGGATTCATACGTGTACGCGGTGTAGCAGATTGTTCCGGAACGAATGGTGCGCACGAAGTTGAGGCCGGAGATATCCAGCAAGGCCGCAACAACCTAGGAGCTCGACTCTTTCAACGGCTTTCCGATGAGTTCGTACGCAAGAAGCTGGAGGTAGTCAACATCTTGAGGATCGGCTTGGACAATATCACGACAGCGAGTTTATCCGAGTTGTCACCGCAATCGCGTAGAGCCTGCTCCGCTTCCTTGAGTCCTTCTTCTCAGCTGGCTTCACGGACTTTATCCCGGAGATTAACCCGTCGATGGTCTCGAGCTGGGTCATGCCTGCGAGACTATATTTGGTGTACTTTACAAGCGCATCGGTCTTCAGCACCGAACACCAAGTCTTCCATGAGCTATGATTCAGTCGTATATCTGTGAGCATATTTGAACGAGCAGTCGGGCTTTTTGCGCGTGATGGCAGTCATGCGCATCCAGGCAGGTGGTGGTGGTGTTTTAAGTCAAAAGCGTGAGGGGAGGAAGAAAGAAAGTGTTGGAGACCAGGACGTTGGATGTGCAGCAGTCTTATCAGCTAGTATTAATTAGGATGGATCTCCTAACTTCGGACGATTCATTCATGGGACATCTGGGGACCAACGCCGCCCAGCTATATACTTGTCTGATTCCGTTTTGAGCGAATTGACCCTTTTTGTGGCGGTCCCGACCGGACTAGGTCACTCATTGATCAATTTCGCAGGTCCTCATATTCTAGTTGTAACTCATTTGTGGACCCTTTTGCTTATCCAATTTTACGCTGCTCCTGGATGCAGAGAGGAGTTAACTATCAGTGATTTACGATCCATGTGGAGAATACCCGGCTATACTTATACCTTAGCGAATATCCCGCATCGCCACGTGAAGCCAAGGCCCTGGATCCGCTTATTCTTATACCTTAGCGGTTGTCCTCCCCCAGTCGATCTTTATGGGTCATCTGAATCGTTTTCTTTGAAGTAATCGATTATCTATATATAAGCTCTCCTTGCGTCTCTCATCCTACCTAACGTCCAAAATCGTAGTTTTTTTTCTCGACCCCTTTGTTTACTCTCCTCTCCACCCCACTTTGGAAATCACCTTCACCATGCCAAACACACACCCTTTCGATCCCTTGAGTCCAGGAGAGATTGCCAAGGTAATAATCCCGTTGGCAGGCTGAGGGGAATGCTAACATGTACACAACAGGCTGCGCAAATTGTGCGAGGGACATTGGATAGCCACACTCCCAATTTCCGAGTCATCACCCTCAAAGAGCCACTCAAGCATGAGATGGTGTCTTTCCTAGAAAAAGAGCATCTAGGAAGGTCCCAAAGTTCACATCCTGTTCGGATTGCACGCGTACAGGTCACCATCGGTACTGAATCCGGATCAGGCAGATTAATCGAAATTCTCGTTGATCTGGATGCCCAGTGTGTCATCAAGAAGGAGCATCTCGTGGGGAAACATCCCTATATTGACTCTGCATACATGCAAGCTGTCGAGAAGGCTTGCAGGGAAGACCCAAGAATTCAAGCAGAGATCCAAAAATTGAAGTTGCCCGCTGGCGCCTCGGTCGTCATTGAACCATGGGCTTATGCCACCGATGGAATGAACGATATGACTGAACGTACTACGATGGTCAGCATAAACCCCAACCGCTCCAAAGTTTGTGGCAAGGCTGATAGAGCCCGTTACTTAGTGCTGGTTTTATATGCGTCTACTCGACAACCCCGACGCAAACTACTATGCCTACCCCTTAGATATATGTGCAGAAGTATCCGAGTCCTTAGCCGTGACCAAGATCTACCATTTGCCCTCATCTGAAAAAGAGGGCATTCGACAAGATGCAAGACCCTATGACCAGCGCAAAGTCCAAGCCATCGAACTGAGCGAGTATCATCCTAGTCTTCGCCCATCACCGCGTACGACTACAAAACCCTACCACGTCGTCCAGCCAGAAGGCCCCTCATTCAAAACAGACGGCAATTTGCTGAGCTGGGAAAAATGGACTATGCGCGTGGGCTTCAACTACCGCGAGGGCCTGACTCTGCACGATATCCGCTATGACGGGCGCAGTCTCTTCTACCGTCTGTCTCTGGCCGAGATGTTTGTCCCCTACGGCGATCCACGATCTCCGTTTCCGAGGAAGGCAGCTTTTGATTTGGGTAACGATGGCGCTGGGATCAATGCGAACAACCTGCGTCTTGGGTGTGATTGTCTCGGCCTGATCAAGTACTTTGACGCATGGCACAACACCGCCTCTGGAGAGCCGGTCAAGCTGCCAAATGTGATCTGCTGTCATGAGCAGGACGACGGTATTCTCTGGAAACACACCAATTTCCGCACGCAGAATGCAGTCGTGACTCGCTCGCGGATTCTTGTCCTGCAGACGATTATCACGGTTAGCAACTACGAGTATATCTTTGCTTTCCAATTTGGTCAGGATGCGTCCATCCACTATGAAGTGCGCGCGACGGGCATCCTGTCAACCTGCCCCATTGATATCGGTGATGAAGTCAGTTATGGCACCATCGTCGCGCCGGGAGTCCTTGCGCCGTACCATCAACACCTCTTCTCTCTTCGCATCGACCCCGCGATTGAGGGAACCAAAAATTCTCTGCAGGTGGAAGAGTCTCATGCAATGCCTGTCGACAATCCCGAGACTCAAAATCGCTTTGGCGTTGGGTATACCACAAGTTCCAAGATCGTCACCGAAGAAGGCGGGCTGGATCTCGACTTCGCCACGAACCGGACTTTCAAGATAATCAACGAGAAGAGGACTAATCCAATTACGGGAACGCCTGTTGGATTCAAGATCTCCCCTTGCTACAGCCAGATGCTCCTAGCCCATCCGGAGTCCTTCCATGCCAAACGATCCGAGTATGCCAGCCATGCTATCTGGGTTACGCGCTACGTTGAGGATGAACTGTACCCAGCGGGTCGTTATACAATGCAGTCTCTCGGTGGTGAGGGAATTCGCTCGGTGATTGAGCAGCGCAAGCGTGACCCTACGAGCGAGACCTCGGTACGCAATGAGGATATTGTAATTTGGCACACATTTGGATCGACGCATAACCCCCGGATCGAGGACTGGCCGGTTATGCCTTCGGAAAAGATGGTTGTTGGTCTGAAGCCGATCAATTTCTTCACAGGGAATCCTAGTCTGGATGTGGCTGTTTCGACCCAAGCGCGAAACCAGAGTGTTTTGGCTAAGGATCCCCCGGAGTCGGATACCTGTTGTAGATTATAGTATAAAATGGTAGATCTCCCAGATACCTAGACCAGAAAGACAGAGTCGCTAATATTGATGAATATAATTTCTCGTTATCAGCATAGGACACACAACGTAGCATAGGTGTGTACCGCGCGTCAGTATGTACAGTGGGCCTCAATTTCTACAGTTTACCCTTCTGCTGCCCTCCTTGCAACCGCCTGACACGGTCCCACGCACTTAATGCAAAGGGCTTCGTCTTCTTGGCGTACTCCCCGGCCCGCGCGCTGCTCGCCTGACGCAAGGCAAATCGGGCCGCAATACCCTGCATAATGACCGAGCTCCGGAACGTGAAGAAGGCATCACCCCAAAGAAGTTCCTCGGCGGGGTTCCACCCAGCCACCTCGCTGTACCAGCGGATGCAGTCCTCGCGTGTTGGCAAGCCTGGCGTCTGGTTGGGTTTGAACGCGTTGGAGTCATGTTCGGTCGTCTCGATGATGTAAGGGCTGGTGAGGTTGCAGACATCTGACAGCGGGTGTCCGACGGTGGCCATTTCCCAGTCCAGAATGCCAATCACGCGTGGCTCGGTCTTATGGAAGATCACGTTGTCGATCTTGTAGTCGCCGTGCACTAGGGTGCCCCGATCACGCGGTTGCGTGGTCTTGTTGGCGAAGAAGCGCACCATGTCTTCGAAATGCGGCAGCTCGCCTACGGGCTCCTTGCTCTCTACGTCGACGGCCTGCGCCTGCGCCTTGGAGATTCTCGAGAATGTTGCGATCTGTCGGTCATAGAAGCCCGTGGGTTTGCCGAATCTTTCCAGTCCGACGTCCTTGGGGACCACTCTGTGGAACTTGGCCAGCGTGTGCAGCGCGTCCTTCCACCTAAAGAGGTCAGTATAGATTGGGCGCATGGGCTTCCTCGGTCCCTTACAGGGCATTTCTCTCCTCCGCGCTCACTCCAGGCATGGCTGGGTCCGTGAAATGGCGTCCGTCCAGGAACTCCATAATGTAAAAGGGCGTGCCGATCACACTGCTATCCTCGCAGAGGCAGTGTGCTTGCGGGACGGGCACATCGGTCGGTCCCAAGGCATGGATGATCTGATACTCGCGCTCCACCTGGTGGGCCGTCTTGGACAGCAGCTTGCCGGGGGGTTTCTTGCGCAGAACGAACTTCTTGCCATCGGCGGTGGAGAGCTGGTAGGTCGGGTTGGATTGACCGAAACCGAACTGGTCCACGTTAGCTGAGAGCAAGAACTTGGGGTTAGCCGACGCACCTGCTTCACATCTAATGGGGTCTTGATCTCGGGGACATTCTGATCGATGAACCGTTCTAGGGAGGGGATGTCGATGGGTTGGCGCACAGCACCCGCCATGATTGCAAGTCAATTGGTAAGATGGAAGACCATCAAGTGTCTTCTCTGGAGAGGAGAATGATATATGCGGGAAAGGAACAACCGGGGAGCCGAGGCTCTACAACCTCGGCCAGGAAAATGTGGGGAGAGCGCAAACAGTGCAAACACCGCGTCCCGGCCATCACGCTTTGCACGCGTTTCTTCTTCAAGGAAGGGATGACCTTATTTATTGATTGATCTGTCAATCCAATTCCACTTTTCCTCAACGTCCATTGGTAGTATCATGACCAACAAAGAGACCACTCCTCCCCCTGCCACTTCCACCACCACCATTGCTGGTACAACTCGCGAACCTCCCTCCCTCCCCGCCTCACCACTCGCCAAACGAACAAAAACCACCGAAACCATGACCAACGCTCCTGCCGTCACCTCCATCCAGCAGCCTCTTCCTCCGCTGCTGGTCAAGAAGCTGGTTGACTCTGCCCGCGCCCCAACGCGGGGCTCGGCCTTTGCCGCGGGCTACGATCTGTACGCGGCCAAGGAGACCGTTATTCCCGCCAAGGGCAAGGCCATGGTCGATTCGGGGATTGCCATTGCTGTGCCGGAGGGAACTTGTACGTTTTGAAAACCATTGGGATGGAGAGAGGGATGAGCTAATAATTGCACCTCATCATAGACGGCCGCGTCGCACCCCGCAGTGGTCTTGCCTCGAAGCATTTTATTGACACCGGGGCCGGAGTCATTGATGCCGATTACCGCGGGGAGGTCAAGGTGCTTCTGTTTAACCACTCTGATGTCGATTTTCCTGGTATGTACAGACCGGCACGGCCTGCCCCTGAACGTTCTGACATATGGGTATAGTCAAGGAAGGTGATCGGGTCGCCCAGCTGGTCCTGGAGAGAGTGAGTGGTCCTCGGTTGACGGATTGGCATATCTTTGACATTCTTTACTTCTAGATCTACACCCCGGAAGTGGCCGTCGTCGAGGAGTTGGAAGAGAGCGTGCGTGGTGCCGGTGGATTCGGCAGCACGGGCGCGTAGACAACTACCAAAACATTGGGATGCAAATGGCGGTACTTTACTTAGAAGGGTTTCGGGAACATTTAACGATTAAGGAAGGAGGTTCAACAATGAAAAGAGGTTACGGTGTTTCTTGGTCTTGATTTTGATCTAGGGGTTGGTTTCTATATACAGTGACGACAGCCAACACGGCCTCAACTCATCCATCGTGTCTCATCTATGTTTATTCGTCCCCAAGGGGAATCCAGTATACATCGTGCTTGCCCATCACTCATCTATTGCAGCTGAGCCGGCAGGTCCTCCTTGCTCCATTCCTGCACGGGAAAGTCCACCTGCGGGTCGCACAGGAACTGCGCGTTCCGGACCAGCCGGACCTCTGCCGCCTTGGTTCGACGCAGATGCTCCTGTTTCTCCTGTTCGTCGGGACTCTCCCCGCCACTGTGCGGCGCGGATGCGACTAACTCGGCATTGCGCGCCTGCAGCGTCCGCTCGAGAACGCTGTGCATGCTTGCCAACACCTTGACGGTGGCGTGCGCTAGGGGCAGATCCGTTGCCGGCACGGTGTCGGGGGATACCCAAGATGGGGCGGTGCGGACGTGATCGCCTGCGGCGGTGACGGCCTCACGCAGTCGTGCCACCATCAAGGCGGCGAACATGTCGCCCGTGCCGCTGAAGAAGCAGTCCAGGGCGGGGACGTCGATGCGGAAGAGACGTGGAGAGCCATTGGACCGCGTTGTGGATCCGATCACGGTGAGGAAGTTCTCTGGTGGGCTCGGCGTGGATCCGGACTGTGAGAGCTTGAAGAGCCGGACGGAGGTGATGATGACATGGGGTACGGAGTAGATACGGTGGATGGCAGTGATGGCCTCGGCCAGAGTCGCCAGGGAGGTGATCTTCACGCCGGAGAGGACTCTGGATCTTCGTTAATAGTTGCTTGCTTGTAAACATCCGACCCGACTCACTCCGCCTCGAATTGGTTGGGAAGGATGAGGTCTGCATGCTTGATGATCTGCTTGTAGGCGGGGACTACATCATCATTGACGTACAGCCGGCCCTGGTCGCCCATCACGGGGTCCAGCACTATGCGACGCCATCAGCGAATTGCCATTGACTATGATCTGGGTTCTGACTCACCCCAGAAGAAAGATCCGGGGTTCTGCTTGGCCTTTTGCTGCAGATCGATGCCAATGGCGCCGACGGCTTCCACGGCGGCCGCGCTAGGTGCATATCCCGAGAGCATCACGTCGAAATCGGTTAGGTTACTCTGGCACAGCCCGGCGTAGAGATCCGTTATCTCGGCCGCGGTGGCGCGTGTGCCCTTGAACTGGCGGTATCCCGTGTGATTGCCTGGATGGCGGTTAGTTTTCGGAGTGACTCTCTGGCACACGCGGGACATACTGAAATGGACGGTGTTTATGGCAGCGACCTCGCAGCCCAGGGACTGCATGACGAAGGTCGCCATGGAGTTGCCGACATGTCTGGAGATGTCAGTTGTCACCCCGCCTACTTCCGGGGGGTCACATACCCATAGACAACCTATTGAATGTTAGCCATTGACTCGCGACCATTGTGACAAGCTTCCCATACATGGCTGGCGACTGCAAGCACCCGGGTCTCGGGCACGAGCGAGTGGGACATTTTGTTTCTTGGATGATGTTGGCGGGCAGAAAAACGTGGGGGACTGAAATCATCCCGAGGACTGGGGTTACGTAAGATTGGTCTATCTATCTACATCCTAACGAAATAGGGAATACCTTGGGGTCAAGGAACTTCTGGCGATTTCACGGTTGACAACCATGATGATGTGTTGCTGAATATAATCCGAGAACTCTCCCTGCAGCCTCCAATGAAACCCTGACGATCAACTCTGCTCGATCGGCCAGTCTCGACCGTTCCCGCACGATGCACCCGGTGGCCCCTGAACGAGAGACCAAACTGTGTTAGGGCTAGCGTCCTTGGGCACTAGGATGTCCCGGCCCTGGTCTGGACGCGACCCCCCGTTGCTGACCAGTTCTTCTTCTGCTGATTTCATCCCTCGTGTTCCTGTCAACTGCTGCACAGCTTCGCCGGTCACTCACCTCGAGTTACGCCGAGGATAGAGGTCTGCAATGTCGGATTAACCTCTTACTCCAAGAGGTTTCTGACTCTCACGGCCCGTCGGCAGCACCGTCACTCGTTCCTGGCCTGGCCCTTCGTCGCCATGGCCTCACTTCATTGCTCCGGCAATCGAGGTCCACGCTCCTTTTCTGCTTTTGACTCTTTACAACCAGCTTCATCGTCAACACACAGCTCATCTTCGCGCCCTGGATGTCGTTCACGATTCTCACACCGGGGGCTACTCTACCAGACCCTCCTAATTCTAATCATAATTCTCTGCATCGCGCCGGTTTCCGCACTCGTCGAACCCATCGAACCCGGCCGACTTGCACATTTCGTGCGATCTACTTCGCAACCGAGTGGAGAAGAGCCCACTGCCGATCACCAGGGATCATCGCCATCGCGCGATCGGCTGGCACCCGAGGATGAGCACAAGGACATCTCACAGTCCCAAGCGTCCAACAATGCCTCATCCAATGCCTCCAATTCCACATCCACATCCACGTCGATCTCTATCGCCTCCAAATCAACGGAGAGTTTCGTATTCCCTACCCCATTCGACACCCTGGCCAACACCTTCGCCAACGCCAGCTGCTCCGCTTTCTTTGCGGACTTCCTCGCCAATTCCACAATAATGGACTGCCACGCTGTCTCGCTGCTTCTCGAGAACTCCGTTTCCTTTTTCCATATACTCTCTTCTGCCGCCGAGACGTCACATGTGCTCGACATCGCCTGCAACGCGCCCGTCACTCAATGCGCAGACATCCTGTCCGCTTTGGCGAGCGATATGCTCGAAGATGAGAATTGCGGCACAGATTACTCCCAGGGAAATACTGTCGTTCAAGGTGCATACGATGACCTGGTCGCGTATGAACCTCTCTATCACGCGACATGCCTTACCAACCCGGTGACACAGAACTACTGTTTCGTTGACGCGGTCAAAAATGCCTCGGCGCCGGCAGACTACAATGTATACTTTGTTCCACTGGGCGAGACCCTAGGCTCGCCTGCCGCGGTAACCTGCAACCAGTGTCTCCAGGCAACGATGGGTCTCTTTTCGCGCTGGGCTACGCATGATGACCAGCCGCTCGATCAGTCCTATCTTCCCTCTGCTCGCGCGGTTAATGGGCAGTGTGGTGCTAGCTTTGCACCTGTGAATATTACCGTCGGCGCTGATAAAGTGAGCTCTGGTGCTGATCTTTCGGCTTCTTTACCTTCGACCCTCCTGGTAGCTGTCTTCCTTGGTGCTCCGTTTATCGGTCTTGTCTGATCGTCATCCGGATGGCTGCTCCGAATTCTTTATGAAATTTTTGATTACATATGCTTTCGCCTCATATTTTATTTATATCCCCCTTCTCCCTTGGAAAATTTCTGGTCAATGGAGTTCTGGTCACGCATCACGACAGCGAGGAGTGTGCCAATTCCTGCTTCCCTTTCTTTCTTTTTTTTTTTTACATGTTGGATTCGGTACTTAAATAATAGTGGGCTTATCTATATCAGCTCATCGCGTATTCTGCCAGACGAAGGACTAAATATACATATGGTCTTTTATATTCACATTCAGTTGCACATGGACAGATCGAGATCTTAGCCTCGGTTGATGATACAAAATGAAGGTCAAAACTGATTAGATACTCGGTCAGACCAACGACATCGCTAGTGGCTAGGGCGATGTTCAAGCAATTTTGGGCGTCAAAGGAGACTACATGAGATAGCTGTTTCGATACGTCGTATGCAAAAGTAGCTCAACATATTAGCTCCGAAGTTCATCCACCCTTTTCATAGTGTTTTCTGAATCGTGGCTTGACATATCTGTCGGACTCATACCGTGCACTTTGCTACAGCAATCCACACATAGCAAGAATAACCGCATCAGAACCTTCCTCCGCATTCACGTCGCCGACGTACCCAAGCTTTCCTATACCAACTTTGGCCAGCGCCACGGCTGTCTCCTCATTCGAATACACACTCGTTGGAGCGAAGACCCTAGACTCAACCAGCGAGTCCTCGTCGGTTTTGTACCACATATCGCTTGGTACGACGTTCTTCACGAACAAAGCCTTCTGACTGTATTGTAGTGGCAGCTTGGTAGCATTGGCGACACCAACCGCAGCTTGGTTCAATACCAGGGTTGTCCTGTGGTAGGATCCACAGTCCCAGTTTAGACCTGCTCGAGAGTAAAATGGTTTCAGGTCGTCTGGTCGAACGTACGAGGGAAAGTGGCCCATGATAACGGCCGTGCCCCCGCGACGGATATACTCCAGAACTGCTTCCCAGACAGCATTGTTCTCCGGCAACGTCAGGGCTTCATCCGTTATGAGTATGGCCGAAGGTTTTGGAGTTTGTGCTATAAACTGAATGGCCGACGTTGAGTTTTCAGCCCGTTGAAATTCCGCGTTTGACCTGATGGCCGTGAGAAGCGGAGCATACGTCTCGTCAAACCATGGTTCCTTGTTCAGAGAAATAGCAAGAACTCGAGTAGTTGTCGATGCCATGACCGTAATGCCGCAAGTGTGTAGCTTTGTAGAAGTTTACCAGACAAAATGTATGGGTTAGAAAGCCGAAGTTTGTTGAATGGAGAATTTGGTGAATGAATGCTGGGCATGGTTACTCGGCAAACAAAACAATAGAAGTGATCACGTGAGCTTTAGATAAGATTCTGGTGAATAACCACGAACTAGTGATATAGCATATAGACAAGAGACATATAATGTCTATATCATCTAGTTAAGCCGGTAAAGATAGGGATCACTGTTAGTTATTCGAAACTCTCCCTTCTTAGTCCTTCTAATGAGAAGATCCTTGTTTTATCTAGCCCTAAATTATCTAGTAGACGTTTCTCGACTGAAGTCCATAAGATCATATGGAGGCGGGATTATTTGCGGAAGGACACCGATGATATCTGTGCCGACACATGTGTTCGGTACATTCCAGCACTTTCCTAAATCGTAGATGTCTACTGGAGGGATGCCCCATGCGGTGACCAGGTTTTCGAGAGGGCCGGTACCCGAGAGAGCCATTCAAATGTAGTTGAACAGAGAGTCGCCCGACACCCATTCCTCTCGTGGGATCCCGGAGATTTGAGAGGCTAATATCCCGGGGGTAGTCTTGTCCCACCCGACGTTCCATATCAGATCCTCGTCTCCCTTTACAGTCACTTGCCAAACGTGCGTTGATCTGGCTGAGTGGACGATTTCCACTCTTCCTCAATCAGGGAGAGGAGGCCAGCGTAGACGGTGAATAATTTGTTGGCACTGGCAACGCGATAGATACTGTCCCCGTTGGCCTTTCTACGTACCTGTTTGTTTGATGTTGATGGCGATGGAATGACTACTGCTGTTAGCCCTGCGGCGGCAAGGGTTAAGATGGAGAGGAAAGAGTAGATCGAAGCTTCAATGTTTGCTAAGGTGAAAAGAGGAAAGCGCTATATCTGGTTTGTCTGCCAGCAGAATTCTCATATTGGTCTTTTTTTGCCTTATATTCATTATCATGTGCCGTAAGGAATAGCAGATGATTCGCAGCCTGTACTGTCTGCTAATTATGTCCGTCTATTTACTCTTTTCTTTTCTCCTTCTCCCCCTCCCTCCGGTGAAAGTATTGAGACAAGATCAGCTCCGTCTCGACATCCCATCACCCAAAGCAACGCCAACTAGACTCTGCGGCTCAACGCCAAAACTAGCACCAGGGTTGCTGATCGTCGGAGAAGAAGGCGCTGGACCAATGCCCGACATGGGGCTTTGGGCGGCCGCGTCACGATCCCGCTTCACACGGGCATGACCAAGCTTGGCGAAGCGGCCGAGATGGGCCCAGAAGTGGCGTCCGGCCGGGTGCGCGGCGATACGATCCAGAAGATCGGCGGTGGCTTCGCGGACGACTTGGTCGGGATGGAATAGACCCATGCTCACATAGAACAATCCCGCCTGGTTCTCTGGGGCGACGGTCAGGAGCTGACAGATTCCATTGTAGTCTTTGACGGCGTGGGCCAGTGCGATGTAGACAGCTGCTGCGTCTGAATGAGACAGTTTCAGAGATCGCAGTCGGTCGTGGTGGTGGTGCAGGTCTGGGCGTTGAATTGGGCGTGCGGGAAAGTACATGGCTGCGATATCTTGGATGAACGAGTAGTAGGACCTTGTGTTGCGCCAGCCCTCGATCCGTGATACCGATGCAGACAGCTCGCGCTGTTTGGCTGTTTCGTCGGACCATACATATCCATGACCGCGGAGAGATGTTGGGTCTGAGGCATCCGTCTGATGACCGGTAGGACTATCGGGAGAGAGTTCCTCGCCGGGCCCGATGATATAGAGATTTGAGGCTCCATAGACAGTCTCCTCAAAAGCGGCAGCGACTCGGGTAAATTTGGTGATGTATGCCCGCCATTTGGCTCGGATGGCATTCTCGCCATGCCGGTTGCTAATGCTGCGCAGGATATCCTCTATGAACAGGTTGTCGCCCGTCGGATCGGAATTTGCGTGGGATGCCTGATTTGGCAAGAGAGAGTTTTGTTGCTGGAAAAAGAGAAGACCTTCGGTTACCGGTGCGGCCTCCACATGGCTCGAGATCTTCATGCGGCCCGTGGGCAGATCGCAGAGAACGTCCCACCATTCTGGGTGATTGGCAAATGTCGGGTTGGTCACGCCAGCAATAAAGCCGGGGACGTTGAGGAGGTCATCGATCTTGGACAGATCTGTGTAAGGGAATGCATGCCGGGTGAATCCACGAAGGATCCCGCCAGATGCTAACGCGCAAGCGGCCAGAACGGCCTCAGCCACTTCCCCTGATGGACGGTTGTGTCCCAAGAAGATGACTCGCTTCTGGGTCAGGATAGCATTCACCAGGACAATGATCGGGTGCGTGAACGGCCCACTCGTGGTCAAATGAGGGTGAGTTGGGAACGGTTGAGGAGAGGCAGAATGGGGCCCAGCAAAGATCTGAATGAGCTTGATGAGAGAGAAATCGCCGACGGTCTCGGGCCAGATCACCGTCGGGATCTTGACCGGGATGGGGATGTCGTTATAAGCTACTTTTGACTCGAACTCGTGGGTGTCCCTCGGAAGGACATAGCGACTGGCCTTTTTGGGTGATGGTGGATGGTCGCCATTTTGGCCTTCCTCCTCCTCTCGTTGACGGATCATTTGCTCGAATTTCTCGATAAACATCTCCTTGGTGCTGCTGGACTGTAATATATGGCGTTCCAAGATCGACAGCTTCGGCATTAGTGAGAGATCCATGGCGTTGACTGCGTTGTAGAGAGTTGCCAGTGTCTCCGGGTAGGGCGACTTAAAATAATCTTCTAGTGCAAGAAGTAACAGGGGCTAGGACCATCTTGGTCAGTCAATCGAGCGAGTAGATTATGATAGAGAGGCATACCTTGTATATATGAAGAAACGAATGTCGTGTGCAGATTGCCATCGCCTTGACCACGGCGCCTCTATCGACCCATCAGGACAAGTTTATAAAACACAAAAGGGAAGACATACCGTCGCACTGTATGGTCCTGCTTGGTATTGACCAGATTGAGGACATACATCAAGGGAGGTCCCTCGCCTCCCTCCTCATCGTCACTGCTGTCAGCCTCATCCGACTCCTCGTCCGGACTCTCGTGCTGAATATCGGCGGCCTCCTCATTCCCGTGGTATCTCTGAGACTTGCGCTTCTTCTTCTTCTTCTTTTTCCCGCTTTCGGACTCATCGTCGTCGCCGCTGGTGTCCTTGTGCAGGAAGAAGATGGTCCAGTCCTGGCTGCGCACATGTGTTTGATCCGGCAGCATCAGCTCCGCCAGCATGCTCTCGTCCCCGCTGATCGGAGCGGGATATTGGTGCTCCATGATGGGGCCGCGGTCGATATGGAACGAGGCGACGAGGATGTATTCGACATGGCGCTCGGACGAGTCGAGCGGGTACTGCGACTTGCAGCGGCGTGGCTTGAAGGACGCCACGGCATTGTCGGTGGAGGAACGGCGCATTGAGAAGCTGCTTGGCGAACGATTCACGGACGAGGCGGCGGGGGAGAGTCGGGGGAGGCCGTCCGTTTTGAGGGGCGCCAGGGAGTCGGCAAGGGGACGGAAGGGCAGAGTCGAGGACATCTTCGCAGGAATCGGCCAATGGGCCTCTGAAGGAGCGCTTGTTCAGCAGCGTGGGAGGTGTCAATGCGGGTTAGGCCAATCGGGCGATCCTCAGGGGGTGAGGAAAAGAGGAGCTCCACAGCGGGGGACACTAGTGGTGGTGTGTAGGCGAGGTGTAGCCCAGCGGAGGGACATCGGTGCAGCATAGTATAGTAGCAGTAGTTTTAGTAGAAGGAGGCATAGGCATGACCAGTAGAATGAAACCAGTCACATCATAATGTGGCCCATACATCCTGTACTCGGTGTACTGTCCACTTCTCTCGGGCCGACTGTCGCCCCGGTGATTGTTTACTTCCCGTTTGGGCCATTAGTAGTTAGTGTCGTCACCTGCACATTATTGACTTCTCTTCTTCCTTCACATACACACACACACACGCACACACACACAATGCAGGCCAACTCGGGCTCCCCCTACAAGCCATCGCCTCTCTCCTTCGGGTCGCCACGGGCATCGCCCTTTCGGCGACCCTCCACCCCGAACTCGTCACAATCCGGCACCCCAGGTAGCTCGCCCAGCCGGGGCTACACGCCTATGCAGTCGCCCAGCAAGCTGAACCAGTCCTATACCGCCGAGGAAGGAGACGCGACCTCCACAAAGACAGACCCCATTCCCCAACCGAACTTCGGCAGAGAACTTCCCCCTTCTCCGACCAAAGGAGCGCAGGCGCCCGGTCGGTCATCGCCAATTGTGGGCAACAGATCCAGTGGGCTCGGGGTGCCCAACGACGCCGCGTCAAAGCTGCCAGCTCACCAAGCGAGAGAGATCCGTGAGGCTTTCCAGGTCCTCGACCGCGACAATGATGGGAAGATCCATAAGGACGACGTGGTGGACGTGCTGATGAATCTGGGTATGGATCTGTGTTTAAACCAAAAGGAATTGCAAGCTAACAACCTCTAGGCCAAGACTCCTCTCCAGCAACAATTGCGCGCTTCTTCCCGTCTGGAGCACCGCCAACAATCAACTTCCCGACCTTCCTAAGCACCCTGTCGCAGTTGATGGCTCCCATGTCCACTTCTCAGGAACTCCTCAATGCGCTGGCTGCCTTTGACGACGACGATAATGGACAGATTGATGTGGCCGAACTGCGCGATGCGCTCCTACACACTGCCCCGGAGGACGGCGAGACGCCGTTGACGGCACAGCAGATCGACGAGGTGTTCAGTGGGTTTACCGGACGGAAAGCCTTTGGTGGCCGGGGGGCTAATTCGGGAATGAACAAGAGAGGCGAGGTGTTTCAGTACCACGACTTTGTTCGCAGCGTCGTCGGATCTGATAACGGGCGACGCGAGGGCACGGCCCAGGGCTGATCTTGGGGAGAAAGTGTATGGCGTTCATTTGGAAATTCAGGCAAGTAGCATGTAATGAATCAATCATGATAATAAATTGGACATTCAATGAATCGGAAAGTGCTAGTTTAGTAGGCTATTATTGATAGTATGCTCGAGTCCGTCGACCGCGTTCATGATGCTCGGCAGAATACTACTAGTCACAATCATCCCATCTCCAGCCACCGCACCGCGTCTCCCATCTTCTGTCACCGATGCCACTGGCCATCGACTACCCTCAACGATGGCGAAACCTCAGCCTTCCTGGGGTCTCCATGGCCCTGACGCGCCTCCCTCTCCGCGCACTATGCGCACGCTGCGCAAGATCCAGTCCCACCAGGTTCTGTCGAGCTCCGGGGCCGTAAACACCGCAACCGCGACCACTCAACCGTCTCAGCCACCAAGTTTTGCCCTTAATTCCGGAGGTTCATCCACCAGTGCTGCGATGCGAGCCCGCGCACAACGACGACCACGGGCGAACAGCGATGCCGCCGCGCGCGAGACAGCGGCGTCCCCAGCCCCGACACAGCGACGGCCAGCACGGAAAACCGGTTCGGGGGTGGGCCTTAAGCGATCGATGCTCGAGAGCCTTCTTCGCGATGGGCCCCAGAATGGAAAGACCGCCGAGTCCCTGCAGGAGCTGAAATACCTTGTCCTGTCGTGTCGCGTGGATGCCGACGGCGATGGCATGGTAGGTGATATCTCCCGTCTAGAAATCATTCTGGGCATACTAACTCCAAGGCTTGTTCCAGTCACCATACCGAATATACCTTTGGCTCGTCCTGTTAGATATCCCTCCTCTCTCCACCGACGACTACCTCGCCCTCATCCACCGGGGAGGCTCCCCAGCCTATACAAAGATCCGCAACGACACATTCCGCACATTGGCCACGGACCCGCTGTTCAAACGCCGTGTCACGGAAGCAAGTCTAATTCGGCTGCTCAATGCCGTAGCGTGGAAACTGCACGACAGCAAGCCCAAGCCCCGATCGCGGCCTTCTTCGTCTCGCAGGCGCGAAATGGAGATGTTGGTCAATACGCCACCGAGTATTGCAGAAGAGCCGACAATCGGCGAGGGGTCTTCGGTCAGTGACTCGGCTATCTATGTTCAGGGCATGAATGTCCTCTGCGCGCCGTTCCTGTATGCCGCCCGCAGCGAGGTGGAGGCGTTCGCTCTATTCCACTACTTTGTTACTCGTCAATGTCCTGGATACATTCGCGGTGCTATGGATGGCGTGCACAAAGGCCTTCGTCTGGTCGATCGGTGCCTGGAGATTGTCGAACCGAAGCTGGCGGCATACCTCTTCTCCAAAGGCATGCATGCCGAACTCTACGCTTTTCCCTCGGTGTTGACGCTGTGTGCCAGCACGCCGCCATTGCCTGAGGTGTTGCACCTTTGGGACTTCCTTTTTGCCTACGGGCCACATTTGAATATTCTGTGCATCGTCGCTCAGCTTATTCGTATGCGAGACACCCTTCTCGAAAGCCCGAGGTAAGTTGATCCATTCTATGAGTGATCACTCTGCTAACTCTTGCGTCAGTCCTAACAAAATACTCCGATCTTTCCCTCCTCTCGATGCCAAGGAGATCATTGCATTGACGGTACTGCTAGTTCAGAAGATTCCAGAGGATCTCTATGCGGAGATGGTCAGCCACGCCAAATAACCGACTCTTGATGACATTTTCGGATGAGCTTTTCATGTTCTTGGCGTTTTGGGGACATTCCTTGGGTTATTGGATATGGTTGTTGGGAATGGAGCATTTTGGATCTGGGTCGCATCTGGGAAAAGGAACTAGAACTCTAAGCCGTGTCTCGCAATTTGAGGAATACTAGTAAGATCGACCTTTACAAGCCCACCATGGCCCGTCCTCCGCAATTCACAAAGACTTGAACTAAACAGATACATATATCAATCTCTCGATGCAGGTGCCTTTTACGATGTCCATCGATTTGATGCGGATAGCTCAATGATTGATCTGCGCTAAGGCCCTGGCGGTGGGGCCAGAAAAGAGCGATCAAGAGTGTATTGGTCAAGCCGATTTCGAGAATGATTGTAACAGTAGGCCGCCCTCAACCTCCAGCACATCTACAACTATGTAGGCGCCGAAGTCGACAATAACCCCACGGACTTACTCGTTTGTCCCGATCCATCGACCACAAGTGGCTGGCACGGATCCACAGTCCTATTAATCGTCGCAGCAGCTCCAAAGCCTCCACTTTCCTCGATCTCTGCCCAATCCAGCCCTTCCAGCTCATCCCAGTACCCATAACCACCACCCAGCACTGTCCCATCCCAGCTTCCTCCCCATGAAGCATGCGATGTCCTCGCCATTTTTACACGCAGCTGCGCACCCATGAAACTCATGTTATTAAACATCGACACAGCGCGGCGCGCCTCGTCGGCGCTGAACATCGTCGCCGAGCCGTAGCTCGTCTTGGCGTCCGATGTCGCCGTCACGGTGCATTGCTCTACCGTGCCGGCGCCCTGGAGGAGGTTCTTGAGGTCGACATTTGTGGCGCTGGTGCTGAGATTGTGGATTGATATTCCCCTCGAGTTGGGGATGTACTGATGATCGTGCTGTTTGCGTGGGTATCTCTCGTATCCTGTTCCGTCCTCGGCTGCTGTTTCATGTAGGGGATGCATCGGGGACATTGGATACGCGGGCATCATGGCCCAGGCTGGTGGGTCGAACATCGTGCAGTGCATCAGTGGTGATGGTGGGTAGCCGGGGAGTGGATGTGCCATAGGGTCGGCCATCATAGGCATGAACTGCTGGGGTGGCATGCCCATGGGACTCATCATGGGTCCATAATCTGGGTATGAATACGTTGTTGGGCTGGATGGATGCACTGATCTGGGGGGATATCAGCGGGCTATTTGGATATGTCAGGGAAGAACAAGTCCTACTCGGGTGATATGGGCGACGGTGGCATCGTCAGATTGCCCTGCCCTCGTGGAGGCGTCGCATAGCCCGAGGACATCATGGCCGACGGGCTTCTTGTCGGCCCTGCGATGGGCTTGGTGGGTGCGCTGGTGCGTGCCAGTGTGACGACCAAGCTCTGACCATCCCATCCATTTGTCGATAACCGGTCTGGGTGGTGGTTAGAAATACATTAGGGCTAGAGATGAGGGAAACACGCACGATATGTCCGCCACGCCTCGTCCTCGTTCTTGACGATGATCTGACCTAATCCTGTGGGAACGCCATGGCTATCATCGTACACCACTGCCTGGCGGATATGCAGCGCCGTCTGCCGCACCAGATCCTTTAATTCTTGCCAGCGGCAATGGGCCGGAATCTGGTTTGTTGTTAGACTATCTCTGGCCCCGAATCATGTGCGCACTTACACCTTGTAAGAAGACGACAAACTCGTCGTCCGATCTGCGCGGTCTTGGGCCACGGGCTTTTTCACGGCCAAGAAACGGCATGGCAGCAGTTGACGAAATGGCGCTGGACTTTTTCTCCCTGTGGACTCACTGTGCTGGCAGGAGAATAGATATTGCCGTCGGACGGGATCCAATATCTCCGAGCGGCCCTGTCACTGGCGTTGCGAAACAAACGGGGCTTGAGCTATCGGGCTAGGATGTGCTCGGTCGAGTCTTGAACTAGGGCACACTTCGGCGGGTATCTCCTGGAATACTTAGTCTAAGTATATCACCTCCGTTGTATTAGAGCAGCCCGGGGGGATGGGGAGGAGATGTATAAGATATCATGGAAATCGACATGCTTCAAGCACGCACGATGAGAGAAATGATCACTCGGGCCTCGAAGTCGCTTACCTCTCTGCCAATGGACGCAAGACAACAGTCTGACCGACACTGTGTATGCAGTGCAGCAAAGCGATCACACACTTTTCGTTCTTTCTTTCGTCGATGGTGGTAGGGCCTATTATAAACGAAGACAGGGACGAAGAAGGAAGATCGAATGGAAGAGAGAATGTTTCACAAGAACGCTTCCATGATGGTCAATAATTACTCCAGGGCTAGGACCCAGAAGATGCATCGACGAATCCAGACAATCCAATCCACTGAGATATGTCATTTTTGCCTGAGCTCAGCTCTCCTGCCAATAATACGGTACAATAAATAGCCACCATCCACCCGTGCTAGGTAAGTACTATGTACCTACAGTTTCCTCCCATTGTGTTTTTTCTTTCTTCTTTCCCCTTCCTTCCTTCTTCTTGTATTCTTTCCCGTTCACTAGATCCTGGCCCCGGGTACACCCGCGCACTTGGGATGGTGGGGGGGGGGGGCGCCGCCGGATCTTGGACCGATGCGCCTAGCTTCGTGTTACACCGCCAGATCCGGATCAGACGGCGCTCTGACTGCCCAGACCGAGTCTCCAATCAGTACAGTATCACACAAGCCTAGATCGCCGATCGGCGGGGCGCCACCAGTGCTGGGTCTACACACAGATTAGTTACATAGTGTTCTGAATCCTGTCGGAGTACCTGCAGCGGCCGCTAGAACCCCATCGTGGCTGGCTGCGCGTGGAGTTCATCTTTGTTCTTTTACTCAACAATTAGACAGACCTGGATGGGTCACACTGCAGGCCATGTTCATTTATTCATGGATCGTCGTCCGGTGACACCAATCCGACTCTCGATAGAATGCCAGATCGAGACGAGCGCGCATAAACACAACTAGGTTGGTACGACTCTCCATTTCCGGTAATATGTTCATACATCTTCAACCCTAGAATCCAATAATGCGAAAAACAAAATTGATGTAAGCGCAGAATAGTAGTCTTTATCAGAAACGAACCCACCCCCGCTCAGAATTGAAACTCGTACATGATTTGAGGGTTAGCAGTATGGTGACCAGAAAGTAAGGAACGTCATAGATGCAGGTGGGAATCACCCCATGATGCCTTAAAAATGCAGTGCCCGAACAGGCTCCTAGTGCCGATGGCGTGAGTGAGAGCCCGAAAAGCCAAGGAAATTGAGGCTCGCCTTATTCAGGTCCTAGGCCCCTAAGAGCCGCAAGGTCTGAGACGCAATTGGCTAGTTGGGGCAAGAATTTTTTTCGACCTTCGCCCACGGTGTCAAATAGAAAGCCGGCTGATTCTGTAAGAAATATGGCCCAACACAAGGCCTCTTAGGGTCGATATTCTCCGTTATGAAGAAGCCGTGCCAGCACGGGCAATGGAGTCTCACATGAGATCGGGTTTCGAGATCGAAGAGTCGGAAAACGAAAGAAAGCAACGGATTGTTGAGATTCGCTTTTGTGTGAAACGGGCCCTTGGCGAGGGTAGAGTTGGTGTTGTTGTTGTTGTTTGTAGTTGTTTGGTTCGGATGTGTAGATCGACGGGTCTCCTTCACTTCACTCCAGATTCTCCCTTCGGTGTTTACATATTTCACCGGCCGAACCCGACTTTGGACGCGCACCGATTGCAGTAGTAGGAATTCATGCCGAACTGAACGGCGCCCGGACTGGTTTGGTTTTCTATCGCGAGCGACTGTTGGCAGCGGGAGCAGCGTACGACATCGTAGACTGCGGGCGGCGACGCGGACGTGGGTACGGAAGGTGCCGGGTTGGTGGTCGTCGGCTGGGAGATTTGGACCGCCGGCGAATTCATTTTGGGATGGGGGAGAGGGAGAGGGGGATAGAGGGAGAAGGGGAAGAGAGCAGGAAACAAGAAATCCCAGAGGGTTGGTGCGCGCCCGTGACAAGCCGAGGATCAAGTAGTGAACTACATTCCAGAAGAGATCAGCTGATTGTCGTCTACGCGTCAAACAACTCGATTAGTTACATACTCCAGGATTGTGATCATGATCGTATAAGATCCTTTGAGAGCATTCAGAATAGTGTTCCATAACTAGTGGGCCAGGTCATCACTATGGAGTACCACTGTACTGTTGTAACTATGGCGCAGCTTACATGCACTCGAACAACCATGGAGATAAGCTCAGCAAGGACACGACGTCATTACCCGCCTGTCATCCACACGCCTTTTTCACCCCCACCACTCCCCTCTCTCTCTCTCTCACACACACGGTCAACATCCACCATGGCTTCACCACCCCCCAAGCTCTTCAGCTTCCCGGATCACGAGGCACTGGCTCAGCAATTGCGCGCCTATGTCCTGCGCAGTCAGAACGCCGCCCTTGCCCGCCATGACACCTTCCGCCTGGCTGTGTCCGGTGGCTCACTGCCCGCCACGCTGGCCAAAGCCCTGCTGGCCCCCAGCAATGGATCGCTGGAAGACACGCCGCAGTTCGCCAAATGGGACATCTTCTTCGCCGACGAGCGCGCCGTGCCCCTCGACCACCAAGACAGCAACTACCGCCTGCTGAAGGAGGAGCTGCTCAGCAAGATCCCCGCCGAGCTGGGCACCCCGACCGTGCACACCATCGACCCCAACCACGTCGAGGATGACGACCCCCAGGAACTGGCCGACCTGTATCAGGACGAGCTGATGCGCTCCTTCGCCGCCAAGGACAGCGTCAAGCTGCCCGTCTTCGATCTCATCCTCCTCGGCTGCGGGCCCGACGGCCACACCTGCTCGCTCTTCCCCGGCCACGAGCTGCTGCGCGAGAAGGACGCCTGGGTTGCCGCGGAAAGCAACTCGCCCAAGCCCCCGCCCAAGCGCATCACCCTCACCCTGCCCGTGGTGACCCACGCCCTCAACATCGCCTTCGTGGCGACCGGTGCCGGCAAGAAGGAAATCCTGAAGAAGATCTTCGACTTGGAGGAGGGCCGCAGCATTCCCTCGGCGCTGGTCAACGAGGGAGGTGGCGAGAAGGTCAGCTGGTTTACCGATCACCCGGCGGTGGATGGTGTTTCGTTCCCTCGTCGCGGGAGCCTGTGAGGAGGGGAGGGGAAGAGTTGCGCCCAAAAATTATATTCTTTGATTGCCATAGACTTGTTACCGAGTGAATTAATTGGGTGTCGAGAACCTCTATTAAAACAGTTTGCTGAGAATTCGACACGATCATTAGTTCCTATGTAGTTCCCGTGGCGCGGTCGCAGCTCCACAGCGTTGCTTTATTTACTTTCTTCCTTTCCCCAACACCAGCAATAAATAATGTCGCCCCCCTGGTGACGGCCATCATGCCCATTCCCACGCGCTCGTCCTCACTGCGCGATCCTCGCAGGCAGGTTAGTTAATCCGTGTCCCCTGGTCCCCAACATTCCAGCGGCTGACACCGAAGGAAGACCTCGAGTATAGCCCGACCTGCCACGAACACCTCCGGAACAACCAGAGAACCTCCCCGACCGACAAATGAAAAGCCTGACCCTTCCAACCCCTCGCCGGTCGAGGGTGCATCCGTGAAAGACAATGTGACCGTCAAGAGGACTCTCCTGCCGCAGCGCGGGACGGGCCAGGTACGGTTTCAGCCACCAGAAAGCAAGCTGCCGCAGCGAGATGTCTCACCGAAGAGGTCGCAGCAGGCATCTCCTGAGAATGCGAAACAGGATAGGCCCGAGTCCCAGGTGGCCTCAAGCGGTGCTGCCCCTGGACGTCGTCAAAGCCTCAGGCGGCCCGGCGCGCTGAAGATGCCCTCAACAACAACAACAAAGACCAATGTCTCTGGGCCTACGAAGAGTCCTGCACCCTCATTTGCGCCGCCGTCGCCTCGCAAACAGCAGGCTGTGCTATCCCCCAAGCGGCCGCCATCCCCGAAAAGGACGGATATGCCACCACCGTCACGTCCCATGAGATCGGCTTCGCTGAGGCAGCCTAACCAGGCTGGACCGCCCGCCGCCGCCAGAGGGCATGCGCGACATCGCAGCCAAGTAGTTCCGACGAGCGCGAAGCAGGCCGATATCATCCCCAAATTACGGACACCATTCTCGACATACCAGCAACACTACTCTCCCAAGAAACCCGTAGCCAAACCACCAACGCCTACGCCAGGCACTACTCCTGACACGAGTAGCCTTCAGATCCCATCGTCTTGGCCGGATATCACAGCCCTGCAGACGGAACTGCTTCAATTGAGCTTATTCCACTCGACCTCGCTTCAACGGCATTCGCAGTGGAAATCCCAGTCGGTGTCTGGTCTACGCAAGAAATACAACGCTGTTGCCAACCAGTATCGGTCTGTATTGGCGGATGAGAAAGCATGTCAAGTTCAGCTGAATATGCAGTCCCTGAATGTCTGGCTTCAGAATTGCTGTGATCACACGGGCTCGAGTGGATTCCCGGAGCAGATCCAAACTCTTTCGCAGGTTCTGCAAGAAGTGACCGACCTCGGCGGCGTTGGTGGACGGTACACACGTGCTGTCCAACTCTTTGAAGAGTGGTTCGAGCGAGCAGATGAGATTCGAAACTGTCGCAAGTCAGCCGGAGCGATGGAAATAGCTGGGTTCATCGACCCACTCGACCGCGCCTGGAAGGAAGAGCTGCACGATCTACAGAGCAAGCTGGAGCTATGCGCGCGCCAGCTGCCGAGCTTGGATATCCTGGGATTTGAAGATACACAGCATGTACAGCACTCGGCTCTGTTCCGAGTCGCGCGGAACCTGGTAGACTACATCCAGCTAATGACAGAGGAGATCGGCGCGATGCGGATGCTGGAAGGCGAGCTCGTCCGGTCGGAGAGGGAGTTTGCCTGTCAGCGAGCAACACAATTGGCGAATGCGCCGCGAGAAACGAGAGCTCCGCGGGCAGGAGCATGGACCGTCATGTAAAGAACCATAATCATAATCAAGTACCAAACTCCTGCAAAGTTCATCGTTCATACATCCAAACCGGAAAAAGGCTGAGTCAGCACAGCTTTCTCCGGATGGAACAGTCAATGCAGGCGCGGTCTGGATCTCTCTCTCTCTCTCTTTCCCTTCATTCCTTTCTCGGTCTCTTTCTTTTCATCTGCCTCTCGCTCATCCCATCCAACCTCGACTCTCGTCTCCCACTCACTCGAACGGATCCCCGTTCGACTGGCTCGTTCCTGACGTCATCTACAACAGAATCCGTCGTAACGGCTGAAAGCTATCCAGCAACGGAAACCCCACTTCCTACGGCCGTCCGCAATGGGCGGCGAGTACACCTAACGACGAATTTCAATCTGGGCTGTAGGGTGACCCGGTCACCATGAAGGATTCGCTGTTCTATCGCCTCTGGCGCCGGGAATGCGGGGAGCTGTCGCCCGACGCGAGTCTGGGGGGTATCTATGGGTCGAAAGAGTGGATCGACGATCTGGACATTGTGAACGAGTTGGGTGGCCATACGGGATGCGTGAATGCTCTCAGGTACGTATTTTGACCCGTCATTCCCGCTTTGGCGCCGGCTGACAGCTCGTTCGGCAGTTGGTCCCGCTCGGGGCAGCTCCTAGCCTCGGGCTCGGACGACAAGCGTCTGAATATCTACTCGTATCAACCGGACTCCTCGACGGCCCCCTTCGCCTTAAACACCACCGTTTTCACCGGCCACAAAGCTAATATCTTCTCGGTGAAGTTTATGCCACACTCCAACGATCGCACCTTGGTCACTTGCGCCGGCGATTCCCAGGTGCGCATTTTCGACATCGAGTATTCTGGCAGTAATGTCTTCTCGACAACGGCGGCGTCAGCTCAGAGCCAACGGTTTGATACCTTTTTCGCGGGGGCTCGGTATCTGGGGGTGGAGAATACCAACGCCCGTATTTACCGCAGCCATGCCGACCGCGTGAAGCGGATCGTCACCGAGTCGTCGCCTCATTTGTTTCTAACCTGCTCGGAGGATGGTGAGGTTCGGCAATGGGACTTGCGTCAGCCATCCAGCGCCTACCTTGCTCCCCGGGGTGGCCAAGGTTTTATGGCCTATCGTCCCGGGCTGGAGCACGATGATTCCAACGTGCCACCACCCTTGATTTCTTACAAAGGATATAATCTCGATCTTAATACCATATCTTGCTCACCAAGTCAACCACACTACATTGCTTTAGGCGGGGCCCATTTGCATTGCTTCCTGCATGACCGGCGTATGCTCGGCCGCGACACATTGGCTGAACGAGGCAGCGCTGGGGCCGGCGCATCCACCCCAAGCACAGCCAGCTTCGACGAAGAGGCCATGGGTAAGGCCACTCGATGTGTACGCAAATTCGCACCGGGCGGTAAGCGTCGTATGAAACGCCTCGACGACGGGCACATCACTGCCTGTAAGATCAGTGATGCAAACCCCAACGAGATCGTGGTCAGCTGGTCTGGAGACCACATCTATAGCTTTGACTTGATCCGGAGCCCAGATGCCGGGGAGGCTGAGACGGAAGTAACAGCAACGAAGAGTCCCAGTTCACGTCGCCGGCGGAGTTCCCGAAGTCGGAAGCGCAAACGTCCAAAACCTGAATCGATGTCATCACAAGAGAGTGGTGCTAGGCATCAATCTCACCGTCGGTCAGTGGAGCCGAACACATTTCGCGTCCACTACGCCAACGGTGAAGAAGAAGATCTCCCCTTTCCTACAGAGTCGAACAGCATGTCCGAGACTGCGGAAAATATGATTGAACGAGCGCGATACGCCGTGCTGAACGACGCTCAGCGTCTGAGTCTGCAGATCGCAAAGGGCTTGGTCAAACTCCGGAGCTCTCTGTTCTCGCTGGAGACGACCATCCGGGAAGCAACGGGGTCTGACCAGGAGGACCTCACGCCGTACACGGCCTCTTTCTCGTCTGCTCTGAAGCTGGCGTCCACATACCTCCCCCAGATGGATGAAGTCATCCGTCACTGGACCTATCCGATGAATCCATCTCGCGATACCGTTACCTTCCAGCAATCACTCCGCCACAACCGCCAAGCTTCGTGGAGATTTGTGCAAGCCGCTGGCACTATTGCACGAGCTCTTGGTGGCCGGGTGGAGGCTGATATCGAAGATGACCCGGCTGTAATAGATGATTTTCAGAAGATTAGCCCAGCTCCGGGTGAGGATGGGTCTATTGACCCAGAGTCACAATTTGGCTATGATTTCCTAAAAGCGATTCTTCTCTGGCTGCAAGGGGGTAGATCGGCTCTTCTTGCTGGCTTCAAACCCGACGGGGTTTACCGACGGTCTTCTTCTCGATTTCCAATCCCTGCAGATGCAGGAGAGGACGCCATTGACACCGTGCTTGTCCCTTATCTCCAAGAGCTGGCGAAGGACTCTCCCATCGTGAATGTTGATGCTTCCCGGTTCGAGCACGATGCCACTCGCATACTGTTCCAAACCCAACGGGCGGCTGTAACAGCATTTGGGAACGCTGTCCGGATCCCCTTGGAGAATCTCGCAACCTCGGCCGCGCGGGTTGACAGACGCCGGGTGTCAAATTCATCCTCGAGTGTACGCTCTCTTGACCGATCATCTGCAACCCGGTTTTGGATTCTGCGGGTGTGCAGAGGGATCTTGATGGAAGCAGGGAATGGTGTGAATTACACTTTTGTCAATCGCGCTTTTGGCGGATTGCGCACCACTCTGGACGAGGACTCTGACAGTGACTTGGGCCAGGAGAGGTCTCAGGATGATATCGAGACCAATGTGGAGGAAGAGCCAATTCGTGATATTAATCTGGTGAGAACCGGTTCTACGACACGGAGCACACGGCGCAGTCACAATCAAGCAGACCCATCTTCAACCGACGGTGAAGCGGAAACTTCAAGTGACAACGACAGTGAGGAAGAAGAAGAAGATGACGATGATGATGGCGAAGCCGTTGGTGGCTGGGATATGTCCTCAGACGAAGACGAGGATGATGAGGATGACTCCGATGCAGAAGAGAATTTCGCTCGGCGGTATGGAATCCGGAAGACGCGCCGAGAAGACGTGGAGCTCGAGGTTCCGTGCTCATCTCACACGCGCGTGTACCGGGGCCACTGCAATATCAAAACCGTCAAGGATGTCAACTTTTTCGGGCTGAACGATGAGTATGTGGTCAGCGGCAGTGATTCGGGCCATATTTTCATCTGGGACCGCAAGACTGCGAACCTGGTCAATATCCTGGAAGGCGACAGCGAAGTCGTTAACGTCGTGCAAGGTAAGCTTGCTGGTCTATACGAGATGAAATTCGACTCAAATGTTGATTGTGTGCAGGTCACCCCTATGAGCCGACCATCGCCGCCTCGGGCATCGACAACACGATCAAAATCTTCTCCCCAGACCGACGCGCCCAGGAAGATGCTCGCAAGGGTATCAATATCCTTGATCCGGATAACCCATCCAACATCCTCTCGGCGAATGTGTCTGGTTTCGGGGGGCTCCAAAGTCGGAAGAGGCTTCATGATAGCTACCGGATCATGAGCCAGAACGACGTTGAACGCCGTGGAGGCATGAGTGATGCCTTTATCACTGTACGTGACATCTGGTCAATTTTTTTCTCGTCATATACTTACATTGGCTTGCAGAGGAGTATGCTGGCCCGGCTGGCTGCAACACTAAGAGGCCGACAGGCAGGCGGCGCAGCTGAAGGTATCCCTCCGGGGGCCGGCGAAGGAGCTACTATCGTCCTGGAAGAAAATTGCCCGGTATGTAGACGGTTCTTCATGACAGTTGCCGAGATGCTGATGTTTGTTATAGGTGATGTGATGAGCCCGGTAATTTTGGGAGGACTCAAGGACATGGAAACTCGCTTTTTTTTGGTCTGGTAACCAGAATGCTGAGGAGGTTTGGGCTTGTACTTCTTAATGGGCCAATGAGACTGCGATCCTTAAAGATCACGTGATGATATCACTATCAGTAGAAATTTCTTGCGATAAGAACGTCTCGAAGCTGGACAGATTGAAAGGTTTGGTGAAGAGAGAGACACAGGACTCTGTGGTCATTGAGCCTCACCTTGCAATACGGCTAGATATCCACGGAGTTCACCCGGTACCAACTTTGAATATCCACCTCACCGTCCACCCTTTTCCAAACGTCTTCGGACAGGGACGAGAAACAATGAATTCAGCCAAGATTCTGCAGCAACGCGCTGAAAAGACAGCCCAGCTCTACTCGGATCCTCACAACCCACGTCTTCATCTGGAACGGGCCCTCCTCCACGAGAAGCTGGGCTTCCCCGATCTAGCAGCAGCAGACGCCTATCGTGCCCTGTCATTGCTCGAGTCTGTCATTGATCCAGATGGATCTGAGTTCCATGCTCGCAAGAAGCTGGATTCTTCTGCTGCAGACGGTCGGGTCCCGACATCCAACGCTGATGTTGACAATGAAGATCAAGATGAAGATGACGAAGAAGACGATGGGACAATCCCCGTTACCCAAGAAGAGTACAACACCCTCATCGGCGACGTCTACTCTGTCTTCGTGCGTAGTCTCGTCCAATGCGGCTGCTACCGCGACGCATACGAGTTCGGTGTACGTGGAAGACAATTGCTGCACGAGCTTGCTACCCCCAGTGATGACAACGATCATACATCTGCTCTATCATCGGCTGCGGCCGATGTCCTCTCCGACCAACTTGAAAACATAAAACAGGTCTACAAGACTCGCACCAATTGCACCGAAACAGACTTGCACTCGATCGACCCGAGCCTTCTCCCAGCGCAGGGCTTTGCGCGCCGAGTCCTCTACCCATGGAACGAGCACGAACCAGACCGTAACTCGCCGGAGAAGTTACACGTCCTAAACGAGCGTTTGTCAAAGGTTGCACCAAAATGCGAAGTGCGTGCCGTGGCGCTCCCGGCGCTGCGCGACACGGATTCTCCGACACCAGACTCAAACGAGGTTTCTGTGCAACTGGGTCTCTTCGCGAAAGAAGACATCGCACCCGACGAGATCATCTTGCGCGAATCTTCGCTTCTAACTGCCACCAATCGTCTGCATGATGATATCTGCGATGCTTGCCATGCTCCCCTGCCTGATCTTTCGGACCCGAACCCCCCGGTTGCGTGTGACGGTGGTTGCGCGGATACAATCTTCTGTTCCCAGGACTGTCACGATGCCGCGCAGAATGTCTACCATGGCGCTATCTGCGGCCTGGAAGACGGGCTAGAGTCTATTGGGAAGGATATCCCCGACCCCAAGGATAAGGCCGACTACCTCTATCTACTTTTGCTGGGCAGAGCACTGGCAATGTCCGCGACGCAGGATGTGCATGCGCTGGATCTGCCGGAGGTGCAGTATATCTGGGGTGATTTCCACGAGACCGCTACGCTGCCCTTCTCATTCCAGCTTAATATCCTGCAACCGATGCGTCTTCTCGAAGAAATGGAACTGGATCCGTACGCTCTTCTGGAAAAATTCGATACCTGGGTCTTGAATACGCTGTACGCTAAATTCCGCGGCACAGCCTCCGGCCGTCTTTCGACTTGGGATGGCGGGCCGGAGGTGTGTGCTGTGCATCCACTGTGGTGTCTGGCGAATCACTCGTGCGATCCGAATGTGCGCTGGGAATGGGGTGGAGAGATTACGTTCCGTGCGAGGACTGCAGACGAGAAGCCTGTTTGGGAGAGAAATTTCAAGGGCGTGCATCAGACGCGGCCGGCTGGGTCTGGGGGGATTGGGGCCAATGTGGAGATTCTGAATCATTATTGTGATATTGGGTTGGATGTGAAGCAGCGGAGGGAGTGGGCTTGTGGTGCTCTGGGCGGTATGTGCCGGTGTCAGAGGTGTTTGTGGGAAGCGGGCGAGGTTGAGAATGTTGGAGATTCTTGAAGATATTTTGTATACCTGGTTAGAGATGCTGGAGATAGATACCCATATTACACCCAAAGTTTGCCGCATCACATATTTGAAGCAAAGAAGTCCAACTGTATGTGGATAAGTTGAGAGAACTGGACTGATGAACTCACTTTCTGTTGTAATATTGGTGACGGTAAACCTGCCGCCTTGGATAGCGATCGGCTCTGAGATCACGGGGTGAGCCGCTCTCTGAGCGGGACCTGAGCTGTTCACTGAGCAATCTGAGCGCCCATCCCATTGCTCACCCCATTCAGTTCTCCTCGTGCCTCTGGTCCGATGCTAACCGCTCTACTATTGATGTTCCTAGGAGTATAGGCCAAGATAACGTTTCCCATCTACTTCGGAATTAAACAAACCCCTCATCTTTATAATTGCTTATACCGCCCCTATTTGTCGATTCTTCTTCGAGGCGCAGGCCTTTCTTGGTCAGAGTCTAGATCTAAGTCCCCCTTGAGCTCCTTTTCATCCAGAGCCGATCGAAGGGCATCGATGAAAGAGCTCCGGCATGATACCGACGCTTTGGAGCCGACAACAAGATAACATAGATTATTATTTACAAAAGTACAGTTTGATAACGAAAATAAATCTATAAACGATCTTTTATTAAAAAAGGAGAACAATATATGCAATTTTAGGATTTGCTTTTGCTGAAGCAACAGGATTGTTTGCTTTAACAAGATAATTGAAACCAACGACACCTTCATCATCAGAGCGTTAAAAAAGAAAAAAAAAAAGACAAGTATACATGCAACAGTCAGGATTCGCTGGTGGTCACCCACCCAACTACTAACTGACCGGCGTGTGGCTTAAGTACGGCTGAGCGGACGGGAAGCCCTGTTCTCCACACCCTGTGGTCGCATGTACTTAAAAATTCTTGGAAGTAGCTCATACGGCAGTTGAGATGTATGCCGCAGAAGCGTCAGATTATGAGGCTCATGCAGCAAATGGATGATGAAAGAATGTCAATAAGCATGGGCTCACCACTCAATCGACCGGATATTGATAGTCTTAGACAGGAAGATTCAACGCTAAGTTGGACCGACAAACAGCCAGTGGGAGAAGTTTGGTTGAAGCTTGGTATCCTATTCATTTCACCTCCATTATTTCAAGTGCTTTTTTCAATGTCAATTTTAGATGGCCAACCAGAAATACTCACCAGGGTCATGCTAAGATAGTGAAGCTCGGTGGGCCTCTGAGAATAGTATCGTTCAAGGAACGTTGATTGACGATCAAAACTTTCAAAAAAGCGTGCTCTTCAAAAAATAACAAGTTGAAAAGTGAGGGCTGGTAATTTTTGAGTGGTGCAGACGCTAATTGCCAGTAGAGTATTAGCGCGGTACTTGGGAGAGTCTCTGACTTTAGCACTGCCATTGTACAGTGGATGGATGGATGGATGATTTCATTTACCCTGACCCCTCGCAATGAAAAGTTGAACCTTGGATTGAGGTACAAGTGTGATGATCTTGTCTATATGAAAAGATCCAGCTATTTGTAGTCGCAGCAGCTCATCTCCCTGCTGCCTAGCGGAGTGCCTGCCTAACAGGCAGCCACTCCTATAGATCTATATACATCACGTGACTTGGGATCCAACCTGAAAAGCGATATGCAGGCTACCACAACTATATATATCCGTGTGTGTACAAGTTGAGTGTACCACTTCCTGACAACGAACTTAGAGCCTCGTCAAGGCCTACCGTGGCCTAATTGCCGCTCCCGTTGTTAGGCTGCCCTCGTGGCGCACGACTACAAAACCGTTGTGACGCCTCGGCAAAGTCGAGGCCATTGTACAGTGATTCTCGAAATCGGCTTGACCAGTACACACTGAGACACTCTTTTCTGGCCCCACCGCCAAGGCCTTAGCGCAGATCATTTATTGAGCCACCCGATGAAATTGAGGGCCGCAGAAAGATGCGCCGTGTATGTTACGATACTGGCGTACGTAATACTATATGATACGAACGAAAAGTCCGCGGAATTCCAGGAAATGCATAGTTTGTTAAGGGGTCTTTGAAAGTTCTGACTATGCGACCGCCACGTTATGCCCTGTTTCTAGGAGATCAGCCCCTGGGGTATCCCATTTCAGCCTTGCAAATGACACCCTATTCCGACCGTTATTCGGCAATGCCAGCTTTCCCCCAACTTCTCCTCGGCCATCTCTTTCAATATATATTGGCAAAACTAACAAAGTAAAGTTTGTTTGATGCTTCCCGAATAGAGCAATGCAAGTCGCTTTTTGCCTCGAACGCAACGGAGAGTATGTACTGAACCCATTACTGAACATATACCAAAGTAAATTAATTATTTCCTATCGGAGCGCACATTACCAAATTACAGTGCCTAATCTGAACGGTAAATATCAACAGTCTAATAACATAGCCTCTCCATGGGGCATGCTTATGTTGTTGTAGATAATAGTATACGCGGTTCAATATTTGGCTCCATGCTGTATGGCTAATCGCTACTATATTCCGTTAGCCTCGAAAACTCGATAGCAAGGCGTATTTCATTCTCTCGAACTCAGCCTTACCGATTTAATGAATCCAGCAGGGGCCAGAACCGTTGAGAACCTATCTTTTCCCTGATTCATATATTTCCCTTACTATTCTGCTATATTTTTCTTCCATCCATTCGTCTATTCATTCATTTTTGTCTCCCAACCCGAGACCTCCGATCGAAAGGAGCTAAACCAAGTGTCCCAATTACAGCAACCTCTTTAAACCAAAAACCAACACACCTACACATATCCTTTCGACCAAAATCATGTCCACCAAAATCTGGGAGGAATTCTTTGCCTCACTGCCACCGTCACCCGAGTGGGCCCCCTTTTGGGACAGTCTGTTGGAAGGCGCCATATCCGCTTTCTCAGTCTGGCTCATTGCTCAAATCGGCGTCACGAGAACCTATACTGTGCAATTGATCTGCTCTCTATTAATCCATCTCGTCCTATTCCTTTTTGTGGTTTCGTTCGCTTACCGAGATGGATGGCCTAAAGTGGCTGTGACAGAATGTCTTGGGCGGACGATTGTTGTTTCTGTGTTTGGGGTGATTAGCCATAAATACTTTTATGGACAGGTACGAACGCGTATGTCTTTTCCCTTGGAAAGAGGACAATGAGAATATTTGTGTTTACTTTTACTGGTGAGAAGTAGGAAGAAGAGATGTTGTTGATATATTTAAGTATGGGCAATCTATTTTTTCAGGTCCGTTAATATAACAAAGTAAAGTAACCAAGTAATTTTCGATATTCATTGTGCCAATATCGTCTTGTGACTTCATTTTCGGAAAATAAACCCGATATACAGTAACCTGTAGTTGTATTAATAGTTTTTTCCTGTGGGGGCCAGAATGTTGTATGGTACCAGTCTCCTTTGACGCTAGGAACGGTCCCCTTGGAACAAATGCAAATTGTTATATGGGACAATTTCATTTCCGCAGGATAAACGGCCACGGTTTTTTAACAAATGCCACAATTTCCAAAACTGAACTGTGGCCAGGAAAGACATCTTGCCGTCGTTCAAAAAAGAACAAGTTGAAAGGTGAGAGCGAGCACCGTTTCAGTGTCGCAGGTAAAATGGCCACGGTTTTCTGCAAACGCCACAGTTTTCAAAAAGTATTAGAAACTGCGACCCTACAAGCAATTGACGTGTTGTGGTGATCGCCTGCTCTGAGCACCCTGAGTGAAGGCTGAGTAGATCACTGAGCAGCCCTGAGCGCTCTCTGAGTGCTCAGAGAGCACGATAGTTCAATCGTATTGCATGACATGTGAATGACTAAGATCCTAGTAAAAAGGGCGCAGAAAATGGCGTCGAAGGTAGCCATTCCCGGCGCCTGATTTACCGTCACCTAGCGTTGTGGTGTAATATGAAGATTTACATCGGAATCAACTCCTGTCCTCCATGGAATTTTCAAGATTGATTGCTAATTAAAGTGAATATTAGATTTCGTATACATATCCCCAGTTCATATTTGAACTTCAACTCAAAGCGAGAGTGCTGCTGACAAGATTACGAGAAAAGAGAAAAGAGAAAAGAGAAAAGAGAAAAGAGAAAAGAGAAAAGAGAAAAGAGAAAAGAGAAAAGAGAAAAGAATTGAACTCATATTTCGGCAGCATGAATATATCAAGCTGCTCAGCTGAGAACATGGTATTGGAATCTGTCGCTCAAAACGAACCAATTAAGAAAAAAAAAATAGAATACATCATGCTCAAGGTCGATGGGACCTGAAATTTCTTGATCCTCCCAACCTGCTTCAAATACAAATTGATAATGCTCTGATAATCCTCCATATTCTACCAGGAGCAAAAACTTCTACTCGTCCAGGTGCCCCGCCTAATCCCTACATGGGCTTCAGCCACGGCGAGGTGGCGGTGAACGAGACCCAGAAACATGGCGTCCCCGACGAGGTGGAGGCGACGCTGACGCGGAGGAATGCCGCCTTGCTCGCGATGCAGGCGCACCACGCTTCGGGGGTGTGACAGACCGAGAAGGAGACCGGGAATAGCTGCGATTCCTCCCGCGTGTTGTTTCACGACGCGGGGGTGTGACAGATCGAGATGCCGAGCGGCGAGCCCGATACGGACTGCGACTGGGACTCCTCGAGTAGGACCGTCCTCGAGTTTGGCGTTTTGGTGCCGATTTCGACTGCGACTGGTCGCCAGGAGTAGGAGACCGGCTATGCGAGTCGCGACGACCCCGACGCGCCGGAGACCGCGAGCGCGACGGGGTGTAGCTCCGGCTTCGTGAAGAAGGGGTCCTGGAACGGGAATAGGACCGGCCGCGGTCCCGAGAAGGCGATCGAGAGTATGAATAGGAGCGTGAACGGGACCGTGGGGTGCACGTGGAACATGTAGAATGCGAGCGAGAACGCGACCGTGAGCTGACAGAAGATGATCGGGAATCCGCACGTGCAGCAGGTAGGGCGGGTACGGTTGGCTGAGGCAGGTTCTTGAGATGCTCGCGCATGTCCTCCGTTAGAGCGCCCATACCAATGCTGGTGAAGTAGTTGATCGAGAACCGGGTGTGGCGAGGGTTCTCTGTTGGGAACATGCCCTCGAAACTGGGCCGCAGGATTTCATCTCGGAAGCGTGCCTGCAGGCCGGAAACGCCCAAGTTCTCGGCGAGGTCTTGGAACAGGATCTTAATGAAGATGCGGCTGCTGGACGTGGTTTCCTCTTCGTTGAGGTGAATCACAGACAGGACATGCCAACCAAGGGCGTCGTTGCTGAGCAAATGCCCAAAGAACCGCGCGATGTTGCGCAGACGGTTTGTTTCGTAGCGGTGAATGGTGTCGTAGTACTTGGCAAACGCCTCCTCGAACAGATCGGACCACAGTCGGTTGATCTTGGCGAATCTCTCGCCGATCAGTCCGTAGAACTTGGAGTACGTCCGCTCCTGAGAGCAACACTCGATAATCATGGATGGCAGCTCAGCCTCCAACCCCTGGGGGAGGTTGATTTTCATCAGTTTGTGGCAGCATTCTTCAAAGTCGATGCTGGACATGATCGTCAAGTAGATTGTCCGTCGGAGATTGACCAAATCCGTGTTGCTTTGGTCTTTAATATCCATACGTTGTGCCTCCGTTTCAGACTCGTCGTCTGAGCTCACATCCGAATCATCCTCATCCTCCTCGTCGCTCTCTTCGCCGAGAATCTCAGCCTTCAACTTCTTATAAGCGTCCTCGTGTGCCTCCCATTCCGCATCGTACTTGAAGATATTGAGCGTATCCTGAGTCTCGATTTCGTCGTCCAAGCCAAGTCGGTGTGTAATTTGATCTTCTTCTTCCACCAGATCCAGCTCCTCCTTGACGGTCGGATTGTCTTTATATCGGTCCTTGCGCACCTGAAAGAGAACTTCGATCATGTACTGCACACGCTTATCAATGTCGGCCTCGTGCAAGATATTCCGGAACTGGTCAAAGACGGCGAGCGCAATCTGCGGGTTCATCTCCTCCAAATGCTGGCCCACTTCCCGAGTGAGGCCCACGGCGATTTCCACGCTGTCGTCTGTTGGCTTGTGAAGGAGAAGCAGCAGAGTCTGCGCGGCAAGCATCTCGTGCGCCACCTGCTGGTTGCAGAGGTGTGCGATGAATGTCGTGGAGGAAATACAGACTGCCTTGTCATTTCGCTTGAACGCCTTGCGGAACTGGACAATCAGTCTCGACAGCAATAGATCGCCCACCTGTGGCAGCTTTGTGTTAACGATCGCCGCCATCGCAGCGTAAATGGGGGTGAAGGGTAAACTGGCGGCCTGCGCCTTCATGATGGAGCGGCAGAACAGCCCCCGGCCCCGGACCAAGTTCTCTGCGAAGAGCTCGGGAACGATGTACTTGATATTGGACACGTTGACCTTGTTGATCAGCCCGTTGATCGACTTCTTCAGGGCTTCCCATGCCATGCGCTGGTATTCTTTGCTCGTCTTATCCGTGATCTGGGCCTGCAAGGCGCGCAGGCGTGCTGGCGGAATATAGGTGCCGCCCGAACGCATGTTGAGTAATTTCTCATATTCCGCCTTGGCCGACGCCTGCTTCTCTTCTTCGGTCATCGGCTTGCGGGAGGCCTCCTGTCGCTCGTGTTCGCGGACGCGCTCGGCGAGTTGGCGCTCCCTCTCAATGGCGCGATCGGAATCCATTCGAGGGATATCTCCATTATCCCGGACCGAGTCTCCCGGTGGCGACCGTCGACGATTGGGAGACGGCGAGCGGGAGGGGGCGAGCGTTTGCGAGAGCCAGCGGCCGGCGAGTACGACACACCGGGGGGCGGCGTGGGCACGCGCACCGCAGACTGCAAAACGACCGGATCCTCCATGATGAGAGTCGAGGGAGACGACGGAAAGGTGGCCCGGGAGAAGGGGGGAAGTTGGGTTGGGTGGGCCTGGACTGAGGCTGGAGCAAAAAGAAGGAAGTTAGTCCGGCTGAGGCGAGGGAGAAAGCTCTGTGGTCACGTGCATAGGAGTGGATGAACTGGAGCTCCTGATTATGATTGTTGTTGTCCTCTCCCGGTTGTGTCCCATTCATTCATTCAATCTTATTCCCAACCCCCACCGGTGTTGAGAGTTCCCTGGACACTTGCTGCTCCTCATAATGGTGAGTCTGGAGTTTGCAAACCCAATGGCCGCCGACTGACTCTGTTTAGCTGGGCCAACTCGTGGGATCCGCCATGCTTTTGGCCGCCACTGCTATCTTTCTCTACTATACGGCCTGGACCCTATTGATGGTATGTCTCTGCGCGATCGTTCGGTCTCTCCCCGACACTAATGATAGTGGCCAGCCCTTTGTCGACCCCGGCCATCCCCTCCACGAGCTGTTCCCGCCGCCCGTCTGGGCCATCCGCATCCCCGTTATCCTGATCCTGCTGGCCTCTGCCGTGGTGGGCACCTTCATCGGCATTGTGATGATCAATAGCAACAAGAAGAAGGCTGCCAAGGCCAAGGCGGCGAAGAAGAAGACCTGAGCGATGGATGGACCGGGAGGCAATCATCGTGTACCATATTCCCGTGCGCCGTCACATGGCCCGGACCCCGTGACCCGTGGGGGCATGACGGAATCATTTTCATTCATCTTCTCCCACCGTAGCTAGTAGCGTAGGGACTAGGTATAGGGCTAAGTATACTCGAAGAGGGACCCGGTGCGAGCGACCTCGCGGTCCCTTTCCCGGGCCTTTCCCTAGTTACCTCCTCGCCTGCTTAGATAACCCCGTAGGACCGATCGTCATGCCTCCGCAGCGGGTGATCGGGTCTGAGTCAGGAACGGCGGGGGGAATGACTGAGCTGCCCCTCTTCTTCCTTGGTTCGTCCCTTCTCCTCTCACCTCTCTTCCTTCTGCAACGTATCGATCGGTCTGATCTCTGCGTGTCTACCCTCACGTACCTGTCTATCTCGGTTGATCCGAGCTGAAGCTCCCTCTCCGCGTTCTCGGACCTTCCCCAACCAGGTCCCGAGCGCCGTTACTGACTGACTGACATCACTGTCGCCTCCCCTGCGAGGCCTCGTCCACTTGAATGCCCCCGGCAGCCCCAGACGACCTGATCCGCCAGCACAGCCGGTCCCCGGGAGACGACACTACCCACGCCACCGATCTGAACAAACCGACCCAAGAGCATGAGCCGAGCACCAAATCCAAGAAGAAAGGGAAGGGTGGAAAGAAGAACAAGGGGACCAAGGCAGCGACGGAAGATTTGTATCCTCCCACCATGAGTGCCGACGATCATCAACAGCATAGGGCTGACAGCAGTGGCCGACTTAGGACCTCCACCACCCAGGCCTCTTCTCCCCCCACGAACCTACTTCCTGCCCGGATCCCTCGTTGGACCATCATGTCACCCCAGCCATAAGCTCGCCCGTCCTCGCACCAGTCCTCGATGCTCTCGGGTCACTGGGAGAAACGGGAGACCGCGATCTCGCCAATCGGACGGACACCTGGGCCCAGTCAGTGCCCTTTGGCAAGAGCCCGCCAAACGACCTGATAGATGGCGACATTCCGAGTGACTCTCCTCTGAATTTCCCCACCATCCAAGCACGGGTACCGTTCAGCCAACCTTCCTCGGCTTCCAACCCCAAACCCTTCAGCTATGGAAGTGGATACCGGAACAGCATGCCCTCCCGACAGCAGTCCATCGACGGCCGAAAGAGCCTCTCATACGGGAGCAACCAGGTGCCACTGCCCCATCTACCCCAAGCCCATTTCTACGGTGCGCCGGACGTGGACCTTTTGCCAGCCTCCAACTGGCCTAACCAGGATGGCAACTACTCGTTTTGCGGCTTCGATGTGCTTCCGAACACTGCCCCAAAGATGCCTCGGGTGGGTATGAATGTCTTGCTGGTGGGAACAGATCGGGCCGTTGAGGTTCTGGCGGTTGAAGATCGTCGAACCCGTCGTGTCGGACAAATTACTGGCCTCAACGGTCGGGTGATTGAGGCGAAAATCATCCCAAGCCCGCCGGATGACCCCTTCGCACAATCTAGACCTCACGTGGCGCTCATCCTTCATGGACCACTGCCACCAAACGAAGAAGAAGGCCGACCCTCCTCTGCTAGCTCAGAGGTGAATGAACTTCCTCTTTCGGTAGCCAAAGGCCACTCGGGCGACAGGCGTGATGTTCCCCTTTACCAAACCAGGGCCGAAGTATATTCCCTCCGGACAGGCGAGCAAGTCGCGACCCTCTTTGCAACCAAACCCGTTCCCTCTTTGGAGAATATCCCCGGCCTTCCATCTTTTGCCCCGTCGCCCGTGGGGAGCTTGAGACTTTACACCAGCGGAAATCACATTATCTTGGCCTCCGGGGTTAGTGGAGAAGTCTATGTCTACAAATATTGCCCATCCACAGCATCGTGCGCCTATCAGTGCGTCGGGAAGACGTGGACCAGCATTCAGTCTAAAGACGCCCGTCGATATTCTGCCTCTTCCAGCTCCACTGATCCAGATGGATCTCGAGCAGACTCCCCTCATGGCCCATCTGCTCTGGAGCGACCGATTCTGGCCGTGCAGGGGCGATGGTTGGCAACAGTGCCACCTACGTCGACTTATCGAAGCTCGATTCAGGGAACAGTACCGGCGCCTCTGCTCCAAGGTAAAGTTTTTGGAATAGAGACCCGCAACCCACCTTCGATGCCCTCCGTGAATTGTGCCACGGACGTTGGCGAAGGAGAGAGCTTCTTGGACAAGGTTGCCCGAGGAGTGACGCAGGAACTTGTCCGAGGTGCGCGTTGGATGGGCGATCAAGGCCTCCAAGCGTGGAATAATTACTGGAGCAACCAGCAAACTCCTGGCATCTCTCCACGGCGGCCGCCCCAGGCACCCGAACCCCAAGCACAAGGCTACGGAATTTTTCCACCGACGCATGCGCAGGACACGCAGAACTCGTCTACTGCCGATCCGGACACTGTTTCGATCATCGATCTCAAGCGACTCGATGACAGCTCGTCTTTCCATCCTCTATCCACCTTTCAGGTGCCTAATGGCTGCAGCTTTCTTTCGTTGTCGCCGAATGGCCTCATGTTGCTTACTGCGAGCCAGAAAGGTGATGTGCAGTATGTTTGGGATCTGATGCAACTCAAGAATTGCCGTGCCACTGTATTTATGGTCGAAGACCACGCCAGCCAGAGCCCGAACGTGCGGCAGGTGGCACGGTATTCACGACTCACGACATCGAGCATTGTCGATGTGATTTGGACCCCTCCGGTTGGCGATCGCTTGGCAATAATCACCAAGAAAGGCACAGTACATGTTTTTGATCTACCCCGAAGCGCGTTTCAGTGGCCCCCATTCCGTCGAGCGCGGCCTTCGTCAGTCAGACCACCGGCCACTGATTCTATAACGGAGGATATGTCGGGACAAGGGAACGGCGGAAACCCTCTGTCGGCGGCCATGAAATTGGTGGGCGACAGGACCCAGCCATTCTTCTCGGCTGTGAGGGGACGTGTTCCTTCGTCTGGCGCTGCATTTCCGAACATGAGCGGGTTCACATTGCCGTCTGCGGCAGGTGTGAAAGGCGGCAAAGTTGTTGCTGCTGGGCTGAGCAAGTCGATGGGAGCAGCAACAGGCACTGTCAATACCCTCCGCCACGTGGGAGAGAATCGCCTGCACTTGTCTGGCTTGGCACGGGAACCTGCTCCGTATCGGGTGACTTGGATCTGCAACAAAGGATTCATGTCCTTGGGTCTGGTCGATGATGGATCCTTCAAGCTTTACCGCCTCGGACGAGCAGCGTCTACGCAGAAGCACCGACAGTCACACACCGTCATTGGCAGCAAAGAAGGGGATTTTAAGCTGCCGGCCAGTCTACAAACCCACTGCGGCCCAGCACCCATTATGCCTTATGACCCTGCCCTGGCCGTCCATGCGTCTCTGATGCTACCATCGGTCAGCTCACAGCCAGCAACCACTATGAAGGGATTTTGCCAGCCTCTCTCTCAGGCAGAGATTGAGACTAACACTCCCTACCAACCTTTCCACACCGATCAGAGAGTTGGACTCTATGTTTTCGCTGGCGGCAGGGACTCAACGCGGTCAAACCCCAGTGGCCAATGGGTATTCGGTGGGGACATCTCTACGACCAAGCTCCACGTGAGATCATTCAGTAGCGGTGGAGATGATCAAGGTGATGACGAAGATGATGCTGCTATTCACGAACACTCACTTGGAGCTGGAGGAGAGATGGAGAACCATATCACTTTGGGCAACAGCACGGGCAATTTCGAGGAAGTCATCATCACCACGCGCCGGAAGAAGAAAAACCCTTCTACGCCACTCAAAGCTGATGATGGATTCTTCGAGGACGACTGCGAGGTACTTGATTTTGCACGGGATCGAGTTTGATATGGCTGCTGCGTTCTTGCTGATTTGGATGCTCCTTTTTATTCTTCTTTTCTGCTGGCGCTTTCGATGCTGGAACGTCGAAGGTTTTTGAATTTTGCCTCCTTTGAACTTCACTCTTTAACTCTATCAACATAACACATATGGTTCTTTGTCTTCCGGCGTTGGATATCTCAGCATGTTTTTTTTTTTTTTTTTTTTTTTCCACGGATACGCTTTTGCTCACAGAAACCGAAATACCCAAACTATGTATCTATTTTGTTTTGTTCTGGCGTCTGGATAGATGGGAGAGGCTCTTTGATGATTTGGACACCGGTCAATTGCTCTTTAACTTGCTATCAGGACTTGTCTCGTCCTTTTTCCACTCGTTTGTGAAGCTTTGAGGCTATTGTCCCCCAACACTTCATCTGAGAATTAACGTGGACGCTATCAAGATAAATGGAGAGATCTCCAGGGTTTCCTATGTACAAACTCCGTATTCATTGCCAAGTATAAAATGCCTCACGACAGCTCTAAAACGACTCCAGCATTTCCTCCTCCCACCACCCCTTGAAAATCTTGAGTCGTGCCGTCCGCTCCCTCGCCATCTTCCGCCCCGTCTGGGTCTTCATCATCCCCTCCAGCTTCTCCAGCTTCTCCCCGAAATGCTGAATCGAATTTTCCATCTCCCATTTCCCATCTGGTCCCACAAACTTCTTTCCCTGCGCGCCCAAGAAAGTAAAACACCGTCCGATCCCGATGGCTCCAAGGGCATCCAGCCGATCTGCATCCTGGACAATACCCAGCTCGGGATATTGAGACACCATATTCCGGACCAGTTCCGGGTCCTTGCACTCCTTCGAGTACGAGACATGGTAAATAATTTTTTGGATTTTGTCGGCCAGCCGTGCATCCATGCCGTGGGCACTGAGTACATAGGAGGCTATTGAGCAGGGCTGTTGCTGATGCGTGCCCTCTGCTTTGAGAACCTCTGACTCGGATATTCCGGTCACTTGCGCTACTAGAGCTGCGTTGGACGAGTACTTTCTGTCCTCAACATCGTGGAGCAGTGCAGCCAGTTTGACCACTGTAGGGTTGTACCCTATGTCTGGGTGAAGGCCTTGCTCGCCATGTAGGATTTTCATGGACAGTGATACCACTCGTTGCACATGTGCCATGTCGTGCGATGGGTCGTAGCTGGACATGTAGTCGGTGACGAACGAGGTCATTTTCTTGTAGAGGGACGCAAAGCATTCATCATTCATAGCGTCACTAATCGGCGGTGGCTTTGGGCCCGCCGCGCTTTCTTCCGTGGTGGCCATCTTGGGCTCTGTAATTCCTTAGGTGTTGGTTGGTTTGGGAATAACAACGACGACGATGACAACAACAGAAGATACGCGTGAGAGGTTAATCGCCAGCCACGTGATTGGCCCAAAATATATCGAGGGTGTACCCTATCACTCGTTAGACCTACATCACTACTGGACAAGAAACTAAACCTCCTAAAATCATTTCCATGATCATGACATTCACAGCCTGAAAACCCCGATCCCAGGTATTATAGATACTATTATCACACAGACGAAAGAAAAGCAAGAAAGTTGGTATGCAAGGGACCATCCACCCAGCAAAAAAGGGAAAGATCTCCTCCAGTCTCGGCCTACAGAGCAAAGGCAGCCATAACCAGGCCCAGAAGACCTGCAGCAGAAGCACCCAGGTTGACATGGCTGGCCGCATTGGTAGTCTGGGTAACACCCTTGGCAGTGTTGGTGGCAGTAGTAACGGTTGTAACGGGGCTGCCAGCGGAGTTTGTAACTGCTCGATGGTTAGAAAGGAACTCTGACCGGAAACGAAGATATACATACCCACAGACGTGAATGCACCAGTCTCCGTCACGGTGGTGCTGCCAGTGGAGACAGTCTCGGTCTGGCGGCTACCGGCATTGGTGGCCGGGAAGAAGTGCGAGCTGTAGCAGTTCTGCTCACAATCCGAGTACCGCTGGGTATCCGCCGCTGTACCGTTCCCCTGAGGGCAGGCAGCGACGCAGCTGTTGGTGTCGTTGGCCTGGCTGTCGCTGGGGCAGGGCACCTTGTAGCATCTGGCGCGGCAGCACACATCGTTGGCGTCGCCTACACATCGATCCCGTGAGCATTCTAGAGACCGAAAAGAAGAGAGTAGAGTACTACTTACACTTGCTGGCGCAGGAAACCTCAGCGTTGGCTGTGGTCGCCGCGTGATTAGCAGTGGTGGTGGTAGTGTCCTGCGCGGCGGCGAGCACCAGCAGTGTGGAGAGAGCGAGGACGTTGAACTTCATGGTGGAAGAAGATGATGATAAGAAATTAAAAAGTAGATTTCGAGAAGAGGTAGCGGCTAAGGAGTGACAGACCGATGTGGGGAGAAGAAGCGCAAGAAAAGAAACAGAGGGTGACCAGTCAGGAATAAATACTAGAGGCAAGCACACAAGCCTAGCAGCCCCAAACAGTCGTAGCTCCCATTCGCCCTGTCTCACATTGATCACTTTCCCTGGTTTTACCAGATGCTAGCTGGATTTGGCCATTGCCTTGCGTCCTGAGCGGCAGGTTCCCGAGGGACGAGGGGGTGCCTGGCAGCACCCCCTTAAGAAGAAGAAGGGGGTTGGTTAGTAAATTGAATTCTTATGTAGTTATTTAGATAGTGGATCTGTCAGATCCGGGGACTTGTCCTCCTTGGACGTTAGTGGTTTTGGCTGTAGGCAGGTGAACAATTCCCAGGCAAGGGAGAGGTCTATTATGGGTTTTCCCCCTCCACCCCTGACTAGGGCTGGACACAGGATGATTATAGTGTGGTTAGTTTAGAGGCCAATTTAATCAGGGATTGGGCAAGAACTCGAAATGGGCTGTCCCTAACAAACGGTACAAACACTTTGGTCCACGTGACCACGCGCTTTCCACTGACGCGCTTCTTGTCACGATGATAGCAGCACACGCTCTGCGCAATGCCCCCCACGGACTCCGCAGAGTCCGATTACTTCGAAGATGATGATGACTTTATAGTCCCCAGCACCCCCTGCGACAAACCGTCACCCTCACCTCGTCCCGCCAAACGTCGTCGCGTGGAACATGATCACCGCGATGGGGTTTCCAGCACGGACGAGTTCTCTTCCATGAATGGCGGCGACGATGCTGCCCAAATTCCCTCTCCCCGCCGAGAATCGTCCATGGATTTTGAAGAGAGACAAGGCCGATCCAAGTCAAGGAGTTTCGTGCCTAAACGACCCAACACCAGCTATCAAGAGAACATGTTCGTCACCCAGCTGACCCAGCCCGATTCCAGCCCGGAACGGATTCGTGGACCCCGGTGGAAGAAGCCAGATCCGGTACCACCTCCGTCGGATCCTGTGCCTCTTGTACGCGAAAATGCGCCGCAGAAGGCTCCAAACTACTATGATAATGACGCAGAGTTGAGGGCCGCCATTGCAGCTTCGCTGGACTCGTTTGAGGGGGAGTCGCGGAAGATGATGCCAAATCTGGGTACATCGAACAAGGCTCCGCAGAGACTTGGGCAACCGGCAAATACAGAATCCCATAATGGCTCGGCGGATGTGTCCTTCTTGGACGATATTCCAGAGGATGCCTTTGATTCCTCCCCATCTCTTTCGCCGGTATCACGACCAGCGCAACCTCCTCCTCCACTACCAGCGGCAACTCGTCCCCTAAATCGTCAGCCCAGCCTTCGGCAAGCCACGCTTTTCGGAATGGCTGCCCGGAACCCAAATATTCAAACCTCGCGGGAGCGAGGCTGGTCTCCCCCAGACAAAGATGAGCCTCCGACTCAGCACAAGCTGAACCATGACGCCTTGGACACCTGGGTATACCCAACCAACCTGGGCAATACGAGAGAGTACCAGTTCAACATCACCCGGGCAGGCCTTTTCCACAACCTTTTGGTAGCATTGCCCACCGGTCTTGGAAAGACCTTTATCGCCGCAACGATCATGCTCAATTGGTTTCGTTGGACGAAAGACGCGCAGATCATTTTTGTAGCACCGACCAAGCCGTTGGTCTCGCAGCAGGTGTCGGCATGTTTGGACATTGCGGGGATCCCACGATCAAAGACAACCATGCTCACTGGAGGGGTGGCGCCAGGTATTCGAGCGGAGGAGTGGCAGTCCAAACGAGTGTTTTTCATGACACCGCAGACATTGACCAACGACCTGAAGACCGGCATTGCAGACCCCAAGCGCATTGTTCTTTTGGTCGTGGACGAAGCTCACCGCGCGACCGGTGGCTATGCCTATGTGGAAGTAGTCAAGTTTTTGCGGCGATACAACAAGAGCTTCCGAGTTCTTGCGTTGACAGCGACTCCCGGATCGACAGTCGAGTCTGTACAGGCAGTGATTGATGGCCTGGACATTTCTCGAGTGGAGATTCGGACCGAGCATTCGATTGATATTCGACAATACGTGCATGCTCGTAATACGGAGATCGAGACCTTTGAGAACTCTGATGAGATGATGTTTTGCATGGACCTATTTTCTTCGACATTGCGGCCACTTGTCGATCAGCTCCGGACTCTCAATGCCTACTGGGGACGAGATCCCATGTCGCTGACTGCCTACGGTCTAACCAAAGCACGGCAGCAGTGGATGATGTCCGATGCGGGCCGAAACGCCAATTTTGGTCTGAAGGGCAAGGTCAATTCGATATTCACGGTTCTTGCGAGCTTGGCCCATGCCATTGACCTTCTCAAATACCACGGTATCGTCCCATTCTATCGACATCTTCTGCACTTCAAAGGAGGCGGCGACGGACAGAAAGGAGGAAAGTATCAGAAACAGATTGTGCAAGACGAAAGTTTCAAGAAGCTCTTCAGTCACTTGGAGCCGTGGAGCAAGAATCCAGAATTTATTGGCCATCCCAAGTTGGAGTATCTGAAGTCGGTCATCCTGAACCATTTCATGGATGCAGGGGAAGGCACCGATTCTTCTAGTAGCAACGGAAATTCTGCAACACGAGTCATGATTTTCGTTCATTTCCGTGACAGCGCCGAGGAAGTCGCTCGAGTGTTGAAGCGCTACGAGCCCATGATCCGCCCTCACGTCTTTGTTGGTCAGTCCAGCGCCAAAGGTTCCGATGGCATGGACCAGAAGACACAGCTCCAGATCATCGAGAAATTTAAAGGAGGAACATACAACACCATTGTCGCCACCTCGATTGGCGAGGAGGGTCTTGATATTGGTGAAGTCGATCTCATCGTGTGCTATGACTCGTCCGCATCGCCTATTCGCATGTTGCAACGGATGGGTCGAACCGGTCGTAAACGGGCAGGGAACATCACCCTGCTTCTGATGAAGGGCAAGGAAGAAGAGTCCTATATCAAGGCTAAGGATAACTACGAGAAGATGCAAGAAATGATTGCCAGTGGTGCTCGGTTTACATTCCACGATGACCGGTCTGCTCGCATCTTACCCGCTGGTATTCGGCCAACTTCAGATAAACGACACATTGATATTCCTCCCGAGAACTCCCAGCAGGAACTGCCCGAGCCGAAACGCAGAGGAAGGGCGCCTAAGAGACCGCCTAAGAAATTCCACATGCCCGATGATGTGGAGACGGGCTTCACACGGGCGTCCAACATTGGAGGCGACAGCTCTCGCGAGAAGGTCAAAGCTGCATTGCCAAAGAAGCGACCTCGAACACCGACCCCGGAGCCCGTGGATCTTCCATCGTTGGAAGAAGTGTTCCTCAATCCAGCCGAGCAGAAAGAGCTCGAGCATCGTTATCAGAATATCGGAGCTACCTCCCCACAGTATATCCGCTTCCCGCGCACCGATGCTTTCCCTCGGTTGCAACTTGATGCACGGCCTACCAAGATCGTCAAGCATGGCTCTCTGACCCGTCGCATGATTGCAGCCTTGCGGAAGATGGATGAGACAAGTCTCGATTGTGATGAATATTTCAAGCAGATTTTGTCGCAGGCTCCCCCATCATCCAGCGAAACTAAACACCCTTCGATGGGCGGTTCAAGCGTGAAGCCCACTCCCAAGCGCCGGAAGGTGAGCAAGATGCAGCCAGCGCCTACGTCTCATACTCGGGCGGTGACTGCCCCCGAGGCCGATGATACCTATGATGCCGATATTTTGGCCCTGTTGTCGACTCCGGACCCTAAACCCAAGCACAATCAACAAGCTGCTCCTCTTCCAGAAGATCACCTTGATGATGACTTTGATTTCGCTCTCCCGGATCCTACATTTGTGTTCAGTAGCAGTCCTAAGCCCAAGCCTGTCCGGAAGCAAAAACGGCCTATGATCGAGGACAGTGATGAGTGACGACCATGAGCGAATGTTGTGTGTTTATTGGCATCCAGTGTGATTGAGGATATCCCTTTTCTTGTTTCGAGTCGACTGTACATATTGAAGAATTGGACACTTGCCCATCACATATTATTCTTGCTGCTGGGTGTTCTACTGCCTTCGTAGTTTATCTTATCGCCACGCCCTCCGCCTCAGCCACGCACCTCCCGATCAACATCTCCCCGATCCCGCCTGGGACATCCATACGCTTCAACCCACCACACTCCCTGTTCACCATGGCCGACGCTCAGTTTGACAGTGCCCTGTGAGTGATGCACCCCCCTTGTACTACCCAAACTCCAATCTATCGACTTTCCACACATTCCCCAACCAGTCACCTGTCACCTCTCTCTGACCCCAATTCCGACCCCGCCCTCTGTTGACAGCGACAATTGAACTGACCAAAACACCCCCCTCCAGCGATCTCCTCCGGCGGCTGAACCCGCGCAACACAAAGAAGAACCTCCAGGCCATCACGTCCATTGTCCCTGACCTGACTGAAGACCTGCTCTCCTCCGTCGACCAGCCGCTCGAGACCCGCCGGTGCAAGCAGACGAACCGCGACTACCTGCTCTGCGACTACAACCGTGACGGTGACAGCTACCGGTCACCATGGAGCAATGAATTCGATCCCCCTCTAGACGACGGCACGGTCCCCAGTGAGCGGGTGCGCAAGCTGGAGGTTGCGGCTAATGAGGCGTTTGATGTCTACCGGGAGCTGTATTATGAAGGGGGTGTAGGGAGTGTGTACTTTTGGGATCTGGATGATGGGTTTGCGGGAGTTATCCTCCTGAAGAAGGGTGTGTTCCTTCTTTCAGCCATTGGGCGTCAACGGGGGTTATGTTGACTGACTATTCCATCTTCCAGGGGTCACACCTGGTTCCCAGAGCTCCGGCGAATGGGACAGTATCCACGTCTTCGAGGCTACGGACCGCGCACGCATGTCACACTACAAGCTCACCAGCACGGTTATCCTGCACCTCTCCAATGAGAATGAGAAGCTTGGCGAGATGGACCTGAGCGGGAACATGACCCGGCAGGTGGAGGCTGATCTGCCTGTTGAGTCGGATGCCAGCCATGTCGCGAATGTGGGCAGATTGGTTGAGGATATGGAGCTGAGGATGCGGAATTTGCTTCGTACGTTTTTTCATGTCTTTTTTCTCTCATGTATTTCGCTGACCTGCATTGCAACTATCAGAGGAGGTTTACTTCGGCAAGGCCAAGGATGTTGTCGGCGAGCTGCGGAGTAAGTGAGCCCTTTACGGTATATCGATTCTGTAACTGACCGTGCATGCAGGCTTGGGTACCTTGTCCGAAGCCAACAGGGGCCGCGCGACTCAGCTGGAGATGATCAAGGGTATGCAGAAATAGATCGCTGCATTGGTCGGACAACTCGACGTTGTCTCGGTTTCCTTTGTTGCATAGCTTTGTACTTTGGGGGACATTCCCTGCAATATATTGGTCCACAAATGATCGAGCCCTTGATGATTTCTCTCTTTGACGGTCAAATCGTAAAATTGTTCAATTGCACTAGACTCCCCGGGGGTATCAATCAATAAATCACAAAGCCCACCGCATCTCCGGCCACCAGCAGACGATCAACCAGCAATTACCTGCTCCTTTCCAGAATCAATCGACCTGCATTTTCTCTGAATCTGGCTCTGCCTTGCTAGAATTTCCGTTGGGAGCCCCCACCTGGTCAATTTTGTCGACCAACTCGCTCGCCGCAGCCCACAATTCGGCCTCCTTGTCCATGCCAACTGTATCTTTCCGGCTGTTCAACCAGCTAATATCCAATGGATCTCCATCTCCATCTCCAGTGGCTGAGGCTGTGGCCCCTACGCCGGCAGCGGCAGCGGCACCAGCACTCGTTGTATCGCCCGCCCGCGCGGCCGACTCGGGCGCTAGCACTTCGGCCTCTTCTAACGCGTAGACCTGCCGGCGAAGCCGTACATCAATGGACGAGAGGAGTGTAAAATATCGAGCGGTCGCTGCCTTGAACTGGGTCTTATGGGAGTCAAGGGAGCCGTCGGGCACAGCGGCGGAAGGGTTAGAGGCATCGGGTTCGGCGTTGGTTAGAGCCTGGATGGCCAGTCCGGCGGAGTGGATCAGCTCTGCGACATCCTAGTGGAATTGTTAGCTGCGTGGCTACTTATGTATCCACGAGAATTGAATAGCCCACCTTGTCCACCTCGTTCAGCTGCCGAATGCGATCCGCGGAGGTGAACCTCTGCCCGTCTTGGGCTGGTGGCGCGTCGTCGGCCATGATGGGGAAACAAGATCCAATCGGCGAACACAGTTGATCAATTGACAGCCAGACCGAGCTCACGAGCTGCAATTTTCGATCTCGTCGAGTCTCGAAGTCTCCTCGAGCGGCACAGCAATGGAAGTCGTCACGTGTAAACCTGGGGGAGACGAACGCGCTTAGTCACGGGGTGAAGCTCGCTGCAGCCGCCAACGAGATATCAAATTCATCCCCATTGCCGACTCAGCGCCTGGCACCCCCTTTAATCTCTCCAGCCATCTCTCTTCTCTTCTCTTTCTCCTCTTCACACTCACCCCAATTTGCCTCTTCATCTTGCCGTTAACCAGTCACCCACCTCCGACCTCACTGATCTTCCAATCGACTTGATCGCGATGTCCGCGCCAGGCGGTGCCCCCAGCCCTGCACCACGCAGTGGCAGCATGGGGCCTGGTGGCACAAATGGCAGTGGAAGCATGTCCATGTCCTCCCAGCAGCCACTGTCAGGCACTCCTGTGCACTCCGCCCCGACCCCCGGCCCGCCGCCTCCCCCTAGCGGCGCCATGTCGCAGCAAAACCTCAACCAAATTGTGAGTGAATTTGATTCCAGGCAGTCTGTCTCTGGTGCTGTGTTTTGCCTTGTGCTTGTTGCCTATGTTGGTCTGGTATCACCTTTGTTGTATTCTGTGACGGCCCGGCCTGCTTTGCCAGATGTTCTTCTTTCTTGTCTTTGTGTTGCTTTTATATGTCATGGTCAGTGTGCCTGTTGAGTCGATGGGCTCTGCCTACGAAGAGCTGGTTAGTCCAGTAGCCGACAATCTAGGATGCCTTACCCTGGAAGAGATATCTGGGGTAATTGATACGTCGCCAGCAGGAGCATCTGGGAAGTTTGGAACTTCTTCCATCTTTCTTTACGCTCTTGCTGTCGCCTGATCCGACACGTGATATGGACAGCCTTCCAATTTGGGATCTATGGTTTCCCATTTGGGATCCGTGGTGTTCTATCTCATCACGTGGCTCTCTCTCTGCCTGCCCGAGTTGCTTGTCTTTGTCTGCCTTTGCTCTCTCGGCCTCGCTTCTTCTTCCGCACTCCCGTTCCCTTTCTTCTTTTGTTTCACTGCTTTACCCGGATCTTTTGATCTACTTCACCAACCTACAAACCCTGGGACCTCAATATGCCCCCGAAGAAAAAGAAGCGGACTCGGAACTCGTGGACCTCGCGCTCGGAGCAAGAAAAGGAGCGAAAGAGGAACGCGGCTCACAAAGCTGCTGCGCATGCCCTCGCTACGGCCTCACCTTCCAGCAGCTCAGCTGATGGGAGCAATGCTGATGTTGCCGTTGACGAGCATCGCGATGTTGCCGATGTCGAGCTTCAGGAGGTTACCGTTGTCGAGAGCATTGCAGATAGCAACGAGTCTCGTCTGGTTGCTGAAGGCGCGGACCTGGTCTCTCAAAAGGAGCTACCAGCACCTGCGCAAGTTGTCTGTTTACCCGTGCATACCCTACTTTCGATGGCTTTACATTTTTCTTTTTTTTATAACTGCATACGGAACGTTTGATATTCTTCATGTGTGTATTTGACTGACGCATCCATCCTGTCTTAGGTGATTGACTATCTTGCCAAAAAGGGCTATAGTCGCACCGAAGCGATGCTTCGTATGGAGTCGGCTAACCAAGAGATCGACGGCCGGCCTCTCCCTCCCTTGGGAGAAGATGCTCGCCCCAAATACCAGCAAGGCTTTGGTAAGCGTACCCGCCTGACTGATCGCAGCACGGTGACTAACGACTCCTCTAGACTTGCTGAAGGCTTGGGTCGAGGAGAGCCTCGACTTGTACAAGGTCAGTCGCTTGTTTTGAACCTCCCTGAACCTCTGCTGATCATCCATAGCCTGAACTTCGCCGTGTCTTGTGGCCGCTCTTTGTGTATTCGTTCCTGAACATGGTCACCTCCTTTTATCCTCAGGAAGCGAAGCAGTTCTTTGAATCCAACAAGAACATGTTCCTCCCCGAGCACACCGATGACATCCGCATCTTGGAACCTATTAGTCTGCCGGAGCATGTTCAAGATAATGCGACCTCAAAGCTGTACCGTACTAACAAGTACCGTATTGTGCTGAGCAACTCCGCCTATACCAACCTGCTCCAATTCTTGGAGAGCAAGGAGAAAGAGGGCGGGTCGGTCATGACCGCGATTCTGAGCAGCTACTGCACGCTCAAAACCATGGATCGCGCCGCAGATAACCGTTTCAGTTTTGCTGCGATGCTGAACCAGATTGGTGCTGGTAAAACCTTCCCTGCTGAGGATGAGGGCATCCCTGGCCATCATCCCGGGTCAGCATACACAGGTGACAATCCAGCTATGGCTGGAACTCTTCCGAGACTGAAGCTTGGCAAGCTTCCTATGGAGCAGGGAATGGAAACAGATGTTCGTGCTGAGCTTGCTGAGGAGGATGCGAAACACCCTCCGAAGGATGGCCAGAACTCTTTGATGCAGGAGTTTGACGAAATGATCAAAAAGGAAGAAGACGAAGAAGCCCCTTCTCGCGCCGACATGGGGTACCCTCCTTCTATGGCCCAGGACGTTGAAATGGCGGTCGTGCAGGTGAAGGAGCACCGCGATCGACTGAAGATCGAGGGCCGCACTGGGGGCGTGGGCCCCGGAGTCAGTGTTTGCATGTTTACTTTCCATAATACTTTGGACTCGTATGAACCCCTTTTCTACGTTTCTTTTTGCTATCTGCCGCTTACTGACATGCTCGCAGGATCAGCTGCATGGATTTCTCGGACGACAGCGCCTTGATCGCTGTCGGATTTCAGCAGTCGTACATTCGCATCTGGACTGTGAACGGAAAGCCCATTCGGTCGGCTCATCCAGAGCTCGACACCGGACCCCCGACCAACTCTAAGCGTCTTATTGGCCACAGCGGGCCTGTGTATGCGGTTTCGTTTTCCCCAAGTTCTGTCCCCAGGGACAATGACTCAGGGGCGGACCGAGCGTCTACCAATTCTCGATGGCTGCTCTCGTCGTCGGCGGACAAGACGATTCGGCTGTGGAGCCTTGACACGTGGCAGTGCATGGTGGTCTATAAGGGCCACAATCGTCCTGTCTGGGACGCTCGTTGGGGTCCCTTCGGTCACTACTTCCTTTCGGGCGGCTCCGACAAGACTGCGCGCCTCTGGATCACTCATGAGCCTCGCCAGACGCGCATCTTCGCTGGCCACGACCAAGATGTGGACTGCATTTGCTTCCATCCCAACTCGGCGTACATCTTTACCGCTAGCTGCGACCATACGGTTCGCATGTGGGCTGTCACTACCGGAAACGCGGTTCGTATGTTCACCGGACACACCGGCAATATCACTGCTCTGGAATGCAGCCGTAATGGCAAACTTCTGGCTTCTGCTGATGATGATGGATCTATTCTCCTCTGGGATTTGGGCCCTGGCCGACTCCTCAAGCGGATGCGGGGACACGGCAAGGGCGGCATCTGGTCGCTCAGCTGGAGTGCGGAGTCTACCGTTCTGGTTTCTGGTGGAGCCGATGGCACAGTCCGTGCCTGGGATGTTGATGCTCCTCAAGAATCCACACAGGGACGTGTCATTCCTCCCGGAGAGGGGAGCTCAAAGATTGATGGTGGCAACCCGTCCACTGCAGGTGCTGCCGGTAAACCCAAAAGAAGAAGAAGGGCAAAGATGATACAGTCACTCCCGACCAGATCAGCGCTTTCCCGACGAAGAAGACTCCTGTCTACAAAGTCAAGTTCACCGATTCGAACCTCGTCGTTGCGGGAGGGGCCTATCTTCCTGATTTGTCCTAGGTGATTTCATCAACAATACCCATTTATCATCTCTTACCTGGCGCCAATCCCCTGAGGGATTTTTTTTCTTTGCACCACAGCTTTGATCTGTGGTTCTCATTATCTTTCTTGATCTGCTCATCGTCATTTCTTGATTCTTGCGGGATCTTGGTGGCGTATGGATTTAGAAAAGCTGGCTATCGGCGTTTAGGTTAGGAGACAGTGCACGGTTCTGACGACAATTTTCTTTCATGTACCACTTTTCCTCCATTCCCCCTGGTTTTATTTCTTCTTGTCTTTTTCTGAGCTTGAACTGTCCCCTGATGGTTGTGACTTGGCTGCGATCTGGGCCCGTTGCGGGACGGAATGCGGCTGCTGTGACTTTTGTGGGTTGACGGATCGCTCTTTTTAGCCCGTTCTTTTGGATGATCTGGTGGCGGAAGTGCGGAATGATACCTTCATGGGACGAGTCGCGGACTGCTATGGCCAGATGTGGCCAGTAGGACATTGATATTAGATTCATTTCTCGATTTTCTTTACTTCCATTTTTTTCTTCCTTTAATCTAAAACCGAAGATGCTTGTAGTTCTTCAAGATGGCCGAAGAAGTCGTAGACCCAATACCCATGCCTGGTCACCATTCATTGTATCCCAACATAGAAAGCCAACCCCCGCGGCGGCTGGCTGTAGGCGCCGTTCTTGGACCCAAGCCTATCACCCTTCTTCGATGTCAAGGCCGTATTGCTACCTCAATTGACCACTGCCACCAACACCGGCACCAGACCCTTTATTCATCGCCGCCGCAGCCTGCATATCGGCCACCTTGGGTGGCAGCACCAACGCGCTGCGGTCATTGCGCTTGTAGAAGTCAGCCAGTATTTGTGCCGTCTTGGCCGGTTGATCTTCCTGGATGAAATGGCCTGCTTCAGGGAAAACTTGGAGTTGATATTTGCCTGGGAAGAATGAATCAGAACTATAATATCGATGAAGAAATTAGTTATAGACAATGCTAACCTTGCATTTGTCCAATCATCAGCTCCTTATCTAGTCGGTCTGTCCCCGCAAGCAAAAGCAGCTTTCCGCCCCGTGCTTCGAGAAATTTTCGGCTCAGTCCGACGAACCAATTCTCCCAAAATGGCTTCGTTGCAGACAGGTTAGTGCGCCAAACCCATGGCTTGCCCGGATCGACGGGCTCACTTTCTTCGTAGAGAAGTGATGGCACGGATGCACGAGCAGATATAGTGTTTCGAATAGTGCGGGAGCGCGTGCTTTATTCTGGTTAGTTTCGGCAACTTTATAAATGGAGAGATCATGCTGGCAACGTACTGCCATTCGATTCCTGATGCAAGAGATGGGAATCGGCTTGGTCGCGTCGAGAGGTATTTCTCCATGCTCTCAAGGGCATCCATTGCCGACCCTTCACGGGGTCGTGGTTAGTTTTGAGTAGGAAGGAAAAGCGCAAGGAACATACCTTCCACCACATCCAATACCGCATACGCCAGCAACTTCGGGCCAAGCTCGCCCTTCTTCGCCACATCTGTGATAACCGCACCCCCAAGACTATGTCCAACAAGCACAATGTCTGGAAGAGACTTCCAGCCCATTTTTGACTGAGTTTGGCGAATCATATACACAAGATCCCGACTGAGTGTTTCAAGACTCAGATCGATTTCAATATGGCCATCAGCTTCAGCTTTTGTTGAATCTGCGGTGGACGGATTGTCCGGGCCTTTTGGTGCGTTTTTGGGTGTCATCATCGTCCGACCGTGGCTTCTGGCATCAATGGACATGACCCCCGCCTGGGGGAGGATCTTTCTGATTTCTTCTGTGCAGGCCGCAAATGATAGACCTGAAGAGCCTGCACCATGATGCATAACAAACAACGGACTTGAGCCTGTAGGTGGTGTCAAATAGACATGGTGTAAGATGCGGAGATTATCGACTTCTTCGGGTAGGAAAAGTTCCTGGGCGAAGAAGTCGGTCCATGTTAAAGATGATTGGGATGACGGTCTGTGAGCCGCATTAGCTTGAAGTCAGGTCATATTCATAATCAGTCATGTTTTTTGACGAAAAGATTTAGAAACCACCCGGGTCCATCATGTCCACTATAGGCGAAAGAGAGAGATACGAACCTGCGGCCCGCTCGGGCGAATAGCTGTCTGGTCGGTGAAGGAACCATCGTCCCTGCGGAAGATGTGGATGAGACAGAAGAGCCGTCCTCATCCCGGGCATCCTCGGACATTGATTCGAGGGTGGGCGCTTCAGGGGGCAGCTTGCCGAGTTGCGACTTCGCGAAAGACTTATGGAGCTCGCTCATGGATGCACGTCAATCTCGGAAAGCACGGATCGGAATATGAGGAGTGCAAGATCTGTAGCCTTATGTCCCGTCTGTTTTGGCAATTCAAAAACGGAAATCATACAGGGTATCGAGTGCAGAGTCAGGATGAACAGAGGTGACGCTCTACGCTGCTGAGTCATCCATGACATCGTCGGTGTTTACTGAGAAGTATAGAGTTTGTGATGAGGAAAAGAGCATCATAACATTCACCTAGATCATTGGAACTGCAATCAGCAGGTAAATCCGCAGTCCATATTACGAGTTCCTGTGTCATATTTTCCGACACTGCACTGATCCGCATCCGAATCCCACTCTTGGTCATTGTACTTGAAGCTGACCGGATCCGAGTCAATATCACCTACCGTCACAGAGAAGGGATACTCAAGGCCATCCCCCTGGATCGTAACTGGATTGCCGGACTCTGCTTGGGACGTGGGTGACGTGGTGATGAGGTTGTTGTCTGCATCCTTCACCTCGAACTGCACCTGATAATAGTCCGTCGGGTTGAGGCCGTTCTTGTTCTCATTCTTCTGGTATTGTATCACATGCACACCACAAGCGCCCTGGGCGTAAGTCACTTCCGGCGGTGCTGCGGTGCTTGTTGGGACACTGGTTCCGTCATACGCGGTCTTCGCGGGAGATGGAAGATCGTAGGTTGTCGTGGGGAAATCGTCCATTGGATTAGGGCAACTGAAGCCGCAGTCACCATTTCGTTCACCGCTGTCATATTCACCAATGTTGCATCCCCAGTCATCGTTATCTGTGCACCAATATTGATTGGAATACCAGAAACAAATTGGATCGTCATCGCCGTCGCCAACCTGAACCCAGAGATCATATGGAAGCTTGCTGGGAACAATCAGCGCCTCCTCGGCCGCCTGCTTGATCATAAAGCCAATACTCTCCTGGTTAGCATCAAGTATATTGAGTTTTAGCTGGAAAACATCTAGCGGATTGACCGCATCGCCTTCATTCCGTTGGTATTGAGTGATATGAACCCCGCATTGCCCAGCGGCGTATCCGTCATCGTTTTTGGGCGTTGACTTCCCGCTAGCATCTGGCTCTTCGCCACAGGGGTCACTGTCTTCAAAAATCTTCTCGACCCGCTCGGCCGCTGCGTACGCATTCAGGCAGATGGGGACTTGGAAAAATCCTAATGATTATTAGCAATGTTGGTAGAAAACTCTGAATCAATTGTTGTTATCTTACCGGCAGTCCGAATACTGTTACTGAAAACACCTGAATCATCTTCAACAATCTGGCTCATTGAGTCATCAATGGCCAGTTTTGAATCGTCCGGCATTTTCTGTCGCGCAATGTTAGTATAGACCCTCTGAGTTGTCTGGTCAAGACTCACATAGCCCCCATTTTTGTTGCCATTTGCCACGAATGCTCCATATGAACTGCGAATAATATCTCTAGACCATAATCAGCTTCGTTTTCAGAGCTAGCATCAAGTCTCGCTTACTCAAGAGTAATTCCTCCCCATGTGCTGTCTTCGCCCGTCAAGGTATCGGTGTTTCCACCATCGAGGCTCTGGAAAATCTTTGGACGATCGCTGCAGTCGGCAGCTCCGCCCCCGCTGCAGCTCGTGGGACCGTAGGCGTTGAGCAAGAACCAGGAGTTGCCACTACAGAGAAGTTAGCATCATAACGAGTTACTTGAGAGAAAGGAAGCTGTACTTGGGATCACACCAGGAGGTCTTATCCGCAGTGTCTTGGTCTATCCAGAAACCCAACTTCCAGTCGTCTTTCTCAGGTAAATCGCTCTCGTTTACAGGGCCAACGTCATCCCCGCAGTTATAGTCTGCGTGATCCACATAGCTAGGCAAAGTTAGCAAGCTCAAAAAGGGATCATCCGTGGTAGCTATCTGCCTTACAGAATAAACGGTCGTTGGCTATCCGGAGACAAAGCCCAAGTACCTGGGATCATTTTCCCATAGAGAGTCTTTTTCTGCTCGATAATCATATCACCGTAAGTAGAATTGTCCGTAGCAAGATCAACCTGGATCATGGCTCCATTTGCTACCATCTTGGTCAACTGATCCTGATTGGCTTCGTCGACTGCGTTGAGAGTATTCGCCAAAAAGTCCCTCTGTATGTCACGTAACTTGTTATAATAGTTGTCGACGAGAACTTTGAGGTCATCAGTCAATTCGCCACTATCTGTAGGTCTGTTGGCCTTAATTAGCAAAGGGAAAATCATTAATTGAGTTTTTCTGGAGAACATACTGTTTGAGACTGTCTTTGCCCATGCCAAGTCCGTAAAAGGCGGCAGCATTGGACATATCGGCAAAGGCCGCTCGCCAGTCATCGTCTGAACTGTCAGTACCTTCTCACTACGGAGAAATTTGAGTCAAAATACCTTTGAATAGTTTGGCTTTCTTAATCCCTGGCAGATCGAGCTTGAATCAGAGACGTGCGGAAATATTGGAGATAGTACACTCACAAACGTTCCAGCCGATTGCTGAACTGAACCCCCAGGTTATCTGAAGGGCATCCATCATGTATTTGATGACCTGCAGATTGTCGTCCGGAAATGAGGAAAAAGTATCTTGGAATGTCACAATGTCTGCCTTAATATCATCGCGAGCATCGCCTAGTGCCGTCCTTTCGTTGAAGATCATCTTCCTACTATCAGTATAACTTTTCAGCAACTGCCATCAGCTTGCACATACGTTGTGAATAGCCACGAGAGAGTTGATGATTAAGAACCCAGCAGCTGGGGCCTTGCATTCTACTGTGGTGCCACAGTTATTATCTTGCACTAGATCGCAATGTGTCTGGTCACTGTAGTGGAAAACGTTCCACGCGTATTGGCCAAAGTTCAATGGATAATCGTCGTCTTTGCTCTTCCAGTCATCCATCATTTGGTCCCAAGCATCTAACAACCAATATCAGTGACTGCATTTGGATCCCTGCAAGCGCGATGGATATCATACCGCTCACCTTGGCATACTCAAACCGGTCCTTTGGGGGGTTTGCAGCATCTGTAATTCTAGCGTCTCCGTCACACTGCACGTCAAGCCAATCTCCTGATGCAGGGAAGAGAACGCTGGTCTGGGTGGTACTCGAGTGCTTATTCACTATTGTGGCATCACCTTGGAAGATACCCGGCTTTATAGTGTGCGTGCCGTCAATTCCAGAGGGTGATATAGTTCTCGATGGTGCTTCTGAAGATTTTACCACTGGTACATCAACAGGAACTCGAACAAAAAGGGATTCCGCAGCTGGGAAGCCAGCGGGCGATTCCTTGGTGAGAATGGGCTTCGAGCTGGACAATGCAAACAAGCCGAGGAGGAACATAATAACAAATACGGCCATAGTTGCCAACAGAATGGAAGCAGCCCATAGAACTTGAAAATATATATTAAAAAAAAGAGTATCTTCGCAGCTGGCTGAGTGATATCGGCTTGCTCGAGAAGATAGGGGATATAGATGCAAATACCAAGAGGGATTATCTTATACTTGTAGAACTCGCGTTTCAGCCCCAATTATGTATGTTCATTAAAAATATGAGATCGCCTCGGTAGCGATGGTTTTCTGGGCTTATTGTGGGGTGATCAGGCAAGGCCTGCATAGTATGCTCCGTATAGCCTCCCAGAATATTACGGGTACTTCTTGACTCGGATTGTATACGTTATAACCAATTATCAAAAGAGCGACTGTTGGACAAGGTCGTAAACCAACGTATAATGAACTTTATTGAGGTAATAGGTCTGTTGGTAAGGACCAAAGGATCGGGTACCGGGCTAAAACCACATGGGTATAGTGGATCATGTGGATCATGTGGATCATGCATTTTTAGTCAACTCAAAAGTCACCTTACGTACAAAATCAGACCTCAGAAGACTGATTGCTTGGCTTCATTCTGCTCCGGTTTGAGACGCGGGGCTCGGCTAGCCCCATGTTGTACCCAGGCAAGGCCCTTTTGTGGTGCATCGCGCGTGCAGATTCCTACCGAGCATTGCTTCCAATGTGCGACGTCCCCGGGGTCTCCGGACTTGAACATGCCAAGAAGTCAGACTATTTTAAGAGCTTTTTGATCTTCCGGGTCAGAAATAGAACACAAAGTTTCCTTATTAAGCAATTTGGTGATTAAATGAGTGCTATTGCTGTTTGCATACATAAGTATGCTCAGTAGTCCCTTTCCAAAGTTAACTAGGTATCCCATAATATTCTAAGGCACTAGATAAGCCATACAATGTGCCCAGGGTCCTCCTTGGACTTGTACCCCACGTCATTTATTCGATTGATGTGGTTATGTTTACTCCGTTCTTTGGCCCTGTCTTGGCCATTTCTGTTACATGCCAAGGTCACTATTTTTGATCATGGAAGAAAGCCCCTCGTTCGTCAAAGCCTACCGCTGCCTAGAGCCAAGAAGCAACTGCGCCGAATAAGAGTTACCGTCCACTGTGATATGCGTTTGCTAGCGTCTTGTCGTGACTCAACCCATCATGGCAAGGATCAATTAGTAGATCTTGGCTGTACATAGCGGAGTTGTGGCGCGTTTATGTCTCCATCCGATGTCAGGAAGGATCCACACGGTGGAAACTGCCAAGGGACCAAGACCGCCGGGCTGCCAAAATGTATGGACGTCGCCGAGATCATGCTAGGACAAGAGGTTACACTTTTCAAATGATTTAACCCCCAGCTGTTATCCTCGGCGAAAGGCAAGTCACAGGAAGGAGTTTCCACCGCCATTTGTAATATTAGCCATTCATAGCTTCTTCTATGTTCAGCGCGGCTCAGGGTAGACCCCAGGTGTCCCGGAGCTGTCGCTGAAGGGCACGAGTTGGCCAGCCGTGCACTGCCTCCGTTTGGACAAGGACCTGAACCAACAAGTCTTGCTGCTGATGATCCGTAAAACGATCGCCACCTTCAACATGTTTGATTAGCTGTTGATATCATTCCAATTGCAGTTGATCGTCGTTTTTTCTTACAGATATGGATCGCCATGCATCCGACGACCATGGCCGGAGGAACAGAAGCGTTGGACAGTCCGATGCCGCATACAGTCCATACCCCCTTTCGAATCATGTTCTATACGTTATATCAGTGGGCGGCTGGAAATGAGGTCTCGAATGATCACGCTCACATCGGCCTTTTGAATAAAGCGTTTTCGCAGTGGCCCAATCGTGGGAAGATTAGGGTCGTGCACATTCAGCAATATCCGAGCAAGATGGTTATACTGATTCCCAATTGCTTCATTCGATGGACAATTAGTTAGCTTTGCCTCCTACATGACACACACATCTATATTAAAGATGGTTAGAGGAGTTACTAACCATGCCAAGCAGAATGAAACCGAATATCAGGAAATGCGGTTCCAACCTCCACCTCATCGCTGTCGATGAAAAACGGGTCAAAGGAGTCTGGGCGCATATCCGACCATTCTTGGTTTTTTGCCTGCAGCTCGGAATGAACAGCGGCCGAACGCGGGCCATCGCCAAATGAGAACATCAAGACATCGGTGCAGTGTGCAATGGCTTGGTTTGCCCATGTGCAATCGTCGACGTCTTGACCGAGCCAGCTAAATTGAGAATGAAGGGAACTGATATCAACATCTGGTGCTTGTTGAAGGCTGAGCGAATTATAAATTTCTTGGCGTAAGCCACTCCAGTATACGGCTTGTCGTAGGCGTGGCGTTGTCGTTGCCGTTGTTGGCGGGCCTTGAATGAAGGCCTTGGTTCCAAACGAATGGCCTCGAAGGTCCGAACCCGCCAAGGGAGCTGCGGTATCTGTCAATGGGGTTGTAACAATGGCTCAAGACGATAAATATCTCACCATCATACTCTTCTAACAGTCTTAAAATGACTGTGGCAGCCAGTAAATCATCATCCATGGTAACTTCATGGTCATTAAGCGCCGGGATGAGCTTTTCCAGGCACAAATGAAAGTAATGATCTGAAACAAATGGGTCAAAAGATGCGGTGCGACTCAGATGTCTTGCTGACATTGCCAGAATTGCATTGAATAGCGTCTCGCAATGTCGCGCTCGATAAGGAATGTGAAGAGCAAAATGCCGTTGATAATCTGTGCAATCAAACTGGGAGGCCGTTAGAAGAGGATACCGACACTATCGACAACGTGTAACTTACAAATGGCGTAATTTTGTTAACGAAATGCAGCAAGAGATCGGCTTCCTCGGCGTCTCTCAGAGGCCAGGATCGTTCCTTGGAGCGGACGGCCCTGTTCTCAGACACCTGGCGACTAGAGAGTTGTCGGATCCCATTCGCATCCGGTTTCCGGATAACCGCATCAAATTCTTCTGATAAGGCCGGCAATCTTGTTGTGGAATAGGATTTTCTATTCGAGACATGACCAGAATTGGTGTCGGGATGTGCCTGGTCCTCACTGCTTACCACCGCGCCCGCCACTGCGCTTTCGACCAAGGCATCAGACTCCCCATTGCCTGACTCGAGTACAAAATCCACTATTAATTCGTTGTTAGAAAATGCTACATTTGTAGGGAAGGATCGGTGGCGTTCAACCTCGTGGTGGCGGTCGCAGCCAAACTTGGTTGCGTGGAAACCGAGTGCGTGAATCTCGGCCTTTGGCCTGACGAAATTGGGTCTCACGGTTCCCTCTCACGCATGCCCGACCAGCCCGAATACATCGACTGCATTGCGGCTGCTTCGCGTCGCCTGCAAGGTTTGGTAAGACAAATCTTGTGCCTGAAGGGGGCCAGCAGTCCTTACACTTGTGGTGCAGCAGTCGGCACGGATCACTATAATCTGCTTGTTCGGACCAGAAATCACTAGCGAGTAAATGCAAGGGTCAGTCTTACCAACACTGAGATCTTCGTGCTGCTGTCATGGCCGACTACAGGGATGCCGAGATTTTCGGTGTCGATGAGTTGCAGTGGAGAAGTTTCCCCGCTGTGGGGGACGAATAGATTTGAATGGAAGGATTGAGTACTGCCAGCCGATACGACATACAAATATATGATTTTGAGCATTAGTGCCAAGGGACTAAATATATTCATTTCTTCAAGTGTATGTCAAAACGGTCTAAGATCTAGATGGCGAAACTGGCTGCTGCAACCGGGACAAAATGCAAAAAAAAGGGAATATAGGTGCCGTAGCTCTGATCTCTATACGTCGTTTGTGACCCGTATAGACTCATTTCCTCTGCAGGGCACGATCCGTTTCTGAGCAAAACCCTTTCTGGACTGGCAAATCTTCCAATCGTCGGCGTCGAAGGCTTCTCGCCACTCGAACAGGGTCCATGACATTCTTGGACTTGGTGAAAATCTCATCCATCTCTTCGAGACTGCGGCCGGCGGTCTCTGGAAACAGAAAGTAGATGAGAGGGATCATGCAAACGTTAAACCCAGCGAAGAAGATGAAGTAACGCCATCCGATCGTCTCGAGTGCTCGGGGAGTGACTTCGGCGATCAGAACGGTAAAAGCCCAGAACGTGCCGACGCTGATACCGTTGATGGCCGTACGCAGGTTTGAGGGCGCGATCTCCGTGGCATAGAGGAAAGGGATTCCAGCGAATCCAAGGGCATGGCTAAAATGAAAGAGAAAGGTGAAGACGATAGCCCCGTGCATGGCGGGTTTGTTGTCTGGCTGAGACCCCAAGCCGCCTATCAGTGCCATGCAAATGGCATTTCCCGTAGCGCTGGCCAGCATCAAGCCCCGACGCCCAAATCCTTCAATAGTTAGAATGCACACAATACCTCCAATTGGGCTGATTAACTGGTAGATCGCAGCGAGAATTCTGGATTTGAGATCACCCAACTCCAGATCACGATGCAGGATTGAAGTGGCTGTATGTACATGTGAGATTGGTGGACCTTAAGGCAAAAGTCAAAGGACGACATACTGTATAAACTGATAACATTAACGCCCGCTAACTGGAGGAAGATCATCACCCCAGCAGCCAACATAATTCGATGAAAGACTCTTCGAGGGCCCATATGGAACATTTGTAGCAGGGATTGTTCCCCAGTTTGTGCGAATGAGGCTTTCACGTCATTTATTTCCGCCTCAATTTCTAGACTTTCAAGAGTAGTGTCGTCCAGTGCAGCCAGGGTCGCACGAGCTTCGGCTGTTCTTCCCTGTCGAACGAGCCACCGGGGCGATTCCGGCAAGAAGGGAATGGATACCATGACAATAAGAGAAAATATGGTCTGAAAGACGGCTGGGAAGCGCCAGGCCACGCTACCGGGGGCGAAGGACATGCCAAAGTCCACGAATAAAGCCACTGTGAGACCCATCCCAAGGAAAACACCCGTTGTAACGACATGGGCACCACGCTTGCTAGTAGGGGATATTTCCGACTGCCAGACGGGAACCGTGGCCAGCAATCCGCCTGTGCCAACACCCAGAATGAGGCGAGCAACAATGAGATGGGCCAGGCGAAATGCGCTCCCCATGAAGACGGCACCAACAATCTGGATTGCTGAAGAAACGAGTATAACCCGCCGGCGACCAAGTCTGTCCCCGAACCAGATACATGATAGAGCCCCCAGGAGGCCTCCAACTGCATATAAAGCCACAATGGTACCTTGAATGGTTGACGTATGCTTTTTATCACCAGGGTCGGCATGTGAAACATCGATCTCTGGGAATTGCTTCCTAAAGCTGTGGAAGGACAAAACTCCTCCAAGCTGAGTCTGGTTGTATCCAACGGTTATAAGCCCGGGCATTGCAACGCAGAGAATTGTCGCGATATTGAGGCGGTTGCCTCGAAGTCCAGCGAATTGTTTCATTGAGATATGTAGAGGCGTAGAGAGTGACGTCCTTGGCACGATCGACAGAGCCGGCAGCAATCAACCTTAAATTCAAAAAGCTGGCCGTTTAGAAGGTTTCCGATATTTCGGCTAACTGGATTCTTCGGGATCTGCAAATATGGCCACTTGTTGTTGCCACATTCCATTCCCAGTGTTGGAATCCGAATGCCACGGTCCGGCCCCAAATGAACTCATAGATACGCTGAAGTACGACTCTCCAGACTGGAGTTTCGACAATCTAAAATACTCGACAGTATTTTCTGAGGACGAGAACTGTAACGTGGTAGATCGTCGTCCAAGATCACAGTCGCATTGGTTCATCCATTCCATCTGGGTCGCAGACGTCTTTCCTTATCTTTGAGACAAACTCCACTTAATGTCATAGTTGAAGTAATCAGCGTGCTTGTCTCTCTGTCCACAGCCATAGCATCCAATGGCTGGGTCCCTGGCTTGAGTAGCGAAACCCCATATTGCAGCATTACTCGGAGTTATAGTCAGTCTGCCTTGGAAGCCAGCATGCCATATGAAGTAGCAATGAGCTAGTGTTAGCACTTGTTTACTTTCCTTGAGACACGGTTGAGATACAAACATGGTTTTATCAAGGTGTTATAGGGAATTCTACACGACTGGACAGTTTAGCGTTGTCAGTCATTGTGTGAGAGATGACGATGATCGTTCGATATGTTGCCCGAGGTTTGTTTGATTGGTGCTATGCCTATTTTTCTAAACACCGTCTCCAGCTTCATAGAATTTATTCCAGCGCTATTATTTATGTTAGCTCTTATTTTGTCCATAATGAGCGTCAGAGCTTACAGTATCATATGGCTTCGAGGAATCGACAAATCGAAGATCGGTTGCAAGGCGAATGATACGATCTGGGTCATTGTTGACTGTAGAAGCATGAATCTGTTCTATGGTCAGCACATTGGTTGAGATCACTGGATAATATTTTCATACAGCATGCGGCTTATGCAGCACAATATCACCGGCTTCATATTCAGCCACAAGCCAGTGCCTGCTGTGCTTATGCGCAAAGTCGAGAGGCAATTCCGACAAAAGACCGGTTGCCATCATGTTGTTGTTAAATGCATTCTTGGCTTCTTCTTCGGATAATCCGGCATCTTTAGCCTTTTTGGTGAATTCTTCTTCAAGACCGATTCCAAGGGAATCACCTGTAAGTACATTAGTTAGAAATCAACTAAAAACGTGCTTTGGTAAGACAAACCGTTCTCCAGGTAGATAAGTCCTCCTCCAGTCAGTTTGATGTCTCCAATCGGCACCCAAGCCGTCACACTGGTCGGTTCCCCATGACGAAGAAAAATCTGGTCATAATGGACTCCAATGGGCTTAGTGCCGGGGATGTTGTTTCGAAGAAGTGACCGCCGAAGGCCCAGGGTGTTAGTCTCCCACCCCGTAAAACGGGCCACGAAATTCATCAGGGCTGGGTGCCGGCAGAAGTCCTGGGCGTACCAGTCTCGATAATGGGCGTCAAGGGCCAAGTCGACGAACTGCGTCGCTTTCTCGCCTCCTGGTCGGCCATTTTTGCCCGCAGCGCCAGCACCGATGCCTGGAAACTCCTCTGCTGATTTGAGGGGATTGAAGATACCCTCAACCGGCTGCGTGCCTTCTTCTAAGACTCCTGTGGGCACCATCATGTTAAAATATTCGTGGCGCGCCTTGAGCACATCGGCGCGAGGAATCAGACCCTTCAGGAACAAGTAGCCGTCTTCCTCGTAGCGTTGTCGCAGTTTGTCAAGAGGTTCATCGGCGTGCGACTGACGCAGAAACTTGACGTTTTCCAGAGGCCCATCATTGACAGCTAGGCGTCCTGGTTGGCATATGGTTGGGAGTTGCATTTTCTGTCGACTTCTTGCGAGGTGAGAGGTCTCGTCACAAGATGTTCCACCAGGACCACATATTTATATTGTTGGCATTTCGAATCGGAGCAACTTGTTCATTCTTCAGAATTTCCTAATTTGTTCGATTTACCAGTCCGAGTATTCCACGTCCAAAATGAATTCTTATCTGGTGTGTAACTCCGCCGTCCACGACGATGTCTGGCGTCGTCTGCTCTAACCACATGAAAAAGGGAAATAAATTCCGCCGTTAAGATCCCCACAGGGAATCGCGGGGCAAAATTGCTCCTTTCAGTCGCACGGACGCAGGAATTCGCGCCCGCCGACCCACTTCATTCCCCGGCCAGACCAAAGGTACTAAAGCGCGGATTGTATCTTTCGATGTTCTCCAACCTTATTGGAGCGACGCCGAGTCAACAATGGACCAGCCTCTTCTCCAGGAATCTTCTCTACACGAATCCGGGGACCCCAGATTCAGTGACGATGAAGAGGAGGAGGAATATTTAACATGGGCGTCGTCCCCTCCAGAGACCGATTCAGGGTATTCCCTAGTCTCTCGCGCCATGCTTTCGCTCAAGCAGACGAAGCCGATCCGGCCACCCTCCGGCACTGATCTTCTTCAGCCACGGCCAGGAAACACCACCTACCTCTACGCACTCACTGCCTTTGTGTCGCTTGGTGCGTTCCTGTTCGGCTACGACCAGGGAGTTATGGGGGTTATCGTTGCCGATAAACGCTGGATTGATTTGATGCAACCGAAGAACTCATGTGCGTACCTGCTTTCTTATAGTGTTATCTAGCCCTTGCTATGCTGAATAGCGATGTTGACCATCGATAGGGGTGACGGGCATGGTGGTATCTTTGTACGACATTGGCTGCTTTATCGGAGCTATGTCACTTGGATATTTGGCCGATCCCATAGGCCGTGAGCGAACATTAGCCGTTTCCTGTGTTGTTTTCATCATAGGCGCAGTGCTCCAGGCTGCGTCCTACTCCATCACACAGATTGTACGTATCTTGGTTCCGTATATGTTCGATTGCTCAAGCTAAGCCAACAGACTATTGGCCGTGTGATTTTGGGATATGGAGTGGGAGCCTGTGCCGGTGGCGTACCATTGTATGTTGCTGAGCTGTCACCACCAGCGATCCGAGGCCGCATTGTGGCCATCGAACAGATGATTCTATGCTTGGGAGAACTGGTTGCATTCTGGCTCAATTATGGCTTTAACTTCCTTGATATCGATGACTGGTGGCGCATCCCCTTGGCTATTCAGATTCTGCCTGCTCTAATTCTTGCCTTTGGTTGCTGGTTTTGGCTCCCCCCGAGTCCACGCTGGCTGGCCAGCCAAGACCGCCCCGACTGCGCGCGAGAAGTTCTGACCCGGCTACATGGCTCGGAAGCCGCCGAGTTGGAAATGCAGGAGATCCAAAGCTCCATCGAGTTTGAGCAGACAGTTAGCGAGGCCAGCTGGAAGGATATGTTCACCAGGCCCGTTCTGAGAGTGACGCTACTGGGAATGGGGGTGCAATTTTTGCAGCAAATCACAGGGACCAACTCTATTCTCTATTACACGGTATGTGGTTAGCTCCTGCCGTCTCTCCTGCCCTAGTCGACGGGTTTCTGATATGAAAAACAGCCTTCCCTCTTCGAACGCGGCGGTATCAAGGACCCTCGCACTGCGAACCTCGCCACTGGTGGCGTAGGGATCGTGCTTTTCGTGACCTCATGGATTCCAATCTTTTTCTTTGACCGACTAGGTCGAAAGACCTGGCTGCAAATCGGAACCGTGGGCATGATGGCCGCAATGATCGGAATCACCGTTCTCCAGTGGCACGCCGAGCATCACCCCAATGACCCGGCCAACTACACGATCGTCGCATTCCCATATATGTTTTATGTGTTCTTCAACATCAGCTGGGGCGTGGGCTCGTGGACCTACGCCGCCGAGATCTTCCCTGTATCGATGCGTGCCAAGGGAAATGCCCTGACCACCGCATCGCTGTGGGCCGCGTGCTATATCGTGGCCCAAGCGAGTCCGCCGATTGCCGATGCCATTGGTTGGGGACTGTATATCATCTACTCAGGGGTCTGCATGGGGGCTTTCTTCTTCGTCCGATATGTATTGGGTATGCTAACATTTCCGTTTTCCTTAACGCAGAAGCTGACCGCTTATTTAGTCGAAACCCGTGGCCGCACCTTGGAGGAGATGTCCCGGCTATTTGGTATTGAAAGCCGGTTGGCGGAACGGACTGGCCTCAGACCTGATCCTCCTGGCAAAGGATTGATGGCAGAGGATTTGGAGGATGTGGGCTCGGCGGACTCTCTGAGGTAGAAGCCGTGGAGGGTCCGTCATGTATCCGACGGAAATATCTAAGCATCACTCCCCATTGAACGTCCCTTACAGTATTCTTGTACAAAGAAGCCAGGGCCATTGGTATTCCCATCACTACTGTAGTAGTAGATTCCCAAAAAGTGCCCTTGCAGCGGGCAGGTCTGCATTGCGTGCGGAGCGGTGCATAATGCCCCGGCCGGGCGTCGAAAATGATCCGTCTAGACCGCCAGTTGGAAAGCCCGCTAAGCCCCGCTGCGGTGAGCTGCCCCTCACTAGGCAAATTCTGAATTTTTGTCCGCAGGGGCCACCCCTTGGCCCGTGGCCGATCGAGGGGTTGAACGACTTCTGGTGATGCGGTTGGGGTGGACTTCCATGATACTTCGACGGGGTCGAGAGTAGTGAGTAAATGATTCATTCACCGCGCTTGAGCTGAAGAAAGAGGCCAACCAGGTACCCGCGGGGTTCCACCCGTGGCCGAAAACGGGGCGTCCCAGGGACCTCCGGAAGACTGATTGCGGCATCGCCTGGAGAAGAAAAGGGGAAAGCCACTGGGTGGACCAATGGCCTCAAGCTGTCGGGTCGACACGGATGCAGTCCACTTTTTCTCCCTCTCCTTTTCGGAGCCGGGGCTCGCGTGTAAGGCGATGGATTGCCCATCCCCCTCCAGATCGACAGCAGAACGGGCCAAACCATGCTGGTTCAAACGGTAAACCCAACCGAAAAAAGGCGGACGCATACATTTCATCAAGAAGAGTCCGGTGAACGTCAGGATGGAATCGTAGCGCGTAAGCTAAGGCAGACTAGAGAACCGAAAAGAAAAGTGTTGAGGGCGGGCACGTGCTAGGCTTATCTATACTTAAGCCGCCTGTTCCCTTTCTCTCCTTTCTTCTCCTTCCTCTCTCAATCCCACTATTTCCGTTGTATCGTTTCCTCTTAGGTTCGTATAAGCCTTGTCAGCAGGTCCGATCACTCTCTTCCCGAGCAGTGATCCCATACAACCGTCACAATTTTCTCCACACTTCTTAACTCGTGAGTCTGCTCTCTCGGCGGCAATGCTATTCGAGTCCTGCTCGCAGCTGCCATATATCCCCGATAGAGCTGACATGGGTCCAGGCGGCACCACCCGTTCAACGGCCGACGCTCATCCAACCGTGGAGGAGCATCGGACTGCGCACCTTTCATCCGCTAAAGCAACTTCCCGCTCTCAAGCAATTCTCACTCGCGTCGCCATCCTACTGTCAACGCAATGGCTCCCCACGCTAGCTCGGAAGCTGCCAATGGCACCGTGAACGGGTCGGTTCGCCAATCTGCCCCGCTGTTTACCGTCCAGTCGCCCAATGTGGTGTATACCCCTGACGAGATCAAGAGTCAGTACGCCTACCAGACGACGGAGGTGACTCGCACCGCGGACAACAAGCTGGTTGCTACCCCCAAGTCCACCAACTACCATTTCAAGGTCGACCGCAAGGTTGGCAAGGTCGGTATGATGCTGGTCGGCTGGGGTGGTAACAATGGTTCCACCGTGACTGCGGGTATCCTCGCCAACCGCCGTGGCCTCTCCTGGGAGACCCGCGAGGGCAAGCAGACCGCCAACTACTACGGCTCGGTCGTCATGAGCTCCACTGTCAAGCTGGGCACGGACGCAAAGACCGCGGAGGAGATCAACGTCCCCTTCCACGACCTGCTGCCCATGGTCCACCCCAACGACCTGGCCATTGGCGGCTGGGACATCAGCAGCCTGAACCTGGCCGAGTCCATGGATCGGGCCCAGGTGTTGGAGCCCAGCCTCAAGGGCCTGGTCCGCAAGGAGATGGCCGAGATGAAGCCGCTGCCCAGTATCTACTACCCCGACTTCATTGCCGCCAACCAGGAGGATCGTGCCGACAATGTCATCGAGGGCACCAAGGCCTGCTGGGCTCACGTGGAGCACATCCAGAAGGACATTCGGTAAATGAATCTCATTCCATGCACAGGAGACCCAATACTGACCCAATTCACAGCGATTTCAAGGAGAAGAACGGCCTGGACAAGGTGATTGTCATGTGGACCGCCAACACTGAGCGGTACGCCGACATCATTCCGGGCGTCAACGACACCGCCGATAATTTGATCAACTCGATCAAGTCCGGCCACGCTGAAGTCTCCCCGTCGACCGTGTTCGCCATTGCCTCGATTCTGGAGAACACTCCGTTCATCAACGGCTCGCCTCAAAACACCTTCGTGCCCGGTGCTCTTCAGTTCGCGGAGCAGCACAAGGCTTTCATTGGCGGTGACGACTTCAAGTCTGGCCAGACCAAGATGAAGTCCGCGCTGGTGGACTTCCTGATCAACGCCGGTATCAAGCTCACCTCCATTGCCAGCTATAACCACCTCGGCAACAACGACGGCAAGAACTTGAGTTCGCAGAAGCAGTTCCGCTCCAAGGAGATTTCCAAGTCGAACGTCGTCGACGACATGGTCGCGGCCAACAGCATCCTGTACGAGAAGGATGAGCACCCGGACCACACCGTCGTCATCAAGTACATGCCTGCTGTCGGGGACAACAAACGTGCTCTGGATGAGTACTACGCCGAGATCTTCATGGGCGGCCACCAGACCATCAGTCTGTTCAACATCTGCGAGGACTCCCTGCTGGCCTCGCCGCTCATCATTGATCTGGTCGTGCTCGCCGAGATGATGACCCGTGTCAGCTGGAAGGCCGACTCCGAGGGTTCCGACTACAAGGGCTTCCACAGCGTGCTGAGCGTGCTCAGCTACATGCTCAAGGCCCCCTTGACGCCGCCGGGCACCCCCGTCGTCAACGCCCTGGGCAAGCAGCGTTCTGCTCTGATTAACATCTTCCGTGCCTGTGTTGGTCTCCAGCCCGAGTCGGAGATGACCCTGGAGCACAAGCTGTTCTAAATGCGCTTCCTCGAGTTGCACTCTTGATCGATTGATCCTCGGTTTTCCAACTATAGTCACTCCTTTGATAAATGCGAACTTAAATTGATTTTCTAAATCTTGTGTCCTTCTCCGTAGCTCCATACCTTCCATACCTTCACCACGAGCTTTACGGCCTGCTAACCCTGGGTCCGGCCAATATCCGAATATGCATTCAACGCCAACTGCCCACCCAAATGAGCATACAACACATTGCCACCCTGGATCTCTCCCCGCCGAATCATATCCACCATACCGGCAAAGCTCTTCCCCTCGTAAACCGGGTCCGTGATAAATGCCTCCATGCGAGCGGCATACTCAATCGCATCCCAGGTCTGGCGATCAGGGATACCATAGATGCCAGCATGGTAGCGGTCGTCGAGAAGGATATCGGCATCGGTGATATCGTCCGCGCTCAACCCAATGTGGACAGCCGTGTTGCGGGCAATCCGCAGGACCTGCGCGCGAGTCGCCTTGACCGTCGCCGAGGCGTCGATGCCGATGATCTTTCGTTTGGGGTCTGTCGGGTGCAGACGTTCCAGAAGCTTGAACCCTGCGATCATGCCGGCGAACGTCGACCCCGTCACGGCGCAGACGACCACCGTGTCGAAGAAAACGCCTTGCTCCTGTTCCTGCTCGCGCACTTCAAATGCCCAGCGGGCGAACCCTAGTCCACCGAGCGGATGGTCGGATGCCCCGGCGGGGATGTAGTACGGCTTCTTGCCCTGCGCAATGCACTCGTCGACCACGGCCTGCGCCGTGGTCTTGTGTTCAATGCCAAACCCCGATGGGTCCAGCCGCACGTCTGCGCCCATCAGTCGTGACAGCTGGATGTTTCCAACGGTCTCATATCCCGGGTCCACCCAATCGACCCAATGCTCCTGCACCAGGCGAGCTTCAAGACCGGTGCGGGCTGCTACAGCGGCCACCTGGCGCGTATGATTGCTCTGCACGCCGCCGATTGAGACGAGGGTATCGCAACCTTGCGCCAGGGCCTCGGCGAGCAGATACTCCAGCTTACGGGTTTTGTTGCCGCCATATGCGTACGCGGAGTTCAGGTCGTCTCGCTTGGCGTAGATGGTCACCGGCGGGCGTGAGCTGTTGCTGGCGAGATCGGAGCTGATGCGGGGGAGCGCATGGATCGGCGAAGGGCCAAGGAGAAGTGGTGTTCGTGGAATGGAGGCGAAAGGCTCCGGCAGGGCAAGGTCTTTGGCCATGGCTAGCTGGAGCTTGGACTACGTTTCAGATCTAGAGTAGAATGTGAAGATGGAGAGCGATCCAGGAAGAAAGCCGGACTAAAGATATGAACGATCAGGTCAACCTCACCATGACCGTCCGAGTGGTTCTGTTTATATACCCCCTCATGGTGGGCCGTGACGGGCCTTGCCCGGGAAATGTGGCGGCCATCTAGCCCTGTAGACTGTGCTCTGCCGTGGAGATCACCGCATTCCGCCTGCCTGCATGCTGGACTGACCATCCAGAAACTGTTCTGGCTATCAAGTGCGACGTTCTCCCGAAGTAGAACCGAAACCTGCCTTTTATCTATGCAGAGAGAGGTGGAGACCACCGGATTCTTACCGACGGGGGCGAGAAGGTCCAAGCTAGCAGGCGAGCGGGGAGGTTGACTCGCAAGGTTGCTCAATGATGAGGACCTTGGCTGTTCAGGTACTAACTATACATAAGAGGTGGATAGCCCCGGCGCTACACTTCATTAACCAAGGAGACCATTCACAATTTCATATTGCACATCATCCGAACTAATTTTTGGGTCCACTACTCATAGCACAAGATCTATTTCATGTCCACCACGCAGCGGACGCAGTCACCCTGCTTCATCTGGTCGAAGGCACTGTTGATGCCATCCAGCGGCTGACGGTGCGTGATAAACTCGTCCACCTTGAGCTTACCGTTGAGGTAGTCGTCCACCAGGCCCGGCAGCTGCGTGCGGCCCTTGATACCGCCAAAGGCACATCCCTTCCACACGCGACCGGTGACGAGCTGGAATGCTATTGAAGAAGTTAGTCAAACGGACAGCGGTCAATACATCCAGAAGGACTTACGCCGAGTCGAGATCTCCTGGCCAGCGGCCGCCACACCGATGATGATGCTCTCACCCCAGCCCTTGTGGCAGGCCTCGAGCGCGGCGCGCATGACACCGACGTTGCCGGTGCAGTCGAAAGTGTAATCGCAGCCGCCGTCGGTCATCTCAATCAGGTGTTCCTGAATGGTCTTGCCCGAGAGCTTGGTCGGGTTGACAAAGTCGGTGGCACCGAATTTGCGTGCCCAGGCCTCCTTGTCGTCGTTGACGTCGACCGCAATGATCTTGCCGGCCTTATTCTTGACCGCACCCTGCATCACCGACAGACCGACACAGCCGGCACCGAACACGGCGACGTTGGAGCCCTCTTCAACCTTCGCCGTCACCACCGCGGCACCGTAGCCCGTGGTGATACCGCAGCCAAGCAGACACGAGCGGTCGGTAGGGATCTTGTCTGTGACCGCGACGACGGAGATGTCGGCGACCACAGTGTACTGCGAGAAGGTCGAGGTGCCCATGAAGTGCAGGATGTCCTTGCCGCGGGCCTTGAACCGGGAGGTGCCATCGGGCATGACACCCTTGCCCTGCGTAGCACGGATCTTTCCACAGAGGTTGGTCTTGCCAGACTTGCAGAACTTGCACTCACGGCATTCAGGAGTACTAGGAGCGAGTCAGTCGATGCCATGCTGAATGTGACCGATACCGGACATACTAGAGAGCGATCACATAGTCGCCAGGCTTGACCGAGGTCACGCCCTCACCCACCGACTCGACAATGCCAGCACCCTCGTGTCCCAGAACAATGGGGAAAGCACCCTCCGGGTCCTTACCGGAGAGCGTGTAGGCATCTGAAGGTGTTAGTGTGTGGTGCAGGGAAGGCGGGGCCTACGACGGGGCTTACCGGTGTGGCAGACGCCTGTGTGGTGGATTTGAATGCGCACCTCATGCGCTTTGGGGGGAGCGACCTCGACGTCTTCGACAGACAGAGGCTCCCCGGCAGCCCAGGCGATCGCAGCCTACCAGAGATACGTGAGTTGGTGAAATCAGAGCTTCGCGTGGCAACATGGCGGGGTACATTGGAGCTCCGCGGAAGCATCGGGACAGTTGTAGCTTACCTTGCAAGTGATGGTCTAAGGCAATCCATGTTAGTTCATGTGTACGATATTCCCAAGGAGAGTATTTTTACCTTTCCGACGGTACTGGCCATGATGTCAGGTCCGATCGGGTTCACAAAAAACGCTGTAGGCGGGCGGTTAGCAATGGCCGGGACGGGCGGGAGCTACTTCGGAGGGCCAGACTCACAGGATCAGACGGAGAGAGACGGACGGGGAGATTGATAGAGAAGAGAAAAGAAGAAAGAAGAGCGACGGGCGGGAATAATTAGGAAGAATGGGTGGAGTCGGAGAGTGAGGGGGTGGGGGAAGAACAATAGTGAACGAGACGATGAGGGGAGAGCCCGTTGTTTGCCTGAGGGGAAGAGAGGACGTGACTAAGGTTGGAGATGGTGAAGGGCGGATCCACTGCAGGACTGCCGGTTCCAGATAGGCAATTCTTCCCGCTCCAATGGATGTTTTTACTCGAACCGACCGTGCATACAGAGCTTGTCTCCGGCGACAAGAGAGGTGGATTGAATGGCTAACAGTAGAAAGACGGAGGAGAGAGCGAAGAGACAGGTCGCTATTGGCATTGTGCAGGATGGGATGTGGTGAACACGGGAGATAGTAAAAGGGATTGAGGGTGAAGCATTGGGGCTATCATGGCCCTTTTTATATTGGGAAATTGGGAAAGGCGAAGGGACCATGCCCCCCGCCCACAAGCACTATGATACACGGGAAAGAAGCCAAGTTGCTTCCTCACCGATACAGACCTCGAGAGCCAGGCAGTGATCTCACGCCAATCCCGCCAGGATCGTTCCGGTCGGACTGGACATGCCCAGGAAGTCCCGGAGACGGCCATAGCTATCCTCGAGGTCCCGTCGACTCTCCATCTCCACACATTGAGAGCCATCTTCCGCACACAGCCCGTCCATGTCCGCCATTAACGGCCGGGCATCTGCCCGCCCTGCATCATGGCGGCGTTCTGCTCCTGGAACCGCTCGTTCAAACGGGCCGAGCTCTTGAGGTGCTTGTCGACGCAGCGCATGACACACTGCTCCTCGCGGTTGATGAGGGACTTGGTGGTGAAATCATTGACGCAGTCGTCGAAACACCGCTGCACCATCTTGGAGTACATCTAGACAGCCAAGAGCGTCGTCAGACCGGCACAAGAAGAATCGAGGAGGGGAACTGAGGGTAGGCTCAGGCGAGATGGCACATCATCAGCTAGGGAGAGGTCAAGTAGCGTACCGTCATAAACTCCTTCAGCTGCTTCCGCTCCATGCGGGACGCGAATTCGCGTTGTTCGGTTGCGTTGAGTCTGGGTCAAGTCAGCCATGTGTAGGAAGAAGGGGGAAGTAAATGCACGCCGACCCTTCCATGGTGTGTGTAAGAAAAATGAATGCAACCGTTGGACAGTGTTTGGATCACTCGACTCAAACCGCTCCGAAGCTGCACCAGTTTCGGCGCAATAACGTTGATCCGATATTAAGTAATACAACACGTGACTTAATCACATGACCCATCACCCTTGGGCTCGTCGGTATATTATTATTATGATCGTGGGACCTATTATTAAAGTATTGCCGGGTGGAAATCCGTAGGGATGCCCAGAACCATCCTCAATTCCCTGACAAAGATTCTCGTCTGTCCGTCTGTGTGCAATCTCCCTCTGACCCACCGGGAGAACACGACCAGAAAAATTCACGAAGCCAGCGGAGCCCACCGGCGGGCCGATCGGTACTGGTTGTGGTAGGCGAAGGCATCTGAATGGCCACACCGGCCCCTTAGCCAGGGTCTGGCCACGATGGTTGACCAGGGGCGTGAAGTGGGTAGGGTCGGTGACGTGAGGGCAGGGCCGTTGAGTAGACCCTAGAAGACAAACTGTCGAGTTTGAGAGGATTTATTGTCGTCAATGCTCCCTTAATAGGATAACAATGAAATAGGAGAACCTCTTAATAATAATAATGGTGATAATAATAATAATAATAATAATAACAACAATAATAATAATACCAGTAGTAGTGAACGTGATAATATCAACTCAGGAACTTGCCCAGTCTATTCATAGTACTCTGCCACCGTTGGCTCGTGCCCCGTGAACCATCCTCACCCGCCTTGACCCTCTCACTCTCTTTCTCACTCACTTACTGTCTCTCAGTCATTCTCGGTTCTCCTTTCATCCTCCCTACTGCGCCCTGCCCCATCCTCCTCTCCTCTCCCCGTCATCGTGGCCTCCCCTTCAGTCTCTCCTTCTCCCTTGTCTGCCCTTTTTGGGCCCTTCTTTCCCCAGCCCCAGCCTTCTATCCTCCCGAGGGCGGTCACTATTCGGCCCTACGCGCTTTCGCTACCTCCCTCAGGTTTGCGTCAACGTCTTTCTCTTGAGTCGCACCTCGTACGCCATGGTGACCGGCAAGTCGCAGCCGGCCGCTGAGCCCATTCCTCCGCTGCCCACCTCACCCGACCCCGTGGACTCCAGCTCGCCGCCGTCTAAACGCGACCTCGCCTCGTGGTGGAGACAGTTCAAAAGGAATACCAGGAAGGATGAATTGAAAGGTACAGTGCCGACCATGCTTTTCCCCTATGCGACGGTGATGCTACCACTGCGACGGGAATTCCGTCGCTCCGGCCAGCTGCCCGCCCCTCTCGGCGTTGTGTGTCGCGCCCCCTGATCATCCACGACCGGAACTTGTTTGCGACACGAAGCGTTTCCTCCTGACCGCCATATTGATGGCGACCGCCGTCGCACGTTTCTCAGATATTGTGTTCCCTCGAGCAACCGGCTAATTCGTGAGTGCGATAGAACCGCCTCGAGGCATCTTCGGCGTGCCACTCAACGTCAGCATCAAGTACGCCAACGTCGCCATCTCCTTAACCAACGATCACGGCGAAAGTTTCATCTATGGTTATGTTCCAATTGTTGTCGCCAAGTGCGGTGTCTTCCTGAAGGAGAAAGGTACGTGGCCTGGATCCCCGGTCTGCGCGGACCCTGCTGACCCTTCTCCACTAGCTACGGATGTGGAAGGCATCTTCCGCCTAAACGGCTCCGCCAAGCGTATCAAAGACCTCCAGGAGATCTTCGACTCACCCGAGCGATACGGAAAAGGTCTGGATTGGACAGGATATACCGTGCACGATGCGGCCAACGTGCTGCGTCGGTACTTGAACCAGTTGCCGGAGCCGATCGTTCCGTTGGAATTCTATGAACGCTTCCGGGAGCCCTTGCGCACCTATCAGAAGCAGATTCAAAGCGAAGATCAAGCGGCCGATGCGGACAAGTTTGATCACGCCAAGGCCGTTGAAACGTACCAGCGGCTGATCATTGAGCTGCCGCCCTTGAACAAGCAATTGCTCCTTTATATCCTCGACCTTCTCGCAGTCTTCGCATCCAAGTCCGACCAAAATCGCATGCCCTCGGGCAACCTGTCGGCTATCTTTCAGCCCGGGATGCTGTCCCACCCGCAGCATGACATGTCGCCCGAAGAGTACAAGCTGAGCCAGGATGTGCTGATTTTCCTCATCGAGAATCAGGATCACTTTCTGTTTGGGATGAGTGGCACCGCGGCCGACGAGCAGACGATGAAGGAGGTCGAAGCGGGCATGCCGCCCAAGACGTCGCACTCGAATATGCGTCGCTCCGTGTCCAGTGCCAGTGGAAGCACTGAGGGGCACCGTAAGCTGGACAACCTGCGCCGTAACGTCTCTGTTTCATCCAAAAACTCGCGGAACTCGAACAATGCCCCCAGCCCCGGTACACCAACTTCTGCTTCTGGTGGTGGCGTTCACCGCAGTAATACCCTGCCATCCAAGATGACTCCCGTCGTTGCTTCTGCGCGCTATTCACGACCCAGCGAGGCCAGCGCGACCAATCAAGCTGGTCTCTCCGTTTCCCATCAAAGTTCTCGATCGACTAGTCGAACGCCATCCGTACTCGAAGCGCCAGAAGAGCAGGACCCTACCCAAGCCACCTTGGGATCTTCCACGCCAGCCACCACGTTCAAGCATACCTCGACTCACGGACCTGTACCAGTGGCTGCGTCCGAGCCTCGCAGCATCAGCGACAACCCCCGTCCGCAGGAAATCCTGCAAACCCCAACCTCCCCGCCCCCTCAAGTCCTGACGCCGACTCGTGAGCGAAAACTTTCCACTCTCTTTAGCAAATCACCCGTCGCAGATGGAGATCAGAAGGAAACTCGGCAGCCAAATCGGTTGAAGAAACGACGAATTCCTGGCAGCGCCAGTGCCAGTGCCCAGAGCTCATCCAACTCCTTGCAAGGAGTGAACTCGGAAAGTGTGGATGCTCTTTTGGAATCGTCGCGTGGAAGGAAGTCGACGGACATCAGCATGGGCGATACCACCCCCCGACCAGCTCAGTCGGCAATCTTGGGCTCTCAGGCAGAGTCCAATGTAAACCCCGGCGAGAACACACCGCAGCCGGCGACGGACAACTCCCTGCGACCTCATCAATCCCGCACTCCTTCTATGAACTCGCGCTCGTCGTTCACCGACCACTCGGACCTGGATCAAGCCGACGAGGCGTCACGATCCGAGCGCCGAGATCACCGCCGCAGCTGGCGGTTCCATCGCTCGTCTAAACGGAGCAGCGAACAGCTTGGACTGGGTCTCTCATCTCCGCCCCTCGCCCCAAACAACCCAGGCGCAGAACAGAGCAGTAGCTCTGCCGGAAATGACCCACAGGTTGCTCCTAGCGATCTGTCGAGCCAGCCGCTGAGTTTGGATGCCGAGGTTCAAGGCAATGGTGTGTCTAGCTCCGAGCCAGAGAAGAAAAGCCTATTTGGCAAATTTAAGGCCAAAGTCGCTCAAGTCCGGGATGGCGTAAAGGATGATCGCGATCGAAACAAAAGCCCCGGTCGTTCGGACACAGATCCTTCTCTCACGAGCCAGCCGTTGTCCCCGACTGGTCCTGACCAGGCCAATGGCATGCCACCGTCCATTGAGGTGCCGCGAGAGCAAGCGAAGGAAGAACCCCTTCGCTCCCCTGTTTCACCCATGCCTGGTGGACTTCCGCCTTCGATCCCTGAGGAGCCTCATAGCCCCGTGGTGCCGTCTGCTGCCCCAACTTCGGACCCCGCCAAAGAGGTGTCTCAAATTGCAAGCACCGGGACTGCTGAGGCACCGACCTCAGCACCAGTGGACTCTTCTGGTGCTTTCAAGGAGGCTTCCAAGGAGGCTGAAGAGCCCTCTACCTAAGTGTCCTCTTAACGCTCTTCCAGCCTGCGCAACTGCTTGGTGCTTGTATCTCTTTTTGTTTTAGCGTTGATCCTTTGTTCCCTCAGGCACCAGGCGAGAGACTTGGGATTGGTATTGGGGGTTTCCTATCATCCGTGTTTTAGTATTTTCTATGTCTGTTTCATTTCCCTTGTGCTTGGGATCTTATACCTTGAAAGCAATCTCCCCTTTTGATCTCTGGCCTTGCTTCTCTTGTCTGGCCTTTCATCCGGAATCCTTTTCTCTACGCGTTCTTCCAACACCTAATCCCTGTTCATATCCCTTTCTTGCCGGTGTCATGCGTCGCGATGTGTCAACGAATGTATGGATGTCCCTTTATCTTCAGCCAGTCTATCTGTTCTTCTTGTGGTTGATTGGCTACTGTTGGACCTTGGCTCAGGCCATTTCACGATTGCTAGAATCAGATTCCATGAAGTTAGTTGGTTGATTACTATTGTATGTTGGTCAGTCTAGGAAGTAAATCTCTAATGCCTGAGTGACGAGGCACCACATGCAAACCAGACAAACCCTAGCGGGATTACTTCCCTTTCCTCACCTAGAACTTCGACCAAACCAGACCGCAAGTTCTGCTCCCATGTGTCCACAATGGCCTCGCCCTCCTCTCCTGCTTCTTCACTGAGCCCTGCGGCATCCTCCAGCTCGACTCCAGGCCAGCCCCTCGTTGAGAAACCTCCTCCACCTGTCGACATCCTTCCGTCACCTACCGCGCAAATCTACTCGTTCGTGCATCCGGCATTGCTGCTGACGCTATGTGCTATCCGCTTTGATGCATTGATTGCAAATCCGGCCCGCGAGCTCCTGAATAGCCTGCCATGGCTGCTGCTCCTGCAGTTGAGCTACGTGATGGTCTGTCTTCCGCCGGTTGGGACGGCACCGTCTCCTTCATCTTCCAAGGTGGTGGACACGGGTTCACCGATTCCCGGGGATGGGGAGAGGAAATCTGCTCCCCGATCGCCCTCTTCGCCTAGCGTCGCGTTGCGACCCGGTAAGCCTGGCTACCGGCGGAAGCAACAGACGGGCAAGAACATTTGGGCTGGCATTTGGGCTAAATTGATGGTATGAGAGCTGCTTCTTAGACAATTGGCTACTATCTAACGCTGACAACGTTCTATAGCCTGCTTTCCTTTCCCTCGCCCTCATCTCTCTCCTGGCCACACCCGTTTTGGCCATCCTGCTCGTCCTCTTCGGCGCTCCGCTCACCACCCAAAACGCCGAAACTATGCTCTGCGCCGCCCATATGGCTGTTCTTTCTGCGACTGCATTGGTATACGTTCATGGAGTCGACGGTGTGGCCTGGAAAGAAATCTGGGGCTTCGCTCGTCCGGCCGACTCGGTCTGGGGCGGCGCTCTGGGGACGGGCCTGGGAGCATGGTTCGGTGCTATTCCCATTCCATTGGACTGGTTAGTATTCTACAACCATTGAATCGTAGCGATCAATCTTGGCTGACTTTTGGATGGCAGGGATCGGCCATGGCAAACATTCCCTATCACTATCCTGGTTGGGGCCTACATCGGCCATGCCGTGGGTTCGTTGGTGTCTCGGTCTCCTCTTCTCTATGGGAAGCGGGTTCAATTTGCTCCGGAGGACAATGAAGATGCCGAAAAGAAGACAAACTAAGGATTTGCTGTGTCAATTGTGCTGTAGCTCGGCGCACGCGGATTTAGAGGACTTCTGTCATAAATCGCCTCTTGTGAGGACCAATCAGTTAATGTATACTATCATGGCCTAATCGCTTATTCAACGTTACCTCCGTCAGCTTCGGTTAGTGTTGGTGTGGGCCTAGACCATATCGAGTAGTTAAACGAGATACTACTTGACCGGGGTCTTGGATAGATTCGCTCGCCCATAAATAACACTAGCAACAACTGCCCCTGAATGCTCCATTCTACTCCATCCCACCCACCATGAAACTCCTAGCTTTCACTGCCCTCGTCGGTCTCTCTCTTTCTACCGCTGCCGCGGATCCCTCGTCGCCATTAGGTGCAGCGCCCATCCCACTGCCCTCGCTGGCCGATGATTTCGTACCACAAGCCGGCGAAGATGCAACTGTAGTCGAGGCAATCCGAAACACCCTCGCACTATACCCGTTTGCCATTGACGGAAAGAACTTCGACGCCCTGGGCAAGGTCTTTGCCCAAAATGCCGTCGCCAACTACTCGGCACCTCTCAATGTTCTGACCCCACTGTCTAACATCGAGTCGGCACTCGCCGCCAGCCTGGAGTGTGTTACGACACAGCATCTATTTGGCACCCAGCTGATTGATTTGGTCTCGCCTACGGTCGCCGAGTCTGTAACCTACTACCGCGCTGCACATTTCGGCACCGGACAAGCTACCGGCCAAGTTGTGTATGCCTATGGCCAGTACCAGGATATATGGCATCGGCAGTCAGATCAGACGTGGCGCATTGCGCACCGGAATCTGGTTTATATGGTATGCTTGCGATAAAAACACAAATGGCCTACTGTCATTTACTGACCTATCGATCCAGGGCCCGGTCATTGGCAATGAGACTATTTTTGTTTGCTAGAACATAAGTTCCTGTACCGATCGATGATAGCATACAAAGCAGTTAGAGTGGCATCAGGCCCGTTTAGTTTCCGTGGCGTCACCCAACATAACAATTCGAATCTTTTTCCGATCCAAGAAGCGTTCTTCGTCCTCCTCAAGGATTTTCGCCGCCTCCGGTTCTTCGAACTTGACCCGGAATGCCTCGAAGTGCTTCTGGTCCTCAAAGGATACGTCTGCAATGGCATCAAAGTCAAACTGAGCTTGTTCGCCCAAAAAGACCACTGCCGGATAGGAAGGACTGCCGTCGGCAACTCCATCTGCTGGCTGGCGAGCCAGGTAGAGACGCTTGTGGGAGACTGGGAAATCAGACCCGGCTATTTTCTGAACGAGTGGGACATGGACTGTTTCGTAGTGGTGCTGGAACTGGGCCGGAGTAAGATCGGGCTTGCGGGGGGCGAAGATAAGAATGCGGACGGTCATTTTGGTAGAGATGATTCTATTCTGACAGATATATTGGAATAGGCACAGCAAAGGAAGCAAGAATGATAATCTGGAAAGGCGGGTGGAAATGTATTAAATAGCACGCAATGTCAGGCATGAGGTTACAATACCAGATGCGGCCCCAATTGGGGCTGTTTATATACAGAGGCAATGCCAATTTTGGAGCCCTCGAAGTAGCGCGCTAAAATTCTGCGGGTAGTTACCGTGTAAACCACTCAAAAACCACTATTAATAGGCGCTGTATGGAAAATCGGTAAAGAAAGGTACTTTGGAGGGTTTCGGGCTTTAGGCCTGCCACGTTACTTGTTTTGTATATTCAAATTGTCTGTCGTTTTAGTCCGTTTTAGAATTGGAGAACATGAGATGTTTTGATTCGTGATTTGCACTCCATGTTGGAGCGTCGTGTTTGTTATATTCGACATGTACGGCTACCCGTTGCCAACATAGGTGGCGGCTGATGTAGGTACTATTGCAAGCCAAATGAAGCAGGGTAATGTCGTTCAGGCCAATCATCCTGTGAACGCATATACGATGCAATCAAAGCTTGCTGAACTCCTTGAAGCTGCCATGTCGGCCCGACCCTTTGCTGAATTTGGCAGCGCCTGCGATGGCCTCGGCAGAGATGACTTTGCGTCCAGCATTGAATTCCTGAGACATGGCGTCCTGGAAGGAAGTGGCATTAAATGCGCTGTAGTAGCATGAGCGTCGGTCTGTGTTTAAGCAAAGTTCTGGGAAGGCGATGAGCTGCTTTGCAATGGCAAGAGCCTCCTTCAACGACTCTCCCTTGGGGACCACACGGTTGACCAGCCCCATACTTAGTGCTTCCTGAGCGCCAACCGGTCGACCAGTCAATATCATGTCCATGGCGCGGCCGAGGCCGACAATCGCTTGCAAGCGAACAGTGCCTCCGTCGATGAGTGGCACGCCCCAGCGCCGACAGAAGACGCCAAAAATCGAGTCCTCCTCGGCCACGCGCATGTCGGCCAGGAGACTCAGCTCCAGGCCACCTGCCACCGCGTACCCGGCAACCGCCGCAATGATGGGTTTTTGCACGATCAGCCTGGAAGGCCCCATGGGCCCAAGGTTGCGGCCGGAGACAGGCTGGAGATTGTCGGCAGGAGTATTATCGCGTTTTTGCGCAACGCTGTGCAAGTCGGCGCCTGCACAAAAGGTATCACCGGTGCCGGTGAGAATGCAGACCTTCTGTGTTGCGTCTGCCTCAAACACGAGGATGGCCTCGTACAGCTTCGAGGCAGTCAGGGGATCGACCGCATTCTTCCGAGGGGACCGGTTGATCGTGACAATTGTGATGCCCTCATGAGAGGTGTCAGTAAGCACGAGAGAGGGTTCGGCCGTCATGATCCAGGTGAAATACACCATCCATAGGGGATCGGTGCTGGGCCAACCTTATACAGCATCATCATTCCTGTGTTCTAGGAATGCCTCGGCTAAACCCCACATCCGCAACGCACCTCTCCGACCTCCATCGGATCGACTGATTTCGTCCCCATAGCGCCATGTCCAGCGCGTGTATCATCTGTCACAAGCGCAAGGTAATTAGCGGGTCAATCGACCTAGCCTTATTTCGGCAATGCTGACTGCCCCAGGTGCGCTGTGACCTGGCTATCCACGACCCGTGCACCAATTGCCGCAAGTCCGATGTGGAGTGCAGGTATGTAGATGCGCCCGGAATGGGCGGCCTGCCGACTAATCAATGCATGCATTCAGGCCCTATACAAGGAAACGCAAGAGATTCACGAACAGTCTGTCGCCGGGGCGGCACATCCCTGACCCTGTTCTGAGCGAGACACCCCAGCGCAGCGCCTCCCACGCCCCGGTGGGCCCGACCGATAGTCGGATAGGATCGCACAGCTTCTCTCTAGACCCTGCTCAGACGGCCGATGCAATTTCCACGGGGCCATTGTCGCTGCCCGAAAACGATGATGCGCCCTTCATCAAGGAAGAAAGCTACCGCGGGCGTAGCGAGTATCTCGGCGGAAGCGTGCCATTCAACGAGAATATGGTCAAGCCCGGTCGCGAAGCCACATATCCCGAGCAGAAGGTATCGGAAGCAGACCTACAAATGCTTCAAGAGCAAGGCGCTTTCGAGCTGCCGCCAGTATCGGTCCAGAAGGAACTGATGGACAGCTTCAACCAGTATTGCGTTTCTTGGACCCCCATTGTCGACCCGCGGTGGCTGGATGACAATGCACAACCACCCATGCTACTTCTCCAGGCAATTTTCCTGGCAGGCAGTCGGGTATCAAAGACCCCTTTAGAATACGGGACAAGCGAAGTGTTCTACCGGCGAGCTAAGCTTCTATTTTTTTTTGGCGGCACCAACAACCCCCTCATCTCGATTGTGGCAGCCTGTCTTTTGCATTGGTATAATCCAGTAGGACCCGAGAGTGTTTCCACTGACACAAGCGGTTTCTGGATTCGCACCGCTGGTGCAATGGCTTTCCAGATCGGACTGCATAAAGAACCACCCCCGAACGCCAGAGACCGTGGGCTTCGACGTCGGTTATGGTGGTCTTTAGTTGTAAGTCTCTCTTTCCCTGGAAGGGTTGAGAATGCAGCTGACGAGACAAGATTCGTGATAATATCATTTCCGTGGGAGTCGGGCGCCCGCGGACAATAAATCTGCGTGACAGCGACGTGCTTCCGCCCTCGCTAGATGATTTCCCCGTCCGAGACTTTAAGGCTCAGCTTTTCTTAGCTTATTGCACCATCACTCGGCTTTTGGGTGATACTGTTGAATGCTACTTGCGCAAAGAGATTTCTCGACAGCGGCAGGTCAATTTGGAGAACGCTGTGTACCGATGGGCCAAACAAGCCATCCCGAAGCTACGCTCATCTGTCCTAGCGCAAGAGGACGCATTCACCTGCCATTTCGAGTTCCAGCAGCTACTAGTCATCTATTTTGTTGTGCTCATCATTCTCCATCGTTCACCCACCCCAAACAGCGTGCCGCCAGCTGTATCGATCGTGGCGTCCTCGTTTATCGCGGGCATCTGGGAAGAGTTTCTTCTACGCGATGAGCTCCGCTACTTGGGCCCTGTTTTTGCCTTTTATGGTCTTTGTGCCGGGCTTCCGCTACTTTCAAGCTGTCGATATACGCACCTGCAAAGCATAGCTGAACACGAATTGACGGTCATGAAGTTATCGCTTCAGAAACTCTCCGAAAGGTGGCTTTCGGCGGTTGGTCCGTTGCGAGCTCTTAATAAATTGACCGAAGAAGTCCGAGCGCAAGGACCGTTCGAGGGTCCATCGCCCGCTCTTGACCCTGACACGGCTTCGTTCTTTGAGGGATTTGACAGCAAAATGTGCAAACAATGGCGCCTGATCGGACAGTCCTCTGAACCACCTAATGGGGACACGGCCATCGCGGCCACTTGCTCGTTAGCAGACCTCCAAGAAGCCAGTGATGCCCTTCATCCGTTCGACACGCGACCAGAAGAGCAACTTACGGAGAACTACGACCTTACGACACTCGATGGCGACTTGGATCCATTTAGTAACAATTGGGAAGGAGCTGGATTCGACTGGAGTGGCTCCTGGCTTCTCAATTTGTGAAAGAAGTTTTTTTTTGTCACCAACATATACCCAAAATCTCGGCGTTCGCACATTTACTAGACTTGTGGCCTCGTATAGTGAAAGCTAGAGGCAGAATGAATTCTATCTATCGGTCTATGATACACTGTGTCTATAGCTTGCTCCTGTTCTCCTTGTTTGGCACCTCGAGATCATAATACTGCCTGAAGTGATCCAGACATCCCGGGTTTGCCACCGTGCTGCTGATTGTCTTGGGAAGCTGACCCGAGCTTATGACCTGTTTGATCAAGGTTTCGACCTTCTTGCCATTGACCGTCATGGGTACCTCTTTTACCCCAATCACAAAGCGCGGGACATGCTTGCTACTTAGTCCACTGCGGATGGCATCTTTCAGTTCCAGGGCGAGTTGGCTACTGTAAGGCTTGTTGGGCTGCATCACGACAAACAGAAAGACAGACTCATCAGTGTCCCGTTGCGGTCTCCTTCGCCCAACACACAGCGTTGTTGAGATGACCGAATTGAAGGGGGCCGACTCGGTAATTGAATAGATGTCTGACGATCCGAAGCGAATGCCCTGCGGGTTTAACACACCGTCACTGGTTTTCCACATCCATCAGCATCCAGTCAATCTAGCAAAATTTCTTTTCGAACATCTTCAACCTACCTTCTGCCGTGAATCTGCCATCCCTTGGTCAAGGGATTGTAGCTTGCCCAATCGTGCTGAGCCCAACAGTTCTCGAACTTGTCGAAATACGTGCTCTTGTACTTTTCTCCATCTTTATCACCCCAGAAAAAGACCGGCATCGATGGAAATGGCTTGCGACATACGAATTCGCCATGCTGCCCAGTGGTCTTGATCGACTCGCCCGTGATGGGATCAGCCACATCTACATCCTGGCCCAACATGGGAAGCTGGATCTCGCCGGGATATAGGGGGCCTGCAGGGTCGGTTCCGATCCAGGACGTCACCAAGTCTGTGCCACCAGTGACGCTAGTGAGATGGATGCTAGGCGGGAACGCGCGGTAGAACCAGTGATACTGGTCGGCTCCAAGATGGGACCCGCCCGTCTGCACCATCTTCATGGACGACAAGTCGAATTCATTCTTGGGAATGCATCCAGCCATCTCCAGCTCCTGTAGATAGCGCGGAGACACCCCCCAATATGTCACCCGATGGTGCTCGGCGATCTTTACCATCGTCTTCGGGGTTGGCCACAGCGGTGATCCGTCGTATAGAACCAGAGTCGGGCCCACAGAGAGATGGCCAATCATGATGTTCCATAGCACCCATGAAGTGCTGCTGTACTGGAACACAACATCATCGGCGGTCAATGAGTTGTGCAAGACCGATGTCTTCTTGTGCTGTAGGATGACGCTGTGGCTGTGGACCAAGCACTTTGGCTGTCCCGTAGTGCCGCTGGTATAGAGAATGTACAGTGGGTGTGAGAATGGAACTCTCTTGAACTCCAACTTATCGGTTGGCTGCGACATCGACAAAAATGAATCGAGGCTGGAGAATGCCTGCTCGTGATTGCCCGTGATGGGAATCAAAAATACCTCGGGCTTGGTTTTCATGCCCTTGACGATATTGCGAATCTTGGGTACATTTGACTTGAACTTGCCCTTGTATGTCGACTCGCTATCGGCAAACAGAATTCGTGGCGTGACTTGTTGCAGTCGCGACAGGCATCCCTGTGGCTATCAGTATCTCCCGATCGCAATTGAGGTGCTCAACTCTTACCTCTTCACCAAGATCCGGTGCAATGCTGGTCCAGATGGCACCAATGCTTGCGGTGGCCAGGAATAACCCAACGGACCACACGCTGGTTGAGATAATGGCTGAGACGCGGTCTCCTTCCTTGACCCCAAGCTGCAGCAAGGCACTTCTGGCCTTTCTCACATTTTCTCTCAACAGGCCCCAGGTCCAGACCTCGCCGCTCAAGCCTTGCCCTTCACGGACCCCAACCAGGGCCTTCTTGTTGAGGTCTCTGCCCGAAAGCACATTTTCCGCATAGTTGACGGTTGCACCACGAAAGAACTCAGGTACTTTTTCCATGGGAGTGTTGGGATCATAGGCAGTGGTGACTGTCGGGGGCAAGGCTGGAATGACGCCCGTGTACTGGTGGAGGTCCGTCCAGAAGTCTTGCAAGTTGTTGACGGACCATTGATGCAGCTCCTGCGATGAGCGCAGCTTCTGGTTGAACTTGCGGTTGATATGGGCGCGGTAGATGTTCATGGGGATCTGATCCTGCGGAACTGAGGGCGTCCATATAGGACTTGGCTTCTCGAGGGCATTAGCACCCTTGGAGACGTCTGCACTAGCCATTGTCTTTATGAATCTGGCCCGAATTGCAAGTATATGCTGGTCTGTAGGCAGTTTGATATAGTGAGGAAGCTGCTCGACATTTAAAGCCGCGCCCGCAGCAATAATAGCATTAATACCCCCACGGTCGGCACACACCTGTCGGTCCCCCCGCAATGCTCCCTGGGGCTGATGCGGACACTTTCGGCGATTATCGGTCGCTCTCGGGGGTGTTGCTCGGTCCTGGGTCCGACGACGCTATTCAAGCGACGTTGCCGACCTGACTCCACCCCCGCATGGCGGGTCGGTCGGACGATATAAAACTCGAGGCTGTGAAGAAAGTTCAGGTGTTCATTATTGGTCCTCAGGTCGCCCTAAGTAATTTTCCTGCTCGCCTCTCAGCCAGCATGTCTCAACCTCTCAAGCCTTCGACCGCCGATGAGGGTTTTATCCTCTCGACACCGGCCCTAGAGAATCCAGCGACTTCTGACCCAATCTTTCAACGCATCTTGCAGTGTATGTTTCTCCCGGACTTGTGATTAACAGCTATAGTTTTTGTGAACCCAGTACTGAGATTTGCATCTTGCTTCTAGGGCATTTGCCAGATGACGTCCTTGCAAAGATCTCTCCAGAACTCCGCAGCTTCGGGGCTGAAGCAATATCCGATGAGATAAATAGTTTGATTGGCAATGCTGAAAGTCAGCCGCCATACATCAAGACACGCAATGTCTGGGGTGCTAGGTATGAGGCGGATCGCTTAGTGACTAGTACTGGTTGGAAAGAGTTGGGCAAATGGGGCCTCAAAAATGGGTAAGTAAGAGGTTCACTGGACATCTGATGCTCCTGATATTGACTCTACTCCCAGCGTGGTTGGCCTGGGATACGAAGATGAATTTGGACCATACCGACGGATCGTGCAACATGCCTTGTAAGTGCTTTTCAAAGAAATTATTTTTATCCTTCCGTTAACGCATGCCTAGTAACTACATCTTCTCCGCATCCTCGGCCGCCTACTCGTGCCCAGTATCCATGACCTCCGGGGCGGCTCGCTTGTTCCGGCACCAACTGTCTTCTGTGCCCACCGACCATCCATTTCATGAACTCTATGCAAAACTAATTGCTCGCGAGAACAGTTGGGTTTCAGCTCAGTGGATGACCGAGCGTCCCGGGGGAAGTGACGTCCGTAATAGCGAAACCGTAGCGGTTTACTCCCCGCTGGCATCTAAATCGGGTCGATTCGGAAATATTGAGGAGGGAGACTACTTGCTATCTGGCTTCAAGTTCTTCTGCAGCGCCACGGACTGCAATATCGTTCTGCTGTTGGCAAAAACGGAGTCTGGAGAACTGTCGCTCTTTGTGGCACCGACGAAGAAAACGGCCCATGATGCCAACGGCAACAAGAAAGAAGTTTCGAATGGTATTCGCATTCATCGACTCAAAAACAAGATGGGCACCAAGGAGCTCCCCACGGCTGAGGTCGAACTCAAGGATGTGCGCGCACATCTCGTCGGCCCCAAAGACCGCGGCATTGCTACAATTGCTTTGTTGTTGAATACTACGCGCACTCACAACTTTATCACGGCGGTTTCCTGCCTGCGCCGGGCTCTGGACATTGCTAAGGCTTTTGCCCGAGCACGTACGACGATTGACCAACCTCTGTGGACGTTCCCCATGCATTTGAACGTTCTGTCCCAACTTGAGGTCAAGCATCGCGGCTGGCTGCAGCTGGCCTTCTTTACTTCGTCGCTTCTTAGCTTTGTTGATAATGGATTCCCCACGGGTATTCCAGCGCACTATAAGGTGTTGGCGGCATCTCCAAATGCCGCTTTGGTGGCCTTGCGGGTCCTGACCTCAACCTCTAAGGCTGTGGTCTGTAAGTCTGCCACACTCGCGTTTCAAGAGTGCCAGGAGGCAATGGGTGGCGTTGGCTATATGGGTGAGCTGCTTTCCTATGAATGTTAGCGAAAAGTTTCCTTTAACACATTATCTACAGATGAGCCGGAAGAACCAGAGTTCAACGTGAGCCGATTGTGGCGTGACACTGCGAGTAACAGTGTCTGGGAGGGCACGACCAACGTTCTTGCCAGCGAAACTGTGCGGCATCTGACAAATGGCCGCAATCTTGACATTTTCGGATCCTGGATCACCGATGCAGTTGACCAAGTGTCGGATCCTGCATTCCGAGCGGCTCTCCACAATGTTTGGTCTACTCTACGAGAGAAGCTGACCGCTGGGCAAGACAAGCATGGTCTTTCCAGTGTACTGGGCATTGGCCGTCAGATCATGTTTACGCTGGCTTGGCTTGTGAGTGGTATTCTACTTGCACTAGATGCTCAACGTGATACCGACGGAGTTGCTCGCGAGGTCGCTCGGAGATGGGTACTGGAGGGACAGGGTGTGCCGGGGGAATTTGCATTCACAGACCTCATCTACCAGCGCTCAGCCTCGGCGCAGGACAAGAGGCCAACAGAGAGAGAGCGAACGCAGTGGGATTGTCGCATTGTTTGGGACGTGGATCTCCCATCCACTGCTTCCGCAGGATTCAGGGCGGCGAAGATTTGATATTCAGGTAACCAACTTGAGCATTGTAATTAACACCATGTTATTTACTGTGAATATAGAACTTTCTTGCATATCACATTTAAATTCACTTAAATACATTATTGCATGGTTCTCCGCTTCGGACGAAAGACACAATGGCACAAGGGAGCTAGAAGATCCCATGTACGATTGGCTAGCAGATACATATACACAGGATAATGTCTGGCGCCTCGTGACCTGCTCCTTTCGTTTTAGTGCTCACTGCTTGCTCCCTGAGTAAAACTGAGCATGACTGTGAGCGGCCTGATCCACTCACTGAGCCCGCCCTGAGCCCACCCCGAGCATGGGGATGAGGGCTCTGAGTAAGCCTGCCTCAATAAAATGCACCCTGCTAGTGTCTTCCCTGTGCAACATTTTTCCTTTGCATTGCTCGTATTTCTCTCGTCACCAAAAACTGCCGTCTCAGTGGCAAAATGCGTAGTGGGCTTTGTTCAACAGACCTGTTGATCCTAAACATCCTGTGATACTACGGCTGTTTACGCTGGTTTTCGGAACCTATGATCATTGTCTGTCTGCGAGCGACGTGAATAAACAACTCTACCGCTACTACATATCCTGTCTGCAATTGGGAAGCATTGTTCGACTTTAAGATTGAAGCATTCTAGTCTAATTCATTGTATACATTCTGGTCCAACAACAACAAATTCTCTCTCTACTAAATTACGATTACCGATCTTCCAGGTCGGTCATGTTATGCTCCTAGGAATACAGCCTCGTCTACTAACTCGTTAATCTGCTGAACCCTAGGGCAATTGGATGAAGCCGTTTGAAGTTCCATAGTTGTGCCCTGTGACCTTTCTTAGCTAATCTCATTCTCTCTACAACAAACAGGACTGTTGTCATCCAGCTGGTGAGTTTGCTCCTAGGAACATTCAAGGCAAACGTGGAGTGAGGTCCGTTGGAGAGCGAGCAGGCGGATCGAGTGGTATTGGCGAGTCTGTTCGATAGCGCGAGTGTACTGAGCGTATATGGGTTTGGAGATTGGGCGAGGTTGGGCAGGCTTTGGATTGAGAGTGTAGATGGAAATGCCATGTATTTGTAATAGTTAACTTGTGCGAACTGTGTTTGCAGTTATTACAGTGCACCTTGAGGCCTGTCTTCATACAATCGCCCGTTTGAAAAACGATTTCCTTATTTCAGGAAAAATATAACTGCAGCACAAGCAAGTGTTGCACTAGCTAATTAGACGAGTGGCGCTGTGACAAATCATGTCACCCTCGACACGCTGAGTCACTCCGGAATTCTCCAACTGCGCTTCCAACATACCTCTCAGTGGATATGCAGGATGACACCACGGAATCGCACACTCACGGGCTGCAGTACCTGCCGTGCCCGGCATCTAAAATGCGATGAAACTCGTCCTGGATGTCAGATGTGCCGGGCCCTTGGCCTGTTGTGCCCAGGGTACAGGCCGCAATTAAAATGGACCCAGGATCTCTTCCAGCCAGAATCACAGATAGAAGAAAACGAGGATCGCGTATTTCGTCGTCCATTGTTTAGAGGTAAGATTTCATTCGACGGCAAACTGGCGGTGCATCTGACTGATTTGATAGAGAATGAGCAAGTGTCAATGACGCTGATGACTATTGACAGCCTTGGAAGCCACACTGCTGATACAGCATTGAAAAGCCTCGATTGCATGCCTGAAAATGGCTCGAAAACGACTGCTTTGCCAAATCCAAGTCGATTTAAGGGACCGTTTGGTGTCCTGAATTTCGTGTCGAACCGCGCCTCACCAGACACCAATTCAGAATCTGGCGTGGATCAAACCAGACCCCGGAAGTCAGGCGAACTTCTATGGCCAACTCCAGATGTAACATTTGCCAAAGAAGCTGCTCCTGGCTTTCAACGGCCAGGCCTTGGGAACTCAACCGAGCCAGTCTACTCGTTGGTTGAAGGGTCCATTATTGACGATGCAATATCCGATCGCTCATTAGACCCGCATGTTGATGATATCGTTCACCATTCGCCATCTCAAGAATCTGCCATTTCCCCGATCCCATTCTTCTCAACCTTTTCGCCCACCAACTGCCGCCTTGTTCCCAACCGAGCACCGGAACTTTTGCGCTATTTCAAAAACAACATAGTGTCACTGTCGCTGCCATTAAAGGGTAGTCGAAAATGTCCCTGGCAGACAGTTCATCTTCCTAGCGCTGAGAAAACTTACGCACAACTTATTCTCCATGAGACTGCTAGCCATACAAGTTTGTCCCTTTTCTACTCCCTCCTTGCCGCCAGCTGTCTCTACCTCTCAGCCAGGGACAAATCCTCCATCAATTGGAATAAGTTGGGGAAGGCATATAAAGAGATCGCCAGTAAGCAACTTGAGTATGCTATTAGGCAAGAGAGTACTGGATCAGTACGGATAAAGTACAAGGAACTGTTGATGGGATTGTTGTCGATGGTGATGCTTGAGGTCTGGATATACCAAGAATCTCCTGTTCAGGTGACAGAATTTGATGCTGACACACTAGTGCAGATTCGCTGCTGTCAATATAACGACGCCCAGAACCTTTTGGTCGAGGCTGAATGTCTTATTCGGCGGAGAGGCCTGCCAAAACCCCACAAATCCCTCAAAGTTCGTGTTCTTCATCACGTCTACGCCTATCTACGCATAATGGCCGAGAGCACATGTGGTTGCGCCCTTATGAATATTCGCCCGGAACGTCCTAGTTCTAGTTTGCTATCTGCCGAGTCCTCATTTCATTTCCTACGAAGCTTTCGCGTGACGGATCACAATCCGGAAACTGATCTTAATATAGATGTGGAAAAAAGTATTGAGATTGGATATAATGACATCCACTTGGAAGTAATGGGGACATGGAAGGAATCACTCTTTCTAGAGATCTACGGTGTGCCTGAGGCTTTGATGAGCCTCCTGTCGCAAACTATCCGACTGGCAAACGAGCAGGAGCTGCTGAATCATGACAGCATCCTTGACCCTGATGTTGTTATTTATTTGAACCGACGAACTAAGCTTTTGGAACACCATATCCTTACTTGGAAACCATCCGAGGCTCCTCCCGATTCGCCAGAAGAGCGTTTAGTCAATACGACCCGTGACCTTGAGAATACCAAAGCAGCCTACTACGCGGCGATGGCTGTACATCAGAGTCTTATTCTTTTCTACTATCGACGTGTTCACAATATCAACGCATTGATTCTTCAAGATACGGTCCGAAAGGTGATTGACTTTGTGCGTCAGAGTGAGCAATCTACCACTGAGGGCGACCATCACGTACCATCATTACTTTGGCCCTGCTTTGTTGCGGCGTGCGAATCACTAGACCTTGAGCTTCAATCTCAGCTACTGGAATGGCTACTTGCCTCTGGACGTCGCACTTCTATATCCTCTTTTACCGCTGCTGCCAAAGTTGTTCAGAACGTTTGGAAATTCCGAGAAGAGACCATGGACTACACATACAGCTGGTTTGATGTTGTGAATCAAGATTTATGTCCAATAATTGCAATTTAACATCGATCTTCCTTCTGTCTCTCGTATAACTAGATCACAGAACGTCTATCTTGACTTCATAGACGGGCTTCCTCCGGGCTAGTACAGAGAATGCATTTGATGCACAAATCAGAGATTATGTAAATTTAAAAAGATCCACACGATAGAACCAAACTTATCCACGTAAAGCCACAGATATTTTTTCTAATCCATATCGGAGCTCGTCGATAGTGGGCCAGCCAAACCCCACGCGAAAGTAAACATCCTCTAACTCGAACCAACGGCCCGGGGCAACATAGACCCCGTACTGCTCCGTCAATCTTTTGTAAAACGCAGCTGGTCCGCCAACGGGTTCCTTGATCATATGAATTATGCACACCATGCCACCTTGAGGTCTGATCCATTCAAGGCACTCCTCTTGCGCGACCCAGCATGCAACAATATCTCGTCGAGCCTTCATATCCAAAATGGTCAAAGGCAACAAAATGCTAAATCGTGATAGAATTTGTTCGGCAATCCACTCATCGACAACGCTGCCGCAGATGTTGATCTGCTCCTTTGCCGCGAGGAAGGACTCCATTAACTCAACGTTGCGGTTGATCAACCAGCCGGTTCTCGTCCCAGGGACGCCAAAACACTTAGATAGAGATCCAACGCTAATGACATGGTCGCCAAGCGAGGCGGAGATTGGTAGCTTTTTTCCAAAGATAATTTCCCGGTAGATTTCATCCACGAGGAGGTAGCATCGCTTCTCCAGTGCCAAGCCTACAAGCCTGTCCAGATCATCCCTACTCATCGTCTGACCACTCGGATTGTGGGGGTTGGTGAGACTGATAAGTCGTGTATTTGGATGGATGGCATCTCTCAGCGCCTCGAAATCGATGCGAAACTCGTTCCCAAATGTCAAGTCGAAGTAGGTAATGTCACATCCGATTGCTCTTGGAGTTGCTAAATTGATTGCATAGTTGGGACGAACAATCAACATATGATCTTTCGGTGCCAGTATGGTTGTTGCGACGATGAACAATGCTCCTGCTGTGCCAGTGGTGATCATGACATCTTTCGCAGTCAATTTCGGCTCATCACCAACCACCAGCTCTCGAAGCCGTTGGCTGCCACGGTGCTCTGTGTACTGGAGTTTGAGATCAGGAATGACAAGGTTGAGGCTCCCAATGCTTCTATCAGCAATTGAGCTCTCGATCAGGTTGCAGCGAATGTTATGGTATCCAGATTCCTCTGGTGACTCGATTTCGATGGGCATGCGTATATATCTCATGGTCGGTGGATTGAAATAAGATGAGTAGAAGATGAGAGACTGTTGAAGAAGGAAGTGATAGCAAAGTTCGTATAAATACCGCAAATTACACAGGCTGAATAATTCATTATCCCCTTCTCTTTTCCTTCTAGGATCATAATCCCAAGTTTGATGAGCCGGGATAACTTACCTTGCTTGTTGCTTGCTGACTCACACCGGAGCGCGCCCTCCCCGAGGTACTCACTCTCACCTGCGGACCGCTTACGCTTGCCAATCGGGGAGCACTGACATCCCAACTAAGAATATGGCTTACCGAGCATTACTTCAAGACCACCTTTTTATTTGAGAAGCCTTGCTCAATATATTTTCGAGTTGGTTTCTTTCTAAATTCCTTGCGTAACTGAACCAAGCTGCTGTCAGTTGCATCTATGTTCGATTATTCCTGAGAATAAATTCACGCCAACGACTAATATTGACAATGAGCTCGAATTCCCCTCAAATACTCATCACCGGTGCCACAGGTAAGTTCCTGGAATGTGAAATATAAAAACTCTTCTCTTTTACTTCCGATCTTTTTTCTCCCTTCGCTTGTCTTTGGCCTGCTGTGCGCGTCCATGAATTAACACTCGAGAAAAGGCTATATTGGAGGAGATACACTCCATGCTATCTTGCTGGAGTTTCCCCATTTGGAATCCTTGATTAGCTGTCTGGTACGCAAATCAAAGCACTCTGAACTTCTCCGATCCACCTATCCGTCGTTGAAGCTGGTTTACGGGGATTTCGATGACCTATCGCTGTTGGAGTTCCTCGCTTCAAGTGTCGATATCGTTATCCATTGTGCCAATATCGAGGATGTTGCTCCCACCAAAGCACTGGCTCGAGGGCTTGCAAGACGTGATCGTACGGGCCCAGCATTTTGGATCTGCACGTCAGGCACGGATATTCTTGCATGGGAGACAATCCGCCATGGAAGTTACGGAGAGCCTCGTGAGATGGTATACAATGATATGGACGACATCTTCAGTGTTCTGGCGCTCCCTGATGATGCACCTCATAGAGATGTCGAGGCGGCTCAACAAGGTGCAACGAGTTTTCGCGTCAAAACTGCGATCGTCTGTGCTCCTTGCATCTACGGTCAAGGCCGAGGCTGTGGGAATCAGCGCAGCATCCAGCTACCAAACCTAGCTCGCTTCATCATCGAAACAGGAAATGCGTTCATGGTTGGCCGCGGCCAGAATCGATGGCCCAATGTTCACGTACATGACTTGAGCAATTTATTTGTCCGCCTGACCAAAGAGGCACTCGCAGGAGGGGGCATCGCTACTTGGGGTCTAGATGGTTACTACTTTGCAGAAAATGGAGAGCATGTCTGGGGGAGATTGCCAAGGAAATTGCAAAAGAAGCTCAGTCACAAGGTTTAGCTGCCTCACCAGATGTGGTATCCTGGTCCGCGAAAGAGGCAGATCAACATGTGGAGTATTGTGCACTGTTCTATGGTACAGATTCCCGGTGCAAGGCATTCCGTGCCCGGCAAGTTCTCGGTTGGAACCCCCAGAAGCACAGTATCGAGGACGAGATAGCAACAACATTGGCCATCGAGAGGAAATTTGTGCGCTGAGCCAAATTGTTTCATGCATATCTATGCTGTATCTTACCAATTTTACTAGCCCTGAGTTTTATTTTGATTTGAGATACGAACTGTAATAGTAACTAGAACATTCATGTAATGATATTAGATCTGGCTTATCGACATAGGAATTTAGATCGATTCAACCAGGAGAAATAGCAATCAAAAAAGTGGTCTACAAGATGTAAAATAATGCTCCAAGAATATTTTTTATTACTATAGGGGAGCACGGAGTAAGAAGAAGACTCACAAGAGGTAATATGGTGCGAGAGGCCTTTACACCGACGCTCCTAAGGTGAAAATTCCAAGTCTAGCCCTAATGCATAACTAGTGCGTATCAGCCTGACAGTCTCGATACAGGAGCTCATACAAAACGTGAGGTGGTGACGGCAGGGGAGAGTCGCCTGCCACGATCATAGGACGGACTATATCTAATAGGGATAAGGCTACGTGCACTAGTCCTACCTAGGTCTAGAAAGGGCCGTTGGTCGAATTGAGGGCGCTTTCTTCAATTATTGACCGTATTCTACAGTTGGATAAAACTAAACTAAAAACCAAATCATGCGTACAAATGACCCACTTCTTGAATAGCGCACGACCCGTCACATGATTAAAACTAAACTACAGTCGGTGTAGCCGTTCAGGGGCCCGGCCTTCCGTTTCTCACATCTCTTAAAAATCGCCCCCCTCGCGTCCCCCCGCTTGCGACCTTTGCATATTTCGACTTTCGGGGTTTGCTCCTATTTTAAAATTTCACCGCGGATGCATCACCATGACGGAGATGACCTGGCCGCGATCGAGCCCGATGTTGGTCTCTCGTAGGATCGGCGCTTAGAATTTACAAAAGAAACTAACTTGCGCAGTCATTGCAGGACAGTGATTCGACATACACTGGCTCGTAAGTCCCGCGGTTCATGACGATGTCAGCGTGTCCCTTTGCTAATCCCGATAGGCTGAGCGAAGCCAGTTACACCAGGAGCATCACGTCAAGTGCTTTGAATTATCAGTATGTATATTATTATTTGTTTCTATTATTTCATCTCTCCTTCGTCGCTAAGAATACAGATATGAAGTATGTTATCATGAGACACCATGAAAGTGATTGGTGCTGAGTGTCTAGAATGGTCGTAGATATCATTCTTACCACGAAGGAGAATACATCCTAGTAGGCGACACTGAAACAGATATCACTAATCGATCTAACTTCCGTTTGAAACTTAGCCCAATGACGAAAGAGAACAAGATCGACTCGATTTAGTTCGTGTTTACCCATAACTATGGATCTGACGTTTCAAGGATTGACGATAGTAGAGCCATCATATTTATTTAATGCTTCTCAAAGGCGAATTACATCGGGCGCCGGTGGAAAATCCCCGGAGAGTGTTAGATCTCGGCACGGGAACGGGGATATGGGCCATTGATTTTGCAGAGTAAGCGCCGCATCTGTGATCTCCTTCATATATCTATAGATGTCTGTCAGAATCACAGTCACTGACCCTTTTATAGCGAACATCCCGAATCAGAAGTGATTGGTATAGGATGAGTCTTCCTGCTGCTCATTTTCAAGCGATTCTAACTGAGCATAGGAATCGATCTTAGTCCCATACAACCAACATGGTACATGAAACAATCAGCAGCAGGCCACTGCACACGTTGCTAACATGTTCAGGGTGCCATCTAACTGTCGCTTCGAGGTTGACGATTTTGAGCAACCGTGGTCCTATATTCGGCCATTTGACTTCATCCACGGGCGAGAGCTCGAAGGTGCTATTCGCAATCCCGACCAAGTTTTTAATCAAGCATACGACAACCTAAAGCCAAACGGATGGTTCGAGATGTCGACTATGGAACCGACGACCTATTCTGATGATGGCACGGACGTCAGAGCGACCTCCATGGTAGAAGCCATTAAACACATGCACGAATCATCAAAGCTGTTCGGAAAGGACCTGATGTCATCGTTAACGTGGAGGCAACGGATGGAGAAGGCCGGGTTTGTCAATGTCAAAGAGGAGATTTACAAGGTAGGTTTTGGCTATGTCTGTGGGCCACTTACGAAAGAATCTGATAGTGGTATAGTTGCCCCAAAGTCCCTGGCCGAAAGACCCGAAACTCAAAGACCTCGGCCGATATCACCAACTCAACATGTTGGAGGCTATGCCCCCATATACCTATGCATTGCTTACGAGGGTACTCGGGTGGAACCGGGTCGAGATTGAGGCACTATTAGCAGGCGTACGCCAGGAGTTGCGCGACCTGTCGATCCATCTGTATACAAAGGTGCATGTTGTGTATGGGCAACGACCTGAATAATTAGTTCCATCTTTATCAAACATACCAAACGCAGCGCATGAGACCGTGTCGCAGTGCTAGCTATCCAGATAATCAAATATATCCTCGAAGCGTTTGAGAGGTCTCCGGCTCACACTTTGAAATAAAACTCGTCAAATTATATCACGCTAATTTCCGTGAAGGAAATTTTGTCGTGCTGCAGTCTATTGCTGCGAATAGTTTGAGCATTAATCGAGAGTGAGTCAACGTTGCGTGCCTGACTGATAGGCGAGAAGTTCAAACTGAGCAATCCTCAAGCCATATCTGATAGTTAGCAATCAAAATAATGCTTTCGTCATCACTCTTCTGCCCAATAGTGAAATTCTCCTCCTGTTTGCTCTATCGTACAAGTCTACTCGCGAAACCACGCACTTCAAGCAGGAACTCAAGGACTGGTACGTACCATTGAGAAACAGTCTCTGGCTTATTGAGTAGATATTAGCACGAGCTTAGAACTAATGGTTATGCTTAGGCTAGTCACATGTGTGATATTAATGTATACACGCATTAATCAGTGAAATACTCATGCAGCCGATACTACATATTCGCTCAGAGGTGAGCAACGCAAACGAACACCATACCAAGCACGCTAGATGACACGATTTTTGATCATAGACTCAACAGCGTCTGTGACACTGGCTTCGAGACCGATGTACTCCCACTTGCCGTCTTTGGTACCGTTAGCGAGGATGGTCAGACTCTGGCGCATGTCGAATCCCGTCGGATGCACTCCCGGGGGCAAAATTTGGGAGGGGTCTCCCTCCGGGACCCGGTCTCTGAGGGCAGGGAAATTCTTGCGGATGATGTTAACCACCAATTGCGGTGTGATGAGCCCCGACACGAGAAGAATCCGCTGGTTTGCCGCGGCGGGATTCTCCAGCGCATCAACATGGCTCTGGGCAACGTCACGCACGTCCACCTGATCATAATGCATTAGTCAAGAGTCGCTGGATATGGTGTTCCTTCTCAATGACTAGTCGGCTGGATTTCGAAGCCGAAGAAATAAAACTTACAAAGTGGTAAAAAGGAAACGTCACCCCTTGAATTTCCTTGTGAGTTCCGTCAATGAAGCTTGCAATGGCAAACTTATTGGTCTCATTGATAGACTTGGGACCCTCGATCTGGTGGATCATTGGACCGATGATAATGTCCGGATTGATCACGACCAGGTCGAAGGAGGGCGAATTCTGTTTCATGAACTCCCACGCAGCCGCCTCACCTCGGATCTTGGACACGTTGTATCCAAGAACGGTATCCTTTCTCTCGATGGCCTGCTCAGCCGTCACCTGTGTCTAGGTAAGATAATCTGACCCGATAATGAAGTGGGTGCGATCTTTGCTTACGGGATTCCAATCTTTCTCCGTGTACCGCTTTCCTTCCCTGGACTCGTCTTCGAAGGAGTTGAGCACGGATACTGCGCTACCCAGCAGGATAAAGCGCTTCAAGACGGTGCCCCCGTGGTGGTGGGCGGCCTTCAAAATCTCAGTAGTTCTAAAGATGTGAGCTACACTTCGGAAGACTACTTCTTCATTGAATTTACTTACCCTATCACGGCGGGCTCGATTATCTCTTTCTGAATGTCAGACGCCTGAAACGTCACTGGAGATGCCGTGTGGACGACGTAGTTGAACGGCGCCTTTGCGCTCTGGAAGAGATGGTCGAAAGGTCTCGAGCTGCTGAAATCCGCGACGATCGCAAATTCCACTTTGCCCTTCCAAGTCGGGTGGACTTTGATTATATCATCTGCTTTTCTCTGAGAGCGCACGGTCGCGGTGACGAAGTATCCACGCTACCGGCTGGTTAGCGGCCTATTGCGCCAGGAGCGGCACAAATTGCATACATCTATCAGAATGGAGAGGATGTGAGAGGCCACGAAGCCATTGGCGCCGGTCAGCAGGACGCGTGGGCCTTGTCCAGCACTTGACATCGTTAAGGAGCGTGTCCAAATAATCCAGAAAATGCTTTTAGCAGCTTAGTGGTAATTGCGGGTTCAGGTAATTTGTGTGGGGTCAGCCTGATCACTTGAGTATATATATGCAAGTCTATGAATAACTTATTTGTGTTCGGTGAGGTCATTTTCTTGACAGAAGTCCTTCCGGCCAATGAGGCATTCCCTTTTAACTTGTGATATATTATTCAGCAGATATTGTCATTAGTTAACGTCATGTTGAGGTCAATGGAGGACGAGAAAAGTGAGTAGATTGAGGGTGTATGGAGCGCAGGAATTCCATTCCGACCAACGCTTCATAGACCGTATGGTAATAATAATAGGTCAAAAACGGTAAGTGCCTACTAGTGGCCGGCCAATTTTTGCCAAGTCAGTATCAGATTGATCGACACGCCGAGTCAACTTAATGCCCGATAAAGTTGGTCCTGTATCGGGCCTTCAATTCAATTCGGAAAACTACGGACAAATTTCTGACTGATGAAGTAATACCGTAACTCAATCGCCAAAATATCCTAGAAGTCCTGCCGGAGCTGCTCCACTGGCGGCAGAACCCCCCCTTTTTCCAGCATTTGGAAAGTATCTTCCAGTTCCTCCCACGTGTCCGCATATCCGGTCCATCCAAGCTTACGAGCCTTGCTCATACTCGCTACGCAGCTCCAGTCTCGGCCCATGGTCAAAACTAGAAAATCCCATGTCGCCTTGTCCCATGCGTCCTGGTCCAGATGGTACTTCTCCCGTAGTTGCCCCCAGGCTGCTTTCACATCCGGTCGACGCGCCCACTTCTGCGGGTCCACCTGCAGAAAGAGTGTGGGAGCGTTATCTACCAGGGGGTCTGAAGAGAGACCTAGAGAGGATGCACGCGCCTTTATGGGTGGCCGATGCTGCATCCGGATCGTCGACGACTCGTAGTCCTTAAATCCCTTCGTGTCGGGCACCCCGCCACTCGGAAACATCGGATTTGGAATCTTGCACCCGAATCGAGCGGCCAGACGAGACCACAGATTCTGAAAGGACTCCGTGTCGCCGTTTACCACGTTGAAGATGTGGTTGGCCGCTGCGGGGGCCGTCGCGGCCCAAAGGCAGAATTTAGCGTGCAGGTTCGCCGAGGTCCAGCAGTTAAATGTAAAATAGTTGGCCTTGCTACCGGGAAATGGTAGCTCGGAACCTGGAAGGACCTTGCTAACCGCACAGTAGAGCCCAATTGAGGTGGCTTCGTTCATGAAGTTGCCCTTGGCGTATCCGAGTACATCCTCTGGCAGCGTAACCACCCATTCCCAATGGCCGTTGACGGCGGCCTCGGCGAGGACCTTCTGTTGCTCGTAGTAAAATATAGGAGGCCAAGTCCCCTCGGCATCCGCTAATAATGGGTCGTCTTCTAAGAAAGGTTGCTTGCCCTGTCCCAGATGAACGCCGTAGTGCTTTAACCCACAAGTGAGAATGAAACGCTTGATTCTCCTATCAGCCCCAGCAGCAGCGAGGGCTTGAAGGAAAGTGTGCAGGAATGCCACATTTACTCGCGACAATTCTTTCTCATCGTCGCGTGCCATGTAGGCACAGAAGTAGATATATTCGGCTGAGACCCCGCGAAGGTTATGGGCCATGTCTTTTACAGAGCCCAGGAGGTCAAGGGAGACATGCTGGATCTTGGGATGCTGGTAGCCAGAGTTGCGCCGCGATAATGAGTAGATTTTGTCATAGAACGAGTCCTTGACGAGGTGGTGAATAATGGCACTCCCGGTGATGCCTGATTATCTGGTTAGTTTCGTAGGACTTTGTGACAAAGCGGGACATACCTGTGGCACCAGCTACAATGGCGGAAGGCATGTTGAATGAAACAGGAGGATCCGAATTATTAAGACTTTGCTACCGTCGTCCGGGTACCTTCAATATATAGACCATCTTGAGCATCTACGTCATGGTTACATCTTCCGCTAGATACTGGTAGATTTGACCCATAAAAAGTGATGTGATCTGCCCATTACTCTCATTTCGAACCTTACAGATATTAGGGGTTGCGCTCTTGTATGATTAGTTGGAGCTTGATCTGATGCGGCGCCAATGAACAACAGTGCTCGTCGCCACCGCGTGAATGCTGAGAGGTCAAAATCGAGACAATTCAAAAGAGCGTAGGAACCGATGCGGTACAGTAAAGGTCCACTTTGTGATATTATGATTCAGATTCTAGGTCCTGCTACACAATACCACACAGCTGCAGCTTAAACCGAATTCTGATTATGGCGCGCTCGTAGAGCTGGCGACTTTCGTGAGGGGCACCACAAAGTTTTTGCGGCCCTAGCGAATCCCGGACCATACCAGGCTGCTCTTGGTCGTGCTTAATTCTATTCAGAGAGCCAAAAAGAGCACTAAAATGGAATATCCGTTCCAAGGCAATCAAACCATCTGTCTTTTGGCCAGGATGCTTAGGTTCAACTATAAGTACTAAGCGCTATCGCTACTATCCTTTTCTTGTTCTACAATTCTCCCCACGTTTAGTTTGCTCTCATCATTCAAGGCATCGTACTCAGGAAATCCGGAACGTACAGATGCATATTGTTTCATTCTGCACGCTAGGTACATTAGACCTATTTTTTTAGAGCTTCGAGCCTGCCTTTTGCAAGGACCGATGCCCAGATGCTCGATAGACAGGCAATTCAACACCCCATGCAATTTTGCAGTCCCATTGCAGATGCTCCTCATCACCAGCAGTGACACTCTCATTGGCTCTCACCGTGACGATATCACGGAAAACCGTGTCTCCAACGCCTCCTTCACCGTTCAGTATCCACCGGTGAGCAATTTCAGTTGTTACGGGGTCGCTATCACGCTCTGCATCAACAGCCAATAGGCCACCCATCAATATCCAGGCAAGCGTGAACATGTACCGGCGAGCATCAGCAAGCACAGTAGTAGGCGCCTGTTCCTTGGTCGAGAAGCGCTTTTGCAAAGCTGACCAGGCAGAAGTCAAAGCTTCACGAAGGGTTGAAGTCTGAATCAATGCCAAAGTACGGCTGAGCCACGCGGCGAAAATCTCGAAGTTATCTTTCTTCAAGAAGAACCGAACCAGCTCACTTGCCAGCACATTGGTGGTTCCCTCCCATATGGAGTTGACAAGAGTGTTGCGCAGAATCCGAGAGATGTTGAACTCGGGCTCGTCTGCCTCGTCCATGTACCCAACACCACCCATCGATTCCTGACATTCCTGTACTCCAGCAACAGCCATCTTGCTGATCACAGCCTTAGCAGTGGCTGTCAGAGCGCGGAAGACAACGTGAGCTTCCTTGCCTCGCCGTGGCAAATGTTCGTGCTCAGATGACACATCGTTCTCAACCAACCCCATCACAGCGATAGTGAAGAAAGCAAGGTTCATGCTGCCGCGGTGCTTGACTTCCAAGTCTGCAAGTAGCCGGAGGTGCATAGGAATCAACCACAATGGTTCCCCAACCGTGGTTCTCGCCTTTGCAAAGCTCTTGGTAATACTGATTGCGCGTCGCCAACCCCCGAGGGATCCAACGAATGTATGGACGCGAGTGATATTGAGGAGAGGCGCAATTGTCATAACGCCCTGGTCCAATTCTCCTACCAAATGTGCTCTCATATCCTTTAGCTCCAGTTCGGCAGTCGGCAGTTCCTTGGTACCGAGTTTGTTCTTCAAGCGATGAATCCTCACGCCATTGGAGACTTCTCGAGGGATACCATCATCTCCAATGATGGTCTTCCGTAGTGGTGCAAGAAACGTACTCAGCTTACCGGAAGGAGACTTTGCTAGCAGGAGAGCCACATTGGCATCTGTGGCCGAGGAGAAGAACTTGAACCCATTGATCAAGTAGTCTCCGTCCGCTAATGGTGTAGCACTTTCAGACTTAACCGGTGCATAAGTGGCCCATGTTTCGGTATTCTGCACATCGCTGCCTCCGGCCCTCTCGGTCATCCATTGACCTGAGGTCCAGTGGTCGTCCTTGTCGGAAACTAAGCGCTTGAACGCTTCATGGAAAGGATGCGCTGGTGGCAGTGCCTTGAGTTTGGGAGCGAGGATGAACGCAGCTCCATCAGTCATACTGATTGGGCATGAATATAGGCCCGAAGAAGGCGAGTAGAGATAGTTCCTGCCGGCAAATGAGAAATGTACACGAAAAGAAATCAAAGGTGTCTTACAGTGCATATTGAACAGTTCGTCTATCAGGACCCAGGGTCGAATCATATCCAGTGGACACAATTCTGGGATGGATCAAGCCAGTCAGCCTCATCGAACAAACGTCAGTGCAAGGGGTCCATACCTGCGCTGAGCACCCCATTTGCCGAGCTGCTTCCAGCCCTCGCTCGTCACTAAGCGATCATAGTCATAGCGCTTACCCCAAACATTGTGGCTCTTGACATACGGCTGATTGCGCTCCGCGTCGGCGCTCCACTCCCGAACCCGTTCAGACACCGCTTCGGCGCCGAGATGGGTCAGGTCTGGCTCGGCAGAGTGCAAAATTGAAGCCGGCAGATACCCTGGACTACGTTAGGGAACACCCTTACTATCAATAATATTCGGTAACAAACTTACATGACAACGCGCGTTGAAGACTGGCGTCCGATGTATACGTGTTTTCCAACGGGCCCGGTTCAGTGATGTATCCGCGATCCGCGGTCGCAGGCAGGGGCAAAGTTGACGACATAACGAGCTATTAATAATGAGTTGAGAAAAGTAGATGCGATTTTGATGAGTGTTGGTGATAGTACCCTGAGTTGAGCATAGGTGGGGTCTCCAAAGCTTGTTGACCAGGAGCCTCGGTGTTCGGCTACCCGCCTGGATCGTGAAAGGGGTACCACAATAACGGGGCATCAATGCGCCGTAAAAGGGCCGAATGCACTGTTGCAATAAAAAAACATGCGCATCATTCGGGCTCAAATGGTCGGAGACCGCCGCTCTGCGTTAACTCCCCTGGTGGTTGGGGCCAATATTACGCGACACCAAATGTTAAGTATTATTATACTTGAGCAAAAAGCATGCCCCAGTTTGGCTCGAATCGTTTGGTGATCTTCAACGCAGATACTACCTACTGGGGCACAGGAATACAAGCGTGATGCTCAGTGAGCCTGGAACTTTTGGTATTTTTTATTCAAAGCACTACCGCTTCCGTCTCACATCTCATGCAGCGTATTGTAGCCTGTCTCAATTAGACTACGCGGTCCCCGAGCATCCGAGCAGATGTGCCAGTAGAACAGTCCTCCGAGCTTCAATGTGGTGGCAAACTCGGCCTTCTGCTGCACCGTGGCTGGTGTGTCGTACGTCACAAAACCACCGTCGTCGCCAACGCAGTACGCTGCTCCGGCCTGTTTGTCATGAAATTCCTTGGCCCCCGGACGTGGCAACTCACGATAGTCGAACACACCGTCCTCGCCTCCGCAGCCAGTATATCGCTGACCGGGTCCGTTGCTGCCTAGGAAAGAGCGTCCGTACCCTGGAACACCGAGGATGATCTTCTGGGAGTTGACGCCTTGTGCCAGCACATACGAGACCGCTGACTGGCCCGAGTTGACTGATGCTGACCCGTACAGTTGTGCTTGGTGGCCCGTCTCGGGTGCCCAGGGACCGGAGAAGTCATAGGCCATGAGATTCAGCATGTCCAGGTAGTTTTGAGCAGTAGCAAGATCGATATGGCGTAATGCCCATTGGCTAGCGGGGAGACACGAAGCCAGTACGTATCGCGGGGCAGGAAGCACTTCACGCAGCCGGGCCAAGAGACGGATATAGTCTTTGCCCTGCTTTGCATCCGTGGGATGCTCCCAGTCAACTGCGATATAAATCATCAGCCTTCCATGTCAGGGTAACAGATTATCATGAGGCTTTACCATCAATGCCATCCAGTCCGAACTGGTCGACCAATCCCTTGGCAGTCTGAACGAAGGTGTCCAGTTGCGAGCGACTGTGGGCGACGGCAGCGAAGTTCTCACTTCCCTTGCCCCCGCCTCCAACAGAGAGGATAACCTTCATCTTGGAGTATTGCTGCTTCAGTTGAACAAATGCCCGCAGGCAACCTTCCGTTCCGTCCACTGGCATCTGTGTGTCGGCCCACTCATCACTCAACTAGAACCAGGATTAGTATCCGATCAATTGGCTGAACAGTCCAAAAAAAACACACATAAACGGTGCCATCTTCCTTCACCCTGAAAGTATTGCAATGATTGATTAGCTGGTTTGTTCTTTTTATACACCATTGTTGACTGCTGGTTACCAGGCAAATGCGTAGAACACGTGCGAGATGAACCCCAGTCGGAGGGATGACGGAGGTTGTTTCTGGTAGATCCTCCAGTTTGGGTAGTAGGCAGCATTAAAGTAGAAGGGCACCTCAGAGGAGCTAGCCTGGGGGACAGCCGCCGTGGGGTTTGGGCGGCGGCGAAATATGGAGCTGGCGGCAGAGAACATGGTAATAATGAATATCTGTGGATGAATATCTGAGAAGAGATGGGAGGAACACAGAAATTCAATTGCGGTTGGTGTTTCCCGTTACGGAAGGCATCACGTGGGGTCAATGATTGCTTTTTGGTTTTTGTTGCAAATCATCGTCATCATTATTATTATTCTAGTCTTGTTACTCTCACCCGGAAACCCCAAAATGGAAGTCGGTCCTCGTACCAGGCCCCCGGTATGCCCTTATTGGACGTGCGGTGAGATCGAGGCCGGGCTTGTCTGGGAATCGTGGGCATGCACGAGTGATGTGTTTGGTGCTAAGGTCGGGGTACTTGGGGATCATTGGCTTTGAGTTTGGCGAGGCTGGAGCGGAGGGCGTTTCCGACCCCTGCAAGCCCCTGGTTTACCCCACACTGTTCTCTTCGACACGATTAATTGGTATCCATTGGCTGGCCTGGTACGAGATGTGCACTAAGTGAGTAGTGCAAGAGAGCAATTGAATGCGAATGACCGTTTAGCGATGCATTGGCTGTAGATGAAGAGTATATATATTATCTGGACAAGCGTGATGCGATATATATATTTTGGCATAGAGATAGCACGAGCGTCCTTACTTGAACCGATCGGTGGCAAGATCACTGCATGTCCAGCATATCAGTGACACTGTTGGTGGATTGATTCGATTCCAACACCCACCACAGCTATACTGCTCCGTCAACTAGTATGTGATCTGATCACGTGACCGATTCTAGATGGTTCGCCTGATTTATAAGGCGGCAAGAATAATCCACTTCTTCATCAGCGGATGATTCCCAGCTCTCACCCTTTCTTGTCCCAGCAGTCCCCATCCCAGCAGCAGAGAAGAGCTTGACAGCAGAGAAGAGCTTGATCCTACTCTTGCTTCACACCTCAATCCTCAACGAGTCGCCTAGCTCCGCGTGGCCACACCGAAGTGGCTTCAACAACACCATGACGGCCGACGTCCACAGCGCCGCCGTGCGCCTTCTCTCTGCCGAGCCCACCCGGGATCCCAGCTACGACAATTTCTCCTTCACCCCTTTTCTTCGCAAGAGCTTCGGTTTTGGGCTAGCTAGCGATGTGCCTGTCTGCAAGGCCTACAGCGAAGGGCATTGCCCTCTTGGGCCGGCCTGTCCTGATCGACACCCTACGCCGTCGCGCGTAACAACCTCAACCACCACAGCGTCTGGATTGGCCCCGTCAACCACGCACGGGTCACTGGTCTGCAAGCACTTCCTCAAGGGCCTCTGCAAGAAGGGCGTCAAGTGCGAATACCTGCATGAATACAACCTACGCCGCATGCCGGAGTGCCAGTCCTTCTCGCGGTCCGGATACTGCCCCAATGGCGACGACTGCTTGTACCAGCATGTTCGGGAGGAGGCCCGGTTACCTCCCTGCGAGCACTACGACCAAGGATTCTGCGAGTTGGGCCCGCTGTGCGCGAAGCGGCACGTGCGCCGGCGTCTCTGTCGATTCTACCTGGCTGGATTCTGCCCGGAAGGGAAGGGCTGTCCCGATACGCACCCGCGGTGGTCGGAGAATCTGCCTCGGCCGACCATGCGGACAGAAAAGACCGAGGAAGAACTGGAGCAGGAGAGGGCGCTCATCCGAGAGGAGCAGGAGCGGGAAAAAGAGCGCGAGCGCGAATGGCGCAGTGAACGAGGGCGTGGTGGCAGTTTCATGCGGGGACGATACCGGGGTCGAGGACGGGGATGAAAGGGGGATATTGTGGTTGTTTGGGCGTTTGGCGCAGGGGGTTTCATTTTCATTCTGAATACAATATACCCATGAATAATCATCTGCAAGGATTGGTGGTGCACCTCCACTGAGGAATGCGCATCATGGCGAGGACCGCATGACATCATGACCGCGAACATTTCACAGGAGCCTTGAGGACTATGTACATGTAAATAATACACTCTCGGTAGTAAGGGTCTCTCTTTTTCAACATCTAACAAGAATAATTTCACCCGAATCATCTCCCCCGCATCATCTCACCCGAGCAAGAATCCTCAGTCCTATAGTTCGACCATTTGTCAGACATCCGTCAGATTCCGGTGGAGCCCCAGGCCCCACCAATCGGCCACGGCGCAGAGCTCTGTCATCACTGACTGATGCTTGTTAACCGCTTAGTAGAGTAGACAGTGTATCCCGCCCTGGTATAAGAGGACCGGTGCCCCTGCCTCCTTGCCTTCTGTTCTTCACACCCTCTCTCTGCATTCTTGCTTGTCCATCCATCCGTCCATCCATTGACCACCCTACCTACCGTCGCCATGGCTCCCAAGGTTGCGATTGTTTTTGTATGTTCCTCTGCCCCGCCAATTGCTCGGTCTGTCCCTCCTTCTGACGCCCGCAGTACTCGATGTACGGCCACATCGTGAAGTTGGCCGAGGCTGAGAAAAAGGGCATTGAGTCCGCCGGTGGCAAGGTCGACATCTTCCAGTATGTCGCTTTTGTTGCAGTCTCGACCGGCCTCCATTGATGTGAACTAACCCCACCGTGCTCTAGGGTCGCCGAAACCCTGAGCGACGACGTCCTGGCGAAGATGCACGCCCCGCCCAAGTCGAGCTACCCGATCGCCGAGCCTACGGAGCTGCTGGAGTACGATGCCGTGCTGTTTGGCATCCCCACGCGCTACGGTAACTTCCCCGCCCAGTGGAAGGCCTTCTGGGACAAGACCGGCTCCATCTGGGCCACCGGTGGCTTCTGGGGCAAGTACGCCGGCCTCTTCATCTCCACTGGTACCCCCGGTGGTGGACAGGAGTCGACTGCCATTTCCTCCATGAGCACGCTCGCCCACCACGGCTTTATCTACGTGCCCCTCGGCTACAAGACCGTCTTCGGCCAGCTTGCCAACCTTAGCGAGGTCCACGGTGGCAGCCCCTGGGGTGCCGGCACGTTCGCTGGGGCCGATGGCTCCCGCCAGCCCACCGAGCTGGAGCTCCAGGTCGCCGAGGCCCAGGGCAAGGCCTTCTACGAGGCCGTCGCCAAGGTCAACTGACTACATGGCAGTGCCACCAAGCCCGAGGGCTCGACTGGGGCCGCTGCGAAGGAGACCGAACAGCCCCCCACCGAGCAATCGGGTGCCCCGGCGGCACGCAAAGAGAAGAGCAATGAGGGACCCTGCGGTCTGCCCAAGAATTGCAACATTTTGTGATCGGGGTGCTGGGACTTTCTGCTCTTTCTGCGATGGCGTTCTTGAGGGCTTTTTCCCTACTTTGCTGATGATAAACATGGAATGATAAACATGGACATAACTACTATTCATCATCGCTATTGTTGCCCGTCACTGATATCTACTTCCCCGTAGTATGTAAGGCAATCTTGGTAATCGTATTACATAATTTCTCGCCACGAACCCGTTCGTTTGAGTGGCGTACCGGGTCACGGCCTGACCACAATACTCCCTACCGCCCTGGACCGTGACGTGACCAACCGGCCGAAGCTCTTCTTTCTCTTCCACAGACTCTCTCGCGCAATGCATCTGCTCTGCCCCTATAGTTGAACCCCGGTTGATCTCATATATCCTCGTTCCTACCTCTCTATTTTCCTCTCTGCCCAGCGCTGCCATGGCATCGCGACCCATCCTCCTGCGGTTTGAGAGTCGGAACGGCCAGTTTCGACTCTCGGTCAGCCCGCAGGAGCTATTCCCTGCTCTCCAGCAAAAGGTATGGATACTCCTCACAGTCAGTCGAAACACTATGCCAGGTCTGACACCATGACTGCGTTAGATTCTCGAACACCTGCCATCAGATGTCGATGCATCATCCATTGTCCTTTCGAATAAACCGATAGGTACCGGAGGCGAGGAGCGTCAACTACAGGCTCTTAAGGGAGTTGAGATCGAACAGGTTGGCCTCAAGTAAGTACCGGTTCACGACACTTTAAGCCTGCCGGAAGGGGTTGCTGACGACGCCAATCGTCTAGACATGGTGACAAGCTCTTTGTCGGATACCAGGAACAGGATGCACTTCAGAATGGCCTCTCGAACGGCTACACGTCCGCCACTGCTGAACGCCGTCTGAACGGAGCACCGATCCCACCGCAGCAGACCGTCCCAATACGCCCACAGCCAACATCGCCTTCCGAGACCACCAAAAACCCGTGGGAGGCAGTGCATCAGTCTCCCCTGGATGATCTGTTAGACAAGAAAGATGGCAAGATCAAGCGGGGCATGGATTATAGGATGTGCAAGCATGGCCCTAGAGGGATGTGCGACTACTGCATGCCGCTCGAGCCCTATGATGCGAAATACCTGGCCGAGAAGAAGATCAAGCACCTCTCCTTCCACTCTTACCTACGCAAAATCAACGCCGCCACGAACAAGCCCGAAGTCAAGAACTCCTACATGCCCCCGCTTAGGGAACCCTTCTACCGAGTACGACGAGATTGTCCGTCCGGGCATCCTTCCTGGCCGGAGGGGATTTGTACCAAATGTCAGCCCAGCGCGATTAGCTTGCAACCGCAGGAGTTTCGCATGGTCGACCACGTGGAGTTTGCCAGTCCCGATCTCATTAACTCGCTGCTGGACTTTTGGCGGAAGTCGGGGGCACAACGGTTAGGTTTTCTCTACGGGACGTACGAGGAGTACGCGGAGGTCCCGCTCGGGATCAAGGCTGTCGTCCAGGCAATTTACGAACCCCCGCAGGTCGGCGAGGTTGATGGAGTCACACTTCATGAATGGTCTAACGAGAAGGAGGTCGATGAGGTGGCCCGTCTCTGCGGCTTGGAGAAGGTGGGGGTCATTTTCACTGACCTGCTCGACGCCGGTTGTGGGGACGGGTCGGTGGTTTGCAAACGACATATTGACTCATATTATCTCTCTTCGTTGGAGATTGCCTTTGCCTCGCGGCTGCAGGCCCAACATCCCAAACCGACAAAATGGAGCCACACTGGGCGGTTTGGCTCCGAATTTGTGACCTGTGTCCTGAGCGGCGATGACACTGGAGCGATTTCGGTGAGCTCCTACCAAGCATCTGTATCAGCGGTGGAGATGGTGCGGGCAGACATCATTGAACCGTCGGCAGATCCGTCTGTGATGCTGGTGCAATCCGAAGAAGACGACGATTTGGGCAGTAAGACCCGATATATCCCCGAAGTCTTTTTCCGGCGGATCAACGAATACGGTGCCAGCGTGCAGGAGAATGCGAAGCCAAGTTTCCCCGTCGAGTTCTTGCTGGTGACTCTCACCCACGGTTTCCCCACCGAGTCGATGCCGCTTTTCACCAACAGCCGCTTCCCCATCGAGAATCGCGAGGTTATCGGCGAGAGCCAAGAGCTCAAGCACGTCGCCCAACAACTCACGTCGCACGGTGATCCCGACAAGGCCTTGCAAGGCGTTTCAGATTTCCACCTGCTGTGCTTTTTGCACGGGCTAGGCACATTTAACGAGGTCGGTACCACAAATCGAGATCATAGCATAGGACAATATTAACCTGACACTCTGGCAGAACGAGGAAGCTCTTTTGTGCCGCGTGGCCACTTCTCATTCCCCCGCCGACGGACTGCAGCTGCTAAACACCCCTGGATGGGCGACCTTGGTGACAATTCTTCAGGAGAGTGGTGAGCGCCCCCCCACGCGCCCCTGGCCCACCCTAGCCCAACCTTCTCGCTCGGATTCCGAGTCCAGGAAACGGCGATATCATGCACCTGCCCACCCCTCACCCCGCTCCGCGTCTCCCAAATCCGACGGTGAACAGCTTGCTAAGAGGTTCAAGGGAACTAGCCTAGAGTGACGATCTGCCGTTCTCTTGCCGCTCAAATCATTTATTAGAAATTCTTATCGATTCGGTTCTCCGCCTCGCTCTCGGTCCTCGAATTCTGGCTGTGGAAAATGGTTGTGGAGGGGTGGCAGTGATTCAACCACACTGCTTGTTAGACATTACAGGGCTTTTTCTTTTTGTCTTGCGATGACGAGAGACCGGAGAACGCAGCCCGCAAATGACTGTGGTAGATGGTATGTCGGTCACAATGACAGACCGTTCAAAGTCAGCAGCATCGATTAGTTGTGGATAACGGAGCATATTATTTACCCGGGAAGAATCCTCGGGCTTGCTACGATGGTGATAGTTTTCCAACGTAAGATCATAGCGGGAGCATGGGATATAATAATGCACAGCGAGCGCTTCGCATATCGCACGCCAACCCAAAACACCCTAGGCAATGAACGGACATTCCAAACTCCCATTGAACAAATGCAACAAATCCCAACACCTATGGTTGGTATGAGGGGCTTTTCTGAACCAGTTCTCGCAAACGCTTCTCCACCACCCGCTGCTCTTCGCCATCGGTCCATACTCCCTGTGGCGCCTCCGGCACCACTTCCCAAGAGACACGATTGGTCGTGAGGTGGGAGAGATCTTCCTGTTGTTCTTCCCACTGAGAATCACTCTGAATTTGGCGCCCAGAACTCACAACGGCCAGCGGAGCCTGGCCCGATCCCGCCAAGAGAAGCACGATCGGGCAAAATGGGCGAATGTCCGCTCAGCACACAGTATATAGAGTATGTGGTGTCATTGGATGTCGGTTATCTCGGAACACCAATGTGTTCACATTCTGTTATGAATGCTGACTATTCGGCTAATGTTTTGCATCTCCCCCTGGTCTGGAATTTGTACTCCTTGAAGCCTAGCGTGTATCTACAGCATAGGTAGTTGCAGCGATGATGCAAGCCAGAACACAAGGCAGAATAAACGGTTGCCCCGCAGATGATTATTTGCCCTAATCTATTATTATTTTCATCTTAATAAAAGTCGTCATGATCGAAGCCCCCATATGATACATACCACCTGGGGGCCACGCGCTCATTTGACGGGCGAAGGATGTCAAGCAAGGGGGGGCCAATAGAATAGTCCGAACAGCGATCGCCCGGGCTCGGATCAGTTGCCAGGCCCCGAGTTAGGGTTGGCGATTGCGCCTTAGACTCCACCGTGAGCCGTGCGCCCAACTGGCACCCCCTGAAGGAAGCGGATCGGCGACCAGAGAGTACATAGTGGGAGGATAGAAAAAAATAGATCTCGAGAATACTGAAGGACTTTACAAAAAAAGAGACCAGCACTGATGGAAAGGCGATGCATTGTTCGTGCATCCGATCGAAGTATACACGCAGGGGGGAGGGGGCCCCAACTTTACCCCTGAGGCCCAACTTACGAATCTCCCGTCCGTGATGGAGACGCTATCACACTAGCGCGCAGTTTGGGGCCAGGTTCCTCTTGATCTCACTGCAATTTGGCCCAGTCACGGTGCTCTCTGCGCCCGGTGGGCCTGGCTCTGTTCGCCCACTGTCGATTGTCACTCCCTTCGTCTCCTGTAACTCAAAGAAAAACAACACCACCATCCCTCTTCGGCCTTGAAAGATCGCCCAGGATTCGGATTCTACACATTCTTTATTGCAACGCTGGTACAACGACTTGTCTGGCATCTTCAACGTTCTCTGACACAGGAGACACAGTCAGGGCAGCTGGCCCGCTGAACAAGTCGATGACTTGACCTTCCTCCTCCAAATAGAAGATGGCGACCACCATGGAACCACCAGGCTTTATGCCCACAATCAAATGCTCCAACTGTGGGAACAATGTTGAGATCTCAGCCATGGGCGACCATGTCTGCAAGCCGGACGGTATGAAGCATCTCTCCCGTGATACAGCATATGCCATATGCTACACGTCAGACCAGTGCTGATTCCTTGGTTTTCTTTTTTTCTAGCCCTGTCGATACCCTCGATACCAACACCTCCTCCCTCTGCGGGGTTAGAGTCGCCCGGCTATCTGACAACAGCGATGGCATCCAAGCCCGGCCGAGCCGGAGTGCCGCCGCAAATCGACCCATCAATCGCAAGTACGTGATGGAGATCTCCCAGCGCGTTGCTTGCATGGACTGACCCCAGATAGATCGTGCTTTTTTGCATCCGAATATACCGACGCCGGCTAGCAGCATTGGATCTCATTCTCCTTTATCCATCACTTCCGCCCCTCGATCCCCGCTGCGTCCGCCGCCGCCGCCGCGCAGCCAGAGTAGCGATGACGAAGAATCAGAGGTGATCAACCTGGACTCAGTTTTCTCCTCCTTCCCACTCCCGGAGAGGTCGCCAGCCCGTCTGAACGATGGGGCCACCCCTCGATCAATACCCCCGGCGCCATCACCAGGGCTGGGACTGGGACTGGTACCGGAGAATATCCAGCTTCCTCCTAGCCCACTTCCGCCGCATCATGGCCCCTCTGACAGTGGCCACCAGCGCGAGGATTCGATGGCCAGTCACAGCAGCTATCGCACGTCGTTTGCCAGTACACGTTATGCGAGCTCTACAGGCCGATCGTCAACGTACAGCTTTTCTCGTGGTCTCCGGACATTTATGGACGATGACAAGCCACCGTTGCCCCCAGCACCACTTCGAACCTCAGCCAAAGCCTCCGTCATCCGAGACTCGGACGTGTCTCTGAGCTCCTCTTATCGAAGTGACTATCAGACTGACAGAGGGGAAACTTATAGTGGATTTGATTTTGGCATCTCCACAGGCCAGCGATCCATTCAAGGCTTGCATGATCTGCCCGAGGAACGTTCCCCGGATGAACCAACGGGCCACTTGCACGACCAGAATTATCAACTACCCTCGCCAATGCACCTGCACCCGGATGCAAACAACGATGCCCCAAGGAAGAATTCCGATGCCACCAGTGACGATGCTCTATCCGTCACAAATTTTGCCCGCGCTCTCGGCCTGGACGACCATTTCAATCAAACAGAAAGCTCGAATACATCCGACGATTCCTCCCCATCCGACACCCGCAGCGGGAGCTCCATGTCCAGTGCCCCATCTGAGTCAAGTTTTCACCGACATAAGCCAACTGATCCGCTGAATCTGGGGCCCTTGGTCGAGGAATTGCCTCCGCGGACACGGCAAACCATTTTGGAAATCCCGGGCCGCACGAGAGGTACGCTAGAGGAGGTGCCTCCCATTCCGGCTGTGTGTTTTAGTCCCGATTCTCCTACGGACCCGGCCATCGGCCAGGGCAGCCTGGCGCTGGTTTCGGATACGCCTTCAAGAACCAAAACACCAGTTCAGGCACCTCCCTCGCCACTGAGACCGCCGCAGCGGTCAGCGACTACACCCATTCCTCCGCCGACATCACCGATTCCTCGCCCACCAACTCGATCAGCAACGCGGTCCAAAGGGAAGTGCAAAGGCTGCGATGAGCAGATTACGGGCAAGTCCATCTCATCCTCCGACGGCCGTCTCACCGGCCGCTATCACCGCGGCTGCTTTGTCTGTTTCGAGTGTCATTCGCCGTTCCAAACGGCTGACTTCTATGTCCTGAACAACCGCCCGTTCTGCGCCCAGCACTACCACGAGCGCAATGGATCCCTGTGTTCCACCTGCCGTACTGGCATTGAGGGCCAGTACTTGGAGACCGTCGAGCTCAACCAAGGTCGGTCGGATCGCCGCCGATTCCACCCGGAATGTCTGCAGTGTCGAACCTGCCGGGTTATGCTCAAGGGCGACTACTTCGAGTGGAATGGACAAGTCTATTGTGAACGGGACGCGCAGCGGGCAGCCGCTGCTTCTTATCCACCACCACCTGGTCGTCGACGGCCCACCGTGGGCTCTTCTCCTTTGTCCCAGTCCCGTGAATTCCCTCCCAGATCTCCAGGCCCCTCAGGTCCTCCAGCCGGCCTCCGACCGCCGCCCTCGCCAGCACCCAGCCAGGGCCTTCGTCCTGGTCCCAGATTTCCATCCGGAGGTGGCCGTCGCTTCCCCGAGCGACGGACGACCAGGCTGATGATGATCTGAGAGACCACGCTCTGTACTTGTGACTGCTCGTTTGATTTTCCATTCGTTCTATAGATTCCGTTATACCCTTTTCTTCCTCTTTCATGTGGCTTCGGCCGACGCTGGCGTTGCTCGACTGGTTTCCCATGCATCTTGGAGGTGTTTTGCAGCTTCCTAAATTCTGCCCAAGGTTGAACCTTTCGCTCGTTTCATTTCCTTTCTTTCTTGTCGGTGTATACTTTTTGTTTTCATCCACCGTGATGTCGAAATGCTTTCCATGTACTAAATAGCCAATTGCTTGGGAGGGTGGGTGAAGGCGTCTTCTTATATATCAGTATTGTGAATGGATACCATGTCTACTTCCAACCTTACAAACCCGAAATCCCTGGGTCTCATTGTCTCATTAATCATTAGGATTGCGGTCTGTCCACTCGCTCGGTTTTACTCGAGTTTGTGCTCCTCGAACTGCACCCGCTCCACGGCGGGAAAGTTCTTCTGATAGAACCAGCCGAATACGACCACATACAACGCCACTACGAGAATCTCCACACGCTGTTTCAGCGAGAGTCGATCCAGGGCTGGGTCGTGTTTGGATGGAGAATCACTCGTGAGATGCTCTTCCCACTGTTTGCAGTCCTCCCGGAACCGGTCTGGATGGTCGGTAATGACTCCGTCGACCTCATGGTGAATCGACCAGCGCATCAGGGCCGGAGCATTCACCGTCCACACATAGACGCGTCTGCGTGCCGCTCGCACTTCCTCAAGGAAGCCGTTGCCCAACGGGCCGATCAAAACTTTTTGATTGATGCTAAAGGCAATGCGCGGCACTTGGAGGAACTGGCGTGCATAGCTCACGTTCCAGCAGATCAGAGTGATCGCATATCGGGGCAAATACCGCTGGCACAGTGGCAGGTACCGGGCGGACCAGCAGCCGATGTTGATGCGGCGATGCCAGTCTACGGTGCGGATGGGCACGGATTGGATGGTCTCCGCGATGCCTTTCATGATGGCGAGAGGATCGTTGTCCAGCTAGCGTTATCCGGTTACTTCCGAGTTCAACGACCGGGAATCGGGTGGGACTACCTTGATATCCAGCATCACCCAGATTTGCTCCCGGCCCGGTTGCACCAGGTATTCGAGGACATCCGCTAATCGCGGCATGGGCTCATGCGGTGCCGCGAGGGTCCGCAGGGTCTGGATATAGCTCCAGTCGCAGTCGATGATATTCTTCTTGATCCCGAAGCAGCGCTCGAGAGTTTTATCCTGCGTCTGTCAACCTCGGCGTTCCTCGGGCGTAAACTCGCTACCCACATGCGACAATACTACGACTCCATCTCGGGTAAGATGGAGGTCAATCTCGATAGCATGGCTGCCTGCACGGATCGCACCATCTATGGCAATGAGCGTGTTCTCCGGATAGCTGCCCTTGAAGCCCCGATGCGCGATGGTCTGGGGTAGCCGGGAAGAACCGGCGTGGTGCAGGAAATGAGCTTGGGAACATGAGTATACATAGTATGGCCAACGGAGAACATGCATGCCAGTGACCGACCTGGAGTACCTTGGACGAGCGGTGTCCTATCGTCTGCCATAGTGGAGCACAACGAGGAGGGTTGATGAAGAAGAAGTGAGAGAAGGAGGGGCAGAAGAGGCTGACAACGGGGATAAGAGTGGGTTGGGGGCTAACGAACGACTTTGCAAACCTGCGATATGCATACGAGACAAGTAGTTAGTTAATTGATCATGATTTATAAGAATAGAAATTCATCATTAATAATTCATTAGTAATAAACGAACGAACGAACGCATCCATGTATCACTACAGAACTACGGATTTAACAGTTCATACCGTGGGCAGTGGTCTTGTTCTGCTAGCTGAGTCATTCTTTCATCCGTCACTCAAATTCCTCTCACTACCAATCCCGACACGGTAACTATATCCTCCACCATGTCCGTACAGCAATGGATCACGCCCCTCCAGGGTCTCGATAGTCTGCGCCAGACCGAAGTACCGATGCCCACCCCGAGCCAGGGTGAAGTGCTAGTGGAAATCCATGCGGTCTCGCTGAATTATCGCGATGTCGAAGGTGTGTTCATATCCAACCCTCAAACAGCCTAGAATCTGACTGGTTCGTAGTTACTCAAGGCGAGTATAAGCACCATAAAGCTTCTGAGCAGGATGCTACCCTCGTCCCTTGCTCGGACATGTGTGGTGTGGTCACTCACGTTGGTACCGGCGTGACAAAATGGGCGGTGGGCGATCGTGTCCTCTCCACCTGCTTCCCGGACCATCTCACCGGGCAGATCACCGAAAAAGAGCTGTCCCGGAGCCTGGGGTCGCCACAGGATGGCGTCCTGGCCACTCACCGGGTTTTTCCCGAGTATGCCCTGATCAAAGCTCCCGACTACTTGTCCGACCAGGAGGCGAGCACGTTGCCGATCGCGTCAGTCACAGCATGGATGTCCATCAACGGAATGCGACCCATGGGCCAGAGTGGTGGCAAGGGCGAGTATGTTTTGTTCCAAGGCACCGGAGGCGTGTCCATCGCCGGATTGCAGATTGCCAAGGCATCCGGGGCGAAAGGTGAGGTGCAGTCGAAACTAGAAAAAACACACCAACTGAGATGGCCATCTAGTGATCATCACCTCCTCCAGCGAGGCGAAATTGGAGCAGGCAAGACAGTTGGGTGCTGATCTGACGATTAATTACCGGACCAACCCCAATTGGCAGGACGAAGTGATGCAGTGGACGGATCATCACGGCGCTGATATCATCCTCGAGGTTGGCGGAGCCCAGACTCTGCGCAAGAGCTTTGACTGCATTGCTTTTGGTGGCCTGATCAACTGTATTGGCTACGTCTCCGGAAAGATGGATGTCGGCGACGATCGATTGAATGTGAATTTGCTGGCGCTGCGCCGGACGGTCACCCTAAAGGGGATCATCAACGGGCCCAAAGATCGATTCGAGGAGATGATTCGATTCTACGAGGCACACCAGATCCACCCGGTGGTCAACCGAGTCTTTTCATTTGCGGAATCCCGAGAGGCATTCAAATTCTTAGAGAGCGGCAGCCACTTTGGCAAAGTTGTTATTCAGGTCAAGCAGTGAGCCACAAATCACAAGACGGCACTTGTACATAATTATCAAAGCATGGATCACCGCCTCCGGGCTCTTACTGATCATTCCCACTTGGATTGATGATGCCTTCTTCAGCAGCAAAGCCTAGATCCTCCTTCATCTCCTGTCCACTGATTGTCAGTGGCTGGCAGTCCTGCAAGACGAACAACATCCGCGCCCACTCCGTCTCACTCGGGTTGCGCCAGCCGTGCAACGTCGCCCGCTGCACGGCTACGTCTCCCCGTTTCATGAGCACCGGGTCGCCCACGTCGAGCAGCATCTCGATTTCACCTTCCAGCACCACCCCGTAGTCGAGGCTTTGCGTGCGATGCATGAGACACCGGTTGTGGGGACCAAAGTCGACGATGCGACACACGGTTCCATTCGGATTGACCAGACCTAGCTGGCCGGACTGGCTGACCTGCTCATGAGCACGGATGTCGGCATCGCCGTTGAGATTGGCAGGGAACTGGCTGGTGGTGTAAATGACATCAAAGGCCATGGAGCCAGCTTCCACTGTCTGCCACTGGCCCGGGGTAGACGAGTGAATCACTGCATTCCCCTCGGCGTCATGGCCGGTGATGTGGCGGGTGAGACTGCGAAGGGGCGAAATCTGGCCGGGATTGGCGGTCATGGCGATGGATTGTTTATGTGACAGGAAAGGTATACACTACGACCTAGGCAGTCTGGTAGGGCAACGATTGGAAGGAGATGATGATTGATGGATGTTTGAACCTTGTTCTGTCTGCCCCTCATGTTTATGCGAGGTCAATTTCTTAATTGGTGCTGCCTAATATTAGACTCCTTGCGCTGGAACGGCAGGGCCGAACCAGCAGTGGCAGGTGGTGGACATGATTGAGCTCCAGCGAGTGGTTCATATTGCTATCATTGCATCCTATCAAGCAAATCCCAGACAGGCACCGTGTCCTATTATTATATTTCTACCGATTTCTGCAGACCATGTAATTTGCACGGTCAGCATATCCCGCGTAGGACGGCATCCCACTTAATTGTGGACCGGTCAAGCTTGGACATCTTCACGGATCCCTGATCTTATGTTTATTATTACATCTTTCCTCGAATGGTACACGGCATCATTTGTGCAGAACCAGGTGTAGACCGAGGGATTTCTCCTGTGGCCATTTTGCTCAATCCGAATTTTGACTAAATGCGCACAGGAAGCTTATATGGTCTCAACACACTCCGCTACTTACACCATGTTATCGCCCTACAGAAACCATCGGAATTCCGGGGACGAAGGCCCATCTCTCATGCGATCGGTAGGAATATCCCGTGCCCGAATCGTAACCCCGTCACGGCGGTCCCGCCGTTTGTTATCCAGCCACATGTACAATGACAGCAGACCTGCCAGACAAGCCCCGGTTGCGCCAAAAGCGGCCACGGTGATCAAAGCGGGCATGTATTTAGGTGCGTCCTGCTCACGGAACAGATTACTGCTCACGAGACCCATCAGGTTGGCTAGCGGCACGCCGATACTGGTCAACAGCACGCGGCGGCCCTCGTGGGCAATGTTGTTGTTATACCAAGTGCTCAGCAACACCGATGGCGCGGACGTGCCCCATGTCATCATGAAGGTGGCGAAGTAGGCTAGCTGCAGCTCCGCCTGGACATCGTCGATGGACGCATAGATCATGAACCCGGCAAATGTGAATAGAAATCCGAGAACGATGAACGGTGACCGCAGTCGAGCGAAATCCGAGCAGAAAGCTAGCACGAGCAGCATTACTGCGCCCGTCACGTTTGGGGCGACGGTGTATAGATTGGTCTTCACCGTAGCGTAGCCTAATCGTGCGATGATCTGGGGCATGAATAGCGCGACACCCTGCAGTGGCACTCCTAGACAGATCTCGATGCAGAGAAAGACATACGTGGTTGGATGCTTGAAGATGCCAAGCGCTTCACGGAAGCGAAACTCTTCGTTGACAATGGCACTCGAGTCCACCTGGATGCGATGAAAAGCCAGTGCCTTTTCATCTTCCGACAAGAATTTGGCCTCGGCCGCACTGCGAGGGAGGTAAAAAAAGGCGAAGACGGCAAAAATAACGGTCGCTGCGCCCTCGATAATAAAGAGATAGCGCCAGTTTGGCAAGCTGGATCCCTTGATCTGGAAGACGCCAAAGGCGATGAGGCCCGAGAAAGCGTTGGCGATGTTCGAAGCAGCGTAAAAGACGGCCAGTCGACGAGCCAGCTCGCCTCGGCGGTAGAAGGTGGTCAGGTAGTAAATGACCAGAGGGAAAAACGCCGCCTCCGACATGCCTAGAAACCAACGCAGCGCGAACATCCCCCCAAAGTTGTGTGTTGCTGAGGATAGCAGAGTGAAGCAGCCGAACGAGAACATCAGGACCGGCAGCACGCGAGCCGAGCTGAACTTCTTCCCCAGCATGGAGAACGGCGGCGCGAAGATTACGAAGGGAACGAAGAAGATGGACAGCAGTAGGTTGTACTGGTCGGGCTTGAAATTGAGGTCTGCGCCTGGAATCAGTCTCATTGCCGTCGGTTGGTACGTATGGGCAGCCACCTACCATCGGTCATGCCAGCAGTCTCTGCATTGCCCAGATTGCCCTTGTCGAGGGCATTAAACAGATCTATACTTGGTCAATTACCGGTGCACTGGTGTCGCAGAAAAAGGCCAACTCACACATGATTGCGAGGACAGGGAGGAGCCGAATATCGAACCGCCGGCAAAGTCGTCGCTCGGCCTTATGGTCAACCACACGGGTGACCTCGTCCACGAGGTCAGGAGCTGATCCATAGCCTTGGAGCTTGTTGGGCTCGTCGACGGTCCCGACGGCTGCCGCCTTGGTTGTATCGCCGGGCGACGATGAACGCGGGGGACTCGAGGCCATCCTGCAAAGCCAGCGCAAGATCAACAGGGTCTAGAAGGATCGTGTGTTTGGTGCCACCAACGTCGTTGTGCAAGGCGAGGCTGAAGAGGGAATGGAGAAGCTGAGATGCACGAATGATCAGCTTGCAGGAGGTAATAGCATTCCTTGTCCAAGAAGAAGAATGCTGCATTTCCCCGGGGGCAGCCATGTCACCCACCCATCCATCCCCCACGCTCTTCTCCGCATACGACCATCCCGCGAAGAGGATACAGTTGGCAGGGATCGTCGTTTCTTCAATCGTTGCGTGGGCATGCCTATCTTATCGGTGGAGACTGGGGAAACGGACTCTCGCCGAGGCCTGTTATTCGGGGGGTTGCCATTGATTATTATTGCTCTACTATAACTATCTCAACAGTCCCGCGATTATTTCACTCCGTCGCTAGGCCAGGTACCTAATGCAGGGCAGGTCAGCGCAGTCTACGTCGTATGCCGTTAGAGATGATCAAGAATCCCAGTCACGGTCAGAACCAAATCGAATCTTCTCCCGCTGGTCTTAAGCAATCCAGCAAGGTCATTTCGGCGAGTGATAGGTCTCATCAGGGACAGACGGGCACAATAAGGGTCCAGGAGGCAGCACTCTTCACTTACCGCGGACAATTTTCGAGCAGATATCTGTCTGCTCGAAATAATCGAGACATCATTCTTATCAGGCAGGCGGGCGCCGTGCAAATACTACGATAGTGGCAGGTCCTAAATCCGATCTATATACCTGTGCCTCCGGACACCTTTAGTTTGCCTGTCACTCGCGATAGTGACCGTCATCTTGAGTCATCCTGCCTCATAGTTCACTAAACGGTGCTCGGGCCCCGCCAAGTGCTACATCGTCCCGCTCCAGCCAAGATGCCAAGATTGCACCAGTCCCTCACGTTTCTTCCTTTCCCTGTAATTCCCACACGAAAAGCGTTGCTGGACATCAGAACTCCTATTTGCAGCACTCTTACAGGGAGGATCGACACTAGTTGCACCACGTGGTTCTCTTCAATTCTTTCTTGAACGCTATTCGGCATTACTCTGCAGACGCGATCGGACCTTCTTGACAGGCGAAGATTATTGCGAAAGCTGACGCTGGGAGGGCGTGCGACATTCAGTAGCTTCGGCCACCTGCGATGTAGTTCGTGACAGATCAACCTCTTCTACCCCGAGCATCCGCTTGGATAGCCTCCTCAGCACGATTCTTCCAGTTCGCTTCCCACCGAGACAGCGCCGGCCGTCCTTCCAACGCGTCGTCACCACCCCATTTCATGCGTGCCTGATCCAACGCACGGTCAGCCTCACCATCCGGACAGATGATGTAGAACGATCCTTGTTCCAATCCCTTTAGTAGCTCTTCGGCCACCTGGCTCGGATACCATGCTCCGGCAGGCTTTTGAACGTCTTCTTCCTTTGTGGGGCCCACGTTGCCCATCAGACCGGTCCACGTCCATCCGGGAATGAGAAGGTGAACGGAGATATGGGCGGTGGAGGGGTCAGACCGAAGATCGTGGGCGAGATGCTCGGTCATGCTCTTCACAGCCGCCTTGGAAGCGTTATACGCCGGATTGCTCGCGCCGGGCGGGTTGGTGATGCCCTGCTTCGATCCAGTGATCACGATTGACTTGGGAGTTTGGGCTTTGGCCGTGAGGAGATGGGGCAGGATAGCCTCCAGCCCATTCAAAGGACCGAAAAGATTCGTGTCCAGCGTCTGTGGGAATTAGAGCGTTGGCACGATGGTCATCGGGCGCCTCTCTCTCTTACCTTGCTCCAGTATCCAGGATCCAGCCACGTCTTCAGTCGCCCTCCCTCGGGCTGGCCAGCAGCTTTGTAGGATTTCCCGGCATTCAATACCACCAGGTCAATCTCCGGGAAGAGCCCCACAGCTTGCTTGATGGCTGCGTCCCAGGCGGACCGATCGGAAACATCCACCACGTAGGATTCGGTCTGTAAGTGTGGGTTGATATCCACCAGGGCCGTCTTTGCCTTGGCTAGATTCTCACGGTCGATGTCCAGAAGAGCCAGGTGCATGCCTTTGCTCCGGCAGAGCTTCGCGATCGCAAAGCCGACGCCGGACGCAGCACCGGTGATGAGGGCGGTCTTCTGGTTTTGAATCACGGATTCGCCCATAGTGGATGCTGGAGGAAGTGGAGGACGGAATGATGATGCAGATGATGCAGATGATGCAGTGGTCCCCCCGCATCATGATAAATCCTCGCACGGCTCATAGAATCCCGGGAATATCGGAGTTAATCCGGTCAGCCCGGTATCGTATCTTTTATTGGCCTTCTATCTATGTCAGGACAGGTCTATGTGGCCATAAACAAAACAACAACGATAACAACATGCGTCCATCTCAGCCACGCCGTCTCGGACGTCTGCGCAGTAAAAAGAGATATGAGGCTCTTATGACAATCCACTCGAAAGCATGGCTTCTCTAGCTTCAATCAATTCTAAATAAACTCCTAAAGGGTCCTTGTATTCAGCCACAATCTTTTGGTAATTGTTGATAACAAGCTCAATATGACTTACCACCGAGATTCCAACGTTGTCTGCACAAGGTGAATAGGGACTTGATTTGTGAAATTGCTTGAACATACTCCTCACTCTGTTGCTTGGTGTTCATTTCCAGGTACGCGATGGCGGTGTGGTAAGCGGCATTAAGAGGGAACGGACAGATTACTTCTTCAAAAAGTCCGGATGATGCCAACCGGCAAAGCTGTAACATATCCGACGCGATCCCACAACGTATGATCTCGTTTTCCTGCGTGTCATCAAGCGTTTCACTTGCCCTCTGATGGCGTTGCCTATCGAGTGCAAGCAGGATACGAGCACTGTAATATGTTATATATCACGGCGGATCGATATATTGAGCACATACAGAACGACACTTACCTGTGACAGAAGACTGTCGGTGTACAAACTCCAATACCTCTCGCAAGCCCCTCCTCCCGTGTTACAACTGTAAGTGCGGCTAGTGCACGATCAAGAATTGCAGCTTCTTCCCCTATTGGGAACTGAGTATCCTTGTTATCCTTGTTATTGCCGATGTGACGAATTACTCGGCCTAGGAGGTTCCCAGCCATAGCCATGAGCCCAAATCGGCCCATTTGCGGGGTTGGTGGTGTCGAAATGGTCGGAACACGGTCATGCTTGGGGATCTATTGTATCTGTCGTCAGACATAAAGAAAAAAATAGTTAAATCACAGATGGATGAAAGTACACTTCGGTCCCAAGAGACATCATCAATAGGCAGCTTTGTGTCGCTAGTTGGATCTCCAATAGACAATGAAGGGATAGGCCCATCAAGGTTCGAGAAGCTGCGAAGTCTGGTAAGCAACTCGGAGAATTTTTATGATAAAGATATGTGTTGAAACGAGCCCCGAAAAACAACGGGACTTACCGATCCAAAATCAGAATAACCCATCGTGCTCTGGTTCTTTCCTCCACATCAATCCAATGAAATGTCCGGCGCTGGGCATTTGTCTCGTTCCCGTCAATCCCAAGCGCGGTGGCATATTTTGCACAAGTGCTGATTGAAAAATAAGCTCCGGGATAGATTGCATGACCAAACTCATATACACATAGCAAAATCCAAGCCTGAAGGATGCGAAATGACAGGATACCTGCCATCTCTGCCTCCAAGATCGAGCTTTTGATAATAGTGTATGCGTCGGTGCACATGTCTTCGCCATCAGGAAGACTACAGACGAGCTTTATGCAGGCAAACAGCAGGGTAATTCCTGCATCAGGTGGAGCCAAAGGATTTAAAAGACGCTCGTTAAACAACTTCTTGGAAAGAAATGGTATCCACGGATGAATGGAGCGAAAGTACACCTGTGCTTGCTCTCGGATATCCTCTGTGAAAGCCTGGAGCTCTGGTCGGATGCCAGTAACAGCGCTGGGAATCTCAGTAACAGTACGGCGGTACAGCTCAAAATCAAGGAAATAGAAGGGCGGGAGCTTCGAAGGTGTGCTATGGCGTTTTGACGATAATGGCCTAATTGCGACGTCAGAGGTCGCGACTGGGGGGACAGAGAATGAATGACCATCCGAGCGCGTGGAGGCCTCGTGGTTATATTGGTAAGTGCATTTGAAGTGGCTCCTAGTATACGTTGAGCTACCTAATATAGATAACGTAGGAGATTCATATTGAGGTCATCTTCGTACCTGGCGCACGAGTGGCATTTTGGAAGTGCCTTGTCGCATTTCCGTTTCAAGTGCTTGCAACGCCTGCAAGCCCTTGGCGAGTAGCCAGAAGAATGATCAAAGTCCATATCGCTCAATAACGTAATTAGCCAGGCGTGGGCAGGTGAATGGTTAAACGGTGTGACCAGGAGCTCAAGAGCGGTTTCGAGCGGCCGCCGGAACGGGTTTGTAATCGTAAAATCGTTAAGTCAGTATAGCGCCCGGTGAGCGGGCCGTCTTGTCCGACTGGCCGTACTAATCCGTAGAAACCCGTACTAATCCGTACCAATCCGTACGAATTCGCGCGTAGCAGGCTGCCAGACTACGAACGCGATACTAATCGACTGAGGTGGCCGGATTAGTAAACCTACCCAGGCCGCGGATACATCGAAATATAAATACATCAGCAACCTGCACAGAACGTTCATCATGCACCGTCTACTAGAGAGGACCAAGCCCAAGATTCCAACATACCGCAACCCAAAATGACCGAACCGGGCTTTACAGGGAGAGATTACACTGGCTATCGTGCTAAGGACGGTGCAGTTGTCGCTTACAATGCAAAGATCCCGGCACTCGGGCCACACGACGTTCTCGTCCGCATTACCCACTCTGGTGTGTGCTCTAGTGACGCCGTATACTTGATGCTTGGCGCACCTATCGCTCTCGGGCACGAAGGTGTAGGGGTTGTGGAGGCCGTTGGCTCTCTCGTCACCGAATTCGGAGTCGGTGACCGAGCAGGTGGTGGCTTTCATCGCGACGCCTGTGGCCACTGCAAGTACTGTCTTTCCGGAAATGATATATACTGCTACGACCGTGTCATCATGGGCGAGGGAGATTTTGATAACGGCACTTTTGGGCAGTATTACATTGGCAAAGAGACATTCTTGCATAAAATTCCGGATAACATCTCGAGTGAGCATGCTGCGCCTCTCCAGTGTGCGGGAGCTACCGTCTATACGGCGCTCCGGGCAACCATCAAACCAGAGATGAGAGTGGGAATCTTTGGCATTGGTGGGTTGGGTCATCTCGCAATCCAATATGCTGCAAAGATGGGCAGCGAAGTTGTTGTTTATAGCACGTCTGCGAGCAAAGAGAAGGAAGCTCGTGACTGGGGTGCTGCCGAGTTCCATCTCGTCTCCGACATGTTCGAAACAACAATTGCACCTCTGGATATTCTCATTATTTCTGGCAGTCATTATCCCGACTGGGAAAGGTGAGTACACTCTCATTTTTTAAACTTTATGAAGCTCAACAGATTTGATTGCAGAGTCCTGGTCAAAGAATTCCTGGCTAGGAATGGGACTATCGTGCCCTTGAATGCCCCAACACACGGACCGATGACTTTAAAGTAAGCACATTTCGCGTCGCTCGAAGTTAGGCACCCGCAATTGTGTAGCTAACGACGAGCTTTACCAGCCCTTTGGCCATGTTTTTCCAAGGATACCACATTCATTCCAGCTTAGTTGGGTCCCGACTCATTCATGAGGAAATGCTCCAATTTTCCGCTAGGCACAACGTGAAACCGCTGGTCAAGGTCTCCAAGCTTGAAGATGCCAGCTCGATTCAGAATGTGTTTGAAGACTTGAGGGCAAACAGGATTAGATACCGAGCCGTTTTGGAAGTCTAATGGTTGAAATAGGGGGTCTGAAGGCAGTGAACTACCAAATCGTATGTCCACTTAATCTAGCTATCTCTTGCCACTTGAGAACAATCTAAATATGAATTCCTAAGAATTAATGTTTGCGCTCCCTTTATTCTTAACGTGTCATGGGCTGTCATTAGTTAGAATGCGTCCATCTCCCCCAACGAAGACATGATAGCAGCCCGTTTCTTTAGAAGTTCTCGTAAATCGCCGTTTGAGAAGAGGTGAGCAGAATGGCAGGCAGCGGCGAGGAATTTAACTAATTTGAGTCGTCAGCTGTGTTGACAGTAGTGCTTGGTCTTTATGTTATATATCCAACTGTGCAGTATAGCTCTGACCACCGCCAAAAAGAATAGCAACATGGTTATTGCGGTCTGTCTCGTGTCTCTTCCGTTATTAACGATGTGCCAGCAGTGCGCAGGTGATCGCAAAATATGTATCTTTGGTTAAAGGTCTCCACTAATCCCAACGACCGAAAACATTTCTTGAATATAATTCTCGGGTAAAGAGTGATTTACCCGCACTTATTGAATCCAACAATTCCCTGCTTTCGGCTTTTTCAGAGCGTGGTCTCAACGGTTCTCCTCTCTGTTAGTTTACCTCCGACAACCGAGCATTCAAAACGGTCATCTTGGAGTATCTAAGACTCATTCCAACATTTACACCGCACTTAAGCCACTGATATAACCATTGTATTAGAAGCACAAACCAAATAATGTTCGGAGACGAGATGGAACTCGGCAGCATACACAGGCTAGCCTTCAGCAAATAGAACATACTGGTCTGAAACCATACATATCATCCCTGGTCCTCGGTGGTTTCAAACCGACTCATAGCCCTGAGTTTCTTTCCATACGTGAGAAAAACCCAAGGAATCGGCAACAGGGAGATAGCAATAAACCCAAGCAGACTGGAAGCCCATCCAGCACCAAGTTCAGTATACACTAAAAAAATCCATTAAAGATGGTTTCGAGCGAACGAAAAGGGAAGAGACATACTTTGAATGGTGAAAAGAGGGAAGGCGGAAGCAAGTCCGTACCTGGCCAAACTGTTCGCACTCATGGCACTTGCGACAGTAAGACCATGATAAGCATCGACAAGGTACTGAGTGGTACTGACGAAAACACACAAATTGCCCCATGCAAACACCATGACCGCAGCCGTAGGACTAACCCAAGAAACATCCGCCCTCACAGTCCATGCAAACCAAAACAGCCCAGTGGGCAGTCCGATACTACCAATAAGCGCCGGGTAGAGGCGATATTCGGGGGGACTTGTTGGCCAGGATGCTTTGGGACCTGGGGGATATAGATCATAATATTGCATAGTAAGACCGTTACTGTCCCGAGCAAGCAGCCAATGACAATTGCTAGGAACACGAGGCCGGTGTCTTCAATGCCGAAGTGGTAGACTCCTTCGAAGGTTAACGGAATCGCAGCGAAGAAAGAGAAGAGTGTTGCAAATTCACAGGCGACATAGAGACATATCAAGCCGACAATTGGTTCGGTAAAAAGCATCAAAATAGGACGCAGCAGAGCGATTGTGGCGAAAAGACGGATCTTCGCGGAGAGGGGTGGTGATGGAGGGATATTTTGCCCGAGTTCTTTGGCACGGCGGCGCCTGATCACGGGGTGGAAGGTTTCCTTGGCCATCGCGATTGTGAATAGGGTAAAAATGGCGAAGAAGATCATTGTCCACTGGGTCCAGCGCCAGCCCTTTCTGTTAACAACGAAACTTCCAATAACTGGCCTGTTTATCTTGTCAACGACCGAATTCTTGATAGTCGATCTAGTTTAAAGACAGCTCACCCTAGGCCAGGTCCCAGAAATGGCGTCAAGATGAAGACAGCCGACGGAAGAGCACGCTTCACCGGTTTGAAGGTCTCGTTGATGGTTCCTGCTGCAATAGCTAGAGACGGAGCATAGCAAAACCCAGCCAGAAAACGGAGCACACAAATACCGGCAAATGTCGGGCTAAGCCCGGCGCCGAGTGTGAACAGCGTCCCAAGAATCATCGTGCCTAGATAGACAGGATATCTCCCAACGGTTTCAGACAGCGGTCCGCCTACCACAGGACCAAGGCCGAGGGCGAAGACATAGAGGGACAATGGTAGGATAGCGACCGTGCTACTCACCCCGAATTCTTTCATAAACTCGGAATGGGCTGGCGACAATATGGAAACTCCGACAGATCTGTTTTTGTGTTATCTAAACTGTTCCTTCTTCTTTCTGGTTAACTGACGTTGTAAAAGCTGCCCATGCAATCATGTTCACTTGCAGAATCTTCGATTTTGTCGACCAGTTGTATGGGTTGCTTGGATCATCATCCCATTTCCATGTATTGGTGGCCTGGGGTGTCTCTGTCGAATTATTGAGCCCAGCCTCGAGTTTCAGCTGGGGAGAAAAATAGTCTTCCAATTCGCTTGGTATGACCCCTTGGTCGCTATTTTTATGTGTCATGATGGTCAAAGTATCCTGTACTGGGCCTATGTCCTAGACCAGAGGACACGGTACGGGTGGGCTTTTAGAGATTTTATAAACATTTGAAAAATAGACAATATAAAGATAGCGTGCTTTGATGTGTGAAATTTCACCTGTGCAGCAACCAGGATTACTCAACAAAAAATAAGATGGGGGCTTATGATTGCCCCTCGGGGTGCGGGAAGAATATTTGATTATTCAACATGTTTCCCCATTCCTCAGACTGCCTGATGAATCAACATCAATTGATGAGTCGTAAGTGAGCTCGGCCGACTTTGAACCGAGGCCCTTCTCAGTCTTGCATAAAAGGATAATGAATATAAGAAGAGGCAACCAGCCCTCTTTATACCTGTAAATCTTAATTAGTGCCAATTCTTTAAGGGCCTTTTTTGTTGCGAAGTCACGCTAAAAAGGAGGATTGCTGCTGGCCTGGACTGCGATCTTCCGAGAGAAGCTTCTGGGAATGGAATACACATTGGAGGTGGCCACATCACACTCCACCACCCCTGGTGCTAGCGTCGCTGCTTTTTGTTGGTCGTCTTCAGTGGCATAATGCGCACGATACTCTTCGGCAGCGGCCGAGTTGGAGAGAATGACCAGGCGAGCGAGACGAGCGACCATGGTGCGCAGATCGGCACTGATCTCAAAGACATCGGTGCCGTAGAAGTTGGAAGGATATGGAACGGGGAACTCCATGCCCAGGGGGGATATAACCCGTGGGATGGTCTGGCGGCAGCTCTCGGAATATCGATCCCATACTGCAAGGCAGCCTGCACCGCATAGCACACAAACATCACCGCACCCGTGGTAGCGCGCTCCGGGTTGACTCCGGCAATACTGGCGATGAAGAAATATGTCTGCGTGAGATCGAAGAGGTACGAGAGCACGACCGACGTAATCGTGGTGGCTGCATTGATTTCGGATTCGCCCGTGACCAGCTGGCAGATGGTATAGTCTCCGTGCAGTGCACATCGAGAAACAGAGGCGAGAGGCCCGGCAGGGAGATGTTGTGGGCAAGCACATCAAACTCGGATATGTTCCATCACACCTCGGCTTCTGCTTCAAACTGTTTCGAAAGAGTATGAGCCATCCGGATCCCTGCATGGCACACAGACGAACATACCATGGAGACGACAAACGCTTTCGGGGTGATCTTGGGAGCGACCGGGGAAATCCCATGCGTCGTCATCGGCAAAGGAGTGCCAGGCAACAGCCGTAGAAGGAAATAATACATGCCGTGGTGAGGGTGAGGGCTCGACGCGGGATCAGTCTCTGCTGATAAGAAGCCATGATGAACAATTCTTTATCTACCTATCTGATGATTATTGATCGAATTAGTTAGTTCGTTCCGGTTCGTTTCAATGATAGATAATCATCGCCCCTTTCTTCAGCCACGGATCTCGGGCGCCACGTCCCATGGTTCTGCCAGGGCCGCCATCCGGATTTAGGGTTAGAGACCGTTATGTTATGACGCGGGAGGCTCCAGCCACGAGGCCCCACGGCATGACGTACCTTGTATTCCCGACTGGCTATATAACACGGGAATAAATTAAATCTTTGTACGTATAGGCTGTTCTCCAACGTCACTCCTGACGTCATTTTAATCTATTTCTTCTGCGATCCATTTTGCGCGTCCATAAATACAACCCGCAGTCAACACTCTCTCCGTCTGGCTCGTAAAAAGAATCATCCCTCCCGCCCACCATGCCGTCTATGCACGACCGAATCCGCGAAGACCTCCTCAACAAAGAACAGGCGCTATGGACCGCGTTAACCTCGGCCGACCCAGCACCCGCCGTCAAGAAACTGTGCAATGACGAGGCCAACATGATGTTCCCGCAAATGCCAATCATCACGCTGGAGGACGAGTCAAGCTTCGGAAACGCGTTGAAGCCGCCCTTCCATCGATTCGACGGGTACCAATTGGACGAAGTCCGCACCATCATCATCGACCTTATGGCCGGCGTGGTCACCTACAAGGTCCGCGCCGTGCGAGGCAAGAACCAGTACCAGGCGACGGCGTCCACCACATGGAGCCAGGGATCGGATGGCGAGTGGCGCGTCGCCTGCCACCAGGAAACGCTACTCTAAGGGTTATGGGTTCCAGGAAAGGGAAGGCGGGTTTCACGGATCTGTCTGGGGACGGAATGTTTATTCGGGTGGCTCCATGGATATAATAATGACCGAACGACCATGAATCAACGAGTTTATGTCTTTCAAGATCTGATGGATCATCAGTGCAGATGCGATCGGCAATCGCGGGTACATACATGCATAGGGTTGGTGTCTATCGTAAAGGAATCGGCTGGGCAAAGGGCCGCGAATGGAGAGATCAAGTCAAGGCTTAGGGTATGGGCGAATGGCGCCATCTCGTCCCGCTGCAATTTTCTATCAAGCCCTAGGCGCAAGGCAGACTTATCGTATTTCTTTTTTTTATACTTTCAACCACTCCGATGGTGTGGTGCACCTTGAGCACCTTGAGACTCCAACACGCGTACTGACACCAACCATCATAACACTGTGGACGGTCGGAAAACCCCGTGGGGATGCTCTATGACGATCATCCGCCCTCTTCATCGTCGTGGCAGTAGCCATGACCTTAATGGTCGGTAGGTGAAGAGGGTTCGTTAGCAGCCAAGGTGTCTACCAACGCCCCCAATAGATTGTTTGTTCTCTTTACGGGTTCCTGGTTCCGATCCTCCCCTTTGTGCTATTTCGCTCACTTGGCGCCTCCGACTCGTCCTGCTGGCCCAGAGCGCCATGGTCACTGTGATTGCGAGTCCGTTGCTCGGCCATTGCGCAGACTGGTCGGGTGGCAAACTGTTGAGGATCCTGCGCACCCTGTCACGTGACCCATTGTGTTTTGTTGATGTGTGTCCAATTGGAAGGAAAGGGCCCCGGGGGGCAAAGTATGGGCTGACTAAGCGAAATCTGACCCAGGATTAACGTAAACCACGGGCGAGTGGCCCACACGGGCGAGTGGCCCACCCACTCGCAACCGTACGCATTTAATTCAATATAAGTCAATTACCAACGCCTATTTTACATATGAAATACCCGCATACTAATCAGGGCATTTAGTCCTCCTATGCCCTATTTGCCAGCAATTTGAACACCGCGGTGGCGCACGCTGCTTGGTTGGTTCCGCTGCCGACGAAGGACCTGCTTCGGCAGTGTTTTCCACTTCAACGACTAATTGATCATCCAACATTCGCTGTACATTGTCCTCGCCTGTCATTCCTACTTCACTATCCATCCATTTGCTAGGTTTTGCCTGCTTTTGTTTCGTTTGGTTGACCTGGGAGCGTAGTTTCTCAATCTCGCGTGCCGATATAGCACTCTTATGCATCTCTCTTTCGTATCCTTTGACTAATTGCGCGAAAGCCTGTACAATAGGACTAGGCGGTGAATGCATACGCTGGCGAAGGAGCTTATTGATTGAATGTGCCTGACGACTTAGGTCCTTTGTATGATGAGGTGTATGGGGGACAAAACTGCTACTGTCGCTCCCACTAGTCCCTGGTGGTGATGGTGTATATATATCGGCAAGCAAAATATTTAGCTTGTCTAGCACACGCTGCGCATCTAGCGGAACGAGGCCAGCAGCGGCAAAGCTATTTCGTATAGTAATGCCTTGATATGCTTCATCTCGGGCACGTGGATATGCAGTAAGGAAATCAAGCTTATCAATATGGTTCCGGCCCCAGCGAATCCAGTCCTGGATAAGCTGACCATATGATCGCTTAATAACAGCAAAGCAGCCCACATCGAGAGGTTGTAATAGATGTGAGGAATGCGGTGGCATACATATAGAAACAATATTGTTTTCTATACATAAATCATCAAATGCTGCGGTCATATGGCTTCCATGGCCGTCTAATATTAATAGACGCCATACCCCCTGCGTGCGCTGTGTAGTCAATGGAATAAAATGGTGTTTTAACCATCGTAGACCAATTTCATCAGTAGTCCATCCATTGTCGCTCGTTTCGAGGCGCCAATCGGACGGAAGATCCACGAACCAAGACTGATTATATCGCTTGCCTTTGAAGATGATAGTAGGCGGAAGCGCCCATCCACTTGCATTGACTGTTTCAATAGCAGTGACCCATTCGCGATTACCAGGGCGTACTAACTTGCGCCTACCATAGTATTCCCTGCGTGTAACAACCTTTGAGGTGCTTGTAATACCCATTGCGAAGCCCGTTTCGTCAAAATTATAGATATCCATAGGCAGAATACCATATTGCTCAATAGTGCGTCGGACAGTAGTAAACCAATCCCGAATAACCACTGGATCTTCACATTGAGCGCGCTTATAGTCATAGCCCCTACTAAAGCGCATTGTAAGGTCGTCGTGGCGTTTCATAAAAGTCCCTGACCAATTAACTCCAACTGTTTAGATAGGGTCCTCGCCGCGCTTCGCAAGTAGAATATTTGCCATTTCTCGTATTAGGGCGTGATCGGCAGCAATTCCTCGGTCGTCCATAGAAAGAAGCCATTTCTTTAACGATTCCTCTTCTAATTGGGTCAATTTTGTGTTATTTGCGCGTGTAGTAGGACGATAGGTCTGGCCCGCGAGCCTGTTCCGGAGGGTGGTTCTGGGAATACCAAATCGACGTGCCGCTTCACGAATATTGACAATTTCGTTGTTCTTGTATGCTTGTATTGCGAGTAGGACCCTTCCTTCCTGATTAGAAGAATTAGGGCCCGATATACTGCGTTTTGGTGGCATGGTGGATGGTTGAGGAGAGTAGGAACGCGTCGGAGACGCGATTTGGGGGCAGGTGGGCCACTCGCCCGTGTGGGCCACTCGCCCGTGGTTTACGTTACGTGACTTATGAGGGCAGTGTTCCAACAGTGTTGGTGTAATTATCCGAATAGTCTCCTTCTTGCACTTAAGACAATCCACTGATTCTCTCTCTCTCTCCATGACCTCCATCCTTTGCTAAGACAAACGAGCCTGGCTTTTGGCAGGGCTAGAATCGTGGTGATTTCGGCGATACTCGCCATGGGTATTCCGTGTGCGGCTCTCGCTGCGTTAAAGCTGGCAAAACTAGACAGCTGTAGATGAGCTAGACACGGGGTCTCCAGGGATCTTCGGCCCCAACGGTGGATACTTGTGAGTATTATCTATTGCCGGTATCAGTTGGACCCTTGGGAAGTTCATTGGGCCCATTCTATCCGGCTACTTGGCGGAGCGTGGGAACTACGAGATGACCTGCGTGCTCTGTCTATCCAGTGCACCATGGCTGAAGTCCATAAAGAAAGACCAGGTCTGGTACTCTGGTCCACAGCGGCGTTGCGTGCTTTCTGTGTCTTGATCACTTTCTGTAAGTCGAAGTCGCCCATGCCACGCGCTGTGAGGAGACGATAGTCGAGCGCCACTTTGCAAGCCGTGCCTGTTATTAAATCTCAACGGCCAGTGTTTGGTGTTGAGCAGCCGATCTAGTATCGAAAACGCTACCGGGACGAATGATGAGGGAGGAATGGAGGCGAGGCCCCCTGGCCCGGGCTTACAGAAATTGCAGGGCCTGCTGAAGTGGAAATCGCGTCACCGATCAATTCCTCGTCGCAGAAGCCAAATCAAAGATTCCAGGGAGAGTTAACAATTCAGGCTTGTCGCGTGCACTTGACACAGCCGCCATTGCACGGACCAATGAACCCAGAAGCATCTAGTGAGTCCACGGGTTTGTCCGGCACCATCGATAGTCACATCTTAGGTAGGCAAGAGAGGCTAGAACGTGGAACGGGTGGGCCCAAGGGCTCCACGGCCGCGGCAGGACACGGACTGAAACCCCTGCAATGGCCGCTGTCAGAAATGAAATTTTGCCTAATTGCGTCACGGACGCGACGTTTTCTTTGTCGCAGGGAAAGTGCGCAGCCTGGATGTCTCCCCCGACGCCAGCGCCATTGCGCCAGGTGGCCTGAGTATCTGCTCAATTGTTATTCGCTCGTGTTTTGTGATCGATCAGTTCAAGCGTATAATGTCACTTTTCGATGCTCCACATACAGCCGCCCCGCCGGGGGAGACGCCGAACGATCGCCTCGTCCGGCCGAACGAAAACCATGGGTGCAACCACGACCATCAGTGAAGGTTTATTGATCTCTCCATAAGAAGGGAGTCTAATCGAGCAGCCTCGGCCCGCTGATCGTTGGTCATCGAAATGCACGCTGGCCTCTCATCTGTAGATATATTAAACCCAGCGGGGGCCCTCGTAACGCCCGTTGTGAGCCGGGTGACTATATCAACAAATTCATGAATACCGGACGTTATTATTTCGCGCCACGGTAGACTCTATCGAGGCGTGGATATCGACCAATCAAGTATATACTCCAGCCAAGCTCATGGCAATGCAGCCGCCGCGCACTATCATCATTGTCGGTGCAGGCATTGCGGGAATCGCGTGTGCGCTCGCCCTCTCTCGCGAACTCACTCCATATGTGCCGGATCTGAAAATCACCATATTTGAGCGCCACAACATCCTGTCTACATCGGGAGGCGCCATCAATTTGACCCCGGTCGCCCAGCGGCATCTGGCGCAGTTGGGAGTGCTGGAAGAGTTGGATCGAATGGGGCCCGAGGGCGGAGCAGATGTGGACGCGATTGAGCTTTACTCTATGCGTTCCGGCCGCTCGATTGGCTCAATTGACTTCACTGATCAACATGGAAACGGATTTGGGGGATACAAGGGCCGCCGGGTGATGCGCATCGTCATCTCCATTGCGATGCTGGCCGTGGTTGAGCGCAGCAGCAACGTTGAAATTGTCTTCGGTAAAAAGGCAACGCACGGCGAGGAGATCAACGACAAGGCCGTGGTGCATTTCCATGACGGCTCTGAGGCTATTGGAGACTTGGTCATCGGCTGCGATGGCGTCCACTCCGCGATGCGCACTCGCTGGGTAGACCCAAACCGGCCCTCTGAGTATACAGGGATCTCATTTGTGCAGGCCACTATAAACTCCGACAGTATTTCCTCGCGCACCCATTTTGGCTCTTCAGCGCTGCATATGTCCCGCCATGGCTCCATCCTCACGAGCTATTGTGACCGTGACCAGGAGCAAGTCTTCGCCTCTGCCATCGTACAATTCAGCGAGGAAGCATTACATAGTTATCGGCTTGAACCGGGGCAAGACTGGATGACCCAGAACAGGATCAGACGTGCTCTACGCGGCGAGCTAAATCATCGTTTTGGGAAATGCGCCATACCTTATGTTCGGGAGGTCATCGATAATGATGAAGCCGAATGGATGCTGTACCCAGTGTACCAAGTCCGCCCCGATGGACGGTGGTGCATTAACAGTGTGGTACTCCTTGGTGATGCCGCCCATGCAGTATGTAACTTGTGGTATTCAATGATCCTGATGTTCCGCTTAACTGACATAGTTGTCCCAGATGCCGCCACGGGATGAATCGGCTGCTTATGCATTGGACGACGCCATTCTCTTCGCTCGGATTCTAAGTCGCTACCGTACGGAGCCATTGGCGCGGACCTTTAATGCCTACGAGCGTCTCCGTCGCAGTACAATCAACTACGCATTCAAGGAGTCCCTTCGTATGTGGGACAGGAATCGGGATATGGGCATGCTCGAAGGTCGGCTCAAGGAGTGGATGTTGCCGCTTTACCTCCGCAGTCATCGCGACGAGCGCGAAGCGGCTTGGGAGTTTGATGCCATGAAGATTGACATCTCAAAGCTGGAATCAAGTGAGGATTTGGTGACACTGCAATCGTTTTTGACGGAGCGTGCCCTCTAGCGGCTCACATCCTTTTGCATTGCGGGCGTTTTTACAAACAGATTACAGATCTAAGTGCATGGTGCTGGAGTATACGACCTGTATTAATTTCTTCGATACACAAAACCACTCTGATTCCGCCTTCTAGTACCGCATGGAATACAGTAGTAGGCATGGATGTGATGCGTCGTGCCTTGAGATCTCATTCTCTCTTGTTGTCAGACTTCCTTGCCTGCGATATTTGTTCATAGCTATATTACTCTCGTTTTCTCTCGTTGATATACCTAATCTCGAAAAGCTGTGAATATCAATGTATGTAACATGATCTTCACTGCCAGTACGTGCTGAGTCATATGGATGGTTAACCTCGGCGCTGCCCCGCAAGGGACCGGACAACGCGGGCCGACTGCATGCAGGCAGCGTGGCTCAAGAACCCTCAGTCGGACATCCAAATTTGTGTTCAAACAGCTCATAAGACCAAACAAGGCAGGATGCCTGAAACGTTCTCGTCTGTCCCAACGGTCGATTTTACTAGACTGACATCGCCTGAGACGAAGAGCGAAGAGCTCGCCAAGCTTCGTGATGCCATCTTCGTCGTCGGATTTCTATATCTGACCAATACAGGATTAGAGGTGCCAGTAAATCCTATAGATTCGTGTTTGGCTCAACATGCTGATCTGGCTGATCTCAGGATCTGATCTACCGTACTCAGGCGAGCCTACCGGCGCTTTTTGCCTTGTCTGCCGAAGCCAAACAGAGATGCAATATGATCCATTCGCCGTCATTCCTGGGATACACCCGTCTTGGTGCAGAGACCACAGCAGCCAAGACCGACCTTCGCGAGGTAATGCAAATCGCACAACGCAAGCAAACAGCAATACGGCCAGATGGACTGATTCCGTGCAGCAATATGATTTTGGCTCGCCGGGAATGAAACCTTGGAAAGAAGAAGACCCGATTTGGAAGAGACTTGAGGGCCCAAACCAGGTTCGTAAAAGCCTTCCCCACTGGTGCCTGGTATTCCTAACGCTCCTATACACTAGTATCCCGAGCACCCTGCGTCGCAAGACCTGGTAGAAGGCTATATTGCTAAAATGGACGATCTGGCTCAAGAGTTTGTGCACTTGGTCGCAGAATGTCTGTCTCTACCACCCACTACATTCGATGCTTTCAAAGGCAATATGAGCCGCTTGAAATTTGTAAAGTATCCTCCTTCCGCACCGGATTCGCAAGGCGTGGGACCCCATAAGGATTCCGCAGGCCTTTTCACCTTCCTCTCCCAGGACGATACGGGTGGACTGCAGGTGCTCAATAAGAATGGCGAGTGGATTGATGTGCCTCCAGTGGAGGGAAGCTTGGTGGTGAATATCCAGCAGGGCTTTGAGGCAATTACAGGCGGAATTTGTGCCGCTACGACGCACCGAGTGATTGTACGTTGTTCATTGACTGGCTAGCATGGCAGACCTACCGCTCACCATATCTTCTAGGCGCCAACCTCGAAAACACGATACAGCATTCCTTTTTTTCTGGGAGTGAGACTGGATCTGACGCTAGACCAGCTCAAAAATTCTGCTGCGCATATTGTGCAACGGATTCCGGCATCTGACGACAATAGGAAGCGTGCTGTCGATGTTCCAAGTGAATTCCTATCTCCGCTGTACTCCTGTGTAAGTTTCATGCATTGCAATTATATGGGAATTACGACTCATTTGAATCAGTTTGGCGAGGCGCACCTCAGAAACCGGATACTGAGTCACCCGGATGTAGGTCGGAAATGGTATCCTGAGCTGTATGCCAAATATTCTCAGCAGATTTTGGAATAGTGGAGCTTAAGATGTTTTATGTAAATCCTCAGCGAGAAATATTTGCTTAGGCCAATAATACAAGACGATTCACACTTTTTGGCTAACCGACCAACTAGTTCTGATTTCCTGCGAATGCCAAGGGTGGAACAACTAATAATGGTGCGATAAACGACCCACGGGTACTATTGGGCTTGTCTCGCGATCCACCGAAACTATTAAATACCGCGCTACGACCCGAGGTTGCGGGGTCTTCCGCAGACAACGATTTCAGCACAAGCGAAAATGGCCTCTCTCATTGATGCTGCGGCCTTGCAGGCTCTTCGTAGTCGCCTGGCGACAGCGACAGTGTACGCACCTGGATCTGATGGATACAAAGACAGCCTAATCCGTTGGTCGGACACCGGAATGAAATATGCGGTATGTGTTGGGGAGACTAATAACGAAACCGCGTATGCTCATTTCCAAATTAGGGAGTGGTTGTTCAGCCAATTGAGGTGGCCGACATCCAGTCAGCTCTTCTGTGGGCCCAGGAATTCGGAGTTGACGACATTGCTACCAAGGGTGGAGGCCATTCTGTCTCCGGCACTAGCTCTAGTGACGGGGGCCTGGTCATCGATCTGTCTCGTATGAACGAGGTCACTGTTGACACAAGCAAGAAAACCATCACTGCTCAAGGTGGCGCGACCTGGAAGGATGTTGATGAGACGGGGGCAGCACACGGTTTGGCGGCTGTTGGAGGAACTGTGAACCACACTGGCGTGGGGGGTCTGACACTTGGGGGCGGTTACGGTTGGTTGAGTGGGCAGTACGGCCTTACCATTGATAACCTTTTGTCCGCCCAGGTGGTTCTGGCAGACGGTACTCTGGTCACAGCCTCCGCTACAGAGAACCCAGATTTGTTCTGGGGCTTGCGTGGTGCTGGGTACAATTTTGGTGTGGTAGTCAACTTCACCTATCAGGGCTACGATCAAGCGAACCCTGTCTACGCTGGTATTATGGGATTCATGCCTGACAAGCTAGAAGGCATTATGGACCAATTGAACGTCACGCTGGCGAGCCCCGACGCACGGTCCGGCGCAATGTGCATCTTTGCACAGGCTCCAGATGGCTCAGGCCCGATGATAGTTGTGATTTGCTTCTACAATGGACCCCGGGAGGACGGTCAGAAACATTTTGCTGGGTTACTGGAACTAGAACCCATTCTCAACACGCTAGACATGGTGCCATATTCAGTGGTGAACACACTGCAAAACCCCCAAGCTACGTACGGCGATCGGAAATTATTCAAGGGCATCTTCTACCAGCCGCCTCTGGACCCGAAATTTGCGCGGATGATCTTCAATGACTTCATGGCCAAGATCAGCGCCGAGCCAGATTTGATGCCGTCCGCTATTATTCTTGAATTCACTGATATGCGGAAAATCTGCGAGGTTCCCCTGACTGAGACTGCATTGGCGAGCCGCAACTTCACGCAAAATGGCATTATCTTTTTGCGATGGACCGATGCATCGAAGGACCTGGAGCACCGTGCATGGGCACGCGAGATTCAGGCCAAGTGGAAGGCCGAACTAGATACCAGAACCTCTGACCAGGGAGCTGGAGATGATGTGCCACAGTATATCAATTATGCTGAGCGTGAGTCCGGCTCATTCTTAATAATATCCATGTATTTCAATGCTAACCTGCTTTCAGCTGGGGACTCGGTGGTTTCGAATATCTACGGTGTCAACCTGGCTCGGTTGCAAAGTCTGAAAGCTAAGTATGATCCGAAGAATATCTTCAACAAGATGCACCCAATTCTCCTCAAATAGGGCAATAGGACGTACTTCCATAATTGATACTCTGATATCATGTCCCCTTGAGCGGCTATCCCCCAAAATCAGAATTGCAAAGAACAGATAAATAGAGAAAATGAGACAAATCAAGTGAAACATGCAAGCATTGTGTGTGATAATAACAAAGTGGACTTGCCACATTCATGTCCACTATGTGCAGCATACCCGGGGACCGATAGCTGAATCGATCTACCTGGCCGCAAACAATTAAAGGCGTGGAAGGATATGATATTTCACAGCCTTGACGGTTGTCCATCCCTCCAACGCCTCTTCGCCCATGTCTCGCCCAAATCCACTCTCCTTAACACCACCGAATGGGACATTTGGGCTTAGCATGGCCCAAGCATTCACAGTCACCTGGCCTGACTCGAGTTCCTTGGACATACGATGAGCGCGATTGATGTCATTGGTGAATATTGCGGCACTTAGACCATGGTGAGTGTTATTGGCCTTCGAAATGACCTCCTCTTCGGTGGTAAATTTGGCAATACTCTAGAGTGGTGGGACAAGTTAGCATCTCCATATCTTAGAATATGCTCCGATGTGCGAAATGTCCAACACTCAGGAGAGAGGAAGGGGAAACCCACGGCAACAGGGCCAAATATTTCTTCGCACATAATAGTGGCATCATCAGAAACATCTGCAAAGGCCGTGTCCTGCACAAAATATCCCCGCTGACCAATTTTTTCGCCTCCAAACAGTAACCTCGCCCCAGACTCTTTTCCTTGGCGAATGTAGTCCAAGATTTTCTCATGTTGTGCACGATTGACAATCGGACCCTTGGTGGTAGATGCATCCAGAGGGTCTCCTGCCACAGCCAGGGCTGCCACCGCAGCTTCCTTGTAAGCCTCTAGGAATCGGTCATAAATGGAGGCTTGGACGTAGATTCGCGACCCAGCCGCACAAATCTGGCCATTATTTGCTGTAATACCAACACGCGTCCAGAGTAGTGCATTACTGAGGTCGCAGTCATCGAAAACAATCGATGGTCCCTTCCCACCTAGCTCTAAACTCACCTTCTTCAAGTTTGTGCGGGAGGCGGCTTGGAGGATCTTGCGTCCTGCCACTGCGCTCCCTGTGAAAGCAATTTTGCGCACTTCCATATGCTCAGCAAGTGCCTGGCCAGCGCTAGAACCTTCTCCAGGCACAATATTCACGACACCAGCTGGGATACCGGCCTCTTTTACCAGCTCTCCCAGTCGCTGACCGTAAAGGGGTGATAGCTCTGATGATTTGATAATGAGAACATTCCCAGTTGCTAAAGCAGGGGCGAGCTTCCAAATAGTAATCATGCTGTCGATATATGTGAGATATTTGCATTGTGATACTTTGAGAGGATGCGTACAGAGGGGAGTTCCAAGGAACGATTGCACCGCACACGCCCAAGGGCTCGCGATAAGTGTAGGCAATACCACCATCCATGGCAAGAGTCTTTCCGTCTACCTTGTCAGCCCACCCTGCATAATATCTGAGACAGCCCACAGCCTGAGGAATGTTGAGTCCCATTGAATCCGCATACAATAAGCCGGCATCAACGGCTTCCAGTGATGCAAGCTCTTGAGCGTCCCGTTCAATCAAATCCGCAAGCTTGAGTAAAAGTCGAGCTTTTGAAGATCCAGGAAAATCCCGCCATGTCTTAAAGCCGTGCTTAGCAGACTCGACCGCTTTGTTGATATCCTCTTTGCCCGCTGCAGAGATAAAGCCGAGTATTTCGCCAGTGGTCGGATTTTCCACAGAGAGCTTTCGCTCATCAGAGGATATAATAAATTCATTGTGAATAAACAGACCCGTGGGAACTTTTCCACTTTAGAAACCAGTCAATACCTCTTGTGTTTCAGGGGTTAGTTACCTGTGATCTGACGACCCTCCACCCCAGTGATGGTTAAAGACGAAGCCATGTTGAGATTAGTTTGTGATTGGAAATGGCACTAAATCATAATCTGGAGATTGAACCACCATCGTACTTCTACTCCTTTTTGTACGTACCTCTTCTCCCCGCGCGGAACTAACACCGCCCTCGGAAATGTCACGGATCGTTCCGGGATGAGAACCCCCTCCCCCCCTTTACAAAGCCCCCGGAAGAATAGCAAGAACCGATTACTGCCGGCACCTGTGCGTAATAATGGCCCCTAATGTGAACAATTATATCGCTTGGAGAGGGGTCGATCATGAACGTTATACATCTAGCTGTCTGAAATTGAACCAGCGGGAAAAGTTGTCTAAAAACTACATGTTTGTATTTGATATATCATTAATGCATCAATCCCAAACAGAATTATCAAAATGAGACCCGCTCATTTGCTAAACGAGCTTTCAAATAAGCGGGGGTTCCGCTGATCTGCCATGTCGAATTGGCTTTACCAATACGTGGCCCATTTACTTCTCCCTTTCACAACATCTATGAAATTCTCGGCAATGATTTGATCGGTCCGCTGTGACGGATGAAGCTCATCAAACCACATGAAGGAATTGGGATAGGGCAGTCTTGTGCAATCAGCTCCACTGAGGTCACAGTGATTATCATATCCAGTGACATTTAGAGGGGCACTCCCATTTAAGTAGGATGCTGGGTTGTTGTAGATATCAGTTAACTGGTGAACTATTAGCCTAGCTTCAAGTTTGCAGAGACCTCTGAATCAATGCCTACCAAGCCATTCATGTCCATCACAGCAAATCTGGCACCCGGGTATCGGTTTCCGATAAGCAGTTCAAAGGGTGTTTGATATTTGAATGCATTGTTGACGGTAGCAACCTGCTCCCACATCCGATAGCTGATCTCTGTCAGGTTGCTTGGTTTATCGGGCCAGTATTGGTTTGGTCCGACGCCATGGTGTTCTGGGGTCGCATATAATGGAACCAGCTGCAATGGTGCGACGTTCATAAGAACGAAAAATCGACCGCCATTTTCATACACTTTATCCAAGGAGGAATAGACACAATCAATGTAGTCTGGGATAGTCTTGTTCGCCACCTGCGAGTCAGTGATGAATGCGTCATATCCTAGATCATTTGTGCCGATCCATATCGAGTACACCGTCTCAAGAGGTGGGATATTCAAAAATCGGCGACGGGAGGCAGTGATGTACTTGCTATCGGCTATATATGCAGGGACCTCGTACTCCAAAACCGAGGGAAAAGGCGCATTGATGGTGGAAAATGTTCGAGGTGTAATCTTATTTGAGCATACCGCGCCACTCACTGCGTAATTGTATAGATTGACACCAGCAGAGTTGGCCACAAAGCGCGCCCATATATAGCCTCCAGAGGCGGTATCAGAGTTCTAATTCAGAATGATCAGTAATTCCCACCTCCTCTCTTCTAGTTTCTTGCACGAACCACAGGATCAACCCATCCTACTGGCGGGGCTGAGCCGTCATGGCTCGCAAAATAATCAAGTCGCGATTCATCGGTATAACTATCTCCAAAGGTAACGAGGCTTTTGAACTCGTGTAAAGGCCAGGAATTCTGTGAGTGGGCCAGCGAGAGACTCAATAGACCCGCAAAAACCCCAAATACGGAGGAACAATAGAGCATGGTGACAAGGTGCGTGGGTGTAGGTGTGTTGGGTGTATGGATGTTTGGGTATGCAGGCTGGCAGAGCGGTGAAAATGGACTTGTGTTTCAAGCGTCCAAGCATTCTATTTGTATAACATATATAATCCCCAGTATTATGCGAGGTGATCTCTATTGGAGCGATTCCCCGCACACAAAATCCCGGAGGATTGCCCTGCGCGAAAGCAGAAATGCTCTAAGATCTTCATCATGGGCTTCTGATAATATCAACTCGAAGGCAAGGATGCGGGGGTCGCATGGACCAAGCAGGATTTAGGCGGGGGAACGGGTAAATTCAGACTAGCCTCCAGGGTTTGGCGGGACAAAGAGACAGTAACCGGAATCAAGTTCAGACCATGATTATTGTCCCAAAGTTCATCGTAAGAGACGTCAATGAATCATTCCCGAAAGGCCGACTTCAGAATATGAACTATCAAATAGGAATATAAGGTTCAAAATCTAGTGCGATCCATCAAATGGATAGACTGCCAACTGTTGCAATCCGGGCCCCTGGACAGTGTTTAGAGGAGCGACAAATGCCATTTGGCTCCAGGAAAAATCCACATTGTCCCCACCGTACACAAACACTTCGAACCGCCCCACAAAGTTGCCATTTATCCAGGTTCGACTTCCTCCAATGGGATCTGAAGTTATCACTATTTGCGCCGGCAAGGGAATATCCACGATTTGGTGGGTTGAGCCAGTCGCGTTGGCCCAGATGCGCCCGGGCTCAGAAGGATCGAACCCATCCGTTTCGGCGACGGAGCGAAGAGGGTACAGCCATCCGTCGGAAGTAAAAATTAACTGGCTTTGATGGGTGAGAGTTAGTACTGAATCGGGGGAGCAGAGTGAGAATGGCCCAGTGACGTTGAGTCGAAGAGTATAATTCATGCCCTTACTACCATCACCCAGCCAATACTCTCGGTCTTCTGAGTCCCGCTGTGGGCGATCCCATGAAAGTAAGGACCCAGAAGGTTGCTCTAAATCATGAGGTAGTCGTCGATCGAGGTTCTGTCCAATTGCGTTGGATGTCAAAAGAGCAATTGATTCATCCAAGCTTGATTCATCCAGTCGTGGACCACGAGAGCCTGTCCAAGACCGAGACGCAACGACAGGAAGGCCATTGCGAATGGCATAGTATGCTTCAAGTTGTGTGGTCGCGTCGGGCCCATTATCGTTCCAAGCGGCCAGGATCGCGCCTCTCACAGCGTTGGAGTGTGGCTGTTCTGTTACATTGACCGGATTAAACAACTGCGGAGTCCATTGCCAGGAATCTTGGTTTGCAAAGTTTAGAATCCGCGTGTTGTTAAAAAATTGGGGATAAGGCGCCGGAGTGATGGGAACATGATTGTTCTTCAGCGACATATAAGCCCACCAATCTTCCGAGTTGATAATTTGGTAGCCATCACGGGCCAATGCAACAGGATCCGACTGTCCGTACTGCCAGTGTTGAATTGTTACGTTCTTGTCAATGGAGAGCGTAGACGAAGGCTCGTAGGTCCCCCAGATGCGTATTTGCTTGCCTGAGGTTTCCCCGATGAAATGAGACATCTCGTTGACAAAGCTGATGTAGTCATCTGCCAGGGTAGAATCGTATTCGTCGGCGCCGATGTGCACTTCGCTGGTGTGAAACCAGGGAAGAAACTCGGACCAGATCGATTTCATGAGCGGGATGGTTTCTGGATGAGAGAGATTAAGCAGATCCCTCTCTGCCAATGCAAGCTCCGGTTTCCATTTCGTAACCGAAAGACAATGGCCAGGGCCTTCGATTTCAGGAATGACGGTGACCCCTCGCTGTGCACAATGCACTTGAAATTGGTTGAATTCATCTCGTGAAAGTGTCTCGTTTACCCGCTGCACCAGAGGCTGTAAATTCGGGTTCTCGGGGCGCAGCGCGAATTGTGAATAGACTTCGTTCCAAGGCAGATCAGGGCCGCGAGTCAAGGGGTAGTTATCAGTGGCATGATAATGAAATTCGGAAATCTTGAAAAAAGACGCGTAGGTGCACAGATCTTTGAGAAATGAGAGCGAGTACCATTTCCGGCCGGCATCTAGCATGAAGCCCCTGGTAGCGAAGGCTGGCGCATCTTGCATACGGCCTAGCGGAATCATGGATTGGTTGGCCAGGATGAGTTGCTGCAATACGGTCCGAGTCCCCCACCACATGCCGCGCGCCCCGGAGCCTCTGATATACAGGCGACCATTCTCCACCTCCAATTCATAGCCCTCCTCGGTTGGCCGGCCATCTTCGTAGGTAAAACTGTCGCGAGAACGTTCAATAAACACACCCGTTCCTTGCAAGGGAAAATGATGCACGGATCGAAGATCCCACGAGGAATTGGTGAGCGTTTCCAGGTCCTGGCGAAAGGTGTTTGCGAATTCGTATGCCGCTGGGGGGATCAGTGTCGGCCCATCTTGGTCTCTCTGGCGCGCAAAAGTGGCGTCAAGGTAGATTGTGTGGTCAGCAGTTGCAGGTGAGAACCCCCGCCCCGACACGGGATCCGCCGGCTGAAAGGCTACCGGAGGCAGGTTCTGCAGCGCCGAAGCGACAGCTGCGATGCAGAGAACAAGCCACTTCATGACAATACAGCACCAGGGCATTGATACGTCCCTTGCTAGACCTTTTATTTATTGCACAAAGCAAGGAGCGGCCTTTTTAATGGCAGCGTTACATTCCTGGCGCCAATTGCGAACCTTTCGGGGATCGACAATTGACTTGGTCCGGTGCGTGGGATGGCGTGGGATGTGGGATAAGCCGACTGTGGAGAATTAAGTTGGCTGGTGTTCATTATTGCGATAATTAGTTAAGACACTTTGCTGTCCCAGCTATTGTTTGATCTGCATACCCTTCCCCCCGTCGTATACACACAAATTGCGACGGAAATATGTAAACAACGTACATACCATTCATGGCGGTCTTTCTAAAATATAAGCATCAAAGGTGTGCACGACCTGACTTCCTATCCGGCACGTGGAACCAAGCTTGTTCGAAGCCCACATGGCGCGGCCATCGAGCTGTCACCCGCTGTATCTCTACGGACAGCGTACGCACATGCTGGTATGTGGCACGGATCATGTCCGTTTCCCGCGTGCCTGTATCGCGGTTAAACTGCTCGGCAGAATCCATAGCTGCGAAACAGTGATATTAGCAAGTGCGCCAGTCACCGAAGGCTCGAGTACATAGTCCCTACCCATATGCGCCAGAGTTAGAAACTCTCGATCGGTTGTTAGTTTGAATCTCGGATTCTTTACATAAGACTTGCTGATCTGTGCCGCAGTCGCGATTCCGCGGATGAGCTTCGACAGATGACCGTCATCTTTGTAGTCACAGGCACGCTGGAAGATCTGTTGCCATCCCGATGGTCGCTGAGGCTGATATATGGCCAATTCTTCGGGACGCGGCAGAGGTGCGCCTGTCTGGCAGTATAAAATCAAATCCGAGCGGCCTTTCCATTCCAGCAGCCGACACTTTGTAGTAGGACTGATCCAAGGCGCACTATTCAGAACGGGCCAGAACGACCCTGCGGTGATGGAATGCATCAGGAAGAAATCAATGCGTATCTGCTTCTCCGGCCGTTGGGCGAGACCCGTCCAGTATACTTTGACGGTTTATCAGACGCTCAAATTGAAATAAGTAAAAGGAAAAAGGGACGTACAACTAGCATTCAGATGTTCTGCGGTCTTTTCATCCAGCTCCGATGGCGTGACCTTCCAGGAGCCTACCACTCGAAGGAACTCCTCTCGGGCATTGGCAAGGAGGCCATTCTGGATCTGAAACACCCCATGCTTATAGTCCATTGCATGCCGTAGCTTCTGGTTTGAATAAATTTCCTGTTGGAGGCCAATTAGACTCTCTGATGCAGGAGACAACGGGGCGTTCTTCTCGACGAGTTCCAAGATGTCACCGAAAGAGGCATCGTGGATCGCCGTAAGGGCAAGCGCCTCGGCAGCTACTAGAGGCTGATCGTATTCGATGGCATAGCCTAGGTGGATCGGTGAGTGCAAAAAGCCTAACGAGCGAATCAGTTTGATATCCATATGCCTAGGGTCAATGCGACTGTACCGCCAAAGAACCGACGTAGCATGTCTTCTGCCCTCCCATCCCCTTTAAACAAGAATTCATTCACGGTGTTGGGCACTCCATTGCGATCGATCTCCCGCTGGAAAAACAGGAAGTAATCGTCGTAGTATTTTCCCTTGCCCAGGCATTCCTTGAATTTGGCAGGATCCGCAAAGTCCAAGACGCGACTAATATTTGGGTTGCGCGTGGGCCGCTGAGAGTCAGTTGCTAGCTCGTAGGCATTATCGAGCTGGTGAGGAGTTCCCCCCAGTGCATAAATAGCCAGAAGATGGTGGAGGATATGGTCTGCGGCGGACTCATCAACAACAGCGTTCACAACGGACCCTGGTGAGTTGCTTACTGTGCAGGCCAAGATCATGGATGTAGATGTGGTAGTTGTCGTGATTTCGCTGCAACAGCTCTGACACCTTGATGGCAGTCTCGACCGTCAGCGGGCGTGCTTTGAAGATGCCGGTAGATGGCACGTTCGTTGGCACAGAGATTCGCTCAGCAGTTCCCATGGTATTCGTCCAGCAGACAGACAGACAAGTGTAAGACCGATATTCCTAAAACAAAGGACCTGTCGTGTCCTTTTGGCCCCGATCCCGTTCTCGACGCCAAAGGGGGCACATGCCTGCACCCAATCCATGCAGCTGTGGCCCATTCTGCATAGTTAGTACATAATCAGTGTTCGTAGTACCGAGCTGCCTACTACTAATACTACCACTACTACCACTACTTTCAACGCCCCCTCTTTGGTTTCGTCATAGGTTGGAGAGCACGCATTAATTACTGGCCGGTGATCCGTCCCAGGCGGGAATGGTGGGGCGGCCCTAGGGGGCCGGCCCTCGGACCGTTGACAATCCACCAAAAAGTAAGCTGCTGATGGATGGGTGCAGCAGAGGGTGCACATTATTATTACTGAATAGTTGCACGGCGCTTGATAAAAATGCTTATGGGGTATGATGTACTTTTTTCTTTCTAGGCTCTGTACCTTGGTACTCTACCCTAGAGTCCGTCGGCCGGCGAAACCACGTGACTTGGCCGATGGATTTTGCGTTCTATAAAAATACTAAGAAAGCCTCGGCCACCGATGCCGATCCGCAAATGACATGGAAACACTCTCTTCCTCAGCCCGGCCATACCGGTCGAAACGCCAACGGCCATGCGATCAATGCCGAGCCCGTAAACTAGGCTGTCAAACTGACAGTGGTCGACCATGCGAGCGTTGCAAGGCGGCGGAATTGGAATGCACGTTTGATAATCCGCCGCCCAAGAGAGCACGAATGTCAGTAACCATGCAAGGTGCGGCCGAGATCACTCCTATCTCTTCGACTCCAGTCTCCTTTGTTCGAGAGTCCAGCCAAGCGAGGAGCGCGTCTCAGAGCATTGGGCCGCAGCTTTCCTCATTGCCCTTGGGGAATGGTGATCTTGGTTTGTCGCCGACGTCGGCTCTTCTCCCCGTTGGGCAATCCTCAGCCACTCAGTTCGTGCAGAGCATCGATCAACTCGACTCCTTTTTCGCACAGCTTTTTGGAGCCTCTGCCGAATCAGACCCATGGCTGCTGCGGCACTGCCGGTTCGATGAATCCGGTATGAAATATTTTTACAAAGTCCATTTTAGAAATGCTGGAGGAGTTCCTACAGCACAGAGGATCCCCGTGCATTTCATGATCTCTTCCGAAGAGCTGGCATCGTCTGTTAAGCATGAGACTCGTGCAGGTGCCGGCGACGCGACACGAGAAAAACTGAACTTCCTAGTCCCGCTGGAGTACGGAAGGCGACTGGTTGCTCTGTAAGACCTGCCCCCTTCCCACTTGACAGATCATTTTTGGCTCTAACAGTTCGATAGGTTTGTCAAGTATGTCTTTCCCGCACTGCCAGTCATATCTCGATCGCAGCTAGGATTGACCTCCCCAACGTGTCAGCTCCCTGAGCTGACAACGTTGGCCAAAGTTCCTGTGCTCCTCCTGGCCGCCATCTATGCGGCTGCCTTCCCATTCGTTGCTCATGATGACTACCTGTGTGTCTTAAACACCTATAATGCATCGCCGGTGGAAATGCTGTGGCGCATGGTATATGAGATAATCAGCGAGGAGATACATACCCCTCATCTCGCAGTTCTACAGGCAGCGCTCCTGTATCTTCACAAAAAGCCCGTCGGCGAAGTACAGTATACAATGGCTGATACCCCATTCATATGGTCTTTCGTCGGCCAAATCGTCGGCCTAGCGTGTTCCCTTGGGCTGCATATTGAGTGTCGCATGTGGGGAATTTCACCTTGGGAGAAGCGTTTGCGACGGCGACTGTGGTGGGCGGTGTATGCCGAGGACAAATGGCGCAGCTTGCTGATGGGTCGACCGCCGTATATCCACCCGGCCGAATGGGACGTTAGTGAACTCGATGAAGGGGACTTCTTAGTTGGTCCTCGCTATGGCTTCTCAACCTGTGCCTGTGACACTGAAATTCCATTTCGGTACCTCGTCAATCTGTGTCAAATTGCGGAGGAAATATATGAGATATTTTAGTGAGTTGTTCGCTATCCTGTTTTCTTTCTGTGGCAGATTGCAAGTCGGACACTAATACAATTTCTAGTACTCTGAAGGCCTCTCAATGCCTCAATGCCAATTTCAGCGCATCTGCTGAGCTAGGGCAAATGCTGCTTGAAAAGATGAATGTATGGTATTCCTCGCTTCCTGATACTTTTCGGTTACCCAATTGGAGTAAATCTGTTCATGGATTGGCTCCATATCCTACTTCAATTCATTTTGCCTACCTCTTGCTTGTGGTATTTGTTTACCGCGCAATGCTTCGGCCTATGGCTCGATCATCTAGTCCACCATTGATATTTGACTTGGAAGATATGTCTACAACGTCCCCTTTGGTAGCGGAAGAGTCGATCTTGGATTTTACGAGTGCTCCAGAAATAGAATCGTTGCCAGAAGTCACTCTTTCAAATGACTACGGTACAGGAGAGACCACTTTACATGGTGCAGAGAAATGTGCAGCAGTTTTGGTCAATTTCACAAGGCGACTAACCTCGAGTGATTTCAGCGCGTTCTGGTATTCTTGTGAGTTTTCTTATCCGTATGCCACAATGAATCGTTTGCTAACTGCATCAGGGTCACGCATTGGATTCGCGACAGTTTCTAATTTTCTGCTCTTGCTTTTGATACAGGCTCCGAACACTGACCATGCCGTTCAGGGGAAGCAGCTAGTAAACTCTTGGTTGCGAGTCTTGCGCTGCCAGAGCCAAAGCTTTCCATTGGTTAAGCTTGGTCTCGCACGATTAGATGCACTGCATTGGGCCGGACTGTCGGACAGCTTCGTCCTTCCTCCTCACGTGCATGAAGTTGTTACCAACTCAGACTGCCGAGAGCCTTGAGCAGCAAGTCGAACGCGATTGTCAGTTTGCCCGCCGACGGCTGCGGGCCGTATGGATTCTCTGTAAACAATAATGCCTTTATAATAACTCTATTCCGATGTTCCGAAGAATTATGTTACCAAGAAAAATCTCCAATACAAATTCTGCATGTTATTGTAGCTGAGAAGTGTTTTCGGCCGTCGGCCAAATAGTTGGGCGACTGCCGGACAGTTGTGGAAACCCATTCTCTTCGTAGAGACCTGTTTTTCTGCAAAAAAAAAAAAAAGAAAGAAAGAAAAAAGAAAAAAGAAAAGAAAAGAAACTGGCAGGCTTGTCTATTTGTATAAAATGCTCGGGCTCATGCGTCTTTCCAGTTCTCTAGCCTGCATTCTTTCCGTCGGTCAGCACTTGTCTCTTACTCTTTGGAATCACCAGTCAACCGCTTGGCCACGAAACCTTTGTCCAGGCTAGTCCCATAATGCCGAATTCTGGTAATTTCAATCGAGGCTCTATCATGAAAAATCTCTTTTCGCTCTTTTCATGGCACAGTCGAAGTAAGAAGATGGGAAGTGATTCAGATTCTCAAACTACATTCGCTCCTAAGTACATGATCCTTCTCCTGATGTTCCTGCGGCTTTTATAACCTCTGACGGCTTAATGTAGACACGACTCGAGTTCTACAGTGGAAAAAAGACCAATTTCTCAAAAATACAATCGTAAACCATCCTGTTCTTTATAGTATCATCGTAGCTGGTGAGCTAACCTTAATGTCATATAGCGGCGGATATGTGCTTTGGGTCATGCTGCAGAAACAATTAACATATTCCATGATGTGTATTATTCTATTAATTGCACAAAATGTGGCACCAAGTTATGTATATAAATACCCATGCAAACCTTTCTGTAGAGCATCAGTGATAATAGAACTTGCAGATCACAATGAGAAGGAATCCTGTCAGCACACAACGGAAATCCCCTTCCCCGTTCGTGGCTGGCATCGTGGACTTGTCACAACACAACACGCGACCGAGGAGCTGCGAGGCATTAATTGCATAAGTCGGCGTGGGAATATCTGCCAATCATGATGCGTGCTAGTCGTTGACTAGCGACCGAGTTCCGAGCTACGACCCTCGAGGGGGAGGGGTTCAGCCGAAGCCGCGGAGCATGATCGATGGCTCACATTATTGGGCAATTTTCCGTCCAATGCCACCGGCCCTTTTATATCGGACTGCGCCTTCGCATCATCGAGTTTGGAAACCCAAGCTCGTCGCGCTTGCCTGATTTCTAACTATTATCATTCTTGACCGGCCTGGTTCGTCTGACCCCCTCATAGACACACCATGATCTTTGAACCTGCGGAGCGCATTTTGCTCCCAAACAAGGATCTGCTTTCCTTCATTTTTGACGACCCGCCGTACGATCAGGATGCACCGGTAGGGCTATATCCTGTGTCATCCGTCCGAGACTGACGATGTCGTAACCTGAGGTAGATCTATATCGACGCCCAACAACCCCAAAGGTCCATTTCTTGCAACCAGGCCCGATCGCTGATTCGGAAACTGGTCGCGGGATTCCGGGCTGCCGGTCTTCAAAGGGGCGACTGTGTTCTCATCCACTCCTTCAATGACGTAGGAGCGCCGGACCCCATCTATTGTTCGCAGGAGAGAGCTGATAAAAAATGATATGGCTGGCAGATTAACTACAGCATTCTTGTCTTGGCGATCATTGGAGCCGGGGGCATCTTCACGGGCTCAAACCCATCATACACCCCCACCGAGCTAGCTCATCACATGAAGGCATCTGAGAGCAAATTTCTCGTCTCCGAGCCTGAGATTCTCCAACCACTGCTTCGCGCTGCGGATCAGGCGGGTGTGTCCGAGCGAAATGTGTGGGTTTTTGACAACCTGGGACAACCCATTCCCGCAGGAAGACGGTCATGGAAACAACTGATGAGTTTCGGTGAAGAGGATTGGGTACGCTTTGATGATCCGAAGACCGCTAGCGAAACGACTGCCGCAAGACTATTCAGCAGTGGGACCACCGGTCTGCCAAAAGCGACAACCATTACCCATACCAACCTCATTGCCCAACATGAACTTGTTCTAGGAGCCAATCCTCGACCGTACGCCGTAAGTATTACTTTTTGGGCCAGTTGATTTGCACGTTGCTGAGTACCGTTGGGTGAATTAGATTTCTCGCATCATTGCGGTACCTGTCTTCCATGCCTCTGCAGCACCTGTTACCCACATTTCCACCCTCAAATCGGGCTCGGCTGCCTATGTGATGCGTCGATTTGACCTTGAGGACTTTTTGAAAGTCGTTGAAAGGTACGATGTTACAGACCTTGCAATGGTGCCGCCAATCGTGATTGCCATCTTGATGTCTCCTCTCTCACGAAAACGCCCGTACCTTCAGAAAGTGCGTCTCGCGGCATGTGGAGCAGCACCTTTGGATAAAGATATTCAAGCTCGGTTCCGCAAGCTTATGGGAGATAATGGTCCATTTACCCAGGTTTGGGGGATGACGGAGACGTCTTGCATTGCCACCATGTTCCCATACCCAGAACACGATGACACGGGCTCAGTCGGTCGGTTGATTCCAAACCTGGAGGCCAAGTAAGTTGCCTCACTAGAAATATCACGCCGGCTAGGCTTGCCTGTTGCTTCCTTTTTTATTAACACACGGTCTTCATAGACTGATCGACGAAGGTGGAAAGAATATTTCGGCGTATGGCGTTCGTGGTGAACTTTGTGTACGAGGGCCAACAGTGACTCCTGGGTATTTCAACAATCTGGAGGCGAATGCACAGTCCTTTGACTCTGAGGGCTTCTTCAAAACGGGCGACATAGCGTACTGTGATCAAGCAACCCGAAAATGGTATATTGTGGATCGCAAGAAGGAACTTATCAAGGTTCGCGGGTTTCAGGTTGCACCGCCCGAGCTTGAAGCCGTGCTCTTGTCACACCCACAGATTATTGACGCCGCTGTGATTGGCATCACTTTCCCCGGCTCAGACACGGAGTATCCTCGTGCGTATGTTGTTCGAAGACCCGGTAGCGAGGGAGAGAAGCTATCGGAGGTGGACGTCCAGCAATACATTTTGAACCATCTGGCTCGATACAAAGCATTGACCGGTGGAGTCAAATTTGTTGGCGCCATTGCAAAGAATCCCAGCGGTAAGATTCTGAAACGGGTCTTGCGCGAAGAAGCGAAGAAAGAAATCGAAGCCGGGCTTATCAAGCCCAAGCTCTGAGCGTATATAAAATTTGAACTTCCTGAGATCACGCTCCGCATCCCATCAAGTTTCCCTAGCTTCCTCTACCTAGAACATGGCTATTGTTACAAAGGCTGTGGGTACCACTTTTCAGTGACCGAGTCTACGGGAAAGAAATATATGTATTTGAAAATAGGGTAAATATCACAGCACCGATAACTACGTGCGAGTGTCTCTAGATACGCCCGCGCTAGATGTTGGTGATTGGGTTTTTTTGGTTTGAAATAACAACTTGAGAGAACGGCCCTTAGTCCTGGAAGCCCCTAAAGTAGAATCCAAGGTTCCCACCTGGAGTCTTTCTTTGTACCTGTTTAGAACAGCTATTCGATGATATTTGTGAAACTTTTTGGATGCATCCTTCCCTGCCACCCCCAGAAGTACTGAAACGAGCAAGTGTCAGAATTTATGAAACACGATTTAATCGTTCGACATACTCTTCGCTCCGCCAGGATGTTCATCCTTAAAGCTGGACAGGTCATATACATCCTGATCGATGACAACCCAAAGGTTACCAGCCAGGTTGTGAAGTGCGACCTCATCTCGCGAGTAAATACCATTTACCTCATGTTGGTGTTGAAGACTCGGACTACCATTCATTCTGACGTTGTTAAAATGGAATAATCAACAGTAGATAGACACAAGGACGTGTATGGCTCTTCGGGCAGTAAAAGTGGTGAGAATTTTGCCCTCCGTTTATGAGACGCTTTCAAACACGCGGGGTTCTCAGGTAGATTGTAGCCAGGGTTAGGGGCCAATCCCTGAAACCACCGAGGATTGCTTTGCCGCGGACCGTCAAGGAACCCCTGCACAACATGTGGGGGCATGAAGAACTGTTCTGGAGTCTCTCTATTGTTTGTTCATTCAAACATCATATTAATTAAGACGTATAAGAAGCGCATCCATGCTCTGCTAGGTATTTACAAGAAGCTTAAGCGACCGAGATAAATCATGGGGAGTTGTCAAATTGGATAAACCGCCCATGATTTTAGAAACCTGCTGGATTCCCTCTTGCAATGAAGAGCTATTGGAGCTCGAATTGGAATGCGTCATACCATGAATTGTGTCCATCAAAAGCTTCATAAAGGGGACGCGAGTAGTGAGCGTAAGGTTGTTCAGGATCTCCTCGTAGTAGTGAATATGATGGTTGTCGTAGATGGTCGAATTTCCGGTAGCCGAAAGCTCTAAGTCGCCGCCAAGCAAGGCAGACATTTGCGTGCCGAGAATTTCTAAAAGGTTGTCAAGTACAGTGTCGATATCTACCCAGCCTCGCAATTCGATCGTGTTGTTTCCAGGCCGTAAAAGAACGTTGTAGGAGGTTGCTTGTCCGATAATTAAGCCGGCACTTTGGAGATTTAAAGTTACGTTTCCCTGTAAAAGAATAAGCGGATATGCCTAGTGAAGAATAAGTAGTGGGAACCAACCATTGCAAAGGTGAAAACGGAGCGGTTGGGTAAAACCGCAGTGCCCACCAGATTCGTACCATCCTTTTCCTCGGGAATAATCAAACGGGCTGAAGGAATAGAAAAACCACTAAACTTATCCAAACCTACGAGATTAAAGTGAGTCTAAAATCCAGGCCATAAATATGGTTGCATACCATTCAGTTCAACATTTTTGTCCAGCGTCAAAGGCGCCTTGAGCGCCCCAAGATGACCAACTGTAGAGCCTTTTGCAGACATCACAAATCGTTTTTCATAAACCGCAGTAGTTAAGGTTTTCACGAATTGGGGTTCGTTGAGGATATCAGTGTTGTGCCGGGTCACACTCATCATATTGGTGCCCCCTTTCAAGTTGTAAGCCGGAAGTGCCACGAGCAAGTATGGTTCCATCGGTTTCACTTCTTGATTGAACAAACTCAGGTTGAGCGGGTCTGTATGAACTCTAAGGCCAGATGGGATCTTGAGTGAAGTGTGAAGAGTGAACGTGACTTTGTCTGGCTTGGGATCCATGATCGAGGCAGAATACACAGGTAGGCTTGTGTCGTTGACAATTAGTTGCGCAACGGCAGGGATGACTACCATGAAGCTATAGTATAGACAATGGATTAGGAAATAATAAGCGGATTCAGGAGAGAAATGATGCCTTACAATATGGGAAGAAGAATTGCAAGCAACAAAATACATCCGAGCAAGTAGCAACACCAGAAGCGGCGCCAATGCTTCTTGAATCTCGTGGAAGGTGCCTTAGTCTTGCTTGAGGGCCCCTTCTCCAGTGGTTTCAGACTCTCAATTTCGACGTTCGATGGTTCCAAATCATCATTCTCGCCCTTCAATTGGCTTAGGGAATTGGGCAAGTTTCTGTTTGCCCCAATAACAAAACTATCCTTGGTGCCGTATTGCATTTTGTAGTTCGAGGGCGCGTTCTGAAAGCGATAACAGGAGACGTAGTACGAGAGTTGCCGAACGTAAATTGATGGAAGGATCGGACATATACTATCTGACTATATACTCCAAGTACAGGATTTGAAGTTAGAGCACGCAAACCCCCTCATGTATTGGGCAGCAGCGCCATGGCCATGCGAGACGAAAATCTGGGGAAGTCCTAGTAGTGTCTGCTACCCCAGGAACTACTACGATCTCGCCATATCTCACCGTCATCACAACCGTTGATCACAGGCAACCCCTCTCTCGCATGCATTGGCTTACTCTCCGCGGCAGAGCGGTCCTCGGTAGCCCATGCTGGCGGTGTTACTTTTTGCCGTTGCCAGAAGCGCCCGGTGAACTTTACTCCTCCAACGGTCCGCGGCCGGCTCAAGTCAGGGAGCTAGTGCGTTGTATGAGGTAAAAGCTTCTTCTCGTGTTTTGAGATTTGAGCAGAGAGCTTTTACTAAACCGCAGAAACCAGGTGCGTTCATAAAAGGCTACAAGAATACCCTTACTTCCGAAAACAAATTCCTATGCCTCTCTTTTCTGACATACCAACCCCACCAGTGACATTGTTTCTTTAGCATACATTCGATATGGTTGAGCCTAAACCGGAAGTTAGCGTCGAGGGCAACGACAATGCAGAAGCCACCAAGTTCGGCACCGAAGAGAAAAACGAGAGCTCGGATAGTGACATCGTCGATCCGAAGTTGCTTGATGCACTCGAGCAACCAGAGCAGATCCGCCGAATTGTTCGAGAGGCAATTCTTCTGGCTGGCGGTGCAACTGCTATCTTGCTCCAAGTAGCTGAACCCGGTGTTGCCAAAGGTGTGGACGAATACAGCAACTTCGCCTACCGACCTATGGATCGACTCCGTACCACAATGACCTACGTATACTGCATGGCATTTGGCACTCGAGACGAAAAAAAGGCTGTCATCGAGATGGTACATCGTGCTCACGCCCCGGTCAAAGGACCGGACTACTCCGCCGACGACCCAGAGCTCCAACTATGGGTTGCCGCCACTCTCTATGCGGTTGGAATTGATCTCTATCAGCGGATGTTTGGCGACATAGATGATGCAGCTGCTGAGGCTATCTATAGGGAGTATGCTATCCTAGCCATTTCTCTGCGTGTTAAACCCGGGATGTGGCCGCCTAGTCGCAAGGCTTTCTGGGAGTATTGGGACAATAAGATTGCGACAATGAAAATCACGGATCATGCCCAGAACGTGGCGAAGGGTCTGTTGTTTAACAAGCATGCTCCCCTTCATATACGTGCAGCCCTTCCTCTGGTGCGTTTAACAACTACTGAAATGTTACCGCCGCGCATTCGTGAGGCCTATGGACTCAGATCCACTAAGACGCGGCGCGGCGCATACCGGGTTGCCATGGGATTCACTAAAGCAACATATCCGTGTCTTCCCAAGGTAATCCGAACGTACCCCATGCGCTACTACCTGAAGGACATGCGCAAGCGACTACGGGATATGGCATAGTTCTCATCGCAATGAGAAGATTTAGATGGTTAGACAAAGGATGGTATTTGGGTTTTTGTCGTTCTGGTGGAGTGGGAGCCATACTGATGCGACATTCCATTACTTGCTGTAACTTGCACTCAATTTGAACACTGGTTGATTTTAATCTATAGAGCTAATAGCCTAACGTGGTACTCAAAAATTGAGCCTTGAAGTTTTCATCGCGTGTATCATAGTATTATTATTGCACAGTGTTCCAACCAACACACAAGAAAATCCCGATTGCTTGGCTCGAGCTGTCATTATGGCCCACTCGGGCCTAGTCTGTCCCTATGGATGAACATTCCTGCACGGTCTGGAGAGTGGGGAATGTGGAGTAGCCGAGTTCCGCGGCAAAGTCCACCTTGCGGAGAACCCTGTTGACACTGAGCGAACCAACAATGAGCTTTTCTGGTAGGTGGAGAATATATTACTGTCGGTCTGGCCAGCCGTTGGCTCTAATGGTGTCAAATGACTGAAATCCTGGATCCTGGGGATGGCGGGGCAAGCCATGATTCTCCATTCGGCCAGGTGATCAAATCCATGCTGGCCTCAGGCACTGTCCCCCGTCCTGGCGCTATCCCTAACTGTCGATCTACAATATCGGTAGCTTTGTCCTAGAGGTGTATGTATGCCTTTAAATCCGGTCTCCAACCGGCCTGTTTCAGGGGCAGCCCAGAGCAGACGGAAATATGAGCATGCGCCACAAGTTGGTCGACTTGGATCATGTAGCCTATATGCCCCCGTATCACACGTCCGAGCACGTCGTTTAGTGGCGGCCGCCCCCACATGTTCCGTTTACGCTACCATTATTTTTGCCAGTCACGTCTGTACTCAGAAGGCGGGTGATATGAGGCTTCCCAGCAAAAACAACTTACTCTCTTGTGTCTGACCCCGTAGCTCGAACCCCCCCCCCCCCCCACGAACCAACTAATGCTACGGCGCACGAGACGAGCACCATCGGCATGCTCTTGGTGTCACCACCGGAAAGTCCGATGCGACGCGTCCATTTTGGGCTCTCCGTGTACGCGCTGCCGCCAAGATGGTCGCACTGACTGCGTTCTTCGAGGAAAGCTATCAAAGCAGTATGTATTAATTGTTACAATGCGAAGACGAAACTGAGTGGGCTTTATCAAAGACCTAAATTTCCACCGGGCAGCCCGCATTTCGCGGACTCGAGCGTGCATGAAAGACTCGTTCATGAAGATCACCAACTTGATAACGCATTCTCCAAGGATCTAAGCGACAAAGATGCAGGGAAACATCCTCCGCCGGCTGCACATCTTCCTGTTCACTTAGGGAAATCAACTGACAAGTCTGAGGGACCACGGTACTCAAATGTTGCGTACTCGGAATACGACTTTATAGACAGCTATTCACTCTCCTCTTTGCCACCAGAGGATATGCAATTCTTGGCATCAAAGTGCTCTCTTACTCTGCCGGAGAAAGATGCGATGGATGAGTTTGTGCACCAGTATTTCAGACATATTCATCCAGTTGTGCCGGTATTGGATGAAGGCGAGTTTTGGCGGATCTATGAAGGCGATCCTGGGCCCGACAGGCTATCAATATTTGTCTTCCAGGCCGTTCTTTTTGCAAGCTGTCCAGTATGTGACAACTCCGAAGTGGACGAACAAAGACAGCTGATAAAGCATAGTTCGTCTCGTTGGAAACATTGTACCGCTGCGGCTTTAATGACAAGCGAGATGCTCGAAACCAGCTGTACAGTCGTACAAAGGTAAACAATTCCCACGAACTGAGTAACGCTATTCTATAAGTAGAACTAATTTCGTCCTTGTTCTGGAGCAGCTCTTGTTCGACTTGAAAGCCGAAGTACGACCGTCGGCAAAAGCGCAGGGAGCTGTTCTTCTCACTCACCATACCTCCGCCGATCATCCTCAAGCAGGAAGCCTGTGGTTAGCACGAGCCATTGAAAACGCCTTGATAATTGGTGCTCAGCCATCAATGCTGGATGAGCATCTGAGAGACTCGCTCAAGAAGCGACTTTGGTGGTCTATTCTTCTCCGTGACCGCAGTCTGTGTATTGGTCTCCGGCGTCGCCCCCAGATCACATCAATCAACCTACATGGATGGTCTGATTGGCTGCGTGAAGAAGATTTTGCAGAAGAGTTACATTCCTCCCGAGTATACGACCTAGACGCAAAACGCCTATTATTACAGGCACTTCAAGAACAATGCCGGCTCGCCGTACTGCTGACCGACCTGGTCTCGTTTATCTTCTGCCCTAGAGTCAAACCCACCTGTTTCCTCTCAGTCGAAGAATTCCATGGAGCGATGTCCAACATTGAGAGGATTCGGGAGTCGTTGATTGAGTGGGAAATGCAGACACAGCCTGCTCTGCGACTAGATGCAGCACCAGATGCTTACGGCCCTGTTGCGACAATTATCAATTTGACCTACATGTATTATCAGTACGTACAATAATCTTGAAAATTCTCCACGAGCGGAGCTTATTCACTGACATTCTTTTGACACCAAAGTGCTGCACGAGTTGACCTTGCTCAGTATGCGGCGTTCATGATAGAGGAAAACCTCTCATATGCGAGAGAGACACACAAGCAGCAAATTTTCAAAATTGGACAGGATCTCAAAGGCGCGATTGAGAGTCTTACTACCATCATGGAATTCTTTAGCGCAAACGGACGCGTAAACAGCTTGCCTCTCAGCATGTCAGTATTCCCACCAGTCGGCCAGTGCGTGATTTGGGGAAGTTGAGCTAATACAGACCAGACTTGGCTATGTGGGCATGCCATTGGTCTTGGCGGCAATTGACTTGAAACTATCACCTTCTCACGAAGAGATGATGATTCGGCAAAAGCGTTTGCACTCGATTAGTGGAATCATACGGCAATCAGAAACCCTCTACGATGTCACCGATTTTGTCGCCGCAGGCACCAACCACATATTACAGCTTGCTTATTGGACTACGCAGAACCTTTTCCTTGGCTGGGAGCACCATGCTAAACGAAATGCACCGGTTGACCAACTAAAGAGATCCTGTTTGAGTGATAATCCTTCAGACAGCGATTTGGTGAAAGGGCTCAATTCACGTTTCCGCGTGAAGAGCTGGTTGGACGCCTTCATCTACTTCCCTCGGGCGTATCTTTTAATTTCTACATCAGTGGATTACAGCTTAGCTGTTGGCCGTCTGCCATATGAACATGCACTTCCCGAGCTGGTCCGTCATATTCCATCAATGGGTGCTACTTCACGGCTCCCATGGACAATCAGTGTTCGTCCAGTCAGCAAACAGAAACCATCCTCTTCATCCCGACAAAAAAGACGAAACATGGGTGTTCGATCAGAGTCTGTAGAGACTAGGACCACCGTTCAAACCATTAGCACCGAGACAGCTGAAGGAGCGCCACATCGACGGGAATCTTATACCGATGAGCGTACAACGTTGCCCTCATCTGGGCCAGGCGCCCCAGAACAGGCTTTGGAGCCTCCGAACCAGACTTCTAATCAAGCTGATAATGTTGAAAGTAAAACATGGCGGCAGTGTGAGGTGAACCTCGACTTCATGGACTTGAAAAATGTCCCAAATGCCCCTGGTGGGTTATCGCCCGCAATCCCTCCTCAATTTGAAGAAGAGTCCGCGGCTCCTGGAGCTACAAGGGCGACACGCAAAGAGCAGGTGCAGGTACACCATGAGAGCTTTGAAACCGAGAATATTGAAGTCAAGGGCTTCAATAGGATTTTGATGAACTCATTATTTCACAATTCCAGTGGGGAGGAGTGGGATGAATTGTATCATTCGAGTTTCCAGGCAACTTGTTGAAATTAATATTTGCTTATCTCAAGTGAAGTCTGTAACAATAGAGGGGATAAGTAAGCTCGTAGTGAAGGATATTATTGTCATATAGCCAGCACAGTAAACACCAACTGACCGTAGGGTAGCCATTATAGTTCTACCATAATCGTAAAAGCATAATTGCCGATTTGGGCATTGGTACAGCCAGTACTGGCAGTACTAGAAGCTCTTTCAGCCTACAGACTGAGTTTGAGCTATTGTTATTATATGGCCAAGCTTTAACGGGTGAATCTGTCTCTCCGCATACGTAAGATCTCCCCTCTACGCCTATGACTTCTGCTTCGGCAAGATTTGCGAAGACTCACGACATCAGCGTAACTGACCAGCAACGTGCCCTTTCAGCATTACTATCCCAAACGAGCAGCATTATTAACAATAGGGCCACGCCGCTCACATCTCCGATGGTTGATGAAACAACTCGCCTTCTAGCGGAAGCGGGCAAGTAAAAATTATCCAGCAATGGCTGACTTGAACAATACCAATATGAATGGGCTACTGTTTGGACCTCAGTCTAGGATATTTTCTACTTAAAACCTTCACAATGAGGATACAGTTCATTGGTTTATTGCAAGTTGCCGAACTTGAAATATGAAATCGCTCCGATTGGGCGTATTTGCCTTTTTATCACATCACTTCACCTTCTTTCATCAAAACCACATCCTTTTGTCTGGCCTTTCAATTTATCAGTGTGGCTTAATTAAAAAAAGTCTCTAGTATTCGTGCATTTTGTGTGTCGTATCTACTTCTATTATAGTAAGTCAAGCTAACTCCATCCTTATCGCCGCAGCTAGTCTTTCAGGAGCCCGGGTACTACCGGAAGTGATAGACAATATGTGAGGGTAGACTAAATACAGGAGCACAACTGGCTGAAACCATCATAAGTATCCTCTATTGGCGGAACTAGCACTGAAATGCATATAACAGAGGATACTCTCTTGCGCACGGGGAAGGATTTGTCACTAGAATTAAAGGGGTCAGTCCCAACATAGCTATTGACGACATGTTAATTTGCTTAAGCTTTGCGAGTGCGTCACAATTTGCAATTAGAAGGATAGCTCGATGCACGTGGCTGGCAGTCTAGATCCCACAGAAACTCTAATTCTACTCTTTGCAAAGCTTAACTAAAGCTTGGCTCCTCAGCGGATTATGGTTGGTTCCAATGGCTAGGAGTTTGTCAATTAAATTCACTTTTTGCAGAGAAGATAATCTCGTGGTTTTCAGAGTGTCAGGGTCATGGGTCATTTCACAATATGAACCCCAATAGACGGCTAGGATTCAGCATGTGCCAAAGCGCTCTAGTACGATAGTGACCCACATATACATATTTATATGTAGAGAATAGGTCCTCGACCAGAGTAAGTGAAGGGTTGGTTTTCTGTTTTTTTCCTCATCTGTCCATTGTGTTATACTTGTCATCACCATGCACGTCAGTGCCGCTATTATTGTCGTTGCCCTTGCGGCTCTGGCGTTTGCTCAGCATGCCCTTCCCGATGAACAAGTGCCGTTTATTGGTGGAAATGTGTTTAACGCGAATGACCCGGCTGTAATCAACCAGACATTTACCTACAACATTCCTTTTGAACCATCTCAGTACGGCGGCTACTATTACTGGGCAGTCAATAACAATACCGTGAGCGGATCAAACTTCTCTAGTCCTCACATGATGCCTGGCTACAACTACTACCCGGATGGCGCATTCACCAAGTATCCTTATTTTGAAATCGGCGAAAGAAACTCGAGATCTATCAACAAGACCAGACTATTCGACTGCTATCAGGGACCTCGTTTCGATGCGCGCGTCCATGTCCGCGACTTCGGTGTTGATCCTCAACCGTGCCAAGCGAATAACAGGTGCGACGGCAAGTTCAAGAAAGTCCTGCACGTCGTCTTCGAAAACCAGGTCTACGACTGGACGATGAGCGATCCTTACTGGCTACTTCTGGCTACCAGAGGCAAGCTTTTGACCAATACTCACGGAATCACTCACCCGTCTTTGCCTAATTACGCGGCTATTCTGGCTGGTGATTTCTTTGGACTAGCTGATGAGGACTTCTACAACATTGACACTACTACGATATACGACCTTCTAGATGAGAGGGATATTTCATATGGCACCTACATTGAGTGGTATGACCCGATTGCCACTCACCGTGGTGAGAACGACTGCAATAACTATATATTCAACGGCCCCATCGACAATACCAACCCAGTCTGGTGGGCTCAGGTCTACCGTCGCCTGGATGTCCCGGCCCTGCTCTTTAAAACCTATACGTCGAAGTATGACCGCTGCGCCAAGTTGTATGATGCAAACAATACTTTCGCAGAGCACGTCATGATGCACCAGCTGCCCGAGTACTCGTTCTATGTCCCAGACATGATCCATAACGCACACGATCCCATGTCTGATAGTGACTACGTGCACCAGCCTCAGACAGCGGGTTACTGGCTCAACTCATTCCTGGATCTCTACTTACCCGAGCTTATGGCGCAAGGAACCTTGGTCGTCGCCACTTTCGACGAAGCTACCTGGCCGAACGATAGCGACGACTTTCCCAACAATAACAACCACATAGTGACAATGTTGTTTGGAGCTGGCATTACACCCAACACCAAAGACCATACATACATGACCACCTACGGGCTTTTGCGAGGTACAATTCAGAACTTTGGGTTGGGGTCTCTGGGTCGTAATGATACCAACGCCACCAATGGCAATCTGTTTGACCTCGTTTCCTAGGCTTTGTATCGGCAGCTTAGTTTGGGAGTGCTGTGGACATTCATGTTGCTCGCCTAGGCATTTGCTTTTCTGCGATCCTTTGTCACTTGCCTTCGTTGATACGTGGATACATATACATAGCTCGGCTTCAAAAACTAATAAACTCCCTATGTTGCTATTTGGACCATGTACTGATCCAGGCTACAGAGTCTAGTAGACAGTGGAGAACCTCGGCTACGTGATGCCTCGATGCCTCGAGTAAATAATATTAACATTTTGTTATTTAAAAAACGAGACGAGATATTTAACAGAACGAACTACGTAACTCGATTCCGAAGATACCGATTAGTACGTCAAACCACCAGACTGAAAATAGGGAAAAACCACGCTGTATCCACGGGACGACTGTCGTTTTCAAACGCTAGCTACAACAGTATTTGTCTGATGCATGGAGATCGCTTGCACTTATCCGCAGCTCATACCCTTGATTTTGTGATCAGATGGCTCTTCCTTGACTGACAGCTCATAGTAGCGTCCGATAGTGGGAATCATGAAAAGCCCAGAAGATAGAATAAGCAATGCACCCGGAAACTTCTCAAATTATGTTTTTACTTCGTATAGCATAGTCTATGGGTTGCCGGTCGCACAGAAGAAAGCATGAATGCCAAAATTATTCTTGAAGAGTCCCCCTCAAAAATAACCCTGAAAACAAATTGCATGCAATACCTCGTTGTGACCATTTGAGATTGGCATACCGGGAAATGGTAGTCATCACGCCGGGAATGATTCGAGACAGAGAGACAATGGTAGAGCTCTCACGCCGTTATCCCTTCTGCAGTTCCGACCATCTCTTCTGCGGTCCCACTGGCAGGGTGTGCAACAGAAGAGACTCTTCTCTTGTCATTGCCACCTTTAATTCGTGCAAGGCCGACCATTTGACCGACTTCCCTCCAGAAGCCTACTGGGGGATCGATAAAGCTTGCCTCGTAGGCATCGATAAGAGGCCTTTCCCAAACCAGATCTGCTTCCTTAGGCCGAACGAATCGCGTCTTCTTGACAAGTTTCCAGATGAGGAAGAGCGGAGGGATCGCAATCTGCATCGTGTAATCGGACCAGAATGTTTGCACGTTCCACGGTTTGTATGCAGGATAGCCGTATAAGATTGCAACGAGGATCATCCACACAAGCCCGAAATACGCACAGAACGGTTGGAACCGTGCGTAATAAGAAAGAGTGCTGCGGTCCAAACCTTGAGCTTTGCAGGCCCGGTGGAAGAAAATGTAAGTCAGGGTGATGCTGATGTAGTTAATAAGCCCTAATCCAAAAGTTAGCGTCTAGTATAACTGTGGTGTACGAGTTAGGAGTCTTTACCTCCGGCAGTGACTAGATTCGCGAACCATGTGATGACTATGGCAGAGCTACTGGAAACCTGCATAAACGAAAGTATCGGAAAAATCATCACAATGGCGAAACAGTAGATCGGCACACCTTTGCGTGTGGTGTGAGTGAGGATCCTCGGGGCTCTGCCCTCGAGGGCCAGTCCGTAAAGAGTGCGGATAGCGCAGTAAGTGTAGGTATTGCCAGCCGAAAAGATCGAAGTCAACAGAAGCCTAAGCAAAGAACAGTCAGTTTCAAGTGAAAGTCTTCGTTCCCACTGAATACTAACGCGTTGATGATAGAAGGGAAAATCGAAATGCCGAGATTGGTCATGCCAATGACATACGGCGATGATCCAGCACCACCACTGCCTTTGCCGTTGACCACAATTTCGAACAATTGATGATCCCTCGCGGAGCAGATAATACCCACGGCCAGGGAACCGCCGATAAAGAAGAGCCCGAATCGAACATAGACTGTCTTGAAGGCATTCTTGATATAGATGCGAGGGCGTTTGGCTTCAGCAGCGACCATCGAAATATACTCAGGGCCGACGACGCAGAAACAGGCAGACCAAAGTGCTCCCAAAAACCCTTCAAAACGACCAAGGTTGCCGGTATCTAAATATTCCATGAAGGCACCCGGGTTGTTCCAATAGCGGAAGCCGTATGCATCATGGGCAGGGTTACCACCAACCATTGTGACGAAGGTGAAGAGGAACAAGGCGAAGATCAGAATAACCTTGCCGCTCGAGAGCCAAAACTCAGCTTCACCATACGCTTTGACAGCCATGATGTTGAGGGTACTATGAGAAAGTCAGACTTGGGTCCAGAATTCAAAAGAAGTCGTTTCGGCACTCTGGAATCAAACACAGAAAAGACGTAGACTGGTCTATCACCAAGAGATCCGAACACTACTGAGGCAATCTCACCCATAGCATATAACAATTGCAGCAACAATCCCGGCAACTGGGCCAGGTTCAGTGATCGTAGGGGACCAGTACGATAGTACAAGGGTAAAAGCCGAGATCTCGAAGGGAATCAACAGTGCTTCGTAGAAACTGCATACGGTGTTAGCCCAGTTATTAGTCTCCAAACGTCCGGTATGGACAAGGAAAACGCACAAAAAGTTCCAGCCGACCATAAAACCGAGAGCATCGTCTACCCATTTGCCAGCTAAACGGATAAAACCACCGCTGACAGGGTACGCAGTACTCATCTCAGCCAAGCAGTTGTTCACCATTGCGAGGACTATACTTTGCAAAGTGTATGCAAGGAACAAGCTGCCGGGCCCGCCATGATAAAGACCGGAGCCAATACTCACGAAGAGGGCTGTGCCAATAGAACCTCCAATAGCAATAAGCTGAATCTGACGATTTCCGAGGTGGCGTTGGAGATTGTCAGCGTTGTCGGCCATCACACCCTCTTGGACATCTTGGGGACCTTCGGATGACTTGGAGCCTAGCGAGCCCAACACGCCGGTGTTGGCTTCTTTATCCTTGTTTAAGAAAGACATGTTCTTCTCATTCCTGGACGCCTATATTGTCGAATTGGCAATACCGAAGAGGGGCAAAGCGCAGGTGAGGAAGGTGCTGAAGTGAGCTGCAAAAAAATTGGGATATTTGTTGCTTAACGGTCTGTATTATGGCGCATGGGTTTTGCAAGTATCAACTGTGGGATCAGCGAGATAGGGCAATCCGTCGAGATAGAAAAATCGATCGTGTTATGTCGCAAGGGTGTGGGCTTCTCGGTGGCGCTGGGTTGGAAATTGTTGCTATGGACAGTGAACTGGTGCAATGGTATCTGCCGATTTCTAGAACGTCAGGGAGTTGGTTGGGCTCGTTTTCTGCACACGGAAGTTTTTCAGGCGGATAGACGATCCTAACGGGTCTCGTCTGTTGATAATATCCGAAGGAACAAATACTCGGGATCCCCAAGGTAAACGAGTAGAAATTTCTGCTCAGAATAAGGTTGAGACACGACCCGAACAAAATTTGAAGGGCAAAGGAAGGGAAGATTTTTCTCCTGCTTTCCAAGTGAGAAAAGTAGTGACAAGATTCAAAACGCGGTTTGGCCGGGGAGTTTGATTAAAAGGAGGCAAAATTAAAACTGGGGCGACAGGGCGACTTTTCTAGCGCTATACGCAATTCACGGTACCACGGTAGGAGAAACATCAGTGTTGGCGCATTAGGTCGTTAATTTACGGTAATAGCGCGGCCAAGAGCGGGAGTCGATGAACAATACGCGAGTGTTACAAAGGTCTAAGCCACGGTTTGTTCGTCCCTATTGGATAGGTTCATTATCGCTGGAATCAAAATCCTAGAAGCCAAGATGCCGCATTCAGTAACGCTAGCCCCATTTGGACACGAGTGGCCGGGAAAGGGGACACACCGATGGCCGCATCAGCCCCGATGGGACGTCAGAGGCGTGGGGTTGGGCCGGATCAGCAAATTAGAACACGAGATTCATCCTTGGCGGTAGTCCCCATTGGACACCATACTAAGTTGGCCCCAGGCAGTTGTCGCGTGGCTTAAGGGCGGTTGAGCGCCCCGAACGCCCCGAACGCCGCCAAAAACGCCTTGTATAACTATACCCCGTCGCAGTTGTCACGTTCAAGGAATTCGCTTAATCACTTATGAGCAATATTTAATAGCGAACCATGAACAGATATTTCCAGGCCGAGCGAGAGGAAGGGGAGAAAGAACGGCGGGCGCCAAAGTTACGGCCCGTCTCCAAAAAACCCCTCAGATACCAACCGGGGAGAGCATGAGTAATAAGCGAGCGGATCAACCCTCGGCAATAATTGCGGCCTGGTTTAAAAGGCACCAAGGCAACCAACTTCGCCAGCGACGGAAGCCGGATTACCTAAGGTACCTCCCCTCCCTTATCTCCTGACATGCTTCTATATCCGCTTTCGGTTCATAGAGCCTCGGAATCTCGCGATGTGTCCTTCCAGTTCGCAAGAGAGCCAGCATGCTGTCGGCTCCTGGAAAGTGCCTCCAGATCAAGATGAATAAATGTATAGTCCGTCTCCTCCCTCCGGCGGTTTTGGTATCTCTGTTATTTGATATTATTCCTTACGGCCGAAGACCATTCAATCATGCACCAGTCAATTTCGCGACAGCAGAGCGCACGAATGCCAATTAAACTGCCTCGGAGGACTTGAGAGAGTGATTTGAGAGTCACTTCGCGACATTGTAAACACAACCCTCGGGGTAAGTGCCACACAAACATTTGAATCAGCGCGCAAGACCCTTAGAGATGGTCGTTGGAGCCAAATTGCCAACCATCTGATAATGACTTGAGACAGCTTGTTAATCCGGACAATTCACACAGTACATATCTCCGGTGTCTGGCTCCGTATCCGTGTTTTTGATCAATGATGTATATTGTTGCGACAGATTTTTCATAATGATTGCCAAGGAAAGCCGATTAGTTATCCTATTAGAGTTGTCTACTAATATTATATCCTAGAAAGTGAGGTTTCGTAGACTTTCCAAAATCATTCTTCCAAGTCCGAGGAAAAAAGAAGCATGGAAAGCCAAGTTACTAGCACTTCCCTAAAAGATTCTTCCAGGCCTGAGAGAATGCTCCAGCACACTCAATGTAGCCTTGAGCAGATGTCTCACTCGCCCCTTCAGGCTTAGGCGCCAAGCAAATCTCCTGGGAAGGAATCAGCCAGGGTTCCTTCCGGCCAACAGTTAGCTTGTGTCCAATGTACAAGAGCACAAACAAAAGAGTGCCAATATAGGCTGTCAAAAAATCCGAGACATTCCACTGTGATGGGAAGAAGACGTAGAACCCGTTCAGACAACCGACAATCATGAAAAAAACGATGCAGAAATAGGCACCCGGCTTGCCGCAAACCGAGACGAAGGGCAAGGTTGAACGATCCACGCCCTGGATTTCGAGTGCCGCTCGAAATCGAATATAGGAAAATGAGAGCAGAATCCAGGAGAAGAAGGCGGCCATGTTGATCATGTTGACAAGCCAGGTGAACACAGCGCCAGAACTGGAGCTGACATTCAAATACGCCAGGAGGGTGAGCACAGCACAACTCGTCACTGCCAAGTAGTGGACCCCCCATTGGTTGGTTCTGATAAAGATTTTGGGCGCGTTGCCCGCTGTGGCCAAAGAGTATATCGAGCGGGAAGCCAGGTGCATGTATACGTTGCCGGCTGACCACGCAGAACACAGAATGACTGCATTCACGATATGATCGAGAACATGGATTCCCGCGTGCTTGATACCGACGACAAAGGGCGACGATCCGGCCCCTTCGCCCCCGGAAGTGAGCTCGGGGGCATTAGACGGGCAAGTCAACGTAACCCCCAGAATTGGAAGTACGTAGAAAACAATTAGACGCACAATGAAGGCTTTTGCAGCTTTGGGGACCGTCCTTTGAGGATTGCTGGTCTCACCGCTGCACACAGCCACCATTTCCGCAGCAAAGGAGAGCTAACAAGAATGCAAAATTAGCCTTTTCATCAGCTGGTGATGAGAGCGTAGACTTGGGGATGCTTACAGGCAGCACGACGCTAATAAGAACGCCGAGGAAACTCACAAACCTTCCTGTACTTCCCTCGACGATCCACGCGTTGGCTGGCCCCGGGTTGTTCCAGTATCTGAATCCCACACGGTCACCTGAAGGCCCTCCGCCTGCTGCGAGAATAATGGATAAGATAATCATTCCAATGAGCATGGTAAGCTTGAGAGAGGAGAAGGCAAACTCGGCCTCGCCAGCATTTCCAACTGGCAGATAATTCAGGGCAACAATAACCACAAAGAGAATGGAAATGAAGACGGCATCGGGAACAGGCGGATTCCAATACTGAATAACGAGCGTGGCGACGGTGATTTCGAAAGGAACCAGAATCGAGTACGCATACCAGTAGTTCCAGCCCATGGCAAAGCCAAAAGACTTAGAGAGGAAGTGAGTTGTATAGTAGTCCGGACCTGCGCCATTCAGCGGGATATAGGCCGCCATTTCGAAAAGTAAGGTGGAAAAGACCCAAACGACGGAGCAGATGATGATGAATCCGACGAGGGCAAGGGCAGGGCCGCCTCTGCTGAGAGTTTTACCAGAGCCCACCAAATATGCCGTTCCGATGCAGCCTACGGGTTGTTATCATTGCCGCTATTGTTAGTTGATTTTTCATCCTAGGATGCTCGACGGCGAGAGATCAGGACGTCTTTCTTACCTCCCATGGCAATCATGTACAAGTGTCTCGACTTAAGCTTGGAGTGAGAGCTAGCCGCACCGGTCTCGAGCACCTGGCCATTAGAGATGTTGGCAAGCTCCGTCGCCATATCCTTCTCGGGCAATTGAGTCTTGTCGGCATTCGACATTGTTAAATACAGCTCAGAAGTGCAGTCGTATTTATCTTATTTTATGCTGTTCCTTCAAAGTTGAGAATCGCTTCAAAGTAACTGATTGTAGCCGTGTTGGTCGGGGCGCAGGATCAAAAATTGAATCGAGCCATTGTGCAAGTTTTGTAACTATGCGACTATCTGGCCATATAGATAAGCTGTTGCCTCCTGCTTGACCGAGGAATGGTGTATTGGACTGTGGGCAAAGTAGCCGTCGGGGTATGGCTATCCCTTTTCCCTATCATTCTGCCCGTTAAGACAGGGATGGATACCGGCGTATCGGGCGGACGTTGTTCTACGGCTCGGGTGGAGAACAGGCGAGATCGAGTCTGAACCGTATTTCCCCGCAGTAACTTCCCCCCTGTAGCACCTCCGAAATCCCCTTTGGATGGGACGACAAGTCTTGCTGTCTTCCTGATAAAGCGTACCATCCCCACACCCATGAGCCAGCCTCCTGGTGTCACTGACCGCCCGATACGCCGGCGCTTCGCGGCTGACGGCCGCGTCCGCTCGGGCTGCTTGACATGCAAAGCCCGTAAGAAGAAGTGCGACGGCCAGGCCTCGAGTCTCGACGGCCGTTGTAGATCCTGTATCCGCCTTGGGCTAGTCTGCGAGCAGCTTCCTCTGCGGAGAGTTCCTGTTCGCCCGGCGCGGAGGAAAGCCCGAGGAGGTGAGGATATCTCCAGTTCGTCCAAGGACGAGAACGAGTCTGCCAGCAAAGCAGTGGGCAACTCAACACATGGCGACGGTTATGGTAACGAAGCGGTGCATGGCACGGGAATCTTAGCTAGCAGCAGGTCCTGCATTCTCGACCATTCGGGCTCCTGGGACAGCATAGAGCGTGTTTTGTTGAGGTACTTTCTGGACCATGTCGCGCCCCTCTGCTCAATCCTACAGCAAGACGGCGGCAGCTTCTGTTCTGTGCTGCTCCCCATGGCTATCGTTGATCCGTCGCTCCTGCATGCCCTCTTCGCTTATGCTTCGGTCCATGTCGACACCGCCACCCCTGCGATTCCTGTGACGCCTGAGGCTCGCATAAATTTCGAAAACCAGGTGACCCGAGGTTTGGCGGAGGCCATCAAGAACAATGCCGTCACAGAAAGCACTATTGCCTGTGCGCTCGTTATTAGCACCGCTGAAGTCATTGGCGGTGACACGTCGCGCTGGCTACTCCATCTACAAGGCGCGGGTCATCTCATCAATCATATAGGAACATCTAGGCTACTCCGCACATCCGACGGGGAATTTCTGCTCCGGTACTTTGCCTACCATGATATCATGGCCTCGCTGAGCACCGGACATCGCGCCTCGGTCAATGGCGTATACTGGGTCCAGGACGTCAACACGACTGTCAACTCAGCTGACTCTTTTATGGGCGTTGGTCACCACATCTTTAAGCACCTGACCGAGATTTCCGCCTTTGTCGCCGATACAGCTGATCTCGATCCTTCATCATGCTCTGATCGCCGGTCGAGAGAAACTCTGCGGGCTGAGGACATGGCACAGGCCCTTCGCTCGCAAGATTTGCATCTCCAGGTGGATCGAACCGACAACCACATCAAGGCGCTTATCCATCATGCAGAGGCCTTCCGCTTCGCCTCTCTGTTCTATCTCTACCGTCATCTCCTCCGCTTTGGTGATGCGGGCGCTGTTTATAGATTACGCATGGAGGACTGTGTGCGGCAAATTCTCCAGTACGTGTCTCAGGTCCCGTCCAATATGTTCTGTGAGATAGGTCTTCTCTTTCCTTTATTCATGGCTGGGATTGGGAGTAGCGACAATGCTAGCATGACCCAATACATCAAGAATCGTCTCACATGTATCGAGGCCTGGACGAAATTCAAGCATGTTGGGAGGGCGCGTGAGCTGCTACAACTGCTTTGGGACAAGGGGCGGACGGACTGGGAACTTATGCTACGGGAGTTGGATTGGAACTTATCTTTCGCCTAATATTTTCCATGTGAATTGCTATATATTATTATCAAGAAGTATGACACTCATGTCGCACACGTGATTCAACGCGGGCATCTCACATTCACCAAAGATGGACAGAGGAATCCTCTTGGACCTAGCTAAACATGGCATCGTATCTTTCAGTATCGCATCTGGCGGACAAATTCCAGGTTCGGACTAGCGTGGAGATACGGGTACCTTGGCCTGCTTATCGTTAGGGATTTACAGGAACATATGGTCTATGCTAGGGGGCTTAAACAGGGCTGGTTTTAGCTTAAAGCACTAAAATCCGGCACATTGAGCCAAGATGAAGACCCCAATTGCGCGCGAAGCAACGCACAGAACCTCTTTTCTGTTTCTATTCCCGGGGACGGATCTATACCCCAGTCGTGATGACTCCTCATCGCCGCTCCTTGTACTACAATCCGGCTGCCTGGACTTGGACAACGAAGGGCCTTAACTCCGCTGATGTGGTCGAAACTTTTCATTTGCAGGTCGAAGGGCACCATCCATCTCCCCTTGTCCCTCTGCCCAGTGTGGCCAAATCCCTCGGGGTCAAATCGGTCTATGCGAAAGATGAAACCAACCGACTAGGGCTCCCGGCTGTCACCAATCTTGGCCTGTCTTGGGCAGTCTTTCGAGCGTTGACCGAACGACTGGGATTGCCAAAAAGTTCTACCATCGAGTCAGTCAGAAAGTGTCTGATTACGAACCCCGTCACTCTCTTCGCTGCATCGGACAGCAACCACGGACTCGCTGTGGCGCGAGTAGGCTCGCTCTTTGCAATTTCCGTCCAGATATACGTCCCATCGTATACAACAGCAGACACTATCGTCCTCATCCGTGCCGAAGGTGCAAAGCTTGTTGTTGCCCCCGGAAAATTGTACTGCGATGCACTATCGCAGGCACAAGCCGCCTCTCGTGAGCACAATGGTATACTTATTCAGGAAGAGGCAATCCATGACCACCCGCGCATCCCACAGGTAGATCCCGTTGTTTGATCCAATCAAGTTTAGAGAAGAGCCAAAGCTAAGTGAATGTTGCACAGTGGATGGCAGAGGGCTACTCGACTCTCATGCGGGAGCTAGATAGCCAGCTCATGGGAGAGCAAGCCGATCTCGTAGTATGTCCTGCGGGAAATAGCGCGCTTGTACAAGCTGCCGTTAACTACCTCAAGGCACCAGGAAGAAGCCCTGCGGCCTTTATTGCTGTTGAGCCAGACACGAACCCGTCCTTGTGGAGGAGACTGGCCCGAGAAGAATCTGCTGGTGTAAACGACAACCGTGAGGCACTACTCGAGGCTGCTTGGCTAGCTTTGAAGCACGGAATTGACGCCAGCGCGACGGTCTCTGACTACGAAGGTCATCTGGCAAGCCTTGAGCTACAAACCACTGGGGTGAGTGCAGGACTAGCTGGTGCGTCCGGACTGGCTGCTCTCCGCCGACTGGAGGAACATCACAAGGAGCAGCTGGGGTTGAATGAGAATTCTGTCCTTGTCCTTATATGCACCGAGGGACTTTCACCCTACACGACACCCAAGGATGTCTCATCGGACGATGTCATCACCCTGACCCAAACATTGGTGCAATTCGACTCCTCCAACCCCGACTTTGGTTCAACGCCTGGTCCTGGAGAGACGGCTATTGCCAACTACATCACTTCGTGGCTCGAGCATCGTGACATCGAAACTCACTGGATTGAGCCCACTCAAGGACGGCCTTCCATTATTGGTGTTGTGCGCGGCTCTGGAGGTGGCAAGAGCCTTATGTTTAACGGGCACATGGACACTGTCACGCTGCTGGGCTATAATGGCGATCCTTTGAGCGGCAGCATTGTTGACGGCAACATGTACGGTCGAGGCACTGCCGACATGAAGAGCGGTCTTGCGGCTGGCATGCTAGCGGTTGCTAGTGCCAAATCGAAGAAGATGAAAGGTGACGTGATTCTCGCCGCGGTTGCGGACGAAGAGTCAGAGAGCGTTGGGACCGAACAAGTGCTCCAAGCTGGCTGGAGAGCGGATGCGGCAATTGTGGCCGAACCTACGGAAATGGCTTTGATCAATACGCATAAAGGTTTCGCATTGTTTGAGGTCGATATCCATGGCGTGGCGGCCCACGGGTCTCGTGCCGACCTGGGCGTTGACGCAATATGCAAAGCTGGATACTTCCTTGTTGAGCTCGACCGTCATGCTCAAGAGCTCCAGGAGCGATTTGGCGACGTAAAGCCAGAAACGGGGGCACCGAATATCCACGCCGGCGTGGTTAGGGGCGGCGAGGAGATTGCTTCCTACCCAGCCCTCTGCACTATCTTCATTGAGCGTCGTACAATCTCTGGAGAGACTGCCGACACGGTGAGGCTTGAACTTCTGCGCATCTTGGATAAACTCGCAGCAACGGTTCCCAACTTCAAATTTAACTTGCGCTCGACCTTTTCGCGAGCTCCCTATTTCATTCCCAGAGATCACGACTTTGTCACACTGGTCGCCAAGCATGCCGCCCAAGCTACAGGCGCGAAGCCAATTATCAAAGGGGAAACTTACTGGACGGACATGGCCTTGCTGGACGAGAAAGGTATCCCCGGTTTGATTTGGGGCCCCAAGGGATACGGTCTCCACGCCAAAACGGAGTGGGTTGAGGTCGAGTCAGTGCGACAACTTGCGGAAGCATTTGTTGGCATTACGGAAGATTTCTGTAAATAACATTCATACTATGTAAGATAGTTCTAGTTAGATATAAGGTATTATCTCCGCAATTGGTTGTTTTGTATAAACTGGACGAAAATATTGCGCAGTGACAGTTGTGCGGACCGCGAACTAGATGCTAGGTGGCGATGACGGGGAGACTGGACAAGTTACTGGCCGATAGCCAAAGCAGTATGTAAAAATGTGCTTAATTTGGCTACATACTGCTCAGCTAGGTCGCCCCCTGGTAGTCACTAAAGTCGTAATCAATGTCGTAATCCTCGGCGTCGGTCTCGCCGTCAGAAAGCTCAATGTCCTGCAGGTTCTCGCCATCATCTTCTTCCTCGGCAGAGAAGCCATAATCCTCCTTGCAAATTTTTTTCCAGGCAGCAAGAGTCTGCTTGCGAGTGAGGCAGAAAGGCAGCTTGGAGAGTGGCACACAGCCGTCTGCGGTGACCTCGACAGTCTGTCCGATGGAGCTGGCCGTATCGGTGGCCATGTCCATGAGAATAATGTGGATAAAGAAGACCATGCCCTTCTGGGCGACAACATCCTGGCCACGCACAAACATGGGGAAGTCCATCCAGGTCGGGGCAAAAGTAGCGCCCATACTGTAGCCGCAGGCGCTGAGTCTCTGCTCGCGGAAACCGTTCTCATCAGCAACGCGGGCATACGCCTCAAATACGTCGCCAATCTCCCTGCCTGGCTTGAGAGCCTCCATGGCAGCCTTCATCTGCAGGATATTGACCTCGTGCATACGCCTTGCCAGCTTACTGACGCCGCCTAGCGGGATCGTCCGCATTAGACATGCGTGGTAGTGCTTATACGCCGCGCCGTGCTCTAGGGTAATCTGTCGGTCGATCTTAGACTTGCCAGTAGAATAGCGAGTCAGGACGGCCTTATTGCCAGACACGAGGATGTTCTCATTGGCCGGATCATCGCCGCCGCCCTCGTAGACGGTGCCAACTATCTCGCGCCACAGGTCGCCCTCGTAAGCGCCCGGCTTAGCGATTTTGAGTGCACGGATGAGGGCAAAGTCGACAAGGTATGCGGCCTTACGGATTTTGCGGATCTCCGTCTCAGACTTGATGAGGCGTAGTTCCCGGCCGAACAAGGTGCTATGGTCGACAAGAGTGCAAAGGCCCTCGACAGCTTCCAGGAGCAGCTTCCCGACACGCAGATTCAGGGTGCACGAGTCTGGCTCGTAGCCGATCCTCTTAGAGGGTGAATTGATACCAAACTCCTTTAACACCTCGGGAACAAGAGAGACGGGGTTGGCAGTGGCCTCATCAGACCGGATCATGATGTCCTTCTTTTCAAGGATGGAGGTGTAGAGGGCCTGGCGCAGGTCTGGCGAACGAGTAATCAGACGCATACGTCCATCGCTGTGAAAGTACATAGCTTGAAAGAAGACGTAGCCAAATGTGTCGAAGCCGGTGAAGTAGTAGAGGGACTCTTGTTTAGTCATGAGGAAGCCATCGAGGTTCTCCCGCTTCATGAGGGCGAGGGCCCGGCTGCGTCTCTCCTGAAACTCCTCAATAGTGAAGTGGAGAGCCTTCTTGAAAGGCTCGGGCTTCTTCACGATGACCATTGTGAATGAGATGCCTGAAAACTGGTTGGCTGGGCCACAGGGAGAGGGAAAAAGGCCAGAAGGGGTGCAGTGCTTGACTTTGAGATGGAAGCAATCTGGAAAGCTTTTATAGACGAAGGCCAGTGGGGTCACATATAGACACTGTTACGGATCCATCCCACTTAGCCCAAATGGAGTCACGAGGAGAGGCGAGAGGACAGCCGTCGAGAGAAAGGCTTCCGGTCCGTCCATCGAAACCGCGTTACTCAGGATTTGGAAACTGGGCGCAACGTTCGCAGGTATGGGAGCCAGCGTATCGGGCGGCCATTTGGGAGTAGAACATTATTTCCCCTAAGGCTCCCCGCGCATATCTTCCTATCTCTTCGACCCACATCGCATGCGCCTTATCAGTAGTGTCTATCCCGAATCAGGGCGTGTCCGGCGGCCCTCGCGTTCAACGGTATGGCTTACACCCGCCAAATTCAGTGTTCTTGGCCTGTCACCGGGCTAGAACTTGGCCACTCTAGAAGTATGGATTATACAATTTAATGAGTCGTGTAAACCCGCCATAGCTGTGGGGTCTAAATGATATTTCCGAGGATCCTCAGATACACGGAAGGCTCCAGCTCCGAAGCTGGCAAAGGCGTCATGATTCCGTACATAATGCGTGTGTGTCTGTGTGTGCGCGCGAGCTACAAGTTCATTGTGAGCTCAATTTGAAGTACATAAAGGATGTGTAGAATCACGAGCGACACGGGTGTGGTATTGAATCCAGTGCATCGTGAATCCAGTCAGATCAACAATTACAGCTTTGAAATGGATCCAACGGTCAGAGTACCCGTTTTCTGGATGAGGTACTCTTCAATAGCTACATCTTTACCCGCTTCCTTGCCATATCCCGACTCCTTGATTCCTCCAAAGGGAGATTCTGCCCCAGACGAATTGCCTATCCAAGTGGTTAGTACATGAAGCGTGGAAAGCATTGAAAAGAGAATTATCGCCACCTGTGTTCATGCCAATCATGCCAGCTTCAAGGCTCTCGAGAAGTCTCCAAGTGCGGTCAACATCCTTGCTGAAGAAGTAGGACGCAAGGCCCATGGAGGTATTGTTTGCCGCTTCGACAACTTCCTCCTCAGTCTCAAACCTATACAGACCCAAAAGGGGTCCAAAAATCTCCTCGTTTGTAGTCAGCATGGATGAGGTCATGCCAGATATTATGGTAGGTTCGAAGAAGTTGCCGCCTAGGCCGCTTGGGGGCTTGCCTCCGCACAGAACCTTGCCTCCCTTAGACACGGCGTCGGAAACATGCTTCTTAAGTTTCTCGATGCCGCGAGGTGTCGTCAGCGCTCCCATGGTAGTGGTAGAGTCAGCACCGTGACCAACGCGGATCTTCTGAGTAGCCTCAAGCATCTTCTGCGCAAATTCCTCGTAAACGCCGCTCTGTACATATACTCTGTTCGCATGGGTGCATGCCTGACCAGCAGTGCGCCATTTGAGAATCATGAGGGCAGCTACTGCTTGGTCGATATCCCCATCATTGAAGATGATGAACGGGCAGTTGCCCCCAAGCTCCATAGTGACCTTCTTGAGTCCATCGGAACAGTGCCGCGCAATAATCCGTCCTACGGCAGTGCTACCGGTAAAAGTCACCTTGCGGACAAGGGGGTGCTTGCAAAGAGCCTCGCTGACTGCAGGTGTGTTGTCATTGTCAGTAGTGATGACATTGAACACGCCCACAGTGAATCCAGCCCGAAGAGCCAAGTCTGCAAGGGCCAGAACACTCAAAGGTGTCTCGGGAGACGGCTTCACAATCATGGAGCAGCCGGCCGCCAGAGCAGCAGCAACTTTGCGGATGATCATAGCCACTGGGAAGTTCCATGGAACCAGAGCAACAGCCACGCCGATTGGCTGTTTGATCACAAAGGTCCGACGCTCAGAGACGGATGGGATGGCTACAGAGCCGCGAATGCGTTCTGCTTCTCCGGCAAACCACCAAGCAAAGCCTAGGGCATAGTCAATCTCCCCACGGGCCTCGGTGAGTGGCTTGCCCGTCTCGTAGGTAACCAGCTTGGCAATATCCTCCCGCGAATTCGCGATGAGCCTATGCCACTCGAGGAGCATTCTAGCTCGCTGGCGGGGGTTGACATGGCGATACGTGAGGAACGCCGCCTGGGAATTCGTGACGAACTCATTCACATCTTGGACCTTGTTAACTGGACATGAGGCAAAGATTTCGCCACTCCCGGGATCTGAGGAAAGCAATGGAGAGTCAGTATCACATCCATCCGACAAAGCCAGACATTGGTGCATGAGAGAGGACCCGAACCTTCCACATCAAAGGTCTCGCGCGATCGCGAAGGAACCCATTCGCCATTGAGCAGTGAGCTCTCATGAAGGAGGGACTGGTCGTCCAACTGCAATCGCATTGGCGCCAGATCGGTACATGCCACGCATCTTGGATCAGTCCTCGACATACCTGGAAGGGCCGCTGTTTGGGCATAGTAAATAGCGACGAGTCGTCCGCTACAAATAAATGGAAGTGGATTGTTTTTCTTTCTTCACGTAGGCAGGAATCACGAAAAGAATGGGATACATGAGATAAATCAATAATAATCCATATCAATGATCGTTTGGTTGCTCTAAACTAAGTGAGCAAAGTCGCAGACGAACCACGATTAATGAAGTGTGCAAGTGCAGACAACCGTTTGTCAAATACCCGCCCGTTACGCTGGCGTGGGCCTGCTCCATTTGCCCGCGCCGCTCGGATTGCCTTTAAAGGGTCGATTAGCATCTGCTTAATCCGCGTAGAAATTCAAGACTTTGGTTGGCGCCTTGGAACTATACCTTTGGAGGGAAGAGGTAGGCGGGGGAGCGCGCTTTCATTCCTCCAAAGGTGAAAAGATCCTGCTGATTTTTTTTGCAATGGATCAGGAGTGTTTACAGGAAAATCCCCACCGTCATCTACAAGTATAAAGTTGGGAGCGTCTTGGGTCTCTTTGTCTCGTCACTTCATCTCCTTGTCACTCGGCTTTAGCTCTGTCTCCAACACGGCTTGCCACTACGACAATGGCTGCTGCGTTCCCTCATCCCTTGGACCCCCTTGGGCCCGAGGAAATCTCAAGAGTGCGTCGACCATAAACCCGTTCCTTTTTTGTCCGTGCTGTTTCTCCTCATGCATGTGCTGAATCAGATGCCACTTCTAGGCTTCGAGAGCCGTCCGCCCGCACTTTGGAGGGCAAGACCTTAACTTTCGCGTCATCACCCTTCTGGAGCCGTTCAAGAAGCAGATGATCCCTTACCTCGAGAAGGAGCATCACAAACAACCTGTGGGACAGGCTCCGACTCGGTATGCCCGGGTTGAGGTAGTCGTGAAAGGAAGAGGCAATGACAACCAGCTGTTCGAGCTGATTGTCGATCTTGACAATGACAAGGTTGCCCGGAAGCAGCATGTCAAGGGAAAGCATTCCTACATTGACGCAGACTACATGAAAGCTGTGGAAGCTGCGTGTCTGGCCGACCAGGAAGTACAGGCTGAGATTCGCACCCTTGACCTTCCTGTTGGAGCCACTGTTGTTATTGAGCCGTGGGCTTACGCCACGGATGGCATGAACGACATGATTGATCGAGTCACAATGGTCGGCTACCCCTTATACCTTTACAAATTCTGGCTCTAACGCTAATTCCATCTAGTGCTGGTTCTACCTCCGGCTACTAGAAAGTCCCGATGCTAACTACTACGCATATCCACTGGACGTCTGTGCCGAGGTATCGGAGGAGCTCAAAGTCACCAAGGTCTATCGTCTACCAACCAAGCCACAAGAGCGGATTCATCACGAAAAGAAGCCCTTTGACCGCCGAAGAATTCATTCGGCAGCTGCAAGCGAATACCATCCTCACCTCAGGCCAAATCCGAGGACGACCACCAAGTCATACCAGGTTGTCCAGCCCGAGGGTCCATCATTCCATATTCAAGGGAACGATATCAAGTGGGAGAAATGGAGTTTCCGAGTGGGCTTCAATTACCGAGAAGGTCTTACCCTGCACGATATCCGCTATGATGGCCGTAGCCTCTTCTACCGCCTCTCTCTGGCCGAGATGTTTGTGCCTTATGGAGACCCACGTGCTCCCTATCCTCGCAAGGCTGCATTCGATCTTGGTAATGATGGTGCAGGTCTCAATGCCAATAACTTGCAGCTTGGCTGCGATTGCCTCGGTAAAATGCGTGCTCAAATCGTATTCCCGATTGTAAAAACTAACCGGTGCTCTCTGCCTCTTCTAGGAACAATCAAGTACTTTGATGCTTACCACAACACGCCATCCGGCGATCCCTTGAAGATGCCCAACGTTGTCTGCTGTCACGAACAGGACGATGGTATCCTTTGGAAACACACCAACTTCCGTACTCAAACTCCTGTCGTTACTCGCTCTCGCATCCTCGTTCTACAGACAATCATCACCGTAAGTAATTATGAGTATATCTTTGCCTGGCACTTCTGCCAGGATGCCTCTATTTTTTACGAGGTTCGTGCCACAGGTATTCTATCCACGGTACCTTCGGATATCGATTTCAAAGAGAAAATTCCCTACGGAACTGTCGTGGCCCCTGGCGTCCTGGCGCCTTATCACCAGCATCTTTTCAGTCTCCGAATTGACCCGGCAATCGATGGTCACTCCAACTCATTGGCTGTTGAGGAGTCCAAGGCCCTCCCAGTTGACAACCCAGCCGTCCATAATCCGTTCGGTGTAGGCTACGCCACGGAGAGCCAGATCATAGAGGAAGAGGGCGGCTTCGACCTCGACTTCACCAAAAATCGCACCTTCAAGTTCATCAACGAGAACAAGATAAATCCTATCACGGGTACGCCTGTTGGATTCAAACTCATGCCCTTCTACAGCCAGATGCTCCTGTCCCATCCCGACTCGTACCACGCCAAGCGCTCTGAGTTCTGCGAACATGCGATCTGGGTGACTCACTATGAGGACAACGACTACTTCCCAGCAGGCAAGTACACCATGCAATCAACTGGAGGTGACGGGCTGGCCTCTGCTATTGCAAATCGCCGAGGCACGGGCACAGCCCAATCCGTCAGAGACCGGGATATTGTCATTTGGCACACATTTGGTTCCACACACAACCCTCGCATTGAGGACTGGCCTATAATGCCGAACGAGAAGCTCATGGTTGGACTAAAGCCCGTCAACTTTTTCTCTGGGAATCCTGGCTTGGATGTTGCGGTCTCCACGCAGAATAAGAACAAGAGTGTTTTGTACACTGGTGAGGACAAAAAGCCCGCGGCATGCTGCCACTCTAGGTTGTAATGAATAAAACCAGAGTACTGTTCACAAACAAAGTGAATTCGTTCTCGCGAAAGATGCACCAGGCACTGACGGGGATTGGATAGCCATCTTCGATGATTCGGGACTGTTAATGATAATACTACTAGAATTTTGTGGTTCAAACAACCTTTCTTGGATCTGTTTTTTTCCTTTCCTTTCTTGTTGACACTTTCCCCCTCAGACTTTCTTAGTACATCACGACTGTATGTATCGTGTGTTCGCGTGAAGCATTTATTAGCGTAAGACTACATCTTTTAGTAGTTGCTGTCAAAATCCAGACCTACGAGGTCCCACTCAGAAGACGAACGAATAAATCTCTGATTCGAATCAATCTAGGGATGCCCAGCAGTTTAGGGGGCGAACTAACTAATAATCAACTAGTACACTGTAAATCCTAAAGAATTGTAAAAATAGAAGTCTCCTTTTGGGGCCAAAGCTACTCCGGATGGAGAACTGTTTCGCCCCCATATTGTAGTCGGATCTGACAGCTAGCGCGACCGTCACAGCCTTATTGACAGGCAAGGAACGAAATTATTTTGAACAATCCCCCCAAAGCCTTAGTGGACTTTATCAGGTGGCCACCAGGAAAAAGTCCCAATTCTAAACATGGAGTTGAGAAGTGTAACTGGTGCTAAGCAATCTAAGCGCTATCAGGTTGCAGAACGTCCGGTGGGAGATGATGAATCTGACTCTCAAGAAGGGAACCCTTTGACGGGAAATAGTCTGTCGAAACACAAGCCTTCCATACCCCGTTGGCGACTTACTATCTTTGGTGCGGTGGCCCTAGGAGTCGTGGTCCTCGCGTTCAATCTTGGATTTACTCTTTGGGCTGTTGGTCATCGTAACTTGGAAAGCGGCGTTGGCACACTCAATGATGGGAAATGCGATCAAGTCCGTGATCAAAGTATTGCACTACATCTCATCATCAACATCCTGAGCACCATTCTTCTAGGAGCAAGCAACTACTGCATGGTTAGTGGCATCTTATGCATTCGATCGAAAGAGGCTTGGACTGATACGACCGACCTCCAGCAAAGGCTCTCTTCTCCCACAAGAAAAGACCTGAATGAGGCTCATCGAAAGCACCGGTGGCTGGACATCGGAGTTCCGAGTGTCCAAAACCTACATAGCCTGTCGCGAATCAACCTATTTCTTTGGATTGCCTTGGTTCTTTCCTCATTTCCTTTACATCTGCTGTAAGCATACGCAATAGTCTTAACCAATGCCTCCGAGCAAGACTGACCCTGAAAAGTTACAACTCTACAATATTTTCCACGACATCGGCCAACGATTATGATGTCTTTCTTGTGGGCAGGGAAGACTTTGTTTACAAGTCCAATTCTCCTTACAATGACCCACTGTCACGTCTTCACAAGATGGCAGGCAATGGCGAGCTAGCTCATCTTGATAACAAAGCTTGTATAAACAGCTATGCAGTTACGTATCTATCTGCATACGGAAGCTTGCTCCTGGTCACTAGTAACATGAGCCAATCCCAGTATGCCTTCGTCGCCGGACCGAAGGTAGTCAACGGCGGCGGGAGTGATACGAACGATCCATACTCCTGGATTTGCCAAGATCACTCGAGGGAACACGACTGCAATTATTATGTACCGACCATCAGAGATAACTCAGCAGAGTGGAAGATTCAGGGTAATCAGGTTCACTACTGTCTAGCAGAAACGACCCAAGAGCGTTGCTTGCTACAATTCAGTCTTCCATTGGCAATAATTGTTATTGCTTTCAACTCGGTCAAGGTTTTTATCATGTTAGTTGTGGCCATGCGGATGAACAGTGTTCCCCTCCTGACTACAGGCGATGCGATTGCCTCATACTTAAAAGAGCCTGACCCGACAACGCGCTATCAATGCCTACTTGCCAAAGATCAAAGGGCAGGCAAAGGTTATGCGCATTTTATATATAGTACAAAAGTGAGACGATGGGGCTCAGCAGCATCTAATCGTCGCTGGGTTTTCACTCTGGGATGGTAAGGCTTGCCAAGTTATTTCTCTGTCAGCTAACTAACAAGAAAAATTTGACAGTTGTGCCCTCGCTTTGTTTATCTGTATGCTCCTGTTGGGTTACGGTCTCCATGTCACAAGTGATGATACAGGGGCGTGGATGCTTGGTCTAGGCGCTACTTCCTCGCAGACTCTTATACACGGCGTCTGGCCAACTTCTACAATCGCCAATACGCTCATAGCCAACTGCCCTCAACTGATCTTCTCAATGCTCTATTTTGCAATAAACGGCCTGCTCAGCGCAATGGCTTTGGCTCATGAATGGAGTCAATACGCCGTACAACGAAAAGGACTTCGCGTTTCAGCCTGTCCCACAGGCTCTCAGCGGACAAGCTACTTCCTTTCTTTACCATTTCGATATAGCCTTCCCATGACGGCAGTTTCAGCAACTCTTCACTGGCTTATCTCGCAGAGCCTATTTCTTGTGAAGGTTTTTGCCTACAACACTGATGGCAACCGGGATCCAGGCCAGGACGTAGTTACTTGTGCGTGGTCACCAGTGGCCACACTCAGCGTTATTATTATTGGTGGGCTATGCTTCTTCGTCTTGATAGGCATGGGGGTGTTCAGGAAGTTTGAATCAGGTATGCCAGTTGCTTCCAGCTGTAGTCTTGCGATATCAGCTGCCTGTCAACCTGTTCCGGAGAGAATTAAAGAAATAGACCCTATCTCGGCAACCCTCCCGTTGAAATGGGGTGTTATGAACGCGGGGTCTGAGAGGGAACATTGCGGCTTTTCAAGCGAGGAGGTCGAGGCGCCACAGCATGGACGAGTGTACCGTTAGTTTGGACAATAGTTTGGATATTCATATAAAGACCGGAACCGACTATCTCGCTTTCAAGCAACGAGAACTCGAACGAACTTAGGTCGGGATCGTAGAAAAAATTACGATGTATATATACTCTGTAGGTCCTAACTGGCACTAATCCAATTCACCCTATCAACTTCATCTTGTACAAACACCAGATATACTTGTCTACAGGATATTCAGATCAAAAAGTATAGCTCCTCCTAAATTTAGTAAATTCTAGGCTCTTGGTGGTTGGTTCTTGTCCGAGTAGTCATTAACGTAGTGTATGAGGTTACCGTATCAGGAGTCACAAATATACATTTCCCGACTCGTCCGGGATTTTTAATGCCTGCAACACCCATGCACTTAAAAGTTAAAGCATATACCGGTAAGAGACGTCCAAGTCACCATCTCCCGTCACCCTAGCTTCACCAGAACCCTGTGCCATGAGTTGATCTCGCTTGCGATTCTGGGACCAACAAGCAAGAAAGTAGCAGGTTGCCCAGAAGCCGGCGAGCGTGAAGAACGAGATAGCCACGCTGTATCCGGTGTGGTAATACGGCGCATCCTTGGACAAGAACAGAAACGTGGATACAATACCCGCGATCTCGCCGAACCCAAGTTGCAGCGCGGTCCCGATAGCGCGGCGACGATGACCACCCAAGTTCATGGTGAACCAGCAAAGCGCTACGGGCATACCGCAATATGGACCAAAAACCACAAGGAAAAGCGCACCGTACTCAAGTTTCATGCTGTAGTGCTTGTTCAGCAGTATTGCAACCCCCGCAATAGCAATCAGTAGATTAAAGATAACGAAGAGGTACCGGTGCCGTAGCCGGTCAGAGACATATGCAATTCCCAAAGACAAGAAAAACGCTACTGCCAGCGGCGGGACGGAGTGGAGCTGAGTTTGTAAAGGACTGTAGCCGTAGGATTCAATGATAGTAGGCGAAAAGTACGCGTAGCCCTGGAAAGCAAATGTCAGAAAATGAGTGACAGAAAAGAAGACAAGTCACGTACGTAGGAAGGAACCAGGAAAGAAAAGTACATGAGCGCTCCCAGGAAGATCTTGTAGTCCTTCAAGACCTCGACCACATCCGAGAATCCGATAGACCGTTCAACCGGGTCGTCCCCATGATCGGCCTTGAGTCGACTCCTCAGCCATTGTTGCTCCTCCACGTTCAGCCATCTTGCCTGTTCGGGGAAGTCCGAGATGGTGAACCAAGCCACAATAGCAACCACGCACGTCACGGAACCTTCGACGATGAACAGCCAGCGCCAGGCTCCGTATCCTCTTATGCCCTGCATATGGCCGGTACCGTAAGCGATCAGCCCTCCGAATGCGCCTGCGAGGGTGGTCGAGTTAAAGAAATAAGTATATCGGCGGAGGGCATCGGACCGTCTATACCACATTCCAATGAGATAAAAGCCTGCGAGATTGGTCACCGTTGCTTCTTGTAGAGAATAATCCACTTGCTTACATCCTGGAAACATCCCAGATTCTGCGACGCCGATGAAAAATCGTGTTGCGAGGAGACCACTGTAGCTTTTGACTATTATGCAATTCAAGTCAGCCTGGGGAGTGAAGATGTATTTGAGAAGTGGCAGCACACCCAAGCCTTGAGCGATGGTCAAAATACCAAAGATAAACATGCATCCTGCCACTATGTCCATATAGCAGTTAGAACAATGGTCGGTCGCGGTAGTCGTACGGTACCAGGGAGGACATACGCCAAATATGCGGCCGCAACTTCTTGAGAATGAGATTGGAAGGAATCTCTAGCAGCACGTAAGGCACAAAGAAAATCGTCAACGCCGTGTTGAACTGGTTGGATTTGGGGTCCATTCCTAAATCTTCCTCAAGTCCAAAGACGACGGCGTTGCCAATATTGACTCTAGTTCACAAAGTAAGAATAAGTATCTGCGTGTGTACGTCTCTCCAGGGCATGTAAAACCGAACGCTGCAGAACGTACCGATCCAAGAAAGCCAAGAAATACAGAACACACAAAATCGGCAGAACGTGAATATCAATTTTTAACATCAACTTCCTTTCGCTGAGGTGTACTGGGCCCGCCAATTCTTCGCTATCTCTGCTAGAATTGACTGTGAATGCCCCCTCGGGCTCTACTATTCTGTCAGTATACCAAAATGTGAAAGGCCACTAAATGAAACTGACTTCCATGAATCTCTTCCATTGCGCCAGGCCTGTTGCTTGTCAAGAGTAAAAGAAGGACAGCACAAAAAGAAACACTCCTAGATATTTCAGCGAGGGGAGGGAAATTGTAAGTTAGGGAATATCCTTGGAAAGCGGAAGAACCATGACAAAGCCATTTGCGAGTCTGAGAGGACAGAATGATCCAGGCATAGTGCATTAACGAGAGCATGATTTGCCAAGTCAATTATTGCTAAACCTGCCTGTACCAGATACATAAGCGTGGTTCCAATATAATCCCACCAAGCCCGACGGCCCCAAATGCTACATTGAGCCTAGTCAAGATGTTAGTCACCATACTTGTGAGAAACAGGAAAAAGCGAATGCTAATCTATGTAGAGAGTACACATACAAGCGAATAAAATGTCCACCAGGCCGGAGATCGCCCGGACTATTTCGAGGAGAGAAACTTAGATTCCACTTCCAGCCCCTATCTCATGTCGGGTACCTCCGTACTAAAAGTTTATTGTGACCGGGATGCTGCAGGGTGGGGTCAAGGTCGGCAGGGATCAACCGAAGCGCGAAGCCAGCCGATCTTCCAGATGGTATGCCCGACGCCATAGGGGCTGCGGACCCAGCTCAACCCCCCGACAAGATTTCACATGCAGCCCGGCAAGTGGGTCTGAGGGGATAGATGGCAGCAATAATTATTGTGCAATTATATTATAATATTATATTATTATTATAAGTAGCGGAGAAGAGGAAACATAATGAACAATGCAGAAGTTTCGACTGTTTTGAAGGACGTCCAATCCTGAAACCATGACTCCAGCAAATCATGAGGTGGGCGCAGGGTCTCGATACGGTTCACTGGCGTTAGCTGATCAGAATTAATTTTCAAGATTTTCCGGCCGAATGGCCATTTGAATGAATCGGGCACTGCCCTGAAATTAGACGTGGCAATCGTAGGGGCCGGGGTGGGTGGTCTCTCGGCCGCGATTGCACTATCGCGCGATGGACACCACGTCACGGTGTACGAGTCTGCAGCAGAGCTTTCGGAGGTAAGCTCGATTTGTTCTGGAAGTTCAAAGATGTGGAGCGGATATCGCAGAGACAGTAATTGATCTTGTATATAGATTGGTGCGGGTATACAGATGTCGCCGAATGGCGTTACTTGGTGGCTCAAATGGGGCCTGGGAGAATCTCTGCTCGAAAAATCGTCTCTGCCGTCGGAATTAAATTTGCGCCGCTGGAGAGATGGCGACTTTATCTCTCGGACACAACTCAACCCAGACTTTGAGCAGCGGTTTGGCGCACCATATCTTGTTCTCCATCGGGCTGACCTGCACCATGCACTCTACCAGCACGCGCTTAAACTAGGAGTGACGGTCAAGGTTTCCAGCCGCGCTGTGAACTATGACCTAGATACGCCCGCGTTCACACTATCAAACGGGGAGATCATTAAGCCCGATCTAGTGGTGGCTGTCGATGGTATGTGGTTGTGGCTATGATAGACACGGGCTTACTGACCATTCTGAAAGGTATCAATTCTTTTGCGAGAACCAAGCTCCTGGGAACAACTGAGAAGGGTGGTCCACATAAGACCGGAGTTGCGGCCTACCGGCTGATGGTCGAAGTTTCTGATCTCTTGGCCGATCCAGAGACGGCGTGGATTGTGCACAGCCGTGACCTCAACCTGTGGTATATGCTCATCAAGTAAATAGTTGATGTGAGACTCACCAAAACAAATTTAGGGTGGGGAACCATTGCTCAGCAATGGCGTATACGATTTGCAATGGAAGTCGACTGAACCTAGTGCTTTCACATCCCGATGCGAGCGACACTTCGAACATGTCCCAGGAAGAACTGACGGAGGAAATGCTGTCTTACTTCCATGATTGGGATCCAGAGTATTATTGGTCCCCAATTCCCCAGAAATTGGAGATCGTCGCTGACGTATTCGGATTCTAGGCTGATGAAGGTTGTGCAAAAGAAGAAGACAATCCATAACTGGCCTCTGTTCGAGGTAGATCCTCTTGACAAGTGGGTGTCTGACTCTGGCAAATTCATCTTAATTGGCGATGCATCTCATGCCATGGTGCCTTACCTCTCCATGGGTAAGTTGACTAATTATAATATCAATTTGAAGTCGATCAACCACTCTGACACTGTATTTTCCAGGTGTCTCAATGGCTGTCGAGGATGCCGCTGCGTTATCCAAAGCACTGTCCTACGCAACGGATAAGCACAACCTGAAGCCATTTCTCCAACTAGTGGAGCAGATTCGCATCAAGCGCACCAGACAGGTTCAAAAAGCGAGTCTTGCCAATGGGCGGGTCCTCCATATGTGTGATGGCCCACAGCAAGAGGCCAGGGACGCAGAACTGCGCCCTTCTGTGAAGGGGAAATCACTGGACCGGAGCCCCTACGGTATTAACGATCGCGCCACCCAAGCGTGGTGTTATGGATGCGATGTGGAGCGAGACATCGAAGAGGCCTGGGCCAGCGCCGACGGAGACTGGTAACGATTCGATGCCTTTTGAAAAACCTCCACAGAATAGAAATTAATCTAATATAATAGCGGCTGGGACGTACATGCAAGGAGCCAATAGATGCAGACCAACCAGCAAGAAATGGAATAATCCTTGTCCGCTTACGAGTACTTTTTTAAATCAAATTAGGAAGAAAAAAAGCTTACCAAAACCCCTGCACACCACCAGGAGGATTCCGACAGCGTACCCCTGGGCAAACCAATCCAGCAATGGATAAGCAATTTCGCGCGCTCACCCCCGGTGGAGACACTACAGATGCCAGGTAGATGTAACTCTTCACAGGGGTATTACGGGTCGTCCGCCACATTAGATCGTTTAGGTGTGTCTGGGGATCTGCATTGCCTGGGGATCGTCCCGCAAGCTGAGCCCGAAGTGAAACGATCTCACCGATCGGCGTCGGGCCGCGAAAAATTACACGATCCAGGGTGTAAGTGTTGTAATTGGTGTATAACCCATGTTCACCAAAGTCCGGCTCTGCGGTACTATTTGGGGTGATGAACCACTTTGCAGAAAGTACTCGCGCAAATCAAATTCCCCCTCCCCCCAAAAAAAACTCAAAAAAAATAAGTAAAAGCAAAAGAAAAGACAGGAGGAAATTAACCTGGTCGCCTGGGCTGAATGGGGTTCTAAATTCAGCACCTTGTCCTTCGGGCGTTGTATCAGCCTGGACCTCAATCCTTGTTGAGCTGGAAGCGTGGAGTCTTTATCCTCGATGCCCTGGGTCAAGCCAGACGTGTGGTCTTGATTCTCGTGCCTAGTGGAATTTTCTTCACTGGCAGATCGAAGACTTCAGAGACAGAGTCATTGCTTCGGTTGTGGACGGGTGAACAACCAATGGAACCACCGACTTATAGCTACCGAGGTACCCTCCGGGGATGGGACGTGGTCTGCCAGGCATCGTGCCTGACAGCGAGTACGCTTGTGATACTGATGAGGAGTTACACCAAGTTCTTTTTGACCAGGTCCGCGAGCTGGGAAGACTGTACGTATTGGACGTTTAGAAGTGCGGGATCATGTGCTGACGCTGACCCATACGTGTCTTAGATTCGTGCATCGCCGCCTGGGTGAGTTTTGTTGCCCGTCACTCACCAAATTGCCCGAGAAGAAACTTGGCTCATGATGCAATTAATAGGCTGGATTGATAGGATATTCTGTCATTTCTTTCGAGGCCGATAGAGTGGGTAGCGGCATTCACCAAGCGGATGTTGCCAAGGAGGATCTCGTGAGATACGCACAGGTAGAACTATGACTTATGATGATGAACACAGAAAGAGACTGAAAAGCTGACTTCAATCTCAATGATTAGCTCGCCAATGCGTCACAGATCATGTATGGCCCACTGATTTTCATCACCAAACTCTCTATACTGCTGCTCTACCTCCGCGTCTTCGCCCCGAACCGAAAGAGCTGGCTGCATATATTTATCCAGTTCCTCTTGTGGTTCAATGCCGCTTTCTACCTGGCAGACACCCTCATTGAAATCCTGGAATGCGTGCCTCGGCAGCGGATCTGGAACCCAGATTCTCCCGGAAAGTGTTTGAATATACAGGTGATGATCCTGGCTACGGCCGTGATCAACACCATCTCTGATATTTCATTGCTTATCTTGCCAATCTTCTGTGTCTGGCGCCTGCAAATGCGGAGGGCTCAGAAGCTCGGCATTTCGGCAGTCTTTGCTGCCGGTCTCTTGTAAGCATCAACCTCGGACTTTCATCTGTTTTCAAGAATCATGTTAACCAGGGTTTAGTGGGTGTTTCGCCAGCATCATGCGGCTTGCGGTCAGCATCCAGTACAACAACACACAGGACAAGACACACGACTGGTTCCCGGAATTTCTCTGGACGTGAGTCTCATACTAAAATCCTGTCTATACTTGGAGTATTCACTGACCCGATGTTGTCCGACAGATCCGCCGAAATCTGTGCCGGCATCATCGCCAGTTGTCTCCCCGCCGTCCCATCATTCTTCCGGCATGTCGGACGAAAAGCAGCCACCGTCATAAGCAGCAGTCGCAGAGGCGAGTCCAGTAACGCGTATGGTAATTCGTCCAAGAGGCAGCAATGGAGCTCCAGAAAGCGACCTGGATGGAATAGTTATGGGGAGAGCCATCCGAGAAGCGAGTATAGGGAGCTGGATGAGATTCATGGATGGCCGGGCGGGCATGGTGATCGGGGTACGGAAAATCACATTCGGGCAGGTGATAGCCCCAGGGACGAGGTTTCCAATGCAGAGAGCGGGATCAGCCGGACAGCTATTTTGAAGACGGTGGATATTGATGTCGAGGAGGCATCGATACGCTGAGATTGCTGGTGTTCAAAATCTTGGTGTGCCTTCTATCGGGCTTAAGGGTTATACTCTTAGTGAAGAGCCACGCGTGACAATGCATCTCAACCTCGAGCTCAAGCTGGCCCCGAGCTATACACAATGAAAAAATGAGCCATTGAATGATTCGCCGTTTCCAGTGGGTAAATGGCAATGCTCCACTATTGCGGGGGGCTGAATCGCATCTCGCGGGGCAATGCAGCCAGCGTCATACAATCAAAAATTCAAGTCTTACATATCCAAGTCTCCGCTCTAAGCAAGATTTGCTTGTTGCTATTTCCTGTCATCTTCTTCAGCGGTTCATAGAATCCTCTATCATTTCACAATGTCCCACCAGGAGAGAAACGAGAATGTCCACGACCCCAAGTTCCGCGAGGCGAAGCCCCCTCAAGGAAGTCCCTCCATTGCAGTGGCTGATTTATTTCGGCTAGACGGACGAACTATCGTCGGCACGTATAATCTCTGCCTTCAGTCGGGACTGTCATTGATTATCCCTTCCAGTAACCGGTGCGGGCGGATTCCTAGGTACAACAGTGACCGAATCAATATTAGAAAGTGGCGGCGATGTCATCTGTCTAGACGTGATGGACACGCCAAAAGTTTTAGAGTGGGGTTAGAATCCTACCTCTCTCTCCCTCGGAAATCTATTATCTAGATCATGACACACGCAACAAAATAGCTAACCCTGCTTCCAGAAAACATTGAACATATCGCAAACAAATATTCTCGTTTCGTGTCATACCACCAGTGCAACGTGCGAAGCGACAACGAAGTAGCAGAGACATTCGCAAAATTTGTCCCAACGCTCCGATTCCCGATCCGCGGTCTCGTAGCCTGCGCTGGCGTGTCGGACAACGGACCCTCAACCGAATTCCCTGCCGAGTCGTTCAGCCGCCTGCTTGATATCAATGTCACAGGTACATTTCGCATTGCACAGGCTATGGCACGGGAGGTTCTCCGGACAAATATGACGGCGAGTGTGGTTCTCGTTGCTAGTATGAGTGGCTATGTGACGAACAAGGTAAGACTAACTTTCTATCTGTCTTTATCTACTGAGTCAAATTCATTACGCATTTACTAATTACTACTGTCGTTTGCGCTAGGGCGTGGATACGGCGGGATATAACTCATCTAAAGCAGCCGTTCACCAGCTTGCTCGCTCGCTAGCTGCGGAGTGGGGGTCGAGGGTTGGCATGCCACTGATCAGGGTCAATTCGCTGTCTCCTGGGTATATTCGCACTGCTGCTACAGCCGAGGCGCTGCAGAAGCCTGGTATGGAGGCGCAGTGGACTGGTGATAATATGCTCTACCGATTAAGTACGGTGGATGAGTTCCGTGCGCCGGTGATGTTCTTGTTGGGTGATGGGAGCAGTTTTATGACGGGGTCGGATCTGAGGGTTGATGGTGGTCACTGTGCTTGGTAGGTACATGCTTTTATGGACTACGGGAAGGATATCTGGGATCATAGTGATTTATGAACAGAGCTTGTTATTTTAGGTAATGACTGCACCAGCTAAGTATCCTCAGGCAAGCGCCATGATCTCCTCCTTGGCTTCCTTGAAAGTCTGAGCAAATAACGATACCATATCATCCAGCTGCCGGTCAACCCAGTCTTCAGCTTTGCCATACACAAGCTCCCACGTACTTTTCAGACCCTGATTCTTGTTCTTGAGGAACCCCATCGCCAAAAGCGTAGCAACGAGCACTCTAGTGATAGATTGTGGAATCATATTTTGGCCATGGAGCAGCTTCTCTTCCATGTACTTCGTGACTTGGTTTTCGTCTGTGTCAAGCAAGTCAAACAGCTCCTTGGACCATTTCCAGATCCCTTCAAAGGTCTGCAGTCCAATGATGGCGTGGACTCTGTTAGCTGGGGACTTGGGAGTGGCGTTCTGCGAATTTCCGAATAACGATGCCCGCGCTGAGAATGGTTGATCACCCAGGGCATGTGCGCTCCCGAATAACGGTGCCCGGTGTGCTGAGTATCGTTGATCACCCGGGGCATGTGCGCTCCCGAATAACGGTGCCCGGTGTGCTGAGTATCGTTGATCACCCGGGGCATGTGCGCTCCCGAATAATGACGAAGCTTGCAGAGGAGGACGCAGAGGAGGACAATGTTGAGCACTGGTAAGGCATTTCCACTGATTATCAGGAGATGCAGCGCCAAACAATGATTGAGTCGGCTGAGATGATTCAACGCGGAGTGGATGTCTCCCGCCCACAGCTTGATTCTGCGCATTTGGAGAAAGAACAGACCCTCCCGAAGTATGTTGAAGGCCACTGGATGGTCCGGCACAAAACCCATGCCCAAAAGGATTACCGCCAGAAAATGGACCAATAGGTGGTGCAGGGGGTGGACGTGCCTGGAATGCAATGTTCTGTTGATAGGTTTGGGGAGAGAAGGCACCAAATGGGCCTGCGTGCTGCGTCATTCGGGGCCTTGCACACGCTTGCGCCATCGCCATCTGAGCGCGGATGTTTGTCCGGTCCTTGACCATTGGTCGCTCAGTCACCTCAAAGACCTTGTTCGGTTGGCCGTTGGATACCTCATCGAAGTCCTCCTCCAGAGCAATGAACGAACAGTACTTTCCTGTAACCTGATATTTGAGACCCAGACGCTGGCACTCGCTGGTCTCGAGTTGTTTTCTGCTGTCGGGATGGAGCAATTGGATGGGATTTCCGGCGGCGTCTTTGGCATCACTGAGCCAGCCGTGACCCTCTTCTAATTCAATGACAGCTTTGCGTGAGGCGAGGTGGTGGATCAACTCCCCTTTTCCGATATCCTGGATGGGAATTTGCAGCTTAAGCGGGCCATGCGAGCAGGTCGCATGAAAGGTCAGGGCTCTGGGAACTCGCTCGGGTGATTGGGGGTCAATCAGAAGGTATACAGATGTTCTGATAAATGGAAACAGAGCCGGGATGTTGTATGGAGCTTGGAGAGTTGTAGGAGGGTTGACGGTTGGAAGATGATCCATTGCTGGTTCTGACATCACATGGTCCTCTTGGAAATTCTCATCAAACAAGGAGATTGGGGTCTGAGGCTTCTCCTTTTCAGAGGGAGGAGCTGGTTTTGCCTGCTCATCTTCCGTCTGCGTTTCAGTCTCTGAACCCTGGACCAGCTCGAAATCATTCTCTGAGTCGCCCTCGTACTCCACGTCGAGCCGACAGCTGTAGAGGTGAGGATACAGCGCACCCTTCAGCATTCGTATAACCTTTCGATCAAGCTCCTCGTCTAGGAGCACAGATTGCGAGATCCCATTCCCATTCCTTGCAATTCCTTCAATTAAGGCAGAAGACGCCGCATCACCAATGCCAAGGGAGAAGAAGCGAGTCGGGGCCGTGCGGCTCTCAGATTCCTGGCGGACGAAATTGAATAGTTTCTGCTCATTATGGATCTGTCCGTCTGTGAGCAGAAGAACTTCTAGGCTCTTGTTCTCCAGGCGGTTCTTCACAACTGCTTCAACCACCGACAGCATTTCCGTGCCCCCAAAGTTTGCAGCGAGCGTCTGAGCCAGAAACATAGCCTCCTGCAAGCTTGCTTCATCGTAGACTCTGCTCTTTGACCAGAGGAACTCATGATGGCTTCCAAAAGAGCAAATGTTGAAACAAGTGCCGACAGGCAGTGACTTGAGGAAAACCTTGAGAGCAGATCTTAGCGTCCCAATCTTGCCACCCATGCTGCCGCTTCGGTCTAGAACAAAAACAATCTCTGGATTTGCTCGTGGAAGGTTGAACTTGGGGACCAGTGTCGCCATTACTGCTCGCTGACCGGGGATCGCGGAATGGGACTCGACCATGGCGCGAGGTTCGTCAAGACCGTCTGCTTTGGCAAGCAAAACAAAGTCCTTGGTAAGCAAGACATTGCCTTTGCTCAGGTTCAAAGTGGCGGATGCTTGAGACGGTTCAAAAGCGGTGGATTCCGAGACAGAAATACGGCCCAGCGAGGCCTTGATCGAATGGCTTGGGGATTGCAGCTCCCGGATGATGGAGTTTTTGTCCATCAACACATCAACTGTAATCGATATGCCTTGGACGTCTGCAGTAACCTGCGAGCCTCCCACGGTACTTCCGTAGCGCGGAGCAATGGCATTGGGCAGCATGTATCGAACGCCATCAGTCTGCGCGTCCTGTCTCAGGTCGCCAACGAAGGTGATTTCGACAGTGACTTTCTCACCGGCTCGCACATTACCCAACCTCATCTTGAAGACATCGGCGTCGTTCCCATATTCCAAAAGGGCGGCCGACTGGTCGTTTGAGACGGCTTGCTTGAAGTCGGCGGTAGCCTGGTCCTTTGTCTTCACCTGGCTGCGTAGGAATCTCGTGCCAACATGACACTTGAAGCCAACCACACTGACCCCATCGTAGAGAGGGAAATTGTATTGCACCTCCTCGAAAGTCTGGTCTGACGGGTTGGCAAAGACCTGGGTGAGGGTGGTACGTGCCACGGACGACAAGATGGTTGCATGGGCCTTGAGGGAGATCTGAGGAAGAAATGACCACTGGGCGCTATGGACTTCTCGGGAGACAACATGACAACCACAAAGATTGAGATGCATGATGAATGATGATGGTGGGTTGGGTGGTGGAGGGTGAAGAGAGACGAGCGAAGTGGGCCGGAGGGTATTTATGCGCCACAGCCAGGCACCACGGAGCGGACTTGTCCGTCAGTTTGATGCCTACCGGATGTGAATCCGATTGATGATGGCCAAGTCTAGTGCTGCCAATGTCTCTAAAAATCTCGATCCCCCATAGTGTCCATCTCTTCCCTCTTGGGGATTAGACCCACAGTAGTACCCACGGGGAGCCGGGAACGCGTGATTTCTATTAGAAGATCTAAAAGATTTTACATCCATGATGATTCTTTACGACCTTTAGACGCATAACCTAGATCTATATAAATCCTCTCAACCCATTTTGACCGCCCAAAAGACCGTAATATACATTCCTCCGCTTTCCAACCATATTCCAACATATCGCCGTGCCCAACTCACAGCTTGAACTGCAGCAGATTCCCAATCATCTCGCGTCCGGTGATCCGCGTCGTCGCCCACAACGTCGGGAAGTCCAGCGTGCTGGAGAAGGTGTCGGCATACCCAAAGAAGAGCATGGGCGGGATCCAGCCCCGGGCGTACTCGAGCGCGAAGCAGGACGAGTCCATCTTGTACTGCTTGACCTCACCGCGGACCAGGTGGTGCACGCTGCCGGCCGGGTAGACCTCGGGCTCGAAGGAGCCGGGGACGTAGGCCAGCTGGGTGCCGTGCAGGATGTTGAAGTAGTCGTCGGCTGTGTGACGGCCCGTGTGGCCCTCGGTGCCGATGGCAGTTCCAAAGATGATCAGGTACTCGGTGATACCTAGGAATCGCTATGTTAGCATGGATTTGTGTGCGAATAATAGGGAGGGATCCATGGATGCGACGGATATCTTCAATCCAATGGTCACGCCGCTGTCCTCCGTGCTACCCATGGTCCACCAAATCGAAGGAGAAAAAAAGTAACCAACGTACTGGCATGGATAATGTACATGGCGCCCATCGCACCGCCGGCATTGTTGAAAACCCACTCCTCCTTGGTGCTCAGATACTTGGAGCCGACCTTCTGCTCGAGTTCGGCGACAATGTAGTTGACGACGGAGCGCGTGTCATCGCCGTGGGCGCTAATGGCGCGCTGCGAGAGATCGTGTAGATGCTCAGGTTCGAAGACGTAGAACTGCTCCAGGCGCGCGTCGAGGAAGCTGTACACGCCGGCGAACAGGGCGAGGAAGAGGGCGAGGAAGCTGAGGGTGCGGACGGAGAGGCGGCAGCAGCAGCCCGAGCGCTGGGCGCTGCTGGAGGAGGACTTGGAGGATTTGGAAGGCATGATTGGAGGGAGGGAGAGAGAGAGAGGTGAGAGGTGAATGGGGAAAGAAGGAAAGAAGGGAGTGAAGAAATGAGAAATGAATTTGGTCCCCCTGTTGATCCACTCCGAATGTGGGGCGAGTTGATGAGCCGCGGGAGAGAACGACCAGATGTCTGCAATTGCTATTGTAGCTCCATAGTCAATCCTCAAGTACTGTGGATGCTTTCGTAGTCACTCCTTACTGCTAGTAGTGACCTCCTACCAAATATGTATCTTGGGAAGTGACCAGTTGATGCTCTACTCGTTTCTGCCTGAGGCTGTCAATCACCCGCAGCTCCGTACACGCCATTCGGACCAGCTGGATCCGAAATCGCATTGCTCTCATTGGTGTAATATCGAGACCAGGCAGTAGAGATTCCTCGCGGGCAATCTAATCGTCATAGTTTTGCATAGAAAATAAATTGATGCGAGCCATTCTGAGCGGATATATTCTGGGGGAACGGAAATTCCTCAGGACCTACATAGCACCCAATCTCGAAGATAGCTCGTCATACTTACTAGAGGTCGTAAACTTCAAAAAGCAAGGGACCCCGTAATCCTGATCAAGGGAAAAGTCAATTGCATTATTGACTGATTTCTTGACTTCTATTCCTGGTTAGGGGGGCCAACCGCCGAGGAACGGTCCAGTGGCCCTGTCTCAGGACTAAGACCGCGACAATCAATTTTCCCCTCGCTTTTTGTATTCCTCATCGGTAACTTGCTCATGCCATTTGGTCTCGCCAATGCCCACGACAAAATGGGTCATGATAGAGCCGTCATCAGCGCCGTGCCAGTGAGTGGTGCCAGGGGGCGCCCAAATAACATCCCCCGCTGTAATCCGACGTGCCTCCTTGCCCTTGTCACAGATCCAGCCAGATCCAGAAGACACGTGAATCATCTGGCCTCCCTCATGAGTATGCCAGTGTGTCCGCGCACACGGTGTGAAAGTGACATTGGCTAGCGCGGCAGTCGATTCCATCAAGATTAAATCTAGATAGACTTCACCGGTGAAGGTCGAAATCGGCTTGAGAACATTTTGCTTGTTATTATGGGCGCCCTGGATAATGATAGACTCCGGCATTTTGGATAAGACGGCGAAAAAAGGGTTATCCTGGCCTAGGTGAGGGGACCGAGAAAGAAACCTAAACACGACGTTAATAAAAGTGGGTCTCTTGGTCGAATCTAAAAATGGGAGTTTCAATACCGAGGATTTTAGAAGGGGACCTGAGTCTCAATAATAGCATGCAAGCCTTTTGGTGAGTGTCGCGAGGCGTATTTTTTTTTTCTTTCTCTTTTCTATGGCTTTCCTCGGGCTTGAGGTCAAATAGAGAATAGGTAGAGGACGCTGACAGTCGGCATTAACGGGAGTAAACGGACCTCACATAGCCACCGCTCTAGTACAGAGGATCTTCATGTCATCGAGCGGGTACGCGTGGTCACCAAAGTAAAAAGTGGCATTGCAATCGCTCGAGCTAAATCAAGTGACGACAGTATATGGGGTCTCAGATACATACCTCATATCGCGTCGGGTCTGTGGAAACGAACGGACTCTCCCTGTTGGCCGCCACCTTCACTAGCGCTGTCAGCAAGCTTCTATAGTTACCCGGTGTTGATCCAAAATCTGATCCAGAATATCTGCCTCGCAAGCGTCCGAAGATCTTCCGTGTTGGCGATCCCGGGCATTCACAATTTTAACGCCGACCGGATGACAACTCCACCCACACTCGCTACCCTTTAATCATGATTCTAAGTCCGGCGGGTGCGATCAGCAGAGAGTGCGAACGTAGCAAAGAGAGTGTGCATTGAGCATTGTCAGCTAGTTCGACTAGGTCTAGCCTCGATTGGGTTCAATCCAGGGATCGCTTCTGTTTGGCGAGGGGTCAATGTCGAGGTTAAAACTGCGCTTTTACTCTTGTTCCCTATTCGGTCATTCTCTCAGTCGTGGCTAATCTAGGGGTACAGATGTAGACATCGTGCCTATCCCATTGCAGCAGAGGTGCCATCTTGATCGGCTTTGTTGGAATAAAATGCTGGATCTGAAAGAGCGATTGGTCGAGCTCGAGTCTATGGGAAATCAAAACAAACAGTAACTTGCTGATTATCATGCTCATTAATTTCGAAATACTCGAATAGATATAGCTGAATATCTTGTTACGATTGTGAAGTATATACAAGCTTTCGGCTGCAACATCCTGTCAGCCAAAATATATGTATTTCAACCCCACAACCATGCGCAATCATTTCTCCCATGATACCAGACTCGAGGGCACGTACATACTATCCAAAGCCGGTTAATCTCCTGATATGACAATCCGGTCTTCCACAACCCCTCTCTTTCTCCCCAGATACCATATCTAAGGATGATATGTCGATCTGCACCCAGTGCAAAACGGCCAGCGCTCCGTGCACGGATGCCGAGCGAGCATCTCACGGATTTATTCTTCTGCAGCGATCGTTTTGCGGGGTCTGTGTGTGGAGAAGGACTGGCGTTTCAGTTTATCTTTCCGCCAATCTGGACAGACTCTAATGCTCCTGTGATCTTGGTCGGAGGAAATCATACCTGAAATTGTTAGACCGGGAATGCTCCGTCCCTTTGCCAGCAACGTCATCGTCTCGGATACGCTGTCTCTACCGGAGATGTTACCAAACTCTGCAGAATGTCTCCCGCAGAACTCCCCAGTCGTGGAAAAATTAGCATCGGGCTGAAGTGCCGCGTGGATGATCTCTGCAACAAAACACTTCATTATCCGGTGGAGAAGGTCCCTAAGATCAAACAGAGCCACTCCACTCCGTGCTCTATACGGAACAAGCCCAATGAACGACCTTCCGGACGGAATAGCCTCGCGATAGATATAAAATAGAACGAAGTTCCAGAATCTCCCACTTGACAAGAATTTCAACCTCAAATTAAACACAATGAAATCCTCTATCGCGTCTCTGTCTCTCGTCTCTCTTGCGCTGTGCGCCACAGGCATTGCATCTACACTGCCCACCAGGACGCTCCAGCGCCGCGCCGACTTCTGCGGCCAATGGGACTCAACCACAACGGGCAGCTATATTGTCTACAACAACCTCTGGGGCCTGAGCTCCGATGAATCCGGCACGCAGTGCACAGGCGTTGACTCGCTGAGCGGCTCGACGATCTCCTGGTACACCACTTACTCGTGGTCCGGGGATACCAGCCAGGTTAAGAGCTATGCCAACGTTGCGTTGCAGTTCACCGCGCAGCAGCTGAGTGCGATCAGCAGCATCGAGTCTACATGGGATTGGAGGTAGCCATTACTGGATATTCTATGAAAAACTATTCTGCCCAGTGGCTAACATTGAGGGGGAAAAATAGCTACTCCACTACAGACATCACAGCCGACGTCTCGTACGACATGTTCCTCAGCTCGAGCGCCTCCGGGTCCGACGAGTACGAGATCATGGTGTGGCTAGCAGCGCTGGGTGGCGCAGGCCCGATCTCATCGACCGGCTCGACCGTCGCCACGCCGACCATCAACGGCGTCACCTGGAAGCTGTACTATGGTCTGAACGGGAGCACGTATGTGTACAGCTTTGTGGCGGAGTCCGAGGTGACCAGCTTCTCGGGGGATATGCTCCAGTTCTTCAAGTATCTCGAGGAGTACGAGGGCGTGAGCTCCAGTCTGTATCTCATAGATGTGCAGGCGGGAACGGAACCCTTCACTGGCACGGCTGAGCTGACGACCTCGGCTTACTCTGTGGTTGTTTCTTGAGCTGGAGAGAGGGGGACGGGATGTCAGATAGTGGAAGGGTAGATTTGGAATCAATTTTCATGATGTTTGACCAAATAGCCCTAAACAAATCTGTCTGCGGTACGAGCCACACTAAATGCGGACCCAACATCATGAAGCGCCTTTGAAACCGACAGCTTGGTGCATGAAACATGACACGGTTTCAGCTTATCGCCTGGCAAGGCCTGGAATTACTCCCAAACTGGTGCCTAGAACGCTCAGCGCATAAAGACCAATCGATGCACTGTCAGAAAACCAGTCTGCGGTTGCGCGACACGCCCACCTAGCGAATCCTACGTTCCAACGCGAGCATCGTTTCTACTCGACCGTGGGGCCGACCGGAAGGCCATTCATTCTAAGAATAGCTTCCGTCTAGAACACCAAAATTAACCGAACAGCGTTTCGAGCGGCGCGACCGAGCCCAGCGTTGGTTGTGGTTGTGATGGTTGTAAGCGCTGGCGGGGAAGACGGGCGCTTATATACAAACCGAATCGGACGCCGATCTAGTTCTTTTTTTAGAATGGATGAACTGTAAGTGACGGACGCTACGGACGGGCTCTAGTGGGCTAGTGCCACTGGACTCGTACCAAATGACTCGCCTCATGCGGGCGATCAGACTATGTCGATGACCGGTGCGACTGATCAGGGTGCACAGACTCGATGGTGTGAGATGTCTGATTGGATTGGGCAGGACACGGGAATCATGGTTGACTAACCCCCTTCTCCCTGGGCACCCTTCGGCGCGAAACACCACACCGCGTCCAAGGGCCACGCGAAACATCTTAGGGGGAGGAATCTGCGCTGGCATCTACTCCACGTCTCCCCCCGCGTCTCGCACAGGAGATAGTGAGACGGTCGCGAGTTTCAGCGATGACATGTTGTAGCTCAACCACTAGCTACAATGTGTCTACTGCCGCTGAACTCCACCCAGCTAGTGTCGATCCCTAGCGGCGGTGGATCAAGGTGAGGGCCCCGTTGTTTTTTGGCTCATTGCGGAGGGCTCACTGCGCTGTCGTCGAGGCAAGAGACGGGTATTGTCCAGACGGTCGCGACCGATGCTTGGTCGTCGCTAGCTCATCGCTCTAGAAGGACACGGACGCAGACCAAATAATTGAATCCAGGGATAGCTCGCACAATGTTTGATAGACACAATAGTATATCTGTCAGCTCCACTGCATTCCCTCCCGCGCGACTATGTATGCAACCCCTTGTCCGCTTCCTGACTGGTCCTTGCAGTGACCCCCTCTGGCGCATACCACACGCCTATATCTATCCCTCTGCCTCCCGGATTCTTCACGGGATTCACCCACATGCCCACCGTCGTCATTTCCTTTTTTTGTTCTCTTGTTTCTTTTAATCCTCTGTCGCTCCCTCAAAACTAATCACCGTCAAACCTCTGTGACTGATTCTTTGTGCCGGTGTGGACTGTTTCTCGCTGTCTCACTTCCCAACATCCTCAGTTAGGGCTATCGCCGCGATAAGAGGGTTGACACGACAACCTCCGCTATCCTTACAGCAGCATTCTTTTTCGTCGACTAGACCGGAGATCTTCCTGCTGGCCAGGAATCTTGCCTCTTTTGTTCGCTTTTCTCTCTCTTCTTCCATCCTTTCATCCCACCCGATCTCTTCCCTACGACCAAGCACATTGGGCCACCACCCGGGAGACCTATATAAACCACGCGGTATACTATTTCCATCATCCACCATGGACTCCCCGCTAGCTCTCAATCGAGCTGCCCTGGACGAATTTGTCGGCCAGCGAGTGTCTCGCGAGATGGTCACCCACTTGGCCCGGCAAGCGTCGCAGGTCATCCGCTGTGAGCAGGTGACCGTCAGTCACGGGCAGGTCACGCCCCCTTCAACGCCGCCGCTGGACAATCTTCCTCTACTGCCTACCATTGAGCAGTTCATTGCCTCGCTGGTCGCCCGTTCGCAGGTCCAGGTGCCCACCCTGATGAGCTCGCTGGTCTATCTGGGCCGCCTGCGTGCCCGTCTGCCCCCGTGGCCAAGGGCATGCGTTGCACCGTTCACCGGATCTTTCTGGCCTCTCTCATTCTGGCAGCCAAGAACCTGAACGACTCCAGCCCTAAGAACAAGCATTGGGCTCGGTACACCGCCGTCAAGGGCTTCGATGGCTTCGGGTTTTCCATGCCCGAGGTCAATCTGATGGAGCGACAGCTCCTCTTCCTGTTGGACTGGGATACCCGTGTCACTGAGGAGGATCTGTTGACACACCTGGAGCCCTTCTTGGAGCCGATTCGGCTCCGTCTCGAAGCACGCGAACAAGCCAGGAAAGCCGAGGAGGACCGGCAACGGAAGCAGCAGCAACACCGCGAATGGTACGTTCTTGCAGTGATCCTCATTCAAGACTTATTCGCTAATTACGCTCTCTTACAGGCGCCGTCTCCATGCATCGGCGGATCTCCTTGCCAGCCGTCTTCGTCGCCAGAAAGCCGATATCCGCAGCGACGGCCGTCGTGGATCCGATATCTCGACGCGTCGTCTGCCCAGCCATGTCTCCTGCCCCAGCATGCATAGTGCTCACAACAGCAATTCCTCGCCGCCGAACGCTACGGATCCCGATCGGTTCAATCCCTACATGCGTCACCGCACCTCGCCCTCCCGGCAAGGCCGCTCCATCTCGCCGCCGTCGATTCGTGACGTGCCGGGTCTATCGCATGCCGAGACTTTCAATTCGCTCTGCTCGCGGTCTTCCAGCCTAGCGCCCAGCTCGCGCGGTACTCCCGCTAGCATTAGCACCTGCTCCTCGCACGGCACGGACGACGTGATGGTAACCGACACCAGCAGCAGCCCGGCATCCTCGCTGAGCTACAGCTATGTCAACGTCGGGCCGTTGGAGACCAAGCAGCCCTTGTGTGAGCCCACCCGCCAGCCCAGCAAGAAGATGAAGCCCAACGGCCACGTCCACGGCGGTGGCTTTGTTGCCCGATTCCTGGCCTCCGCTACTGGCTCCTACGGCCGGATTGGCTGCCCTCACTAGTTAGTCTTGTCGAGCCGGTCTCGACTGGTCTGTTCTCTCGCCCTGTCGACTTAATATCTATCCATGTGTGCTTGGCGCCGCTCACCGTCAAGTCCATTTCTTTCTCTCTCGTCGACGCCCACTCTCGCTATTTTTTGATTTGTCTTTCAGCAAAAGCATTTCATCGTTGATACGCAATTCATGCCCTTCATACCTACTCATCATTATTCCCTTCTTCATTCCACCGATTACCTCTCTTTCTCCATACGTCTTCTTCCTCATCATATCCCTTTGTCTTTACCATTACCTTCACTATTCCCGTCTCTCATTCTTTACCTATACCTGTGACAATACCCTTCATTCGCCTCATGTCAACGATCTACGATCCGCCCTCCGCGGCGCCATGTGCACGATTTAGACATCTCTTTCTTACTATACTGCATTCTTCACGAGTTGATCTGGCGTTCTATTCACGGTCCCGTCTCGTGTTTGATCATCTTGCAGTGGGGTTCTTTTTGGATTCGTTTCACTCACTCCCTACTATTGGGATGGGAGTTTTTAGATGTTGGGGCTTTTTTTTCGCTTCTTTTTGGGTCTCTGGGTTACGTGTGTGTATCTAAGTATCAATGTCTGAGTGGACGTTAATGATATTGATCTTTATCATGACTATTGGCTTCGAGTAGATTGTACTGTAAATCACAATATCTAACGCAGCCTGATATTATAATATGTGAATAAGAAGAGAAGAAGAGATTACAACTTCCCCTTCGCTGCCATCTCTTTCCTCCTAAAAAACTCTCCCATCATCCTCCCCGGCTCCGTCTGCGTCTCCCCATTCCCAGCGTTGACCTCAAAAGCCTCTCCAAACGCATTAACACCCGCCGTAACACTCTCATCCAGACCCGACAAGGCCTCCCACCTCCGCATAAGCGCCTTCTGCCTCCTCACAGCCAACGGCCCGTTCTTCTCCAGAGCCTGAACCCATTCCTCCACGGCCTCGTCAAGGTCTGTTTCGCTGTCAGAAACCACTTTCTCCACCAGGCCCCAGCGCAGCGCGTCTGAGGCGCTGATGTTTTCTCCTAGCAATAGGAGTTGTCGTGTTCGGCCCCAGCCTATAAGGTTGGGCAGGAGGGCTGCCTCTACGACGCTGGGGATGCCAACTCGAACCTTTTTTTTTTTTCAATATTAGTTTGAATGTTTTTCCCACACTCTCAATATGACTAGAAACACATAGGACTAACCTCGGGCATCCCAAAAACCGCCCCCTCCCTCGCAACCCTCAAATCACAACTCGCCGCCAATTCCAATCCCGCACCCAGCGCAAAGCCATTAACCCGCGCAATAACAGGCACCGGACACTCGCGCACAGCATCACACGCACCATGGACACGGGTGATGAATGCCCGCGCCGAGGCCGGCGATTCCAGCGCCGCCATCTCGGCTAGATCCGCGCCGCCGACGAAAGCCTTGGGTCCTGCGCCTGTGAGGATGACGGCTAAGAGATCTGGGTGTCTGGCCGTGAGTGATGACAGGGTTTGGGGAAGGGCTGCGAGGAGGGCGCTGTTGAGGGCGTTTAGTTTTGCGGGCCGGGAGATTGTGACTTGGGCTATTTTGCCTGTCGCGCGGGGCGTGAGTTTTGTGAGAATTGAGGCCATTTTTTTTGTTAGGTCCTGGTTTTCGTTTGGTCTTCTTGTTGAATACATGGGGTTTATTTAATGTTCTTCACGACCGAGAATCACCGACTTCAATGCGGGGAAAGGATGAGCTCCGAGGTTTTAGTGGGATCCACTATAGCTATACCTACTTCATTAGCTGGTGAAGATATACAGTATAGACTGGTTGGGCAAAGCATTCGCTTCATGCTATCTTGGATTCACTGCTAAGTGCGGTAGAAGCTTGAGCTTCGATAAAGAAAGAAAGACAGAAAGAAGGAAGGAAGGAAAGAATGAAAGAATTTCATATCTCTTCTCATGAACAGAGTACAATGGCATGTGTCCTCCTATCTGTCTGCTTATGCAGTGCAGTGGCGATGACGGTAAGACAAGGAAATCTGATCTTTTCAAATTCTGAAATAACTGGAATGTTTTAATCGGATGTCTGAGGAGAAACCTGCCCAAATATAAAAGGAAATAACAAGCCCAAGAAATTCAAAAAACCATCAATGAAAAATGGTCATCATTCATGATAATCTCGTTACGCAATCAATATAGCCACCATCCCCAACTACAGCAACGGAGCCTCCCAATATTCTCGCTTGATCTTCATGACAGCGGACTGTTTATGCGGAAAGCTGACTTCTCCTTCCTTGTAGAAGCCCGCATCCTGCAGATAGCTGATCATCCTATCGAGGTGGTTAGTTAATCCCACACGCAAATAGAACAGAGGAGAATAAATGTACTTAGTATTATCCACCCTCGGCTCCAGGAACACCGTCTCGGTCCGCATATCCGCCAAAAAGCAATGGTGCACCAGTGCACTCAACCACACGCCGACGCGGTGCGGGCCGCGGAACTCCTGCTCGCCGATGAGAAGGTGGATACCGCGATCATAGTTATCCACCCGATCCAGCAATCGGCCCAGAGGATCTTCTTTCACCCAGTAGATCTCAAAATACCCAAATGGTTTCCCATCCCAGCATCCAATGACGGGAAAACTGTGCTTGCTGGTTAAGTTGGCAAGCAAGAACTTTTCCTGCACGGCTTTCGGGCCATCGACTCCCCACATCGCTTCGACGCGCGCGTCGTTCATCCATTTGTGCAGCGTGTCCAGGTCTGAGGAGCCGTCGTGGATGAGGTGCTGCTCCACGCTTGTTACCGGGGAGCTGGTCGGCGTGGATGGACGACTGCCACCGACACCGCTGGCGCTGGTTTGAGCAGCTCCGGCCTTTGTCATGGGGAGGAATGGAATGCGGAACGAAAGGTACTGGCTTAGGCTGCTGATGTAGCGCACGTAGAAGATCTCACCCTGGTGTGGCGGTTTGGGGCGGACTGGGTGCCGTACTCCATTCGTATACATGTATTGTGTCGGTGCGGGCGGGTAGTATGTGGGCAAGTGGCTGCCAGAGGTAAACGGTCCACCGGAGGTGAATGTGCCGACGTTCGCAGTGTGGAAGGTCACCTCCGTCGGCAGTAATGTGGCAGGCAGCCCATCCCTGGTTGGGGAGGGCGTTGCGCAACGAGGCGAGCCACCTCGGGACGGCAAGGGCGACGGCGATGGCGACGGCGCCGCTCCACGCGGCGTGAGAGTGAACAGGAAGAGACGCGGGTCAAGCTGCCAGAAACTGCGCCGACTGACAAACATATTCGCCCAGCTAGACGAATCGCGCGTTTCGACCGGCTGCAGACCCACGGATGAGTCCTCACTAGCGATCAAGCCCATCCGCTCGAGCTTCTGGAGCAAGTTGCGGCCCTTGAAGATGCCCTCACGCTTGATATTGACGATCCAGTTGCCCTTGGGACGCGCGTCGTGGGGTGTCTTGCTCGAGGCCTCGGTTTCCAGGTGGAAGTCTGGCTCCGCTTCGTGGAAGTACCACCACAGCGTGGCCCACAGCATCATAGCGATCTGGCGGGTGGGGGAGCTGACGGGCTTGAAGTCGCTGGAGGGTGGATTGACGATGTACGAGATATAGAGGCAGTCGCGGTTTAGGGTGGGCGTTGTGAAGCGAGAGAAATTGTCCGGGTCGTCGGAAGCGCGCGAGCTGCGGTCGAGCTTCTCGGTGCGGATGATGATGGTCCATCCTGGCGGGAAGATGGAGTTGTGGACATTCAGCTCGTTGGACTTGAAGGTGACGCCGCCGAAGACGGGGGCGACAGTGAATGTGAGGCCATTGGGCAGGTGGCAGGTCGAGTGTCGCATGTCTAAGGGAGGTGTATCGTGTGCCTAGGGAGGATGGAAGTTCTAGCTTGACAGCTCTCCCTTTCTGCCCCGCTTTCCGATGACGCAGGGACCAACAATATTCCTATTCAACTAATGAACCGGGTATCAAGCAAGAAATCAAAAATCTTCCACCGTCGTCCCCAGATTCCTCTCGCGGGCCAATCGCACCAGGTCGCCGCCCGTCACGAGATCCATCAATCCCAGTCCGACACTCTTGTAGATGACATTGCCCCGCTCCACCCATTCCCGCAGGCTCTTTTCTTCATCCGCCGTGTCTTCCTCACTGGCCTGGGAGGCCTGCCGCACCATGAGCAATTCACCGAGCTCCACCACCTGCGTGGGTCGAATGCCGGCTTGGATGATCTCGCCGGCCTCCTTCATCGCCGCGTCCAGACTGTCCACCACGACGACTCCGCTGCGCTTCGTATGCTTGTGGAAGTGCCGATGCGGTGGCGTCACAAGCACTTCGTCCCGGAGAATATCCGGGTGTATCTCTGCCATATGCGCCTTGTAGGAACCCACCGCGCCAATGAGTCGGCCTTTCTGCCGCCCCTCGCGCGAGGTCAGGAACTCGGCGGGAAACAGCGGGGAGGTCGACGGGGTGCAGCAGAAGATGGCATCGGCTTTGCGCACCGTCTCTTTCAAAATGCGGTTGTACTCGCCGAATTCACTACTGAGCGCGGAGAACTTGACGTCGCGTCGCCACTCGGCGTTCTCCGGCAAGTAGATGTCGCGCAGGAGCTTGGCGGCGCGGTCAAAGGATCGGTTGAAGATGTACACGCGCCCGATCTCGTCGCCTCGTAGAACCAGGGCCAGTCGGATGTGCCAGTAGGCCTGGGTGCCAGCCCCAAAGACCAAGAGGGTGCGCACCTTTTTGCGCTTGTTGAAGATCAGTAGCGAAGCCAGCGCCGTGCGGAAGGCTGTCAGCTCGTGGGCGTTGATGAGGCCGAAGGGCAGGCTCTCTCCGTCCAGTAGTGTCACGCTACCCCGCGGCGAGGTATCGCGGGAGCCCGCTCCTGGCCATGCGCCCATAGTGTCGGAGATGCTGGATGTGCTAGACGCGACCGGTTGCTGGTTGACGCAGCCAGTCATCAAGGACGAAGTCATGCTACTGCTCCCAGACGGGGTCGTGTCCGTGGGGCTAGAATTGTTGTCTTCCTGGGATGAACCTACTGATAAATCGCTCATGTCGGAAGACATTGAGATCACCGAGCTGCGAATGCTTCGCGACCGTAATGACGTCTGATCCCCCTCGGAACTGTCAAAGCTGATGCCCTTTTCCACGGCGCATCCCGCATCGCCTCCATCCTGCAAGGAAATCATCTTGATTCCGATGGTCTGCCCGGTACTGGCGGGCATGAAGAGCGTGGTGCAGCCATTCTGGCGGGTGATGGCCGTTCGTTGAGGCTGGTAGGTGGCCGAGCAGCCCTGCTCCTGCGACCCGGTTGAGTATTCCCGCAGGGCTTCGGCCAGGTGCTTTTGGAGGTCCACGATTTCATCGCGGTTGAGGGAGTGCAGTAACGTTCGCAGCTGGGACGCGGAGAGGATTGTCAGCGGCATCGTGGTGTTGGTGGTGGGTTGCGTTGGAGTAGAGATAAGGTGAAGGGGAAGGTCGATCTGAGATAAGAATGTCAGTCCCTCCCAAGCCAAACCGCGCGTTCGCCAAGTCCGGGTGAAACACACAGAAGTCGCCACAAACAGAATCCCAGGAAACTAGATCCACCCTTGACTAGAAGATCTGAACTCTTGATCTCAGTCGGACACGGCGCTTGGGCGAGTGGATCACCGATGACGAAGAGAAAGCGGGGCCGTCAAGAAGGAATAGATGCACAAGAATACAAAGATGGTGGAGACTAGACAGGGCTAGAACAGAGCCGACATGGACATGTAGCGCAGAAGGTTGAAGGAAGAGGCAAAGAAGAAAAGAAATAAGCCTCGAGGAGGGCGGATCGGCCAGAAAGCGCACTGTTATTGGCCTGCTGTCAAGCACAGGCGCATCAAGGCGGGCGAGAACGGACAGACGGTTGACGGTAGTGTGGTGGATGCTGTAGCTTTATCCAGGTTGGGGCTAGCCTCGAGTTTTAGCTGCGTCGATCACAGTGCCTGGCGTGTACGGTCTACGTAGGGGATGCCATGTGTTGTTGGCATGAAAATGGGCTCTGTCAGTTATAGATAAATTCGTACAGTAGATGCCATCGTCACCTATCGTTAACACGAAGAGAGCTGATGGAAGAAAGTGAAGTCGAGCTCATGACGTTCAAATAGGATCATGATCTTGAATGTATTATAATAAATAGGTCCATAATTGCTTATTCCACATTTAAAAGTTATTAGCCTCCAGTGACAATTCATCACAAGGCTGGACAGACAGAAAGGGGTATAAAACGTAGCCAAGGAATATACGGGAAAATGATCTCTTAGACAGAGATAAAGAACGACTGACATGATATCTCAAACCTGTCCACCCCAGGTTTTGGGATCCTTGACAAACTTGGGCCATGTGTTGGTGAGAACGAGGTATTTGATGCTGTGTTCAGCGTTGTCGAAGACAGAGGCATCAAACTCCGCTGGCACCTCGCCCCAGTACTGCACGAGGTCCTTGATGGCATCGGAAGCTGACACGTTCAGTGTTTTCTCCGAGGTTGTTGAGGTACTGGGCGACAGAGGTGGATCAACGGGGAAGGTGGCGGAAAAAGGACTGACAGGGTTAGGGTCGTCCTTCTCGCCGTACACGATACGAGTAGCATTTTCGAAGACGTTTTCGAGATCCCTGACATCTGTGAAAGCGATATTCAGGGGGAACTCGGCTTGCTCGCGACTGATGAACTCGGCGTAGATGTGCAACGCACTGTTGAAATGCGCCCGGATCATATCCTTGGAACTGCTGTCTTTAAGAGCAGTGCCATCCCGGACGGAAGGGGGCAGCGAGTTCTTCCAATCGGAGACGGCAGTAAGAAAGGCAACATTCTCTCCGGAGAACTCGCGGAGGGCGGAGAATTCCTGAAGGGGACCCGGGTTGCGCTCAAGGACGTACTCAAGTGCGCTCATAGTCAGGATACTCTCGTCGGAGGCGTTAGTCCTGATGGATTTCCTTGACTTTCGGCCGGACAGCAGGGACTCGACCATAGTAGAAGCAGAGTCGAGAGACTTGGCCCCGGAGTTGGAAGCATTGTTCCTTTTTTCCCACTGGGCAATTGCGTCGAGTGTCTCTCGACGCAGAGTCTGGCGGCGCATCACCTCCCAGCAAGGAACAAAGACTGTAAAGATTTCCAGGAAGAACACAGAGAGACAGATCCTGTAACCGCATTAGCATTAGTTAATGAAGCAATGTTAGATCTCGGGGTGCTTACCACTGAGGAGGGATGAAGTACTGGTTGACCGGCGCCATGCCAGGAACATAGAGGCCGATCAGCCACATGGGGGTCGCGTGCAGGCTGCGAAAGACGTTAGAGACAGAACACTTCCGAAGGGGTTTCGTACTCACCCAGCTATCGCGCAGCCAATGGTCTGGACTCGCCAGCCTTGAGTATCGTGGATATTGCGAGACTTCCAGAGGACGATGGGGGCAATGAGCCAGGACCAGAAGAACTGCGAAAATACCCCGGGCCACCTGTATACTTGTGAGACAACAATCGCAATAGAATGAAGGTTTCTCTTACCATTCCCACCCTGTGCCCTGCTCCGCCATCTGCTCCATTGGGGTACCGTGAACCTCAGTTCCAGGAATACCCCAGGAGCTATGCCATTTGCGAGAGATTAGATACATAAGGACCGTGAGGAATATCTGGATAATCGGTTAGACGAGGCATCTTCGACAAGAAGCGTACGGAGCGTACCTGAACTACCATTAAGGTCGCAACGATAATGAGAGTCTTTGTCGTATAGGCGAGTCGGTGGAAACGGCTGATCAAGCCACGAGGCTGTGAAGGAGAGCCGATAATGCTGTTGCGTGGTTGGACGTATTTCTTTTGAAGCTTGGCGACGTGGAGGAAGCGACTGTTGGAAGCGTGGAACAGGGCCATGCCGCAGGGCAAGTAGGTGCCCATAATCCAATACTGGGCATCTCCAGGCATCAACGCGCCAATCATGAGACCAGTTTGGACAGACGCCCAGTACATGTGAAGAAGCACGACCGCCGAAAGTGACAGCCCCAAGCCTCGAATCCGGATAGTAGGGTTGTTGCGGTGAACGATCATATAGGCCATGCCTACTGCGACACAGACCGTCCAGACACATGCCCAGCACACCCACCAGATGCTCACCGGGGTGATTGCCAGCGCGGGCTTGGTGGTGGCGGTGAGTCCGAGTTCAGATCCCATGATGAAGGTCAAAAGAAGGGCTTAAGGAGAGTGATGAAGTTGGATAGCGCTTGACAGCCATCATGGTGACGGGGGGAACCATGGCCATTTTTAACTCATAGATCGATGGTCGTGCGCGCCCGAGGTTCCCCTGTGGATCTTCCGCACGAGGCGAACAGCATAAAGTCCGACCGGGCTCGATCGAGGGCATCGATCGTAGATCATTCCCAACCGAGCAAGAGCCGGGTGATTGACATGCCCTGGCAGCGGATCTATTGGCACACTATCGATTCTCGGAACTTACCTGCCCACGGGCCCCACATCAAATCCACCAAATAAAGTTAGGGCGGCCCGATCCAAAATTTAGGGATGGAAACTGTTTACCGCCAATGCCCGGCGATCGCGCGTGATGATTGGCCCGAAGGATCTATTCCAAATCATGATGGTGCTGCGGAGGATTTCTGCCTGGACGAGAGACAGGGTTTGAATCTACTAGTCTTGTACATCATCTCGGAGCGATGGGGTAGGCTGCTCCGCACGTAGCTCGAACGTCTGTCGCCTGGCCGTAGATTTCTTGCCCGTGCAGATTGTATCTATGCCAGATGGCATCCATACCCCATCGCTCGCGCCCATCCAGAGCATCAGCGGTGTTCCTCGGTCGCACTTTATGCCGGTCGGAGTTCCAGTCACCTCGCGGTTCTGCGACCAGACTGTCTATGCAGAAGTCGGATGTCAATGTACCCGTTCTCTCACTCAGACAAACGCGGATCTTTTCAGCCACTTCCTCGTATTGCTCTTGGTATCCGAAGACGTTCTTCCAGCGCACCGACCGGAGAAGCATCGCGTTCCCCTGGCCGATCCCTACTAAGAAGAGAGGCAAACTCCTCGGGCACCAAAAGGCGAATCTATTGAGGCCGTAAAATACTTGCCGCGCTTCCTCGTAGACCTGATGGTTGGTCGACATGATCGCCAGGGGGTGATTTATGGGGTTATGCTGCAGGTAGAGCCCACTACGATGGGGTGTGATCCGTGCTGTGCGGATACCACCAGTGAATCCTATTTCCTCGAAGCACAGGAGATATTCGTAAACCGTCGTCCGTCTCTCTAGTTGGATTTGTGGCAGTGACATCATGAGTTCACTCTGGCCATGTGAAAGTGAGAACAACAAAGGAGATCACTCACCAATGGGAAGGCGGAGGAATAGAAAATTCGGCCAAACTGTCTTTCCATGAAAGACAGGGATCGAGAAACGACATTTCTACCAATTTCGCACTCCAATTCCACAGCGTCGTCCATAGAAAGCATGTTTCGTAAACTGCCATCGTGTACCAATTACTTCGTAGCATGTCGGGCATCGATATCTCTTGCAAGGTGAAAAAAAGCGGACAAGCTGGTTGATTTGCAGGACATCGTGGATTCCATCGGCTGGCAGTCGGTGCTCGCTGACATACAATAGCAGATGTCCACAAAGATCGCTTTGGCTGGCGTATTCCTTGACGCAGAATGGACATATCTGCATGTTCCAGGGCATCAAGCGCGAGATCGGAGAATTCACGCGCTGATCCTAATTTTGGCGGAGAGTCTGGATCTGAAAGGATCGATAGTTCGGAGAAGGATGTTGGCCGAATCACATACTAGTGTGATTGGACGACAGGGCGAAGGAGCTGTAGTGGAGATGTGATGAGGTGATAACGACGCTATCACAAACCAAGACAAACCAGAATTTGGAATTATATAGGGGTTAGACACCCCAAGCCACAACTATTTATGCAACTTGCGAATCTGTACCGAGGTATCACAAGAACCATAGGTCTTTTCAATTGAGGACTACAATAATTGAATAATGAAAATTAGACAGTTGAATATCATCACATCCTAGCCCGGATCCGACCGGACACTGCATTCTTGGCTGCCTCTTTCCAAACCCTGGGCAACGGCCCATGTAGCCCATACAAGGGATCCAAAGGTGGAATTGACACGAAGTCACACTTTTTAGCAAGCTCTGCCGTCTCTTCTGGGCTCTTCATCGCATAGTTCATATCAAATCGCTGACCGGTCGCTTCGAGAAGACCCTATCAACTCACACATGCATCAGCCCCGGGATTGCAACAGGTGAAAGAGAGTGAAAACTTACATTTGGATACAGTCCGATAAATTCATAGTCTCCCTCTGACTCGAGGGAGGCGTGGCAGATCCCAGCCTGCAATTTAAACAACGTTAGAAAGTCTTATCAGACACGGGAAAATTAGGAGGATGGATGAGATGGCACACAGGCAACACAAAAACATCTCCTTTTTGAACAGTTAACCGCATTCCGTACGGCTCGCCTTTTACGTTAAATTTGGGGTCCGTCGGACCGATACCCAGCTGGTATGTTGTCTTTCCTTGCAGAACGGCATAGCATTCGTGACATGCTGCGTGGAAATGGGGCACTTTATATGCTTTCCACTGTCCACCCTTCAACCATCCGTTGGGCTCAATGATATTGAGAATCTTTCTCGGACTAGGGTCCAATATCGCATTGCGATAGACCAGAATTGGCAACCTGGAGTTGGGGACGTGTGGTGTCGGATCGAGGAAATATTGCTCTGGCTCTATCGGCCCCATGTTCAAGAATATCAACGGTTTTGTTTGACCTATTTTTCCCCTCGGGGGATATCGTGCGGAGATACTAGATAGTCGTCTTATAGATGCAACCGTTTGATGTCTTCCCCGCACGGTGTCCTCGTAGTGTCATCATCGGGTACCTCGCCGGTTGGGGACAAGATGATAAAGCTCATTGGTGTGGGGAAGTCTGGATTCTCGAGCCAAAATTAGTTAGGACTGCCACGATTTTCCTTTTGGGGGAGATTCTAGGCTTTAGCCTGATAACGAGGTAGGGGCGATCTGTAAACATGATCGGAGGCGATCATTTCGATCTCGCAACATCCTCATGCAAGTTTGGCTATGATAGGAAATGTATCTGCAGACAGAAGCTCGCTTAAGTCCTGTTCCCTTGATCCACCATTTTATCCAATATTCCGAATAAGCTTCCATGCAGCTCAGCGTGATCGTCAATCAATGGCGAGCTTACGAAGGAAGCCATCGCTACACCCAGGCTGGCGGAGACAGCGCTTTCGAGATCAAACAGAAGAAAACTCTCTGGCAGACAACTTAGAACCGGTGTACCTCGAGATTGAAAGGGGATCCATGCCAAGTAGGCTTGGTCTTGTAGTGCACAAGGATGAACCAGGCGCGGGAATCGGGATATTATTCACAAAAATTGGGCATCAACCGGTACACCTCGAAGCACTCTTTGCGTGCTACTGACAAAGGTACAATTGCGTTCATTAGGCCAACGATGCCTTCCAGGAACACGGGTGGGGCCGGAGTTTTCTCAGTGGACAATCCAATTCACGATAATGATCCCCGCATTTCGTCTCGGACGGCAAGTTGGGCAAACAGAGCACGAGCTAGACGTTGCATTTAGAGCATAATCATCCATAGTTGAAATAGCAATGACTTTTGTTTGAATTCTTATAGAATCCGTTCTCATTTTCTTTGTAAAAAGAAAAAACATCATGTCGGCAGCCCTAACCGAATCATCGGGGAGTCCAACCGAATCCGCACGACCTTGACTCCCCGCACCTGCGCATTCCGGCACTCTCTCTTTCACATACCCCCAAAATAGCAGAATGGCTTTACACAACCAGTCAGTCGCGTTCGTCGGATGCGGTAAGCCTGATAATGACGCCCAACTCGAATTTATGCTAATGGCATTCAGGGAACATGGGCGGGGCAGTGCTGAAGGGGGTGTTGGATGCCGCATTCACAAACAACGACGCAGGAAAGTCTCAGCCTATATCCGACTTTATTGCAACCACGCGGTCAGAGGCCTCTGCCAAGAAACTGAAAGCGTCTATTGCGGCAAATTACCACTCGCGCGTTAAAGTTGTTCATGGACAGAATGTCCAGGTGATGCGGGAAGCAGACGTGGTGATCCTCGGGTTCAAGCCGTTCATGGCTCAAGATATTCTCAGTGGTCCGGGTATTAGGAGCGCTCTGGCCGGGAAACTGGTCATCAGTATGCTGGGCGGACAAACGACCGACAACTTGGCTGAATTCATTCGATCCGGGGATTCTGTTGACTACCCGGATCCTTTCCTGGTGAAAGCGATTCCGAACATGGGAGCGCCGTTCCGGCAGTCAATGACCATGATCGAAACGCCAAACGAGTCTCTGCCAAATTCGATGCTAGAGTTCGTGGAGTGGATCTTCAATCAAGTGGGCAAGATTTGGTATCTTCCTCGTGAGCTCACAGATGTCGGCTCGATGCTGACCGGTGCATCTCTCGCGGCGATGACCGTTCCGATTGAGGGACTGCTCGACGGAGCTGTGGCGGAGGGGATCAAGCGGCCAGAGGCTATGCAGATGATCCTGCAAGGGCTGAAAGGCTTGACTGCGGCGCTGGAATCGGGTATTCACCCTGCGGTTTTACGGGAGAGCATTTCTTCGCCGAGGGGATGTACAATTCAGGGTCTTTTGACACTTGAAAGAGCTGGGACACGCTCGGACTTTGCGGATGCATTGATCAATGGGACTCGCCATTTGAAAGAACCTAAGAAATAGAGGCAAACAAAGCGCACTGCAGATAGAACTATGTGATGAAAATAGACAAATTCCCACGATCTGAGCGGTCTTGAAATGTCCCTCGACTGATCCCAGGCATATGCACGGATTAATGGGCGCATATAATGAGAAGCTCCTAGAAATACTTCCTCCATGCGCGCGCGGCTATGCCACTTCCCGGCGTTGAAGCCGTCCAGAGAGATAAAAGTGGGTTTTACAGCGAGCATAGAAATGAGTATTGGAACGATAAAACCATACATCCAGTGTATGTATTTGAGTGGTGAGAATAGAAAATTGATATACGCCCACAATTGATAACTCATCCAAATAACTCCAGAATAGATAACTATGAATCCCGAACAAACGAGTGATTCATCATCCCCACATATCATTATCATCCTTGACCAGATCATCTTCAATCAACACGCGCAGACCATTCTCCTTCTCCTCCCGTTTTCGCTGCTTCTTGTTAACAGTCCGACCCGGCGTAAATGGAGTCACGGGAGTAAACGGCATGTATGGACTATACGGCGTTGGCATTCCTGTCATGGGACCATTGCGGTGCTTGGTTGGCCGGTCTAAGATGGTCGTCTTGGTGGCTGGTGCACTCTGCGGTGGATAGGCTTCGCGGAAGGGCAGGGAGGTGGATGAAGATGGTTTTGCGGCAGTGGCCAGGCTTAGTGGCGCGGGTGGTCGTGCACGATTCGAATATGGGTTCTGAAATTGAACCATCGCGGACCCTCGAGGGGCCTGGGGGGAGGACCGGGGTTGTAGATCCGCGGTGACAGCGGCGGCTGGTCCTGCATGTAGGAGAGTTTGGGCGAAGTCACCATCTCTGGCGAAGCGAGCGGAGATGATATTTGGGCTTTGCGAATATTGGATAGGCGCGGGGAGCGCAACTTGTTCGGCTCCCCGCCCGGTCGGGGGCTCGAGTTCGAGGCGAAGAGCTTAGACAGCCGAGAGGTCCTGGGCGACTTCAGCGGCGGCATTGAGTGGGTGTCAGGCACATACGCGGCACGGTCCGTGAACGGGTTGGAGTAGTTGCTGTCCGGCGACGAGTCTGGTTCCTTCAGAGAGACGTCGACACCGGTTGCCTTTTGTTCGTCGTATTCCATGACCGCGGCGTACAGCTTCTCCATCTCGTCCTGTGCTCGCTGTCGATCGGATGCCACCACCGATTCATCGACAGTCACGACACTGTTGTTGGCGGATGGGTGAGAGGCCTTGGCACCCTTCGCCAGGCTCCCCCACGACATGGTGAAGCCGGACTTGCTTGGGCTGGGAATGTTCTGCGACATGGGAGAGATGGGGCTGGGATCCATGCTGAGAGTTTGTTTGGCGGGCCTCAGCATCTCCATCTGCAGTGAATAGTTGGACGACTGGACAGTCTGACGCAACCGCCGTCCGACAAAGAGTAGAAGAGCGAGGAGGATGGCAACGAAGATCGCGTAGGCGGCGGCGATGCTGCCCAGCTGGATGGCGAGTAGCGGTTTGTCGAGAGTCGGGGCGTGGTCGATGAGCCCTCCTCGATCCGTCTTCACATCTGAGTCCCCGCGAATCGAGGGGAAATTAGCCGCCAGAACAACCAGTGACCAGCCGGTGACTAGGGCTGGAGTCATCGCCGGGATCTGGAAGTCGATGTACGACAGAGAGAGATGGAGAAACGGGGTGAGTTTTTAACCACAGAGTCAGGTTGGGCCGATCGACATGCCGAGAGACTCGAGGGTGCAAGCTGGAGGGATGCATGGTGGGAGGTGATGGTGATGGTTGATGTGATAGTCAAGTGTGATAACCCTAAGCCTGTCGTTGGTCCGAATTAACCGCCCGCTATGCACGAGCGTCACCCGCGAGAACCAGTCGGAGTGCAGAACAGGGATGCCGGTTTGGGATTAGTGTATAGATCAGTAATTCATTCATTCATTGGAATCCTATAGTTATAATACACCCTTCACGCGAATCTATTTCGAAAAGAGATCCCGCCAGAACTCCTTCATCCCGTAGTTGTTGGCCTGGTCCTCGTCGGCCACGGGCGAGGTCTGCCCCAGACTAAAGGAGCCCGCCGCACTCGACGAAACGGGTCGAGCGGGCAACGTCGAGCTAGTGGTTCGCTCGGTAGCCCGTCGTTTGATCTCCTCGGCCAACTGCGGTGCGATATCGGCGTAGCAAGATTTGAGCTCGCGCTCGAGGCTAGTATACGGTTTCTGTGCCGAGGGTGGTGCTTGGAGGTTATACGAGCGTGTGAGTTTATTCAAATTCTCCACAGCAAGCTCGTGGTAGGATCGTTCGATAGCGAGGTAATCGGGATCCCGAAGGGGCGGGAGATGGAAGATCTCGTTGGGGGATTCCCTGCCCATACTCGTTTCGCCGGCTTCGTCTGTGGAAACGGACGAACCATCCTGGTTGGGCTGGGCGGTCGCTTCAGTAACACCTTCCGACAGTGACTTCGCCAGCTTGGCTTGCTCTGCCAACCGAGCCTCGGCCGCAGCATATCCCATCGCCCGTCTCATCTGCGTCTCCAACGACCCGCCCTGGCTGGCAATCAACCGTGCCGCATGTCTCCGCCACTCACTGCGAAGGCGCTGCCGGAAGCGACTGAGTTCCATGGCAAGTTCCTGCTGCTTCTCGATCCACGGCGGTACGATCTCCTGTTTCTGGATGATCTTATTCATAAAGTATTCCGTCGTGTCAATAAATGCACTGTTCGCATTATGATCGGTCTCAGTATTGACACCCTTCCCGCGTTTGATTTTGCGGAACTGGCCGCGCGCAATTGCGTCTTCGATGCGCTCGTTGGCTAATGATGAGAGACCGTGGATCGAGATGGGCACAGAGTGCGCTCCCGGTGTTAATTTTTCTTTCATCTGTTCGCGCAGTGACTCTCGCTCTTCCTGCGAGAAGCCCGGCGCTTGGCTGAGTGTGTATGTGGAGGTGCGGTCTTTTGCATCTGCTAAGCGGCGGCCGGGAGTTCGCTTGGCTTTCGGGGCTGGTCGAAGGTTGACCGGTTGGGGGATCTTGTAGGGGGCTCGGATCGGTTTGCTTGCGTCATCGAGCATGCGCAGAGCGGAGTCGTGTAGACTTTCTGACCCTGTCCACGGAGTCGATCCAGCGATGTCGCGTGTACCTGAGCCGGCGCTCGTCTGTAGTCGAAACAAGTCAGTGACTGGTCCCTGGGGCAGCAACAACGCACATACCGGCATATCTAGAATCGAATGGGCAGCGGCATACTCGCTCTTGAATGAAGCGGCCGCCATCCGTTCTTCCAGCTGCTTCTTCAGCTCCTCCGAAAACCCCGCCTGCTCCATGTTGCGGCGCGCAGACCGACCTCCTTCCAGCACCGCATCTTCGGTCATTTGGGCCAGGCGCCGGGACATGGCGCTTTCTTCCTCTTGGTCTTTCGAAGGTGTTCCATTCTTCTCATCTTTTTTGACCGTGGGATCCTTGTCAGTCGTAGATGACGATGTTTGTCTCCGAGGATACGCGACAGAGAAACCTCGGACGGGGGCTCTGGCCGCACATTTCGATGCAGCGCGAACCTGCACAGCCGCAAAGTGCCTCCCACTCATTGCCAGCACCTACTGTAATGAAATATAGCTGTAACAGAGCGGTGAAATAGAAAAGTGTTCCAGTGAAACGCCGATGAACAGGGAAGTGTCGATGCTTATGTCAGCCACTTCCGCGGAGCCAAATCTTCGTCTGTCCCTGACCTTTGAACAACACTCTCTCGCATCCCTCTCACCCGCCAACATGCCTCCCAAGAACGTGTCAACCCGCCTCAATCCCATCCGTCTACAGACAATCAACCACCTCCGCGTTCGCCGGCCAAACCAGCAGGAACAGAACCCATGCGTGACCGTCATGTCCTCGATGCTGAGTATGTGAAGCCCTGCTCTAGATGAGCTGCACTTCCATCATAGTCCACGCTGGCTGGGCTTGGACATTGCAATGTTAAAATTGGAGTGAATGAGATTGCTAACTCCCGCCGCTCACGAACAGATTGTTGGGCTTCCCAGGGATATAGTGCCGAGGGCTGCGCTGCGCTGGAGACGCAATTACGGAAATGCATGGATCAGCCGGTACGTTTTGAACAGTCGCTTATATCTCCCTTTACTATCTGGAGTGATTTGTGCTAACAATCCCCCTTCTTGATAGAAATCCTCCGAAAAGAAGAAGAATACCGTCAACTACCACCTCATGAGAATGTACCCCAAGGTCGTGGGTCCGCGGAAGAAGGACGGTGTTCTGGGTTGAGAAACATGTTTATTTGTGCGCATTTTTACTTCGCTCTGGACTGCTGTGAAGGGGTTCAGGGATAGAATTTATTCATCTGGGAGTTTGAGGGAGTCTTTTGACGGAATATCCTCTGAGCGGCCGAGTCGGTCTGACGAACTCGCTGTTGTTTTATGAAAATAAGGAGTTGGCTCATTGTGCATCTCTGTACAGTATACACCATGTGAGATATGGATACTTTCTTTGATTTATGCCGTCTTGACTACATGTCATGAACGAGTCTTGGTATACCGTCCCGTCTACTGGGATGGGCTGCAATAAATCCATTCCCAATTATCCTTTCCGTTCAAACGGGGTGGAACTTCAAGATCAATTTATCCGAGCTTGGCTTGACGGTATACGCATCATTCGCCTCCACATTCTCGTCGTCGACAATAGTCGTGCGGAAGTTGGTGTAGATAGCCGCAGCTACCAATTTCATCTCTACGGGCCATCAGTCAGTACAATCCTGAGAAACATATGGTCAAGCAACATACCTTGCAGCGCAAGATTACTCCCCACACACATCCGCCCACCACTGCCGAACGCCCAGAACCACCGGCGTCTCTCCTCGAGATCCTCATACGAATTCTCCTCCTTCAACCATCGTCTAGGCTGCCAGCTCTCGGGGTCTGGGAAAACCTCCGGGTTGCGGTGTAAAGAATAGGCTTGGGCATTGACCCTCGTGCCGGCGGGGATATCACTGTACCCGGCCAAGGTACAGGATGGAGACGGAGTGACTCGTGGCTGGATACCGGGGATCGGTGCGTGCAGTCGCAATGTCTCGGTGATGATTGCTTCCAATAGAGGCAGGCTATCAATTGATTTCGCTGATGGCAGTTCCGAGACCCGCGGATATGTAATCGGAGGATCTAGGGTCAAAAGTTCTTCGCGGAGCTTGGTCTGGGTCTCTGGGTGCTTGGATAGCTGCCAGAGTAGGAATGTGAGACCGACGGCGCTGGTTTCATAGCCCGCAGTGAGCTGGTCATACATTTCACACGCGATATCGAGTCTTTCCTGTGCCGGGTCAGGCTTCGGACCTCGATCTTTTAAGGAGTGTTTGTCCAGACTTTGCTTCAGCTGCTTGTAGACAATGGGCTCGACACCTGGCTCCGTGGAAGACATTGCCTGCTCAGCCCTGTCGCAAAGGTCCAGAGCCCAGTTATCCAGCATTTCATTGGCATCGTCACAATACTTCGGGATCACACGGAGACCGATACACTTCATCCAGCCGTTCAGGTCGGGCATTTCTTGGTGATAAAACTCGTACGGCTTGCGACACAGGTATAGGTGGAGCCAGTGTTTACGATAGGAGTGGTTTTGGAGGTGGTTGGTTCCATTTTGCAGACCGAACAAGTAGGAAGACACAAAGTCCATGGTCAATCCTTGGTTCATATCGTGCACGTCAATGGGGCTGTCCGATGATGCTGTTTCATGGAGAAGTGGCAGTAGACGGTCAAAGACGACCGCATTCGAAGCCATGCGCAGATGAGGCGAGGACTGCAAGGTGGATTTGGAATATATGTTGGATAGCATTCTCTTCCGGACGGAATGGGTCTTGCTTCCAGTCATGGTGAACATGCTCACCGTCCTGGACAGGGTTAGGTCCAGCTGCATTCCATGGGGAAAGATCTTACCCGAAGGACCCGAACACACGCGGATACCATTCATGCTTCTCGAATCCACCGGTGTACACCGACTTGATCCCTCCATCGACACAGTTGATCGATATCTCCGCTGGTCCGAGCCTGACAATCGGACCCAGCTGTTCATGCGCCGCCTGGATGGTGCGGTTGTTTTGCATCCGGAAGCGTCTCCAGAGCATCCAAACTGGCGATATAGGAACGCTCCAGTGCGCATTAGGGATCTTGGCCAGTGGTGACACAAATGCCGGGTAGATGATCGCTTTGTACACGACCAGAGCGGCGACGACCCCCGCCGCCAGTGTGGAGAGTGAGAACGCCATCTTGAGTAGGACGTGTCAGTGACAGTTTGGTCAAGCTCCTGGCTTTATAGGCGTGAGATGTCGCGGTTTAGGTAATTGACTCTCACACCCCGCTTGGTCGTTCGTTCTGATATCCGAGGATAAGAAGACTGGATCTCCTCGACCTGCCATCTTGGGTACAGTTCAGACTTGAAATGCGATAAGATAAGATATGCGATAAGCAATGACATAATGTTTGTCCATCGCCTGCTCTTTCGCACACAGACACCTACACACACTCCCTCTTGACTCGAGCTATGGAGCAGCGGCGATAGAGGGAGCCAGTGCTTTATTCTATAGATATAGGCTACCGTGAGTCTGTCCAGAAGTGATGCGGCAAGTCCACTAATCCACTCAGCCTTCATCTATTCACCGGTCATGCTCGCCGACCTGCCCTCTGAGATCATTTACCACATCGCCCTCTATCTCCCGACCGCGAATGCATTGACCCACCTCGCTCAGACCTGTCATCGACTGCACGGAATCATCACCGCAGAAGACTCACGGATCTTTCGTGCCTTTGTGCAAAGCAGATTTCCAGCCATCCAAACGCCACCATTCTGGAAAGACGCCGCGCGTGCTTTGACTTCACGATCGCGGGCCCTTGACCGTCATTCCGTCATTGCGCGGTTTCTTCTCCCGCCACCAGATGCCATCAAGATCGGTGCCCACCAGGCCACTCGGCGCGATAATCCGACGCTCGGATACCGACCTGCGATCGACTCCTACGAGGTGTGGAATGGCGAGCGCTGGGCGGATAGGAAGGAGGTCGTGGCATGGGGGGCTGCAGATGAGCTAGTGGTGCGCGTCGGAAAGAAATGGTTCGTGTTGAATGACCTGGACCATGTCAGCAGCTGGGATGATATCTGTGGCGTGCATCTTCTGGGTCCGGATTCCTTGGACAGGGAACATTTGATCTTTGCTCGCAGGCGGGGAGATATTGTCCGTTCGGCTATTTCCCAAGCTGATGGTGCCCACGAGTATCAACAGACATTTCTGGCATATGGCCGGGAAGTGGATCGCACGGATGTAAGCGATGGCATTCTGGCTGCTCATTGCGATAACAACGCCCTTGCTTTTTACCACACCACCACGGGCGAGGAACATGTCGAGCCATTTGCCTGGCTCCGTCTGGGATCGGGACACCAAGCGCGCATTCAGTATTCGAAACTGCTGTCGCCGTCACTGGCCGCAATGGGATCTGGCGAGATTGATGATTCTTTGTGCATCGCCACCATTTCCGCAGATTCCGTCCGGCCCTGTCGTGAAATCAAAGTCCGATCAATGGACCTCGAGGGCCGTCTCAACCCCGAAACAGTAGCGCATCTCAGTGCCATTTCTCCTCTTCACACCCACGCCTCGCCCGGCGAAGTGTTTCTGGCAACGTGGGGTGATCGCGCCATTCGGTATATTTCCTTTCTATGCAGCATTATTAGTAGTAGCTTACTCGTTTGGCAGCCTCCACGACCTGCGCTCTCCACATGCCTACGAGGCAACCTACCGAGACAATACAGACACCAACCCTATATATAGCGTCCAGGTCTTTGGCCACGACCGCTTCCTCGCCGGAGCAGGCGGTGATGCCGTTTTGAAGATATTCGACCTGCGAATGCAAAGCACATACAGCTACCTCGATGCACAGCCTCCCCCATCACATCGGAAAGTAGCGACCAACGGAGTCCACGCCCGCAAGGCCCCTCGCAAGGATCTCTCTCTCTTTCTGTCTTACCAGCCCCCTCCCCCGACCACAACACTCCAACACAATCACGTTCGTGCCCACCGAAGAGGTCCCTATCGCGGCCCTATCTACGCCATGTCCTCACCCTCTCCTTCTTCGCATACCGTGTACACGGGCGTCGGGGACGGGGTGCTCCGATTGGACTTTGCGTCTACGGATGACTTATTCGGCTCTTCAAAGGAGTGGTACTGTCATGATATTGGGCTAGAGCTCGACATGGATTTTTCGGCCGTTAAAGGCGCTTCTCAGACCGCACCAGGGCAGGTCCTCAATCTGTCTGGATACGAACGCCCCGAGCCAGACGATCTAACCACTACCTCCAAATTGAGGACACAGCAGACGTTTCGGTCCATTGGTCCTGAAAACGTGCAAAATGAGATGAACACGGGTTGGGACCGGAGATGGGAGCCATTGGCTCCAAACGGGGCCTGGAGACGGCGGGATGGTGTATAGGATACATGTGTAGATGTTTATATACTTATTAGACAAAAATATAGAGCTATACCATTATCACACAACTCTCCATCAAACCTATCACCTTTAGGAAACATTCCGAAGAATCGTTTACGCAGTTGCAAGACCCGCTCACTTCCAGCACCCAAGCACTCACAGCAACCAGGTGTCGACCAGAATCTTCCGTTCTGCAGACCGTTGAGGCAATGTGCAAACGTCGCATTTGCAAGTTTGTTTTGGCAACTGAGATTCTTGGGGAAGCATGCCGGAAGATGATGCTAGCTGCTTATATATATTTAGGAGAATACAAATACATTCCTCTTAACTATGGCGAGGATCTTTGGCGAAGTCGAAAGGTAGCTAACTATGATAAGCACCTTCTTTCTAATCTACTAATTAAGGTAGTAGGTAGGTTGGTATTCAAGCTAGGATACCTTAGGATAACCAGGGCAGAACATATCTGGTGGCTTAGCTTTGGCTGCATTTGGAAGTATCTCCCAGTGCACGTTCTGAAGCCGTGGGATTGAGACTTCCGCTCTACATATTGCGGTATACGCAATTTTGTATAGATCGAAGTAATTTGACGAAACTACTGCCGAAGACAAGGACGTAAAATTCGTCTCAAGGATAGTAAACTTTTGGTACGCTAAGACATTCGAGCGAAAAATCCATAAGCAAAAAAGGAAAGAAGAGTCTGTGCTCCACAGCTCCGTGTGCGCCATGCTGGGTAAGGTAAATGTGTTAGAAAGGAGAGATCCAAAGTGTAGTGGTGTTTCAAGCGTTGGGAGTATGAATGGCAGCAAAAGAGGTAATTCAAACCAGGCCGTCTACCTTCTCCCAAGCCTGTTTATCCCAATGTGAACGGGCGCCCATCTAATCATCAAACTTGAAGGATTTGCCTCCGGATATATCGATAGGGCCACCACGGTAGGACCCGCGCTTCTTCTTATTCTTCTCCTTGGTGAAGCCCTTGCCACGAGTCACGGACAAATCATTGAAGGCACGGTCCGCATAGGCGTACGAGATATAGTCGTTCGAAGGGTGGTCGTGGGGCAGGGCACTCAGTGCAGCGAGAGGGGTGGGACGGGCGCCAGTGTGCTTCTTCTTCGCAAAGCCGCTTCCAGGAGCTGGGCTGGCGTTCGAAGAGGACGAAGAGAACTGAGCGGCCCTGGAGGGGTGCACATGGTTGTCTGGCGACGCCCCAAGAGTGGCACTGGTGTCGGACTCGTTGGGCACAAGGGACACACCGCCGGTCTTCTCGTTGGCGGATTTGTAATCGCTATCATCGGAATCGCTGCTGCTGCTGCTGCCGGACTCAGGAAGTGGGGTCTTCGTGGCTTGTTTCAAAGTCTTGGAGTTGGCTTTCTTGGTAGCCTTATCGGACTCCGATAGCGATGAATCAGACGAGGAATCAGAATCAGAGCTGGAGGATGAGTCGCTGTCCGAGCTGCTGGATGAGGAAGAGGACGAAGACGAAGACGAGGAAGAAGACGAGGAAGAAGACGAGGACGAAGACGAAGATACTTTCTTGGCAGGGATCTTGGCCTTCTTGGTCTTGGGGCTGTCGTCTTCCGAGCTGGAGTCCGTACTCGACTCGGCCTTCCGCTTCACGCCAGCCGCCTTCTTCGGGGTAGGAGCCGGAGCAGGGGCCGCCGGCTCTTCTTTCTCATCGTCAGCATCACTGTCGGAGCTGGACGAGCTGGACGAGCTGGACGAGCTAGAAGACGAAGGGGATGATGAGCGAGTGGGCTTGGGCTTGGGAGCATCTTTCATATCGACGTCCGAGTCCGAGTCGCTGCTATCACTCGAACTGCTGGAGCTGCCGCTGTCCGAGTCACTGGAGGAGCTGGACGAACTGCTGCTGGAGGACTTCGTGGTGGTCGCGGGAGAATCCTTCTTGTTGGTATTGTTCTCCCAGCACTCGAAAATCTCTAGCAGCGACGGGGCCTTCAGCAAGTCGGGCTTGTTCTGCTTGCCGAGTTCCTTGAGGAATGCTTCACTAGCACCGGAATAGCCATTGTTGGACAGAAAAGCAGCAACCGCAGCAGCCAGCTGAGGAGGAATCGCCTTTGACTTCTTGGGGGTGGCCTGCAGGAGACGGACATCATCAGTTGAAAGTTCCACTGCAGATCATGGCATGTTGAAAAATGCGGGCTGCATACCTTCTTGACCGTTTTCTTGGGGGCTGGGATTGCGCCCATGCTGTCGAATGGATGGGGAGGGTTGTCTCTCTGATATGTCAGGAAGACAGGTATGAGGTGATTGGAGAATGAGAGAGCAAGAGGAGGGTGACTGTTGTTTTGTGTTGGAGGACCGAGTGCCAGGAACAAAAAAAAAAAAAAAGCCAGTATAGCCAAGGCGGTGGGAGTGAAATCAACCATGATTGGCTTGGTTAAAAATGGTTTAGCGTGATGAACAAGATGGCACGTGATGATCATTGTGTACAAGAGGACGATTCGAATACATAACAAGGACATCGTTCATGGGACTGTTTTTGCAACGGACCAAAGCAACGATAATAATCCTTGACATTGAGCAAATTGAATCAAATATTGTCTGCTCGGTCTGAAGGGATGTAGGTGGGATGATGGACGAGAATCATCTGCCGCCCCAAGGACACTCCGCCCTTGACCCCCCAAAACAACGGGAATGAGCTAATCCTCTGCTCTGCTTCCCCCAGCGGCCGCCTCTCTCTTTCGTCACACACCCCAACCACCTGCGGGCCCAGTCTCTTTCTCCGCTGCCATGAATGGTCGCGACCGCAGTCGTGGTGTGACGTCTAGTCATGCCTCGGACGGTCGCAATGGCTCCGCCGATGCCTCCATGTCACGGGCTGAGAAGTTCGAGGACGAGAAGAAGCGCATTGTCCAGAGCTGCTACTCCAAGAAGGATAGTGATGGCACTTGTACGAGCAACCCTTCCCCCCGACTAGACTGATCCCTGTGCTTTACGCGAAAGGGGATGGATGGCGACACATGGCACGGAGATGTGCAGCTAGCTCCCTTGAAACCAGCCAAGCTCCGGCCCGTCCACGTTCACCCCGAGCCACTGAAGATGGACCTGCTAATACGATTTCCCTCTTCTAGTGGTCGAATCCTATATCACCCACGTCCGAATCACCGAGGATTCCCAGTATCCCTCTGCCCCTGCCCCTCCGAGCTCGGCTACCGAGAACAAGAAAGCACGGGTCATCATAGTCTCGGTACGGAGATCGGGCAGAGTGCGCATGCACAAAGCCCGCGAAAACAATGACGGAACGTTCTCCATCGGCAAAACATGGATGCTCGATGACCTCTCCTCAATTCAATCCTACAACGCCTTGATCCCGAAAACCCCGACCGAAGCTCAGCACAAGGAGTGGGCATCAAATGTTGGGTTCGTGGTGACGGTGGGAAAACCATATTACTGGCATGCCCGGAGTTCCAAGGAGAAGGAGTTTTTCATTGGCAGTTTGGTCAAAATCTATAAGAAATACACCGGTGGCAAGGTTCCGAATCTCATTGGATTTGACGACAGGGAACGACAACTGCTCGCAGGAGGTGCGCCGTCAGCGCCATCGGCGCCACCAGTTCCGCCAGGATCAAGGGGTGGTGATGGATCCGCGCCTCCGCTATCCAAGTCTGCCCTTATGAGCCGTGATGTCAGTCGCGATTTGACTCGTGTTCCAAGTCGTGATGCGAGTCGCGATGGAAGTCGTGCCTCGAGTCGTGATGGTTCCCGAGAAGTTAGCCGCAAAGTATCTCAAGATCCAACTCTCCGAGTGCAACGAAGCCGTGACCAGCTCTCCCAACCATCGACCAGCCAAGGCAACCTTTCTATCTCTGAGTCAACTTCAATCCCGCCATCTACTATTGTATCGGGTCAAAGGGATCTACCGCCGTCTCGTGGCAATGATGTTCCCGCAGTTGTTGTCCCTGCCTTGTCAGCGGAGTCAATAAGCAAAGAGTCAACGTCTCCTGCTGCCGCCGAAGAAAAACGCCCATCTACCTCGTCACGAGCCGAAGAGCCCGTCCAGATGCCGCAACCGTCTACTTTCCAAACAACCCAAGCTGTCGGATCTACCACGCCAGGGGCCAGACACGATAATCTTCGACCAAGCGTCGGTCCCGCACCCGGTCCCCTTCCCACTCCCACTATGGTCCAACAGACATCCTCTCAGAGTCGGGATACGTCAGATACCACCGACATTGGATCAAGAGAGCCCTCTAAATCAGCCATACCCGATGCACGTTATTCTCTTGCACAAGTTTCAGATCCCGCCGTGGCAGCAGCTTTCCTGGCTGCTGGATCGCCTGTGGAAGCACGCAAACGTCCAGTTGAATTGTCGGCTGGCTCTCCTGCAACCGCGGCTACTCCAGCTGCACCTGCTCCGGCTTCTCCCTCGGCAGTTACTCCAGCTGCGCCCGCTCCGGCTTCTCCCCCTCCTGTCACTCCAGCTGCACCTGCTCCAGCTTCTCCATCTACAATAGCGCCGTCTATAAAATCTCCTACTTTGACAACGCCCACTTCAGCAACGGCACCTCCAGAATCGCCTGTCGAGGATGTTCCCGAAGCACACCGCCCCGGCCTGGGGCCGATGGTGAAAAAGAAGTCTGCGAAAGATATCGCCGGCGCTTTCCGAAAGGCTGCTAACGCCTATGGTGCTTTCAAGCCAAGACCTGGTGGGGCTGGTGAACGACTGCTGGCAGCCGCAAAGAAGCCACAGGAACCCGAAGCCGCCGAGCCAGATGGCATTACCGGCGTTGTCCCCGCTCCGTCATTGACTCGGTCCGGCACCGAGCCAAAGAGCCCGGTTGCTGAAACAGCAGACAGAGAGCTGTCTGCCCCAGACAAAGATGCAACTCCCATCGTCGAGGTTACCCAGCCTGCATTAGGGGAGACTGCGGTGGCTGCTGCGGTGGTCGCCGAAGAATCCAGAGATACCTTCCCAGGTACTGTCAGGGTTATCACGGACGACCGTTCCAGAACGCCATCGCCGTCAGGTCAGGGACGTCGCCGAAGACGCCAAGACAACACGCTCAAGTACTGCCAAGCCCTTGGAATTGAAATCGGCATTCTTGATGGGCGCGCCATTGATTTCGATGATATTCTCTCCGAGCTTGGCTGGAACGGGCGATTATCTGATGAAAAGAGGATCGAGGATCTCGAAGCAGATGTTCGTCGCGAAGTTGGCCGTGTTGAGGCCGTCAGCTGGCTAGGAAATCTTGAACAGCAAGATGGAAAAGTGGAGCAACTTGCCAAGTTAATTGACAAGACGGTCGAGGAGTGCGAAGAGCTGGATGGTCTGTTGACATTGTACTCGCACGAATTGAACGTAAGTGATGACTTATCGAAATATCTACCCTTGCTAACCCTAACCAGACTCTTCATGACGATGTGGCATATATCGAGGCGCAGGGTCAAGGTTTGCAAGTGCAAACAGCCAACCAGAAGCTACTCCAGAACGAGCTACAGAATCTTTTGAAGACGCTCTCCATCTCCGGTAATGAATTGCGGCCACTGAAAGAAGCTTCGCTGAGCAATCTTGACGGGTTGAGGGAGACGGAAGGTGCACTTGCGATTCTGTACAAGGCGATGGTCATGATCGATTCCGATATTGGGCAAAACAAAAAGCGCTTGGTCGACAGTGCGGGCGACCGTGGCGGCGTCGGGGTCTATGCTAATACGGATATCGGTCAGATGCGTGCAATCAAGGAGAAGAAGGAAGAATACCGCTCTGCGGCCTCAATGTTCCTCGGGCGATTCAAGCAATTCATGAGTCTGGCTTTCAAGATGGCGGAACAGAAACGAGCAGACGCTCTGGCACATGCGTCCAAAGACCCCCTGAAGCTTAACAGCTCGGCGCGGGGGCACTTCCGTCGGGAAGTTTGGATGTATCATACCCTTATGCTTTTCGCCAGAGAAATCAGTATGCCGGAATGGCAAGGCTTGGTCGGACTCTACGAACAGCAGTCCAAGCCATCTTACCAGAATGAGTTCCGAGAGAATAACCTGGCCTGGAAGAAGTCGGCTCGCAAACCGACGCTTGACGAGCAGGAACTGCTCTTTACCCACCAAGAGAAGGAGAAGGAAGGTGAGGGTATCACCATGGCCGCACGTAAGCTGACCGTGCGACGCGGCAAAACTGTTCGAGCCGCGACCGGCCTCCGTCTGTCTTCCAACGACAAAAAACGTGGAGGCAAAATTGAGCCGTGTGAGGCGTTTGCCGGCACGCTGCGGGAGACGCTGAACATGATTGCCGAGGAACAGGACTTTGCCGTGCAATTCTTCCATCTCGATTCTCTCGCCACCGCTGATTTCACTGATCTGGTTGCTTCTACAACCCCGGATGCCCGTGAATGTCCGGACTTCTCTAAAAGACATCCGCACGATCCAGACAGGGCGATGTCGAAGCGAGTCGAGCACATCATGGATGAGATTTACTCATTCTGGCCGACCGACATGCAGAACCTCATTGATTGGGCTGTCCACGACGATCCTATGTATGTCTTCCGATTCGTCCTCTTCCCACAATCACTGACCTTTTTTTTTCCATAGGCAAGGAATTGGCATCCTGTTTGGTCTGGAGTCTGCCATGACTGATTTGGATGACACTAATCAAGAGTTCATCCTCCACGCTCTCCAAAAGCTTCACTCCCGTTTAATGGGACTCTTCAATCGCTTCGTGGACGAGCAGATCCGGGGCATCGAGGACACCAAGGTGAAGATCAACAAGCGCAAGGGCGTGATTTCCTTCATGCGGGTCTTCCCCCATTTCTCCACCGCGATTGAGAATATGCTGAATCACCCATCCGGCGAGTTCTGTGACGTCCGGATCAGCGTCAACGATGCCTATGACCGCATCAATCGTGCCATGTGGGAGTCTCTCAAGTTCATTGCCAAGGAAGCGCCCGGACAAGTCGCCGGAGTGTCCGCCGCGGCTGGCGACCCAGAGGACAAGGAGGCCCTGAACTACCACATTCTCCTCATCGAGAACATGAACCATTACGCGGAAGAGGTGCTCGTGCACAACCTGCCCGTGCTCGAACGCTGGGTCGAGCGGGCCATCCGGGACTACGAAGAGCACATGAAGCTCTACCTCGACGCCGTGATCCACCGCCCGCTAGGTAAGCTCCTCGACTTCCTCCGGTCCGTGGAGGGCCTCCAGGAAGCGAACAACAATGCCGACATTGCCGCTCGCTCCAGCCACTCCCGCGCGGTCGCGAAGAAGGTTCTCTCGTCCTACGACTCTAAGGAAATCCGGCGGGGCATCGAGCTGCTCAAGAAGCGCGTCGAGAAGCATTTCGGCGATGCCGACGACCCAGGACTCAGCCGCAGCCTGGTACTCAAGGTACTGCGGGCATGCGAGGCCCGGTACGAGGATGCGTACGATCGCACCAAGCGCATCATCGACAGCGTGTACGAAGGACAGCTGGAGCTGGAGTGGCGCAAAGAGGAGCTGCAGACGATGTTCCGGAAGTAGTGTTTTCTTTTCTTCTCTTTTTTGTTCCTTGGATCTGTATGCTCTGTTCTGCCGCATGGGTTGGGTGGTTCATCAGGAGGCGCATTGGGGTTTCGCATGTCTGTCTACCTATACGCATATATCCATGATCATTGTTGTAGTCTAATTTACGTACTCCGTGTTTGAAATCAATAATTACATAGTAACTCGATTCACGGACCCTCCATTGGCGAACCGGGCTGAAGGGCCCACTGGTTCGAGGCCATCGAGTTCGTCGGCCGTTCAGGGGCAGCTGCTGGTCTGTGCTGGGCGACTCGAACCGTTGACAAGGTAATAGATACATGGAGGTATCATCTGGAAGACGACCTACTACTATCGTTAATGCGCCAGCCAGCAGTTGCGGTAGCTATCCTCCCACTGAAACGCGCCGCCTTGCCAATCCAACCAGCGACTCCCTTTTTTTGGGAGGCACGGGTTGCGTGCGTGTGGGGAAAGAAACGAGCCGGATCGTGATTTTCTTTCTCTCTTTCTTCTTCTTCTCTTTCTCGACTACCTAATCTCGTCGCCTGCGCGGCTTTCTCTCTATCTCTCTCTCTCATTGAATTCTCTTTTTATTGTCTTTTTTCTTTCTCCTCGTCCCTCCCGGATCCCTCTCTTTTTCAACTATACGGTGAGTGCCGCACAACCCTTGGTCTCCACTGCGATCTCGTCTCCACCGAATGTTCCCAAGGGGCTGCGACGACTCGATTCCACGGAGCGCACGATTGGAATTGGTGCTGCGCCTTCCATCACCGTCGTGCTCTTGGTCCCGTCACTGCTCTGTCTCAACCGCTTCGGCGCCGGGAATTTTGGCCCCCCTGGAGTCCTTGAGATTGTGTGCTTCTTCTGTGCGCCTCGCCTCCTAACCATGTATCTTTAGATCTGGCCGGACGCACATTCTTCTTCTTTTTTACAGACGGCGCCCCGGATCCAACGAGCCAAATTCCTCCGCCACTGCATGTCGCGTTCCATTGACACCCCACGAACATTCCTCGCATCTCCTCCCCGCGTCTCCCTTGCCTCGAATCTCGCGATTGGATCCTCCCACAGCATTTGCGGGGAATTGGCCCGTTTCGAGTCCGTTTTCTGGAAGTTCTAGAAAGACACCCTCGCAGCCATGCCCTGGCGGCCGCTGCCTCGCATTGCCTTTGCGGTGGCCATATACCCCTTCCATCCGTCGTCCCCAGACGATCTCCCCCTGGAACTCGGAGATGAATTGTATATTATTGAGCAAGGCGGTGCAGATGGCGAGTGGTGTCGCGGCTACCTCGTGGCTCCGCCCTCGCTGCTGGCCGGTTTGACGAGCACCAAGGGCCAGACACTGGAAGCCCGTGTGTTTTCCGGCATTTTCCCGCGTAACTGTGTGGAGATCCGAGAAGTGCTCGGTGACGGAGCGGAGGGCTACAAGGGCGTCAACGGTGACCGGAAGAGTATCGATGGACTGACCTTGCCGGGCGGAGACGCCGACATCGTGTCCCGGAGCAGTGCGGCGTACTCGCTGAATGAGTCGCAGGCTGGCGTCGAGGTGTCGGACGTGGTGGTCGCGAAAAAGGGCAAACCGGCGCAAATCGTCATCCACAAAATGGAGGAGCCAGATCTGGCAAGTCCACGATCCATTCGAACTTTCAAGACCGGCTCGGTCCCGCCTACCCCGTTTACCCCATTTACCTTTGCTCCTCGCGACCCGAGTGCGCCGAAGCCTGCTGCCCCGGTGCCCATGCTCAAGATTGGTGACGAAACCCCGACCTCACTCACGGAGCCTCTGGTAGATGAAATCGCGTCCTGTCTGCGCGAATGGCACTCGACCAATCTGCACGAGCTGCTTCTGGCTCGTCAATACGATGTGTTGGAGGAAATGACGACCATTGTACAGGAATTGGATTTGGCACGGCGACAAATGCTGCATAACGTCCTGACCGGCCAGGAGAAAAAAGCCCTGCGTGATGAAACCGTTTGGAAATTGGTCAAAGCCAACAAGATGCTCTCGAAAGATGTGATTGTTCGGGACCCAGAAGAGAGAGGCCGTCTTCTGACTGGCGACGATTCCGCCATTCAACTGGCAAAGCTGCAGTCGGAGATGAGCATGCTCGAGAGTCAGCCCATCCAGAATTCGGATGCTACGGCTCTGCACCATCTGCTGCTTGAAATCAATGCGGTCTCTGGCAACGCCCCGGGCCCTGTGACTATCGCTTTACAGCTCTATTCTCGGACGGACTCCGGTCCGCTGAGCCCGTTGTCAGAAGCTTATACATTGGACATTCCGTCCCCTGACAAGTTTATCAGTATGACCCAGAGCAACAAGTTGAAGACCCTCTTCACGGAACTGGCCTCGACAGATATCGGGGATGGATCGACTAATGGACCGCAGCTGTATCTGGTGGTTTCTGTGCGCGCCCAGGAGTCGCGTCCAGTCGCTGGTGCCGTTCCCCAGCCTCGCACCTCCACATCGAAAGAGGCCCAGGCCGCCCCAAAGGGAGCCAATTCTGGAAATGTCCAGCCTTCAGCCAAGGGAAGCTTGAGGACACGGCGCAGCATGATGTGGACTCCCAAATCTCGTGGCGGGCCCGGCCTGGATCAGCCACTGCAGCCGCAACAACAACAGCCCAGACCCAGTACCCAGACAGCCCCCCCTCAATCGAGCAGTTCTTCCACTACAAAGGAACAAAATGCCACCCAGTCCAATCCGTCCAAGGAGACTGCCACGATCCGCACGGTCGGTGTTGGCATTTTGGAAGTATCGCCAATTCTCAAACAAGACAAGGATACGGAGCAGGTGGTCAATATTTGGTCCCCGCCTCGAGAGGGTGATGAAAGTGAAGGCCTCACCGAAGGGTTCGACAACTTGATCCGCACCCTGCTCCCCAGTCCCACGGGCCGGTATATGCGTTCAGACCCAGCTGCTCGTCTACATCTCCATCTGCATCCTTTCGCCAGCAGCGATTTGGATACACTCGTCCGCGAAAATCCCACAATCTTGCACGATGTCGTGCAGACTCCACGCATTGGATTCTCTAAAGCGCCCTCGCGCCCAAGATCCGATATTTACGTGACAATCTCCCAGGCCGTGTTCCCCACAGACGCCCTCTTGTCGCATCCCTCAGTTGGTCAAATCCCTCTGCAGCTGCTCACTGGGCTCCATAATCTTCAACTCACGCTCGAAGTGCGCAATGCATCCGGGGCGCGTGTCGAACGATGCATTTTCCCATCATCTTCCACCACTTCACATACCGCCTGGCGCACTACGATCGCTGAACGGGGCTCACCATGGAACCAAACAATCCGTCTCAATGTCCCCACGGAGCAGATTCCTGGCTCTCACATGGTCATGAGCGTCGCTGATGCTCCGGAGTTCCCCTTTGCTCTTGCTTGGATGCCTCTTTGGGACCAGCAGGCTTTCATGCGGGATGGTCGTCATTCTCTTCTTCTGCATGCCTATGATAAGCAAACCTCGAGCATCGAGAATGGCAAGGGTGCCTATCTGAATCTCCCATGGAGTGCGCTTGGCAAGAACGAGTCTGCCAAGGACGAGGCGGTTACGGGACCATTGGCCACCCTCTGTCTTGAAACTCACTTGTGCAGCACGGAATACTCCCAAGACCAGGCCATTCTGGGTCTGTTGAACTGGAAAGAACGGCCAGTGGAAGAAGTACTTGATACCCTGAAGAGGTTGCTCTTCGTGCCCGAGATCGAAATTGTCAAACAACTCAGGGGCGTATTCGACGCACTGTTTGGGATCCTGGTCGAGAATGCCGGTAATGAGGAGTATGAAGACCTGATTTTCAACGACGTGGTCACTGTCCTGGGTATTGTTCATGATCGACGTTTCAATCTGGGCCCCCTGGTCGACCACTACGCTGACGATCAATTTAACTTTCCTTTCGTCACACCGTGCCTCATTCGGAGCTATCTGCGTCTTCTGGGCTCGACAGATGATGCCCGGCAATCCCGCAATCTTCGTGCTGCCTTCAAGGTTGGCCGTCACCTGCTGAAATTCATCATCAACGCTCGTGGGCAGCAAAAGCTCAAGGAAGAAGGCATTGGTATTACTACAGTCCAGTCCACCTTTAACAGGGATCTGCACACAATCTTCAAGTCTCTTGAGTCTTTGATGAAAAACCCCTCTCCAGCCCTGGTGGGGAGCAAGACACTGGTGGTCCAGCATTTCCACACCTGGCTTCCCGAGCTCTCAAAAGTCTTTGAACGTGATGAGATGATTATGATTGCCCTCAGCTTCATGGATTCATGCAAAGATGTGACGGGCATGCTTGTTCTTTACAAGCTGGTGCTCATCCAAAACTACACTCAGTTCGAGATCTTTGCCTCGGGAGAGGAACGACAGACCCTGATCTCCAGCTGTGTGGGCTGGCTGGCACCGTACTGGGGTTCAACGGGAAGTGTCTCTGATCTGTACCGCGACCAAGTCCGACTGAGCAGTGCCATCGTCGCTCGCTTGCTCAGCCAACCCGATCCTCAACTGTACGACTTCATGCCAAGCATCGTGGCCTCATACTGCGCTATCGCGACGGAGGGCGTGGATGAAACTGAGTACCTCTCCTTGCTGTTCAGCAAGTCTTTCCCTTTCCAAGTGAAAACTTCTCAGACTCCCCAGAGCTTTGACGAGTCCCTCGTCGAGCTGTCTGCGCTCATGGCTGCCCTGGCCAAGATCGTGAACCCGAAGACTCCTTCTCTCCAGGAATTGGAGCTCGCAACCTTCATCGCACAGGCCCTTGAAGCACACAATTCAATTCTGAACTGCGAGGCCTATCCCGAGAACTGGTTCAGCATCCATGTCTACAACCACCGTGCGACTGTCAAGAGTCTTGAACATCTTGCCTTGCTGTTGATCGACAATTTCATCCCTGCCCCCGATGAGGCAGACAACTTCGACACGAAGCTCTGGGAATCGTTCTTTACAACCCTACTCAAGGTTATCTCTAGCGACGCGCTTGCTCTGGAGACGTTCCCCGAGCAGAAGCGACGCGCTGTCTGGAAAATTGCTGGGGATGTGCGCGAGCAAGGCGCCGATTTGCTGCACAACGCCTGGGAGGCGATCGGTTGGGAGACTACCGATGAAGAGAGAGAGAAGTACAGACTGAAACGGCTGGGTGGTTACCAAGTGCAATACGTCCCCGGTTTGGTGTTTCCGATCATTGGGCTGTGCCTCAGCATGCATGAGGGTCTTCGTCATGTGGCTGTTCACATTCTTCGGACAATGATCCTGAGTGAGTGGGAACTGAACGAGGATATCTCTATCATCGAGACCGAGATCATCTCCAGTCTGGATTCTCTCTTCAAGTCCAGGCACATGGGTGAGGACATAAGCCACAAGGTCTTCGTCGGCGAGTTGATGGACCTTTTCGAAAACGAAACAACATCCGATGAAGGCTTGTCAAACGCCCTCAAATCCCTCATCTCGACAGTTGACGAGCTGCTTGATCTCTTGGTTGCTTCTCAGAGTGGCTCAACGACACAGAGTCTGCACGCGCTCAAACTCATGGAGTACATGAAGGATATGGGCCGCGAGGACATTTTCATCCGCTACGTTCACGAACTGGCTGATGCCCAGGCCGCAGCAGGCAATCTCACCGAGGCCGGTCTCGCCCTCCAATTCCACGCCGATCTTTACGAGTGGGATATTACCAAGTCTCTGCCCGAGCTACTCACGCCGCCTTTGCCGGCACAAACTCCTTTCGAGCGGAAGGAGGCGCTGTACTTCTCCATGATCCAGCACTTTGAGAATGCCATGGCCTGGGCGCCTGCGCTGGCCTGCTACAAGGAACTTTCCGCTCATTACGAAAGCACCACGATGGATTTCGCCAAGCTATCACGAGCACAAAGTTCCATGGCTCACATCTACGAATCCCTCGCCAAGGACGGCAAACAATTCCCCCGGTACTTCCGCGTTGTCTACAAGGGCCTAGGGTTCCCTGTCGGCATTCGTGAGAAAGAATTCATCGTTGAAGCGTCACCGACGGAACGGATGGCATCCTTCGTGGACCGTATGCAGCGCGACCACCCTACCGCGCAGATCATGTCTTCTAATGGAGAGATCCCCGACTATGAGGGCCAGTTCCTTCAGATCAGTGCCGTCGGCGCCCAGCGCGAGATATCCCACCCTGTCTACCAGCGATCCAAGGTGCCTGGCTCCGTTCGCGAACATCTCCTGGTCTCCAGCCCGTCTCGTTTCTCTGCTACTTCCCGGAGACACACGGGCGGCTCGGACGTTCGCGAGCAGTATGTCGAGAAACTCATTTTCACTGTTGCCGAGCCGTTCCCCAACATCCTGCGTCGGAGCGAGATCGTCTTAGTTCAGGAGGTTACCCTGTCGCCCCTGCAGACTGCTATCGAGCGAACTTGGCGCAAGACGCAAGAGCTGCAGATTCTGGAACGTCGCGCGGCTGATGACAACAACTTGGCGAATCTGACCGAAGCCCTTGAGCAGCTCCTGGACCAATCGTCTTCATCCTCCAACTGTGTGGCCCTGTATCGCAAGTTCCTTTCTGGTCCACAGGGAGAGAAACGCAAATCCATGGCCGAAGAGGAGGAGGATGAGGCTGAGGGAGATTCTGAGGCTGCAAATGAAGATGATGAGGAAACGATTGAGCCTGTTGATCCCATGGAGAACGCACTTGCCGTTGCCCTCATCGACCATGCCCTGGCCATCAAGCATGCCCTATCCCAGTACCAGCGGCCTGCTCAGCACGCCACCCAGTCCGAATTGATGCGGCGTTTCGAGGACGTATTTGAGCCTGAGCTGGCGTCTCTGGCCTCTTCTCCCCCTGAGACGGACATGACGACACCAACCCAGCCAACCGGTCAATCTCCCACGCCGATGGAGCGGCACCAGAGTGTCAAGCGCTCAACCAGTCCGGAGCAAGAGCCGATCCGGTCATCTCGTGGAAAGGGCCACACGCGCAAGCGTTCTGACCGGCAATCCGTCAGCCATCGCATCAGCGTGATCAACCCGTTCAAGCGCTCTAACCACGGCGGATCCAATTCCATCTTCACTATCCAGCCGTCCGACGGCAAGGCCACTGGCATCTCCAGCGTTGGCGATGGCGAGGAGGGCGCGGAGGACGACGCCGACACCATCCACAGCCGCGCGACCAGTCGCTCGCGCGGAGGCGGCAGGAGTGAGAAACGGCGCAGCTTCTTCGGCGGCGACAAGCTGCACAAGCACGGCTCCACGCCATCCGTCGCCAACGCAGATGAGGCGCAGTCTTCGCCGTTGAAGAGCCAAGCATCGCGCAGCCAATCGCGCGACACCGCGGGCCACGACAACAGCCGCCGTCGCTCGGGCTCCCAGCCACCCGGGCCTGCGACGAACGGCGGCCCCAAGACCGGCGGCTGGTCCACGCTGCCCTCGACGCGCGATTATTCCCGTCCAGTAACGCGCGACAGCATTACGGCGCAGTCGCCCTCGACCACAAACGGCACGGCAGCCCTAAGCCAGCCCGCAGCGGTCAATAGCAAAGACCCCACTGTGCGAGACTCGATGTTCCGGCGATTCAGCCTCCTCAAGGGCGTCGGCCGCAAGAGCAGTCGCATGGACTTCCGCGCCAACGGCACTTTACCGGAGGAGTAATTTTTGTCTATCCTTTGATGTTTCTTTTTGTCTGTCCGGTATCTTTGCCCGGCTCTCTCTTCTTGATCTGTGATTTATTACAACTACTTATACCTATCTTCCCTTCTTTGATGTGATTTGCCTGTGGACCAGGTCTTGTTGTTTCTTCTTTTTGCTGCTTGCGGTGCTGTGAGGTAAATACCAATTATGAACTATAGCTTTTGAGTGCCTCAGTCCAAATCCATAGAGTGTCCCATAGCTTCGTCACATCAAAGTGGCAGTGCAAGGGCTTGGCGAGCATCCGAGCCAACCACATCTCCCCATAACAGTGGACCCCCCTCATCCTCTCCGACACGCCCAAATTCCGGATCCATCGCCCCGTTACAGCTGTTTCCACGGATCCGTGGCTGGTGAATTTCCAATCGAAAGAACCCAGACTGAGAGAGCTTGGCAGCCATGAGTAAGTACCTAGTTCCCCTCTCTCCCTCTCCCTAGTTGCTGCTCGACTAACCGTGTCGCGTGCATAGCTTCCTCGCCCAGTTTCCGCTCGCAATATCGAAGCTACAGCTTCGGTCCGGGACGGAGAATGTCCTCTCACAAGAATGGCCCCGGGGAGCGCACTGCCTTGCTGGGTAGCAGCACCAGCACGCCTCGTTCCCTCTCAGGCCTCTCGGGCCATGAGCATACCGAGCATGGCCAGCACCATCACCATCCCCAGGACAATCGCACCTGGGGCCGCTGGCCCATGCAGGTCGTGCGTCTGACCTGGCTGACCCTCGTCCGGGACTATGTGAACCTCCTGCTCATCTTTGTCCCCTTGGGCATCATCGCGGGCGCCCTGCACTGGGACCCCGCGGCTGTCTTCACTCTGAATTTCTTTGCGATTATCCCCCTCGCTTCGCTGCTCAGCTTCGCTACTGAGGAGCTGGCTGCGGTTATGGGGCAGGCTCTGGGCGGTCTGATGAATGCGACGTTCGGGAACGCCGTGGAGTTGATTGTCAGCATCATTGCCCTCAAGGACCACCAGATTCGCGTGGTCCAGGCCAGCATGCTCGGCAGCATTCTGTCCAACATCCTGCTGGTGCTGGGTTGCTGCTTCTTTATCGGCGGGCTCCGGTACCCAGAGCAGACCTTCAACAGCACAGTGGCTTCAACCATGTCGTCGCTGATGACCATCGCGTCCGCCTCGCTGATCATTCCAGCCACCCTCTACGCCGCCCTGTCCCACTCCAAGGCCAGCGCCGAGAAGAACATCCTCATTCTCTCGCACGGCACCGCCATCATTCTCCTCGTCCTCTACGTGATGTACCTCTACTTCCAGCTGCGCTCACACGCCCATCTCTTCGAAGAGACCAATGCAAGTGACACCGAGAATGCCGACGGTTCCGACGCAGAAGAAGAAGAGCAGCGGATTCTAAGTCCCCTAGCCGCCACCGTGGCATTGATCCTTGTGACAATCCTGGTTGCCATCTGCGCTGACTACCTAGTCGGCAGCATCGACAGCATCGTGGAGAAGACCGGTATGAGCAAGACGTTTATCGGGCTGGTACTGATCCCCATCGTGGGCAACGCGGCCGAGCACGTCACCGCTGTCGTCGTCGCCTACAAGGACAAGATGGATCTGGCCATCGGCGTCGCCATCGGCAGTAGCTTGCAGATCGCCCTCTTCGTCACTCCTTTCCTGGTCATCCTGGGCTGGATCATGGATATCAATATGACACTGCATTTCCAGATCTTTGAGACGGTTGCGTTCTTTATTGCTGGGCTGGTGGTTACGTTCCTTATTCAAGATGGTAAATCCAACTATCTGGAAGGGGGTATGTGCTTGGGCATGTACCTGATTCTGGCGTTGGCCTTCTACGTCTACCCGGATGACGCTACGGATAGTATTGGCGTGCTGGGCTGGCTGTCCAACTGATGCTCTTTCTTGTTTATTTTTGTGTGGCCGTGGGTTCTGCTGGGCAGTGACCGTGTCGGGGCTGATCGCTGCATTTGTCCATTGTACCTATGAACCATTTTGTCTGACTTATGTACATGTCTGGCGCTTTCATTGAATTTCTTGTGTCTAGGTTCTGATCAACTTTTCCCCAAGGATAGAATTCATTGATCAATTTACGATACATCGCCGTTTGAATCTCCGTCGTAGTCATACTCTTTAAGAGCCCTACGATAGTCAGATCTGAGAATCACGGATGTAATGCACAAGTTCTCTCACAGTCCATGAATAGCTCTGAAGAATTCAAACCGGAGAGACTCATGATCCGGAGATGTGGATTCATTCTGAGAAATGGAGTAGCGAGTACATCATTCATCACCTCACCCACTAATCACATCCCGCTGCTGCTAGTCGTCAGCGCCTATAGCACATCACCTTGGTCGATAAGCTCGACCCCCACGCGGGAAAGTAGAGAGATGACATGGACAGGGACATTCAAGCTCGCTAAATCTTTGGTTGCTATCACGCCGTTGTTGCCTTAGAATTCTTCAAATACTGTCTCAACTTCAAAAAATTCCAACGAAACCTTGCCCAAGTGGTCAGGTCGCTGATACCAACGGCAGGCCTTTACAGCAAGCCCGAACTAGTTATTTGATTTTGACATCTGTTTCTTGTGAACTTAACTCAAGATTCCGCCTTTCCTTGTAGAGAGCGACGAGAACTTCATATCTAAATAAGTAGTCGAACGTACATGATATACTTCGATCGTCCTAAAGAAAAGCCACAGCGAGGTGAAGAAGACACAAGGATGTGCTTTAAGTATAGAATATATCTAGAAGGACCTAATGGCACAGAGAATTCTATTATTCGTATACACCCCGTTCGTTCACTTGTTCAATCCATGACCTCAGCGACCGGCGTGGTTCGCACTGCTGACTCAGCCCGAAAATCGCAGTCTCTCCGCCGCAACAACTTGATTCCCACGCCCAGCACATCGGTCTCTCAGAGGGTTCTGTTCTCATACAATGCCAGCCCGACTCAATCTCTGCACAGCTCAAAAGGCGATCTCCGCCTTCCGCCTTCCGCCCCTCGCCTCTACGCGGAGTCTCACAACCCACGCCCGATTCCGTGCCGTACAGTCGACGGCTCCCCTACAGAAGCGATGGAACTCGTCGCGGAATGACACGAAGGATCTGCCGGAGAGGCCGAAGGGTCCCTCGGAAGACCCGCTGCCGGATGTTAGCGAGGAGGCGGCGGAGATTGACCGGATCATGAACAAGGAGAAGCGGTGTGATGGGCAGCCGGCGAGTCCGGAGTTGGAGCAGGGGACGCCTGTTTCTGAGGTGAGCAAATTTCCCGTCCCATCTCCACGGGTGTGTATATGCTAATAGTGTTGATCCGAGCAGATCTTCTCGCGCGACAAAGAGGCCATGAAGCACATGCCCAAGGTGATCCAGGACCAGGTTAAGAAGAACGGCGGCTCGCGCTCCTTCTCGACCTCAGCGCGCAGCCGGTTGCCGGATCTTCAGGAGACCAACAACGCTAGGGAGGACCCGTCCATCGCCATGGTGGCCAGCATGATTGAGCAGGTCACTGAGCAGGCCCAGGGGCAGGGAGCCGAGACGCACTCGGGCCTCAAGTTCGATCCGCCCGTATCCCCAGCCAATACCAAGACGCTCAATTTCCGCAAACGCTACGATACCCTGCAGGAACAGTTCACCAAGATGATTATGGAGGATGGGAAGCTGAGCCGCGCGCAGAAGGTCATGGCCTCCATCCTGGACCAGCTGCGCACCTCACCCGCTCCCCAGGTGAATGCTCGCCGGCGTCTACTCGGCGCACCGCCAGCTCCCCAGCTGCCCCTCGACCCTGTGCTCTATCTGACCTTGATTGTCGACTCGGTGGCCCCGCTTTTCCGTATTCGCCAGCAGAAGGGTCTGACCGGCGGTGGTACCGCTGTGCAAATCCCTCACCCGCTGACACTGCGGCAGCGCCGCCGGTCGGCTATCAAGTGGATCATTGATGCCTCTGACAAGCGCCGGGATACTCACCTGGCTCAGCGGATTGCTAACGAGCTATTGGCTGTCGCTGAGGGCCGCAGCGGTGTCTGGGAGCGCCGGGACCAACAGCACAAGCTGGGTATTGCCGGTCGGGCGAATCTGGGACTTGCTCCGCGTCGGCGGTGAATTCTTTTTGGTTTCCTTTTGTTTGGGTCTGGTTAGGATCTGTTTTGTGAGCCCTCGTTGCATCTGTATATTTACTTCTAGCCTGGCAATGGTGACCTCTTCTACTTCCACGGTTGTATGCTTGTAAACTTATGACCCGCTCTATACCATTGTTATTCCCCTCTCTAGTAGATTACAGCTCCATGTCTTACTTGTTCTAGATCGAACTATCACGAACGTGGGCGTCGCTTGGATTTGCATGTCCCGTGATAGGTGCATTAGCTAAGCCCACCGATCCTGATCGGGTAAGCATCGGGTTCCTGAGCATCATCGAGTGACCAGAGTCTCGGAGCGTATCACCTTCTCTCTCTCTCCTGTGCCTACCCGACCACACCGAGCTGTGTGCCCTTTGCGCCTGTCAATAAAGCCTGGCCATCAGTGCAACCCGCGCATTGGGAACAGCTGACCTGTTCTGTTTCTCTTTAGCCGCATTCCATCCTCTCCACACGTCCCACACCCTCATTTCAACCAGATATCGTCCCCTGCCGCTCCTTGGATGACCGTGGCCGATCTCCCCCCGGCCCTTCGTCCACGACGGTGGCTGCTACCATCCCAGTTCGCGCCTCTATTGAACTCGCCGATTTCCACCCACCTCCCCAAGAATCTGCCCGCACCAGACCAGCTGGCCGTGCTGCGAGACCGTTTGAGCCCGCTGCCAGCTCACTATCACTAGCGAGGCTTGGCTCAGGGCTAGACACTGAGTGGGAGAAGAGCGGCTCCTCCCCAGATCAGCTCCGCCGCCAGGGCTCCCGCTTCACACGACTCTGGTTCTGGGCGGAGGCCCTTCGACGCCGCGCTCGGAACCCTATTGTTGAACAAGAACCTACCGCCGAGATGAAGTTCTCCCACAGCATTCAGTTCAATGCGGTACCGGATTGGAGTTCCAATTACATTGCGTATAGCAATCTCAAGAAGTTGTAAGTACTTCCTTCCCTTGTCTTTGACACAACACAACACCATCCAGTGCATTGTAACTGGGCCCTTGTGCGCACATGCCCATTGCACAGCGCCAGCGGAACAAAACATGTGCTGACGGTAGAATTTGCCCTTTAGGATCTACACACTTGAAAAGCAGGTCAATCAGGCCGATAGTCCCGCGGATGTTGAATCCTCTCCGCTGCTGGGTTCGGTGAGCAACCCGGATGCCATCTTCAAACGGGCGCTCGACGGAGAAATGGATAAGATCTGTACCTTCTATCAAATGAAGCAGGCAGAGATATTTCAGCTTACAGAGGAGTTGATGCGGGAGGCCACTGCCTACCTGTCAGACACCGATGGGGTCAACATGGATCCCGTGAGTGAGACCGTCATCAAGGCACGAAGGATGAGCTCGAGCTCCCACCAGGGCGCAGGTAGTATCTTCCAGAACCTCGGGTTTGGTCATCACCGGCGATCTAGCGCAATCAGTGAGGACGATAGTGATGATGAGCACTCGCCGACCTTTGCTCCTAGGCCGCGAGCGATGCAATCGACTGATGGCGAGTCGACCAATCTAGAGAATGGGCACGACCTAGCAGATTCCGCTTTCTTTGGTGCAGCCTCCAGCCGTGGCCCTCAAGATTTCTCTTCTGGCGACCAAACCCTTTTCGCCTTGTACAACGCTGGTGTTTCCCTCAAAAAGCGCCTCATCGAATGCTACGTTTCCCTCTGCGAACTTCGCTCCTTCATCGAGCTCAACAAAACCGGTTTCTCCAAAGCTCTGAAGAAGTACGACAAGACTCTGAACCGCAACCTTCGACGCGACTACCTAAACTCGGTTGTTTACCCCGCGGCTCCCTTCACTGAAAGCACGATGGCTTCCGTTGACAACACCATCGAGAAAGTCGAGGGCGTCTACGCCGACGCTGTCACCAAGGGCAACCGTGAGCTGGCCAGTCGCGAGCTGCGTCTGCACCTGCGTGAACATGTCGTCTGGGAGCGCAACACGGTCTGGCGCGAGATGATCGAGATCGAGCGTCGCGCCCAGGCTGCCAACGTGGGTATCCGTCACACTCTGCTGGGTGGCGATGAGGATCCGGCTACTGCGCGCCGCCAGGGCGACAAGCAGGAGATTCCCACCATGGAAGTTGCGACTCCTCTCGGGCGCTTCCATTTCCCGCTGTGGCTTTGCAGCCTGAGCTTCGGTACTCTGGTTTTCACAGTGGCTGTGTTCGGAACCTTGCTGGCAGTCCCTGTGATGGACACCCCCGAACAACAGAACTGCCTGGCCATGCTCGTTCTTGTCAGTATGCTCTGGGCCACCGAGGCCATTCCTCTCTTCGTGACCTCTCTCTTGATCCCATTCCTGGTCGTGGTCCTGGGGATCGTCCGATCGGACGACAAGCCGCACAAGCGGCTGGGTCCCCATGAGGCAGTGGGCATGGTGTTTTCGGCCATGTGGACTCCGGTGATTATGCTTCTGCTTGGCGGGTTCACTATTGCGGCTGCACTGTCCAAGTATGACATCGCGCGTCGCATGGCCATGTTCGTCCTGAGCAAGGCCGGATCCAAGCCACACGTCGTCCTTCTTACCAACATGTTTGTGAGCATGTTCCTAAGCATGTGGATCAGCAACGTCGCGTCCCCTGTGCTGTGCTACTCGATCATCCAGCCTCTGCTGCGCAACATGCCCCCCGAGTCGAACTTCGCCAAAGCGCTCGTGCTGGGAATTGCTCTCGCTGCCAATGTCGGTGGCGCTGCCTCTCCGATCGCCTCGCCGCAGAACATCATCGCGCTACAGAACATGTACCCAAGCATCAGCTGGGGCACCTGGTTTTTCGTCTCTCTGCCCGTCTGCATCATCTCGATTCTGCTCATCTGGGGCTTGCTGTTGGTGACCTTCCACCCTGGCCGCAACGCTACCATCATCCCCATTCGACCCGTCAAGGACCGTTACACCGGCGTTCAGTATTTCATCAGCGCAGTGACCCTGGTCACGATCGCCCTCTGGTGCGCCAGCCACCAACTTGAGCATGTCTTCGGTGACATGGGCGTTATCGCGATCATTCCTATTGTCCTGTTCTTCGGTACTGGCATTCTCAACAAGGAAGACTTTAACAACTTTCTGTGGACCATCATCATCCTCGCCGCCGGCGGACTGTGCCTGGGCAAGGCCGTCACCTCGTCCGGTTTGCTGCACACCATTGCCTCCGCCATTATCGCGCGCGTGGAACATCTCAGCCTGTACAGCGTGCTGCTCGTCTTTTCGGCCCTGATCCTGGTCATAGCCACCTTCATCTCGCACACCGTCGCCGCACTGATCATCCTGCCGCTCGTCCGCCAGGTCGGCGTCAGCATGGAAGATCCTCACCCGAATCTGCTTGTCATGGCCAGTGCCTTGATGTGCTCCGTGGCGATGGCCCTGCCTACAAGCGGCTTCCCTAATATGAGTGAGCTCCCTTTCTCCCCTTGTGGCATTTTTCACCGTTAACCCTGTTGTTATAGCCGCGATCATGACCGAGGTCCCTCAGACAGGCCAGCGATACCTCCAAGTCCGCCACTTCCTCACTCGGGGCATTCCATCGAGTCTGATGTCCTTTGTAGTGATTGTCACCATTGGCTATGGGCTGATGTATGTGGCGGGACTGTAATCCAAGTTTGTTTTCGGGTGATTTTCTTTGCAAGAAAATTTTTTTTTTTTCATGAGATCCATGACATTGTTCTTTGGTAATGTTGCCTGCTGTTTCCTTTGGCAAGCCCGCGAGTGCTCCTTTCAGTGCACAGTTTCTGCATAGCTTGTTTGTTCGTTGCACAAAGATCACCATAGATGGATCTGTCTGGAAGGCACTTTTTTTCCTTCCTCTGTTCTATATCATATGGCACACATGCCACGACACCAGCCTGATCTTGGCGTGTTCTACTATCTTAGCTCTTGTCAATGTATTGTCAATGTAGATGTAGTGGAAGGATAGGATACTCTAAATGTTCCAGAGGGGTTTCTAATCCGCCTGGCCACCAGATACATGTTCAGGTCGATTTTTTAACTACGTACGTTGGACTTGGGGGTATACAAAGAAGACAGTAGTGACCAAATCCAAGCATTAATTCATTCACCTGATAGATAGATAATCCATCCGGTGTCCAAAACTGTACTGTACTATACAAACCAAAAGGTCTTGGATGTCAAGTCAGATCTAAGAAATAAACAAACATCAAAACAGAGAGAAAAAAAACTTCAAGCCATGCCTCATGCACCGCGTAGACATAACTATAACTATAACCATAACCATAACTAGTCGTCAACCCAAAGAGGTGGTCGTCGAGAGGACGTTATCATGAAAAGGGCGAGACCTTTAGCCTCTGTAGCAGAGTATTGATCAGTTACTATACGTCAGTCAGTGAAATTCCAGCAAGCAGAGATTAGAATGATAAGAGGGTATTGTCCAGAATATACGGTGACAGGGGAGGGAGGGTATGGAGAAAGAAAGGGCAGTACTAACAGCAACCCTAGCGTAAGATCACCATGGATCTTAGCCTTCAACTGAATCTCAATATCCAAGTTCAGGTCCAACCGGAGACGCAACTGCTCATCGCGTCCACCATCCTCCTCCTTGTCGTCCTTCTGTCCACCACCTAGTATACCACCAACGGCCTTGCCCGCGCTGCCAGTCACCCCGTTCAAGGCATTACCAGCTGTGTTCTGCACCAGTTGGCCGGCCTGGTCCACGCCGCCGAGTCCACCGAGTGGACCGCCGTCGGATTGGCCCTCCCCCTGCTGCTGCTGGGCCTGGCGGGTGCGGCGAGTGCGCTGGCGTTGTTGCGGCTGGCCGTCCATGTCGCTGCGCTTGACGGATTCGACGTCTGATTCTTGGGGACGGGGACGCGGGCGGCGGCGACGGCGGTTGATGCGTTGGTCTTCTGGTTCTTGTTGGGGTTGAGGTTCAGGTTGTTCTTCGGCCTGGTCTTCGTTGTCTTCGTGATCCGAGTCTGGCTCTTGCTGGACGGGCTCCTCGTTGTCGTGATTCTCAGCGTCAGACGCGGGTTCTTCGTCCTGCTGATCGGACGGCGGTGGGGTCTGCTCTTGCTTGGTGGGAGTATTCTTCTTGCCCAGCTTGGGAGGCGCACGCTTCGGCTTGTTGGGTGTAGTAGTAGGAGTCTGGGATTCGGGATTGTTGGTTTCTTGATCGGCCATGGTGGAAAGAGAAAAAGAAAAGGAAGAGAACAGACAAACGGGACAGAGGCGGGGGGCTAATAATATGAGCGAGCGGAGAAGTACTTCGGGTGTAGAAGGACCTTGCGTAACGGGCGATGATGTATGCGTGTTTCACCGTTTATATCGTCAGTGCCGCTGCCAAAACCGGGCATCTAGAGTCGCCTCCGACGTCAGGGGACATTGTGGCTCATCATTCGGTCCACGGATGCCGGTACCTGGCCCTCTCAATAGATGAAAGATATGACGTTTGGCGGGGTTCCAGGAATAACTCTAGCCGGCCAACCGTTGGATCGGCGACAAGCGCACCATCGGCGATCCCTGTCAGACGCCAATCAGTGTCCGGCTCCGCCGACACTACTGCGACCAAATAGATTAACTCGACGTAGTGCTATGACGCCACTCGGGAAATTTCTGCCAGCATTCAAAATAGGTACGGTGTCGCTTGGATTCAGCCACAGCAGTCCGCTAGTCACCCACGGTTCCAGCCGGTCCACTTTTCGCAGTATAAACTTGTTTGATCTGGCCACGCCACTGCGTCACTTCCCCATGAGCACTGGCCCCATCTTTTTTTTGCCTTCTAGATATACTATTACTACTCCTGTCAGCCAGTAGTTGTAGCCCAACCTCCTCCTCCCATCACCCGCAGCAATGGCCACCGCCGAAAAGACCCAAGAACAGCAGAAGCAATTCCACGTCCCTGACGACGCAGAGTACTCGTCCGGCGATGAGGACTACGATAGTGCCGACGACTACGACGAGGAAGAGGAAGTGCCGCAGAAGAACAACCGCCAGCGGCGACGCCGGCCATTGCAGAAGGCCCCCAAGGACGAAGAAGTCTACTCCGATGATGACTATGCCTCGGACGAATACGACGACGATGATTATTACTCGGATGAAGATGATGATATGGTGCAGGGCAAGGCCATGCAGCCCTACAGCCAACAGGGCAATATGGATATGAGCCAGCCCACCGGTGGAATGAATTTCGCGCCGAGACCGGAGCAGAAGAGTATCCTCGACGAGGAGGGCATGAAGTTGAAGCTGGAGCTGAATCTCGAGATTGAGATCGAGCTCAAGGCTCGCATTCATGGCGATTTGACCATAGCACTCATGTAAGTTTTCCCTTTTTTTTCCCTTCTTTTGCCACCCGTCCTTTTACTGTGAACGTCATGCTCAGACAAGATTAGGAGTTGATTCTTTGATAATGTGTTAGGGCTTGATTTTTGGTCGCTTTCCTCTTTTTTCCTTTCATGTCGTCACGATTTGTCGCCTGATAGAGCCTTTTTCATAATGTCATCTTGTTGCACACGAGTCCTGTACTACTATTGTATATCCATTGAGCAATCACACGTGGTGATGATCATGCCCGATCGGTGCCGAGGCTCGGCCGGAGCTGGACTTTGCCTATTTTCGTAATCCCATCCAGTACCAACACCTCGTGTCTCCTTTCTCCTAAACGCACCTTGACTTGGCCTTCCACGACCACGCCATTCATGGTACAGTATATTTCGCCACCATGACCAACAAGGACTTCATCATCAGGCACATGAACGCCGACCACGCGGACTCGCTCTCCCTCTTCCTACAAGCCTACAATGGCATCTCCGCCCGAGAATCACACCCCGCCACCCTGGAGGACCTCACCACCTCCAACATGATCATCCGCGCCCACGGCACCCGCTACACCGTCCCCCTGGAGCCCCCGATGAAAGACCTGTCAGAGTCGCGCGCCCGCATGGTCGCCCTGCACAAGGAGAGCCTCCAGCGCCTGGGTCGCAGCGACGTCACCCTTACCGAATACCGGGGTCCGCGCGGCGTGGAAGCCATCATCTTCTTCTTGTGTTTCTTCTTCTTCGTCAGCTGCTACTCGCGCGACAATCTTCTCCCCGGCTCCTGGGCCTACGAGTACCTGGGCTACAAGTACGTGCCGAGCCTGGCACACTTCATGTATAACGTCCAGCCCTATATGTTTCCTGGTGTCGTGGGCATTCACGTCCTCGAGACGGTGTTATTGGCCTGGTTCCGACTACGGCCGCTTGGGGTTCCTATCTTGTCGGGGACGTGGTGTAAGTGGGTGGCGTCGTGTCTTGTGGAGGGGTTCGGGTCGTGGTCGCGAATTAACCAGATTGTCAAGGAGGCGCGGGCGAAGACTAAGAAGGAGTGAAGGGTATACCCAAGGTCTTAGACAGGTACAGAGTAGACTACTAGTAATTACAATCGTTCCCTGACAGTGTACACTGCACGTGATCATCTCAATCTCTATCACATGACCGCACATGACCATCGCCTGTCGCCTAACCCGATAGGGTCTAGCGTATAGGGCACCGCACACAAGCGAGCAACACACGAAAATCCGACCGAGACTCCACGACCAACCACTTCCCCTAATCGACAACATACCTTGGTGAAGGGCTGCTGAGCAAGAGGTAAGTTGGATTTTCCTCATCATGTTCTGAACAGCGCCTTCTCTTCTGCTTCATCGAGTCGCACCATTTCGCTTCGTGGTCCAATTCCTGTTACTCGATCAAACGCACCGTCAAATCCAACACCCAACGCACAACCACCTACCTGGACAAGGAGAAGAAGGACCAAAAGGGGGATATTCGCACTCGACTGCATCAACAAGGAACAAGAGAATTTTTTTCTCGTGTGTTTCTCCTGTCGCCATCGCCATCGCTAGGAATTTTTCGCTCGACCCGAAATCCGAAAATTGCTTCACACTCGCTCGAACCAGAAGAGAGAGGACTCTGTTCAGGACTGTCACAACTACCTCGGACTGCTTGCTAATTTTGAATTATTCAAAAAGACCCCTCCATCAACAGCAAACATGGGTATCTCCCGCGACTCTCGCCACAAGCGCTCGGCCACCGGTGCCAAGCGTGCCTTCTACCGCAAGAAGAGGTATGCACCTTGTTGATAATCTGGACGAGGGAGCAGATTGTCGGACAGAGTTCTGACTTGATTCAATAGGGCCTTCGAGAAGGGCCGCCAGCCCGCCAACACCCGTATCGGCACCAAGCGCATCCACCTGGTCCGCACCCGCGGTGGCAACCGCAAGTTCCGTGCCCTGCGCCTGGAATCCGGCAACTTCTCGTGGGGATCCGAGGGCGTGTCCCGCAAGACCCGCGTGATCGGTGTCTCGTACCACCCGTCGAACAACGAGCTGGTGCGCACCAACACCCTGACCCGATCGGCCGTTGTGCAGATCGACGCCGCCCCCTTCCGGCAATGGTACGAGGCCCACTACGGCCAGGGTATCGGCCGCCGGCGCCAGGCCAAGACCGACGCCCCGGAGGAGAAGAAGAGCCAGTCCGTCGCTAAGAAGCAGGCCGCCCGCTTCGCTGCCGTCGGCAAGGTCGAGGGTGCCATCGAGCGCCAGTTTGAGTCTGGTCGTCTGTACGCCGTTGTCGCTTCGCGTCCCGGTCAGTCCGGCCGTGTTGACGGCTACATCCTCGAGGGCGAGGAGCTGGCTTTCTACCAGCGTGCCATCCGGAAGTAAACAAAAAATAACAAAAATGCTTCTCGGTTGGTAGGTGGTTTCTTAGGTGGTGGTTGCACGGGTGGTAAATCGGAGTTTCAGCTATGTTTGCCAGAAAACTTTTATGATCTGGGCACGGATGCAATGTCTGTAGAGCTCTGAGCCGTCAATTCCATGGAAATGATTCCTTAAAATGATTCTTGTGTGCTATATGTCTATTCCCATCGTAGTGTTGTATGTCATGTAGGCGTCGGTTGAGCCTCATCCCTGGTCGTACTAGCTGGTTTGTCAAGCTGCTGTCCATATCAACCCTGGTAGCTATGCAAGCCCTCCGCCTGCCCCTCCAACGTCTTTACAACCTCACTCTTCCAACAATCCAGGAGAGTCAAGATGATCAAGACCCGCATCTGCATCATCTCAGACACACACACCTGCGCCCCAAATGCACCGCTCAACACCTCCAACCCGTACCGGCAGCCACTGCCAAAAGCCGACATCCTGTTACATGCGGGCGACCTAACCAAAGTCGGGTACCACGTCGAGCACGAGCAAATGGTCGCGATGCTCAAGGAAGCAGACGCAGAACTGAAACTTGTCATCGCCGGCAACCACGACATCACCCTGGATGAAGAGTACTTCACCAGCTACGGGTGGCGACGGCACCAGCGCCCCGAGTGGCTGGGCGGCCAAGGGATTCTACCAGACGAGGATCCCAGATCTACGATTCGAATGAAAAACGACGTGCCGCCGAGTGAAGAAGCGCTCAAAGCATACGTCCAGCGCTCAAAGGATCTATACACCAATGCCTCGGCGCAAGCAGCTGGAATCCGCTACCTTGATGAAGGGACACACACATTCACGCTTTCGAATGGTGCCACCTTCACCATCTACGCCTCGCCATATCAACCCGAGTTCTATCGCTGGGCATTCGCATACCCACGCGAGCAAGACAGATTCAACCCGCCTCTCAGCCCCGGTTCTGCGCAGCAACCAGCAAACCCAATCCCCAACCATCCCGCTGTCGACATGATAATCACACACGGCCCGCCGCTGGGTATCCTCGATGAAGTGGTCCGTGGCGGAAGAGTCGGATGCACGCACCTCCTACGCGCGGCAGAGCGCTCGCGGCCACGACTGCATGTCTTCGGGCATATACATGAAGCATACGGCGCTGCACGCAGGACGTGGGATGCCGTCGCGGAAAAGGGAGTGAGGCTTGAGGATGTGAAGACCAACCCTGAGGACGTGCTGGAGAGACGGGGCGCGTTTTATGATATGAGTGCTGAGGGGGGGGAAGCCGCTTCGCTTTGGAGAGGAGACGCTTTTTGTTAACGCGAGCGTTAATACTGTGCGGTATCAGCCGAGGAATGCGCCGTGGATTGTTGATTTGGATTTGCCCGTTGCTGCTGAAGGTCATGAGCAGAGATAGGTAGTGCAGCTGAGCAAATGTCTCTGCCCACGAGGTTCAAAGTGCAACAAACTGGCTGCAGTGGGTAGGTTCGATGGGAAGACTTCCTAACATATATCCTTCAATCACATTTTGAGAGTCATTGATCGATGTACTCCGTCCGAGGTGCTCATAGTAAGGGTGTCTAATAATGATGTCTAGTATTAATAGCTGCTTGACCCTAAAATCTGGAGAAAAGGGATCAGCTCCGCCCTCATCTGGCCAGACATGACTCCACCCTCTACTTGACCAGCAGAGTCAAGAGACTGGCTTAAGTAGCCGGCCAAACAAGTGAGCAGCCATTATTGATTAGCGTTACATATTTAAAAATCTCAAGGCTGTATGCGGTACGTTTCCTCACCAACTCCTTTTGTCCGCGATGTGGATCTACCCCGAATTATTGGCACTTGGCAAGGTGATCAAGCTCAATTTCCGGAGGAAGTCATGACGATATGTACTCCGCTCGGAGTATGGACGCGAACAAGCTCGTGGAGAGTCCGTTACGAGCGGGTCTATGGGGGAAAATCCTTTGGCGCCAAGTTAGGACTAGACTGGTATAGATAGGAGTGACTTCACTCAGGGGTAGTTAACGCAGAGGCACCGAGTAGTCACAACCTGCATCCCTATTTCTCACCAATAGTCGGCGTGATCTGTGTACACATCTTCCCCTCCCTCATGATAAACAGAACGAATAGCTCAGAAATTCCGTTCCTGCATGGAGCAAATACTAATCACAACAGCCACTGACCGCATCCCGTCCCCCAAAGCCCTATAGTCCGTGGACCCTTGAACAGGGGCCCCAAACCTGTTCTCTGCCGGCGTAGACTTCACTAGAGCCCGCACTACGTCCACTATTTTCTTTCCCTAAAGATCCTGATAGGTTCCGGCCGGGCAATTGGTATCGATAGTCGGGAGATCGACGCAATTCCTAACGTGGGGAATGGCTCGTGGTCACCCGTTGAGAGAGAACGTTAGTCGAGGATCGGCGTCTGGCTCATCTCGCACGGGCAAGCTAGGCTTATATAGGCTGTAGTCAGTCCCTTGCCCTTAGTCGACATCATAATCATGGGGGCCGGCAACCCCGAGAGGATGATCGATGGAACCCTAGAGACAAGACATAAAAGGTGTAGATAGTCCAGGTGTAGAGTGAGTCAAGCATAACCATCGCTCACTTCGATCACAGTCATTCATTCATTTTTTCTGCTATCAAATCGCTCCTTGACAAACTACACTCCTTTTTTATCAACATGCAGTTCAAGCTCTCCCTCGTTGCCTTCCTGGCTACTACTACTGCTATTGCGGCGCCCGTCCCGGCTGGCAAGGAGGCTAGCTGTGCCTCGGATGCTATCAACGTGCTGAGTGTCGCGACTAGCGAAATCAGCTCCCTTACCAAGACTCTGGATGGGAATGGCAACCTGATCGAGGTTGGCCAGGTATGTACTTCCTCCTAGTGGATCGGTTTGATTGTTGACGAGCCTTTATCTATCTAGTCTGCCGTCTCTGGACTGACCAACCATGCCGGAACCATCCTAAAGAGACTCTCTCTTCCTTGCGGAAGCAACCTGAGCAAGAGCGAACAGGAACAGCTCTGCTCTGCTGCTGAGCTGGTATGTCCTTCTTCCCAGCACCCTCTCTAAACGGGAGTTGAAACTAAATTGGCGGGAATAACTAGTTCATCGATCAAGACGAGGCCTTGGTGAAGGCCTTTGACAGCCAGAAGGGTATCCTGAAGAATACCCCCTTCGTCGCTCCCCTCGCTGCGGCCATCCGTACCATCGAGGCCGCCACTGGTGAATACTTCGACCCCATCGTCGCCGCCACCCCTCTCTGCGGCGGTAACCTCCAGCAGTTGGTGCAGACCCTGCAGGACGACATCTCCCAGCTTGTGGGCATGTACTCCATGCTCCAAGGCGCTCCCAGCCTTCCGCTACAGGGTCCTGGCTCCGGTGCGGAGTCAGGCAACCCCAACTAAACAGCTCACTCATGCTTGGCTGGCCGGCGTGCTCTGATTCAAGCCTGGGACGATATTTATGTTGAATTCACACATCTAACCGTTATCACTTGGTTGAATTGCTGGATATCTTTATTTTCGGGATGTACATATATGTTATGATTGTTAAAAGCTTTATTTAACGTGCGTTGCAGCGTACAATACACTGTTGTGTCTATTGCGACCAATCTATAAGCTCCACCGAAACTTGCATCTCCCCCTGTGGATCATGCTTCATGGTTCGCAACCAAGTCTTTCCAGGGGCTGCATCATCCCAAAAGATGAGAGCTGCAACCCGCTCGTGCTCTGGAGGCACCCTCTGTTCGACCGGCAGATCCAAGAGACTGGCTTCTTCAGAATTGATCAAATATTCGGCGATCTTGGCTGACCGGCGAGAGTTCCATAAATTCTCTTGGCGTTGATTGCCCACCAAAAGATCGAAAGCCCTATGTCTGGTCACAGGTTCCCGACAATTCGTGGCAATCCATTGCAGAGCGCGGATAACAACGTGATCCAGACTGAAATACCGCTTGGCGCTGGAATGTGCCTCAAGACGCAGGAGCTCTTCTACCAAAGTCAGCATTTCTGCATAGTGGCTATTCCATTTATCCTTATCCGTTTCTTTTCGCCGGACAGTACCCAGTGACCATGTGAGGAGAGTGAGGAAATCGATTCGGAGAACGAGCACTGCACGTTTATCTGCTGACTTGCCCTGCCTGGTCTGCAGCAATCTCTCGAAGGAGACAAGCCACGCATTGTATGCCGCTTCCATGATGGGCAGCTGAGAACGAATCCACTTCTTCCCCTCTTCCTGCTGGTAACTCTCACGGGTGAATGCACCCGATTTCATGAATGCGGTTATAGTGTAGTTGGCTATAGAAGTGGAGGCCTTACGGGCATCTGAGATGTTCTTGAAAGTGGCAGGGACCTGGAGGCGCTTTGGGTCGGTGAATATTGAGAGTAGCTTGCTTCGCCGCGCAAACATGAGCAGTTCCACATTAAAGCGGAAAAAAAGCTCTGATAACTCTTCGTGTGCTTTCTGTTGGTCGGCTGTCTGCGACTGAAACTGAGATTGAGACCCTGTAATCGACCGTTCGAGTATCTCCAGCCCTGCCTCTGCGTGGTCGAGGACCCTGTTGTGGTCCCCTCGAAACATTTCAAGACACATGAACAGACCGCAAGTAATCAGGGTTAGGTCGAGCTTTTCATTCGTAGGCGTTGATAGGTGCTTCATCAAAAGCCGAATTGCCTGGTTGTATTGTTGAAGCATGAACTTTTCCGTCTGTTCGAAATCTATAGCAATGCCCTGATGCCGCTGGTGAGCGACGCCGACTGCCACAACAGCATGACGGACAATAGGCTCGGAATGACTGAGTTGAGGAAGCAGACGATTCCAGTAATCGGACGTAGAAAAGCCCGTGAGGGCCTGCGATGTCTGCGTGCAAAACAGAGCAATATACTCGCGCTCCTGGCTAGTGCCCTCCAGAAGGATTACTCGGCTATCTGGGCTGCAAGTGCGGCTGCTGTCGGAGGCGAGCAAGGCCTTCTGATGCAGTTGCTTCTGGGATATTGTACGATCATAGCCGTCGCACTTGCGGCCTGTTTTGATACAATTTTGGCAATCAGGCTTTTGTTCATCACAGCGAACATGGCGTTGCCTATATTTTATTAGCAGGCTGCATGGATAGGACTATGGGTTACGTGGAGTTGTGGAGTAGGCAGGGGTATATGTATGCAAAGTAAACAAGGGTAACTCACTTGCAGGTAATGCAGCCACTACGGCTTTTCTTTAGGCCAGTTCGTGGAGGCATATCGTCGGAGATAAGGTAGAAGTTTGTTGAAGAGAGATACGATATAGCAAGTGAGTATTGAAGAGGTAACACGGTGCGGCAAATAAGGAGTCTGTGGAGGACCCAGACAGAAGTCTAAATTTCTTGAAGAAAAATACGACACGGGCATTGAGAGCCCAGCAAATTCTGGAACTGGACTAAAAAATAGGAGACAACACTATGGCTGAGGCTTAAGCTGAGGCTAGAGAAGCAAGGGTTGAGACTGAGTTGATGACATCTACGGCCCCCACGGCTAGGCTAAGCGAAAGACACATGGTCGGAAAGCTACTAATGGTCGGTGGAAGGAGAAGGTGGATTGGCTAGTAACCCCCCAGTCTATCTTCCTCTTCTCTCAGCAATCAACTACGTTTCTGCCTACCACCTTTCTCGTTCCCTGACAGTCGGACTCTCAGTTGGAGCTCGCAACACAAACCCAACATGCCTCCGGATATCTTACAGAAAATCTACCTGATACTTGGGGCTGCTGATACTAGGTCTTGTATACATACAGGTAGCATTGCAATGGGTAAAATTGAATATAACTACGTACTAGAAAATCCATCCACACTGACTAAAAACTAAGCAAGAAGCACCACCAGTAGCAATAAGACCGAACACCGACTAATCTCAAGAGTAGCAAGATTAGGAAATAAAAGAGAAAATCCATAAACTCGATAACCATAATCTGCCTTCAAACAATCATAAAGAAGAAAAATCTTTCAAGGGGCACCGCCAAGACCTATACCAACTTAGTATCCGAGCACATACTCCTGACGATAGAAAGGACTTACCAGCTGCGTAAGCCAAATACCATGTGCGCGATGCACCGCCGTCGATCCAGGTGTAGTTGAACTTCTGCTGCGCGAAAAATTCCCAAGAAGCCTTGGGATCGATGAGCGCGAGGTTGGCGAAGAGCACACCCTTCCATCCACCGTCTACCTGGTGTGCGGGGGTCGAAGCATTCGGTGCAAACATAGCCTTCCACTCCTGGTTGACGAATTGCTTCTGACGCGTGTAAGCGGAGCTGGGAAGGAGAGGTAGCATGTGGATTCTGAGTAGCTAGTTAGCCAATTGTTCTTTTTTTTATGACTGGTGTGGTCGTACCCTTGGATGTATTCCAGATTGGCGCCGAAGTACGTTGTGTGGTCGACCTTATTCTCGAATAAAATTCCAGTCACCTTATTTCCGGTGAAGTTCGAAGGCTGGTTGACGTTGTCATCCTCCATCAAGAAGTAATTCTGGAGAGAGCGACGCATAATGCCCAGCATCATGTCTCCGCGAGCCTCCATGCTAGCGTCGCCGACGGTGCGTCCCCACATCTTGACTGCATAGGCAAACATGGTGTCCTCGGATGTAGATTCCTCATCCTTACCGTCATAAGACTCAAAAAGACCCTTGGCCCAGGAGTGGCCGTTGTACCAGTCGAAAGAACGTGAGAACGGGAAGTAAGGATCATCTGCAGCAGGGTTTCCGGAATCACGGACGAGCATATTGACCCACTCTTTGTTGTCTGCCAGCCAGCTCGGGTCAAGAGATCCAATAATTGCACCCGCCAGGATGAAGTACCCATAATGGAAATGATGGTCATTGTAGGCCGTATTGCCGAAGTCTGCATTCAAATCACCTTCGTATCCGGCGGAGGAAACTACTCCTTTCCAGACGTTATCGTAGACAAGTGGGAATTGCTGCTGATTGCTCACGAAGCGAGCGAAGCATGCTTTCAGATTCTGAAAAGCCGGGGACGCGAGGTCGACGTTATTACCCAGCTGGTTGACGGTATAGACCAAGGTCGCGAACTTGCTTAACGCCTTGCCGCTGTAGTACATGCTGTTGAGGTTCGTCTGGCCTTCCATATCTTGTTGAAGCTCTTGGGGGGCGACGTCCAGAATTCGACTTTGCGCGGTTGACGAAATTGTATGAACATTCCCAGCGTTAGGAGACCAAGGCGTAAAGCCCATATCAATTGGGAGATTAGGCTCAGTCATATTCCAGGCTTCGCCGATGACTGCGGTTGCCATACCCTTAGTGGTAGTTCGCAAATGGATGTTAGTCACGCGGCCCTTGGTACTGCCATCAAAGGATTCAACGTGATGAGGTAGAGCGAACATAATCAATGGAGTGGCCTGCGAGTCTTTGCCTGCTTTAGTCCATGCTAGGCCGTAGGTGCCTACATCTCCAGACACCGATCCCGTGACACGCCCTTCGACGGGATACACCCCGGAGGAGTTATCATAGAACTTCTCTCCAGAGGTACCCGCAGGATTTTTGGCAACCTGGATGGTTCCAGAGAACCCCTTTGGGCCACGGAGATTGGTCTGTGACACAAGCTTCAGGTCAGGATCCTGGCCATCATTCGGAGTGGCATAAAGAAGCCAGGAAGAGCTATCTTCCAGCTCGACCTGGTATTTGAAGATTCCATCCCTAGGAGAACCGGCGCTGACGACTTTGCGGTAAAACACTCCGCTCTGAATCACGGGCTGCATGTTTGTGTAGATGGCCGTCACATACGCCATACCCTGCACCACAGGGAAGGCAATCTTGCCTGGCCGTTGGGGGTGCGAGAGAACAGCATGAGCAGAAAACGCCAAGGGCTTTTCCACGCTAAGGTCAGTGTTGTCATCCAGCTCTGCCGCAGATAGAATCATATGCTGCAGACCGACAGGGTTGATGTAGTATTGCACGGGATCACCAGGTATCGTGAGGTTTTTGGGACCCCAAGCAAGCATGCCCTTCTCCACATGGGAGACACCCATCCCCCAGCTCTTGAGGTGACCAGTTCCCTTTGACCATGCGAGCGAGTAAGGCTGGGTGAAGCTGGCATTGGTTTGCGTTCCCAGGAACAGCCCGGCATAGAACTTGTTGGTCTCAACTGGGCCCGTGGTATCGATCTGTTTACGTGGGTTAGAACCAATTCTCAAGAGCAGTCTGGTGCTGCACGTACGTGCTTCTTCTCCACTGGGTGGTCGTTTCGAGTGGTAATGTTGGAAGCAACCGCACCCGTACCAACGGGCTGGAAGATATCCTGGTTGTTCATGCTATGCGAATTTCCAGGTTGAGTGGGCTGAATAGGCCCAGGGCTTGGAGGGTCTGGAGATGGTTGAGCTGGAGGCGACAATAACCCGTTCACGCCTGACAGCACGCTCCCTACACCCAACGTCGGCCAAGGAAGCAGTGATGCGTGGCCGTCGTCTTGCAACAACGAGCGATAGACCTAATCCAGTCAATACTGATCATCAGAAGATGTTCAATTCAATAAACTCACTGGCTTGTCCTGAGAGATGAGAATCCTCTCGTCTGCCGGTGGATACTGCGTCTTGAACGCAACCGTGGGTTGGGTCTTTGTCTGTTCTCTCAGGATAGTCTCCGCGAGAGTGCCAACAGGCCCAGGGAGTGAATAGGCGGATTCTGCCACAAGAAGGCCGGTTAGCAAGGCTGCCTTCCATCTGGAACCTGACTCCATGGCGCACGCCAGCTTCGATACAATCAACAAAAGCACAGCTCGAAGATGTGCCAGGTATAGTATCTAAGCACCAGTCGATGCCATACGAGACAACAAATGCAAAGCCAGGCAAAATAAAGAGGCAAAAGACTCCGGATGGATCGAGGGAGGCCGGTAACTGACCAAGTATGTGCTTGAATCCCGGGTCTCTTGCGCTCAGCACGAACCAGGTGGGTTTGTTGTGGCGCGTTAAAATTCCTGGGTGTCGATCTTCATCTCTGAATTAATCGCGCGTGGATCTGAGGGAAAGAGAGACAAGGGACAGAGTGGTGTGGGGGAGTGAGCAATGTAGGGAGAGAGATGGTGAGGGAAAGGAATGTGTGGGTCAAGTAGTAAACACCGAAGTACAACATCCTCTTCCTTTTATCTTCCGACAGCAATATATATCCTCCGGCACTGCAAGATGACTCGAAGGGATTTCCTGCAAATGGGGTGAATCACCCGACACCCACGGTTCGGCCATAGGCAGCATTCCCGTCTTTTTCTACGAATTTCTACACGATGACTTTGCCTGTGACGCCATCGCGGCCATGTGGGAGCCAAGAGATCGAGAGGAACAACGGATAGACCCCATTGTGAATGCAGATGAATATGTATTTTGGTGCCAATATGTACAATTTTTGTTTCTGATAACCCAACCATCCCCTCACTGCATCGGCTTCTCCATAGGCTTGATGATCCCCTGCTTGATCATGACCCGAGGCTTGGTGCCGCTTTGGTAGGTCTCCTTGGTCGACCACTCCGGGCCCAATGGGAGGCGCAGGGACCGCTCGTACTGCTGCTTCGTCTCGAAAGGATGGGGCAACTGGCTGGCCATGTACTTGGTGTTCTAGAATAGGAGAGTTAGCAGGGCTGCTTGATGCACATCGGGAATACAACTGACTTTCTTGACCCGCTTCTCGTTGATTATGACGCGCTGGAGCTTGGCGTCTTTGCGCTGCTCAGGTTTCACGCCCTCCACCGTGGTCAGGTTGCGCTTCTGCCTCTTCTGCTGCCTCTTGCTGATGCCTTCGCCGGCCCAACTGCCCCAGCCGGGGAGCGTGTTGTCCACCACCTTGTCGCCCTCGTCTTCGATGGTATCGAGTTTTTCTTGGTCGAAATCATGTACCACTTCATCGCCTGCAAAGGCCCGTTTCACGAGGTCGTGGTTCTTGAGCAGCACGGGAACATTGTCACCATCGCTGTCGTGGTCGTCTGCGTCAAGCTGTTTGGTGAGGGCCGCCTTGGTTGCTTTGCCCTTCTGGCTGCGAGCATTAACCGCAGAAGTCGAGGGTTTCTGGTCGTCCTCGAGCGATATATCGACAGTCTCTTGACCATCAGAGAGGTTTCGACGACGGTTGTTTCGCTCCGTCTGGACCAGCCAAGGGTTCTCCTCTTCTTCAGTGGATTCTTGCTGTTTCTGGACACCAGAAGACTTGCTCGAGGGTCGCACGGCAGTCTTGGCCCCCGAGGCAAGAGACTTCTGCTTGGCAGGAGGGTCAATCACGATATCGACATCCTGGTCCAAGTCTGCCCCGTCGTCAGAGCCCGGAGTCTCTTCAAACTCGTTCTTGGGCAGTGGCTTGGCTTTGGGCTTTGAGCCGGTCTTCTCGGACTGACCGAACTTGCGACGACCCACCTCAGACTCTGCCTCGGATTGCGACTCCTCGCCGTGGAGCTCGCGGTTAAGACGGCGCAGCTCTGCATCATTCTGCTCTTTACGCGCCGCTTCGGCGTTCCGCATGAACTTCATAGACAGAAGGTTGGAATGAGGCCCCGTAGCCTCTGCATCAGCACCGTCTTCTTCGAGAGCGCTGAGCTTCTGGCGCAGTTTGCGATTCTCGGCATCGGAGCCTCCGTCCTCTTGCCAGGGATCTTCATCTTCAGACTCCGAGCTGGAAGAGCCCAAGTAGTCCTCGTCACCGTTAGACACACGCTTCCCTTCAATTCTCTTTCGCAGCTCCTCTTCGCGTTGCGCCAAGTCTGCGGCACTGTTGCGAGCATTCTCGTCCCATGCAGTGCGCCCGGTCTCTTTCAGGCTCTTTGCCCATTTGCTTTCACGGTGCTTGGAACCCATGCGAGCCTCGGCCCTCATTCGCTCGTTCTTGTCGCGATCTTCCTCATCCATATCCACACCGGCCTCCAGAAGAGCCTGGCGCTCCTGCTGTTCCATCCTTTCCCGCTCTTTTCGATGAACTCGGCGGTATGACTTGCTCTTGATCTTCTTGATTCGCTTGGCGCGGACTTCCTCCCGGAAAAGCAGGTCACGCCGTTTCCTGAGCTCTGCTCTCCGGGCTTGGATTTCCTCAATGGGCAGTTTGCGAGCTTGGAGTTCCTCAAAGTCCTGAACTTGGTCCTCGATAGACTTCCCCTCGGCCTCCGCCAGCCCGCTTTCCACCAAAATACTTTGGATGGCATTTTCCAAGTCGGTCTGTGGCTTGGTGACGTCCATCCGATGAGTCTGTTCGGCCTCAGGGTCGGGCAGCGGGAACATCAGGTGCTCAGCCTCACGATTGGCTTTGACGGTTTCAAGCCATCGGTTCAGGGTCTCTTTGCTCTTGTCGTAGGCGGCGGTGCGGTCGAGCCGGTCTTGCTGTCGTTTCGGGAGAGGAGCATCCAATTTTCCCGGAATGCCGGAGGATGTAGACTGCTTGGGAGCAGATTCGACATGCTTAAGCGAGTTTTTGAGGCGAGAGTCGGTGATGGACGGCAACAGATCAGCGATCGTCAGTTTGCGTGTAGAAGTCAGCCCGTATTCCGTGGGATTGGCCTGTTCGTTGGTCTTTCGTGAAGGCTTCGTAGTTCTTTGCGTCTCCATGGAGTTCACAAAATCCTGCAGCTTCGACAGTCCATGCTTGGAGGCATCGGCGTCGTCGTCGGAGGCAGAGAGCTCCGTGTCGTCGTCACTGAGATCTTCGCTGTCCTCCTCCGAGCCAGAATCTTCTTCGCTATCGTCTTCTGCTGCCGCTTTCTTGGCTTTGGCCGATGCTCGTTTAGCCTCTTCCTCTTCCGCCGCAGTATTCAAATCCCAGGCGGTAGTAAGGTCAATGGCGTCCTCTCCCAAGTCATCATCATCTTCTTCCATATCATCGTCATTCTCAGAATCCTCATCGTCCTCATCAAGGTTAATTGCGGATCGCTTCTTGGGAGCAGGCGTCTTCTTAGGCTTGGACTTGTTCGACGACGAACCCCGGAATGTAAAGGCTTCAAATCTCTCCTCGTCGCTTTCACCGAGAGCTTCATCACTGTCCAGCTCCTCGTCATCGTCACTGTCAACCTGACCAAGAGTCCATTCATGTCCTTCGCTGTCGCTACCGCCCTCGACACTCTCGCCGTCCGCAGTCCTGCGGCGCTTGTGGTCGGGGCGCTCGTCGACCTCCTCGTCCTCCTGGTCTCGAGCAGAATGGCGCTTGCGATTGGGCTCGTCACTGTTGCCTAAGCGAGTGCGTCGGACTCCCAGTTTCGTGTGGACCTGCTTCTCAGCAATTGAGAGCGCATTGAGCGCCCGGCCATTTTTGCGCTTCTGTGCTGGTTTTGAGGCCGAGGGGTCCTTCGGCCCACGCAGCTGGGTCTGCTGGCGAGGCATGCTTCGGAAGGAAGTTGAAAGGACAAACTATAAATAAGAAGGAAACCAAAGCAGAAAACCCAGCAGCCAAAAAAGCCGTCGGGAGTGGTGTGTTAGAGAGGGAATGCGGTGAAGAAAAGAAAATTCTGCCGAGTTTGGCCTCTTGCCGCCTTTTGTGGTTGTTTCTTCTCCTTCCTTTCCGTGCCACGCTCGACTTGGCCTGCTGTCACCCACCATGGTCAAACCATCAATGCCAATGATGGCGCGCTTGCGCCTGACCACCAAGCATACCAGGGGCGGCTACTACAAGGGAAACCGGACGGGCTCCATGGGTAGCTTTGTGCAGCCAAGCAGCAAATACGAGGTCGACTGGAACAAGGCGCGCACCTATGTGGTTCCCACCGAATCCTTGGACACATTCAAGGTCCGCAGCAGTAACTGAATTGTTTTGTGCTCTCCGCTAACTCGGTGTGCAGCTCACGCCCTTTGTCACGAAACGCATGGAACCGAAGCGAAGCCGATACTGGAAGGATGTCGAGCTGCATGGACAGACTCGCAGCATCCCTGCGTCTCTTGGGGGCAAGGAATTCCTCGACCTATGGGCCGATCACAACCAGGAGGAAGTTCTCGAGCCACAGAGAAAGCAGCAAGAAGCCGAAGAAAATGTCACAGCCGCTGAGGAAAATGTCGTAGCTGCCGACGAAAATGTCAAAGCAGCCGAAGAAAAAGCCAAAGCAGCCGAAGAAAATGTCAAAGCAGCCGACCAAGCAACCATAGCAGCCAAAGCAGCCCGGGAGACCATGGGAACCGAACCGTGGAGAGCAGCCAGGAAAGAAGCCAGGAAAGCTAGAAGTGCCGCCTGGAAAGCCAGAAGAGCAGCCTCGAGAGCAGTTCGAGAGGCCCAAGAGGCCAGAGAAGCGGCACAACAAGCTCGAGAAGACAGAGAAGCAGCCCGATAAGCCCACTCTGGGTAGAAGCCCAGTCAATCTGCTTGGGTGTCAGTGCATGATCCTCTTGGAATATTGTCCTGGCTAACTGTCTTCCTAGGGCCTCAACACCGATTCCTTTTCGCTCGCTGGCCGATCGCATCTCCTTCTCTCTGTTTTGTGTATGATATGTACAGTACTTCAGATCTGGCATAGAAGTCTATAACCCCTCCAAATACAGAAACGTAGTTCTGAAGTGCGTGGTCATACTTAACTCACACCCGTTCCGTCCGTGGCAATACGGCGATAAGCTCGCCTATTATCGGGCGTATGTCATAGTTGAGCTTCACCACTCGTTCTCATCGGCTCCATCTTCTCTGTACCTTCCGTGCGTGCGATATGCGGTCCTCTGTTTGTTTCTAGCATCTCCAGCGATTTCGTTTTGCATCTGGACCTCCCATATCCCCTTTTTCCTAGCTTCCCGGCAGCCGGGGTGCCCGCCATGTTCCAATCCTTCACCGGCAACGCTCGTCGCCCACGCCAAGTGAACCTCAGCGGTCGCACCACAAACCCCTTTGCTGCATTCCCAGGTGGCCCCGCGGCCCGACAAACCCCACATGCCTCGAATCCCCAGAGCGCAGTCGCAATTGCGCAGCAAGAACGCCTTGCGAGACAACGGGAGAGGGAGCGCCAGAGCGCCAGCCGGGTCATCCAGCGGACATGGCGAGGCTACCAGAGTCGGATGAAGACGCGCGATGAGTGGCGGACGGAGTGGGACACAACCGAGCGGAGGAGGACATCTACTATGGATGTTGCCGACTCCGAAGGTGATCATCCCATGTACCTGTCTCGTCGTCCCACACCCTATGCGACGGCAGAGGAGTGTTTGTCCCAACTACGGCTGCTTGTGCAATTTGTGGGAGCGGGACAAAAGACCGACGACGTGCTTCGTCTGATCTACTTCTCCGGCGCATTCGAGCAGACATTTCACTCCCTGCCGACCATCGCTACAGAGGGTGAGTGGACGGAACTGCTGAAGCGCTTGGCCAGGGCCATGCTTTACGTCCTATCCTCAGCCGCCGACAACCCTACTTGCCGGGTCGGAGTGACACCCCTACTCCGGACGGTCGTATTTCTCGCCGGCCTGATTCCGAAGAAAATGGCAACCATAGCCAGCTACTATTTCCATGCCATGGCATCCTTAACGGTCAACATTCATGTGCTATCCGCTCAGACTGGGCTGACCCATGAGGATATGCTGGAAGGTGTGCTCGCAATGCTTCGACCGATCACCTCAGAGACCATGACGGCCTATGAATCATTTGCGACATCGTACCTCACAGTGCCCAACCTTGAGTCATTCCTCGGAAGACTCGATGGGCTTGCAAGTCAGATCAATTATAAAATGCTCGCTTCAGCTGTTGGGACTCGTCTCGCCGATGAGAAACCGAGCTCTCTCAACTCCAATGATATTGAAAATCGCCTCTGGCTTCTTGCATACCTCATCTTCTTCCACCGATATGCCCTGGGCAGCCAGGCGAACCATCGTGCTCCTGAACTGGAGTTTGTATCTGTGGTCTCAGAGCTGCTCACATCAACTGCCACCTATATCTCCCGACGCATGGAAATGGAAGAAGCGTCGGATTCGGAAGTTGCCTCCTCTGAAGACTATTTGGACCCATTTATCAAAGAACAACTCAGTGGACTCATTAACCAGGAGAGTGTGACGGGGTTGCTTTCTCGAATTCGGTCGTCTCAACTGTCGGAGATAGACCTGGCAATTAGCGATTCCGAAGCGTCAAACGAGGCTCGAGTGCTCGCTACCTATGCATTAACTCTGCTGAGGGTCTTCCCGCGCCGAGGAGATGACATACGCATGTGGCTGTATCTCGGCTCGGCACCTTCAGGCGACCAAATCTCCGGCCAGCCGGGGGCAAAGATTCCAGCCATCAAATATTTCTGGCAGGCATCTCGATCCAGTCGCATTTTTCAAACCATCAGCAAAGATTCAACAAAAGTTCTCCCCTTACTGAAATTGGCCGAAGATACAAATGCATTGGGGTCTGTTGACAATCTTCGAAAGGAAAGAGAGCAGGAGTGGACGATCATACTTCTTTTCCTTGAACTCTACACTTTTGTTTTGAAAGTCATGGACGACGATGAGTTCTTTTCTAGTGCATCATCCTTTACTGCATCGTCAAATGCACACTCATCTTGGACAAGAGAGAGCGCCTTGCCATTGAAGGATGTCAAGGAGATGACGCTGTTCCTAAAAAACCTTGGTTTCACTCTGTACTGGAACTCGGCCGATTTGAGCGAGAGAGAGCCAGTTGAGCAAAGTGCGGGCGACCTCCGCAGCTACTTCAGCTCCTCGATGCACTCTTCTGGCGTCACCACGAAAGCCGATGAGGTTGAAGCGAAAGCCCTCGTCAGTAATCTCCGGGGAGTGACAGATATCCCGCTTGACTATTTCAAGGGGCTGGTCACGGGGTTACTTCGAATGATACACGAACGAGAGTAGGTCAGACCTGTGCATCCACCGGTTATTTTGCTAACAATTGATGTGTGCGCAGCTCGCGACGAAAATTTCTCCCTCCCAATCACTGGCTCATGACGGACCGTTTCGATATGGAGGGATTCATTCCGGCTGTTGTGGCCGAGGAAGAAAAACGGCATGAATTCCAGGATGACGAAGACGACGATGGCGATCTGATGGATGACGGGCTGACCGAGCTGCATGGTTTGGCCGGGACTAGTCACGCTCAACAGGCGATTCGAAACGAAGCCCTGCGACGCCGTCAACAGCGTGCAGCCCGGGGAAAGGTCCTGGCGACTATCGCTCCCAGACTCGAGATTTTGCGGAACATGCCGTTCTTCATTCCGTTTGCCACCCGTGTGCAAATCTTCCGTCAATTTATTTTTCGTGATCAGCTGCGTCGCAGACAAGGATATGTCGATCCAGATGCGTGGCGGATGTCCGTCGCTCAAGCCACTATGGGACAGATGTTGAACAACCAACCCGCTGCCAACGATATCCTGGCCCGGCACCATGCCGACATTCGGCGGGAGAGCTTGTTCGAGGATGCGTTTTCCCAATTCTACGAGTTGGGAGATGGCCTCAAAGAACCGATCCAGATCAGCTTCATCGACCGATTCGGGACGATGGAGGCCGGCATAGATGGAGGTGGAGTGACTAAAGAGTTCTTGACTAGCGTCACCAACGAAGCCTTCAAGACCGAGACGGAGTTGCCTATGTTCTCCGAAAATGATCACCACTTGCTCTATCCGAAGCCCACGGCCGTTGAGCAGTGCCGCGCACAACTCCGGGCGGCCGGATTGTCGGAGACCAGTGCCGAGTACTCGGCCGGCATACGCGGACTCCTCCGTCGTTACGAATTTCTTGGACGGGTGATCGGAAAGTGTCTTTATGAAGGAATCCTGGTGGATGTCAACTTCGCCCCATTCTTCCTCCTGAAATGGGCGTTGACGGGTGGTACTGGGTCTGCGGTGAAAGAGTCTTCGTACCGCGCGAACCTGAATGATCTGAAGGACCTTGATGAAGGGCTTTACCAGGGCCTTGTGGGTTTTATGAGCTGCCTTCCTGTTGACTTTGGCTGACTGGAACGAATTCTAGCTGCAACTTAAGAACTACCCTGGGGACGTGGAGGATTTCGCGCTTGATTTCACCGTCACGGACACCATTCCGATTCCCGGGGCGAGCAATCGGACAGTGACCAAAGATCTGATCTCACAAGGCTCGACCACTGCTGTGACCAACAAGAACCGATTGGTGTATATTTCCTACATTGCCCGCTACCGCCTCCAACTCCAGCCAGCTCTCCAGACCAACGCCTTTTTGCAGGGGCTGGGCCAAATCATCCAGCCCGCATGGATCTCCATGTTCAATCAAGCCGAGTTGCAAACGCTGGTGAGTGGCGAAACAGGCGACATTGACGTGGAGGACCTACGACGCAACACGCTGTATGGAGGCGTATACACGGTCGGAGATGATCTCCAGGAACACCCGACTATCCAGCTCTTCTGGGAGGTGATGCACCAGATGAGCAACGAGGAACGTCAGCAGGTGCTGCGGTTTGTGACCTCCACCCCTCGAGGTCCCCTGCTGGGGTTCAGCCACCTGAACCCGCGCTTCAGCATCCGCGACTCCAGCGAGGACCAGGAGCGGCTACCTAGCACCAGCACCTGTGTCAATCTGCTCAAGTTGCCGCGGTACTCGAATGCCGAGACCCTGCGAACCAAACTGCTGTATGCGGTGAGTTCCGGGGCGGGCTTTGATCTGAGTTAATTGGTTCTTTGTCTTCTGGTTGTGGCATATCAATGGCGTTGAAGATATCATCCATAGATCTATCTCCGTAATGTTGTTGTTCATCCACGCCACCCCAGCCCTTAAAGCGGCAATCCCGCTTTCCCCATTAGGCCTAGCGCGTGCCGTCCCTTCCTCCGTCTGAGTTTTCCAGAAGAACCCGAAAATCATTGGGCCAAGCAACTTTTTTTTTCCCTTTCTCCTCTTCCTTCTTCATCCCCCTTCGTCTGCTCGCTCTTTCTTCTGGGAAAGTCTCCTTTTCTCTTCGATCTCGAAAGAAAACCCCAAAATCCCAAAAAAATCAGAAAACCCTTGCAAAAAACCCCATCTCTCTATTTTATCTTATCTCCCTCCCTCCCCCGGTTGTGCGGTGTGTTTGTGTGGAAGATTTTCTTTCAACCACCGCCTTCGCCTCACAGAAACTGATTCTCTGGTCCGTTGTCTTCCCACCCACCACCCCCTTCGGTCCAACTTCTCGACGCGTTCAGTTTTCGCTGACTGTTCTCTCAGTGTGTTCTGATCCCTTGCAGTCCATTTCGACTTTCTTGCGTGGAACCCGTTGCTGTATGGCCCTCCCCTTTTTTCCCACCAGTCCTCCCCCCCTTCCCGGTCGTCCGGCTTTCCTGCTGGCTACCTGTCATTGAAACTGCATGAAGAAGTCTGCAGTGTAACCCTCATCGGCCTTCATCCATCGTCTTCTCCCCACACCGTCACAGACCATCAAAAAGGAAAAGTTACTAAGACCCTCGCTAGATTCACAGCAATCCAAAATGTCTGCCGAAACTGCTACCGCTCCCGCCAATGACACCCCTGTCAACGGCACCCCCGAGGCCAACGGCGCCCCTGCCGCTGCCCCTGCCGAGGGCACCTCCGGCGAGGGTGCTGCTGCCAACGCGCAGCCCCACTCGGCCTCGCTCTATGTCGGTGAACTCGATTTCTCCGTGACCGAGGCCATGCTCTACGAGCTCTTCTCCTCCATCGGCCAGGTCGCCTCCATCCGTGTCTGCCGTGACGCCGTCACCCGTCGCTCCCTGGGCTACGCCTACGTCAACTACAACAACACCGCCGACGGTGAGCGCGCTCTGGAGGACCTGAACTACACTCTCATCAAGGGCAAGCCCTGCCGTATCATGTGGTCTCAGCGTGATCCCGCTCTGCGCAAGACTGGCCAGGGCAACGTCTTCATCAAGAACCTGGACAATGCCATTGACAACAAGGCCCTGCACGACACCTTTGCGGCGTTCGGCAACATTCTCAGCTGCAAGGTCGCTCAGGATGAGTTCGGCAACTCGAAGGGCTACGGGTTCGTTCACTACGAGACTGCCGAGGCTGCCAACAACGCCATCAAGCACGTCAACGGCATGCTGCTGAATGACAAGAAGGTGTTTGTCGGTCACCATATTTCCAAGAAGGACCGCCAGAGCAAGTTCGAGGAGATGAAGGCCAACTTCACCAACATCTACATCAAGAACCTCGAACTGGAGATCGGCGATGACGAGTTCCGCACTATGTTCGAGGCGTTCGGTGAGATCACCTCCGCCACCCTCAGCCACGACCAGGAGGGCAAGAGCCGCGGCTTCGGTTTCGTCAACTACTCGACCCACGAGAGTGCGCAGGCCGCCGTCGAGGAGATGAACGAGAAGGACATCAAGGGCCAGAAGCTCTACGTGGGCCGTGCCCAGAAGAAGCACGAGCGTGAGGAGGAGCTGCGCAAGCAGTACGAGGCCGCCCGCATGGAGAAGGCCTCCAAGTACCAGGGTGTCAATCTGTACGTCAAGAACTTGACTGATGACGTGGACGACGAGAAGCTCCGCGATATCTTCAGCCCCTACGGCACCATCACCTCGGCCAAGGTGATGCGCGAGACCAACGCTGAGCGCTCCGAGTCGCCTGACTCCGAGGAGAAGGAGAACGAGGCCAACAAGGAGAACGAGGAGGTCAAGGAGGCCAAGGAGGAGGATGACAAGGCCGAGGAGAAGGAAGATGAGGACAAGGAGGACAAGGGCGACAAGAAGGGCCTTGGCAAGAGCAAGGGCTTCGGCTTCGTTTGCTTCAGCAGCCCCGATGAGGCCTCCAAGGCTGTGACCGAGATGAACCAGCGCATGGTCAACGGCAAGCCTCTCTACGTCGCCCTCGCTCAGCGCAAGGATGTCCGCCGCAGCCAACTGGAGGCTAGCATCCAGGCTCGCAACACCATCCGTCAGCAGCAGGCTGCTGCCGCCGCTGGCATGCCCCAGCCTTACATGCAGCCAGCCGTCTTCTACGGCCCCGGCCAGCAGGGCTTCATTCCCGGCCAGCGTGGCGGCATGGCTTTCCCTCCTCAGCCCGGCATGGTGATGCCTGGCATGCCTGGCGGTCGCCCGGGTCAGTTCCCCGGTCCCTTCCCCGGCCAGCAGGGCGGTCGCGGCATGGGTCCCAACCAGCAGATGCCTCCCAACTTCCAGGGTATGCCCATGGGCATGCAAGGTCCTGGTGGCATGCCTAACGGCATGGGCTACCCCATGGGTCAGGTCCAGGGCTTCGGTGGTCGTGGCGGCGGTGGCCGCGGTCAGGTTCCCGGTATGCCGATGGGTCAGGGTATGCGTGGCGGCCCTGGATTCGGTGGCCGTGGTGGTCCTCAAATGGGCCGTGGCCAGGGTCGTGGTCAGCCTGCTCCTGGTGGGCCGCCTGCCGGCCGTGAGGAGGGTGCCGCTGGTGGTTCCAACCTTCAGGCTCTGGCTGCCGCTCCCGCTCCTCAGCAGAAGCAGATGCTCGGTGAGGCTCTGTACCCCAAGATCCAGGCTCAGCAGCCCGAGCTGGCCGGCAAGATCACTGGTATGCTTCTGGAGATGGACAACGCTGAACTGATGGGCCTGTAAGTTTTTTCCTTTGTCTTTTTGCTCATCTTGACCACCTATACTAATCATTTTCCCAGGCTCGAGGACGATGATGCTCTGCGCGCCAAGGTCGACGAGGCTCTCAGCGTTTATGACGAGTATATGAAGAACAAGGGTACCGAGGGCGAGGCGACTGCCGACTCCAAGCCCAAGGAGGCTGCCGCCAAGGAGGCTTCCTCGGAGGAGAACAAGTCGTAGACAGGTCTCTGTGAACCTGAGATCGATCAGCCCATTCGGAAATCTTGGAACGTTGTTTTGATGAATGACTCTTTTTCTTTCTTTTTCCATTTTTTTCCCTTACCACCTTTTCCAACCCTAAACCTCTTATCGCCCGCCTATTCTCTCTTCCCCTACCTCTGATCCTGATATCCCTCTCCTGTTCGAAAAGTTTTCTGTGTTAGGCAGTGTCTTGTCACCTACCTACTGGTGTTTTAGTGAATGCGGTACGAATTCGGATTCGGTTTTCAAATCCCTTTTTTTCCAATCTCTATTCTCTCTCTATCTACCTAGTCTTGCCCAACAGTGTTGTCTGTCTCTCTGCGCGGACCGGATTCAACTGGATGGAAGAAAGAATCTGAGCCAACGCAGTATTCAAGATTCGATAATAGTCCTTCCTATTCCCCTCTCTCCCTTCCTTTCTCTTCTGGCGCTGGACGCAGTGCTCTTTGCTTTGGCTTTTTCTTTCTTTTGGTTCGAATTCTGGGAGGGAGTTCTGCCGCCTTGATTGGCCGTATTCGTCTTCTATACATGCGTGTCTCATAGATATCTCTGCTTTCTTCCTAATATAGGAACATTATTGGGTTTATTCTTCTTCTCTGCTCTCGGTCCGTGAGTTTGTATATTTTCTTTCCATCTCCATAAGACGGCCGCCAGCCAAGTAGTTCAAAGTCGTCGAGGTTAAATTATGCAATTTGTCGCCTAGGAGCTTGTCAGTGATTTCGAAATCCATTCAATTCATACGCAGTTCTATATTCAATGTCTTCCGTGTATCGATCTCCCAGCCTAGAATTCGGGTATTTGGTCGTGTCGGCAAATCTCTCGATGGGGCTCGGCAATTCGAATTATGGACAATCTCATTCTCTCCATAATTAAGGACTATGGGGATATAATATTAGCGGGCTGATCTCGGTTCGTACTCGTACAGAATCAGGGCGCTAACCCCGGACGAGCCGAGGCTTTCCCCTGATGATGAGGTAAACATCAACGGCAAGTGTAGAAAGACCGAAAGCCGAGCGTAGCTAGATTCAGTGACTGGTCTGCTACAAAAGACCACATTGACCTGCTTTCTCCAGGTTCATTTTTTCATTTGCGGGTGATCAGATCTATCTCACACAATTCTCACCGCCATGCCCAGCGCCATCCATCGTTCCCCCTTGCCCGACGCGGCACTTCTTAATGTTGATCTAATTTCGTACCTTTTTTCCAACCCGTACAACGTATCCCGCGACCGCAAGATCTTTATAGATGCAATCTCTGGGCGGTTTCACACCTATGATGACGTACTTCAGCGCACCAGATCGCTGGCATCTGGGCTTCAACAACTCGGAGTTCAGCCAGGCGACACCGTGGCTATGATGTGCCCCAACTCTATTGATTACCCCATCATCTGTTACGGCATAATCGGGGCTGGCGCAACAGTATCTCCATCCAACGCCGCCTATACCCGTCAGGAGGTTCATCATCAATTGCAGACAACCGGAGCCAAGTATCTTATTGTTCATTCATCTTTGGCGCAAACAGTCAAAGACGCCGCCAAGGGTACCTCAGTCCAAAGAATCATTATCCAGACGGACCATGACAGCTCTTCGGCTATGGACGGTGTCATGATGCCCACAATTGAGGATCTGATGGCTCAGAAACCAACGAAAGACCTCGTTACCACTCCAACCGCGTTGCTGGATGAGCGACCCGCATTCATATGCTTCTCCTCGGGAACGACGGGGCCAGCTAAAGGAGTCATCACCACTCATCGGAACATTGTGGCCAATCTGCAACAATGGGATGCACATTATGCTCGCGGAGAATCCAAGCCGCCTACCGCTGGTGTCGCATTTTTGCCTTTCAGTCATATCTACGGCATCAACTATTTTGTCTGCGGCGCAATCCTTCGAGGAATGACGACTGCTGTTATGGCGAGATTTGACCTGGATGTCTATCTGAACTGCATCCAAACTGTTCAACCAGAGGAACTGGCTGCAGTGCCTCCAATCATTCTCCTGCTTGTGAAGGATCCTCGGGTCGAAAAATATAATCTCAGCAGCGTGAGAAAAGTCCTATCGGCAGCAGCACCGCTGAGCAAAGAGCTGGCTGAGGCTCTCGAGGGCCGATTCCGGAAGCTGTATGGAACGACCGTTTATTGCCACCAGTCCTGGGGTCTAACGGAGACGAGCCCTCTTGCTACCGGAGTTCCTCCAGAACGGATGGTCGATAAAAGACACACTGTCGGCTGCATCACTCCCAATATGCAGTTCCGCTTTATTGATCCCGAAACTATGCAGGACGTGGACATGACAATCCAAGACAATGGACAGCTCCCCTTGGCAGAGATCCTGTGTCGTGGGCCAAATGTGACAAAAGGATATCTTGGAAACGAATCTGCCACAAAAGATCTGTTCCATGTTGATAGAAACGGAGACAAATGGATGAGAACCGGCGACATTGCTACAATTGACCAAGATGGCTACATCACAATCCATGACCGCATCAAGGAGATGATCAAGTACAAGGGCCTCCAGGTCATTCCCAGCGAGCTCGAGGGCAAATTACTGGAACACCCTGATGTTGATGACTGTGGTGTCACGTCTCAATATGTTGAGGATCAAGCAACTGAACTCCCTGTTGCCTTTGTTGTTCTTACCTCGCAAGCCTGGTCCCAGCCGCTAAATGTTGTTGCTACAAATCTGGATGGGTGGATCAATGAACGTGTAGCAAATCACAAGCGGTTAAGAGGTGGAATTCGGTTCATAGACGCCATTCCTAAGAGTCCCAGTGGGAAGATCCTCAGGAGAAAACTGAAGGAATTGGTTACGCGTAAGCCCGTCGCCTCGAAACTATGACCGGATTGCCTCTGGAATATGAGCAATCTGATATACCTCAAGATCAAAAAATTTCTCGTAATTGTGTCACCAAGATAGGTTATGTACATAGAAATTTATCAAAAATGTTTAAACACTATATCAAGGAGGATGGCAAAAACATCCAGGTTTGTATTATAAGGTTCAGTCTGGCCCGGTCCTGGTCAGCGAATTTGCTGGTTTTATAGAATCTAAAAATCTAGTCAACGATTGACAAGGCTTCTAGCTTGACTTACAGAATGTTTCGGACTTGGGGCTGGCATGTTTTCAGTGATAAAGGAAGCTTTGCAATGAATCCGGTTACAATTCAGGATTCAGATCAATATTTATTTCCTCGCTAAATTTGAAAATATATGATCTCTTGTCCTCTCTTAGAGGTAACCCACTTACCAGGATAAATATTGTGCTGATGGGTGGTGGTCGAAGGCCTCGGTTTGTTGACGTTATGACCATTAACCCTACATAGTGTATGCTTGTCATTCAAATTTCTCAATAGGAACAGGGGTGAGGTACATAACTCTTACTTAGCGAATTTAAAGAATGCTTAATATTTTTTGGAATGTTGCTTGGAATGTGGCAGATTCTCAGAATTGTTAAACCCTCGGGTTTGCCAACTTGGGAGATCAAGCCCGGCAACTACGACCAGACTTGTGAGGCTTGCATAGTACAATATGTGGATTCTGTCTTTCTGGCTTTTTCCAGTCATATCAGGCTGCATGTGGATTGGTAAGTGCTCAATATAGTGGTCGTAATTCACTAACTTGGGTTTTAGCCACGCTTGTGGGTATGCTTGCAAGCTGGACGACAGATGGGGATCCCATATATTCCACCATGGGCCCTGGGCTAACTATTCCGTACGTATGCTTTAATTCTAGAGCTATTGTCGCTATGAAAGGCTAAACCATCCGGTCTATCAGGTTCATCTCCCACATTGGGGCCGAAGGACTCAAGCCTCTTTTTATCGCAGGTTGCGCAGTCACTGGTGTTTTCCTGGACTTGGCCTTGCTTTCAGAGCGCTGGCTCCGACATTCAGGACAGCTCGCAAGAAACAGAGGAGTGTTTGATAAAACCTGTGCTGTTGGGTCTATCGTGTTCTCCGTCGCAGGAGCTTTAGGCCTTGTGCTCTTGGCCGTTTTTGACGTTAAGCACCATAACCATCTACACTACGGATTTCTCATTATGTTTATGTGAGTTCGGGAATTGATTTTATTGACTTGCAAAATGACTGACTGTTTCATAGATCCAGTTATGTGGTCAGCGCCATCCTGGTGTGCCTTGAGTACATTCTTATCGGCCGTTTTTATCGACCACAGCTACGAATATTACTCGTCAGCTTCTATATTAAGGCTTCATTCATTCTCCTTGAAATTGGTGTTGCAATTGGATTTGGCATCTGCATGAATGCCAAAACTTCTTCAAGGAAGAACGCAGCCGCTATTCTGGAATGGGGTATGTCTAAGCCCCAACATTGGGTGGAAATTTCATGGCTAATTCAAGCAGTCGCTGCTCTGATTTTTGCGTTCTTCGTTTTCTCTTTGGTGATTGACTTACTTCCATCTGTTCGTACTCGAAAACGAATACCCCAGGGAGAGAAGTATCCTTTCCCGAGTCTTGCGGCAGATTAAGAAGCACCTGTCGGTTATTATAGAATTTAATTTGGTATTAATAATTTATTACGAGTGTTAGACTCTTCGTGTGGAGATAAGTGAAACACCGGGGATCAGCTCCCGAAGACGGATCGTAGGGCCGAATGGCGAGTAGCTCAAAATATGCACTCCGCCGGTCTAGTGTAGATTATTGAGGCAAAGAGTGAGGAATGGAGATACCGCAGCTCTTGCGGGCGGGGTTACGTCCCCGTGAAGAATATTTCATTTCAAGACTCCAAATGAGTCACAAGTCACAACATCCGTGAATCAAGTAGAACTCCATCACTTCCAATTTTGTATTTCTATTAAGATTCCACCTTTGCCCGAAGGAAATTTACTGGTCTTCATTCGAAACTAACCCACCCTCGAGATGTCCCCCCCTCTCTCTGATCCGACTTTCTCCAACTATTCACATAACCAAGCCCAACAATATGCGAATTCTCGTTTGTCTTATTCCGCTCAATTATACAACACTATTCTCAACTATCATACCGAGACGCACGGCCAAGTGAATGTTCTAGCGGATATTGGCTGCGGGCCTGGTAATGCTACTCGTGACCTGGCCATGTTCTTCAACCATGCTATAGGCCTAGATCCGAGTGCAGAGATGATCAAGACTGCTCTTCTATCGGACGGCCTTACCCGAGCTGGCCGACCATTGGCATATGCGGTCTCAACCGCGGATAATATTGTGCATGGAATCACAGAAGCATTGCCAGCTGCCAAAGAAAATGGAGGAGTAGACTTGCTGACGGCTGCAATGGCAGTAAGTTCAAATTCCTTTATCTTGTCTCTTGTTGGGCCTTACTAACCTGACCATAGGCCCATTGGTTTGACATGCCTAAATTCTGGAAGGAAGCTTCTCGCATAGTCAAGTCTCGGGGGACTGTCGCATTATGGACCTGTGCATCTCTTTACTGCCGTGAGTTATCTATACTTATACTTGTAAGATTGACAATGGAGCGGAGCCAAGTGAAGCTAACACACCAAAATTCCAGATCCCTCCACTGTTAACGCCAAGGAGGTCCAACAAGCCCTCTTCCACCTTGAACGGGAGGTCCTGTCTCCATACGAACTCCCACCTAACCGCTTATCTCGTGATCTGTATAGCAATCTTGTCCTTCCATGGCATACGGGTGATGATAACGTGGCGAAGGAATTCCCAATTGCGGAATTTCGGCGAATGGAGTGGGATCGCGATGGCATCCTGAGCGATCAAGAACAATTCTTTAATTTTTCTCAAAAAAAAACGCTGAATGACTTGGAAGCAAGCCTTGGGACAGCCAGTATGGTGACTCGATGGAGGGAGGCACATCCTGAGCTTGTAGGGACCAAAAAAGACTGTGTCAGCCAGATGATTGCACAAGTCCGGACGGCCCTGGGTGTAGGGGAGGATGAGAATCCACTTATTACAGTTGGGACTGCCGTTGTCATTCTACTTTTCAAACGAAAATGATGATGCCACACATTTCCTACAGGGTCTATGTCGTTACCATATTAAGCTTAATCGAACCTGTCAGAAATGACATCAAATCCGGTTCCCTATTACTAGCCTAGTTTGGTTTGTGCATTCAATTAGTATATAATTTTAGTCCTCTATAGAATCAGAGAAGAATGAGGCTTATTCCTTGGTTAGTGTGAAGGGTTATCTTAGTTGATATGCTCACTAATCAAAGTAACCAAGGTTTTGTCATCAAAGCTCGCATGGCTTAGTTGGTAAAGCGCATCACTAGTAATGATGAGATCCTCGGTTCGAATCCGAGTGTGAGCATTTCTTTTTTGGTTTTGTAATTAATTTTTATTATTTCCCGCTTTCTCAAATTCATCGCCAACTTCCTATCGCGTACGATAATCAACGGTTTTCAATTTTCACCACGACTTCCCTCTACTTATGGTAATCGACTCCATCGTTTACACCTCTACTCTACGCGCTAGGCCGACTCAGTATATTTCCATAATTGATCGCTAGCCCCTAGAATCCAGGGGCTGGCAAGGTATTTGTGAATAGCCCTTTAACCTAACTCTTCTACGCGTCCCTGAGGATCCGTAGTGCGTTCGCGATGAGAATTGATGTGAATGAGGTTGATTGGTGTCATGAGTCTCCATGATGAACATCTTCATTGTCTGGTCCCATAGGCTGCCACCGCTGAGCAGCCAACCACAAGGCTCGGGCGCAGAAGGGTTCCCTACCTTGTCGATCTTCAGCAGGTGGTAAAGCTGTAGGTGTTTAATTGATATCTTATTACATTTAAGTTCCTCTAGCAAGTCATATACAGAAGTAACCATCCGCTTCAATCACAGCCTGAATACGGTGGGGCATTGTCTGATAATCGCATTAAAACTTGGCCCATAGTATTTAACCACATAGGGCGCGCAGCATATCGCAATCGCTAAAGCGCCTGCTCAATAAATTTTTAGCGTATATTTAAACTTTCGACAGAGGCCGTACCCATCGAAAATGTGGTGCTAGCGCCAGTCAATGCGCAAGGCGTCCCAAGAGCAGGGACCGCCTATGGTCCTGTAAGGTGGTACATGGTGACGCCAAGGCGTTTAGGGCTGTGGAATACGTATTCATCGTGGCCATATCAGCTCAGGTTGGGCTTTCTTCTGCTGCCCGTCTGCTTCACTGGGTAAAGTGCGCCGTGGAGCCCAAAACATTCCCGTCCCGGCACATCAAACGTCCACCATTGGCTGAGTCGTTGCCGGAGAGACTTGTAGACCGCCTTGTTTTCTTAACTTTCGGTGTCCTTCTGCTACATATCTTCTTGCGTGTATTTTTTGCTGTTCACGATGGCCCCACGGGACTAGCTTCGCGCAGGACGATATTTGCATCTGTCACGCCTGAGGGTCGCGCGTCTCGCCTAGAACCTCAGCCTAACTACGCCACACTACGCTACACCCTTTTTTTAAAACGAGGATGATCCTCCGTTGCTTACGTTCTTAATTTATTCTTATTGTTATTGTTATTCTACTTTTTGTCCTTTAAAGACTGCCATGGAGGCCCGCATGGATGGCGATCTGAACTCGCTATGCCGGAAGCCCGGTTTTGTCTTTGAACAATTTGACAATTTCGCGGCCTGCTTCAACGACCTACCGAATAATCAAACTTTTAAAGATCTTGTCCAAACCTGTGTCCGTGATTACTGCAAAAACCCGGACAGCGATCTGGGAGGATGCCAGGGTCTCGATGCTTATCAATTTCCGTATGAATTCACGATTCGAAACGATAATGATTCATATACCTTCTATTCTGGTCCAGCCTGTGGTGGAATCAACTCGAATGTCAATGCAGATATCGGCGGGCCTGGGGTAAATCCAACGTGTTGCTATGTTCGTGTCTTTTTCGGAGACTAACTCGGTTCCTCCAGGCTGTTATTTCGTACTTGTTTCAGCTGGTTATAATCCTTTACCTCTGGTTCCTTCTACGTACATTCAGTTTCACTCCTCGAATGTTCCGATTTGCTGGTATTCTTGCGGCTCGATTGAAACGAGGTCAAGCCAGAAAGAACGCTGAGGCGCTAGAACACAGAACTAGAGAGTTTCTGGCTGCGCACGGATATGTCTTGAAATCCATTCTGGTCGAGTATCAAGAGGCTCAGTGTTGGTTTATGATTGCATGCCAGGCTGCTACCATGTTTGCCATGAAATACAAACAAGTCTTCGATGCCTCGACCCTAATGTCCTTGTTAGCGAACAATTCAGTTGCGAATATGGTCGCTGCTGCTGGTATCCTTCCTGTCGTCTTTGGTCTGTGGAGTTTACTGAGGATGCACATGTGTTCCACTTGGATCTTCTTCCTTTCGACCATCACCCTCATAATGGCGGAAGTCGCATTTATAAGGAATGCCACTAAGTGGCCAAATATCAACCGTCTTGCGGCTCTTAGTGGGGATTGGCCAACTAGCTGTGGAGGCCAACCCCCTCCTATCAGATGGTGTGCAAACCCAGATTTTATGCATCACCTAACAATCCCGCAGAAATTGTTTGGCTATGCTCTCGATCCCTTCTGTTTCGTGGTGTATGTTTTTTGTCTGGTCGAGTGGCTGGTCCCACGCCTAGGCAAATGGATTCGAATTGACTCCATTATCGAGAAATCTCCTCCGCTCTCTCGACTCTTTAGTGCGTTTCAACATTTCCGGGCCTCGAGGCGGTTCCTATACGGCCGCAGAATTTTTCTCACTGCTGTCGAAGTGCTTCTGCTCGTGGCTTCCATTGTATATGTGGTAATGTTTATTCTGATTGCCGAGGCTGGAACAATTGACATAAGTGGGTGGTCCTTCGGGCAAATTCTCGCTATCACTCTCTGGGCCCCTGTTATCGGCAAGTACGTCTACTGGACCATGTGTGAGTTTACCAATATGTTTTGCACTCTTCTGATATAGATATTAACTTTCCCCAGTTGGTACCGAGTCCTACTCGGAAGTCCGCGTTGCCGCCCCGTACAAAATCGTCAAAATTGGAGAGAACGAAGACGATGATGGACATGATAAAGAGTATGATCATGATCATGGTCATGATAGTCCTTCACCTGTTCTTCCCTTGAGTTCTGAGCCCCTTTCGTCTGATCAGAAGCAAGATTATATGACTCACGAGAGCCAGTTACGTGCTTAGTGGCAGCGAAAGGACGACTATGCTGTTGGAACCTGACGTCAAATCTGCTTGGTTGGTACAATCCTAGTTTCCAACTAAGCCTTTGACAAAAGATTCCCTCCATTTGAATTTATAGTGGCTGCTCTTTTAGCCCTCTTAGCCTTGCCTTCTCTTTTCAGTCACAGGCCAAGAAGCTCACGTGTTAACATTTGGGTCGCTGCTATACCTGCATCCCCACTACTCCACCTACTTTATGGGAAAAACAGATGGCTGGTATTATGAGCGGTTATTCTTTGGATCCCATTACCAACTGTCCTCTTCCCTGTCTCTCTCGCAAATGGTACCCAGGGATTCCTCGGCAGGCGGACCTTGTAAAACACCTCTTATCAACACCTGGATCATGCGTCTTCAACGGACAAAGTGACGTCGTCATCCTTCGGAGTGACATTTTCATACTTAAATGTTTGGTTAGGGGCTTCGTCTTCCTTGTCTCCGTGGAATCTTAATTATGAGCCTTTGGTTGCGGGTGGTGAGGGGGGCATGCTCGGACGTTTTAGTAGGTGCATTTTCCTCCTCGTTGCCGAAGAACTCGAATTCTGGACCACCACAAGGCTCGCAGGTACGGTAGCATAGGAACAGGTCAGTCGGTGCTTCATCCTTGTATCGAACGCTGTAGATCTGCGACGCTCAGACTTCTAAGACGCCGGATTTGTTGGGTTTCTCCTTCTCTCTCTTCCACGCGCATACAGGCAGCAATGTTAACTTCCTGAGGGTTGCTATTGTGTCTTAATACCCCTTGGATTGAGTCAAGTATATATAGAGTATTCAAAAACTATTTGAAAGCGGATGATTTAAAGATATATATTTGTGGCGTTTGGTCGCAAAGTCCTTTGGTCAGATTATAAACTGCCATTTCAGGCTAAATCAAGTCACAATATAACTGTCTGTCATATTATGAAACAATCCTACAGTAGTTACCGAGGAAAAGTAAAATGTGATCGTTGAGATAGTAGTGAATCGCATTTCTTGACTTTCCAATGGCACCTTTTTAGAGTGGGTCATTGCCAACGCGGTTCACCCAATAATAAATGATACTAGATCCCAGCCCTTCAATAATTCGCTCGCATGGCTTAGTTGGTAAAGCGCATCACTAGTAATGATGAGATCCTCGGTTCGAATCCGAGTGTGAGCAATTATCTTTTTCCGTTTGGCCTCAAAAACCCGCCAAAATAGTTCGCTCGCATGGCTTAGTTGGTAAAGCGCATCACTAGTAATGATGAGATCCTCGGTTCGAATCCGAGTGTGAGCAATTTTCTTTTCTTTTTGTCCCTCCAAAACCTGCCAATCTATTTATATCGTATTTTTAGGTAGCCATAAATATAACCATGGGAGTAGACGCTCTTGAAATTTCCAGGTTTGCAGCGCAATCTATTCTCTCTCACCATTCATTTACTAGTACATATCGGTATCGCGCATCTCCGTTTTCCATATCCACAATGGTTTGGTTGGCCTCTTTCATCGGCCGCTCCTCAATCCACGGTTGGATATTCTTCGCTGCCGCCAAATCCAGCATCTCCCGAATCTCGTCGGGGCTGCCAATGAGAGACCCACCAAACTTGATGCCCTTCATAATCAGCACACCCGCGGGAATCGCCAGGGCACCATCCTCTGGGTTGCCAAGCTGGATGAAAGTGCCGTGGGTACGCAGTAACTGGATATACTGCACAATGGGCATTTTGGACGACGAGACGGTCGAGATGATCAAGTCCAGTGACTGAGCATGTTGCGTATTCCAGTCTGGATCTTCGTCCGTCGCGATGTATGCGTCGGCTCCCAGCTTCAGCGCATCGGCCTTTTTGTTGGTCTTGCGCGAGATGGCCACGACGCGGTCGGCACCAAGAGCTTTGGCGAAGAGAATGCCAAAGTGACCGAGTCCACCAACTCCGACAATACCGACGGTCTTTCCAGGTCCGCAGCCGTTGCGCTTCAACGGCGAGTACGTCGTAATACCGGCACACAGCATCGGCGCCGCCGCAGCTGAGGGAATAGCGTCCGGGATGGAAATGACAAAGTGCGAGGGCACGCGGCTATAAGTCGAGTAACCGCCATACGACTTGCCACCGTTGGCATACGTCCCGTTGTAGGTGCCGACCAGGCGGTTGCAATGCTGCTCCAGACCAGACGCACATGCTTCACAGTCGCCGTTGCGGTTCAAACATGCGCCACTCTGGGCGCCAACGCCCACGCGGTCACCGACTTTGATATTGCCCTCCGCTTGGGAGCCAACGCGGACAGCGGTGCCGATCACTTCGTGGCCGACGCAGCATGGGTAATTGGTCGGACCCTAGTGTACCGATTAGCCATGATTTTCCATACAGAGGCCCATTTGACAAACCCATCCAGAGCGTAGCGTGTGCATGTCCGAGCCGCAGATACCGCAATGGGTGACGCGGATGTCAATGTCGGTTTCCTCCCACGGCTTAGGCTCAAACTGCTGCCAAACCATCTTACCATCGGCAGCACTCTGGTCGAGGCCCATCCAGCCTTCAAATTTATAGTCGGTTGTGGCCATGATGACAGGTATAGGACAAGGTCAACAAATAATGAAGTGCAATTGACCTCAACAACAGCAACCAGGCCGCTCTTTTAAAAGAGCTAAGTGGACCCAGCATTATCAGTAATCCATGATGAAGAACTTTCCAGCAACCATTTTTGTCATCCATCTTGAAGAAATCTGAGCTCCACTGGACCCATTGCGGGCCTGTCATCACGGCCTTAACGCGATTAATTCCGCAAAGCCGCTGACCCTAAGAAAGTTTTAGTAGTTAGAAGCAATATTCTACACGATACTAAGGGAGCGTTTCCCAGACCTCGTACTCTCAGGGATATCTATACGAAAGCGAACATAGTAATTATAAGAATGAGCGCATGTTTTGACCTACGTCAGCGAAAGGAGAAAGTGGAGCGGAAGAGCCAATGAGAATGCAAAGAGGGCCCCATAATGTCTATCGACTAGTCCAGTCTTCCAATTTTGAGGATTCAGTAAATCATCTCGGTCTCATTTGACGAGGTATGCTGGACCGAGTGCCGTCTGCTATTTGTCCCCAGGGCTTGTTGACTTGAAAGAGCCGCGGGGTCAATTCGCAACATCGGTGTATCAGGAAATAAATCTAGATTGCTGCAATGATTAGCCACATCAGAAATTTTTAGAGTACAGAGGTTTAACTTGCTGCCGGTGAGACTAGGCCGAAATAAGGTTGGTCTAATTTTTGTACGAACTGACGCGACCTGGATAATGACTGATCAGTAAACTCGGAGAGGGTTTCCTCGTTCGCTTGATTACGGATCGTAGTTGTCGACCAGTCATTTCGGCCGAAAAAGTATGGAAATCAACTATCCGACCGTGAGGAGAAAAGCTCTTGGATGAAGAACCTTTTGTTTCTTACCTTTAACCAGGCCTCCTTTGCCACGTGACTACCCTATTTGGCCCTCCCCTCATCATCTCCCGCTAGCGCTGTCACCCGATTCCCATGCATAAAGGGACACATCAACATCATGACAAGTGAAATCGACTCGAAGCAGTCGGAAGTGCCAAATGGCGGAGCCGATACCACAGCGACGATGCCTTCCGCGACTGAGAACAGCAAAACCGTTGATTCTGAAACCAACGCGCGGGTGAGCAGTGATGACCTGCCATCCCCAGATTCTTGTCACAAAGTCGAGAATTATACCGTACTGGACCGCAAGGGCGAAGCTCATCCGTTCAAGAGTCTTTATGATGGGCCCGATTCCGCCTCCCGTGTACTAGTGATCTTTATCCGACACTTTTTCTGTGGAGTAAGCTGCCTCTTATCTATCCCAGTCGGCCTGGCTTGATCAAGTTACATACCATTGAAAGTCAATCAACCAATCAAGGGTAGAACTTCTGAGTATGAGTTAACATTTTTTTTGACATTCTTCTACTACCACAGAGCTGCCAGGAATTTCTTACTGCCCTCACAAATTCAATTCGACCAGAGGATCTGAAACGCCTGCCAGTCAGCACATCAATCTCTATTGTCGGCTGTGGCGATCCTGGCCTGATCAATTTTTATGCCACTGAAACAGGATGCCCATTCCCGATCTTCGCAGATCCAACTCGCAAACTGTATGATGACCTTGGAATGGTAAATACTCTTTCCATGGGAACCCGCCCAGATTACATTCGCAAGAGTCTAGTACGAACTGTCGCCGAGTCAATTGGGCAAGCTCTGAAGCACATTCCTAGTGGGCTGGGAACGAAAGGAGGTGATTCTCGGCAGGTTGGCGGCGAGTTCCTCTTCGAACCAAGCGACGAAGGAGAGGGAAAGCAAGTGACCTGGTGTTACAGAATGAAAACGACGCGTGATCACACTGGAGTTTCGGAGCTGGTGAAGGTTCTTGATCCAGATGGGAGCACTCTGCTGCAGAAGGCTTAGGGGCTTTCTGTATTGGGGGTTGCAGCAAATCTGAGTGCGAGCACCTCAAGGCTTAGGGATATAGCAGAATAGATGTGTGATATGAGAACTGCCTGTCGATAAATAACTTTTAGCAGTTCAGCGAGAGACTATTACTATTGCCTTTTTTTTTTGCTTGTTTGATCATTCGGTGACGGGATTATTGGATCTAATTTACATATTCTTCAAACCTTCTGTAAGAGGGTAGTTTCTAAGGTATACAGCACAGAACCAATTGCACGAATAGCAACGTGTGCAATTCAATCTCCGTCAACAGGGTTATGACCAAAGGATTAAACTGTGAGAGACTTGGGAAAGGTTTATGCAGGAAATTAAATCTAGCTCAAAAAACCAAAAAACCAAAACCAAAAAATGAAGGCGAGTGATGGCCATAATACTTGTCGGAAAAAGGTTGTTGTGGTTGGTTGGTTTATGAAGGAATCGTGGACTCATATTCCAACACAGCCGGATGCTTCACCCTCCCGGTGATAACTTACTCCAATCACTCTCAACGCCCTGCTCAACATCTGGAAACGGGCCCATAGGCGTTATAGCTTTTGGATTAATATCTCCATGACTTTTCGTATACTGGGTAGTGTCAGCTTGGGTCATTATGGGAAGAAAGAAAGAGAGGTAGCACATTTTCTTTGATATGTTTGAAGTTGGTCGATGCCCGCGCTGCTTCCACGTTCCAGTAGATGCCCTTCAACCAATTATTCAACACTGGATAATCATGTCGGATGGTGCCCAGATTGCACTTGAAATGTTGAACATAGACAGTATCAAAACGAACCAGTGTCGCATACAGTCGTATATCCAGCTCGGTCATGTCGCGTCCCAGTACGAAGGGGCCGCCATTCAGTGCAATAATACTCTCAAGCTTGTTTAGTGCACTAAAGACGGGAACGACATTCTTGTCGTAAATTTCCTGCGAGGGTGCAAATCCCGCTTTGTAAACCCCTGTATTGATGTCCGATTGCATCCAAGGGGTAATGGCGTCAATCTGGGCACGCAGATGCGGTGGATAAAGATCAATCTTGCTGAGAGATGCTGGCAAAAGCTCATTGAACGCCGAAGGAAGCCAGCGTAACAGCTCAGCACTTTCATTGCAAACCGCTGTATCGGTCTTCTTATCCCACAGCAACGGCACAGAGTACCGCCCTTTGTATTCCGGATCTGCCCGGAAATACAGCTTGTGTAGATAGTCCTCTCTGTAAAGATGGTCGACTGTCGCGCCGGGATATTCCTCATTGGAGCTGGGAAAGCGCCATCCTGGCCAACCATTTTCGTCGCCCTTTGGATACGGCTTGACTATGCTGACGTCGATGAAGTCGGTGAGGCCTTTAAGGTGACGCACGAAGTTGGCGCGGTGCGCAAAGGGGCAGAATAGGCCGATGTATAGGTGATAGCGGCCCTTTTCAGCGGGGAATCGGTTGCTGGGAATGATGCCGTGCCATCCGTCGGCTGTCGCGGGGTCGTGAATTAAATCTGATTGGGTCGTCATGGTTCGATAGTCTTGAGCGGCTGAGTAAAGGCGAGAGTATATGGAAGTGTATTGTGCAAACGAAGGGCGACCCAGTACCACGCGTTGAATTGATCGATGCATGGTGTATGTTTATCTTTTGATTGATAATGGACGACGGAACAATTCCGGTTACGTCATCGAAAGAAAGAAAACAGTTGAACATCGATATTATTTTGCAGGTGTCAGGTTTACATCCCACCTCGCAGCTAAAAGACCGACTTTTGTTGTTGCAGGCAATAATATCCTCGACCCTCATTTCGCGTCAGATTGTTTAGAGCAACCTGCCTGCTGCCATGAAAATCATTTTGTACGTTTTCAACCTCTTCTAGTGATCTGTATGAGAGGCTGACCGACTTTCATAGGGAGGAGCTATCAACCTTGGATGTGTTGCAGATCCATGGCCATAATACAGTTCTAGCCGTTAGCCCGAAGGCAAAAGATACAGTTCCAATTTGAGGGTGCGAGATGTGATGCGGGCGTAGTTTCAATTTCCTTGGATACATTTTGTCGTTCTGGGTAATTTTCCGAAGGCACGCGGCAGCGGGAAGACCCGCATCTGGTAGTTCTCGTCCTATCGCTGAGCCTCCTTTCCTAGGGTCAGCGAATCCGACGTAAGACTGTCATTGTATTGAGCACACAGATGCAGTGGCTACGCGCATAGAAATACATCTGCCCTTTGGATTCACTGGGTCTACAGATTCATTAAGCGACTCGCCGATAAATACCTCTACATTAACGAAAGCCACCAGGAAGGTATGGCAGGTTTTACTTTCGCCTCTGCGGTAAAACGGGGTCTCTTCATCGTTAGACAATCGCCATGCGGACGCCGTCACATTTATGAGTTTTGCAGGTTGCACCGGGCCTACTTCCACGATACTGTACCCCTTGACAGCAGTGGCGACATGCCGCAGCGAAAATCCGAGTAGCATTTATCTGATCCTCCATCCAGGCCTACATTGAGATCTGGTGGCCCCCGAATGAGCAGACGACGATAGCGAGGAAGGGCAGGAGGGAGTCAAATTGAGGGAATTTGCGGAAAGCTTTTAGTGCAATAGATCAAACCAACATAATCATGTTCAGGCCAAAGTGATGTGACGTTGTGGCAGTAGGTTTTATTGTTGCGGGTGAGACAGCTCTCTCTCACCCGCAAGGCTGAATTTCAAGCAAGTTTGCATCGCAGAAGATTTTCGTCCTTCACGCATTAGAAGACGAATGCCATTTTGAATAACCATGAGAAATCAATAGCATTATACTTCTAAGCCACTATGCCAGCTCACCTTTCCCTAGGAGGGAGAGAGAAAAGTTCGGAATACAACGTCGATCCGATGCGCCGCTCCGTCGCGGAACTTTCGAGTCTCCCGATGCTCCGATCGATTGCGCGATCTATAAACTACGGGTAGTACCAGAATTTTTTCGTGGAACACTTACTTGACAGTTTCTTTTTCTCTTTGTCTCTCTTTTTTATTGTCTTCAGCTTCTTTCGAGCCTAACGAACATAGTTATGTGAGCATCGCATATTTTTGGCGTCGACTGGTTTATCTTCTATCTTCTGTCATCTGCCTGCTCTCTTGACTTCCTGAATACAGATTTATCATGCGCCCTGAGAGGATCTATGAAATGTCTATCACGATTTGGGCTATATATGTACCTCTCTCATGATCAAAACTCCGGCAGTGGCGGCATACCAAAGATACTGCCATCTGGCAACCACCCATCCAACTCCATGCCTGTACCAGGCATCTGCGGCGGCTGTCTTTGTGGATCAAAAGTAAATTGTGCAAGCCCAGCCGCTGTCTGCGGGTGCTGATAGCCGTCCGGAATGGACTGGAAGATTGCAGCGTTATGGCTTGTGCCATCGTCTGCGGGCCACATGCCAGCGCCGCTCATGGCAACATAGCCTTCGCGAATGCTTCCAATACCTGGAGACATATGAGCCATGCTTTGGGAAACAGAGAAGGAATCCATGGCGGTTGGATTGTGCACATGATCTACGGGAGGCGCTGTCGGGTCCTGAGTGGCAGGCATCTGGCTTGGCACAGATTCGGTAGATGGGCTCGCGGAGACGACGCCGTGTCCCACATTACTTGATTGAGCCGCATATCGCGCCTCAACACGAGTATACCAGTCGCGGCCCTTGGCCGCGACGACGTGGTACCACCGACTCGGGATCTTATAGTTGCCACCGCCGCTTGCCTCACCCAGCTTGTTTGATAGAGCGTCAAGATAATAGCTCACATTCACGGTGTCCGTGGTGACCACCTCGCTCAGAGCACCCGTGCGCACCGAGAAATGGATCTTCAGAAGCGAGGTCATTGCCATTATAGCGCGCGTATACATATGGTTGGGTATCTTGCGCATCGTGTCCGTGCTGCAGGCTATCAGGGCGTCGAGCATCTCATGGGCTGCATGCATCCATTTCATGTTGATGTCAATACGGATGGCACTCAGCGGTACCTGCAGACTCCCATCTCCGTCTGGGGTGGGAAGAGTGTAGAACCGGTTCTTGATGGAATCCGGTTCTCGGTACCCTTCTCCTATGCCTAACTCGTACACGGCGAGAATGGTGGCGCGATATTCGAGGGTCATGGGCACTGTTGGTCTGAAGTGAGCTTTGGCATCATGTAACCATGGCATTGCTCTTACCATTCAGCATCTCAGATGGGATCTTTCTTCTCCACTCCTCCACTCGTTTATCGAACCACCGCAGCACAGCCTGAACACGCGATTCAGTCAGCGTGGAGACAGAGCTGGTGTCATCCAGACCGAAAGATGCCATTGCTTCGTCGGTGATCCTCTGGAGCTCGAACCACGCCGCTAGGTGCTGGTCTATCCGGTTTGGCGATTGTTCCAAGTGTTTAACGCACTCGGCCATCCAGTCATTGAACTGGAGCAAATTGGGTCGGCGGGTTTTCATGGCGACACTATGCCAGTCAGTAAACCCTCCACAACAAAGCAAAGCAAATAACTAACGTAGATCCCAAATTATAGCAACCGAGAACTGCACGCGCCTGTTCCGCCAGCAGCTCGTCATAAGGCTCATACCGGCTCTTTTTGTCGCCGGACTTCTTATTTGATACGCGGCGCTTGCTGGCAAGTCCGATCTCCAAAGCCATGGTAGAGGCGATGTGCGTATACTGATAAAACTGCAGTCTCAAGGGAGAGTCTGGCGGATAATAAAAGACAATCATGAGCAGCAGCGCCTGCACCAGCTCGAGTGATTTTTCGCCGTCAATGAAGAAGCGTTCCGCATATAGTCGAACCATTTCCCGATTAAGAACAGCCGCTAGGTTTGCGTCGATGGCGATCGCCGCGGCAGAGATCACGGAGAGGAAGAGGATTGGCTTGGAATGCCGCAGGGCCGTCGCGGTGGTATTTGAGGGCAAGACGACTAGAGGGAAAAAGGGAGCGAGTTCGTGGTTATAAAATGAGACGAGTTGGCCCGCGTCTTCGAGGGAGATGATGCCTCGATCGACGACGTCGTCGTGAGGCTGGCGTATTTCGGGGCCTGGCGAGAATCTGGTCGAAATATATGGATGGCCGGTATTGTGGCCGGCATTCAGCAGCTCTGGCGAGTAGTCCATGAAACCCACAGAGCCCGAGGCGTGGCTTGACGAAGGCACTCGCTCCTGGAAGGGCATGTCGTCGTCGTTGTCTGCAGGGTCACCGTCACTGCCGTCCGGCGAATCCGGCTCGCTTTCTTCGCGGATACGATCTTTGAGCAGCGAGCGCATCATACGCATCTCCTTCTCCAACTGGGCGACCCGCGAATCAGTCCGCTTGCGCGGCCGGCGCCGTTGCGGAGCTACGAAAAGGCAGGCCTTTTTCCCCTTGGCGCATCGCTGGCACTGATTCGGCGTGGCCGGGTTGGGCAGACAGCGGACCTTGAGACTTCTACAAGACTCACAAGATCTGTTCAGCTGCTGCGCCGTGGGCACCGTCGGAGTTGCGCCTGGGTCACCATAGGGAGAAGTGGGCGTCTCTGTCATGTTTCACTTCTGCTAATGGGGGCGGAATGGGCGGTGATGATGGACGTTTCTCGAGTGAGTCAAACAGCCAGGGGTTGTGGCTTATTGGCAGGGGCTATATCGAGTCATTGTATCGAACAATGCAGCAGTCGTGGAGAGCAGAGCATAGATAGATGGCATTGATAGATAGGTAGGGTTGCTCGATCGGATCTCCCGGTCAGATCTCTCTTTCGCGAGATCAAGGAACTCGCGACAGGCCTTGGCGATCAAAAAAACATGTGAAAAAGGGTCGAAGTTTAAAGAGCGCGGCAGGGCAATTAGGTAAAGGATTTTCTGCGGGAGGAGCAGTCGAGTTCACCAGAGGCTGATGGGCCCATCCCCACAGCCGCCAGCCGGTACCAGCCCACCGAGATGTCAGGGTCTACTCCACTGCGCCTGTTTAGGGAGGAACAGGCACCAGAGTCTATGAACAGAGAGGTCGAGTCCACACGCGGAAGTCTAAGGTTAAACCTGGCGAATCGCCATCTCCACCGGGATGCTGGGCGGATCCACGGAGCTGGCACCCCCCGACGGTTACGCCCGACGCCCCGAATCGGGAGGGCGCTGATCTTAGTCAACCCTCGCTATCCCCTGCCTGAATAAGCAGCGCCCAGAGTTCGGTAAATTCGGTGAATTACTGTACGTGGTACGCAGTATCTGTGTACACCCAGTGCCTGAAATGCAGAGTCAGAAGCCGGCATATTCTATATTGTCCGGCCGTAGATGAGGGTATAAAAGCGGCAGATACGGTAGCTATGACATTGGTAATTCTCAAAGCAATTGAAATTATGAGTTCCGAATTACTACAGACCTTCGACACTGTCGCAACTGCCGTAGACGCCGGAGTTAGCGAGGACGACCGCAAGGACCTACTGCAGGCATGCAATAAGCTCATTGCCAAGCTGGAAAGTCCCCCAGACACGGCGACACGATTGCTCTTCTCGGTAAACCGGAACTGTACTAGTTACAGATTAGTCGCGGGGCTAACGTGGATACCAGGCCCACCAAGCAATGGCTGTCAGACTAGGTGTCGATCTGAAGCTTTTCGACGCGCTAGCATATGGTTCGACTACATCCGAGCAATTGGCGGCAGACACCAATAAGAATGCCGATCCGTTGCTTGTTAGTAAGTAGTCCAGTGATTACTTGATGGGGAAAGGATGTTCACCATCGCTAAGCGAGGATCATGCGATTTCTGTCTGCAATGTCCGTGGTCAAAGAGACCGAACAAAACGGATATGCGTTGACGCCCTTCGCCGCAGCTTTGCAGTCGTCTTCGCCGTTGTCAGCTGCATTCATTCATAGGTATGGATGCTTCATCTCCGAGGATAATGGGCCGGTATTCATATGGACTAGCACACATTTCTTGACTGTTCTGTCGAGACTGCCGGAGTACTTCCACCATAATGGATGGAAGAGCCCTGATGATGGCTTTAATGGACCCTTTCAATATGCCATGGGCACCGATGCTCATTATTTCGACTTTCTGAACACACATCCCTATTACCAGCAGGCATTCAACACCGTCATGAGTCTTCCATTCCGACGACGGGGCCAGGACTGGTTCGAGTTTTTCCCCGTCACAGAGCGCTTGAATGTGCCCGGTGAATCCAATGTGCTAATCGTCGATGTCGGCGGCAACCAGGGCGAGGACCTGAAGAAGCTCAAAAAGCGATTTCCCGATCTGTCGGGCAGGCTCATCATCCAGGATCTACCTGTCGTTGTAGAGGGTGCTCAAGATCTGCCACCTGGCATCGAGGCCCACGGTCATGACTTCTTCCAGCAGCAACCGATCTGCTACTCCAGGGCCTACTTCATGCGTACGGTCTTGCACGACTGGCCGGACAAACAGGCTCGCCTAATTCTGCGACGGCTGCACGCAGCCATGGGCTCAGACTCCATCCTGCTCATCAACGAAGCCATGCTCCCGGAGGAAGAGGCACCGCTGGGATCCGTGCTGTCCGACATGCAGATGATGGGCTCCTTCGCGTCGCTGGAACGGACAGAAGGGCAGTGGCAGCAACTGCTAGAGGCATCGGGGTTTGACCTCGTACGAGTTTGGCTTCCCGATGGCTTTCAGACAGACCACGCCGTTTTGTTCGAAGCTCGCAGGAAGACTTAGCTGAATAATACCCATAATGGGCTAGTATATGTCCTGTAGATAACACCACGCAATGAATTATCGATGGGCAGTGTCCTTCGGTGCCACGGCAAGCGGGGATGATGCAATCGAGACATGGGTCCTGTCGCCACACGGTGCGCCATACCTTGACGAATTGAGCTTGGTCTTTTATTTGTTGTTGTTTCTGCTGTATTTTGTATTCCCGGGGGAGAGTACCCGTATACGATATGAGTTAGTTATTGGGCACATGCCTTTGGGTTCAGCCGTGCCACGGCCAGTTGGAGCATGGAGGGATCGGCAGGAGTCAAGGAGACACGCTTAAGGAGATGCTTATTTTTGACGGGATCCACCTGACTTAGTTCGGCAGTTGCTCTTGTGTGTTTGCCCCCCCCCACCTTTTTGTCTTGCTATTTTCTCTATTGTATATAATACAAATGTACCCCTTGTGGTTTTCTACCAACGATGCCCTGTATAACAGATCCCCTACGGTGATATCTAGTCAGCTGCATGCGACTCCTGGTCGTCAGGGAACACGAGAGCAACAGGCCAGTTTCCACCGAGACATGGTTTCGTCAGTTTAACCAACATCCCTCGTAGTTCCAAGCGGACTCTTGGGATGCTTAGATGGATCATTACATCTCACCGATCTTATAAATGCCAGAACACGTGACTCGCCCCGACGGAATCTTATCGCCATTAGTCAGGCGACCCTTGATCGGCCAATTAGAAATCCAAAATCCGGCCCCAACCCGGCGATGACTCGATCTCCGTGAGCTGAAACTTGTGCTCTTCTCATCCAAAGTCCATGCTGCACAGCCCGATGCATGTGTCAAGCCCGCCCTGGATCCCTCCCATCCCAACACCATGTCGTTCTCGTCAGCGTCCCCCCAGCAGCAGCTGAACCTCTCCCCCGCCGCTAGCGACAATTCCCCGAAGGCTTCACAGCCCACCTCGACGATCGATGCTCGTCCCCCGGCCCTGGAACATTCCAGCTCGCGGAGCTGTGTGACCTGCCGCCGTCGGAAGGTCCGGTGTAACAAACGATCGCCATGCTCGAATTGCGTCAAGGCTGGCATCGACTGCATCTTCCCCCCGCCTGGCCGAGCCCCACGGAAAGCCAAACGACCCCCGGACGTGGAGTTGCTTTCACGACTGCGTCGCCTGGAAGGTGTGATTGAACATCTGAGTGGTAATGGGACAACTGCAGATGCCATCGCGAACGGCTCCGCTGCCCAGGAGGGTGCGCCGTCGTCGACCATTCCGTCTACTACTCCAACCGACTGGCCTGCTGCTGCTCCCGCCACCGTGAGCGCGCCCCCTCAGTCTCAAGCCCAACAGAGTGGGTGCCCTTTTGAAACCGATCCCAAAAAGATTTCAGCGGGTAAATTTGAAAATGAATTTGGAAGGCTTGTCATCGATGAGGGAAGGAGTCGATATGTTAACAATCGACTCTGGGCCAGTCTAGGTGACGAGGTATGTCGTCTGTCGAAAGCTACGATGGTAGCTCTGTATACTGACTGATTTCAGATCGAGGAACTTCAAGATATTCTAGACCACTCCTCGTCGGAGGAAGAGGATACCGCATCCCCTGAGTCGTCGACTTCGGGTCATGAGGGGTTTTTATTCGGCTTCTACTCGCTTTCACACTCTCTTCGCGAACACCACCCTCCTCTGCCCAAAGTGTCAGTACTATGGGAAGCCTACAACGAAAACGTCGCTCCCTTGATTGTCATCGTACACAGGCCGACTGCACGCAATCTGTTTGTCGAGGCGGCACAGCACCCGGAGACTCTGGACAAGAATTCGGAGGCGTTGGTATTTGCCATGTATCTGTCTGCCATAGTCAGCATGACTCCTGCACAATGCATGAACAAATTCGGGGAGGACCGCGAGATTGCCGTCAAGCGGTACCGGTTTGCCGTCGAGCAGGCGTTGGCAAAGGCGAATTTCCTCAATACCCAAAGTTTGGTTCTCTTGCAAGCTGCTGTTCTTTTCTTGATTGCTGTCCGACGAGAGGACGACAGCAAGTTCGTCTGGTCCATGACCTCCATCGTGCTCCGCCTTGCCCAGAGCCTGGGGATACACCGCGACGGCACGAATTTCGCTCTCAAGCCGTTCGAGACGGAAGTACGCCGACGTCTGTGGTGGCACCTTGTCCTGATGGATTCCCGGTCGTCTGAAGATCATGGCACTGACCCACTGATTCATGAAAGCATGTCTGATACCCGGCTGCCGTTGAACGTTAATGACGACGAGCTTTCTCCTGACATGGTCAATCCACCCGAAGAGCGAGAGGGTTGCACCGACGTGACATTCCTTCTCATCCGCTGTGAGATTATTGGGGCTCTACGGCGGGCAAATTATGTCTGCCCCGGTAGCAAATTCCGCATGGGTGGAGACGCCCCGTCCATCAATCGCTGCGAACGGATGATACAGATCATCAATGACCGTGTCGAAGAACGGTATATCAAGCAATGCGACATGAATGTGCCTATTCACTGGGCTTCTGCAACGGTTGGACGCCTCATTCTCGCGAAGCTGTGGCTCATCGTTCATCACCCAATGACGCGGAAAGACCGCGTCACCAACGTGTCCCAAGCTACTCGTGAAAGCCTATTTATTACTGCGATTGAGGTCCTTGAATTTGGCCGTCTCCTTGAATCCAACGAGAAGACCGCCAAGTGGAGTTGGCTGTTCCGAACCAACATGCAATGGCACGGAATAGCTTTCGTGCTCTCCGAGGTCTGTGTTCGCCCAATCTGCCCCCTCACCGACCGAGCCTGGAACGCCATCACGTCGCTGTACTCGGACTGGGAAGAGCATACAAAGCATAAGAAGAGCATGCTCTGGCGGCCAATGGCAGCCCTAATGAAGCGGGCTGCAGCAACCAGAGTCAAGCACCAGGAGGAACTGCGTGCCCAGTTCGGCTTCGCCCCATCCGTCACCACCACGACCAGTAGTGCCCCAAGTGCGTTCTGCGAGCACCCTCTTCCTCGCATCCATATGCCCGTCAGCCCGCCTACCCCGATATCTACGACTCAGACCGTTCCACCACCGGTGCCCGATAACTCACTGAATGTTGATCTCAGTGGTGGGCCATGGGAGGCTCTGCAACATATCTTCCCGAACACAAATATCCTAGCTACCCCCAGCGTCTTCGAAGTCCCTCCGCCTCAGGATCCCATTTCTGCGGCAAATGTGCCCACACCGCTGCCGTATATCAACACTGCCGTGGATCCACTTATGAGCCAGGATACTGTGCCTGCCGAGACCCAGCTCAATTGGGAGGAGTGGGATCAGGTTATGCGGGACTTCCAAATGGAGATTGACAAGTCTGGGTTTAACCCGTCGATGGGGACTAATGTGACTGAATGGTTTGCATGATTTGGATTGACATGTTTGGTACAGATTGGGTGAGGCGTTTTACTTACCATTGAAATGGGGTTTGTTCATTTGATGATCACGATGTGACGAATTGTTTTGGCGTTGAACAGGGACCCGGTTTACATTCCCTCCTCTCCTCGGGGTTGCCCTTCTTCCCTCCTATTTTCTGATCCCCACTCCTGTTTGGTTCATTGCACTGTACATCTAAATATTTACAAAACTTAATGAACGTCATGCCTGATGTATTTTGGCGGGATCCTATCGGGAATCAACGATTCTCTCTCGATCATTTGTACGCCTCCACGTGACCCGGCGATAACAGCAGATCGGCACAGCTCCATCCAGCTGGCATCATCTTCCACCTCCCAACCCGCCATTGCCATTCACCCAACGACTCGAATCTCTTCAATTCGCGTCGCCCCAAACGCCCTTGAACACCAATTGTACCTCCCCATTCATCCAGACACAACCCATTACCTCACACCATGCCCGCCAAACGACACGCGGCCTCAACCACCTCCGCAGCACCAGCATCACCAGCGCCCAACACTCCAACAGCACCTTCAAAAACGCTCTCCTCGGGCCCCGCAACCCTCAAATCCAATGCTTCCGCCGTTGAAATTGCCCAGCTCGTGTGGCAGCAGTACCTCTCCTCAACGCCGCAGCGAACCCTCCTCCTAGATGCCTTCATGGCGTTCCTCGTCCTGGTCGGCGGACTGCAGTTCCTGTACTGTATTCTGGCAGGCAACTACGTAAGTCTCTCTTCTTTCGCCTTGTTCTTGTCCCCGATCTTTGGGAATTGTTATTGCATTTCCTGCTGTATCAAGAAGAGAGCCGTCAAGCTAATCAAGCACCCCTCAAACACAGCCCTTCAACGCATTCCTCTCTGGCTTCAGCGCTGCCGTCGGCCAGTTCGTGCTGACGGCTAGTCTGCGCATGCAAACGAGTGAACCCACTGGACAGAGCAAGCCTAGCTCGAAGGGGAAGAATGCGCGGTTTGCGGAGGAGCCTGAGGACCAGGGCGCTGTGACGGCATCGCATGAGCGGTTAGTACCTTTTCCCTCTCCTATTTGAATCAATATGCATGTGGCTGACAAGGTTTTATAGCGCCTTCGCGGATTATATCTTTGGAAGCTTGATTCTACACTTCTTCTGTGTCAACTTTATTAACTAGGTTTGCGGGGCAAGAGGTGTGGGTGTGCATTGGCACGTTGGTTGCGTTTATTCTCATCGAGAAGAGATGTGAGGGTCTCTCGGGGTATCTTCCCTGCTGTCTCTAAGATCGATCATGGATACTTCGTGGACAATGTGCACTTCGAGCTGGGGGCCGGCGTAGAGTGCTTGATGTGCTCCGCTGGGTGGATGCTGTATCGTTGGTGAAAAGCCTAGGTTGTCCTGTATATCATCACAATTACGGAAAATGAGAATGAGACGAGTTCACCAATTACATGTTCTAGAAGTAGTCAGGAGGAAAGGATGTAATCAATCAGCGGGTATCTATGCAATAAATTCTGTCTTGGATACTCTGTGGCCCAAAAGAACATGTACATGTTCAAGCATTATGGCTCGATCAATCGTCGAGACCGAACTAACCAACCAGTCATTTATCAAAATGCGCGGCCGGGTCTCCGAGGTATTTGCGGCTTCTTCACAACGCTTCCACCTCCCGAACCACCGTTTCCACCACCAGGCCGGGAGGAAGATGACGAGGAAGAAGTAGTAAGGTAGCCGGGTTTCCGAGAGCCCTTGACCAAAGGTTTTCGCACAACAGAGCCTCCGCCAACTTCCACCTCCCTCCGACGGAGGGAGGGATCGTTGCGTTTCTTTTCACGTTCTTTCTCAGCAGCGGCACGCTCGCGGTCCGCAGCCATCTGGGTTTCGATTTCCATGCGTTTATTGAATTCCAATTCGGTAACGCGGCGTTCGCGTTGCGAGTAGCCTTTTTCCTTGACAGAGTAGAACACACCGCCGAGTTCGGCAAGCCAGTGGGGGTCTACGGCCGTCACGGTCGACATGTACTCCTTCGCAGTCAGGATCAACTCGTGATACACCACGTACTCTGGGACGTACCCGAGGCCATACAGAGCGCTGGTCGGGTGCAGGGCCATGGTGACGCTGGTGCGGAGGTTGATGAATTCGCCGATGCCCTTTACGCGCGCTGCTTGGTGGTAGAAGCCCGAGCAGATACACTTCCGAATGAAATCCCAGTCCGTGCCGCAGCTGATGAGCGGCATCTTCTGGACGGTCATGATGTCGTGGAGCTGGTCGCGAACTTCCTTGGCGCGCCGGAGGGTCTTTGCATGCAAGAAGTGTTTGACGCACCATCCATCGGAAAAGCCGTTTGCTTTCCACTGCGTGTAAACATGTAGCAGAGTAAGGTGGTCGGATTCCGGCACGAAGAATTTCTCGCGCGCCGCGTCTGACTCTTCTTGTCGCTCTCTGGGGCGGTAGAAAACGTTCGGCACGGACAGCATCGAGACGATTGTCAGCATTTCCTCGCTGCACTCGTACTCTTCCGCGGCCATGATGAGAAGTTTGGCGAGGGGAGGGTCCATGGGGAATGGGGTCATGCGTCGTCCTAGGTGCGTCAAGTCTCCCAGATTATCCAGCGCGCCTAGCGACCACAGTTCGAACAGTGAGGTGCTAATGGTTTCTTGTGGTGGCGGATCCATGAAATCGAAGTCGAGAAGGTCCTTGACACCCAAAGACTTGAGGAGCAGGACAGTATTGGAAAGACTCGTCCGCTGAATCTCGGGAATGGTTTGGATGTAGAGCTCGTTCTTGTATGCGGTCTCGGTGTACAGACGATATGCTTTTCCTGGCCCAGTTCGTCCAGCTCGTCCCGAGCGTTGGTTTGCGTTGGCTTGAGAGATTGGCGTGATTTGAAGTGTATCCATACCCATGCGTGGATTGTATACCTTGAGCTTCGAGTAACCAGAATCAACAACGAACATGATTCCGTCGACCGTCAAGCTAGTCTCCGCAATGTTTGTAGCCACAATGACCTTGCGCACTCCCGGTGCGGCTCTTTCGAAAATCTTGGCTTGCTGCTCTGCCGGCATCTGACTATATATGGGCAAAATGCTCAGCTTCGGCGGGTCGTTGAGTAACTTCAGCCGCTCGTCAACTAGCTCGCATGTTGCTTCGATGTCCTCCTGGCCGGTCATAAAGACTAAAATATCTCCCGGGCCTTGAGAGACATGGATGGCCAAGACCTGCTTAACTGCACTGTCCACGTAATCCTCGCAAGGTGTGCGTGAGAAGTGAAGATCAACTGGGAAGGTTCGGCCTGGGATGATGAATTCTGGAGCACCACCATAGAAGCGCGCAAAGCGCTCCGAGTTCATCGTTGCTGAAGTCACGATTAACTTTAGGTCCCGGCGTCGAGCGAGAACCTTCTTGAGTAGACCCATCAAGACGTCGGTGTTCAAAGCTCGTTCGTGTGCCTCGTCCATGATTATACAAGAGTACTTATCGAGATCTGACTGGGTCAGAGATTCTCGTAGGAGGACACCGTCGGTCATATCTAGCGATAAAAGTGTCAGCAATTCAGATAATACAGCAGGTCGGAAAGAAACTCACACTTGATCACCGTCTCATCACTTGTACAATCCTCAAAACGGATCGCGTATCCGACTGGCCCACCAAGCTCCACATCCATCTCTTCACTCACACGTTTCGCCACACTCATAGCAGCCACACGGCGAGGTTGCGTGCACCCGATCAAGCCAAACTTCGAGTAACCGTCTTCGTGCAGAAACTGTGTCAACTGCGTTGTCTTGCCGGATCCAGTTTCTCCTACAACCACCACAACTTGGTTGTCCCGAATGACCCGCAAGAGATCCTCGCGCACGGCAAAGGCAGGAAGATATTCTCGCTGCTCCCGCAGGGTTTTGCTTTTGCTGAAGGAGCTGGCACCCCCTCCGTCCTTTTTCAAATGCTGAGCAAATTTATTCCCGCTCTTGCCTCCCTTGTAGACCTCCTCGACCGGCATGGCGACAGCACTATCGCCTTCATCTTCTTTCACTCCCATCAGGTTTCCCAAGGCCGTACCCTTCATCGTAGTCGACTCTTGCGCCTGCTTCTGGCGCTCTCGTTGCTGGCGGCGATCCCTGACCACTTTACTTCCCTTCCGACTGAAGACCGCCATGTCGCTCTGTGGGTCGCGTACAGCAGAGATCGGCTCCAGCTGTTTCGTGAAGATGGTGCGGCCATCGAGGAACGGTGGCCGAAGATCGTGGACCAGCAAGTGGACTCGGGTGGCCTCTTCGTCGTCGACCCCAAAGTCGCCATCAAAGTCACGTCGCTGCGCGACACCGGATGTGAGCATGCGGTTGGTCTCCCAGTTGTCGATGTCTTTACGCTTGGCGTCGCGCAATGTTGGCGGGAGCGTCGAGCTCTTCAGCCGTTTGGCTGGAGGCCCCATATCGTCGCGAGCCATGGTGAGGTAATCTGGGGGCAGATCCAGAGAGGATGTTGTTCACCGAGATCGGTGTTGCTGGGAAGGAAGTTGCCGCTATCAAGACGTCCAGCAATTCCTATCGCAGGCAAACACTGCAAACTGATTATCTATTGTCACGTGATTTGACTTTATTTTCACTGGTTCGAGGCAAAGTGAGATGATTATTTATTTTAATAATTCCGAAGAAGATAGGCCCATTGTGTTGGCTTTCAATAGCCTAGGCTATAGTCGAGTCCATATATTCTAGGCGTGGGTGGATTATACCACTGCTCATAGTTAGTGGTGCCGTCACCCAAACTCCCTCACCACCGCCCCGCATCGTCCCTTCACCATCTTTTTGTCCCAGCGTTCAACAAGCCACCATGTCGAACCAGAAGCAGGTGGACCCGAAGAAGCAACAGGGTATGATTGATCCTCAACTCCCGATTATGAACCGACGGTTAGACTGACAACCCCTCCTACGCCCAGAGCTCCAGCACCAGTACGGCAACTTCAAGAATACCCTGCAACAGCTCGCGCAGAAGATCGGTGACATTGAACAGGAGGCAGAGGAGCACAAGTAAGTGGATGGTTGCTGAATGGACCCCCACCCAGACCACTAATTGCTAACTCTTCGTCTGGATAGACTCGTGGTCGAGACGTTGGAACCTCTCCCTCAAGACCGCAAATGCTTTCGAATGGTGAACGGCGTGCTGGTCGAGCGCACGGTTAAGGATGTACTCCCACTCCTCAAGACCAACTCGGACGGACTGAAGCAAGTGCTGGAAGAAATGCTCAAGCAATACAAGACCAAGCAGTCTGAGTTGGATTCGTGGAAGGTACGCACAGTCAATGATCAACCCGGAAGACTCAAGAGTCGCTAATCTTGCTCGTGCTTGCAGAAAAAGAATAATATCCAGGTGGTGCAGCCCTGAGGGTATCTTATCGTGTGTCTGTTGATGTATATTTGATCTCCGCTTCGTCTCCGAGCAGACGGCTATTGGCGTTCACGGGGCTGGGAACAAAGAGTAGACATAGTTAATGCAGCGTTGTTTCTCGAGTTTCGATGACTTCCTCCGTGTAGACCGGGTGTCTATGGTCCGTCTTTCCATAAAACTTGTATCTCAGATTACTAGTGTGATATTGCCAGTCCTCGTGGGTGCCGTTCCCGAGTTTTCCATTCTACTAAGAAACAATGCCCGAGGCCATTAAATATTCTTCCTCCTTAGTTCCTGAATGTACCCAGCCATGCAATTTTGGGTAATTATCACTCTTTCAACACACCGAGCTCACCAAGAATCTTTGCTGGCCCCAAATCTGTCCAGATTTTGAACATTTCTTTGTTTATTAATGTAGGCATGACCATCATTCCTGCCGCGTTGGCGCCTGCTCTAGCGAAGTTGCCTCGGCGTCGAGGTATCATGACCATCCACTCTGACCAGAACCATATTGTGCGGACACGTTGTTACCGAGTCATCTTTCGCGATCCCAAGTGCCTCTCTGCGTCTTTGGATATGCAATTGTCATGCAACACCGAGGGGACTACAAGGTGGCATAACCGTATCGTCTGTATCAAGCCGTGCTACAGCAAAGAAAAGCCAGACTCGGCCAAGAGCATCTGGATACTATCACCGTGATGCAAAATATCGTGGACGTCTCTCGTCGTCTCGGGGATCTGAAAGGCGCCGGAGCCTTGTTCGGCAAGGTTCTCGATGCCAGACAAAAGCAACTAGGCCCTGACCATATGGACATCTGTCGAACGGCCGAAGGTCTTGCAAACGTATACCGGGATCAACGCCGGTTCAACATGGCGGAACCCCTGTACGCCCGAGCCCTGAGCATACGGGAAGACAAGCTGGGCTTCAGCCATGCAGACACTCTGGCAACCGTCCACAACGTGGCGATCAGCTACCGCTTGCAAGGCAAGCTGGATGAGGCGAAGAAACTCTATTTACGTGCTCTTTGAGGGCAGGGAGCGAAGCGACAGTCTTGGTCCGAATCATCTGGATACCTTGCGTTCAGTCGAAGGTATGGGCTTGCTTGCTGAAGGGCAGTGCCATAATCATGAAGCTGAACAGCTATATCGGAGGACATGCGACGGTTTCCAGCAACATATGTCCCCGACTGCCCCGATCTTGCACGCGCCGAGGAGAATGTGGCCGCGTCTCCCGAGAATTGGACCAGATCGGTGCACAGAGGCTGTCTGGTGGCCCTATTTCCGTAGCCCCCAGTGCCTGACAGTAAGGTACAGTTGGGCTCCGGAGAAGACAGGGCTAGGTCGATTTGCAGATTCTACAGTCCCAAGTACGTAGCTCTCCCGCCCCGCCCGCCGTCTCCTGTACACCATCATAAACCACGTCCAAAGGAGCGCCCCTGTATCAAATAATTACTGAGAATGAACGATTATAACACACCCTCTTCCTTCGGTGATAATTACCGCCCTCATGGTACTGGGTAACCGTAACGTGCGTATTGATGCCTGAGGTGTCACTCTCCATGACTGATCTCGCTCTCTCGCTCTTTGCTTCTCTCTCCCCTCTTCCAGCTCCCCCCTGGCGACATCTTCATCCGCTGGATTCCGTCGTTGATTGTATTCTCATCCAAGAAATCGCTGTTCACGGTGGTACTTGATCTCTAGGTGTGGGCCATCTTTCGACCCTTCCATTTTACAGTTGCCCGCCAGCCAACCCGAAGGCGTCCTTCGATCTGCCATCTGGTTCGCCAATTGCCCTCGAGCGTTCAGAGGTCCCCCCAGTCAAGCTCATCGGACTCATCGGCACCAGTCCCGATCTCGGATCCAAGCGAATCAGATTTCGTACTTTGTGCTTTTGATCCTGTTCCAGAAAGGTAGCTTAGCCTTCCCCCCCCTGGCCCTGCGCAACGTGCCACACCACATCGTTGGGCTGCCCACCTTTGACCCACCCGTTGTTCCCGCGTCACCCCATCACCTCTCCCACCATCCCCAAGCCTTCTTTTGCTCTAGTTGTTTTTCAAGACGCAGAATTGACGTTGTCACTGCATCGGTTAGTGCGACGCGACCAGCTACCCTGGTTCTCTCGAATCCCTTCCTATCTTCTCCGGGGATCCATACTATTTTCGGAACACGAGACTAATCGGGTGCCGTTGCGCGCGTCGCGAGTTTACAGGGCTCCAGCACATTTCAGTCACATCATCGGCTGACAACCTTCGTTGAGGCTATTGTGAAGCGCTTTGCGACCCAGTCATCGCCACGCCCTGTTTCTACTCGGCGACCCTTAGTTGACGGACGAATCCCAACTCGACCGCGCACCAGCCCCCTCGAGTCTGACGTGGTCTGCCAGCAGACAAGCCAAGCCTTGACGCCCCAAAGTTACTACCCGCTGCACGTATCCAGACCACTCATAATGTCGTCGACCTCTCCATCAAAGGAGCCGGAGGTGGACGCCGAAGCGCAATCAGGCGAAGACCACGACCAGCAGATGGATAAAGAACAAGATCTGCAGGGCCAGGGCCATCCTGATTTCGAGGTGAAGGAGCAGGATCGGTGGCTTCCGATTGCAAACGGTTAGTTGCGTTTCCTTGCGGCTTGCTCTTGTCCTGATTTGCGCGTACCTGGGCTCTGCATCTATATTCTTCATTCCCCTGCGCCTTTTACCTCCTCGTGTGCGACCATATCTACAGTGCGACAACTTCTGCTCGTCGCGATGTGGGAAAATAATACGCATCACGGATATCTTTCCGAAGAGTAGTTCACCACCTGTGATTGCTGCGCTTTCGGTCCAAATCATCTTTTTCTCCTTCATTTTTGACATTCCATCCGAGACTCGAGTCATGATATGCTGATTTCAATCCCTTGTCCAGTCGCGCGTATTATGAAGCTCGCTCTCCCCGAAAACGCGAAGATTGCAAAAGAAGCCAAGGAGTGCATGCAGGAATGCGTGAGCGAGTTCATTTCGTTCATCACCAGCGAAGGTACCTACGTTATCCCCGCCTTTTTATGATCAGCTCTAACTTTAACTGCTTCGCAGCTTCGGAAAAGTGCCAGCAGGAGAAACGCAAGACTGTCAACGGCGAAGATATCTTGTTTGCGATGACCTCGCTCGGCTTTGAGAACTATGCCGAGGCCCTCAAGATCTATCTCTCCAAGTACCGCGAGGTAAGATATGCCTACTCATAACTTGGAAGTATAAGTTAATTATTTGATCCTTCTAGACCCAATCCGCGCGGGGTGATAACCAGAACCGGCCCGCCAGCAGTGGTTATGGCGCCGGTGGTCCTGCTCAGGGTCGCCCGGGAGCGCCGGGCTTCCCCGAAGGCCCAGATAGCGCAAACAACATCTTGAACCCCAACATGGACCCTTCGGAGCAGGATCCCTCCGCGTACGGTTACCCGCCGATGGTCGGCCAGTCCCACAACGGGGCCGGCGGAGAGTCTTACTAGGACTCTTGTTTTTGATTCTAATGAGACGACCACGATCTGGGTACGGCCAAGTGTTTCCCACCCGGGGTGGCTCCTCAGCGGAAGCGCAAGGCGTGGAGGCGTCTTTGGTTTCTCTTTCTTCGATGTCTATCTGCAATCTTCTCCGACAGCACGGACGTTGGACGACGCAGCGGGTTCATAAGGGTTGGACAGGAGTTTATACAGTTGACTGCGACGGGATTCTTCCGGGAGGACTTGTCTTCCTCGGCCTTTGTGTTTTACAGTTTTGGCGGCACACCTTCCTTGTACACGCCCTATTGATTGACTTTTTCTTTTCGGCGTTAGTTATGCTTCGGGGATCTACGGGATGGCGGACACAGTGATCTGCGAGCAATTATTATTTGTATCTATCGTATCTCCTCGCTGTTCTCTTGTCTTCCCAGTAACTAGATTTTTTTTGCCATCCTTACATAAGCGGGTTCTCCGCAGTGGACCCGGACCCCGATCACGCAGTCTCGCCTTCCCGACTTTTTCTCGCCGCGATTGTTCACTGCCCTTCCGATTGCTCGTTCTCATGATGCGTTGAGAGTCTCTTGCAGATCCACCACCGAATTATGAGGAACAGTGGCTGTTCTGCTCTTGGAATGATGCTGATGGTCCTCTTGCCATGTCCTCTGTCGCTACCGATCAACCATCCCCGCCACTCGCGGGCGATGGGGTGAACAAACGCAAGCAGGGTAAGCCTAGAATTCCGGTTTTTGTACCGCTTTATTTTGAGCGGGCTTTTGCTCTACTTCTGCCTCGATTCGTGGGACTATGACTATGGGCTCCGTGGATAAACACTAACATCGGTGACTCAATCTAGGCTCCGCGGCTTGCGTTCATTGCCATCGGCGCAAGGTTCGCTGTGATGCCCGAGCCGTAGGGCTTCCTTGCACCAACTGCCGTTCGTCCGGAAAGACCGACTGCCGCATCCATGAAAAGAAAAAGCGTCTTGCTGTCCGTTCGATTCTCGACCCCGTTCCCATCCGATCTCGGCCTCTACCGACATCCGAGAATAATCATTCCACGACAGCGACCCCAGGGTTTCCGGGCGCATTTCCCGGCAGCAATACGGCGACACCACTTGCAAGTGGTCTTCCACAACATGGATTCCAGTCAAACGCGGGGTCTCAGCCATTGATGCGGCAAGATCTGTCGCATGCGCATGAGGCACACACGGAGATGGAGCAGCGTCTAGTTAAGCTCATCGATGAAGAGGATTCCGGTAGAAGGGAGATTCAACGGGGAGTGCGTGCATTCTACGTTGGCCATGAGCATTCAAACATGTCCTTCCTGATTCGCCAGCAACGAGATCAAGACGACGACGTCTTCCATTTTGCCAGCAATGAGATTCCACGGCGACAGATCAAGACAGGGCATGACCAGTTGCTCATGGATGCACTCACCTTACCCGAGACTCCTCTTGCCGATGAGCTGGTGCAGGCTTACTTCACTTACGTGAACCCCGGATTCCCGGTCGTCGACGAAGACTTGTTTATGACTCAATATCGAAACAAAGATCCTACTGATCCTCCGCCAATTCTGCTTTTGCAAGCTATCCTCCTGGTGGGGACCCATGTGACCAAGGCAAAAGTCGAGCGAGACGCGCTCAAGGAGATCTTCTTCCGGCGGACCAAGTATCTATTCGATAACCGTATTGAGCGGAACCGTGATATTCTCGTGCAGACGGCTCTGCTGTTAACATGGCATTCTGACAGTGCCGATGACGATGTCGCGGCAGATGCTCATTTCTGGGTCGGTGTCGCTGCCCGGATAGCCACTGGGTTAGGCATGCATCGTAACCCGGTCTCCAGCAGCTTTGTCACCCGTGACCGCCGGATGTGGAGACGGGTTTGGTATATATTGGTGCAGTTCGATGTGATGGTGTCTTTATCGCACGGCCGGCCTCAAGCCATGTAAGTGATGCATGATCTAATTCCGAATATGTGGATCCTAATATGTCCTAGCAACCTTGACGATTCTGATGTATCTCCGTTGACGCCTGCTGATTTCGAGAACTGTGGCCCCCATGTTCAAACAGATTTTGTGATTAACTTTACCGAACTGTGTACGATGATCTCGTATGTCATGCGCGATCGATTTGGACTCCGGGCTTCCGATGAACGACGAAAGGCTGTTCTCAAAGAGGCCGATGAATCGCTGGCTAATTGGTCCTTGAAACTCCCTGATAACCTCCGACTTCGAGCGTCTGACATGGATCCATGGTCCGCCATGCTCCATTTGACATACAATAATTTTCTGATTCTCTTACATCGACCACATCCCCGAGCATCGGCATATAACGACGACTATGGGCCCCACGATGCAGAAATCTGCAGTGCTGCAGCGGGTGTCATTGCATCAATCTTTGAAGAGCTGAGGATGAATGACCGTCTGAAATACCTCTGGTACACTGGCGTCCACACTCTCTTCACAGCCATGATCCAGGTTCGGGTGGAGCTTCGCTTTTCCAATCCAGTTCTCGCTATCAATGCCCTACGACGCTTTGACTCAGCATCGTATTCGCTACGGGAACTGGCCAACTATTGGGTTCATGCAGGCACGATCCTCCGACTTTTCGAAGACTCTAAGCGTCTGCAGGACGATCTGCGCTTGGCCACCCGAGAAGGCCCCAAGCCTTTCAATGGTAGTCAGCCTTCCAACAAAATGGCCACTACAGACGCCGCAGCTGCCATGCAAACCACCCAAACGCCCCGGCCCTTGTCGTTCGGCGTGCCGACGCCCGACTCAACACCATTGCAGCAAACAACCCTATCGCCTCAACCAAATCCTCCTCAGTTCGACAACTGGATCACCGCTCCTCTCCGGCTCAATGTTGGACCCTTGGATAGAAGCGAGTCTTATTCGAACAGTGCTATGCAGGTGGACCAGATAGAGCCGTCTCGAGACCTTATGGACTGGCGACAGCTCTTCTCATTCACGGACTCTGATCTACCAGTCCCCATGACCGTTGAGGGTCTCCCTGAGCTGGAAGATGAGTGGCGGCAGATCTACTGGCAGGATACGCCGATGGCGGATCTCATCCATGACGGTGGATGGATGCATAACTAGTTTATTCGACCCTACCTTTCCCGCGACTTTCCATTCTGCCGAGCTGGCTCCTTTTTGGGAACACTCCCCTTCTCCACGACGAGCTTTGACGACGAGACGAGGCGATATACCACAATAAAGCAGCACATGATACACCTAGCAAAGACATCCTACGAGTGAGAAGGGTTTAGATCAAGGCTCAGGCCTCTCAACGATACCATGTCGTACACGACCACATACAATCCTCCATAGAATTATATACTGCTTTACTTGTGCACGGAACTTGGTGTTTAATCTTCATATTTTCCTGCTAGATTGGGTATACGTACATGATGCGTCTGTCCATGCAAAGCCTAGTAACGCTAAATGTAAAATAGTATGCAAAATGTCACCAAGAGAAACACAAACACGACATCAACCAAACACGAAACGTCGCCAGTTATCAGCCAGTTGCTGCACTCCACGCCGCAATTCCCACCCCCGGATCTCACAGATCTGACGCGCGGCTTGCTCCAACAGCTCATCCATCTGCGGCCCTGCCGTGTGGATATCACTTTCCACAAGCACACGGTCTTCCGGTAAGGCTTTAATCACATCAGACACCCTTCTCGACGAGGAAGATGACCCCGTAAAATTAATCACACTCGAGAAAGAGAAGTAGACATCCGATGGATTGGCCTTGTGCAGGAACTGGCGGAGCGGCTCTACCGGGCCGGAGTAGGAATGCAAGCAGATACGCGGCGGGAATGGTTGCTGCTTTACTGTCGCAGATTTCGTTGTATCTGCTGCTTCTTCTCCATCTTGGTTTTCGTCTTCAGAAACAGCCCCCTCAGCATCTTGCTGCTTCTCTCTCTCCCGGCGTGAAATGACCACCCGTTCATGGCCCGCCCATAACTCCTTGAGCAGCTCGAAAATCGCCCCGTGTGCCTGCACGCTATGCACTGAGACTGCGCGGGCCAATTCCCCTGCTAGTCGGAGCTGCGCTTTTAGCACCGTGCGCTGGTGATCCAGTTTTACCTTGTATGGCGATAGCCGTCGACCCTCTCGGGAACCCGGTGTGACCTGATCATCGCGGCCCTCGATGTCCTGTGCGGTCCATGCGCCAGGTAGTCGAAAGGACTTGTCGAGGCCAATCTCACCGACCAATGCATTGGGAAATGAATGCAAGCGTTCTCTTGTTTCTGAAATGAGGGTAGAGAGAGGTTTCGGATTTGGAAGAGATTGAATGAATGCCTCGTCGTCCTCTGGGGAGGGGGTGAGAACTGCCTTGTAGTGTGTTGTTTTTTGTTGCTGTGCATCTTGCTCTTGCTGATCAATCGAGTCGTCGATGATCTGGTGCGAGAACCAAGGGTGCCATCCGAAACAGGGCAACACTCGATTTACATGCGCCTCTGCGGTCTGGCGCACGAGCTCCTGGTCTTCCCCGCGGGTGGCCATGATGGTGAGGGTGGCTGCTTTCATGGCAGGGATGGATGCAATGGATGCCATGGTATCGGTCGGGTGGCAGTGGGCATCAAACACCCCGATATCCCAGGGGAAAGCAGTCTCCTCGTGAGCCATGATGAAGATGGACACGAAGTGAATTCGTTGTAGTTCGTTATCGGTGCTGATGATGTCAGGTGGGATGCCCTAGGCACCAGTCACATGCAGCGAACTATGCCCGACACCAAAACACAACACCTCCGACAGCAAGATCTTCGTCATGTTGTGCCTCTATGTCGACCCTGTCTTCTCTACTGCTCCTACCGGTGCTGTGCCTAGCATCCATCCCGCTGATCCTCTCAGCATGGGCGACCGTTTCAATCGCTATAGTAGCCCTGCTCGCACGCCTCGCAGTGGTCTATGTTGAAGTAGGCTGTGCACTGCTCATGAACTACTTTGTTATTCCTACCTCATCAACTTCCTCACTGCTTACATTTAACCCATCGGAACCTCCCAGTCCTGTCGTGGGCAGATCTCGAAGAAACTCAGTCTATACCCACGCCCATATCCATGCTCATAGCCACACCCATAGCCATGCCCGCAAAAGCAACGAGTCGCTATCTTCCTGGGGCATTGGCGGGATCCCGGATGAGCACATATCCAGAAACAAAAACACATATTCTCGCGTCATGGCCGAGGCCCATAATTTATCTCCCGCAGCACCGCTGCTCGGCTTGCCCGTCAGCGGAGACGAGCAGCGCGACTTCGAGAGTGTGGGTGGTTGGCGCTCATACTCGGGTATAGCAGCGTCCTCATCTTCAAAGCTGCCCGGTTCAGCGCATTCCCGCAACGAGAAATCACCCGGCTCGACATCTTCTCCATCGGTTCATAGTCTCGGTGGTGCCGGAGAGGCTGGTCGCGAGACCGATATGGATGCAGATGAGCGCGCATGGCTATCTCTCAATCGCCGCTTGGAGCTTCCCTCGCAAGTAATCATGTTAGGAACTGGCTCTGTCTCTGCTAGTGCAGTCAATAGTCCCGGTCATTCGGAATCTCCCCCTCTCAGCCGCACGCGGAGCAGTAACCTCCAAGCCCTAACGACGTCCGCATGGCAACATCATCCCAGACAACACCTCCACCACCATCAAGAGCAGCGGAATCACCATCGCTCAAAGACTACCTCTTTTGTGACGACATCCGACAGAAGAATGGGAACTGGACTGTCGATCGCTTTATCAACCCGTCCAGACCTTGCAAGCCCCAGTTCATCGGTATCCCCATCAGCATCGCGGCTGCCCGCTCCCTTCATGACCCCGCAGCCCTATTCCTATTCTTCCAGTTCATATCCCCAGCAACAACGCTCATTGGCCAGACGGCAACAAGCAGCAGCAAGCACTGGCCCCCAAACAGATCTCTATTCTTCCGGCGGTGGACGAGATGGAGGAAGCTACTTCGCCCTCCCAAGATTGGGACCTTCCCCAACTCGGCAGCGTGAAGCGACAAGCCCTCTTTCTCTTCAGAGCGCATTCACTTCCCCTGGGGCTACATCGTTCGAAGATCGGGATTCGCCATCCCAAAATTTAAACCTGGCGAGGTTCATGGCGCATTACCCTACCAGTGTTCGCCATCGGAGACGGAGCCTCTCAGGACCGCATTCGAGGGGAGGGTGTACCCCAGACCGCTGAGGTTTTGGAATGTTGCATATGAAATTAGTACAGCGTTTGGAGAGGACTTTGTATTTATGTGCGGAGAATATTTGAAGATATCCTTGTTTATAACTGGTTATGATCTATACGACCCAATGTTACTCAATAGTATGTCTAGTAAACCTTGTAAACGGTAGAGATGAAGATGAGAATTCATATACAAAATCAAGTACGTTTGACTATCCAAGTCTACCTCTAGCTTCAACTATGTAATGATATATAAGAATATCCAAATACAGAGACGACTGTTCGCGAGGACAAGTCAAATGGTCTGACCAACCCAGAACAGACCAAAAATAACAAAGATGAAAACGGGATATCTATATCCCGCACTATTAACTGCGCTTTTAAAAACGCCTTCGTAAACCATTATTCACACACGACTGACCGTCATGACTGACGGCCCCTCTCCCGTCGATTGACATCCTCCATCTCCGCCAGCACGACTCGGTTGAATTCCTCCCAGCCGTCCAGGTAGAGATGGTGTCCAGCTCGCTTGATGACGATCACTTTGGCGGAACCGCTGTCATTGCGCCGTTCCTCTGGTGTGGCGTCCGCCAGGGCCCGTTGCTTCTCTTCTTCGAGACGGGCTGCGGCGGCGTGACCACCCTCGACGTCCATCCAGTCGTGGTCGCCGTACATTAATACAACGGGGATGCCGCGCTCGCGTTGAGCGGGGGCAGGGGGTGATGGGGGTTGCTCTGCAGGTGCAGTATCGGATGAGGGAGCAGTGCTGTGTGAAGTGGATGGTCGTGATTTGGTACAGCAGGATGCAGAGGCGCTGGTGGTCGCTGCGGAAGTGGGTAGTATATTCGAAGTCGAGCCAGATTGGATCATTTGCCGGCCGACTCCGTGGATGCGACGGATGAGAGGGCTGCGGGCAAAGGCTCCCGGCGCGAGGATGTACGCGAGTGCGTACTCGCCGCTGCCGCGCATACTGAAAATCGAGTATGAATAGTCATGGAGTGCCTTGGCTTCTTCCGCTGGCAAGTGAGAGAAGCGGCGTGACGTCCATCCCGAGACGAATCGCGGACCCAGCGGACCGGCCCATCGTACGAGGCTGAAGGGGGATATGTTGGCATCCCACAAATAGGCAAACCACTTTGGCAGGGCGCGTCGTGGCGGCCGGTTCGGTTCGACAGGCGGAGCGTTCCGTCCCGTGATAAAGCCGCCGTCTGTCGTCTTCGGAGCTGTACCCGGAGTGGCCGCCGCCGCGGCGATTTCCCGTTGATCCTGCGTAAGTCCGTTGCCAAGCGAAGAATCAGTTTGTTCGGGCACATCGGCTGTGACGGCATATGGGTCCTCTGGGATTCCAACGGGAGATGCCAGAATGAGTTTGTTCAGGTGGCCCGGGTACTTCAGGGCATAGGATACTGCCATATACCCTCCCAGGCTGTGACCGAGCAACGTAAAACGATCGATTTTTCGTTTGATCCGCCATTCCTCCAGTGCATCTACAAACCAGTCCTCGGCCTCGCGGATGGCGTCCTCTCGTCCCTTGGCCTTGATCCGGAATGGCGGCCGAGTGCTGCGACCCATACCCAGCATGTCCAACGCATGCAACTGCCAGCCCCGGAGCCGGCTCAGCGGTTCAAAGTTCTTGTAGAAAAACCCAAGGCCGGCGCCGTATCCGTGTAGCATGACCAGATGCTGGTCCGCTTCCTCACCAATTCTCTCTACGGAGAACTCGTTGAGCGCCCGGTTCTTCCCACTCAGCTCCACCATGCTGGACCGCCACCGGCGCGGGCCATAGGGATCGCCCAGAGAGCTGGTGGCGATCTCCCCCTGCTGGCTCTGGTCTGCATATTCCAGGCTGCTGGGCGTGGACCCATTGGGGACTTCCGTGGTGTTTCCGGTTTGGAGGTGGGTGGGAGGCTGGTGGTGCAAATACGGGAGATACGAGAGGACTTTGTGCTCCGCTGCTGCAGCTGGCAGACGAGCCCACTAGAACAGACATGATCAGTTTCCTGTGCGACGAACGGGGGTTGGGGGGAGATGAGGTCTTACCCATTGGCTGAAACCTTCCCGGTATCCCATCGGGAAGAAGGAGGGCGCCGCAGCGGCACCCGCGGCGGCGCGAGCTGCGTACGGAGTGCCTTCTCTGGGTTGTGCCATGGATCCTTGCTCGCGACGCTCCCGGACGTCCTCTTGAGACGAGTTGAAGGATTCCGAGGCCATTGAGGATGAGTGTCGGGGCCTCGCAGGCAGCGTGGCAAACGGGACGGAGCAGGCACGTCTGAAGGAGGAGATTGTAGAAATTGTGGGTGAGATGGCAAAGCACGAGGGCAGCCTGGGTGTTCGAAGACCCAAGTGGCAGGTGCTCTCAGTTGGAAGAAGGTAACGGGCCACGACGCCCATAGGCAGGTGCGCTGGCTTTAGTAGGTGCGGGCCGGAGACAGTCTTATCCCCGAGTCCGTGTGCGGCGGGAGGGAGGCGAAAGGAAAGGAAGTAAGTGGAAGGAGTAGAGAGGAAATGACAAGACAGAAAGAAAGAGGGAAGGAAAGAAAAGAGTCGACGGAATGATGTCGTGTGTCGATCGTGGGTCTTGCCGTGTTCTCCTCCTGTTCTTCCGTTCTTTCACTCCCTTCCTCCTCCTCTCCTTCATGCGATAAACGCGCACCAGGCCGCATCGTTCCGATGGCCTCGCTAGACCAGCTCGTCAAGGGTGCTCCCCCGTCGGAGGCTCGCCCTCCGTCGCCAGAGCCATTACCTTCCCTCTCCGGCACCTCGTCGCCGCCACGGCCCTCCACCCCAGATCCGCTGGCGACATTACCGTCATCTCCGCCGCAGATCTACCTCAACCTATTAATCCTCGAAGCATCCCTCCGGGCGCAATACCTAGCTCTCCGCGAACGCCGCCGCCAGAATACCTTCTTCCTGCTCATCCTCGCGGCCTGGATCACCTATTTCGTATACGCCCTCTTCCTCCGGCCCCGAGAAGATGGCCGCGGTGTCGGCGGGTCGGTCTACTGGGTCGTCGAAATGGGCGAGAAGGTCGCCCTACTCGGTGGGGTGGTTACGGCGCTGCTTGTCTGGGGCACAGGACAATGGGAGCGCGGAATCCGCTGGCCACGGCGCTGGCTCGCCGTCGCCAACCGCGGCCTACGCAACATGAATACCAAGATTATCGTGATCCGCGGGCCCTGGTGGCAGGAGCTGCTATCTTACGTCTCATTCCTGTTCCCTTTCTCCGTGCCCTTCTTCCCCTCGCCCCAGGGCAACTTCCACTTCATCGAGCGGCCTCCTACCGAGAGACGCGCAGGCGGCCGACAGCAATTCCAGCAGTACTACAACGGCCGCGATAGCGAGTCCGGACTCGTGGAGGAGGATCTGAGTTGTGGAGGCGATTATATTCGACTGCTGTTGCTGCCCAAATCCTTCTCCCCGGAGTTCCGCGAGAACTGGGACGACTACCGCACGGATTTCTGGGAGAAAGAGAACGAGCGCCGCGCTCAGCTGCGTCATAAGCTGCGTGAGCGGGAGCGCCAGCTCGCCCAGACAGAGGGCGGCTGGCTGGCTCGTATCGGTCTGGACTGGCGCGCTTCGCAGCGCCGCCGTCTCGTCGCAGCCACGTTGCACCGCTCGTTCGAGCCTGACGCAAAACACCGGCCTCCTTTCCACCACGCTCACCCTCCTCATCATCACCAACATCAACCATCCACTGCCTCCAAGCTCAACCAGGAACACCGTACCGCCGCCGTGGCCCGCCGCACCACCCGGTCCGATTCCTCTCATTCTCGCACCCCATCTCGGAGTAGTACCCCCGTCGACTTAGCGCTGGAAGAGCGTTCACCGTCGCAGTCATCTGCTAGCGGCCGTCCCCGTCGCGGAAGTACCACGCCTGCATCATCTTTCTCGGGCACCGAGCAGTTACCCCAGCAGCGGAAGCGGAAGGGCTCCAAAACCCTCCGCCGTGGCCTGTCACCGCTAACTCAGGCCCAGGTACGGGAGGGTGTGCGAACTGGATCGGTCTCCTCTGATGAATCCGTGATGATGGCTGCTAGCGAGAAGGATAGGGAGGAATCTATACCTCCTGCTGCTGGTGCTACAGATTTGAGTCCTGCCGTGTAGCTAGTTATTTGCCTTGGACTGCTTTCCTCTCTGCTCTATACCCGTACAATCAGTGCGATATGTTTAGATGGCCTGTTACTCTTGGAGCTCTGCAATATATGCTTTTACTCTGCCTGTCTCTTGCAACCCTCACAAACTCGCCCATATTCGTAAATTGTTTGCCGCATATATGACCTTGCTAATCGTTTGCTCCTGTCATGCTTGTTCGGCAATCAGGCCACGAAATAGTCTCTTACCTACCTTGAGACATGCAGATAGACTCTAGAAACTTGGGTGGGGTATGAAAGGATGGAAGCTCTTTGAATTGAGTCTGTGTGGCAGTCCAACTATACACCTTCGCCTCGTTATCCATCAATCCTTTATTCTAGACTTGATCAGATGATGCCTCCTGTTAGCTTTCCACAATCTTGGCGAATCTCCTCAGAATGAAGGCATCTCATCTACCTGTTGTTCTGCTTTGGCATTATGGTAGAGATCAACACAGAGTATTGGTGTGTATACCTGGTCTCGGCTGGTCACTGCGACATTTTGTTGGTATTTAGGTACTATATCTTTGCTTTACGAACCACAACAGGAATGGTCCTTGGATTGATTGGAGGTAACAAACTGAGGCTGCTCGGGTGGCGCTCGAGGTTCATCAACAAAGGCAGGGGTAAGTTCCCAAATCTCTTTGATAGTAAACTCGCTGCAGACTCACTATTCGCTCGTCTACTTCCAAAGCTTATATCATAATTTTTAGACTGCATTCCTATTTGGCCTTTGTGGCTGTGGTAACAATATCAAGAACACCATATTGTTAAATGGGAACAATATCAACTGAAGCAATCCCCGGCAATCCAAGTTTCACCCTTTCACCTATAGAGCATCCTCTAATGGATTAGAGACCTCAACTAGCATTTTTCCTTGTCATGATCCCTGATATTGAACGAATCCACCATCCCCTCTCATCCAAATAACGAATATAAGTATCTTATCCTGTGCCTCCCAAACACTTTTTTCTTCATCGCCAGCCAACTACATTTCCAATCTTCCCAATTAACTTTTCCAATCCAATCTATCGTAATGACCGCTCCTCAAATCCAGAAGTACGCTGCTGTCAAGGGTACATGACATCCATCCATTTCCCATCCATTTTCTCCACTTATGAACTTGCTGACATGTTTCTCTCACAGCCAACGGTGGCTCAGGTTTCTGCGTTGTCATGTAAACACCTTGCATGCGCGCCTCCGATTCCACTATGTCCACCACCTTCAATATCATAGTGGCTGGCCTACTTTGACAGTCCTAGCTAGGGGCGACAATGAAGACATCAACACTCGTTGTACCCTGCACTACGGATGCTAAAGAAGAGCCTACCAACCGTTATTTGTCTACATTTCCGGGGGAAAAAGGAAAAAAGAAGTTATTACTTCATCGACGACTTGACCGACGAATGACACCCCAGTTTTGCTTTCATCGTTGACCGTCCAATTCATTCCTTACCGACAGGATAGAAAAGGAAAGAGTGGGCTCGCGCTTTATCTGTTATTCTCGTTTCATGTGCTGCGCTATGATGAACGGGACGTGCTTTTAACTTGAGTTTACCGGGGCCGTTTTTTCTTTGTTTTCAACTGCCAGCTTTCTGGACACGAGAGAGGGGGAGCCTAGATAGATCAAATGAGGGCATTTTTGTGCATGAATCCAGCCGTTTCATCCTGTGATATGTATGACCCCTTTGCATAGAAATGCCGTAACTTGAAGAATACCCTATCAAGCCATCATCTACATCAAGATCATCTTTGCAGAAATCAAAAATGCATATATTCCACTCATATTGAGCCCGTCAATCCCCAGAGCAGACTCCTAACACCGAGCAGAAGTAAAGAAAAACATGATATCATCCCAATGCGAATTACTAAACTCAGTCCGAAAGCCTCAATTGAAGACTGTCGACTAGATACGATACACTTCGTCGTCACCATCGAGGAACCTGTTCAAGAGAGTACTAGTCAGCAACTGAATAAGAAACAACTTGGGCGCAGGAAGGACATACATCACCAGATTGTCATTATTCATCGCTCGCAGAGCCTGGATGGCTTCCGGTCGTGAGAAAACTTGCGTGGAGCTAAGAGATGAGGAACTGCGGACAGCCGTGTTCACAGCGTCGATCAAGACATCCACATTGCATGTATCGCTGTCGGTGAATACACGGCTGCCCATAAGGGAGCCCAAGGTCTGGCGGAAGGCCGTTGATCGAGCTGCGGTGATGGGGTGCTCTGCTGCCGCGGTGGACTGCGAGTCGTTTGTTTGGGACTGGAGAAGCTGCGAGGCGGGCTGCGAAGACGCCACGGACATCTGGGATTCGGTTTGCGTCTGCGTGGTGCGCATCCTCTGGCCACGTGGGCTTGCAGTGTAGAGCCCGTCTTCAGCGTCCTCTTCTGGGATTGGAGCGCTGGACTGTGTTACAGCAGGATCACGGCTTCTTGTGCCATGCTGGTTCGGGGTCGCTGTCGATGTGCCCCTGTACGTCGGCTGGTCATCATCATCATCAAATTCTACCTCACTGTCCTCATCAGAGTCATCGTCGAAGGTAGTAACCTTGCGTCTCTTGCGTCGCTCATCCTCAAGGACCTCCTTGAACATGGCAAAGCGCAGGATGGCCTCTGCGGACTTGGCATCCTTCTCGTCTACCCGGCTGGACAGACGTGCCTTGGCGTGGGCAGTAGACAGACGAATCAATGTTTCGAGAGTACGCGGTGTGATAGGCGAGGTGCGACGCTTGTTGCCATGGAGCTCCTCGTTGCGCAGGTTGGAATACGCGGCAATGATGTGGTCGGCCGCACCTTTGGTCAAGACGGGCTTGACTCGCGACTTTGCGTACTGAATGTACTTCTTGATGAAAGGAATGCTGATAATCTCCACATTCTTGTTGCGGTTGCGACCAGTGTTGTTGACCATGCCACCGTGGAGCATGACGTTGAACTTTTCAAAAACCTCAGTCGGCGCGTTGGAATCCTGTCGGTCTTCAATTCCTACGCCAAGCGTCTGGTTGAGCTGCTCCCGAACAGGAGCACCTTCCTCGGTGCCAGGTTGACGGTACCGGTGCATGCGCAGAACGTGCTCAGAAACTATACGGTCTCTCGCGTCTTCGATATCATCTGTCACGACGAAAAGCAAATCGAAACGAGAGAGGAGAGAGTCTGGCAGAGCGATGTTCTTGTGGGGATCCTTATGAGGATCGTACTGGCCGTAGATGGGATTGGCCGCTGCCAGTACACTGCATCGCGCATTCAAACTCGTATGGATACCAGCTTTGGCAATCGTAACGGTCTGCTGCTCCATAACTTCGTGGATTGCAACACGATCCACATCGCTCATCTTGTCGAACTCATCAATACAAACCACACCGCGGTCACCCAGGACCATTGCGCCTGCCTCCAGCCTCCGCTCGCCGGTTTCCTTATCGGAAGTGACAGCCGCAGTCAGACCGACACCGGAGGAACCTCGACCAGTAGTGGCAATCGCCAGAGGAGAAGTGTTCAACACGAAGCGAAGGAGCTGAGACTTTGCGGTGGAGGGATCACCAACCATGAGGATGTTGATATCACCACGAAGATGAGTACCATTTTCTAGGTTCTTCTCCATTCCACCGAGCAGCATCAGTAGGATAGCCTTCTTGATGTAGTCATGGCCATGAATACTCGGTGCAAGCGAACTGGAGAGCAGCTCGAACACATTCTTTTTCTTGGCGATTTTGTTGATATTGCGAATGTCCGTATCGGTGATGGTAGCCTGCGCAATGCCACCACCGGTCTTCGAAGACAATTGAATGATGTTATTGGCCATGACGAGTGTGCGGAAAGTCGAGGATCCAGAACCAGCATTCCGATTTCCCAGGGACCGGTAGATACCAACGAGCTGGATTCGGTCTCCAGGCTTGGCTTTGTCGACAAGGTCATCGTCGAGAATGACATCGACACTTCGAGGCAGCTGTCCCGCGGGGGCACGTTCTGGCATTTCTTGAATGGAAATAGACTGGTGGTCCATGTATGTTGAGTAACCGTACTCGGTGATGAGCTACAGCCCAAAAAAGTAATGCGTTAATTCGAATCCCTCATTTTGTGCAAGAGGTTGTCTTACCGGGTTTTTGTCATCATCTTCCTGAGGGTACACATTCAAACTCGTTGCACCGCTGGCGGACATAGTCTGGTCACGATACTTTCTGGCAAGGAAGCGATCCTTGCCCGCACTATAGTGGACACTCTGGATGACCTTGGGCCGCACCAAGGAGCATTTGGTAACAATGCCTTCAAGGGAGATCATGCGGTTCAAGTGTTGGGAGCTCAATGTTCGCGGATTGCAAGAGAATTCTCCGAAGGCTCCGACATACGCGCAGTAGTAGCTCTGCAAAAACAAGTCAGCCCCCCTTCGAATGGAGTGCAAAGGAATCAAAACCCACCACTTCCTCTGATGTTTCCTTGGCCGGTCGGTTCGGGATTGTTCCGATCACCTTCTTCAAGGCTCGGTCGAAAGCCTGCGAATAGTCGAAGGGGGAAGTGAGAAGCCTAAAATTTAGACACAATCAGATTTTTGCTCGAGGTTCGAGAAAGGGGGATCACGATACCCGTCTGCAAGTTCGCGATTGTGTGCTCTGATCTCATCAATGCTGACCTGGGCAAAGGAGATTAGCTGGTTATGTTGTGAGTGTTTCCAGAGGTTAACGAACTGTTAGACGACGTAGTCCTCGATTCAGCATCACCACAATATCGGCACGGTAGCTATTTTCCGAAGTCAGAACAGGCTGTGCAGAATCAATCCTTTCCGAAGGACTAACCTGCGAGCTCTAGCATCGCCTGGAAGAAAAAATACATTAGATCAATCCCACCGCAACACAATTAACCAGCACACTTACTTGGATCCAGGAATTCCGCAGCGGTACGCTCACGGTCCTGTGCGGCCTCATCGCGCAGCTGAACCCCGTCCATGATGGTGCAGTATAAAGTAGGGTGGGCGAAAAAGGGAGCGAGTTGGGTGTGGTGGGAAGCAGAGAAGGCGACGCGGGAGAGAAAGTGAAAGTGTGGCTCGACGCGACCGCGGCGCGTCGAAAGCGTGTTTCGCTGACATAAACATAGATCAATATGACCAAAAAGAGAAAGAGAAAGTAGAAGTGGAAAATAATAATTGACAGTTAATAATAATGTACATGGCTTTGATGTTGATGATATACAAATGATGATAATAGTTACATGCTACTCGCCCTTGGGCCATGGCAATGAGGTGCCGGCCACCTCGAGCTTGTCCTCCGAGCGTGTAGGGCGCAGTTTCTTCCGGAGCAGAGTTCGTACCGGCCGATCAATGAACCAGAATTGCTTGGACTTCCTTCCAAGAGCCGGATCTCTGGCGGGTGAAAGTCTCGTGGCTCGTGGGAACCGTGGATGCAACAGACGACGAGGGGGGTTTCGTGGCCTGGGATCTGGATGCCTCCTGACGACTGGAGCTTTGTCGGCTGTGAGATCCTTCTGGGCCGGAGTATCCTGGATTGTCGGAGGTTTCTGGTGTGGTGCGGGTACCTGTGTCGGTGGGCTTGTCGTGGTCTTCGGTTCCCCTGGAGAAAGACTCAGGCGGACACCCTTCTTCCTGCCGAGCCTGGAGTCACGCGGCTCGACCACAGCAGACCCATAACGAATTCGTCTGCGCAACAAGAGATACTCGTGAGAAAGATCCTGCTGGTCTTCGGGTGCAATGACCTCCTCCAGATCATCCGGAGCGGACTCAGGGGAAGATGATTTCTTGAACTTGGACGACACCTCCTTATAAGGGCGCCTCATAAGGCGTGGTTCACGGCGAGCGCGTCTGACGCCCCCTTTCATTCGAGTCCAGCCAGTACCTCCGAGAACGCCACCGGTCCAGACAAACGGCTCATGCTTGGTCCAGTCCTTTGACGGGCTGCCGTGGTCCGCGCGCCCGCGAAGGATCGTGCCCTGAACGCTGTCGCGTAGATAAGGCATCTGGGCGATAGCATTGAGTGTCTTGGGCGCAACACCATGCACAGCCCTCAACTCCGTGCCGCCATCCAAAATGCTTCGATTTCGAATCTTAAGCAAGGCGGCAGCGAGCTTCACAATGCAGGTGTAGGTGGGCTGCATGAACCAGGGCCGGAATTGAGTCCAATACTGTCGGACTGTCCTGGTTATGATATTGCGTGGCAACTTGCGGCGTCTTTTGAGATAATCGATCAAGTAGGCAGTTGTAGAAGTCTGATTAGGCATGAACCCGGAGCCCAGCCGAAGTTTAGACCAGCCAGGAAAGTGATACGAAAACTTCTGTTCGAACATCTGGAAAGCCTTCAGTTGGTCGGCAAATTCGTCCGAGGTCGAGAGGACTTCCACGAAACGCGTCCAGTTGAACGTGGACAGCTGAAATCCAGCCGCCTCGACTTCTGAACAAAGATCCAGAACTTTCTTAAATTCGTTCTGCATGGCCAAAGACTGCATATAAACAGAAAGAGGTCGGGAAAGGATGAAGCGCTGAGATCCCAGGACCTCCATCTGCTTTTCAGGAACAGAAATACCAGGGGAGGGGCCGACCAAGAGCTCCTCGTTGTTCGGCGCACCGGTCGGCAGGGATGGCCGCGGCGGTTCGATGAAAGGATCTGGCAACGACGTTGCGGTTGACGGCGGCAGTCCAGAGGATAGTAATTCATCGAGGTCAATCGGACGAGCCAGTTCGACACCGCGAGAGAATACAACGTGCCAGAGCTCCGCAACTTTGTCGTGATCTCCATCCTTTAGATATGCAGTCATCAAAGAAGAAGCCAGGTTAAATGGCAAAGAATCACTATCGTTGTCCAAAGAAGCCGAAGGCCGCCGGTTCTCGGCATATCGATCAAAAATTTCTTTGGCTTGTTGAGTAGCCCCTCTCGAGGCATACGCCGTGATAAGGTACTCATAGGCCTTGGAGTCGAAAGCAGCAGAAGGAGACGTGCCACCGATGCCGGGGGATGGGAACTTGGTTGCCAGAGATGTTGTGTCGATATCTGTCGTCATTCTCTCGAGGGATCTTTCAGCGTGCTTGAGATGTAGATTGGGGTCTTTGTGCCCAACGCCATCTGTAGTTGACTGCAAGTCCCGTTGAATCTGAGCCTTCAGTTTCAAGAGATAGGCGCTCAGTCCAGGTCGTCCGAACCGTTCTTCGATTTCCCGGAAAATGACGTGCGCCATGTCTCGATTTCGAGCTTTCACATAGCCCAACAGGACAATGGCATAGTGGAATTGGGTGGCGTGCAGGTGTTGGTTCCGGTGAAGGGTTCTCAAAAGACGCCGCGCCGTATCAGGCTCACGAATGAGAGTGAACGCAAGCATGAGAGCACTATAGCTCATGGAATCTGGTCGCACCCCGTTGATTCGCATGAGTAATCGCACCCGAGCAATGGACTTCAGGTCCACCCTGAATGCATATTGCGTGAGTAGTATGTTCCACATCCGAACGCGCGACCCTGGGACGTTCATGCTCTGACAAGCTACGGCAATTCGTTCCGCAAGATCCATACGGTCGTGTCGAGTAAATGCCTCCACAACCGTGTCAAGTAGCGGCATCGTGATCTGCACTTGATGTTTCTTGGCTTCGTTGAGCAAGCGACGGACACTGGCGGTATCGCCTCGGTTTGCACAGATCCCCATCACGGTACCGTACGTATGGGAATTCGGTTGAATGCCCTTCCTTAACATCTCCGCGAAAGTTGAAAAGGCGCCAGTGAAGTCGTCGGCGTTTGCGTGTGCGGTAATACGGATGTTCCAGCACACCGTGTTCTGCTCGAAATTGAATTCTTCGGATACCCTCTGAAATTGTCGCAAGGTCTCTTCGACATTCCCATGCCGCGCATGAACATAAAGAAGAGGGGTCAATAGTCTCCGACTCTGTGGCATGCCATGGTCTGCCACCAGCTTGCTGAACACCTCATCAACTTGTGCCACATCGCCCGCTCTGGAAAACCCAATCAAGGCTAGTCTGTATGCATGGGTGGACGGAGGCGAGTAGAAGTGTGCCAGTTCGCTCAAGAAGTACCGAATGCCACTTGTAATCTCAAAAGACACAAGAGAGTCCAGAAAGGCCCCTAAGAGCTTCCTGGATGGCCTCTCATCGGGTAGCTGCCAGCGCAGGTGACGGTAAATCGCCATGGAACGAACGAAAGCTGATCGCGTACCCAAAGATTGCAAGGTTTTGATGAGGTGGAAATAATGGTATCCCTTGGCAATGTTCAACGACTGGTATATCTGCAGAACTTCCAGAAACCCTCCCGTGGTGATTCTCTGGCAATTGCTGGATGACCCAACGACTCGATCAAGAAGGCATGAGGCAAGGTCGTTGAAATCGCTGACTCGTTCCCGATTCCGCAATAGGAATGAACCTAGAGCACGAGCGTCCACGAGGAGGGTCGATTCTTTGACCCGAGAAATCAGGTGCTTCGGTGATGGTATATTTGTTTCTTCCGAGGGCTGTGAGCTCCGATTCCACAGCTCTAGAGCGTCCTTCCATCGGTTGTTGTGGATAAAGTGTGTAAATACCAGTGGCCAGACTTTCCTGGCACGGGTTTTTGAATCCCAAGCCGATCGTTCGCATAGCATTTTCATGGCCGAGACCGTGCCATACGGGATTTGAGACCACAGAATGTTGCTCCAATCTTTGGCATCGAGCTTTGCCGGTGGAATTCGTGAAAAACACCGCCAAGCCCGCCTTTGATTTGTTCGGTCTGTAGAACTACTCAGGTAGGCAAGAAGTTCCGAGGAGAAGCGCGGCGGTCGTCTCAATGAGACGTACAGGATCCAGGCCTTTTCATAATCGGTCCCTTGTTCGTGTAGCAGGGCACTAAGCTTCCCCTCTGCCTCGAGCTGTCGAAGCCGATCCGTCTCCTGGTGCTGGGAAGCATCTGCTTCCGGGCTCTCCTCTTGTACATCCACTGCCTTGGCAAGAGACTGATGAAGACACAAGGCTTTCGAGACATATGTTCTTGGATAGCCGGTCAACGTCCTCTTCCTCCGGCGTAGTCCAAGTCTCTTGGGGAAACGAGATAGGCGTGTAATGGGGGGCTCTTGAGTGCTTCGGGGGTAGAGGAAGTCGAGAAACGGCGGCGCGGCATCGTAAGTAGTTTTGGTTTCGGTCGAAGAGCTTGGACCCGGGGACGGTCGTTGAGTCGATGGCGGCAAGAGAGCGAGAAACCAGTATGGAGCACCCCCACCGTCACCATGGTGTTTCCAGAAATGACGGGGCAGTGTTCTGCTGGACCGGATCGCGCCATTGGACTCCTGGAGGAAACGCCGTCCCGCGCTCTCGAAGCACCCGGCCGCTCGCTCGAGCATCACCCCCGATCGTTGCGGGTTCAAACGCTGAGATCACCGGAGATGATTGATAGATGGCATTATATCGCGACGAACAACTTTCCCTACCCGGTAGAAGTTAGATATGTCCAGTTTGCTTCGCGGGTGAATGTTTTGGAGGAAGTTGTTTGGGTGAGTGACAGGATGCCGTACCAAAGAAAAAAAACTTAAAGGCTCCCAGGACGTTTGTTTTGCTCAGCTGGAAAGCAAGACGCGCCTTCACTCTAATTCAAGTCCCAAGCTGCTTGCTGAAGAAAGGTCGTGCCTTGAGAAACCCGGGCCCAAAAAAGTTGGCGTTCAAGGTTGGAGAGCTTTAGGGATGGAAAAGACGAGGAAAATTGCCGCGCCTTGGCCGAAACGGGCACCGCCTTCGTGCAGCCCACCAACACACCATCTCCCACACCTTTCTGCCTTCCAACTCACCCACCGGCTTGCTCTCACTCCCCATCCAGCAATGGAAATCACAGACTTCATTTTCAGGGAGAGGGAGGAGGTGCTCCTGGCGGGTGACTACAATGCCTACCGGGCGCACACCACCCGCCGTTTGCATAAACTGCGCAAGAAGTTGGGACAGACCACCGCCAAAGGCCGCAAGTACACAGCCAAACCGCCTGTGGGTGCTGAAAATGTCGGAAGCAACGTGGCGTATGTTTCAATCGTTTCTTTCTCGTGTTATCTAACTAATTTGCTTTGTTCATGCAGTTATGTGCACCTCTTGCTTCTGGGGTCGGAACGAGCGTGGGCCCACGCGATGAATATGAAATCGACACACTCTGCCGACCCGTCTGCCAAGGGATTATCCGGCACTGCCAGACGTCACATTATCTCTCGACTGACCAAGGCGACTGGATATGCGCAGCACCTCGTTTCGCTGCTTCATGATCAATCGACGTCGGGAGCGAGCGACATCGATATCCTTGAAGCACGGGCTTATTCTGCGACGATCTCGGGAGCATTGTGGCTGGAAAAGCGGAAGTGGGAGCAGTGTCTCCACGATTACTCGATTGCAAGGGTGATATACACCGCGTTGGGTCAACAGGTCAAGAAGGACGCCTTTCGAGACCTTTTGTCCGGCACTGTCGACCCCAGTCTGCGCTACGCTGCGTACCAGATGAAACTACCACGCTCCAAACCTACGTCCTCGCTTGCCATTGAATTTTTCCCGTCGGACTCTAAGATGCGGTCCGAGGTTGAGAAGATCGACCCGTCTTGCCTAGCCGAAGAAGCAGCAGGAACACGGAGGACTGCCGAAGGGGAGGTGCAGGAATTGCCCGGGTCGATTACCTGGAGGTCACGGACTGTTGCACTGGAGGATGCCTCAATCTCTCAGGCACTGGCTGCTGCCGCCGCCGCAGAGACCAGCCTCACGTCCTGGTTGGCCAATAACAGTGGACGATCTGCCAACTCCAAGGATAAGGCTGCTGCGTACGACAATGTGATCATTGCAAGCCAGGACGCAGTCGATGCGACCAAGACGGCGATCGATGATCTGGCCAGCGAGGGTGTTGACCCCGGTGACAAGAGAATGCAATCGCTCCAAATCACCCGTACTGCTGTCAACTACACTCTCGTAGGATGGCGCGTTGGGCGCAACCGGGTGCTGTGTGGTGAACAGGACGGTCTCTCTTTTGAGGAAGAAGAGTCCGCGAAGGGCAAAAAGGGCGCCAAGCGCCCTGCGGGGAACGGGAAGAAGCTGAACAAGCTCCGTGAGCGCGTGGTTCTGTACGACTCGACACTGCAGAGTTTGGAGTTCATTCTCGAACTCCCCGGTGTCGCTGCTGATTCTGCATTTGTGCAAGAGCTGGATGCCAGGCGCCACTACTTCCGGGCCCTCAGGTATGGCAATCTCTCATGTTTTTCTTGTGTACCTCTCTGACCATATTCTCAATCCAGGTGTCTGGCCCTTGGACGGTCTCACAGCGTTCTGGGCAGATCCACAGAGGCCCTAGCGCTGTTCTCGCAGGCATTAGATCTTGTCAACTCCGCCGCGACTTCTCAGTCAACCGACCCCAAGGGGCCCCCGAAGCTCGATGTCTCTCGGGCGCAAGTTGGCACCCTGGAGTTGACTCTTCGGGAACTCGTTGCTCAGTATCGCGGACTGGTGACCCTCGAGAAACTCACAGCTGAGGATGCGTCGCAGTCGGCTGGCCAGCGGCCGCTCGTGGAACGGTTGCACCAGTTCGCCGGTGCCCAGACCGATCTCCGCAATCTGGTGCCGTACCCGCCGCAGATGCTACCCGTGCCTGTGAAGCCCCTGTTCTTTGATGTGGCGTGGAACTACATTGACTACCCGCGCGCCGATGGCGTGGAGAAGAGTGAGGAGCCGCAAGCCGAAGAGAAGAAGGGCCGTGGCTGGTTTGGATTTGGGCGGTGATTACCGCTGTCTATTTTATTTTTCCACTGTAGAGAGATACAATTTATTCGAGTGGATATTATTGTAATACCTCACTGTTCTGTAAAGTTCTTGCCCAGGTGGTATACTTTGAACCCGGTATACAACAGCACAGGCTTGGCACTCCAGCTAGGGCTTGAACCAATCAGCCGGTGGCCGGATGCCGGGACTGCCGTAACCGAGATCACGTTATGTAGGGGATTGGCGAGAATGACCATTGCAGGCATTGCGATTAGAAGACAACTAGGAATGAGAATCCAAGAGATCTGACACGACCTCGCGAATCTGCTGGTACTGGTTACTTCCCAGTAGTCCGTTCGAGCTAGATGATCATGGGTGCATTTTTCATACTATGCGTCGATACATCGTGAATAGATTTGATACTTGCCCAGGGGATAGACGAATAGATTTTCATACATGCCCAGGGAGAGACGAATAGATCAAATTGTGATTTTCTGGCAATAGTTAATAACAAAGATCGTGATATTCGTCAGGAACGATTATCCATTAAATCCAATCACAATAAGCAACGGGGGTCCGACTCGTGGCGTGCGTGGGTCCAATTTACATCCGCCCCTTATCGAAGAATTTCTCCCGTCCCGCTCTCCTCTCCTCCTCCACCTCCTCCGTGTCCAGGGTCTGGGATTTTGTTTCTCAGTCCGGCTTTCCTTTTCTTTTTCTGGAGTTTAGTTTGTGAACTCATTCGCCATGGTCAACATCACGGGGAGCTTCATTTCGCCTTCGGCGGATGCGACTCTGTATCCCAAGGTTTTCGCGCCGGGGATGATCGCATCCGTGCTCGAGGGCCTCACGGTCTGGAAAGTGCTGGTGACCCTGTTCGTTGCAGCTGTTGTCTATGATCAGTGTGAGTGGTCTCCGAAATCTTTCCAGCGCATCTTTGCCCTAACCTCGGGTTTCCAGTCAAGTACCACTACCTTAAGGGCGCGATCATTGGACCCGCGTACAAGATCCCCTTTATGGGCCCGTTCCTGCAGTCTGTCAATCCCAAGTTCACCGAGTACAAGGCAAAATGGGACAGCGGCGAGCTGAGCTGCGTTTCCGTCTTCCACAAGTAAGGACCCAATTTCTGAGACGCCGGAATTGCCGCTCATAACAACCCCTTTTCAGGTTCGTCGTGATCGCCTCGACCCGTGACATGTCCCGTAAGATCTTCAACTCGCCCGGCTTCGTCAAGCCCTGTGTGGTGGATGCCGCGCACAAGCTTCTCGGCAAGACCAACTGGGTGTTCTTGGATGGCAAGGACCACGTGGAGTACCGCAAGGGCCTGAACGGCTTGTTCACCCGCCAAGCGCTGGCCTGCTACCTTCCCCGCGCCGAGGAGGTGTTCGATGATTACTACAAGCGTTTCCTGGAGAAGTCGGCCACGGCCAACTTCGAGCCGCGCCCCTGGATGCCCGAGTTCCGCGAGCTCATGACTGCTCTCTCGTGCCGCACGTTTGTCGGATACTATATCTCCGAGGAAGCCGTGCAGAGGATCGCCGACAACTACTACCTGATCACTGCCGCGCTGGAGCTGGTCAATTTCCCCGTCATCCTGCCCTTCACCAAGACGTGGTACGGCAAGAAGGCCGCGGACATGGTGCTTGAGGAGTTCTCCAAGTGCACTGCTAAGAGCAAGGCGCGGATGGCCGCCGGTGGTGAGGTTACCTGCATTATGGACGCTTGGGTGAAGGCCCAGCAGGATTCCGCCAAGTACCGGGAGAAGATTGCCCAGGGTATCCAAGTTGATCCCTCGGAGAAGCCTCCTCAGGTCCTGCGTGACTTCAGCGACTACGAGATTGCCCAGACTGTGTTCACGTTCTTGTTTGCGTCTCAGGATGCCACTAGCGCTGCCTCGACATGGCTGTTCCAGCTGATGGCTGACCGCCCGGAGGTGCTGGACAAGGTCCGCGAGGAGAACCTGCGCGTCCGCCATGGTGACCGCACTGTGCCAATGTCCATGGATCTGCTCGACAACATGCCCTACACTCGTGCCGTCGTCAAGGAGACCCTGCGCTACCGTCCCCCGGTCATCATGGTCCCCTACCTGGTCAAGAAGGACTTCCCCATCACCGACAAAATCACCGTCTCCAAGGGCTCGATGATCATTCCCTCGGTGTGGCCTGCCACTCACGACGAGGATGCGTACCCCAATGCCGACTCGTTCGAGCCGGAGCGCTGGATCACCGGCACAGCCGAGCAGCAGACCAAGAACTGGCTGGTCTTTGGTACGGGTCCCCACTACTGTCTGGGTCAGACCTACGCCCAGTTGTCATTGATGGGCATGATCGGCAAGGCCAGTATGGAGATGGACTGGGAGCACACCCCGACCCCGAAGTCGGAGGATATCAAGGTGTTTGCCACCATCTTCCCTCAGGTATGTTGATCGATCAACTTTGTTTTCCTCGGCCATCATCACTAACTCGCACTAGGACGACTGTCTACTCACCTTCCGTCCCCGGAAATAAATGTTTCCTTTCTCCAAACCAAAATTGAAGCTGGTGCATGCATAGCCTCCTTTCCCAGATAGTTTGGCCACATGGTCACATTCAGCCTTGGCCCTTCCTATCCTGGAGATGGAATGGCCTTGAAATATTTCATCCATCTTGATGTTACGTGGTGTGCGCAGCGAAGGAAAATCTCCGATTGTCCCGAATACCCGGTTTTGTACGCATGCCGCCAGCGGAGAGATCTGTCTCGGAAGCCCTCCATATACCCTTGTCACCATAGGGTTTTTGTGTGTATGATGTGTGCGGCCCATGTGGGATCGCTGTTTTGGCGTAGTGGTTTTTCTTTTATCCCTTTCCTGGGATTGGACTGATGATGTGTCCGTCTTCGGGGTATGCACCTTAGAATAATATTAATGAAGGGGTTTTTGTTGTTTCGTTATTAATTCAGCTGATATACATGATTATTTTGTCCCACGGCGAAAATCTGCAATGTAGTCAATCCAAGTCTAGCCCTAGGGTCACGTTAAGGCAAACATGATACCAAAGGAGAAGGAAAGATTTCAGAGGAAATAACTTGGTAGTTCAGTGGCCCCTCGATCTTGTCCCTTCAAAGTTACTACGAGTGTGATTCTGCCGGCAAGTAGTAAGTAGCTGCCCACTCGGAATAGAAGCGGCGCGATGGTACTCTTTTCTCGGGGCCCGCGGACCGGGGCTGAATACGTGCACGAGAGGATCGACACGGTATGTCGTGGTCAAATGCCAGACTTTTCCGACTCAGACATCGTGCCACGGCCATACACGTACGGAGACGCACACAATTGCGATCGGCATTGCGCCTTGAACACTGACATGGTGAACGTAGTACACACCGCGTCGTAGTTTTTCTGTATGGAAAAGGTGGCAATATGAGGTCTAGTATGACCTCGGCTTACGAGACCATCTATTGATACAGCCCACTGCACACACGTCAAACTCATCCACAAGCATTCCCAACCTTAAAAAAGCCTCCCTCTCTTTGACATTGTTTTCTTCACGTCTCTAAACCAGCCACGAAAGAAACCTTCGACGAGGACACAATGAGTGCTAGAGGATCCAAGATTGTTGAGCTATCTGGTGACATCGACTTCATCAAGACTCCCGCAGCTAAACCTTCGGAATTTGAAACCGGCGAGGACTGTGGAATCGCGTTGACCACTGTCAGTCCATGTCGCCGTCTTGCTACTTACCTGATCAAAAGCTTGCTAAACTCCCTTTAAAGTTACCAGCTATTCACAATGCCCCGTTACCAGCCGACGGTGCTGGAAACGAGGGGTTTTCTAACCTCCTATTAGCGGGTGCCCTCACCGGTGTCCCCGGGCTCCTCACCTTCCTACTCGGCGGGGGAATAAAAATATTCATATTCCTTGCCCTACTCTCGGCCCTTCCTGTCTTGGTAGCCTTCTGGACCTGGACTTCGACCTGCAGCCCACGTACGAACAAGAAAGTCAAACTACCCGGCAGACCAATTGAATATTATGTGACCTTCAAGCGCGAAGAGGACCAGTTCAAATGGCAAGGTAAAAACAAGATCCCAATGCAGACCTTCGCTGAAATGTACTTGGACGGCTTGGTGGATTTTAATGGTGACGCCCTCGACGTCATGGAATATCGGCACGATTGGGCAAAGTTCACCTTTACCTGGCAACTGTTCAAGTTCATCATCTTCACTTTCTTCACCGATGTCATCTTCCACACAAAATCTCAGGATGAAGAGCAGATCCGGCCCAACTACGACCGCGGCAACGACCATTACGCCTGGTTCCTCGGCCCTCGTATGATCTATACCTCGGGAATCATCTCGGACCCAGAGCGAGAAGAAAGCCTGGAGGAGATGCAAGATAACAAAATGGCAGTCGTGTGCGAGAAGATCGGCCTTAAAGAAGGCGAGACGATGCTGGACATTGGCTGCGGCTGGGGAACGTTGGCCAAATTTGCCAGTCTGAACTATGGCGCTAAAGTGACCGGACTTACTATTGCGGAAAACCAAACCGCTTGGGGGAATGACGCTCTCCGGAAGGCCGGGATCACCGAACAACAAAGCCGGATCCTCTGTATGGACTACCGCGATATTCCCCGAACGCAGTATGACAAAATTACACAGCTGGAAATGGGCGAGCACGTCGGTATCCGGAGACTTACCGGATTTTTCCGCCAGTGCTATGATATGCTAAGGGACGATGGAACCATGTTCGTTCAGCTTTCTGGCCTGAGACAGGCGTGGCAGTACGAGGATTTCATCTGGGGGCTGTACTTGAATAAGTACATTTTTCGTGGCGCAGATGCTTCAACTCCTCTGTGGTATTACATCAAGTGCTTGGAACAAGCTGGATTTGAAGTCAAGGGGTGGGTCATGACCAGATGCATTTTCTCAATTGAACAAACGCTGACGGTGTACAGAATCGATACTATCGGTGTCCACTATTCTGGGACGCTTTGGAGATGGTATCGTAACTGGACCGGAAATTTTGAAGCAATCACGGGCAAATACGGACCAAGATGGTACCGGGTGAGTTTCGTCTGCGGTCTATTCGTTTGTTGTCAAGCCTAATACCTCATAGATTTGGGAACTCTTTCTCGCTTGGTCCGTCATCGCCTCTCGCCAGGGCTCCGCCACCTGTTACCAGATGGTTGTTGTTAAGAATCTAAACTCAATGCATCGCATCAACGGAATTCCAGCGCAGTTTGGCCTGGCCGGTGCGCTTGCCTCCAGCAAGAGAAAGGGCAAGTCACAGCTGCCTTAGAAAGTGATTGGTTTAGTTGATTGCCTATCGAATGCATCATGCTGGTTTCATGAAGGGTGAAGCGAAGGCCGGTGGCAGGAGTTGCTTTTAACACATCGCACCTTATATTATATTCGTTCCACAAGAGGAAACTACTGCTCTTTAGAAAATGGTAATCTACAACTATGCGAGACATAGGTTAGAGCGCGAGTTTCAATACGGGATATGGGAATAAGTCATCAGTGACTGGCTTTGTATCATATCACGGATAAAACCCTCAAGATGAATAACAAGGCCTGCTGCTGTACAATTCTATCGGCGGTTCTTATGGAACTCGAGCACTCATGGACAGGGAAGGAATCCTAGTTAGCCTAGGATGATTCCTAGAACATTTCAGTTGGCCGAACACACATTATCCAATAGAAGAACAGAGGCACACAGTGATCGAGCGACCCACTGAGTGTTCATGTTAAATCCTTAATTACGGCATTATGATTCTAGCGGCCTTGTAACTAACTATCGATCGCTGTAGTGCGAGGGAAAGCGGAGACTGGTTGATACAGATTGATAAGGTTTGGGGGGTTCCACCCGACCGCGAAATGCGTAGCTAAAACAAGAGACCTCTATTGTCAGATGCTCACAGATCGCCGCTTTTTGCTCGACAAGTAGATAAGAATAATCGGTACCGGAATGAAGAACCGAAACTACTGGATACTCACCTCCAAATTGCGGTTACCACGTCATCGGCGACCACTGGCCACCACGGTGGCAAAAACCAGAAGCAGGGAAACACCAGTTTCGCCTGGCTTGGCTCAGTCCTAATATAAACAGGACTTAAGGTCGCTTTGCACTTCGTCATCGAGAAAGAACTGTGGCACTATATAATTTCCATCAGTACCACAGTAAACATCTAACTCCCTCTGGTTTTGCAGGGATAACTATCCTCATTTTCTTCAACCCAGCACAACACGCACAACACGCACAACCGCTGCATCAATCATGGCGTCAATCATAACTTCCCTCAAGGACCTCATCAGTTCTGTCTTTGAAGTCATATTTTCCGTGTTCAACAGCGCGTTCAATGCAGTCTTCGGGCTCGTAGCGGCCATTGCTCACTTTTTCGTTGGCACTTTCAGAATGGTGCTACATGGGGCGGGAAATATCTTGGAAGCCGCAGGTGGAATAGGAAAATTTATTGCTAGTAAGACCTCTGATCCCAGCTTCCCAGAGTCGCGAAGCGCTAACAATTCATGTGAAAAGGCAATATTGTTGTCATCGCAATTATTGCCGGCTGTATCTACGGCTTTCTGCAGTATCAGGGTCGTCAAGGACGCCCCGCCAAGGCTGGAAACAAGAAGTTGAATTAGCTTAGACGTCGCAGGATGATGTTATGTACCAAATGCAAGCTTTGTATCTTTTGATCCTTATCTTCGTAATCATGCGCTCCTGGCAGAAAACTTTCTCAATACAATACCAGGGAGGAATGCCGCTACAAAAATAATATCACGAATTACTATGCCAAGTGCAAATCCTTGTCGTCCGCCGGCCGCCCGAATGGTGGCACCCACGCCGAGCCTTGCCCCAAAACTTCGAGACATTAGAAACACGAGCTTCATTGCTCTCCTATTGCGTTGTTGATCATAGTTCGGAGCTGTTGAAATGCGAGATCCATAGGAATTACACTATTTTGGAACATTCAATCGCTAAACACCAACGCTAATACCTCGGGTATAGTGGAAGAATTCATTGTGGGCTACTAGAAACGCCTCGTCCATGTGCTCTCGCTAAAAGCCTATTCACAAACCCCAACTTTTCTGTTGGATTTACAGTGGGGTATTATGAAGAAGTTGTAGTGTCACAAAACTATCATATTACAGGTTTCTATCCTGCATGGTGGCCTCACACATGATGCATTGTTTCACTGAAGCTGATCTGATCTCAATCCCAGCGCAGCCTGGCTTGTTGGTCCCATGGATAGCTCGTAGGCCTTGTGAGCAAGATATCTGTATATCAATCTTGTGAAATAGGCAAGACGAATGTCAAGATGATCAAATTGTGTACCTGATGGAAGTCTGCTAGATGTGCATATAGGGCGCATCGAGGCTAATCTCAGTACAGCCAAGAGGATCCTCGAGCTTGGTTATCCTTAAACCAAAAAGTTCTGGGAAATAATCTCATGGAATTTATCTAATACCGTGGCCAGTAAAGATGATAGGAGAAGAAATTAGAAAGCAGGGTCTCGACTATTTCCTCTCCACCGGGGTTCTTTCCCAATGCTCATTTTCTCGTACCATTTGAGCATGTCGAGCAATCCAGGTACAACAGGATCCATATCAAGTTCTCTGAGGAAGCTCGCCCCACCCTCCACCTCTGCCAACCCTTCCGCATAGTGATCCCACCTGTCTGGTTCGCGTAAGTTTTCACGCGGCCCAAAAAGTTCCCTGACCACAGGTGAGGCATCATCCGTGCTAAGCGTCTGTCCGCCATGGGTTCGGGAGCGGACGGCCAATTTGAATGCATGGAAAAGATGCCTCCCCACCCTCGTACGGCAAGCAACGGTGGAAAACGCACTTGTAAGGCTTAAGAAATCGGAATCCAAGATATCAAAAGAGTCTTGTGCAAGCATGCAAAACAGTGACACATTGATAGCATACATGGAAAACTGATGGCAATATATCAGCCCATATGCCTCTCTGTATACTTCGATAATATAGGCAATTTCTCGCGCAGAGGATAGAGCGGTCTTGATGGCATAATTATTCGGGTTAGCTGAATCAGGAGTGTCTTCGCTTGCTTCTATGATTGCCAAATTATCTTGGAGATCATAACACCACAAGTTGATCACGAGCGTGTGATAGCGCATCCTGTCGTGAGATTTCCCATTAGAACACAAACCAGAAACTGGGTAAAATATAATGGCAGCACAAACATGAGGATGAGGATATACGGTGCTGGGTTGTCTCTCGGGTTGAATATCAGGGGCAGCTCTCGTCTCCAATCTTGCAGCCGACCGTACACCTCCTGCTTGAGCTTCACATCCTTGAGCGCGTGCGGCATCTCCCAAGCTGTATCCCTTGCGATGTAAGATAGCTTGCATGCCTCATCAAAATACAAGCTCATGTAAGAATTTCGGGGTTTGCTTTGGACTGGATATGGTATCCATAATTCGTCCTCGGGCGTTTCATCACGGTCAATGCGGTCCACGTTCACGTCCTTTATATGGCTCTGTCTGAGGAAGTTCATGTGAACGATTCTGCAAGAAAATTAGTTTCAAATACTCCAACCGAATTGGAAAAGGCCTTACGTATCAATCTGAAACAAACCCCATGCAGTTCGCTTGAGAGATGTTATCATGTCCTTAGACATATACGGTTCTTCCAGGCGTGGCTTTCTAGTATTGTTCACAATGCCAAGTGACTCCGCCATCCCTATTGCTCTATGGAGCATTGCATATCCATAATTGTCGGTACCATCCATGGAGTACCTGGAGAGCCACCAAGTCAGAGTAAGAACAAACGAGCATCATGAAACCAAGGTATTATTACCTTTCATATAGCAGCAGTGATGCCTGTAAAGAAGCCAGACGGATATCGCTTCCGCTCTCAAATTGATGTGATTTCAGATGCCGTTCGGCTTCGGCCAGAAAATGAGCCCCTTTCCTTTTCACGTCTCCGGGCAAGCTATATGCCTCCGAGTAATCTGAGTAGAACTGTATTGAGTCAGACATATTTAACTATACTAGGGCCGAATGGCTGGGCCTAGTCACTTACACACGCATTGGCGAGGAGAGCATTCACTAAAAAAGGACTACAGAAGTCTGAGTTCAGTCGACCGGATCTCATGTGCTTAACAAAAGTTTCACGACAGAAAAAAGCGTAGAAAGGGTAACCCCAAGTCAGGTACAAAGACACTAAATGTGAGACCAAGTCGTCGCTGTCCGTGACTGTTGTCCACGGTTTTGCAGGAACAGTAAATGGGACAATGTCACACAAATAGTGAATGTCCATAACCATGGGACGAACTGAGGGCGCGTCATTCTCGATCGCTGTTCTGCGTTTAGCGCCAGATGAAATTATTTGTTTATTCAATTCAGACAGTCCTGCATTCGCTAACATTCCGTCGAGAAAGGCACGGAGTTGCTGCGCAGGCTTGCGATCCTGGATCATCTCAAGGAGTTCCTGTTCATGGCTCCGATCCGCCCGGCGAACCGTCTCAAAAAGTTCAAAGAGTAGCTCGCGATTGTAGCTCGGTTCAGCTGCAATAGCTTTTGTCACTTCACCGTAGTGGGGGCCTGATGCTGCGCGAAGATCGCCGGCCTTGCTGGGCCGGCTGCCTGTGACAGGCGCCAAGCTTCCATAGGTCTGAGATGGGCTTATTACCGCGCCATTTTCGCTCATCTAGGTGTTGATTAGTATGGGCCGCCGTTCGAGCAGACGGGTCGACTTGCATTTTTCTTATTTGAGTGAGTAGCTGGGCCAGCGGCGGGGCGCTTGTGCCCCGGTTTATTCGACATAAGACAATGATTTGAAGATGAATTGAAACCTAAATGTAACTTAAAAATTGACCCGCGAGGTCTTCTTAATATTGGGATATCAGGGACTACACTTGATTTCTCAATGACCGAATAATGACATCAGACAACACACAATCTGGTATTCTACTAAATATCAGCGAGAGTGGAGAGGAATTGGTGAACCATTTTAAAGATAAATTTTGCTTCGTTTCTCGCTCCTGTATCCCACATTGTTACTCTTGATTAACGACCATTTTTAATCTCTCAGCGCTGGTTGTTTTTGGACAAGATCGAAACACTTGAATAGGATCAGAGCTTCAACATGTTCCTATGACGGAACAGCCATCTCAACCGCCGGGGGGCTTTATCGGGGAAGACGAGCGGCCAGAGCCATGGCCCCGAAGTGATTTCTCGGCAACCGCGAGCGCTCCCCACATACCGAACGCTAGAAGGACATCGTTGATAGAAACACCTATCACTGTCGTACCGCAGTCTTCGACAGGGGCGAGACATGCGAAGATCGCGATCCCTCGACAACGGTCGGCCGCCTCACCGAGGTACGGCAGGCGCGTTCCTCGGGCATGCGAATCATGCCGGCTACGAAAAACGAAATGCAGCGGCGATACCCCGGTTTGCAGGCAATGTCGAGAAATAAGGACGACGTGTGTGTATCCGCCAGCACTGCGTGAGAAAATGAAGAAGTATGTTCGCACAAATTGTGTTTCTGCTCCGAAGCATTTTTACAAACGATGACGAGGTTCTCTTATTTGCATTGAAATCATCGCAGGCTAAATCTCCTCTATCGTTATCAGGCAAAATGAAGATCTTCTTAGCAAATTGCAGGAGTGTCAGGCCGTACTGAAGGAGGTGGAGCTTCTCGTGCCAGGGCGCACAGCTAAGCGAATCAAAGATCTGTTGGTAAGGCACTTCGTTCTCTGTGTTCCGAGAATATAAATCCCCAGCTTCGCGGTTTATTAAAATTGAGTTCTATAGCAGGACTCGGATTCCGGCTATGTATCCAAGGACATGTCCAGGAGCCCGGCCTCTCGCGGAGGAAACAACCAAGATGAAGTGAGGGGAGAGCAAGACAGCTCACCTTCCTCCGTTGGATCACTAGAGGATCTTGATCAAGTGAAAGATGATGTCAACCGTACCGATCAATCCCGGGCCACAGGACATATCGGCAAGAGCTCGGATATCACTTGGATGCAGCGTCTGCAAGAGGAGGCAGAAAAGCGCAATAGGTCCCATTCTGAGCGTTTTGACTTCAGCGAAAGTGATATCATTGGTGATAAGTTTGTCCCTCATGAGGTAAACTATCATCTCGATGATTTCGAAATAGAAGTATCGGAGCCGGTGCAGATGTATTGGCTACCACCTCGGCCACTGGCGGACAAACTTTTCGAAACCTATCTGCAGGTGGCTCATCCGTACTTCCCAATTATTAATCGTCCTTTATTTTGCCATCAATACCGGACGTTTTTTGACAGTTTTGCTCTACCTGGTGATAAATGGATGGCAATTTTGAACATTATATTCGCCATTGCCGCCAATTACGCTCACTCGGCCGGGTTAGAGTGGTATGGAGATGATCAAAGTCACCTCTTGTTTCTTACCCGAGCTCGGATGCTGAGCATGAGCGGCAGTGACTTGTTTCGCCATCCAGATCTTCAGCAAGTCCAGGTGGAGGGCTTAACTGCGTTCTATCTGCTTTCTACGGATCAAATAAACAGGTAACGTAGGAACACCCTACTCTTTAGGATTGAAGCTGACAGGGCATTGTTAAGGGCATGGAGAATCTCTGCTTTGGCGATACGGTCCGCAGTCTCTCTTGGCATCAATTTGAAGAACTGCGACCCAGCTGTTTCAAATATATCCAAGGAAGTTCGCAACAGAGTCTGGTGGTCTCTATACATGCTCGAGAACAAACTTGGACTGATGACCGGCCGACCTACTTGTATTTCGGTGAATATGTGTAGCTCACCGTTTCCTCTCCCATTTGAAGAAACTCAACTGCAAGAGCCATCCGCCGCTTTGCTTCTCAATGATCCAGATCTCCGAAACAAGCGCATAGACACTGCTATGGCAAGCTCATTTCTTCGACAGACGCCATTTAGCAATTTCGGCAGCGAAGAAGACATCCTAGCCGCTCGCTCGTGGCTGCATAGCCTCTCTGTCAACGCTGGACTGTATTTCCTCTACTCCTGCGATCTCACAATGATGATGCAAGAGCTTTTAGACTGCGTCTACTCATTAAACTCTGTGCACCAAAATTGGAAGAGTGTGAGAACCCGTATTGATGAACTACAAGCTAGGGTCGATGTTTGGTTCTCCTCACTTCCGCCCGGTCTGGACTTCACGCATGTGCACGATGGTGATCAAGCCCATGGCGAGAAGATGGGTTTAGCGTTCCAATATCATAGCGCGCGAATTATGTTGGGTCGACCATGCCTCTGCCGGCACACCTCCTCTCAGAGAGTATCCGACGAGGAACAACATTTCAGCCGTACCATGGCTATATCAGCCCTGAAATCTGCCACTCAGATGGCGAATCTTATCCCAGATGGGCCATCCACTGGCCCATCACATGGAGCCCGCCCTTGGTGGTGTCTTCTTCATTATGTTATGCAGGCAGCAACGATCATGATCCTTGAACTTTCCTTTGGTAGTATCCACATGCCTGAGGCGGAGAGTAGTCTGCTGCAGTTGGCCAAGAAGTGTGTTCGATGGCTTCACGGAATGTCCGAGCAAAGCGTCGCTTCACATAGAGCATGGCAACTATGTGACAGTGCGTTCCGCCGGCTGGCGAAACCCATGGGATTCGATGTCAGCGACCTATCGTCACATTCCAATCTCCAAAAGCGACACGAAGGACATACTCAGCCTGTCAATCATGCGCAAATGTGTCACCGAATTATCGGAGAGGGATCTGCAGCTGGCTCTGTCGGGGGAGCCAACGCAAATCAGCCAATTCCCTTAGGATCTGATTCCATCACCCCGGGGAACCATCCCCCAATTCCATCAAACGCAGCGGGGCATGAGATGGGCGAGGATTATTCTGCTTATGATCCTATCAGCGAGTTTGCGTGGTCCGCCTTCCCTGAGCTTGAGGACAGGGGATCGTGGATTGGTTGAGTACAATATTTGAAACAAAAGTATCCATAAACTACTCTTCAATAAAGCTCTGTCCGTCCAAACCGCTCAAAACACGACCCAAGGGGACAATAATGAGAGTCCTCTTCCCTTGTATCTACACCATGTTCAAATTGACTAGGTGCGTATCATTGAGTGAAGAGGTTATGGAAAGCAACGTGGCGCCATTACTGCGATGAGGTAAAAGTTGATCCCCTAGTTATAACATACGGTAACCAATTACACACTATGTCCAAATACTGAGCAAATTCCTGGGGTGTGACGCAAGGATAGATACACAAAGATAGCTTAAAAGCCATCGCAGGCATGGTCGATTGTCATCACCCAGTTTGGTAGAGAAGAAAAGTCGGTCATGAAGAATCGGCATACTGATCTTCGGCTTTTCAAATCCATCCTTGCGAGTTTGGGCCTTACTATTGCCTTGCTGATTCTTTTCAACGTCAACCCCATCATATCTCCTAGTGCATGTTCTCTATCATTGGAATCAATACCATCCGGATCATCTACTAGCTCTACAACCGTGGAATTACCCTTAGCCGGCGAGTGGTGCCGTTAAGTTCTAGGAGCCGAGAATGTCCTCGTGGTTGTAAGATAGCAACTTCCTTGCTTGAGAGATAGCTAGTGCATTCCTAAACTACTCTACAATGACTAGTGGTAGGATGCCTGCTATCGTGACAAGATATATGGCGACTAACATATCATATGGTTTTTTAGAAGGACAGTTCTGTATATTTCGAAATAAATGTAGAAGATGTCTGATGAATTTCAAGATACTCTATACCTAGGCACTCCTACCGAAATACCTATTGTACGGATTCCACTCTATCCATCAGTTCCCCAAACGCGCAGGCGGTGTTCGGCGGCAGACCTGACATCACAACCCCGGAACCCGAACGAACGCATCTCCAACAAACCATTTGCCCAAGCAACACAGCCATGGTGACACCATTCTCATCCGCGCTACGGCGCTCAGCGCTCGGACAAACATCCGTCAAGCTGACCGCGCCGTTGGGGCCCGCTATCCGGCGTCGAAGCCCGTGTTCATCCGCGGCCACTAGAACACTCACTCTCTCTGCTCGGACACGAGCTTGTCCTCTGGCCACGGGCTTGAACTTTCAGACTCAGAAGTATCAGCAATTCTATGGCCGGGGACAGAGTTTTCGGTGGAAGAGCAATGATGCTTCGCCGGATAATAGTCTGCGACAGTGGGGGTTCGAGGAGGTATGTTTCCATTCTGTGTACTTTCTACTCTCAAGCCACCGACATAACTTCCCTCTTCTAACTGGCTTTAAACCTAACCTATGTCTTAAAACATATACTAACTAACCTCCCAGATCAACGCCTCTCTCCCCGCCGACTCAGCCACAAGCCCAACCCACGCTCCCATAATCCTGATCGACGTCCGCGAACCCGCCGAACTAACCGGCACAGGAATAATCCCATCAGCAGTGGCCATCCCGCTCGCGTCTCAGCCCGACGCTCTATTCCTCACACCGGATGAGTTCGAGACGCGGTTTGCCTTTCCCAAACCCGGCTCGAAACAAGATGGAGAGATGATCTTTTACTGCAAGGCTGGTGTGCGTGCTCGTGCCGCGGCGCAGTTGGCTATCCAGGCTGGATATGATCCGGCTCGCATTGGGGTTTATGAGGGATCTTGGTTGGATTGGGAGAAGAGGGGTGGGAGGGTTGAGAAGTGGGAGGGGGAGGATCTGTAAACTATTTATTGCGTTGGGAAATTGTATATAGAAAAAATAGGACTTGGATCGATACTAGATGTTTGTTTGGCTCGGGATGTGGTTGATACTACGTGGAAGTAAGATCAAACAAATATCCATTCAACGGGTTCTAACGACAGATAAGACATAACAAACAGATCAGATCCGGCTCTCACCCACTCCTAGGCCATATACAGGAGTTATTGTTAGTGAAAACAATGCCAAATCACAATCCCTAGGCTGTCCATCCGTCACATCGTCGTAGTCATTCATTGTTATGTCCATATCACAATCAAACACAATAACTTTTCCCTCCTTTTTAATGGTAATCATATCACATTCGGACACTTCTGACTCGGCCGTAAGACCCGTTGAACGATGACCTCGTGGCGCCCCTAGGGTTTATTGCCTATGCTCCCAACGATAATCTTGGTGCACCCATTTCACGGAATCTCGAACACAGGCTTGAGCTTCTTGACCAGGCCCCACTCTTCCATGGACACCTCGGCCCGGTAGAACTCCTTGAGGGTATCGATGCTGGCGCGCGAGATTTTCGAGTACAGTTGGTCCTTCTCTTCGATCTGGCGGCCGTACATGGGCTGATTGGGACCCTCGACCTTGACGGCCACAGAGGGCTGGCCTCTCTTGCAGACTGGGACGGCCTTGTGGTCTCGCTCGATGGAAGTTCTAGAGAGGGGAGAGAGAGTTAGAGAACAAGCCAAACCAGAGATAGAAAACAAACTTACACTCTGCCGATATCGATCACTTCCCTGACACCAGCAGCATTGGTCTTGATGACACACAGCGGGGTGTGCATGCGCAGGCTGCCTTCGACGACGTCGACACCAATAACGATGGGGTCCTTCTTGTTGAAAACAGCCACAGGCTTGATAACACAGGGGAAGACAGCAAGAAGCTTGCTCTCTTCCTTCCGCTGCTCGGTCAGCTGGGCCATGTGGGCAGTGAAGTCATCGAACAAATGATAAATGATGTCGGCCGTGAAGATCTTGACACCAATTTCCGCAGCGTAGGCGGCAGCGTCCTTGTCAACTCTGACATCGAAACACAGCATGACCGCGTATTCTTTGGACTTTTCAAGCATCGTTCCTGCCTGCATGACATCGCGCTTGTAGACTGGGCCGATGGAGATATTGGCAACGGGGATCTTTGAGACTCGCAGGAACTCGAGAAGGGCCTCGAGCGAACCCAGGGTGGATGCCTGGACGGTGACACCGCGCTGGTCCGTGGAGACACGGCTCAACAGATTTTCCAGATCGGACATGACTTCATCCATAACGTCCTCTTCGTCATCATCCGGACCGACAACCATCAGACGAGAGCCAGCGATGGCATTATCCAGGTCGTTGGCAGCAATCTTGACACCAAGAGCGGCTTTGACCTCCTTGTTGTGGACGTACTGCGACTTCAGACGCAGTTCCTTCAGAGGCGCGGGTGTCAAGAGTGCTCGAATATTGGTAGCTATAGGCCCGTTCAGACCACACAGCACAACCCGATCACCTTCACGGAGGACACCGTTGGACAAAACCACATCGATGGTAGTACCCAGACCCTCGATAACCTTGACCTCGAGAACCGTGCACTCCACCTCGGACAGATACATCAGCGCGTTGGTCATGCGCTCCTGCGTCAGGGTGGTCAAGAGCTTCAGCATATCGGGGACACCCTCACCCGTGTGGGCGGAGGTGGGCACCAGGGAGACGAATTTAGCCATCGACTTGTTCTCGAAGAAGAGCTCAGAGTTGAAACCCTGCTCGGCAAAAGCCAGCTTGGTCTGCTCCAGACGGGTGCGGAATTCGTTCTGGACGCCCTTGCTCTGCATCGCCAAGCTCTCCTGAAAACCGTTGTTGTCGATCTTCTTCCAGCCGTAGAGACGATCAATCTTGTTCAGAGCAACGATGAACGGAGTCTTGCGGTCACGCAAAAGACGCATAGACTCGAGAGTCTGGGGCTCGAGGCCGTGCATGATATCGACAACCAGAATAGCAATATTACAAAGAGACGAACCTCTTGACCGAAGGTTGGAGAAAGACTCGTGACCGGGAGTATCGATAATCAACAGACCGGGGATCTTGAATTCGAACTTGCCGTCCTGGTTGACCACGGCCGTTTTCTGCTTCAGAGCATCCACGGGGAAGTAAGTGGCACCGATCTGCTGCGTGATACCACCCGCTTCGCCTTCTTGCACGTTGGTCTGTCGGATCTTGTCGAGAAGCTTGGTCTTTCCAGTATCGACGTGCCCAAGAATACAGCAGATAGGAGAGCGCAGGTTGTCCTTGGAACGAGCCTTCAAAGCCTCCTCATGCTGGACTCGTTTCCGTTCGGCGGCCTCTGCCTTCTTCTGCGCAAGGGCCCGTTGAGCGGCAGACTGCTCCTCGTCCTCAGAGGAATCCTCTTCGGAATCCTCTTCGGAATCCTCTTCAGACTCTTCCTCAGCCTTGGCTTCACCATTGGCGGCGGGCTTCTGCTCTTCTTCTTCATCCGAGGGAGCATCCCAGCTGTCCTTCACGTCGTCGTCCATGTCGGCAGCCTTCTCCCAGTCGTCGATACCATCGCTATCCTCCGCAGGAGCAGCGGCGGCGGCGGCAGCCTCAGCCTTGGCCTTCTCCTCGGCCTCCTTCTTTCGGCGCTCTTCTTCCGCCTCACGCTGAGCCTGAGCGCGAGCGGCGGCGGCTTCAAGATCGTCTTCCTCCTTCTTGCCACCCTTCTTCTTCTTCTTCTGATCATAGATGGGGCGTTTCTTCTCGGCTCCGCCCTCCAGACCCGCGACCTTGCCACCAGCGGCAAGCATCTGCTTCATCCGCAATTCATTCTTTGCTTGCTGTTCCTTCTGGGCCTTGGTGAGCAGCTTGCCCTGTCTGCGGAGCTCCTCCTTCTTCTCTCGCTCACGCTCCTTCTTCTTCTGACGAGCCTCCTCCCGCTTCTTCTCTTCCTCGGCCTCTTCAGCCTCCTTCTTCGCATTGGCCTCTTCCGCTTCTCTCTGGATTCGCTCTTCCTCTTCACGCTGCTGTCTGAGGAGCTCCTGTTGCTTCTGAAGCATCGCCAGTCGAGGGTTGAGCTTCTTCTTAGAACCCGCTGACTCTGCGGCAGGAGCTGGCTCGGCAGCGGCGGGCTTTTCAGGCTCGGCAGCAGCCTTGGTCGGCTGGGCCTTGGCTTCAGCAGGAGCGGCCTTCTTCTTTGTGGCAGCCTACATCAGAAAGGTTGGGTCAGCATGTAATATAGCTCGCGGAGATCCTCTCCAACATACCTGCTCCTTCTTCCGCTGCTTCTCACGTTCCTTCTTCTCCTTCTCCTTCTCCTTCTTGCTCTTCACGCGGAACTCTCCCTCCCCCTCGGCAGGCGGAGGTGGCGGAGGCACATCCTTGATGGGTTTCGTCTTCTTGCCGGCGAAAACATCATCGTCGTCAAACGTACCCTCCTCGGGCTCCTTGCCGGCAAAGTCGTTGACGGCATCCTCGCCCTCAACGAAATCGTTGACGGGCTTGCCCTTCTTTGCCTTCTTGTTTTTGTTCCTCCTCACCGCAGCGAGGAGGCCGCCGCCGCCGCCCATCTCCTCCTCATCCGCAGGAGCACCGTCCTCTGCAGGCTGCTCGGTGGTCGGGGACTCAGCAGCAGGGGCGGTTTCACCCATCTCGGCCTCCCAGTCCTCCTCCTGACGCTTATTTCCCTTCTTCTTGGGTGCCATTTTGTGTCTTGTGATCCTTTTTTGGAGATGTGTTCGGTGTAGCGACCGGTAATGGAATCGAGTGAGCGCCCACAAACGGAGTTAACCGTTCAGATGCTGGCTCACGGGGAGAGGCAGTGGGCAAACGTCAAATGCCGAAGAAGAGCCCAAAAAAGAAAGGCAGAGCGTGGCTCTCTGGTGGTGGGGGAAGGTGTCGAGGGCGAAAAAGAATTTCGGGCGGAGGAACATCATTTATGGTGGGGAACAATCAAATGGACGAATCTCACTCGCCACTACATACATCCCACCGTGAATGAATTACAACAAACTATCACATCTTGTTCTCAGTGTACAACACAGTAGATACAGACATCACCAGATCTGTGCATCCCCTATTCCTTGGCTCTAGCTATTCAAGATTCCAAGTGCAGCAACTGCCGCAACCACCCAAGCGCCGCCTCACCATGGTTCGCCGAGACCCCTAGCACATCCTGGACCATTTCATAGAACTGGGACTCCAAGCCATTCCGCATAGGGGGCCATGGGTCAAGGCGCGGAGAATCCTTGATCATATCCTGCAAATAATCGGCGTCCAGTCCGCTCAGCCGGGCCAGGATATCGCCGTCAATCTGTCTCTGCACCCCACTGGGATCCACCGGTACGAGGTCCCTTGGATTGGGGCGTCTCCTTCTCTTGGTCAGGGACGTGTTGATGGCCGGGTCCCTCTCGCAGAGATTCTGTAGGAATCGGAGGAGACGCCATTCTTTTTTCTCGAGAGTCAAGAACTGGTGTACCGTTCCGTTAAGACCTACGCCATACATCGCCTGTCGGGCGGGAGATAAGGTCGGGCACCAGTTTCCCACCAGAAGTTTGGAGATGGAGAGTGGAAGATAGATCTCCGACCGTGGTCCTGGAAGCGTGTGATTCATCGTCATGTTCTCGATATCCACGAGCAAGCGGACACCGCCGCCCCGGCTACTGGCGAACGTGAGGTCTGGATTGCTGGGGAGGATACTGTGGGATAGCCCATCACGCTGGACAATGTCCAACGCATGGGGGACCCAAGACCCGTCCCTGATTTCATACACCATGAGCCCATTGCGCGAGGTGGTAATGTAGACATACTGTCCATGCACGGTGATCGCAACAGCAGGAGAAGGCAGAGAGAGCACGGCGTGGCTAAGCCATTGGATCATGGAATGGAGGGACCTCAGCGGGAAAACAGACTTGCCAGCAGAGATGATCAAAGTGTCGACATACGATGCGATAGTGCGTACAGGCTTTTGCACCGACTTCATGTGCTTAAAGAAGCAATCGATCCGGGATGGATTAGCTGGGTTGCGAGAGACTTGCAAGAGGATGACCCGACCCCGAGACGAGTCGAAGTCATCAGTATAGGGCCGCGAGGTTCCCACAGCAATCAAGTGGTATTTTTTGTCACCTCTGATGGGCATCCAGTCAAAAATGCAAGTGATCGTCTCACCAACCCCCCTTTAGGTCGCCATGGCTCATTGTTTTCTGGCAACCACGGTCTGTTCTGGTGGATCACTGCCTGCTGCGAGTCCGGATCCACAAATTCAATGTATGGGCGTTGAGCGTCCTCTGGTGATGCTCCATCAGGAAGAGTGTCGGGAAGGGTGTATGATACAATCAAGCTTTCCAAGTGTTTAGAGTAGCAAAGCTTGCCGGGTCTACCTGGCAGATCAATGCGTCGAGGAACCGGCTTCGCTCTTTTCTCCAGAGTGCACATGAGCAGCTGTCCATCTGAAAAGCAGAAAAGGGAGCCCAAGGTATTTCCCGAGGCATGGGAGTTGATTAAAGAGAAGCTGTTGAGGGTTACGGGAAAGTAAGCGGACTACCGGAGAAGTTAGATGAAGTGTCCAGAATCAAACGGCACTCGCGGGACTCACATTGATTCTGTCGGTGATCCAGACCCGCCAAAGGAAGTAGCTGGGGGCCATGCCATCTTCAGTGTATGACACGCGCCAAAGCTCATGTCCACATGTGAATAAGGCAAAGGAACCACTGCCCTGAAGCCTGATCGATGTCTTCCCGATCTGTGTCGGTGGTTTCTGAGTCAGTCCTGGAGATCAATAAGGGTTAGCCCAGCCCGTGATAGCAACAGGGTGACGCCGATTTACCAATGAGAGTGGGAGCATTGAAATCAATCTCGAACGGAATAAGGATGCCACTTCGCAGACCACAAAACAAAAGTGCCTGTAGAGAGCCCTTGACGTTGGTGGAAATGGTTGCAAAGCTCTCAACCGCCATGGATATGTCTTCTTCCGATTGAACAGAGATGGCGATGTCAAACAAAAAGGTGACGGCTTCGTCATCAATATGGAATACGAGCACGCTTCCATCACCCGAGCCCATGAACAAAAATGAGGTATCACCGAACTTCTGGATAGAGAGACAAACGGGGTATTTCTCAATCCCGACTGGACTTCCAACGCTTGACATCGAGACAGCAGAGTCAGACGTAGTAACAACTCGAGCCACGTGCAGGCTCATTCCATCCTCACCTCTCATCGCAGCAGCAATCAGAGAGCTAGGGCCATCAACAGTGACGGTGATGAGATTGTGGTTTGGATCATGCTTGACAGAGTTGTTAAGGGATTGCTTATTTGTGACAAAGAAATGGATGGCCCTGTCAGTCACTTGGATAAACACCCCCGAGGGTGTGAACCCTGCAGCCAAAGTCTGTGCATCGTCCAGCCCCGTATCCACTTCATCAAGAGCAGTAATCTCGTCTTCCAAATCTGAGCTCATACACAAAAGCTGAGAGGAGATGGGGTCTGAGATCATCACATATGTGCGGCCATTGATGTCCTCACTCCATATGTCCCGAACCGTCGGGATATCGCCTAGGGAGGCAGCGATATTGATTGGCGCTTCGACTCCATACCGCAGCTCAGTCAATGCTCCAACCGCCGAGGAAGATGCCGAACAGACAAACAGTCGACTGCGATCCATATCGTCTTCCAGAGCTCCTTGAGCCCCTGAGGGCACGGTGACAACGTCTGTCACTGGGGCCCAATTCAGGAATCGTTGCTCGCATTTTGGATGCTCTCGCGCCTTCTGGACGAACAGCCCACCATCACCCATACTTCCAGCGGCCATTATGAAGTCGGCCCCTCCGTCGCCCATATTAAGCACATCAAAGGCGGTATCGACATCACAGTGAAGTTGGCCCAAGTCAGTTAGGTTCTCCAGAGCACCCTCGTTACCAAACTCTAAGTAGTAGATCCAGCCATCTTCGCGACAAACGTAGATGCCGTCGAAGTTTTGGCTATACAACCAATTGCGGGATGGTCTTGCCCAACGAGTCCATAGTGCAGCCTGACCTTGGTCAGGGGCAGGAATGATGGTGGGGTAAATCCGAGGTTGAGTTGCAGAGTTGGTGGAATAAACGGTCATCGAAGAGGTTGTAATCAGCAGGAATGATGATTCCTTGGTCAACGGAACCACCATAGTCGGCTGTCGATCCTGTTCCCGTAGTTTGATTTCCTTGACTCGGGGTCTGGTCCGGCGCATGGTGTTCTGCTCATCCCATTGATAGACCACAGCTTGGGTGCCACTCTCCTGGGAAACTATGAGAAGCAGGGTGATGGTTTTATCATTGGGGGGAGCTCTAGGATAGAGAAACTCCATGAACAGTATGTCTCCATCCACCGTGAAGAAATGTTCCGCTTCCACCGGATCCAGCTGCCCATTCGTCATCTGTAGCTGGAGATCATGGGGAGAATTCAACCAGAAAACACCGAAATAGTTGCTTGACGCGCTGACGGCAAGTCCCCGCGACTTTGGATCGACCGCAATGTGCCGCCCAAACTTCTCAGCCAAACTGACGTCTTGGGGCAGTGGCCGACGATAGGTGACGAAGAAGTCCTCATTGGAAATCGAACGGTAAAGGAAGACAAGTTCCTTCATATCCAGAGCGAGTAGCAGGATCTGAGGAGGTAGATGGTCCGGATCGATATTCATTTCTTTCGCACGACCCCCGGCCCTGACCTGTGTGTCCAAAGGCAGCTGAGTGCTGACATTGATTACCTTTGCACCCACAATTGGTGCATCAAAATCCGTCTTTTCAAGCACATCTTCAAGGTGGCCATTTATGGCTTCTTTGATCTGCACGCGCTTTTCACCCACAAAGACAACGTCATTGTGGTCTTTGCTACGGAGACGGGCTGGTATCATCCACTGGATCATGGGGCTGGCCAGGACAGTTCGGAAGAGCAACGCGACTGGCTGGTGCACTTCCTGCGTTTCGCGGGATTCGCTAGATTCTCGGTAGGAGTTTGACATAACGAAGGTGTCTTGACGAGAGAAAGGAAGAATAAACGAATGATGAGGATGAAAGTGATGTTCCAGAGAGCGAAAGAACGACCTTGTACGCTGAGGTCGATTGTCGGTGAGAGTCTAGATAGACTCTGGACAAAAAGGCATTCTCAGCGCAGAAGCCCAGAGACGAGGTGAGAATATGTCTGCCCCGCAGGGCCCGCGATATCGCGATCTAAATCTTTCAGTATATGAATTTTGGACCATGAAGAGTAAACCACCATCAAGACTGACCTTCGGTTGAAAGAGTATTAATCAGACGCGTGGTACGCGCAGGTGGTGCCCAGTGAAGCACCGAAGAGCTTCTTGCTTGTCTCCGCAGCGGGAGAGCTCCGGTGGAATTCCGGGTGATGGACACGGCGGATTGACTTGGCACCGAAAGCCACATAGGGTTGAGAGCCAAGCCAAAGCGTATTCGATCCAAGACTTGACTCCAAAGCGCACGATCGAATGATGGGGTGGCCGAGCAAGTGGTGTTGAAGACAAGAGTATCAAGCGGGCAGCCCGATGGGGATCGTCACGCGCTTGATGCCTGAGGCGGCCATCTGCCTGGCCGAAGTACTTTTGTCAACAGAATGGGTCTACGAGCTCTGTTTCACAAATCGAAGTCATCTATACCAGGCGCAATACAAATTGTTGCTTGATGATTACAAGGATACACTCTAAACCCCCTCTAGCCCCTCCAGAAGGCCTGTAGTCGGCCCAGAACAGACCAGATCGAAGCATCCAGGCCTTTCTTACGGATATAGATTGATGCCGCCCCGACCACAACAGCCAGAGCCACCGATCCAATCGACCGCCGATGATTCCACGTAAACTCCAGTGCCTGTTTCCTCCACTCCTCGCGACGGATCTGCCGCGCCTGCTGGTGGAATAGTTGCACAGCTTCGTCGACCGTACAGGTCTGAAATGGATCGCGAGACGTCTTGAGCACACTGCACCGAGGGATCTGCTTCCAGGCACCGAAGGGTAGTGATTCGGGGGGTGGTCCTGGAAGAGCTGTGTGGCCTGTAATATATGGCTGTCCAGATCGAGCGGACAAGGGAGCTTGGAGAGAGTGAAGTGCAGCATTTCCGGCTCTTCGGTGGGTATCTCCAACAGTTCTTTCTTGCGCGAGAGAATAATGGCTGCAAATAGGTAGATGGTGACCACTGGTTCCTTGGCCAGAATAAAATCAAACAACCGGGCTATATCGCTGTATTCCTGGATGTCGTGGGCGTATAGGGTCAAGGTGGCTGCGAGAGCGAAAAAGGGTTGGATGCTGGCTAGGTGTTGCCGTAGCTTCGGATCGGCCGTCTCGATGATTGCAGGTATTAACTGCAGATGCTTTATCGCTGGTGAGAGCGAGGGGAGCATGTAGTCTCTGATGCGAAAGAGGGATATCTGTGCCATGGCCGAGGCGGCCTTTTGCGTGCCGAGGACGAGCAGTAGGACCTGGACGATGTCATGGTAGCCCTGAAAATAACAAAGCATCGGGTAGTTCCTGATGACTTGTCTGATCAGGGCCGATAATTGCTCTTTCTTCGTTGATATCTCATCTTCCGGAGCTGCGTCGGAGTCAGTATACCGAGTTAATCATGCAACTTGAAGAGACAGACTAACCGCTTGGGTAGTAGACAAAGGACCGGTCAACATCAAGCTGGACCTGGTCCTCGTCTACATGCCGGGGCAGTTCATCCAGGGGCTTAAGGTCATCATGTCGTGTATTGTCGCCACATTGTAAAAGGAGAGGCCCTTTTCCCTCGAGATCAGTTCTATCCATCAGTCAAATTCAAACAACTCACAGGCTATTTGCCGCAGTTCATCATGAAGTAGTCCACCTTCCGAGGTCGCATGCACGACGAGGGCATCTAGATTGCGCGAGGTGCACGCGCGGCGGATAGCCAGTGCCTTTTCCGCTCGAAGGCTGGAGAGACGTTCTGCCTCTGAGGGTGGTAATGACCCAGTCGAGTCGCCGCTTGATGCCGTGGAGAGCTTTTCTTCCACACTCGACACTGATGCCCTTGCTGAACTGATTCGGGACTGATCCATCCCTGGGGAATCTTGTCCCAGACACCAGTGCAATTTCAGATCAAGGTGAGTTATAACATTTGCCCAAAGTGGTTGCAGATGATATATTTTCACAGGGATCCTTTGTTGGCGATATGACCCACAACACACTGTTCGGTGGCACGGCACTTCAGACCGGAGGGTGCCTCAGAATTGTATAAAAATCTCCCAGTTTACAAAATGATCGATGATGAAGGTTACCGGCCCGATTGTCGCATATTTGTCGAAGGAAGGTCATCTATGCAGTGGCCCGGTCAAGAAGGCGGCAGGGTACTGCCAGGCTGATTACGTTGGTTTTGGCCCGCTGGGGGAAGCTGATGTGTCCTGTGTTGTGTACTCTTCTTTCGCAACTCCCCTTCCTGCCCTTCCACCTCACCCAGTCTACCCATAATGGCGAACCAGGGCTACGATGTGGTTGTTGACGTGGATGCCGAGGTATGTCAATGACCCTCCAATTAACCCCAAGTCTGTCGCTCACACAACCCGCAGGGCGACCTCGGACATACCGACCTGCAAGAGGACCTTGAATTTCACCCATCCAGTGAGTTACCCTCAACGCCAACAACAAGAGAGCATGACTGACCATGTCTGTGACACGTCCCAGACTTCGAATCCGACCAGCGCAACGCCAAAGCCCAAGCCGACTCCGCCCCGTTCCTAGGCGGGAGCTCATCGCGCGGTGGTGGCCGGGACCGCTCCCCCGGCGGCACGCCGACCAAGCATAGCTGGTGGTCACTGCACTACTACGAGCGGTATTTCGACGTGGACACGAACGAGGTGCTGCGGCGGTGCGTGGCGGCTCTGTACCCGCGCACCAACTTCCTCGATGTACTAGAGGGCAACGCGGACCTATACGGGCCGATCTGGATCGCGACGACGGTCGTGGTGATTCTTTTCCTGACGGGCACGATCTCACAGTGGTTGGCGAATCATGACGACGAGCATTTCGAGTACGACTTTAGGCTCCTCTCGGGCGCGGCGGGCTTGATCTATGGGTATACGGGCGTGGTGCCGATTGCGCTGTGGGCTGCGCTGCGCTGGTTCGGTAGCTCGACGGCTGATCTGATCGAGTGCTGGGCGTTGTATGGGTACTCGAATTTGGTTTGGATTGGAGTCGCACTCGTCAGCTGGAGTCCGCTGACGGCGCTGAACTGGGCGCTTGTTGGTGTTGGCTTTGTGTGGACGGTTTTCTTCCTGCTGCGCAACCTCTACCCGGTTCTCAATGCTACGGATGCCAAGGCTAGCAAGATATTGTTGATCTTGGTGGTCGTGTTGCATGCTGCTCTGGCTGCTGCTATCACGGTGCTTTTCTTTGCGTGAGTGCAATCCTTCTGTCGTGACCTAACAGAGCTTGGCTGACAGTTCTTCCTCTTCTAGACACGGTAGCCCGGCGAAGAAGGGACACAAGGATCACGACAGTAATGATGACGGCGATGACAACAAGCGTCGGTGGATGATGTAGACGGGGAAAGTGGAGATGAGATGCTAGTCGTACTCCTGTGTATCTCCGGCCCGCCTGGCGCAGGCCACTCTTGTTTCCTGTTGATTTGCGCGCGACGAAGTCCATCTCGCGCAAGCATTGTACCTATATCTAGTGGAGAGGAAAGAGAGCACTGAATTCCAACTTGAATTTTTTTTTACAACATTGAAATCATGAATTGCAACTCGATAGGCAAGAGGAGCCAACTAACAACAGGTCGACTGACTGTGGCTGTATTGATTTGTTCCATCATTTTCTAACGCCATGTATAGACCTCTTCCATGTCGCAGTCCAACCACGCTGCTCCACCGCACACCGAACACAACGAAAAGGGGGGCGAGTCGCTTATTTCAGCTTCTTCTTGGGGCGGAGCTGGTTGGTGTGGCCGCACTTCCTCTTACGGCAGTTGGTGGCACGGGGAGGCAGACGGGCCTGTAGAGGAACCGGTTAGTTTGAATCATTTTGGGGGCGTGAAAATATCGATGTCACGTACGTAGCACTTGCGGCAGATGGACTTCTCGCAGTTGTACTTGGAGGCAAGGGCCTTCAGGGAAGGCTCGATGATACCACCACGGAGACGGAGGACCAGGTGGAGAGTGGACTCCTGTAACGAAAAAAAAGGTGTTGTTAGCCACCATTCATATGAACCAATCCCACATCTGAACACTGATGCAGCGGATTTCCATCCCGAAAGCCTTCGAACCGTAACGTCGGATCCGAGGATATCCACCAACTGCTCACATCCTCCACAACACAGGGAATCGTACCTTCTGGATGTTGTAGTCGCTCAGGGTACGGCCATCCTCAAGCTGCTTGCCGGCGAAGATCAGACGCTGCTGGTCCGGGGGAATGCCCTCCTTGTCCTGGATCTTGGCCTTGACGTTGTCGATGGTGTCGCTCGACTCAACGTCGAGGGTAATGGTCTTACCCGTCAGGGTCTTGACGAAACTGCATTCGAGAGAAATTAGATTCTGGGATTCATGCGATCGGGCGGGGGGACGCTTTGCGAGGACGGTCCACGGCTGGGAGGCACGGGGAACGGGGAATGGGGGTTCAGATTGACCTACATCTGCACTGGAAGACGCAGAAAAAGAAAAGGTTAGCTTGAAAGGTCAAGGGGACACTGGAATAGGTATCTGAAGGGCCTGTACGTACTGGTTGCGGGTTTTCGTTGTTGTCGGTCGCAGTGAGATCGAGGCGGAAGAGGCGGCGGCAATGTGAGTGAGCTCGCTTAGGAAACCGTGGTCACGCGATCCACATAGCCCTGGATGTACTAGTCACGTGGATAGGGCTATTATTGCACGTGACATATCTCTGTTCAACTATGGAATGCAAGGAAAACATGGGATATCATTACTATAAATAAAATAACGCTAAATGCTGCAGAAGACGCCGCGATGCCTACTACATCTCCATACCATCACCCATGACCAGATCTGTCATCTGTTCGTCCAGGTCATCCAGCACATCGCCATCCAACGCATCCGGGCCGCTCTCGCGAAAGTCTTCGGGGAGTTTCTGGTCGTCCAAGAACCGTTCAATCCGAGTCTCGGTGTGCGAGACAGCTCGGAGCAGCGTTTGTTCCGAAACAGCTGCGAGCTGGGCCGTCAGTTCGTAAAATGCTTGCTCAGGCCCAGTGAATGTAGACCCTGGCCGACACCGCTGGTACCGAGAGCCCGGACGGGACACTCCCTGCTCTTCGGTTGGGACAACTCGCCTGGGCCGGAGGTCTTGAATCACGGTGTGTAACAGAGTTTCCAAAGCTTCGTCCGGGTCTGTGGTCATAGATGGAGGTGGATCAGTATCCGAATTTGGCTGCGTCGTAGGGAACATTCCGGCAAGAGGGTTGGTCGCTATACGTGATGATCAAATCAGTGTCAAATGCAATTGTTTCATAATAGATCAGCAATCCTTACCTCCTGAAGTGTCCAGCCAGCTGTTTGCATACCAGTCCATGTACTGGTCCATCTGAGCCGGGGTCATATTCAGCACGTCTTTATCAGTGACGTGGATAGCATTGCCCTTCCCGATGTCGCCAGCAGGACGGTCATGGCTGTCGAAGTGTCTGTGTGCCTGCGCCCAGATATTCCAGTCCATGGTCTGAGCAGCAGGCTCATTGCTCGTAGTCGGATACCGCTTTACGTTATCAAATGGGAATAGTAGTTTCGTAGCAATGACGATCAAAGCCATGATCTGGACATCAGGCAGGTGGAGCGGCGTTTTGCGCCCTTGTTTTCGAAAGGGATATTGGTATGTGAAACCCACTATATCTTGCAGTTTCTTGACTGCCTCGTATACCTCGACTAGAACCTCGTGTCAACAGCAGAGGCTTCAACCCGGGAGATCTCTCTTACCTGGAACCGCCAGTCTCTTAATGTGACGATACAGAATGAGAGGAGAGTTTAGTGGAGGGATGACGACTCCGAAGCGACGCTCGTAAAATAACTGCAGCTCGAAGAAGGCTCGCTGGAAGTGGCCAGCTTTCGGGAGTTTCTGTGATGAAAAAGGTCAGCCGATCCCCCGATGTGACACTCAGTAGTGTACATACGCTGACCTCGAGCAGTGATAGGTATTCTGGGGGAAATTTATCCCTCATCTCGCGCGGGATTTCCCTCACGACTCGGATGTAGGGAACGTCTTGCCGGATGACCAGACTGCAACAAATGTCAATCTCTTTATAGCAAGGGGAGATCAAGATGCATACCGATGAAAATCACTGACACAAATCGGAAGTCTCATTACGAGGGCAGCTAGATAACATAGCCCGATGGAATCGATGAGACGAGGCCAGGCTAGGTACTTCCCACGGGGTTTGAAGCCTAGCTCTGGCGACTCGTCCTTTTCGGTTGGCTGCGAACTGAAGAGCTCGGGCTCCGATTCGTCCTCCTCGAGGGATTCATTGATCTTCAATGCGTAGTCCTGCAGCCGGAGAGCCCAGAGGTCGCGAACGACGTTCTAGACAAATGTCTGAGTCTCACATCCCTTCGGGCCGTTCATCCACTTACCTCGAACTGCTCGGGAAAGCCTTGCTCGCGAACCAAGACATGACACTGTTTCCAGAGGATCAACTGGTAGGCCTGCAGGAAAAGCGTATATGCCTGACGACCGCGATATGCTTTTATGGCAGTGTCAGCGCGTCCACCGAGAGGGAGTGGGTGTTCACCGTACTCTTTCTAGACTTCTCGGTCGCGGCGCGTTTCACCCGATGCGTCTTGCCCTGCTTTGCAAAATCCTCTGGATCTTCTTCGACTTGGACGCCCTGCAAGATGATTTAGCCTTGTGCGGTCCGTGCTTATGCTTTGACTCCGTCATGACAGGACGAGAAGGGCGCTATCCTACCACTTGTCGGTGGCCGCGCTTGCAGAACCATAGGCCCTCGTCAAGATAGTAGCGCCGTGTCCGGCATCCTTCTTGGCCGCAGACCCCTCGAGTGACGTATTCCACCATCCCAGGGCAGGCGGGGCATGACTTGTCGGTTTGGGTGGAAGGGAGGATGTTCTTTACGTGAATAACGTTGACGTCCCGGACTTTTTTTTTCTGCAAAAAAGTCACCGCCGCTTCGGGTCCACGACCACCCCAGCATGCTTAGGAAAATACCTTCAGAGTAGTTAACTACAGGTCGTGTCGGAAAAACACTCGGTTCTACTGAATACGTTGATAAAAATAAAAATTAAACCAATCAAAGGTTACGGATTCATTCGTCACACGATCATGAGATGCTGGGACTCAGAACTGATCTTCGGATAACAAGTCATGCTGCCAACCAAAGCAATTCTTCTCGTCGGTCCAGCCTACATCCAGGGCTAGATGGTGGATACAGACAATACCCGGCCATTGAACCATTGAAGATGAATTTTTTTGTGGCACAAGCCATTTGAGCATAACGGTTGACATCACAGGCGATCCAAGGAGCGATCCGCTTATTTGGGAGCCTCCTTGACATCGATGGCGGCCTCCTCACCCATGGCGGTCTGGACAACGACGTCTGGGAAGTGATGGTCAGACACGGCATCCGCCAAAGACGATTGCGGGGGTACTTACTGACGTCCTTCTCCTCCTCACGGAACATGCGGATGATGCGCTCACCGAGATCGCTGTCGGGGACCTTGACGTCGTCCTTGGTGGCACCAGTGTCGTCCATCAGGGACAGGAAGTCATCGTCAGTGATGTCCAGCTAGACAGAAAGGTCAGTGTCTGTGCGATTTCCCCGCTCTCTTAGTGGGGATTACGCACCAGCTGGTACTCCTTGCGGGTGACGTTGGGGACATCCATGTTGTGGGTGGAGGGAGACAGATCCTCCAGCTTCTTGCCGGTGAAGATGTCAATGGCGACCATGTGGACCTTGGCGTGACCGTGCTTGCCCGTCTTGGAGGTGGACATGTCGACGATCTTGCAGGGACGGCCCTTGATCACAACGTGACCGTTCTTGCGCAGAGCCGAGCACTGCATGGGGTAGGTGGTGGACGCACCGGCATCCGCCGAGTCGAAGGTGACATCATGCTGGAAGGAGCGAGTTAGTATGGTCCTTCAGTCAGAAATGGCTGTCCACCCGAGGGCAAGAGGGGGGGAGCCGCATGGGATGCGGGGCTGGGAGAGTCTAGGGCCGATCGAGGCAGAAAGAAATGGAGACGGGGTGGTAGGAAAGAGAGACATACCTCGTCAGCCATGGTGAAAGATTAGTGAGTGTCGAAAGGGAGATAAAAAAAAAAGAAAGCGATCAGTGGTATCCGGGAAGAAGTGGAGGGGAGGAAGAGGAAGGAAGAAAAAAGCGATTTTTGTTGTGGCGGGGCGTCCATGTCGCTACGGCCCGATCGGGTTTAGTGTGCTTCCCGTTCATCGTCTCGGTCCTTGGGGAGTTCGAGACATCACCTCACATGGATCAAGAGAATGTGGCGCGACCGCATCTCCGGCACCTCGACTCCCTCCGGGGCGAATCGCAGCATCTCGCCCTTGCCGCCCCGTCCCTCCCATCTGTCGCCGAGTCCCTACGGCCGTCCCGGGCCCGTGTCGCGCGCCTCGTCCACCACCTCCCTGCTCACCGTGAGCGGATCCACCACCTCCCTTCCGCGACCAGAGACCAAGGAAACCAATGTTCGTCGACCCCGTCCGGCCAATGTGCCAGATCCGCTGGAAGTGTTGAGCGGGATTATTGGGAAAGAAACCCAGACCGAGAAAGATCTCCCCCGACGATCCGCGTATTTGGACCGCCGGCCGGCGCAGCTGGTAGAAACCGTGCATTTTGACGGACGGAGCCTCGAGGAATTCGTGGCCGGAGAGCAGGAACCGGCGCGGGGGAACAAGACTCGAGGCAGTGATGTGAACGCCCAAACAGTTCAGCAGTTCGAGAAGGAACGCGACAAGTTTCAGGATCTCCACACATCCATCACGGGCTGCGATGATGTGTGCAAGTCGGTCGAACTCTACCTGAATGACTTTCAGTCTGAACTGGGCACCGTGTCAGCGGAGATCGAGTCCCTACAGACTCGCTCCACCCAATTGAACGCCATGTTGGACAATAGGCGCAATGTCGAGCGTCTATTGGGTCCGGCCGTGGAGGAGATCAGTATCGCCCCGAAAACCATCCGGACCATTGTCGAGGGTCCTGTGGATGAGAATTGGGTGCGCGCTTTGAATGAAATCGACGCCCGGACGACGAACATCGAAGCCAAGGCGTCCGCTTCCAACGGGTTCAAAGCGGTTGAGGATGTTCGTCCGCTCCTGGAAGATGTGAAGAACAAGGTGCGTTTGCTTCCGCCCCCCGAGTCGTACCTTGGATTAACTGTGATGCAGGCGGTCGAACGAATCAGGGACTACTTGGTGGCGCAGATCCGTGCGATGCGGTCTCCGAACATCAACTCGCAGATCATCCAGCAGCAACGGCTGGTGAAGTTTAAAGATCTGTTCAGCTACCTGACCAAGGCCCACTCAAATCTGGCGGGTGAGATCTCACAAGCATACATCAACACGATGCGCTGGTACTATACCTCCAATTTTACGCGGTATCTGCAGGCACTCGAGAAAATCAAGATCTGGCCTAGTGACCGGAACGAAGTACTTGGAGGCGAGCCGTCCGGACACCGAACAGGTAGGTTCGCCCTGTACATCAGCAATACAAAATGCTCACACGCTCTCCAGGACATACCCACAGCGGCCGAGCTGGCTCTGCCGCACACGACCCATTTTCCTTGGGCAGACGGATTGATATTCTTCGAACCAGTAACCCGCAGGCATTATCCTCATATCTGGCCGAGGAAGACAACCAATTTCACGGCATTGAAGCCCCCTTCCGGAACTTCAATGTCGCTCTCGTGGACAACATCTCTGCCGAATACTCTTTCCTCACTGAGTTCTTCTCTGCTCTGTCATTCCATCAAATATCGCGAATGGCGATGGACATCTTCGAACCAATATTTACCCTTGGCCAGAACCTGACAAAGAAATTGATCGACAACACCACCGACTCACTCGGCGTTCTGATCTGTGTTCGTCTCAACCAGCACTCGGCCTTTGAGCTGCAACGGCGCAAGGTGCCCGTGGCCGACTCCTATGTCAATGGGATTAATATGCGCCTATGGCCCCGGTTCCAGGTCATCATGGACCTCCACAACGAGTCACTGAAGCGAGTCGGATCCAATACTGGACGTAGTGCAGGTGCTGCACTGTCCATCGCGGGCGGGGATGACTTGAAAACGTCCTCGGCACCGCATTTCCTCACTCAACGATTTGGCCAGCTTCTACATGGCATCTTGGTCCTCAGCAGTGATGCTGGAGATGACGAACCCGTGTCCAACAGCCTCGCTCGCTTGACTGCCGAATTCGATGCTCTCCTGGCGAAACTGAGTCGAAACGGCACGGACGCGAAGCGGCGCGAACGATTTTTGTTCAACAATTATTCGTTGATCTTAACCATCATTAGTGTATGTTGCCTGTGATATCTTACCGGGGAATTCTGTGAACTGACTGGCCGACTGCAGGATACCCAAGGCAAATTAGCGACAGAGCGACGACAGGTGAGTTTGTTCTACGATGATTTGTAGTTATTGGCTAACAGACCCTCAAAGCATTTGGATGAGATGCTTCGGAATTGCAGCAAGCGTTAGATATTGGTGCCGAGTGCTTCATGTCCCATACACCGTATATATAGAGAATCCCATTGGAGAATGTACACTCGCTGCTACCTAATGAGACCAGTGCATCTCCATCATACTTCCAAGCTCATCCATCAACCAATCTCTTATAGTTAGATGCGTCCATAATTACGGGGTGTCGCTAGGTGCGGGTCCGATCGGCGCTGTAAGTGAAGTCGGCCTTCACCTCAACTCGTGCTCTCTCCTTCACCCACACACTATGCCGCTACGCCCCTCATTCCTGGCGAGGCTGCCACATCGCCGTTTCTTTTCTACTACACCCTCCTCCAATGCGGATTTTACACATGCAGTGAGGCCCCTTTTCTTCTACCCCTCAGCATAGCCGGAAGAACAAACACCCGCTGATTCAACTCCTCCTTCACCAGGTAATTGGTGCCGGAGTCGTCGGCCTGGCAGCTGCGCGCCAGCTCGCCGCGCGAGAGGGCACCTCGACTATCCTTCTAGAGAGACACGATGCACCGGGGACGGAGACAAGCAGCCGCAATTCCGAGGTATAATGCCCCCAAAGCCGCAAACACCGAAGAGCTCAAGGACTAAGAGGCAAGCTCTGTTCAGGTCATACACGCTGGCCTCTACTACCCCGCCAACTCCCTGAAAACAAAGCTCTGCATCCAAGGCCGAAACATGCTCTACGACCTATGCTCCACCCACGACATCCCCCACCGCAACACGAAGAAATGGATCGTCGCACAGACAGCCGCTCAATGGGACGCGTGCCTGAAAGTCCACAAGCATGCACAGGGACTAGGCGATGCGCCCACGCGGCTGGTTTCACGGGAAGAAGCGCGGCAGCGTGAGCCCGACGTCAAAGCCGATGCAGGGATAGTGGAAAGTGAGACGACGGGCATCGTGGACAGCCATGCACTCATGACATATCTACAGGGTTCGTTCGAGGAGCGCGGCGGCGATGTCGCTTTCAAGACGCGCGTGACGAATATCCAGCCCCTGGCCGGTGGCGGGTATGAAATTACAGCCGTGTCTGATGAGGACGGCTCCGAGACGACAATCACCACCGAGACGTTGATTAACAGTGCCGGACACGGCGCCTGCGCAATCAATAATATGCTTCTCCCGCCAGACCGCCACCGCGTTCCGCACTATGCCAAGGGCACATACTTCTCGTACGCTGCATCACGACCCAAAACCTCCGTTCTCGTTTACCCGGCCACTGTACCAGGCCACGGCGGGCTCGGCACTCATCTCACGCTAGACATGGGCGGACGCATCCGCTTCGGGCCAGACGTTGAGTGGGTGGACGACCCCAATGATCTCAAGCCCTCGCCGGCTCGACTGGAGCAAGCTCTCCCCGAGATCCAGGCCTATCTGCCGGGCGTCGATGTGTCCGCTATCGCGCTGGATTACTGCGGGATACGACCTAAGCTTGGTCGCGGAGCGGGTGTTAACGAGGGGAAGGGATTTCAGGATTTTGTGATTCAGGAAGAGGAGGGTTTTCCTGGGTTTGTGAATTTGTTGGGCATTGAGAGTCCGGGGTTGACGAGTTGTTTGGCAATCGGGCAGATGGTCGATGGCATTTTATACCGGTAAGGAAGACATGTATACCCTTTTGTATATACAGCATTAGAATCGGGGACAGTACATAGAGCACACGACACCATATACATCGGAAAACGATTATAGATGTGAGAAGTTCGGCATGGGTAGAATGCCACCTGCCTAGCTGGGCGATGATAGGCGGCAGGAACCGCGCTTTGACTGAACTGGAAGGAGGGTAGATAAGGACGGACGAGGTATAAAGCGGGGCGATTTACCCGATGCCTAGAAGAGAAGACTGGAACGTCGGATTTTTTCGACAAGAATGACAATTCTCGGAGTAGCTGTTGTGGGCTTAATCGCAGCAGTATTTTGCTCGATTCCCACCGGTACGAAGTCCTTGACAAAAGCAGCGTGGGAAATATCTTCTTACCAACTATCAACTTCTAGCTGCGGAATGTACCTATCCCGATCTCCTCACGGCCACAGCGGAAGAACTTCAGCATGGGCTTGCCGCGGGCTGTTTTACGAGCGTGGATCTGGTTGACGTGAGTGATACACTGACCATCGCAATAGCTCGTTGCTGATGAAGAATACCAGACATACATCAGAAGGACTGCAGAAGTCAATTCAACCGTTCGAGCGGTTGTTGAGCTGAACCCGGAGGCGCAGGAGATTGCTAAGGAACTGGATGAAGAGCGGAGGAAGGGAATCGTCAGAGGGTGCACCTCCCTCTCTCGCCATTTGAGGAACCATTCAGAGTCACTAATCCCCGGCGTTTTAGACCGCTCCATGGTCTCCCGATTCTTATTAAAGGGAACATCGGCACAGACGACGAGCTTCAAACAAATGGTATGTACTCTCCACACTTGATGGATAGCTGTGTACGCTCACCAACTAATATGTGTGCAGCCGGCTCGTATGCCCTAATGGATGCCAAACCCATCTCAGACTCGACCATCGCAGCCAGACTGCGCAAAGCAGGCGTGATCATCCTGGGCAAGACCAACCTCTCCCAGTGGGCCAATTTCCGCTCCACTAACTCGTCCAACGGCTGGAGTGCATGGGGCGGACAGGTTATCGCGGCTCATGTCCCCAACCAGGACCCGAGCGGGTCTTCCAGTGGGAGCGGTGTTGCCTCCGATCTGGGTCTCGCATATGCCTGTTTGGGCACTGAGGTAAGGAAGGTTCTTCTCCATCCAACGAAAATCATGCCTCTTATGTAGCACATCCAGACTTCCGGGAGTATCACCAGCCCTAGTGAAAAGAGCGGTCTTGTAGGCATCAAACCGACCGTCGGACTCACGTCTCGCTACCTGGTTATCCCCATCAGCGAGCGCCAGGATACCGTTGGCCCCATGGCCCGCACCGTTAAAGACGCAGCCCTAGTCCTCAGTGCCATTGCTGGCCAGGACCCGCATGACAACTATACCCTAGCCAGCCCTTACAAGCAGCACGTCCCAGACTACGCCCAGTACTGCAAAGAAGGTGACCTGAAGGGCAAACGCATCGGTATCCCGCGCAACGTGCTCGCATTGAACGACGGCCCCGCGATGGCGCCCTACTACGCCGCATTCGAGGCCAGCATCAAAGTTCTCAAGGAACTCGGGGCCGTCATCGTCGAAGACACCAATTTCACCGCGTATGAGAACTTCCAGAACAGCAGTGTCAGCGAAACTGTCCTGGAAGCGGACTTTATCAGTAACCTAGCAACCTACCTCTCCGAGCTGCAAACAAACCCTCAAGGCGTGCACAGCCTTGCAGATGTGCGTTCCTTCACGCATGGGTTTCCTCTCGAGCAATGGCCGTCCCGGAACACGGCGACATGGGACCACGCCCTTGAAGTGGGCATTAACAACACATCGCCCGACTTCTGGCCGCTGTACGAACAAAACTTGAACTTTGGCGGAGAAGGTGGTGTCTTCGGCGCTATCGAGAGAGGAAACCTCGATGCGGTGATTCTGCCAACCAACTTGGGATACCCCGTTTCAGCTGTGGTCGGTGGACCGGTCGTTACTGTGCCGATGGGTGCATACCCTGCAGGAACGGACTTGCAGCTGTCTCCTCCGTGGAACTTGACCAACGTGGCCCCTGGTGTTCCCATGGGTCTGGCGTTCATGGGGCTGAAGTGGAGTGAACCGACGCTGATTGAGATGGCTTATGCATTTGAGCAGAAGACCCAGGTTCGGGATACTTTACACCATTACATTGTGCCCAAAGCGCAGTTGGAGCATGGTGATGGAAGGGTACACAAACATGAGAAACAGAAACACTCCGTGTGAGAAGAACGGGCTGATAAATGAGAACTTGGAGTCGTTTATTCATTAGATCCATCCCGAGTGCTCATATATCATAACGCAGAAGAATCAACCAGCCTCCCGGCGTACAGAGTAGTATACATTACAAGACAAAGTCTAGCTAGCCCAGCTAGAAGACAAATTGATTCACTCCACATCCATAAGCACATCACTCATGATATGCAAAATATACGAGAACTTCTTCACACTCCACTTCCCCGAATCTTTCAATAGACCTGCATAGTCCAACAGAATCCGACGAGCAGACTGGTACCCGCCTTGAAGAGGCACGCCGCGCAGGTAGATCGTCGCGCCGTTGCGGATGAAATTGACAGCGGGGTCATCTGTCGACGAAAAGTCTTGGCTGCCGCGCGGGTCCATGAAACTTGTGAAGCCCTCGGTGCCAACCTGGTGCCAGTCGATATCATCCATTAATTCAATAGAACCGAGGCTGGCTGGAGAGGATGCGGAGCTAGGGACCATGAAAGTGTACAGGCCCAGCACAAGTGCTGCGGAGAAGACAGCGAAAACGGAGTGGAATGTTGGAGGGTCTGATGCCTTGCGATTTGTCATGGCGCGGTAGATATGTGCGGCGTGGAGACAGGCACGGCGCGCTGCGGGGGTTTGTGACCACTCTGCGATATTGTCGAGAGCTTTGCGCGCAGGGCCGGGCCCGGCCCGGCCAGCGGCGAGATCGAAGATCTGGATATCTGCCGTCAGGGTCATGCACATGTTATGCCACATGACCGAAGCATTTGGGTTCATAGATTCCATATTTTCACCGTAGGTGCTGATGAGTTGGAATTGCAGGGAGGGAAGGCATCGAGCCCGCCCGTCCATGGCGTATGTGTGGCATGGGGCGAAGGGGTAGCTGGCCCGGTTGGAGAGGAGGCGATGGTATGCTTCTGACTGGCGAAGCTGGACCATTGCGAGTATGGTGTGAATGCAGAAGTCGTCGGCGGGTCCGTCGAGGGTCGGGATATTGATATTCTCAGACGGTGCCAGCACCGTCGGCATCAGGATCCGTTTTCCGTTGCGGATGAGCTGCGTCCAGCGCATTGAGGATTGGGCGCTGAATAGGGCTTCGTTGCAGGGGAGGATGACTTTGATGGAGTCGGGGACTATGATCGGACTCGTAGATAGGAAGGAGGAGTACCATGAATCCATGAGGAGGAGCCCGATGACGACTCTATACAGCCTGCATTAGAATGTTCTCTACTTAATTGAACACTATCACTCACCTCTTAGCGGACTCAACTTTACTCCATGCCTTCCATCGCATATCAATATCGGGGACTCCCTCAAACAGGCTCATGTCGAGGATCTGCCCTTCAGTTGCTGCAAATAGCCCATGTCGTTGTGTGATCTGTGATCCATTTTAGAGCCAAAGTTTGAGATCCACATGGAATCCATACTTACCGACATCAGACTCACGTAAAGCATCTGGCATTGCTCCAAGTGTGTTTTTTCCTAATGTGTGAATTAGTATCGAACGTGGACAAATGAACACAGGCCAATCTTACACCAGTCAATGCGGCGAGGCTCAAAAAGAGAAACGCCGTGGCAAAAGTGGACACAGAACCGGATGAACTCTCGATCCCCGTTGAACACTTTGATAACTCGGCAGTCACCTTTTCCAGTGTGCTCTTTGCGTGTTTGTCAGTACAGAAAAAGACGATTTATGGAGATTTGACCCACGGTGAAATTTTTGAGCACATAACTAGAGGTCCCCTTGGTTCCCAGCAGCATCATGCCGATAAGACACATCACGTGAAGCAGTGGAACATGCGTCTTCTGCGCTGAGAAGGTCGGGAGATGTACAAATGGCACGAGAGGGTGGAAAGTGCGAAAATAAAGGTCAAGAGCCATATCCAAGATCTCGGCGGGAGGAAAGGCGGGTAGGCCATTGACAGTCACATTGAGTGCGGCAGGAGAAAGACCATTGCGTTTGGGAGATTGCATATCGGGCTGAGTGAACACTGGCTGTCCAAACACCGCTTGAAGACGGCGTCTGCAGTCCTCATCAACTCCACATCGCGATCCCTGGAGTAGACTTGACTCGCTGGGAACATGCAACGAATTTACCGTGAACACGTTATCCGCCAGGCTGTAGACCATATCATGCCATAGGGTGTTCATGAGTCGACCGGTGTGATTGAGTGGCGTCAGCCAGCATCGCTGGACTTTGGAGAATCTTTCATTTGGAATATTGTCTCCGCCAGACTTGCCACTATCGTTCGAATGTCGGTTCTGTCGGTCCGGCGAAACAACCGCATTGTCCCCCATCAAGGGGAAATGACTCTCCCGCATCAAATCAAGCGAACTATTATTCGATCCCGAGTCAGTCCGGGGCTCAAGCCACAGCTGCAACATGTCGTTCGGCACTGAGTCGAATGTCATGCCGGGTCTGTGGGAAGTTTGGTCAGCGGGCGTCACTTCGTTCCACCCGAAATACGGCTGCTGTTCATCAATCATCATATGGTGAATCTCCGGCTCTGTTCGAGCATGTTGGGCTGAGATATCTGCCAGGAAATCCAGAGAGGACGGTGGGAGCCCGGGTGCGGAGAGGGCCGGTGTCGCTGGGAAATTTGGTATTTGATGTGCCTCTGTACCAAAACTGGGCAACGTATGAACACCATTTTCGGGTCCGGCAACCATCGGCGTGGCCGCCATCACAGAAGACCGGTGATCTTGAGCTTGGCCAGCTGCAGCGGCGTCTTCAATCTTAGCGCCGGCGGCCGTACGACTATGCGGATTATTGTGGCCTTTGGCATGTCGACTCAAAACATCACTAGAGCCCAGACCGTCAGATATCATGAAACCAGCGCATCGTAATTTGGGTCATTACCTGCGAGAAAACCGTTTATGGCAGACATTGCATTCATAGGGCCGTTCCTTCGTATCTATATCGAGCGTCAGAATCAGATTTATTATCAAAAGACCTCTGGACTGACGTGACCGCTCGTGGCGCTTGAAATGCTCTGTTTTCTTGAACCGGCGATCACATATGTTGCACTTGCGCAGGACCATGACGGAGCTCGCGGATCAGCGAGAGATGAAGCGGTGACTACAGCGCATGGCATATGCTCAGAGGACTAGCTCGGGAAATGATTTCTGAAGCTAATGCCGATTGAACAAAGCTGCTAACACAGGGAGAACTTGAGGAAAGAAAGAGCATCGTCTGTGGAGAGGGGAAGCTAGTCTGTGTTAGTAAGCGGGTAAAGTATTGGTATGGTATATACGTGCTAATTTCAACACTATTCCCGCCAGCGGCATTGTTTTGTTACCGTCTTCAATAATACCAAACCACTGGGTTCAAGCCGGAGATCAAGAATAGGCGAACGGTGGAAGTGGCTCATTTGTGCCTGAAAATTAACAGTGGCAGAGATGTATAGCGTGATGGTGGTACAATGAGATTTCGGGGAAAGGCTCCATGGGGCGGTGCATTTACTCCGAATAGCACGACTTGAGGAGATGGAAAATGACGGTATAGTCTAAGAATGGGCATTTTTGGTCTAGCGGTTATTTTGCCCCAGATCTGAGCGGCGCGACTAAATCACCTGGGTTATTGAGTTGAGGCTAAATTACTTGGTATACAAGCCACCGGACTTCCCCCACGGGGGAAAAGGCCAGAACGTGAACAATCGTCAGGCCCTAAAACCTGCCAGGCCCCCGCAAAGCCCATGAACAACAACGATGCAAGCAACGCAATCAGGAAAGTTGGGAAACAACCTCGAGACGGTGCTCATCACAAGTAGCACTAACTACCCGGCCTCTCATTGGCTCCCCACCCATCCCCCGGCAGTTGGAGGTGAGCTTCAATACCCGAGGGTCTACTTACTGGCCCAGCTGCACCACCAGTGCAGCCAGGCGGTCGTCGTCATAGTACGTTTCCAGGCGCTACTTGCGTGCCTCCTTGTCCGCCTTAACCTGTTTCAGGGTCTCCTGGAAATGCGGATACGACGAGAATTTGTCCTGAAATCAATCAGCCCTATACTGCGTATACAAATTTCCAACATGGACTTACCGGCAGCGCATTCCACGCCCTGGGATCAGTTCCGTGATCTTAGAATGTGCCGCAGCCACTCCGGCCATACTCAGTAAACAGGGAAGACCGACTGCTCTCGATCATGATAGTAGTTTGATCTTCACAACATCTAAAATCAGCACATACTTCATACATGGATGGAGACTTGCATCATGCGACCCAGCCCACTTCCATACAGGCTGGCCAGGACTCTGTCGCCGAGCTGCGGTGGAAGTATGGCAGGCGGAACGTGTTGGACGCAGCATCCCATCGAGGTCCAAACCATAGAAAATCAACCAGCGGTATGGCGGGGTTTCGCGAGGGAGCTGTGAGCACCCAGTTCACCGATGGGTCAGTGTGGTCGACGGAGGTAGCATTCTGCGATGCCAACTTGGTCAGGTCGCACTGATGAAGTTCAGATTAGCAATATTTAACAATATAGCTGCCCGGATTTCACTCATACCTTTTAGTGAGCGGCGTTGCCATGCCTTGCTACAAGCTCAAACAGGCTGCGGTCTTGCTCAATGGCATGGTACTGTCCATTATTCTTCTTGACAATCGATAAATCTTCATGAAGAATCTCATCGATGAAGGCGACCGTCTATCCGGGTGCAGTTTTCAAAGCATTCCCTTATGCGATCATATTCTGTGAGTGGTATCGCATCTCGTTCCCGGCGTCGAGGCTTAAAAACTTCTGATTGGCCTATTCCACTGGTTTGCACTCAGGATTCCACCTATTCAACCTTCAGGTTGCCCTACATATGGTGTAACTTGACATGGGAGTACTGTAGTGGTCACGTTCGGGGTTATCATTCCTCTGTAACTATTACAGATACAATTAAACGAGTTCGATATTAGAGTTCGAGAACTCATCGAAAGGTGTAAGTAGTGACTCTAGTCCCCCGAAGCACTGTATCGGCCAAAGGGCGCCATGGTCGATGAAGAATCACCGCCGAATGACCGGTTGCTGCTTCATCGGCTGAGGGTGGTCAACGATATAAGAAGTGGCATAGAGCGCTAGCGGTAGCCATCACATTAATATAAGCTGTGTGTCCACCGAGTAGAACACAACAGAGTGACTAGAAAACTGTGGGGAGTGGAGTATAAAGGGAACCCGGTGGAGTATATGAAAAGAAAAGAGAAAGTCTCAATTATTAAGGATGTCTTCTTAACCCTAGTCCGTATTTGGAAGGCGGGAACAAGCGTACGGGAACACTGAGTCACCTCTAGCCTTGCGCTGGCATCCGTCCTTCCACATCTACCACACGCTGCCATTAAAAAAAATATGGCACAGTCAGCATTATCAGATATTCTCAAGGCAGCATCCTTGGACTTGGCTCCCTACGAGGACCTGTACAAGTATTTCCATGCGCATCCCGAACTTTCTCGGCAAGAGAAATCTACATCGGAAAAGCTCGCGGCGCACCTAGCCCAGCTGGAAGTTTTTGAACTCCACACCAACATTGGAGGTTATGGCCTTGCTGGTGTGTTTCGAAATGGCGAGGGCAAGACTGTGCTCCTGCGAGCGGATATGGACGCACTTCCAGTGAAAGAGCTGACCGGGCTCCCCTATGCAAGCTCCGTCACCATGCGCGATGCCGATGGGAATGAAAAGCCAGTGATGCATGCTTGTGGCCACGACATGCACATAACATGTCTTTTAGCAGCGGCAGAGACGCTTGTAAAGATGCGGAATGCCTGGAGCGGGACTTTGATCGTGCTTTTCCAACCAGACGAAGAGCGAGGCGGAGGTGCGCAAGCGATGGTTGACGATGGACTTTACTCCAAGATCCCAGCTCCCGATTATGTCCTTGGTCAGCACGTTATGAGAATGCGGGCAGGGAGCGTTGGCTCGCGCCCTGGAGCCATCATGGCTGCTGCCGACAGCATGAAGATCACTGTCTTTGGGCGTGGTGGTCATGGATCTCAGCCTCATCAGACCGTGGATCCAGTGCTTCTTGCTGCACATATCGTTGTTCGACTACAAAGCATCGTAAGCAGAGAGATCAATCCAAGCGATCTCGCCGTCTTGACTGTGGGAAGTCTCCAGGCAGGGCAGACAGAAAACATCATTACCGACAGGGCCGAGATCGGTGTTGACTTTCGGTCTGTCAAATTGGAGATTCGCGAACAAATCATCTCTGCGATCAAGCGAATTGTCGAGGCCGAGTGCGCGGCGAGTGGCTCGCCCAAGCCGCCAGTGTTTACTCCGACAAGACGCTTCCCACCTACCCTGAACGACAAAGATACTGCATCTCAAGTTGCCGCAGCGTTCGCGACTCACTTTGAGGACTTCGATGATGATATACCACGAACCAATGTTAGCGAAGATTTCTCTACGTTGGCAACCTGCCGGGGGCTTCCTAGCTGTTTCTGGCTCCTTGGAGGCATTGATCCTGACCTTTGGGATAAGGCACAGGCAGATTCTCGCACGGAAGAGATACCAGGGAATCACTCGGCACTTTTCGCGCCCGTCATTCAGCCAACTATGAGAGTTGGAGTGGATGCGTTGTGTCTTGCTGCTTTGACTTTCTTGAACAAATGATTGCCCGAGTCGTGAAATGATAAACACAAAAGTGCTGGATTAGGAATTTTCAGAGACTTCTCGAAGGGAATATTCAGATCGATCACACAAGAACGCATCATAGCCGTAGAATAGTGTACTTTTGCTTTGTATCCTCGGTTACTTTCGACGGCTACATTTAGAAATCGTGACAATTTTGCGCCTTGACATTGCCATATCTTACAGCTGCCATCTTTAGAGATAATAGACTGGACTTAACACACAATGAATCTTCTATTATTCACCATCGTTCTTTCATCCTCCCGCATCCTGCCGCATCCTGGATGATGGCCCCACGATCATTCCGTGGAGCAGCGGCCCCACCCACCAGAGTTCCGGACGGGCGAGGCAGATGGAGAAGATACCCCAAAACAATTGGGGCCATGGCTGCATCAAAGTGCCAAGATATCGGTCGCACCAAGAAGAAGAGGCCAGACGTGATAAATTCTCATCTCGCTATCGTGGCCACTGCTGCAAGCCCCGAACACTATCCTGGCACAACAGAGATATGGACTTGTCCGAACACTGGCTTCAGGTCTACGGAATATAGACTGGAAAAAACTTGAGTTGTTTTGCATGCAACAAGTTCTGTTGTTCTCCAAGATTTTTCAGTAGAGAGGGATTGTACATCAGTATCCAACACTCAAATGAGCAGCAATTTATGCTGACAAAATATTGTCCCGACTTTTTTCTCCCAGTGACAATGTCCAAGAAGGAATTGAAGCGCAATTTATGCTGATGAAGGCTGTTATTGAGTGTACTGTACTGTTCTTATACCTACTATGGTTCATTGCGATTTAAATTCCTACGTTTTGGTATAATACTGTGTCATGTCGTGGCGAAGCACATCCAGTCCCTGCCGAAGAATCAGCATTAGGAAGTTACCCGCGGTGCAAAAAAGAAAAAAAAATAACATACCAAAGCGAGCTCTTTGGCAAGTTCACTATCAGTCTCTGACTTTATACAGAGTTGGAAGAACTCATCGCTCTCCCGCGCCTTGTCCGGATCCTGATCATGCAGCCGCCGGAAGTTCTCTCGGGACATTGGGTCAATCGTCTCGGCCCAAATGCGCTTGCGTACCTCGCTGTATTTATCCAGGATTGCGTCGTCGGCAAGGTCCTTATGGATTCCCATCAGCGCATCGAAGAGATTTCCCACGTCCGCGATGCCACCTGTCAATCCCAAACCGCCACTAACACTCATTAACTCCAGGTGACTTGTACTGTAGAACGGAGACACTTACAATGGGTTACAAAGATGGGCCGCATCTGCCGCGAGCAGAACTCTACCGACGCGGAAACTGGGCGCGCATCGTTGCTGCATCTTGTAGGGACTCGTATTCGTGATGCGATATTCCCCCGGCTTCGGATTGCCTGGCAGGATTTCTTCGTATCTCTGTGGTTGGCGAGCAAGATATTCTTCGCGACTAAGGCCTGGGGTATCTCCATATGACACGCGGTAGAGTCCATCAGTTGTGATGCGAGCCGCCATATACCAATTCTTTGGGTGGATGATAAAATTGCTGTCCCAGTATCCGTAGCGGTCAAAATCATAATACACCTGATAGTACAGATAAGTATAAAACCCAAAAGCACTTTAATGCCATTGGTCTCACATTTGTAGCAATAATCTGCGCATTCAGCGTCTCTCCTGGATACTCAGGCCCGAACAGCTCCTGTCGCACGGTGCTGCTGGCACCATCACAACCTATGACATAGTCCGCCTCAGATCTCTTTAAACCAGACGGGGTCTCAATCTCGACCCATGCCTTTTCCTGATCCTGGCCAATTCGAACAACTTTGTGAGACCACTTTACCTCCGCCGTTGGTTGGCGCTGGATGTGTTCGTAGAGAAGCTTTCCTAGTCGGTCGAGAGGAAGAACAACCATTTTGTACGGATAGTCTGGAGACAGCGCTGCATGATTCAGGCCGGCGACGAAAGTTGTATCGAGTTTTCTCCATGCAAAGCTCTGGGGCAGGAATCCGCGTGCCTTGACATCTTCTAGAACGCCGGCTCGCGCCAGCTCGTATGCGGCAGGGGATGCATAGTGAGCTGCGCGAGGCTGTTTGTCCAGTTCAGCACCGGCATCAAGCAGCTCGACTTGGATTCCTTGTTTGGAGAGTAGGAGACCTAGGATGAGACCCGAAGGTCCCGCTCCCACAATGATAACCTGCTGTCCATGTTAGACAGTTGATGGTTATCGTTTTATTGGGTCCGTACCTTCTGAATTCCCATTGTGTAAGTTCGGAGCCCAAGTATCCTGGAGTTAAAGAGTCATACATGTAAACAAATTTGTCCAGGGGCATACCTGTTATTTACTTCCTCAAAAGACTACGACCTCCACTGCGGGGGTCCCACGCTTTCGTCCCGAGGTCAATTCGCACTGACACAATTTGGTATCTGATCACCATTGTCCAGTGGGGCTGATTTTCTGCAAGGCTCTCACAGTTATTCACAGTCCAATATTGCTATAGCTTGAGTATGGTATGACGTAGCTCGATCAATATGCAAATGAACAAAAAGATTAGCTCAGATCGCTTTACCCAGCTTTAGGCGCTTCTGCCCACGTGGTTGTACTGCACCACGGGATTTGTGGATCTCTTTTGAACGTCCATCGGGGAACTTTTCGAGAAATCTTCTTGGGTATTATGAGCAATAGTACAGAAACAGGAGGTTCACAGAAAACAGTGCTAGCGAATTATCTGAAATTTACAAACATACTCTGCTCTAAGTAAAGCAGCTTCAACATCGCGACGTCCTCGTATACCTTTATCCCTTACTCCTCCTGATCTGACTCTCAATAATTGCAAATGTGGTCAAACAAACCATAATCTCCCACTTCTTAGCCTCTTTATCACGAGGTGGATTGCGATCTTGTCCGCTCTTCGCTGTATATGCGATGAACAAGCTGCCGGCCTTCATCGTCCAAGAGCTGCTTCTTACCCACTTTGCCACGAGCTGTCCATCCTCCTCATCAACGCCTCCAGCGCGAAGTTCCATGCTCTTCAGCTTCCCGAGTGCACCGAGTGATTTCCGGTATGTGTATGTCATTCTCTGTGCCCCGGTTCCGAAATCGAAGTAGTATATCTTGTGGCTATACTTCTCGGGCCGTTCCAATCTCTCCCATATCATCTGTTTGCCCTCTATCTCTCCAGCTGGATCGCCAAGCCCGATAGTGAAGCCGCGACGGTGCATTTTCACAACCCCGAGGACTTCTCCGTCCTTAGAGTCTCCTTGGTGAAGTAGGAGGTCAAACTTGTGCTTCGAGAGAGTCTCATGGGTCTCAATGTAGTACACAGAGTCGGCCGGAGGACCAGGCATCATGATGCGGTACTTCTGAAGTTTCCCATTTGACACGAGTTCGTAGGAAAGCCCTTGGCCAAAATTCGTGGCAGCCGTAACATTCGGCGTGAGGGTTTCAGAGTCCATTAATGGTGAAGTTGTTGACATTGTGACAGAGAGGTAATTGAGAGAACACAGAGGTAAGCTGCTGTTTCTGCGACTGAAGTCGATAGAATGCACGGAGACGATGGAGCTTGAGAGGCTGTGCGGTCACTCCGCTATATGAAGGCTAGATCATGACGGGGGCGTTGAAGGCGCGGCTTCAGAAAAGGTATGCGCTAAACCACACATGGTCAAAATCCGCGAAGGCCGATCTTTTATTTAGATCTACTAGAGAATCTACGTGATTGGCTAGAGGTAGCGGCACCGATCTTCTAGGTTGAGGTTACAGAGGAGCTAACCGCTAAAAGCAATGAAACTGCGAAGGGGCAAAAGCTACCAAGGATGACCGGGCACTCCAGCTTTTACTAGTTAGGGGAGGGAAATGCTAGGTACACAACAAATTATGTAATTTCTGAGATTGGATAATAAATAAATCATGTGATTGTATTTGAAATACCAGAACATTCTTTTGACTGATTTTCTCCTTCCTACAACTGTTATGTCTTGCGTCTCAAAGCGTTTCATTGTATAAGCACTTGTACAAGAACATTAAGCCTACCTTGACTAGCTTGTCCTGGCAATTAGGGTTTGAGAAACAATCGAAGAGTGTAGATGGTGACACCAGTCACGGGATGTACTGTACTATCGAGCAGCGCGATGATAATGACATACGGGTGCTGGAGGTTGTCCGTCAACATACGAATATCCATGTCCCTAAGCTTGTACGTAAGGGTAGAGGGTGAGCTTGGATTTTATATTCGCGAATCCGAAAACTATTTCTAACTATGTAGTCACTGATTCAATGTCCTCGAACGAATATCCTGGATCACAATATTTGAGGGTTCTGTCGGGGACAGTACCTCCCTACGCCAGCAAGAGGATATCAAACTCCAAGTGCACGGCTATGTCAAAGATCTAGCCAAAGTGCAGCTTCCAGAAAATTCGGGTGTACGATCACTGAGCTCGTCGGGTGAGGTCATACACAACCAACCTCTTCGTCGAGGACCCTTCGGATCCATTCAAGATTTTTTTCTGGTCGTATCGAGAATACACCACTCATCCGGCAGATAAACCATCATAGCTACCCGGTGTTATCACACATCGATTTGGATCCCTCGAACATTGCACTTCATCCAACTCTCGATGCCGTTGCTGATATGATTGATTGGGTACATGCGGCTTTCTTTCCGGAGGGTGGGTGGAGCGTCCATCGAACGTGTCATCAGCGGAGGAGATTGGAGACTCTTTTAATGGGATTGAATTCCCAGTGGAAATCTGATGCGAACACGGCATTTTGACACGTGCTGATCTGGGTTGGTTGTCGTGAGGGACCAAAAGGCATGTTGCGGGGCGGCTCACGGGTCAAGGAATCCTGCAGTGCCAAGCGAGGAATCTCCTCTGATGGACTTTACGTTGGACATGTTTGATATGGATTGAGAAGTATTGAGAATTTGTCTTTTCACCAAAGAAACTGTCGTTGGAAATTGAGAGATGGTGCTCCGGTCCATGAAGTCGTGGTATAGATGGCCTGAGATGTGTCGGGATGAATATTTGCCCCATTGTCCAGATTGAGCGAACTGGAAGGTTCCATCAAAGCTCGTCGCAGAGTTTGTTGATATTCCTGGACTTCTGATGAAGGCTTCTGCGTAGCTGGCTGATATATTGACCTCGACGTCGTTTGTTTATCCTTTTCGAAACTTTCAGATGTACCTTTGAACTCAACACCTTGTTGTATGTCCCCAGGAAAGAAACTGCCTGCATCATGGCTCTCTACCCGTCGTCTTTTCGACTCTCGAGGCTCGTGATGCTCTGAATGAACTTCCGGACTCTCCAGACCAGCGGCTTCGTGGCCAATGCAAGCTTGCTGCCACTGCCGAATATTGTACGGAGTATCCAGAGGATAATCAGACCAATAGTCCATGCCTTCCTTGCTGAGCCTTGAGAAAGGCATGTATGCTCTTTTGCGACCTAGTCTCGTCGTCCGGTCACTCGGCAAAGCTGCTAAGAGCTGTTGGTCCGAGGCCTGAGAGAGCAGTTTCAACAGCACGCTCTCTGTAACCTGGAGGCGGTGCTCCAAGTTCTCAATGTATCCCTTCGCTGGGCCACTGCAGGAGTGTCATCAGAACCTGATGCTTTGTAAGAAAGTGCTCGTTGCGGTATCTACCTACCGCCGCAGCTGTTCGGGCCAATTACACAAACGGTTGTATTCAAGACATTGCCCGCAAACAGGTCTACACCGTGATAATCAGTCAGAGTGATTCTTTTGAACGTGAAGTGTCGCGGTCTTACTTTTCTCCACTGCACTAGGATGGAGAGTCAGCAAACAAGCTGGCCATCCCGGGCAAGAAATAGCTTACTTTCTGTTTTCGTGAGCGGCACGCATTGCAGGCGACCGTAATGCGCGCGGGATTCTTCTCCTTGGATTTTGGGGGCATCTTGTCTTCTTTAGTCGATGGTTTGTCGAGAGTAGATGTCAAATGGAGTTCCCAGTCTAGCGAAAGGCGGGGGAAAGAATCGCCTGAAAGTTTTGCCGAGGATGCCGGTCCGGTTGAACCATCACGCTGATTCACACTTCTGATAGCCGGGTATTAATAGCCAGGATGGCCTCGTTCCCTGCTTCTTTCAAACATCTCAAGTCGACTTGTGTTCAACATGACCTCGAAACCTGCATACCAGATCGCGTCCATTCCAGGCGACGGCATCGGAACGGAAGTAGTCGCTGCTGCAATCCAAGTGGTCGAGAAACTGGCGAAGACTTTGGACACCTTCCAGATCGAATTTACCCACATCCCATGGGGAACGGCATACTATAAACAGAACGGCCGATACGTGCCGGAGGACTGTCTGGATATTCTGCGCAAGTTCGACGCCGGACTATTTGGAGCAGTTGGAGCGCCAGGTATGTATATGAGGAAAGTGGCTTTTTGGAACCCTATAATGATATCTAACACTGCGGAAAGATGTGCCGGATCATATCTCCCTCTGGGGTCTCCTCCTAGCCATCCGTGGCCCACTGCAGCTCTACGCCAATGTTCGCCCGGTGCGGACCTTCCCAGGAACTAAATGCCCGCTAAACACCGCCACGGATGGTATCGATTGGCTGCTTGTTCGAGAAAACTCCGAGGGCGAGTACTCGGGACAGGGAGGCAGGTCGCATATCGGGCAGCCGTGGGAGGCCGCCACCGAGGTGGCCATGTTCACGCGGGTTGGGATCGAGCGGATCATGCGCTTTGCATTTGAGAGTGCTCAGTCGCGCCCGAAGAAGCAGCTCACGGTTGTGACGAAGAGCAACTCCTTGCGCAACGGCATGGTCCTCTGGGATGAAGTAGCCGCTCACGTTGCCAAGGATTTCCCTGATGTCAAATGGGATAAGATGCTCGTGGATGCAATGACGGTGCGGATGGTGGCTAACCCGCAGTCCATAGATACGATTGTGGGCACGAATCTGCACATGGATATCCTTTCTGATTTGGCTGCTGCTCTGGCTGGATCCATTGGCGTGGCGCCGTCGAGTAACCTGGACCCGACGAGGAAGAATCCTTCTATTTTCGAGCCGGTTCATGGGAGTGCCTTTGATATCACCGGGAAGGGAATTGCGAATCCCGTCGCTACTTTCTGGTCTGCAGCTGAGATGCTCTCGTGGGTTGGTGAGAAGGATGCGGCGGCGAAACTCATGCTCTGCGTGGAGAGTGTCTGCTCGGCAGGTATCCTGACGCCGGACCTGGGCGGCACCGCGAACACACAAGGGGTAGTGGACGCGGTAATAGCAGAGATCGAGAAATTGAAGTAGATTGTCCAAGTGTTCCTTCGGCTAGCCTCTCTGTCGGGCAACGGGGATATTTGCAACTCAAATCTGTAGATCCTCTGGGTAAATAAATGGTATGGCAATATACAGAGACAATAATATACAAAATGAAAGATCAACCCCCCAAAAGAATTGAACACATTTGCGCCAACAAATCACTCGAAAAGTATCATCCACGCCATGAGGGCAACCCAACCAGGGACAAAAATGGCAGTAAGAATTCCAGCTCCTGCTCGGTCTCCCGTCGTAATGGGTTGCATGGTGTTGCCACCATTGTTGTCATTCTTACCCGCGTTAGGGTTGCCTTGGCTATTGCCTCCCGTCGTCTGAGTCAAGGGCCCCCTCGCGATGTTGTTGCTGAAAGCGACCAGGTTCGCAGCGAAACAATTGCCGGCACTGATCTCAGGCTCCATGCCGGCGCGACCATCGAACGAGCCCGTCACCCAACTCTCGCCGCATTCGTTGCCGCCGAGAGTACTTCCCGAGCAAGCCTTTGCCGCTCCCCCGGCTGAGGCCTGGAGTTTGGGAAGAATTTGCGAGTATGTTTGCGGGACCAGGGTTGCCGTCAACGCTAGCCAGGAAGTGGTCCAGCCCTTCATCAAGAAATTGTTGCTATCGAAGCACGAAGTGATGAACCCATCGCATGACAGCTCGAACATCACATAATTGTATTGTTGAGGGAAGAATATCTCCAGGGTTTGGTTTGCAAGGCCGTAGACTGCAGTTGCCCATTGCTCCTGCTCGGCGCCCGTTGTCTAAAGCGATGCAAGTTAGAGGTATGTAAGATCTCTCGGCAGAATGTATACTCACCGAGTTATACATGAACGCGGCCCCCATCAGATATGTGCCGTAGTTGTAGGAATACTGCGTGTTGCCTTGGCTTGTACAACCGTCCTGCGTTTCCGTAGAGTCGGCCACATTCCAGGTCTGGTTATTCACCAAAGGCGAGTTCACAGACCAATTCCAGATCTTTTCGGCCCAGTCCTTGTATTCCGAGTTGCCAGTATAGCGATAGAGGCGAGCAACCAGTTGGAACAACCCGCCATTCGAGATGGAATTCTTCATAGTATAACCACCTCCTTGGTAAAAGAATTTTTGCCATCGTACGCCGCCACCGCAGGTGGATGTATCCCAGCCCACACCATCGCCGTTGGTCTGGTCTCTGAAAACGCCCTCGGCAAGGGCGAGCCAATCCCACGTTCCATATGATGAAGGGGCTTGGGGAAGATTCATCTCTGCGGCAGTGATAGCGGCAATGCCCCAGAACATTTGGTCGTCATTTCCCTGTTTTAAACCAAAAAGAAAGTAAGAATAGCTCTTGAGGAGCGGTCGCGGGGAGTTGCTTTTCTTACCAAAAACTGACTATAGTTGGTCGGCATATAGTCGCCTTGAGGTCCACTTTGCCATTCCAGTCCCTCAGCCGTGATGGCATTATATGTGTCGTCGCCCGTGTAGTGCCAGTAGTTGAGCGCGACGATGAACAGCGCAGCACCCTCGTACCATTTGGAAGGGAAGGCACCGGGAATTCCCCCGGAGTCGTTGCCAGAGTAGTATGTAAATGCTCCGTAGGTTGCTATCGAGGCGGCATTTTTGAGAGAGTCTATGCGTGATAAGTCGGAAATGATTAGCGGAAAGCCTGAAGACAAGAGTGAAGGGTGCTCCGGCAGTCTGCCGCTCACCTTCGCTATTGACGTCCAACTCGATCGCTAGTGTCGGACGGGTCAGAAGTAGGCCAGTCCCTAGCGCTGCCAGAGTGCGACGGATCTGCATTTCTGCTCAAACGGGCATGAAGGTGAGATGCCAAGACGTTAGAGCAGGAATGTTGGATCTTTCGGGCCGTTTCGTTCGTTCGTTAGTTAGTTAGAAGAAAGATGCGTTAGGGCCGAGCGCAGATCTCAGCACTTGGCCACTCTAAGGTAAGCGATCCACTCCTATGTATTATTATTGAAGCGAGACTGTGTGACCCTACGATCTATGGACCAATCAAGGAATCTTCCCCTTGAGAGATATGGGTTCCTGCGCCTTCGCTCTCTGGTTGGCGGAGAATGAAATCATCGGGTCCACAGGACCCTCCCCTAACGCCGCCAAGCCTGTCCGGCGCCTACTATATTATAGTTAGTTTCAATCACCCTACTAATATAGATAGCTAAAATCTGAGCGACAATCATCCAGAATCAATTATTCGTGCCAGTATTTAAATAATATACTAGGCACTCGTCTACCGCTAGCAAACTTTTTTTTGCCTTGTTCATCCCGGCTTGTCAGAGTTTTCCACAGTGGGTCCGGGGATTGCCACTTTGGCTCGACAGAGTTGGTTCCTAAAATAGTCGTGATGACACCACCACTTGACCTAGGGTGTATTCTTATTCTGAGTAGGGGTAATACTGTAAATCAGCAGAGCCGATAATCAGGTGGATCGAGTATTGTTGGGGTTGGTGGGAAATTCCAGGCTGACCGTGAAGTACACGTATAGTTGGGGTTCCCGCGGTGATCCGTAGAGAGTTGGTCGGCGACTGCACAAAAATAGCAGAGTGTTGTATCTTGTAGTTAACTATGTGGGACGTTTAGGTATCTCCTGCAATCCATCGGGTGACTAGACACCATACCGGTATCGTGAATAGTGGATGCTTATTCTCATTGACATCTATCGGATCTGATGACAGTGACACCTATGATTAGTTTATACCATCTGTCTGAACCAAGGACCTCTCGGGATAATAATAGCAGCTTGCTGCACAAGACTTCATCATCGACTCCAATTGCACCTGGTCAGTACATACTTCAGGCACCAAGGCATCACTGTTCATATCACGTGCGTCAGTAGAAGAGCAGGAGTAAACAATTCCATTGCATCCATTGCATCTACTCAACCCATCTTCCGCCATGGCCGCCTCCCTCTCAGCCTCTGTCTCATCGCTTCAATCCACCCTACAACTCCTCGACAGCTCCATCTCCACCCTGGACGAAGGCGTGCACGACTTCCCCCGCCTCTGCAAAGTGCTCCAAACAACGCGCGTATGCCCCCCCTCCCACCAACAAAACAACCCCACCATCCCAATTCCAATCCCGAGCCCCCCCAACTGACGAACCAAAATAAACAGCACTTCGAACTCCTCCCCGAACCAACCCTCCGTGAAGCGCAACGCTCCCTCCTCGACGAGATCAGCCCGAGCATCGCACACCTCCTCTCCCTAGCCACCAACCACGTCGAGAAACTCGCGCGGCGCGAACAGGGCCTGAAAGCAAAATGCGATTTGCAAGAGGGTCGTCTGTCGTCTAATTCGGAGAGCAAAAGCTCTGCTGCGCGGCAGAACCAGGCTAGCGCTGCAGCGTTGCGGGCGAGAATGGCTAGAGCTGGAAGTGGGGATAATGCGGCGAAGGCCCTGCAGCTTAAGAGTCTTGTGCAGAAGAAGGAGAGATTGAAGTATGCGGTTGAGAGGTTGGAGTTGCAGAGTACACAGAAGGAGAGGCAATTGAGAAAGAGCATGGCGGCGCAGTGAGCCGGGCTTGGGGGTTCTTGCATTCATCTGCTGCGACAGGTTGAATTGAGTCAAGCTGCCATATCTATATGGGTCATGGTCTCCGCGTTGCCTGGTTCCAACGGCCAAGTGTCGCTGATCTATGTCACTCCACCAGGCACTTCGACACTGTCCAATACACTTACTGGCGGTCCCTTCCTCGGTGTTGTCGAGGGCAACGTTCTTTGTGTCTGGATATCGAAACGACGCTCGCCAATTATTATTTGACGCTGCTCCTGCTCTTAGCACCGGCTTGTTGAATATCCTGTGACAAAGCAAACCAAGACAACGGACTGCGCCTATGCGAATCTCCATCTATGCTCAATGGAGAGATGCTATATCTTTATCAATTTCGATCTGGTCCAGTCTATTCTCACTAGTGCGACCACCGTGGGACTTCAATATCGGGGGACAAATCCTGCTTCGGAGAGTTCCACCTAATAGGGAGCCAGAAACCTGGCACCGTCAGACTGCCTAGTCCGGCGGCTGCGCAGGCCAAGCGCCGCAACGAAACTGACGTCCCCCAAATCAGAAGTGGTTCTCGTACTGTTTGTGGTGCACAACTCTTATGGTCAAACTGTTACCCCTACCAATATGCGGAGGTCGAGAACTGTACTCAGGTCTTCTGATAGGTATAACTACGGGCCCGATGGAAGCCAATTAATAGGGTGGAGACATAATGTACAATTGCAGTGTGAAGAATGATCCTAGTATACAATATCCCAATCCCAAATCCCAGTAGTATACAATCCCCAAACCCGCAATGAGATCTATCACAAATCATCTGCCGACTGCCTCCTCATAGCCTGCCTCACCTTCTTCTTATCATTATACTTCTTCCAACTGGGAATATTCTGACCCTTCTTCCTAACCGCAATCTGCGGGATCCCATCATCAACCCCATCCTCATCCTCAAGACCTCCAAGTTCACCTTCATCCAGGGCCTCATCATCAAACTCGCCCTCGCCCTCCTCCGCCGCCTGACGCGCCTTACCCATCGCTCTCCTCGCCAACCGCTCCTTCTTCCCCTCGCCGTGCTTATCGCCCAGGTTCAACTTGCGGGGAATGCGCGTCTTCGCGCCCAATGCCCACAGATCCCCCCATCTTGCCTTGCGCGCATCACGATAGGCCTGTCGGCTGAACGAGCGGGGTACGGTCCAGCGCTCGATTTTGCCAGCTGGCGTGCAGAAGTCGAAGATTACGTGCCCGCGGCGTTTCAGGGGCGGGTAGACGGCGCGCGGGAGGGAGAGCGACTGGACAGGAGAAGAAGAAAGGTCTGCTTCTTCGTCGACGTGCTCGTAGCCCTCGAATGCGGTGTCGGTGACAGCGGCGTCCTGGATGATGTTCTGTGTCTGGCGCAGATCGGCCCCGCGCTGCACGGCCAGGTAGCTGAATTTGACGTCCTCGTGGTTGCGGTCCTTGGAGCCCATAATGCGCTGCAGGAAGGGCGGGCGGATGAACCGCTGCTCAAAGTGGCAGTAGTCTCGGCGGCCTTTGCTTGGGCCGGCGGGGTTGTGCATCGGACAGGTGGAGTGGTTTGTGCAGGGAGCGATGATCATCCCAGGCTCCTTGGCCACGGTCTCGACGGAGTCCGGGGACTCGGTGAAATTGGTATATTCTGTTGAGCCGGGGCTGGCGATGTGCCGCTTCAGAAGCATCTCGCGGGCTCCCGCGATGGCCTCGAAGCCCTTTTGGCGACCTTTCTCGAGGAGAACCAGGACCCCGCCGTTGGGGTTGAGGAGGGCCCATAGGTTCTCGACGTACTCCTTGCGCTCGTAGTCCTCCGTGAGACCGAGGAGGGTATGCGGTGCGATGATGACATCGTACTGCTTGCGTTTGGGAGCAGGGCGCTCGTCGTCTAGGGTTGGTTTCTCGCGGACGTGTACGTAGTCCGGGAGACGGGGGAGGAAGCTCGTGTCTTCTAGCATGGCACTGGCACGCAGACGAAGGGTCTCGGACCCGGTCAATACGGTAGATCGGCCCAGCGGGATGGGCGCACCCTCCGGGTGGTCAGGCACCATCAGCTCATATTCGGCACGAAGGACATCTCTCCAGGCCAGGATACCGGCACCGCCGCCACTGGCATCGAGTACGTTTGGTCCGCCTTCTTGGGACATGAGATCGCGGATGAAGTCGGTGCCCAAGCGCTTGCGAATCTCCACCAGGACACTCAGAACCGATGCGTAGATGCCCGGGTACAAGGCCGCGAGGTATGCGTTAGCCTCCATCTCGCCCATGTGATGCTGTGAGGCATGGAGAGGGATGGGAAGCTGTGGGAGTTGGGCACGAGGCGGCGCAGTCGTGGTCGAATGAGGCAGTCCCGGGCCGCCGAACAGGCGTCGCGCAGTGTCGGCGACATGCTTGTTGGAGAACTCGGCCAAGATCGAGGAGATGGGGTCTGTCAGTGTACTTTTCGGCAGATAGATCGTGCTGGGGTCTGTGGAGAATTTGCCCTGCAGAGTCAGAGGATGAAAGCGCGGCGCCGAGTCGGGATTGGCTTCGTTCTCGAACTGCTCCAGCATGATCTCGCCGCCTAGTTGCTCGGCCACTTCGCGTGTCCGCCGCATGGCAATCGTTTCCTTCTCCACGGGCCCAGTCTCCATATCGTAGACGAGAGGCGCTTCCCCTTCATTCTGTGTGTGTGTATCTTGCTCCACCTCCACCTCCTCCCATCCCCCCTGCTCGTCTTCGAGGAACAACCTCTCGTCTTCCTCGCCCTCAAAGTCCACGTCGGAGATTTCCTCCCCGATTATGATTGGCTCGCCGTAAAGACTGGTGTAGAGCTGCAGATCAGACTCATCCAGAGCCCCGAGAGGCACGTTTTCGCCGAACTGCAGCCGGACCTTCTGCACCCATGCCTCGGCAGTGTGCTCGTCACGGTTTCCAAGCAGCAGCTGCATGAGATCTAGATCGTCGGCTTCTTCCATATCTTCGATATTCTCCATATTCTCCATATTCTCCAGCTCTTCCAACAGCTCCATCATTTTGGCCTCATTTTCACTGATCCGGTCGATCAGGGCGGAGAGCTCGTCGTTGTTTTCGGGTGGCGCGTCCGAGGGTGCGGCGGTGGATGAGAGTCTCTGCTCACTGTACCACTGCGCCGTGCCATTTTTGGGGGTATTCGTGGTCCGTGGTGTGTATTGAGACGCGGTCAGAGGGGAGTGTGTCGCGGCGTGGTGCTTCTGTCTCTGCCTCATCAGCCGTGTCCCAGCTCGCGGTCGTGCTGAAGAAGCGCCAGGGACGATGCGCAGCAGATCCCGCGAGCATTGCCGACTGGCCGAAGCGGAAGATCGAGACAACATCGTCCTTTTGCAAGAAGCGACGGAGCTGGAGAGAAGAAGAAGAAACAGAGAAAATCCATGCCAAGACTGCAAGATCAACGGGCGCTGATTGGCGGCTGAGACTCCGCTCCAATAATAGTTCCAGTATATAGAGTCAGTTACGATCGTTCACTTCCTTGCCCTAGTCCATAGTATAGACATGGATTTGATTTTATTTATCTGTTATCCTCTATCCGGGGAGGAGAATTGTTCTCTGTCTCGCTCTCCGTCTCGTCGTCGCCCATGAGCACCCGCAGCGCCGCCACCCACCGCATCACCTCGTGCTCGAGCGCCGTTAGTTTAGCCATCATGGCCATGAGGCTGGGATCCTGGCTTTCCACCCGCACCTTCTCCTTGACATGGACCTCCTCGCCGTGCCACACGAACACGTCGCCGGCCTCATCGTGGGCCGGCTGCCGGGCGCCGAAGATCCGGTCGCGCAGGGAAAAGCCGGTCAGCGAGATATCCGACGCAAACGCGGTGGGTGCCTGTGCTGGCGTCACAGGTTCGAGGGTGCGGAGCAATAGGACCAGCGCGGAGTCGGCGATGGATAGATGGAAGGAGAGATAGGAGGGCAGGGGAGGGTCGAACATCTGCTGTTGGTGAGCAATCAGATCCTGCCATCATGGAGCATCCATGCACGTACAAGTTCCGTGGCGGTGGCTTCCCACCACTTGCCGCGCACGTCGTCCCCTTCGCCCTTGAGCATCTGCCGCGCTTCACCGATGGTTTCCAGGAGCAAGTGCAGCTGACTGAAGATAAACGCTGCGTTGAGCGGGTCGCCGGTCCATGCGCTGACGTCCACAATATCGAGGCTCTGGTTCACTAGATTGCGCACCGAGACGAGTTGCTGTAGTACCAGCTCGGGGGCGTCGGGCGCCTGGGACAGGTTGAGGCGGGTGCTCGAGGCGCCCCGGGGATGCGGCAGGGAGCTCAGACGAAGCTGGATATCCTATGCGACCCGGGAGTCAGTCCGGGTCCCTCAGCGACTCTGTGGTGGAGACACGTACCCCCTTGACCACTTTGGTGCCAACTCGTGTGACGAAGCCCTTGACATTTTCAGATCGCAGCGACGACAGTACCAGGGTCGAGCCGGGTTCCTGGGGCGCCAGGAGAGCGGCGCATTCTTGTAGGCCTTCCTTCAGGGCGACCAGGGAGTCCTGTAGCGCGCGCAGCAGCCACTCGAGCTCGCGGGACTAAGTGATCGCGGTTAGCTTCTCCACACGGCTTCTCGGTGGCTGAGGGATCCGGGCGGGGGGTCCGTACCAGGGCCGAGTCGGCCTCACGCGTGAGCTGGTCGGGCGGCAGGGGAGGGTAGGCCCAAGTGGCCATGCTGTGCGTGTCGTGGGTGGGAAGGTCCCGAAGTGCACCACGTCAGAGAAATAGAGTGCAACGTCGTCATGGACTAGCCGAATTGAGTCCCCCACCAGCAAGTGCAAGCATGACGTCGACCATCGACGGATCGCCCGGCTTCCTTGACGTTTATACTGGGCTGCATTCTCTGCCATGCCTTTTCTTTTCTTCCTGTTCTTCCGCACTGTTCGACTTGATCCTCATTAATTCATCCCTTCCCCGACACTAGATCGATCACCCTCGAACATCCATCGCGCAATGGCTTTAAGCAGTACGTTCGCTCCCTTTCGTAGACTCTATACTCCAAAACTAACGACCATACCAGGAGTGGGAATGGGCTTTTTGGGCCTGTTCTTCATGGCCTCCGCCATCCTGCTCATCTTCCTAACCCTGTTGGGCGGAGCTCGCAACTCCAACCCGCTGAACCGCATCTACTTCTTGCAAGCCAACACGGCCAACATCCCAGGCGCACCCCCGCTGTCACGCTGGACCTTCTGGGCGCTGTGCAGCGTCAAGAATGGGTTAAATGACTGCGGCACCTCGCACCCGGACTTCCCTCTCGACCCGCCAAGCCATCGCAACTTTAATACCACGGTTAACGTGCCGCACCAGTTCATTGGGTATGTTGCTAGTATACAATCTATGTCTCAAGTCCAGATCTAACGAACCGCCCCAGAACCAACCACTACTTCCTCACATCGCGGTTCATGTTCCCCTTCATTATCATCGGCCTGTTCTTCGCAACCCTGGCCCTCTTCACTGGCCTGCTGGCCTTGTGCACCCGCATCGGCAGCTACATCTCCGGCTTCCTGTCCTGGCTGGCCCTTACCTTCCAAGCCATCACGACCTGTCTCATGACGTATGTCCCCTCTCTCCCTTCACATGTCCTCTTCCGGTTAATCCACGATACTAACCATTGGGTTAAAAGTGCCGTCTTCGTCCAAGGCCGGAACGCATTCAACCGCAACGGCCAAACCGCGAAACTAGGCGTCAAGGCCTTCGCCTTCATGTGGACCGCTACAGCCTGCCTGTTCCTGTCCTGTCTGCTCTACTGCCTAGGCGGTGCGGTGGGTCGTAAAGACGCCGGCTACAGTGGGCGTGAGCAGCGGCGTCGCGGGTTCTTTTCTTCGGCACGCTCGAACAGCGTGCGCAGTCAAAGCGGTGCTAATAAGAAGGAGACTACTTCTTATGCTTAGGCTAAGTGGGTTATACCGCTTTCTCTCGGTGTGGGACCTCCAAAAAGTAAAAAAAAACGATTAATCGAGTCAGACTCGACTTTTGGCTGTTTTTGTTGACATGCCCGACTGATTGACGGACCCCTTCTTCATCTATATATCCCATTTGAAACTTATTGTTGTCTGGGATGGTTTTTCTATTAATTTCTCGTCTTTGATTTTGGTCGAAGCAAGGCCTTGCTTATGTGGCGCTGGGGAGACAGACGACGACAAGCTCGCTCTTCTTCCTGCCCATACATCACATTCACTACCATCATCGTTGTCATACCATGCCTTACGAACTGTTCACGATCGTTACATTCCACCTGTCTCCGGTGTTCATCATTATCATGATGGCATCTCCTGTGTTTCTCTCAAGATTTTGCGGAGTTTTGTCTACCGAGTTTCACACGTTGATGATTCTCCTTCCGCCATTTGGTGTTTATCTGGGTATTTTATGGTTTTGTGGGCTTCTCTTGCGAGAGACTTCCAACTTACCCTAATAGTTGTAATATAATGTCTTGTTTTAGATCATTGGGTTCTGTTCTGAATCATCGCGTAATGTCTGTACCTTCGAGCAGATCTATAGACTTTATAGACTAGGAATCGATGGCCAAAGGAAACCAAATTATCATTGGCTACATCCAGATTGAGAGTCTATATAATGAAAATGGAAAGAAACAACAGCTTCTATCAATCATGCATGCCATCATCACATAACAAAAGAAAAGCAATTTTTGATCAAGACACCACCACCTAAGCAGAGCCATTGATAGCACCGCGCACGGCATTCTGGCCACCGACCTCACGCACCGCGATTTGCAGACCCAGATCCGGGTTCACGTGGACCATAACCTCGATCTTGCCGCCAGCCTTAACGCCCTTGACGGCCATCTCGGCGACGGGCTTCTCCGCCTTCCAGACAACCTCGCGGAGATCATCCTCCTCCTCTTCGGAGTCGTCAAAGTCGGAGTCATCCTCGTCATCTTCAGCGGGCTTCTCAGCCTTAACCTTGGGCTCGGGCTTGGTGACCTTGATCGAGCGGGCGCCCTCGCACACGCGCACGAGCACATCGCCGCCCTCCTTGGGGGCAAAGTACTGCGCAATGCGGCGGGCGGGAAGGGCGGTCTCCACGTCCAGGAGGGGCTGGAAGGCCGTCTTGCTGGTCGCCGAGGTGATCTCTACGCCGATCGCCTTGCTCAGGTGCGGTGTCACGGTGACCATCGGGTGGATGGACTGTTCGATGTCCTCGCTGTCGAACTCCTGGACCAGGGACGCCTGGAAGGCGGCACCACGGGCGGACAGCTCGGACGGGTTGATGGCCGTGGTCGAGGTCGAGGGGGCCAGGATGTTGGTCTTCTCGGGGAAGATGTTGCGCGTCAACTGGGCAATCTTGGGCGTGTGCGAGGCACCACCGGAGAAAATAACCTGGGTTAATGTCAATATAGATTTAAATAATAGAAAAAAAAAGGAACCGTACCTCATCGATATCCAGGACATCAAGCTCGGCCTTCTTGACCACCTGCTCGATCAAACCGGTGAACTGAGCAAAGACCTTGTTCGATAGCAGCTCGAACCGAGTACGATTGACAGTGGAGTGATAATCAATACCGTCCGCTAAGCTCTCAATGCTCAGTTGGGCGTTGGTGGTCTGGCTGAGAGTCTTGCGAGTACCCTCGCCGAACGACTTCAGCTTGGCCAGGCCGCGCGCGTTCTCGCGCGGGTCGGTCTTGTGCTTCTTGATGAACTCCTTGGCGAAGTGATCGATGATGATCTGGTCCAGGGATGCACCGCCCAGCTCGTAGTCGTGGGCAGTGGCCAGGATGGTGTACATGCCACCGCGGCAGGCCACGACGGCCACATCGGACCGGGTGCCGCCCAGGTCGGCCACCACAACCAGCTTGTCAGTCACGGTAGCTTCGGGACGAGCATCGTAGGCCATGACAGCCGCAACGGGCTCATGGATCAGCTGCAGCACCTCGATGCCGGCAGCCTTGGCCGCAGCAACCAGGGCCTCACGCTGGGCATCGGAGAAGTTGGTGGGAACGGTGATGACGGCCGCGTTGACGTCCTTACCCAGGAAATCGGTAGCGGACTGTTTCAAACGACGGAGATGGCGGGTGGTGACCTCTTGGACGGTGACGGTGTTGGGGGTCTCGGAGCTGGGAGAGTCGCGGACCGAGAAAGCCACGGTCGAGTCGCTCTGCTGCGGGTGGGCCGACTGGTGGCATGGAGTCGGGTCAATCGACTTGAAGTCCTTGCCCAGGTAGTCCCGAAAGTATGCGATAGTGTTGTTGGGGTTGCGAAGGAGCTGTGCCTTGGCCTGTGTGCCGTGGTATTCCTCTCCCTCAATGTAAGAGAGAATGCTAGGAATTTGACGATCTGGGCTAGTCAGAAGACGGCAATGAATTTGGCTGAACTGGAGAAAACAGAAACTCACCTCCTTCCTCGTTGGCAATCACCTCAGCCTTGCCCTCCTACATGAACGATATGTCAGTTTTGATCGGGTGCCAGTCGAAGGCTCTTCACACGTACAGGCGAAATACGAGCAATGGAGCTGGATGTGTTGCCAAAGGAGATACCAATGGCAAATCTCTCTGCCTCCGCAGAGACACCGTTAGCCGCGTCACCCATGTTGCAAAGAAATGAATTGATGTTGAGGAAAGTGAAGGAGTGAATCGATCAAGGCCAGCGGGGGAAAAACTTTTTGACTGTGCTTATGTAAGGATATCCGATAAGCGTTTTCTTCTTTCGAGTGCTTGCAATTAATTCACTCCCTCCCAATAATCATCTTTCTACCATGACGACGCCGCTCGTCTTACTCCCTGGCGAAGAGGTGCCGTCCGACCAATTGCCTCCAAGCAAAAACAACAATCCTCTCAAACTGGGTCCCGGACTCCGGCTACTATCGCAGCCTTCCACATCAGCGGCGGCCGGCCATGTCCTCACAGCAACACAAGCCGGTCTATTGACGACCGATGCCAAACGAAATACCGTATCCCTTCTCTCATTCTCCAATCGCCGCTACATCCCGACCCCCAATGACCTCATCATCGCGCAGATCCACCATTCCAGCGCCGACTACTTCCACTGCATGGTGACTCCACATACGGCGCATGCCCTGCTGGGCCAGCTGTCCTTTGAGGGCGCAACGAAGAAAACAAGACCGATGCTGAAGCAGGGCGAGCTGGTCTATGCGCGGGTCTTGTCTGTCGGAATCGGTGCCGGCGCCGAGGTCGAGCTCACCTGCGTTAATCCCGCCACGGGCAAGGCAGAACCCGGTGGTCTGGGCCCGCTGGTGGGGGGTATGGTGTTTGATGTTTCTACGGGTATGGCAGCGCGGTTAATCCGAGCCAGCTCGGCCTCGCCGGACCAGACGGACGCCGTCGAGGGACTGGTTGTCCTGTCTGAACTGGACAAGAAGTTGGAGAGCGTGGGAGGATTTGAGATTGCGGTCGGGCGGAATGGGAAGGTCTGGGTGGATTGCTCGAATGCTGGAGACAGTGCCGTCCAGGTGACGGTGGCCATTGGGCGATGTCTGCAGCAGACGGACGAGGGCGCCCTGAGCACATCGGAGCAGAAGAAGCTGGTGTCGAGGATTCTGCGCGAGATGAAGATCGGGTGATGTCAAATGTATCTGTACGATATTATGAGTAATTCCTTGCATACAATAACTATAAGAACCTCCTATACGTCCTGTCCATCTACCTCGTTACTGCTGCTACACGTCCTCTACAGAGCTGTACTCACCAGTCAACCAATCATAACGTTGTCACCACCCGGCCCACCCAACTTTCTTCCGCGTCCTGCCCTGCTCCTTCTTTCTGTTGTCTCTCCCTCGGGCTTGCCATGGGTCAGAAATCTTCGCAGATGACTGGCGAAGAAGAGTCTTGTGAGTAATTATTCCGCGCGTCCTCGTCGACTTTTTTTTTCGAGGCTGAACCATCTTGCGCAGTCCCCGAAGCTCCACACCTCTCACCCGTCATGGAGTTCTCCAAAAAGAAAAAAAAGTCCCGCTCCAAACGACGCTCCTCTCCACTACACGCCGTCGGTGATGGCCTCGAGGCCGAAGACCATCCAGACCTCCCTCCCCTTGAAGACGCAGACGAGTCGGCCCCTAAACGCAAACGCGACTCGGAACCAGCTGAGCCCAAGAAAAAGAAGAAGAAGAGGCACGCACCCAAGGACAACATAACTGTCACCATGCCGTCTTCCCCGGGATCAAACGGCGTCTCCTTCACCGCTGTGAACCAAGCTCGCCCTGTCCCCGAATCTCAACAGGTTCCTCCTTCCTCGCAGCCAGAAAATTCCCCGACGCCATCCCGTGCATCTCCAGATCAAAATGGAGAGGAACCCATCACTCCTCAGCCTGTTCAACACGTCCCCTCGAGACCGACATCGGCAAGCCAGGAGCCCAGCGGCGAGCGCGACTCCTCGACTCCCAACGCAGAAGAAAAGAAGAGGAAAGCCAACAGGAGATCACGACGAGGGAAGAACGACATGAAAGTCGGCTTCTTCACGGACGAAGAAGTTCAGAGAATGGAGGGGTTCAAGCTGGCATTCTGCGCGGAACATCAAATCGAAGGACCGCAGTTCGACATGCTGGTGCAGTTCTCCCAGCGTGGCCCAGAGAAGGAATTCCCACTTGAAAATGCCTCCATCAACAAGGCCGAATTTTGGTCCAGGATCCTCGGCACTCTCCCGGACCGCGAGAAACGATCCGTGTATCGGTTCATGCGGCGACACTTTCAAGCCTCGGGGCAGAAAGCGCATGACTGGACACCAGAGCAGGACAAGGAATTCATCCAACTCGTTGCCCAAATGGGGCCTAAATGGAAGGAAATTGCCAACATGCTCGGCCGCTCTGATGACGATGTCACGCAGCGGTGGAAGAACCGCCTGGAGCACCGCGATAAGATGAGACACGGTGCATGGGAGGAGCCCGAGATCCGCCTGCTGCTTGAGGTAATTGAGGGCATGTGGAGGGGTTTGAAACAAACGGTCCCGGAAAGCTGTGGCAAAGACATGTTTGAAATGGACGACAAGCTCCTCGCGTGGGGTTCTGTGAGCGATGCAATGGGGAACATCCGATCTCGACAACAGTGTGCAGATCGATACCGCAAACTTCGCTCCCATGTCCGCGGACTACGGGTCAGGTCAGGCGATCCAAACGCAATGCCTGATCTCGCAGACACAGCAAAGAAGAATGCCAGCTGGAACAAAAGATTCATGGTGAAGGATCAGGCGATCAGCCTGGAATACGTCCAGGATGAGGGCAGTGACGAGGACTCAGTCGGAGACGATGTTCCAGCTGAATCTCAAAGCCTCAGACGTGGATTCAGCATGACGGAGGAAAACGCGGCTCTTGCTTCATCCCAGGGGAAGAAAGAGGCGCAAGCCGCGCTCGCTTCCATGTCTCAGGAGAATGCCAAATCTGAATCTGAAGTTCAAGCTACAGCTGCTACTGACAATCAACCACCTGTGGTCTCTTCCGCCAAAAAATCAAAGAAGCGCAAACACGCCGAGACAAACACTACGGAAGCTGAGGCGCCCTCCTCACCAGCCCCTGTGAAGAAAAAAAGAAGAGCAAGAAGAAGGATGAGCAAGCGGAAGAAGAGGAGGCCGACAACGGAGAGCAACCGGAGAAGAAGAGAAAGAAGAAGAAGAAGCATTCCGAAGCAACCGAGGCCGAAGTCAACAGAGAAGACGCCAACACTGCAGTGACCGCGGCTGCAGAGGATGCGGAGCACGCGGAGAACGGCGAGAAGAGGAAGAAAAAGAAAAAGAAGAGCCGCAAGTCCGCTGCATCCGAGCTCAATGGCGTCTCGGACAATGAACAAGAACCTGCACCTGAACCTGAGCCCGAAGTTGAGCCGACGGAATCAATCAAGAAACGCAAGAAGAAGTCCAAGAAGAATAAGGACAATGCCATTGGTCTACCGGCTGCCGAAGAGAGCGATGACGAAGAAACCAACATCGGCCGCAGCCAGGCCTACGAGCTATCATCGACATATGCCCCTCCGCCACCGATGTCCCCGTTAGGCAATGCTGTCGATGATCAAGAAGATGTCAAGGTGGATCTTGAAAATGTAGACTCCGAAATGCAGTATGGCAGCGACTCATCGGATGAGGATTCCGAGGTGTCGGTTAAGGAGTACGGATCTGAGTCGGATTGATTGATGGGTTGGTTTGTACAAAATACCAGGAGAGGAACTAATAATGTTGAACGTGTAAAACAAAAATATGAATGAATTGATACGCTTCCAGACCGTGTCTAAGGTTTTTAACAGTCCCTTTCTTTTTCACTCCCCACCTAACTATAAAACAGTCACTGGACCCTAGGTTGATCAACTTGAAAATATCGCTCCCCAGGTGGGCCTGGTGAGCTAGTCGACTACTAAGTACTAGAAACCCCCTAAATTCTACTATTAGTATTTCTCATCTCTACTTGCTGTCATACATGATGAAATACATTCTTCTTTCTCTTCGTCGCTCCTAGGTATACACTACAAGGACTCTATAGCTCATCCTTGTGCTCATCCTCACCCACCACCCCGCCCTCGACCTCGGCTTCTTGAACAGGCACACCATCCTCACCCGACTGCACGAACCCGGCAACCTCCTCATCCACCGCCGCAACCCTCTTCGCCAAACTCGCAATCTCATCATCATAAACCGTCCACTCGGGAACCTGCCTGCGCGCCCTGGCAAGCTTCGGCTCCTTCGTCTGTGGGTTATTACACAGATCAATCGTCCTCGCCGTCTCCAGATCCTCATCACTGCACCACGTCTCGCACCACAGCCACTCCTGCGGCAGACTGTGGATGGGCAGGTTATGCTGCAAGTGATTCGGCAGGTCCTGGTCGAGATTCGACAAACTGTTCGGATCCGCCGAGAGCATCTGGTACTGACCACGCAGGCGGTCGCCCGCTGCTAGCGTGCGGAACCGCGCCAGATCAACGACATACAGCGCGGAGATGTGGTATGGTTTCCCCCGCAGGAAGGTGTTCCAGTATCCCTGCTTCCAGAAGCGGAAGCCCTCCATCTCGACGCGCGAGTCGCCCATTGGGGTGAAGCCGTACGGCGCGCCGTCCAGGTCGTGCGTGACGAGGTCGTACATGTCTGTTCGGACAATTTGGTCCGCGTCCACGAAGATGACTTTGTCCAGAGATAGGGGGAAGAGGACGTCCAGGAATAAAATCTTGTAACCCCAGATCTCGCGCTGTTTCTCGCGCTGACCGCGCAGCCAGTGCGGCCATTTGTAGGTGACCATTTCGTAGGAGAAGTTGTATTCGCGCGCGAGGTGGGGGAGGAAGGCGCGGAAGGAAGGCGAGAGGAATTGCTCGATGAACCAGAATTTGACGGTGTGCTTGGTGTGTCGCATCACGGAGACCATCATGATGTTGAGCATGCGCTCGTAGAGATGTCCGCTGGCGACAGAGAAGATGTTGATGTCGGCGTGTTGCTCGCCACCGCTTGGGGATTTCATACCGACACTGGAGAGAACGCCCGAGGCGAAATTCAGACCCTTGGAGACGTAGTCCATTGTCGACCCCGGCTTGGGACCGGATTCCAGGACATCCTCGGCTTCCATGCCAGGTTTGCGTGATAGACGCGGGAAGAGCGTTCGGCCCTGGAAGGACAGGAGCGCGACTTCGTTGTTCTCGTCACCTGGTTGGGGGCGCTGCCCCTCGCCGCCGACGCTGTCGATATTGAAGATCTTCTCACTGCGGCCGGGCTTCAGATTGATCTGCCAGAGGCCCGGCTGGGCCTTGAACTGGAAGTAGCCCAGATTGGCCATGATGATGGTGTCGGCGAAGTAGGGGTTGTTCTCAGTACCCAAAACTAGTTGTACGCCCCGCGGCGGCGACTTGGCTGTGAGATCGCGGGTGTGTCCTTCAATCAGGATGTGCTCGAGCTCGTAGATGGCGTCGACATTTGAATCGGATTTGAGCGAGCTGAGCTTGATGTTGTCAAGGTCGTGGACGGACTCTTTGGGAGCCACGAGCCATGATGATGGGACGTCCATGCCGAGTGTCAGGAGGGCTTCGACGGGCACGCCCGTGAATGAGGCCTGGGGTCGAGACAACGAGCCATCTTCCGTGAAAGACGGTTCAGACTCAAGCACGTAACGGTAGAAACGCTTGACCGGAAGCTCTTGCATCGTTTCCTTGGGGTTGAGGAGGATCTTCAACTCGACACCCGCCAGTTCTGAAAGAACCTTGAGAATCGGAAGCCATATTTGAGCGGACTCGGAGGCCGGGTCAACAATGGCAATCACGTTAATCGAGGGATCCTCAGAGTTAGAAACTTTGATCACGGAGTGATCCGTCTTCCACCGTTGAGACACGTCCATCCGAAAGTCGGGGGTATTCTCAAAGATCCCTTCCGGGACATCGGAGATGCTTGAAAGAGCAACAAGTGAAGTAAGCCTAGCGAGATCGAGCGGCTGGGCGAGTCGGGCATCAAGTTCAAGCTTTGAAGCCGCCTCTGCGACAGCGTTGATTCGCTTGGTGCGCTCGTAGGCAACAAGCTGGTTCAGGTCGTCTGCAGCCAGAGAGTTATCTTTTCCGATAGGTCCAACTGCCCGGCCATTCACAACGAGACCTTCTGTGCCAGGTTCAAATCCAAGCTCTTCCGCCAGATGTCGGTGCAACTCCTGCTCCTCTGCAACTTGCCCAATTGCGTCTTCATTTGCGGTGAGCTTTTCCAGGACCTTCGGGATATCTTCTCCCTTGGTAGGCGAGCGGGAAGCCTCCTTGCACAGATCAGCCGAGATTTCTCCTCTAACCAGAGAGCAAACAATGCTGCCAAGTCGATTTGAATCAGCAACAGAGGCGGCATTATGCAGCACGAGAATATCCAGTTCATTATGTTCTTTCCGGAAGTTTAGAGCCTCGGTCAGCAGCTTCAATCCTTCTTCCGAATCGAAATCGCCCACAACGATCATCTGAACACTTTCCAGAGCACCTTTCTCTGATTCGATTCCAGGGAGGGCATTCAATCCATCAACACCAGCAAGATCCACAATGCGGACACTCTTCGGATCTTCAGGCATGAGGAAATTATTCCGTCGCTCATAGGTGCCATGCAAGAGGAAACCCGGCAGCCAAGCATCCTCTTCAATGTGACCTTCTGCGATACCCTCCTGGATGGAGCGAAGATCCTTGCTGATCTGCATACTCATCTGTTCCATCCAATTGTCCTCACGGAGAATGGGCACTCCGTTGACCAAGAAGTAGCGTCCGCTGCCAATGTCCAGACGACGCGTGTAATCCATTGTGCGAGAGACCAGGTTTTCATAATCTTCTTTTTTCAATACCTCATCTAAAGATAAGGTCTCCTTCTCGGTTCGAGGTTCGTGTTTCTTGGTGATGGAGGCGAAAACGGATCTGTCTGGAACTCTCGCTTTCAATCCCGAGGCAGACTGCGCGGTATTAATATCAGCACTTAGATGGATTTTTGTATGGATGACCTTACCTCGTCCAGGTATTCTATAAGAGCAGCCAGCCCATAGGTCTCCCGGAGGTAATGAACTACCTTCGCCTGGGCAATAGCCTCCGGCGAGGAAGTGGTGGGCACAAATCCGAACCTCACCGGGATCATTCGCTTAATAAAAGTAAGCAGAATCCCAGAGACTGTGTTCATATCTTCGGGATTGCTCAGGTCGACTGGTATGACGATATTGTGGAGTGCACGGCGCACTGGAGGCAACTGGCCCGGGTAGGCTCCCATTAGGTACTGGAAGAGGTCAGTATACAGTGACGCCTCCAAAGCATAAGGTTATCCATACTGCTTGAAGCTCACTGGGCCAGTCCTTGTATCTAGAGTCCTTCTCCAAGTTATTCATCCAAATGATAACTTGTCCCCCTTCCAGTTCATCTCGATAATCATATCGGTGTGAGGCATCCTCTGCCTGAGATGCCGCAAGAAGAGGGTGCGACAGAAGCTTCACGGCCTCTTGGGCAGACAAGCCCAAATCCTGGAACTTCTGGATCGTTCTTCTCTCCCGACGCAGGTGGTCCAGGAGAGAGAAAGCGTCGATCTGCCGCGAATCCATCTGAACTCCATTGATCCACATCACATTGTATCCCGGTGGGACCATCTGCGCGCGGTTCGTGCGAATCTCTTTCCGCAAAGCCGCCGAGGCGTTGTGGCCAGCCACCATAGATGAGTATTTCGGGAAGTTTTGAGACAGTTTGATCAACGTATCCAAGGGGTCTGCACTGTCCATCACATAGCTCGCAGCATTGAGGCCCAGTCTGGAGACTTCGGAGGCGGATAGCGGGCGGAGGTCATCCGGGGCGTCTTCTTTCAATTCCTCCTCCTTATTGGGTTCTTTCTCTTCTCGCTGCTCGGCAGCTCTATCATCGATGACAATATAATCCGTTCGCTTCAACGCAAGTTCCACTCCATACCCAGAGACAAACAATGGCCGCGAGGTCCAGTGCTGAGGGGGCCGGTAGCGCACACGATAGGATACCTGTCCTTCTTTCGCCATTTCACGCAGCGTCTCATGGAAATCTTTAAACGTCGGCGCGGAAATATCCGCGTACAACACAGCGGGAGGCAGTGAAACATCTCCCAAAACCCGATCAAAGGGAAGCTCTCTGGGATCTCTATAACAGCCGAAGGGTCAGTCCGACAAGTCTTCAATCATAAGGACGTATCAGTGTTACGCACTGTTCCCCAAGAACATCCTGTTGCGCCCTTCCCATGCTCGCCGAGCAATACTGCTTTCCATCCGAATGAACCCAAACAGGACACACGGCATCCTGAGCCGCCATGAGGGTCTGCTGAACAGAGGAGTTATAGAACTGGTAATGTGCCTCGATGCGAGGCGCAGACGACCGAACCGCAAGCGAGAGTTTAAACGATGAAAGACTCTCGGCAGTGCTGAGGTGACCATCTTCGTGGATGACCTGCAGAAAGCGGTCGTAGAGCTCTTTTTCCGTAGTGGCTTCTTCGAAGGTGCCGTCGGCGATGCGGTCGAGGAGCGGGAAGTAAGCGGTAGAGTTCTCTTCTGCGGCGGATTCACTGTTGGCACATGCGTGTGTGAGATATCACCGGTGGTAAATGTAACAGTCGTTGGGGGTGAGAACGTACAGGAGCTCCACTAGGTACGGGGCTGCGTCGAAGGAAGCTTGGAGAGCCACGTTCACTGCTGGGCTAGCATTTACCAGTCCAGCAGACAGACATGCCGCGATGGCGGTGTACCACCGCCATGATAGGGGCGACTGTCGTGAGGAACCCATGCTGTGGCCGCAATGGGTCGTGCAATGGGTATATAGTGGAATGTGTACAGGAGACAGCGGCCCCGCCACGCAAGTCGCTGTGTTTGCGCGGAGGCGGTCAAAGCGGTCGCTAGGGTTAATCAATGAGAGTGGAATGTAGCACAAGCATCACGGGCCCAGGTCCCGAGTCAAGATGGTTACAAAGAGAGCTACTTGGGGCGGGAGCTGAAATCACCTGAAGTGGACACTTGGATGATTGGTCTTATCTTATCGCTGTTACGGCGGGCAGTGCGGCCACTTGCGCAGCACCTCCGAGAGATTTACTGGACGAACTACGGATTGTTCGGTTCGTTTTCAAATTTTCGGCATTCGTTAGGCATGAAATCGTTAAAAGAACAAAAAGATCCACCTGGGCCTGACTTTCTTGTGCGCCACCGCCGGTGATATGCGTCCATGTGCGCCAAATGATCCTCCCAGAAAAAAAGAATAATAGACACTCAAAATATGCAATCCAACTGTTTCTTGCTCCAGTTGCACAGACGCCAGGTCAAGGAAGACAAGGAAGAAAAGAAATATGGTGACAATGTGGGGGAGAGAGAGGCACTGGGCTTCTCTGTCCATTCCATGTGACGAAGAGCCGGTCAGTCGATCACGGGAAGATATGTATTGCAAGAGGAAGCTCGCTTCCTAAGCCTGAGACTTCTTGCGGAAGGTAGCCTCGCTAATCAATCGATGACGCTTCGGGCCGTCGGTCTCGAAGACGGAGCTCTCAGTATAGCTGGGTGCATAGCTGAGCTGACTGCCGGGCCGGGAGCCCAGCACGCTGGTCGACTTCATCTTCTTCAGGTTCTTGGACTTGGCACTGTCGCCGAACTTGCGGAACTCACGAGCAAGGCGCTCGAGAGTAGACCCGCCAGTCTTGGTCTGACCGCCATGATGAAGAGTAGGGAACTGCGGGAGTGGCTTCTCCGAATCCTCGGAGGAGCCGCTGCCGCTACCGCTGCTGCTAGTTGAGCCAAAGCTGATCCCCGAGTCTACCTTGCGGCCCTTGTTGCTGTGGTTCTGTGCATCGCCTTCTTCCAAGTGAATGGGCTCGGTGACCAACATGCACTCGTCGATCGTTTCATTGGCAAGATACAGATACTTGTCCAAAGCATCGTGGACCTTGGGCCACGAGTTGAGATGACCCTCTGGCGCTCCCTGGCAGATGATCGGGTTCAGGACGTCCTTGCCTTGGGTCTCTCGGGCGATGATATAGCGGAAAAACCCGTCGCGCTGCGACTTGAGGATCCGATGAGTCAACTGAGAGGTTGGGGTAGGCATGGAGTCGGTGATGGGGGGAAAGAGAGTGTTGAGCATGGCGATGCAGTTGGCCTTGTTGTAATCCGGAAGTAGCATCTCGTTGATAAGCGTCCAGCGACGGATGCCGATGTAGATTTGGGTGTACAGGGCCTCGACCATCTTGCCCTTGACGTTGATTGCTCTAATCCACGAGAGCACGCCGGGATACTTCCGAGCCAGCTCGGAACGGTTGGGTTCCTCGACATCTTCTGGTTTGATGTTGAGACGTTGCAGAGCCGCGGCAACTTCCTTGCGGCGACGAGACTCAAAGTCCTTGAGGTAATCCAGCGCGGTCAGGACCTGAGGGAAATCCACAGTCTCCAATTCCTTGGTGAAGCAGCGGCGCAGAAATGAAGTAATGAAGCTGGCGGGGAGGGTGCAAGGCTGCGAAGGCAGCTTGGAGATCTGGTGGACCAGCTGCGCGCGGAAATCGGCAGCCGGGTCGATCGAGGCGTCCTGGGAAGAACGCGAAGATTTGGTCGAGGTGGAGTTGCGCGGGGTGAACGCGGTTTCGGGGGAACGAGAACCCGGCTGCTGGGCCGGGTGGCAGTTGAGATCATACATGGCACGCAGAGGGATCTCGTAAGAGCCCGGGTAGCGCAGGCAGTGCTCGAAGATCCAGGTCAGGGACGAGCCATTGGGGGCATCAAGCGGCTCGCGATGGGGAGCCATGATTGCAAAGTGCAGCCGTGGAAAGAAGAAGGAAAAGACGAAGACGGATGATAAGTATTGGAGCAGTCAAGGCTCCCGTGGGCCGGCACGATTCCAAAGCCACCAAGGGATAAGGGTGGGACAAGATCGGAGATGACGGCACAAAAAAGAAAAGAAGCGAAAGGTTGCAGTTGAGACAGGTCAAATGGGAGAAAAGAAGATTCAAAACAACGAGTGTATGGGGTGCAAGGAGACGAAAGAGGAAGAGACAGAAAAGGATGAGAAAAGAGAAAAGGAAGTTGTTCCTTCTGTCTAGACCCGATCGAATGCACCCACCCGAGTAACGAGACTGATCCACTGGACTGGTCCACTCAGCTCGTGTGTGCACTCCGTACGCCACTGCTCTGATTACTAGACTCGATCAAATTAATTAACTATGGACTCGGTGCCACGGTTGCCTTCTCCGTTGTTATGACCTAGTACATCCAGCGCAAGTCCGCCATCGGGGCTCCCCGCGTCCGAAGGTAAAGTTGAAAGAAAAAAAAAACCGGCCCCGAATACCGGGACACCGGGTCCGCAGGAAGGCAGCCGTTGGTACTAACGAACTAGCAGCGTCATCCTCCCCGGTCAATCACCGCCGAACTATTATCTCCTGTTATTAGTGGGGTGGAATTACAGTCGTAGTAGGTACGGCACTGCCTATGACATGATTAGTCCGCACCGTCCACGCCCATCCCCATCATAACAACTCGATCCATGGATCCATCGAGTCAGTCAGGTCCGACGGGTCCACCCGGACTGACGGGACCTGAACCTGCACTCGCGGTTTCACCTCGAACGGAAGATCGATCAGGTTCATGGGGAGCACGAACCGGAGTTTCAAGATTTGAAATATTTCAAGTATATCCAGCCACGTTGTAGGGGGAGTACAGTGGTTACTTCCCTGTTAATCAATTCCTGAGGGTAACTACCCGGTAGTTGGGTCTCGTGGGACCGGACTTTGATCGACAGAGTCTGGGCCACTGCGATCTGCCCTCGTTCCTAACTGGCCCGGGGCAGCGTGGCGCTCCTACCGAGAAGACAGCCGACGTCTCACACGGAAGGGGCGCGAAGGGGTTCCGGGCGATCATGGCATCACTCAATGATAGCTAATGACAGGATGCGGGATGGATATGACTGGTGGCAGTGCTAGCTTTCGAGGAAACCCCTCAAAAAGATAGGTGTCAAGGCAATGATTAGTTATTGTACTTGTCTCCAAGGCTTCCTTCTCCGGAGCCCTACTGGGCAGCAATACGTATTCTAATTCAATCAATCCTTGGTGAACACTGAATTTGCGATAGACTATGATTAACTGCTATGGTGGTGATATGATGGCCATTGAATCGAATGTAGCTGGAAGTCGTTGTTTAGTGGTAGGCAGGTACTGGTGATATATATCGTGTGCTGCCCAGGACTCGACACTGTCCTAATAATTCTACAAGTACACCACCAAAACAATAGTTTGAGAGCCACCATCTACAAACCGAGCGCATTCCAAAACAACACACAATAGACGTCCACCATAACTGACAGCATACCCAGCTGAACAACACACTTGCACCTTCCTAATTCGGGGGTTCACTTCACACCCATTATGTCATCACCAGACCGCCCGGCAAAAAAAGAAACGATAAGAGCAGCAACAGAAACAACCCAAGCTCCCCAGATACCAACCATACCGTCCACCATGGGAAAAGGCCCGCTGGAACGCCAGCACCGGTTTGAGAAGAAGAACCAGAAGCTGGTCAAGCTGCCCAAAAGTGCGCAACCCTACCTCCCACCGCATCTATCAACACCAGACAGAGACTAACCAAGCCTGGTACTAGGCGCAAAAGTTTCAAAACGACCCATCCCGCATGCCCCGATCGCCTCGCCCTACGCCGGTGCAACAGTGCCAAAGATAGTATATGTCTCCAGCAGTACACCCTTCATGAGCGCCGTGAAGCGCGTCCAGAAATTGCTGCGGCAGGCGGAGAAGCGTGACACGGCCGCGGTCAGCCTGGAGGATACGCGGACGAGCGAGAAGCAGAAACTCGCGGAGCTGGCGAAGATTGCTGGTGCGGAGAAGCGCGAGGAGATTTTTGTTAAGGCTACGGGGCGAGCGATTGAGAGGGCGCTTGGTGTTGGGAAGTGGTTTGAGGAGCGGGGGGATGGGTTTGTTGTTAGGGTTAAGACAGGGAGTGTACTTGTTGTGGATGATGTTGCTGAGGGGGAGACGGGGAAGAAGAAGAGTCAGGATGATTCGGATTCGAAGGTGGATGAGGGGGTTGATTCAGCACCCGCGCCGGACTCGAAGGCATCGGAGTCGGACAAGAAGAGGAAGCAGGGCGCTGATGATGATCCCGCTGAGATGGAGGAGCTGCCTGAGACGCGCACGCGGTGGATCAAGATGGTCGAAGTTGCTATCTCGCTCAAGTGAATGCGCGTGGAGACACGACGGATTCTTTCTTTCTACGATACACTCGACGGGACATGTTCGACAATATGTGGAATGCCTAGTGGCTACCGCTACCGAATCCGGATTGATGCCATCATCAGCTGCACATGGCTGAAGCCAGGCCAGGCCAGGACAGGAGTTTAACTCAGCTAAGCAGATGGAAAGGAATCCATCTGCCAGCTTCCCAACTACGGTCCACGGCACTCCATGTCGACATACAATTCGACCATCTGGATCTCCCCCGGAAGGCATGCATGGCCATAGCGCCATATCTGGCGCAAGTTCAGAATCCAGTCCATAGTGATGCTACTCCCTTCCCCCGGAACAGAAGAACATCACTAGAATTATCTCGCACATGGCAGAATCTACCTTCATCGCCCGACCTCCATGGGTCAAGCAAGCGGTGCTGGAACCAGAGTACCCCAGCAGCGATCTCCTACTTCTACATCACACCAAGACGTAAATGAGCAGGAGACATGCCACAGCTCTTAATTTCCTTAATCTGTCAGCACCATCTTCCGTCCACAATCAAACACTACTTTCTTCTCTGGGATGCAATTAAACAAACACTCTTAAAGACCGTAACAACCCTCACCCTCTCTCTAGTCTTTGAAAAACGTCGAAACCGATAGCCCACACATAGTAAGCTACCGAGTATGCTCCCAAAAGAAAAAGAGGATGATGCCTACAGAGGTTGGTTAGTGCTGGCATGAATCGTCGCACCCGCCAGCAGGGACTAAACAGGAAACTTAAAACTCCGTCCATAGGTACTATCCATTGAAAAGAATAAAAGAACAAGAGAAAAGCCGGCGCTCACATAACATGACGAATGATGATATCCATGGATGCATTCTTCCGATCGCAAAGAAGACCAAGACATGCCTAAAAAAAGAGAGACGCTCCGAGTGTGTCGTGAACCATATCCCCGATTCTTTTCGCCATCATGTACAGAGAGACAAAGGAGAAGTAGAAGGAAAAACACTGAAGACAGATGATACCAGACTCCCAAACTGGGAAAAGTGAAGGACTGATTATGACCAGATCCAGAGTAGTAAAAAAGAACGAACGCTAACGGAACAAAGAGTGAGTTTGGGGGTCGGTAGGACACCTCCATGTGTTTGTGATATAATGAGACAAGTGGGTGAAGGTGAAGAGAGAGAATGGTTCGTCGTTGCCAGGAAGTCATGACTGGCAGACGAATAACAAGTCGGGGTGAGGAATGGATGATGGATGCATGCATGGATGGATATCCCACAATGGAACAAAGACGAGAGAGTTTGCTATGAGACATGATGCAAAGGGAAGAAAACAAAAACACCAACCTCGTCGAAATACTCAATGGCAAGGGCCGTAGGCCCAAGACTAGGTTACAAGAAATGGGAGGATGCAAGGCTGTCCATAAGGAAGTCATGTTGTCTTACTTTTCCATCTTCTGCCACCCGTTGAGATAGGCCATTAACCCAACTCCTAATAGCACCACACCAAGCATGGATGCATAGGGGCTGGACTGCTCCAGAAGATTATGTCGAGACCGTTGGGTGGCAAAGGCCGTGGCTGCAGTGTCTGGTTCTGTCGAAGAGGTTGAGTCGAAGGGTTGTGTTGACGTGCCTCTCATTTCAACGTGCGCTGCATTATCCTGGCCCAATGCCGAGTACCCAGGTGCAGGGCCTGTCGGGCCATGGTCATGTGCAGTCGACTTGATATCCGGGACTGTTCCTGCAGCAGCCCCAGTGCGCTCCTTCCGCAGCGTTTCAATCATCTCGGCCAGTGACTTGTGAGACCGAACCGACTCATCTTCGGCCTTCTCGGCTCGTTCCTTGAACGACGCAACTTGCTGTCTCATTGCCTCCATTTGCTCCATCATAGAATCCAGGCGATGTTGGAGAGCTTCGGTGTTGACATCTGCCGAAGAGTCGGCTTGACTGACCTCCAAGGGCGTAGCTTCTGGAGATAAAACGGAGCGGTTGGTTTCTGCGGCTATTTCCACATCTTCATGCTTAAGCACCGGCTCTGGTTTTTCCAAAGGTACAGCAGACGCGACCTCGGGTTTGACATCTGCAGCATCCGAGTCTGGGCTGGTCTCTGGTTTCTTGGCTTTCCTCTCTGCCGACTCTCGTGCAGCCCGTTCCTGTTTCAAAAGATTCTCAAGTTCCTTGATGCGAGTTCCCTGAGTATCAATTTCTCTCTTGGCAGATGACAATGCCTCAATGAGAGATAGGATCTGACTGGAATCACGGGAGACAGGTGAAGTTACACCCATACCCTTGGGCTTCTCTGTGTCACTGCGCTTCAATGGAGAGAATGCGTCGGCTCCACTTCGCGGGGGAGCATCGGGTTTCTGAGGGAGCGGCTGCTGCGGAGGAGGAGCGGGTGGATCAGAGAATCGGGAGAAGGAGTCGACGCGAGGCATCTTGGGACGGCCATTGAGCTGTCGAGGAACATTGTTTTCAGGCGAAGGCTTGGAGGCCTTTTCTTTCTCTACATAGCCCGACTTCATGATCGACGTCAAGAAATCGTCGGTCTGGTGTAGATCTTGCGATTGTTGTTTTGCTTGTTTCAGTTCGCCCTTCCCAGTGAATTAGCAGAAAACCTCACAATTTTTTTTTTTTGAATTAGTTGACCATACCGTGAGTCTTTTGGCAACCTGCTCGATGGAGATTGGCGAGTTCCAATAGTTCATTTGACGTTGTTGGTGGAGCGCATTGAGTTGGGTGCTGGCAGCGCTTTGAGCACTCCGATTGCTCACGTTGCTCCCTGCTCGGCCTCGGAGATGAGACAGAGGCTGGCTGAGAGGCGAAGGAAGAAGTCCGCCTCCAGAGGCTGGGTCTAGATCTCCAAAGTTGAGATCGAGGATATTCGGAGCGGTTCCATAAATGCCAGCGTGTTCAACCTTTGCTGAGACCTTGTGGTGTACGATGGTGTTCTGATCTTCGCCCACAATGTCTATTCCCAACTCCAACGTATCGTTCTCACGCAGCTCATGTGGTTCTGATTCGCGATTTTCAGGAGAGAGTCGGTGGCCGTTCACAAACGTGCCGTTGGATGACTTGACATCCCGGATCCAAATCTTTCCAGCCTTGTCAGCCCAAATCTCCGCGTGCTGCCGTGAAAGAACCTTGGAGTCGAAGAAACCATTGACAAGGGTTGGCACCGTTTTGGCATTAGTCTGTCGACCGATGCGCAGGACATCAGGGTAGAATGGCACATTGATTTGTTTCTTCTCGAAAGTGCCGTTGATCGGGGCAAGGGCCAGGATCGCAGGGGGTTCTGCGGCCTGTCCGTTTGGCGGTCGAACACCATTCTGCTGGGACGACTGAAGCATATGTTGCGATGGGACTATGGATGACGGCTGATGAATAGCCGACATGGTCGAGGATGCAGAGGGCCCGGATGAGAAAGCAGGCACCGCCTGAGATCGAGCGTTGGTAATTCCCGCGACCGGTTCTGATTTGGAACTCGGCCAGGGGTTTCTGACGTTCTTCTTTTTCGCAGCAGGAATATTACTTTTGGGTTCGCCGTTGGCACCTTGCCCAGCAGGTGGATCTTGCGAAGAGGCAGACACAGTCGATGTAGAAGAGGACGATGCAATGGACGAAGAGGAGTTGGACCGCTGAATCTGTTTTCGCGGCATGAACATGCGTGAGACCTCGTTCGCGTTCACTGAGGGCAGCGCTCCTTGTCCTCCGTCACCAGAATTGTACCATCCCAAGCGAGGCCCCGATTGAACGCTAGGCGGAGATGCCACCGCAGTCATGGAGAAGGATGCTGGAGATGACTCGACACAATGGTCTTCCTAGGTGGTTGATTGCTGACGGTCGCGGAAACGGTTGCGATAGGGTATTTGCAACTGTGAGAGCAAAGAGAATCCAGGAAATCGCCGAGTTTTGCCCTTCTGGCGTTGTGGAAGTTATATGCGCTTGGGGGCGTTTGGTATTCGTGGTCGGCCGACTAGGTGACAACGGTCGCGTTAGCGGCTACTCGATCGCCCGCCAAACCTCAAAGAATTCAATGGCCCCCGGACGCAGTCCTCGGGGCGTTCCAGGGTCCACCAGTAGAATCCAGAGAGAGACGGTAGACTCACCTTCCACGGAGGATTATGTGGTGGTCGGTCGTATAAGAGTGAGGGCTCCAGGCCAAGGAGGCGTGTGAGGTCTTGCCGGGGAAGGCAGCGACCGGGAGTGTCTCAGGCGGTCCAAGGACAATAAGGGAAGCACAAGACGGGACAGCCGCCTGTATGGGCTTGAGGCCCCAAGAAGAAATCGACACACGAGAAAGTCACCGGCTGGGGATGGTCGCCATAGAGGAAAAGGGCCACAGGGGAGGGAGGATGACAATGTATGGCTTGAGACTTGGAGCCACACATCACGTGCCTGCTCAGCACGAGGACGTGGGTCAGGTGACTTCCGTCAGGGAAAACGAAGCTCCGGTCCTGCTTGCTCTTCGTCTCTCAACTGTTTTGCTCCTCTGTTCGCCAGCCTTCCGCCTCACTCAACATGCCTGTTGTTGCAGGACCAGCTGCAGGGGGCCCTGCCGGTCCCTCGACCTTTGACAAGAGTATGTCGCCCCTCCTTCGATAGTGAGCAACAGAACTAACCAGACAACCAGTGAAAATGGGCGCCCTGATGGGATCCAGTATGTGATGACCAGAACCCACTCGAGTATCTGCTTACAATTCCCCAGCTGTCGGTGGAATCATGGGTTTTATCATTGGTAAGGGGACCACGACAATGATGCGACTCCGCCTGGCTCACACAGCACACAGGAACCGTGACCGTCTTCCAGTACGGCGCTGGCCCCAACGGTGTCATGCGCACCCTAGGCAAGTACATGCTGGGCTCGGGTGCTACTTTCGGGTATGTTGGATTTGAAATTCGTGATTTTGCCCACCTCAGCGACAAAATCGCTCACCAATTGCCTCTCCTCTCCAGGCTGTTCATGTCCATCGGCAGCGTCATTCGCACTGAGGGACCCTACAACGATGCCTGGCTCCGTACTCGCGGACCCCCAATGATGCTGCCCCGCGCGAGCCCTCTGCGACCGGTGCGCCAATGAATCACTCTCCGACATGCGACATTCAACGGACATGCGACATGACCAAATTAAGGGGAGGGAATCTTGTACGATATACTCTAGCGAGCAGTGCTGGCAGTGAGTTGGTTTTGAAGGGCGGGAATGGACTAGGGGCTTTGAAGGCAGGGCAGGAGGCACTGTCGACCTCTGCACAATGTAAATAGGCTAGGGGCACTGGCAGGGTGCTAGTTATAGGGTGAGGATCGATCCTGCCTGGTTGCTTTGTAGTGCGCGGTATCATCCAGATATCAATTTGGCCATTACATGAACCATCTGCTACGTAGGATAGACAGTAGGCCGGGTTGACCTGAACTGGTCACCGGTAGCCGTTAGGGCATCGTCCAGTCAGCAGTAGGAAGTACATCATCATCATCATAATAATAGCCAACTGAATAACAATGAACTGACCGCATCGCCCTGGCTGTGGCTGTCCGCCGTGTTCATTAGGTCTAGTCCACATCCGTTCACCATTCTATCAGCCTCAGGCCACCACGAACCCTCCTTGCCGTCATCCCCGGACTCGCCCATGCGCAAACCTCTAGGGCTGCCTAACCCGGCAAGTCCAGGGGTCGATCCTCATCAAGGTGGATCATCGAGGATCCATGGGTCTCGACCAGGAACAGGGAAGGCCAAAAAGGGCCTGGCCCTGAGTTCTTTTCGTTCTTTGTCCGCGGTGGAGTTGTGGGATGATTTTTATTGACTCGGGCGGCCGAACGAGAGGCAAATTGGGGGTTCATGTCAATTTCGGCTAATTCTTCGGATCCGCATCTCCCGACCAGGGGACGAACACACCCACTACTGTCCGTTCCTGCATTCCATGACGCCAGGGGTGACACCAGATGACAGCTCAGGCACTGCGCTTCTGGAAACACGTCGCCCGACAGGGCGGTGGTGTTTGTTGTGGTGCGGTAGATCCTCCGCCGGCGCCGATCGACCAGAATTGAACGAACGGGTCGGCGGCGACGGAGCACGCCATCTACGCTTGGATAGCGTGTTGAAATCACTTCCCCAGGGGGCCAAGAAGCCTCGTATTCTCAGCTCGCATTTGTTTACGACGTCGTATAGTACATAGTCGTCTACGTCCGCAGTTGTTGTTGTGTCCTGTGCAACCGCGGCAGTTCCTGGGCTATTTGGACCATGCGCGAGATCGTCAGTGATCGATCAGATCAGGTGTTGTGTAAGGTGTCGCGTGAATAATAATAACCTCTATGGGCCCAATAAGAACCCTTGACCCGTTGGTGGCTATAGTTCGGGTCCCGATGTGAATAGTCCCATCGCGCGCCAACCCAGGGTGTCCAATGGGAGCGGCGGGCCACTAAAAGAAATGAAATGAAAGAGGAAAAATTGATCCAGGGTCCGCCCACTGGCAGAAGCATGCGTGCCCTATGGCCTACTAGGTATTTAGACCCTGTCACCCCAGGGGCGGACCCCCTTTGGACGCCTCTGCATCTACGTACCTACAATACGCTCCCCGTCGCCCAGGTTGCGCTTCACTCATTCACCCCAGTCATTCATTACCCCCAAAGCCAAGTCACTCTTTTATACTATACTCGCTCTAGCAGCGCTCTCTCTCTCTCTCGTCACACTCTTTTACTATCTCGTTTCAAATTTGACGCCCGCTCTGTGCATCCAAACCAGCCCTGTTTCGTCGGTAGACCCTCTCGAAACATCGCTTGTCGCACCGTTTTTTTAGCTGTCGTGCGCGTTTAGCATCTCTGCACTGTTGTCCGCAACACTGATCTGATCTGACTCGATCATCCAATTGCTCATACACTGTGTGTTCCTCCGTGACCGAATTGCGCATCGCATCACATCACCACCACCAATTTTCAAAATGAAGTTCAGCGCTGTAGCGACCTCCCTCCTCTGCCTAGTGGCCCAGGTTGCCGCCAGCGAAACCACGACCTCGACCTCAACGACGACTATCACCAAGACCCTGCTGCGCGTCAACGCCGTCACCGCGACCCCCAGCTCCAGCGGAAGCATGACCTCCGTGCCGGCCAGCAGCACCCCGCTGGTTACCTCCAAGCCCTCGTCGACGACCCACCCCGCCGCTCCCTCCAAGACCGGCGCCGCAGTTCACCTCGGCGCGGGCGTGCCCGCTGTCCTGGTTGCCGGATCCTTTGCGCTGGTCATGGGTCAGGCGCTGTAATTGCGCATTGTGCGCAATTGGAAACAACAGTGTCTGAAGGAGCAGCAGCACAAGTCCCGGCCTGTGTTGACCATATCAAAGGCTGGAAGGGTTCCGTCGTTGTCGTCGTGTTGTCAATGCACTCTCACGACCTTTTCCTTTATACGCCGCAGTCATGGTATGCAGCTGCTGTCTGCGGCTGTTGTTCGGGGTATTTCTCTCCACCGAGGCGGGCTTGATCGTGTCTTTTCAGCCAAGCTCTTCTTCTTCTTCTTTACTTTTATATTGTTTGGCTGGAGAACACCCGTTTCGGAGAGGAAACGCCCTTGATTTTCTTCGAATACCCACTTCTTTTTTATTTTTATTTCTTGACGTGATACGAGTTGATGTTGACTTCTCTTCTTCTTCTGCCAGTTTTTTTTTTTTCGGACTGGTGGAACTTCTTCTGTTCATATCTGTCGCGTGGATGGTTCTGTCGCATTCTATCGCACTGTCGTGTTGTAGGGCGGTGCTCCTTCACTTGACTTGACAATGATTGTTCAATAAATGTATTCTATTCCTATTGTAGTCCACATTCCTCTGTATACTGCCGATCCCTCTAGTCAATCCACCGGGCACGTGCACCGGATGTTTCAAGAAGGTCGTCATCTTATCTTTATCTGTTCGATCTGGATAACCAAATACTTTTCTTCCACTCACCACCCAGAGAGCCATTGAACCGCCCAAGCCTGGCTTCTCGTCCCTGAACTGTCCGGCGCGCGTGTTTGTTGACACCCGCCGAGCAGTATCCATCCTGGTCTCCACAAACGCGTCGCACCACCGCGGGTCCAACCCCCGGAGCTAGAGACACATCAATCAAAACAAAGAAATTCTGAATGGCATTGATCAGCTCACTCACGCGACTGAATTGATCGCACCACTCTTTCTAAAATGGACAACGAGGTCCCTCTTCCCCCACCGCGGCGCATCCAGCAGCGCTCGCCAGCAACGCACGGCGCGAGCACAGGCCCAGGGACAAGAACAAGCGCATCGTCCTTGCGCAAGTCGCGTCGCCTATCGCGGTTCGACGACCGCTCCAGCCAGCCATCAAGCGACCCGGCTTTGTTTTCCAGCGACGATATCCCAGCCTCCGGGTTGGAGAACTACCATGCGCCTGTGACGGCCGGCAACAGCGGGAGCAGGAAACGACGGTATCGCGGGACCTGGTGGGGAGAACAGGCGGTGGACCCTAACAAGCGCAAGAGAGCCGAGTTTAAGGAGAAGCGCTATGTTGATAGTGGTGTGTGGATGGGCAGTGATGAGTCTTCGGTTGCGGAGTCGCTTTTGCTTTCTTCGGAAGGGGATGCACCGGGCTGTTGGGGCGAGGATTTGTTGAAAACAGCACTGGAGTCCAGGTTTAATGGCAGGAACCAGACTCAGACTCAGCTGAGAGGTGATGGCCCGCTGCAGATGCGCGCTGCGAATACTGCGGCGGTTGCTTTTAAAGGACCTGAGGAGTCGGCGGAGCATCGCTATGCGAGGGAGGTGGTCAATGATTGTTTGGAGAAGGGAAATGATAGTGTCGACCTAGGGTAAGTGACTTCTTGGACAAGATTCCAAGTATGCTAATCTTTTTGGACTAGGAACCTCCATATGAGGAGTATACCATCCGGTCTGCTACGCCCTCTGCAGCATCTGACCAAGCTTCCCTCTGTGAACGAAGCCCCGATATCCGAGAACGTGTTCACGTCCCTGCAGCCTTTTCTACGCATTTTCCTATCCAACAATTCCCTCCTAGAGCTGCACCCTGAGCTCTTTGAGCTAAACAACCTGAAGGTCCTCAGTGTGCGCAATAACAAGCTTTCCGAGATTCCGCCGACAATCTCGAGACTCACAGCGCTGCAAGACCTTAACGTCTCCGTTAACCGGCTAAGCCATCTCCCCTGGGAACTCCTGTGGCTGGTTCGTCAAGGAGAATTGAAGCATCTGATCGTGCGGCCCAATTCCTTTATTTCCATTGAGGAGGCGCAGATTGCAGAATGGCATTCTCGCTCCGAGGGCGAAGAACATGACGATGAAGAGCCTCACGATCCACTTCAGCTCCGCAAGTACAACGAGGGAGATACACCCGTCGAGGCATGGGCGCCCATCCACGTCGCCACGGGGCCGACAATCCAATTAAACATGGAAGGCAAGCCTATGCCAGATCGTTCGATCATCACACCAGAAACAACAACAAACTCCCCCTCCCTCCGCGAGGTCGCCCTCCGCGCCGTAGCCAAGCTCCCAGCCCTCGACCAAGTCTCCCCCTCCGAGCTAGCCGAGTATCCCGCCTTAGTGATCCCCTTACTGCAGCGCGCGAAAGAAGTCCGCGCGACCGGCGGCCGGGTGTGCTCCGTGTGCAAGGGGAACTTTGTCATTCCTCGCTCAGAGTGGGTAGAATGGTGGGATTGCACGCCCCATGAGAACGGGCTGAAGAGGCCTCGAGCTTCGGCGGAAATGATGCGCCCGCTGCCGTTTCGGCGGGTTGGCTGTTCTTGGGCCTGTGTGCCGGGTGGTGGGCGGCGTGGGTAGATTATTGTGAGATACTTGTTGATGCAAAAGGGGCTGTTTATAAATTACCTGACTTGCTTGTCGATATTGATTCTGTACAGATGAACAGAGGGAAGGTCTTGGCTGAGGATGTGTTTATATTATTCGTTTATATAAATATCTGTCATTATGAAGGCATTCAAAAGATACATTAGGAGAAGCCATGGGCTCCGAACCGCTCAAAACACTAGTCAACCAAGGCGGAAGATAAAAGAGGACAGGGACGAAGAGCTCATTCAGAGACAACGCACGACCTCTCAAGCGTTGAGAGGCCACCTGACACGTAGCATGCACATTCATCCAGGTCTCAGCACCATTGAAGGACCGGGTTCATACTGCAACCGCTCAAGACCTATATATTCATGGAGGACAAAAGCGCATCGAAGACTTGAAGGATCTCCCCTTCCTCCTCTTGAGACAGTTGTATTCTGCTCGCGTGAGCATGTCCATCCCTGAGCCGTGCACTCACAATAGCCTTCGGGGTTTTTGTTCGGAAAGCAGCTTCTATGCTTTTCGAAATCCCATAAAACGGATAAGCTGTCAGTCCGATTCCAGCTTCAAAACCAGTGTTAGTAGTTGGTCCAAAGAACGGAAGAGAATTCACTGACCGGAAGGCATCTTCGTAGCCATCCCCATAGCCCCCCTAGCAAGGCCCCTCAGCGCGCCAGGTCTTCCCTCCGCCAGCGCCCCTATAATCGGATATGTGATGATATCCTTAACGCCGCCAGCCATGCCGCCTACGAAGTTCTTGCCGCCGACTTTAATCCCAGACTTCCAATCCTGAACAGTACCGTAATCCTTCGGCTTCTCCCCATATAGCTGCGGCGCCCTTCGGAAGCCCTCTGCCGCCGCGTGCGGAATATCCACCACCATACCCCTAAAGTAAGTGGCGGAGAATTTACCGAAACCTTTCATTCCTGCCCCGATCATATTCCCCGCAGTGTCGAATGAGTTCTGGCTTTGTTCGCTCATAGATCGGCGGAGTGGCGACTGGGAACTTTGTGATTGTGCGGGATCAGCTAGAGATGGGGTGGAGTGAGAGGCTGGTTCTTTGGAGCTGGTAGGTTGAGACAGATCTTGCGAGCTGCCGCTTACGCGGGCAGCTTTGGCAGAGCGTCCGCGTTTGAACTCTTTGTACGGATTGTAAAACATCTCGCCTGTCGATCGTAACATGTTTTCTCCGGTGCCTGTGGCAGCGGACAGGACACCGGTCAAAGGATCCCACCGACGATTCTCGATGAGGATTGGGTTGATAGCGTGGCATTTAAGCTGTTTGGCGTCTATTCTGTTGTGCTCAATCAGAATGCTCACAGCTGTCTTGGACAGGTTTAGAGACGCCTTTTCTTTGCCGTAAGTCCATACTGCAACTTGATTGGGGATGATACTGCATCGCATCCGATCTAGAGGCAAATTGCGATGGAAAGAGTCCACGGCTGCCGCCACGCCGGATTCAGACTGCATCTTGATAGAGATTTCCAGCGCGGCAGAGGTAGCTTCTGGTGTGATGCAGAATTTAATTGCAGCGGCGAGATTGTCAGGATCAAGTGAGGCATGTGGAATTGGGTCCGGGCCGGCACCGGCTTTGGCGACCATATCGCCCCAGAACGGTTGACTGGGAGGAGGGATTGGATCAGCATTCTAGGCAAACATAGAAGGGAGCTCTAATGCGAGGGGTAGGCATACTCGCCGAAAAAAGGTACAATGGTGGTTGGCCGCCCATTGAAAAGCCCACAGGCTGTGGTTCCCGCACCTCCATGATGAACCACAGCAGCAACATTCTGGAAGAGCCATGTATGTGGACAGTCGCCGATGTAGAAGATGTTTGCATCCGACACCCCGACCAGCTCGCTCCAACCCTTCGAGACGACTGCACGTACACCAGCCCTTTCAACCGCCTTGACCACAGTGTCCGCTAACTTCTGAGGATCATCGACAACGATGCTGCCGAAGCCAATGTAGACCGGAGGCGGTCCTGATTGCAAAAACTCCGCCAATTCGGCAGGCGGGGTGTATGAAGATGGCTCTGAGAAGAAGAATCCACACACATCTAGGGCTATCAGTCATCTCAGCTGCCTTGAGTGGTGCTCATACATACCGATATAAGCTGGCCAATCCCGTGGCTTTGGAACCAGAGCTGGGGACCAACAGTAGGTAAATGGTACTTCCAAGGCTTCGGCTAGGCAGGGCCCCTCCGTTCGTGGAACAGGTGCTAAGTCTATTGAGGACCGCCATCGATTTATGACATCTCCCAACCTGCAAAACAAATGTGAGCTATCTTTTGCGGCCAGCGCTTGACCGGATGTCAACTTACCCTTGCCACGTTAGCCATTCTACCACTGCGTATGAAACCCAGTTTGCCGTCTTTGCGTCCGTCGGACTCATGGACGTGGAATGCAGATTGGCCAAAGGATGGGGAAATGCCCTGGTCGTGGTCCAAGGCATGGTAAACATCAGATGGACGGGGATTCCTAATGCCTGTGCACAATGGATATGTGCAAAGCTCGGTGGATTGGCAATGATTGCATCTGCAACAAATGGCTCCTGGGTGTCTGGATCATCTTCGATGCATGATCTCCAGCAGCCATCCAGCATTTCTGCCACCATGACCTGCTTCTTTTTGATTTCTCCATCGCGCAGTGTCTTCATCTGCGGGATCAGGCCTGGATTTTTGACCATGTACGCCATGAGCTGCGCTGGATCTCCGCCGATGGGGAAGAACTCCAAGTACGACTCCTTCACGAAATTTTCGAAGACGTTGTGGGTGGCAATGCGGACGCGATGACCATGCTTTTGCAAAGCGTTCCCCAGTGCGATGAAGGGCTGCACATCTCCGCGGCTTCCCACGATTTGGATGACTATGTTCAGTTTTACATCACAGAGAATTCCCTCTGCAGTTGGAGCCTCGCTATACTCAGGTGGTGGATAGTAAAGGTCTTCTTTCTGCTGCTTGGCGACCTTCGCGAGTGATCTGGCGAGCTCCGAATCTAGGTTGACGTCAATCCGGCCGTCGACTGTCCGAATGTTAGACTTGCGCTCTATTGCTCGTTACTGAATTTTCTGAATTATTCCACGTACCATGGACATCTCCCAACTCTGCGGCCAAGCCGGGGTCAACATAGGGGGAATAAGGTGGGGGAGACTGTTCCGGTGTCGGTCCCCGGTCGGGAGTTGGAGGTTTTCCCATATTGTCGGGACCCTCACTCGATGGAGGAATCGAGCGAGAAAGCAGATGAAGCAAGATCTAAGAAGGGAGGGTTGTTTTTGAACCGCGCATGGCAGTGGCGAGTGCCTGGATACCCCAAATAGGCAACAGAGTTTGAGGTTGATGAATCGATGAAGGCCCGATAGATCAAAAGCGAGAGATACTGATAATCCGGGACCACGTTGGATCTTTGTAGCTCTTCTCTCGTCGCCCACTCGCACCCTTTGACGGTTAATAAGCGTCTGGTGGCAAGCGGGCCGTGCAGAGTCGGTCCCCGCGCTGTGGCTGTGTCCGAGAATGGAAACCTGCTTTATCATGTCAACATTCTCTCTTCGAGCTTGTTGACCGCCCCGTTCCGTTCATTAATCCTTGCGGCGATGGAGGGCGATATCCGCAATGACGCTTATCCCTCTTCATCCAGCCTGTCGCTGCCTCTGCCCGGAGGATCTCACAGTCCGGATAAGCGCAGGCTACTGCTGATTTATATCCATGGCTTCATGGGCACGGAGGCTAGCTTTCAGGAACTCCCCGCACACATTCATGATCTGTTGACGAATTTACTGAGTGAGTCGCACGTGGTGTACACCCGCATTTACCCACGGTACAAGTCCCACGGCGAGTTACAAACGCAAGTGGACCAATTCAGCGCCTGGTAGGTGACCACACAGCCATGAATAGCTGGGACCGTCCGGTCTCGATGGAATTAATCAAGGGCATGGACTGATGCAAATACTCGCAGGCTATCACCACATGAAGCGGAAGATCTGGATGTCATCCTGCTGGGCCACAGTCTCGGCGGGATCTTGGCCGCAGACGTTGCGCTCCTGCAATCACAACCAAATGAGCACCCGAAGCATCGGATCCTGGGCCTCGTGAACTTCGACGTCCCCTTCCTAGGCCTACATCCCCGTGTTATTCCAACCGGACTCATGGGCTCTATGCCGAGGAAGGATGTATCAGCCGAAGACGAACTAGCGGAAGAACAAGAATCGCTAGGCATGGACCCGGCCTACAAACCCACCGCTCCTAGCCCCAATTTTGATCCTCCATTCAAGAATGATGTGCGTCTGGTTGATCGTGGCTTCTTCAAGGGTATGATGCATTTTGTCAACAAGAACACCGACAATCTCTCACGATCGATCTTTAACCGTCTCGTATCGCCCGTTAAGTTTGCAAGCTGCGTCAATAATTACTCTGAACTTCGTCGGCGGTATCGACGCCTTATGGAGTTAGAGGCCGCGGAATACAGCCCTGGGAGAGTACGATTTGTCAACTACTACACCTCCAGCACTGGTCGCCGGAAAACTAATACAAAGCCCGCAAAGGAAACCGAAGACCTTGATCAGATTAAGAATGCAGCGACACCCTCTCCACAAGAATCTTCGGAGACGCCAAGCGCTTTTAGCGAAACTGGAACCGTCAATTCCTCCTCGACGAGCAACCTAACACTCGAAGGACAAAGCCCAAAGTCCGCTGCTTCCGATTCCACTCTGGCAGCCGAACCAACTTTGGCAGCTGAAGAGGCCAGTTCTGAAAAGGAACTTCCGCCAGTGGATATCCCAAGTATCACATCATCTACCTCCATCGACCAGAAGAATTTTTCGGAGAGCGCCTCCCTATCAACGCTTTCTCTCTCAACCCTTTCCCTCTCACCATCGGAGTCTGGTACCAATGCAGAGGTCTCCAAACAGAAACTTCGCAAATTTATTCTCTTGCCCTCACATCATTGGAGGCGTGCAGACAATGCTCACTGGACACCGGTGTTGATGGAGGACATGGACGAAGTGTTAGCGCACCAGTCTATGTTTATACCAAATGCTTCGAACTATGACTACCTCGTTGGAGATACTGTGGCCTTGATTGAGCAATGGGTCCAGACAGATCTCACCCGACGGCTGCTCCAGGAGAGCCTCGACTGAGAGTTTTTGATAAACCATCCTAGTTAATCCGGGCAGCTACATATTCATAATCTGAAAGAAAGAACTCGTTAGACACGGCTTTAATTCTCTTATGCTACTTCAGTAACCAAATTCGCCTCAAATCCATCCCGCACTCGTATAGGCCGCTGTCACTAAACGTGGCACGGAAGGCTTCTTCCCCCACCAGTGCGGGGCATCCGCATTTTCGCCTCCTACACTCAGCGACAAGCATGAAGAATGTCCGCATCGACGCTCTTCCCTCCGATCGTCAAGTAGCATCCAAGGGTGAGTCTACCAGAGATCAATACGTCAGTCAGAACGGAAAACTAACGTCCCAGATTGCCGTGTTTGCACGAAGCGGCGCATCAAATGCGATCGGAGCATTCCGCACTGCCAGAAGTGCGCCATCCGCGGACTTCGCTGCCCGGGTTTTGATCGACTGCCCCTCAGATGGAACCAAGGCGTGGCTAGTAGAGGCAAGCTCGCTGGAAGCAAACTCCCAGTGCCTCCAAAGAGTGGGTCGAGGGACTTGAAAGACTCAGAGATCACCCTCTCTCAACCATGCACCCCTTCCACGATTATTCCAAGCAGCCCGACACGAGATCTTAGTCTTATTAGTCGTCAATCATCGGTTGTTCTATCCGACAAATTGCTTGTTCACTTCCATCTCGAAGTCGCTTCTCTACTAAGATGGATGGACAGCCCTGTCAACCCATGGAGAAGTATCATCCTGCCGATCGCCCAGCAATCGGCCTGTCTGAGAATGTCAATACTCAGCCTTGCTGCTACTCATTTGTCTGTCACCTCTGGTGAGGATCCCGAGCAAGCATCGGCGCTTATGCAGGTCAACCACAGTCTTCGGGATGCCTGTCTTCGGGCATTGAATCGCATAATACGCTCAGAACTCCACCGGACCCCCAGAGCAGCAGGGGATAATTGTGGAACCTCGTCCCTGACGGAAATGCTTGCCACTATGTTGGTTCTCTGCTACGGGGAGATGTTTGTTCCGAACTCGACAGACTGGAAGCTCCACCTTCGTGCTTGTCGTACCATCATCGACAGACATAAACTACAAAACCGACAAAAAGAACTTCAAGACCCTGTCGCACAATTTTTGCTGAAAGAAGTGGGTGATGTGGAGGCCTTCGGCAGTTTTTCGGCCTTTACGAGAGAACCGAATCCCATGGCTGTCGTGCGGCCGCCCACAATGATCGACGGCCAGTTCTGGACCTTTACAGATTTGATCTTTGAAATAACAGCCGCAGAGAGACATCGTTACAATATTCTACAAAATGGCCAAGGGCTTCCCGAGGTAGATATGAGTACCTGGCGTACCAAACTCGAGCAGGCTTCCGAGCGGGCGTTGACGGGTCTCAATCTTCTCTCTGCAAGAGAAGCATCCTCACGAGAGCACTTTGAAGCCGTTATCCGGGCCCATTACTACTGTCTTCTCATCTACAGCTACCAGGCCCTAGCGTCTCCGATGGAAGCAGCTCAGAATATAAGTCCGCTTATGGGTCTTCTGTTTCTTGAAATCCAGACCCTCACTGAAGGTCCAGCGCATCACTTTTCCCACGACGTGTTCTTCCCGCTTTTCATTGCCGGCACCGAGTCCCGAGAAGATGAGCAGCATCAGAGTCTACTCCAGTTACTTTTCATTCAGTCTATTTCCACGACTGGGGTCTGGTGCAATCACGCTGCACTGCAGTTTCTGCGTGCCTTCTGGGCAAGGCCGGAAAGTACTGGGAACTGGATACAATTTGCCAGAGAAAATGAGCAGGAGTTGAGCCCTTTTCTTATCTTCTGAAAGACACACCCGTGGTCATTTCTGCAACCCGTTAACCAACCATTCATGTTCTTATCTTGTATATAAAGCATACCGAACAATGTATTATGAGTGAAATTTATACACATTTCCTACCACCCAGGCTTACCTTACATGTTGACCGTCTCCTCATCTTCGACCCCAAAAAGCACTCTCATCGGGTCCTGATAATTCATAAACCCGACACCCGGCTCGCAGAGCCCGTATCCCAACAACCTCTGAGCCTGAGGCTTCAGCTTTCTCGCCCTTTCGAGTGGAACCATCAGAAACTGGTTCTCGGCAGGACGCAGAGTCGGCTGGCAGAGAAATATACCGACTGTTTCCCGATAATCGGTTCTGTGGAGCACAGTTAGTGATCACGAATGAACCGCAGTTCAAGATAGAACGCGAGAGACATACCGAGTAGTATTTGAACCACCACCATGATACAAGTTGCCAAGGAAGATGAAGGCATCACCAGGCTCCAGCTCAGCAGGGACGGCTTCCTCGCGAAGAGGACGGCGCTCTGGGCCCCAGAGGTGTGAGCCGGGAATGGCGACAGTCGCACCGTTCTCTTTCGTCGTCTTCGTTAGTGCTGTGACACAACCAATCATCACAGGAAGCTTCTTATCATGCGGATGATAGTCGCTTTTTCAAAGCAGTTAGTCAGTATTCGTGGATGAAGTATAGGCTCAATAATGCATACTTGTCATCGCGATGCAGCACCTGCTGCTTCCCACCAGGATTGACACGGAACCCTACCGTCGAGGAAATAATCGGTTTACCACTAACAGTCTCTTGGTGGTCGCCTCTCCAGAAAGTGTAGCTAGAAGAGACGAGAGCGTTGGCAATGCCGATGTAGGTAGGGTTGCAGGCGAGTTCGACGCAGGCGTCCGAGAAACCTAACAAGCCGCTGGCCCGCTGAGTAGTCACCGGGAAGAACCCATATTTGTCTGGGGTGTCACGATCGAAGTGCGGCTTTAGGTCACTTTTGATTTGCTCGGCTAGATCTCGTGAGATGAGGTTCTCGACGATTACGCCGCCGTCGCGATTGATAGTGGCGATAAGTTTTTCCTGGGTAGTGTCGGAGGCAGCGGCGTCGAAACGCGCAAAGAAGGGCTTGTTGATTTCAGTTCTGATTGCCATTCTTAAACCCGGGATCGATGATCAAGTTTGTCTATGACAAAAGAAAAGCACTGCGGATTCAGTCCGATTTATACCTTTGGGTTACGTCGGTGCTTCGGCCTGCGCCGATGGTGTCGAGTGTTCCATCGAAACGTGGGGATTGAGCCTCAGGATTATATTTCCAGATCAGGTAAATCAACACAGTGTTGTGGAGTTGTTGATGTCAAAGCTACAGTTGAGTCGGGCGACAAAGGCCATAGAGAGTGTGGTACCGCTAAACCTGATCCGGAAGGCCGGGCGAGAAATGAGTCTTTGCCCTGATATACATTCCGCACAATCTCACACAATGATCTTTGCACTTTCGTTGTCTCTTGACCATGAGCAATATTAGCTGTCACCAGGCGGGTCCCTGGTGGTGCACCGTTGTCGAGATGTGGAACGTCACTGCCCCTGCATCTCTCCCTATCTCGGGACTCCTATTGGCGATATTGGGGTTGGTTTTGTGGTCTCTCTATAGCGGCAAACCAGTAAGTTACCTTGTTGGTCTCTTCAAGTGGCAGACCTGACATTTAATCTCTTAGCGTTTCATGAGCTCGGTTGGTTCCAACCAGAATGGTGTTCGCTATACTGCGGCGGAGGGGTTCAACTGGCGGGCCACGGAACCTGTACAGTTTCGGCCATTCAAGCCGAAGTATCATCTGACGATGGGTTGAGTTGCACTGTTTATTGGAGATTGAGATCAGGACTGACCATTTTCTAGCAATCGAGACACTGGATCCTCATGATCTGATTCTTTTTGACAAGACGTACCAAGAGCGTCTAGACATCAGAAAGAATTTGGTCAAAGAACACCCTCAGAAGATTATCGGCATTACAAATGGAGCCGACCCTCGCATTGGAGCCGCGATCAGAGAGCTGTATCATACTTTGATGGGAAACTATCTTCCTCAACGATATCCGACAATTTTTGAAAGCAAAGATTCCTCCATCCGAAATACAGTTACGGGGGAATCGTGGCCCACCAATTTAACAGATTCAACACCAGCAAGGCTGGCACTCGAGATTTTGCCTGTCAATGTCGACGAAGACTTCTTTATTCTTCTTCCTGATAACCAGACAGATATGAAGAGAACTGCCGGTGATGAGGACGAAACGACCTATATTTTAGAAGCGTACAGCGCATGTTTCCCCTCAGGCTTCGAACCTCAACACAAGCTAGGCAAAAAATTAGCATCAATCCATGATCCCGTACCTGGATACAAGGAGAGACTCGAAAAGAGCATGGACCGCTTCTTCAGAACTCTACCACCGGGCAAATACGTCAGGAGAGTGAACTGGGCCGTTACTGTTGATGAGGAGTTGTATTCCAATTTTGACAAAAGCGGAAATGCCATGACGAAGGAGTTTAAGCAGCTGGGTGTTGACGATCTCGACTTAGACAAGGTATGTGTTCTGGATATACTCGTGGTACCCAGAAGGGAAGATGTTGATGGGAAACAGACATTCCTCCGCTGTGAGCGGCAAACTCTTCATCGGTTGCCGCAGTCGAACGCAATTATCTTTGCTTTCCACACGTATTTGTACCCACTGGAACAGGTTAAGGCGGAAGGTCTAGGCGAGGAGCTGGCTACCGCCATTGATGGTCTGACGCGGGGGAACACACCTGACATCTTTTTGTATAAGAATGGGCCCAAGTGGGCGGCGGCTGTGAAGCAATACTTGAGAAGCTGAACTAGACTTGGCTATTTCGGTATTATGATTTCATGTCTACATGATAGAGCGCCATTTTTCGACAATATCCTGTCGTTCATCCCAGCACGTCCGCTGAGGGCGTACTTCCTCTTCCATGCCTGAAATAACTTCTAGAACCCTGAATCCACCTTCAATAACGTAGCTGTGTCAGATACATTGCAGCGCAGTAGCTAGGATAGCTGAATCTCCTTTTTCAAAGGGATGGGTTTTCTCAAAATCAACAATGAGCTGTTCATGCTCCTGGCTTCGTGGAGTAAATGCAGCCGTGAAAGAAACAGGATGGCTCAGAATACCTGGGGTAAACTCGACGGTTGGCTCTATTTTCTTACCATTGTCTCCAATGGGCTTTTTGATGTCAAATACGGCCAGCGTGTGTGCAATCATCAGGAAAATAGAAGTTTCAGCAACCAGACGTCCTGGGCAAACCCTCCGACCAAAACCAAAGCTCACATCTCCCGGCTCAAGGGCAGGCTGAGATGAAAGGAATCGCTCAGGTCGGAATTCCCGCGGGCCAGGGTAAATAGCGGCGTCATTGTTGAATGACCTAGATGTAGGTTAGATTGCACCAAGAAATCCAATATAACCGGTGTGAAAATACCAAACGTTCGGTAAGATGATTGCATTTTTGGGAATCAAGAAACCGTTTATGAGATCGTCTTCGTCTGTTCGGTGAGGAATTGCGAAAGGTGCGACGGTGTGCCATCTAATAGCTTCCTTGACGATGGCATTCACAAAGGGCAGCGTTTCTCGGTCAGCCGCTGTTGGCAAAGTCGGCTTGCCGAATAGATCGTCCATTTCGGCTTGAGCTTTACGTTGAACATCCGGGAACAGCATCATTGCCAGGAAAAATCCTTCAAGGACCGCAACAGTCTAAAATCAGGCAACGAAGTCGTATAAATAATGGTCAACCTACTATTATAGATTATTGGGAACATACCGTATCGGATCCACCACCATACATTGCCAAGGCTGACCACTTGACAATTTCTTCATCTTCTCCTTGTTTGAGCAGCCTCGATACGATGGACTGCCGATCCTCGTCGCGGTTCATCTGGAATTTTGTAAACGCGACTGGATTCTCCAAAAGTCTCGTGAGCGTCTGAAAGTGATCCCGGGCAACTAGTTGAAATCTTGCCCCCGGCATCCATTCTGGGATATATTTTACTGAACACCAGTTAGAGATGCGAGTTCTGAATTCAAGAAAAGACAGGAAACTTACATGCGGGGATCAAGTCGACTAACCATGCCCCCGGAACGGTGGCCTCTGAAAATTGCTTCAGTGCATGATTGGCTAAGCGTACTAACGGGTCGTCTCCATGTGGCTCGATGTTATAGCCGTATGTGACATTCAAAATGAAAGCGCCAGCAGCGCTGCCGTTTCAGAGAAATAAGCAAATCGATTCCTGAAAACGAGTTGTTGGCTCAAACTCACGTCCTGTTATGCTCGATGACTTTCTCTGGTGTACGCAATACACGACATGTAAATCTTCGGGCCTCCAGTTCAAGCAGGCCATCGAACTTGGACGCGGCTTCTCGGGTTCCGATGACTCTCGTGATTGCTCGGCGATAGGCTCGAAGAAGAGGCGTATTATCTTGACTTGACGGTATCTTTCCCCATCCAGCCCTATAATTGCAGGTTAAGTTTTGATATTCGCGAGGCAACGGAACTCAACCGCAACCGACATACAGTTCATCGGCAAACACAAGACGCGGCCGGGAAGAATGTTTTGCGGAATTCTTTTCTAGTATCTGGAACGCCAGATCTCTATCGTTAATGATGATGATTGTCTTGCCTAGAACTGTGATGGAGCTGAGGGGACCTAGGTGGAAGACTTAGTTCTTGTTGCTGAATTGTCCAGAGAGGACGAATGAGGAACATAATACCATAGAGATCTTTATGTTTCAGCCAATGTTGCCATTCCTGAGCTCCTGGTGAGGGGAGGTCCAGTAGATTGCCGATAATTGGTTTGCCTTTCGGTCCTGGGGGTAGATTCGCTATCCTGCTTCCTATAAAAGCCCACCGCAGAATCGCAATTAGACCTAAAGTAATCGAACAGATCACTAAGTGCCCTGTTGATAGCATGATATCGTCAACTGAGATGAAAGTTTCTAATAATTCAGTGGACCACAGAAAATTGTTGCTAGATGGGTACAGAGAAGGGTAGATAAATTCAGAACCACGAGGAAGTAAGGTAGTTAAGAAGTTGCCTTTAGTGTTCAGCCGCACTCACCCCGCATATCTGTCAGATCGTATTACCCCCAACTTGGTGATTTGCGGCGCCTAGTGTATCTTTGATAGACAGAAATGGATGGGATCGGCCGATCTAGTGCCTAGATGTTTCACAATAATCTAGCTACTTATCTATAAGGCAGTACGAAGGCCGGCCATCTATTGCGTACTATGAGTCAGGGAAGAATCTGTCCCCCAGGTATGTATTTCATATGTTGCCTCCACCCCGATGGAAGCCCGACAGCAGAGGACGGATTTGAACCGAAACGCAGGGCAAGCTTGCCAAAGAACGCTGCAAATACTGGGAGCTGGCGAATAATCCACATAATCCAGGAAGGAATTGAGTTTAGCGTGTTTCCTACGTGATAAGACACTCAGAATGTACTCGCCCCCAAGTCAGACCCACACTTCTGGTTTAAGATTGTCATAACACCGAGTTATTGGATCCACCTTTCCCTCTCGATCTCTTGAGTGTATTTAAGATTTGCATTCAATTCTAATCCGATAACCAGCAAAATATGGTCCTCTCACAGCAACATATCGTCGAACTCAAATCCCTTCTCTCTGAGGGAGATCATTGACGCCTCATCCGGAGGGTATGTCTCACATACTCAGACCTGGTCGGCGCAGCAAAACAAACATCCAAAGTTGATCTTGCGGCCTGCTACGCTCCCCGCTCTGCAGAAAACACTGAGATGCCTCTGCGACGAGGCTGCGATAAAAAAATTAGCGGTACGGTCAGGAGAACTAGAATCAAGCTCGGGGACACAGCGGTGATCTATAGGGGCATCGCATAAGCTAGGCTAAGTAATTGAGACCCGAGAAGGAAAGCCCGCGAGCACACATTATGAACCAGAGTCAAGCAGTTCAAAAAAAGGAAAAGCAATGGTGTCCATTTCAGTGTCCTTCAGGTGCAAAAGAAAAGAAGAGGAGAAAACGATTGACCTGCGGTATATTCCCAGCCGCGTCCATCAACATAGTCGCAGATGCTTTGCAACCACCCAGCACTCCGAGTGTAGCCACCCAACGCCCACAATTCACGTCATGGAAAAAAAAAAGAAAAAAAGGAAAGGGAAACGATCGCTAATCAAGCATGCGTCAAGGAAAGAGAAATGAACTCCCAAATAGGAAGCGTAGAAGAGAGAGGCATGAAAAAGAGTGAATAGGGAGAGATCGAGAGAGATTCAAGGGTATTTAGCGATTTCGATCCGCACGCGCCTGGTGCCAGATAGTGTCCCCACTGAGCGCCGAGAAGCTGAAGGAGGCCAAATTCCTCCAGCTAGACTGAGGGGCAGACGCGGCATGGCCATCCAAAAGGCCTACATCGGCCCCTGCATGTTGCTCCGTGTCAGAATCATGGTCATCGTTGGCACCTGCGATCAGAACTGGAGCCGAAGATGTGCTATTTGGGGATTCCAGCTCGGCGAAGTGGTCGTTTTGCTGTGCTCCATCGGCAGACTCATCCGAGTGACCGTTTGTCAGAGACCGGACAACATCCCCTTTGCAGATCGGACAGGTTCGTCGGCGGGTTGTTAGCCAGGGGGTGCTGTGAGATGAGGATTAGTGAGATGGTAAGAATATGGAGCTAATGCCACTTACATGCACTCCGCATGAAACTCATGGCCACACGGTAAGCTCATCACTCTGCTTTGTCCATCGATATATTCCTCCAAACACACGACACACTCGATCTGCCTGCCCGTGTACTTGCGGCGCCAGAGTGTCGACCCACTCTGCACGCTCGCCAATTTCTCCTGACTAGGCACGTCGGATCCATTTAGCATGGCTCCCAAAGTCGCTTGGGACCGTGGCCGAGGAGAACCCGCGCAACTAGTCAGAAGAGGGGATGTCGCAGACGCGGAGCCGGGGCTTGATGGCCGTGGGGAGCTGTCAGACGAAGACGTCCTCGAGATCGTGTGGTAAGTGCGAACAGGGAGGCGTTCGACAACCGATTTCGGGGCGCGCCACCTGCGACGTCGAATTCGCGATCGGAGCAACAAAAGGACATAAACCACCGTCAAAGTCAACAGCGGACTGACGACGAGCACAAGGAGGGTATCGAAGAAAGGGCTTGTAGACATGCTAGTTGGGGTCAAAGTGACCCAGAGTCCCTCATGTTCCGCGGCCGGAATACTCGGACGATTCAAGGAATGTATGCTATTCTGAGTCTTCTGGTCCACCGTGAGACTGAACTGACGATACGGAGAGAGAGATGGCTGAGGATCATGGCCCTCATTCTCGCCCCATCCAAAGTGGCTAGAAAACCAGCCCTTGCCTCTCGTCTCTCCGCCGGCAGCAGGAACTTCTTTTCTTGGGCTTTTTTCGCTAGAATCATGGGTATTGCCACTGGACTTGTCAATGCTTTGATATTCACCGCTTCCCGGAGTGATGCTGCCGCCTTGCAGGAGGTTTGGTGTGCTGTTCGCATCCTTCTCGGAGGAAGTCTTGGTGCTGTCGGGTCCAGTCACAGCACTGCTGGGGTTCAGCTGCGTGTTGCTCCGAGCAGGCATCAAGTCGGGGTCTCTCCAATCTTGGACCCCTATGACAAACCCATCACCGTCCGTATTATCGGATGACATACCAGTGCTGGCTGATGAGGCTTCTGACTTGGGCCGATTATGATTGGATTCGACCGAGCCTTTTGATTTGTCCGCGGCCCCGCCCTTGATACCTGAGCCGACCATCATCCAGTCAATGTTGCCGCTGCTGGGTGGACGTCGACTGTCTTCGAGTGAGGCGCCATGGTCACTGCATAGCCCCAAGAAATGTCCCAATGTGCGGAAGAATCCGCTGCTCGGTTTCGCAGCAGAGGAAGCTCGCTCCTCAGGCGTTGAATGACGAGTCGACGTGGGGCTGGCCGTAGAGGGCGTGGTCGTAGTCGTCGTCCGCTGCTTGCCGTTATTGTTTTGACTGTCAAGCTTCGCCTGAGATGACTTCAGCGAGTCAGCTAGGCTGGCTGCACTGCCCGAATGCCCTGGGATGAGAGACGAGAGGAGGTGGGCGGTCGTGTGAGATGTAAACAGAGCCGGAATGGTCACGTTGGAGGTATCGCCTCGCGCATACATGGTGACCAAGTTTCCACCGCGTGTATCGTCGCCGACAATCAGCGCAATGCCTCCCCGGCGCTGGGCCCACTTGGCCTTCTCCAGGAACCCACAACCACCTCGGCTCAGCAACACGACTTTGCCCTGAATCTCAGCCGTCTCCTGTAGGGATTGGATGTCCGCGTGCGCTGCTGGCTGGCTTTGAATATATTCTCCATATTTCTCCGTCACCCTCGGATCTGGAACACCAGATTCTGGTAATGGATGATGCAAATGATCGTCAGTGCCGTCGTTCAGCGACGGGTGAGCAGTGGCGTCATTTCTGTTGTTCTGCAGAGCGGCATCGGCCTGCGGCGCCGACCGAGCACGGTTTTGCGAAACAGATGGGTCGTTCGCCGTGGTACCACCGGACTTACTAGAGCTCTGCTCGGTTCCCCTAGAAGATCCGTCTTGCTTCTTGGGGTTGGCGCCTTCGCCCCAGCCGGGGATGTCGGAGCAGCCTAATTCTCCTTCCACAGAAACTATACTGCCCTCGCCGAAGCCACTACCCACCCATAGCTGGCCACTCAGGCCTTTCCCGGGCAGTAAAGGGCCGAACGCAGCAGGTCGGGCCAAGAAGAAGGTCGAGTTGTCATCGGTGAGACTGATGATGGCGGATGGGGGGAAGAGTGAGGACGGGACGTTGAAGGAGAAGAGCGCATGGAGTCTAGACGCTCGACCGGCGAACGCGTTCGTATTGGGAGTTGTGACACGGGGCGACGACAGTGCCGAGAAGAAAGTGAGGAAGATGGGGAGGAAGAGTAGGCAGAAGAGGACGGGGATTAAGCGTGGCGGCCGCATATTTGACAACAAGAGAGACTGTCAAGGTAGAGATAAATGATGGGAGAGGATTCGACAGGCGACAAACAAGACGGAAGGGCGATGCCGGGTGATGCCTCGTAGCACAGTGCTGATGGGCTGAGTCTTATGACCTATGCCACGGTCGGAGAGCGGAAAGACACCTCATCGAGAACAATGAGCAGCACCGTGGCCGGTCAAACCGAAAACAAGAACACGCTCTGGCCGACGCACGACAGCGCAGGAAATTTGATATCAGGGGAGTGGAGGGGGGAGGATGACGGCGATGGGAGAAGGAGAGCGAGTCAGTGGAGAAGGGGAGGCAGAGTGACGATGGATTACGTAACCCGCGGTGTTGAGAACAGCCTTAGGCAGCAAAGATCATCAGCTCACTGATCGACAGCAAACTGAAGGAACTATCAACATCGCCATGATACATACAGAAAGGCCATAATGCTTCATTGGCTGGTCCGCCGACCATGGCATCACACATTGTACGGAGCCCTGTCAGTCTATCGCTCTCTGCAAAGTGCTGGATTCGTAGCCATTGACCGACAAATAATGAAATACGAACATGGGTGCTCCCTGCCACTATGTGCATACGACAGACCACCACTACTGTTGTGATTTCCGACCATAAGAGGAGGGGGCATCCGCGGCCTGGAAGGAAATCGGTACAATCAGCCATGACGTACTACAGTCTGGTTCGGCTCCCGGATCCGCCGCAGAACTTCTAGAAGTCCCCTACTGCAGCAGCCCGACCACCGCCTACCGTATGATGGCTGCTGTGCTCGATTGAAAGTCAAAACTCTTCTACTTTCGTCTCCATATCAGGGTTTGGATTGTCACGAGTAGCTCCCGGCTCTCGAAACCGAACAATTCACGACGAACCCTTGGATACCCCCGGCCAAGAACCCTTGGTTACGCCTGGGAGCTTGAGGAGCTCTCGGCGTGAATGCACCCTTGGAGTGGCGCTGTGGGACTGCCCTCGGTCTGGATCATGACGACCGATGACATTAACGGCTCTACGATTTCGTACCCCATTCTACTTCGCGCACGTCATGACAACCAATGGAGCGAAAATAGCGTGGACATTGTTCTCTGACTGGCTTATACTCTTGACCTCCCCGCGTTATGGCGTCACCGAGTCCAGCGAGTACGGATCTGGTGATGGCGGACGACAGTCGATGGGGCAGAGAGACATATAAAGCCTCGATGGACATTTTTCTAGAAACCACAGGTTTTCACATGTACCCATCATTCTGAGAAATCTGATTACAACTCTTTATCATGTCGAATCTGATGCACAAAGTCAAGGATGCCTTAACTGGCCATCATGAGTCGGAGAACCAGCAGTCCTCGTCCAAGCAGGACTCGTATGACTCCAACAGGGCGTCCATGAACGGTTAGTTCTCTCGGTAAGCAGTTGGGCGACAATTAATCAGTAAACAGAGGCTCGTGATACCGGTCGTGATACGTACGGCTCGACAAAAGATTATGGCTCGAGCAGCTACAATGAGGGCACCAAGGGTTCGGGCAATAAGTACGACTCGTCGAATCTGGGATCAGATACCTATGGCTCTGGCAGAATGGGTGGTATGTGCAATTGGACGTCCGGTTTAGTAACGCGATTGACATTCTTTAGATACCCATGGCTCTTCCAACATAGGATCTGATACCTATGGCTCCTCCACTGGCACGGGCAACTATGGCTCTGGCACGCACGACGCCCAGATGGGCAACAGGATGGATGGTTAATATGCCCACCCTGTTTGGTGATACTAGATACTAAGTTCGCATAGAAACCCGCGACACGATGGATTCCGGCAAGTACGGTTCCAGCGGTTACGGCTCTGGTACTACCAAGCAGACTCACGACACTCTGGGCTCGTCTACCATGGACCCGAGCAAGCACGGCTCTAGCGGCTACGGCTCTGGTAACCAGAAGCACACCGGTGACACACTCGGATCCAGCGGCTACGGCTCTGGCACCCAGAAGCAGGGCAGCGATACTCTTGGATCCAGCGGCTACGGCTCGGGTATGCAGGACACCCGTCAGGGCATGGGTGGCTCCACGATGGACCCTAGCAACTATGGGTCTAGTGGCTACGGCTCGGGTATGCAGGACACCCGTCAGGGCATGGGTGGCTCCACGATGGATCCTGGCAACTATGGGTCTAGTGGCTACGGCTCGGGCACGCAGAAGCACACCGGCGACACACTCGGATCCAGCGGCTACGGCTCTGGCACCCAGAAGCAGGGCAGCGATACTTTTGGATCCAGCGGCTACGGCTCGGGCATGCAGGACTCCCAGAGGCAGACTGGCACCTACGGTGGCTCCGCATTGGACTCCAGCAACCTTGGATCCAGCGGCTACGGCTCTGGCACCCACAAGCAGGGCAGCGATACTCTTGGATCCACTAGGGACTCGGGCACTTATGGCTCCCACGCTGGAACTGGAAACTACGGATCTGGCGCCGACACCTATGGCTCGGGTACCACCGGCGGCTATGGATCGAGTAACATGAAGAGTGGCACGACTGAATCGAAGATGGGCAACAAGATGGACAGCGAGCTCGGTAAGAAGTCTTAACATGTACCCCTTGGGCATAGGTACTAAATCCCTTGGCTAGACAACCGCGGCTACGGAGGAACCACCGGATCTCGCCAGACAGGTGGCGACACCTACGACACCACCGCTCGCGACTACGGCACCACCGGAGGGTCCACTGGAGACAAATATGGTAGCGGCACGAAGACCTACAACACGCGCTCCTCGGCCAACAAAATGGATAATCGCGCTGAGCAGGAGCTCAACAGCCGGACCGGCCAGCAGGGAAGCTTCGCCGCCGGTAATGCGAATGCCTCTGGCTCCAGCGGCAAGCGACGGACTTCTGGTCCTCACAGCTCCAGCCTGCTGAACAAGCTTGATCCTCGAGTTCGCAGCTCGGATTATGAGAACCAAAACACGGCTGGTGACCAGCGAGGTGGATTCTAATCTTAAAGAGCAACATGGATATTTTCGGCCTCGGGATCTGATTTTCACGCCATGATATATGTATTCGTATCTGAAATAAGCTGAATTCTGGCAAATTGAAGCCATCATCGAACTGCGACATGCCACAAAACGATCCTGATGAAAGACTGGTTGCCTTGGCCTGCCAGCATATATTTCATGGCTTTTAGCTCTCAGATGAGGAAATTGAAGATAGTTAAAAAGCTTGATTGAGAATAATAAACTCGCCCTCACGGATAATCTGCGGGAATATAATATCGATTGTACCAGCAACTTCCCCAAGAAGCTAGCTGCTTTGGAACCAGATTTTTGGCTCCATATTGAAGGCCAAAATCCGATTTCCAGAGTTATTTGATGTGTCGTCTACCTAGAGCGCCGAGAAAGAAGCTTCAGAAGCAGAGGCGGCAAGGAATGAGGCAAATGTAATGGAGATATCCGAAAGGGAGCCGCAAAAGGCACTGCAATCTTAATCCACAGGATTCGAAGATCAAACAGGGTCTAGCACTCCGATTTTAGTATGAAGTTATGGTGTGATGGTTAGGTGGCAGAAATAAGGGACGCTACGAGGGTTTCTATGCGTGACCTGTGCTGGAAATGATCTTTCTTTCCCTCTTCATGTATACAAAGCCCCAAGCCTTACAAAGATTTAATTACACATCACTTTCCCAGATACTCCGTTCCACAAACACGGTGGACCACGACGATTGCGCTTAAACATCAGCTCTCTGAGCTTAGCCAGCACCTTTGGAGCTCCACCATCAATGCGATATTTGGGGTAAACCGAATACAAATAGGCAACAATGCCAGAGACTTGTGGCGCAGCAAAGGACGTACCTGCGGCTCTATCTGGTAGTGGACCCAGCTCTGGGTCTTCTTCTTCTTGCTGCCTTGCCATTTTTGCAGCTCCCGCGCAATTAATGCCGTGTGTTGCGTTCTCCTGTCCCGGAGCCCATATGTCAACCAACGGCCCTCGTTGTGAGGCCCAGTCTGGCTTGCCATAGACATCCACAGAGCCAACAACAATCATGTTCTGTGAAAATTCACGCGCAAACAGGGCTGGATAGTGGTCCACCAACTCACGTTCGCCTTCTTTGGTTCTATAGTTGCCTGCAGATACCACAATGACCGCGTTATATTCAACCAGTTTTTTCACAAATGCCCTGCAAAGTCGAATCTGTGCAGGGGTCGTTTCCTCGGGAAGCGCATAAGAGAAATTCACCACAGGAAAAAAAGGACCCTTCTTCCTCTGCTTGTGGATATCGTCAAATATCCCCTGCAAACCAGCTAAGATATACTCAAAACGGTATGGCTCGATAGTAGGAACGACCACCAAATTAGCGGCCTTAGCAACACCCCAGTGTTTGCCCACAATTTTGCTGGCTACACAGGTACCATGTCCGCTCCTGTCGTCCCTAACGTAAGGAATCTGTCGGCCAAGAAGACCAGTAATCTCACTTGCCTTAGGAGAAACCCATCGATATGTACCCCTAGCGATAAAATCGATCGGTTCTGTAAACTCAGGATCCTCTAGATCGATCCCTGTGTCATGAACATAGACGGTGATCCCACGTCCAGCAAAATCCATAAACGAAAAGGTAGCCATTTCATCAACTGTGTATTCCTTGCGCTGGGAGATGAAATTCATCTCTAGGGGAACGTCATCGTCATTGAGGATTGCCCTATCAGGTTCGCGTGGGGGTGCAGTTAGCTCAGTAGGATTGCGTTTGTGTATGTCAAATTCGTCGTCGTCTATGTCCTCTATCCAGGAAACAGAGTTGTCGGGGGCAGCAAGTTCAGCAAAGACGCTGGTATGTGATTTTTGGGTAGCTAGAGCAATTTCCTCGACCTAGAAAAAAGATGCATAATTAGACAATACAAGAGCATGAGTGGTTTTCTAGGCCTGACTGACAATTTCTGTGTTCCACAATGAGACTTGGTCAGGGATCAACCGCGCAACAATGCAGACGATTTCATCTGGGACTCTCAATATGTCCATGTTGTGTGAAGATATGCCCTCTCTCATTTTATCAGCATATCTTTGCTTGGCTGTCTCCGATACATCTTTGTAGAAGGCAATGGTATATGTTGTGGTTGATGCATCGCTGGTAGGCGCGCCAGTAATCAACCGCAAATGCAAGAAAAGAAGAAAAGCAATACGCAGTGATAACATCTTGGAAGATAGAGGTAACGGGGAATTTTCATTTTCTTATGTTGGGGTTCTCCAGGAAAACCTAATTCAAGCAGGATCGCCCCAAATAGATATCCAAGATCCTGTGGCCCCTATTGAACACCAGGAAGGATTTGATACGGGGGCTGTTTCAACTCCCTCCCCCCCAAAAAGGCTCATTAATGGCATAAATGCATACCTCGCAGATTTTTGGGGCCATGAATGTAGCTTGTGGTCATGTGGGAATAACGGGTGACGCCCCCAACCACAACTAATAATCTACAAAGGTCGTAGTGACCTCTAATGGTGTCAACCAGAATTACCACCAGGACGCTTAGAATCTCTCGCTCTGACTATAATTCACCAACTGCCCTTATTCACTTACCACTTTATTAACCAATACCAAGAGATCTTATCTTGTTTAGAATATCCATAACCTCCTTTTTTCTGCTGCCTTACAAGAAGAATACCCACACGACCATCAGACCATGTGAAGCCACCAGCACGTAATCTTTGCGGAAGGAACTTCTGGCATTGATGGGGTATGCCAGACGTAAGAGAGCGCGAAAAGCGGGGTGTTCTAGAAAGAGAAACGGAAGACGTGATACAGTAAGGCGCTTAGCAAGCTTCTACTAAAAAGCACCACGGTCGAATATTTGTACGAGCGTGTTCTAAGACTAGAATGAGACGTAAGAGTTAGTATGCTGAAGTTTATACTAGGTCCAAGACATAGCATGCTCCATTGCAAGCTTGATATTTGGCTTCATCCCTATAGTTTTAACAGGTTTGCGACAGTTAAACCCCATTATTTTTCTTGTTCCCATCTTTCTTGTTCATTGAAGATGTTCCTGTATGAGCCGACATACGGTGATCAAGCACCTTCCCAGATTGCTGGCACATATATCCAAGCTTTCCATCTTTCTCAAGGGCGACTTGGTCAAAATGTTTCCAGCGCTGTGCATCACGTTTTATATCGATTAAGTAGTGGAAACCAGAATTTTTAGCGATGTCAAGTGGCAATGTAAAGAAACTTCTGGTAATATACCAAAATAAGCCATAAAGTCGCCAGTACAGTTCTCGCCCTGCTTTACTATGGTGACTCGGCATGCCGATCCTGTACTCGGCATCCCGGCTTGCGTGAACGACATCGCTTCCCGACTCATCACCTTCGGGCCCCATCACGACCATAAGTTACCGTCGCACATCTGTACCTCACTAGCTGTATTTAACAGGCTCAGCTCCTCAGAGCCCATATAAATAAATCCTGCTCCTCTCCCCTCCTTCCTTCAACCATCTCCTCAAACATCCATTCCCATCCACTTCTATCCACGATTGGTCAAAAAACACGTGGCTCTAGTCATCAGATCCAAGATGGAAGGCACAGAGATTGCTCGGAAACTGATGGAGACATCAGTGGCAGAAGGAGAGTGATGAAGCTGTTCATGTTTTGTTTGACAAGAAGACACCTCTTGCCATGGCGAGTGTGCCAGACGTTGGCGCTCTATAACAACGGGCACTGACAGACTTGACTCACAGGGGTCCGTGACCATCTCAGTCAACTATATTGGGAATGCCCCTGCAAACATTCACGGGCCCTTAGTGATGTGCTGCCAGCTGTGAACCGCGCTCGGAATCTTCTTTGGCACATGTGCCAATCAAGAGATGACCAATACTGGCCCAATCCGGTAGGGAACGACCATTGCAGCTCCCTCCAAAGGCTGGCAGAACTTGAAGCACCAAGCTACACAACAGGCCATCACGTCCCTTCTTCGAAAAGACGCGAGGGCGGCCCTGAACCCGCGGCGCTTTGAAACCCTTAACCTCTGGCAGGCACGGGGAAGAAAATGGCGTGCGACGAGTGTTTGTCAACAAATCTATTGTTTTACCCCTGGAAGTATTTCAATGGTATCTGGCAGATGGGGAAGAATAGTGACTGTGACAATTGTGCTGTGCCTTTCATTTCGCGCTCTCTTATTTTTATTGTTTGCTTTCATAGCCAATCTTTTAATACACACACCCTCACTTCTTCCACAACACCTTTCACCTTCCACTTTCACCCGCACACATCCATTGCCGCAATCACGATGCTACTTGCTCCCCCCACCACGAGCCAGTCCTCTGGCCGTAGCCAGCCGGCACCAGTGACGAACTTCACCGGCAGTGATAATGCCACAGGCATGTGGCCCCCGTACCTCCCATACTACCCCGGCCAGACTGCACCTCCTTCTACTACTGGATATGGACCTTATTACCGTTGGGCTATGCCGCAATACGGACCGATAGGTCATCCAAGTTACGGGATGCACTACCTGCCTCCAGCCCATGCTCCTGCATACACAAATCCCTGGAACAGACCGCACAGTGATCATCCTCAGTCGTACGTCCCTCCACCTAGACCGGCGGCACCGGATGAGAGACATGTTCTGAGAAATGACCTGCGTGTTGGCGTCACCTCGACGACTCAGCAGAATCGTCCCCTTGAGGACTCTCCTCCTCGCATGGAAAACCTACCTTTCCTCCGTCCCCCCAGTGTCAGTCCTCAGCACCCGAATCAAGTTCCTTCCAACTCCCTTCAGTTCCGGGCTCATGCCAACGCTCAAACTCCAACACGTAGCCAAAGACAACGGCCAAGCTCGTCAACTCGAGCAACTCGGCTATCACGGAGCCAGACGACCAACCTCACCAGTACTGCTTCTGGAAATCGCGTCAACAACCACAGAAGACAGCGGTCTACTGCCCACCCTCCTCGCACAGTCAGCAACCAACCTGCTCAGCGTCCTGCATCCTCGACTCAAGGCAGACAGGCTTCCACCCACGGTGGCTTTTCTGTAAATCCGAACGCTCCAGTCTTCCACCCGGATCCAGTCCAGGATACAGCACAGAGCCCGCTTTCTGCTGAACCAGAAACAATTGTTACTCCTGCCCGTCCTTCTGCTGTTGATTCTAGTCGTCCTCAGGCTACTCCAGCAAGGACTACGTCTCACACGCAGGGCCAGACTCCTGCTCAGTTTCAGCCTGCTCTGGTCGTTTCCCCCTCTGTTCCTTCTCCGAACTACCCTCTTCCAGTCTGGGCTATGACCACCGCTCAGGTCAGCCCTACTTCACCCACAATTACAACTCCTGCTCAGGCGAATTTTCGTTTTGCTAAGATTACATCCCCGCCTGAGTGTCCTCTTCTTCTCTTGGGAGCTTCAACGTCCACTCCAGTTCATTTCACTCCTGGTAGACCCACAACTCCTATTCAGATACCTCCCACTCCAACAAAGCGTGCAATCAGATTTGAGGAGTCACCAATCATGGCACCCAAAACGGCGACTCCTTTAGCCAACGCCGAGTCCAAAAGGTATCACTCCATTCTGGAAGCACCAAATCTGGCAGACAACGAGGAAGGTCCCCTGAAGGAGCCTGAGAGGTACGACGCGGTTTCTCGAGCTCAAAATAATGCACGTCTCCAACGACACAGAATTCAAATGCTCGATCTCGACGCTGCTGTGAAAGGGTCTTCCGAAACAGGCTACATTCCTGGCTCTGTGCATATTAGCCATCGCAGTGACGAGGAGATTGCCCGGCGCATGGCTGCTGAGCAATATAACCCACCCCCGACCAGCAATAAGCTTCCGCAGAACCCTCATCCTGCGACACAGCCTGTTGCACGCTCGCTCTATTCTCATGTTGCTGTTGGCCAGGGCCCCACTCAGCCTGAGCCAATGCCCTTTTATCCCCATGTTCCTGCTACCGCAGGCTTTACTGAGCCTGAACCACCTGTGCCACCCGGCCTACCGCGTCCTCCGACCCCGGACCTCCGACCTCAATCCCAGGAGTTGTTGAACGAATCCAGTCTTCTTCCAGTCTACGACTTCAAGGCATCCATGGAGCGTGGACAGTTCAGACAATACCCACCCACTGGCTGGAATCTGCATATTCGGACTCAGTGCCGTCCTGATCAAGTCGTCGACGCGATTGAGCAAGGTATCAAGCAGGAATTCCATAATCTGGCGGACTGGCATGAGGGCGGCTTGGATGCAGTGAGCGTGGTGAAAAGAGCCTGCGGTAACCTCAGGTGGTACGCTGATCATGGCTACGCCAATTTCCAGGGAAGCCAGGCTGCGATAGAACGCCGGAATGATACCTCTGCATGTAGACAGACAACTTTTGCTCCCGAGGCACAGTTTGACACCTCGAGCTTTCAAGGCCGCCGGGTCTTTCTGAACAACGCCACCCTCGTCCCGTACATGGGTCCACCTTGCATTGGCAATGCGCCTCCGAGCAACAATCCATCCTCGGCCAATGTTGCGCCTCCGAGAAACGACCCGTTCTCAAGCACTGCTGTGCCCCTACCGGCCTCTCGGGATGCCAATGTCTGGCCTTCCTGGTGTGATAGAGCGCGGAAGGAAAACATGGACCCTCGCTCTTTGGATCTTCTCTGGGATTTGCAGCATTCGCGTGCAGGCCCTGTCGAGCACCCTGCGTTCACTCGTCCTGTCCGCTCTCTGCCCCAAGGATCCCTGTCACATCTGGGTATTGATGTTCCTCCTGTGGACATGCACACTGCGACTATGGCACCTCAGCGTCCTTCGAACCTTCAGCCACCCATTGGAACTCTTTTTCCTACTTCTCTGCAAGCTGCTCCTTTGGCACAGCGCTCGCTGGATCCTTCCATGTATCCACACACGGCTCCGAGAATTAATTCCTCCAATGGCCCTCCTTTTATGCACTCACCCGGCCTAGCTCCGGTACAGCACTCCCAGCGCCACATGGATACCACCTACATGTATCCGCGCGCTTCTCTGCTGCCGCATCTTGCATCTAGTACTTTCAGAATGTCCTCAAACGCGGGTTCTGTATTGACTCAGCCAACTGAGCCCACTCAGTTGTCTTTCGTTATTAACCCCCAGGGTCCTGATCCGACACTACCTCCGCCTACCCCAATGAACCGTACCATGGCTCGCATGAGCGGCTCGGTCAGTGCCGACAAGTACACCGCTTTGGTTCAGTTCGGGTCTCAGGACCTCGATGGCTCTCCCTCTCCCAATGCGAGGCGCCAGTAAGAAAACCCCGACTGATGATAACGTTGAATGATGAGAGATGATGACACATGCGATGATTTACGAGGATTTCCCCATTCAATTTCTTTCCCATTCTCCTCCGAGCTTATTTTCATTTGCTCAATTTGAATTTTGCCATGCTTAGTTTTGTGTGTTAGGAGGACCGCGAGGACCCGGGAACATGGTTGAACAGCTACCAAGAACGACCGTGAACCTGCATGGGAGTGAAGCTAGGACAGGACATTGCACCTTTTTGCCTGGTGCCAAGACCTGAAACTGGTCGACTTCTTTGCTTGTTGATGGATGACGCTTTCTAGCTGTTCGACGGCTGTTGTTTTCGTTCCTTCTAGTGCGCTTTTCCCTTTCTCCATCATGTATCTAGCCAGTTATTTCTTTGAACATGCGTCTACCGTTATTTTTGTATTTTCCCCTTCATGTAGTTCCTGTGAATTGCGGGTTTCTCGTGTTTGCAAGTGTGTAGAGGGACACTATATGCTTGCGACATGTCTTCTTGTGTTCAGATGTTCGGTCCGAATCAGGGCCCGATAGATCACGTGATCATTTTCTTCTTGCTTCTCGGATGCATCGTCCATAGTCAGTAGGTAGAGAGTATGGAATCGGGAATGAGACATAGAACAATCGCATTCTCGAATACCTCGTGATACTAACTAACCTAAGGTAATATAGTTTTTCATCAGTTACAGATAACCAACCACTCGATGACAGCAATATATAGATTTAGGAACCATTAGATTTGCCATATTATTGGCAGCGATCAGTTTACAAGCTTTAGTTGAATCCTCGAGATCACACCGGGGCATGGGTCTGGAAACATTAATGCGAGGCTATCGTCGTCCTCAACATGGGGAATGCTTGGCATGTCGAGCACCCGCTGTGCTGTGACGTAGTTGGCGGAGCGATCGTAAATGACGTCACGATCGCCTTTCTACGAGATGGGACATTAAATATTGTCTCCCGGCCACCTGGGCATGGAATATCCACAAGAAAAAAAGAGTCTAAAACGCCGGGAGGATCCAGGTCCACACACATTGGACGGTTCCTGACATACCAGATTGCCCCAAAACCTGCTTTTGAACCAAAGAACCAAAGAACCAAACTTTTATTTAAGGCGTCGGGTAAACCGCTTCTTTCGGATTTTCAATTGATGCGCAGATCAAATCCCCGACCGTCTCAATATGGCCGCGCTTGTAGGCCCTGACTCGCATGCGCGCTACCGTCTGACGCAGGAACGTGATTTTCGCAAGTACGAAGTATCTACGTCATATACGAGAGAATCGTGGGAGTCGCTGACCTTGAGCTCCGCGACAGGTATATGCCGCGCGAGTTTTCTGCGTCGCAATTCGCTCCTTTCGATCATGCTAGTCACCAAGCCTTTACTCCACAGCCATCGCCAGATCCGGCCTTAACTGCGTTTGCCCAACTAGGTGCCATCCGCGTCGGGACCCAACGGGCCCTGGTCACCCTGTTCGATCGCACTCATCAGCATATCCTCGCGGAGGGTACCCCGTCATTAAACCTCATCGGTGGAGGTACCCAGGATGACCGCGATAAACTGCTACTGGGTTGCTGTGTGCTCCCGAAGGAACGGGGCCTGTGCCACCATATCGAGGGCCAGCCAGTCTCCACGGACATGCAAGATGGCAAGCCAGTTAGGAGAGGCGCCTTAGTTGTCGCGGACGTGACTGAGGACCCGCGTATCAAAAGTAAAGAGCTGCTGAACCTGCTGTCGGATGTGCGTTTCTTTGCCGCTGTGCCTCTCATCAGCCCTCGGGGGCTCGTGATTGGTTGTTTCAGCGTAATGGACAACGATGTCAGACCTTCTGGGCTCCCAGAACACTCGATTCAATTCATGAATGACATGGCTAGTGCCATTATGAAGCACCTGGTGAGAGGCCATTTCACCCGCAAAAGTCGCCAGTCCGAACGAATGCTTGTCGGCCTGGGCAGCTTCAACGAGGGGAAATCTACGCTTCGTAGCTCATGGCAAGAAGATAATGCAGGAAATATCGGGGAGTCGAAAGAGGGCCAGGTGAACAGCCAGCAACAGCGTGCGCAAGACAGCCAGGAGACAAGTTTAGCTCCTCTTGTCTTTCGAGGCCCAAAGAGAACAGAGGCTCTTTCAGGAACAGGGCCAAATAATTGCGGCCTGGAGACAGACCATCATGAAAGTTCTGAGGTAGAGATTACACCAAAGGTTGAACCTATCCGAAGTGTTGGTCAAAATCCCCAAGAAGACTCGCAGGCCAACAGCATCAAACAAGTCTTCTCACGCGCAGCAAACTTGATAAGGGAGTCAATTGGGACTGAGGGTGTGATCTTTCTTGATGCGCAAAGCGGTTACTTCAGCAAACCCGGTGACCAACCCGGCCACAGGAGATCGGATCCCGCCATTAACAGAACTCCGTCAAGCAGCGATGAAAGCCTTGATTCGGGCTCACCGACCAAGCCCGAGTCGACGCCCACTGATCAGAAGACAGAAGAAGATACTTCGCTTTTGTCCACGTGCTTGGGATTCTCAAGCTCGACAGGATCGACTATCAACAACGAGACAGTGACTGGCCCGGCATCTATGGTATCTGAAGCCTTGTTAATTTCACTTCTTCGCCGATACCCACGTGGGAAGATATTCACCTACGATGCCAACAAGGCTGTCTCTGATGAGAGCGATGGCAGCTCACGGGAGACGCCTGGAGCCGATCGCCAAATCCAATCCGATCAACGAAGATCGGTCAGCGAGAAGGGCGTATCAAATTTCCAAAAAGACGCTCAACGCCTGATCAACATTTTCCCAAGTGCCAGGAGTATTCTACTATTGCCAATTTGGGACTCGGATGAACGAAAGTGCTTTGCTGGAACGATAGTCTGGACGAACGACCCTGAACTTGTCTTCACATTCGAGAACGAAATGATGTATGTTTCAGCCTTTGCAAATAGCATCATGGCCGAAATCAATCGTCTCGATGTGGAGCTGGCGGACAAGTCCAAGACCAGGCTGCTCAGCAGCATCACTCACGAGCTCAGAACACCCCTGCATGGAATCTTGGGTACTGCGGACATTCTCAGTGACACGGCCATGAATGCTTTGCAACATGGCATGGTCCACACAATTGAGTCTTGTGGCCGCACTCTCCTGGACACCATCAACAATTTGCTGGATCTCACCTTCCTTGGCGAGAATAAGAATTCTGGAGGCAAGAAGGAGAAGCGGCGTCACTTTGTCGCCAGATCTGATGAAGGGCGTTCCGAGAAGGGTAAAGGTCGCGGTGCGAAGACTGCAACCTCGCATGTCAAATTGGACGCGGTGCTCGAGGAGGTCACCGAGTCTGTTTTTGCAGGATACAGCTTTTATAACCACCCCAAGATGCCGCCACCGGCCTTGACTGATTCCTCATCACGCTCAGCCGGTCAAACGAACTCGTCCAATCAGGTTGGTCCACGGGCCAGCGAGGTCACGATCATTTTTGACATCCAGCCCGATACAGAATGGGAATTCAACACCCTCCCCGGTGCCTGGCGTCGCATTCTGATGAATGTTCTTGGTAATGCGCTGAAGTATACAAAGTCAGGCTACATCTACCTGGGGCTGAAGTCATCCGAACAAGGCGCCTCTCAAGATAAAACAACATTAGTCTCAGAATCATCAGAGGAGCAAGAGGCTGAGTTCGAGGTCACTCTCGTTGTCAAAGACACCGGCAAGGGAATTGGACCGGAATATTTGAAGAAGAACCTTTTCACCCCCTTCATGCAAGAGGATTCACTCGTATCCGGGAGCGGATTGGGACTCAGCATCGTCCATCAAGCTGTCGGATCCCTGGGTGGCTCGATTGACATCGCCTCTACCCAGGGAGTTGGCACTGAATTAACAATCCAGACTCCGCTCATGCGTGCGCTCGGTACATCAGACGCTTCTTCGTCGAATTCGGAATTCCACACGATGTTAAAATATACCGAAGGGAAAACGATTGGGTTCTTGGGCTTCGGGGCATCTCTTAATTCTCAACGAGATAAGCTCTTGTATGAATCGCTGGAGCGATTGTGTCGCCACTGGTTTGGTCTGTCTGTGACGAACGTGTCGTCTTTTCAAGGCGAACCCCTTCTCCTGGACTTCTACTTGGCCGTGCAAACCGAGCTGGACTGTGAAGACACAAAGGGAAGAGACCTCTTCGCTCTCGGGAAATATCGTCAAGTTTCAAACTGGAACGGCTCACCCATCGTCGTCATCTGTCAGTCTCCCGAGGAAGCGCATCACATGTTTGTAACGACCAAAAGCCGCGAGGAGGCACCCGTCTTCGAGTTCATCAGCCAACCTTGTGGGCCACGCAAACTGGCCCGGGCGCTGAATCTGTGTATCAAGCGACAGCGCGATTCTCATTCCGGGCGATCTAGCCCTATCGAGCAGACTCGCTGGGTGGAACTACCGGAATCCTCTCGTCTGCCAGTCGATCTCCCAGCTCATGATCCTCCCGATCAAAGGATGAAGATTAGCAAGCGACCGACCATGGATACAATGGGATCTTATGAATCTATGCTGTCGGCGGAGGAGGGAACCCAGGGAGGAGCGCATCAGAATAAGGCACATTCGACCTCATCTGCGAATAATGTGCAGGAGGACTCAGATTGCTCTGGGCCATCCGTTTTACTGGTGGATGATAATGATCTGAATCTTCAACTACTGGTCGCCTACACTAAAAAGAGCAATTACGAATACGTGACCGCTCGCAATGGGGCCGAAGCCATCGATACATACAAAGCACATCCGGGCTCTCTCCGGGCCATCATTCTAGGTTTGTCCCATGCTCTTCCTTAGTTTTATCTTTTGATGCAGGTCCTGACATAACCAGACATATCAATGCCCGTCATCGATGGCTTCGAGGCCGCCCGCCAGATCCGTTCCTTTGAGAAAGATTATCGAGCCTCGTTATCAGATTCCCGCCGAGAGACTTCCCCCCTGTAACCATCGTCGCCTTGACAGGACTCGGCGGTTCTGCTGCCCAGCGAGAGGCCGCTGCTTCTGGCATCGATGAGTTCCTTATCAAGCCGGTTAAACGATCCGACATCCAGGCAATGCTACGGAAAGCGATCCCTTCCCAGACTGCTTAAGTCGAAAACACAATACTCTATGGACACTCATGAATTGTTTCTCAGCCTGTTTTCGAATCGTTTTTAAATCTTGTCTCGTTTAAGTAGTAAGTCCGGCTTCTCTTAGAATAGTGGCGTTGGATATCTGTGGTCTGCATTGAGAATCATTGTAAATACCATATAGTACAGTCGGTAGGTACAGGCTTATACATCGCGTCTCCACTACAAGGCCAATAAGGTGTTTTTCATGGCCCTCTCGCTCTGCATAGGTTATGAAATCGTTAGCCGAATCGCCAGTAAAGAAATAGGCCTCTTGTATCAGATCACTCTGTTCTGGTACATACCTCTAGTACCACATCGTATTCCCTCACCCACTTGAGAAATTGCGGCGTCTTCTGATTCGCGTTCATGTCCATTTCCACCCCGTCGAAGTCCGGTGGTGGGCGACTTCCCATCCTCCTAATTTTCTCGTCCCTTGCCTCCTGTTCTGGCCCATCTGGCAGGCTCCAAACCTTCGCGTTGCTCATAGACTGCTTCATGAAGATGTCCGCTCGCGGTTTGCGGAGGTTGACCCACGCTTTCGTGACGGCGGGGATATCAACCCCATTACCGCCCGATTTTGTCGTCCAGCGCAACATGCGAGCTAGACTCAAGCCATCCTCAATCCCCTGGCTGAGCCCCTGGGCTGCATGTGGTAACATGGCATGAGCTGCGTCGCCGAGCAACACGATCCGCCCGCTTGCACTCCGCCACGTATCCAGCTCTGCCCCCGTAGCCATCTGCCATTTTTCGGCGTGGCGAACATGCTCCAAGAACGCCCTCGTTGTCACATTAAAGTCAGAAAACCGCGTACGAAGTAAACCATCATCGGCTGGCGTATTCCAGTTGCCATCTACCGGGCCCGGATCTGCGTGATCAACATCAATAAACTGCACCCCGAGGAGGCCACCGTGCATGGGCCGGCTCAAAACAAAACGATCGGGCCCCAGTGTGCCATGCTTGGTTGCCGATTCAAGCCAGGGTGCTAGTCGAGCGTCTTGAGCGAGTTGAGACACGGGTGCACTTGTAAGGAAGATAGATTCTCTTAATGGAATTGGGTCGACGTGCTGTGTTGGGAAGAGGGTTTTGCGTGTAGCAGATTTGATACCTATACCAAATAACTAGTTGTGAGGACTACTTTGACGCAGCTTCCATAGGCAGACATACCATCCGCCGCTATAATTAAGTCCGCGGTAAACTTTTCTCCATTGGCTGTCCATACCCTTGGCTTCACCGCCGCATCTTCCACCGCTTGCACAGTTCTCTCGAAAAGAAGCTCGGCACAATTGGCAACTGCAAGCTCATGTAGTACTTTTTGTACTGAGGGCCGATCAGTTTGGTATCTCCGTTCCGCATGGGACGACCTTTCAGCTGCAAAGGGCTTAGTACCCTTATACGACCACCACCGTAGCGCCCCCGCATCAACACTGACCCTATTGAAGGCCTTGTGCGCTCCCTTGAGGTGCTGAAGTGCCCTGACCGCCGCAGGCTGGATTACCAAAGCGTGGCCACGGGGCTGCAGGTCTCGCCGTCGCTCGAGAACGGTGACGCTGTGGCCCTCTTGTCTCAAGGCAGTGGCCGTGCAAAGACCAGCAGGTCCGGCGCCTATGACAATTACCTTGAGACGTGAGTTTGCTGCAGACACAGCCATGATAGGTATTAATATCTGTGATAACGAAAGTCGCTGGTAACTAGTAGGAAGCATGCTCGTTTACGCTACCCCGGGTGACTCGGACCGCTCGCTGATTCCGGGGTATTATCTTAACCCCCTTCCTTCCATTGTGCTTACTAGTCGGGAAATTTCGGCCCTTTGCCTGGCCTCTCACAGATATGTATAGACAGTATTATTGCGGTTATGTCGAATCATTGACAAGAGAAAGGGAAAGGGGAAAACCAGACTTATTATCAAGTCCGTGAAAACAAGAGGATCCCAAAACACACAGTGCTCTGGAAGCAATTCCAAACTGGCAGGCAACTCGAAACGCTGGATGACAGATCCCGAAAAAAGAAAGCAAAATCGTGAAAAAGCCCAAGCAGATTAAGAAGCAAGTCATCATGCACTCCAGAAAGAAACAAAAAGCTAACGGTCAAATGAGAAGGGAGAGCAGGGACTCCGAAGAGACCCAAAGATCAAGAGACAAGAGTCACGTAGATAAGATCGACCATGTTATTCGCCAAGACGCCGGATAGATTGCCCATTCCGTATGCAGATGCATAATACACAAAGGAAGGTAGAGTAAAGAAATTAGTGGACTTGAGAATGGTGAGGTGCACAAAAGGTACTCCGTGGTGAGTCGCACAGCAAAGCAAAGGTCCCAGTGAAGCTATGTCTAGCAAGACACGAGGTTGACGTGGTGGTCGTTCAATGCAGCACATGCGAGGACCATGCGATGCGGATGGAAGGCCGTGCTGGCGATGGGGGAGGAGCGGTTGTGGTGGAGGAAACTCGAGTAGGGCTCGAAGGTGGAGAGATAGCTGCCGTCCACGTTGAATGTCTTGACCTCGTGGCGGTTCGTGCCCATGCTGAAGACAGGGGCGTGTTCGTGCACGCTCAATGTCCGGAGAGTATCCTTCGTGGCGTAGATGGTGGAGAGCGGGTCGTCCATTCTCAGGTCCCATAGTCGGATTTCGCCGTTCCGACTGCCTGAGATCAGCTCCCGCAAGCCGCCCCGCTGCATGTGGACGTTTGTGATCCACTGCTTGTGCTCGCGCCAAACCTTGACCATGGATGTGGTTGGTTTCAGTCGCTGGTCGAATACTCGAACAGCGCCGTCGCCGAAGCCCGCAACAAAGATGTTGCCAGCGACTTGATCTGAGGTCAAGGAGGTGATACAGGAGCCGGAGCGGGCGGGGATGTCGTTGGTGCAGACTTCGGTAGCTGCGTTCCAAACACGAATCACCTTTACATCGCCCGCAACGAGAGCTTTCCCTTGACCCTGCTGCCAATCAAACACAAGTCCCGCATTTCGATTGCTTGGAATTAGGTCTGGCAAGGCTCGGAAGGCTGTGACGACCTCAATATCCCTGGCAGACTCATAGTTCCGGAAGAGCTTGAGTACACCGTCAGAGGAGCCAGTCATCAACAAAGCCTGGTCGTCCTCGTTGATATATCGAATTTCGTTGATTTTCGATCCAGCCGGGTTTCCATTTGAGAATTGATTGAGGCGTTTGTGACTTTGCCAATCCCAAATCGCAATAGTATCCCGGTCGTCTGCTACAGCGATGTGATCTTCGAATTGATGGAAACACATCTTGAGAGGCTGACTGCTGTTCGACAGCAAAGTAATTGAGTTGTCCCATCGACTTGTCCCAGCCTTGGTTTTTAAGGGCTGGGTTTCGGCAATGATTTTCTCGTTCCGGCCGCGCCTCCAGAGACGCTCGTTGTAATCAGAACTGCCAGGCTCGTCGGGTTCATTGGGTTTCATCTGCGGTTCACGGAAGTACTCTGTAGACCAATCCAAGAACCTGCTCTTCAGCGGGATCGCAGGTATCCCGGCCGACTCTCTGGGCTGAAAGCCACGAGAAGTCGGCATCGGAGCTTGGTGGTACGATGTTGCGGGAGCAACGTGGTCGTTCACCTCAGGAGGTCGGGACCATTCAATGGGAGCTCGGCCGCGCGGGGTGATGGGTGTCCGGCTCTGAGTCGGCGAGGGAGGCTGGCTGTCTGATGGCGAGTCTGTCGGTGCCGAAGGACCGAATGCAAGATTCTTGAGCGAAGCAGCAACACTAGCCGTGCGTCTGAAACCCAGCGACAAATAGCCCTCTTGCTTGGGAGCAGCCGTGGCGTACGACGGGGGAGTCGAGGGAGGGGCCGCTTTGTTCACCTCCGAGCGTTCGAGCACCTTCTGCTTGGCTGACATGCGGCTCGTGAGCTCCAGAATTTCAATTCTGATTTTGTCTGTAAGCTGCGACATAGGCGACTCTAGAAGGGTCATATGGATGAAGTCGACAATGGTGCCCGCGTCCTGGGCAATATCAGGATGGGGATCCACCGAAATAACCAGAAGTTGTTTCCAGATGGCTCCGAACGTAGTGTTCCGAGACAATTGGTGCGGCTTAACTTCGGAAACCGTGGGACTATGTTGGCCGCCGATCTGAGAGCCCTCGCTCTCGAAACGATGAAGCAAAGATTGCTTCTCCTCCTGAAGCTCTTCGTACGCTGCTACCAGGAACTTGTTCTGGTGGCGCTTGACAAACGTGGACAAGAAAACAACCAGCTCCTTGCGCACGAGAACGCTTCCATCGGCCGACATGGGCAAGACGGCGAGGGCCAAAGATTCCTCAATCTGAGCCACCTGGTCCGTCAAGTCCGGAATACCCAAGAAAGTAGTTACTGCATGAAGCATTGCAGCGCGAACTTCGGGCACAGGGTCGAAGTTCAGTTCGCACAGTCGAGCAGTAGCTGCACAACGAATACCCATCCACTTTGCTTCTGGGAAGTCACACCAGAGCATGCTCAGGCATAGACATGACCACTGCCGCAGCAGGGGGTTTTCGACGTCGCCAAGATGTCTCAAGCATGAGTCAAACAGCTCCCCAGACAGACAGACATTTTGGCCCTGGGGGTAGTTTTGGCAGAAGATAGAGACGATGAATGCACACATAGCTCGGTGCTCGCTGGCATTTCCAACAGGGATGGGGGACGATGGGTTCAAAATCGAAATAAAGTAGTGGATACCGTTATCCTTGAGAAGGTCATTTTGAACAGTGTGATCGACCGCCATTATCCTTGCCCAGATAAAGACCATGACCGGCTTCAACTCTTGCGCAGCTGACTGCAGCAGCTTGACGACATAAGGGAAGATGCCGATACTCAGGGCAAGATGAACAGCCCATGGTCCTAGATCTAGGAACTTGCTAAGAAGAATCAAGGCCCGCAACCGATGTGCCTGACTCAGGAGAACCTGGAGCACAATGGGCAACTGATCTGGCGGATTCTTCTCCGTTGGGCCGGATGAAAGATAAACCTCAAAAGCTGTGAGCTGTTCGGCGAAGAACGTGGAGTGCTGATACTCATACTGCCGGCGGCCTTCTTCATGATCGATCAAAGCAGGCAGCTGAGACAGAACCATCTCAACAGCGAGATCCCAGCTCTTCCAGAGCGGGTGGTGATGGGTCTCTGGGAGTTCGGGGGAAGAGATCGGATGGCATTTATAGGTGCGCATGATTCGCTCGCTAAGCAAAAAGTTGCGGAAAAGGGCCGCAACCATCAAATCTTGCCGGAAAAGCTTCTTAAACAAAGTCCGGGGTAGAGTGTTCCAAGCAATAGTATCAGTGATGGCAGTGAAGATCCAATTCAGCTCTCCCAGAGGGCTTCGTCGATCTTGCAGACGGCCAGGAACTCTAAAATCGTCGATTGAAATGTCGGTTCGGAGAGGATTCTGTAAGATGAAGAAGCGTAGCGCAATTTCGATCGGGGTCGTCAAGCAACAGGTGAAGAGATCGGCGGGTAGGTCAGGGTTGGTCGGGAGCGATTCGTTCTTTTGGCAAGCGGCAAGAAGAATGCAGTCGCCGTAATTTTGGACCGTGGCATTAGGGTCCCGCTTCTTCGTCTCGAGGTTCTCTTTCTCATGCTTCTCCACAAACGTATGGAAGTTCTGGACGATATTTCCAGCATGTGAGACATCAAAGACGAAGAGACTGGGCCCGGCGAGCCAGGACTGCAGATCGTATAATGGAACGGGGATGTACTGGGTGTAGTTCTTATTGAAGACCCAGATCTCGCCGGACTGAGTAGGCAGCGGAACACCATGACCGTTGTAGTGTAGCAAAACTCGCTCATCCTTGGCATTGCGGCGTAGCGATATGCAGAATTTCTTCGTCTCGTCGACGGACGGGTCCAGGTACTGCTTATACCTTGTCCGCAGACTGAGGGTTTCGTATTGTTCCTGTAACTTCTTCCCAATCTGCTCCATGATCTTATTCTGACCGCCGCCGGTAGTTGAGGTAGGGTCCACCCAGCATTCGAGCTTGGCCGCTGGGTTCGTCTTGACCACATCGGGAGGATCGACACCGATGTTCAAACAAATGGCCAAAGCCGCAGAAACTGTTTTGAGCCGATCTTTCATGCGCCAATCCTGACTGGGCCAGCTTCCAACGGGATCCCTGGGGATACCATTTGTCTCATGTCGCTTCTCCGTGAAATACATGTAGAAGTTCTAAGCCACAAACCTCTGTTAGCTGTTTAAATCACAAGGTGAAGAGCGCAAGGCTTACCGAATGCAAAACTTTGAGATATTCACTCGATGTGTACTCCTCCTGCCATCCGTGTCGCATGGCAAAATCTTCATCTTCATCGACTGCAGCGGGTTTATCAAAGGTGATCCGGCTCGGCCCATAGTCACTCTTGGCTCTCTTCAACAGCGCCGGCCGGCTGCTTTCTGCTCTGCGAGGAGACGGCCGCCGGGGCGGAGAATCTATCCCCGCCACACCATCTCCTGAGGAGCTCGTGGGCCGCACGGGTGGGGGTGCCAGAGCCGGCGGTGTCTGTTTGACGGTCGTGCGAGAGCGGCGGTGACTGGATACAGGTTCTGGCGATCGGTCGCGTGTGGGGATCGTTGTTTCCAGGTCGGGACCAAAGGCTACCCGTACAGATTTGGTTGGATTGCGGCGAGATTCGGTGGGCCCATTAGTGGCCGGCTGTTGGGAGTCTTCTTCCATGTTCACGGTGGGATCCCTCATGATGTCCGTCCGTTCATGATGTTGCACAACGCTTGGAGGTCGGATGGTCGCCAGTATCGGAGTCGAGCCGGAGACTAAGGTTCAGTGGCTGTGTGTTGAGAGGCCGGCCCAATGATGGAGGTCCGAACGAGGAGCTGGTTCCGGAGAGGATAGCACGATGATGAAATGAGCAGGATATGTCTATCTGCTGGAGTCAGAGGTTGGGACGGTTCTAATGGAAGAGAACCAGACAGCAAAGTTGGCTGCCGTAGTAGTCAGAGGGAGTGCCGCAAGAACCTGGGCAGCACGAGTAATGCGCTGTCTCCAGCGGTCGAGGATGGTTTAGTGCTCGGTCATGGCGGACTATGGATTTTCCCCATCCCGGCGGGTTACTCATCAGGGCAAAGGCGGTGTGAAATATGTACTTTGGTTACATGTAAGTAGTAGTTCGTTTTTCTGTGATGCAGTAGACGATCGTAGCAGTTGCAAGAGACCTACTTCGTAACTCATTGTGATAAATCGTTGACTAATCATGACTTTGAGATGACAGAGTAGCTAGGTACATAGAATGATATGTATTTAGGGCATTGATAGCGGCGTGGTATTTTCGAACCATAGATAGAAATCATGACGACTTTCCGTAAGTAACTATGACTGGACGAGTCGCAACAAGGAGAGGTTCACATCCATCCCTTCGCATGCCAACGACCCCCGAGCCGAGGACCGGGTGCGCTCAGGCGTTGACGATCGCCCACTGATAGGCCATTCATCCGCCCCCCCCTTTTCCTACGCTCCATCCACTGCGAGGCCTTCCCAATGGACTACTTCGACAGGTTCGCTGCACGTTGTGGAGAGTGGATATGATTATTCAGGCGACGGATAATACCTAATAATAATATTATTCTAGCCAGCCGTTGTGAATTAGTGCTCATCGTTATTTCCCGTTAGGGTTACTTCTGGAAGGCCCTAGGCTTTCCATGATTGTCACAATCGATTGGGCATGCCATCTGGGGAGTGCCATGGATGGCCTAAGTGTATCAAAGTCCACTGCAGCATGGATGACGAATATGGCCCCCATTGTTGCTGGAGGCTGGGTGGGAGTATACGGACGCCTCGACGGAGGAGTGGGAAGATCCAGCGAGGGACCGCGAGGAAGGATAGAAAAAAAAAATAAAACTCAGCGTAGAGACCCAAAGAATCAAAAGAATGAGACTCCTAGCCATTCGGAACGATTCTCCATATTACCGTTGGCATCGATCACCCGTCAGTGATGCCCCTGAGCCCCAACTCAAGAACTCGCTAGCATCCGCCGCCAGGGAAATTATTCACCTTTTCCCTTCATTCAATCTGGCCTTCCCACCTCTCTCCCTTCCCATTCTCCCTTCCCTCTTCTCCCTCCCCGTCTAATTCGTGCCTGGTTGCATTGGGCTTACTTTCTCTTTCTCCCTATCTGTCTGGTTTGTTCATGCTCAGGCCCAGCGCTGGAGGCTGCACCGAGTTGGACCTCCTGACCCTGGGGGGATATGGTTCCTGGTTCCCGACTCCACACTCCTAATAAAAAAAAGAACACACCCACCTTGCCCCTGTCTCCATCACGACCTCCATCCCGCCGACGTCGCCATTCGCCTCGACACTTGTGCGGTCGCAGTCCCCAACACAGGTGACTCCCACCGGCGCCCGCGCTGTCCTCCGCCGTGGGCCCATTTGCGCTGTAAACGACCGATTACGACTTCCTACTGACGATGGCCTTTTTGTTTAAATCGAAGAAGAATCCGGCAGGCCAGCCGCTTCCCACGGCCACGCGAAACATTCACACCTCCGAAGGAGCTCCGTCGACCGGGAGTTCCATGGCCAACGGTGTCAAGGGGGAGGGCCCGCTGTCCCAAACCCCAACGCCCAGCAGCAGTTTTAACAACTCGCTGAATTCGGCCTCGGCCACCAGCCCGACAAGTCCTGATGGCGTGCGACGACAGAGAGCCGAATCGGATTCACAGGTCGGTTGTTCTTTTACTGACATTCGCTGCGGCAGACACTGATCGATCGCATCGCAGGTTCAACGACCTCCACAATCCACGAATGGCGCTTCTCCTTCTAGCCCCGGCTCATCCCTCTACCCGTGGTCCCAAAGACGCCTCAATTTCTCCTCGGCTCAAGCAAATCCTTTTCCGCGGTATGGCGCAGCCATCAACTCGGTTGCGTCGAAGGAAGGGGACATCTACATGATGGGCGGTCTCATCGATGGATCGACGGTGAAGGGAGATCTGTGGATGATCGAGAGCAGCGGTGGTAGTCTATCTTGCTTCCAGGTTGCCACGGTTTCCGAAGGCCCGGGACCTCGCGTCGGCCACTCGAGTTTGCTCGTCGGGAACGCTTTCATCGTGTTCGGTGGCGACACGAAAATCGACGAGAATGATAACTTGGACGACACGCTGTATCTGCTGAATACCTGTACGTGGACACCACTGACATTGCCTGGGATATAGCTTCTAACGCAGATTGCTTTTAGCCTCTCGCCAGTGGTCCCGTGCTATCCCTCCGGGACCTCGACCCTCCGGACGATATGGCCACACATTGAGCATCCTGGGCTCTAGGCTCTATGTGTTCGGTGGTCAGGTCGAAGGCTTCTTTTTAATGACCTGGTTGCATTTGACTTGAACCAGCTACAGAACCCGTCGAACAAATGGGAGTTCCTTATCCAGAACAGCCATGAAGGCGGTCCTCCCGTTGGTCAAATCCCTCCTGCTCGCACCAACCACACAATGGTGAGCTACCAGGACAAATTATATCTGTATGCTCATCTTCTCTCTTCTCGTGTGTACAACAGGACTGACTGGAAACAGGTTCGGTGGAACGAACGGTGTGCAATGGTTCAATGATGTATGGGCCTTCGATCCCCGTTCTAATACCTGGTCTGAGATGGATTGCGTGGGATTCATTCCGACGCCCAGAGAAGGTCATGCGTCTGCATTGGTCAACGATGTGATGTACGTGTTTGGCGGTCGGACCGATGAGGGAATGGACCTGGGCGATCTGTCTGCTTTCCGTATCAGCACCCGGAGGTGGTACTCCTTCCAGAACATGGGTCCTGCGCCGTCCCCTCGCTCTGGTCACAGCATGACCGCCTTTGGGAAGCAAATAATCGTCCTTGCCGGTGAACCTAGTTCCGCCCCGAGAGATCCTGCCGAGCTCAGCATGACGTACATCCTCGACACTTCTAAAATTAGGTATCCCAATGATACCCAGGCATCTGCTCCCGGCACTCGGAAAGTAAGTATCGAAAAGCAAGGTCCTCTGTCTGGGCGTACCTCTCAGCAAGCCCAGAATGCCTCCTCAGGGCTGCCGCCACGCGGACCATCTCGCGAAAGTTCGAGCCCAGCCGCCATCTCTGGCAGACCTGGGGAATATGGAACGAACCCCATGGGTCCTGGATCTCGACTCCCGCGTGCATCAATCGCACAGGCTCCGTCCGGGCCACCACCACCTGGTCAAGCTCCCTCGCCGGGACCTCGAGGCAACGGACCCCAAGGGAGCTTGAATTCTCGAAGCAAGACTCCTACGAAAACGACCGATGTCCGTGTTACCGAAAGAGCAGAGTCACCGGTCGCAAAGGATGCGCCACAGGATATGTCAGACCCTCCGTCAGCTGGTCGCCGCACCCCGACCCAGGCACAGCAGAAGATAACTGCGAAGGCAATGGAAGTAGGCGAGGCAGCCCCGATGATCAGTGCTCCCGGCCGACAGCGTTCTCTGCGCTCACAACGTGCACGTGGTTCCGTCGACAGTAATGAAGAGTCCGTTCTTGGCCGACATGCAAGCATCGACGGTTCCGTTCGGAGTCACCGCGGTTCGAAGAGTCTTGGTGAAGAACCTCACTCTCCTAGGTTGACACCCCACCAGGAAGCTTTGTTCAAGGAGCTCGAATCCACCAAGGCTCGAAATGCTTGGTACGCATCCGAGCTAGCTCTGGCAAAGAAGGCAGGCTATGTTCCAAATACCTCAACCAGCCCTGCCTTGGAGGAGCGCGTTGGTGACGCTCTAAACGACGACGACCGTCCCTTGATCGAGGCTTTCCTTGCCATGAGGGCCGAGCTGGCCAAAATGCAAGCCACTGTGGACCGACAGGCGGCTATCGCCTCGAAGCGGGTCGCAGAAGTTGAGCACCAGCGCGACGCAGCAGTCAATGAGGCGGTCTATGCCCGTGCCAAGCTTGCTGCCCACGGTGGCAGTCAGCGAGGCACTCCTCAGCCAGATGGCTCCCGCGACGGAGACAGTACATCCGAACGCTCCACTGACATGGGCCGTCGCCTTGCACTGGCCTTGGCCGCTCAGTCAGAACTCAAAGGGAGACTAGATGTCCTGACAACTGAGCTCAGGCAAGAAAAACAGGCGAAGGATCTGGCAGAAGAAACGAACGAAGCTACTCGGAAACGCCTGGCCGAGCTCGAAATGCAGACCAATACTTTGGAAGTGGAGAGTCTTCGGGCCGAGCTTCACCAATCGCAGGCTTCAGCCAGAGGGGAGGCTTTGTTGCGCGCAGAGGCCGAGGCGTCTCTCAAGCAACTCCTTCTTGACAAGGAGGAGCTGTCGAAGCATGTCGAGGACTCGTCAGCCCGGCTCAAGGATTTCGGTTCGAACTTCGGCAGTTTGCGAGAAGCTGTGGCTGCTTCTGCTGCCAAGACCGCGCTTGTCGAAAAGCAGTTGCAGGAGGAGCGAGAACGCAGGGAGGGCTTGGAACGGAAGCTCTTGCAGCTCCGTTCCGAGCATGAGGAACGAACCACCGAACTGGAAAACACCACTCGCCGCCTGAGAGATGCAGAGGAGCTGGCCGATATCCACGCGAAGGAGGCAGAGACGCACAAGCTTGCATTTGTGTCTGGTCTGGAACGTGCATCGTCCACCGACTTAGACGGCTCGATCCGCTCGCGTGCTGATGAGCGGGTTGCTGCCTTGGAGGCTCAAGTTGAACGGTCTAGTGCTCTGGCCAAAGCCAACCAGAGCGCGGCCGATGCAGCCGCAGAGAAATTGCGGCGCGCAGAGGAGCGAATTGCTGGTCTTGAAACGTTCCAAGAGCAGGCTAGCCGAGAGGGTCTGCAACTCCGCAGGCAACTTCAGGCTGCCATGAAAGAAAGCCAGGCTGCCTCCGCGGAGAGCCGGGACCTGAAGTCTCAGCTCGAAACTCAGGTGCGCGAAGCTGCAGCTCTTTCTATTCAACATGCTGCTCTGAAGGATCTCCTCGGAGAGCGTGGAATCAGTTCGGACAGCAGACGGTCTCCCCGGCTCGATTCTCCAGGCTCACGCTTTGGCACTCCGGAGCAAAGTCGGTTGAAGGAGCTGGAGCAGCAGCTGTCGGCTAGCATCAAGGCGCACGATGATCTGAAGGTCACTTTTGAAACCCGTGAGCAGGAAGCTGACCGAACATTCAAAGAGAAGCTTGAACAGCTTGAGAACGATTACCAGTCAGCTGTTCACTACGTCAAAGGCACCGAAAAGATGCTCAAGCGTATGAAGGATGAGCTTTCCCGGTATAAGACCCAAAATGCCAAACTCCAATCTGAGTTGGAGGGCGCCCACAAGAACCTGGAGGAGCGCTCCGCCAGCCAAGCGTCTTCGGCATCTGCGGAGTGGGAACTTGAGCGCTCGAAGCTGCAGCAGTCGATTTCAGATCTCCAGAACAATACTTCGTCATCCATTACTGGGTTGGAGAATCAAATTAAACAGTTGAAGGAGGAGCTTGCTGCCGCCGATGTGTTAAGGGAAAGGTCGCAGGCTGACCACGAACGCGTCAAGCAGCAATTACTTGCTGCCGCCGAGCAGAGCCGCACGGAACTGGAGCAGATCAAGCACGAAAACAGTATGCTCGAGGGCCGTGCCACGGACGCTGAACAAAAGGTGAACATGCTCTTGGAGCAGGTTGAAACCTCTGTGACCCATTATCGCCGACAGTCTCAGCACGGGGGTCTCAATGGCCTCTCACGCAGCCACAGCAATGCGTCCAGCATGACCGGTGGTGGCCGGGCACGAGCTGACAGCAACATCTCGCAAGACGACTCCTTCCTCCCTGATAACCGGGGCTCCATGGCGCTGGACTCCCTCGCCAACGAGTTGGATGCCCTACGCAGCCACTGGGAGAGCACCAACCGCAACTACCGCCTGAGCACCCAGCTGGATATGGACCGCACCCCGACCAAGGAGGACAGTAACGGGCCAGCGATGATGAGCGAGAACCTCACTGAATGGCGGAGGAGATTGGATGAGGAGGAACGGGCCGGCAAGTCCACCAAGGTGAACAATAATGGGACCCCAGACAACTCGTCAAGCGTTGCCTGAAGGAGATAGTCATCATTGTCTCCATTTTCTACGAAGAACCATATGCTTTGCTTTTGGGGGAAAGAACTTCCACCGTCTGAGCGTTCTGCCGTCCGCGTTCATTCCTTTCCTGTCCGTTTCTTAAGAGTTGATCTTTGTATGACGAAGGTGCTTTTGTTTTTTTTTTGTTTTTTCCATTCTTTTCTATCCACACTGAGGGATGGCACAGTTTCTCCCTCTATCCGCATCTCTCCTTAACGCCTTGCGCTGTGTTTCCTCTGTCTAATCCTGTGCTCTCGTTTGTTTGTGTCTCTTTTTATACCCCGGTTTCCCGATGTTCATTGGACTCTGGCTGTACCATTAGCAACATCTGTTCCCTGTCTATCTATAGTCCGAAATCATCATCTACTTGCTCCATCCATCTCACACCTCGGCAGTAGATGCAGCCTCCGTAACTAAGCCTGCTCGGGACCGCCGAAGAGGCAAAGACGTGACCGGAGAGATCAGCTGGCTTCATGGCCCCCAGTGTTGCCATCCGCCATCGCCATTATGATTCTTGTTGAAGATAGATCATTTTTACCACCATCTGTATGTCCAGGTCTCTCTATCAATTCGTGTGATCCTTGTAGGGAGCGTTGCAGCCCAATCGTAAGGTATCCGTACACTCCGAGTGACCGGGAGGGTACTTCCATTTCTGCGGGGCCCCCCGCGTACCGGGCGGTACCTCACAAGTCACCAGCCACTCGCTAAAGCCAAAAATGCCGCTCACCGACTCTCGCCCCCCTCCCTCACTCACTCTCGCTCTCCTTTCCCTTCCTCTCTCTCTCTCTCTTTCCCAACACCCTGCATTTTGCTCTCCCCCAGCCCTCATCAAGGCTTTGTCCTTGATCCGTTTTTCGGTTTTGTGGGATTTTCATCCTTCCTTGCTCTCATCCGCTTTGTCCGCTCTCCACCACCCCCTTTCCTAACCAACCCCTCGAGCGGATTCCGTCTCCTGACCTTTTGGGTACGGTCGGCTTCCCGCCATCATCACATCACCACCTTTGAACTTTCAACCAGGTTAGTCTTCAGTACCCACATCGTCTTCCTCTTCCCATCCCATTTCTTTTGTTTCTGTGACCTCTGCATATTCTTGCTGCCTGCGTGGCCACTGATCCAGCGGTCGGCTTGCTGCCTCCAAACAGCCTGACCTCGTTGGTTTGCCTGCCAAGAGGCTGAGCTGAAACCCCCCTCCCTCTGCCTTCTCTGTCTTTCACTGTCCTCCTTCCTTTTCACGACTCCCATCGTCAGGTTCATCGTCCTTTTGCCCCCAAATCTCGCGTCCCGCCCTACGGCCTACGTGACTGACATTCGGATCGATAGTTTCAAGGCGTCCTGCACGGCTGAGCTGTGCCACTTTCACTCGGTCAAGATGACGACCATGGTGAGTTCCCATCTTGTTTCTTGTTCCGAACTGCCCCCCTCCTGAGGCTCGGCGTCGAGCAATCTTCATATCTTTGGACCGCGCGGTGCTAACATCATTTGCAGGATCTGCGTGTCGGTAACAAGTACCGCATCGGCCGCAAGATTGGAAGCGGTAGCTTTGGTGACATCTATCTCGGTAGGTGCTCTGTGGATTCAGGTTCCCGTGACATCCGAACTCATGCAACGTCTAGGCACCAACATCATCTCCGGTGAGGAGATCGCTATCAAGCTCGAGAGCGTCAAGGCCAAGCACCCCCAGCTGGAATACGAAGCCCGCGTCTACAAGTCCCTCGCCGGCGGTGTCGGTATCCCCTTTGTGCGCTGGTTCGGTACCGAATGTGACTACAATGCCATGGTGATCGATCTGCTGGGTCCCAGCTTGGAGGACCTGTTCAACTTCTGCAACCGCAAATTTTCGCTCAAGACCGTCTTGCTGCTCGCCGACCAGCTCATATCCCGGATCGAGTACATCCACGCCAAGTCGTTCATCCACCGTGACATCAAGCCCGACAACTTCCTGATGGGCATCGGCAAGCGTGGCAACCAGGTCAACGTGATTGATTTCGGTCTGGCGAAGAAATACCGCGACCCTAAGACCCACTTCCACATCCCTTACCGTGAGAACAAGAACCTCACTGGTACTGCTCGTTATGCCTCTATCAACACTCATCTTGGTGTCGAGCAGTCCCGTCGTGACGACATGGAGTCTCTGGGCTATGTCATGCTCTACTTCTGCCGTGGCTCTCTTCCGTGGCAGGGTCTGAAGGCTGCTACCAAGAAGCAAAAGTACGACCGCATCATGGAGAAGAAGATGACCACCCCTACTGAAGTGCTGTGCCGTGGGTTCCCCAATGAGTTCGCCATCTACCTGAACTACACCCGCTCGCTGCGCTTTGACGACAAGCCTGACTACTCTTACCTGCGCAAGATCTTCCGTGACCTCTTCGTCCGCGAGTCTTTCCAGTACGACTACGTCTTCGACTGGACCGTCTACAAGTACCAGAAGAACGCTGCCATGATTGTGGACGCCAACTCCAAGAAAGATAAGGACGCGGAAGACCAGCAGCGTCGCCAGGCCGCCCCCGCCGGTGCCGTTGGTACCTCTGGTGCGGCCAAGCCCGGTGCCATCTCTGGCCAGCGCCGTAAGGTGATCGACCGCGGTACCCTTGACAACACTCCGGACACCAACCGTGCCGTGGGAGGGAGTGACAGGATGTGAGTATTTGAAACCTGGTTCCGTGTAGGGAACCCCTTTCTTTCTCCTACTGCGTTTGGTGTTTTCTCGTGACGCTGGCGTGGAGGACCCTTTTGGTTCTGAATCTGACTAATCGCATAGTCTTCGGCGTTAGGCTGCGTTCTGCTTCGAAGGGTGCTGCTTCAGGTGCTTATGGACCTTCTGGTGGCCGCTCGAAGCGGGACGATGGGATTGGGGCTCAGTGGTACTAATCGTGCAAAACATGACAGCTAGGCGCTATGTGTCTCTGCATGTTCTCACCCTCTGCCAACCTAGAAACCCGGAATCCCGTTGATGTTCTTCGCCTCGAAACGAAACCTGCCGCATTCAACCTCTCGGAATTCTTTTTTCAATCCCCCTGGATCTCCATTCTACAATCTCTGATACAGCCCTTTTATCCCCGTTTTTTCGATCTTGTTTCGATTATCAACCGTTTCGACCTGTCATTGTTTTATCGTTCGCTCGACTGCCAATTTGCGAAATATTTTTCGACTTGAGCATACGATGCACCTTGATGGCTGTTTTGTCTCTTTCGGGTTTCTCTGTACTCGTCTCTGGCGGGACATTACCGATTCTTCAGCCCTCGAAACGCTTTTTTTGATACTGTGGCTATTCTTACGTCTTGATCTTTCGGCATTGCACACTCAACGAATCTTGCAAGTGACCGAGGGACGAGACTGAAGGAGATGCAAACGGCGTCAACCTGGTCCCAGATTGTTTTCTCTTTGACCGTTGATCGTTTGCACTGGAGATCCTTGAACGCATGATCGGATGCGATGTCTATCCTTTATCCCCCTTTGTTTTCACTGCCCCTGAATTTGCTCCCCTTTCCCCCTTTTATATTTGTTGCCCCAGTTTCTCGTTTTTGCATTTCGACGCCGTGGGGACGAGGGGAGAGCGACCATGTGGTCGACTGATGGAGCGGTGCTTTCGGGGATGGCTTTCTTGACGGATTTCACACAGACTTTGTTGCTTCTTGCCTCGACTCCTTGCAAGAACGATTCATCCACATGGGTCTACGGTGAATCTGGTTTGAAGGGGATGCCAGTCTTCGTTGTAGTGGTTGGCGACGGAATATGGTTAGGGTCGCTTCCGGGGTGGTTTTGCGTCGATCTGCGTCCTGCTCTTTGCTCTTTCCTGTCCCCCTTCAAATTACCCGTTTTCATTCTCATCTGCTCGGACCTGGGGTCGTCTGGCTAATTCCCACCCGATCTTGGTGGACCTTTCTTTCGTGGTCTTTTTTTTCAACATCTAATATCATTGAGTTATCTCCCGTACTTGGTTCACTAGCATTCGTAAGCGTAGGGTCTCGAACCGCGCGGAACCACGGTGAGATCATCCATTTCGACGGCCGCCCGTTCTGGCCGGCCATGCGCGGGCTAGACTTCTAGAGTGGCCATGCGGTTTTGACTTCACGGCGTACACTCGGTCGATTCTCTCGCAGTTTGATAATTTGTCAGTATGTGTTTGTGAAGTGGGAAAGTACCGAGTACTTGTGATGACAACCGTTGTCCCGACCAAAAGGAAGTACCAGGTACATGCGGACCCTCCGGCCGTCCCCAATTCACCTTCTCCCCAACGACTACCCTTCCCCCCGCCGCACTCTGGCACACCTCTTAGCTTCCCAACCCTCGTTCTTTTCACATTGATAGCCCGATGGATTACTCCTACTACAACGCCTCTCGACCTCAGCCCTACTCGCTCTACGGGTTGCCCACCCCCGACCAACAGCCCGGGACGCAGACCGACGATGCCTTCGCGGACTCGTTCCCCCTGGTGCGTCCCCGCGAGAATTTCCCCTGAGAGTGGTCCACAGAATCTGATTATCTATCCAGAATAATACCTACAACCGGAATCTCGCCGCTTTCGACCCTTCTCTCCGTTTCGACGCCTCGTCATCATCTTTTGCTCCGCCACCGGGGCACTCTCCACCAGACTCGTTCACCAAACAGTCTGTGTCGAGCAATGAGGTAGCCAGTGCCCAGCAGACGGGCCCAGCCTCGCTCGACCACGATGAGAATGCGATGGCCGTGGGAAGGAGTAGCAGCGAGGAGAAGGAATCGATGATCCCCATGCAGAACAAGCGCAAGGCCCAGAACCGAGCAGCGTATGTGTTATCGCATTGCCTAGCAATAAACCCCTCCACAGACTAACAAGCCGCACCAGCCAACGAGCTTTCCGCGAACGAAAAGAACGACATGTCCGCGAACTCGAAGAAAAAGTCACAGCCCTCGAACAAGAATCTAGCACACTCCAAGCAGACAACGAGCGTCTCAAGCGCGAGCTCGCGAAGTACGCCACAGAGAACGAGATCCTGCGCGCAACATCTCAGCACTCTCATCCTGCCGCCGGGAACAGCAGCGCGCACGACCAGCATCCCCCCGAACCGATGGTGACCGGGCCGATGAAATATTCCCCCACGGACTTTTACTCCAGTCTCATGCCGGACGGGACGGGTGCGCCGCCACCACCGCATCACCGTATCACTTTTTGTCAGGTTACGGGGGAGAAACTGCTCGATGCGGGCGCGACGTGGGATCTTATCCAGAATCACGGGCTGTTTAAGCTGGGGAAGGTGGATATTGGTGATGTTACGGATCGGTTGAAGGGGATGGCGCAGTGTGATGGGCAGGGACCTGCTTTTAAGGAGGGTCAGGTCCGTCAGGCTATTGAGGAAAGTGTGGCGGCGGGAAGGGATGAGCTGATCTGAGGCACTCGGGTGTTCTTTCTGCACCGTCATGTTTCGCATTCGGTTGGTGTGGTTTTCACGATTATATTACGACTATCTTTGGAGTATTTTGGCGCTAGGAATTGAATGATGGATGGATGGATGGGTGGGATGGCAATGGGTTATCGTTACTGTCGTCGGTTGAATTTGAACATGGCCTTACTGACCAGTATATATATGCCTCTACAGCTATCACGCATTATTTGATGGTATCCAAAGTCCTAATGATTGCATTGTACAGTGTCAATTCTGTCCCCATTTTCTGGCTGGATCAACCGCTCGATGAAATGAAAGGCCAGTCAGTCAACCAATACGCTCAAAGACCAGCGACCTGTCGCTGATCCAGCTGGACATGGCCGACTCGGTGACTTGATTTTTTGATAATGTACATCCCGCAAACCCAATCCAATCCGATTCAAACAAAACATTGGCAATCAATCCCAGTCATCATCATAATCTTCAATGTTGAGGTCATCGTCGCCCGCCTTGTCGTCCTCGTCAGACCGTTTCTTCAGACGGACGTCACTTTCTTTCACGGCGCCCAGCTCGACGAGCAGACGCTCGATATCTATGGTCTCCGGCCTTAGCACTGAATCCCGCAGCCAAAAAGAAAACCAGCTCACCTTCAATCTTCGTGCGTGGACCCTTCAGCTCACGCAAGGTAACCAGCTGTCTCCGAATCTCCGTGTCCTTATATACCAGGATCGTCGGCGTGTTCCGCTCCGGATATCCCTCAATGCACATGTCGGCGCGGATCTCACAGAACTTGACATCTCCGAACTTGACAGCCAGCTGCCGCCACAGCTCGGTCAGGACCTGCGACTCGACATTCCCGCCCTGCGAGGTGAGGTTCACCAGCACAAAGGCCCCCTTCGAGGCCTCCGTCACCTCCCGCGCATAGTCGACTTTCTGAAGCGGGTAGACTTGGTTGAAGAGGCTGGTTTGCTGGAGGGTTGAGAGTTCGGCTAGCCGTTTTTGACTGGTTGGTTTGGGGGGGTTTGGTTAGCTTGTGAACAATGTAGGCTTGGGGAATCTAATATAATAGATTTACCGGTATTGCTGCAGGAATGCCTCGTCCTCTTCATCTTCGAGAGCATCCAATTCATCGAGGTCCTTATCTTCCAGGCGGTTCTCATGTGCTCTGCGCTCGGCTTCGATCAGGGCTTCCTGGATGAGAGGCTCCGGGTCCTTCGGTTTCTCGGGAATGATGCCATGTTGGCGGAGGATGTCGTTCCTGCAAAGTTCCCGGGAGTAAGACACTGATTGTAGAACAGAAGGAAAAAGAACCCATACCACTCCGTGTCTTCGTTCTCATTGACCTCGACCTGCATACTGGGCAGTGAGTGGTTGAAGAAGTCAAGTGTCCCGTGCAGCTCCAGGCCACCTCCACCTGTTTGCACTGTTTGGCTCGGGCTGCAAACACACGGAAGGCCACTTAATCACTCTTGCCATAAACAACGCCTGGAGGCTGTGGTCCACCCAACACGCTCTACCTCAATTATCACCGAATATTCATCCGTGGGCAACGATGCACATGCTGTAGTTGCCTGCCCCGCCCAAATCCCTTAACCGAACTGCACTTGACCCGCAGTCAATTGCCCTCGACCTTCCCTGAACCCTCCCACCCCCCCAGCGACTGAGAAGGACACTCTGCGGGCGCAATCCCAGCAGCTGTGGGCACCATGAGCTACATGAAGAAAGACGAGGATGCCGATCAGGTCATGATCAAGCTTGATCGCACCTCTGTGTTCCAAGATGGTATTCCGCCTCATCGTTTTCCCCCCTGGGGCCCGCACCCTCGTGCGCGGCACACAATCCACCCACTTCGTACTGACCGATGCACTCGTCTAGCTCGCCTTTTCAATTCCTCGCCCATCTCGCCGCGCACATGCCGCACCCTCCTGACAAAGATCGCCGTCCTCCTCTTTACGGGGGAGCAATTCCCCACAAATGAAGCCACCACCCTCTTCTTCGGCATCTCCAAGCTATTCCAGAATAAGGACCCATCCCTACGCCAGATGGTCTATCTGATCCTGAAAGAACTAGCCGGCACTGCGGAGGACGTGATCATGTCGACGAGTATCATCATGAAGGACACTGCGGTAGGAAGCGATGTGTTGTACCGGGCCAATGCTATCCGGGCGCTGTGCCGTATCATCGATGTAGGTTTTGTGTGATTGGCATGGCAGTGAGGATGCTGACTATTTTATGTGAAGGGTTCGACTGTGCAGGGTATCGAGCGACTCATCAAGACGGCCATTGTTGACAAGACCCCATCGGTCTCGTCCGCAGCGTTGGTTTCTTCCTATCACCTCCTTCCCATTGCGCGCGACGTGGTCCGGAGATGGCAAAGCGAAACTCAGGAGGCGGCTTCGTCCTCGAAGCAATCCCACGGTTTCCTAGGTTTCGCGGGCAGCGCGCATACCCACGCTATCTCGCAATCAAACTTCATGACCCAATACCATGCGATCGGCCTCCTGTATCAGATGCGCGCGCATGACCGCATGGCGCTGGTCAAGATGGTCCAGCAGTACGGTGCTGCGGGTGTGGTCAAGAGTCCGGCGGCTTTGGTCCTCCTAGTCCGTCTAGCGGCCAAATTGGCGGAGGAAGACCCTAGTCTACGGAAACCCATGATGCAGCTGCTGGATGGCTGGCTCCGTCACAAGCACGAGATGGTCAACTTCGAGGCAGCCAAGGCCATCTGCGACATGCGCGATATCACCGATGCCGAAGTCTCGCAGGCCGTCCACGTCCTGCAATTGTTCCTGTCCTCGCCGCGGTCGATCACGAAATTCGCCGCCATTCGCATCCTTCACAACTTTGCCACGTTCAAGCCGAACGTCGTCAATGTCTGCAACCCTGATATCGAGACGCTCATTTCCAACTCCAACCGCTCCATTGCCACCTTTGCCATCACCACGCTGCTCAAGACCGGCAACGAAGCTAGCGTCGACCGCCTGATGAAGCAGATCTCGGGCTTCATGGCCGACATCACCGACGAGTTCAAGATCACCATCGTCGAGGCCATCCGTACGCTCTGCTTGAAGTTCCCGAGCAAACAGGCTGGTATGCTCACGTTCCTGAGTGGTATTTTGCGGGATGAAGGTGGCTACGAGTTCAAGCGCACCGTCGTGGAGAGCATGTTCGATCTCATCAAGTTCGTCCCCGATAGCAAGGAAGAAGCTCTCGCCCACCTGTGCGAGTTTATCGAGGACTGCGAATTCACCAAGCTCTCTGTCCGAACCCTGCACCTTCTTGGTGTCGAGGGTCCCAAAACAACGCATCCGACAAAGTATATCCGCTATATCTACAACCGTGTCGTTTTGGAGAATGCAATTGTCCGCGCCGCGGCTGTTACCGCTCTGGCTAAGTTTGGTGTCGGACAGAAAGACCCCGAGGTCAAATCGAGTGTTCAAGTGCTTCTCACCCGGTGTCTTGATGACACGGACGATGAGGTGCGGGATCGTGCTGCGCTTAACCTACGGTTGATGGGCGAAGAGGATGAGATGGCCGGGGCATTTATCAAGAACGACTCGATGTACTCTCTGTCCACTTTCGAGCACCAGCTGGTCATGTACGTGACCTCGACCGACAAGCAGACTTTTGCTGCTGCCTTCGACGTCTCTACCATCCCCGTTGTCACCCAAGAGCAGGCTCTGGCCGAAGAGCGAACCAAGAAGCTCACCACCGCCACTCCCACCCTCAAGGCTCCGTCAGCTGGTCCTCCCAAGAAAGCGGGTGGCGTGGCCGAAGCAACTACGGCTGCTGCTACCCAGAAATACGCCGAGCAACTCATGCAATACCCCGAGCTCAAAGCGTATGGCAACCTCCTCAAGTCCTCCCCTCCTGTCGAGCTGTCCGAGAGCGAAACGGAGTATGTCGTCACTTGCATCAAACATATCTTCAAGGAGCATATCGTCTTGCAGTATGATATCAAGAACACCCTGCCGGATACCGTCCTAGAGAACGCCACTATAGAGGCTACGCCTGCAGAGGAAGATGTGCTGGAGGATGATCTAATCGTACCGGCGCCGAAGCTCGCCCCCAACGAGCCGGGCGTTGTCTACGTAACATTCAAGAAGCTTGGCGGCGAACACAGCGTCCCAGTCACCTCCTTCACCAACAACCTCAAGTTCACCAGCAAAGAGATCGACCCGAACACCGGCGAGCCCGAGGAGAGCGGCTACGAGGACGAGTATCAGGTGGAAGACCTCGAGTTGACGGGCAGCGACTATGTCATCCCCACATTCGCAGGAAGCTTCGACCACGTTTGGGAACAGACCGGTGCCAACGGCGAGGAAGAGAGCGAGACTTTGCAGCTCAGCAACATGAAGAGCATCACAGGTATGTTCTTTGTCATTCTCAATTCTCAATTATCTCATACTAATTCCCAAATCCAGACGCCACGGAACAATTGATCTCAGCGCTATCCCTGCAACCGCTCGAGGGCACCGACGTCGCCCTCAGCACCAGCACACACACTCTCAAGCTCTTCGGCAAGACCGTCTCCGGCGGCCGCGTGGCCGGCCTCGTCAAGATGGCCTTCTCCAGCAAGACCGGCGTCACGACCAAGATCACCGTGCGCGCAGAAGAGGAGGGCGTGGCCACTGCCGTGATTGCTTCGTTGTCCTAGAAAATAAGTTCGTTACTTGGTGTTCTGTTTGTTTCATTTTACCTACATTGGGCTGTTATTTCCTCCTTTCCCCGTGCCTGTGTTCTCTGCCCGAGTTTCTTTTCTATAGCAAATTGTAGTAGACTTGAGCAAAGATTTGGTCTTTTTCTGTCCGTCTGTGTCTGCCTCTGTGGTGTGCGTGTGTCTCTGTGTGTTCTTAAGCACGCTTAAACCTTTCTTTGGCCTAGGTGACTGACCTGACTGGTGGTTGGGCTCTTTGTTTACTTGTAACGAGTGATATGAGAGAATACTCGCAAAAGATGTGGATATGTTGTGCTAAGCCTAGAAGTATGCAGGAGGGGCTGTGAAGAGCAAAGGATAATATAAGAAGCACTGCAGATCTGACTGGTATCTGATGCTATGCGTTAACATGATAAACGTATACACATGGAACCAGCGCCATGGGTGCCGAGTTTCATAAATTCTAGCCCCCCAGATATCTAGACCTGCGCAGCTCAAGTCCATTTGGAAGACTTGAGCGCCCACTCTACCGCTGTCTGTACATTATCCGTGATGGTCTTCGGCGTCCAGGCGGGCTCGCCGCCCGTATACACACCAGTCCGCACGAGAATCGAGTGCCAGCTACTGCCGATCTCGCTGCGATAGGAGTTGGCACCCCGAATATCTGATTCCGGGTTATCGCCAACCATGTACACTTTCTGCAGCGGCGGAAGGGTCGCGTCGTTTCCAAAGATGGCCGCTCGATTCCGAAGCAGTTGTCGCTCCGCAAACTCATATGTTCCCTGGTAGGGTTTGCCGATCACGATCTTCTTCAGCTCGACGCCTTTGCTGGGTCCACCTGTTGTTGCGGCCCAGACGCCCTCCAGGGCCTCACGGAAACCACCCTGCCCAAGTCGTGGCAGCGGATATGCGGCTGCCCACCACAGGTCCGGGTTCGAGAAGTATAAAGGCGGTTGGCCGTCCTGCTGGTAGCCGTGATTGGGAAGGTCGGTGCGGCCGTTCGTCTCTGCTTGCGTACCCATCAATCCCTGGGAGGACATTAAGACGTCCATAATGACCTGCGTGTCCAGAGCCCAGTCGCGCGGGTCGTTGAACACGAATACGGCGTCAAATTTGAGGCCCTTCGTCGGGTCTGTCGGGTCAATTGGCTTCGGTAGAGGCCGGGAAAATGTGCTGTAGTAATCCTGGAAGTTCTTCGAGAAAGGCCAGACGGATGGATAAGCCGTGAAAATATCCCCGGGTGTCACCACGTTCTTGAAGCCATATCTAAGAATTTCTGTCAGCAACAAGCCGAGCCAGCAGCATGGCAAGACTCCACATACTGTTCCGCTACACGTCGGCAGTTGTCGCCATCACCACCTACCACCAGCACGCATTTATTCTCCAGCGAGCTCGCCTCGTCAACACCCCTGACCAGTTCCGCAAAAGGCGAATGGCTCTGGACAATCACCGAGGGATCCAATGGGACTTGTAGCTTGTCACTGATCTCAGCCACGCGCTCTGTTTCGTGTGTCCCGCCACCATTGGTGAGTAGGATGAAGGGGATGCCCTGCTCCTTCAGGAGTGCCAACGAGTCCGCGGCGCCTGGAATGGGTTTGGAGGATCGGAGGAGGACACCATCGATGCTGCACTTCAGTGTTAGATTGGAGAGGACAGGTATCAGTTGTTTGCATACATCCGTGCTACTCACTCGAACGCAAAGGCGAAGTTCGGGATGTGCGAACTGGCTGTTTGGATAGCGCGGCGACTGATGGGGACGCGGTAATGGGATGATGCGCGCCGCAGCAGGCCCAGAGACTGCCAGACTGGTTGTCTCATTGCGCCAGAGAGGGTGGTGGTATGTGATACAGTGAATGAATGAAGAGGCAAAGAGGGGAAGGGGCAACGGGTGAAGTGATATCACCCGGGCCTTATCGCGCAGCTTTATCTTTTTGCCATCTTCACTCACTCACCACAACCACCATATCTCCCGCCTGGGCTATGGCTGGCGCTCGCCATGTCTGCGTCGGTCTATCTCCCAGCGGAAGTTGTCGTCCACATTGTTGAATTTGTCTTCGGCGAGGATACGGTATACCTGCCGGACCAGAAAGAGAAGCAACGGGACCTACATAGCTGCTGCTTAGTATCACGTCAGTGGTACTCGGCCTCTATCGGCTTCCTTTATCATCGACCATGTTTCGTGAAAGGAAATAGCTTTGCCCAGTTGACCACCACTATCTGCCCGCCTGTGGGAGCTAGGCAAAAGCGAAAGGTTGACCTGGGGTCGCTGGTGCACTGCTTGGACCTGGGTGGCTTGGTCCATCACAGTTCCAACAGTCTGACGGCACGGCTGTTAAGTCGAGTCAAGAAAAATCTGGAGTATTTTGTAGCTCCGAGTGTCTCATTTGCGTAAGTTTCGTTTCTAGACGGCACAACTTGACACACTTCCCTGACTGGCTGTAACTATTAGGTTGAATAGCTTGCCGTCATTGGCCAAGTGCCACAAACTCCGCTATCTCGATCTCTGCCGCATCCACGGACAGATCGAATTCATGACCATGAAAAAGGCCATTGGTCACCTTCATGAGCTGGACACTTTATTTCTACCATCATTACCATTTTGCTCTAGCATCGATGAAGACGCGGCTGGGATCTGGCCGTCTTCCCTTAAATGTCTATGGCTCACCGGCATCGTTCAACTAGCTGCAATGCCTTCATTCGTCTTCCCTCCAGCGCTCGAGAGTCTCGTTTTACAGCACTGCCGGGATCTTAGGCTGTCAGACTTAGAGAGAATCCTGAACAGGCCACAGCTTGAGTCGCTCTTGTCGCTTTCCCTATTTGATGTCAGCTTCTTTGAGGGTGAGGACGGCGACAGCCCTGCGATCTATTATCTTCCCAATCTCATTTACCTTGGAATTTCATACGACTCCCTCGAGCGCCTCATGATTTTCCCGCCACTGCCACCTTCATATTTGGGTCCCTTGTCTATCAAAGTGCTCGAGGTCAGAGGTGATTTTCAGGGAGAGGAAGCAACATTTGACCCGGAACAGCTGATTGAAGCGCTGATGTTGAACCTTTCCAGCCTTCGCGCTTTGCGTCTGCAACAACGGCCTACTTTTCTGGACTCGTCACATGTGGAAGAGATTGAGCGTCTCCTTTGGAGACATATCCTTGCTCTTCCGCAAGAACGTCTGGACGAGGAGGACCTCTACCACGAGGATATGGGAATTGTGATTTCGGAGATGGCGTATGAAGAGACACGGAATCTTCCGGATGTTGAGAGGACCATTCGCTTTCCAGCCTATCGCCACATGGAGTAGTGATGACATCCAAACAAGCCATTCTGGTCAAGGAGATGGGACTCCAAAAGCACCGGGGGACTTTTTCTTCACCATTCACGATAAAATTTTGATTAGATTATTGTACATAGCATCGGATAGCAATCATATTTGCCCTACTTCCGTTTATTTTCTCATACATACTTCGTATACTAATGTCATGCCTCAGGTGTCAGTCCACGTGATGCCCCTCTAGGGTTCCATTAGGGCAAGCTGTCGGCGGGGGGTGATCCTTGTTCCGTTCGTGACTCAAGCTGCAACGATTCATTGTGCCGTATTGCCCTTGTTCCAGAGTACTCTGAGGTGAGTCCCATTGGTTCCCCTTCCCTGCTTGATCTTCCTCCTAATTTTCTTCACCACAGCACCATGGCGGACTCCGAATTGCCCCACCGTCCCAAGCCCGAAGAGACCAAAGAAGCTCCCGCGGAGAGCGGCGAGTCCAAGAACGCCAGCAAGAATGCGCTGAAGAAGGCGGCCAAGGAGAAGGCTAAAGCAGAGAAGGCGGCCGCACGCGCAGCCCAGGAGAAGGCTCAGGCCGCGGCCCAGGATGCCAATGACACGGCCAAGCACCTCTATGGACCGATCCCCCCGACTGAGGATGTTCTGCCCTCGACCCGGTTCGCTGAGCTGACCGATGACCACTATGAGAAGGAGGTGACCGTGGTGGCGCGTGTGGACAATGCGCGCGTGCAGAGCGCCAAGCTGGCCTTCTTGATGCTGCGCCAGCAGGGCCAGAAGGTGCAGGCCGTGATTGCGGCTGCGGAGCCCATCTCGAGACAGATGATCAAGTACACTGGTGGTTTGAACGTCAACTCCATTATCCAGGTCACCGGTATTGTGAAGAAGCCCGAGATCCCCATCTCGTCCGCCACGTTGAGCCACCTCGAGATCCACATTCGCAAGGTCTACATGATCTCCGAGGCGCAGCAGATGCTGCCCATGCAGGTCAAGGATGCTGAGCGCCCGCCACCGGAGGGGTCCGAAGAAGGTCAGGTCGACGCTGAGGGTGCGCCCATCGTCACCCTCAAGACCCGTCTCGATAACCGGGTGCTCGACCTGCAGACTGAGACCAGTCAGGCCATCACCTGGATCTCGAGCGGAGTGTCGGAGCTGTTTGCTGAGTACATGATCAAGAGCGGCTCGCGGTGGATCTTCACGCCTAAGATGGTGGGTGCCGCTACGGAGGGTGGCAGCAACGTTTTTGAGATCAAGTACTTCAAGCGCAATGCCTTCCTGGCGCAGAGTCCGCAGTTGTACAAGCAGATGTGTATTGCCGGCGACATGGATAACGTGTTTGAAATTGCGCCGGTGTTCCGTGCAGAGGACAGCAACACACACCGTCACCTGACTGAGGTATATAGCAATCCACCCCATTCTCGAGAAATGCATTAACCCAGCCCCGCAGTTCTCCGGTCTCGATTTTGAAAAGACTTTCCGCCACCACTACCACGAAGTGCTGGAGTTCGCTGAGGACCTTCTTGTGTTCATTCTCTCCCAGCTGAAGGAGCGGTACGCGGACAAGATTGCAATCATCCAAAAGTCGTACCCGAAGGCCGGCGACTTCAAGCTGCCCAAGGACGGCAAGGCGCTGCGACTGAACTACATGGACGGTGTGGCCCTGCTGAAGGAGGCGGGTGTGGACATGTCGGAACAGGAGCGGTTCGAGAACGACTTCACCACGGCGATGGAGAAGCAGCTGGGCCAGATCATCCGTGACAAGTACGACACAGACTTCTACGTGCTGGACAAGTTCCCCATGGCCGTGCGGCCCTTTTACACTAAGGCCGATCCGCAAGACAAGCGCTTTTCCAACTCGTACGACTTCTTCATGCGCGGCGAGGAGATCATGTCGGGCGCGCAGCGTATCCACGACATCAAAGAGCTGGAGGAGTCGATGCGCGCCAAGGGCCTCGACCCGGAGCACGAGGGCTTCGATGACTACCTCAATGCTTTCCGCCAGGGCTGCTCGCCGCACGCCGGTGGTGGTCTGGGCCTGAACCGGATCGTCATGTTTTTCCTGGGTCTGCCCAATGTTCGCCTGGCCACGCTCTTCCCTCGCGACCCGCAGCGTCTGCGGCCATAAATCATTAGATATGAATGTTCTTTGCCTCTTTGAAAATGAAAATGAAAAGCATTTCAAAACCATTGCTATTCCCAGCTAGTCATAAAAACTTCACCCTTTTGCGGAAGTCGTGGACCCGCGCAGCCCGGTTGTCAAGACTGGTAGCTTGGTCACTGGTATGCCAAATTGGACGGAGTTCTCGATCGACGAAGCCAAGAATGTCGATGTCATTGATCCTCGGCCCGGTCTGCCCGTTACCCATTTCTCCCTGGTTTCTGCCTGGTTTCACGGCGTACTATGCTCTGACGCAGATCGTTAAGGCGCCTGCTAAGGACGTTGTCGTTGTTAGCGGTGCCGCTAACGCGGTGGGGAATATGGTGGTTCAGATTGCTAAGAAGGTGATCGGATGTCGAAAGGCGTGTTTTGTTCATTTTTTTTCTTGGGGTTATTGCTAATCCTGTCTAGGTGACTGGTATTGCTTGCACAGATGACAGGTGCAGGTGGGTGGAGAAGCTGGGAGCGGATGCCTGCTTGAACTAAAAATCGTCTTCGTTTAAGCTAGAGTTCACTAAGATGACTGAGAGCTTCGTGGAGATCTACTTTGGTTTGTCGTATCTCCTCCCATGATTCCTTTTACTGCAGAGGCTGACTGTGGTGCGATATAGACAATGTTGGCGAAGAAATCCTGGACTTCAAGTTGACTCGTCTGGCAAAGTTTGGCCGTGTTGCTGCTGGGTAAGAAAGACATAATTTTAAAGAACTTGGAGAACGCGGGCTCACTCTTTCTCGTGGCACCATTTCCAACTACAACCGTGATGTCGACATCATCGGTTTGAAGAACTTCCATGTACGTGGTTTGAACCTTCAATAAAAATCAAGTCTGACTCGTCTACAGGAAGTTATTACCATGCGTCTACAGATCCTGGGTTTTAATAACATCGATTGGATTGACCACCTGTCTGAGGTGCGGGCCATCCTCGTCGACGAGTGGAAGAACGGGAACATTATCATTGGCGACGAGAGTGAAATGGTTATCGATATAGATTTTGCTGATATTCCTCGTACCTGGATGATGTTGTATTCTGGAGGCAACACGGGAAAGCTAGTTATGAAGGTGAGGCATTAGTTGAGTCCATACACAATTTCAATATTTAAGTTCGTTCGACAGGACTAGCTGCATGGCAGTTTGAATATTCCAATGAAATAATTCATCAAAGAGATTTCAGCCGACTCTCCAACTTACACGATAGAAATTGAATCCAACCTCCATAAGCTCAGCAAGGGGTAAACCAAAGACCACATGAAAGACATGCTCACCACAATGTTATCATAAGGATATACATGAGCTAGGGGGCGGGGAACACGAGGGCCACGTACATGCATAAAGCTCGATGCACTGATCAGACTTGAGACATTATTATAAAGTCAGGCCTGCAACCTGCAGCAGCTGCTGTAGCAACCCCAGCAACCTCATCATGTTGCCAGAAAAACATACATCATGCCACCTGCAATTTTCCACCGTTTGTCTCACTCTATCACCCTTGCTTGAGGTCTTAGAGGGCCGTCCATCAACATATATAAATAAACGATTCTGTACGCCACAACCATTCTCAAACTCGTCATTCTTATTCACTTACGAAGTTGAAGAACGCTTTCTTGACAATGATTGCCTCTATCAAAGCACTTGCTCTGGCCTTGATGCTTGCAGCATCAGGAACTAGTGCCGCGCAGTGCCAACCCGGCCGTGACTACTGTGGCTACCACCTCCGTTCTCTCGGTATGTATTTTGGATATCCGGTCGGAATTTAATCAACTGACATGAAACTCTGGCACAAGGTTACACCGAGCAAACTCTCAACTCTAGGGCTTCAAACGGAGATTCCTCCAATGCACTGTTCCTGTGCAGCTCGCAAGGTATCCAACTCATCGAGCACTGTCGCTCGTGCAAGCACACCCAAGAAAGTGTGACTGATTACTGTGGATTCGACTGAGGCGTGAGTTCTGCCTTTCAGCTTGATTTATTTCTATTTTTGACGAGTCTACAGGATAGGAGATACAATCGGAGGAACTTTAGATCTAGATAGGCACAAAATGATTTCACGAAGAGAGCCCACATAGTTTCGAACAATATGACAGCGTCTGCCATTTCCATTTGATAATTCCTGTGGCAACATGATCAATCCAAGTAATAAATAAGAAAAATTGCAGGATAAATTGATCTGCAAAGCCCCCCCCCCCCAAGCCCGATATTCTTAAAAGGTTCCCTCGCAGTCTTCGATTTAGAAAATGCACCCTCAATCCCAATAGCATTCCCCTTAGGATCAACATAGACGTGAGCCCCCGTAATATGGAACATAGTAATCTTTCCAACGTCGTACGAAACCTCTAGGTATGACGAAGTAGCCTTGCGACACGGAAAAGAGGAGTGGTTAGAACCAGAAATACGGGACTCAGGGACGAGAATTGTGGTCGATGGAGGGAAGTTGGCCATGTAGCGAGCAGCAGCTTATATGATCTATATAGCGAGTCAATTCATCTTTCGTCGGAGGCCCACATTACCGGGAAAGAGCCGAACTCCGGATCGTATCGTCCGATTTCGCTCTTGATTTTTATTATGCTGAAGAAAACCGCATCAACTACCCCCTAGATCAACAACTGGCTGTACAATGGCTGCCCAAGAAACAATGCAGGCGGTGGTGTTTCATGGCCCTTATAAAGTGGCCGTTGAACGTCGGCCGATTCCGAAAGTGCGGGATCCCGAAGACATTGTGATCAAGGTGGGGTATACGGCGCTGTGTGGCAGGTGAGTATTCTCGACTCAACGATTGAAGAGATGCTAATGGTATGAACTAGTGAACTGCACATGTTCCGGGGATTGGAGCCCGCGGGCACCGGGTTCATCATGGGCCATGAGTTCGTCGGCGAGGTCGTTGAATTGGGCAGCGCCGTCAAAACCATTCAGAAAGGTGATCGCGTGGTCAGCGCTTTTACTACATCATGGTATGTATTCCTTTATTCTATACAAGTGCCTATTTGACACGGCTATAGTGGCAAGTGTTTCTACTGCAAGCAAGGCTGCTCGTCGCGCTGCGAGAAGAATACCCTCTTTGGATGCGAGAACCAGGATGGCGGACAGGCTGAATACGTGAGGATTCTACAATAAGACCATGTTCACCGACCTAATATCTAGCCAGGTCCGGATCCCGAATGCCGATGGCTCCGTCATGAAGGCACCGGAGGGCATCCAGGACAAGTTCCTGGTCCTCATGGCGGACATCTTCCCGACGGGATACTTCGCCGCTAGCAATGCATTCAAGAACTCTACTCCCGAGCAGATTGCCGAGCAGACGGTCGTCCTGATCGGCTGTGGGCCTGTCGGGCTCTGCGCGCTCATCAACGCGCTGGAATTTAAGCCTAGACATCTTCTGGCCGTGGACTCCGTCCCCTCGAGACTTGAGCTGGCCAAGTCGCTTGGTGCTGAGCCGTGGAATTTCCAGACTGACCGCGCCGACTTGGACAAGCGCGTCAAGGAATTGACAGAGGGACGTGGCGCCGACGCCGTGATCGAGGTGGTCGGGTTGAGCCCTGCGCTACGCACCGGCTTCGACCTGCTGCGGCCGTGGGGGACGATCAGCAGCGTGGGCGTTCATAATGGCGAGGTATGCAGAGCAGAGGACAAGTGATAAATAAGATCGTTGCTGATATGGGTGGTATAGATTCCCTGGGATGGCAACGAGGCCTACGGGAAGAACCTCACCATCCAGATGGGCCGGTGTCCCGTCCGGTCGGTGGCTGAGACGGCCCTAGCTATTCTGGAGAAGAACCAGCACAAACTTGGGTGAGTACTATAATGGATATGATTGTTAAGTAAGTGGGCTAACGCAGCACAGGTTCATGGCGGAGAAGATTATGCCGCTGTCGCAGGCCGTAGAGGGCTATGAGCTATTCAACGCGATGAAGGTGCAGAAGGTGGTGTTTGAGGCTGATCGATAAATCAATTGATGAACAGGATTGATGGAGGTGTAGTGAATGAATGAATGAATAGAAACATTGAAAATGAGAAAATAAATAATGGTGGTCAGCCAGTCAGTCAGTCCCGCCCAAACCCAAACCATTCTTTCTTCCTTTCCCTCTTCCTCTTCCCTTCTTCTCTCTCCATCGTTCCATCTCTCTTTCTCTCCTCCTCCACCTCTTCTTCTCTTCCCATCGTCATCCATCCTCTTCCCCCTTCCCCTTCCTCTTCCTCTTCCCTCTCCTTATTCTCTCCCGCTACCCCTCCATCATCCCTGCCTCCGTCACGTTCCCCTCCCATTTCTCCACATCTCCGACCGACACTCCCACCGTCTCGGTAAGTCGTCTTGTGCACCAGCCAAAACGCGCGTTCTGGTTCCTGGATATTGCAGGGACTGATCATCGCGTGACTCGGCGGTTTAGGCCTGACTTATTTTCCCACCTACACGCGCGACCTTGAGCTTTCCGATAAGGACAAACGTCGTCACTTTACCCACCTCCCAACACCATCTCAACCCCCATCCGACCCCTCCGTTTCTACCTTTCTTCATCATCGAAAACATGGACCCCAACGAGATGCAGCAAAACGCTCAGGTTATGGATGAAACCATGGCCGACGCTTTCAACGACAGTCTTGGCGAGGGCGACATGGAGGTCACTCCCAAGACCGAAGAGGAGTACGCGCAGTCGATGCTGACTCTGCGTGCCATCGTCTCGTCCAAGGAGGCTGGTGTCATCATCGGCAAGGCTGGCAAGAACGTCGCCGACTTGCGCGACGAAACTGGTGTCAAGGCCGGCGTGAGCAAGGTCGTCCCGGGCGTCCATGACCGGGTCCTGACCGTCACCGGTGCCTTGTCGGGCACTGCCCAAGCCTACGCGATCGTTGCCAAGGGCCTGCTGGAGGGAGCTCCGCAGATGGGCATGGGCGGCATCATGTCCAACAACGGCACCCACCGTAAGTATTTTCTATTCTCTCATATCCTAGCCGCAAGGGCCTGGATGTACTGAATAAAGTGCGCTAACATAATCCAGCCGTCCGGCTCCTGATCTCGCACAACCAGATGGGCACCATCATCGGACGACAGGGTCTGAAAATCAAGCACATCCAGGATGCTTCTGGGGTGCGCATGGTCGCACAGAAGGAGATGCTTCCTCAGTCTACGGAGCGAATCGTCGAAGTCCAGGGTACACCTGAAGGCATCGAGAAGGCCATCTGGGAAATCGGAAAGTGCCTCATTGATGACTGGCAGCGCGGCACTGGCACCGTGCTCTACAACCCCGCGGTCCGTGCGTCCCTGGGCTCGCCGCCGCTGAACAACAGCAACCCAGTCGGTAGTGGTGGAAATGGTGGCAATGGTTACACCAGCCGTCAGTACAACCGCACCGGCAACGGTGCCGACTTCAGCGACAACAGTGGCTATAGCCGACGGTCCAACTCCGATGCTGGTACCCGTGGATACCCTCTCGTCACGGAAGATGGTGAGGAGATTCAGACTCAGAACATCAGCATTCCTGCGGATATGGTTGGATGCATCATCGGCCGGGCTGGCAGCAAGATCACCGAGATCCGCCGCAGCTCGGGAGCTCGCATCTCGATCGCCAAGGCTCCCCATGATGAGACTGGTGAGCGCATGTTCACGATCATGGGAAGCGCGCAGGCCAATGAGAAGGCTTTGTACCTTCTGTATGAGAACCTCGAAGCCGAGAAGACTCGCCGCAGCCAGCTGCCTCAGGAGTAAAACACTCCTGTAGACGAGAGTTCTCTGGCCATGGTTCCATATTGTGTTCTTTGACCTTACGACTTCTTCGGAGACTGTCGGTTACGACCAGCGGCGGTCATATGCTAGCGCTTTGTTTTTGTTGTTCTCTTTTTTTAATTCTATTTCCTGATACCTGCACTCTCACCGAAAAGAGGCAAAAGTGTGCTGCGATGGACGGAGTTGTGCACAGTCTTGTGTGGTGATCGCTACCACAGTCGAACTGAGTCGCACCCTTGATTTTGTCCCAATCCACTGATGCTGGCGTCGACACCTTCCATTCTCCAATCATCCAGCTGCTTTTCGCCCCGATCCTCTCGCCTTTTGTTTTGCTCCTTCGACTACCGTCACCTCCCTTTTGCCTCTGATTCCGCCGCCCTGTCCCTACCTCAAAATCTCTCTCCTTTCCCCGAGACAAGATCAAACGACCCCTTGATCGAGGAGAGGGATGATCTTGTCCCGTCTCCGCCGCTTTCTCCTTCCAATCTCGTTTACACCTTTTATCTTCTTTCAAATCCTGTCTCATTCCCCATTCTTGTCCCACGCTCTTGAAAACGCCCCGAAACCCCTTAAAAAAAAGAAAAGCACTCCTTATCTCTTCTCTCTCTCCTAGTTCTCGCCTGAACGAACGCCCTTCCCTCAGTTTCTGCTTTCTCTTCCTCCCTGCCTCCCTTTTTCTCTCTCAAGATCATATCATATCTTACCTGGTGTCCCATGCTCATGTGTATGAATGTGACTAGGGCACGCCATAGTATATTGAAATATGATGAAACAACTCCAAAAAAAAAGAAGGAAGACATGCATATCTATGGGGCATATAGATATGATCTGGAATCCTTTTCATTGCATTCTCGTAGGTGATGTTGTCACAGAGTTAATTGAACATAGTAGATCTAGTATATGGCTGTAACAAAGGTCTATTATGTCCCGTTTAGTTAATTGGGAACACTGTTGAGACGAAAGAGGGTTTACGGCAACACTTGAATTTTGTACCATTTGCGTCATTCATAAGATCAAAAGAAGAAGTCTACCTGAGAACATACTTCCATAAATCCGGGATACAAGGAAACCAAAGAGGACAGGCCGAAGGTACACCGAACTCGAACGAAACGAAAAAAAGGAAAAATGCCACGAATCAAAAACACGAGCGCGAGAAACCCTGAACAAAGATTTGCACTGTACAAAGGACAATGAAGGCCGCCGAAAAATAAACCAATGAAACAAGGGCTAGCTATGCACATGAACATGGACGCCGATTGTGATGAACTGGTTGGTTTTTGTACACGTGTGTCAGGGCTCCGTAAGACACATATTGAGGATGAAAGAGAGTCTGCTCAAAGAAAAAACCTCCCAAGTAGTATCATGACGAATGTGGGAGAATGACCCCCAGCAAAAGGAGCATGCTGACTGATACAACATAGCAATACCCATCGCAAATATGTGGAGTTAAAAAAGTCGTCAGAATGCATCGACATCGAAAAGAAGTGATGTACATGACATGACAGGGCCAGCGGCTGAAAGCAGACCTTGGAAGACACGACCGGACAATATGCATACACAAGTAAAGGTGTCAAAGAAGCCGGCACAGCAAACCTACATACATACACACAACGCCGATGGAAAAGAGGAACGATCAGATGCGAGGTCGCTGCGTAGACGAGGATCGAAAGGCGTGCTAAGTCATGCGTAGTTCGATTGGAACGAGGGCATGCATGCAAATGTTTGTTAATCAATGCTGTCATCTAGATTCTTCACCCCGTCATCCGGTGCAGGAGGGGATCGGTATTTGAGACCGAATCGGCGCGCGCCTAGACTGTTGGTCCGGACTCGAGGCTGCTGGATTGGCGTGTAGCTGGATGCCATCTTGCCTGATAGGGCGGAGATGCGGGTCTGCGGGGCCTCTGGTTGGGGTTGATTGGGACTGTCCTCTCCGCCAGACCCTTGTGCTGGGGAATAACCAGGCGAAATACCGTATCGGCGGGATCCAGCCTGGATATTGGAGCGGGATGTTGCTGGGGTAGAAGACGCAGGCGCAGGTGCGTAGCTGCGACGGTATTGCAGCCCAGACTGGGAGACGGTGGAAGGGGTGCGAGGCAGTGATGACTGCGGCTGAGCTGGAGACGGTTGCTGTAGTTGATATTGAGGAGAGTGAGGAGAAGACAAGCCGAAGCCCTGACCGTGCTGTGCGCCGGAGATGGAGCGGGAGACTGAGTGGCTATGAGAGTAGCGCTGCCGTGGGGACTTGCTTGGGGCGGCACTGGGTACGCCAACTTCCGTCATAGCCCTTGAGAGTGAGCGAGAATGGGGACTTGTGGTCTCTTGGTTCTCCTCTTCAGCGGGCGCTCTGCGGTTGCGGAGAGAGGTAGAGATGCGATGAAGACGGCTAGTCGGGGTAGGAGGGATGCTGGGAGTTTGGGGCGTCTTTGTCTCCGATGCAGTTTCGGTGCTGGAAAGGGCACTTGGAAAGGCTAAAGATGCTCTGCGTGATTCGAGGCGACGGGAGATGCGGGCGGTGCTCGGATGTCGTTCAGGCGCAGCCACTTCTGGTTCGTGGCTTGCACTCCGTTGAAATGCCGGTTGATATGACGATTGGTACGACGGCGTCGGAGGTACCTGAGGGCTTTCGGGGCCATTTGACGGCTGGGCATGTGCCGGTCCGTCACGACTTGTCACAGGCGAGCGGTTCTTCTTGAGCTGCTCATCCGACAAGGCCAGGCAGAGTTCCGTCAGACTGCGACACAAGCTGTCCGCTTTGCGTCTGGCCTGTCTTTCTGACGAGCTGTATCCACCACCATTTACAACCGAGACGCTACCCAACGGAACTGCGTTGGCACCCAATATCCCGGAAAGATTTAGAGCGTCAGTGATCGTCACCTCTAGGGCCGCGTACACGTCAGTGTTGAGGATGCTCTTAGCCTTTGCCAACGCAGACTGCAGAAGTGGATGTACTTGGTTCTGAGCTGAGCTATTTTCGGCGTCTGTTGTTGGAGTGCTGATTTTGCGTCCATGTTTGGGCGAAGAGGACAAGGTGGTCACGGTGGTGGTCGCGGTGCGCGGCCTCTCATGAGATGCGCCGGAGATCGCCGCTTGGGATGATGGAGGTAGTTTCCCTGTAATCTCTAGCTTCCGAATGCGAGACTTGAGGTCTTCCAGTTCGTCCCAGACTGTAGATGGCGCAGTCGTTGATAATGTAGACTCGGTTCCATCTGCACGAGATCTTTCTCCGTCCATCCGAGGTCGCTCCGTCACTTCGGAGCCGGACGCTTGGCGACTGCTGCGAATAGTCGACAGACCTGAATGGCGATACAGATGCGGATCATGGATGGACGATCTTCGTTCTCCGTTAACCGAGGGAGATTGCGGAGAGGCATCTGGGCTCGTGCGACTGAGTCGGCTGCGCGGTACACCGATGGTAGACCGCGGACCGGAGGCTAAGCCCGAGTATCGGAAGCGATTTGGATCGTCTAGTGGGTGAGCGGATGCTGAGGAATGTGCGAAAGAACTGTATGGAATGGTTGGAGAACCATTCTGAGAAAGCAAGGGGCTGTCGGTATTGGTGAGGCGTTGATCAGGAGAAGGAGTCTGCTCTTCGTCGCGGCGAGGAGTAGTAGCAGTCGGCGTCCGTAGACTTGGACCTGAGTATCCGAGTCGCGACTGTGGGGTTTTTCTTGTCAGTCACCGAGATTTTTGGGGATGTTTGAGCGCACACAGCGACCGGAAGCTCAAGTTGGACTGCGACCACTCACCCGTCTGAAATCCGACCGTCCCAGCGACTCGCGACGGGTCGAGTCGGACCTGGCGATGTTCAGGAAGATATCGTCGTTCCGCGGCCGACCCTGGTCGACGTCTGAAGCAGTGTTGTCTTGGCCCAGTCGGGCGAGGGCGCGACCAGCGTCGCTCAGGGTCCTGGTTTCGGAGTAGGCCACGCTCGAGGGCATGGTGGGCCGTTCACATCAGGGCGCGAAGGAGATATCAGGAGTTATCGGCATCTGGGGAGTATGTCGTGGTGGTCGTCGTGGGGCGTGAAGAAGTGGTGAGGCTGGGGAGTGGAAGCTCAGGCCGGATCGTCCAGCAGGAGCGGGTGTCTGGGCTGTGGGGGCCTCCGGGTCCAGTAACCGTGGAAGTACAGCAGGTACTAATTATGTATTACATACCTGGTATGGGCACAAGAAAAAGAAAGAAAAATAGAAAAAGTATTAAAAAATATTACGAGAAGAACAGTTGGGCATCCAGGGGTGGATAGCGACAGTAGTCACACTGGGAGCGTGCAGGGGATTGATTGCAATGCCGACTGAGGTACTTTGTTTGCCTATAACTAACCAACCCCCTTGGAGAGTACCTAGTATACTTGTGCCAACATAGCCGTATATCCTCGAGGGATAGAAGACCTAGACATCTGAATACTTACTTCAAATAGAATCCTCGATTATTCCACCAACAAAACAAACTACCTCACCCGTGGTTCTGCCCGCATCGCGCCGTGGTTTCAGAACGTGCCTGAAACCGTTGAATTGCCCATATTTAAATATGTATCAAACTATCAACCATTTTTTTGATTGGGGGAGATCATATACTCTGCTCCGATAATTGATTGATTGAACCTAAAGAGCTATTAGAAAAGTTGCCCTTTGGTCATTAACCCAGGACGACTTGATCTTGGGTAAGAAGTATCCCGAGCTGGTTTCTCTTTCAGCATATCTCATAGTACCTCGTGACGTCCACAACCCAATTATCCCTATCGGTGGAGCCATTGATGTTGACTGTTTCGTATGGCGGTCCCAATGGATCAACTATATTGATTTCTATAAACATCTGGTTGACTGACACCCCCGATCCACCTGGGGGTGAGCCATACATACTACATATTACCAAATATAGTAATCCTCCTTAGTCCCCTTTAGCGTATGAACATTATTAGTTACCGGCGAGCTATGTAGATAGGTTTTCCTATCCAAAATAAATCTGTGACTTTCATATACCCGAGGGGAATCCCCCCTCGCAATAAAGTTGTTGGAAGAGCCGCGATTCCATACCTTCAAATCACCACCACCGGCCCGGTATTGCGCTTGATCACCCCCACAGTTTGGTTCTGTCCAAATAGTGTACCCATCCTCAGACTGCCAGGACTGGCACCCTGGCTTGGTTCCAGGTAGGAACCATGCACTACCCCGTGCTCTATTTGAAAAGTCGTATGTGATGTGTAGGGACCCTGCACCAATATCCGTATGCTTTCCATAGAACAGCTTGATTTCCCCAGAGACCGAACCATCATCATTGTATTTGGCGTCTTCGTACAGCTGTCCCGGTTCACCAACTATGCAAGTCATTAGCAAGTGAACTGACTACATTTTCGATATCAAAAACTTACAAGTACCACATATCATTGAACTAGAGTCATAAACTCCTATGACACCTGAGACTCCCTTCAAACCAACTGAAGGTAAATGCAGTAGAACTTTGCAGTATGTCTCATCCGTAAAGATTCCAACCCAGTCATCAGTTGGGCCACAGTGAGTGAGACCTTCCGGGAGGTCGGTATCCATTGCTTCGCAGGAGCCCGTATAAATCAGAGCCGGGCTATCCGCTTGTATGTTGAGGTCGGGTACATTTAATCCAATCGAGTACGCCAGGGTGCCAAAGGCAAGCACCGAGATCCAACAGGACTTCATCTTCATCTAATACAGTGATAGGATCAATCATTTGAATCGAAAAGAAAATGAGCCCGAGGAAAATAGATATGTAAGTGACTAGGCCCCTTTATCATAGATTCAGTAGTTGAGTAGTTCTTATGGGTATATTTGTACTATAATGGCCAAGACCACCCTCCATAGGTTGAGTAAAAGGCCATGGCCCCATTTTGAACTTTTTATGCCTCATAGGTCATGGTCGACTCCTTTGACTCTCTTTAACCACATATCGACTAGATTATAGAATGTACGAGTCATAACTTTCGCGTCGCTCAGTGACTTAAAGCTGGTACATTAGATAAGGTCCAATTAAGTTAGAGATAGATGGTACAGTATGGACCGGCAGCGCGCACCGTAGACGGAGGGATAGTTAGTAGGCTGACCAGCGAAGCAACAGACCAATGGGTAGGTAACCCTGAAAGTCAGTCCAGAATATCGTATTTAAAAGCGTTTTGGCGAACATATACTTGCGTCTATCCGATCAAACTCTTCAGAAGGAATTTCATTTAATGATTGTAATCCCCAACAAAACAAACCACCACATCCATGGTTCCGCCCGCATCGAGCCGTGGTTTCAGTGCGTGCCCGACTGCCCATGTCTAAATATACATCTCAAGCTTCAACTCATGCAGGTTGAATGCAGGTGTTAGATAGCCACGTAGGTCATTCCCGTTGGACCAGGGAATCAAGGAAGATGTTACAGGAGACTGTGTTGCTCGCCGAGACATAATTAATTAGATGGGGCCAAGGGATGGGCTCGAGGGAAATAAGCTTGATCGGGGGCGGTAGGAATTTTCGCCATGTATACAACCGGCCCCTAATCGACACGACAACAGTACCCTCGATTCTTCGGATCAGGCCATATCGGTTGTCTGGTGAACGGGGCTCCGTCTCGTGGAATCCTGACTCGAGGCTCTTTTCTTTCGTTGTGGCATTCCACCCCACGTGGGATCCCGTGATCGCCAAGCTCCTGGCGTGTTTCACCATTGCGTTTCAGCTGGCGTCGAAGCGCCCATCCTGTTTCACGGGTGCAGTACGCCCAGGGTCATCCATGGTTCTCTGCCCGCCCACCGTTCTCCCGGTCGGTTCCATCCTTGTGGGATATTAGTGTGATTGTGGTTATTTTCTACTCCTGTTTTTTTTTTTTATCTCTGGTTCCGAGCGAAGGCCCCCCATTCATCTCAGCCGAGGGACCTACCGAGACCCGTGCACAGGGACGGGACGGATCAGGGCCGAATTTGGAACTCAACAGCCCCTGATGGTCAAGGACATCCCTCGATACTAGTACGGTAATCCGTGTAAAGCGAGTGTATGTACTGTGTGCCGGTGGAGAAGAAACTAATCGCACGCCATCGTAGTAATCCGACGGCGGGAGCCTCTCAGCTGCTCCCGTTTGGCGCCAGCACCCCCTATAATTAGAGTCAGTTGGTTTCATCTCGCCCCCAATGTGTCCAAGCCCCCCCTCAAGCCCTGGATCGGCGGCCCACTGTGTTAGTGAGTGACCGAGATCGATCGTGGGTTATACCTTTCTTTCTTCTCCTTCTTCGTCCATCTCTCATTCTTCTTCTTCTTCTCCACGACTTACCCACCCACCACCACCCACCACCCCCAGAAAGGGACGGGCCCTCCTTCTCTTCCCTCTCTCTTTGGGTCATTCCCCGGAGGAAGGACCATCGCTGCGACCCTCAGCCATCCGCCTGGACTGGCTTTCTTTTTTTTTCTTTCATTGTCATTCGTCTTCACCTCCCCCCCTCCCGTCACTCTTTTCATCTCGACTATCCAAAACCAACTCAGAGACATTCGGACGATCCCTGTGCCGAGAATCCCTTCTGGTATGTGAGCGCCCAGTCTCGATCCCACCAAACCTCGACACCCAAATCCCACCTGGCGACACGGCCCTTCCGTTCGCACGGTGACGACTCGTGCCTGCAGAGGATCAGTTCTGTTGTGCATGGGTGCGGATCATCGATTTCAACCCTTGCAGCTCGCAGCTTGCCACTGACGCCTTCTCCTTCCCAGAAAAACCCCCATCTTGCGCCGGTAGCAATCATCGATCCCGAATGCCACCATTGCCCCCTCGAGCAAAGTGATTTCTCGGTTCCCAAGGGCCGTGGCCTTGTAACCCTCACGCCTCGAGAGATCCCAAAATCATGCCAGTACAGACCAGTCCACCGTCCTTCCTGGACTCGTTCCCGTCCTTTATGTCGGTCTATGGTGGACTGCCCCCGCGCTACAAGGAGGAAGAGAGCAGCATCCAGCCTCTTCAGGTCCCATCCCATATACCTGTCGATACACGTCGCCTTCATCCCTTCGCTCATCGCGAAAGCGTGTCGTCTACAACTACGGCGTCAACTGAATCCTCGCCGACCACGACGGTCTCGCCTTTTGACTCACCCGCCGGCGGTGATATCTCCCCCAGCTCGTCCCCGGAATCCCCCACGGCGATGCCCATGCCATACCCTAAATTCACGCCGTTTGCTGCTCGTCATATCGAGCCTGCATCGCATACGTCCCTATCAGCGGACGTGCCCCGGCTGTCGCCCAATCAGTCCAGCAATGCACTCCCCAGCCCCAGCTCTCCAGGGCGACGAGCCCGGAACCTGAAGAACCTATCGCTGCGGATGCCTCCACCATCACAGTCCCGACCTCCTATTGCCACCGCGTCAGTCGTGGAGACGACTTCCAAACACCACCTGTCGGCCCCGCCTTCTCCGATCCACATTCCTCCCAAGAGTGCTCGGCGGCGACCCGCAAACCTCACTATACGGACTCCGGGATTTGACAAATCGTTCTCTAATCATGCCATTGACGTGGTTCCTCCCACCCCTCTGGGACCACAACAATCCCTTCGACACACCGAGTCGTCGCCGTCCTTGGCGTCGATCACATCGCCCTGTTTCGCCCCCAAAGGCGGGATGCACCTTCCACGCCCGATGACGCACCATGGTACCCGTCCGTTCTCGGGCGCATCTTCAGAGGATACTACGTCTCCGCTAACGTCTATTCCTGACGATGGATCTACCTTCTCACACGGCGTGCTGCATGAACTAGAAGAAGAGGATGATCATATCGACTCCCGGGAGTCGTCCCGCAAGAAGGATCGAGGCTACCCGAATGGGCCTATCCTGATTCACGACTCGGGAGTGTATCTGTACTTGGAGCCGACCGCCGAAGAGGCTGCCAAATTCGACGTTGTGGTGAATGTCGCTAAAGAAGTGGCCAACCCGTTCATTACCACCAAGGAGGAACGAAATGATACGGTCATGAGCACCTGGCGTAACGCCTCGATGGCCTCGAATCGGTTCTCCAGCGGCGATCCTCACACTGCAATGTCCGAAGCATCCTTCAAATCGGCATTTGAGTTTCAGCCCCCTGGCTGTGACGCGGGTACTCCGACCACACCAACCCCCACTTCTGCAAACCCCAACCCGGAGTATATCCATGTTGGATGGGATCACAACTCGGAGATTCTGGACGATCTGCTTCCTCTATGCGAGCTCATCGACGATCGGATATCCCAGGGCAAGAGGGTTCTGGTGCACTGCCAGCTGGGTGCCAGTCGCTCGGCTTCCCTGGTGATCGCCTATGGTCTGTATAAAAACCGACACCTGGACTTCAACTCAATGTATGAGATGGTCAAAGAACGCAGCCAGTGGGTGGGCCCAAATATGAGCCTCATCTACCAACTCACAGACTTCCGGTCACGGTTAATGCGAGGACCGCCGTCGCGCCCTCCTCCCCAAGAGTGGTTTATCAATGGCAACCGCAGGAGCTCTGAGCCCCAGCACCCTCAGGCCCAACAGGCAACTGCAAATGTGGCCGCCGCCGACTCGACACCAAGCCACCGACCACCTTTCCGTCAACTGGCGCAGGCGCCCTCGATGGGCTGTCTGAAAATCCCTTCGACGAGCTCCATGCGACCGACCACCAGCGACGGACGGGGTATGCCCAAGTCGCCCTCGCCCAAGCGCAGCCTCTCACCGCGCCCATTGCCATTCCGCCAAAAGTTCCAGTCTATTGCACCCGCCTCGGGTTCGGGTCGACGACGCGGCCTGGCCCGCATCAGCAGCTGCGAACCCCTGATCCAAACGCATGTGTTCATGCGCGATGCGCCGAGTCCAGAACCGGCCTTGTTTTCTCCCAGAACCACCGACTTTCTCGCACCACCCTCTCTGGTACCACCATTACTCCGGCCTCCTCCGTCCTGGGGCAACTCTCACGCTCCAGATGCTCCACAAGCGATGCAGCTCACACCTGAGCCTGCCGATCCGCGCTCCCCTCCCTCGGGCGGCGAGCCTCTGATCATGAGAAATATTGATGAATTCCTGTAATTGTGCGATTAATCAGTCTCCTGGATCCGGTCTGAAACGATTCCATGACTTTGACATCTGCAGATGTCTTTGCTTGTTCATTTGTTCATGAGCCTGAGGGCTCTTTTTCTTTTCGATTTTCGCTATTTTATCTTTCCCCGTCATCTTCAATTATGATCATGACTTGCATGACCAAAGCGGGCTTTGCTTTGCATTTTGACACTTTTTTGACACTTTTCAGTCCACGGGTTATACCCGGACTACTCCATCGCTTGCCTTTTTATTTTTCCCTTTTGTTTTTATGTCATGGCGTCTCGGGTGTCAACACGGACACGAAACTCTTGATACCAACCGCGGCTGCGAAAGACTCCCGTTATCTTTCGGCAGGTCTGCATATCTGTAATATTATTGCGGAGGAATTGAATACCTACCTATGCATGTTGAAGAAGCATTCAGCATTATTGTCCATACCGTCAGTTTTGCGCCTCGCGTAACAATAGATGATTTCGCTGTGCAGATGTACAGGAGTTGGTGCCAGCCAGAGTTGATAAGGGGTGATAAGAAGCCCAACGTCATGCCCGAATCACCAAATTTTTCTCACCAACTGCCACTGCCCCAATGGCCGACTCCGCCCCAACCTATCTCTCGCCCAGCGAGTTAGGCTCAAAGGACTAGTAAGTGTGTCTTGTCTCTCTGAATTGCAAGTTCCAAACAGCCCAGGTGTTTGTGGCATACCCTTTTCATCCCCCGCGATTGCACTCACGAGGAAGAAGAGACATCTCTGCATGTGCCAGAGCTATATGCTCTGGCTCTTCTTCCTCCTCTTCTTAAAAAGCACAATCGAATACAGACAGAAGCTAACCTACTCTCCAGCTGGGAAACATACTACGCACGCACACTCGCGCATCTCTCCCAATCGCAACCACACCACCCATCATCCACCGCCACCAATACCACGCCCAATGCGCCATCCACAGAAAATGACGACTCCTCCGACAATGCCTCCGAAGTAAACGATGATGATGACCCCGGCACATCATGGTTCTCCGAACACAACGCGCCCCAAAAGGTCCTCCGCTTCCTAACCTCAAAATCCTTCCCGCTGTCCCCGCACAACACCCTCCGCCGCCGCGGCCATTCAGCTTCAGCCACTTTACCCCACCAGCCTAGTATCCTCGATCTGGGCACGGGGAATGGGAGCATGCTCGCGCTGTTGCGGAAGAAGGGCGGGTTCGTGGGTGAGATGGTGGGCGTAGATTACTCGGCGAGGAGTGTGCAGTTGGCGAGGGAGCTGCAGTCCAGGAAGGGGCATTCTGCTTATCATACAGATGATGAGGATGAGTCTGATGAGGATTATGATGACGGGGAAGATGAGGAAGAGGGAGAAGACCATGGTCCGAACGCTGCTGCGGAAGAGGAGGTTGTGCTTGCTACCCCCGAGCCCGGAAAAGAAGCCACGGAGGCAGTCAGCATCTCTAAAGATACAACTGAGATTGAAACATCGGAGATTCGCTTCGAGGAATGGGATATCCTCGGCTCGACAGCACAGCTTTCCGAGACCGGCACCCCGTCGTCCGAAGCACCCCCCGCAGACCGAAAGCTAGACTGGTTCCCTTATGAAACGGGCGGGTTTGACATCGTTCTCGACAAGGGCACATTTGACGCCGTGTCACTATCAGACGACGCCAAGAACACGCATGTCTGCGAGCGGTATCCGCGTATTGCGCGGCGGTTAGTGCGCGCGGGTGGGTTTGTGGTTGTGACGAGCTGCAATTGGACGGAGGAGGAGCTGGTTACTTGGTTTGTTGGGGGTCGTCATGATCAGGGGGAGAAGGATAGATTGGTTGTTTGGGGAAGGGTTGAGTATCCCCGGTTTCGGTTTGGGGGGCATGAAGGGCAGGGGGTAAGTACGGTGTGCTTTCGGAGGGTTGTGCAGTAGGTATACTATAGCATTGAGGACTGGATAGGTAGTTACATCAAACTACATCTCTTAAGCCCAAGTCTAGTAGATATTTGCATAGGAGAGGGGATAGAATCAAGGAGCTGGTTTTGAGAGTTGAACGATGTCGGAATGTAGATGGTTAGACCTTGAACGATTCTCGGAGGTCGGACGTAGGTAGTACATGTATACCTAAGCTACTTTGGAGTATGCAGAGAGGATGGGAGCTAAGTCTATATTGATTACTCTGCAATCTAAAAGTGAGAACCTAATGTAGTGAGGCTTACTCTTCAGCACTATAGCTTGCTGGACTCGTATGATATACACCAAATAATGTAGATATCCCTGGTCAAACTTGTCAGAATAGCCATCGCATCCGTAGAGGTCATCAACCGATGGCTATCAAAGGAGACGAGATTTAACGACGTTGATGAGATTGGCCCGATGACCCAACTGGATGTTCGCATTAAATAGAGAAGAAAACGCTGGCAAACAGGAGTGACAAACTGTCAACCTGCAGCAGATGTTGCTAGAACTATGCCACTCATCCGACGGAATCCTTCAAGCAATAGAGAACTTTAGGAGCAGTCTTCCTCGCTCGAGGATTCTGCATACGGATCAGCAGCATCAAACCACCTCGCACACTTGATGGTCCAGAACGCCTCATTCGCAAACTGGGTGTAGCTCTCAGCGTTTTCGACAGCCAAGCCAGTCTTCGCTATGACGTGTAACTGGTGAAGCTTGTTTTCATGGTCCTCGGTTGCGCTCGCCAGGGGCGGAACAACCAATTTCGTGAAATGCGTGTATTCATGCAAAATGGTCGACCCCATTGTGTCCATCTTCTTTGTCAAAATGTCGCCAACGGTATCACAAGTAACCGCAGCAACATTGTCATATGCTTTATCAATCCCACCGGTGGAGGTAAATGCAACGGGACAGATAATCAATTCAGGCTTGTTTGGGTTGTCGTAAAACAACGCCTGACGCTTTCGTTTAATACAGTGGTATTTCCCTGTCTCGGGGTCCTTGTAGTCTTTGACAACCTCAATGGAACTTAAGAGATCGCTTCCGGTGGGAGGAGTGGATTCGCCGAGGATATTGTTGAAAACCTCTGCCTAGTTTGTTAATGTCGAATTCATATTTTTCGATGTATTGAGTAGAAGATTACCCTTGACTTTGTCCTTGTCTCTTGGACGGAAATACTTCTGGTAGACCTTGTCCATTGATACCTGGTCCAATGCGTGTCTGGCGTGATTCGCTAACGTCAAGGCATCATGAAATGCGCCCCCGATCTGTGCTTGCTGACTAGGAGTAAATGCTCCGAAGCGAATCTGTGGGCTGTCGCGCTTTTCTATGGATCGAATCGTCGTATCGAGCAGAGGTGATGCGAGGGCAGAAACCCATAAGAAAGTGGAAAGTAGAGCCCTCAACACCATTTTATACACTGAGAGACTGTATCCTAGGAATTGAGTATTGGATGACGAACGATTATTTTCTAATCATGGGGTACTCGGCTTTATATCCCAACTTTATAAGCTGCACTATGTAATCCGTAGGGCGTAATGTAATCTGCATCCTGGCTTAGCGGGCCAAAAGGGGTATGTACGATGCCTTTGGCCACTTTATGAGAACTCAAACTTCATGAGTTGAAGGAATCGAAGGAATAATAATAGGTAATGTTGGCCCTATGGCCCCCTTTTGTCTGATTTCGTAGTGCTTGGCTGGGGCCGGAAATGGGGCTAGCACTTGGAATGTTTGGGGTTGATCAAGCCTCAGCCCTAATGCAGGCCAAAAATAAGCCGACATACGGGGTAAACCGTACTGTACTGATGGGTGACTTGGCTGCCCTGGTTTCCCCTTCAAGCATTGTTCGCGAGCCCCAACCCAACTCATCGAGCTAGTTACACCCTGACTTTGGTCCCGTCAAGGAGCAAGGCGGAAATGTGCTACTTATAATGATAGACAGTGGCTTCGACTTGGAACTCTCCGGTATAGATCTCCTTCACCGAATGGTGGGGGAAGCTCAACGTCTTTACTAACAGGAGCTCGCGGCGACTTGCCGGACAGTGAAAAACGAGGCCGCCGAGGACATACGTACTGAACTGGAGGGTTAAGCTCCCTCTAGATGGAGTCATAGAACTAAGATGGCGACTATAGCCGCCGGAAAGAGTATAGGAGTGACCCCGAAAGCTTATTTAACAACTCGACCAAAAAGAGATGGACGCGCCTACTTCTAATAGGTACCGAAATCCTCTAGCTACTCAAATATGGAATAAGCGGCTAACTTCTTGGATAGGCTTTTGACCTGCAAGATGATAAATATGGTACACTATTGACGATGTCCTAGACTGTCCCCCCCGGTGCTGCGGGAGTTGTCAGGGCTATTCTGGGCATATGCCTGATAGAGAGACCGTGTGGGTTTCGGCAAAAGATTGATTGATCATAGAGTGGAAAACATGCTCATACCCTCCAGTCCTTAATTTTCTTCTATGAGAATTCAAATAAAGTAAAGACGATCGCATACCTTGAATCAATCTAGTCTACCCACCAGCACATCTTGAGCCCGCCGGGCATCTTGTGGCGCGAAACCATGGTATTGTTCCGATATATTCTTGAACTCGCCCTCGGATGTGAACAGCTATGGCGGGTCCAGTCGTCCCTGCACGACTAGGTCGAGAAAGAAAGGCTGATGCCGCTGTGGAGCCGCCTGGCCAACTCGGACCGTTGGCGTCTTTTGCATCACCGGCCCGATGGTGAAGTCGTGCAGTTGCGAAGTCTCCAAACAACGCTACATTTCCTTGCGCGTGACCTTGATAATTGCGGCCACTATGTCGCTAATTTCACGTTCTATTCAAATTGCTTGCTGGCTGTGGAATGCGGACTACGTGCTGCAGGACCTGGAGGCCTCAATTGAACGGCCTCATTGAATTTAAGCGTAATGTGGAATACATTCTGGATTTAATTTGATGAACCTAACTCAAGGAAAAACTACTTAGGATTTTCTAATTCGAGAAGTCGGAATTCTGTATACGATCTTGTTATAGCGGCCGACATCAACCACGATATGTAGCTATATTAGAGACCACATACCTATGAGCTCATGATCTAATACATCCCAATTTATGAGACTCCCTTAAATAAGATTCAGACACAGCTCCTCCGCCCTGGAGCTCCGGTGACCGTCCTCTGTTCCCAGATAAGGAGGGTTCCAATCGAGTCCAGGCTGAACGTCGCCGTGGCACCACAGCCACTCACCTCCGTGAAGCGTACCAAAGCCGCCTGAGCTTCTTGGATAAGCGGCTTGTCACTAGATGTAGATATCATGATTGTCCTTGAACAATTGGTCCCACATAGCCCTAACGGGATTCCCTATCTTGATCTATATCAATCTATGTACAAGTACCTAAACCCACAACGCCATCCCATGAAACCTCGCCCCTACCCATGCATCTCCATCTAAGTCATGATTTCTTCCTCAACACAGCAACCACACACCACCTCCTCCTCATCCCCGGCCCTTCCCCCTCCCTAATTGGAGCCCATTCCCTCCTCACCTCTGCCCCATCATCCCCCCTCGCCAGACAATCCCGCTCATAAATGCGCTCCACCTCCAACCCCAGACTCACAGCCGTCTCAAAGAATCCCGCCACAATCGCTCGACCTGTATGGAAGTTCGCGACGACCCAGATGCAGCCGCCCGGTGCGAGAAACCATAGCATCGAGCGCACGAGATTCTCGTGCTGCGAGCGCATCCAGTAGCAGTCTGCGGCAATGATGCGGGTGAAGTGGGCTTTGTTGGCGAGGGAGAAGGGGTCTGAGAGGACGCCCCATTCATGGGGGACTATTGCGGTGGTGTTTAAGCTTGCGCTTATATGGCGGAGATTGTGGGTCATGTTAAAGGCAATTGCGCCGGAGAGGGCTGGCGAGGAGGGGTGATCTGTTGCGGTGACGGTGGCGGCATTGGAGAGAGCACTGATGAGTGAAGGGAGAGCGGCGCCTAAATATTCATCGTTTCGTATGAGCCGGAATGCCTGCTTTACGCACCTGAAGTGCAATTGACTCCAAAGAGAAACAAAAAAAAAAAAAAAAAAAACTCACCAGCACCAAGCTCCAACACTCTCTCCCCATCAACATTCCACATCTTCGCCTCCGCCTTCCCGGCCGCAGCATCCTCTACCCCCTCCGCAACCACCATGCCCGAATCCCACAAGAAATGCGCAAACAGCTTGCGTCCCTCCTCGACGGGATACTTATTCACGCCATCCATCCTCTGGTCCAATCCCGCGGCGATCTCCTCCGACCGGTTCGCGCTCTCGCCCGGGTACGTGGGCACCATGATTTCGAGATCGCCATAGGCCGGCGACGCGTAGAGGAGGTGCTGGCCTGGATCGCCGTGGAAGGAGGGGGCATCGTCGGGGAAGAGGTGCGGGAGGAAGGCGCCGAAGACATCTTCGGGCTCGTCTTCGTCCGGTCGGGTTGGCGTGGAGGTGTCGCCGGTGGGAGGGCGTGGGGCGGGTCGTAGGCGGGCCTGAAGCATTTCCTCTTGTCTGGAGGGGAAGCATACGGAGTTCCAGACAGAATCTTGAAACCATATCTAACGTGTTTGCATTGTTTGTTTATGTCATCCACTGAGGATTCCCCCGCCAACACACTACCGAGGTATGTCGTCCGTGGACCATGGTGAGTGACCAGATAAGCGCTGATAATTGCACTGGATGATGTTGGTCTTGCCCGTCTCGGATCAGCAGCCACCATGCCAGATTCAGCCCGGCCGATGCAGGTATGCGGGATGGGGCGAAGTGGAATGTGCCAGAACCAGGCACCGAGCCCCCTTCCACTGGCGCAGGGCGAGCTCGAGCTCCCTGACGAACTAGGGCGGTTGGAGGAAGGATCCGCCTGCTGCAGGGGGAGCGTGGGCAGGACACAGTTACATAGGGAGGGTATCAACCGTACCGCGTATCCTGGGGGTTGTCGAGGTTGTGCTGTCCAAAAGAGCCATGACCATCAGCTGATCGGGTGATGTCATGTGGCCCACTTCCAAGGCCCGTCGATTAGTGAGTTACATAGTCTGACTCATCCAGGCTGGGAAGTTATTTCCCTCATCCTGGCGGGTGATCGTCAGGCAACGGGAGCGTTGCTGCTGGAGTGACTGCTCTGGAGGGAGGCGAGAAGAATATAGTTCTAATCAGCGTGGTCCGCGTAAAGACTGGGCGGAACTGCCTCCGAACCACGGGATGGCCTCCCCTGGGATGCCCGTCAGGTCGAGAAGCGAAACTGTGGGTCAATCGCGTCACACGCCGTCCAGAACACCATACCACGGCCACCACCGCCGTCCTCGTTCCATTCACGCCCTTTCTCTCTCCTGGTAGGAAATCACAAGAGACACCCTACTCGAAATCAACCGAAAATACGGCCATCCATCCGACCATCATAAATTATTTTTCTGGACCAGACAGGCCGCAGATCAAAAGCCCCCCCGCATGCTCACCCAAAAAGGCCCCCGCAAAGAGTGAGCGATTTTGGTGGGCCAGACCATACCGGATCTTTGTACGGTACCATTTCGCCCTCCTCTCGCCTTTTTTTTTTCCTCCTCACACTTTCCTTCTTCTTTCTTCCCTCATCTTCCGCCCGTTCATTCATCCCGTCCTTGTATCTCTGCCTTCTCTCTCTCTCTAACGACGCCAACCTGGCTTCTGCTCGACTCGACTTGGATCCATTCCGCCACCCCACCACCGCCACGACCCGCTCACAGTGTCTAGCCGCCCAGGCTGCCTGCCCGCTGCACTGCCCACCCAGCCCTGAATTGAGGGCCTCTCTCTTCCCTGAGGGCTTTCCGACTCTCGATTGCCAACCGCACTCTCAATCTCTCTGATCATGGCTTCGTTCAAGGTACGTGTTCCGACGCGGTGATCCCTCACCCTTTTTTTTTTTTGGTTGATCGCGTCGCTGATGATTTGGCCCCTTCGCCATTTCAGGAATTGTCCCTTTCCCGCCCACTCCCCAGTCCCAACCAGCGAGCCCACGCTCACTCGATCTCGCTGGGTGCCGTCAATGCCCACCACCGCGTTACTCGCCGTAAGAGTGTCACCACCGCTGCTGCCAATGCCGCCGCCGCGATCGCCGCCTCGCTCAAGGACTCCGGAGAAGCCGCGTCACTTCCGATGGGTTCCCACCGCCGCAGCCTCGCCGGTCGCAAGGGACTAGAATCCAGCTCGGTCGGAACGGCTCCTGGGTATCTGTCTCAGGGCCTGCACAGTCCCAGCCAGGAACCCCCGGTCGCTCGCAAGTCCTCTCCCAGCCAGGCAGACGAGGCAGACGCGAAACTCAAGAACCGGAACCGCCGAGCCAGCGAGGGCGCTCAGCTGGTGAAGGGCGATGGGAAACGCTCCATGGCGGACCTTCGCTGCGGTCGCTGCGGGAAAGGGTACAAGCATGGCAGCTGCCTGTCCAAGCATATGTGTGTATCCTCCCCGGCCGTCTCTCCCTTGCTCGATCGGAAATATGCACCATGTTGGCTCTGTGCAGGTCGCCCTCGTGGTCATTCACCTTCCTCCCCTTCCAAATCCCCTTCCAATTTTCCTTTTCTCTGGCAGTTTGGTTGACGTGTGGTTTTTTTTGTGGCATATTAGGTGGGAGCATGACCCAGCATGGGCAATTACCTCGAAACTACTCATTTCCAAGCACCAGCAGGTGCAGCTCCTGGAGGCCGCCAGCGTCCTGGTCAACATGAACGTCGACGAGCCCTCCGATGACTCCGCCGAGGTGGAATCGGTGCGATCGTCCGCATCCCCCGATGCGTCGTCGCAGGCGCGCGATGGCCTCAGCTCGGCAGAGACCACGCCGCCGCCGCTGGATGAGCGGGAAGAGGACGACGACTTTGAGATGTCTGGCGTGCCGTCCCAGTGGACCAAGCGGCCTAGCATCGGCAACATGTCGGCCTTCTCCCGCTCCTACCAGTCGATCCCCTCCAGCTCCTATACGGGCAGCGCTCCGCTGCACTCGCCGGCCTTCTCGTCCCACTTCCGACACTCGAGCATCGATACGCGTCCCTCGACCGCCGACACTCGACTGCACGAGGATGACGAGGCCGACCTGGCTGCCGCCATCGGTCTCTGCAATTTCGGCACCCCGCGCACTGGGCCCGTCTCCATGACTCCCGATGTGCCCCCCGTGCCCCCACTGCCGGCCCGCTTCCTTGACTCCAGCAGCCACCCAGGCACCGTCGGAGAAACAACCGAGCCCGCTCGCCGAGATTCCGAGGCCAATATCTTCCTCCCGACCTCACTCAACCCGTCTCTGTCGTACAAGGTGTCGGACGAGCGTGAAGTTCGCCCTGGCAGCGCCGCGGCCCGCGAGTCCCGTCATCGCCGCAACGCGGACGTGGATTTTGGCAGTCGCCCCGCGCCGGCGGATGACGACGATGACGGCGTCTTCGGCCGCATGGAGGAGTGATTTTTTCCCTCCTCTCTGCTCTGCTCAGAGACGGACAACGGGTCCCCCTTTAACTAACCCCTCTCTCCCAAACGACCCTTTTTCACGACCATGTACGAGCTTGAGCGATTTCCTTTTTTTTTTTGGGCTATTTCTTGTTCTCAAATTCTGCAAGCCACCCTGCTAAATTGGCAAACCACTCTCTGCTGCCACCTCAATCGATGAGATGGTTCCTCAAGAGATCCGAGTTTTTCCTGTCAGGCGTGTACATCTTCTCTCGGGACTTCTTTCCATCCCATGTATCATGTCTCCTTGGCCACCCGTTTTTTTTTTTGGTCCTTTTGGACCTCTTATTCCGGAAACCCATAAATGTGGCCCATTCGCTGGCCGGCGCATAACTTGTTCGTTTGTTTTTCTTGTTGTCTCGCATCATCACCACCATTATACTCATACTCATACTCATACTCACATCCCCACCAACACCATCTTCTATGTTTCCTTGCCTGCTCGGTCCATATAAACCCAAACCCCAACAAACAATTCTCTCCACACCACACCCCCCACCCCTCTTGTGTGTCTCTCGTCCGCTTCTTCTTTCTCAACGCGTCTCTGTCGCCATGCCATGGAGAAATGCCCTACGTTGTCTACTCTTCCCGTCCTACTCCGCGGACCGGGCGCACGATGAATATAATTCATGAAATCATAGCTTTTTCTTCTAGTCTGTACACTGTAGGGTGCTGCAGTGTGCACACTTGTAGATTGAATAGACAGAGTACATACATGTGTCTACGCCCATATCCCGCACGTGGGGAATTGGGGAGCTAGCTACATAGATCTACATCTACGTGCAATCAAGGTCCACGGCGGAAAATACACCCGGTCAATGGCAAGTGGCGGAGTCGCCTTGAGCTCACGAGGCAAAACCCTAACTCAAACCCAAACAAGAAGGAAGAGGAAGAATGGTAAGTAGGAAAGAAAAGTGGACAGAAACAAGACCACAGGGGGCAAAAAACCGCCAGGGCCTGGGGTATCTCCAATAATACAAAATTCCACAAAAATACAAGACACTAAAACAAAAAACTATCCCCGAGCGTCAGTAGTCAGGGGGGTGGTTGGTCGAATTCACCGGGGGCCCTCTCCTCCCCGAGGTCATCCTCCCAGCTTACTTACCCCCACAAGCCACAACAGCAAGAATAGGCCCAAGCTCTAACTAGTAATCAACTCTCCCCCGCTTTTTTTGCCCGTTCCCCCTCCATCGCCGAAGCGATCCGTCCGCGTGATGTGGGCGTTTGCGCCATCATTGGTTGACGGGTGGGTTTCTGTCAGCAGCGAACAGTGAATTGAGCTGAGCTGAGCTGAGCTGAGTGGATTTGTGGATGTGAGAAGAGATGTCGATCGATGCGTACTGGTAAGCATGCAAGTCCGATCACCCATGTTGGCCGGATTCGAAGCTGTGACGGTCTTGGGAACGGTTGACATGATTTTCGAAGACAGGAGATTGCCACGGTAGAATAGAATTCCAGACACCATATAAGATGCTCTCTGGGTCAGCGCGACCAGCACGAGTGATCTCCTGCGAGATGGCGTGGATGTCGATGTACCAATAATGATTATTAAACGATATTCCGAAACGACGACGTGTAGATGTGAGGTGGGATGATGATCTGCCCGAAGGAATACGACCATATGTACGAATTGGCATGATGTGATGTGATCGGTGCTAAAGCAGAGCCGTCATTGCTGAAGCAGATCTGATGCTTATGGATGTCGGCAATGCCGTGTGATGTGGTGGGATGCTCTCGAGGCAAGAAGAAATGATAAGAAGTCGAAAGCCATCGCTGCTGAAGCACAGCCTGAGATCGTCCTGATGCTGATTGACATCGACAATGTCCCAATGAAGTGATGCGGTGCTCTCGAAGAAGCAGGAATGGCTGAAAAGCTGCGAGTAACGCTGGACACGAGGATGTAAGTAGTACAGAAAATAGTATAGGATGAGCACCCCTCCTCCCTCCCTCCCCTCGCCCCGGCAGACAGCGGACAGAAAAGGGTGAGATGGCAGAAGAACCGCAGGTCAATGCTGCACGTCAGAGACAAAGTCATACATCGTGATGGCCGGAGACGGAGACAGAAATCATACAGTGACGGCCAGGGCCCAGCGTACTCAAAAGCAAAAAATAACAAACAAACAAAAAACCCTAAAACGAAACAGCGAACTCACGGGGAGAACCAACCCTCGGCCGACCCCTTTCTTTCTTTTTTCTAAAGAAAAGCGAAAACGAAAAGCGGTACTGGTGAGGGCGCCGAGGGTTTCTTGTATACAACGAACGGTCAGTGGATTCATCTTTCAAGGGGTCAAGACAAACTTACATCTCCACCGTGAGCCGCACTCAACGCCTCAGATCTCTCCGGCACCACCACCAGGCGACATGGCGAATTTCCCACGCCTGTCAAGACCAGGTCTTCCTCCGCATTGCACTGCGCAAGCAGAGACTGCTCTGGTGGCCAGGAAAGAGCGGTCCGCTCACCCCCGAAGAAGCGGGTGCCAGCCCTAATGGCCCCAGTGAGACAGCCTTACTCCGTCGGTGCAGGTATCACCCTCTTACTACCCCGGAGGGTAAGGAGTGTAGTACCCCGTGAAGGGAGGGTACTGGTTGACGTACGGCGGGAGGTGGTTGCCATCCGCAGACGGATACATGCCTCGAGGCATGGGTGCCGGGTAGAGAGGACCTGGCCGCATCTGCTGGCCGAACCCTGGACCCCATTGCGGGACCTTGCCCTGCGGCACTTCTGCCGCCAGGTTCGAAGGCGACACCGACGGAACTCCGCAAGCAGGAGAGACTGATCCCTCCTCCTCAAACCCCCGGATCAGTTCCTCCTGCTTCTCGCAGAGAGCCCGACGTGCATGGCGCCGCCTCTTCGCCTGGCTTGGGCGAGGCTTGCGCTTCGATCCTTGTAGGGTCGTGGCGCCGTCAGGGCGCTCGTCCGTCACCTCTGCCATCTCTGGATGTTGTCTCTCCCAGCTCGATATCAAAGCACTCGCAAGCTGGACCACCCGGAAGGATGGCAGAGACTCCGGGCATCGAAGAATCAACGCATCGGACGATGGGCAAGGCTGGGGGCAGCCGCATCAGGCGCCGAGGCCGCAGCAGCTAGAGAAAGTGTGAAGAGGTCTTCGGCAGCTTTGACGATGACCTCCGACCCGGTGCTCACGTCGAGCAACCGTTGGAGTTCCTGGCGGCGAACAGCCTTGGCCACCTCTTGGGCGAGGTGCATGGTCCGGAACTCCCACGGCGCGACGATCACAACGAAGCCGGTGCGGGCATCGACGAGAGACTCGAAGAAGATCCCGTTCGCTTCCTTCATCGGACCCGCGGCCAGGTAACCCATCTCCTCGTACAGAGACAGACACCGGCCCTCCACAAGGCGAACCTTGGGCTGGTCCTCCGTATACCTCAGGGACTTCCAGGTCTTCGTAACACGAGCCTGCAGTGCGTAAGCATCGTGAGAGGAGACGATGTCCGCAAAGACCAAACCGAAGAAGAGGAGCGAGAAGAGCACGTCGCAGGTTGTCTCGAGGCAGGACGTGGGCGAGTACGAGGCCCAGCGAGGAGTCTCCTCCCACAGTGGCAGCCGGAGATCCGGGTATCCAGTCCAAACTTGCGTGGGCAGCATGGGCGAAGATGCCTTGAAGGCCTCGTCCCAAATGGTCAGCCGGAGATCCAGGTTGACCGTTGTCCGATTCGAGATGTCTACGTGGTTCCATTCCACGACCAGGACATCGTGGCGGACGTACACGCCCTCGTGCCCAGGGTTGGTGTACCTGGAGATATCCTCCAGCATGCCATAGACTATCTTGCCGCCTGCGACGGCCTCCAAAGCCCCAGCGATCCTCTTCATGAAAGGCTCATTAGGGTCTGAGATCCCGGGGACGTGGAACCAAGAACCCAAAAGTGCCAGAGCGAAAAAGATACCAACGAAGGGAACAATCATCCTTGTTGGTGGTCTGTCGGGAATGAATTAGATATCAGTCATTTCCGGCTCAACACCGAGAGAGAAAGGAGCAAGAGGTTACGGTTGGTAGGTAGGTAAGTGGTAGTGATAATGATGAGAAAGTGATGGATGGTAGAGATGGCTGATGGTGTTGGTTGTCAATGATGATGGTTATGGAGCGTTGGGGAGGAAAGGGTCGAGAGAGAAGGAGGAAGAAGAGAAGGAAGGACAGAAGAAGAGACGCAAGTATAGAGGGACGATTTGAGTATGGAAAGGCAGGTTGCCAGGAAGAGAAGGCAAGTAGGGCTTAGAAATTCATTCACCGTCAATAGCAAACCTCGCAGGCCCCCACGGTATACTAAGGTCACCGGCAAGGTGTTCCTGGGAGGATTTCATGCCAACTAACTAGTACTCAAGGATACAGCTCTGATATCATGGTGGCCCGAGTACCTCCGAGGAGTCGAGCAGGTGCCTGAGATAGTATATCTGTACTGATATTGGGATCAGCTCACTTGCTAGGGAAATTACTAACTTCACAATTAACCATATAGAGGAAGTTATACGATTTCAAGATAAGAAGATTGGAAGGAAGTACATATAGTCCAAGTGATTTCCAGAGGATGTCCAGACTGGGATGGAGCAGCCATATATAGTGCCTAGCTTAGACACAAGCAACCACAAACATACTGTTCTTTAATCATACTTCCTGGCATAGGTTTAATGCACTTCTTCCTGAGAGTTCTTGTTCCAAGTTAACAGATCGGAGTTATATAGGGCGTGCCACAGCAAAAAAGCCAGTACCATAGCTCTATCTCTGAAGCAGTACCCTTTTCAATACTTGCACAGCAATAAGATCCAAGATCATGCTACGATGACAAAAAAACAAAGGCAGAGATAAAAACCTGAAATTGATGTATTGGCAGCCGTCTAAGGCAAACGCTGATTCTTTTAGAAACTAAATAGACCAAAACTCCACCCGTAAAAGTGCAATCGTGTCGTATCTGTGCAAAGCATTGACAGAAATAAAAGCCCACAAGCAGATCAAGACCCAAGAAAAAGAAAGCTCGGCAACATTGTTCAATCGATATCCATTTCCTCCTGAACACCACCATCGACCAAGAGCTTCGTCTTCTTCTTCTGCCGCAGTCTCTCCTCGCCATGCACGCGGTTGGCCGTCTTGCTCTGCTCGGGAACCATTGGCATCCCCTCCTCGCGCTCGCGCAGCTCCTTGCGAATCAGATGCTCGCCCTCGGCGACAACGCGGCGATCCGCCTCGCGCTGGCGATCCCGGGCCAGCTTGCCGGCCAGACGGCGCTTGGTGAACACACGCTCGCGGCGCTGGCGGATCTCCTCGACGCGCTGCATGGCGTTGACGGTGGCGGCGACCAGGTTGCGGTCGTACTTGACGGGGACGTTGCGCTTCTTGGTGAACTGCGAGAGCACCAGCGACGAGTCGACGATCATCTCCTTGCCCCGTGCGGCGCGGTGGCTCTTGGTCCACTTCAGCTTGCGCGGCTGGCGCTTCATCTTGAAGTTCTTGTGGCACTTGGACCGGCAGAAGCGGAATTGGCGGGCGTCATTGCGCACGAAGGTGATGCCCTTCCCTGGGAAGGCGGGGCGAGAGCAGAAGTGGCAGGTTTCCACACTAGAAGGGAATGTCCGTCAGTACCTTTTCAAGTATATAGACAGAGAGATTACTTACCGCATGCTGGGCGAGAAGCGTGGGTAGTTGTTGTTGTTCTTCGTCGTTTCGTTGCCAGAAACTTTTTTTTTGGTTGGAGTTGTGCTCGGTCACGCTAAACCCGATCGGGCCCGCCGACTTTTCCTCCCGCGCAATACTTGGACACTTCTTCCTTCTTCCCTTTCTTCACCCACTCCTCACCCTCTGCATCCATCACAATGGCCTCGACTTTTGCTGTTGGCCTCGGTGTGGCCACCGCCGCATTCTTGGTAAGGGGGAGGTTCTTGAGCATGGTTTTTGAGTCGGTACTGACTTCTTGCCTCATAGGGCCGCGCCGGGTATGTCGCCTTCCGCCGCTACAGAGGGGGGATGAATGCAGCCGGAAAGGCCTTCTACAAAGGGTTCGTTCCACCCCCACCCGATACCTGGTAGTCGTGACTGACGGAATGAACAGAGGATTTGAACCGCGCATGACCCGCCGCGAAGCCTCCCTGATCCTGGAACTCTCGTAAGTTTTTTTGTTGGCCCGATGCACATCCAGACAATTCCTAACTCATAGCCCAGGGAGCGAACCTTGACCAAGGACAAAGTGCGCAAGAACCACCGCCAGCTCATGCTGCTCAACCACCCTGATCGCGGCGGCAGTCCGTACCTGGCCACGAAGATCAATGAGGCTAAGGAATTCCTCGACAAACACGGTTGAGCCGCCTGTTCGCTCGACCTCGCCTTGGTTGGAAATCACCGACGGAATATGGGGTTCGACAGAGCGGCCATATTGGATGCATAGCGTGGTGTTTTGTTTTTGGTTGGCATTTTGCAGAGGCCGAGAGTTTCTTTCGCCTCGATGTATCATATGCACGGTTTTTGTGATTCTATTATATCCTGACGAGATCGCCACTCTTCGTTGAATGTACTACTACTTTCTACACTTTCTACACCGCTTAAACGATCTTCTGTACGTGCTCGAAAACCCCGATCGGTGAATTCCGGGCTTCGGGTTCTGTATGCTGTGCCGTGTCGATCTCTGCTGGTTGTGGGCATTGTAGCCCATCGAAGCCCAGGCAACAATGGGTCCGGATGTGCCTGGTCAACCCAGTCTCGGAGTTCGGGAACGGACGAAAAACTTACCGTCCGCCACCACTCGTCGGGGCTAGGGGATCCGGCGACGGCGCTAAGACGAGAACTTTAGTTGCATCGTTTTCGTATCGAGTTAGCTCAGTTGTCAGCCTCGATAGAGACCTAGATTCGTGAAGATTCGGAGCACAAGACAGACCAAGAGAGAGAGAGCGAGAGAGCGTTGCATCCCCATCCTCCAACACGTGCCGGTTGAGTCATCCACCCCAAAATCCATCTTCATCATTCATCTCGGGCCCGCACCGCTGCCTACTTCTGGATGTGTCAGCTGCTTCCCCTGCGATCGTCACCTCCCCTCCGATCTGTCTTCCGGGGAGCTTGTCGGGTATTTCTACACCCCGAACCTGGAAACTAATTTAAATACTCCCCCCAAGAGAACAGAGAACAGCCCAAAGGGACAATGGATGGCCTGGGGGACGACGACGGCATGGGCTTTGACATGCCGCCCATGATGGCCATGAACCAACAGTCGCAGCTGTATGGCGCCTACTCCCAGGATGGCTCACAACCAATGTCCGCCCCCATGTACCCCGACGACTCCGCAATGGCTACGGGAGACGACGCGAACGATGCGAATGACGCGAAGAGACGGAGAATCGCGAGGGTGAGGACTATCTTTGGAACGGTGAAGTCGCAATGGATGGTGGCTGACGGTGGCTATGACCATAGGCATGCGACATGTGTCGCAAGAAGAAGATCAAGTGCGACGGGAAAATGCCCAAGTGCTCACACTGTATCAACTACAAGACCGAGTGTATTTTCACACAGGTGGAGAAGAAACGAAATCCGCCCAAAGGGTAGGTTGCCAGCACATATTGTCAGGGAAAGAACCCCCCCGCTGATTACAGGTTACTGCAGAGCAAAGTATATCGAGGGCCTGGAAAACCGTCTAGGACGGATGGAGTCGCTGCTACGACTCTCTGGTCTACTCTCCGAGGACGATGACGGCAAGACGGACCTGGGAACATTGGAGAAACGACTGGCCGATCGAGCGAGCACCCTGAACACATCCAAAAGTGCAACCCGAGCGAATACCGCCAGTACTTCCCAGCAGCCAGCTCTAGCCTCTTACCATACTACACCCCGCATGGAGTCGCATTCCAGTCCCCGGACAGCCCCCACTTCGCCCGAGTCGCAGAAGGAATCGGAAACCGAGGTCGAGGCGTTGTCGGATATGATGTGCTCGTTGGTGACGAACAATTGTGGAGAGACTCGTTACATCGGTATTTCCCCTGGCTGCCACGATGCATTCCGTGGACTGACATATGATGAATCCAGGCTCCTCGTCCGGGTTTTCAATCTTCTCGCCCAAGGGCATTCAATGGGTCAATGAGAAGACGGGCGATACATCGTTCCAGGATATGATCTCCTCGGCTTATGTAGATGACAACAAGTGGATGTACTGGAAACCGGAGATCTTCAGCGACATCTTTGCCCGGCGGGTCTTCAAACCACTCCCTCCCAAGGAGGAAGCGCTCTCGCTATTCAGAGATTTCTTTGAAAATTTCAATTGCATGTTCCCGTTGTTTCACGAGGCAACGTTCATGCATTTGGTGGAACGTCAATACTCGCGCGACCCTTACGAAGGCTCTGGCTGGTGGGCGAGTATCAATGTGGTGTTGGCCATCTCCCACCGGCTCCGCGTAATGAGTAACTTGGTGCCCCATGAAGAGGACAAGAAAGCATGGCTGTATCTGAAAAATGCGATGGGTGTTTTGACCGAGCTGACGATGCGAAACACGGATCTCCTCAGTGTTCAAGCACTGCTAGGCATGGTGAGTCTTTTTACCCCCCTATATGGGGATTCTTGACCCTAACTCATCTCTAGACCCTCTTCCTCCAAGGCACACCGAACCCTCAGCCTGCTTTCTTCCTGGTTGCGGCAGCCATTCGTCTTTCCCACAGCATTGGGTTGCACAAGCGCGGATCTGGATTCGGCCTTAACCCGGTGGAGGTTGAACAGCGGAAGCGAGTGTTCTGGATTGCATACTGTCTCGATAAAGAGTATGTGAATTTTTCCCACGACATATTTTGACTTGTACTAATTATATGACACAGCCTTTGCCTTCGTTCCGGCCGACCCCCGGTGCAGGATGACGATGACATGAACGTCGAGCTTCCAAGTGAAGATCCCCCCGATAACATCGGCAATGTCCCGCTCTCCGATGGAAAAAGCAAATTCAATCTCTTTAGAGCTATGTGTGAATTTGCTACCATTGAGAGCCGAGTCTACAAGCGACTGTACTCGGCCAAAGCATCCAAGCAGTCTGATGGTGAATTGCTCAATACCATTGGCGAGCTTGACAAAGAGCTGGAAGACTGGAAAGATAGCATTCCTGTCGACTTCCGGCCCGAGTACGAGATCCAAGCCTCCCACACTCCCCTCATCCTTCATGTTGTTGTCCTACAATTCGCCTATTATAATTGCTTGACCACCATTCATCGAATGTCTGTGCATCACGGCTACTGGACCAGCCGTCTTTCCAACTACGCCATCCAAGGTCTGAACGCGCGGCCGTTGAATCCCAGAGTCTTCCTATCGGCGGTTCTGTGCGTGACGGCGGCAAGAGCGTCGATAAATCTGATCAGGTACATCCCGCAGGGAGACTTTGCCTGCGTTTGGTTGATTCTCTACTATCCGGTGTCCGCACTCGTCACTCTCTTTGCCAACATCCTCCAAAACCCGAACGATGCCCGCGCTCGCTCTGATGTCAAACTGATGAACGTAGTTGTCAATTTCCTGTCGACTCTGGTGTCCGACGAGTCTAACGGGAGCATCAAGCGCATGCTCGGTCTCTGCGGCGAGTTTGAGCGAATCGCCAAGGTGGTCCTGGACAAAGCCGACAAGGAATCTCACTCGAGAAAGAAGCGCAAGACAATGCCCCAGGATTCTGAGCTTGGCCAGCAAGATGGTCATGAACAACAAGGTACTGGCAGAAATGCACATACCCCTGCTACATCTACGCCTTTCTCCCCCTCCATGTTCCCCAACGCTACCGCTTCATCTCCCGGCACCGCCAAGGCATTCAACCCGGGTCCCACCATGCCCCCGAGCAGTGGCATTTCCACCGATCTTCCGAGCAACATCCACGCCATGTCCGGTCTCGGCCAGGAGTACCAGGAGATGCTGAGCCCGGATCATCTGGCCAACGTCGGATTTCCCGATCAATCCTTTGGAACCGCTAGTCCGAATCCCTTGGGATCGTTCCAGCAACCCTTTGTCCCACAGGATCTGTGGCAGATGCCCATGACCATCGAGTGGGACTGGGCAGATATGTCGACGAACTTCCCTGTCTTTGAAGCCGGCGGCGTCGGCTCGAATGGACCTCCGCAGCATGGGCAGTGATTTTATGATGAGTATGACTTCTTACACGGTGGGACGCAGAAAGTGAACCAAACTCATCCTTGGCGCTTCTTAGAGTTTTGTATTTATTGCTGGAGTTCAGCGAGAGTTGGGTTTTGAGGGGTGTTTTTGGGTTATTCTTGGGATATTCTCCTCTTTGGTTCTGATGGAGGACCAGAGCGGCGTCCTCTCCCCTCAGCTACTACTACCATATCTCCTCTTGATGTACATTGATACAGATTCTCAATCATGATCTATAGCTCACTACTACTGTTTAATTCCTAGCCCATTTCTCAAGTTCGCTAGGTTTCTGATGATCACGTGTAGAGCTGACTCATCACCTCGGGCGGAAACTGATGGAAAATCGGCCGTGAGCAGCTCTGCCAGAGAGCTAAACCACTACCATCTACTTCGGGTCGCTCACCCTCGTTCACTCCTATTCCGCAAGGGATTTCTATGGATTCAGTAGTTGACTATCACTACTGAAGCCGATTGATCCTCCTTTCCCTCTCCCTTCCCGCAGCCTTCTGGGCTCCTCTCCCTCGACCATGGCCACCTTTCTCCGGCGGCCAGGCAATCTTGCTCGCTACTCGAGGAGGGCCGCAGACTGCATCGGTCGGTCCGGACCAGCATCAGTGCGCGTGTTGCCGCCGACGAGACTCTCCTCCCTGATCGTATCGCACCGTGCCCGAACCTATGCCACCGCCGGCCCCGGAGGCCCGGAGAACAGCCAGAATGGGCAAAATCAGACTAGCGGTGGCGGCAACGGCCCACAGAAGAATAACCGCAAAGATGAAGAATCGGAGAAGCCGGAGTCTGTCTTGAGCGCAGAGGAACAGAAACAGCTCGATGCGTTTGTTAAGCGTGTGGAAGGGCGCATGCCTGCCGCTCAGCACGCACAACTTCAGCAGATGCGAAAAAAGTTGATGAAGGAGGGACTGCCGCCAGAGGTGAAGACGTTTGTTGAACGTCTCGAAAAGCACGGAGACCCTTCGCTGATGGAATATATCCGGATGGTTCGCTTCATCTTGCGGTATGCCAACGACGAAAGCAAGAAGATAAAGAGTGAGACAACCGAAGAGGAGACAAAGCGGGAGAAGCGGGAAGAGCGGGAAGCCGAGGAGGAGGATGGAGAAGAAGGGAAGAATAAGCAAGAGGATAAGCAACAACAAAAGAAGGATCACAAGAAGCAGCCTCCACCACCACCGGGTGGCAGGGTTTTTGAGTTCAAGCTCGATCCCGCCTCCTTCCTGATTACCTCAATTTGCGCATACTACGTCTACCGCAGCTTTTTCCCTGGCGAGAGTGCCTCCCGGGAGATCACCTGGCAGGAATTCCAGGCGGACTACCTCGACAAGGGTCTCGTGGAGAAACTGACGGTGATCAACCAGACCAAAGTCCGCGTTGATCTCAACAGCGAAGCTGCGACTCAGGCCTATCCGGATTCGGCTGGGCAGCCTGTTCATCATGTCTACTTCAGCATCGGATCCGTCGATGCCTTCGAGTCAAGACTAGACGCCGCGCAGCAGGAACTGGGAATTCCCACGAAGGAACGAATCCCGGTGGCCTACGTTGATGAAATGCCCTGGGGTCCTGCTCTGTTTAGCCTCGCTCCCACTGTCCTCTTATTTGCCGGTATCTATTGGATGTCGCGGCGCGCGGGTGGTGGTGGTGGCGGTCAAAGTGGAATATTCGGTATTGGTAAGAGCCGTGCCAAGCGCTTCAACCACGAGACCGATATCAAGATCAAGTTCTCGGACGTGGCTGGTATGGACGAGGCCAAGGTTGAAATCATGGAGTTCGTCAGCTTCCTTCAGCAGCCTGAACGCTTCGAGAAGCTAGGTGCCAAGATCCCGCGCGGTGCTATTCTCTCGGGTCCTCCAGGTACCGGTAAGACACTGCTGGCCAAGGCTACTGCCGGTGAATCCGGAGTCCCCTTCTACAGCGTCAGCGGTTCGGAGTTCGTTGAGATGTTCGTCGGTGTTGGTCCTTCTCGGGTCCGTGATCTGTTTGCCAACGCCCGGAAGAACACCCCATGCATTATTTTCATTGATGAAATCGACGCCATTGGTAAATCACGATCGAAGTCGAACTTTGGTGGCGGAAACGATGAGCGTGAAAGCACCCTTAACCAGATCCTCACGGAGATGGACGGCTTCAACACTTCCGAGCAGGTCGTCGTTCTGGCCGGTACTAACCGACCGGATGTTCTTGATAAGGCCCTGATGCGTCCCGGGCGATTTGATCGTCACATCACCATCGACAGGCCAACCATGGACGGCCGCAAGCAGATCTTCCGGGTTTACTTGAAGAAGATTGTCACCGACGAGAACTTGGAGTACTTGGAAGGCAGACTTGCCGCTCTGACTCCCGGCTTCGCTGGTGCGGACATTGCCAACTGTGTGAACGAGGCGGCTCTTGTTGGTAAGTTTTTTTTTTCTGGAGAGTCAACTTCAATAAGCTAATTGTCTATGCAGCTGCTCGTGCCAACGCGGATAAGGTCGTCATGAAGCACTTCGAGCAAGCCATCGAGCGAGTGATTGGTGGCTTGGAGAAGAAGTCGCTTGTGCTGTCCCCTGAAGAGAAGCGAACAGTCGCCTACCACGAAGCCGGCCACGCCATCTGTGGTTGGTATTTCCGGTGGGCCGACCCGCTGCTCAAGGTGTCCATCATTCCGCGTGGCCAAGGTGCCTTGGGATATGCCCAGTACCTCCCCGCCGGCGGCGACACCTACCTGATGAACACCAACCAGATGATGGACCGGATGGCGATGACGCTGGGCGGCCGAGTCAGCGAGGAACTGCACTTCGACACCGTCACCAGCGGTGCCAGCGACGATTTCAACAAAGTAACCCGCATGGCCACCGCCATGGTCACTAAGTTCGGCATGTCCCCCAAGCTGGGCTACATCTACTACGAAGAGGACCCGCAGCAGCAGCTCCACAAGCCCTTCTCCGAGCACACCGCCCAAAGCATCGACTCCGAGGTCCGCCGCATCACTAACGAGGCCTACAAGCAGTGCCGCGATCTTCTGACCGAGAAAAAGAAAGAGATCGGCATCGTCGCTGAAGAGCTCCTCTCCAAAGAGGTTCTCGGCCGTGATGACCTCATCCGCCTCCTGGGCCCGCGGGCCTGGCCTGAATCAGGCGAGTTTTCGAAGTACTTCGATGGCCAGGGCGGCGCCACTATCGCTCCCCCCGAGCCTCCTGTGGACCCCGAGGCGGCCGGGGGCAAGGATGGCCGCGATGAAACCCCTCTCCCGACATAGATTTTGAGTTGGTGTTCTTTTATTTTCTTTTGTGATTTCTGTACTTATGGATTGCATCTTTCTTATTGGTTTTCTTTTTCCTTCTCCCCTCCTCGCCTCTCCTCACGTCTTCATTCCCATCCTCGACTCTTTTCATCCCTATCTACCTTCCTTTCGACCATGTCGCTCTACATCTGAAGAACCCTTCCTGTCTTGTGTATTGTTCTTCCGCCCCTCTCTCCCCTTTTCGATATTCCACCACTTGGATATCTATGTAGTGTATAATAGGGAGTTGATGAGAATAAGATTCAATCAAACTTAGTTCCTATAGCGTAGTGGATTGCCGAAATAGATAGATACCTGACTTGAGTATCTGATGATTCAAATATCCTTTATCTTCTTGACTCTATTGTTTATGCTATCCTTTCTTTCCGTCTGGGTTAGTTTGTTCACTGGTTTCAGTTTCAGAATAAACAAAGAGGTTTAGAAAAAGGTCTCGTCTATTCACATGACCACATGTATTTGGGAGAAACTTGCTGGCTACATATACAACCCGAGATGACCATTATATTCTTAAAGGCAATGCTCGCTGCCTTCACAAGTCCTACTCTTACGAACGCATAGAGAAGGCCATGCCAACCACCCAGTCTATCAACAATGGGCTCATCCTGCCTACACTGGTAGATTACGGCGGCATCTTCGACCATTACCTAGACTCGCCGGTGGAGGAGCCACGCGAATGTGAGCTCCCTGAGAACCGAGTCAAGCGAAAACGAAGTCAACAGAAGAGCGCACAGTCCGATTCAAGAAACAGGAAGAGCGCGGTGGAATGGGTTATCCCAGCGTTGCACAACTGGTCGCTCCCTCCGTTCCTCGGTGACCTAGGTCGAACGCTGATCAACGACGGAGTATACCTCCCGCACCCGAATATAGCACTACCCATCAACAGATATCTGCACCAGCGCAGACAGAGACTGGCACCGCTCTCGTGGACCGAGCCGTCGGCTCCACACTGGGAGACAGAACAATGGTTGAAGCTGCTTCCACTGGAGAAAAAGGCCAGGTTTTACCAGGCAGAGCTCCTCGACGAGCCGCTGATCGGTGCAGAGAATTATCTATCCTGGGTAGAGAAGATGGGCGAGATGCTGGAACAGTCTAATGTCTGGCCGGTTGTTGGCGGTGGTCTGGAGCCAGTGCCAGCGACGAGCGGGTTTTGTACCCGATGGAGACAGGTGAACAATCACGCGTGGATGATGATCACTGCAAACGTGTCGCGGGGGATCCGATGCGATCTCTGTGATCATGGATTGGCGTGGGACGCGCGAGGCACTTGGAGTTATCTTCAGAGGACATGTGGCGGTGGCTTGGCCATGACACGGCGATCTATGCAAGGCATTCGAGATCTTTTGCGCATCGAGGACGATGACTGCTCATCGCTAGATGACTACCTGTGTCAAATGCTAGTTTGCATCCGGGCCATCGAGTGCAACCGCCAAGGGAGAGAAGACAATGTCTGGTTGTGGTGCCAGTTCATTCTGGCAAATCTAGGCCCGGCATGGGATGATTGGGTCTCGGATCTTGTGACCAAGGTCGAGAACGACAACACCAAAGGTGACTTCCTGGACAGCTTCGAGCACCTGTATCAACTCCTCGGGATGGAGGAGGCGCGGCGTGAACGTGCTTCGCGCTTCCTGCCACGAGGTAGTGAGTGAGGATGAACAAAACTCTGTTTTGTCAGTGGATTGAAAGCAAAAGTGAGATTGTGAATATCGCAGAACAAGATCATTTGACATAGTTATATGTTTGGTGTCCCCAAAATCGAAAGCTGTTCAAAATCGCCACATCCAAATATAGCATTATATATATTTTCTTCCCAAAGCAATTCAAAGTAATTCCTTATATATCCAAATTATTTGCTCTTCTTGTCCTTGATCGCCTGAGCGGTCTTCTTGCCAGCACGCTTGGGCTTGTTTGACTTCACAGACCAACGGGGAATAAACCGGCCAACACGGGCCTGGTACTCGCGGTACTCTGGGTACTTGGCTGCACTGATAGATTCGGTGAGGCGGGTGCTTCCCTGGAAGATGAGGAGGTAGCCCACGACACCGAGACCACTCCACTGGAGGTAGTTCTCAGTACGGTAGCAGCTCCACAGATACAAGGTCACCCAGACAGCCTGTTCGGCGACAAAATTGGGGTGACGCGACAGGGACCAGAGACCGCTGACCACGAACCCACGCTCAAGGTCCTCGGGGGTGTACTGGTCCTTGTACTTGTCAGAAATGCGCGCGTGGTTCTGGTATTCCAACTTGGCTTGGTGGAAGTTCCACTGTTGCTGGTCGGCGAAGAATTCAATAATAATAAAGAAAAAGGCCGCGCGGGAGAAGATCAAGTCGGGCACTTCAAACGACTCGGGGCCCTGGGTATGCGCCACCACAAGCATAACGTAGGTCGGCGCGGTGATGAGAAGAAGCAACAACGACTGGGCCGCAGCAATGAAGGTCAGGTTGAAGATCATGAACACAAATTTGTTGTTCACTTTTGCGCGCACGATCTCCCAGCGATAGTCCTCAGAGCCGATCTTGTAACCTCCTTTGCGCCAGTAGTTGAATGTCAGACGAGCCTGGAAATACTCAATTAGCATACTTGAACACGGCGCATTTGTTCGAAATTCTTACACTCCACAGCAGGCTAATAACAGCGATCGTGTCCACAGTCTGGGTGCGAATTCCGGCCAAGCACGCCCAAGCAGCGAAGTGCACATTGTACACGGCGGGCAAGATGCTCCAGAAGCGATCCACCTGCGAATAGTTGCGGTTGATCTCCGCTGCCACGAAGAACAGCGCAGCAAGGCAGGTGCCAAGGGCGAATGCGGAGATGAAAGGGTTGGTGGCGAGATACACAGCCTTCAAGCTATCCAGGTCGCGGCCGGCTTCGTGCAAACTGGCGGGCAGCCATTCCAACTGGGAAATAAAAGGAAGCACGGCGAACCTAAACGAGGTGCAGTCTGCTAGGGACTCAACACGGGGCAGCGGAAGAGTAGCCATCTTTGATGTCGAAGATGCGCAAGTGGATGGATTTGGGATGGCGTTGATGGGGGGATCGCGATTGTTTTGTTTGGATTACCTCATTCAGGCAGAAAAGATATGGTGCCTCAGGCATCAATAGGCGCGTCTCTCGTTTTCTTCGCGTCGCTCCCCAATCTAACCGCTTGTGGGAAGCATGCAAGCCGATCGTCAACCTACGACTGTGTAGAAGGCCAGTGGCACACACGATGGTCCCTTGAGTCTGACTTCCGGCCTCCACAATGGCGCGGAAGATCCTGTGCGTGGCAGAAAAACCCGCCATTGCTCGCGCGGTGGCCACACATCTGTCCGGTGGTTCGATGCAAACGGTGAGTGCCTCGACTTGAAAATTGGTGGCACAGACTGATGTCAACTGTAGCGCTCTATACGTGGGACACAGTTCGTGAAGAATTATGAGTTTGATTTTAATTTCGGTGGCGCCTGGGGAAACTGCTCTGTCACCATGACCAGCGTGGTGGGCCATCTGACAGGCCTGGATTTCGAGCGCCAGTATAAAGGCTGGACCTCCTGTCCTCCAGGATCACTGTTTGAGGCACCTGTTCAAGAAGCGGTCGATAAGGATAAGCTGCCAATCGCCGAGAACATCCGGAATCAAGCGCGTTACGCCAAGGCGTTGTTTATCTGGACCGACTGTGATCGTGAAGGGGAGCATATCGGCTCTGAAGTCCGACATCAGGCGAAGTCGGGAAATGCTCGCATCGAAGTCAAGCGGGCGAAATTCAGCAACACGGAACGAGCGTGAGTGGGCTTGTCGCGGGAATCAAAGGGGGTACAAGTGCTGATTTTGGGAATAGTCATGTCCTACGTGCTGCTCGAGAGCCTGTAGAGCTTGACGATCTTCAAGCAAATGCTGTCGCTGCCCGAATTGAACTGGATCTCCGGATCGGCGCAGCTTTCACACGTCTGCAAACCCTCCAGCTGCAGACATTAGTCGCAGTTTTGCAAGAGAAGGTCATTAGCTATGGTAGGTTCCCCCGAAAACCCTCTGTGATTTTTGTCTAACATCTAGTAGGCTCATGTCAATTCCCGACTCTGGGATTTGTGGTTGACCGGTATCTGAGGGTGAAAAATTTCAAGCCGGAACCTTTCTGGAGCATCAAGGTCATACTGAAGCGAGATGACATGAAAGTCAACTTCCTCTGGCGACGGGTACATCTTTTTGACCGGGCAGCTGTCACGATGATGCTTGAGCGGTGCCTAGCTGCTAGACAGGCCAAGGTCGTAAAAGTGAATCAGAAGCCCACGAGCAAATGGAGACCACTGCCTTTGACAACTGTGGACCTACAGATGATGGGTAGTCGATTTCTCCGCCTGGACAGTCAGACAATCATGAAGGTCGCAGAGACACTCTATACTAAGGGATACATCAGCTATCCGAGAACAGAGACGGATCAGTTTGACAAGGCCATTGATCTGAAAAGCTTGGTCGAAAAGCAAGTACAGGACCAAGGTTGGGGGCAGTACGCTCGAGAGTATGGAGTACTCCCTTTTGGTTTTTCACCTCCGCTGACGGACTCGCTTTAGACTGCTCGATGGAAAATTTAGAACGCCACGTTGGGGCCGTCACAACGACAAGGCCCATCCACCCATCCACCCCGTTTGCTGGGTCTCTCCAACCCAGTTACAAGCCAATGAAAAGAAAGTCTACGAATTCGTGGTCCGCCGGTTTCTTGCGTGCTGTTCCGACGATGCCAAAGGCCAGACTACCGAAGTCGAAATCCAATACGGCGAGGAGATGTTCCACGCAAACGGCCTGATCGTGCTGGAGAGGAACTATCTGGACGTGTACGTCTACGACAAATGGGAGAGCAGCCAGCAACTTCCAGCCTTCCAGCGAGGCGAGCTCTTCGAACCTACCGAGGCCAACATTTCCGAAGGCAAGACCACAGCCCCGAACTATCTCACCGAGCCCGAGCTCATCGGTTTGATGGATGCCAACGGCATAGGAACGGACGCAACGATGGCGGAACATATCGCCAAAATCAAAGAACGCGAATACGTCGCCACGCACAATCGCGGCGGTGGTCGCAGTTCGGTCCAGGAACTCATCCCTACTCGCCTGGGTGTTGCCCTCGTGGAGGGATACGACAATGTGGTTGCGGGGCTTCCGAATAGCGTATCTTTGAGCAAGCCGTTTCTGCGAAAAGAGATGGAATTGCGCATGCTCGAGATCTGTGCGGGCACCAAGACTCGTCAGGATGTCGTGCAGGAGAGCTTGGACATGTACCGGGAGGTCTTCATCCATACGCAGAGGCGTATCGATATGTTGAAAGACGCTTGTCGGAAGTATCTTATTGAAGAGCCTGCCTCCTGAGGATTTTGATGCTTGCTGGCGCGGACTGCTCGGTTTTGTTGATCGGATGATACCCTACCGGCCTTGTTATGATAGGCGTTGAGATAATGTGAGAGCTCAAACAATATCGATTTGTGCGGTCACTCGCCCTACCCTCTTCTCTCCCCATACACCCCCCAGAACAGGAAAGAAAGTACCATCTGGCTCTCATTGAGACCAAACAGCATATTCCCGACAACCAGGGGAAAATATACGCCCTCATGAGTTTCCAGCATGACCAGATCGAAAAACTAACTGCGCACCGCCCAAATACTCCTCTCCAATCCCGACGACTTCCCCAATGACATCCCCGTCGAAGTCCCATCCAACATCCTCACATTCATAATCTCCTCCGCAAGAGAAGTAGCAATCGCGGACGCCACATTCGAAGGAAAAGCCCTCAGCAACTCCGCAAGTTCCATCCAAGCCCCCGAATCCAGACTCGCGCCCTCCCGGAGCGCCGCTAGACCATCCTGGACATCACGTAGATGGCGCCCTAGCTCGGAGTCCGGACCGTTAAGTTCATCGGCAATGCCGGCCGCGATCTTGGCGGCGAGCATATCCCTGTGGGCTAGAAGCTCGTTTCCGAAGCTGAAAAGCTGATCGGTGCTTACTTCCAGGGAGGCGAGGCGTTGGAGGGTCGCATTGAGTGCGATTTTGTGTGAGGATTGGAGTTCGGTGAAGAGGATTTGCTGCTCGGTGCGCAGGAGTTGGATCTCTCTGGCATAGGTGTCGGTGCCGTGTTGGGCTGTTTCCTTGAGTTGTACCGCGAGGATGATGATCAGGAGGACTAGGACTGCGTTGTTGTACCTTGCCTCTGGGGAGCAAGTCCCTGGTTTTGAGGGACGCTGTTTCAGTGGATGAGATTCGTCGCTGTCGCTTGGTAATTCATCAGAGAGCAACGAAACGTTGAACAGATCTGTCACGATGCTCGCTGTGGTATCGGATGCTGAAAAATTCGTGATATTGATGCTGTCCACGAAGTCGGCCACCACTTCCTGACCCAGACTGACATACCGGGCCAGAGAGCTCGGCATGAGATAGGAATAGAACTGATCGAGGGTGTATACCGCGCTCGCCACTTGAAGGGATCCCAGAACCCGGTCCAAAAAGGACCGGCTCGGCTGGATGATCGTAAACGGGATGGGCCTATAGACGCCCCAGAGATTGCTCGCAAGGAAGACAAGTCCTGGTATGAGAAGCTCCATATCGATGAGTAGTGATAGAACTGGAAAGAGGATGGCCGTGATATATAATGTGTTTACAACATACGATCCAAGTATCTGCGGCGCCCTATTCATGCTGCTTCCCGGAGGGCAGGGAATGATACGGCGAATATGATGTTTGTGAGCAGATGGGCAGTTCTTTGACCCTTTGCGTTCTTGTCTGGTATTCAAAGTTTGCTTTTCAATAATCTATTCAGAAGCCATTTTGTTCAATCTGGGATCATAACTAGACAGAGCCAGCTTGAATGACATGTATATAAAGAAAAGCCGCGTTTGTCTTGTAGGACTTTGCCATGCCACGTGGAAGCATGCTGCAGTTTTGCACTACAGGGTACTTTGTTTATATAATGCTACTCCTGGCTAGCTTTAAACCCCTCTAAATTTTGCATCAGCATCTGCATTTCCAGACTGAAGGTGTTCCCATCTAATGTCAGATGTCCAAGGGGCCAAACGCAGTGATTGGAAGACAATGACATCAAAAAACATCATGCTTTATGTACCGTCCGTGCCCCGGGTCATCACTGAACTAGGGCTGATGGATGGCACTTGAATCCCATATCATTCAAACATTACCGGAATCTAATTCCGTAACAAACACAAAACACTCGTTCCGGGCGCCATGGATGGTCGCATCAATCAATGCAAGGGCCGATAGAGCACGGAAAGTCGTGGCGTGCGACCATCTTGATCGGGGGATTTCCAGTGCGGGGAGGCCAGAGAGCACAGGCCGTTCCCCAATAATATAGAAGGCGTCGGAATAACCTTAGAATGGCCCCATAACTTGCGGAAGGCGTCAGCCGGTCAAGCCACCGAAGTATGTGGAGGACGTGCCTTTGACGCGGCTCTGGCCGGGAAGGGGCCTGAGAGGACTACATGGATCTCCTGACTGCTGTTGCCGTCAGCGGCGCTGCATCCATGTATCTCTAGCTGGGTCAAAGCCGGTATTCAGGCCTGTCGAGTTACTCGACTCGCGTTGTTTACACCGATGAGAATGACGTGATGGCCCAAGTCCCACGCCGTGATAGGCTGGCCTGGCGGTGATCGCTTCCCGGATGCTTCGGCCAGGGCTTCGCGTTGCTTGTTGATGCTTGCACTCATTGGCGTCCAGTTCGCGATGTGGCCCACATCGCTCCACCCCCATGGCCATCTCCGCGTTGGGGAAGTGTCCTCCGGCAGGACCGAGCCATGGATATCGGTTCTTTTGGCCGCGCTCAGTGGTGAATTACTTAGGGTTGAGCGCAACATAGCGCCGTCGATGACTACTCTGGGCCACTATAGCCCCTCAGCCAGTCTCGTTAATGATGAACTAACTACCTAGTTCTGTGATTTGTGACTAAACGCTTGAAACTGCTCCGCATCCTTAAGAAGGCGCTGATTCCCCACCGCCGACCTTCTTCTGCGATCTTCTTCCCTGGCGTTACTTATACTGGTTGCCAATCTCTTGTGTCAATCTACTGTGCGATTATCCGTGAATTGAGGACAAGATGAAGGGCGACGGAGACATCTCGCCCACGACCTCGGACGAGAAGTCCAGTCGCAAGGATGACTATCCTACAAGCTTTGAGCATGCAGAGAAGGCTAAGGAGGACTATCACCAACCTGACGTGGAACATATGGGACGAGATCACCTTAATGCAGTCTTTGAAAATCCTCTAGCCGGTATTCCTCGCGAGCAGCTGTTCAAAAATGTCGCGGAGTTTTGCAAAAAGTACCAGCTCGAGGAGTATCAAGAGACTTTCGTAAAGGGTGCTCTGATTTCGCAGGACCCGGCCAACGCGATCAACCTGCCCGAATTGACGGACGACGAGAGGGAGGCTCTCATCCGGGAGCATACCCACAAGTGGTCGCAGCCCTGGAAGCTGTATTGGCTCGCATGTGAGTTGGAACGCACTAAAAAACAAAACCCTTGATAAGCTGGAAACTAACATTCCCCAGCCATGTGTTCACTTGCAGCTGCTGTACAGGGTATGGATGAGACGGTCAACAACGGCGCGCAGACCAAATACGCCAAGGTATGGTTCCTCCAATAAACATATATGTGAGTTGAGACTCTATACTAAATGGGACACAGCATCTGGGCATCGAGAACAGGCCGCTCATTCTTGGCCTTGTCGTGGGCGCGCCCTACTTGGCTTGCGCTGTTCTTGGCTCCTGGCTCACCGAACCTCTGAATCGATATTTTGCCCGACGGGGAACAACTTTCATCTCTTGTACCATTGCCGCTATAGCCTCAATCTGGGAGGGTGTCGCTAACTCGTGGGTCAACCTCTTCATTGCCCGTTTCGTTCTTGGCCTAGGAATTGGATCCAAGTCAACGACGGTCCCTGTATATGCAGCGGAATGCTCTCCTGCTCCAATTCGAGGTGCTCTCGTGATGATGTGGCAGATGTGGACTGCTTTTGGTATTATGTTGGGGAACATCATGGGAGTGGCATTTGGAGGCCTGGCTCCTGACCTTGGCTGGCGTCTAATGCTTGGGTCTACTGTAGTGCTGCCAATCATTGTCTGTGCTCAAGTTTATTACTGTCCTGAGTCTCCGCGTTGGCTCATCCAGCAGGACAAAGTCAACAAGGCCTTTAAGTCGTTCCGGATCCTACGTCCCACAGATTTACAGGCCGCCAGAGACCTTTATTATGCCTACGTGGGCGTTGAGCTTGAGCGGGAAATCAACAAGGGCAAGAATTTCTTCTCGATGTTCTTTGAGCTATTTACAATTCCTCGAAACCGCCGTGCGGCCTTGGCGAGCTGGATTGTGATGTTTATGCAGCAGTTCTGCGGTGTGAATATCATCGCTTACTATTCCACCACAATCTTCGAGGTAAGCTGACCTGCTTCCCGCTCAGATTTCTGAGTTGCTCATAAATAAAACAGAAATCCGGATACAGCGATACCTCTGCCCTCCTTGCATCCATGGGAACGGGTATCCTTAACTGGGTCTTCGCGCTGCCTGCCTTCTTCACAATCGATACATGGGGGCGACGGAATCTGTTGCTTTTCACATTCCCCTTCCTTGCAATCTGTCTCTTGTGGACCGGCTTCTCATTCTTCATTGAGCCAGACGACCCAACTAGCCACAAACGGGTTGCGATGGTCACCACAGGCATGTACCTATTTGAGGTGTTCTACTCGCCTGGTGAAGGTCCAGTACCATTTACATATTCAGCCGAGGCTTTTCCTTTGCATGTTCGAGAGGTCGGTATGTCATGGGCTACTGCCACGACGTGGTGTTTCAACTTTATTATCTCCCTCTCGTGGCCGGCCATGGAAGACTCTTTCGGACAGACAGGCAGCTTTGGGTGGTATGCAGCCTGGTGCGTCATTGGCTGGTTCCTGGTCCTGCTTTTCGTTCCCGAGACCAAGGGTAAGTCATATTTCAGTTCATTAGCGTTCAGATTCCTATTGACTTTTGACTTTTAGCTCTCACTCTGGAGGAATTGGACCAGGTGTTCTCGGTTTCCACCAGGAAACACGCCTCATACCAGATCAAGAATGCCTGGTGGCACTTCCGTGTCTGGGTACTCCGCCAGAAATTGGAGCCTCTACCCAGCTTCTACCATGGCTCCGAGCGCATGGCCGAAGTGGGCGATGCGGCATCAGAGAAGCACCGGACTGGATCTGCTTAGCTTCTTCCCGTCCATCCCTTCAACGGCCATATCAGAACTCTTGATCGCCTTTTGCGATATGATACCACGTTTGCGTTTTTGATATCATTACTCCAGCCTCTTTGGTTTCTGACTCGTTTTCCTCTTTTCCGGTTTGAATTTTCTTCTTTGCCTTGAAGAACGCTGGATATCTTCATACCTTTCTCATGTAATTGAGCCTTGTTGGCTCGTGTCATTCTTTTGGATTGGATATACCCTTTTTACAGCGCTTTTCACAGTAGATCTCAGGCTGTTTCCTAATGGGTTTAGTGGTAGGAGGCCGCTAATTCTACTCTTTCAGTGTAGCACTTTCTTAACTTGTAGTTCTAGGTTCCTTGAGAACCAATATTACATTTGACATGGATTGGATGTCCGAAAAAGAGTGGAGACAATTTACACATGCTGAAAATTAAGAGCGCTTGCCAATCCAAAAACATTCCCCCTCCGAGGACAACTAGTCGAGCCTCTTGCTCAGAACAGCACCATACCAAACAGTAGCAATCAGACTGACAAGATTAATCAAGCTCGACATGCCATGCACGCGCCCAAACTTCTTGTTCAGTGCAATCATCTCCTTGGAGTGCGGCGCGGGGTCATAGCTCCTCTTTCCATCCCGGGTTTCTGCAGTCAAATAAGCCTCAGCCTCACTTATTTTAAAAGTAGGGGACAGAACTTAAAAAAACTCACCTTGAGCCTTCCGTTCACGCATCACGTTGATCGTCATCGGACGCAGCACGAACAGGTTAATCAGACCCGTGACCGCCACCGTGGCCATGGGCAGAAGGGTCGAGAAGCGGTGCTCGGGAGCCGTCAGACCTGACAGTCCGACAGCCTGGCCACCACGACTGGCGGTCAGAGCAACGACCACGGGCAGCGCGGTCTGCATGGAGAAATAGATGGGGAAGATGGCGGCTTGAAAGCTGGCGAACTGGGGACGCGGCAGGGCGCGGAATGCGACTGTGCCGCTCACGAAGGACTGGGGATGCAGTTGGATTGATTATTTGGCTTTTTTCTTTAATTGGGACATGGCTTACCTGGTAGAACTGTGTTCCCAGGAGAGTGCCGTAGCTATGGTGTTGTTAGTGAGTTGATCGTCAGATAGATGAAATGTGCTGACGCACCTGAGAATATGATAGGGGCGTGGATCGGTCATCTTGTCTCTTATTTCTGGCCAGGAAAAATTGTTTTCTACTTATTGTGTTCAGGTCGAGGGTCAAAAAAGGTAGAAGGAAGATAAAACTAGGCGTGACGAAGGACGGGAGTGCGGGATGTGGTTATGTGCACGTCCCCGAGAGTGTGAAAGGACTGTTGCGACGCACCATATGATATACACACGCTGGCCAAGTGATGTCATGTGCCGTCGCGTTTGTCCTAACGCCCAAAAGGGTAATATCGCGCGTCTGCCTGGACTGTCCCTTCTTTCTCTCTCGTTGAGCCTTATCTCATTGCGTCCCCATCCATGGCAGAGAAGGAGGCCACCATGTACATTGTGGACGTGGGGAGGTCCATGGGCGAGTGCCACCATGGCCGCCCAGTGACCGACCTGGACTGGGCGATGCAGTATGTTTGGGACAGGATCACCACGACGGTCAGTTGCCCACATTTTGCAGCAGCACCCTCTTCAATACTGATCTGTCATTTAGATTGCCACTGGTCGGAAGACGGCTACACTGGGAGTGGTCGCTCTGAGGACAGATGGTGCGTGACTTACTTCCTCCTAAGGTGTCTCTTCTGACGCGCGGATGCCAGATACCGTGAATGACCTTGAAGGTGACCCCAATTTCGCGAATATTTCCGTGCTTTTGGGTCTCGGTCAGGCCCTGATGCCCGATATCCGGAAGCTGCGCGAGTCGATCAAGCCCAGTCATACTAACAAGGGCGATGGTATGTGAGGTTTCTTTTCTTCGAGATACATTTGCTCACTTCTAGCCAGCGGTCTCTTCGATTGTCATCGCCATACAGATGATCATCACTTTCTGCAAGAAGCTCAAGTACAAACGGAAAATTGTGCTGGTGACCGATGGCTCTGGGGCGATGAGCGGTGACGGCCTCGATGAGATCACGAAGAAGATCAAAGAGGATAACATTGACCTGGTAGTCATGTAAGCATTCTTACGTTTTACAAAAAAGGTCGCTGCTAATTCCCTTCAGCGGAGCAGATTTCGATGACCCGGAGTACGGGATAAAGGAGGAAGATAAAGATCCTCGAAAGGTGAGTGAGGATCATGATCAATGCCACGGTGATATGATGCTAATGTAGTACTATTGCAGGCTGAAAATGAAGACCTGCTTCGTAAACTTGCGGAAGACTGCGATGGCGTATTCGGCACTCTTCAACAGGCCATCTCCGAACTGGAGGTTCCTCGCATCAAAGTCACGAAGAGCATGCCATCTTTTAAGGGCTTTCTCCAGCTCGGCAACCCAAACGATTATGATACTGCCGTGCGGATACCGGTTGAACGGTACTTTCGAACCTATGTCGCCAAGCCACCCTCTGCAAGTTCGTTCGTGCTGCGCTCTGGCGCTGGCACAGGTCAGGAAGAGTCTGGCAGCTCTGCAACCGTAACCGCCCCTGGAGCCAGTCAAGTTCCAGGTGAAGAAAACACACTCACTGCTGTGAGGATGTCACGAACATACCAAATCAAAGATGAGTCTGCACCAGGAGGCAAGGGGGATGTCGAGCGAGATGATCTTGCAAAAGGGTACGAGTACGGACGCACCGCGGTACACATCAGTCAGCTCGACGAGAACATCACAAACCTGGAGACGTTTGCAGGATTGGAGCTTATTGGATTTGTCCAGAACAACAAGGTGAGTTCCATCACAGAGGCCGTTTCTGTCTTTAATTCTAACTGCTACGCAGTATGAACGCTACCTGCACATGTCCAACACCAACATCATTATTCCACAGCGTGCAAACGACAAAGCCGCTCTTGCACTGTCCTCCTTCATCCACGCTCTTTTCGAGGTGGAATCGTACGCAGTGGCTCGACTGGTGACCAAAGAAGCCAAGCCTCCGTTCATGGTCCTGCTCGCCCCTTCAATCGAGCCAGAATATGAGTGCCTCATTGAAACACAGCTCCCCTTTGCAGAGGATGTCCGATCATACCGATTCCCTCCCTTGGACAAAGTGGTCACCGTCTCAGGGAATATAGTCACCGAGCACCGGAATCTCCCAAGCCACAGCTTGCAGGAAGCCATGAGCCAATACGTCGATAGCATGGATCTGGAATACAGAAATGATGACGGGTGAGTTTTCTCTTTTGGGGCTTTTTTCTAAATCACTTCACTGACACCTAAGAAAAGAGAGCTGGTTAACACACTTCCAATTGAGGACTCTTACTCGCCACTCCTACACCGCATCGAATCGGCAGTGCGGCACCGCGCTGTATATCCCAAAGATCCCGTTCTCGACCCATCAGACCGCTTGACCAAGTTCGCCGAGCCGGCTGAAGAGATGGTGAACAAGTCGCAGCCATACCTCAAGAAACTGATGACCATCGCAGATGTCAAGAAGGGTAAGTCTTGGAATCTGGTGAAATACAATGTCTCTGACTCAGCTATACAGTTCCTCCAAGAACAAAAGGCCGCAGACGCCAACGCGAAGCAGAAAAGCCTCTCTCCGGTCTGGACGTTGACGCCCTGCTTAACCAAGAACCCAAACGGGCCAAGCTGTCTCCAGAGAACGCAATCCCGGAGTTCAAACAACTTCTTTCCCGCGCAGACAGCGTCGAGACCATTCTCGATGCCGTGAAACAGATGGCCGGTATTATCGAGAACCTGATCCGCCACAGTCTTGGTGATGCCAACTACGACCGTGTCATCGAGGGTCTTAGGACGATGCGTGATGAGCTCGTTGACTACGAGGAGCCTGCGGCGTACAATGATTTCCTGCGGAAGCTGAAGGAGAAGATGTTGAGTGAGGATCTAGGCGGGGACCGGAAGGAGTTGTGGTGGCTTATGCGGAGGAATAGGCTGGGCTTGATTGATAAGGAGATGTCTGAGAGGTCGGAGGTTGAAGCCGAGGAGGCCAAAGAGGTGAGTTCCTTCCCTTCCTGCTGTGTAAAAGGCTCATTGCTAATGCTGCACTCTAGTTCTTGTCTTCCTCTGAGTGATTTCTTCCACTCTGAGTCTAAGTTGAATGGCACAGGTTTTTGGTTTGCTAGGAGATTGTATACGTTAGAAATGGACTATGTACCTCTATCTACAAGTCCCCGCTGGGCTCGAAAAAAATAATGCCGAGATTCAAAAATGTGGAAAATAAAGTAATATGCTCGATCTATCGATAGTGGATGCAAAGACAGACAAGAGCCTGAGAATCCACAGGGGAATATATTGAATGCCAAATAAACAAAACCGACTCCGCTAAAGAAAAGAGCCCAAATGAAACAAAGTTTGTCGTCGTCGCATGTCGCTGGAAATGGAATGTTCTCATCAAGAGATCTTCTGGACCCGCTTCTTGCCAACATCGAGTTTGGCTTGCAATCTAACACCGCAGTCAGTATAAGCAGAACAATAAGAATAAGATGATGAATATACCTCTCAGCATCCTCATCCGCCATCCTCAACATTTCATTCTGCACCTCCAACTCCTCATGGATAGCAACACCAAGTTCCTTCTGCCTCGCCACAATCTTCATCAACTGCTCCACACTAGTATCCTGCTCCTGCATCGTCTGCCGCTGCAACAACAAAACCCCTTCATTATCGAGCTCGCGCGTGCGCTCCGTCTCCTTCCCAAGAACACGACCCGAGCGCGGAGTCCTGCGGCCGCCGGTATCGTTGTCATTCTGCTGTGCACGAAGCAAAGCATCCTTGTCTTTCACGGAAGCAACGGCACTGTCGAGGCGGCTCTTGGTAGCCATCGCCTGCATCAGATCGTCCAGACCGTCTTTTTCCTTGCGCGCGTTGATGATCAGGTCCTTGCGCCGGCGCAGCTCGCCGTCGCCAAGACCCTCAAAAGACCCGCCGCGGCCGAAGTTCTTGAGACCGTCGTCTAGCGCGGAGAGCATCGTGCCTGCACGCACGAGACTACTCTTCGCTTGTGCAGAGCTCTCGTGTTGCTTTTGCGGGGTGGTCTCTTGATCTCGGCGGGAGAGCTGCAATCGTGCCTCGTGGAGGTGGCTCTTCATGTCGCGGTAGTAGTCTAGCCAGAGCGTTGGGTCTGTGATCGGTGCGTTGGCTGCATTACCCGGGTCGGTGATGGCTGCATGCAGCCGGGTAGAAGTATTGGAAGTACCGTTGCTCGAGGCCGCTGCCGCGCTGGGTAGGTTTAAGAATGCGCGCCAGGCGGGCGACGTGCGCCAGCGCCCGTCGGAGGCCTCGTTGATCGCCCTGAGATATTGTTCCAAGGCACGGCGGCGCTCTTCTCGGAACTGTTCATTTTTCACTGTGTTCGAAAACCAGGATTTTGATGGGAGAGCGACTGGCGGCGCGGCATTCGTCTGGTTGACTAGCGTGGCGTGGAAGGCGGAGAAGTCGGAGTAGCGCTTGGAGACGGTGAAGGAGCGGAGCGGGAGGCGCACGGTGATGCTGTAGACAGTGTGGGGTGGGGATGTGGGTGATAGTGTGGTGGTCGGAATAGCAATCTCAACGGTGGGCGCCATGGAGAAGGAGAACAGAGGGAAAGAAAGCAGCAGAGTCAAGTCGAGGAGGAAATCAGTGACGCAACGCGCGATAAAGATAGAAAGTCATGTGATCATGTCAGGTGCAGATTAGGGCTGAGGATGCAGATGATCTATACGGAGGAACAGAGCAGCTCTACCTGAATCTTCCTTTCACGGCTCTATTTTGTGGAATGAAATTGGTCGAGATCGGCTTTTATTGATTGAGAGATGTTGAAAACACCTGATCTAGCAATATCCACCTTCTCTTTTCAATATAGCAGTATAAACTATGATACCTCCTACTATTATGTGAATGATCTGATCATGGAATTGTCTTCAATCACGTCCATTCATACCTCCACGTATCGATGAAATATGAGTTGGACTGGGTTGATAGCTAGTACCTATCCCAAAGCGGCTGAGCAAGGCCTCATCATTCAAGTATCTAGCTGAGCAACGGGAATCTGAATAGAACCAAGAGCTTTCAATAGGGTTCTTAAGATCTTCAAGATGACTACAATAGTGTGAAGCTGTTCTCCAGATAAATCGTGTCTGTATAGTACTATCGACTTCCCAAGCCCATGTGCTGACTTTTCAGTAATCTTCAAACAGTTGCGCCGTTGCGGGGCATCGCAACATCTCACTCCAAGTAGGCCAACTTAATGGTGCTAAAGAGACTCCGTTTTGACCCCAGCCACAATGGGAGACATAGTCGACCCCACCGTCCGTGATCACTTCCAGAGCATGGGAGCTGATGTGACCGACGCGGTTCGACACATCGAAGTGAAACGGATCATCGCTAACAAAAACATCGGTACCCACATACACCTCTTGACTCGGCCTCGGACCGGTGAAGAGATACCAATGGCCATTATGCTCATATACATATGGAGACTCCGTGTTGCCACCGCCGGTGCCGATTGTGGGATCTTTGAATGCAATTTGGCGCTCGCTCCAGTTGACCAGGTCGTCGCTGGTTCGATAGAGCACAGAATGATGGCCACCAGTCGGCTCACTAGTACCACAATAATAGATAACCCATTGGTTGCCGACTCGAACAACAAATGGATCTCTCGCATCATAGCCATCATGGAACAGAGGACCCTCTGGCCGTCGGGTCCAATGAAACAGATCCGTTGAAGTAGCCAAGTTGATTGCATATGCCGTGTCATTGCCGCCACCACAGTAGAACATGTGGTAAATGCCATCCACGTTTAGCACATACGGCGCCCACAGATGAGTCTCACCATAAGATGGATCCACGTGCAGTGCAAATGCTTGTTTAGTCCACGGGCCGTACAATTCTGGTGCCGTTGCATGCGCGAAAACATGCTCGTCCGTTGGGTCAGCCGGATTTGTGTGCGTAATACCGAACAGATGCCAGGTACCGTCTTTGGCATTTTTTATAAAAGTATGATCGTTGATGTACCAAGGTCTGGGCTCCCCGACACTGGGGTCATACACCAGCTGAAATCCGCCGGCAGCTGAGACTCCGAACGGAATAGTGCCAGTGTCTTTGACGCATCCAGAACTCGGAAGGTCGCTTATAGACGCGCTTGCTGGTGATGCATCAACTAAAAAATGAAGTATCAGCAACAGGGGAAGGATACTAATCAACACAGGTGCCATGAGTACCTAGGCGAGGAACAGCGCCAGCAATAATGAGGGTAATAGAAAGCCGCACAATTTTCATCCAATACATGATGAAGATATATCCAAACATATAAAAGTATCAGGCAAGTGGAAGAACCAGGGAACCACCAGAAGAGTGGGACTCCTTTATATACGAGGAAGAATCCCCTCGCTGTCAGAATTCTGTATCTCACGAGGTAAATATTACAAACATTCCTTGCGCATCTCTTACACCACTGTAGATCTATAGCGACAATCCCCCGCATGTTGTTTATCAAAAGGCCTCTAACGTACATACTATGCTGAATTTCCCGACGCTAGCGGGAATTGTGTTGTATCTCCGCGATGACCCCTCCCATTTCTTTGGTGTACATATTGTAGGCTGTCCTCCGGAGATCTCATAAAGGAGCAGCGCTTATCGCTCGTACTAGGAACTCTTCAAGCGTCCAATGTGGATATATTTCAGGTCTGGGCGGCAACTTGTCGCTCGTGCTCATCTTAGCTCAAAGCCGCAAAAGCGTGGAGACGCCAGCCCAGCACAAAGTTCGTTCAGTTAGAGCTATTTTAAACTTTGTCATTTCGACTCTCTACTCTCTACATGGATCAAAAGTTTCCATCTTCCAGTTCATTGCATGCGGGTATCTCGAAGGACTCCAAAGCATCCATATAGCTTGAGCTCAAGTTGCCCCAAGGCATCGTAATGACAATTATAGTCGTGGGCGAAAAATGCTGGCGTTTGTTTGAGTAATAAAACCCTAACGCTAGGGCAAGGAACATGAGGGTCACTAGGTCTTTCCTCGGAATTCAGAGGCTTCTGAAAATACTTCCTAAGCAGAATACAATATCCATCTCATATAATTATCGAAATCCTCTCCTGAATCGTTGGAAATTCTCTAAAAATAGAAAAGGGTAACGGGGGCCTATGCATTGTGATGCAACTAGCAAAGACAGGGACGATCGCGGCCTGCATGGGCGACTTTATCTAGATCTATAGACAAACTGATCTCGGTTACACTATATCAGCACTATATTCTTGGGGTAAGGTAAACATAGAATGCATCAGGTGAGATGCGTTATGTAATAAGTGCCTTAAGCTATGGTATTCGTAGGCTAGATCAGACCTTTATGAGAATTTGATTCTGTGGAGTTTATACTATTCATCCCCAAGTGCCGAGTATATGGAGGCACCCGCTGTGGATCCCAGAACTATAGCGTGAGAAGTATGGAGACAATGACGATGACGATGTGGGCAATTAAGAATAGAATAAAGTGTAAAGAACGACCATAATAATCCTGAAAGAGGTTTTAAGGCAACCACTGGCGGCCGAACAAAGAACCTACCTTCTACCAGACACCAACTACGAGGCGGCGTCTCTTGGCAAGTTCTTGGCAAGTTCGGGAATTTGGTTGACTTTCTTTCGGGTGATAGTTAGAGTAGCAGTTCAAAGCGGGGTAGGGTCAGTGTCTGCTCCTTCGTGATCCTTCTCATGATGCTACTGGAGCATTGCATTTTGACTTTCCGGCGCTAAATCGGGTTCCCCATATTTACCCCATATTATTACCCGACCATGGGGAAATGTTGACGTGATGGTATAGGCGGACCCCAAAGACCCTGGAAAATATTGCTTGGCTCAATAGTGACTTTCTCGCATAAGAAGCACCCCGACCGCCGCTAGCTAGACCGGCGGACTTTGGCTTCCTTGGTTTCTTCTCATCCAAAAAAAGGGACACCTCCTATCTCCGTCAATAATATCACCTCCGCCCCTTTAGTCCCTACAGTCATGAGTTCTACGACTCTTCGGTTACGTGTTAAGCAATTCTTCAAGGAACGCTCGCTCAAGGCGCCCGACCACCGCCGCACTAGAGCCGCCGAACTAACCCTGCGGGAGTCTATCTACCCCATCTGCATTGTCACCATCCTATTTTTTCTCTGGGGCTTCAGTTACGGCTTGCTTGACACACTCAATAAACATTTCCAGCGTGTCCTGCACATTACTCAGGCGCGTTCGTCTGGTCTGCAGGCCGCCTACTTTGGGTCTGTTTACCCTCCCGCCACGCCCCTTGGCTAAAACCAAGAACAAGAACCAGTAAGGGAAGAGACGAATGCTGACTTTCGCTCAAGTGCCTACCCGCTAGCCTCTGTTGGCCATGCCGCCTGGATCCTGCGCCACTATGGCTATCGCGCCGTCTTCATCTGGGGTCTCTGCCTCTACGCTCTGGGTGCACTGATTGCTATTCCCTGCATCAAGGCCAAGTCATTCGGCGGCTTCTGTGCCTCTATCTTTATTATTGGCAACGGCCTTGGCTCGCTCGAGACGGCCGCTAATCCGTTCATCACCGGTACGTCATTCATAGCCAGGGAGTTCTCTAGCTAAGCCTAACACTCAATGCCACAGTTTGCGGGCCACCAAGGTATTCGGAGATTCGCATAAACATTTCCCAAGCCTTCAATGGTATTGGCACTGTTGTCGCCCCCGTCCTCGGCTCCTACGTTTTCTTCAACTTTAGCGATGAGCGCGCCATCGAGAACGTTCAATGGGTCTACCTCGCCATTGCGGTCTTTGTGCTCCTGCTCGCCCTCCTCTTCTTCTTTTCTAAGATCCCAGAAATTACTGATGCCGGTAGGTTTCGTCCTCATTGAATCCTAATGAAGATGGATATGCTGATTTTGATTGAACTTGGTCTGCAGATATGGAATTTCAAGCTACCGAAACACACGTTGGTGCCGAGGATAAGCCCTTCATTCAACAGTACAAGCTCTTCCACGCTGCCTTTGCCCAGTTCTGCTACACTGGTGCCCAGGTCGCTATCGCCAGCGGCTTCATCAACTACGCCACATACACCCGCCCTGGCACGAGCAACTCCATGGGGTCAAAGCTCTATGGCGGCGCCCAGGCGTCTTTCGCCATCGGTCGATTCTTCGGATCCTTCATCATGAAATGGGCCCGTCCGCGCTGGTGCTTCCTCGTCTTTATCAGTGGCGCCATCATCTTCATAGCGCCAGCCATCACGCAGGGCGGAAATATCGGCATATCACTGCTCTACGTCGTCCTTTTCTTCGAGTCCATCTGTTTCCCCACCATCGTCGCACTGGGCATGCGCGGCCTCGGTAGGCATACCAAGCGTGGAAGTGGATATATCGTCGGTGGTGTTGTCGGCGGCGCCTGCGTTCCACCCGCAACATTCGCCGCCGCTGATGCCTATGGCAATGGTATTTCTATGGTCGTACCTCTTGTCTTCTTTGTTGCTGCTTGGACATACGCGTTGGCCGTCAACTTCCTTCCTAGCTACAAGAATGTTGTCGACTCCTTTACTGCAGCTGAAGTCGGTCTGCATGGACACGCGGAGTGTAACGCGGGGGATGTTGAAAACACGGCTGCTACTGAGAAGGCACCTGTTGAGGAGCAGGAGAATGCACCTGTTGCAGAGCGGGATAATGCGCCTGTCAAGGAACAGGAGAAAGCTACCGAAACTACTGTTTCGTGAAAGATACGTTTCAATTCGAACGAGATATGTAAGGTTAGCCAAGAGGGTTGGAGAATGCTATATAATACCTGGATTACCTAGACAGAGAGTCATTGGAAGAGACGGGAACAAGTACAACATACCTTGCAGATGACAGACCATGTACCGATATTAGGTAAACTTTTGATTTGCACTGATTTGTATATTGCATCCAAGTCCCCTGCCCTGAGGGGAGGCAAGACATCATGGTACATGTAATAACGGTCTGCACTCGATGATAAGAAAGTGTTCAACAATGTCATGGGTATCTCAGGAAAACATCACAGGAAAGTCACAAACTAAACAGCCCAGACCTCGCGGGAATCTAGCAGATCGCGCTGGCCAAAGAACTCGCCGACCACCGTGATGATCATATCTAGCATTATGCGAGCCTGCTTCGCAACATCTTCTACCCCTGTAACCCCCGAATCCCCAACGGACAACTCGGAATCAAGAGTACCATCCAGCTGAGCCTGTAACCGCGCCTTTGCCGCCTCTAACTCAGCGGTCTCAACTTCCTCCGTAATGTCCTGCACCTCGCCCCCTTCTTCCAGACCACCTCCGCCCTCCTCAGTCTCCAAATCAGACATATCGACATCTTCGTCTTCACCAGTATCCTGAGCACCCTCCGCCTCCCTGATCTTCGCCAAAATCGTGACTACCCTCTTCCCCAACTCCCGAATCGCACCCACCTCCTCTGTAGCCAGCTGTCCGACCTCACGGCACTTCCCCAGCAGCCCCCAAGCCCAAGCCCCGATGCGACGCACGCGATCAGCGCTCCCACCGCGCACGGTCTCGGACATCAGCCGCGCCATGATACCCAGCACACCGAGCACGCTATCCAGATCCATACATGCTAGCTGCACCATCTGTGGATCCACTGTGAGCAGCAGCCGGCGCCATTCTTTGCGCGCCGGCACAACATTGCGCGGGAGACTGATTGGGTGTGTGTCGTCCAACGCGGCGATGGTTTCCGCTGGTGGGGAGCAGCGCAGGGTGGAGCGGAGGAGAAGGAAGCGGTGATGGAGGAGGTTGTAGTACGCTGCTTGTGCTGGAGGGTAGGTTCCCTCTGTTTGAGCGGATGTGTGGTGCTTGGTGTCTGAGTCTGCAGGTGCGATGTATGCTTCGTCCTCCCAGAAGCCGGATGTTTGATGCGCATTTGATTTTTGCGAGGATTTGAGTGTACTCGACTTGATCTGGGACTCTGGTGCTACCGAGATTTCTTCTTTCTGAACGGGCGCAACGAATAGCGACGGCAACGAGCTAGCTTCGGACCTAGTCACCAAGTCAGTAACCGAATCATCGTCACAGACTGAACAAAAGCCTAGGAAATGACACGTGCTTGGCATGATAGGAAGTAACATACCGGACCATACGCAAATACTCCAGTCCATCCTCCGCGGGACCGTAGAACAGCTCATCGCCGCCATCGTCCAGTCCTGGAAACGCGCTCTTCTGGCCGTAGATGGGGTGGTTGCGCGGTCGCTCGTGGGGCATCACCGAATGGACCTTGTCGCTGCCATCGTCGTAGGAGATTCGGGGCCGTTTGAAGGGGGGTGGGGACATGGATGGCTTTCTCTTATCGGACATGGCGAGGATGAAGGAAGGAAAGTGGAAAATGTCGGGGAGCTTGGGCCATGTGATCTTGGCAGGCATTGTTTCGATACTGACTATAATGCGAGCATCCAATTCTCTCTCATAACGCTCACCAACAAGGATCTATCAGTTTATACAGTGAAGAAGCATCGTCAGGGATAACTGCTCATTGTTAACGACGATATATGGTTCTTCATCATGTTTGATAGCCGTCTCTTGTGATCAAGGCGGCTTTAAACTCGACCCGAGCGTTGTTAGCCCCCAGTAAGTCATTTAGCAGCGCAGCGCATGGAAGGCCAATTGCGCAATTCAGACTAAATTTGAATATGATATAACGCTACTTCTCAAGAGACGTGGCGATTACCGCGTTTCACAACACGGCCTAGATTACAATAGCCGAGCGTTTTCGGCTTTGAGATGAACTCCGGAAGTGGGCCGGAGCCACACTTACGCCCCTCCAGTTAACTAGTTATCTACATGACTGCTTATTCCATTAGCTATTTTCTTGGGATCATTTGTCATTAAACCCATCATGTTCGATAAATTTTTCTACCGACCCACGTAGTCCATGCCAGATTGGTCATCGAGACTTCGCTTTCGGACATCTTCGTGGCAGATCAAATTTCGCAAATTAAGGGTAAACGCGCTTGTGACAAATACATGTAGCGTTTGATTTGGTGACCGGTCCGGATATAAAAGATGTCTTTCCATCTCAGACTTGTTAATTTTAGGTATACCTTATTCTTTCATATCTTCCCACAATATACGGGTTCCCTTTCTAGCAAACAGCATGACTACCATCCTCGTTACAGGTGCTACTGGCAAACAGGGTGGCGCTGTGATCCGAAACCTTCTCGACAGGAAAGGGTCGTTTCAGATCCTTGCCGTAACCCGCGACATCCAGTCACCATCCGCACGAAAGCTTTCTCAAAGTTCCTCCGATATCAAGCTCATTGAAGGAAACCTTAATGACCCCAAAGAGATCTTCGAAAATGCAAAGGAACAGGCATGTACCCCAATTTGGGGTGTTTTCAGCGTTCAGGTAGGTATATGGCTACCCTATTATAATCTCGGATTTGTGTTTAATCTCAAAAATAGGCCGTCGATCCTAGAGGTGATAAGGAAAAGTTTCAGGGAATCGCCTTGATCGACGAGTCCATACGACAGGGCGTTCAGTTCTTCGTATATAGCTCTGTTGACCGCGGTGGCGATGCCTCCATTCGAAATCCGACCAGGGTTCCACATTTCGGTCATAAGCATGAGATCGAAAAGCACTTGATTGAAAAGTCAAAACATAGTGGCATGAATTGGACCATACTACGGCCTGTTGCATTTTTCGAGAATCTCACCCCGGACTTTTTGGGCAAGGTGTTCGCCACAGCCTGGCAAATGTCTCTGAAGGGCAAGCCGTTGCAACTTGTCGCTACAAGTGATATTGGATTCTTCGCTGCGGAAGTATTCATGCATCCTCAAGAGTCTAAACAACGAACATTCTCGTTGGCTGGCGATGAGTTGACATTTGAGCAGATGGCGCAGGTCTTTGAGCAGAAAACTGGCAAGAAAGTACCCACTACTTTCAAGTTACCCACCTGGTTGATTATGGCAGCGGTGAAGGATCTGGGTCTGATGTTCAAATGGTTCCATGATGAAGGCTACAAGGCAAATATATCCGAACTGAGAAAAATTAATCCTGAATTAAAGGGGTTCGGTTCCTGGCTTGAAAATGAGAGTCAATTTACGATGCGGTAAGCTGTGTTTTGGATCTCATAATGTCAGATTGTGTTATTTGAAATGGCTTAGATCCTGGTGACAGAACTTATAAAATGGGTGAAATATGGGATTGGACATGGTTCTGTAATCAACAATGTATTTCGCAGTCATCTGATTCAAGAAGCCAAAGTTAACTTCTTCTGTCGATCCGTGAGAGTTTGTAGTATGCAAATCGTAGGTATAGCATCGAAAACTTGGTCTCGGTTGAAATATTGAAATCCAGCATTTAGAAGCATGGAGTTAAATGGTAAAGGAAAGATGAGAGAGGAATTACTTACTTACAGAGGCTCGAAGCTATTAGTGAGAGCCCATTTATAAAGAGAGAGTTGGAACACTACCCATCCACGACCAAATCTTCTCTTGCCAGCTGAAGCCGACGACGATGCTTCCCCATACTTCTCGACATAGGAAAATTCGAAGATAGTAGTGAGTCGCATTAATATTTGGGATAAACTATGTTCCGAGCATGCTGCTCTTCTAGTAACTCAGACCGGATTCCGTAAAATTAGGAAAATTCCCTAATCATCTTTCCTCCTTAGGGTTGAATATAGAATCGGTTAGATGGGTCTTGATTGCCTCTGCTGAGCAAGCCGGGCTTAGACTCGAACCCGAGGCCTTGTAAGCCGCCTATAGACTAATCAGTGATCAAAACATATAGCTGTGCGGGACCCGGAGAGGATACGAGCTTCGGGCTACTGCAAGGCTCAGATTACAATATCTGGAGGCGCTTCGGCTTTGAGGTGAACCCCGAAAGGTAGGCTCGGCTGAAGTGGACCGCAATGTCGCCAAACGTAGCTAGATTCTCACCGCCACCGGCAACCGATGGAGACCGAGGTGCATGTCATTGGCTGTGGACGAAGCCTCATTGGACCCTCGATTCGCATTTGTTGCAACAATGATAAATCAGCAGTGGATACTGTCATAAGCTTCCGGCCAATGAACGTATTGATCGAGGTTGGCTTCCGAAGGAAGACGTACACTACTCAAACCTCCACCAGGCAGGGTCATTACGCATTGAACTAGGTCGCATTCGCATTCTGGGGGTCCGGGCTTATTCTACCTCCGCATTAATAATCCAGTATGGAACAACTTGTCTTTGATGATCACAAACAAGAATTTCCTGAAAGAACGGTTCTGCCGGAGAGATCAGTATATAAGGGCGCTCAGACGCAGCTTGCGGAATCATTGGAGGCCAGGTGTTCAGCCACAAAAATCGACATTGACCCAATCTCAAAGCCACGTTCAACATGAGTTCCCAGTTTTTGACCAAAATTGCCGTTGTTGGTGTAAGTGGGAGGAGGAGTCTTTAATCCTCTTTGTCGTAAACCTACTGACAAATATAGGCTGGTGGCCAACTGGGAAAACCAACTTTGCAACATCTTCTGGCAGCGAAACGATTCAATATCACGTTGATCACTCGCGATGGGTCTGACACAAAGTTTCCCAGCGACCCCTCGATTACTGTGAAGCCGGTAGACTACAACTCCCAAGAGTCTCTTGTCTCAGCTTTCAAGGGAAATGAAGCTTTGGTTCTCATACTCAACTTTGCCGCACTCGAACAGACCCAAATGGATTTGATTAAAGCAGCATCCGCAGCAGGCATCAAATACATTCTGCCCACCGAGTACGGATCCGACAATGCAGTCGAAAAGCTATCAAACATGGTCCCGATAAATGCTTTGAAAGCTGGACCACGCAATCTCGTTGAAGAACTTGCAAAGACTCATCCTGGACTCACTTGGATTGGTCTAGTTAGCAATCCCTGGTTTGACTACGTAAGCGTTTATTCCTCTATTCCGAAACCTGCCCGCCTGAGCATCTCTAACGGGATATAGAGCTTGAACAATGGTGGCTTTGGGATCAATGTGAAAACTCGCACTGCTACTCTGTATGATGGCGGTGTTTCTAAGTTCAACACAACACTTATTCCCACCGTTGGCCTCGCTATTGCACGGCTACTCAGCCTCCCTGTCTCGACTCTTTCCTCACCTAAAGTTGCGAACAAATTTATCTACGTATCGAGCTTCCATACAACCCAGCGTGAAATTCTCAGCGCCGTACAGAAAGCAACTGGAACAAATGATGCGGATTGGAATATTGACACATCTAAGACTTCGCAGGGATTTATCGATGAGGGTAATCAGCTTTTGAAAGATGGAAACTTCAGCGGAATGGTGAATCTCCTGTACGGAACGCTGTTCAACCCTGGCCTTGGGGGCGACTATGAGTCTACAAAAGGGACAGACAACAAGCTTCTGGGGCTGCCTCAGCAAGATGAGAGAGATATGGCTGTAGTTGTGCAGGAGATTATTGAAAACTCTTAGATAGCCCAAGAGCTAGCTAAAGTTGAGAAAGAAATAAACCGAGAGAACCCCTAGCTGCCGGACTATCTATCTAAATTGTAGTTCGCTTTCCAGCTTAGCCTCTCGTAGTAGATCAATACGCTCGATCAGCTCAATGATGTGCTGTTCAAGTACACCATCCGTGCCTGGCGGACCCTGCTTCCACATGGAAGTCATTTTGGTCACCACATCCCAAGCACGATCCGTTTCAGGACCAAGTGGGCGAGCACTTAACTCGGACATCATGTAAGCGACAACATCCTTCTGTTTGTAACTTCTGCAAAGCCAGCTCCATTGTGTGGTGACATGATTGGTTTGCAGGAAAAGTGCGAATTCAAGAAGCTCAACAGCCGTCCGAAATACCGAGTCTTTGTATTCGGATTCGCTTCCATGTAGATCTGAGGCTGAAATCTGTGAATGCACTGAGACCCAGGCCTTTGATAAATGAAGACGAGCAATTGTAGCGGATACCCAGTGTATAGGGATATCCAAGTTGAAATGGTTTAGATATCGTTCATGAAGAATTTCACCCACAGATTCGATCCGATGTTTTCGGTCTTGCAACGAAATGCCTGAGTTCAATGGGGGTGGCGATAGGTGCACTTCATTAATCATAATAGAAGTGATGATACACAGAGTGATATCGGTAAAGCCCTTTTTCTCAGCCGGAAGCTCGAGCATGTCCGGTTCGAGCTCGTCACCGTCCAAATTTACCGGAAATTGTGTATCGAACGTCCCGGGTCTGATCTGCATCTCCACGGCCTGATCTTCTGAGCAGAGCATATCCAATATGCAAATATACCACCATAGACGTCGACGGATCTCTGTTTGGAATGCTGATAGCCCAAGGCTCTTCCCATCGCGGTGGATACCCTGTGCCTGTGCAAGACGAATGGCCACGGCAGACTCGGCCCAGACAATTCTTGTATCCCCGTCCACACGCGCGCAGAGTAAATATAATACTGCAGCTTGTAGGGTGACTACTTCCTCCGATTTGATGAGATTGGCTCGGCTCAGCGCCTGATCTACCGCAGTTTCATAATTGCGTATAGCCGTGCGATGTTCCAGCTTCAATTCCTGTTGACATTGGATGGGATCCATACTGACCACCGCGGCAAAGCAAACGGAGAGCAGAAGCGCCTCACTAGCGGGATCAATGCTCAGGCCCTTTGATACATCTTGAACAAGCTGAGCCGTGGTAGCACGGTGGAGAATGGCGATCAATGGCGCAACGTTCTTCTGATATACATGCCAAAGAATTTCAATTTGCGACGACTGAAGGTACTGTTGTCGGAAGGTATTTTGAGGCCAAGAGTGATTGCTGCGCCCAAATAACCCCCCTTGCACCAGACGAAAGGGATTTGGATCAACATGTGGTGGCCGGGAAGACTGATCAGAACTTAATGTAGATGATCTGCTTGACTGGTGTTGGGGATCCTCATTCGATTCATTATGCTTCGAAGACCGAAGCCGATGGACTTCTGTTTCGAGCTCTCTCAAGCGAGTGAGCAGCACGCCTACCGGAGGTCGATTAAGCGTCCTCGGCTTGCGTTTGGGTTGTGGAAAAACGCAAAGATTCCCAGCCTTGACGCATGCACCGCAAGGGTTAATTCGATCGCATCGCACTTTTCTCTCATTGCATCGCCTGCAGCTTCGTTTATTGCGTGCAGTTGCAGATGACTCCAGGCTCTCGTCTGACATAATAGACACAAGGCCTCAGGCCCGAAGTCAAACCGAGACAAGAAGCCGAGTATGAACGAGATACTGCCATCGGAAAGCCGATGGCCGCGACAAGGCGCTGTTAGGTCACCATTTCGGCAAGCCAATTGTCGACGCTATGGTGGAGCTCCGTTGAGTAAACCACATTGTCACGTGAATGGTCAGTTTTGCGGGCGCCGTACAGCGCCTTCGCGTCGGTTGCTTGCAGGACATTGTTTGGTCCATTATTACGTCTCATTAAGCATAATCTTTATGCTGGCATTATTTCCCACATTCAACCGATCAACTCCTATAGCTGCCTGCGTACCAAAAATAAAAATAAAAATAAAAATAACGGGCTCAACCGGAGATCGAATCCGGGACCTCCTGCATATGTGACCAGTGACTGCCCAAAGCAGGAATCATACCTCTAGACCATTGAGCCGCGTAATAGGGAATAATGAGGGAATAAGGTTAGTTTAATCACTGCGCCCCTCGCTTCATTCGGCAACAAGAACCAGTTCCCTTAGGCTCATTTAGTCAAGAGGAGAATATATTCACGTTCTGCAAACCTTTGTGTGCGAGATATAGGAAACCACGGGGTGGGGGACTTGGAGTGTCCTTGGTACTTAGTTCAAAAGCTGCACGATCTTCGCGAGATTTCCATTACTGGCAGCTTCAAAGAGTTCTTGTAACCTCCTCAACTTAATCCGATTAAAATGGCGAGACGATCGTAAATGCTGCTGCCAAACGTCGTAATGCCCGGTCACCTAACGTGCAGTCTATTTTTATAGCTCGTACTAGTTGTAGGTTTTATATATAGACAAATCGTTTCTCTTCCCTAGCTTCAAGTCAACGAGCGAAACAAAGGTAATGTCTATAAATAATTATAATACGACGCGTCCATTAAGTGTAGCAAGGATAGCTATTATGATTTCTTTCTATTAGCGTATAATATAATAGGGATACGTCAAAGCGACGGTATTTGTGGTTTAGTAGATTTCTGCCGTAGGGACGGTACTATTTCGACTGCTCGAAAGGTTCATGAATTTGCACTCAAACGTATTATCGACGGATTCTCCTGCTGCGATATCTGTGCCAAAACTCATGGACAGAACGGTTGAAAGTTGTCATTCTGTGTAGATTTCTTCAATACACTACTAATCAATAGATCGAGAAGGGAGATATAATGACCATGTTGAAATTTCAAAGATGCATAAACCGAAAGCTCCCAATTGCAACCAAATTCTGTTCTAAAACTCCGCTTCAGCGGCTTCAGAGACAGGCCCAGTAGAGAGGCCGAGTAGATAGGCAAACCAAAAGCACCGCGCAACGCCACTGTTAAACACCGGAGCTGAGAGCTAAATAAAAGGGAAATGAAAAGAATGCAACCCGCTGCGGTGATCAGTCTGTCAAAATTAAGAAAATAAATGCACCAAATGCCACCACAGATCCATCACCGGAGAGATCGTAAGGGCTCTGAGCTCTCTCAAGGCTCACGTATATGGATCAGAAGCCTCTGCTGAGAGAGTAGCCTCCGCCTCTCAGCACACAACACAAAGCAACTCCTCTTCGAGAATAAACATCCCTTCTTTGTATTTCTCGCTGGTCTCAAATGCCTTGTCATACTTCCACCCTACCAACTCTTTGCACTGGCGGCAGGAGATGTCGCGAACGATATGCCGTCCGGTTGTCATGCTACGCTCATCCTGTTCGCCCAGTGTGACATTGACAACGTTGCCGAAAAGATAGGCTTTGCCGTGCGCTCCACGGAAATTCTGAGGCGAAAATAAAGGAGGATAGTCAGTCATGAAGCTTTGACAAGAGAGAGAGGAGAGGAAAGATGGGTAATTCTCACCCGACTTTTGATGTCATTGTAGTCTGCTAGGTGTGTCTTGCAATGCTTGCACCCGAAAATCTTGTTGGAGGTTAAGTAGACGGGGTAGAGTAGGCCCATGGTGACGGAGTGTAGATGTCGCCACAGAGAGTAGGTTGTCGTCGAGGAATGAAGAAAAAACCTGGGATGTGAGCGCGAAGAAGCAGAGATATTCTATAGATAAAGTCTTGCAAATATCGCGGCTATGACGCAAGCACGATAGAAGGCAATTTCGTCAGCGTGGAAGTGGTATGAACTGCCCCTCCCCTCGAATAAAGAGGGAGACTCCAGTCCGGGCGTGGGGCGGCGTCTCTGTTCCAGTTCTCGGACGACAGGAGGCCTGATGCCGGGCTCGGTCTTGGAGAGACCTTTGAGGCTGTAAGGGAGCCTAGAACGATCACGTAGAGTCTTGAGGGCGTTACACTGGGTCGCAATAGGTCTGACGGTTTGCTGACGACGATAAGCTCTCAGGAGCCACGATAAGAGCGGGGGGGGGACGGGATCGGACGGAGACAGGGATGTCTGGGAAAGAAGAGGATGCTGTGGGAAGGGTGCAGATGGTGTTTTCTCATAAGATACTCTCCTTTCGAACTGGGATGGAAGAGGGAAGGAGAGTTGGGGAAGGTTGGGGGAAGCCAAGCTGAGAACAAGCTGAAGTTGGCTGTACTTGCCTCAGGCCGCAACCCCGCACAGGAAGCGTGATCGCCCGGTCATAGATCTGATAGTTACTCGGAAATAGTGTATAGAAGTGCAAGAAATGTATGTGATCCCTGTACAACGCGCCGGCAGGAGATGCTCCTGCAATGCTTGACCAAAAAATAATACAACATTTTGAAAAGCCGCCACTCCATCACTCGTAATCCCGAACATACCGACCGGGCAACTCAACGTCCCACATCGGTCGTTCTACCACCGCAACCTCCAAATTTCCACTCGTCTGCTCTTCAGAGCTATCCCCTGCCACGGTGTTGAGAGGCACAATACCCAAGATGTCCCGATATTTATAGGTGTGCCACCACCGACGGGGAGGCTGCGACGATGTGCCATTGATCTCGACCAGCTGCTTCTGGGGAATGGTTCCGGCACCATTGACAGCGGGGGCTGCATCTCCCTTGGCGTCGAGGTGCTTCTGGGGTGATCCATTCTCGACTGCGCTTCCATTCTCACGGCGGAGACGGGCCAGGTTGGCTTCACTGCTTGCCGCGAAGGTCTCGTCGTACTCGTAGACCTCGTCTTCCTCGCTGGGGACACGAGAACGTTCTTTGTCCAGGGAAATCCACTCGCCCCGCGATCCGTCGCTTCCAACAACCTTGCGGACCTTGCTGCCGAGGTGGATGTCCGTCTGCGAGCGAGGGATCTGGTCTCCTGCACCGCTGCTGGGCTTCTTGCGCTCATTGCCGGCCTCTTCGTGAAGGTCGCGCTTCCGTTTCGATGCTTTGATCAGCTGACCAGGCGGGTTGGCCTCTTCGGCTGTTGCTGCTGCTTCGGCCGCGATTTGTTCGGGAGATGGGAAATCCTGAAGCAGGTCAAACATCCACAGCCAAGATGTTCCATACAGCCAAAGACGCTCTCGGCCCTCAAACAGATCCCACATGCAACCCATGGCTCTGTCCTTCACTCCCCGAAACTCTGCAGGTAGATAAGCCTTCGGGTTGCGCCTCGACCAATCCGATAGCTTGCCATTCAAAGCCTCAAACTCCATAAGCTGGTGTTCACTTGTAAGCACCATCAGCTTATACTCGTGGTGGCTGTGGTCAGTGCCATTGGCCAGCTTCTTCAGAGTACCCTGGGGCCGGAAGGACATCAAGGCTATTCCAGACTTCATACGGGGAATAGGAGAGTCAGAGGCGGCTTTTTGCCAGCGCTCGCCCTCGATCGCCATATCTTCATCCTCGTCGTCGGAAGATTCATCGTCAGATTCTGACACTCCATTGCTCTTGACGGGACCATCGGCACCGGAGCCCGTCTCTGTGCCTAGAACCCAGGTATCGACACAACCCGAAATATCACCAGAGGCAAAGACCTTGCTATCATCTGAGAAGATGACAGATCGAATCGTCCTCTCGTAGTCACCTAGAGTACCGTGAGACGCTTTCTCGTGTCGTGCGTGCCGTGCAGCTCTCTTTAGTTTCGCGAGGTGAGGTAAGACTTGGACTCCCTCAGTGTTTGAAGGCTGGATCTTTGCCATGTGGATGTCGCTGTTTGGTCGAATAAGGCACAGCCACCGGCTATCCGGGGAGATTGTAACAAGACGTGCACCATCGTCAGAGATTCTCTTGGGAACTTCAAGCTTTTGTATCCGCAGAGCACCCTTCTCATCACCTTTCCGCCGGCGAACAGTGAATAGTTTGACATCAGCGATCGTAGCGACAGCGAGGATCTTCCCGTCTTGGGATAACATGGCAGAAGTAATGTTCTCTTCGCCCTGTGGAGAAATTGTAGAGTTAGAATGAGACTGCTGTGCGGACGCTCTGTTTCTTACCTGAATCATGATTTTGCCAACAAGTCTCTGTCTCTGGCCGTCAATATTCTCATACGGAGAGATCGGTCCTCGTGCCAAACGCCAAAGGCTGATCTCTCGATCCCAGAAACTCATCACCAAACGAGACGAGGGGGAGGAGGCGAGCTGGGGAATTTGAGGCAGACTTGACAATTTCCGGTGGTGCTCTTTGCCAAATTCACGCAGCGGCAGTACAACCGGTGTTGCATCGGGGCCTACGAGCAATGGGTTAGTATATTTGACAACTCAGGAGACTCGACGGAACAGTCACATACCTCCAGACACAGCAATGCTGATATCCTTGGTCTCATAAACAGCAAAAGTCTTCACATCGTGCGAGTGGTATCGTCTATGCATCAATTCCACCCATCGACTTTTCTTGTCTCCCTTCTCTCCCTCCTTCTTGCGATAAACGACGGTCCTCTGATCAGCGCCTCCGCTAACGACAGTATCCCCATTTGCGCTCACTGCCACATCGAGCACATCGGCCTGATGGCCCTGGATGCGCTGGGTGAGGGAAAAATTCTTTGCGTCCCAGAACCGGATTTCACCAGCCGAGTCTCCAGAGACAATGGTGCCGTCTGGAAGGCATTTGACCGACCAGACCAAAAGTTCCTTCGAGCCGCCCGTGGGACCCTTTCCAAGCGAGATTGTTCTCAACTGCTGGCCGGTGCGAATGTCGAAGAGGCGAATCGAGCTATCGGCGTAGCCTGCGACGATGGTGTTGCGGTTCTGGAACGTAACGCTGAGCACGCGCGCCCTCTTGGTCGAGGGGCGCACCAGACGGAGAAACTTGAGGTCGTCATCGGCGGTAGACAGGATCACGATCGAGCCATCGGCACAGCCGGCTGCGAGATGCTGACCCGTAAACTCCCCCTCGGCAGCAGGCAGCAGCTTCCCATCCTGGCCTCGCCGCGTCGCCTGCCACCGCGGCTGTGCAGCAAGGCACCAGATCTCGCCATAGTTCCCACTCGAATGGCGCAAAGGACGACCGTTCTCCAGATCCCACTCGGTCACCGCGGTGGAAAATCCAATGCTGAACAGCCTCAACTTGCCGGGCAGCTTCGCACCGTCGGGTCCGTCCTCCTGGGGATCCAGTGTCCATGCAAGTCCTTCAATACTTCTATCCTTTCCTCCATGCAGGACCGTTTCCTGGAACCAAGCCCCCCGCATGGGGTTCCATATCTCGATGTCGCCGTTCGCACGCCCGATCGCGAGTCGAAGAGTGGGCACACCGCGACCAGCTAGATCAGCGGATGGAGGATGTGAGAATGCGAGCGCATTAATCGCCTGCGGGTTGTAGGACACGAAACGGCAGCGGTGGATGTCCATGATTGGTGCAACAAGCTTCGCCTGAAGCCAAAGCTGTCTCGGTCGGAAATAACTGACGGTGATTGCGAGACAACGTTAGGGGCGCTGGAGATCAATTCAAGAAATACTCCAACTCGGGCCGTAAAAGCAGCCCTAAACACTCATTGTGAAAGAGTAGAAGAAGGAATGGGTGAAGTGTTGTCGTTATTCGCCGTTGCGGCTCTTCCTCTTTTTTTTTTCTTGTAGATGATTTTTCTGCCCGGAACAATTCGACCAATATGGCTAGTTTGACCGGATCACCTGATTTGTTGATGCCAGGTAAATAAGGTGTCGGTGTAGATGCCATCTCGAGCTTCATTAACTATCAAAACTCTTCACGACGTTTCAGATCGAACAGTTCAGGATACCAATCTGCTCGTCATCGACGCGAGCAGTATTTTCAAGACAGTCGCTACAACGTGTATGGTATCGACATGCAAGACACACGCGACCTAGGTACTTTGTTTACTTTTCGGGACTCGTGCAACACTCTCGGCGTCGCAATTGTCACATTCTAAATTGATCAATTGGCAAGTAGCGGTCAACGTGCTCGCATGGCTTGACACTTTGGAACAACGGGCAACTGTTGATTATTTCTCGACAAATGGAACGCCTGAGCGCACAGTAGTTCGGCGTCTTCCGGCGACGAACAGAGGTATTGTGGCAGTCTGGACCCCCCACGAACAGCCTACCGATACACGCCAGCCCAAGGCTGTCCACATGGGGACGACCACGTCAGAAGCAGCCAATCTCGCATGATACTTCTCTATGTATCAGATTTCCCAGAAAGCCGGGTTATCCAGGCATCTCATAGGGCCGATATTGCAGACTCGAGCTCCACCTCGGAGGCGCCCCTTCACGCGTTCACTGGACGAGCACGAGCGGGCTAAGGACCGCGGAGAGGCTGACGGGCTGCCGTCAGCGTCTCATTGGGCCCATGGCGCAGCACATGGAGGGGCAGGCCAAGCAGAAGATATTCTACGATCAGCAATAATCCATGGAGCCATGGAACACCCCCCGGTCAGCACGGGCTGCGCACGAATCGATAGCTCACCGAATAAGGTTGGATGTGCTCGCTCTCGATCCGGATCTCGCTTTTCGATTTAGTGTTAGTCCAAACTCAGGCACCGCAATCAAAACAGAGCGTGCTGCTGGAGAGAGAACTGCGACAGGATTATCTCGGTACAACATCGTAGGATCCAGATTTGGGAACTCGTGGTACCCCGCTGTACAGCTTTAGCACCGTCCGATCCGATCGGGAGTTATCCCAGTTCATGGGGTAATCTTGTCGATCGAGGTGCGCCGGCCCCCATAATGGACCGCATTTCGCTTCCATCGTGCTCGCGTGAGAACTAATTTCGAGGTCTTGCCGCGGCATGAAGTGCTCTCGAGCAGGGCTGAATCTTTGTCCTGTCCCGCCTCGGCAGAAGGAGGCGGCGAAGGCTGGGGTCGTCTCCGTCTGCCGACCGTCCAGGATTGCGGCCTCAGTTCGTGAACACCACAGGGGGGGGTTCGTCGATCGGCCACTACACTATCTTCGGCGCGTCCACGAGTTTGAATAGGATTCGCGTTTGTGGCAATCGTGACAATCAATTGTCTGGTTATCGTACATCCATCCCTCTCTCGAGAACGCGGACACTGGCCGAGAATACTGTGCTGGACCCATAGGGTCGGAAATTGGAATTTGTTCAGCTGTCAATCTCCAGCCACCCGAAGAAATAGGAGAATATTTTATCTCTGCTCAACGATTACCTCTTTCATGCGAGAATCCGAACGCGCAATAATAATTACTAGCTGTGGGACGCAATGACGGCATAGCTTTACGACAAGTGGAGTATGGGGCGAAAGCCTCCTTCAATTTTGTCGTCCTTGCACAGCTGCAGGGGGAAGAGGCTGGTGTTTCTTCTTCGAAGCTGCTCGGAGATCCCGCCTCGGCTAGCTGTACACTATACATTCTCTCGAGCTCCGTGTTGGTTCCCACCTGTAACTATACTACAGTACTGTACAGCAGCCAGTGTCTCCTCATTGCGGATAGCACTTCGGTAATCCGTACCGGAGACGAAAAGCTCTTTCAAAAGTTCCTTACAATTCTCCACTGAAGCTAGACCCAGGGTAGTATAGCTGGTACTGAATAGCCTTACTGCTCCGATTACCTTCCGTCTCAAATCGGACAGGTCTCTTACGGCATACAAGGATGTTCATTGCCAGGTCGTGGTTCCAGTTTTCCCGCTCCCCTCCCCTGAAAAAACCCATGGTTCCTTGCTGGCGCCAATAATGTGATTAGCGTCGCATTTCACTCGCCAACCCGTGGTGATCTTGACGCGGAAAAGAACAGAGCTCGGTCAAAGCGTAGGGGCAGCAAAAAGGGGGCAGCCCGAAAATCCCACGCCAATTATCCATGGTTGAGCCTCCGCTGCCCCAGCTGCTTAGGGCTTTAACCCGAACAGGTCATATTGTCTTGAACTTTTTTCCTACGCGCGAAATTATTACTAGCACCATCCTTATTCGTTGTCGTGACTCGCAGATCCTACAAATAGCTCGAGCTCTAGGTTATCGATGTCATCGCCATGGATTTATTTGGCATTGCCTGCCACTGAGGGAGAGCATGGTACTGCGATAGTAGGACAAGCAAGGCGTGCGGTAATGATTCCGACCGCGCCTTGCTGGGTATCGGATACGGCCCTGACGCGCCTTGTCCACCACCCGCGTAAAGTATTGACTTAAGGTGCAAACGGAGAAGAAAAAAAATTGTCTGACGTGGTGGAGTTCCGGAAGGGAAAAAAAAACCTTCAGACCGTTGTAGAAGTCCCCGCTTGGGAGCAGCACCGAAACGATGGTTTTCTCACCGGTCAATATACACAACACTTGACGGGTATGAAGAACCCGACAGTACAAGAGTCGCCGATGCTTTTATATTTTGGTCGGTTCAGCTCTTCTCTATGAGCTAGCCTGAATATGATGGCAGCAGAACCGAATCGATTGCATTTGTATATGTAAACTCAGCCGGAGAACTGCCCGGCTGTACGAACCAACCCAACCAACCATTACCATCCCAATTAGCAACATCTTTCTATTCTTCTAGAAGGAAACTGTTACCTACAGGATCCGCTCCTTCCGGCATCCACAGGCACCGCTTTATTTTTCACGTCAGGGCCACAGTGGATCTTGAATTGTAGCTGTCAACGGAGCGGGGCGCCTACCAAAAGAGCTTTTCTTCTGCGTTGGCACATGTTGCCGGGCTACCGTAGATTGGAAGAAGGCAATACGATCGGCTGTTGTCCTGCCATCCGTCCCTGTACCATAGTTTCTCCTCCCGGACCGGGCCTGCAGAGTATCCGTTGTTTTGGATGTGGAGTCCAAGTTTTGTATGTTGAAGAATCTGTGTGGGCGGAACATACAGTATAAAAAATTTTCTGCCTAAGTGGGCTGTTATATGATACCAAACGGTATATACTGCTCCAAGTCTCGGGTGACCGGCGAGAATATACAAGTTGTAACAGAAATCAGTAGGTGTTGTATAGAAAGAAAATTCGGCGATTAGAATTAATGTCTCTGGTAGAGGCCTAGTAATGAGATCCGAGTACGTCGATACCAAGGTGGACACCATGATGACATACAGAAAGCAGATCATAAAAGTGGCGACTTGATAGACAGAGACGCCCGATGCGAAGCTGCAAACAAAATGAAAGCTGCCTTCACGAGTAGGCCAGATCTACCATTCGGAGTGGTATACGTAGTTCATGAACTTCCTAGAATTACTGGTTCGAGATAAAATTCTCCCTTGCAGAGGGAAACCCCGATGCAGGGACAACTCCAGGAAACACGTCGACAACGTGGAGGGTTGGGGGGAAGGGGGGGGGGACGGTTTCCTGTCAGCAAGGGGAGCAGAGTATATCTGATTCATGTGTATGGGAGATTAGACCAAAGCTCCAAACCAATGAAAGCAGAGAGATTGAATGTGTGAATTCAAGGCCAGGCATGCATGATATGCATCATTGGCTATCCAAGTTCAAGTTCCATCTGACACCTGGCTGCCAAGGGGCGATTCCATTTTGGCTTTGACGATAGGTTCTCACTTCTTCGCTAACTAAGCCTGCTGGCCCAAAAGTGTGAATATAGCGATCGGCCAAAAATTCCTCAGACCGAATTTGTTCTCCAGAAGTTGTCACTTCTGGCCACTGTGTCGTCTCACGCATGTTGGCGCTTGCGGGAACGCATAGAGCCGAATCGCCCGGAGAGCCAGACCAGACTCTAATAAGAATTTCCCAATGGCGCGCGCTTTCTCTCTCTGCGTGTACCTGAAACTCCAGTCAGAGATCCAAAAAGCCCCTTTTGGTACATTTCCGACTGGGCGCATCGCAGTGCAAATCGTTCACTAGTTTCCCCAGCCATTTTTGGCTTCAGGTTACAGCACTCGCTTCGGGGGGACAAAACGGTAGTGGGAGGCCCCATAGGACTGTGCACGCCCGCATAAGATGACACCCAATACAAACTCCCCGAGCAGGTCCGTCTTTGGCCCCCCCTTTTTGCCGGACAGGCGACTCCCAACCCAATGATTCTGAGCGATCGACAGGCTGGTGGTGTCAGATTGCCCTGGGATGAAATGATTCAAAATAAATGGCATCAGAGATTCACGTTCTGGGCTGCGGGCAGGATGGATGGAACGTCGGGGTTGATTCAGACTCTAAAACATGAATCCTTGCGGCGTGTGTCAAATGCGACAGACATTGCTCCGTCGTTAATTATTGGCAATTGAAATGATCCAAATAGGTTGCGAAAGGGGCGCTGTGCTTGCCATGCTTAAACCGTGCTCCCCTTGCATCGCTACATTGTACAGAAGATTCGGCAACAATTCTACGGTGATGATATTTCGGAGAGAGAAATAAATAGTTCGAATGTCAGTCAGTTACAACGGTCAAGCCGCATACGTCTTCCATTTCAATAGCTCCGGAAATGGTGAGTTGGGCAAGGGACACGGCAAGGAGACGGCGCCCGAGGGCTACCATCCTTCTGGAAATCCCACGACCAGTCACCCTTATCGACGGTCGCGTGGAGGGACAACGCGTAGCAAGGACGAGATACGAAGAACAGGATCGGAGGGGCCGGCTGTGCCGCACTCACAACCTGCTTTGGAATGATTAATCCCCACATAGTCGCCAGCTGAGTTGAAGTCAGCCCAAGCCAGGGCCATCCTGGCCGGGCCAGTCACGGCGCGCAGGCCACCGGCGACCCTGGTACGCGAGCAAATGTTACCAGTCGATCCGGGTTGCCCCTTTTTGGCCGGCAGTCAGGGAGTCAAGTTAGTGAGGGAGGGCTCGAGGAAAAGAAAGAACAGAATGCCTTGCTGCCGCACCCCGTCAATAGTTGATCCGTTCCATCATTACCTGTCGCTGCGGAATAGTGAGAGACGCAGTATTCACGAATTCGGTAACAAAGAAATGGGTCGAAATGTAATAAATTCAGCCACGGAGATCTCTCTCCACCAGCCCAGAGCAGTGGTGTTCCGATCCAAAATGACCGGGTCGCGCCCAGCTGAGACCGCGATCTATGTATGTAAAGAATAATGGCTGGCCAAGAGGCTCTCCGGTGGAGAGTGGAGGACGCTTACTCGCTTCGTGTCTGCCGGGCAAGGACCAACCACGGGGGGCTCAGGCCTCGCTCCTGAGGGGATGGGGGTATTGATGGTCTGGTAAGAGCAGAGGCCAGCAGCAGTGAGCGACCATCGTGGTGTGAGCAGTAGAGTGCGTAAGAATGAAATCAATCCCGAGCGTCCTTGCAGTTGTGTCCCGAAAACCAAAAATACCAGGTACCCAATACCACTCGAGCCTAGTCACAATACGGTTTCCCCACACGACCCATGGAAACCGGCGTCCAGCATTACCGTATTGAAGAGCATCTCTTGGAGTCTCAGCTTCTCTTAACTTCTCCCTTCTCACACCTGCCTGGAGAGAGAACTTCCATCCCTCCTCCTTGTACCTCTCCTCCTCCTCCCTCCCTCCCTCCTCCCTTCTCGGTCACCGTTCCTCTTTCCTCCCCTTCGTCAATTCGTGGAGACAAAGAGTTACACCCTGGAGTCTGGTCTCCTAGCCCCCCGAGTGCAGAGTCGACGGTCATCGTCAACTCCGATCCTCCCGGCTACACTAGATCTCCAGTCGAGTCGATATCCTCGATCTCGACAATTCGACGTTTGTTAGCTCAAACGGCGGATTACCTCCATCCCTCCGGTCCGGTGCCCTCCTGATCCGGGACGACCTCGAACCCTCCTGATCCATCTCCTGCCGGTTAGAAGAGCGACAGGGTGGGCAAGTCATTTCGGATAGACTTCGAATGATACCATATATATTATAGTGGTCGGCTTTTGGTTTTTTCAGCGTGATAACCTAGGAGGTGAGTGAAGAGCTTTTTTTCTTCCCTGAAATGGTATCGAGTCAGACCCGGGCATCAAATAGGGGCGTGTACGCCTATTCCCCTCAACGGGAGATGCATCGGTAGCACAGGCAGATGGCAATATGCTCAGAGAGTGCAACGGAAGTGGCCATGGATGGCTGGCACACGACACCTCGGATTGGTGCAACTCGGATACCTGGATTCCCACAACCCGTGAACCCTCATTACCTACACCCCATTCGATTCAATCGAGATTGGAGGATGAGTGAGAGAGGGTTTGGAGGCGAACACATGCATTGCGTGCTGGGTTGTGGTTCCTTGGAATCAGGGGAGAACCGGTGTTCTGAGGCGAGCAGAGTGCGAGGTGCATTTTGCTCCGAGAGCTTCACCGCAAACCTGTACTGAAGATGCTCAGGTTCAATATGAGCTGTTTTATCTGAGGAACACTTGAATAAAGGGGGTCTGCAGCTCTTATACCGTTGCGGGACATACCTCGTGTTGGATGATCCAAGCCAAAGGCCATACCGGCAACCGATTCAACATCGGCATTTTGTTTGTGAGAGAAAATGCAGGGACTAACATTGAGTGGATGTAGGATTGTCCTTGTTCATCTACCGTCACTCCTTTGATGTGGATGATCTTGGCCGTTGAACGTCCATCCTATCCTATCACGCTTCAATCGACTGCCTAATCTTCATTCGGAGACCTGTTCGTGAACTGTGAGTTCCTACTTGTTTGCTACATTTTCTTTTTTTCCCCTCCCCTGACGATCGTGACCCCCTACATAGGGTTGGCCTCCTGTGCACTCCACATTCCGCAATACGGCCCTAGGGGTGAAAGACGTTCGCTCGTACTTCATCTCTCGGACTGGTATCCTCCAGAAGCCCAATTCATCGGATCATTCCTGCGTTCTTGGCCAGCCTAGATGCCAGTCTCGCCGTCACGGTAAGGGTTGCATTGTGCCCTCTGCCCGAAGGCTTCTTTATCTGGGTTAGTATTCTCCTGCGGAGCCAATACCTTCCTCTCTCTTCCTCGTCTTCCCTTTTACCTAGACCTTCCTTCTGTCTTCCTCAATACCTGCTGTCTTAATCCTAATCATTCTTAATCACCTGGCTAATATCCGCTCCTCGTCCCTCCAGCTTCGACCTCGTGAAGACCTGCAACTCGGTTGTCCGGCCTGACTTCTCCAGCATCCTGACTATCGTCTCGACGCTGGTCCACTCTCTTTAATCATTCCAACTACTTTCCAGTCATTCTTTTCCTCCAACTAATCCGACGACTGTCACTCTCTTAATTCCGTCGTTGCCTGTCAGACTTGGTCGGCCAGGTTTCATTCTTTCGAATATCCCACAGATCTAATTTCTACTTCTTCCGCCACCTTGCTTTTTTCGGAACAGTCCCTCGACAATATGGCTTTCCACCACCGCCCGACCTCCAGCTTCCAGCCTTGTGAGACGTTCTTCGTGGAGTGCGATGACTACACTCTGCCGCGGTTGACCGCAAAGCAGCAAGCCGAGAAGGAGCACACCAAATTGGTAGCTCGTGAACGGCAATATGCTATTGCGGATCAGCTGTCGAAGATTGCCAGCGATGAGCTCCGCGAAGATGTCCTGTCCCACATGCTGGAGATGGATGTTAGTGGCCACGAACCCTTGTTGTCGAGTTTTGTTGCTAACCGATCTTTCTTCTGCTAGGGTCAAACCCTTCCTGACGTCGAGTCCATCGATATCCAGACTGAAATCCAGTGGTTCATGCGTCCCTACCTTCTTGACTTCTTGATCGAGGCCCACACTGCCTTCCAACTCCTGCCGTCGACGCTTTTTTTGGCGATCAACATTTTGGACCGGTACTGCTCCAAGCGTGTGGTGTACAAGCGGCACTATCAGTTAGTCGGTTGTGCGGCCATGCTCATCGCCGCCAAATACAATGACAAGAAGGATCGGGTCCCCACCGTCAAGGAGTTGAAGTCGATGTGCTGCTCTCTCTACGATGACGATATGTTCATCCAGATGGAATGGCATGTGCTGCAGACGCTCGGCTGGACGATTGGACACCCTACAGTGGACGCCTTCTTGCAGATCGCTACTCTGGATGAAGCGTACGATCCCGAGGTGGAGCACATGGCACTCTACGTGCTGGAGATTGCCCTGTTCCATCGGGACTTCGTGTCTAAACCCTCCTGCGATCTCGCTCGGGCCGCGTTGGCACTGTCGCGGTGTATACTCGGCCGGCCGCAGCCGCGCCACACTGACTGGGCTTCGCAGTATGACTCGATGACGTTGGTTGGCTTATCCCAGCAGCTTCATCAGCCGTCGACTGTGGTCGCTCGCAAGTACGCCTCGGCTCACTACTCGCGTGTGTCCAAGATCCTCGAGCACTTCCTTACTCGCCAGGCATCGATGGTCAGCTATTCTCGCTGCACGCCTCCGGTGGAGACCCCTGCCGAGTCCAAGCCCTACACCGGGGAGATGGGCCTGGCGACTCCCCAGAAGTCCCAGCAGTTGACTGCCATCCCTCACGGGTACCTCACTCCGCCCATCACACCGGAGAATGCGGCCTTTGTCCATGCTCATATGGGCAATCCCGACATGGCCCGAGAAGTGCCCGTCCCGAACGCCTGCTCGCCAACACCGTCGCCGTCGTCTGAGATGCAGTACATGAGCACCGATGCCTATCAGCAGCAGGAGACCATGTACATGTCTCAAGCACAGAACCCATATCAGCACCAGCAACCGCTGCAGCAATACGCTCCGCATCCGCAAATGGGAGTCCCCGCGACCTACGTGGGTGCTATGTAAAAGAAAGGAAAGACGACCACCCGAAAAGTGATTTTGCGCCCTGCACATATTCCTTCGGTTCGCCTTTTCTCTTGTCTAATAGAGCATCTGCCTGCGTTCTCTGGGTCTGCCGTGCTAATTCACCTAATCGTCTCACGGCGCTCTCACCTCTCTCTCTGCTGTCACCTGAGCCATCATCGCTCCTCGAACTCGAACTCATCTCACTATCCTTCAACTATTGCATTCGGCTCTGGTCCACTGGATCGGAGTCGACATCAGCCATTTTTTCATTCACTGTTCCAAAATTGCATACCCCCATTTCCTTCTCTTGTCTGTTTCTGTCCATCTTATGGGTCATCAAGTTGCATTTGATTTTTATTATTATGTTCTAGCATTGCAAGCGCGAGCCATGTTGATTCATTGTTTCCAGATTGCATCTGCCACTTACATTCCCCTCTACCCTGACCATACTTCACTTCATGTCAAGGAACTCTTCCCACTTCCTTGGCCTTCTTGTCTCCAGCTGCGCGCCCGTCGGCGCTGCGCCTTTGCATCACCAGCATCCTTTCTTTACCTCATACGATCTTTCGCAGCAAATTGCCTGCCTCCAGAACCCTACCCCTTTCGACCGCTTCAAATAAAGAAAAAAGTCTTTAATGTGTCTGACCTCGTCTTCTTCTCTGGTGAACCAGAGATAGACGCACCCACACTATGAAGGTGTTCTTCTAGCAAAGAAGAGGTCACAAAAAAAGCAAAAAAACGCGACAAAACCCGGAAAAAAGACTTCGCTGTCTCTCATCCCCTAGGGAGAAGGAAAAAAGAATACCCAACCTTCTTCCCCATTTTGCTCTTCTTCTCGCAGTCAACCCCCCCCCCCCCCCCCCCCAATTCCCCCCGAGTGGCCCTGTGTGTATCTAGCCAATGGGCAACTGTGTGTGCTTTCTTACTTTATTGTCTCTTTTTGTGTGGACTCTATCGTTTAGTGTGGAGAATCCACTGTGCCAGATGGCCCATGAATGATATTCCAGCTGTGGGAATCCGTCGTATCTCTCTGTAGTGTGGCTCATACTCCCGTTGTTGACAGTTTTCTTTTTGAAGACATCTCAACCGTGGAACAATCCGGATAGTTCAATGGAGCTTTGTGGTTGGCTGAAAGGGGTAGTTGTGGAGAGTAAGTGGATCCCAGCATATCCGCCTTGATTACGGATTTCGTATTTCTCTCCTTGCGCGCTGCTTGGAGGTACCCGTGTAACTATCTGTAGTACGTCCAGTGAGGAAGGGACAAAACAACGTATTATGCTGCAGTAGATGTATGCCTGAACTTTGGGTATATGTTGAGTTCCAGATTGCACTGTGAGCGTCCCTGGAGAAATATATATAACCCGTGTAGTCAGTTCAAGTCACATCCAAATTGAAAGCTAGAAGGTCAGTATTAGTTGTTCATTCAAAGGGTGTGATCTAAATAAAATATAGTCACTGTTGTCATCCCCCCAATCCACGCAGTGCTTTGCATCTGAACAAATGGAATTGTAAATTACGAAAATGGTAAGTCAGTATTCAGTGTAGCCGAATTCATAGTGGAGAATGTACAATTTCCCTATCTAGGAGGACAGAGAAATGGAAGAGGTATGAGTGATGAGGGTATTGAGGTGAGAGTAAGGAGAGGATGGGGGGATAGTACCCGACCAGCCCATCCGATTGGAAAGGAGAGGAAGACAAAAATGCAGAACATCAGCAAACAAACAACACCAGGATCCAGAACTCCGCCGATGAACATGTAATGGTATGGTACAGGGAGGGGAATAGTGCAGCAATAATGTCGAGTCGAAGCGGATAAGTAAGCGCGAAATCCGGGGAGAGAAAGCAGAAGGCCCCCAAGACCTAGACAGAGACGGGGATTGGCAATGGCAACAATCAGCACAGCGGAACGGAAACCATCGTCACTCGACCAAGCCCGATTGGATCCAAAAGACAGAGACCCCCTTGGGCGTCGCCCGAAATAGAACAATCCCGAGCCCTTCCCCCTTTTTCTGATCTGGATCGGATTGGATCCCTGCCGCGTACCTGACAAGCTCGGGCCCAGTCAAATGGCAATCTCGCTATGTTTGTCGATCACCGCCTCACTTTTTCTCTGGTCTTTTCTGAGTCTTTCTTTTTCGGGGGATGAAACAAGCTGGCCCCTCCCCGGGATGATTATTTCCAGCGCTGTTTGTCCCAGTCTGATGGCCGGGTCTCATCGTAGATCTGGCCGCCCTTGTTGTGAATGATGACCGGTGGCTGGCGGCGGCGGCGGCTGCTGGTGTTGGGATTCGCGGCTGGCACTGTGGGTAGCGGCGTCGTTAGCTTGCTGCCAGACCTTGGACTGCCGCGGTAGGTAGGCAGGGTAGGGGTTGTGCGTTCGGGCTGTATAATGATCGACCTACCAGGCACTTTAGTGACGATGACCTGGTCACTGCTGTCGGTACTATCACCGCTGCCTCCGCTAGCTAAGGACGAATTTGAATCGTTGGTGACCTTGTGTGGCATGGTTGGAGGTGGATGTGTTGGTAGGATCGCAATCAAGTATAGAGGGTATGTATATCGAGAGCGAAGTCAGGAATTTGGCCGCAGTGTTGAACTGCGGCAGAGACGGAGAAATAAGATAAAGTAGTCAGGAAGAGTATGAGCTGAGGTGAGCTAAGAACAAGGAACTATGTATGATTCAATTGAAACTTCCCCCTTGTTGGCCCAGGGGGGCGACAAAGCGGTCTTTGTACTCCGTATAACTGCTACAGCCCATTCCGCATTAGGTGAGCGTTATGGATTCCCCGATCTCTCAAATGACACCAAGAACCCCCTCCCCCCGGAAAGGCCCCCCGGGCCGTCCACGTAGCTGGGCGTCTCAGGAGCTGGCCGGGCTGGGCTGGGTCGCTAGGGAGCTCAACCTAAGCTGGGGGCACGGCTAACACGGAATGGATCGCCCCCTGACGTAGCGAGCTCTCTTTCCCCGGGGGATGGGGTACATAACTTATTCAGGGCAGCAAATCATCTTGCAGTCAAGGACACGCTATTTTTGTGAACCAATGCTCTGGTGGAGCCAATAATGATGACTCAGCCCAGAGGAATGACTGCGTAGACTACTGTAGTGTCACTAGCTCAAGGCAGGGATGAAGCTAATATTGTCCAAAGTAGTCGGTGCGGATCCCCCGTGGTTAGGGTTGTCTGTCCAACAAACACGGGTTGTGGAAGCACAGTCGGGGTGGACGCTCACCGCCGGTGGCCCACAGTGGTCCAGACTGTGAAGCTAGACCGAGTGTATCGCAGGCAGGCTGGGACAAATGATGATGATCTTCAATTATACAGTATGCTCCCCTGACGATCTGTCTCCCGCCAGCACATGCGGTGAGATCAGAGGCGAGTCCAGTAGTGATTCGATTGCCCCCCTAGATCTAGATTCCTGGTGTGAGGCGGATCGGAGGGAGATTCTTCCAAGAGTAGCACAGCGTCACTCAGCTTACCCTTCCTCTCCCTTCCCGTTTCATCCGATCCTCCCAGCCATTATTCATACTCCGCCGGATCCCCAACGTCCGTCGGCCCGACAACCCTGGAGCTTGCTGGCGGACCACTGACATCGTAGTCGTGTGGAACGTTGAGGCAGACTGGAAGCCACTGGTCGAGCTTTCTTGCATTTTCTCGCTGGCAGGTGCATTCTCCTCATTGGGCTCCTGCTGTGATAGCATCCTAGCTGGTTTGATTGTAGAATTGGATGGAGCAGCAAGAAAGGTGTAGCCGTTGGGCTCGGTGGGCTCAAGCGTCGGCCGCGATGGCTGGAGCGGTCGGGATTGAGGCCGGTGATATGAAAGCGAGGACGGAACAGCTGGACGCACGGTCTGAGCAGGCGCCGGTTCGTTTCGTCGAATTTCTTGAGGTCGTAGGCGAGGAGGCACAAGAGTAGATTCTTTCTTCTGCGAAGGTCCCGACCCGCCGAAAAAGGTTGAGATACTTGCTTGGGAGAGGCCATCTTTGCGGCCTGCGCTGTTGCTTGTTTTCGGCTTACTGGATGATGCGGTTTCTGATGAAGCACGCTTCAATGCGGAGGCCGCGGGTGCCTCGGCAGTGACTGCGGAGTTTGTGGCGATGTAATCACGAGCAGACTGGAATCCAGTTGAAAGCGCCGTAGGAATTGTGAAGTTCGAGGAGTTGCTCATGGTATACCCAGTTGAAGAGATGTAGGTCGTTGATGTCGGACCCTGGTGGGTGTTGGGACGCTGTCGTTTAGGGTATGGCTCACCCCCATTATTGACGGCTAGGCTGCCGTCCCATTTGGTGACAGCATCCTTTATCTCTTCGCCTTCTGGCGTCCATTGGTCGTCTAATGTTGAAGGAAGCGAACCCAGTGCTTTGAACATGGCTTCAGCAGCCGGGCGAGCTCGCCGCAGGATATCGGCTATCCCGTAGACCACTTTTTCCTGTAAGCGAGGCCCCGTTGGGCGAAAGTGTGTCTTGGTCACCTTGCCGCTCAGGAAAGGTGTTAGGCTTGTGCTCGTGTCCTCGCCTTCACCGAATCGAGGTTGTCGAAGAGGCAGGCTTAGATACAACAAAGCTTGAGCCCTAGTCATTGCCACATATAGCAGACGTCGCTCTTCATCCACCACCTCAGCTCGCGAGTGTGGAATGCTTCCATCATATACTGCTGGAACAAAGACGACAGGCCACTCTAGGCCTTTCGCTGCGTGAATGGTGGAAATGGTGACTTTCTCTTGGGCCAGTTCACCCTCTTCATCCTCGTCTTTGGTCATCTCGGTTGCCAAAGCGACATTCGCCAGGAACCGGGACAGCGCCTCTTCTCCGGAGTGGGACTGTTGTTGCTTGACACCCTCGATCTCTGGCAGGTCATCCTCCTTATCACCGTCTTGGGCGGCTGCAGCAACTTCACTGGCCTGACCCATCAATTCCTTGACGTTCGCCCAGCGAGTATCCTCGTCGAGGGGATATTCTTGAGTGAGCCATTCCTGAAACGAGAGCCGCTCAGTGATGAACTCAAGAAGCACCTGCGGTGCAGACGCATCGTTACAGCCCTGCAACTTCTCTTTGGCAGCTTCAATCAATTTGACCAGAGCGCAGAGTCCACGCTCCGCTGTACTCTGTAGCTTCTTCCCGGTCGATCGGCGACCCTGAATGACATCCTTGATAAAAGTCCACAATGGAATATTGGCCTTCTCAGCACCGCTGGTCAGCTGTTTCACCGTTTCCTCGCCAATCCTGCGCGACGGAGTATTGATAATACCCAGCACGGCATCCGTATGCTCGGTGTGGCTCACCACGCGCAGATAATTTAACAGAGTCTTGACTTCAGCTCGATCGAAGAACTTGCGCCCCCCAACCATTTGATAGGGGATGCCTGCTTTCCCAAATGCGGTCTCGATCCGCGTCGACAACGCCGCGGTCCGGAGCAAAACGGCGAAATCGGACATTCGCAACAGGCCACCGGTCATAGCTGCACACCGTTTAATCTCGAGTACTAACCACTGGGCCTCGGCGTTGGCTGTGGGTAATTTTCTCAGCACAGGCAACGTTCCATAGCAATGAGTCGCCTGCAACTTCTTTGCTGGTCGAGATGTATCCTGCTCGATGACCTCTTGAGCTGAATTCAGTATCGACGCCGATGAGCGATAATTATCCTCCAAGAGAACCACGGATGTGTTCGCATATCGCTGTTGCATCTTATTGAGGTTTTGAATTTCTGCCGATCGAAAGCCATAGATGCTTTGATCTGGATCACCGACAATGGTGATCCGCCGGTTCTTCGACGCAAAGAGATTCATTAAGTCGTATTGAATGACATTTGTGTCCTGGAATTCGTCCACCAAAACCGCCTGAACGTTGGACACGCACTGCGGATGGTGTCTGAGAAGCTCGACGCACCGCAGAAGCAAGTCATCGTAATCCAAGAGATTGGACGCGACCAGCGCTGATTCGTATGCACGATATATATCCACCAACTCCTGCTCCTCCGCCTTGGCTTGAGCGGCCACTTCATCGGGGCTCAATCCATGAGCTTTGTGGCGAGATATCCGTCCTTGTGCCGCTCTGATCTCCATGCCGGAATTGAGTCGTTTGAGGATCCTCTGAGGCCTGAATTAGCAGCAGAAACATAGACAGATGATTTAGTCTCACTTTAATGATGGCGCGCGTGTCGTTTGAATCCGCAATCCCAAAACCTTTCTTGAGACCGATCAGGTAGCCATACTTTACCAGGTATCGCCGACAGATAGAATGGAAGGTGCCCAGGATCAATCGTGACTCCAATCGCTCTCCGATCAGTTTGGCCAACCGTTCGCGCATCTCACGGCTTGCCTTGATGGTGAAAGTGCAGCAGATGACATCTTGAGGCTGGTAGCCATCGTGCGCGAGCAGGTACGCGACGCGCGCCGTCAAGGTCTTGGTCTTTCCTGATCCAGGCGGGGCGAGCACCTGCAGGATGGGGGCAGAGGAGGTGACAGCCGAGCGTTGGGCCGAATTGAGGCCATCGAGGATGGAGTCCATGGCATGTTGAAGGGAAGGGAGAGTGCTGGTGTTGGTGCTGCAGCGGGGGGGGAACGCGACAACACACGGGATCATGTGACGAGGCAACTATACAAGCAACGAAGCAGAACTTAGGGATTGGAGTGTCAATATGTACTAGTATGTAGATGCACTGTGTAATAGATAATTAAATACAATCAAACGAATAAAGAGAGACAGCATCCACCCTCCGGACCGAGCAGGCGACTCCTTGTCAAAGCAAATGGGAGTATCAAAACCGAGAAACAAAGCTCCTGCGTATTACGCCATCAAATAACAGATTGCGATGGAGTCGTATGTGAGATCACGGAATTACCACCACCACTTCTTCTCCTTCTCCGGCAGATCAAACAAAGATGCCTAAAGGTAGACTCATGGCCGCTTCATAATTGGGCACATTGACTGCCTCGGTAATCAGCAAGTCTCCGGCAACGCTGGCAAGAATATACGCCTCGCTGCGAGTGAGTCCCCGAGTTTCGACAAGCCATTGGATGAAATTCCGCAGGGCATTCCTTGTGGCCTCGAGTAGATCCGAAGCAACTCCCAGGACGCCGTATGTGCCCAGGTCGGGAAGGGGATTGGGAATCTGTGCCAGCGGAGGAGTCTGATAGTGAGGTGAAGTGACCCATGACTGGTCCTTACAGAGCTCAAAGCGGAGAGTCGCGCGAATGGGAGTTTCGATGGCAGTCCCGCAGACCTCCCCATGGCCCTGGGCCGCGTGTCCGTCGCCGCAGCTGAAAAGTGCACCAGCCGTCTGGACGGGCAGGTAGACGACAGAGCCAGCGCTCAGTTCCCGGCAGTCCATATTCCCGCCGTGATTTGTCGGCGGAACGGTGGAGAGTTCGTCATCGGTGGCTGGTGCCAGGCCCATGCATCCGAGGAACGGCCGTAGCGGGATGCGAATATTTTTAAACTCGGCAAATCCCTTCTCCCGGTCGAGCGACCAGATTTTGAGCTCCGGCTCAGGGAATTCGTCTGCCAGCAGGCCGAACCCAGGAATGATAGCGGACCAGCCCCAATCGGCGACTTCCAGGTTCAGGATTTCTACCTTGAGGACATCACCCGGCTCTGCATCTTGCACATAAACGGGCCCGAAGACGGGATTGACCAGGCCGAGATCGAGGGACTTGATCGCCGAGGAGTCAGAGGTGGCTGACAGTTGACCGTTGCTGCTGTCAGCGGCGTCAAAGGTGACGGTCTCTCCGGATGAGACGGTCAGCTTGGGAGCAATGTTCTTCGACCATTTCAAGTGGCTGCACTCTCTTCCCACATGGAAGTTGCTCCATCCTGATGCGTGTCCCATGTCAGTTGAAGTGGCGACCCAGCTTTTTTCTCTCCGTTAGGCGGACATAAGCTGAAAAAAGGGTCGCGGCGACAGACGAAGGGAGAAGAGGGTTAAAGAAGAAGAAGGGAGCCGGCAAGCGATCTCGTTAACAATTGACCATTGTGGAAGGTGGCTAGCCTGCCGAGTCTTACTCATCGGGCTGGTGAAGGGATCCATTTTACGTTTGATCGCCTGCCTAAACGGGTATGAGAGCGTGATGCCCTATTCCTGATTTCCGGTGCTTGGAGCCTCTCGTGTACGGGCAATAGATCCGGCCATTAGACAGGAGGATATGGTTGGTTGAGCCACTCCGACCCCGGACCTCGATTTCTATCGCCATCATCGCATCGATTAGCTCGCTAGTTAATCACTGGCCAGGCGGGGGCTGACTAAGACCAGTGGAAGAATTTATGTTTTTGCAACCGAAACTTTTTATTATAGTTCTGATGCGGCTATTCTAGTGAGCTGGTGAGAGGGTTGCCTGGGAATACGAGGTGCGCGTGGCTTGACGAGAAATCCAACGTTAGGCGGCAAAGACCAACATGTCAGGCCGAGGCGCACTTGAACGACCTTCTTCTTCCGGTAAGGGTGGTTCTCCCCGACGGATGACTTGCATGACTCGGCCTTTCCCCCTTTCACTCTCCGGCTCGCGAGATATCCCACCCGTCGCACATGCAGCCTGAACTCACCATCGCTTCTAGCATTCCTCTCTGTCGGGATACCCTTACCGTCGCGAGCCTGGTGAACCGACTCCACTTCTCTGCACTATTGCTCGATCGCCCCACGAGTTCAAAATTAGTATCTGTACCTGCCTGCCGCACCGTTGATTTTAACTTTTGAACTACTGTATATCTTAGTCAAAGGGTTTGTGTTTTTCTCCGGTGGGAGCCAATTCTTCAGAAATAATGGATGTTCGGGAAAAAAAAAAAAACCATCAACGTTCCTTCTGAATCCTTGTGGGTTTTTTCAGTTCCTCCGAGCAAATCCGAAAACATCTTCATGTGGGGTGTCGTATCCGGGCGACGCCTATCTCTACCTGCAGGTAGTAAATAGTAATAGGCTCCGTCACTATGGATGACCTACTGTGGCTTGGCTTCGGACATGGTTGACTATTTGGGATCAACTTACATACCTTTCCCCCATGAGCAGAACGCAAAATGTGTAGTTCTGGACACCGTTGATTCTTTAAATCTGTATTCTTTTCCTTACTCCGAACGAAATTGCAGCACACAGAATCTTTTTTGGACAGGTTGATCATAGTCGGACAGATGGATAAGGTCCTCAGAGCTTTGCGGGCATTGCGGCCAGAAGATTCGACACTCCCCATGACAATGCTCATCCAGTAGACAAGGAGACGTATGATGCCATCCTCGTCGCCGTTGTTCGTTCTCTTGGCCCTGCCGAGTCGTCCACATAACTATTCGTTATGAATGTGCGCCGCCGAATCAATGCAGATAAATGCCTACACACGTGAATGACTCGAAACCGGACTCCGGAACGGGATTCCACACCAGCCCCACAACCTTTGAGCGCGGGAATGGGCATTAGGCTTCGATCATGGTCTTACCCTTACTCAATGTAGTTCGAGATCGCCTGAAGAATCGCTCAGTTAATCTAAGTCACCATCCAATGTCCGAGCCTACAAGCTTGATCTTGCCGATCGTTACTCTGTAGGTCGATGCTACTGTATCCTTGAAGGCAGGAAGTGTAAACCAATCGTTTCAAGATATGCTAGGGTGATCGTTCTCTCTCCGGGAGCTATAGGGGCCATTGAGCAACATCGCAGGGGCATGTATCAGGTTTCTTACTGCCTGGGGATCGTCCTTCAGCTTTGAGTCTGAAACGAAAATCGCCCGTGGATCTCCATGATTCGGCCCCATTTTGTATCAGCACACTGTTCGTTAGCTTCACACAACCCATTTGCTCTTGCGCTCTCTGTTTCTTAGTCCTCCCTCTACATTTCCATCTACTCGTATCGATGGTCGCATTTCCCACGACCTCAGTCCATGATGATCCTCCTCTCTTCATTACTACTATCGTTCGTCAGCAGCGCTGCCGCACAAAGCCACGATGGTGACCTGATGTCATTTGTCACCGTAGGCAAGCCTTGAACACTCCTCACCCCTCCCAAGCTAACATCACCCAGCTCCCAGACATCAGGGCCGTGAAATGGGATATTACATGGCATGACCGCGATCGCGCGAGCCCCGGATATTGGTTTGTCGCGCCAATGGGGGATAGCTCACCTCAATCTTTTGAAACAAAAAGATTCCATCAGTATCAGATAGGACCGTATATTTATGATGAAGATGGGGTATGTTACATTTGTGAGAAGCGTGGCAATCAACTGACAACTGTGATGCCATAGATTCTCATCTGGGCCGGCTCATACCTGTTTGAAAACCGCAATATATTCGATTTCAAACCCCTTCACAACATCGGCGAGGAGCCACGCCTCTCTTTTATTGAGCAACGAGATGCGAGCGGCAGTACCCGTGGACAGGGGATTATTCTGAGCCAGAACTACACGTTTGAAAGGGCCGTGGAGGCCCTGGTAGATCTCGAAGAATTCAACGTCCGTGAATTTAATGTGCTCCCCGGGGGCCACTTTGCGCTGGCCTGCGTAGACAAGGATGAACAAATTCCTCTTCATGAACTTGGACGCCCTGACGAAGACTCATTTTTCATTACGGGCGGGTTTTACGAGGTTGATACGGAGACCGGCGATATTGCTTTCAAGTGGAGGTCAGATGGACCTGAACACGTCAACCTCCTTGAGTCCATTAAGCTCGACGTGAATTCTCCCGCCGCAGGCAGACCAGGATACGACTACGTCCATATTAACTCGGTTGACAAGAACGAGGACGGCAACTACTTGATCTCCTTGCAATATACGGATACCATTTATCTGATCTCCGGTCGGGATGGTTCTATCATGTGGCGATTCGGCGGACATGGAGGCGACTTCCTTGTTGACTTTAAATTCTCCAAGCAGCATGACGCCAAATTTGTCAAATCGAACGGAACACATCATACAATCACCCTTTTGAATAACGCAGCCGATGAGTATGAGAATGAAGAGGAGGTATCGTCAGTTTTACTAGTGGAACTGGATACCACCGTTAGCCCCATGAAAGCCACTCTCCTTCGTCGGCTAGAGCGGCCTGACGGAGGACTTTCCCGCATTCAAGGAAATGCACAGTATCTCGACAATGGCAATATCTTTGTTGGATGGGGTGATGAGGGTTATCACACTGAATTCGCACCTAACGGCGACAAACTGGTCGAGGCTCGATTTGCTTCTTCCCGCTTCAGTACCTACCGGGCCTACAAATCCACGTTCGTCGGACGACCAACCGAACCACCTGACGTGGTGGCCACCGTGATGGGGGTCGATTCAGACAGTCTAATAACCACTATTTACGTTAGCTGGAACGGTGCAACAGAAGTCGATTCTTGGAATTTCTACGCACAGGGATGGAAGAAACAAGATCCCATCTTGATCGGAAACGCCAAGAAGGTCGATTTCGAAACCCTATTCATCGCAGCCGGCTACATGGACTGGATCTCTGCCGAAGCGCTGGACCGCAATGGCAATGTCTTGGGCAAGTCCGAAGTCCAACGCACAGAGAAGGTTCCGCAATGGGAAACTGCAGGCTTCAGGGAATCAAGTGAGCCTACCGCCGAGGACCCAGCTCTTCGCTACTCAGAGGGTGGTACAGGGAGAGAGCGCCACGATCACTCAGAAATGGTTGAGGATTTGCTCAGAATCGTTGCGCTTATCAAAGGAATCGGGGGCTTCTTCATTTTCGTGCTGGTTACGGGCGCCATAGGCGCTTCGAGCGCGGGGATTTATTGGGCTGTGAAAAAGCGGCGAGAGAGAAAGTCCTATAAGCATGTTCCCGCGGAGAATGGGGATAAAGAAGAGATATTTGAGATCCCGGAGTTTGAGCAGTATCACTCTGAGGAGTATCAGTCGCGAGACTCGCGAGAGTGACTGTACTGGTTACAGCCAGAGCATCATTGTACATAGTGGCGTATTTTCCATATTGCATAGCGATTTTGCTTCCCTCACTTCTACACTTTGCAGCTAATAGAAAGAAGCTAGGTTAGGTCAATTACTGTAGACCGAGTTGATGGGGCCAGTGGCAACATTGCCATGAGGATCAAGGGTCAGAAGGATGCGGGAGTTGGTGGAGTTGCCTTGGTGACCACTGCGATAGCCTCATGTGCGGCCCCAGAGAAGTGCGTTTCTATAATTGGAAACAACATATTGATTCCAAATGCTGAATGCAATCCATGATCAGCACTAACTAACTAACCCTTTTAGTGACGCTAGAGATATGCAACAAATGAACCGACTCGCACTTAGCCGGGAAAATCACGACTTTTGTCCATCCAGCATCGCAACGATGCAGGAGGCATTGTCACTTGTGGGGCGACTGACGGCAGTGGATGCGATCTCCTGCGCGACATCGCTAGCTCTCATCCCACGCATCGACAGCTTCATCACATGTTGAATCAAATTAGCATCATCCGTGTGGTCACTCACGCCGTCGGAGGCAATGACCAGTAAGTACCGCCGGCCTGACTGCAATGTGTAATGAGACGTGTAGGGCTCATTTGATAAAAAGTCTCCTCTTGCTTCGGACGGAGTAGACGATGAGGATGCTCGTCGAGTGCCGGGAGTGGAGCTGTCGTTGTCGAGGGTGTTGACCGGGTTCTTATACTGCAGGTCGCCGATAGCTCGAGACATGTTCAAAGAGCCTATTTAATGAGATCATCACTATTAATTATTTTTTAGAAAATAGCATCAAAATACTCACCAAGGCGAGCAGTTCCGCTGCGTGTATTGACCTTGCCGCCTGCTTTCTCGATGCGGGCCTGTTCGCTAGGCTCATCTGGCTTGTGAGCCTTGGTAAGGCGGCGCTAATGCAACTGTTAATACTGACGGTCATACAGAGGGAACTGCACGGTGCACACAATATGGTATGGACGGTCTGTTTTAGGATCCCGCTCCGCCAGGATAACGCACGAATCGCCGAGGTTGGATACGATCAGGTCGCCCTTTGTCAGATTCACGAAACACACGGCAACTGTAGACCCAGACATTGCTGGCTCGGATGTCTCATGCTTGAAAGTCTCGAGCAATTCCCCGTCCATATCTGACAAGGCTCCGCGAATGGCTGCGACGTAGTCTTCTCGATCAAACTCGGGGCGCTTGGCTAGAAGGTGGTGTAGGTTGCGACTCGCATGCTCTGAAACCAATCCAGAACCACTACAAACAAGCAATTAGCACATTTGACCTTCATAAAGTCCTGGGGTTCTTACTGTCCGTCGTAGATAGCAAAGAATGCGAGTTTGTCATCTGTCCGGGCAGGAAATTGGTCCGGCATGATGAATGTGCAACGGTCTTCCTGGAATGGCCGCCCTCCCTGCGCCTGCAAAGCTGTTTAGTATAGACTTCCAGTTGAGATTCTGACTTACTTGACCTGCTCCCGCGTCGAAGAGCAGGACGGCATCCGACGTGGACATGAGCGTGTTGCGGAACATTTGGTCCTTCAGAGCTCTGTGTGTCACGAACATGTTCAAGACATTGTTTTCTACAGACATAGCAGTTCTCCATCCTTATAGTGATGAGGCGTTGACATCATGGCCGTCATCTGGCACTCATGGTCTATTTGTACAGACAGACAGTTAGGGCTCAGACGGAGCGCACGGGCCAAAGGGTCTCCCGTCGTCCCTCATTTTCTTGCCTTTCACTCTCCTTCCTCTTCCACTTCACCGTCGTTTGCTCGATTTCAGTCTGGAATGGGCTGGGTCGGTGTGGGCACTCTAGTCGCAACCGCGGGCTATTTCGCCTACCGCTATCCTCCACGCTGGTGGACCGGTTTTTCTGTCCCTCCGGAACCCACCTCCGACGTACCGCCGTTTCCTCCGACCGCGGACGAGCACTCGCAGGCAAAGCATGGCGTAAGCGACTCAAACGCCCCATTCATAGAGATCGAGGAGGACGAGTCTCAGACCACACCTAAGGCGTCTGCGTCAACCCCATCGGGGCTTGCGGTGCCAACACTCAGTCTGGACGAAGACACGAGTGGACGCGCCACCTCCACAGACGTGCCAACGCCTCCCGTGCAGCGCAATACGACCAGGAATACACCGTCAACGGATCGTGGAGGCACCGCGCCGCCATCAACTCTCATGACCGCTCCATCGTCACAACGCCCGCCCGCCTTGGCCTCGTCTCTAATGCCTCCGCCTCCCGCACCCCGTCCCCGGCCTACATCCAACGGCACCTCCTCCGGCCAACTCCAGCCCCCTCGTCCAAACAACATGTCCAGCTCCCTGCGCCCGCCACCCTCCGCCGCATCATCCCTACGCGTCCCTCCCAGCGGTGGCAGTGGCAGCCGCCTCAGCAGCAGCACTCTCGCCCCGCAGACTCTGAAGAAACCCACCAACGGAGCGCGCAGCAAAGTCATCCTCGAACCGGGTTACTCGCCGCTAGACTGGGCCGCCCTCGCCGCAAACCCGAATAACCAGCTCCGCGGCGCAGGAATGCCTCCGGGCCTGCTGCGGGTGACGCCGTCGATGCTGAAGACGCAGAACGGGCGCAAAGGCCGCGATGCCTGGACTTCGTACCTGGGCAGAGTCTACAATATCTCGCCTTACCTGCCCTATCACCCCGGTGGGAAAGGCGAGCTCCTCCGCGGCGCGGGGAAGGACTCCGCGAAACTGTTCCAGGAGATTCACCCGTGGGTTAACTGGGATGGGATGCTGGGAGAGTGTCTGGTGGGCATTTTGGTCTCGGAGAATGACGCATCCGAGGAGAATAGCCTTGATGCTATGGATTGATGTGGTCATTGTATTTTATAGTGACTTTGTTTTGTACTAGATGAGATACCCTTGTAGATATGTGTAAATAGAGCAGACCCGAACTTGTAAACCACAAACCTTCCAGAAGTACAGCTCATCTTTCGTTTCCTTTTTTACTACCTGAAATACATAGGCTCATGCAACTAATTCAACCAATCACGAAAGTGGCTCAGTCGTGCAGTACGTGCAGTCCAAATACGACTCAAATCTTCAACGGCTTGACATGCCTCCATTCAAGACTCCCGCTAAGTATGGATCGTACTGCAAAAACTAGGATTATTATCCGATCAGAGTGCTACGGATGACATGCACTTTTTCGATCGAGTGTATATCGGGGGCCGGTTAGGCACTCCCTCCATGCGTTATATTCAAAGGCAAGGTCTTTAAACAAGGCAGCCTCTAGTGGCAAGCGGTGCCTTGGGGTATCAACCATAAATCTCCAAAATAAAACTGACTACAGCTCATCCTTATCGACACCGTCAATGGCCATCAACTCCGTCTCAAACACCAGCGTCGCACCGCCGGGAATCGGCCCCACACCGCGGTCGCCGTAGCCGAACTCGGGCGGGATGGTCAGCGTGCGCTTCTCGCCGATGCACATGTCAAGGAGGCCTTGGTCCCATCTGAATAATAAACGAAGGACCCGTTCGTCAGCGACGTACATAGGAGATAAAGAAAGAAAGAAGGGCAAGAGCTCTCACCCCTTAATCACCCGCCCCGTGCCCAACTTGAAGGTCAACGGCGTGTTGCGCTTGTAGCTCGCGTCGAACTCAGATCCGTCGGACTGTAGCGTGCCGCGGTAGTGCATGGAGATGGTATCGCCATTGGCGGTCTTGCGGGTGCAGTCGACCTTATGGGTGGTTTCGATGCCGAGGTCGGCGGCGGTGGCGAGGGAGGCCACGGCCAGGACGAGGAGGGAGCGGAGTTGCATCTTGTGCTGGGTTTAGGTTTGGGCTGGTTATTGGCGTTGAATTGAATAGAGGATTGAGAGAGATGGTGAGAGGAAGAGAAGCGGAATCGAAGAAGACAGAGTGGAGGGAAGTGCGGAGAAGGCTGGATTGAGACTGACCAATAATGATAGATACCTTGGATAGGGAAGTATGTGGCCAACTACTACAAAATGAACTACTATTATAAACCGCAATTAACACCCTTTCGCAGTCTCAACTTCGTCCACCACCGCCGCTGGAATCCCTTCATCCGCCCCAGCGCGCAGATCCTCCTCACCCATCGCCCCATCCCAACCTTTCGACACCAAATACGCGCGGAACTGCTCATCGCGCACCCGCAGGTCCTCCCCCGTCAGGTCCGGCACAAAGAAATAAGTAACCGTCACGCCAACAACACCACAGATAGCCGCAATAATAAACGTCCAATTCTTGCCCAGCCGATTCTCAATAGGCTCAAACGCCTGCGTGCCGATAGCCGCGCCCGCCTTCCCAACAGCCGCAGAGATGCCGTAGCAAGTGCCCCGAACACCGGTAGCATACGACTCCGACGACAGCAGGCCGAGCATATTCCCCGGTCCAAAGTTGCCGGAGCTCTGCATCAGCCCGTAGAAGACGATGAACAGCGGCACGATCTTCGTGACTTTGTCGTAGGCGCATCCAATGATCAGTCCGAAGATGAGGTAGCCACAAAAACCCATCATCATGATTTTCTTCCGGCCGACGCGGTCGCACAGCAGCGCGCCGAGGAATACACCCGGCAATGCGATTGCGCCGAGCAGGAGTTGCCATTCGCCGGTCTGGCGGACGGTGCCGTCCCCGACTACGGAAGAGATGATCACGCCTGAGAAGACGCCGTTAGGGAAGGTGACGAAGTCTGTGCGCTCTCGTTAGTAGGGATAGCGAAACGGGAAGAACAGGCGAAAAGTTACCATATAAGAACCAGGCACCGCACGTCCCAAGCAGTGTCTTCCAGTAATATCGAATAACCAGTCCATAGGGCACATGACTCTTGATAGCTCCGCGGCGGTACAGCGTCGAATTGAGCATGCGAATGCGGAAGTAGAAAATAGAGAGGGGCCAGATGCACCCGATGCCGAAGCAAACGCGCCACACGGTGCTATAGTGCGATTGTTGACATGCGGAGAGCACGATCAGGAAAATCGACACGGCAAATGGCCCGCCAAATGATAGCGGCAGGTTAGTCACCAGGATGAAGGCCGGACCGCGCTGTTTCGGGGTGAGATCGTTGGCTGCCTCGGAGGCGGAGGTGGAGGATGCGGGATACTCGCCGCCAGTACCTAGAGATTAGGTACTTTCTGTTAATAAGAATTGCTCCAAGAAGAGATGAGATTTGGACTGACGCACCGAATCCAACTATGCCTCGCGAAACAGTCATCATCCAGAACATGCCATCGATCGTGACGCCATGCGCGGCTGTCGCGAGAATGCCTCCCAAGACGATCATGAGGGTTGTGAAGACGATGGCGGTTTTGCGGCCGAGGTAGTCGCATGTCAGTCTGTATGTATGCACCATCATGTCAGATTGCTAACAAATCATGGCTATGTCTCAATCTCACCCAACGATAATCTGCCCGATCACTTCGCCCACGAGCAACGCATTCGACACGCGCGTGCTGACCGACGAGGTATATTGTGTGGGATACTCTTGCGCGAGGAGGACATTGGTCATGGTCCTGGGCTCCGAATGTCAGGAATGAGCTGCGACAACGGAAATCGCTCACATCAGGTTGTTCTGGTATCCATCACTAATGAGGGCGAAGCCACTGGCGAACTGTTGGTGTCGCGTGACATCAGTAAATGTATACAAATACAGCCAAAGAGTGAAAGCGTACAATGGTGAACAGATCCGACAGGCTTTGTCGTTTCCTCGACACCTCCGGCGACGGATCCGCCTCCATAGGGGCGATTTGATTCTGGAGGTCCGACTTGGGAGACTCTTCAGTAGCCGAGGTCTGTGCTTCCGCCATGTTGCGCAGGATCAGCAATTCCGCCGAGGGGTGGAGGGCAAGAGTATAGTGCCTCGGTGGGCAAGACAAGAGAAAGAAAACGGACTGCGCCCACTGGTAGAGAGGGAATCTAGAAGAAATTAGGACGAAGGAATGTGCAGGTGAAGTAGTCGCGTGCCCCTCGGAGGAGAACTTATGGAGGAATACGAGGATGCAGCCCTAACCGGACTCATTAGCGGGGGAGTCGGTCTACTAGTCGACCCGACAAGGCTAAGCTCAGTCGGCCGTTTCGAGCAGAAATGGTAAGCATTCCACATAGCTGTCAATCACGCTGGCATGCCAGAGCCAACGATTTTATTGGGCTGGTGGATGTGGAGAATGGAATGCGATCTAGTCAATTCTTGATCGGTAGATCAGATAACAGCACGTGGCGTAGGGCGCCGGAAGGTTATATTCAACTACGAAAAATCAATCGACGTGCAAGGTGGCATGCCCGATGGCTAGAGAAAATGGATTGGTGGCTGGTGGTGGGCAATCGATGATCTTATTATGGCATAGTCATAACTCCTGGCCAAATTCAAGACTTGGTGAGTGCAGTCGATCCTACTATAGTTCTGTCTCTCGAACCACCTTATACTCCTGTTCAGCAATTCGACTATCAGGCAGCTGTCTACTTCACCAACGCCATCCAAAAACCATCATAGCTCTCTAGTAAATACAGGAGCGGCAAACAGCGCAATCACGATCACGTGATACCGGCCTGAGCCTTTAGGTCTTCATAGTTTTCATCGACTTTTGACACTGAGTCTCTTGAGATTCTCCTCACGAGCAAAAGTCAGGCTTGTCGAAACTGCAGGAGTATATACCGGAGCCATCGCCTGACACGTCTGTGCAGTCGAGATCAATCAAAATACCGTAACTGGAAGATGTTAGCCATAATGCTGCCTCTATTCCAATCAATTAAATGAGTTACATACCAATTGTGCGGGTTGCAGTATGTGGTTTGTAGGGGATCAGTTGGAGAGTTATCCGTGTAGTCGTAGTTCAGCGAGTAGCCGCTGACGCACTCTTTATACCGAGTCAGAGAATCAACTTATGATAAGGAATGGAAAACGGATTTTATAGCCTTTAAACAAAGACGTACCAGGTATATCCTGGTCTCCGCTAAAAATATCGCCACTGCATGTCGTACCGACATCGTCGACGGCTGTGATATTGCCTATGGCCCCGGAGCCGTCGTCCCACGCAGCCCCCAATAGTTCCTTTGGCCCTCAAAATGATATCACTATGTAGATCATGACCATAGATCATGACCATATAGCATAGTCACGGCTCTCGCCCCCAACAGTTTGACTTCCGCCCTCCTTAGAAAATATAGTGGCATCGCGAATACTACTATAAGAATATGTAATGACTAGATTCAGTCTAAAAAAGTTTTGGCTAAAGTATATTTTTAGCGACGGCGTAGGTACAGTGCGTCTCGAAACTGGTGCCACTACACTAATTCACTTTTTCTTGGACCCCAATACCAAGATTCACTAGTCTATGTGAGGATTAGATCCGTAATATAACTATTCCTGTATCAGTATCAATATCGTGACTGCGTGGCAATTCCTGATTAACGACTTAAGCGTAGCTTAATAGAGCTTAACGATTCAATTGTGTAGGATTTGCTCGCGTTTAGACGCTATATGCGCTTGAATCGCATTATGTATTTACAGGCATAGTACATATGACTAAAAGATTTTGCTAAACGAGCTAGATTAGGGCAGAAAACTACTACAGGATCAGGATTGTCTGTCGAGGGCCAAAGTTTCAAGATATCCGCTATAATGATGACTAAGCACATCCATACTGGTTAAGCAATGGGGCTAGGAAATTGGACTATTATGTTGCCAAGATGAAGGTCTTAAGAATTAGCATTAGTCAGACAGCGTATTTAGACACATCTATTAGTATAAAATAACAGCCATGGACGACGTTTCCACCGTGCAGGGATGCGACTCAACGAATGAGCTGGGCCCCCCAAAAAGCCTGCCTGAGAGCGGACCTGATTGGAGAAGTCAAGCACGGCCAGATACTCTCGGGTTGCTCCAGCTGTGCAGTGTAGTGAAGCATGGAATGAAAAATGTCTTCATGCAGATTATGTACAGGATGGTATTCTCAAACCCCACCCAGATGGGTATTCCAAGGCAAAAGTACTGCCTTTGACTGCCGAGCAATCACCACGAATAGTCAACTACTGGCCCTTCAGTGTTAGTATCCGCTTTGGGTGAACCAAATGTATGATTTGCTTTACTAGGACTGAAGCTTGATGGATGATTACGTACGAACTATCATTGGAAGTTGCAAGCCTGCAGGGGGTTCTCAGTAAGCTCAATATTCTCGAGAGACATTTTTAAGAGGTGAAGAAAAGAGAAGGGTATGAATATGCGAGGAGCATAGCGTAATAAAATGTTTGAATTAAACCAGAGAGATCCAATCTGCGACCAGCTCGATTTATACTGCGATGCTAGCAAGCGATCTACCTGATGTGCCTGCCACAGCTCGGATTTAGCCCTCGGCGATACAACCTCGTTATGCATTAGAAACCCGAAGAGTCATACTTTACCGAAAGCGAAAAAGGGCTATAGAGGCAAGTAAGTTTAGGCAGCGTCGTTTTATCAAAGTTAATTGGCCGTTTCAAGGGTTCAGGCTAATCAGACCAACCCGGCTTACTTGACTAGTTCTTTCCCGCCTTTGGGCGAAAGCCTCGGGGCTCGGGTTTGGCGTTAGGTTCTTATCGATCTTTCAGGGCCCTCTGCTGCCGCTGTCGAACTCACAGTAGTACCGCAGCCGTGGCGAGAAGTGCGATTTCGCTTGCGATTTAATCAGTAGATCAGATAACAGCCCATCAGCGTAGAGTTAAGGGTTTAGATTCAATAATGAAAGTCAATTGACGCGTGCGTAAAGTTGCTCTAAATACATGAAACCAAAAACTGCCGCATTAACGCCGGACATAATATGTGCAGATGCTGCAAGATGGCAGCCAGCTTGCCCCCTGGGTATCGCGAAATGCATGTCAAGTGACTATCAGGAAGGAGGAGCGGGAGACAACAACAAAACAGTATACGACATGAAACCGTAACGCCTTTTTCTTCTTTGATATCGGAAGTTTATGCCCACTTGCCCAGCAAGGCCATCAGGGCAGCTCCGAGACACAACAGGATAAACGCAGTCAGCACGGTGCGGAAAGGGGCCTTGCGCATGGAGTTGCTGAACATGAACTCGTGCGCCATCAGCTCTACCAGCGCCGTGTAGATCAGGATCCCCGCGGAGATCGAGTCGAAGACACCGTTGACGATCAACGTCGTGCGGCCGGTTGGCGGGTAGGTCTTGCGGACGCCCAGGCCAATAGCGATGGCGATGGGGGTTGATATCCCAAAGGCGAAGCCTAGCCAGTAGGGTGTCGAGCGTTTGGATTTCGGCCATGGGAGAGTGGCCAAGCGGGAGCCGAGACCCAGGCCCTCGAAGGTCTGGTGGAAGACGAGCACGATGTACAAGGTTGTGAACTCTGGGCCGGAAACGGCCAGGGTGAGCCCGATGAACACCGAGTGGAAGATGATGCCGAATTCTAGGATGAAGATGGACGTCATCTGAGCCGCATAGTCCTCGATCGATTGGATGCCTTTCTCCTCGTCGTCGGCATCGTGATGCTCGCGCGAGTGGCCTAGGTGGTCTTCACCTGGTATGTGGGCGGCCTTGGACTCCTCCGCTGGGTCAAGGTGGGTGTGTCCATCGTCAGTGTGCGAGTGGTCGTTGTCTTCTTCGTCGTGTGAATGGCCCTGGCCAAAGTGAGAGAAGCGCATGACCATCAACTCGACAAAGAAGAGGACAATAATGGTCATCAGGACAATGCCTTCCACCCAGCTGTATGATTTGATCGGGCCAGTCAAACATGGGTTGGTCAGGGCCTGCTCGGCCGGAGCCAGGAGATGGATGAAAGCTGTTGCAATGATGACGCCGGAGCCAAAGTACTTGGCAACGAAGAAGGTCCACGAGGGGATCCCCAGACGTCCACCAAGACGCTTGGCGATGACAGGGAAGAGGGCGCCAAACATCGAGCCGACCATAATGACGAAGATGGAGGAGATGCGCAGGCCGATGCGGCCGTCGAATTCATTGCCACTGTCGCATTCATCCCGTTTGATGAGATTCAAATCCATGGCGGGGTGAATGAGAATGGTCGTCACTTAAAATGTCGTCGTACAAATGGAGAAGCAAAAACTCCCCACGGAAGGTGGAACCCCGATCAAGCGCACGGACAGATTTGAGGAGGATTGATATGGGAGGAGATGCAAGAAAGAAAGATCCAAGCAGGTAGAAGACGGCGGGGTTCCTCGACTGACGTGGACCGGCGTATGTGTGTACGACCAGTTTATACTGGGCCAGTTATTTGTGCGTGTGCTGTCGGTACTGACCGAGTCTCCCAAGGTCCTCGATTTGCCGTGCAGCGGCCAATGGCCTGTGCAGGATTCAACCGGGTTGGCCTGTAAGGATGGGAGCCCACGGGGCTCACGGCCTGATGATGGCGCCAATCACCTCGAACCGAATCACTGTTGGCCACCTCTTGCTTGAAAATGCTTATCCGGTCCGACCGACCATGGAGTGAAGCGCAGCGTCACTCGCACGAAGAACTGGCGAGTCTCGGGTGCCGCTGTTTGCACCAGATTCGGGATCGGGCAAAAAAATGATGGTAGGCAGAGGTCAAGCAGCGATTGAGGGAGGAGACACCAAGACCATGCTGGGGATCAGAATCTGATCGTGAAGTGGAAATGGAGCGGGAAAGTGGGCTGGTGTTCTGGGGACCTTGGGAGCACACGTCCGTCATTCACTCGGAGTTTTCCACCGCCGGTACTGGTACTTGGTGTGCCATAGTAAGTACTATGGGGCAAGAAGTACCGAGTACCTCCCGCGGGTGAGTACCTTGGGGGTGAGCCGGACCGCTTTAGTGTCAGTCGCTTTCCGCGATCGGGCGTTGGTGTGGTCACGTGGATATACACAGGATTGAATGGACACTTCATATTGAACAAGAATCAATCATCGAAGAGCATAGATCATCTGGGTCAAAGTTGCAGAAGAAGAAGGAGGAGGAGGAGAAGAAGAGAGAAGTTCAGACAGGGGCAAGAATCAAGCTCCCTGCGCATCACACCAATCACTGCGCTGCTGAGGTCATCAGACCTCATTCCAACAGCACCCGTTATTATCCCCTTCGTCTCCAACAACACCATGGCACCCATCCGACGCTACCTCCGGATCAGCAAATACTCCGTTCTGGAGTGCCGCATCTACCTGGATAACCCCTCCGACTCGCGATGGCTGCTGGATCCACGCGACCCTGTGCTTGCGCGCGTCTTCGCCGCCATCCGCCCGCTGGTGCTGCCCAAGCTGCGTGAAGAAAACGAGAGGCTCTTTGCGCGCAAGAAAGGCAAGCCGGTCAAGGATGTGATAGCAGAAGGTATGTTTGCGGGGGAACAATTTAAGCCTCAAACTAAATGTTGCAGATGAGTTCGAGGTGGCGATTTTCTTACGCGAGTCCCGGACGCGTCACTCGCTCCTCACACGCAGCAAGACATTTCATGAACCATCGGGCCAGCATAAAGCTTCCACCGACTTGGCCGGTTCCGCAGAGGCTGGAATCATTCTCGAAAGCGACAGTGAGCCTGAAGTGGACCTGCAACATATCCCGCAAGCAATACGAGACGACGATCGATCAGACGAGGGGCAGGCACAGACTGAAGACACAGTCGGGGACGATGAGAAGAAGCTTCGTTTCAGGACCCGTTACGAAAGCTTTAATATCTGCGGCTGGGTGCTATGTCTATTGGTGACGCGGAAGGAGGACAAGACCCGAGCTCCAACCGGACAGCCGTTGATGGAGGAGTGGATCTCAACGCAAGCTCAGGTGTCGGTGGATGAGGTTTGAAGCTTCGACGGCCGCCGAGAAGTTCTCTCATAGATCTCTTCAGATCTGCTGAACCCGTTTGGACACCTGAAAGGGGAGATGACGACAGATGCTGCAAAAAGAATCTGCTACCTTTCAGATTCGCCTGGCAACCTGCATCGTCCTGACACATTCTCGGCAATCCAATGGAGTCGCCGACTTGCCGCTGTTTCAAACCTGCCACCCCGCGTGATAATGGACAAGCTTCTACACAACAGCAGCCACGGCGGCACCATGCGGGATCAGGGTGGTCTTTGCGACACATGACGAAATTGCATTGTTGCATGGGTCAGCTCCCTTACCCTTGTCCGTTCTGTTGGCGGTACACCCGACACGTGTCGCAGCCTACCCCAGTCACTCTCGGCTTGGTCTCCGACATGCATAATGGATTAACTACTCTACAGGGCTGACCTCCAGGCGCACAGAAGCAGGCCGCCCTCCCGGTCCGACCGCTGCAGCTGCGCCGTTGGACGCCATTCTCATCGGTGTCTCCTGTACGACAGTGACGCAAATTGACCGGCATCTCCAGCCGCTCCGCGACGGACCCGATGGCCTCGCTCGCAGCTGTGAGAATATCTGTGTCTCACATGCATAAATTAAAATTTGGCCCACGTAATTACCAATCCTCCCCCAGGACGGAGTCCATAATTAAAATAAAAATTCTTATTTTGTCTCCATGTGGCTGTGATCTCACCTCGGTTTATCGACAAGTGGAGCCACGATGAAACAGCCGTCCATCCCAACCTCTTCCCGTGACATCCGGCTCCCAACGATTATTAATTATTCTTCATAGCCAGCGGGATTTTGACTTCCCTAAACAGTGCCGGACTACTAAGTGGCTGCTGGGCGGCGTATGTCCGAGCATGCCGATCACCATCCTACCACGTGCGGTGCCTTGGCCTGCCCTGAATCCTGAATCCTCTACTTTCTTTTTTTTTCTCCGATTCGTGAATCATGTCCCAATCACAGAGGCTCCCTTTCCCGCGCCTCCACAGGGTTCTATTTCCAACGGTGCGGAACGGCGACGGGGGTCGTCCTAGTGGGGCTCGAGGATTTCCCTTTTTTGTCTTTTTTTTTTTTTTTTTTTTTTTTTTTTTGGGTGGGATTTGTTGGGGACTTAGGTTTCCGATTTCCCCTAGGATCAAGTTAGGCAGTTCTTCTTGCTTGCCATGTGGTTTTTTTTTTAAAAAAAATTTACTTTCGGCCCCATATTTACTGATCCACCTGGATGCGAGAATGTGCCGCTTGAGCCGCGAAGGGATTGGATTTTGCCAGGGGTCCAAGGTTTCCCCAGGGAGACACAGTACATGGTGACAGAGAGGAAGTCTCCAAATTGGAGAATAATTATGATTGACGTGTCTTGCCTACATTTGAATTGCGATCGGACAAGCACGCAATTGACGCCACTGTCGTAGCGTCCGCGCGGTATAGATAGATCTGCCATGTACTTCTATCATGAAACTGACTATCGGCCAGTGATGCGCACGATCGTCCGGAGTACAGTATCAGGGGTGCAGATGTAGCCACTCTGTCCGGCATCTACTGCCTATAGTACCTCCAATAATCTGTAAGCCTGACGATCCCGCCTCGGCCACGGCGGACGACCAACGGCGGTGTGTTCCGGTTGCGCCTAATCCTAATAATCAGCACTACTAATTCAGGCAGTGCAGTGCAGCATGATCTGACTTGTCATCCTCGCTCGCTCAGCCCTCTAGCTGACATGACAGGATACGAGCACAGTAAGATCTTGTGCTCGGCCCACGGCCGAAAATTTGGAATTTGGGGGATTTTCTTGTTGCTTCTATGGATCTGCGAACCTGCACGTGTCGTTGGCATCCCTGCTCGCGTTGAGTCACCAATTTAGGGCGTGCCAGCCCACCGGGGCCCTATCAGGATGTGGGATGCTCCCTCTAGTCAGTGGACAGCCTCCCGCTGCGCCGGTACACCGCATCGAGGGAAACCAAAATGGAGCCTGGTGGTGGGGCCACGGGAGATTGCCTTGACTTGTTCATTGACATCCAGCACAGCGCGGGTGAGACAGAAGATGGAAAAAAAAATTCCCCCTAGGACCAGGCGGACGTCGGAGTCCCGCACGTCTAACCTAACAAACCCTAACTGAGACACACAAGTTATTGAGCTGATTATGGTGTACAACTACCTAATCAAGTATATAGCCCCTTTTTGGACCACAATGAGAATGGGAAATATCCACTAGTGGTTCACCACACCACCCCAGCGCCACACCAGGACCGTTTGGGTGGGGAGCTTCTAGAAAAGTAGGGGGTTTTTTCCATTGGATTCCCGCTTCCAGTATTTACCCACCGGGTACACCATAAGTCAATCGTAATAATCCCTCCGTCTACGTCAGATCAAGTGGATCCCCTCAGCCTCCTGTTCATGGCAGGGATGATTATTTGCTAGTTAGGGAGGGCTAATTTACTTTAGACTTGTAATACTGGATGACGGCCCGGAGGAATGGGTGGGCTTGGATTAGTTATGGAGATCAGACTATAAAACGAGTTCTTTCCTCCCTGGCGCTCATCTTACTCCTTTAACTTAATCTACTTGACATTACCAAGCACAGCAGAGCACAGCAAAGTCTCGCTATCTACATCTCTCATACCACTATCCAATCTACCACACACACTATGCCTTCCGTCGGCTCATCCTCTCAGTTTCCTCCCTGCCCGGGCCCGCCGCCCAAGGGTCCTCTCCCTCCGCTGCCGAAATAAACCGGTCCCTATCCCACGAACACGATGACTCCATCCAGCACACCCAATACAGTGCGCTGACGAGCCAGGGCCCTCTCGCCTCGGCAAGGCTATGACGACTATTTTTCATTTCCGATCTGGTTTCGGTTCTCACGATTCTTTGTTCTTGTTTTCATCGACCCGGATTTTTTGAGACCTGAATAATACACCCACCCTCTCCATCGCGGTCCACGCCAATAATCCTTGGATCTCACTCGTCACGTCAGAAACAAGCACGAACACGACCCATACCACGCACCTACTCAGGTATGGCCACTCCTGTTTAGTGTCCGCGCGTGCGAGGGGAAGAGAGGAGAGGGGGACAAAGAAAGACTCGTTTCGAACCCGGTCCTCCATAATACTCGGTTTTTTGTTTTGGGCTTCATTTCTCATTCACTCTCCCATGGAACGGAACTCCCCGGCGCCGGCGCTACGAATGGGGCCTCCGCATCTTGCATTAATAGTCGCCATTTTTGTTATCTCGTTTTGTTTCAGAACAGCGCTGGGTGCAGGGATCACGATCGCAAAGATCGCTGTTAGCGCTCTGTCTTCCGATGCGGAGACGGAGAACAGGCGCTTTCACCTCCGCCCCCATCCACTGGCGGGTCCCCCAAGACCGCCCCCTGCTCTTACGTCTGATCGTCAGCGACTCGTGCGTCCTGCGCTGTCTTCCTGTCGTCTTGCGCCGATCGGAGGCTCGTTCCGCGATGTCTGTCCGATCGCCCTGCATGGCCTGTCGTTTTCATTCAGAGATGCAAGCGGGACGGTTTTTTTACTATCATTCTTTTTTGTTTTGTTTTTATTTTTCATTTTGTTTTCCTGCATAGGGCCGAATCTGAATCACCGGCATGTATCATAGACTTAATATACCCAACACAGCAACACGTTGTCAATTTTCCCTCTCAATTCAATCGCTCCCTCCTAATTAGCTCAGGTGAAACATTGCCAATCTGCCAATCGGTTTCATCCGCTTTTCATCTGACCCCCTTGACCATTCCCGTCCCCGTCCTAATTACTCTCCTAATACCTTATGCAACAGGAATAGCGGGGATGTTGCGCCGACGGGCCCGCCGCAGACTGGAGCTAGGGCCGCGACTATCGATGCCATGCAGCAACGTGCAGTGCAGTCCGGAGTAATTCCCTAGTCCATATCCACGCTTCAGGAGAACCCGGCTTTTTTCTTGAATAATAGCTTGGAATAATATTAATCGTCATGAATCACTCAATCCCGGGTGGCGCTCCGATCTAACACGGTTCTTTCTTATCGCCGTCCCCGCTCTGCGCGATTCATGCGTATGTCTTCTGAGGCATCATATGTACACGGACGATCGTCTGGTGTCTACTAGACATAACTACTGCACGATAGATTACGCATGCAGGACTATCTATTATTCTATCATGGGACGGGCGGCACCAACGGCTAAGCGGAATTATCTATTGTATAGTTACCACTCTGAGTTGCCACGTCCCTCCGTCCGAGCGTGGCTACCTCGGCGAGATTTGCCCTATCTCGTGCGTGTCCAGGTAGCTGGGTCTCGCACGGAATATCCACTCGATTGCCTTGTTGTCGTAATCTTCAGCTCTCCTAGAAAAAGCGCCTGTGCCCACGTCCTTGCTGGCCGTTGGCCGCTCATTTCCACTGCCGTCATCATTTCCGGATCTCAGCTCGACAATTGGACGGATTTTCAACGGTACAAACTACCCACCCTGTCCCCGCTTTTAGGCATTTCCCTGGCAGGCCATGGCATTATTCAACACCATGGTGTATATCTTTAGATCACTGTTGTGTTTTCAGCTATCCCTTCTTCGGCGCTGTCAAGTGACTCGTTGCAGCGCGTAAGTTTCCGCTAACTATACATACTTCCTGGCTTACGTTTTCTGGTTTTTTCAGCCGCGAGCCCAGACCTCTGACCGTCTCTCACCCTGTTATTTTGACTTTGAGAAGCTCTCAGACCCTCGCTCTCTCTTACTCTTACTACTACTCTGACAGATCTGGCCCCCGACACTATTCACCTCTTACCCCTCAGGTCTACTTCGGAAGAGACGAGAGAGGGGCGCGGTGCCAAGTATAGCCTGCAGGGAGTTGTTGTAGGGTCGTGTGGGGGCGTGGGCTGAGTTGGTTTCTCCAGCCACGTTTTTTGTCTTGGATGAGATTATGCCAATCTATACCCCTGCCTCTTATCTCTTGTCGTGTCGGGGGTGTTGAATAATGCCTGGGTGGGCTTGATGCGGATAGATGAGCCGACCCGGCGGGTGGTTTAGTGATGGAGGGGCAGAAAGTGCATATTGTAGGCTCATAGGGATGTACGATAGACGTAGAGATAGCCAGGTGGGTTCAGGTCTCCGTCGTTGCGCGTAGTTGCATATTAGACTTAGGCTCACGTACCTGTAGCTCATCCAGAAGATGGGAGATACCATCGGCCAACAAGCCCGCGCGCTGGGTGCCAACCAGCTTTTTGCTTCCATCGTTGACTTGGCCCGCGAGCCCCGTTATGGTCGAGTATGATACCTTTAACACGCGTTGTCTGATACAGAGCACCTAAGAAAGAGTCGCAGGTCGAAACCTTCTGAGAGGATGCCTACCTCGCCGGAGAAATAGGGTATAGCTTTGTGGAAGGCATTCAGAGCAAGAGGGTCTCCGCAATGTTGAAGCCTTTCGCTGCATACAGTAATCCAGGAAGATTCTTATTTGATGGAACTACGGGATAGGGTTTTCCCCAAACGCTCAAACTAACGAGACAATCTCCACATTGCCTGAAGAAAATTCAAGTAAACAAACAACCAATACAAAACAACATGAAAAGAAGAGATCCCAACTCCATGAAGACGGAAGGAAGAAGTGAAAGGCCATGGTGAATGCCAAGCAGAAGATCGACAAGATACTGCCAGTCAGCTCTTCCGACTCGGATATATCAACGCCAGAGGTCCGTAAGGAGAAGCATTCGGCCAGCTAGTTCAAGTAATGTACCAGCCACCACCAACCTGCTCGAGAGAAATGCCCGTGGCTTCGGCATACAGACGCCGGAGATGCTCAAGGTCCCACAAGGCACGCTCAAGAACCTCCATCAGTCGACTCGCCATAATGCTGAACGCCTCAGCATCCCAGTTTTAATAATCAACAATGTTGATCGGGGACTGGTAGAGGGCCTCTTCCACACGACGCGCTATAGCGATGATATCCTCACTCGGCAAGTGGATCAAATCATCGTCATCGTCTTCGTTGATTGGAGACTGGTAGAGAGCAGGATCATAGGAAGGGGGAACATGGCTTCTTAGATCAGGGTCCGAAGCCAAACGGTGGATGGCATCTATGAGCGACATGGATATATGCTCTGAATGGCGGTGCTGTGGAACAGGGTTTCCAGGTGCACAATCAGACAGTCTAATTGGCGTGAAGCCCAGATCGGCTGGCGTGAAGTCGCTGATCCGAAAATGAAATTAGCATAATGTGATCACGAGTTGGGGAGACGACCGAATAAACTTACCGAGCCTGCGCCTGCTGAGAATTCTGATTCACCTCACCGATCCGGTCTTTCAGGGTAACACAGAGCTACTCGTCTGCCGAATTACTCATGTTGGAAGGACTTATGTCAGAGATCGATGAGAACTTACGGAAGCGGGACTTGATGATGGTCTGACCCAAGAAGTGGATGTTTGTGAGTGTATATGTGAGAAAAGCAGAGACGTGAGGTGAAGAATATGATGAATGAAAGAAGGTGAGGGAGAAAACGAGAGCATTTGTGCGTTGTATCTACAAAGGAAAGACCGAAACCTCGACGAGCATCAACATCTGATATTCACTTGATATCCAGTGCCCTAGTCAACGGCCAAACAACACTTATTAGGCCCGAAAAGAAGACAGTCGGTGAAATATAGAAGTCGTACATCTATTGTAGTTCTTCATAAATGTTTATTGGGAAGTTAGGGCAAAAAGCCTATAACCGTAATGTATACTGTGAGAAGTGGATTGATAGTGGAGGCAATTATACCGGCTTGTCATCAGTTTTATTACGGCTTACTTGATTTGATATTTTGGGTCTCAAATATATGAAGAGGATTTAAAATTGTTGCAGAATAAAAAGTATATATCTGTCACCGTCTCCAAAGAGCTATAAACATTATCAGTGACTGGTCGATCCCCGGATGTATACAGAAAGCACGTGACGCGATTCGTGATAATCAACTTCCGCTCTGCGCTCTGTTCTTCCTCTCTCAAATCAACCATGCTGCAACTCCATGTGTGGGGGCCGGCCTTTTCACTGCCATCAATTGACGCCCAATGCTTGGCCACTATTGCATACTGCGCTCTGGCGCTACCCGCGGGCTCGTGGGAGCTTGTCGCCAGCAGCGATCCCTCCGTGTCCCCAACCAGTGAGTGTGACGCGACAAAGCCCACTTGCCCAGACACTGACGTCCAAATCCACAGATGAGCTCCCCTCTCTCCGCAACGGATCCGTATGGGTGAGCCGCTTCCGGAATATCGTTGACTATCTCCGCCAATACTCCGACGATGCATGGAACCTGGACGCCGAGCTGAGCGGGCAGGAACTGGCTGATAGCGTTGCGTATGCATATCCTTTACACATCCTCAGGGAACTCCCTAATCTAACTGATTGATGTCGTTGTTAGCTTCACCTCCTTCGTCGAATCCCGCGGCCAACCCCTCGTCGACCTATCCCTGTACGTCACCAGCCAGAACTACTACAGCGACACATCACCAGCCTACGGGTCGCTCCTCCAATGGCCGAACCAATGGATCCTCCCACCAAAGCTACACAGCGCCGCCAAGGATCGCACCAAACACCTAGGTCTCTCGTCGCTAGACCTAAAGGCGATGGAAGACGCGCGACAGCGCGAGCACTCCGCCGCCGTAGCAGCAGGGCAGATCCCTAAGAACCTCATCCAGCGGCCGCGGGAGACAGTTTCGGGGCTGCTGGGCCGCACGGCGCAGCAGAACCAGTTCCGGCTTGAGGCCCTAACAGCCGAGTTCTTTGAGCCGCTTGAGGCTATGCTGGGTCGCAAGGCGTATCTTCTCGCTGCGGATGAGGAGGACAGGCCGACTAGTCTGGACTGCATTGCGCTGGGATATCTCTCGCTGGCACTCTTGCCGGAACTCTCGTTTCCCTGGCTGCGGGATGCGATGCGCGCCAAGGCGCCGCGTCTGACGGCGTACACGGAGCGGATGCGCCGGCGGTGCTTCGGTGATGCCGCCACGAGCATCGAGAACGCCTTTGCGCCTTCGACATCGGCATCCCCGCTTCCGTGGCGATCACCTGAGCGCATCTCCGTCGCCGCCGTGGGAACAACCCTCCTCAACACCCTGGCTGATTCCACGCCGTTTCTGCGCGAGGTGCGCCAGCACAACCGTCTGAAACGCGTGGCCGAGTCGCCCGATGCTGGATTTTCGGAACGGGAGAGTAAGGCCATTTCGCAGCATGCTGAGGCTAGCAAGATGGACATGTATGTGTCTATTGCTACGGTGGTGGGCGGTGTTGCTGCTCTGGTGGGCTATATGTTTCACACTGGGTTGTTTACTTGGGAGTCAGAGGAAGCGGAGGAAGAGGAAAGTGCTGGTACGGAGGGGTTGTCGTTCCAGGCTGGTGACTTCTTGGGGATATAGAGTAGGAAAAGGTGCTATAGATGCTGGCTTAAGGGGGTTCGTTTGAAATTGTACGATAACTTTGTTGCATCAGCCTGTTCATTTCTTCTAATTCATTCATTCCCAGTCCTTTTCATGAGATTGAACATAGTACATATGTAGCATTGAAGGAGATTAGGAACTTTTCACTGGTGGATGGCCACGGCTACATGTCAGAGCAAAATGGAAACACATCGAAACTGGCAATCAATCACAATCAAATGGTATATGTACATGGAAAAATTGAACGGCAAATCATGACTTATATCGATATGTATGCCCTCCTCGAAAAGACGCAAGGTATCCTCGTAAGAGCTGCCGGAAGGGTAAAAAAATCGATGTGGGCAGGTCCCGCTCCTCAGAACAATTGGAATCTCCCAGCTGGGAGAGAGGGATACAAGCGACCTGCGCGCGCACACCTTAAAAGAGGAAATGAAACACACTCAAGACACCTTCGGCTAAGAAGAATTTGCGCACGAATTGACAAGAACAGAAAAAATGAGCTTAGAAGTAGTCGAGCTGGACGACCAAGCGGACGGCATTCGCACTGATTTGGCCGCCCAGGCCGTCAACGTATCGCTCGCTGTAAGTGTAGGCGTTGACGACACTGGCGAGCTCATTGGCGATGGAGGAGCACAACGTGCCCTCGTGGGTGCAGATCTGCATGCCCTGGACGAAGAGGTTGGCGGCTTGGGCCTGGATGGCCGAGACATCCCAGCCGGAATGGCCGTTGTTGCCCTCGTTGCTCATGTCAAACTCACCCCAGGTGCAGGCATAGCCACCGAACTGATCAGTCGGGAGATCTTCACCCTGAGCGGCGCCCCAGGCACCCTGCGAGTTGCTGTCGATGGCCACGTATTTGACCTCATTGGGCTCCATGGTGAACTTGAGCGCACTGTTGCCGTACCAACCGTCCATCTTGCCGTTGGGGCCCATCTTGTTCCAGAAAATGACGGTCCAGGGGTCAGTGTTGCTGCCCTGGAAGCGGAGGACGTGCTGGTACTGGTTGGCGGTCTCCTCGGAGACCGTGATGATGTTGCTGCCCCAGGGGATACCGACGTTGCCTTGGTATTCGATGCTGTCCGAAGATCCTATGGGGCCGGTCGTACCGCCGAAGCCGTCGCGCGAGAATTCGCCGGACTGGGGAGCGGTGAACCAGGTGGTGTCGCCATCGCTGGTGGGGGCGGGAGCGTGCACAGAGATCACGGAGGAGGAGGTGGTAGTGGTGGTAGTAGTGGGAGAAGCCTCAGTCGGAGCAGGGGCAGGCGCCTGGGTGGTGGTCGGCTGGCCGGACCACTCGTTGATCCACGAGACCAGGACGCCGTCAATCTCGGCCGTGACCCAGTCACCGACGCCGCGCTTGTCGACCTCGACGACGTCTTCGACAACTTTCTCGATGTTGTCGATGTTGGCGTGGGCGTGGCGGCGTTCGTGGGCGTGGTGGACACGGGCGGCTACGGCCGAGCCTGCCAGGGCCGACAGGAGGAGAGCGTTGATGTGCATTGTCGGCGCAGAGTGAGGGGAAAAAAAGGAGGAAAAAAGAGCAAAAGGAGCGACTTTTGAGCGAGCGAAAAATGAGTGTGGGTTGGAGAGACAAAAGGCAGGCAACTAAGAGGGACGAAATCAGGGGAGAAAGAAACACACTGGACTGGGGGGGGGCCGGGATTATTATGATCGGTCGGTGGTTCCCTGGGCACGCCAGCGCTAGTCAGGGGCAGGCACGGCGTCGGGGGATGTGATTGGTACTAGGGGCTGAGGGTGGAGTTTCACCCAGTGGTCGAGGCCTTTGTTTACGGTCCGACCTATGGATGAATAAATTCCCTACTATACACGAATATGACGAAGTCGAAGGAGGAACGCAGAAGGAAACCAACTGTCAACCACGTTGTCCCATCGGAATGTGAGACGGAATGGGTCACCTCGATCGTCCATTGCGGAAGGTGATTTAAAGAGGGCCAGCCCACGGACCAATAGCACTCCTGCAAGGCGGCCCCTGGATTACGCATCCCCGTCCAGACCGAGACACCAGCACTGGAAGATGGGACCTAATCGCTAACTACATCCGGTAAATCTATTTTGATCTGATTCATCGACCGGACGGGTGGCGGTTCAGCCACGGTCTGGGCCACAAACAACGATCATGAGTGGCAGCGATGTGCGTTTGGATTGCCGCCCGGTGGACTCCCGGGCGATGCGCTAGGCCCGCTGCAAGGTACAATCACCAATGTTTAGAGCGACGTTGCTCCACTGCCTGACGAGTCCACGCTCCGGATCGGTGTCTCCGGGGGGATCCATCGTTGTGTGTCTCCATGGCAGGTCAATCTAGCCCATGGGTCTTTTTCACATGCCCGGCGGTGCCTAATTACTTGATTTTCTTGATCGGCGCATTGCCTGTCAGCCTGGTGGACACCAGAAAACCTTTAAACAGGGTTTGAGTGATTTGCGTTAGCTACGGAACAACCAATAATATGATGACGTTGTTGTTTGTCCACACTATTATCGACTTCTGCCAGGCCATTACGCTCGGATGTGGTCCCCGTCTAACCCACAAGTCCTCGTCCTCTGGCCATTAAAAGGTAGCCTTGCCAGAAGCCTAGGATTTCATCATTTATTTTCTAAGATTGAACTACTATGATATACAGTTGACAAAAGAGCTTTGGAATTTAACAATATGACGGCAAATGGACGGCCAAAAACGGCCACCAGGGACGTCTTTTTTGCAATCAAAAAACTAACCCTGAAATAATGACTGATCTATCAATTGATATATCCATGATGTAGAAAGTGAGAAATGCTCTTATCTCCTAGGAGCTACTTTCAGTGTCCCGGGAGCTATATAGCTCCCAGAGCCAAGCAATGACTTCCCAGAATTGCTCAACGAGGAATTCGTGATAATGAGCCCTGTGCCATACCGATAAACGGGAGGTGGGAGGCTCTTAGCTGTGGCAATGCGAGCCTCCAATCGGCTACTAAGTGGACATCACATCTTATTTAAACACCTATGCCAATCCTTTGTATCAAGAACCTGGTGTCAGCCTCTCAGAAACTCTCACTCCGCAACCTCAACAACCAACTTCGTACAGCTCACCCCCCCGGAGTACCATATCCAACCCAGCATTAATAGCCCCCAAACCCTTTCCCACGACCCTTGGCTCCGGACTCGGCCTGATAGTCCCGTTGGCCAGTTTCTCCCTCGGCCACGTCCCTAACCAATATCGGAACTGAGTCAATCTCTCCCTTTCGTCCGTGGACGGCAGCACAAAGATGGTTTCCACCCCGTTCACCTCCTCCGCATCCGGAGGAATAATCGGTGCCGACCCGATCTTCGCCTTCTGGTTCTCTCTTCCTTGATCATCCCCGACGAAAGCCTTAAGCACGGCCTGACAAGGCGCCAGCTGCCCCGTGGCAAGAAAGCAGTGCCGAATCACTAGGCCGTCTTCTCTGGCCGCCGAAACAATCGCATCCACAACCTGCGGCTCTTTGTAATCGAAGACGCGATCCGCGCCTAGGGAGTTTACGTATTTCTGGTTCGCCACACCGGCCGTGGCATACACGGCGGCGAAAGAAGAGTCGCGATCTTCCCGTAGCAGCCGGGCGCTTTGCACGCCCATCGTGCCCACGCTAGAGGAAGCACCCCAAATTAATAGGGCGTCTGTCTTTTGTTTCTTTATTTTCTGAGATCCTCCGCTGGTACCGGCGCCGACTGGGGCAGCAGAAACTGAAGAAGCATTGCCTGCCCCCACTCGTGGAATTCCCATAACATCCCACGCATTTAGGGGTACCTCAACGGCGACGGGCAAGGTTGCCGCTTGGTTCCAAGAAATACCCTCATCCGGAAGAGGCAGGGCATGCTGCCAGGGGACGAGGCACCGCTCCTGAAAAGCACCGTAGTCAGGGTCGCAGGACTTCCAGATGGAGGCGGCGTAGGCCGCTATGCGAGTGATCCCTGGTCGGAAAAAAGGGCCCGGACCTTCATCAGTAGCACCGACGGGGACGTTTTCGCCGACCTCGAGGACTAGCCCCGAGATGTCGAAGCCGGTGACCGTGGGGTAGGCGGGTATGAAGAGTCCTTGATCACGCATGATGCCGTCCGCCGGGTTGAGGGCTACAGATTTGACCTCTATGAGGAGCTCGTCTGGGCCTGGTTTAGGCGTGAGACGGGTTTGGAGCTCAAAGGGCTCACCTTTTGCGAGGGAGACAGCGGCGAGATGGGTGGCCATTTTAGACTGCTTGTCGAGGTGTAGAATTTTATGTGGACCGAGTCTGATATTCAAGTTAAAGTTTCATGCTTCAGCTTCGTAGGATATCGAGAAAATTTCCTTCTTCTTATACATCAGCAATCATTCGAAGCTAATTATTCTTTGGTACAGCGACGCGCCTGTCCAGCGCGATCTTGTGTTGATTATAGATGGAGGGCAGAACTTGCAACCAATCAGAGACTTCCGCATCCGAAGGACAGCTAGTGTGAAAGGTTAAGTATCCGAAAGAGGGTTAGCTTATGGGTGCCTGTGGCGGTGAAACTTCGAAGTATCACCGCCTGCACCTGTTCTAGACCCCTCCGGCATTTAATTCCCATCGAAATTGGGAGAATCCCTCACAGCAAAGCTGGGCATGGTCATGGATAATCAATCAGGAATGGCTTCGACTTGTCCAAGAGAGGTACGGGAGGGTCGGACTCCGCGGAGGTCGAGATTTGGCTGCCGAAATTGCAAGCTTCGGAAAGTCAAGGTAGGTGGCCCTAAGCTTCAATAATCTGGTTCCTGGCTGACCGAAATTCCTTGGTTTACTAGTGCGATGAAGGCAAACCACAGTGCAAGAGATGTAGCTCATTCGGAATATTATGCAACTTCATGTCTAACATCCCCGACCTCCAGCCCGTCGCCGCTGACACAGGGCGGCCATTGGTGGTTCGAGGAAAAGCAGAGCTTCAGCCCCCTCTCACAAATGCTGTATGGGCATCTGACGCGTGGACAACCTATCAATTGAACTCAAAATGTCAAGACTTCATAACCCGGTACCTTGGACGAAGTCTCATTACCCCAGACGACCCCAATATGATACAAGTTAATCGCAGGCTCCTGAAACTAGCCTTCACCGTAAGTTTATTATATTAATCCTATCCCATCGGACAGAATGGAAGCCAGTTTATCCATTATGAGCCCGAATTTGGCTAATATATGGTTTACAGTACCCTTTCTTAATGCACGCCTCCCTAGCTGTGGCGCTTACATATGACCGCCATTTGAATGGCCCCTTAGGTTGTCGTCGCACTCTAGAAGAGTGTTATCACTGGTCTCAAAGCACAGTTCTCTTGAACAAGCGGCTAAGAGAACCGATTGAAGCGAATGATAAGGATCCGATCTGGGGTACCGCGGCTGCCCTGGTTATCTTAACCTTCTCGTCCCCTGATGCATGCACACCGGAACAAGCGTGGCCTCTAAAGTCCTCCGACTCCTCCGACTTGGACTGGTTGCGAATGAGCAAGGGTAAAATGTCATTGTGGCACATGGTTAACCCGCTGCGACCGGACAGCCTTTTCCACGTCATGGCGACGACCTTTGCTCATATGCATTCACCATTTCCAGAGGGAGGCATTGATGGTATACCAAGCGCGTTATCTGCCGTGTGCAATCTCAAAGACTCATCTACGGCGGAAACTAATCCGTATTTCCATGCTGCCTACGCGGTATCCCAGCTCCTGGACCTTCCGGATAGCGAGGTCACAACAGGTCAAACGTATCTCTTCATGCGGAGTATTCATGGCCCTTTCGAAGACTTGCTCCGGCAAAAGGACCCTGCAGCGCTATTGTTGCTCTATCTATGGTACGGCAAAGCAAGTCGCGGTATATGGTGGGTTGAACTTAGGGCTAGAGTGGAATGTCCTTCTATTTGCTTGTATCTGCGACTATATCATAAAGAGAATGGTCCTATACAGGCACTACTTCCGGGAGGAGCTCTCGCCGATAGTTGGAATTAGTCAGGCTTTCGAAGCCTCAAGTCCACCCCTGGCATTGTTAAATGAAGAACTGCAGCAGTGGTTTTTACGATCCCCATTACTAAATAAATTTCATAACGAAGTTCTCTTTTGTTATATCCTGCCATTATCAGACACCTTTAGGTGACGACGGGGGCTCACCGGCTGGCGCTGCCGCCTGTGTGAACGACTGAAGCACACCCTAGAGGTCAGGCATTTTATTGCCCTACTCCCTGTGAAGGCAAACACATGAAGCTAGGCCCAGACCAGTATTTTTGTGTTTATTCACAAAATATGCCCACTGGCACGAGATAAGTAGGATGGCTGGCTTGAGCCTAGCTGAATCTTGCTTTAGTAGGTTGGTCAAAAAAGGCAGTTCGACTGGAAGTAATGCTTTATGCTCGGATCCGAAGAAAAAAGTAGGTTTCGACAGTATACAGGGTCATTACCGCATCAGTTTATAAATCCACATAGAAACCTTTATATACAGCAAGCCATAGTTTTCGCCGAGTTAGGCCAAGTGACAATAATTTCAGAAACTGAGAGGCCTGGGCTCCGGGTCTCCAAGACTAACACCACATCATCCCATCAATACCAAGCGATCTATGGTCAAGGCGGCCAGTTGAATCATTCAGTGAACCTCGTTGCAACGAAAGCATACCGTCTCATGCTGCTTTGAAAACTTTGGAGCCAAAGGTGCCAGAAGGAGTCTTGCGAAGAACATCACAAAGAGTCAGGAGCAGGCGATTGAAAACAAATAAGCCTGCAGCAAGCCCTATCACCCCCATGCTGAACCACGTCCACGGTCGATCTCCAATCCACACAAATATCTTTGTATCCGCTCGATGCCAAGTGCTACTTTCGAGGTCAATGATGTATGGCGCTAATTCGGTTGCATTAATGACCCCGACGGTGGGCGAGGGCAACGACGGTTGCTTGAGCAAGTATCCCTTCAGCACCATTGTCAGGAACATGGGACCGGCGGAGATCATGATAGCGCAGTGTGGCTGCCACCGTGCCCAGACTCGGGTGATGGCATTGAACACAGGTAATTGGGTAATCGCTGCTGCATAAGCGGGATGTTTTGCAGAGGTAATCAAGAGGTCATTCGTGACACCCGTTGGAAGAGTGGATTTGAAAAGGGCATAGTGTTTGGCTGTGCCTGATCCGAGTTTGTGAATGGGCAGAGTTTCGTTGCACCAGGTATCCATATCAAGGTAGATACCACCATAGTGATACAAAACAAAATAGCGAATCGAGTCGGCCCGCTGGATAGGGAAAGGATAGTTGTCCCAAGTGTCCACGAACCATGGGTAATGATTGGCAAGGAAATCGCGAGCTGATGCATCAGTCCACAGCTAGCAAGAATGGTTAGTGTTATCAAAAGAAGAGGGCTCGTATATCATGATGAGTAGCCGTTGCTGGTTAAAGTCTCTCATCATTGCATATAGATAGACATACCTTGTATTCAAAGTCCGAGTAAGCTTGCTTGCAGCTATTCTGCGGCCCGACCCAATGATCTGGAATCGTCTCTGTCGCAGTAGTTTGATGCAAAATAAATGGTATATGACTCAATTGGGCAGTCCTATTTCGATCATGTAAGATATTAGAGCTAGGCAGAGCCACCCGAGGACCGAAAAGCTCTTTATTTCTGCGCAGAAGAGTGATCAGAGGCTCGAGAGTGTGGAGCAGCAGTCCAACGATCAGTAGGTTTACCATGAGGAAGGCTGTAACCCTGCTCGACCACGTGACCCACTGACTCGTGCGCCGCTGTCTCCACCGAGGTTCTGAATCTGTTTCGAGGCACTCTTCATCATGGATCTTTTCGTATTTGGCGGGAAATGCTCGGGAGGCCATGCGGTGGAGATTAATCCAGAATCTCATCCTACCGCATAGGGATTGATGCTCCGTAGGCCTGTGTTGCTATTGCAAGAGACCAATAACAATTGGCATTAAGTAGGGAGGACAGGTATGTGATGGGTGCGATATGATAGAGGTGGCGCACGTCGATCAAAGGAGAATGTAGATCAATGTCGAGAAAATAGAAAGCACAGACATCCTTGGCCGGCCCAAACATTAGTATTTATCATACAGTGTGAAAATTGGTGGGCGCAGAATTTCTCGAGTCTGGTGCATCATTGCCAACGCGGTGTAACGCCACGTCGTCTGCTACTTGCGGGAAGGTTGTTTCCATAGAAGAGGATCACTTTGACTTTGCCGATCGAATGCGGAACCCTTCTCCGGCCTAGCCCCTAGAACCTAAGTGAAAGCTTGGACGAAGCTTAATCCGGCCACGCTCTGTTCCCGACGCCACTAGGATTTTCAGGCAGCATCATTAGGTAGTTACCTTCTGTATCGCATTTACTTCGTAAAATAAATTAAAGAGCACGCAGGGTTGACTAAGATGTAAAAGTTATTATAAACATTAAATGTCATGTAATATTCCATCCTACAGTCAATGACTAGCGTGAGCTTCGCTGACTTCAACAGAGACATCTCCCAGTATCCCTTCATCCGAAGGAATAGACAACGTCACGTCGTAATGTGCGTCGTCAACGTTGGCCAAATGAAGCTGATTTCCAAGGCCGTTCCAACATCCGTTCCAGTACACAGAAGTGATTCGACATTCGTCGTGATAGAGATCTAGCATGCCCTCAACCCCCAATTTGTACGTTGCACTTCCACAGAACGACACCACTCGATTTTGACCTTGTCGGATCGATATTTTTTCAACGTCTTCCAGAAGGATGAGCTTGGGTGGGTCGCCTTCTTGGTACGCTTGGCCGCTACAATTGCCGATCCGTGAGTATTAGATCCAGAGCGGTACACGAAGCTGAAGGGAGATTATACCGGAGACAGATAGGATTCCTCAAAACGATAGTGCCTTCAGCCAAATTATTATGTATAGTCAGAGAAAGTCGCTGGGTCACCGGGTGATGCATTTGCTACTCAATTCCGTCGGGGAAATATTTGCCTTCGGTTCGACCGGATGTAGCTTCCGTTGTCAAGAAGGTACTTTGGCAGCGACAGCAACTCAATTTAAGTCCCTCGAAGAACTTTCTACGACCTGATATTCAGGTTTTTGAATGTCCCGACCGTGTTTTACCCCGATTACGCGGCCGCGATAGGTTACCAGGGTAAAGTCAAACGCATCGAGCGATGACAGACCGAGCCGATCTCATTGGTTGGCGGCTCGAGGTCCGCCTTTTGCAGTAGGCGGGGTCGATCCCGATATGTGACATGCAAATAATTGCGGTGAATAACAACTTGTACCACTTGCTGCTCTGATAATTGAAAATCTCCGAATAGGAAAAAGCACTGGTGGCGGGTTCGTATTACGCGCTTCTAAACGAGCCAAACTCTCATCATCTGAAGGTTTGTAGGGCAGTACCGGGGATCTGCATACGAGCCGCGTACTTCCCTTTACAGCAAACCAAGGGAACCGGATCCCCAGAGGTGTGTACGAGAGTTATGGAGCTAGCCAGGCTGTCAATCAAGGTCAAGGACGCACGCGGTTAGTTCACCTTCTCCAGTAATTCTTGCATGGCAGCCTAGAAAGTCACCTGCGCTTTTGTATGGGGAGTCTTTCCAGATCCGCCACCAATCGCCCCCCTCCCCCCACCCAGCCCAGTAAGGGGACTCCCTGCTGTAATGAATTCTGACCGTAATGGATACTTCATCCCCCTGTGTCTACAATTGACGATTTTCACAGCGCCGCACCTCTTCTATCTACATAATAAAGTGGTTGGCCGTCATCTATATTCATCCATTCAACCTCCGTCTCTCTTCTCCGATTCTCCTGCTCCCTAATTTGGTCCTAGCGATGCATTTCATCCCGCTTTGGTTTGGCCTCCCGTTTCTACTTCCGCCTTTGTTTCTAGGCTCCTGCAATATTCTAGGATTGTATGAGGGCATTCGAGCCCCCAATAGTAAGAACGCTCGTTTTATCTGTCTAGCGATTAGTTTAGGGCATTGGCCTCTTCCTGGTTAGTGAAGATGTGTGAGGTGTCGGCGGTAGCCCGCGGAAGCCGGCATAGGTAGCCAATTCCGCTTAGACAACCCTCCCTTAAATCGATTCAAGACGCCGCTTTTATCTAAGTGTACCTAGAGTCATACTACAGTGCGTCTCGAAACAGGCGTCACCACCTACACTCTTTCATTGTTTCTCGAACCGTAATGCCAATACCACCTAGTCTATGTATTGAGAGTTTTTTTCCAGAGTACCCCTGTCAGTTAGACGTGTATTGCTTCTTACGTAGATTACTTAGTACATTGAGTTATGTTTTCGCTTGTAAATTCAGCACATCTGATATCTCCATACTCCACCTCCAAAATAGCCACCCGAGGGAGGGAGATCTTTATAATCAATCACGTGTAGTCGAATCAAGATTTCAGGCACGCTGGCCTGGTCGTAGAGGAGATGTAGCACAGCAACTACTTGCGTAACATGTGATTAGGATTTGAAAGAGCGTGTCTGTCTCCGACATGGAAGGCAATAACGGTTTCGACTGTATGATTCAGAGGAATGATGATTGTTTCCCCATATCTGAGGAATAAGAAAGAACTACATACCCGTGATCGGGATCAAACATACAAAGACCGGTTGGATCTACTATATGACAGCCATCGCCAGGGCGACGGCGCCTCCAACCATCCAACGCGTATTCCCAGTGATCATCCGCATCGCTGCATTAGAGGTACCAGTGGTGGTCGCGGCAACACTGCTGGTTGAAGAAACAGTACCCGTGAAATTAGTAGGATGGGCCAAAGTGGTCGAGGCAGTGGTCAAAGCAGTGGCAGCAGCATCGGTGGAGGGAGAAGCATTCCCGGTCTCTGTTGCAGTTATATGGACAGCCCGGAAGCCGCCGTAAGGCATGCTTTTGATGTCAATGCCTGTGGTAAGGGCTGAGGTCGAGCTATCTGAAATCATGGAGGCCACGCAATCGACGTGGGTTGAGCCCTGGAGCTTGCAGTGTTGTGAGACTGTTCTACCATGGAGCATGTTAGATCCAAGTGGATATACCATATTAGAGCTCCGAAATTCTTACTGGGGACCGTCGGTGTAAGCCATCTCTAGAGATGAGCCACCCTCAGTGATAGCGTAGCCATTCGATGGCAGACCGCAGGAATTCGGATCCTCACTCGTAGGACAGTTGAGAAGGTAAGTCGTCATAGTGCCACTCTGGAATGCTAAAAGTCAATGCATTGATGGCAAAAACTGGACATTGGGTCGTACCGTGCCCAATATTTTGCCTTCTAGTGATTGGACATCGAATCCCGGAATGAAAAGGGTGACCGTGCTATCAGCAACCACGATAGAGACGCCAGCCAAGACAGCGAGGGATTGGAAACGCATAGTGGACTTGTGGTGGCAAGTCAGTTGTAAGGTCGATGAAGTCAATCTAAGAGAACAGCAAGATTTGCCATAGTAGAACACACACAAGAATGGCTACGGAAGCAGGACCTTGCGGTAAGCAGGTTTTTATTATTAAAACGCCGCCCGGGTCGAAGTCCGCCTAATTGATGGCCAGGTCTTGGTGCATCAGCGCTAAGGCAATCCTTTAATACTAGGCCACTTAAGCTAACCTAAACTGGAAAGGTTCAGGGACTAGCGATTGCAAATTGCTTCTAGGCAGTCTCCACAGTTAGCGCCTTTTGATCTACCGGTACACCGAAGGGCGCCGCCGACCGAAAAAAAAACAAGCGCTCAAGCTCAGCCAGAGCACCTAAGCAATGCAGCGGCTGTCAAAGCCTAGATCATACGTTTATAAGTTGACGTGGTCAAATGTTCCATTAACGTCCATAATTAGGGCTCCCATAAGCTGCTTCATTTTCCAGGCCTCGTGAGTGCTCTGGATTAAACAAGCCACTGCGCCGATAGCACTCCGTTTCTTACGGCACCCCATTTGCCCTAGATGCAAGGCCCCTGTGGTCTCTCAGTGACTGGAGATAGCCTCCGCAGCTATCTTCTCTACTACCTTCCCAAGGCGTTTAGCAGGCTGATCACTCGGTAGGCCATGGCTATGGTATAGTCAGGCTACTCTGGGAAATATATCGTCAGTTCTTATTGTTCTTGCTCTTTGATTTCGACGCCCGCATGTCGGAAATGGGATTCTGCACTTTCTCTGCTAGCCCCACGGCGATTAGACTCCATTCAAGAAAAGCTCTAAAATTTTAACCTGTATGATTTTGCCAGTACCGTCTGACAAAAACTTTGAGCTGCAAAGAACTCTTCGATCGGGTTTAGATCAGGCGAATACGGTGATAGGTACAACAGCTTGGCCGCGGCCTTTGAGCATGGCTCGCTTATTCGATCAGTATAATTGAAAGACGCGTTGTTGTCCATAATAAGGACAGACTTTGGCACTGGGCATCTGCCACAATTGGGGAGAAGCTGCTCAATAAAGTCTTCGAACAAGCTAGCATCAGTCGACCCTTGGAACTCGAGACATTAAAATGCCATCCCGGCAATACGCGGGGAAAAATAGTTTCACTGGCTTCGTTGGAAACGAGAAATCAGAATAGGCGTGATCTCGCGAAGAGATCAGCCCGTCCGCCTGTACCCAACCCGTTTATCACAGTCATATTCATTTACATAGACCAGGTGATATAAACAGAAATGTGATGGCTGATACAGATAATAATCTCTCAGATTGGCGTTTCTTTCTTTTAAAAGCCGTCGAGCCACTCTTTTAGTCCAGCCCTGCGTTCGGAGGGCGCGACTGATAGTGTACGTGGACACAAGGAATCGAATTCAACGTGCAGTAAATCTGCCATCTCATCCAAATATAAATCCAATTTCTCTGGTAAGTGGTCACACAGAGCTTTGAGAATGACGGGAGTGATCACACGCGGACGGCTACCAGGAATCAGCGGTGCTCGGACGTCGCCAAACATTCGGAGGTTGGTATGGATGGTTATGATCGAACGTTTGCTGCAGCCAGCCGCTTCGGCAATCTAAGAAGTAATCAGCGAATTACTACCGATCATATCACGGATTATCACAAGCTGAGAGCGGGGCGCCATTGTGGTTTTTGTCGCGCCGTCAAAGAAGTTGATGATCTAGCCAGAAGCGCGGGGCAACGGGGCGAATTTGGATCGGTTCGGGCCGACAGTAAACCAGTATCCACTACAGTGGGGGCCGTTTCCGTCTATCCACCACCTATCCTCCTCCATCTGTCCTCCTAGACACAGTACAATTATGCTTTTGATTTTCACTTTGAAGCTATGGAGTTTTCCTATCTTTTACCAAGCATTCAATTTTCAGTAGAGAAGGAAATGCATAAATGGTAGCCCAGGTGTCCGAAAATGTACTGAGCCACCACCTCACTTTTAGCGCCTAAAACTAGCCCTCTTTACCTTTTGCCTTCATTTTCCGCCAGAAAGACGCTGGACTATGATACCGGTTCACAATATAGCACCGATTTACCTGCATATACGAAGTACATCAAAAAGTTAATGGTGCTGATTCTTCGAAATGGGATGGACTTTCATCCGTGGCGAGTGTCGTCGCGGTTATTCAACTCGCTAGGAGTCTTGTGACGGTTTGTGGGGGTTACACTCAGGGGTTTAAGGATGCAAATGAGCAAATAATCACCTTACAACGGGCGGTACAGGTCTCCAATGGACTATTCAAGACCTCCAGAGGTTTCTTCCAAAAAGCAACCAAAATGCTCTACCCACCTCCTCACGACTAGTCAGCAATGTTGGCGATTGCCTCTCCAATCTCCGAGCCTTAGAGGCGAAACTTGACCGAGGAAAAGGAAAGAAACTAATGAGGAAAGTGGGATTCCGAGCTTTAAAATGGCCGTTGAAACACACAGAGGTGGAGAGGGTTATTTAGGACCTTGTAAAATACAAATCGTCATTCCTCTTAGCCTCACAGATGGATCAAACGTATGTAGTCGAACATTATGTTATGGCTCTATATAGTTGGCTTGACACTAGACAGACCCTGATTATCGACGTCGCTGCTCAGACAGGCTCTGATTTTGACTTGCTTGCATTGCCATGGAAATTCTAGTTGCCCTTAGATCGTCAATTCAATTACAAAGCAGAGGAATACATTATAATTAGAGTAAGTCACTGTATTGATTCTGACAGAGGAATTTTGATATTCCGGGACTATCTCTAATATAGACTAGCCCATATTGACATTACGGTCCGAGAAACAATGAAAGAGTGCAGTTAGTGACCCCAGTTTCGAGACGGACTGTACCTAGGGGCCTCTTCTTGACCTTAATAATATTTTTCCATGGTTTTTTAACCATCGTAAGCAGAGAATTGCTAGTAGAACTTGACGCTAGTGACGGGGGAGTCTATGGTTGAGATGCATCTGAAATATTTTCACTTCCCCTTCCCTTCTAGCCATGTTCTAAATCCAAGTAGCTTATATTCTTTCCCTCGACAGGTAACTAACCTTAATTTAGGAGTCAGTTTAGCGCATAATCGACTCGCTGCCCAGTTACGCCTATCGTTGAGGCTTGATTGATCACCGACCAAACCTTTAGTTGATTATTACTAGACTGGCTACCGGTCAGGTTATCTTTAGTAGATGCATATCAATATTCTTCGAATAAAATCTTTAATTACCACTTGTCGAGTGCAGATGACTCCGGTGCGCCTGGTTGCATGACACGACTGACTGTTCTCTTCAAGGTGTTTCATTCAATTTCCGTTGCTCGTGTAGCATCTACATGCCACGGAAACGAATCGAGGGGCCAGCCCAAGAACGTTGTATCCTCAGAAGCAAGAATCAATTGTCGATGGTTAAAACTAGCAGAAATTACTATTTCTGAGCAGAAATGTATGACTGAATTGAACTAAAGTGACCAACTGCTAGCTATTGTAGATAAACAGGGCATCTACTAGAGGAGATTCGTAAGACCCAATCAAATAATTATCCTCTAATTAAGACACTATGCTCAGCTTCAACAAACCTATACGAGCTCCTAGGATCAACACTATTTCTTTCGGCTTTTCCAGTCCGTGCATGGATCCAGCTAAGGCGAGGCCCCCGAGGAGTGAAAGGCTGCGCCCATATGTTAGCTAGGCTCCACCATGACGAAGGAACCAATTAGCTTAACTGACAAATGAAATCAAAGCTTAGTTGAGGCTTGGCTAAATATAAATAAATGCACTCTTAGGCGTGCCGTCCACCTGAAATATTCACGCGTCTAATAGGTCAATTGCAGGTTGGGGCGGATTTCATTCAGGGCGGACGGCACGCCTGAGAATGTATATAATTTTATATTTTACTATCCAAAGCGCAGCCGTTTCTCGGGAGAGGCAAGATAACAGAATACATTTTCCATTTTTTACAATTGTTTCAATATGCGTGGATTCCCGGTTATAGTTAGCCTCGTGGCCGCGGTAGCAGCGGCCACGAACTCAAGCTGCGCTGATGGCCTCTACATGATTGTTGCCAGAGGTACTCTGGAGCCCAAGATTGCTAGTCCTCAGGGATACTTCCCCGCAGACACAGGGTCCCCTGGATATGTGGCACAGCTTATTGCAGCAAAGATCAAAGGCTCTAAGATCGCGGGTGTGAAGTATCCTGCATCGATGCAAGATCCATCATATGCGAAGTCAGAGGATGATGGGGCAGCTACTATGCTGCAGATGGCAAAGGAGTACCACTCATCTTGCCCAAGCTCAAAAATGGCCCTCTTGGGCTACTCTCAGGTATGTGACAAGAAGATTAGGCGGGTTGCTGATGAAGATGCTGACCCGGTGGTTGTAAGGGTGCTCAAGTAGTCGCTGACGTCCTTTGCGGCGGCGCTGGTGGCATCTTCAACCATGATGCACCTCTGTCACCAGACATAGTCAAAGAGAATGGTAAGTGGCCCTTTTGCTGTTGACAATTTGCCGAGGCTGACGCAGGTGCAGTTGTTGCGGCAATCCTATTTGGGGATCCAACGCACGTTGCCAACACATCATACGATCGCGGCACAAGTATCCACGACGGAGTAAGTAGTAACGCTCGTCTCCGCATTCTCTCACTAACTCTTTTTCATTAGATATTCCCACGACATAACATCACTGTGTGCGAACGGTATGATGATATCATGGCATCCTGGTGCGACAAGGGTGACAAGTACTGCGACTCTGGAAAGGGCCAAGATGGCACAATTATCCATGGCTCCTACCTCGGGATATACAATAGCACCATGGTCGACTTCGTGGTTGAAAGATGGCAGAAGTCGACTACCACAGGCACGTCGACAGGGTCACCCACAAGCTCGGCTACCAGCAGTCCATCTCCATCGACTGGCACGGCTTCTGGGTTGACTGCAGATCAGAGTTTTTTCATGGTATGGCCTCTGTTGTTGCTTTCTTGTGGACTCTTCTTTTAGACTGCGACATTGAAATACAAGATCTTTGAGATAAAATTTATCCTTTTGCTACCTTTTCACTGCTAGTAGAGAAAAGCTTGTAGCACCCTTGTAATGTGAGAAGGGAATTGGTCATCGCTTGTGTACAGTGGGGAGACAAAGGTTCAAAACAGGTGGCTTCTGCTATGTTGAGCCCTCGAGGGCGAAGGCCACCTGAGAAGATGATCACAGAAGATTACCCGTCGGCATCCAAGTGGTGATCTTACAAGATACAGGCAATTCAATCTGGTCGAAGACGAAGTACAAGAGCAGCGGTTAATGTATCATCGAAGAGATGATGAATTGACAATGCCATGTCAGAAACGCGGGGGTCGGCCTTCCCTGCGAGTTCCGCATAACGTCGTTTGGCCCCTCGCACGACTGGACCTCGGGACGATCGACACGTTTAAATCAACCGGCTTATCGCCCTTGAGATTTACACTGCTCTCTCCTTTCAGAAATGGCCTATACACATCAGGACTCTCCGCCAGATGCAACTGACCCAACTACCCTCCCTCCACTCCCGCTTCCTCCGGGCGTGTCATCCCGCTATGTCGACTGTACTACCTCGCACAGCCTTGTCTTTCACATTCTCGAATCTCTTCCAGACCTGAAGTCTTCAGCCTCAAAGCCTAAACTCGTTCTTCTCTGCCATGGCTTTCCCGACCTGGCATACTCATGGCGGAAGATGCTCCCTCTTCTCTCGTCACAGGGTTACCATGCCGTCGCTTTCGACCAGAGAGGTTTTGGCCGGACATTTTCACGAAACCCTCTTACAGAATCATCATTTCGTCCCCTCGCATTGCTTCGGGATACTGTTGCACTGGTTCAGGCGCTGGGATACACGTCGGTCTCCTGTATAGTTGGACATGACTTTGGCGCTGTCCCTGCCAGCCTATGTGCATTGGCAAGGCCCGACATGTTCCACTGCCTCGTTCTGATGTCTCATCCTTCAAAAGGCCCTCCGCAATTGCCATTCAACACATCTCCCGCCTACGGCGAGCCGTCAGCTGCTCCCTTACCTCCACCTCCTCCCATCGATGAGGCCCTAGCAGCTCTGCCCCGGCCCAGAAAGCCATACAAATGGTATTATTGTGAGCCTTCTTCTAACGCGGAGATGACATATCCCGCTGGTGCACACCTCCATACTTTTCTGCGCGGCTACTTCCACCTCAAGTCCGCCGACTGGGACGGCAACCACCCTCACCGATTAGAAGGGTGGACCGCCACCGAACTTGAGAAAATGCCTCGGTACTATGTCATGGATCTAGCGGACACAATGCGCCAGGCTGTTGCGCGGGATATGGAGGCAGAGGACCCGAAAATAGTAAGCTCGCGGTCGTCACGCTGGCTTCCAGACGCCGAACTGGCAGTCTACGTTCAGGAATACGGCCGTACGACGTTCCAAGGCGGGCTGAATTGGTATAAGGTCCTAACGCAACCGGATACAGCGGCGGAAATGGAAGCGTGGTCTGGTATGAAGATACCTATTCCGACGATCCTGATCTGCGGGAAGAGTGACTGGGGAACGTACCAAGTGCCCGGGGCGCTGGAAGCCATGGAGCAAGGGGAAAGTGTGGGACCGGGGCTGTATAAGGGTACGATATTGATGAGCGAAGCTGGGCATTGGGTCAATCAGGAACAACCCGAGAGATGTGTTGAGGAGATTTCACGACTTATCGAAGAGGCGTCCGTGGCTAGGACCTTTTCGGCAGGGATTCCAATTTGACTTTGACAACTGCATGGTTACGACTTGATGAAATTCCAAACTACAGTAGTAAATCAGGTCTCTCCCGCAAGTCGACGCCGCCCTCGAACGCAGCACCACCAGCCTCCTCATCCAACTGCACGCTCTGATCCAAGCCACACACGCGGAACAGCATCTGCGGCGTCAGTTCCTTGTCTAAACCCGGCAGACCATCACGCCTGAGCTTCTCCAAACCCTCACGCATAGCTACCAGCGCAGGCCCGATAGTAGCAAACGGGTAGATTATAATCTTGAACCCAATCTTGCGAGCCTCATCCGCCGAAATAGACGGCGTAGACCCATGCTCAACCATATTAAGCAACAAAGGCCACGGTGCCAGATCCTGGACAGCCTGGCGTGCCATTTCGCGCGAGTCAATTCCCTCCAGGAAGCCGACGTCTGCGCCTGCATCGCGCGCCGCACGCAGCCGAGCCAGACTCTCTTCGTAGCCGTGCTTCTGCAGCGAGTCCGTGCGCGCAATAATCACAATATCGCTGTCTAGTCGCTTGCGGGCTTGCACAGCGGCCCGGATCCGGGTCGTGTAGGTGGCTGTGTCGACGAGTTGTTTGCCGGATAGATGGCCGCACCGCTTCGTCTGGACTTGGTCTTCGATGTGGAAGCCTGCCACGCCGGAGCGAGCATATTGTTCTGTCGTCCGCGCGACCATGATGGGCCCGCCGTATCCTGTATCTGCGTCGGAGATGAGCGGAGTCGCAGGGGATAGGTTCGCGATCATCTCGGCATTGGCGCGCATGTCGTTCAGAGTGCAGATGCCCAAGTCGGCCTGGCCGTGTACGGAGGCTGCTGTTCCTGCGCCGGTCTGGTGCTGTTAGTTTATTTTCATTTTGAATTTTCAGATTTTCATTTTCACACGCCGTGCATACCATGTACAATGCATCAAACCCCGCGGCCAGCGCCATCCGCGCCGACAGGCCATCATATACTCCCGGAGCGACGATGAAGGCTTTCGGGTTCTCCAAGGAACGCCGGAGACTAGTTGCCGCTGTTGTGAGAGGCATAATGGGTTATCAAAGTACATACAACAATGAACCGGCCAGCGGCTCTGAACGGGCCACTTTATATGTCCACCGCAAGTCGATGATCCGCCGATGCCGGGACATTTTGTTATGTCAGCATACACACCTTCTCAAAGCGGCAACGAGCTGGTGCCAACTCGGAAAATTCTCGGCCTTGTCGACCTCGGACCAGTCCATACATAATAGGCGGGGTATAGAGGAAGTCCGTGTCTTCCGACTCGGCAGGTTGGGTTTACACTTGCTGCATTATTACGGGTTTGGTTAGCCCGGCGTAGATCATTCTTAGTCAGCATTCGCTCCACTGCTCGGCTTCTGATCTGCGACTCTTCGACGCCGACAATGATTCCGCGCATCCTCGCCTAGAACACTCCCCCTCCCTTCGCCTGACTGATTCGACACAGTCTCTTCCCCGACCCTGCTCTTATGGCTCGCTCCTCTGTGGTCCAGGAGTATGGAGCGCCCTCGACCCCGACGCTGAGCGTCGACCAAAAGGTCGCGCTCGACCGCCACAGCTACCAGGTGCCACGGCCACAAGGCTATCGCGTATCATGGCACGCCAACCCAGCCGTGGAGCTGCACCACTTCGGCCAGTCGCACCCGATGAAGCCCTGGCGGCTGACCCTCACGAAGCAGCTGGTGATGGCATACGGGATGCACCATGCGATGGACCTGTACATGGCGCGCGCGGCAACATCAGAAGAGATGGCCGAGTTCCACGACGCAGACTACATTGAGTTCTTGCGGCAGGTGATGCCCGGCGACGTAGATCGGCCCGAGCAGAGCGATAACGTGGTGCGGTTTAATTTTGGCGACGACTGCCCCGTCTTCGACGGGCTGTACAATTACTGCTCGCTGTACGCGGGCGGGACCGTGGATGCCGCGCGCAAGCTGTGCAATAACCAGTCCGAGATTGCAATCAACTGGTCCGGCGGCCTGCACCACGCCAAGAAATCCGAGGCCAGCGGGTTCTGCTACGTCAACGACATCGTCCTGGGCGTCCTGCAGCTGCTGCGTCACCACCCGCGCGTGATGTACATCGACATCGACGTGCACCACGGCGACGGCGTCGAGCAGGCTTTCTGGTCAACGGACCGCGTGTTGACGGTTTCGTTCCACAAATACGACAAGGACAACTTCTTCCCCGGCACGGGCGCCCTCGAAGACACAGGCCCCTCGCACCCGCTGAACCCAGGCGCACACCACTCCATCAACGTCCCCCTCAACGACGGCATCGACGACGAGTCCTACATCCAGCTCTACCACGACGTCATCGGCGCCTGCGTGGAAACCTACCGCCCCGGTGCCATCGTCCTCCAATGTGGCGCCGACAGTCTCGGCTGCGACCGGCTAGGCTGTTTCAACCTCAATGTGCGCGCTCACGGCGCCTGCGTTGCCTTCACCAAGACCTTCGGGCTACCTCTCCTCGTGGTAGGAGGGGGTGGATACACACCACGCAATGTCTCCCGCGCCTGGGCGCACGAAACCTCCATCCTCATCGACGCAGACCAGAACCTCGACCCCACGATCCCGGAAACCGTCGCATTCCGCAACCACTTCGGCCCAGACTACTCGCTCTTCCCCCCGCTGTCGGAGCTGCGCAAACTCGAGAACAAGAACCCACGGCCCTACCTCCAGAGCCTGGTCGAGGCCGTCCACGAGCAGCTCCGCTATATCCAGGGTGCACCCAGCGTGCAGATGGGGTTTATTCCGCCGGATATCTTGGGCCTGCGCGAGGATACCGAGAAGGAGATCGAGGAGCAAACGGCTGCTATGGAAGAGGAGCGCGAGGAACGAGATGGCGGTGGCTCTGCTGCTATAGCTGCTGATGTGGCTGCGGCTAATTTGCAGGGTATGGATATGGGCTCAGCTGGTGCTATTCCCCGTATGAATCGTCGGCGGGAGCTGGAGCGCGGAGCTGGCTACAGGGGCGAGCTGTATTCATAACCTCCGCTCTCCTCTGTGATGAGGATTGGTTTATGGGTGTGCTTAAGGCGAACACGGGATTGATTCACCACGGGCGTTTTTATTTTCTGGGCGGACTTGCTTTATTACTGGGAGTTTGCGGCCTGCGCGAGATATCCTTGAAGAAAGAGTTCTGTACAGTTATACCATCTCTACAAAAGAGAGAGACATAGAAAGAGTCATCAAAAATGAAGAAAAGTACACATCATCATCTTTTACTGTATAGGAGATCAAATCCAATTGCAACTAACCACAAAAATCAAGTCTATCGCTATAACAGCCCCGTTCCATCCCATCTCTTTTTAAACATCAACTATGACATCAATCTTCTCAAATCGCATGCACGCAGGGAGAGATAGCGCAGTCGATGAGACCAGATAACGAAGCATTTAAAATGTGTTTATGGGTTTTCGTATTTCGTATTTCGGTCTTCGATCTCAATGAGTTCGGATCTTTCTTTTTGTAAACAGAATCAAATCGGGTATCCAGCAATGGGGCGTGGCGTCGTGGTCGGGAACGCTGTGTTGAACTCGAATTATGGTGGCAGAAATGGAGTAAGGAAGCCAGACGATGCGGTGAGGTGCGACGAGAAACTGGGAGGGAGAGACTATCGTTGTCGTCGCTGGACGCCAGGAGAAATTTTGATGCTGGATAGTCTGCGCAGATGGATTTTATCGTTTTGGCGGGGCTGCCTGTGTGTTTTTTGGATATGCTTTGAAACGACTTGGCACCAAAAGCAAGAAACAAGGATGCAGGAAGCAAGAGAGAGAGATCAGGATGGCTGCTGGAAACAGATCGAGCTCCATGCCTCCCTCATTGCTCCTTCGCATCCACGAATTTCTGCGCCGTTTCCGTATCTATCCGTTCAATATTGGCAGTTTCTGTCTCAGACGACGGCACTGCGGATGACCCTGCGGCCGCTGTATTCGCGGCAAGGTTCTGGGAGGGCGTCTGGTTCGAAGTGCTCGAGGTTTGGACCTGAGCTTCTGCTTTCTGACCTTGGACGATGGGAGCGATCGATAGAATCTGCTTTGCGGCAAGCTGAGGGTCATGCGAGGCGCTGCGCGACGTGTTAATCAGATACATAATTTCAATTTCTTCCCAGAAAGAAATACTCACACGTCCGCATTGATAATCCAGTCGAGATCTTCATCTCCTTCGTCTTGGCCGCCGGGGCCGCCTTGCACGGCACGGAACAATCGAGGTCGCCACTCGACACCCTCGTCGGCGCGTTTCGCTGCCTCGTCTCGCTGCTGATCTTCGATCTTGGTCTTTTCATCCGTTGCGAGTTCGTGGTTCCGCGCAATGATCGCCTTGACGGTAGGCTTCCAAAGCCGCTGTGATTCCCTCTCTGCCTGCTCTTCAATTGGCCGAACCTGAGGCTTGGTGTGCTTGGCGTGTGCTCCATCGAACAGAAGCTCCTTCTGGTGTGTCTGTTTCTTGGGTTAGTGGTGGACATTTTTCATACCATGAATGAAACGGACCAGGCAGTTCTTCAGATGCATCTCCCCATTCCACATTCCCGATAGCTCGTATAGAACCTCTCCCGTCTTCTCGTTCTTGATCGTGCCTCCGATGGCATTGTAGGTACCGGAAAAGTAACCCTTGGTCTTGAACTCGATATCGGCGACCAGGTTATGCTCCGGACACCGCACGTAGCTATGATCACCGAGCTCATACTTCATCTTTCCGAACAGAATTCCGCGGGCGTACATATTGGGTTGTGTCAGGATACTAGCGACCTGTGAGTCAGTCCGCTGCCGCCAGAAAAGCAAACCGTCACCAAAACATACTATTTCTCACCCATCTCTTTATCCTCCCCGCGGTTCAGCAGCCGCAAAATGGCGATTCCCTCCATCAAACTGGCGGCCGAGTTGCCCAGGAACCTACTGCGGGGCTTCAGCGTGCCGTCGATGCGGATGTTGTGCTCGGGAGCCATGAAGAAGTAGCTCGACTTAGGCGGATGATGCGAGGTCTGTTCGGCGATGTAGTACCCGCGCGTGCCATCCTCATAGTCCCAGTAGCAGGTAAATGTCTCTCCGAGAATGGGGTTGAGCGGTTTCTTCACTCCTCTGTATAGCGGGGGGTCAGATTTCTAGCCCGGAACCACGGACAGGTGACGTACGGAGGTTTGATGTGCCATCCACTCAGGTAGAATTTGACGACTGAGACAAAGCGCTCGACGGGGTCATCGATCGTGGACATGGGGAGTAGAGTTTCGGGGTGCGCCATGAAGCTGTTTTCCGAGGTCAGCCGGTGTGCCCCTCGTCACGGGAACTCAGATCAGACTGCGTACTTGGTGATCCGCTCGAGCATGGATCGGGGCTCGAGGATGAAGGTGGGCAGAACCACACGGCTCAGGTCGGCGCCCGGCCGCAGCTGCGAGATGATGTGCGAGAGGACTAGGCCGTCAGTCTTTTGTGTCGTGGTGGGGTGCTGGCCGCAAACTTACCATTTCCCTGGTCGGGCTCGACGACCTCGTCCTCGCCGCTGGCGGGAGAGTCCTCCATGGAGGATCTGCCTGGATGATGGGTCGCGGTGTCAGCGGGCATGGTTGTGGTGGTGCGGTGTCGTTGGCAGAAGTGTTGAGGCAGGGCGGGAGATGATGACATGGGCAGGTAGTACTACTTACTGGCCAAGGAAGCACGGCGGAGATGCGGAACGGGCATAGTGAGTGGCTGACAACCAAGGCTACAGCATTTATGGAAGGGCAGGGCGTTGTCTGTAAGAGAGAGAGAGTGGGTGTGAAAGTCAAGAAGTAGAAGAAGAAGGAGGGCGAAAACAAGGCAAGCCAGTCAGGTGTGGTAAGGAGCCCTAAACCAAGTCTAAACCAGTGACGTCTACAACGACGAAATTAACGGTAAACCTATCCTTCTGCCTGCTCACCACCATGGGTCTTGCCTCCCATTACTACTTATTTATAAGTGTTTTCTCCCAACAAATGATCGTCAATGAGGGGCACGGCTTGGCGAGTTACTAGTGGGGGATGACCATCTCGCATCCGTCCGGGCCTCTTCTATCGCAACCGCGCAATGAGCGGAACGTCGCCATGGGTAATCTCCTCCACAAAAGCCATATCCGGCCGATAGAGCATAACATGGAAGTGTTCGATAGCATGCACCGATTTAAGCGACCTCCAGTTCTTGAACCAAACGACCTGCGCCGGCGGCACGCGCGAGCAGAACGTCCGCTGGACATACGCCTCGATCGCGGCGCGCGCGCTGGCTGTCAAATCATCCGTGGCCGGGTCGTCTTCCAGCTCAAACTTGGTCCAGACCACCAGGTGGATGATGTCCGTTTCGACGCCGTACGGCCAGTCGTTGTACAGAATGCACGTGTCCTCTAGCAGTAGGGTTAGTTCTCAGCCGTGGGGATCTGGTTTCTGTGTTCGTGTAGAACAGATCGGCATGGCATGATTACCGTTCAACTCAAATGGACGACCTTTCGGCGCCAGGTCGCTGCCGTCGCCCCAGTGCAGCCGCTCCTGCACCACGAACCGCATCACGGACGAGTACTCGGTTTTCAGCTGCGCCATGTACGCCAAGTAGCGGCGCAGCTCACCCGGGACGCGCTGGAATCGATCGATGCGGTTGGTTCCTGCGGTCCCATCCCGTCGTCAGCACGTCTGTCCTTGGGACGGTCGCTGCGAGGCTGCCACCCAACTCACGGACGATCTCCCGCACTTCATCCCAGCCCTGCCGCGTGTAGTCTTCGTCGGGCGTCGATAGACACCGGATGCTCTTGACCGGTAGGTCGCGTAGATAGCTGGGACACTCGGCGGTCCGTTGCGATGGGGGCACGTTGACTTGCCAGTATGGAAGAGGGCGGCGCTCGTGTACTAAAACCTGACCCGTTGGAGGGGCATCGGCCGTCTTCTCGTCCAGGCTGGTCATGGTCGCTGCCGGGGTCGACACCCCCATCGTGCCCGACGACATGGTCTGGCAAAGGCAGAAGTCGGCGAAGATGAGGCTGAGTTGATAAGAAACCGAAGGATTCACTGATTAGTACTCCTCGGCCCGCACACCCGGCCCTGATCCACCAGGGACTACGTAACTACATGCAGTGACAGAAATACATATATATCCAGATGGTTGCTATTGCTTTATACTATTGGTAGATTGCACTACGGGACTGCCAGTCTCTGGATCTGCGGCGCATCGGCGGAAATGACCTGGACACCCGCCGCCGCCAGCTCCTCCTTCGCCTTGTCCCATCCGGCCGGCACAACGCACCGGGTCGCCTCCTCGACAATCCAGCTACGAAAGCCAGCCTTGACCGCATCGATGGCCGTGTATTTAACACAGTAATCCCCCGCCAGCCCAACAACAAACACATCCGTCACATTGTAGGTCCTGAGCGCAGCGGCCAGATCCTCATTGACCGACTTGGCCGTGATAGCCGGATCTAAATTCCCAAAATTATCCGCAAAGGCCGAGTACATCTCGACCTGCGCGTGCTGGCCCTTGTGCACGAAGCGATCGACCTTGTCGATGTCAATCTCGGGGATCATCTCCGCGCCGGGGGTGCCGGCGACGCAATGCACAGGCCAGAGTTGTTGTTGCTTTGTTTCGGCTTCTTTGCCCGGGGCCGGGTTGTGCATTGTGATAAACGACTCGAAGGGCTTGTTGTTGGGCGCGGGGTGGTTGGGCGCGAAGGAGATGTGGTCGGGCGGGTGGAAGTCCTGTGTTGCGACGCGTGTCACGAACCCTGGTTTTGCGAGGAGTGAGTTGATCAGTGGTGCGATGGTCCGGCCTTCTTGTACGGCGAGAGACCCGCTCTTTATTGTTTGGCAATAGGCTTGGGATCAGCTCGGCTGGCACATGCTGGTAGTAGCTTCGTCGCACTCACGGGTGGGCAGAAGTCTTCCTGCATATCTACTATAATCAGCGCGGGCACGAAACCCGTGTCCTCGGCGGACGCTGAAGCCATTGTGAGATGTGGTGACAGCTGGGACTGCGTAGAGGGAGGAAGATGGAGCTGTCCATCGAAGGTCAGGAAAGTATGAGAGCATGACTAAGCACACGGACAGCACAAAACTCTTTTGTTCGTTCTTCCCTTCTTCTTCCAGGGCCACGGCCCCCGACTAACTCCCTCACTCAAGGTACGTTTCTCTCCCGTGTTTTCCTTCCTGTCTATTATGATGATTTTATTATTGGAGCTGTCTGAGCCTCGCAATGCGGACAAACTCACTTATACGCTTTTCATCTATCTGAACCCATCCCATCCCGTTGCCTGATTCTCATGCCATGTTCAGCCCGGAACGAGTGCTAATTGCTCGCAACAGCTTCCAACCGCAGATTGTAAACCCATTTTCATCAATTGTTGCGCAATCCAACTTCTAGACTTCTTCTTCTCCTCCATTAGCCCTCTCTGCCTCTCTATTTCAAATCTACCTAGTCTCATATTTCCTCTTCTCTCCCACCATGGCAACCAACACTCCCCCACCACCACCACCTCCTCCTCCTCCAGAACACACACAGACTTCCCCCGACGCCGCCATGGCTGAACCCACAGAGACCACCACCGTCGCAGCGGCAGCAACAGCAGCAGCGGCGGCAGCAAGTACAACAACACCACTACCCACGCCCTCCTTCAAGCTTAAATTCTGCACCGTCTGCGCATCCAACAACAACCGCTCAATGGAAGCCCACCTCCGCCTCTCAACAGCAACCACCGGGTTCCCTGTGATATCCTTCGGAACCGGCTCGCTCGTCCGGCTCCCCGGCCCATCAATCACCCAACCGAACGTGTACAGCTTCAACACCACCTCCTACCAACACATGTACGAAGAACTGCGCGGCAAAGACGAGCGGCTCTACCGCAGCAATGGCATCCTGACCATGCTCGACCGCAACCGCAACCTGAAATGGGGGCCCGAGCGCTTCCAGGACTGGGTGCCGGGCATGCCACGGACGGAGCATGTCGAAAAGGGGGACAAGGGTGCCAACGGCACGGAGGGCGGCGTCGTTGATGTTATCATTACGTGCGAGGAGCGGTGTTGGGATGCGGTTGTTGACGATCTCATGAATAAGGGGTCGCCGCTGAACAGGCCGGTGCATGTCTTTAATGTTGATATCAGGGATAATCATGAAGAGGCCCTGCTGGGGGGGAAGGCGATTCTTGATCTGGCAGATCGGCTGAATGAGGCGGCTGTCATGGAGAGAAATGTGAATGGGACTGCTGGGTGGGAGAATGGGTCTGGTGCCGCGAGGCAGAGCTTTGATGAGAAGGTTCCTGAGATTCTGGCGGAGTGGCAGGAGAAATATCCGCATCTGCCTGCTCTGTGGACGCTGGCTTGGTTGTGAGTTGAGGGTAACAGGCGATGATGGCAATTGCCGCGGATAGTTAATTCAAGAGACCCGAATAATAATACGACGTTACGTGACATATATTAATCAGAATGGGATTCGTGTAATCATAGCAAATTTACTCCGGGGTATCATCAAGAATCATATCAGACCAACGCCTAGGACACGCACAGGGAGGTCGTAATTTGCCCCCATAATGGAGGACTCCATGAAATCACTCACGTCTCCTGCTTGATCTCTTCTTTGACGTTCTCTTCTTTAACCACCTCCCCCTTGACATTCTCATCTGGAAGCAAAAGATCCCGCCTCTCCTGATACCACTTCTCAAGGCAAGCCCTTCGCTGTGCCTGCGTCATACTCTCCACGACGAGCGCAAACTCCGTCGCATCCGCGTACCCAAGCCCGCGTGCCATGCTGCAGAACTGGCGGCGCATCACGTCCTCAGGCGGATTGTACCGAAACCGGAACGGCCGGGCGTCCGGTCCTGGTCCCCCAAAGCTCAAGCCTGCAGCAGGAACCTCGGCAGATGGATCCAACTCGTCGCCGACGATATCTTGAGATGGCTTGAAGACCTGGCAGTCCGCGGCTGGGTCGTCCAATGCCAGCTGGGCGCGGCGGCTGAGTCGTTCTTCGACGCGCGAGGAGCCGATCACTTCGTTGTTGAGGTGGGTATATTCCACACCTGCGCCGGCGAGGATGGCTTGGATGGGGTCGTGCTTGTGAGGGCTGTTTTGGGCCGGTGGATTTGTGGAAGATCGTTCGCGCTTCACCCCATTCTTGACATCGCCGCAGATCTCGGCGGCAAGCTGGCCCATTGCCTCGTCTTCGGCTTTAGTAGAAGCCTCACCGTGTTCACGGGTGTCTTCCTCTTCGACCTCGATGTCCATGACCTGCACGCCGGCGCGGCTCTCGGCGATGTTGGTCTTATTGACGATATCGCGCAGAACAACGCCGTCGTTGTGATACCCGAACATGTTATCCAGACCGAAGATCTCGCCTTTCTGGTCTTTCTTCTCCTGGACGCCTTTGAAATAGCGCCGCTCAGAGCTGGCATTGTACCCGATGTTGGCCTGCTGCTGCTTGTAGATCTGTCGCGCGTAGACGATCTCCTCGATGGTGCCTGCGGAGATGAGCCGGAAGACCTCGACATCGCGCGATTGTCCAATACGATAGGCGCGGTCCTGAGCCTGGAGGTCGTGCGCCGGGTTCCAGTTCGGGTCGACCACGACCACTTTGTTGGCCGAAGTGATATTCAGTCCAACACCGCCGGCTTGGGTAGAGATGAGAAAGACAAACTGGCGGGAGTCAGAATTAAACTCGTCGACGACCCGCGCGCGGTCCTCGTAGCTCATCGATCCGTCCAGGTAGCTGACATTATAGCTGGTATGATGGAACAGGACCTGCAGCATCTTCAAAAGCCGGACGCTGTGTGAGAAGACGAGGACTTTATCGCCATTCGAATGCCACCATTTTAAAAGCTTTCGCAAAACCTTCCACTTGCCACAGAACTCGGGGTTTGCGTAGTTCATAATTGAGTCTCGGCTGCGATACAGCTTCTCCCACTCTCGGGGCAGCGCGAGTTGGAGCATATCCTTGTCTTTCTCCTGTTTTTCCCGGGAATCGTTTCCCTGCGGAATGAGAACGGCCAGATGGTTGCTTAGATGTCGCAGCACGGTCATCGCCGGGAAGACGTACGACTGCCATGGCACGTCTCTGCCAGGGATGATACGATAGCAGCACCAGCCAGCCTTCTTCCCTGATCCACAATCGCACCTTTCTGAGGATTGCTTGATGTAGTGGACAATATCACTCTCCAGAAAATTCTCATAGGCGTCCGCCTGTGTCTCGGTCAGAGGACAGAAGACGACACGGTCGCTCTTCTTGGGTAGCTGATCGGCAATCAAGGTCTTCATCCGACGCAGAAAGAACTGAGGCAGGAGATTCTCGACGAGCTTTTTGGCTGTCTTGCGGGCCCTGCTGAGCTCGCTTTGGGTTGCCTCGTGCGACTGTCCAATCTTGAGCGGAGTGGCAATCTGCGTTTTCCAGGTGGTGACAGGGCCGAGGACGCCGGGGTTCGTCCAGTTGAGTAGCGTCCACAGCTCCTCGTACCGGTTCTGGATCGCCGTGCCAGTCAATCCAATTCGACAGAGAGCGTTGATTTCATTCATCGCCTGAGTCGTCTCAGACTTTCGTTCTTTGATCTTATGGCATTCGTCGGCGATAATGCAGTCCCACTCGACCATGTTGACCGCGTCTTTGTTGTTCATATACGTCGTGTAGGTAGTGATCAAGATCTCCAATCTCCCCGATCTTGCAGCATGCAACGCCAGCTCCTTGTTGTCGCCGTGGTACGCATCGACCTGCCACCACCCCCAACGAGCAAACTCCGCCCTCCAATTCGGGATGAGGCTCCCCGGGCATACGATCAGAGTGCGCGGATACCAGGCATTGTTCGCGGATCTGCGCATCTTGCGCATCCTCTTCGCGTCCCGCTCATCTCCGGTCTTGCCGTATGCCGCCGTCAGGAAAGCGATGACTTGAATGGTCTTCCCGAGACCCATGTCATCGCCCAAAACGCCTCCCTTTTGGTAGACGAACAACTCGTGCAAAAAGGCGACTCCTTCCACTTGGTACTGACGCAGCCACTGCGCGATCGGTGCCGGGATCAGCCCTAGGGAGTAGGGGAGCGTAATGTCCTTATACTCTCGGCTCGGTGGCTGATCTAAGAACGCAGGCCTCTCCAGGAGATGCTCCAGACGTTCATCGTCGGAGAAGTCGATATCAGTGTAAGTTGGCGGTAACTTGAGCCCAGATTCCTGAAGGTGCTCCCTTCTGCGATCAAACTGTATGCGACGGCGCTGCAGATAGTTCGGGAGTGTGTGCTCCATCAGCTCATCCTCCGACGACACCACGCCATACTCCTTCTGAGTCCGCTTGACCCGTGCTTTGCTTCGCTCCTGCTTGGGGACCCGGCCCACAATCACATCTTCTTCTCTCTTGACCTTGGCTTTGCGGGTTGAGGCGAGACTCTGCTTGCGTTTGAGGGATTTGCGTTCCTTGAACTTCTTGTATGCCGACGCGCCATCGTTGAAGTCGGACTCATCGCTGTCCTCGAGTAGTCTGGTCAAGGGACCGGCATTGTGGGTTTCTGACTTTACAGGTGTTGGTTGCGTGCTATTTGCAGCAGTAGGTTTCCGGTCTATAAGAAGATGAGCTTCGCGTCGAACGCGTGGGGGGAGATAGTCATACTGTCAGAATCGAGATAGCGCGTCACCTCCAGATCGTCATCGTCTGAGTCGATAGAGATGACCTCGGCGTTCCAAAACCTGTCACTTCCCATGACATACTTGTCTGAGGGTGGCGTTGGGTGGGAGGAAGCTGGGGAGGTGGAAGCGCGAGCGAGGATAAGGACGATAAGGTCAGGGCCTGGTCACTTCCGCCTCCGAGCTTTTTTTGCTCATCACCACCACCACCACCAAGACCCAGAGCCACCTCGCTGGTCTCTCAATTGAATTACCAAACTCGATATTCAAATGTTTGTCTCCACTCTTTTTTCCCTTCATTATCTTTGACTTTATTGGAGGCTAACCTTTCCACTGAACAGAAACCTTGTCACGGCCCCCCGATCCTAGTTTGTATCTTACGAACACCACAAATTCTCTCAAAATGCCTCTCGATACCTCCACAACATACCCCCTTACTCGGTTGCGCCTGGACGGCCGCCGGTGGAACGAGCTACGTCTGCTGCAAGCCCAGATCTCGACCAACCCCGCCAGCTCCGGCTCGTCATACCTGTCGATGGGCAACACCGCAATCATGTGTTCCGTCCACGGGCCCGCGGAGGGCCGTCGAGGAGAAGGATCCGGCCAGGCAGGGAGTGCTGGCGCTATCGTGGATGTGGAAGTGAATATTGCCGGGTTCGCCAGCGTGGACCGCAAGAGACGCGCAGGAGGTAGCGGCGGGTATGTCTTCTTCTTCTTATCCTTGGCCGCATGGCGACAGATACTAATTGACGTCTACCAGACAATCCTCACGAATTGCTACGACTCTCCGCTCAGCCTTCCAGTCCCATCTACACACCTACCTCTACCCGCACAGCACAATCAGCATCCACGTGCACGTCCTCTCGGCAGATGGCTCATTACTGGCGGCTGCGATCAACGCCTGTACCCTAGCCCTCGTGGACGCCGGCATTCCCATGCCGGGCCTGATGTGCGGCTGCACGGCTGGCATGAGCGGCAGCGCATCGACGCCGCGCGACCCGCGCAACGAAGAACTCGATCCGCTACTGGATCTGTCGCTCCCCGAGGAGCAGGAGCTGCCGTCGCTGACGGTCGGGACTACGACGGCGGTGCCGGTTGGGGAGAATCATATGGACGAGGATGAGGGCGAGATGAAGGTGTCGGTGCTGAATATGGACTCCCGGCTGCACGTCACATACATCGAGACGATGCTGGCGGTGGGCATAGATGGGTGCAAGCAGATCCGTGAACTGCTGGAGGGAGTGATCAAGTCGAGCCGATAGTAGTTAGTGTGTAACGATAATAATAATGACCATGATGAACCTGTTGGACCTGCCAAGAAAGATAATCTGCTCAATTCCGCGCGCACTAAGGCCGTTCAGGCAAAATCTGCTCGGCATGACTACGAGAATCACCGTCCTGGAACGCACGAGAATATTATTCGTTCCCATACATTGCTCCTCGTCCTGCGGGTTTATTTGGTTTTTGTTTTCTGCGTGGGCGCATCAATACAAAACTCGCTCGAGAAGCCGGATCCGGCTGCTTTGAATCGCTACTACCGAGTTATCGCCAACACCAATAATCCACCACCATGGACATGAATTCCATGACAATGGACATGGCTAGCACATCCACTGCATCTGCGGCTATGAGCACAGCTTCCTCGGGCATGTCTGGCATGTCCGGAATGGGAGGCATGGATATGGGCATGGGGGACTCAAGCTGCCAGATCTCGGTCAGTTCCTACAATAACCATGAAAACCTCCAAGAGAGACAGGTAGAGAGAGAAGTATGGGATAGCTAACAACCTCTCAGATGCTGTGGAACTGGAATACCATTGACGCATGTACGTTCTTGTCCTCCGCTTTCCCATCCTATGCACATGAAATTCCTTAGTATACGAAATCACACTAACATCATTGATTGACCAGGCTTCCTCTCCACGTCATGGCACATCCGCTCGCGTGGCATGTTCGCCGGCTCCTGCATCGGGGTCATCTGTCTCGTGCTGTGTCTGGAGTTCCTGCGTCGCGTGGGCCGCGAGTACGACGCCTTCATTGTACAGCGCGCACGGCTGCGAGCGCTGTATCTGTCGGGGCCATCGGCCGACCTTCTCATTCAACAGAGTGGTGCCGCTTTCCCTGAGCGTAGGCAGAAAAGCAGCTCCAAAGTGAATATTGCCAGCTGCTGCGAGAGCCATGGTCATACTTATACAGACCATGCTGATCCTGATCCCTCATCCTCATCCGATAATATCAAGGATGATACTATCACCTCGGCACCAAGTCAGCACTGTGCTCCTCCTATTCAGACCACAGCGCCGTGTACGCATTGCAACACTCCCCCCGGAGAACCAATCTCGATTCCCTTCCCCAGGGCCACCGCCAATGGTTTGCCAAACCCCTGCGCGGTCGGCCCATTCCGGCCCTCGTTCGTCGAGCAGTTAGTACGCGCCCTGCTACACATGCTGCAGTTCGCAGTAGCGTACTTCGTCATGCTGCTGGCGATGTACTTTAACGGGTACATCATCATCTGCATCTTCATTGGGGCGTTTCTCGGCTCATTTATCTTTTCGTGGGAGCCCGTGTCGCTGTCGAAAGAGTAAGCTTTTTCTGTCTTCTGTGTTATTTGTGGTTGGGTGAGTTGTGGTTTGAATGCTAATCATGTTGTGGGATAGGAATGATGCAACGACTGTTACGAAATGCTGTGGGTAGACCGGCCGTGTGGGATTGGTTTCATTCGATAAGTGTGCGCACTCGGAGCATGGGAGTAAGGAAACTAGTTGATATGGACGAAACTGTGTTTTCGTCGTGATTAAACTGTATTTATGGGTTGTGTTGTGGTCCAGCGTCTAGATTATTATTTCATGACTGACGGACATCAGGGGCTTTCCCAGTTCTATCTGCTCTTTTTTGCGACGCATGAATACGTAGAATGATTTCTCTGCATACTGTGAAGAATTGAGCGACCAATACGTCTCCTATTGGATCGCACTTGCTATACCTAAGTTTGCGTGACGTTGCTGGCAGAGGGGTAATGGACAGGTAACAAAGAAGATGAGATCATCGAGCCTCACAAACCAACCAGCTGCGCACGGCCACGGACAACAGGCTAGAACCAACAAACCTGGAAGCGAGACCGAGTTGGCCCGATGTCTTGCATCCAGCGCGGGGCTATGCGGTACCCCCACCTTGTGTTTTCCGAGGCAAAAGAAAGAATATGTTCCTTGTTACTACGAATTGAACAGCGTTATGCAGAGTACGAGGTTATCCGGTAGACAGTCTTGATTGATTCACTACGCCCGAGGCGAGAACATAGAGAGAGGAAGTAGGGAGAACTCCCTTCTGCCCCCAAACTAAACTAGAGCATAACACGAGCCCGCTCACCTGAACCAGCGAAGCAATGGCTCAGACTGTCTGCGCGAATACAAAAACAACACCAACCAACCAGGTTTCACTACATTTGCGAGAGTAGGTTCCTGAGAAGAGGCTTACTGCTGACCGCCGCAGTTGACGATGGTGGGCTTGACGGCCGAGCGGACGGAGCCAGAGGCGCTACCGAGAGCCTCAATCTCCTTGACGACCTTCATGGACTCGGCGTCGGCGACCTCACCGAAGACGACGTGCTTGCCGTCCAGCCACGAGGTGACCACGGTGGTGATGAAGAACTGGGAGCCGTTGCTGGGAGTAGGGGTTAGAATGACGAGTTTGAAAAAAAAAATGCAAACAAACTTACGTGTTGGGACCAGCGTTGGCCATGGACAGCAGACCGGGCTTGGTGTGCTTGTACTTGAAGTTCTCATCGGGGAACTTCTCGCCGTAGATGGAGCGACCACCAGTGCCCTATTTAGAAAAAAGGTCAGTTTCGAGGATGATAGATAGCAAAGGGGGGAACCCAAATGAAAGGGGGAAAAAACTCACGTTGCCGCGGGTGAAGTCACCACCCTGCAGCATGAACTGAGGGATGACACGGTGGAAGCCGGAGCCCTTGTAGCCCTCGCCCTTGGGCTTGTTGCAGAGCTCACGGAAGTTGGCAGCGGTCTTGGGGACATCCTCCTCGAAGAGGGTGAAGTTGATGCGGCCCGTCTTGGCTGGTGAATGGGTCAGCGGGGGGCATTCGCATTCAATCTCATGATGATGAGTGATGGAGAGTAAAGGGTCATCAAGGGAATACTGAGAAGGAATTGGATGAATTGGAGATGAGGCACTGCGAGGGAAAAATGGGGAGGGGGTTAGGGAGTGTTGCGTGTGCAGACAGGGCTGGGTGTTTAGGATGGAGGGGCAGCTTCAGCTTGGCCCCTCCCACTTTTGGCCCACGACGCAAACAGAATCAAAGGAAAGAAAGGAAAACAAAAATACGTACGGGCGCTGGAGCCCACAGGGGAGTACTCGACGTCGAAGAAAGCCGTGCTGGGCATGATTGCGGTAGCAGAGAAGGATCTTTTAGAGTAAAGAGAGGAAAGTGAAGAAGAAGAGAAGAAGGAAGACGCGGGTGGTGGGGTTGGCCTGAGTCGGGCGAACATTATTGCTGAGGGGCACGGATTAACTATAGTGCCGGGGGCAGTTAGCGGGTACGGCCGACGGGGGGCTCGAAATGCAGTTCATGCCTGAGGCAGCCACCAGGGAGCTCCAGGGGATGATCAATCAGGCTGGCTGTCTGCTGGTGGCACTGGCACGCGAATAGATCACTGCACGAGGCCCTGCTGGTGGGATGTCATCGACAGATCACACTTACAGAGAATAAATAATACACAGGGGTGAATGCGGATGGAGACAAGAAACAACAGAGGGAAAAAAACCGAAGCTCAACGCGAAAAGCCCCGGGAGCTGCGGCGCTTATGTAAGGGGCGGCTCTTCACTCCCTGTAGAGACACTCCGACAGAGACTAGGGACAAAATGTAATGTTTACTCCGGATCCATACAAAACTCAAGAATTGATTCCATGCGCACTGCCGTGTCTGCCACGATGCAATCAAGAACCGACGACGCCTAGATGCGGTCGAGGAGGTAGGTATAAGAAGAGTAAACACAGAGTAGAAAAAAAGGGAGGATGAAGAATAAAGTACAGAAAGATATCAAGGAATCAAAAAGAACCACCATGAATGCCATGCGTGTCAGGACATCATTTCAGCATTGTCCGCTCATTGCCCATCGATGAGAGAGAGATAGAGAGAGAGACGCTCAGAAGCAAACACCACACCAGGGAAACAAATTATAGATCAGATAGGGGGAAGGACTCATATGAACAGTGTGAAGGAGGGGGAGGAAAGAAGATGAGAGTCTGTCCCGATGCATGCAAGCAAGTATAGCGGCAGGTCGTCTCGTATATGTGAGTAAGAGAGATAGATCATCGGAAGTCCTCGTCATCATATCCATTCGCAGCTGCGTCAAGACGATGCACAAGCTCCTTGGTCTGGCGCGCGATCTCAAATGCAATAGGCGGCAACTTGTTAATGGCGCCCGGGCCCTCAGCGGCAGTTCCATCCAGTCGGGCGCGGCATTCGTCCAAGACCTGGACGATGGGCTCGGCGCGCTCCCGCAGAGCTTTGTCGCTGCTACGCTCGTGAACCAGGTGCTCGGTGGAGGAGACGACGTTGGCGACAACGTCGGAAATGGCCGAGACATGGGTCTGAACAGTGGTCAGACCGTCCTCGGCGCGGATGCTGGCGACTAAGGACTGGATGGATTGAACGAGGCCGTCGGTTTGGTCTTCGACATATAGCTGAAATAAAACAAGTCAGTCATTTGGTTGATGCAATATTTGGAAAGATCTCACCTTCAGTTCTTGGACTGCGTGGTCCTCCTGCGCGGCGCCATAACCATTGACAATTCCATTCTGGATTGACGAGATATGGCTATGGTCGGGGGGACTCATAGCGCTGTACTCAGAGCCATTGCTGTACCGTCTTTGGCTAGCAGTAGTCTCGAAGTAGCCTTGGCCATTCATCTGCGCCACCTCGGCCTCATCATCCTCCAGCTCGTTGGCAGGCGATGCCTGGATCTTTACCGCGCGGATCAACTCCACGATGGCAATGGCCAGATGCGAAGCTGCCGCATCGAGCAACGATACGGGCGACAAGCCGCTGGAGCTGGCGAAGTTGCGGGCTGCTGTGATCATGTTGTTTGTCGTGGTAGCTACGCGATTCTTGGCCTTGATCCGCAGGGCCGCACTTCCATCCACGGGGAGCGGGCCTTGGTCTACGTCCTGGAGAATGTGGCGGACGGCCACGATGACGAGCTTGATCTGGTGGACCACCCCGCGCGATTCCTCGAACCGAGCGACGCGGAGCAGCTCGTCCACAGCCATCTGGAACTTGGTGACATGAACATCTCTGATCAATCCGTCCACCTGTACCAGTTCATGCTCCTTGACGAGCTCGCTGGCGTCAGGGCGAGAGTCAGCGATTCCGCCAGACGTGGCGCGGACGTGCCGTAGCTGTGCCTTCGCCTTGGCGTAGCGGTGCTTCCACTCATTGACCTCGTCCTCCAGCCGATGGACCTGGCTGGACAACTGTTCTTCGTGTTCCCAAGTAGCATGGCTCTGCTCGGAGAGCGTTTTCATCTCCATGAGGAAGGTGGATGCTTGCTGCCGGACCTCTTCCGTGACGTTGCGCTGATGTTGCAGCTCGGCTTGCAAGCTATCGTGTTTGATCTCAAGGTCTGCGTACCGGGTTGCCAACGTCGCATCCTCGATGCCTCGGGCGGCATCTTCGATCTGGGTGCGAAGGTCACGCTCCATGACATCGTGCTCTGTGCGGACGCGTTCGAGTTCCAGTTGAAGCGAGCTATTACGGTCCTCAGCTTTGGCCACCTTAGCCTCCAGATCCAAACGCAATTCATCCCACTCTTCACGTTCCTTGCTCGCTTCAGATTGCGAAGCATCCTGCGACCGTGCCAGTTCCTCGTCCTTGGAACGAACCATCTCTTCCAACTTGTCAATCTTCTCCTGCAATGCAGAGACCTGGGCCTGGCTATCTGTCAAAAGTCTTCTTTCACTCTCGCCAATCGTGGTGGTTGTGCCCCGTCTGCTTAGAACCGCATCCAACGCAAAGGCATCACTCCGAGCATCATCATCATCGTCCATACCCATATCGTCACTATCTTCGACCATAGTACTTTTATTCGGAACCATCGTATTGCTTTGGAACGATCGCGCAAATGGTCCATCCCCACCCGGCGGGCCACCTAGAGAGCCAGATCGAGGCGGGAACGCACCCGGCGGTCCACCAGACGGATATCCCCTGCCCATGCGCGAGGGGGGTCCTCGAGACTGTGAACGACGAGGGTCCGGGGGCATACCTGGTCGGCCACGGAAGTTTTGGCCTGTGAAGTGTGGGAACCGGCGCTCCAGTTCACAGTACACGTCGGTCGCCAGATCGCGGAATCGTTGGTGTTGGAGCGACGCCAGCTTCTGGCGGGCCTGGTTGCGCTTTTCGTGGAATTCTTTGCGCGGGGGCAGGAAAGGAGGTACATCGGGCCTGGGCGGGCGGCCCGGCGGCGGCATGGCCTGCTGCCTCCGGACCAGTTCGTCGTAGACATCGGTACTGAGTTCGTGGAACTGGGTGGGTGACAAGCGGAGTAACTTGTCTCTGGCTTTATTGGAGCGACCGAGTCCGCGGTCGTCGCGGTACGAAGCATTCAGAAATCTCTTGAGGGCGGCATAGTGCTGACCCAGAATCTCCTCCATCTGTCGATATCGTCTGGGGTCGCGTTGACCGTCGCCCAGCGTGCCCACGCTCGAACGTGCAGCTATCGAGCTGGGCGGTGATGGGTTTGCGCTGCCTGTGGGAGGCGGAATGTTCGGGCTCAAGGGAGCGCTGGGAATGCCTTGGGAGGTTGGGGGCGTGGCAAGATTGCCTCGAGCAGAGAAGGTTGGCGAAAAGGGCGGCTCCGTCTTTTGGTATTGGTTGATCCCGGACCAGTCGCTGCCATCGACGGAGACAGGCGACATGGCTCCCGAGTGACCATTCATCACCGTCCGTGGTGATATCCGGACGCCTCTGTCCGCTCACTTGGGCTGTCGGAAGAGTTGTCCCACCGAATGCCCATCCACGTTATTTTACCACGCGAGTTCCCCGTCCTTTTCCTCTCCCGGCTAAGATCGATCTGAAACGAGGGCGCGAGGGAGGGTCAGAGAATCGGTCGGGGGGCCGTCGAAGGGGCCAAGGAGGGCTGGTCGGGAATCAAACAGACACTCTTTTTGTTTTCTGGTCTAGTCCTTCAAATAAATATCCAAAGGAGTGACGGACGGACTAGACTGGTGAAGGGGAGGGATGGGAGTTGTAGTGGAAGAGAAAAAGACCAACAAAAGGGAGGAAAGTGTGAGTGAGATTATCATTCTTAGTAGCGTTAGTCTCGCCCTTACGGCTGGACCCGCCGAGACCTTGAATCCATACAACCACAATAGTGAATGATTTCTAGACTGGTCAATATCTCCGTGATGGGTTTACAGTTTATTCTACATTCCCATCGGATCAGCCCAGATCATGCGGGATAGCATTCTTTACATCGACAGATCGCCAGGGCTTCTCCGACCGGTATGGAGAGGGGGGCTAACCGGGGAGGGCACAAGCCACACCCCAGGGGCTGACGACAACTTCCACGAGCGTCCAGATCGTGGGGGAACTCTGTAGAGCAGGGTAGACCACAAGTACATCGTAGATATCCAACACCACGATGCTAGGAGATCTCCTATCCTCCAAACACCGCAACCCAACCCCTAATCATCCAGGCGCCGCCCCTGACGGAAGACAGCGTGTGATCGGTTCAGGAGACTGACAGTCTAGACCCTCGCCGTGGCCCCCGGTATCGCCGCGCGGGTACCGGCCGTGTATTCCACCATACTCAATTGATACACAAGGTACTTCTCAGGTACATTGGGCCACAATAGTTGAATAAAATCACACGTTTTTTCCATATTCGGGTCTACTGGTCAACCAGCGTATCTATCCAATGAAAATGAAAAAAATAATAATAATTAAAGAAACAACTAAGTACAGGGGGGGGGGAGACACGAGTCCTCGCTCGTATATCCGACTCGGTCGGTTCTCTACCGGGGATCTCGTTGAGATACATGTTAGCTAGCCTTGACAGAAAAAGAAGAAAAGGCCGGCGATGACGAGACAACCCTAGGCTTGATGAACCAGACCGAGACATGGCGGGTATAGAAGCCCGCATGGTATGGAGGGAGAAAAATGGGCGAATGCAAGACCGTGCCTGCGCCCACAAGAAATATACAAGGGCCGCGCAGCGAGAGCTGGTCTTATTTGGAGGTCATGGACAGTCCGCGGGTAGCGCCCACGGCAGCCGACACGGGCGTCGCGGACCGGGTAGGTGCCTGGCTGCGGTTGTGCGCCATGTGCGCTCTGACGAGATGACCGGCAGCCAGGGCAGCGCACAGGCTGAGCTCGCCGGCGAGAACCGAAGCCCCGATGATGCGGGCCAATTGGCGGGCGTTCTCTCCAGGGGTGGTTGGGTGGGAGCCGCGGACGCCAAGCATCTCGAGCATGGCTCCCTGCGCCTCGAGGATAGTGCCACCGCCGATAGTGCCCACCTCGATGGAAGGCATCGACACGGCGATCTGAAGGTTGCCGTTGGAGCTGTTGGGAAATGGCAGTTAGCATAGTGAACACTCATAAGGAAGGACAAGAACATACTTCTTCATGGTGGTGATACAGTTACAGCTCTCCACATTCTGCGCAGGGTCTTGTCCGGTGGCCAGGAAGATGGCGGACACGATGTTCGAGGCGTGCGCGTTGAAGCCTCCGACGCTGCCAGCCATGGCACTTCCGATCAAGTTCTTGCTGATGTTCAGCTCCACAAGGGCATCCACATCGCTCTTGAGAACACTCTTGACGACATCACCGGGGATGATGGCCTCAGCCACCACCGACTTTCCTCGGCCGTCGATCCAGTTAATAGCAGCGGGCTTCTTGTCCGTGCAGTAGTTGGCTGAGAGGGAAACCACGGACATGTCGTCAAAGCCGCACTCTTTAGACATGACGTCTAGGGCTTTCTCGCAGCCCTTGGAGATCATGTTCATACCCATAGCGTCACCAGTCGTCGTCTTGAACCGGATATAGAGGTAGGTGCCCGCGAGCGAGGTCTTAATGGTCTGGAGACGAGCAAAGCGGCTGGTCGAGTTGAAGGCAGTCTTGATAATGCTCGAGCCTTCTTCCGAATCAACCCAGACCTTGGCAGCGGCTGCGCGAGCCAGAGTCGGGAAGCTAACGCAGGGGCCACGGGTCATACCATCGGCGGTTAGAACGGTGACTGCACCGCCGCCAGCGTTGATAGCCTTGGCGCCACGGCTGGTACTCGCAACCAGAACACCCTCCGTAGTGGCCATAGGAATGAAATAGTTCTGACCGTCAATATTCAACGGGCCCGCAACACCAAGAGGAAGCGGCAAGTATCCAATTACGTTCTCACAGCAAGCACCGTGAACCAATCCGTAGTTGTATTGCTCGTACGGAAGCTTCGAGCCCTCCACGGAATTGGTGAACATAGAGGTAGCAGGAGTTCGGGAGACCACAGACCGCCGGATCTTCACAGCCCGAGTGAAGGCATCGACCCGACTCATCAGGTTCTCGTTCTCCATGGTCTTCTCCAACGCATATCCGGGGAGCTTGCCCCGTAGAGAGAGGCTGATCAGCTCCTCATCCGTTAACTCTGAGCCGCGCTTCTCTTTGAGCAAAGCCTCGCATTCCTCGACTGTCCGGGTGGACTCCTGCTCATTGAGATCGAACTTCGGGTAGACCTTGGGAGGGGCCACCACAGAGTCATTTTGCGCCACAGGAACCGTCTCGGGCTCCTTGATACTCCAACGTGCGGCGTTGAAGAGATAACCGTTCAGAATGATGCTCAGCGTCAAGGCCGCGATGATCCACTTGCTGATGATTGGATCTTCCACGCTCTTGAGCAGACTCTCAAGGACGCGGCCACCGAAAGCGTCTAAGAACTGGTCGGTGTACTCAATGTCAAACGACCGGCCTTCCTCGGGAGCAGCGTAATGAATGGAGGGATATTCCAGTTTGTATTTGATCGGTGGGATGATGGTCACCACGGTTTCCTGCTTCTGGCTCTTGGCAGACACATAAACAGCGTCCAGGCCGTTCTCAGCCACCTTGAAGGGGTCGATAGGGGTGGGTGCCAGAACATTGGAGAAGTGTGAAAGCAGGGCGCCATTGCCAGAATCCCGGAAGGGGATGGCCCCCAGGTTCACGATGTTGACGAGAATCAGACCACCAACCATGAGGATCTTGAACCGGCGCACGCTGCTGGACTTGATCTTGCGTCCGAAAATGCTGGTGTCCATTTCACTGCCATCCGACGAGCTTGGCCAGTCACTGTTCGAGGCCACATTCTCCGCCACACTGTGGGTGATGCCATCCTCTTCCAGCGCCTTGCGCAGCGCGACGTGGCGTTTGATCCGGGTGATCTCGAGCTTGATGCAGAGAATGGTCGTGTAGAAGGTGAAGAGAAGCACGCAGTCGAAGAACAGAATCCAAGCCGCGAGGAAGCAAAATTGCTGCAGTCCTCCCTGCACACCGGAGACTGCACCAATAACCAGGAGGCCAATCTCGATGCAATAGTGCTGGATAATTTCGAAGCCTTGCTTCTCAATCGCAGTTGCGATTGAATCCTGGATAGACCGCGGAGTGCTGGAGGGCAGCGCCGAGCCATTAGACCTTGAAGCCTGTCGTCGCTTATCCACCGAAGCGTTCAGGACCGCACGAGTGAACATGATCGGCTTCTCGAAGCCAATGGTGACGACCAAGAATGGGAGGCCTTCGGAAAGCAGAAGCAAATTGATCGGCACACCCAGCTTGGTGGTCACCAACAGGCCGAACAGGAACGCAAAGGTGCCAGAAAATAGCACGGTGGCGGCCAGCCAGAAATTCGAGCCTAGCCGTCTCATCGAAAAGAAGAGCGAGACGAAGCTGAGGTGCATCGAGATGTAACCGAGGGCCATGATGACAATGTCAATGGTCTCCGCATGCTTGATAAGGTCCACGAACGAGCTCCACGCATCGGTCAACCAGAGCTTGAGAGCCTGATGGGATCCGTACGCCGGGCCACGGGCTGCTCGCATGATCCATTTCTTGGATTCCTCTTCCTCCTCATCCGCTGACGGGTCCGAAATCTCCTGCACCGACCGTAAAAAGTCGGCCACTTGGCCATAGGGCACGGTGTAGGCGAGAGCAAAGTCATACGAGAAGGGCGAGAAGAGGTTGGGTGTGTAGGGAACCGAGTGTGCGGACACATTGCTTGGAATGGGAATGTCGTCGGTCGAAGGCGCCGTCGACGCCGACTTGGAGATCGAGTCCGGGAAGATGAAGGTGGTCAGGGCCAGGTGCTCCGCGGTCGTCTTTTTTGTTTCGCAGATTAGCATGTCAAATGTTTCACGGAAACCCCAGAAATCTCTTACCTTTGCCTCCTCGGGCGTCCATGCATCGTCCGCCTGCCACTTCCACGAGGTTGACTCGCCCAATCGCAAATTGCGACTTCCCTGAAGCAGACCGTCTGCGTCTACCTGACCGGCCTGGGGGCTTCGCACGGTATCTAGCAGGCTACCTTCCAGCAGACCCACGTAGGTGGTGCTGGCCAGGAGAGCGATCACGACAATTGTGTGAATTGGGTGCACACAGGCCCGGCGGGAAATAGATTTCAGACCACAAGTAACCTGTCGCCTGAGCCATCCCGGCTCCGCGTCCCGGTTTTCCTCCGCGGGCCGGAGCTTGTTGGCGATGAACTTGGTGGCCATTATGGGTCACGGAGGAGCGTCTGTTGAAGAGAGCGTCGAGAGAAGGGGGAGGGTCGTTGAGACGGTCCGCAGGGACCAGGGCCTGCGATGGGGACCGTCGAGGAGCGTTGAACGACCCAAAATGGGGGGGAAGAGGGGAGAGAAAGGGAGGAGAGATAAGAGAAGATTATTAAACGGCGGGCAACATGTGGCAGAGAGCAGGGACAGCACAGAACCCTGGGCGAAGAGCAGGATTGGGAACCAACAGGCTCGAATTGTACGACCACCACGGTGTATATGCCGAGTTCGGGAAAAGGACAAGAAAGAATCCACCCCTGAAGGCTGCAAGATAATTATTTCTGGGCGGGAAGAAGGTATCGCCGATGCCAAGCCTTCCTTCCACAGATGAAAAAAAAGGGCAGGATAAAACAACCATCATCAAATAGTACGACACAATAGAAAAGATATAGTCCCTTCGCTCTCATGCTCGACTGGAACCCTCTCACAATGCTCCCAACAATACCTCGCTGGTATCCCTCAATCCGGCGAGGGTTCTTTGTCTCCCTTCCACACTCGCTAAGTTAGGAACTAGCACTCCTTGGGTTTAGCTGGTGGTGGCGAGGGCAAACCTTGGTTGACAGAACTTTGTCAGCCAGCACAGCCCAGCCCCCTGGCAGACTGTGGGGAGCACAGTATCAGATAACTAACACTGCTAGAGAGGCAGTTAGTTAGTCGCCAGGAGAATATACTCCTGTAGAACATCTGCAGAGTGTTGCTATGGTATTTACGGGTCGGCCCTTCGAGCAGTATCAAAAGCATTTTCCCTGGGTGGTGGTCGCCTGTCGCCTAGACATTGTTCAACCACTGCTCTACAACAACGTAGACATCAGGATGAAGATGGTCGAACAGCTCTTTACGCAGCATCAGTCAATGGCCATCGGGACATTGTAGAACTACTGCTCAAAATCAGTGCGGACATCAAAGTCCTGGCTGGAAAGGAAAAAGCAGTTGCTTAGAGACTTTTCCGTCTTTCTGCTCTTGATAATTACTGGTCCCAGTGGGTTCGCGACAAGAGATTGAATAATTCAGTTTAGAGAGCAACAAAGCACTAGACGACTTAGGACATGCTGGCGTTCCCAGTCTTGCGCTTATCATACCGCCACAATTGGCTGCAGTCCTGTCTTCTACTGACGAAATGATATTCGATGGAAGTCTCTGTTCATGAAGGGTTTAAAGAAGCTGCACCTACATGGCTATAGCACAGTACATATACCAAATAAAATAACAATTAATGCCAAGCAATGTTCAGTCAAAAGCTGCCGGAACATACTCATTATCAGATCGATTACAATCACGTGTTTAATTTGTTTGCACTGTTTGTCACATGGATATACTTGCTTTGTTTTCTTCTCTATTCAGCTCCGAGATACTTCATCGAATGGCCCTCTCTTCCGTCATAATATGTATATATTTATAGGTGGGTGGGCAGAATAAAACCGAAACATAGCAGAGTATAAGCAAGCGCCAGGGGGTCACACGACCAGCCCGTGCCCTAACTCTACGCGCCCGGACGGTACAGATCCCAAAAATACTTCGCTCCCTCTCGCCCAACGATTCCCTGAAGAATCTCATCGATCATGACATCAACCTACTTTGGGCGCCCGGCTTGTTTGGAGCTGGCTCCAATGAGGGTCTATTGCTGCGCGGGAGATGGCCCATTGAAACACTTTTTGAAAGGGCTCGAAGTGAATGAAACTCCTTTGTCCTATTAATTCGGATGAACAAAGGCCTCCATTGTTCTCTATGCCATTCCAAACAGCCTGACCCTTCCTAAGCGCCGGCTCTCGATAAATACCCTTGGCTGCCCATTTTACCATGCTTGCCAAGACAACGTCCCTCGTGAAACGACCCTGGTGGTCGACATCCAAAAAAACCCCCCCGTAAGAGTGTGCTTTGCGCTCGCTTTTAGCAAGAACTTACGCAGAGCATGCAGCTCTACAAGATCCTGGGTGTGCTTCTGCCGATCACGGTGGCCAACGCCCATTCCTGGGTGGAACAACTCACGGTCATTGCGCCAAATGGGACCTTTGTCGGCGCCCCAGGCTATGCCCGGGGCAACTATCTTCGCACCGCGCCCGGGTTCAACGACTTGACCATGACATACCTAATCCCGCCGGATGGGGCATCCAACGTCACCCTGCTGTTGCCCAGCTACGATATGTGCAAAGGCACTCAACAGAACATGACACAGACAACGGGGAGCCCGAGACTGCAAGCCAGTGCTGGCGCTGCAATTGCACTTCGTTATCAGGAGAACGGCCACGTCACGCTGCCCTGGAACCAACCCGGCAAACCCCAGAATCGCGGCACGGTCTACGTCTACGGGACCACGGAGCCCAAGGTCGGCGAGAAGCTTCTGGATGTGTATGGAAAGTGGAATGAGAATGGCACCGGCGGAGATGGACGGGGGGTGCTCTTATCGACTCAGAACTTCGACGACGGCCGCTGCTACCAGATCAACACGGGCAACATCTCCGAGTACCGCCAGAAGGAGTTTCCACACGTTGCAAACCAACTGATGGGCGCCAACCTGTGGTGCCAGCAGGACATCAGGCTGCCCTCAACCGCCCCAGCGGGCAGACCGTACACTCTCTACTGGGTGTGGGATTGGCCTACATTACCCGGCATCGATCCAACTTACCCAGACGGCAAAGAGGAGATCTACACAACGTGTATGGATGTGGATGTGGTCAACACGGAACAGACGCGCGTACAGGCAGCAGCGGAGTATGTCAAGGACCAGAACCTCGACAGCGCGGCGATCCCGTCGGAATTTGCCGACATGAAAGATCAAAACGAGGCTATCGTGCAGACTACTCATGACACGACTGGGGCAACTGCCACGGTGACGGTGACGGAGACGGTGACGACGTTAGTTGATGTGGTCATCGAGACAGTGTTCGTTGAGCGATGCCAGTCCTCCTAGGTTAGTTAGGATGTTTATGTACATACAGTAATTAGGCTCAAAAGGGCAGTGAAACACAATTCCGAAACACGCTAGTCCACGTGACTGTTGCTTATCTAACCACGCTGGGCTTCCATCCACCAGGCACAATCCATCGCCCGGAGTGAATGAATCCCAGTCTCGAAACCGTGCTTCCTCGCCCGCCCGTCCTCCTCCCGTTCGTCAGCCCCCTTCCCCGTGCTGCACAACCCTTCTTTCCGGCTGGCCGACTCTCCTGTTTCGCCCTTTTCTTCAGGCCTGCCCCGGCGCCCCGTTGATCATTAACCATTCCAGCGCAGTCGGCTGTCTAGAAGGTATGGCAATCTCCGAGCGTTCTCACCCTGTGCCCCGTCCAATCCGGTCTTGTTGTTGTTGTTTTATCCCAAACCTCTCCCAAGCAGTCGACCTCCAAATATAAGCGCACGGCGTGCTTCTCATCTCTGACACTCGCATTTGCAGTTCGATTGCTATATTTAGCATTGGCCTTCTGCCCTTGAGATCGCGGGACACAAGAACCTCGAACCGTTCCCGACCGGTCTTCACCACCCAATCCCAGCGTTGCACCACACTCAGCCCTTCGCCGGCAACTCACGGCTCGCCGAACTTTCCTTCAGTCTGGTCTGGACACTCGGGGCTCTGTACGGTCTCACTTTCGGTGGTCGTTCGACACTTCCCCGACAATCGCAATCAACCCCTCCTAATTACCTCGCCGGCCAGCCGACCTCCTCCCCGCTCGCGTTCTGGTTTACACACATTTTACCCTATACTCCTCTGGAGTAGCTAGATACAGTGAACTTCTGCATAGTGGGCTCACTGATTTGGGATCACGAAGCGGAACCCCGCCCCTTGAAAACTCCGCCGCTGGCATCACACCACCAGGTCGGGCGAACCCCTTCCTGTTGAAGTTTGGACGGCTGTCCCAAAACAAAGGGCTTTTAATATCTCCGATCGCGTTCCAGCCTCTCTGACTTCGCCCGCCCATCGCGATGCGAAACTGAAGCGCCAACAACGCGACCGATGAACTCTCCTCCATTTCCCTAATCGAGACCCGAAGCGAAACTCTTCAAGGCTTTGTACTCAAGAGCAACGATGTCCTCTCCGACGCCTCCGCAGAATGCATTGTCTGCAAACAATCTATCCGTTCTGGCGCCCATTGTCACGGATAGCATGGTGAGACGCTCATCGACCAATGCGAAGGACCGGCTGTCCATGTACTCCAACGTCTCTGCCTCCCACAATCGTTCGCGCCCAGGCTCCCACGTGTTCCCCATCTTCCACTCTAGCCTTCCATACGCCTTGGTGCGGGACTTCGCCTATCCTGCAATCCATCCTTTGCACTATGGACCGCCACCCCCGCGCGCCTCGGGAGTTTCAACACCAGTGAGCGAGCACCGACGTTTGTCGGATCCTCCGACATCATTGGATACTCCGCGAGGCCAGTGGTCGTGGAATACGGAAGGCAGCCATGTCAGCCAGGGCCACCAGCAGCTTCCGGCCATGTCCTTTGGGGACGGCCCTCCATACAGCGAGGATGAAGACTTGCACAGTCCGGTCGTCACGTCCCGCAAGAAGGAGGATGCAAATGGAATGCTAGTGGATGAACATGGCGTCCCAGACGCCCACGGCAATGGGAACCGCGGGACATTTATCTCGTTGAACCCGGATGGCAGCGAAACATATTATGTGAATCATGGGGATGCGATGGAGGATGGTCCAGGCGGGGAATATGTCACGTATCCACCACGAGAAGGGTACTTTGATGGATATGCCAACCAGCAAAGCTATGCACACGACCCAAACTTTGAGTCAGAAGATGAATACATAGGCGGAAACCGATACTCGACCGACTATCAATTTGCTGTTGGCTGTCCAGACGAAGAGATGCATGGCAAAGCGGTTGCCTTGTTCGATTTCGCCCGAGAGCACGAGAACGAGCTTCCTCTAACGGAGGGCCAGGTCATTTACATCTCGTATCGACATGGTCAAGGCTGGCTGGTGGCTGAGGACCCGAAGACCGGAGAAAACGGTCTCGTCCCAGAGGAATTTGTGCGCCTTTTGCGAGATATTGAAGGGGGACTCACTTCATTGAATGAGGAGCCAACTCCAGACTCGACGGGCATTGGCATCGATCTGACTCCTGATTCGACCGAATCAGACCAAACACGCACACCTACCCAGTCGATAGCGGATGATAACCACTCTACCGACCATGGCACGAACGGTGATACTCCGATTAGCATCTCGACCGAGGGCGCGGACCATAGCGTCAATGCCTCTGGATCAGGAGCCAGAGACCGGACCAGCAAGGCGGCTGGCAATGCTGGGAACCGGTCAAGCATAATCAGAACCTGAGCCCGCCAAGCTCTTCTGAGTCATAAGCGGCTTCGACCAGGCAAGAAACTAGCGACGCGTCCAGTATGCATCAGAAATGTGTCCGCGTCAACCATACAGCTGTCAACTGCTCAGACCGAATTGGCATTGACGTGGGGCTGAGTTTGTGTCTTTTCGGCCGGCGTGAGTGTGTGTCACTGTTCGTACCGATCAAATCCCCATGACTAGATAAGTCCAAAGTCAAGCCACCCACCGATGGCATCACGGCTGTCTCTTCGCTGGCCAGAAACTCGCCTCGAAATCCATCCTGCCGAGCGTCTTTCTCTCCTTCCGACCATCTGAACGCAATTTAATTCCGAACCTCAACCTTCCGCCATGGCACATAACGCCTCACCTGCATTGCTCCGCTCTGCTTTTTTACACCAAAATACCCCCATCCAAAGAGCGTCCCCACCAAATCAACCGCTCCGCCGTCTCCCATCATTCTGAGACTCAATCCAACGAACCTCGTACACCTTCCCATCGCCTCATGATCAGCTTGATTAAAAGTGACGAAATGAACGAGGACAAAACTAAACCCCCCTTCATATTATATGTTATAACTGTCATCTTCCAACTCTCGTCCCGCAATTGTTCTTCTTCTGTCGTCTCTTCTCTTCTACCTACCTGTGTCATGCGAATGCCTGTGTCATCTCTCTTTCCCTCCTCCTTGATCCTCTCTACCTCAACACTGTATTTAGCTTTTTCTTCAGCGCAGGCGTTTCTAGCATCAATGAGCATCAGCGTAATGCCACTCGGATCTATGGACCGAAATTTTTATTTTTTTACTCCCGATGTCGTTCTACATAGTAGTACAGTTGTCAATTTACCATCATACGCTAATGCAAATCATCTATTTCGTGGAAAGGCTAATTCGATGCACGAGTCATGTAGTCCCCTGCGAACTTTCAAGATTGGCGTACCTGGTAAGCAAGTGAGAAGAATGCCAGTGTGTCCTCCATGGTCCACATAACTCAGCAAAGAGCAAAGGTAGGAGGAAGAAGGAGCAAGACATGGAGCTTGTTTGGAATTTACCACCTAGGCAGTCAAAAAGAAAAGGAAGAAGAAGGATCCGTGAATTCTTGCTAAAGCGTAAAAGAAACGACAAGCAAAGAAATTTTTGGGTAAACTGCTCTCTCTGCTCAAGCGGTGACAAGACAAATTCCTTTAGAAGACACGCAAAAGGGGAGATAGATAAGGAAACGGGGCAAAAAGGACGACAACCCATCAGAAAAGAAGGCAAAAAATGGCGACAACACAGCTCCAATAAACGGAGTTGCCGCATGACTGTGATCGCCTTATATCGCAAGAAACAAAAAACAATGTCTGTATTTCCATCAAGCAAGTAATTCTCTTTTATTGCTCGACTGTGCTTTCCTTGGTTCGATTCGAACGTAGTCGTGTGCAAGTGTACGTGTGCAAACTATCCAAGCAGGTCATCAAGACCAGAGCTACCAGTTGACTTCTGCTGCTGCTGCTGCTGGCCCATCGGAGCAGCAGCGCTGGAGGACTGCGCGGGCGCGCCCCAGATGCCGGCACTGGCCTTCTCCTTCGCCATGCTGGCGAGGTTGGGGCCCTTGTTTCCGGTACTGGTCTTCTGGATGCCGGCGCTGGCGCTGGCAGTGGACCAGAGTGAGCCGAAGGCGTCTCCGGAAGACTTCGCGGCGACGGGTTTGCTCGCTGTGGCGGAGGGGGCTGCCGCCGTGGAGGTGGATGACGACGCGGCTTGGGAGAACTGGGGTTGCGAAGGGTTGGCGGAAGTGGCGATGGAGGTGAAGTAGTTGGGGGTTGCGGCTTGGTAGCCCGACGGCTTGGGGGCCATGGGCTTCTGGTGCTGCTGGATGGGCGCGGTTTGCGACACGGGGGAAGTAATTGAGCTGGTCGAGGGCGTCGGGGTGGCTGATGTGAAGCCGACTAAGCCGTTGATGTTGGCACCCTGTGACGCGGAGACAGGCTGCGGGGCGACGAACTGTGTGCTGGAGGTCGTGCTGTGGGTGGCCCCTGGGGGCGGGATGGCGAACTGGTTCGACGAGGTGGCCTGCGAGGTGGCCGGCGTGGCGGACTGGAAGTCATCGAAATCGTCGTCGTCGGCCGGGCTAGGGTCCAGCATGTTCAAAGCACTGCCCGCGGGCTGCTTGCCTGCAGCAGTGGAGGCAGGCGCTGGGGGTTCGTCGTCACCAAAGTCGAAGAGATCCGGTATTGGCTCTGGCTTCTTGGCCTCCTGCTTCGTGCGAGCAGGAGGGCTAGCTCCAGGCCGGCGCGCGGGAGAAGCGTCCGCCTCATCGTACTCGTCGTACTCATCGAATCGGTTTTGCCTGCGACCCGAGTCCTGGAAGTCAGAGGGGGTAGCACCCCCAAACCCTCCGCCATCTCCGTAAACACCTCCGCTGTACCCGCCGTATCCCATGCTCTCACTCCCAAAGCCTCCATACCGACCGGAGCCCATGCTGCTTCCGACGTTCATGCCACCTTCAAACCCACTGAACTTGTTCCGGTTGGCGCGGGCCTTCTTCCTCTCGGTGCGGATCTGATCCACATCACCCAGCAACTTCACCAACTCCGAGGATCGGTTGCGCACGTTAATACCCTGGTCCTTCCCGTTCGCATCAATGTAGTGGAACTGCCGGAGCATCCGCAGCAGGGACATGTGAGATCTCGCATCGTCGACGACCCGTTCTGATCCGTTCTTGACAAGGAATTCGAGAAGTTGAAGGCTCTGTTTTCGAAAACCAATCACTGTCAACTCATATAATGACGCAAGTGGAAACCAGTCGTTTCTGACGAACCTTGTAAATCTGTCTCCATTCCTCTGCAGCCTTGTCGGTAAAACGCTTGTAGATGATTGGCATGATCTCGTTGAGCAGTTGGCTGCGACAAAGTCAGTAAATGCGACACCGCTCAGCACCTAAATAACATACTAGTTGTGAGTTCCACTGGAAATCTCCTGCATCAAAGTGGTCGAAGCACCCCAAGGTTCATTGTTTGTAGCCTCCCGAACCTACGCGGCGAGTAAGCAAGCTGTCGCAGAGTATTTCCCCCCAAGCCACGTCCCGTCGAAAGTCGTGGAATGAGAGTTAGACGAACCTTGGACTCCATCTCGGTATAGTTCATGACAGCTAATCAACGAAGCGGACAAGTCAGTACAACGATTGCAGGACAGGGAGAAGCCCGAATGGATTCAATTCAATGTAAGCTCATTGGGGAAGACAGAACGTACCATTCTGCACCTTGCGGACACCCGCCTTGAGATCGTACAAGGTCAGGTTGCTAACCTGGTTCTTGAGGCTGTCGAAATCCATGACGAGGGGCGACTGAAGAAAGTCTAACGGATAAGGACGTAACTCGGAAAGACGGGGAAGCTCGCCAGGCGCGACGAGTGAGTAGAGCGCACCGGCGATCGGGGTCGAGGGCAGAGAGCAATCGAGGAGGGTTCGTTCGCGGGATTCGGGCTGGAGGGGGAAGAAGTTCCAGCTGGCCCGGATTCCACGCGCCACAGGGTCACGTGGCAGCCCCTGACATAACCCGGCCATAGTTAACTAATTAACTAGCCCCACGAGAGAATTACAAGAAAGAAGTAATTGTAATGAATACTGTGTACATATTTATCATTTCGGATGCCCATGGGAGTCCCGAACGCTATCGCTATCGACCTGGAAACCAAAATAAAGAAGAAATACCCAAGGTATCTAAAACAAACAAGTAACCCCGACAAGAATATCCATAAGAATGATGCCCTCGAATTCGTCCTTCGTCATAGCCCATTGAGATAAACAGCTCATTCATTATAGAACTTCTTCATAATCAGATGCAAGAACAGGTTGACATTGACCCGCATATGCCCGTCGAAGAAGTCCATAAACTGCATGTTGTTGAATTGGGCCTGCAGCAAATCATCCAGCGGCACCTGCGCGTTGGCGCCGGGGATCATCATGTTGCCGCTGCTGCCGTCAATGGTAAACACGCCGACCTCGTTGCTGGAGATGGTCAAATCCACGCGATCCCATTGCCGCTCGGTGTAGCCCTTCCATGAAACCAGAACGCCGCGGTCCGCCAGAGTGCGAGCAGAGTACTTGTAGGACCCGAACTTGAATACCTTGCCGGACTTCTGGAGTTCTCGCTGGTGATCCCACTGCTTGGTGAATGGCATCAGGAACCGCTTTTTTCCTTTCTTGTTCTGCAGCGTGATCATGGCCTGCTCAATGTAGTCGTTGTATGTCTTGAGCTGCTGTTCCAAGTAGGTGGCTTGATCGTTCAGGCGGGCCGAGGTCAGTCGAGAACCCTCCAGTTCCCGTTCCCGCTGGATTCTCCGGCGATGCTTGGTGCGAATGTCAATTGCAATGGCGTTCAGGAGATCCTGATAATGATTGTGACGACTGATCTTGCCAGTCTGCTCCAGGCGAAGGATATTCTCGAGTGCAGTACGCTTGAGCTCTCCGTAATCCATTGATCCAATGTCGACCAAGGCGCTGGCCTCAGAGTAGGCGCCCCGGCGAGGATTGTTGGTATGTAGCTCTTCTCGCACCAGCGTCTGCCACCTTGCTTCATCCTCCTCGTTTGGTGGCTTGACCATGATGTCCATCAGGTTGGTACCGGTCTGGACTCGGATAATGTAAAGAATGCATCGCTTCGTCTCCATAAACAACGCCTTCACCTCGGCTTCCGGATCTGGTTATCTGGTCAGATGGCCTATGCCTTAAAGCTGGTAACTCAGAAATCTCTTACCTTCGACTTGAGCCAGCTTGGGATTCAATGTGAGATTGATCTCGGTTGAGCTGACGCTCATCAATTCATTCTCATTGGATTTCACATTGCCAAGATCACGCACGAGATCCTTGAGGAAATCATCGGGTTGGGGGCAAATGTGGCTGATCTCGGAGGCAACAAGTTGATGAATTGAGAAGATGTCCGACATCTTGATGTACAGGGTAGGTTTGGCTTTGGCGTAAAGATCGTTGAATTCGTCAATGTCGAAATACGCCTCTGCGTCTTGCACCGCAATCACTGCGATGTGTTAGTTTCAGTCAGGAATTGAGGATATAGGGAAGGACGTACTCTGACCCCAGATACGGCCGAGCCGTTGGATTGACTCCCCGATATATTGATTCAAGGGCTGAAGGTATACATTTTCAGCACCAAAGAGCCTGCCCGATGCGACCTGGGCGACAACCTTGGAGATCTCCCCAAGGTTTCTCTTCTGTTCCTGGGTCAACCCCCGGTCGACCACGCCGTACTTCTCTGGCTCCAGGACAGCGGGCTGGAAGTAGTTCTTCCACACCCAGAACCCGACAGTCTGGAGAATAAACCCAGGATCTTCTTCCGAGAACCGTTGGATCAAGCATTCGTACATCTGCTGAGCGAGGTACCTGATTCCGAAAGGCATGCGGTATAGCAAGTCCTCCAAAGCCGCAAAGAACTGGTCGGCAATGTCACGAAGATCTTGCAAGTGTTGGATGAAGGTCGCTCTTGTTTCCGGGTCTCGGATCGCTTCTTCTCTGGGAATGTCCGGCTGTCGAAGACTCCGCTGACCAGTCCGGAGCTCCTCATTATTGATCGCGGAGCGATAAATCTGGATTGGGTCGCTCTCCAGATCAAGGTCGCGGTTGTCGATAATAGATTCCTTGACCACGGGTCCCATGACGTCGTGCATAAATTTCCGGTCGCGCGGGGACTTCACATATGAGCCAAAGAGCTTGTTCCAGAATGAGGTGCAGCGCAAGAACTCCGCAATGGATGCAAAGCTCTCGATGTCTTCTTTGGCAGACCTTGCCAGAAGTTTGACGAGATAGTACTCCTCACGTCTCTTCTGGGAGTATCCGAAGAGACCCATCATCAAGTGCCTGATTCGCTCGTATTCCTTGTCCGAGGTGTTGATCTCGCGAAGCCGCCGGAACAGCCTAGCCAGGTATTGCGACTGGGTCTGGAGGAGAAAGAAGAAGACCTGGTACTGGTCTAGCTTCTTCCGCGACGTCTTGTTCAAGGCCTTGAGATCATATGGATCCTTGGAGGAGATCTCAGTGTTGGACAGCAGATTTCCAATATGTCCACCAAAGTGCCTTTGGTGCTTAACGACTTCATCTAGAGTGATCTTGTTCTTGACGAGCAAGGCGATCTTGATGTCAAGCTGGCTGATGTATTGCTCTGCGAGTTCGTTTTGCCGCACTTGCTGGACAACCACCTTCCGCAGGCGTTCAAACTCAATCTCCTCGTCAAAGTCGAAATCGCTATCGTTGAGAAGATGGACAAAGCCTTTCACCGTTCCAACAGGAGGATTCTTCCCGCTTGTAAGACTCTTGTAAGCTTGGCCCTGGATTCGCCCTCGGATAACGCTCTGGGCTTTGATAACTTTCTCCATGTTCTCCTTGTAATACCGGCGTTTCTCCTCAAAGCGATTGCGAATGGTGTTACCCCGGATGCGTGCTTGGAGGTCAATTATGGTGTCTTCTTGATCTTCAAGATCGTTCAGCGTTTGGCCGATCCGAACCCGAAGGATCATAGCTCTGGCCAGGGCTTGTAATTGAACGACTTCATCTTCGTTCTCGTCGAGGTTAGATAGAATGCTGCCGACATCGATGCGTAGGATTGCTGCTCTAGCAAGCGACTGGAGATCGACAACCAGGTGCTCCTGCTTCTTTAAGGCCTCTCTTTGCGCCTTCAAACGCCTCCGCTGTATCACCCCCCGAGCCTTGGATTGCAAATCTAAAACAGAAGCTTCCTCTTTAAGCAATGAGCGGCGCTGCGAATCCAGGAATCGCCTCAACGCAGTGCTCCGGAGGATGCCTTGGAGCTCAGTTACTGCTGATCGATGTTGGGACAACTGAGTACGGAGAGCTGAGGTCTCTCGTCTCACAGCTGCACCTCGAGCCTTAGCTTGCAAACCAATCAGCTCATTCTGTGTTTTGGCAATGGAGTCCACCAGTTTTGAATGGCGGTTACGCGCTGCCAGTGCCCTTGCACTCGATTGAAGGGCCGTGATTCGGCGAGATTCATCCTGAAGTGAAGCTTTCATCCGAGACAGGCGTTGACGGGCCATCGTCCCTCGCAACACGGCCTGAAGCAGTTTGACCGGGTTATTGGCTTCCTCCACCTCCTCGAATTGCTCGGTCATCTGCTTCCGTTGCAAAGCACCTCTTAGGGCAGCCTGGAACCGCTTGATGCCATGCTCCTCGCGCTGCACGCGACTAATGAGCATGTTGGTATGCGCCCGAGCTTTGCAGCCACGGATCAGGCTCTGTAACATGAGGATGTCTCCCTCTTGGGCCTTGCGCCACTTCTTGTCGCCTCGCTGACGGTGTCGCACAAGAAATCCCCTGCTGGTCGCCTGTAGATTGACCGCGAATTGGCGCATGCTGAGTCGGTACTGGGAGATCTGACGGGCCCAGTCCCCGCGCAACCGACTTTGCAAGTCAATCAACAGAGGTTCGAAGTCCCAGAGATCGTTCATGGTGTTTCCGAGTCGCAACCGGAGCATTGCTCCTCTAATCTGGGATTGTAAATCACATACTGATGCTTCATTCTCGTGCAATTCTCGGTCGATCCGTTCATCCTCTGTCTCAACCGGCTCAGGCTCTGCACCGAAGTTGGCCGCCATGCCGGCAAAACTAGGCATGCTGACACCAGCTTTGTCAAGACCTTTTGGGTTTTCTCGAGCTCATGGTGCTCAAACTCCAGCTGACCGACGAGGTTGCCCATGCGAAAATCCAACATGCCATTCTTAAATAACAGCCAGGAGAGTGCGTGGATACAATGAATGACTTTCGGCAAGTTCTTCTTCTCGTACAAGTCGATCAACTCGAATCGGAAAAGTTCGGGTAGCTCAACCTCGTCAAGGAAGCGGAAGAACAAGGCGATGTTGTCCGAATGGCGGAATTGTAGTTTGGGGTTATGGAAGATTCGAAGTGTTCGATCGGGATACATGGCTTGCACGACCTCTGCCAGAGTCACGCCATCTCGTAGCGCTTCTTCCAGTTGAACAATAGGCGGAATTTGCTTCTGGATCACTCCTTCAATCCACTCCTTGGCCTCTCCAATATGGCACAGATATTCGTAGGCTTGCAAGAACTGTCGTTGCTGGTCCATCCAGTTACCGGCGGCCCACGATGAGGCATTGGGTTTGCGAGGGGAGATGGAGCCACTGCTCGCGGCGGTTGAATCGGCGCGCTTCAGACGGCGTCGTCCTTGCAGGCCGACCACGGAAGGAGTGGTCGTTTGCAACGTAAATTCTTCACTTTCGCCGGACTGTGCAATCTTGGATAGAGTCCTGAGATGGCGTGTCGACGACTTCTGGAAGGTCTCTAGTTCCGGCGCCGAGAGCGCGGTGGTGAGTGGCGGCGGATGGGGACTGTTAGATTGTTGCGTCTTTTGAGGCGAGTGTGGGCGTGGAGACCCCGGGTTGGGAGACCAGTGATGAGGCGAAGCCGTGCGTGGAGGCGTTTGAGGCTCGTAGGCGCTTACTCTGTGGCGAGGCGACTGATTTTCCTGGAAGTGAACCTGACGCGACTCGGGGGTGGTGGGTCGATTTTCCTTCCAGGGTTGCGATTCGTCGATGGTGTGGCTTCGAGAGTGCAACGAGCTCGGTTTCTCGCGCGCGCCATTGGGTGCTTGCTGCAGTGGTCTCAGGGACCGTCTAATATTCTCGTACGCTGCGCCCGCGTTCGACCGACCTCCTCGTTCCGGGATGGGATCGGGCGGGGGACCCATGATGCTGGCTTCACTCTTTCCCCGATAGTGACCGATGTTGCTCTGGAACGATGCAGTTGAGGAGACGGTGCTGGTACGACTCGGCGCAAACGAACTGGACGCGAGGGAGTAGATAGAGGAGTTGGTGGATGCTGTCGACCCATGGCGCAGCGGGCTGGACGACTCTGCGGAGAAGTCTGTCTGCGCTCGCCTGAGGGAGGGGACGTGGCTCGACATCACTGGGAGCGTCGCGACAGGAATGCGATAACCGGTGAAGGAGTGGCTTGCTCGATTAACCGCATCCCTGCTTCAACGAGCAGAATCGGTGGGTGGGGGATATGTTCTGATCCAGCCAGGTATTCTCCCAGCTCGCGACAAAAAGACGATTTGGGGGTGTTGACGGAATGTGGGAATCAAGGGAGCGCCCTGCAGTGCTCTCGCAACGCGAGGGATGGAAGGGAAAGTTACGTTGCTGGTGTGTGTAGTGTAGTGTGGTGGGCTGTGTGGAAGCGGTGGTGGTAGAGTGTTGGAGCAAAGAGGCGCAAGAAGCTTGAGCCACCCGGTCAGTCTGTGTCGGTGTTAGTGTTGACTGACGGTGGGGGAAAGGGCGACCAACGCCAACCGGTAAACAAATCTCTAGATCGGGACTAGTGCCATCAGGTGATTGCCGTCGGCCGATCACGTCGGTGGTCACGTGATGTGTCTGATTCCTTGTTTTTGTCCTGCATCCTGACTCGCATCGGACTTGTCAAATCTTCAATCAGGATGGGACGTGTGGGTATGTCGGCAGCGGATGTTCATGATTGTGGTGACAATTATGGAAGTAAATTACCAATGTAGCGTCATTGACGGCGTATCTGCAGAATCCCCGCGCGGAACCAAATATATATTGCAGCTGAGCTCCTAGTGACAGGCAGGATGCAGATAACGAAACATGACATCCACCCAGTATCCTGCAATAGTAGTAATGAAGGGCATAAAAGCCCCATTGTCGATTGAACCGATTGCGGACCCCGCCACGCCCACCAACTATACAGAGATCTTCGTGGATGGAGGAAACAAACGTCGCTGACAAAACACCCACTCTCCGTCTCGCCTCTCCCACCATCCCGCATTACCCAGTCACCCCCATCGACCCGTAACCGCGATTGCCCCCCACCTAACAGATAAGAAAATGGCGCTCGTCGATTCCGAGCCCCGGTACATCTACAAAATCATCCCGTCCACCACGCCCGTCCGAGAGCCGCTGCCCGAATGCCTCCCCGTGAGCGACCTCGACCAGACCTCGGGGTTCATCCACCTTTCCACGGCACGTCAAGTCCCCAATACCGTCAAGTTCTTCTTCAAGGACGAGCCGCTCGTGTACATCCTGCGCATCGAATATGCGGCTGTGGAGCAGGATGTGCGGTGGGAGTCTCCAGATGGCAAGGTGTGCGGGCCGCGGCCGGGGGAGGGATTGTTTCCGGTAAGGCATAATTTAGCGTGCTCGCAACCAATCTAAAATACTAAACCCCTAATTAAAGCATCTGTACAACGGGTTGAAGTTGGGAAAAGAACAGGTCGAGAGTATCGCGATTTGGCACAATGACTGTGGATGGGATAAAGCACTGAATGGGGCAAAGCCATGGCTCGTGTATTAAATTTATTCTTCTAACTAACTATTCTTTCTTGCTTCCCGAAGTTCAGGTCCGGCGTAGCTGAAGACTTAATTCTACCAGTTCTATCTAGTCCCCAATTGGATGACAGTGCATAATCTGTCCGTCTGTTCAGACATGAGCATGGTTCTTTTCTTCCATGGGCCATCCGGGAGAGAGAGCACTTACACCACAAGGCGGACTCTGCACTCGCCAGAAAGATAAAACTGGTTGCCACCTCGCTGGGTTCACCGGGTCGACCCAGCGCTGCCTTCGTGCCCCATCCCTCCATGTCCTTGGCATCTCGAGTGTCAACTTGGATGGGTGTGTAGACGGCACCAGGGCTGCGCATGCATCAGTTTTCATAGAATCAAAGGAGAAGAGGATGACTAACGCCACTGCATTGACTCGAATGCCCTTGGGGATCAACTGTACTGCCAGCGATCTAGTGAAGCCGACGATAGCACCTTTCGTCGCGGCGTAGTCGACCATGGTGCCTGACCCACGGAAAGTCACGACAGAGGAAGTGTTGATAATGCTGGGGCTCATGTCAGCTGGGACGGTGATTCTGTGAGCAAAATACATGCCTATCGCCTCGGGACATATGCGCTAGAGTATACTTCGTCAACGCCATTATCTGGATGATGTTGGTCCGGAAGAGATCCTCGACTTGGTCCAGGTCGATGTCCGCAAAGTTCTTGCACATGTTCTGGACTGACGCATTGTTGATCAGGACGTTAATACGGCCGAACCTAGCTCTAGCGTCAGCGAGATCAATAGCAGGATTGGGACCCACGAACTTTTGGACATGTTGCTGTACTGCCTGACAGCAAAAAGCACGATCCCTCAAGTCCCCTGCAATGAGATGACAAGATCGTCCCTCCTTCTCAATCACACTCTTGGTGTATTCTGCATCCTCTTGCTCCTTGGGCAGATAGACGATGCTGATGTCCGCGCCCTCTCTTCCCATAGAAAAGGCTACTGATCGACCAATTCCAGAACTAAGAATGTGCTATTAGCCGGCGGATCTTCAATCATGACGAACACTTACTCTCCTCCTGTGAGGAGGACTTTCTCGTCCTTCAGCTTGCCCGATCCGAGATATTCGATAAACTGGCCTTCGGATTCCAGCTTGGTCGACTCCGTAGATGGCAGCATGTCCTTTTCCAGTCTGCCAGGTATTTAGAATAATTCTCACCGACCGAAAGTTACACATGTGTCTCACCCTGGCTTGGACTGACTCTGTGCCGAACTCGGAGCCTGGAAGGTGCCATGTTCGCCCATAGGAGACGCCATATTGAATGGTATGATGATTAAACTTTTGATAGAAAAAAGAAAAGGTGAGATGACTATTTTAACACACACATGGCTATATCTCTGCTTATATTTAGTGTCTTTGGTTCATAATCATTGTGTCGTCACGCTGATGCAAAAACGGGCGGGATGAGGGACCGGAAAAGGCACACGTTGAAGCATAGTGGCGGCCGTTTACTTTCCGGAATCACACCGTTTAGTCGACTCGGGCAGCATTTCAGGTTCTGATAAAGGAAGGCGCAGCTGTGTCTTGTTTTGGCTACCCTAGGAGACCGTTGTTCCTCTACTGTTGTCAATCCTCAAAATGTAGGTATTTCGAGAATCCCATGCTTCAGAGTCCGGGCATTAGACACTTCTATCTATTATTGCAGACTAACTATGAGGTTCTAGTTAACGTTAGTTATCATCTGAAAAAATTACTCAGCGAACGCACCCCACTGAACCGGTATCGGCCAATCATAATCCCCACCGGTGAAAAACTACGCTCGCTAAACCCAAAACAGTCAAGCTCCTGGCCGAGCACGGAAGGCTCCAAAACCGCCATTCTCGCTCGACTTTTTTTCTTCTTCTTTCTTTTCTTTGGGAAAGCCCGTCTTTCTCCATCAACAGAAGGTTTCCCTGACCCTGTTGATTATCGTCGAGCCCTCCGTTTCATCTCCCTGGATTTTCCTATCTCTTCGTTTTATAAATAATGCCCATTTCCAACGGCGACGCTGCTCCCGGTTCCGCGATGAAGGCTGAGATCGAGGACTACACCAAGGCCTTGGAGGTCTTGGAGACGTACAAAACCCGTGATGGCCTGGATGTCGATACTCTCATCGACTCCGACAAGCACGGTGCCTTGACCTACAATGACTTCCTGGTCCTGCCTGGCTACATCGGTAAGACCCCTCACTCTTTTTTGTTCAGCGATCCCTCGTGCTCACATTCTTCCTCTCAGGCTTCCCGGCCTCCGATGTCACTCTGGACACCCCGGTCACCAAGCGCATTTCGCTGAAGGTCCCTCTTCTGTCGTCGCCCATGGACACGGTCACGGAGCACAACATGGCCATCCACATGGCTCTGCTCGGTGGTCTGGGTGTCATCCACCACAACTGCTCTCCTGAGGACCAGGCCGAGATGGTCCGCAAGGTCAAGCGGTACGAGAACGGCTTCATCCTCGACCCGGTCGTTCTCTCGCCCAAGGCCACCGTCGGTGAGGCCAAGGAGCTCAAGGCCAAGTGGGGTTTTGGTGGTTTCCCTGTCACTGGTGAGTTATCAACATACTTTTTTTGAGTCGTTTCTTGCATGATGTTTTCCATCTTTTTCAAAATAACTTTCGTTCCACTGCAGCAACGAAAGTTGCATTGTAGAGAACCAGATTTCTTTCTGAGCAAGTTTGATTTTTGTGTCATTTGTCACACTGGGGTTGATGTCATCAGAATGCTAATCTAGCATTTACAGAGGACGGATCCCTTCGCTCCAAGCTGATTGGTATGGTTACCTCCCGGGACATTCAGTTCCACCCCCAAAACGAGGACCCAGTGACTGCCATCATGGCCACCGACCTCGTCACCGCTCCTGCTGGTACCACCCTGTCCGAGGCCAACGAGGTCCTCCGGCAGTCCAAGAAGGGCAAGCTGCCCATTGTGGATACCAATGGCAACCTTGTCTCGCTGCTCTCCCGCTCCGACCTGATGAAGAACCTTTACTACCCTCTGGCTTCGAAGCTCCCTCACTCCAAGCAGCTGATCTGTTCGGCTGCCATTGGTACCCGTGAGGAGGACAAGCACCGCCTCAAGCTGCTCGTCGAGGCTGGTCTGGATATCGTCAACCTGGACAGCAGCCAGGGCAACAGCGTGTACCAGATTGAGATGATCAAGTACGTCAAGAAGACCTTCCCCGAGATCGATGTTATCGCCGGCAACGTCGTTACTCGGGAGCAGGCTGCTGCCTTGATTGCTGCCGGCGCCGATGGCCTGAGAATTGGCATGGGCAGCGGTAGCGCTTGTATCACCCAGGAGGTTATGGCCTGCGGCCGTCCCCAGGCCGCTGCCGTCCGCAGCGTCTCATCCTTCGCTGCTCGCTTCGGCGTCCCCTGTATCGCCGACGGTGGTATCCAGAACGTCGGCCATATCGTTAAGGGCCTGGCGATGGGTGCCAGCACCGTCATGATGGGCGGTCTCCTTGCCGGTACCACTGAATCTCCCGGTGAGTACTACGTCAGCAACGAGGGTCAGCTCGTCAAGGCCTACCGTGGCATGGGTAGTATCGCGGCCATGGAGGACAAGAAGGCCGGCGGCAGCGCCAAGGACAGCAAGGCCAGCAACGCCGGTACCGCTCGCTACTTCTCCGAGAAGGCCAGCGTGCTGGTCGCCCAGGGTGTGGCCGGCTCCGTGCTGGACCGTGGCTCCGTCACCAAGTTCATCCCCTACCTTGTTGCCGGTGTCCAGCACTCCCTGCAGGAAATTGGCACTAAGAGCGTGGCCGCTCTTCACGACGCGGTCAACAATGGCACTGTCCGCTTTGAAATGAGAAGCGCCAGCGCCATGGCCGAGGGTAACGTGCACGACCTGCACAGCTACGACAAGAAGCTTTACGCGTAAGAGCTAAGTTTTTTTTGGGTGTTTCTGTGAATATGTTCTTTTGGGAGCCCAGGATCTCCCTCGCACGAAGATACGTGGCCTTGGAAATAAAAAAAAGGGGGATATTATGATGAGATAGGAGTTACGAGCGTTACGCAATCAAATCAATTCTGGTTATGAAATTCATTTCGTTTCAAAAATGTAGTTGTAGCTGAGATGTTGTCCAGCACATGGTTCGGCTAAGCTGGCGCGGCAAAGGCGGGGGGATTCTTAGCCTAGGCTGTTTGTCGGCTGGGCCAAGGTGAACGGATCTATGGCCCTGCCTCAGCTTCGCGGCCAAGTCATGTCCGCCCTGTTTCTTCATAACGCGCTTGTTTGCAGTCGCCCGATCGTATTCGCAGTAGACGTGTTCCCTCGAGTAGCCGTGTCTCGTCGTGCCTTGCATGGTTGGTCAGCTCAGCGCTCAACAACCATCGGACAGATCTCCCCGCGGAGAAGGTATTCCGCAGGTCCCGAACCAAGTCCAACACCTCAAACCTCCACAATGCCAGGTGCAAAAAGCGATGGCACCGCGAAGAAGCCACCCGCATTGCCGCGTCCCAGTTCAAGGTTTGTCGGTGTCGTCGTCATTGCGATAGTTGGCGACATATCATGAGCAAGCTAATTCGTGTTCAGTGTGATCCTCGTCTCCCCCAAGAACGAGATTCTGCTCCTTCACCGGGTGCAGACCTCTAGCTCTTTTGCATCTGCCCATGTGTTTCCGGGCGGTAACCTGTCCAGCCAGGACGGAGAATGCCCGCCTCCTGAGGCTCGGACACGGCACGATGACGCTCCTTGCTACCGACGTGCTGCGATCCGGGAACTCTTCGAGGAGAGCGGTGTTCTTCTCGCCAAAGATGCAGAGTCGGGGAAGATGATCGCTGTTAACGAGGAGAAGAGAGAGAAGGGCCGGCGCCTCATTCATCAGAACGAGGTTAGCTTTGCGGAGTGGTTGAAGCGGCAACACCCGGCTGCGGTGCCGGATATCGGTTCGTGCTTTCACGTCATCTCTTTCCAGAGTGTCAATGCTGATGCGCTATACAGATAACTTGATTCCATTCACCCATTGGGTGACCCCACAGAACGTGCCGAAGCGGTATACCACGCAAATGTATCTCTACTTCATGCCTCTACCAGTCAACGTGGATAAGAGCCTACTCAAAGAACTGCCCTCCGAAGGCGAACGCGACGAACTCCAAGTCCCCACGGCAGACGGCGGAATCGAGGTAACAGAGGCACAATTCCTGCCCGCCTCGGAATGGCTCCGGCGCGCACGCAACGCGGAGGTCATTCTTTTCCCGCCGCAGTTTCTGCTCCTGCACCTGGTCTCGGAGTTTCTGGACCAGGCGCCCCGGGCGAATATTTCCGTCGAAGAAATGGAGAAGCGCCGTGCGGCACTGGTTGAATTCGTGCATTCGAGCTCGCCGCCTTGGACAGATAAGTTTATCTCGCCGAAGATGCTCACCATGACGGAGGATGGACGCACTGTTCTGGCGTTGGATGATCCTGGCGTCGAACTTAAGGGGTTGGGGAAGCAGGGCGAGTCCGACAGGGTTGTTCTGGTACGGTTTAAGAAGGGGAGTGTTAGAGAGGTGGATGTGGGCTGGAGGAAGGAGGTGTTGCGGGAGGAGAGGGAGAAGAGTAATCTGTAGATGAGTAAGATCTTTTCTTGTCTATAATTAGCGAGGTAGTCTACTGTAAATATGGCCAATACATGTATGTCTATATCGGAGAAAACTGAAGATGTTAGGAAATGGTGGAGCGTTACTGCCACGGCCTAACATAGGGCAGAGCGTAACGCCACACACTGCCGCTATCGCTACCGCCAGCCCTCGACAAAGGTCACATGACCCACACAAATCCATTTCCAGTCGGATTTTCATGTTCAGCGAAACCCTCCACCTCCAACCTCACCGTCGCCCAAACCCTCTACCACCCCCCAACCCGCCAAAATGGAGAACGAGAAGGGAGAGATCGTCGATCTGTACGTTTTACCTGCTCCAATTTCGCTGCGATTGAAACCTCTTGTCTCTCTCCGTGTGTCCTGGAAATCCTCCCCAGTTGTTCGTCCGACACTTCAGCAATGTCTTCTTCACACCCGACCGGGCTGCAAATCACAGCGCAACAAATACCGGCAACCCGAATCCTTGCGATCGGTCTTGCGAGCAACCGGAGGAGTTTTTCAGGACACAATCGGGAACTTGAAGAGAGACATGGAAATTTCAACTTGAACACAAACTAACCAATTTCCACTCACAGCTACGTCCCCCGCAAGTGCAGCGCCACCAACCGCATCATCAAGGCCAACGACCACGCCTCGGTCCAGCTGTCCGTCGGCAAGGTCGACGAGAACGGCCGCTACACTGGCGAGAACCAGACCTACGCCCTGTGCGGCTTCATCCGCGCCCGCGGTGAGAGCGATGACTCCTTCAACCGTCTCGCTCAGCGTGATGGCTACCTGAAGAACGTGTGGTCTGGCAGCTCCCAGCGGTAAATGTCTTTTTGCCGTGTGGTGTTTGTTAGATGGTTGATGTGATGGTGAGTTGATAACCTGGTGTCCAGATGAGTTCCCGGACTAACGCTGTTTATTGGATAGACGAATGTGGCTCGATGGTCGCGTTCAGGGAGTTGGGATTTTTAAAAGAAAGGAAAAATGGGACAGAGGGATACATCCAGTCCCTTCGTCTCTTTTTTTAACTTCTGTTCTCCTACTTTCCTCTATCTATCGAAATGAAAATCGAATGGACGACTTCAAAACCAAACAAAGTCACTGGGGACAGCATTCAGGTCCTCTTTTATTATCTTGTTTTCTGCATATCGGCACATCAAGGCCTCCTCACCCAAAGTAGACTCGAGAAGACACTCCGTTTTCTCTGATGTCAACTTATCTTCCATGAGCGAGGAGGTAGAAACGTAACCATCCGCCGAATATTAAGTCCGCCTTCTGATGAGCCACTGTTGCAGAGATTCATGCACTGGGGCACAGATACGGGTGGGACATTCCTGTCACTAGAACTACTGTTGTAGAAGCTGCATAGATCTAGTGCATGTTCTTCGTTTCTCCTCATCCATCATTGATATGCAATCCCGTCATCTCCTACATGAACTCGTAAACATGCAGAAACCCTGGCGTGATAAAACCCCAGAACCTCCGCAAGCAAGACAGAATAAGAAACAGGAAAATTTTCTCTATAAGTTACCTCCCAATTGCAAAGTTTAATTCTTTTCCAGGCGAACGGCGGGATTGCTTTCGATGAAGTTCAGATCGACCTTGTGGCCAAGGAGCTCACGGATATTGTTCACGCCGTACCTGTGAAACCAAGGTGTTAGCGCGAGCCATGATAATACAGCAGATAAGAAAGACTTACTTGATCATAGTCGGTCTCTCCAAACTCAGACCCCACCCGTAGACTTGCATGTTCTTCGGCAGGCCCATTGACTCCAGCATCTCCGGTCGGAACATACCACTGTTACCGATCTCCACCCATTTACCCAGACCCTCGTGGTAGCCGAAGATCTCCATGCTCGGCTCGGTGTAGGGGTTGTATGCGGGCTTGAAGCGCAGCTGGTGGATTCCCATCTTGGCGAAGAAGACTTCCATGAATCCAATCAGACCACCGAGCGTCAACCCAAAGTCCGCAATCACACCCTCGATCTGGTGGAACTCTGCCAGATGGGTAGCGTCGACGGCCTCATTCCGGAAAACACGGTCAATACTGAAGAAACGCGCCGGCCGCGGGTTGGCAGCGAGCTTGTGCAGCACATACGACGAGACGGAGGTGGTGTGCGTGCGGAGCACCAGGCGCAGGGACTCCTCCGCGCTCCAGGGATAGCGGTACCCGATAGACCCGAATTTACCATGCTCGTGCACTTCTCGCACGTTGTCCCAGTACTTTTTATAGTCGAGCGGCGCGTCTGTCGCCGACTTGGAGCCGGGCTGGGTGGACTTGGGGCGGTGGGGGTCGTTGAGAGGATCTTCGCGCGGAGGGTCTGAAGTGGCCGGGTCGGCGATATAGAAAGTATCCTGGAGGTCGCGGGCAGGATGTTGCTGCGGCACGAACAGCGCATCGAAATTCCAGAAGCCAGTCTCGACATAGCGGTTGGTCGGCATCTCCTCGAAGCCCATCTCGAAGAAGATGTTACGGAATTCCTGTCGCACCTTGTTCAGCGGGTGGAAAGCACCCGCGGGCGTGACGGCACCCTTGGCGTTGAAGTTGTAAGGCTTGAAGGTCGCCGTCTTCCACGAGCCGTTGGCCAACATCTCGGGAGTCAAGTCGGTTTCCTCCTTGATTATTTCCCTGGCGTACTTGGGCCCCTTGGAGACCTTGTAGGTGAAGAGCTTTTGAGGTGTGATCAGCTTCCTCCGCTTGAGATCTGTGATGGCTTTGGCGTCGCCAAGGGTCTGGGTGCGTTGGATGGTGAGCAGCTGCTGTTGCGTCTCGTCGACGATTTTGTCGGTGGTGGCCCGCAACAGGTCCTTGTCCTTCTTGATCCAGCCGCGCTTGAAGGCATTGCCCTGGCCAACCTTGGCGTTGTCCTTGCCCACCACCGCGGGCAATTCGCTGATCTTCAGTCCGTCCATGGCGGCGACCACGGCGGCGAAGACCTTGGCCTCGTGGGAGCCATTGGTCGCAATCTCCTGGCCCTCCGATGTGAGAACAAATATTTCCTTGTCATTGGTCTCGTACTGGACCATCTGCCGCGAGGCTAGACGGTCCAGCGCACTTTTGACGGTTGCTGAGGGGGTGGAGGGGAAGAGTTCGTTGGAGAGGAGGGGCACATCGGACACGGATAGAGCGTCCAGGATGTGGGTTGTCATGTCGTCGGACGCCATGGTTGCAGCCGTTGCCTGCGTGCTGTGGCGACGAAGACTGGGGGAGAGAGAGAGTCGGGAAGATGCTGGTGGGTGCCGGTCGTGGAAATTGTGACTCTACAGACAAGGTGGCTCGGCGGGGCACAGGGACCAAGCGTGCATTTCTGGCACCGCCGGGATCGGCTGTCATCTGTTTGTTTTCTCATCACCTTTCGCTAACTAGTGTCGGGGAATTTTTTCCCAAAACAAAGAAAGAAAAAAAAGGCAATATCGGCCTCGAAAGACCTGCTTGTTGAATTGCTGTCTCTCATAGCAGCCATTATTTTGTCCCTTTTCTGTAGTAGCTTTACGCGTCCTCGATATCTCTACTGTGTATCGAAAACTTCAATAGATCTGCGTTTCTATGGGCCGCTGGATGTGACAATCCAGGCTGGTGAAATAGTTATTGCGTCACCTCCACGTTGATTTGTTCAAGGTGCAGTGAATTCCCTTGCATGATGTTGCCAGTGCCACATCAAGCTAACTTAGGGAAGAGGTCACTGGATAGTGCGAGCCTCAAAACTTTCTACGAGCCTGTCTGACCCTCGTGTAGCAAAAACGTAGGATTATCGTGCCAGCTTCCCCAACCTCTCCTCGTCTCACCTGTAAACTCTTCAATGAATGTTACACGAGCGCCGTTGATAAGGACTAAAAGATTACAGTTAGTCTAGAGAACCCACCAACAGCAAACATAATATCAAAGCAAGAACTATGGAGCATTGTATTGCATCTCGCCGATCTCGATGCTGTTTCTGTCTCCCGAAGAAACTCATATTGAGACTGAACTACAAAGAGCTCATTCTAGGAAAAAGAAGGCAATTGTCTCGATTTAACTCCCCGCAGCTGGAAGCGAGAGTTATCAACACGAGAAGAAAGAGGAAGAAAGAGCAAACAGATCCAAACTGATTTACCTCATGTAGACCAAGAACACAAATAGCCCGCATATCGTCTACATGTCAGGTCATGAGGTGATATTTTGGTGTGAGACAAGCTTCTAAACCGAACCACTCCACAAAGGCCAGTGACAATATAGTCTAATAAGTATAAATGAAAGTCCTATTCTGAGGTATTATTGAAGGGCAATATTCTTTGCCTATCCATTCTCTTCAAGTATAGCTCGAGCAGTTACTCCACCGCCATGAAGTTTACAGTATGCTATGAAATTTTGACTCTCGGAGCTCTTTCACTTCCTTCGGTGGTCGCCTCTGCTGTTCTAATACAGCCCCCCAGCATGACAAATGCTGCTGATATCCATGTCCGTGGCTCTCTGCTTGAGAGACTTGCGAAGGTCACTAGTTCCCAAGAGGAGCTCAAGATTCAAGATCAGATTTATGTTTCTTGCACTTTAGACCATTATAGTCTCGGGCAAGTTTGCGGTAAGCTCCTTCTCCTGTCCGAACCAGGAAGCTTTGTCTGACTATACCAATGCACTGAAGCTGGCGTTACCTGTACGGTATATCTTGAAGAGCTTTTTTTTGTATGTCCGTAAATAGCTGTACTACTAGGCAAGCAATTCTCAGGATGTAAGCCGAGTAGTACTGATATCTCAATTGTTTGCGATTCTTGGCAATTTGAGCACCTTAACAGTAGCTTGCAAGGATAGTCGTGTTCTCTCATGTTTCTGTAACAGTATGCATAGCAACGACATCTACATGTTCTCCAGATGTGTCCCACCCCCTTTGGACAATGCATAATATCGCTCTGAGTGAATCTGCTGAGAGTTTAAAGCGACTACCCAGATCAGCATGTGAATGTGAGGCAGTATATGTACCGAACGCACCGCATAACGCAATGGAGAAGGTAAATTAGGTCAAGCCGTGTCGGGTTACCAAATGGCAAGTGTTAAAATTCTGTTAAGTGGAATCTTTTTCATCTCCAGTCATATTCTTGGGTACCATTTCCATCCAACACAAGTCTCGAGGAAGTAACCATAGCCTTAAACTCATTTCTTGGCTTGATGTCGGGTTATACAATTACTTTACATATTCCACAATACTACCCAAACATCAGCTGAATTACTCAGTCGAGCTCATTCAAGTACGACCCGCCTGCGCTATAAGAAGTTCAATATCTTCCTGGTTTTTTGTTCACGAAGACAGTACTATCAGGCTCCCAATCTTCTGAGACCTACACCGATCTTACCCAGTTTCAAAAACAAGCAGCTCTGCCAATATGAGGTTTCAATCGTGGCTGGGAGCCCTACTCTTTGTCGCAGCCTCTGCGAATTCCATGGCACTCAAGGGAAGCGAGCTCGAGCCTCTGATTCAAGTGCTCATTTCACATAACTTGAATGATCCCCTCGCGGATCCCGAAATCGCTTGCAACGTGACCTATACCTTCGTACTTGGTAGGTTGCTATCATCCACGGAAGGGCCATATGAAAGACTCTTGCTAACCTGGAAGTCAGGCACCACTGGGCCCCCATACTCCATTGATCTCGCCACATTAGATATTAATAACTGCACTTTCAGCTCGCCCTGAGCGGCTGAGAACCCGAAGATCTCGAGCTAAGTACTGGGTTTCAACACTCTCACTCGCCGGGCTTGGCTAGGTGTGGTTCTCTGATGAAAGTCTCCATGGCGTGGCGATCGTAGGCACTATTCAACATATGCTCGAAAACAAGCAATGGAAAGAATTCTGAAAACTCAAAGCTGCCGATTCTGCACTTCGTAGATTGTAGAGAGCGCCCTATATCAGATCTCCAGCTCTGCGAACAGCGTAGCTACAGCCCTAACATCTTCCTATGTAAATTATATACTTACCAGAGTTTAGACCGCATTCGAATCTTTCCTTTTTCCGTTTTAGCGCTCACCCTGCGCCGCTTTTTGTTCACGGAGTAAAATCGAGCATTTCGCAATCACACTGATCTGCTCACTGAGCATTACCTAGGAATAAGGACACACTTGCTATCAATTGCCGTGGTTCTTTCCAAAAGAGGAGTAGTGTGACTTGGTTAGTCAATTCCAGTCAATGTTGCTTATCACACTGTCCTGTTTGCCTGCATTCTCATCACGTCAACATGTCCGTACCTGCACATTGAGATGGACCTTACTTATCAGTCGCTGGTGAGAGTGAAAGTTCAGGCTAAATGGCGCGATCTCAGATTCGGCCCAATTCACCACTCCAACTAGATTGCATGATGTTTCGTTCACTGTAATATTGGCAGACACCAAGATCGTTGTGGACTAGCACCATAGGAAGAGAAAATCCGGCACATTGAGCAAAGTATAAGTATGCTCTTGCAGCCCTATCATGTTTATGCAATCTCACTTAATAAGAAACGTGGTACATTCTGAGACCCCTTGCATCTCCGGGGGGCGATAGTGCGTGCTTCGAGTGGTAAAGATACGAACTCTCCACTCATAGTCAAGGATGTAGACCTGACGATTTTAAGACTACATGTGTTTCTAACAAGTAGCGGCCAAAATGTTTCATTCTACACCTCACCTGGCGGGCATAGAATCAAGTCTAATAGATACTCCAATGCGATGTTCCTTAGAGCTCCCCCTTGTAGTTCTCTTGAGCATTATATTCCTAGGCATTGCGTTATCTTTACCCTTCTTAAGGTCCTAGTCTATTATTTGGTTTAGAGTTAGATAATATCATAATTACTGACCATCACAAGTAATAATCCGAAGGAACAACTAAAATCCCCGCAAAAATCGATCGCTGCTTACCTAACGGCCTCCTTTCTTCGTGGTGAACCATCATGAGTGATTTGGCTCGGTTTTCATCCTCCTACTTTCTCATCTCCTGCCTCCTCCCCTAATGTCGCCATAAGTGGCCCGCCCGATCATTTGTGTCTGGATCCCGAATAGCCGGTACGTTTGTCCATTTCTTACCTGCCCGCCCGATAGCCGTTTGAGTTCCTGCGACTGGTGAACTCCTCGCTATCTCTGCCCGCCTTTTCTCCCCCCCTTTACCACCAAACTCTCGGATCCATCCACCCATGGGTCCCAGCTCATCCCCTACCTTCCACCCCCTCCTCCCTTCCCCTTTCTTCCGTTTCCTTCCTTCATTCTCATCTATCGCTGTGTCCATGTTCTACGACTGATCCAGTGCAGGGCACCATGGCTGCCGCGGACGAAACTCTCGCCGCCGCGACGGCCGTTCTTCAGAACCTGGCGAGAGAGGAACCGACTCCTGGGTCCTCATCACCCCCATTTGATTTTCAATTCCCTGTGTCGAACGGCACAAAATCTGCAAGGTTGCCTGGAGAGCCGAGCCCGGCAAAGGCGGCCTTTGAGTCTGAACTGGAGGCCTTGGTGCGCCGGGTGCACCATCTGGAATTCCAAGCTGTCAGTCACCAAAAGTCCCCCGACATTTCCCAACAGGGATCGCCGTCTGCTTTTGGATCCAACGAGCAGGCGCCCGATTTCCTGCGGACCTTTGGGCTCTTTCGCTTGTCGTCCGATCTTGGTTCTGACTCTTATTGCCCTCCACAGCAGCAACACTTGAATCAACCCGGTCGGCGACAGCGAACTCCTGCCCAACCCGAAGAACCACACCCGACGATCGAGGTTGATGAAGACGAAACCGAAGACGAGGATGAAAATGGAACGCGGACCCGCGTGGTCCGCGAGGAAGACATCAGCTTTCTCCGCAACCATGTACAGAAACAGGCCGAGGAAATCAGTTTCCAGAAGGACATCATCGCCCAGGTTCGAGACGAGCTCCAGACGCAAGAAGAGCGCACCCGTCGCGCCCTGACCAAGGTCGAGAACGAAGATGTCGTCCTCCTCGAACGCGAGCTACGCAAGCACCAGCAGGCTAACGAGGCCTTCCAAAAAGCTTTACGGGAAATTGGCGGCATCATCACCCAAGTCGCCAACGGTGATCTGTCTATGAAGGTCCAGATTCACCCGCTGGAGATGGATCCGGAAATCGCTACTTTCAAACGAACGATCAATACGATGATGGACCAGCTGCAGGTCTTTGGTAGTGAGGTGTCTCGTGTGGCCCGTGAGGTCGGTACAGAAGGAATACTCGGTGGTCAAGCCCAGATCACTGGCGTCCATGGTATCTGGAAGGAACTCACGGAGAATGTCAACATCATGGCCAAGAATCTGACGGATCAGGTGCGAGAAATCGCGGCCGTCACTACGGCTGTCGCGCACGGTGATCTGAGTCAAAAGATTGAGAGCCGCGCCCAGGGCGAGATTTTGGAACTGCAACAGACGATCAATACCATGGTAGACCAACTGCGAACCTTTGCAACGGAAGTGACACGAGTCGCGCGTGATGTCGGTACAGAAGGTGTACTCGGCGGTCAGGCTCAAATTGAAGGTGTCCAGGGCATGTGGAACGAACTTACTGTTAATGTCAACGCCATGGCGAACAACCTGACTACTCAGGTGCGAGATATTGCTACGGTCACTAAGGCTGTGGCCAAAGGTGACCTGACGCAAAAGGTGCAAGCCAACTGCCGGGGAGAAATTGCAGAGCTGAAAAACATTATCAACTCCATGGTGGATCAACTGCGGCAGTTTGCACAGGAAGTGACGAAGATTGCCAAGGAGGTCGGTACAGATGGTGTCCTGGGTGGTCAAGCTACTGTCAACGATGTCGAAGGTACATGGAAGGATTTGACGGAGAACGTCAACCGCATGGCCAACAACTTGACTACGCAAGTGCGTGAGATTGCGGATGTCACTACAGCAGTCGCAAAGGGCGATCTGACCAAGAAGGTCACCGCCAACGTCCAAGGAGAAATCTTGGATCTGAAGAGCACTATCAACGGCATGGTGGACCGATTGAATACGTTCGCTTTCGAGGTTAGTAAAGTCGCCCGAGAGGTCGGCACAGATGGTACCCTCGGCGGACAAGCCAAGGTCGATAATGTGGAGGGAAGTGGAAGGATCTGACCGACAATGTCAACACCATGGCCCAAAATTTGACTTCACAAGTGCGGAGTATTTCCGACGTTACCCAGGCCATTGCAAAGGGTGATCTCAGCAAGAAGATTGAAGTGCATGCCCAAGGAGAAATCCTCACCCTCAAGGTCACTATCAATCACATGGTGGGTCGACTCGCTAAGTTCGCGACTGAACTGAAGAAGGTGGCCCGCGATGTCGGTGTCGATGGCAAGATGGGTGGGCAGGCCAACGTCGAAGGTATTGCTGGAACCTGGAAGGAGATCACGGAGGACGTCAACACCATGGCCGAAAACCTGACCTCCCAAGTGCGCGCATTTGGTGAGATCACTGATGCTGCCACGGACGGAGATTTCACCAAGCTCATCACGGTCAACGCCTCTGGCGAAATGGACGAGCTGAAGCGCAAGATCAACAAGATGGTTTCCAATCTCCGAGACAGTATTCAGCGAAACACGGCAGCCAGGGAAGCAGCCGAACTGGCCAACCGCACCAAATCCGAATTCCTGGCGAACATGAGTCACGAAATCCGAACTCCGATGAACGGTATTATTGGCATGACGCAACTGACGCTGGATACGGACGACCTGAAGCCATATACACGTGAGATGTTGAATGTTGTTCACAACCTGGCGAACAGCTTACTCACGATCATTGACGATATACTCGATATTTCGAAGATTGAGGCCAATCGGATGGTCATCGAGAGCATTCCATTTACCGTTCGGGGCACCGTCTTCAATGCCCTGAAGACATTAGCGGTCAAGGCCAACGAGAAGTTCCTCAGTCTGACGTATCAAGTGGATAACACTGTTCCCGATTATGTGATCGGTGACCCGTTCCGTCTACGCCAGATCATCCTCAACTTGGTTGGCAATGCCATCAAATTCACCGAGCATGGAGAGGTCAAACTCACCATTCGCAAGTCCGATCGGGAGCAGTGCACCGTCAACGAGTATGCTTTTGAATTCTCGGTTTCTGATACCGGTATTGGTATTGAGGAAGATAAGCTGGATCTCATCTTCGACACCTTCCAACAAGCCGATGGGTCAACTACGCGGAGATTTGGTGGAACTGGATTGGGTCTCTCCATCTCGAAGCGTCTGGTGAACCTGATGGGTGGTGATGTTTGGGTTACGTCCGAATATGGACATGGAAGTACATTCCATTTCACCTGCGTGGTCAAGCTCGCCGATCAGTCCTTGAATGTCATCGCCAACCAGCTCCTGCCGTACAGGAACCACCGTGTTCTGTTCATTGACAAGGGTCAGAACGGCGCCCAGGCGGCTAACGTCATGAAGATGCTCAAGAAGATCGAGTTGGAACCGTTGGTTGTGCGGAATGAGGAACATGTCCCGCCACCGGAGATTCAAGATCCCTCTGGCAAAGAATCGGGCCATGCATACGATGTTATCATTGTAGACTCTGTGGACACTGCTCGGATTCTACGGACGTTTGATGAGTTCAAATACATTCCCATCGTCCTGGTATGTCCCCTGGTCTGCGTGAGCTTGAAGTCTGCCTTGGATCTGGGTATCAGCTCATACATGACCACGCCCTGCCAACCGATCGATCTTGGAAACGGCATGCTTCCGGCACTGGAAGGACGCTCGACACCAATCACTACGGACAACTCTCGTTCATTCGATATTCTTCTTGCCGAGGATAACGACGTGAACCAGCAGCTCGCCATGAAGATCCTCCAGAAACACAACCACAATGTCTATGTTGTTGGCAATGGTCTGGAAGCCGTGGAAGCCGTCAAGCAACGTCGCTACGATGTGATCCTGATGGATGTTCAAATGCCGGTCATGGGCGGATTTGAAGCCACCGGCAAGATTCGCGAGTACGAGCGGGAGAGCGGGTTCCAGCGGACCCCGATTATTGCGCTTACGGCCCACGCCATGTTGGGTGATCGCGAGAAGTGCATCCAAGCCCAGATGGATGAATATCTGTCGAAGCCGCTCAAACAGAACCAGATGATGCAGACCATCTTGAAGTGCGCTACCCTTGGTGGCTCGCTATTGGAGAAGAGCAAGGAATCCAGAATATCGAGCAGTGGCGAGATGCATCCGATCCACTCGTCCGCCCCTGAAAACAATCAGAGTCAACAACGGTCAAACCAGCAGCTGAAAATGGAACCGCTGCCAGACCCGCGACGGCCTGCTGCAGAGACTCGAGCCGTCACCACGGGTCCCGTCACCCGAGGAAGCGCTGCTAGTCCGAATGAAGGCAAGGACGAAGAAATGATTGATGACCGGGTACGTTAGCGCGTATGTCCTTGAAGAAAATCGAGTACGCGGTTGACCAGACCGGCTAATTGTTTTCGTGTCACGCAGGCCTTCCTACGATCCAACAGCACTTAGAGTTGTTTGCATACCCTCATCCCTCTTCATTTCTTCCACATCTTTTCTGCGTCTGCAGATTTGTCAAATGGTTTTCGACTTGGCCTTTGATACCCTGTCTATACGAGTGTTTTGAGTGATCCCCTTCTATCATGGTCATTGAACTGACCTCATCCTGGAAGAACATCTATATCCTGTCTGCTTCTGCATTTCTTTTCGTGCTTTTTTTTATCTACCTACTCTCTCGCTCCATACCTACCTGACCTCATCATTGGCAGTCAAAGCAGGGCCTTCGACTAGCCCATTCTCTTCCATTCTTTGCATTCGCATGTTCTTGTTTCTTCTTCGGTGGATGGTGTTTGGCGCTTTGCTGTTTTTTGACAAGGCATTGATCGGTCTAGTCTGGTTTAGGCTGTTAGGAGGTCACTACCGGGGGAGCTTAAACTGAATGGGGAGTTTTCTATTGTCTAAAGACTCCATTTTCGTGTGTCCCTGGGAAATCTATTGTATTTTCCCTCTCTTTTTTCATCTTCTACCAACTAGTCCTCACTCTCTCATCTCCGTCTCTTTGGGACTGTCTTTCCCTTTCGTTCCTGTTTCCGTATTGCACTCCTTTCCTTGTCCCTGCCCTGCCCCTCGTACTGAGGGCTATATTCACGCAAGGTTATCCCGCAGGATCTGGGACAATTCTTTCTTTCAATTCTTCCCCGGTGGAAATATCATTTACTTCCCTTTGTGCCAAGACAGATCTCTGTTTTCGTTCCGATTCCTGGTGGATGGTCTCAGATTGATCTCCAGCCCTTGTTTTTCAGTTCGGGTTCTCGTAAATCATTTATTCTCTGTGAGCATTAAACCTGAAGCCCAGACGCATCAGCAATCTTATTATCTATTTTGCCATTCCATATCTCCGAATCCATAGCGATGTTAAACAAGCTATAATTCTGCCCTCAATCGGATTAAGCTTCACACACAACATACGCAAGCAGTCAAGCAATTCACCTCTTCACACCATCAAACCCATCATACCCGATTTCTTCTCCTCCCGACAGAAATAAAACCAAATCTAACCCCGATCCCGTAGTCGACGGAATTTAACTGGTATTGCCGCATTCGAAGTCGTAGTCACCTCAGACAGCGAAGTCGACAAAAGCTCAGTTGAAGTGGTATTCAGGAGACTGGTCACATTCGTGAAGATGGTGGTGGTCGTATTGGTGAAGACAGCCGTCATATTACCCAGAATTTCGCGACGCACGACACCGGGGGTGATCAATGGTCTGCCCGAACTGGCCGTGGCTTGAGCTGCGGGCGAGACTCCGCTAGCTCCTACACTAGAACCAGCTGTCGCCGACGTTTGAAGTGTCAGAGGCGTGCTGGATAACTCAGCTCTTGTACTGGGACCCGCACCACTGCTGGTGGGGGTCAACGAGGTCGATGTTCTGACTGCTGGTGAAGCGACTAGTCCGGTAGAAGAAAGTCCCACGCTGATGCTGTTGCCTAGACCAATTGAGCGAGATGATACCGGGGAGCTGAGTCCGACTGAAGGTGTGGACGAAGATGCAGCTGCACCCGAACCTACACCAGCACCGATAGGAGGAGCGCTAGCTCCAGGACTAGGAGTAGCCCCGGCTCCGGCTCCAGTGGGAGGAGAGGCAGCAGGAGGGGCAGCAGGCGGACAGCTAGTGACGGTGACAGTTGTCGTGACGACGACGGAGGGACAAGCCGCACACAGTGAGGAAAACGAGCCCGGGCATAGTTCAACAGTTATCGGTGTCGATTGCGGGATGGTGTTTGTCACAGCTGGAGTAGATGCCACAACAACTGCTCCGCCGCCGCTAGGTGCACCTAGGCCCGAAGGACTGATATGGCTAGACGCAGCGCCTCCACCTGGAGCACCACCACTGGGAGCACTACCGGGAGCACTTGGAGCACCACCACCTGGGGCACCTCCTATAGAGACACCACCACCACCGGGAGCACCGCCAGTTGGAGAAGCACCACCGCCACTTGGAGCACCTCCTATAAAGGCACCACCACCACCGGGAGCACCGCCACTTGGAGGAGCACCACCACTGGGAGGAGCACCACTGCTGGGAGGAGCACCACCGCTGGGAGGAGCACCACTGCTGGGAGGAGCACCACTGCTGGGAGGAGCACCACCGCTGGGAGGAGCACCACTGCTGGGAGGAGCACCACCGGGACCACTGGGTGCACCACCACTAGGGGCAGCTCCTCCGAGAATACCGCCGGCAGGAGCACTGGGAGAACCTCCTCCTGGAGAACTACCACCCGGAGCAGCACCAGCAGGAGCACTGGGTGCAGCCGTAGCCTGGCCGGCTTGAGTTGCTTGAGCCGCAGAAACCTCAGAGAGGAAAGAGCTAAGAGCAGCGGGGCTTCCACGCTCCTCCAGCGTTGCGCGCTTCTGCAAATTTGCCCGCTCGTCAAGAGGGTCCAGGGCTGTGTCGTCAATTGCAGGAGACACTGCCCGAACACTCTGTAAGAAGGCCCAGGATGTGGCCAGTAAAACCAGGCATGTCTTTGAGTACATGATGTGTGCTAGCCAGAAGAAAGCGCCGTGATAAGATGACCCCAGCAATCCAAAGCCCGGCAGGATTGTCTGGACCTCTAGTAGATACCGGAGTAGGAAGTCGAGAGGTCAAGCCGGCTAGAAAGAGCCGGAGCTAGAGAGAGGCGGAATAAACTTGAAGTTTGCCGCTTAGATGAAGACGAATAGGTTCGAGACTTTCGTGGAGGAAATCGGATTAAAAGAGTATGAGGTTGGTAATTTGTAGCGCGGCGAAGAAAACCGCTGCTCCATGTCATCTAAGCGTCGTTTCGGAATCACAACTTTTTATAATTGTTTATTCTTGGGGGTTGGGACTGCTGTTCCATGCGTTTGGGTTCCATGGCCACAACAAGGCTTCGGCCGTCCTATTGGAAATGATCGGAGGCGAAAAACCACGGATAGACTTGGTCATCATCGTGACTTGCGGGTTACATCGATCTTCCATGATTGCCATGATTGTGTTTCGTCGTCGGAGGTTTTCATGCGAGTCGGGCTGGCTGGAGGTGAATGAGGCGGTCAGTTATCGCGCTGAACTGTGCACTACAACATTCCATGTTCTCAATGATATTGGACAAATATACTGCCATCCATGTCATGTCAGGTAATATTTCCCAGTGCAAAAGATCTCCTGTCACGGCGCGTCATATCCAGAGCGGAGTGTATCCCCGATCATCGAAGAACGGTTCCAAGGAGCTTGACTGCATTGCATCATTGTCATGAAATTGTCTGCCAAAGCAAGCCTTCCAATATTTGAGGAGCTCTAGATTTATCTTCAAGTAAAAAGATCAATTAACCCGAGTAGCAGAGCTATATACCAACGATAGTTTCGTGTAAAAGCAGGTCTTGTTCATGAGTCGTTCTCATAAAAATCCTCACACCGACCATTAACATCTGCAATAATGCCTCGGTGCTCCACTGTACGATTTCTTAGGCAAAACCGCTTGGTCCTTCCTTCGTATGGAGGGAATGCTTGGCAAATGGACTGCCATAGGAGCCCATACAACGGATTACCGATGCGTCCTTGCGGATGTCAGTGGACTTTGTGCATAGAAAATGGCAAAACTATTGATTTCGAAGTCATCAAATCGTATTTAGGGATATATCAGAAGAAACTAGTAAATGGCCAGTGGGCGACGCCATCCAACTTGGATAACCTTGACGGCTGTACAACAGGCGAGACCCATAGCGTAACATACCACCGTAAACGCAATGAGGCCCCAGTACTGGCCGTTACAACGATTCAGGATATTACCTGCAATTGGAATTCCGGTGAGGGTACTAAGTTGCAACATATATGTCAGTTGAGTGTATATGTGACGTTACACGAGGGAAAGACTCACCCAAAGCTCACAATGGTGTAGGCAGTGGCATAGTACCGACCATAGTGCTCGGTCTTGCAGAGCTGGCCGACACAAACGGGCGTGAGACTGATGTTACTGCCACTAGCAAAACCGAATAGGGCCGAGTACACGACAAGCAGGGGAAGGCTGTTTCCAGCGGGAAGCCACAAGCATGCATTGCAAAGTAGGCACAGGGCCACTGTCGCGATCAGGGCATTGAAGCGGCCTAAGATGTCCGCAAAAAAAGCCTGGCAGCCACCGACCAAAGAATGAACCTGCGTTTAGGATGGCAATAATCTGGTACGAAAAATGGGTAGAAAAGCCTTGGTCGATGGCGTAAGATGAGATGTAGGCAATCGGAACGAAGAGTCCCCATTCAATGAAGAAGACGCTCGCAGTCGTCAGTGTAAACCGCGCGTCCCTGAAGATACGGAAATCTGGCAGTATATTCTCTCTGGAAAAGGGTTTCTGGGGCAGTCGAGACTTGATCAGGAGACAAGCTATCGACAATGAAATTAAACAGATCAAGGCGATCACTCGGGTGGCCCAAGCCCAACCGATTTTGGGGAAAAGACTCTCGAGAATGAGAGGAAACGCAACGCCACCAAGTGAGCCTCCTGTGGAAGCAAGTCCAGTTGCGAGTCCACGCTTCTCGTAGAAGAAATGGCCGATTGATGAGATGGCCGGCGTAAAGATGAGAGATGTGCCGACACCCCCTAAAACACCGATCACAATCATGAAATGCCAGTATTGTGTGCAGAACCCGAGGCAAATGACCATCACCATTTGGCAAATCGAGCCTGCCAGAATGAGCAAGCGTGGGCCTCGTGCGTCAAAGATCGGGCCAATTTGGATGCCGCAGAAGAAGGTCAGGAAGGTGTACATCCCGAAGATCCATCCGGTACTGCCGGTACTGTAGTCTTTCAGCTGGTGAGTCTGGATGTATGCCTGGAAGGTGGCTATGGTGTTGATCAGCCCAAGCGATCCAAAAAGACCACAAAAACAGCCTAGCACCACCAGCCATGCTTGCAGGCCGCCTTCGGGGTACGTGTTTCCCTCTGCGTCTGTCGTCACGCGGGTGACAGGGTCCCGGTGGACGGACCTATTTGACGGAGCCACAGTCGATGCCATTCGGTAAATAACCTCATCTGGTACTCTGTATTCGTGCTCTGGGGGTTGGTCATCTTTTGAACCTGCCGGGAAGCCGGCTAGCTCCTCGAAATTCGGTACATCTGGGTCGGTGGCTTTTTCAGGCTCTGGACCTTCAGAGTACGCCTGCTTCTCATCTGTCATGGTGCTCTGGAAGCCATCATTTGTTGGCTGATGTCCATGGCCGTCAGCTATATCCGATGTGCTAACAGCCTTGGAACTCGTGGACATTCTACTAGAGGTACGACGCCTCTAGGAATCAAATCTTTTGTTGGTCCTCAAAATTTTGGTTATGCCCGTGTGCTTATGAGGTGGGTGTGGAGGATCTGGAAATTTTTTCTGGAGAAAGGCGGGAGGTAGGAGGAATTATCAATCGAAAGTTGGAGTCATCCTTTTTACTAGTAGAAAGATTCCGATTGGCCTGAGTCTGGGGTTCTTGGGGTTTTTCTACGACCCCAAGCAAAATTCGGCGTGAGCGGCCCGGCCATTGGTGGCCGAGGGGGAGTGGAGCACGCTCACTAGCAGTATAGGGCAAGTCGATGCAGCATTGCCCCATGACTTTATGAGGCGGAGGTATCTCATAGCATCGGCGGGCCCCGAATAAGGACCTTCGAGGGGCTCTAGTGATAGCGAAAGACCTTCTAACAGGTAACTAAAGACACGGTGGTGATTATTGATCCTACGAATTGACCCTAATGTGCCAAACCCGGACAAACCGGCCGGACGAATGCCGGTTTCAATTCACCGATGTGTACAATTCTGACTCCTATATCAATATGAACCAAAATTTCTTCATCAAATGGGCTTGTGGTCTAGTGGTATGATTTTCCCTTAGCATGGGAGAGGTCCGGGGTTCAATTCCCCGCGAGTCCAATTTTTTTTTCTTTTCCGAGAGATGAGATATTTTTGTGTTTTTTTTTTGGGGTATTGTGGAGGTGTTGGAAAGGGGTTTGTATGCGATGTGGTGATGTGTGGTGACATCGCCTCGCTAAAAAACCAAGTAATCAAAACAAAATAACGGAGTTGGCAAGATATGTAAGAATGCGACTGGAGTTGTTAATACCTGCGAATAGGGGTGGGCCGAGGTTATCCCCGCTAGTCCACTTTATTTACTCATATAAAGGGTATATACATTGATGTTACTCCTTTGCACCAATTTTGTATTATATGTGTCCAAACGCATTGATATTCGATCTTAAAAGGCGAATTTTTATGTAGTTACGGTGCTGTCTAAAACCCGAATCCGGTGGTCGACAGCATTCCTCGCCAGTACCTTGCCCCTTTCCAGAAAGCTTGGCGGATAAATAAGCTTGCGATCATCAGGGGCCATGCTTTGGACCAACTGACACTGACACTGCTTATCATCGAGATATCCGAGTATTTATTCTTTATTCTTTCCACATCAGAGTTGATGTTGGTCTCCTCTGCACGATCCTTCCCCGAGTGGGTCTTCAGCGATTCCGCTCAGGAGCAAGAAGGATTGCTCTCAAAGGCAACATCGCGTGAGTTATTTTATCCGGCCGATAGGCGTGTCCAATGGCCGTCGCCAGTTGTGCTGGGATGCTTCATGCGTCATTTGAGCGGGGGCTGTGCGACTCGTATCCTGTGCTTTAGCCGATGCAATTTAGTAATATGAGGGGATCAAGAGTGTCTAGCAAGTCAGTGGCGACTAGTCCCCGCTTCTCAGAACCAAGATAACCGTCGGGGCAGCCGGAATCCGTCGCAGCCCCGGACTTCCTCTCTATCGGGGAATTGTTTTGATAGAGAGCCAAGAACCGTAGTTACAAACACGAGGCGCGAAGTCAAATCTCCCAGGCAACAACGCGCGATGAGAGCCTTGCGGGATCGAAATGAAAGGGCGACCTAAATGCTAAATGCTACTCTATCACACACGGCATAGGCCGGTCCACAAACGGTCCATCACTTGCCTTTTCTGTCGTTGGCAACCCCGCTTGGACCGTGGAAGCCACCACTATCAGTGGTAGCTCAATCGCTATCAACAGGGGTTCTGTGGAGGCGTTCCGAGGTGCATTGCTTAGCCTCGTGCAATCAAAGCCATGGGCAGTCTGGACTCGTTATATAGTCTGCACTCGCACCCGGATTGTGGAAAGCGTTAATGTTACTCCCTTCTTGAACTCCTCTCAACTCCCTCCCCATTGACCCAGGATGTTGTTCAAATCGGCGTTGACATCCGCCCTTCTCGCTCTATCGCTGGGCTCGGAGGCTGTCGCCGCTGCCCAGCATGGACGATTTGCGGAGAAAGCTCGAGCGCCTCAGGAGAGGGCCAAGAAGCACCTTGATGCCCGCACGAACCCAGGCCACTCGGACCACTCAGACTTTCGTTTCTTGAGCTCCAAGACGAAGCGTTAGTCAAAACCACTCATATTTATCTGTAGATGAAAGCACTGACCGATAGATAACAGCGTTTCTGGTGGACCACTTGCCCGAGGTCAACTTTGACATTGGCGAGATGTACTCTGGTCTGATGCCCATTGACATGAAAAATGACTCGCGGGCGCTCTTCTTCATCTTCCAGCCGACCATTGGCGATTCTGTCGATGAGGTCACCATCTGGCTCAATGGCGGCCCTGGATGTAGCTCCATGGAGGGCTTCCTGCAGGAGACTGGTCGTTTTATCTGGCAGCCTGGTACCTTTGCTCCGGTTGAGAACCCGTACTCTTGGGTGAACCTGACCAATGTGCTGTGGTAAGTACAATTTTGCTGATGATTGATTGGATTGCGCTGAAGGTTGCTTTCATGCAGGGTTGACCAGCCTGTTGGAACGGGTTATTCCATCGGCACACCGACTGCGACCACGCAGGAGGAAACCGCAGCGGAGTTTGTGAAGTTCTTTAAGAACTTCCAGCAGACTTTCGGAATCAAGAACTTCAAGATCTATGTCACCGGCGAAAGCTATGCAGGACGTTACGTGCCCTACATCTCTGCTGCGTTTCTGGACCAGAAAGACAAGGAGTATTTTGATCTTGATGGTGAGTGATATAAGATGAACAACAAGAAAATAGCAGAACTGACCCAGAACAGGTGCCTTGGCTTACGACCCATGCATCGGCCAATTCGATTACGTGCAGGAGGAAGTGCCTGTAGTGCCTCTCGTTCAGCAGAACGCGAACCTGTTCAACTTCAATGAGACGTTCATGGCAGAGCTCGAGCACCTTCACAAAGCTTGTGGCTACGAGGAGTACATTGAAAAGTACCTCACCTTCCCTCCGAAAGAACACCAGCCTCCCAAGTTCTTCAACTACACCACTCAGGCTAAGTGTGACGTGTTCGACCTGGTCTACAATGAGATCTTCAACATCAACCCCGTGCTTCGATCTCTACGAGATCAACCTGATGTGCCCCCTGCTGTGGGATGTACTGGCTTTCCCGACCTCGCTCGACTACACAGCCGTCGGGTCGACCGTATACTTTGACCGACCCGATGTTAAGCGCGCCCTACACGCTCCCAATGTCACCTGGCTCGAGTGCTCGAATGAGCCCGTCTTCGTGGGCGGAGACTCAGGCCCAGAGCAGGAGGGCGACACCTCCGCTAACCCCATCGAGCATGTCCTGCCCCAGGTCATCGAGGCAACCAACCGCGTTCTAATCGGTAACGGTGATTACGACATGGTCATAATCACTAACGGAACGCTCCTTAGTATCCAGAATATGACCTGGAACGGCCATCTCGGCTTCCAAGAAAAGCCTCACAAGCTGATTAATGTCGATATCCCCGACCTCATGTATGCCAGCGTCTTCGCTGAGAATGGTGCCTCCAGCTTGGACGGTGCCCAGGGTATCATGGGTATTCAACACTACGAGCGTGGCCTCATGTGGGTTGAGACTTACATGAGCGGCCACATGGAGCCCGAATTCCAGCCGCGTGTTGCTTATCGCCACATTGAATGGCTGCTGAGACGCCGCGATGATATCTAAAGGCTTGGTAGCGGTGAGGCAGCGATGATTTAGTACATATGTGTCACAAGAAAATCGCTGGCTCGAGCACATAGTTCAAATATGCAGATAATCTAGTCGTTTTGGCAATTGCACTCGGGTTGCCAGCCCCCTGCATAAATATCCCCCCCCGGATCGCAACTCGGCTGCTACCTCCATGTACATGTATGAAACATGGAATCCCAGGGCAAATGTGGCATTCCTATGCCGTTTCAACGCCACGTTCCCTCGTGAGCCTCTGACATCCTTTTTCTCCATGAGGTTTAATTTTCCCTCGAGACATGGTAGCTATAGGCAGTATACAACTGAATTCGCGTTTATAATCCCGACCTGAGGGCGTTTCTCATTATCCCTTGATCTGTACATTGAAATCGACTCAGCGGGGAGCCATAATCACAATGGACAGTCATGGGGTGATGTGATTATTCTAAGGACTACAGTATTGACTGCTGAAAGTGATAATCATCGAGGGGCTAATAATATGGATTTTAGACATCTTCTTCAGGGTACGATTCATTCTGACTCCCCATAATGTTGGGCTGGATGAAGTAGTTCCTCAGGTTGGTCCTGTAATAACTACTGCCTCACACTCACTGTGCCATACAAGCTACAGAACAACATCCTCCTAGGTACAAACGTTTCCCGATCTCCAAGTCAATGTCACCTCACATTGTAAAAGAAGGCTTTTTCCGACCCACTTTACGCCGTAGAATGCCGTAGTTTTCCCGAAGTGGAGATTATTGACTCCTTACTCACACCCTGAGGACATACCATTGAATACATTTCATTACTAGTGACTATAGATAGTTTAGTGTGCAAAAATTACTGTCGAGGAGACTGTAATGTAGCATCGATGAGGTCCTTATTCTCGCTCTCCTTAGGTCCAAACACCGTAATACATAGGGTTCAAAGGCAAGACACAGAGAGGCAAATATTGGCCACAATCTAACACTCACACAGTCATGGTAAAAAACTCCGCTCAATTCGGCTAGTCGGAAACGGCCTTAGACCTGAGCAGGTTTTCTGTGACGCCAATGAAGGCTATCGGTGGACTGTGCTTTGTGTTGGCCGCGGATTATGTACTAGATGTGAACTGAGTGGATTTACTCTGTATAGGTGGATGAAATATTCCTCAGTGGGGTGGTTTACCCTCCAGTTCCAGGTACTGTATGTACATATTTCGCCGATGATTAGATTTGTACCCCGCCGTGAAACACTATCGTCATCGTATGCTAGACTCCGAGGTATCCTGCCTAAGGATCAGCCGAGAGGACTTCTGGATATGTATGGGGCTTAGATGTGGCGTGCCAACGCAAAATACTAAACAGGATGCGAGGGTCGGGATTAGCTCGGAATTCCTAGTACGACGTAAAAAAAAATAGTGTACAGGGGCGGATCAAAGGAAGTCTCGAGATGTGGCGGTTGTGGCCGTCGGTGTCAGTGGTTTGATGACATCCCACTCGTAAGAAATATTACCAGTAATTTTCTTCTTTCCGTGGGAGTCCCTATTACTATTCTGATTCTGATTCGCCCGGTGAATGAACGAGGTGTCTCCAATGTACCCACGGGTACAAAGTCATCCCGCAACCGGAAGGGACTCGCCGCGCCGGCAGAAAGAATGTCGCTTCATTCAGAGCCACATGGAGCAGTTTGATCACAAGGTTAATTGTGTCATAGTGCATGAGCCCTACTGTTTTTCCCTCTTCACAAATTATTATTTTCCTCAACACAGCATCGGGTTGAGGCTCCCGCGGCGGAATTCTTGGCCTTCGGTTGGGAAATGGACTTGCCGCAAAAATTTTTCGCTGTGGATCATCCAATAATACAGGCTGGTGTAGAACCCGTTTAGGCTTCGTGCCTCAAGCCACTCGGCCCCTTCCGAATGTCCCTGTTCCCATCCGGCCGTTGTCGGGCGGCCGACAGCCAGTTGTTCCGAGCTGAAGCGAGCGACACGGCGTCATCACCCACCCTTAAAGTCGGGTGGCGTCCGCGGCTCCTGCGCCTCAACCTTACTCGGATGCGACCCAACGCCCGGTACTGCACCACGACTGCTCATTTTGGCGAATGGTTGAACCCGACAGGCTGGAGACCGTGAAAGTCATGGCCTGGAACAGCGAGGAGTGTATGTATCCGGATTACATACAGGCCGCGACTAATCCCACCGGGGGGTATGTCATGATGTCCGTTGCGTGGGCCCGCTATGGCACGTCTTGGCCAATACCGGCCTTGCCGCACTTTAAGAGACGTGCCACCGTTATTATTGTGTAATGAAAAAGAAAGGTTGAACAGGAAATACCCATCCTCGGAATACACGGTGCAAATAATTGTATATAGCTCGGTACAGCCCACCTTTTTCTCCATACCACTTTCCTCACCCTTTTCCCCATGCTTCCTCTACTTCCCCCACTCCGCACACCACACACCATCTCGGACGAGGCATAGGTCTCTTCCAACTTCATCTCCTTGCATCCCCTTTGTGAGAAACAGACAGAAAAAAGACACGCTCGTCAGGTACTTGCGCAAAAACGGTCCCGCTCTCAAGTAGCGTCTTTTGCAATCATATCCGACATCGATCCGCGCCCGCAACTGCACTCCACAGCAGTTTGCCCTGTACGACGATTCACGATTGCAGCATTTTTCCGCCGGTGTCACGAACTAGGTCCCGATTGCATCTTTTGACCATCTTCGGATTCGACAGCCCCAACTTGTAGTCTTGCCCTAACCGGTCCAGCCTACTTTTCCCTCGACGAACAGCAGATAGCAGCAATTCCCGCAGGCGATTCGATCCAAAATCCGTTCACCATTTCACCCTAAGCGCCTTTGTCTCCCTGACCCCCCCAAGTCGCCACTATGGGTATCTCAAAATTTAACCCGTTCAAGAAGGACCGCCAGAACTATCCGGGCATTGTGATCCCGCTAGCTGACGCACCAGCACATCACTGCTCTGGCGGCAGCGACGTCGACGAAAAGAAAGGCAGCGTTGACGACAAGAGCCTTGACCGTGCTTCCTCCTCGGAGAACGGCGCGGCCTCTGGGTCTCAGCCCGAAACTAGCCATTTGACCATCGAAGCTCTCCGCGCGGAGGTCGAGGCAGATATCACTACTGCCGGCCATGACTCTGCGTATGATCGTACGTGCCTCTTGTTCCGGTTCTCCCCCGTCTTTCGGAATTCCCATGAGCCGAAAGCGCTTTGTCCCTTGATTTTGTCCCTGTGAGTTTTTTTCTGTGGACTACGATCTAATTTGGTGATTTTGTAGGCAAAGCAAAAGTGATCAACAGGGCCATCCAGGATATTGGCATGGGCCGGTACCAGTGGGAACTGTTTGCCCTTTGTGGCTGCGGTTGGATGGCGGACAACCTCTGGCTTCAGGTGAGTCAACATGGAGAAAACATAAAAATGGTTGATCTGACATATACAACAGGGTGTTGCCCTTACCTTGACCCAACTGTCGCTGGAGTTCGACGTGGATGACTCAACAGTGCGCTTTACGACCTGCGCCTTGTTCTTGGGCCTGTGTATCGGTGCTTCGTTCTGGGGTGTTGCCTCCGATATTATTGGCCGGCGCTACGCCTTCAATATCACCTTGTTCCTTGCTGGCACTTTCGGTCTGGCCTCGGGCGGTGGTCCCAACTGGATTGGAACTTGTGCTCTATTCTCCTGTGTCGGTCTCGGTGTGGGTGGCAACCTGCCTGTTGACGGCGCTCTCTTCCTGGAGTTCCTACCCTGTGCCTCCGGAAACATGTTGACTATGCTGAGTGTTTGGTGGCCCGTTGGCCAGCTGATTTCCAGTCTGCTCGCTTGGGCTTACATCCCAACTTACACCTGCACTGGCAGCGGCCCCTGCCTCAAGGAGGATAACATGGGCTGGCGCTATCTGGTGCTCACTCTGGGTGCCATCACTTTCCTCATGTTCACTGCGCGCTTCTTTTTCTTCCACCTGTACGAGTCGCCCAAATTCCTGCTGTCCCGCGGCCGCCAGGAGGAAGCCGTTGCATCTGTTCACGGCATTGCGTACAAGAACAAGTCCAAGACATGGCTGACCAGCGAGATCCTCAACGAGATCGGCGGCTACCCCGACGAGAAGGAAAAGGAACAGCACAAGCTCACCAACTCCCAGATCGTCCAGCGCTTCTTCTCCAAGTTCTCTCTAGAGCGCATCCGCCCTCTCTTTGCCACCAAACGACTGGGTTGCACCACTATTCTGCTCTGGTTCTGCTGGGCCACCATTGGTATGGGCTACCCGCTTTTCAACGCCTTCCTGCCTCAGTACCTGAAGAACAACGGCTCCGGAGACACCACGACCTACACCGAGTACCGGAACTACGCTATCACCTCGATCGTGGGCGTACCGGGCTCGATTCTGGCCTGCTACACAGTCGATATCAAGTACGTTGGCCGCAAGGGTACGATGGCCATTTCGACTCTGATCACTGGCGTGCTGCTGTTCTGCTTTACCGCGTCCTCGAATTCCAATGTCCAGCTCGCCTGCAGCTGTATTGAGATGTTCTTCCAGAACATAATGTACGGTGTCCTCTACGCCTACACCCCTGAAGTCTTCCCGGCCCCAAACCGCGGTACCGGCACCGGTATTGCCAGCTGCTTGAACCGCATTGCAGGTCTCTGCGCTCCAATCGTCGCCATCTACGCTGGGTCGGGCAACCCCAACTCTCCCATCTACGCCTCGGGCGCGCTGATGCTTGCGGCTTTTGTGGCCATGTGTCTCCTCCCCATCGAGACCCGCGGCAAGCAAACTCTATAAAGGGTGGCAGGGGCAGTGGTTTTTCTAGACCGACCACTTTACTTCTGTCCACTGTCATAAAGCATATGTACTTCTGACACGAGATCCAAAACAGATGTTGCGGCGCTGCGCCACCAGATCTCGAGAGGAGCAGCAGTGGCAGCTCTGCCATTGGCCAGCCTTGTTGCGCTCGAGGATCACAATCCTCCCCCTCCCGGATCGACAGAAATGGCCCGGCGCCTTCTGTACAGCATGAGCGAGAAAGGAGCGAAGGGGAGTGTATATAGAATCTGCCTTGAGGGTCCACTGCTTTATATCCTGTTTTATATTTTTTTTTCTCTTTCTGGCTTATCCAAGAGATCATACTGTATGCACGGAATGAATGTCTGACACGTCTTGGTCCTCCCATTCCTTTGTAGTTCTCGCCACGTGCCGCTTTTCGCTCCCTACATACAAGTGAAACATCGGGGCACAGTTACCTGATTGGGAGAATGCTAGATGAGTCAGCATCAGGATGCGGCAGTTGGATACATTTACCCGGGAGCCATTATACTGACCTTATTTGACTATACGAATCAGTCTTTTTCATTTACTGCGCCTCTTTCATTACCATTGACCATCGATATTGCGCCTCCTCTTAGGAATGTCTTGCACACTGTCTTTTCCCCGTTACTGAACTATGGATTGTACGCGGCATGCTAGCAACTATGCACTGCTCTCTTGAAAGATTATCTAAATTAAAGTGGTGTTATGGATTGCCCTAGTTCGAATATCTCATTGAGAAGTGATAGAGCTGCTATCCTGAACGTTCTTCTATCAATAGCGACTCCCAGGTGATCGGGTCTGTTGCCAGGAGCTAAAACATATTAAGAGTAGGATGGCAGAACTATGAGATATGAGATATCTGCTATTATTGGTTGTAAAGTTTCACCGCTTGTGATGACTCAATAGTCACCAGTCCTTTGAAATGTAACTAATTCAAATGAGGAAAAAAGTGAATTTCAATTAGCCAATTGTGTATGACACCCATCACTGTTCTTCTACAGTGGCACCAACGTTTTCGACCACCCGAAGTATCACGCTAATTATTCTGCGTGTTCAATCCTCCGATCTGTTCTGTCAACGGATCACCGCAAAGATAGTTAACTACTTGACAGAGAGCTTAGTAAGTAGCAGAGACCCCATGGGCAGCCGCCGGGTGTCGGCATGTAAGCTTCCCCCGCTAACACCCTACCTAACCCAAAAAGCTTCCCCCGTAAGCCACGAGGGCCCGTGTCACACGCCCTCCCAAGCGAAGGCGTCGAGGACCAAACGCTACCGGTTATTTAGAAAGCAGATCATTTTAGCCAAATATTCATTTTGCTACCGCGTATTTGTTGTCGGCAGAATGCAACAAATGGTGCCATTTGAATGGACCGGCTAATACTATTTATTCAAAGCAACCGTGGAGAACCGGATCACCCCGGTGGTTTTGAGGAGTAGAGCCTAGAATATTTCCCACATAAAACCCGGTTCCCCAGTATTTTCCATCGTAGTTGTACTAATCCCTGGACTCTCAGCTTTGTAATACCAATCTTGGGTACAGCCGCTCACCATGGCTCCTAACGTTGCGGGGACTGAACTATCCGCGAAGCGTCGGCAGTACGCTGGCGAGCCTGGTTTCAAAGGTCTTGTTAGCAATGGAAAGGCCTTTGCAATCGCCTTATTCGCCTCTCTGGGTGGTCTGGTTTACGGATGTACGTCCTGCCGTTTGATTTGTCTCTTTCAAAATGGATCATAAAGCTCATTGTGGGATAGACAATCAGGGAATGTTCTCCTCAATTCTGACGATGCACTCCTTCCAAACAGAGGTCAGGAAGATATACTCTGAACTTCCCTTACAGTACATGTAGTTGCTAATCCGACATAGATCAAAGGTTATGCCGCCGAAACCGGTACGAAGCAAGCTATCACGACCGCAATCCTGGAACTCGGTGCATGGGTTGGCACCTTGCTGAATGGGTGGCTGGCTGATGCGATTGGTCGTCGTTCAACGACGATCCTCGCAGTCGCCGTTTTCTGCGTCGGTGTCATTGTCCAGGCAAATACCCATGCAGTCAGCTTCATTCTCGGGGGTCGGTTTGTCACTGGCCTGGGCGTGGGTAGCTTGAGCATGATTGTGCCCTTGTATAACGCTGAACTGGTATTTCCTCAAGCCCTAGTTTGGAGACGAATCCAACCTAATTTTCTGAAAATTCATTAGGCCCCTCCCGAAATCCGTGGCTCCTTGGTCGCAGTCCAGCAGCTAGCAATTACCTTCGGCATCATGATCAGTTTCTGGATTGGGTACGGATGTAATTTCATCGGCGGTACTGGTGACACTCAGTCGCGAGCCGCGTGGTTGATTCCTGTCTGCATCCAACTCATTCCCGCTATTGTTTTGGGCATTGGCATGGCCGTGTTTATGCCTCAGTCTCCTCGTCACTTGATGAATACGGGTCGCGAAGAGGAATGCTTGAAAGTCTTGGCCTGGCTGCGCGGCAAACCGACAGATGATATGCTGGTGCGTATTGAGTACTTGGAGGTCCAGGCTATGCACATATTTGAGAAGGAAACAGCGGCAGCGAAGTATCCCCACTACCAGGACGGTTCTGCTAAGAGTCGATTCATGATCCTGGTCAACGATTATAAGTCACTTGTCACCAACCCTTCCCTATTTAAGCGCTCTATGGTTGCTGTGAGTGGTTATTCATGAATCTATACTCGATCTTCGGAATATGCTGACTTGCTGGTTGTTCTTAGTGCTTGATCATGGTTTTCCAGCAGTGGAACGGAATCAACGCCATTAATTATTACGCGTGAGTTGAAATTGACTTCGATCATTTGCAGGATAGCTGACGATATCCAACGTACAGCCCTTTCATCTTCAAAGGCATTGGTCTGACTGGTAACACCATTGATCTTCTGGCAACCGGCGTCGTGGGTATCATGGAATTTGTCTTCACCATTCCTGCCGTCCTTTGGGTGGACAAATTTGGTCGGAAGAGCATTCTGATTGCTGGTGCCATCGGCATGGCCTCGTGTCATTTTATTGTCGCCGCAATCATTGGTACTTACAAGAATGACTTTGCAAGCCACAAGTCCGCCGCCTGGGCAGGTGTGGTCTTTGTTTGGATATATTGTATCAACTTTGGATACTCGTGGGGCCCGGTGGCTTGGATTGTCGTCTCAGAAGTCTTCCCGCTGTCGATGCGTGCCAAGGGTGTTGCTCTCGGTGGTAGCAGTAATTGGGTGAGTGGTCTCATTCGAAATCCGTGTTATAGTGCTGACTTCTTTGCTACGAAACAGCTCAACAACTTTGCTGTTGGTATGGCCACGTCCCCTTTTATTTCCACCACCCAATTCGGCGCTTTCATATTCTTCGGCTGCATCACTTTGCTCGGAGCTTTCTATGTTTGGTTCTTCGTGCCTGAGACCAAAGGCCGGACTCTCGAAGAGATGGACGAGCTGTTTGGCACGACCGGTCTAGCAGCTGCTGATAGTGAGCGCAAACGTCGCATTGAACGAGATATCGGCCTGCTTGCACTTCTTGGGGAGGAAGACGCGCTTCCATCGGAACCAAAGATGGAATCAGATGAGGCTGTTGAGAAGTCGATCCATCATGAGGAGACGAACAGCCTTCCCGTTCACAGTACTTGATTTTAGAACAAATCAATTTGGACCATCGGGCAAGGTCTCTGCAATGTGGTGAATATAATAACACTTTATTCCGTTTTAAGGAAAAGATGGGATATTATATCTCTAGGTATGGGACTTTATCTCACTTCCATGGTTAAATTGATTATCAATCTTGACCATGCTAGTTAATTTTACATTCTTCTATTTCTATTATCCTCCTCGCTCTCGCCGTACTGGTAGTAGAGCAGTCGTCGGTTTTCAGGACTTTGAGTAAAGACACATATTTAAAATTACATCTTCCTCTTACCAGAGAGAATTAGAAAAAAGCCGGGGGGTATTTAAAGGTCAAAGATATCTCTGGTAGCCCTCCCGCCCGGTAGAGTGCCCAACCCGGAAGGCTCTTTAACAACTTTAACGCACTTGTACAAAGAAACGAAGTCAATATAACTATCAAGAACTTCCATACTGAGCCGGACCCCCTTACCATCTTTTAAGGAGACTAAGATTTAGCCTATGTAAAAGACTTGAAACAGAACTGAAAACCAGTTCAATCAGAGCATTCCCGAAACCTAAAGACCTGAATTCGAACGAACTCAGAACACACAATTATACTGAACCTCTACCGAGCTCTACGCATGAAAGATCGACTAGGAGACCATCAATCGAGACAGAAAAGATAAAATACAGATAAGACGGATGTAAGCAAAGGAGAATTTTAAATAAGATGCGGTGCTAAGCAAACAGAAGGAAACCGAGCCCTATGAATTCATTCAAAACGCCCATTCCAGATAATAATCGAGCAAAGTATGAGATAGAAAAAGAAATGGAAAATTGAATGGAATGGTGTGGCAGAAAATGGAAAACCTTTTCCCAATCCATTTCGCAACCATGCATAATTCTTCGCCGGAGACCCGAAAAACGCACTGTGCCAAGAAGGAAGAAAAAAAGGAAAAAAGGAAAACAAAAAGGGATAATAGACAATGTGTGGTTGTAGAGATGAAACCTAGAATGATAAGAGGCAAGGCAAGCCAATGTAACATATCGCTCGTGCAATAAGCATGTATGTGGTGCTCGAGGGTAGTAGTAGAATGTCGTCGTGCGTGGATATTAGGATCAGGCTTCGTTTCATGTTCAAGCTACTGGTTGTCCTTCATGGCGACGTCCGCGCTTCTCCAACAAACTGGCGTTGTCGAGACTAAGTTCAAAGGGCCCTACGGGCTTGCGGCCGATGGTATTCCTTGCCGCTGCGGCGACAGTGGCGTCGTGTTGTCCGTATCCCTGCTGTTTGGGCTGACGGTGTGCCTGTCGTGCCTGGGCAGGGGTACCCTGTGCTCCTAGGTTTGTAGAGCGTAGCTTGGCCTCCATTCCTGCCATATCGCCACCTTGTTGGGGTGCAGTTGCTTTAACGATCTTGGTGGGTGGCTCTTTGTTTTCGTCTGTCCGCGGCTGGTATGCGACTGGCTCATCGCCGTAGTCTTCATTGAGCGAATCAAGCGCTGACTGAAATCCTGCTGTCCCACTCCGGAATCCTTTGGTAGCATTCTTGCGCCGCTTTGCTTCTTCCTCTTGTCGGTGGACTGCGTATCCGACATCGAAGACTTCGCGGAGGTTGAATGCGCCGGGGGAGCGGAAATCCATCCGACGTTCTGATGCTGTGGAGGGTTGATCGAGGAAACGGGCACTGGCAGGGAGGTACGGAGCTTGGTCTGCACCGACCGGGTCGAGTTGTTGCGGGCCAGTTTGGCGGACGGGGCCATACGGGGTTGCAAGCGGGGGTGCATCTGCCGCAGCGGTTGTCTCCTCGTCCGTCTCCCGGATCCAGGGGTGTGCAAGAAACTCCTTGATCGAATAACGCTTCTCGGGGTCTACCGTGAGCAGGTGTGAGATCAAGTCCTGTGCGGATTTAGAAATGTCATCCCACCAGGGCGACAGGAAGGTATATTGGCCCCGGGCCACCTTCTCCGTGAGAACCTGGATGCTCTCGTCGTAGAATGGTGGGAAACCACAAAGAAGCGTGTACAGGACACAGCCCATGGCCCACATATCCACACTCTTCGAATACCGCTCATCCTTCACAATCTCCGGCGCGGTATAACCGACGGTACCGCATGGAGTCATCGTTTGGCTGTCCCAAATCACCTTGGAGAGGCCAAAGTCTGCAATCTTGATCTTGCCGATGCCTCCCGCGCCAATCCCGGCGGTAAATTCCCCTTCGTCCTCCTTTTCCTCATCACCCGGCTGTAAAGGCTTAGGGTTTTGGCTGGGAATAAACGGGGTTGGGTAAAAGAGTAGATTCTCTGGCTTAATATCTCTGTGAGGTGGTTAGCTGGGGAGTTTCTCGGAGGGGGAAATACACGAACCGATGAACGACGCCTGACGTCTCGTGTAGATACTCAATCGCTTTAGCCACCTGTACGATCACATGCCGACTAAGATCCTCGCTGAAGTAAGTTAATCGCACGATCTGGTGGAATAATTCGCCTCCCGGGCAGAGTTCAAGAATGATGTAATAGTATTGTCGGGATTCGGAGAAATTGATTAGCTTCACGATGTTCGGATGGTCGAGATTGCGCATGATCTGAACTTCCTTGAGGATGTTCGCTCTCTGGAAAAAGGGTCACGAGTCAGCCATGTTCACAATCCAAATCATCTTGAACAAGCGAGGAACCAAAAAAATGGCATTCCGATGATCACAGATGCCACAGAGCAAGTGGAGTGCGTTCTTGAAAGAGATTTGCGCACCTCTGCAGCCCGAGGGACCTTCTTCACACTGGGATGGAGATGGTTGGACTACATAGAAAAAAACAGATTGGCGATGATTTCATGACTACTCCCCGGATGGAGTCGCGTAGCCGCCAGAACAAAAGCCACAGTAGGAAAGAGAGGGGAAATGGAACCGCATCCGTACCTGATTGCTGTTCATTTCGAATTTCCGCACGACCTTGATCGCGACCTCATCGTACTCCATAGTGGAATCCTTGGCGCGGTAGACATTGCTGAAGGCGCCATCGCCCATCTTCTCCAACAAGATCCAGCGCTCCAGACCGGGATATTTGGGCATTTTGGACCGGCTCACGCGCTCCTCGGCGACGAGCCGTTCAATCTCGGCGGCGCGCTCCCGCTTGGTCTGGGCCTCTGCGGCTTTCTGGGCCGCCGTTGGGCCATCCTGTCGGGTGTCGGTGGTATCCAGATTGGCGAAATCGGGGGTGTACAGGCCTTGGGGTTGTGGCTGCTGCTCAGCGTGGACTGGGGAAATGTCGGTGGTGGGTTCGGCATGGGGCGTTACGAGGCGGGCCTGTTTGCCGTGGCGGATGAAATTCTTGATATTTTGTATGGTGCTCATGGTCAAACAATCACTCAGGGGGCTGGAGGTAAAAGGAAGGAGAGGGAAAGGGGAAGGGGGGGGAGGGGGGAGAAGTCTAAAGAAGGCACAACTGGACTGGGAGAGGAGCAAAGAGCAGGAAAGAATGGATGAGGTCAGGGCCGGGATGAGGTCAGGGAGGGCGATGTCATCGTTGTTGCGGGATGGCCGCTGCGCCGAATCCTGTTAGGCATGACGCCAGTCCCCGCCACTGACGCGCCTCTCCATGGCCGATTAGATTAACGGGCGAGGAATCCTGGGTTGTTGATTATGCATATTATTAACCCGTCCACGTCCGATTCGGTCTACGATGATTCTGATTGACCGCGCGTGGGGTCCGAGGGCACGAGATTCTACGTCTTGCGCAAAGTCTGTCCCGATTGATATTCCATTCCTCCTCGATTGATCGTGATCTTGCCCGGGATATCCTTGGTTCCTGTGGAGGTCGATATCGTCATATCGCCACATGTTTGTAACAATGCCCGGTTTCGAACCTGGTCGTAGTAGCCGTTGGAGCCAAGAATGCCAGCCAGAGAAACAAGTCCGTAAGGAGCTGAAACCATAAGTCGCCCGTCCAGGCACGCGAGATTTGGATCTGGACTTCCCCACATGGACCGGTGGTCTCCACGGGGATATGTAGCGGGTTTGTTGATGTGGATGGGAGGATGTTGAAAGAAGAGATGAAAGAGCGACAGAAAGGGAAGAGGCTGGTGATGAGCAGGGGCCACATACACGATTGTGACCTTGGACCCCATTATTCTTCACTCGTCTCCTTTTCATCTTCCGTCTCGTTCTATCTCCCCTCCCCCCCCCCCCGTCCTTCGATGCCCTCTTCGCTGATGGGTGTCGCTGTCCTCTCTTCCTGCCATCACTATCTGGACACACTCCGGGGAATGCGCCCACAGCTTTGAAGGCCTCCCAGCCCAGCCACACCACCGACCGGCCCCCGCAGGCCCCTCCCCCTAAGTGGCACGGCATCCATCCAACTCACACGCCATCGCACACCGGACATCCACAGGGGAATGCAGGACTGGCATCTGTACATATCGAATCGCTGTGTCGCTGCGCCCTGATCGGCTGCTGTACTGTACATAACCTACATACGATCAACTCCCTTGCATGCGACCGAGACAAAGTCCCCTGGCAATTTACCTCTCCTATCCCGAAAGAGACACCTTTGTTTTTCTCTCCATCGCCGATGGTCGCGCGTCTTGCTGGACGATCACTACTGCCCTCACCTCGCGATGCGACCTCGGGATCGACCCTCGCACGAAGCAGTGAGCGCCGATCTTTCAACGACATCGTCTACGAAGAGCGACCGTAAATAACATTGGCTAGTGTCATTGCGCAGCCAGGTGTGAGAAATCATGAGTACGGTGATGGATTCGCAAGTCCTGGAACGACCGCGCCTTCGGTCTCACAAAGTTCTGCCGCGGCGGGGTATCGTCGTTCCCAATATTGAAATCATCCAACCGGCCTCTCCGGATCAACTCACGGGGGCGCCGGCGCCTCCTTTGACTCCTCCCGGCATTGGCCAAGGAGACATTGCTGCGGATGATGAACCCACACCTCGAAAGCTGGGTTCCTCTTTGCTCGATACTCAGACGGGAGGCATGTTGACTCCTCGCCATCCTTCCAAACCTCCAACCCCCGATGTGACGCCGCCTCGGACGAATTCGAGCAAGCGACCGGCCCTTAGTCAATGCATCGATCTTTCCTCCTCCTCTCGCGCGGAGTCATTCCAAACAGCCCGTGAGAGCTTGTCATCGGATACGGACATGGAGACTCCTGTCCGTTCATCTCGGCCCATGTCACGGAAACCCAGACACGGTGTACACTTGAAATCAAATGGCCTAAATGGAATCCACGTGAATGGGGTGAGCGCCAAAGAAACAGCATCCTCTGGCTCACAGCATGTCAGCGAGACGGAATATGAAACTGGTTTCGAGTCCTTTGATGGAGATTGGGGAACCAGCCAGAACGAAGACTCTCCAACCCCGCGAGCAAGATTGAACCAGCCTGGCGAAGTCCGCCATCGATCGGGCCGCAAGTCGGACTTCGACCGCAATGATGCGTTGGATGTAGAGCATCTCAACGCCTCTTTGATTAAAGAAAAGACTCTACGCGATCGGGTCCACTCGCGTGAAGTCGCACCGAGCGCGTCCGTGGAACGATTCCGCGAAGATATTGGTTGGCCTTCCTCCGATATCCCGCCGTCACAGAGTGACAATGCCGATACTCGTCGGTTCTCGGGAGTTTCCAGCACATCGACGGTGGAGGCGATGATCATTGATTCCCCCAAACGCGCCAAGCAGACGCTGCGACATACGGAGAAGAGGAACTCACTGCGCTCCGCCAGCTCCCCCATAACGAGATCTGAGCGTACATCCGTGGTGTCGAGCTCTGAATCGCCACATCGCCTCATCCACAAGGCCGCCCGAATCTCGGACCAGGATCGCCGCAGTGTGTCTTCCGACATCTCCTTTTCCACCAAGACTACGACGAGTGCGCTGCACCCTAATATCGAGATCATTCCGGTGGTCGTTGTGCCTGAAAGGCGCTCGTCCTTGCAGTCAGGCCCTAACAGTTATGTGTCTTCCAAGCCCGGCTCTCAACGGTCCAGTCAACGTCCAACAGCGCCTGCTGGCTCCGTGGATGCAGCATGGAAAAAGAAGAAACGAACCATGTCCGATTCGGTTTCTAGCCGGTCCCAGGAGACGACGGATGCTCGGGGTCGACATTTCAGCCGACCTATCATTCCTCCTCGCAGCTCATCCCTTTCTGCGCCAACAAGTCAAAATAATTCCCGCGCTACATCCCTGACGTCAGCGAGCTTGCGAAGTCATACATTGGCCATGGATCTGGAGATGGAAAAGCAACGTCAGCTGCAGCAGCCCGTGTCACCTCCCCGGAACAATATTCTCGGTGTGAAGGCGCCTGGTTTGCTGGAACCACCCAATTTGCAGGCGGTGATCATCAGTTCTGATGACTTGCTCCAACCTCCATCTTTGCCCTTCACACCAAGCTCGGTCCCCTCGTCGTCGCCCGGTCCGATAGAAATCCAGGAGGCCACCGCTATCAGCCTATTTGCTCATAACAATCACTCCCTCCTTTTGGTCGACCCTCGAGGGCAGGCGCAGCCACGCGGTCTACCTGGATTGGGACTGCAACCAACTCGCAGAAACACGACACCAGATCGCCTCATCCAAGGGACGGCGCACGTGGAATCTCCACTGAGAAACCCTCGACCTCCACCTCAGCCCCCAATCGGCAAGCCTCTCCCGCCACTTCCCCCACAGGGGCAGGAGGCCAGCCAGAACAGTGACGGTCTTCTGGGACGGCGATGGAACTCTGTTCGTCAAACTTTGGGGAACAATCGGCCTCGTTCGGATTCCTTCAACACCCTGACGCGGTCTTTTTCCATGAAATCGGCCAAGAACCGTAAATCGGGCATGGAGATAGACAGCAAGCTCCATCCGTTTTGGCGGCCGCGTGGTTTCTGGGAAAATGTTCCTGGTTCCCCGAAGAAAGAGGACTCGTCCGGTCAGCGGAACGCTCCAAACCCCGACGAAGGCCGGATTATCAACAACTCACTGGGTCTGCCGCAATATCGGGTCGTCATTGAAGGTCCACCTTCTCTGGCACGCCGTAGCCCCGAAATGAGACAGCTTTTGGACGGCATGTCGTCGACTCTCCAGCTCCATCACAATGCCAGCCGGGGCAGTTTGGCCGATCGCAAGATCCTCCGCACTGGATCCCCGCTATATCAGCATCGTTACCGAGCCCTGTCTCGCTGGGGACTCCGGCTGCGAGCCATGTCCCTGCGTAACGTGCGCAGTCGCCTGCGGCGCGTTCGTCAACGACGAGAGGAGCGCAAGCGAGCAGCCCGGAGGGATACCCTTAAACAAAGCATTGGCGTACCCGTTTATGTTGCTTCCAGCGTCCCCCATGGTTTGGTCGCGAGCTGATTTTTCTCTTATCCTGCCACGTTTTACCTATACCCCTCGACTGCGTCTTCTTCTGATTGGATATGTTTCGCCACGCTTTGACGATATCTACGATGATGCATCTGGGCGTCTTTCTATCTATGCCATTTTTGCTTTTCACCTTTTTGTTTTTGCAAAACGAAATCCACGACCATGATTTACGAGAGCACGGGACGATGCTTATGACGTGAACGACGATTGAAATCTCACCTACACCGCGTTGATATATTTGCTGCCTTGATTTGTTGTGTTTCTGCTTTCTGTTTATTGTTCCTGGCTTTCAGATGTACTATAAGCCTGGTTCTACAATTCACGCTTTACATTTTTCTCGCCAATATCATCAATCATAACCTCGTAAACATGGAGGTCATCAACGCCTCCCACTCCAGTACACTCCCCCTCTCCTCCCCCAGCTCTCCCCCTCCTCCGTCCTCTACCCCTTAAACTCGACCGTCCCCGAATCGCCATAGTCCCATACTCAACCTCCCTCTCCCGTCTCCGCCTCCTCTCGTCCCCAGTTTCCGGCCCCGTCGCCCCAGACTCGCTCGTATCTTCTCCTTCTCTTTCCTTACCAGCCTCACCCCCGCGCACTTCATCCGCAGATCTAGACTGTATCGCTGCCTTCGCGCGCTGCGTTCTTAGTATCGATTCCCACACCGGCGGATCGAGGAAGGGCTGCGGGATGGCGGAGAAAGAGACTTCGATGCGGGGGGGTTTGGGGTCTGATTCTTCTTCTAGGAGCCCTTGATCCCTGTCTTCTTGGCTGTTTGTATAATTTGGATGTGCACCCTTGGTTCGTATTGAGGCTGCTATTGCACTGGGGTTGAGGATTCGCTTCGGGTGGTAGGGATGTGTTGTTGCTGTTGGTGGGAGGAGACTGCGTTTGTTGGGGATGAGCAGGGTTGAGAGGGATCGGGAGCGTTTTGGGTTTGGTTTTTTGGAGGACATTTCTGTTTCCTAGTAGATGTATATAGATACCTTGTATAGGAAGAGAAGGGAGTAGTGAGAATAGAAGAGAGAATGCGATGCAGTGGGCGGGATGAGGTTCTTATCGCTTATCAACGCGACAGTCATGAACTATGCGCTTCGCGAACTATTCCCAATCTGATAACCTGTCCTGCGCGTTTGTTCTGTTCTGCTCATTTCTTCCTCTCCCGCAACACAACCCTCAAACTGAGATTCGGCACGTAAAACTCCTCAAACGAAAGCGACCCCTTTATCGAGCCGCTGGCATCATCCGGCATGAGGACATCATAGTTGACAAGCAGATGCGCAAAAACAACTTTCATTAGAGCACTAGCCATCCACCTACCGGGACTAGATGCCACAACGAAAACTGGTCAGCTGATGACAACAATAACGAAAGGAGGAGAGAGAGAAAAGCAGTTGGGATTGAAATCCAGAGATGCGGGAGGGGAACAAAACAAAATCTCACCAGGCATGCACGCCCATCCCGAAGACGAGGTAGTCCGGGCTTAAATCCACGAGCCTCGTATTCTGCGCGCCGGCTGCGGCGCGCTTTGCGAAGCGGAAGCCATCGAAAAAATCAGGGCTGGCGTAGTGGGTGCTCAAGCGCTGGATGACGGCGCTGGGAACGCCAACGTGGGTTCCTCGCTGGAGGGTGATTCCTATTTCATGTTGTGGTAGGTTAGTTAGTGGATACATTCTTTTCCCATAAATAATATTCCTACCGTTGGATAGTTCCAGTGGCTTGACGCAGACTCGATGCGCAGACACTGCAATACGCTGTTAGTCTTCTGTACACAGTACGCCCTCTGTATGGAACCGCGTCACATCACATACCGGCTGCAGGTGGATGCAGCCGCTGACACTCTTTCAGGAAAGAATCCAGCAGTTTCATTCGATTACACGCTGAGACAGTGGCGCCGTCGCCGAACAGGGCCTCGACCTCGCCGCGCAGGGGTGCGATGTATTCTGGGCGTCGGGCGAGCTCGGCCAGTGCACCGTAGAGAGCCTGGAGGACTATCGGTTATCACTTTGATACGGTCTGTTCTGGGGATGAATGGAGTGCCCTTACATAGGCTGTCGTGTAGATGAAGGCAAACTGCAGCAGGAGCATCTCGCCGATGACTTCTGAGTAACTCCATCGCTGGCGGAGAAGGGAGCTCTCGTACAGCCAGCGGAAGATCTCGACCTAGACAGGACCTGTTCAGGATCTTCATATGTGTGGACGGTGTGTATGCGGGATAGTACCGGCCTGTCTACGCTCTCGGTACTAGCTTTCTGGTTATCTGGCTCAAATGCAGTAGCCATCTCATCATGATATTCGGCAGCCCGCGCATTGAAGTGCTTAAGCAATATCCTGCGTGATGCATGCATATCCCAGCGCGTCCCCAATGTAGCCAGGCGACTAACGAACCCGCCGATATATCTGCGCGATCATATAGAATTCCGAGGTCAGCTGCTAAACCGACATAGAGCATGGTGCATGCAATCTCACCGTTTCAGGCAATCTGGGACCAGAAACTGTACACGAGTGGTCATGATCATCCCGAGGATATGCTCCTTGACGGCCTTCAGATACTCCTCATTCTGCGAGAGACGTTCACCAACCAGGGCGAAGCTACCGCTTCGTGCGACAATCGAGTACGCAAAGTCGAAGCAGTTGACGGCACATTCTGGGTTGGGTGTTAGTGAGACCGAATCTCATCTCGATATTGGCAGACGTACCACCATTCTTGAACTCCAGTGTGCGAAACTGAGAGAGGATTGCCTCGTCCATAGAGGGCATGTATCGATCCAGCTGCTTGTACACCATGCCTCGAATGAGCCCCGGCGTAGTTTTGGCAATGGCAGGCCATCCGCCACCCTTGGGAAAGTAGCCCGGCATGACATGGGAGATCTGGAGAAGCTGAATGGTAGGGTTACAGTTTCAGTGACAACGTTCGTCCAAGGCATGCAAGTAGAGGAGCCCGTTTGCTTACCTGGTCAATCCACGGCTCTGGCGACGCAACTGCACTCCGCGTATTCTGGAGTTCTTCGATCAGCTTGGGACTGCATAGGATGATTTGCCCGAAGCGAAAGGTGCGCGGGATCTCGAACAGCGAGTTGGAAAATCGCGCATAGCCGCTTTTGATCAGGCCTGGTCCGTCAATGACGAAGCGGTAGTGTTGGTACAGGGTTGCCAGGGCACTCTTGCCCGCAGCAAAGGGGATACAGTCCTATATATTGGGACGAAATGGGTTAGCAGGATGGTGGAGATGTCGTCTGATCAGACTGTCCGGTGTCTTGCACTGGGCAGATAGGAAACGGAAAGAATGGCTGACATGAGACAGGCGCTTCGAGGTTATCACCAACGCAGTAGCTGCCACCAAGCCCAGGACCAAAACAACCACAAGGATCATCATGAAAGTGCCTGGCCCAGCGCCATCAGACCAATATGATCTAACCACCATGCCTCTTCCCGGTCCCATATAGAAGTCAAGCGTCAATGGCAAGTAAGAATACTTGATAGGTCACAGAAAGGAGGGAAATAAGCAGGGAGGTAAGTGGGAAAAGCCTTGCCCATATGAAGGGCTGTAGAGATAACCCTAGATAAGGAAAGAGCAAGAAAGAGATGTATTATTATAGAGGTAGCCACCAGCATCAGCCCTAACTAGTGGGAAGACTTCAGTGGTAAGGATCAAGCCATATCAGAGATATTAACTGCGTGATAAACAATTCAAGGTGACGAGAAGTCAATGTGTGATATTTACTGCAGCAAAGTGCTGCACGGGACCAAAGGCCTTAACATATTGACACAACAGGTCGTATAGTACGCTGACACACTAATCAAATCCCAAATAACAAAACGCCCGGGAAGGTATCACAGGATTGGATCCCCGATGGTATAATGATACAGGCAGAGATGACTGCAACACTACGCCCCGCACAAGCACCAACAAGAACGCCACATAAATCCATAAACAGTTCCTTTGGCAGACACTAGGCAATGCCTTGGTTCTCCACCCCACCCATGGTTGAATACGAGTAGGGCAGATCGACCAGGCCATCCAGCAGCCAGTTGAGTGGATCGAACACTTCGTAGTTCGGTTCCATGAACCCACTCGGAAGTCCGCCGACCCCGTTCCCGGATGCTTGGACTCCAAGGCTGGCTTGGGGGAGTATCGGTGCCGGAGCTAGGCTCGGGTCGCCGCCTGTGATGACGGGGGTCGAGGAGGAGGTGCGGACAGGACCGACGGATGAGGCTGCGGATGAATCGGCTGCCGAGTCTGGATTGGTCGGGTTCTTCAAGTAGGCTATGCAGATATCAGCGCCAATTCTATAATAAAGCACAACGAATACTGACCTTCAATGTTGCGTCCCTTTGTCCGCGTATCTTCACGCCATCGCCATACGGAGTCGAAGAGTAGCGACATGCTCATGCGGCAACGGACTTTCAGTCGCAAAGAATCATCGACATCGGGATTATTGCTGGTGGACCGCTGAGGCCCACTTCCCAACCTCCACATCTGTGCGAGTACTTCGGCCAACCGTTCAGGCAGGTCATTGCTCGATACAGACACTCCCCGGATTGCCCAAATGGTTCGATTGAAAAGGTGTTTGGTGTACTCCATGTCAATGTGAGCCGCAAAGAAACTCTTGGACAATTTTAAAAGTGTGCAGCCTCCTGCAACCATCATCTGGTAAACGTAGTAAGGGGTATAAGAAAGAACAGGCCCAACTTCGGTCTCAAGGTTCATGGCACCTTCAAGGAATGAAGTGGTCGCGACATAAAGGGATAATAGACGCTCACGATAATCCTTCGTATCTGGATCGTCAAAAAAAGCGGAAAGATGCAAATGAAGATTCGATGCACGGAGGTACAGGTCGGTAATGCCTAGTCCAATTAATATCTCGTAAGTTGGAAAGATGTCGTAGACGTACTGTCATTATTGTGGGGTTTCAGCTGTTCTTCAAGCTCGTCGAAGTCCCTTGAGAGGAATGAGATCATCGTCGATCTCTCCCTGTCACTGGTCAACCCAACAGGGTCACGTCGGTTGTTGTATAATGCTCTAGTAATCTTGTCACAGAAACGTTCAATCTCAAGCTTAGGCTTGATATCCCCTGGAAGTTTGAAATTTGGATCCGCTGAATCACTGGACAACGTCCAGTCATAAAGGGTAGATGGCGGCTGACCATAGCCGGTAGACACTCGCTGAGCAACAATGTTGCAAATGGCCCAAGTCCGCACTTTGTCTTTCAACTCCTCCTCAATGAGTTCCACCCGGAACTTGCTGAAGTCCTGGGTATGGGATGGGCGATGAAGACCGAGCTGCATCGCCACCTGAACCATCATTCCGCACAGCATGAAGGTCGGGTCGGTGGAAGTGCTACTTGTGGGGAATGGCCAGGAGCAAAGCAGGCAGAGCGCTTTCACAACATGGTAGCTCTGGGGAATGTCCGCTAGTGTGCTCCATACAAGTCGTGTAACCGGGCCCGCAAGAGAATTCAGCAGGTTTGAATCGCTTTGGTAGCGTCGCGCACCAACGCTAATGATTGTCCAAAAAAGTAATGGCGAGGCGTTATAATAATCATCCGGAGACTGTTTGCGATCGAGGAATGGGAGAAATGGATGGTAGAACATGAAGAACCTTGAGAAACAATTAGAACGTGCACGAAGGTCATGAGTTCATACCAAGGCTTACAGGTTAAACAGCTCGGTCACTTTCTCCGGGACGACGATGACATCTTCAATACGCTTAAACTGGGTCCCTCCGTTCCTCATGTAGTTGGAGCCGTCAAATCCGGAGCGCAGATCCAAAAGCGATGCAACGGCTTCCTGGGATCCCATGTATTGGTCCGCGGCCGTGGACATGGCTGATGGGGTCTGATAAATGGCCGCCGGACTCACTTGGCTGGAGTCCTGCTTGGGTGTCATCTGCCCTGCCCCCGTAATCTGTTGCTGTTGCCGTGGTGTAATAGGGGCACTCGAGGAAGCAATTTGCTTCCTAAGCTCCATAATCTCGCGTTCCATCTCTGCATTGCGGCTGCGTTTCCCCACTCGTTTGAAATTGGACTCGATTTTGCAGTCTAGCTTTAATCGGCGACACCGTGAGCAGTCGGTCCAGGGGTCTTGAATGACATCGCATCGTAGCTATCATAGCACAGTGAAGTTAGCAAGAGAATTCGGAAGGAAGGCATCTCGTTCCGGTGGCGCATATGGCCTATTCCGCGGGGGCATCACATCACACAAGTGGGATGTTGCTACGCACCTTTTGTTGGCGGCATTCGTTGCAGGCGCGCTTGACTGGCTGTCTCCTTTTATCTTCACGCAGATCGCTGTCATCTACATCTTCCATGCTTCCTGGGGAGCTGTCTATCCCCGCAATGGTGACATTGCGCTTGCGACTCTGTACGCCATCGGCACCCCCGGGGGTCGGCGCATGATTAACACCCGCCATTACGGGAACGGTTGCATCCAACGCATTCTCGGTCGGGACTGTAGGTCAAGAGTTTCGATGCGCTATCCCCCACACAATGTGCTGGATGGCGGACGATGCAATCGGGTTCGACTTTTTGGCCGGCAGTGGGAAAGCCGGGTGGAATTTTCGGATGGCGATGGCTAATGTCGATGCCTGGTTCGGTCACCCAGACTCACTTGGCAAGGAACGTGATGAGCAAAGGTCAAATCTCGTCCCATTTGCGGTGACTCGGTGACTCAGGCCCCGCAATCACGTGCTACTAAGGTCATGTGATTTATCAGGTGATCCGGGGCAAGTATAACCAAGAGATAAGACTGAGTTTCAGATTGTGGGCCATGGATGGTTCCATAGCCCCCGGGTGAGATCATCTGCTGCTCGCGGGGGTTGGGTCCGTTTGGGGGCAGTGCAGTGGCAGTTCCCCAATACGACCACGCCCGGCTCCGCCTAGCTGTCTCCCAACCAATAATCGGCCTTTATCGTCGCTACAATGCGAGGCCCTTCCGACTCGCGCCAAGGATTTAGCCTTCTTCGGGGAAATCCAGCGAATTCGCTTAGAAGCCTTGACAACATTCCAAGCAAGGCTTAGCAACGACGCCCGATCAGCTTCTCCTCCCAACGTGCTTGGCGCCGCACGACATAGAACAGCAGGCCGTTTTACAAGCCTCAATCAGCCTTTACCATCTGCAACCCTTGTACGTGTCGACATCATCGTGGGGGCCGAGATTGTCCCCCGTTCATGATCAGCCCCAACGACGTCAGACTGCCCTATATAAATCTGCGGCGGCCCCTCAGCCTTTTTGAAGTTTTGTCTCATACATCAAACCTTCATCGTAGTCATGGGTCTCTTGACGAAGAAGGATTCTCCGCCCAAAGAGGCTCCCACAACGGACAAGGGCGATTCCTCCAGCGAACGTCCGCCCTCGTACTCTCAGGAGCAGCGAATCTCTCTTGAACTGCCCAAGCTGGACCTCACCAGAGAGCTCCGAGATCCTCACTTCTACCCTGTCAGCACTCACCAAGTTGTCGCTCATCTCAAACTTTTGACCGTCCTAGCCGACTTGCGAGATACTATCTCCAACAACGATGGGCTCTTTGGAATCTCCGATGCCGCGGCCAAGCTCCTGACCGAGGAAGCCAAGGTGGAAGCCCAAGCCCGAATTCGTGAAAAGCGCTGGGCCGTGTATACTGCCCGTGCAGTTGACCGATATACCAAATGGTGGCAAAGTGGGCTTCCCAGCTCACATGCACCGTTCACGACGACAGACCTCGAGCAACAGGACTATGAAAAACAAGCTACGAAATGCAACACCCTCGTAGCTTGGGATGTCAACAACCTCCCGCCTATCGGTGAGCAAGAGATGATGACATGGCCGAGAAACTTTACTAATTTAGTTAGACGTGTTGATGGTGTGGCATTCCCACATGCTGAACCCCCGGAACTATCTTGAAGATTGTATCCGATATGGCAAGCTGAGTACCTGGGAGACTGGATTCCCATGGGATCCAATCAACCGCTGCATCAATGACCGTACGATGGAATATACTGTCAGCGAGCAGCCCCAGCGCCTGTTTGAACAGCAGGTCCATGTGAAGTGGGACAATCTAGATGATCCACCCAACAAGGAAATCCAGTGTCCCGCCTGCTCTTCGGCGAATCTTGTCCCGTGGACGACAGGAGACATGGGGCCAACGGCCAAGGACGCCTTCAAGGACTCCCGAGGCTACGCCGACAACTCGTTCGAAGCTACCTGCAATAGGTGCAAGTTCACCATCAACCACGAGCTCCTTAAGGTGGCCAAGTTCCGCAGTGACGCTGAATCCCTTCTAAACAAGAACCTTCCCATGCCTGGAACATTTTACAACATCAATGGTATCCCAGAGGGACCGCCTCCTACTAGATTTGCATCTCGCGACTTGACTCATCAAAATATGCTGTTTGTAAATCGGTTTATAAGAGCAATAGCGAATGAGTTACTCGCCACTACCGATGCGCGGCTTCGTCAGTGCAAGAACATTGACGATTTGCGAACATTCCTAGAAAGCAAGCTGACCGATAAGAGCGTCTTGTCACAGGCATGTGGCTCGACTTTGCCCCTGTTGCGTCCGGCGGAGAAGGTGCATTTTCGACGAATGATGGCGCGGTACTGGGATAACGTCGGTCCTTTCGCGCTGGACCTGGTGGGCGCAGTGATTCGTCAGGGAACCTTTGTGCAGAAAATGGACAATATCGATTGGTTGCATTCGCCCACTGTCGTAGACACTGCCGAGCGAACTATTGCAAAGTATATGGTCTTTTTTGGAATCATGATGGACCATCCACGAAATATGGCTGTGCCTACCTTGGACGTCGATTTGGCCTGGCATACCCACCAGCTGGCGCCATCGAGATACTACACCATGAGCACATACCGCGCTACAAAGAACGTCCGTCGCTTCGTCGATCATGACGACAAGGTCGATGAGAATAAGCTCTCCGATGGCTTTGAATGGACCAGCAGGATGTACCGACGCGCTACCAGCGGTGGGATCTACAGCGAATGCACCTGCTGGTACTGCGAGGCGACCCGAGCACCAGATCTGTACGAACGGAAATTTGCCATTGGATCAGCTTCGCGAGCCCGTCGCGCCGCTGATTCTCTACACGACAACCCAGATATCTCATCTGACCCGAACAAGAATCTGCATATCTCAGCGCACAACGCTGTTCGCCCGAAAGCTGTCAATATCTTGGACGACGGAGCCAGTCGGCTACAGAGGATCCGGCTTGAGCAGTGGTACGAAAAGTCCGCGCGTCGGGCTGAGAAGCGCGGTCGTGCTCGCAGCGATCCGAGGTCAACACGGGATGGCGGCTACGGGCCTATGTACTACTACCCATATGCCTGGGGTTACCCCATGTTGATCCCCTACTACGGTCCGTACATGTGCGACCCCGGTGTCAACTCTGCCTCCTACGCCTGCAATCCAAGCTGCATGAGCCTTGCCTCTGGGGCTACGGGCAATTGTGCTGCTGGGACCTGCGGTGGAGGTGTTGCTGCAGGTGGCTGTGGTGGCATAGGCGCAGGTGCCGGATGCGCCGGTGCTGCATGCGCAGGGGGTGGAACTGGAGGAGGCGCAGCTTGTGGAGGAGCAGCAGGTGGTGGTTGCGGGGGGAGGGGGGAGGCGGATTTGGTGGATGTGGAGGTGGCGGCGGATTTGGAGGTGGAGGTGGCGGCGGATTTGCATGTGGAGGTGGCGGCGGCGGATGCGGCGGTGGTGGAGGAGGTGGTGGTTAAGAACGACTTTCCCCTTTCAACCTCTTCGTGGGAGGACTAGAACGATTGGTGGTATTGCGACTGGCCGGCCTACGGGGATTTTTTGAATGGGATGGATGGTAAGGTATTCGCTGCCTACATAGGCGAATCCAGTCCTTGAACATCTGCAAATTGGTTTCCCTTTCATGTTATATACGGTTTTGCCTGTATGATTATTCTGCTTTTTGGTGTAATACTCTCTTTGTACACCCTTTCGCAAGTTGCCTGTCTCAAGTTGACTGTTATGAGAATGCTCAAATGCTGGGCTCTCGACTATGCCATTAAACACCAATATTGGTGACCTTTCTGAATTTTTACTTCGCATACACTTTCTCCATTCCATACAGCCCAATTAATGCGTTCTCCAATGCTCATCGTCATCAGTATAGAGTGTAAAGCACGTGATCGCTGATGCCCTGGTCGGTTCCAAGGGGGTCGGCATAAATCAGCATATAACATCAAAATGCTACCAGAGACTCATTATAACAGCTATCAAAGCGGTACCTAACTCTTGAATCGATCAGGATTAGCTTCCAACCAGGAATGATCATGCGCCAAGATAACCTCCACCGGCAATAGCTCCTTAAGTTTTCTCACCAAGCCAAGATGAATATCCGCCATCTCCTTATTCGCATGGGCACATTTAAATAAACCCGTGTGCGGATCGGTGTATATTGCCGTTTCGGCTGATCCACTCAAGATGGAAGGATCATGTGTCGAGTCCGCAGCCAGATATACCCACTTGTCCGAACCCGTATGAAGTAGGAGATTCAGATGCCCTGGTAGATGACCAGGAGCATCAACCACATACATTGACCCATCACCAAACCAGTCATGCACAGCAGAGAATGGCTCTAGACTAGTCCAATATGACGCCTCAGACGAAGGCGGAAGCTCTTCCGTGCGATCATGTGGCAGCGCATTGGAGTCGAAGTGGCCCGCCTTATTTGTGGGGTATGCATCTTTTCCTTCAATCAAGGTCTTTGCTCCAGGGCCGATTATAAAGCGAGTGCATGGGCCGAATCCAGAAGGGTCTCCGATATGGTCCCAGTGCAGATGCGAAATAATCACACTGTCCACGTCGGACTTCGGATTTATTCCCGCTTGCTCAAGACTGGTAATGGAATCTTGTTGAACGTCTGTTAAAATTACTGTCTTCAGTCGCTCGTGGACGGCCGGTGGGTAATTCTCAATATCTTTACGCACGCCAAGGTCGAAGACGATCTTTGTCTGGGAGGGTTCATGCGTGATCAACCAGCACATCGATGGGACTCGACGGATGTTTTCTGTCGAGGCGCCTTTCACGAAAAGGTGCATGGGCAACTCCAGGTAGCCGCCCTCCAACCTTTGTAGGCGGACAATGCCGCTGCTCTTGGGTGCGGGGGACATGTTTGAGGCTGGGCACTAGATATCTGGTGGGCGGGACCTTCGTATTTATTTCATGGCTGACCCTAAGTCGGATGCTTGTCCGATACCGAGGCATTTTGTCTTCGGTCTGAGAGATGCAACGGAATTTGAATGTCCGACGATTCTACTGTTTCATACTGTGTCGATCTATGCGGCTAACCTGCATGAAACCAATCTATTCAACCTCACGTATAACAGATATTACACATCTAATTCCATCTCATGAGCATCGTGCCAAGTATTTATTGCCTAGACAGCCAGACGGCCTCCATCAACGGCGAGATTGGTTCCACTAATGAATGAAGAATCGTCGCATGCAAGGAAAACGGCCGACTTGGCAACATCCTCAGGTTCCGACTGGCGGCCCAAAGGGACGGTTTTTGCGAAACGAGCACGCTCCTCGGGGGAATCGGGGACCCCGCTGAACTTTTCCAGCAGTGCCGTGGTGCCACGCACGGGACAAACTGAGTTGATTCGGATTCCGTAAGGACCATACTCCGCTGCGAGACCCTGCGTAATCTAGATACCAGAATTAGTGATAACTTGACTGTGGAGTAAACCGGAAAACCTACCCGATTAACCCAAGCCTTGCTCGCGCCGTACCAAACCTGCCCAGGACGCACTCGTGTCCCCGCAACGGACGAGGTATTGAGGTAGACGCCGAACTTGCGCTCCACGAAATAAGGCATGACGACCGCAACACTCCAGTAAATGCTCTTCGTATTAACAGTCATAACCTTGTCAAAATCCTCCTCCGTCACCCCCATACTGTCCTGCTTGATGTATGTGGTGCCCGCATTATTCACGACGATATCGAGTTGCCCAAACTGCTTCACAGCGAGATCCAAAGCGGCTTGCCAGTCCGCCTTTTTGATCACATTGCACTCAATAAAGACTGCTTTTCCTCCCGAGGGGTAGTTCTTTGCAGTGATTTCAGAGGCCACGCGCTTCCCGTTTTCCACTGCAACGTCGGCAACCAGCACGTTTGCGCCTTCGGCGACGTAGCTGTGCGCAATGGCTTCACCAAATCCAGAGCCCGCGCCTGTAACCAGCGCAACCTTGCCAGAAAGCTTGCCCATTTCGTCTTGGATTTGAATGAAGAGTATGAGAGGGGGAATAGGTTTGTGGAAGTCGAAGAGTCGAGGTTGGTTTAGACTTGACAACGGGAACAGCGGGAATAGCTAATTATAATGATATTCACTTCATGTCTAATCGGTCCTGCCTAGGTCCACTCTTCTTATGACGTTCGGTGTGGTTCTGTCAATGCGGAGTACAATAAACTGTAACAGTGTAGAACAACCTCGGCCTTCCCCGCGCTGTCGCTTTTCGGACGGTCACTCTCCGTTAGCTTGCTGCGCTATTCAGCTGATTGGATAGATATCTTGCAATATTCGAAGAGAGTATACCCCAGACCAGGGTATATGATACTTTGCAAAGCCCGCGGCACTATCTACGGATATAAATTGTAATCACTGCAAAAATTGGACTAAATCTTGGGGGCAATTTTGATAATATTAATCCAAGACGCACTAAATTCTACATCACAGAATTATTCCTTACAAAAGCATCCCCTTGGTTAGACATATCGCCAAAAGGAATTATGGGTCCATCCATGAACCCAAACAACGGATCTAGCGGCACATCAATGTCCAAGGCGCCTCCGCCCTGATTACCTGTACCCGAGATCCCGCTGGCATCAATATCCGGAAATGTACTGAAGATCATTTCTAGGTCAAATGGGAGCATAGACTGGGTAGTAGGTATCATTGCGCGATCTACTCATGTTAGATAATGCTTTCGGCGTGTGGGTATCGGAAAAACTCACCAATATCCAAATTAATCTTATTTGCTGCAATGAGCCTCCGAATAATGCTCACGGGGCGTCTGATTCCGGGATTTGCTTGGCACATGATGTTAAGGCACTCAAGTCCCGCTCGCAAGAGCGAAACATGCTCGTAACTCCCTGTTACTTCTCCGGCAGCATTTCGTACATGGATTGTACACGCAACGTAAATGGCGTAGCTGAGGATGTAAGGTGCTTTGGAGAGGCCATACGCCGCTTTATAGGATTCGGCAATGTGGGAGATCATCTGCGCCGCCGTAGTGCAATGGACCCAAGAGTGTTGTGGTACAGTCCTTGAGCGGAGATGGCCATCTGAGATAAACGGCCGATGCAACAAAATAATAAGGGAATGGTAGATGCCATGCAAGTTCATCACGTTGGGTGCTGGATACGAACCGGGGTTCTCGCCTTGGACTTGGAAGTCCAACTCCGGGGGGAAGATTTCGCTTCCACTTTTCCAAAGCAGCTTCGACCATTTGTAGGCTAGAATGGGCATTGGAGAAAGTGGCGCCCACCACATAAAATCGATCTATGATGACAGCCATAATTTTTGATAGTGAGCACATCTGTCGAAAAACAGAAACCGAGTATATTGGCGAGGAACATGGCGCAGAGGACACGAAAACGTCGTTTTCTTCGAAAGTGTCGAGAAAGTCACGGGAGACACGGGTGTCACGGAGATGGAGACCAACTGGTCGTCCTAGATATAGACTCTGCAGTTTGTCACAGATAAATATGCCCCAGAAGACACGTCGGCGAATTTCAATGTCTTCAGCATTATCAGTAGTCTCTTGGGGATCGAGATGAAGCCCCAAGTCATATGCCATGCGCAGAGCGTACCCGGTGAACAGCCATGACTTGGAGATATCCCCACGTGCATTGTATGTCGACCCGAGAAGTACGAGTCCCACCACGGTTGGAATGCTGGGGTTCATGAGCAGACCCTGCTCGGCAATTAGCCTGTCACAAGTAACGAAGAAGGGGTTGTCTTGGTGCTGCATTTCTTCTGAGAACTTGCTGGAACAAGCAAATATGGCATTAAGCAGAAAAGGCGATGAGTACGGGCCGCCCGTCTTCAGATCGCGCATAATTGCGGGACGGTAGGTCAAGAGGAATGTGTGATGCTGTCGAGACCAATGCACATTTAACAGATGGAGGGCGAGCTGTATTGGCACGCCCGCAATATCAGTGAATCGAGAAAATTCATGTTCTGACTGTCGTTGTAGAGCTGCATTGGCAATTAGGCTGTTCTTCCTGTGTTCCAATGTTTGGCTTTTGGCGGAGGGCAGGACTTGCTCTCCATTAGTGGGAACATGTAATGCCGATGAGGGACCAAAAGTACTCGGGTTGCCCGCTTCATCGATGGAAATGAACTGTGTCACGTCCAGATCTTCATCGTCCGAGTCAATCACACTCATTAAGCTACCGCGGCGCGGAGATTGTCTGGAATAATTTCCTTCGATCAACGCCTTTGAATATTGACTCGCTTCTTCTGGTGGTGCCTCGAAGCGCACACTCTCTATCGAGGTCGACGATAGTAGTACATCTCGTTCCTCTGTAGATGCTTTTTTGAGAGCTGCTATGAAGGACTTGAGAGAAGTTCGCTCTTGTTGCAATTCATTGATTTGGGCAAGCGTTGGTCTAAACACATGTTACGCCGGGGCTTCTTGATCGATGGGATTCTAGGCTAACCTTTTCCGCGGCGTCTCAAAGTGGTAGACGCATTCTCGATTCTGGCTGGCGCACGCTGTGCAACGCGGCCTAGCCGTGTCACAGCGGATCTTTCGGCTCCGGCAGAGAAGACAAGCCCGGGCAATAATTTTCGGGTGGCCCGAGTTTGATTTCGGAGACTTCGGAGACTTCGGCGACATCTGGCCTGTCTATCTTTGTCAGGCGCTGGGGGTATGGAATGCGATAGCAAGGAAGGATTGAAAGATTAGATCGGGAGTTGTCTCTCCGGCCGGTTCATATAGCACAACTGCCGCGCTTCGTTTCGGCCCACACGAAAACTGTGTGGGTTGCTAATGCACCCCGGATTCGGTTGTCAATCGCCCCCAAAACCCCGTCCCCGCACCTCGCACCAAAGTCCGATGTCGCCCCATCCTGTGGGTGCCGGATTAATGATTGTAATGATATGGCAAAGAAGAATGAGCAGAAAGGTGTTGAATTCAGCTATCAGATCATATATTGTCGTAGTCCTGTATCTGTTAAAATAAATAAAAAAAGACTAAAACGTGGCGCATGCAATTCAAATGGCCAACGAGGCTCTTAAATCCCGATGGTGATGCTCTTGACATCCAGATACTCCTCCAGCGCAGCAAGTCCTCCCTCCCGACCAAGACCACTTTCACGAACACCTCCGAATGGTTGTTCAGCGGCGCTGACCAGTCCAACACGAGCACCGACCATGCCGACTTTGAGGGCCTCGCTCACTCGGAAAATGCGTGAGATATCCTCTGTGTAGAAATAGCCGGCAAGCCCGACATCGGAATCATTTGCCATGTCAATAGCCTCCTGCTCAGTCTCAAAGGGAATCAAAAAGGCCACCGGTCCAAATGTCTCTTCGCTCAGGAATTTCATGCCTGCCTTCGTACCGATGACAACGGTCGGGTGGACAAAGTTCGGACCATCCGTGTCGGAAGCTCCGCCTGAGTGAATCTTCGCCCCCTTTTGAATTGCGTCCTGAAGATGGTCCTTTACTTTGGCAATACCCTTACTGCAGTACAAAGGACCGAAGTTGACCTTTCGGTCCCAAACGGACCCGTAAACGAATGTCTTGTCGATACATGCTCGGAGCACATCGGCGAAACGATCTAGGATTGAGGCGTGAACGAATACACGATTAGCGCAGACACAGGTCTGGCCTGACGATCGGTACTTTGATGTAATCAGTCCTACAAATAGTTAGCCATTAGGACAAAAATATACCACTTCGGACAACTAGAAAGAACGGCTTACCTTGAGCCGCTTTCTCTAGATCAGCGTCTTCGAAGACAAGGAAAGGAGCATTGCCTCCAAGCTCCAAACTGGTCTTCTTGATGGTCTTAGCACATTCCGTGTTTAAGTATTTTCCGACAGGCGTAGATCCAGTGAAGCTCAGGTGCTTGACGAGCTTGTTGTGGCACATTTCTTCCCCAATCCCCGGGGTGTTCTCCGGACTGCAGGGAACAACATTGAACACTCCAGCCGGACCGCCAGCTCTCTCAAATAGCTTGGCTAGTGCGAGTGCACAAAGAGGTGTCTCTGGGGCCGGCTTACACACAACCGTGTTACCTGCTGCAATGGCCGCTCCCACTTTGCGAGTGACCATAGCCAACGGCGAGTTCCACGGAGTGATTGCAGCGACAACACCCTGCGGCTCTCGGATAGTCAAAATCCGATTATTGCCCCGGAAAGCAGGGATAGTCTCTCCCACAGTCCTTTCCACGGCCGATTCGAACCAATCCACGAAGTCGATAGCGTATTGGACCGACCCTAGAGACTCGGTGAAAGGCTTGCCCAGCTCCACGGTGCACAGCGCCGCGAGGTCTTCTCTATTTCCTTTAATCAGATCTCCCCAACGCCGCATGAGAAAGCGTCGCTCGCGGTGACCCGTGCGTTTATAGGACTCAAATGCTTTTTGGGCGACTTCGATGGCAGAGCGCGCGTCCTCACGGTTCATGTCGGTGACTTGGATGATTTCCTTGTCATCTTCGGGATCTTGAGAGCTTTATAAGCTTTGATTCTTCATATTTGTAGCTCAAACGAGAGCTTTTAGGAGGATTCTTTACCAAAAACTGGGAAAGTTTTGCCAGAGGCGGCCTCTATCCATTTTCCGCCGACATAAGCGCGGGTCTCCACGAGCGAAGGGTCTTTGAACTGCAGATTATATTAGACTCTGTGATTTGTGAAGTGAAACTGAGTTAAATGATACCTCATATGGAATGGTTTTTTTCAGAGAAGGCATTTTGGCAATATTTGAAACGCGACGGATGAATAATTTAGGTGTTGAGAAAGGAAAAGTGGTCATGAACTGGAGAAGATGAGTGCAAGGCGTGCTGCTACTTTGTGGAGCAGTGGTTTCTGGCTCAGACGTAGCAGTAGCTCATAAGATGGGGTAGTCATTGCCGGATTCCCATGTTCCGAGCTGGAGATTCACACTCCGAGGCCGATTCTCCATTGTCGAGTGGGGAAAGATGGGGATGTCAATGCGGGTGATTTCGCATTGGGCGGAGATCAGCGCCAATGGCGGGCCGACAGCGGAGTATACAGTGGAGGTTAATTAGCCTCTCAAACTGGGATGAAGAATACCTTAAACTTATGCTTGGCTTGAAGGGTTTCTTTTCTTGAAATCTCGATGGTTTCAAAACTAAGTGTCTACGACTTTTGATCTTGAAGAACTTGCAAGAAAATTCAAGGTCTAAATTGTAACAAAGAGTCTCTACATGTTCTGGACGGGCAAGATACTATATTCCCTTGGTTGCTTTGCCCACAACCGGTCGGGTTTCTAACTGTTTGAACAGCTCCATCATCTTCTCATATCTGTCAGAAAAGTCAGTCAGTGAATCTCACATAAGGAATATCATATATTGGTCATACACAGTGAAAACGATAGCTCCGCTCAGCGATAGCCGACCTAGTCGGGGAAGTGCTCCAGACCAGAAAGTCAGGATACCCTCATCTCTGAATATGCGCACTGCACAGGAAACAGAGTTCCCATAGTTGCGATGAGCTTCTAAGCTTTGCATGCGAGTCTTGATCACATCCAATGGCATAGTTGCGTATCTAATGTCCAGTCAAAGTCAGCCGCTGAGCAATGCCAAAGTCAAGAACAGTATCTTACACCGTGATGATACCAGCAAGTCCACCAACAGCGAAGGTACCTATTGTCCCCAGTTTTCCATTCTCATTAGAAGGAAACACCCCCTCGGCATACTTCTTCAGCGTGTTATAGGAGGTGAACCTGACCGCGCTGTTTGCGCCTTGCCGCGCAGTCGAAGGAACAAGGCCTTTAAAGAACCCTCGAATTCCCTGTTCGCGCGCAATGACTCTTGTTCCATGAATGAACCCATTCATTCGTGGCTGTGGACGCTTTCGATCCTCAATCAGTTGCGTCTTGATGCTCTCAAAGGGCGTGACCGCAAAAACGGACTCGGCAATACCAGCTGTGAAGCCAGCTACCATCGTCCGAGATCCGCTAATCTGCCCATTCTCGTCGCATAAGAGACTCTTAATGCTATCGAATACGGTAAATCCTATTTTTCTTCTGTGTGAGATTGATGGGTGATCTATGAAAGATATGCCCAATCGACTTACGAATCGCAGCTTTCAAGGCATTGCCGGCGATTAGCGTAGTGCAACCGGCGTACCATTCTTTTGAAGGAAAAGTAGGCCAGGGAAGCTTCCGTGAATTTGGAAGATGCCGATTTAGTTGGGATCGGGTTTTGGCGAACTCAAACGGATAAGTTATGGCTGTACTGCTATTAACGGCCCCAAGATAACTATCCAGGGAAAGGTTTTCTTACCGATTTCAATAGCACCGGCTGTCGATCCTGCTAAAACGCAAAGAAAAATATTCGGCTAAATCAGGGTGGTTTTGTCAGCTAGCTGTAACTGTAACTAGCTGACAGAGCTTGCATTCATTACCTTTGATTTATCAGGCTGTTGGGTGGCCATTGTTATCCTCGCCAAAGCAGGCAGCTATGGCATGAGTTTTCTGAAATAAACTTAAACACAATGATTCATAGTAGATTCTATGAACAGCTTTAAAGTCTGAAATTTGGGACTGGTGATCATAGCAAAAAAATAGTTCGGAGAGTGTCTTCCCGAGGTTGTTGACAACCAGGAGGATTTCTATGAATACAGCCAGGCTCCCTTACCCTATCCCATCCTTTATTCTTAGTATTTAACGATTAAAAGCGTTATATCTCTGATAAAAAACAATATTCTCTGTTAAGTCGAATGATGAGAACACAGTAATAGCAGTTGAGGTATAGGCCCAATTATGATCTATTGGGATCATTTAGCCTACAAGCTATAACCTATTAGGTGTGCCAACGATTTCTAATTCAGAAGCTTCGTTTAGATGGAGCCTCCATCCCCCCCTCATTGCGGACAATGACATCCCGCGAGTTTCGGAAAAGGGTAGGTGTACAAGGCAAAAAGATGATCTCCACAAAAGACTCTCAAAACAAAAGGAACAATCTACTATTCTCTTCTCTCTATAGCGGGTCAGGATTTGGGAGTTGACGGAGGGAGATGCGTTTGAAGGATGTGATAACACAGGAAAGTCGTATTTTAATTAGCTATAGTACCGATTTCACTTTTCTAACCAGCAGTAGGACAAACCCCATGTCCCAAAACACCAAAAGAAACCAACGAAGGAAAAAAAAGAGACTCGTGATCATTCATTTGTTTGTTTTTTCATCCATTGCACATGTCCATATGCATCATTCATTGCCAGTTCTGTTCATCCGCAGCACTGTCAGGGAAGAAAGACCGGATAAACTCCCCGCCGATTGGGTCATAGGGGAAGTAACTATCGCCGGACTGCGACTCGGCAGTCAGCGAGGACAAAAGTTCCGATGTTGACATGGAGGGATAGGTCAAAAAGTCCTGCTGGACGGGCACCTGAGACGTCACCTGCGCACCCCAGGGATCATCAAATTGAGGAGGGTGCTGGCTGATATCTTCGGATCGATTGGCGTTCTGGGGGACTTCGGGTTCGGGGTGATATTTGGCCGACGGCATATCGCTGATATCCAATTTCATTCCCACGGCTAGTCTTCGCATAGCGACGTCACAGAGTTGCCATCCACGGCGGGAGGCGACGCTGTGGTGAGACATGTCGTAAAGCCACCGGATGGATTTTTTGGCCAACTGGACGAAGTTCGCTTCATCGCTGGGCAGATGAACGGAGCCGAATGATAGCTCCAGAAGTAGTACCGTTGCCGCCTGCATGAGATAATGCAGGATGCACCACCACGGGCAGATCTGGTACAGCTGGACGGCATTTGGCTCATCTGGGATGAGGTCAAGCATGCGTGAGGCAGACTCGAGACTAATCACGGCCATTTCGTGGCTGAAAGTCGGTCTTTCGGATGGACCTTTCTGGCGCGCGTCGCGCTGGCAGAGACAGGGACGTCCCAGTGTGATGCGAGCGCTGTAGTAATGGAAGGCCAGGGATAGCTTTCCGCGCAGAAGATCCGCACCTCCGTCCTCCTTGCGGGTGAAGTCAAGAGCAGGTGGGAGAAGAGAATACCACAAATCGACTCTGGCTCTCAGTTCACCGATCCGATTCTCCATATGCGGCCATGGTACCATGACACAATCCACAGAGTATACCTTGTTGACGATCTCTTGAGCGACCACTGTCAGGTCGCAAAAATAGGTGTACGCAAGCCCGAAAGATACAGGGAGATTCGTAATCCACTTGGATCCCGGGGATCGTTCTTTAGTAGCCTCTTTACCATTTGCTGGGTTGAGCGGCATGTGTCGAACCCATGAACTGGCCATCACGCTGTTGATACGATCATCACGAAGAGCCGAGTCATTGAGAACTTCGGCAGCTGCTGGCTCGTCTAGTTGATCCTCGTCGAAGGGGATCGGTAATGGTGAGGTACACACGCCATCAAGAATACATGTGGCGCGGCCGGTCATGATTCCCAACATGTGTTCGAATGTGTACAGGCACCACCAGACACGATAGCGAGCCTCCTTGGAAACGTTCGGTGTCGAGATGCTGCTATTCTTCATATTGATACCAAGTGCGATTGCAGATCGCACCGCCAAAGCCGAGATTCTCCATGCCCTATACAGTTTTAGAGTGTGTTTAGTCAATTGACTCAAAATAACTTACCGGTTAATCTGATCCGATGCGAGCAGGTAGAAAGCAATCAAACCCTCTACCTGGACTTGTTGGAGATCAGGATGACTGAAAAGGACATCGCCATTCAGGCTGAGAATTCGTGCCCGAGTCAAATACACCAGATGGTCCTGGGGATCTCCACGCCACGGCGCATCCATGAGGTGGGCGTGTTTCGCAGAAATAGCAAAGATCATATTCAGGATGGCCAGCCACTTGTCACCGGGACGAGCAGCAGAATCATAGAAGGTCTGATATTGTGCCCGGAATAATGGCCGATTGATGATAGGATAAAATGGGTGGACAGTGGTCAAATAATCCTCAAACAACTGATCGGCCAGCTGGCGAGGCGGCATGTAATATGTCTGCACCGGTCCAGGCGCAGAGATGTCCATGTCATCCAGATGGTAGTTGACTGTATGCAGAGTAAAATCACCGTCAGGGTTCTGATCGGTTTGAGTATTCGACAGCCGGCCTGGTTTGCCTTGGGCACGTTGTTCTGCCTCCTGTTGCACCCGCTGCATCCAAGTGATCTCCGAGTTTTTGCCCAGGTACCCGGTCGCCCGTGTGTGTTCATCCCTATTCAGGTCCTCTTCCACCCGGTCGATGGCCTCCAGGGATCCGATGGATGACGGGGAAGAAGGCTCCTCTGCTGCGGCATCCATGGCGTCTTGGGGGGTGGCCGAATGAGACTGGGCGCTGTTTGAAGAATAATCCGGTTCCAGACCGTGCTGTTTCTTGTTAGCATAGGATGTTTGACACAAAAGGGTTGAAAATCGCACCTTATCCAATAAGCTCCTGATCCGCTCAGCAGCCTTGGTTTCGACCACGCCTCCCAAATCCTTTAGGAGATTCTCATAGTCTGTCGCTTTCTCCGACAGCTTTTCTACTTGCCTAGAGGCCAGATTAGCTTTCAGCTCCCTTTTTTCCTTCTTGCTTCACAAAACGTGCGCCTACTTTTTGGTTCTCTCCTTCCAACCCACGGGGTACTGACAAGTGACCCTCAGCTCGCGGCATTGTCGGCAAATCGGGGTATCACCACTGCATTTCGTCTTGCGCTGTCTGCACGATTCGCAAGCGCGGGGAACCCGACGGTTGAATCGCGGGGCGGCAGATCGCTGACGAGGGATCGCTACTTTCGCATTCGAGCCCGCTTGGCTTCTCGCGTGGTCATTGGCTGTTCTCGCAGTTCGTGTTGAGGCGATGGAAGGGGTTGTCGAGGTTGCAGGAACGTTTTCGCGATCTGGCAGCACCGGCGGCAGTTCGCGCTGCGAGGCCACGCCGTCCACGCCGTCCACGCCGTCACCCGGAGGGTTATGGGGTGGGTCTTCTATTGTCATGATAGCGGCGTTTTTTGGGCCGGAGTTGGGACCACGGATGGTGTCGGGAGAATTCTTCGAAGGTGAAGAAAATCGCGAGTCTAGATGCCGTGACGCAATGAGGCGTTGGCCGAGCCAATGATGGGCTGTGGTGTGCGGACGACAAGCGATGCGGCACAAAGGAGTGCTACACGGGCAGCATCCGAGTGGTTCTTGGCACGGACAGAATCACATAAAGATCAAAACTAAGGTGATGAAGTCCAGGTGGCGGAAATACCGGTGCAGGGTCCTACTTGAACGGTAAGGTTGAGGATGGCTTAGGTAACACCTCCCCGGTCCATGGGTCCATTCTACGGTGACAAGCATTCTTTTGGTTCAACCAAAGCTGTGTATTGCAGAGATCAGGAATAAGGCGCTCCACTTTTTGCCCATCCAGGGCCAGAACCCACCAAAATGTGTATATGTACAGGAGAATTAGTCGCGAAAAAAAGGAGGAGAGACATGTACAGGGATCCAAAGCGCGCAAGAAGAACAGGCAGATCCAAAATCAACAATAAAATGGTGTAAAGGGTGGAAGGTATCAAGAGTGGCGAGGGAGAAAGGACTTTAAATTTCTCCAAACATCTCGTCGAGCTCGTCCATTTCGACGGACTCGGGGTTCTGAAGCTCCCGCCACGAGTCGAAAAAGGACTCGGTCCGGGGATGCAGGGACAGCTTCTCATGCGACTCGGTTAGATCGGACATCTTCAAGTCCACTTCCGAGAGCTCGCTGTTCAGCATATCCAAGGAGCGCTTCAGTGTCGACACAGGAGCCTCGGGAAGGCTGATCTGTGGAACGGGTTTCTCGGCATCGATGACTGTGCTCGTGCCAGACGAGAGCGACGATGCAACCGAGGTGAGCGACGGCGACGGCGAGGTGCCAAACAGTGCGGTGGCAGCGGCTTCGTCCGAGTGCTCAGACATGTCCGTCATGTGAGTAAAGTAGTTGCTGTACTCTTCCTCGGACATGCGCTCAGCCGGCGCGAGGGATCCACCGTCAACAGGGGAGGCGCGCGAGTCTTCCATCGCGCTGAGTTCCTCCGACAGCACGGACAGGCTTCGGTCTGTCCGGTTGGCTTTTTCCTCGGATGCGCGCTCGCGCACTGCGCTGGCTGTCTGCGTAAATTCCTTCTCGTCACCCTCCAGGGGTGGGGAAGCCGCGCGGTTCGAGTGCATCAGGCGCGCATGGTTATCGAAGATGGAGTCGGCAGAAGAGGCAGAGGAGTCTTCTCCTTCTTCAAAGTCAGGGGAAGACAAGTCGACTTCAGGGCTGGGGCTACGCTCTCGCGCCATGACATCGTCTTCATCATCCAGGCTGGATACACTGGGAGTGATGTTCTTGCCGTCCACGGTGACCAACAGATCGTCCGAGTTCTCCGGGATCGGTTGCCGGGAGCAGGTCGTAAGATAGTAGTACACCTTGCGCGGATGAATGGGAATGAGCTCCTTAGCGACAGGACAAGGAGCAAGCGCCGTCCACGGGCGCTTCATATATGCGGCCAGCCGCGACGAGAGCAAGGCAGCGGGATTCGCCGAACTGGGGAGAAGATTAGCACGTGAATTTCACAACGAAGAAGAAAAAAAACATACTTGGCGACATTCGCATTCAATGTAATGAGTACTGCAGCCAGCTCCTTCACCAAGTGTGGGCGATTCCCCGTTTTCTCTAGTTGATCGATGGCGGCGACCACGATGTCGTCGTTGATGCCTTCGGTGTCGATCTTCGGCGCAACCCCGTCCATGGGCGACGGCGGCGGTGTATGCTCGTAAGCGGTGCGCCGAATTGCGCGCATGGCTGTGGAGTCCTTGTAATCATTGGCGGAGGATGGGGACGGCTCAGGCGATAGGGAGCCTGAGTCGTGCGACCTCTTGACCTTTTTTGACGGAGGGAGATCGTCGGTCGCGTGCGACTTGGAGAAGGACGGAGAGCGGCGAGAGGAATTGGGGAGGTGGATGCCCAGGGATGGGAGCGATAGCGACTTGCGCCGAGTGTTGTACGGCATATTGTGATGGAGGGAAGAGTGGTGGTAGTGATGATGATGTCGGTTAGGAACCGGGGGAGGCGGGAAAGCAGGAGAAGTAGAACCAGGGGAGGCTTGTTCACTATTCAAAGGAGAGACGATGGATAGAAAAAGGGAAGACAATAATAAAAGGGATATAGATAATAGAAGAAGAAGAAAAGAAGCACCAATAATAATAATGAAGAAGATGAGGATAAAGGGGAAGGGGTAGGAGAGAAGAGAGGAAGGGTTATCGAGATGCGACGGACGGACGGACTGGAGCTGCGCTGAGGAATCTCTACGATGGAACCGGTGGATTCCTCTTTTTTTTTTTGTTTTTTTTTCCTTTGGGTGGTAATGGTATTACCAGTATGTTTCATTTGGACGGACAGGGCGAACTAACGAACTAATCCCTCTCTACTTCACACACACCGCCAGAATTATTGATTGATTGATTGACTGATTGATTTTGATGGCCCAGTTCCCTCCCGTCCCGCCCTCCTGCAGCTGCGACATCATTATGATTCTCGTGAGGTCGATGGCAACAACACCCTCGCAAATGCCGGTGGAGCGCTGGAATGAATAGCGCATTCCCGGACGGGGCAAAATTGGGTCTCCATGTGTTTTTTCGCCTGCGAAAAAATCCACCCGGCGACTCCATCGCTGGCCCTATCCCAATCACCGCCCGTCGATGTGAAAAATAAATCGACCTCCCGATCGCCTGATTGGCAGCGCTACGGATAACCCGGGATGCATGAAACCTGCATTCGATCTGTCAAGTCGTTGCTAGGCAGACTTGTATACAAACACCTCGGTTAGGACAATACTGAAAGAAAAAAAGCTGACCACTGGTTCTGGGAATCCTCAGAGATCTGCTCCGACAGTGCTCAAAATAATGATGCACGACAAAAACTATTGCTTTGGCCTCTCCTCTCCCAACTTCGGCCGGCCCTAAAACATGATCCCCTAGCGTCACCGTTTGGGAACCAAGAAAGACATAGCGAGTGGGTCCATCCGCGTATCCAAAGTATGTATGTCGGGTGTATTTTATTACGCTCGGGAAGACAAGGAAGAGCCTCGCTCGCCACTGGTGATGCAGCTATCCGCCTGCATGGCCACAGCGGACGGCGATACCGATAGGAGACATCAGATTCGTAAATTTTATATAGATCACCTCTGATTTGGTGGTTGCCATAGTGTGAAGAGGGGGAGGAAGTCTCGCTATGAAGACCAGCCTACTCGGGGCCAGCATCCTTGCTCATCTTTTCGTTCGAAGGATCATACATACCAGCCCATACCGACGACGGCGGGCATCAGAGAACCCTAGTTAGGTCCGGGACACATGCCGAGCACAAGTCCCTGATAGAGTATCTCGTACACATTGTACAGACACGGTCAGCGCCCGCAGCAAGGGATTCGTTATTGAGACAAGCCACCGGATAGGAGCATGGCTGGGCGAGGCACGGGCTCGACATGATTCACATTCCAGCATTGTTACCCGGCCATCGCTTAGTTATGTAGCGATCTCCGATGACATCGTCAAGCCGACACCGTGGAACCATGGAAACCACGGTGCCATTGTTCAACTCCGGCCGAAAGTAACATCTAGCTAGATAAAGCGGCTTGGACATAGACGCGATTTAGGGAACCTATAGCCCATATTTAATCTGTTTGTTGCACGGTTCCTACAGCATGCAGCGGGTAGGATTTCTCCGCATCTCCACAGAGCCTGGACCTGCATTCAGCTGTTGGTGAGTTAGGTTAGAGGATAAATTCGAATCCTTAGTTATCCTCCCCGGGCCCCCCTGATGTCATCACAAAGGCTTAGTTAGTTATCAACGCCGGCCCAACTCCGCGCTCTGTATTCCCCCGCAGCAGCCACTTCGTAATACATGTGAGAAAAAGAAGGTTGGGTTTTGGAATTCTGGAAAACTTCCTCTCCAAAACTCAGTGGAAACCTTGGGCCAGATAGTTAACTGGCCTAGCCAGTTCCCGTGTGCCTCGATTGTTTACTCTTTCGTATCAATTGAAAAGAAAATTCCTGGGGCAGATGCAGACCGTTATGATCGTATATAGCCCCCAACGCTACAAAAAGAAATTGATAGCTAAAAATTGTGTGGTTGGACATATGGAGTGGAGGGGGTGTGCTCGGACCTAGCCCCAAATATATATCGACCAGTCGAGTCGGTTCCAACTGTCGCGGCATGTGAACATAATCTCATCAATCAGGTTTTTTGTTTTATTTCCGATGCACTGGAACGATATGTGGGACAAGTCCTTGAGCCCAATACTTCCTTACTGTGGGTTTAAGAAATTGAGAGAATGGGTAGCACAGGTAAGCCATGAACAGGTTCAAATCATACTGTACAATTATCATGGGGGATATATACACTTTATGGATATCAATGCAGTTATTTATACACAAAACATCTCAATTCTCCACCGGACCTGGCCTGTCTCGTCAGGCTCAGGAGCCTTCTCAACGGGTTCGTCTTGGCGAAGCTGTCAGTCTCGCACAGACACCTTCTCTGACGGACGAACAGGCCACCCTCCAACAGGAGTATACCAACCGTCCACGCCACGGTCATCGAGCGCATGGCTTAGCGCATCATTGTGCTGCAACGCGGAGGGCCAGATGGCTTTCCTCTCACGCATACGCGCAACATGACCATTGGTTTCACGATCAATCTGGTGTTCGGCCAGACCCTGGCGCAAGAAGGTTTCGACGCAAAAGTCGAGGACACCCTCTGGCACTGTCTTGGGGGGTTTGCCCCAGTCTCGGGTGGTGCGGTAGACTGTCTTGGGCTTGGGCTTGGCTTTGTAGAAATGAAGAGATTTTAGCATGTCGGGAGTCGCAGCGTCTGATAGGGCTTCCAACTCTCTGATCGCGGCCTGCGCGATGATGCGGGTAGTGTCGAGATTTGGGATGACAAGTTTATTCTGGACACTGGGGTGCCATTTTGGATCCAACTGCGGATCACCTTGTTGATGATTGCGCTCCCGAGCAAGTTCAAGGTCAACACTGCCATCGTCTAGGCCCCTGTGGGGGTACCGACACCACCTGCCATAAACCCCTTTGCCGGAATAGCAGCCATATCCATCCACAACGGCGGCGAGGAGGACGTTAAAAGAAACAGTGGTGATGTAGCCGATCGTTTCCGGCTTGACGGGGATGTATTGGAGGCTAGCCGACTTGAAGAGTTCCCGGAAAGAGCCCGGAAGCGACGATAGCAGACTGTACATGCTATAGATCGCCCTCTGTTGGAAGCGATTTGTATCGTTTCTGCCTTCGGGCGAATTGAATTCGCCGCTGAAAAGACGGAGGAGGATATCCTGAGCTTGTGCCAGACTGTGCTTCTCTTCCTCGCTGACGGCAACTCCTTGAGACTCCTTGTGCAAGATGGAGGCGTCCCGTCTGGTGATTGCGGCGGCGAGAGTAGCGAGATTACTGTATCCCCACGACTTTGCCTTGCGGTCTCTGATATGTTGGAACATCTGAACCACGCGGTCCCAGTCTCCCACTGAAATCTCATAGTCGAGGACCGCCTTGAGAGTGTTGAGACGGAAGGGCATTTGGACAGAACGAAGGACTTGATGAGCAAGCTGTGAATTGTGGGTGGCAGCGGCAAAACGGAGAAGCGGTGGTGTTAAAACTTGCTCGCCATAAGCACTGGGGGGGATCGAAGGGCCATCCACATCATCCGAGAAAAGCAGCCAGTTGCCAAAATCAAAGGCCCGAGAAGTGGTAGCCAGCTCAAGTATTGCGGCATGAGTGACATTTGACACCTGTGGAAGGGATGATTTAAGTGAAGGAAAATGCTGGGAGTCGAAGAACGGGACCTGTTCGGTGCCAGACTGCTTGAGTTGCTCGAAAAACGTTTCCGTGCGGCGCACTGTGCTGGCATCATCGATGTTCCGCAACCAAGCATATTGGTGAAACGCGTTTGTTGTCAGACAATCCCTGGCATAAGCCCTGATGTTGAGTTCGACCAACCCAACCATGGTCGCTGAATCATTGTAAAACTGGGCCCTTGTCATGCCATCCAGATGCTGCACCTTGGTCAACTCCTCGCCATCCCATGCTGGCACAACCTCATTATGTAACCGCAAGATTCGCTCGAGACTGGCAGGATCATTTTCGGAATCAATCGCCCCGCTCTCAAGGAGTTGAACCGTATGCCAATTCGTGGCCTTAGTCGTAGGTCGAAGATCACGCGCAGACTTGATAGGATCGATCAAGGAATCAAGATGGGAGGAAAGTTGAAGAAGCCGCGTGATACCGTACCCCTTGGTCCCTATCTCATTAAAGGTGTTGTGAATCAGGCCATTTCGAAGAGAAGTAACCACTTCAGTGCTGATCGTCCGCTCCCCAAGCCCACGGAAAGGTGGTTTGTCTTGACTCCGGGAGACGGTGTCACTATTCGGACGGCGCCAGAACTGTTCTGTGCCAATGTTTGTTTGCCGGACGATGTCCAAACCCCTCAACAGAGGCGCCCAGCTCTCGGTCTTCCAGCGTTCGTTCTGCGTCATCATCTGTTTCACCAGCCATGCCCCTTCTGTGGGGAATCCGTGTTCCACACAACACCACAAAATGAGCTCCAACCAAATCTCCGGACCGAGTTCTCGAACTCCCATTTTGAAGGGCAGGTACGGTGATTCTTCTCCAGTCTCTGCAGCCCTGGCCGCCACAGCAGCTTGATGCTCCAACCACGCTGCATCAGAAAGAACACTCATGATATGTCCTGATAGCAAATGCAGTGTTGGTGGGCGAAAAGCAAGCAGGCTGGTATCCGGATCATGGTATTGGTACACTCGTTCAGAGATCAAGCCCGAGTGATGTAACCGTGCAAGGATTCGAAAGACATAGGACATGGCAAGCTGGGATTCCTTCGGAGGCCGATTCGCAGCTTCTAGAACCAAAGATCCAAGAGTCTGCCAGACCTCCGCCATGAGGAAGTGTGAAAAGACCTTCACGGTGGGTGACCAAGTTAAAGCGTGGAGGGGGGTCGTCGTATCTGGGGTGATGACGTTAATCAAATGTTGGCTTGCGACTGAAGTCATGTCGTCGAGCGATTTCCCTGAACCTAAGCTCCAATCAAGATTCGAAGCCCGCGGAGCGGTCATGTAAGGAGCCAGCAGCTCATGCGCATCGACAAGACTGTTCAACATAGCATGCACCGCTTCCCATTTGTTCAAGTTGAAACCCATATGCACCAGCGGATCCAACTGGAATCGCTCTCTGAAGCGATTCATCCATCCCGCCAACGAAGAAGCTCGATCAAAATCCTCTTTGAACACTTCAAGTGAGTTGCCTGCTTGGTGTACCTGCTTGGTACCCGCTTGCGAAGGAGGAGGCAGGCATTTCTCCAGGCATGGAATCCAGTGCTCGAGAAATTGTTGACGCTTCCGAGATATTGGCGGATAAAGCTTGTGGTCAAATTTATACCGGGCACAGAGGTTGTTGGCTTCCGCGAGAGTGTATTTGGCGATTGTGTGCGCGTCGGGTCCGCCGGATATCGAACGTCTGGCAATCAGAGGAAAGGATAGCCTGCGGCCATATCGGAGGAGGCGGCCGGAGTGCAAACACCTTTTCATGACCTGAAAGGTGTTTGTGGTACAAGGAACTCGAGGAACGCCGCGGGCCTGTTGTGACACATATCGGGGTCGGTCACGCACCAGGCATACCGGGAGACAGTAAAGGAGTGAGACGAGCGCCGGAATAAGAACGGGAGAAGAAGTTGTGAAGCAGCGCGACTCGCGCAAAATGTCTGGCGCTGACTCATCATAGTGGGCCAATCAAGGAATGCCGATTGAGTAAGTACCCGATACTTCAAATTCTCAGTCATCTTCATAGTCAAGAAAGTACCCGTTACATTCTATCGAAGTATAAAAGCGAACAGTCTGCAGGATCTAAGGAAATAATGGATTTAAAAGAAAGTACACATTCCTATACAACTGATCCAGCAGGCATAGAAAGAAATCAATCTATAACGAAACCGATTGGGTCTCTTCTAAGCCTGGACAGCGCGCCAAAATCCACCTTTACGGGCAGCACTGGTGGGAGTTCCGGTGGGCGTGGGGACCGAAGACGAAGACGAGCCCGACGAGTACGGGAAGGCAGGGGGAGGGTAATCGGGGAATCCTCCAATAGGATGGGGGGAGCTGGTGCCAGTGGGAGTCGGCAAGCTACCAGTCGACCAGCCGGAAGGAGCAGGGCCGGTGGACGAGGGCCAAGAGGTCAGAGAGCCCGTGGGAGTGCCATGGTGCAGCTGAATAGTCTGTTAGCAGATGGCTGAGGTATTTAAGGTGCACACAATACTCACAGGCAGGCGGAACGCAGCAACCGGGGCAAGGCCACAGGCTGCAACGGCGAGGACAGCGGAGACCTTCATGATGATTGAGTAGGAAGTAAAGGAATGGAATGAGGATATGTCCAACAACAAGAGAACGAATGTGCACAGCACTATGGGATGGGACGAAAAATCGTAGGGCAGGGAGAGATTTTATGCCATATCCGGAGCCCCATTATTCTTGTGTCTTATCATGGGCCACCGCAGAATTGATGGGTCAAAGTCTTAGTCGTCGCCGCGCGGTCACCGATACGGAGACGAGAGAGGGAAAAAGAGAGATGATCAGCGTCCAAAGTTTGGTCCAGAGCGGATATTCGTCAGTCTAGCAGGCGGTAGTTAATTGTTCTCCATCCGACGATCGCCTATAAGGCGGTACGGAAGAATTCAGCGGCTCGTCGAGCATGGACAAGCATCATGGTGGAGCGTAGACTGGACTGGGTGTCCAACAAGGTACATCAACGCGAAGCCCAGCGGCGGCAAATAGTAAATTATTGGGCATTGGGTCGATGGCCGGTGGAGTCGGCGACCAGCAGAATCGAGAAGGTGGTTGAGAGGATCAGCGACTCGCGCCGGAGAGAGTATGTTTCGGCTAAAGCAAAAGACGCAATGACGTGAAACCAGGGACACGCGTGCTCCACCGATCCCTGTTGATCGTTGGCCGTGCGGGAGCAATAAACATGGTTATTCACCCACCCAGTGGAGAACGACGATCCTCACTTCCACTCCTTATCCGGACGAGGGCTTTTTTGGATCTTCCGCAATAATAAGAGGGCTGGATTACTGGGGTATTATTGTACACCGGCAAGCAAGAACTCCATATAGTCCGAGTAAGAGCGCATGAAAAAAGACGATCATCAATCATGAGACAAAACACCGCGCTCACGGCTCCATCGCCACATCTTCCGACAGGTGGGCATCGCCGCCCAGCTCTTGTTCCACTTCGTCGACCACAAAGCTCTCGTAGTCCTCTAACCCCTTTTGAACATGGACCTTGAAGCGGATCACATCGTTCAGCATATTCTCGACATTGGTATGCAGTTCCTCGCGCAGTGCATTCGCTCGGAGCGTGAGCTGCTCGTACTCGATGTTGGTATTCATCTCGCGCTGCTCCATTAATTGCACACTGTCGCTCAGCGTAGCTCGCATCTTGGCCAGCTCCTTCTCCATCTTCTCAATCTGCGCGTCCGAGGCCGTCTTCTGCGTGGTGGTGACTTCTTTGGTTCGCTCAAATTCCTCCTCTGCGGCACGGCGCCGGTGCTCGAGAGCTTCCACCTCGCTCCGTTTCTCGTCCATGGCCTCTTTAATGTTGTCGAGCAGATTCCGACGGTCGAGATCGTCGTCGATGTTGCGCTTCCGCCGTTCATTGATCTCTTTCCGCAGGGACTGCAGACTGTTGCGGATGCTGCCCCGAAGATCCAGATTCAACAGATGAGCCGGGTGGTAGCCAATGAAAGGCTCGGCCAGTAGACGATCCCCATCCGACGAGACCCGGTTGGGATCGCCGCCCACCTGGGACCGGGAGAAGATGTTTTCGTTGACTTGGAGACTGAGCTCGTAATCTTGACCCTTGGCATTCTCGGCAGACGGGGGAATCAAACTCGTCTGGTAGCCTAGCGTATTGTATGTCTTGACAATCTGTTCTAGATCCTCAAGTTTCTGACTCGCCTCAGACTCCTTCTCCATGACACGGGCATGGGTTTCCTCTAAACGAGCCATGGTGTCCTCGAGGCTTCGCTGAAGACGCTCGCGTTCCGTATTCATGCGGTCGATATCCTGGATGGTGATGCCTTGCCGATCCACGCTTGCTTGGAGCTCGGAACGATCTGTCTCGGTCGCCTGGAGATCTGCGTCGGTTTTCTGGATCTCCTCTTCCAAAAATCTGATGCGGCTTTCATACTTTTCAATTTTCCCTTTGACGGTCTGGTTGTACTCCTCAAATTTCTTCTTGTCGCCTTCCAATATCCGGTAGGTCTTGTCCAATTTGGCCATGTCGGGTGCATTCTTCTCCATATCCTCAATCTGATCGCGGAGGTTGCGATTCTCTGCTTCCAACGCGGCCATCTCTTGTTCGTATCGCTCGTTGCCTCGCGCAAACTCCTCGGACATATTTTCAATGTGCGGAACCAATCGTTTCTCGGCAATCTCATCATCCTCGTCTTCGCCCCCTTGGAGCCAGTCATGATAGGCCCCGGTGAGGAAACGATAGATGATTCGATCCCCGGTGACATCGACACCCGCTTCGGCGCACGCGACATCGTAATCTCCCATCACAAAGCGGTCCATCATCTGCGCCAACTGCATCAACCAATGCAGCATGCCGAGGAATGTCGACCAGTTCTGGCCACCCACGGCCGCGATTTGCGATTTTGTAATGCCCTTTTCGTAAGGGTACCGCAACTGCTTCAAAATCGGTGGCACTTCAGAGTCCATACTCTTTAAGAACTTGTATCCCGGGTCAATACGATGGTAGAGCCACTGGAAGATATAATTGAAATCTTTTTGAGTCGGCGAGCGAAGAGTGTTCTGACCCAGGGAATGCTTCATTTCCAACTCGAAGTTGTTATGAGTCAAGTACTCCAGTAACTCCTGTCCAATGCGGGTCTGGAATGCGCGATCCCTCAATGGTCGCGGGTCTCTCGGGACGCCTGCAGCGGGAGGAACTTGGGCGAAGAATGACTGGTGGCCTATAGGGCCCCCATTTCCGGTTGATGGTCGCGAAAACACGCTGCTTCTGCGCTGAATATTCTGAGATGCGGAGTTGGAGGCTGATCCAGGCGCGTAGCTCTGCCGACCCGCACTGGAGCCATGGAGCATGTTACTCGATACGGAACGACGGACAGACGAGAGCCTCGCATCCTGACCGAACCCCCCGGAAGAAGCCCTCGCAAAGTTCGGCTGCTGCGGTCTGCTCGTGGAGTTGAGCAGCGAAGTCGAGCGCGTGTGTTGCGACGTAAACGGTGGGTTCTGAAATCCAATGGAACTGGTGCGTTTCATGGCGGATGCGGGCTGCGGGATTGCGGATAAGTTCTGGACACTCCCGAGAGTCTGTGTCGCGTTCGATGGTTAGACATTTTCACGTGCACCAGAGGGGGATTCCGTACTTCTCGAGGGCGCCTGATGCTAAACAACCCAGTATCTTGCGACATGGTGACAAGCACGCGCCGCGATTGCGGCGGATAGGAAAATCCAAATCAAACAGTCGTGGAGATACAGTACACGATACCAAATTAAAATACTGTCGCGCAAACAATGCCCGAAGGAACAGGGTGGGAGGGAATCTGTGAGGCACACGAGGGTTGATGGGGTGATGATTATTATTGGGGGGGCGCAAAGAGTCGTTGTAAACAAGAGCGTGCCACTTCCCTTCCCAGCAGGCGGTGTGTCCAACCGGGAAAACCATTCGACCGGGCGCAGAATCACGGGATCGCTCGGCCTGGGGAAACTGTTCCGAGGTCCAGCGGCGTTTGCCGATAGGGATTCACCCCCAGCCATCTTCTTGGACACACTCTCTACTTTATCCCTTCACGCGCTGGAGCTGAAAGAGTCGATATCAACCCTCGACCACGATGGCCCCGCGCGAGGAGCTGATTTCCTCCGCGGTAAGTGTTCTCCTAAGGCGGTACCCGCTTTCGGCTTGATGCTAACATGTGCGCGCCCAGGTTACCTGTATGGACCAGGATCCGAAACGTCGCATGGTGGTGGGAGTGCTAACACCGTCTAGTCTTACAGGATCCGTCGGTCGCCTCGTCGCCTGTTGAGAAGAGAGTCGCGTTCTTGCAATCCAAGAACCTGACGCAGGAAGAAGTCGACCTTGCCTTGGCTCGGGCGAGCGAGGACCCCTCTGCCGCCGCCACCGCTACAGCATCATCACCGCAGGGCTACTCCTCGCAGCAAGTTGCCTACCGACCATCATCACAACCACCCCAAGGATATGGCTATCCCCCATACGGTCAATGGCAGCCGCCACCAGAGTGCGTCGGAACCCAGTGCTACCCCGAGACTGAAGCTAATGAGGTCTAAAAAGGCCGCCAAAGAGAGACTGGCGCGACTGGTTTATCATGGCAACGGTGATGGGAGGAGTGGGATATGGAATGTATTTTGTCGCCAATGTATGCCTCCCTGCAACCTCAAAAGCTAGCCGGATACTGATATTGCTCCAGCGGTATATCAAGCCCCTGATTGCGCCACCGACCCCGCCTCAACTGGAGCAGGACAAGGAAAATATCGATGAACAATTCTCTCGCGCATTCGCGCTGATTGAGCAGCTCTCGACCGATACCACAGCCTTGAAGGAAGCCGAGGACGCCCGGACTGAGCGCCTTGACTCGGCCCTGAAAGACGTGGAAAGTGTCGTGGCTGAATTGAAGAGCTCGTCACGTCGGAGAGACGATGAAACTCGCCGTATCAGCGACGAGGTGAAGTCTCTGAAGGATGCTATCCCCAAGGCTCTGGAAGGTGCTCGCGAAGGCAACGAAAACCGGTTGAAGGAGCTGGGTAGTGAGCTGAAGAGCTTGAAAGTCCTTCTGGGTAACCGATTGGGTGGCAGCGGTACCAGCACGCCGGCTGCTGGTAGAACCGTCGGGTCCTCCCAGCCCGAGACCCCTATCACAAACGGCGCGCCTGCATCCGTCGAGGATGAATCACCGGCGCCAGCGCCAGCGCCTGCAGCGGCCCCTCCGGCAAGCTCCACCGCAACCCCCCTCCGCCTGCTCCCGCCGCCAACAACCCCCTGTCGCAGCTCGGACGCTCTGCCTCTATCCCGGCCTGGCAGATGGCTGCCGCTAACCGGTCTAAGAGCTCCTCGCAGTCGACTCCGGCCACGGGCGCTGACAATGCGACCAGCACCAGCGAGCAAACCGCTCCTCCCAGCTAAAAGACTGGATGTATATTGTTTCGCTTTTTCTCTTTGATGTATCTACCACAATGGAACTGAAGTACCGTCTTCACTAATAGAAAGAGGTTTTGTCTGTCAAAATCTGTAAAAGATAGATCATAAAGAAGACCCACGAATAGTTAGGAGGACAAATATTGGGTAGTTCAGCGAGGAATAGCTGACGATAAGATAAGCAATCTTGTCGCATCGATCCAGCCGTCAATTTCTCAGCTTCTGCATCTCACCCCCATCATTGCGACACAATGCCTTCGCCCAATCCCTCCTCACATCTCCATCCCTCCCCACCGACCGCCGCAGACTCTGACCATGGCCATCACCGCAGTCATCACCGCCACCGACACCACCGAGACAGCTCGCGATCGCGCTCCCCACACCGATCTCACAGACACCACCGAGATCGCCATCGGCACCGTCATGACCGAGACCGTGAGCGCGAGCGAGACCGCCCTGGCAGACGGGACAAAGAACCCGCGAAACCCATGCAGCCCGTGATCCTTCCGCTCCAAGCTCGCGAGTTGTCCAGACGCGACTTACCAGTTTACGAGCCCATGTTTGCCATGTACTTGGATATCCAGAAGGGAATCTTCCTTGAAGATCTAACGGAGGACGAGGTAAAGGGACGATGGAAAAGCTTTGTGGGGAAATGGTAAGAAGGCTCCAGACTGTCCTTCTAACCAATCTCTGATGGGTTTTAGGAACCGCGGAGAACTCGCTGAGGGCTGGTATGACCCTGCTACGCTGGACAAGGCCCGCAAGAGCGCCGCCGAACAGCCGATGCCGGGTCCGAGCAGAGGTCGAGCCGCATCTCCAGATGGTACAAAGGGCGGTACGGAGGCCCCGGAACACCCAGCAGACGAGGATAATGAGGACGAAGATTACGGACCGGCTCTCCCACATTCTGGTTTCGAAGTAGGTCGATATGGACGGGGTGCACCACATTCTGGCCCTACGATCCCAAACATGCAAGATCTTGAGCTGAAGAGAGGTAAGACTACAGCAACCTGGTTACAGGCCAATTCGCTCATCTAGTTGCAGAATCTGCCGTGGAAGACGCCATTGCCGCACGCGACGAGTCACGACAGCAGCACCGCGCCGAAATACGCTCGCACAAGTCCGCTGTCCGCAACCTAGAAGATGAGATTGCACCTCGCGCCGAACCCGGAACACGCGAGAGGCAGCTCGAGAAGCGCAGGGAAGCGGCTGCTGCCAACAAGGCATTTGCCGAGGCTCGTGGTGGATCACCCGAAGGTGCGCGGGACGAAGAGCTCATGGGCGCGGGGGACAATGATCTGGCTTCGTTGAGAAAAGAGAAAGAGAACGAGAAGCGGAAGAAGAATGAGCGCGAGATCCGGCGAGAGGAAATACTTCGAGCCCGCGCGGCAGAGCGAGATGAGCGTGTACAGAAGTATCGCGAGAAGGAACAGGAGACTATGGGCTGGCTTCAGGCGTTGGCGAAGCAGCGGTTTGGTTGAGATAGTGTGAGGAGTCAACCAGGCCAACAAGACCTTTTTGATGAACCGCTCTAGTTCATCATGCGTGGGACCACTACTATCTGTAGCGCACCAGATAGATCCGTCAGCCAACTCCTGACCGACAAGGGGTTTTTCAAAGCCATCCGATCCATTGGGACATACCTCCCACCCACAATCCATGCCAATGAAGTAGAACGATCACTGTCCCCGGGAACACCATCAAACTAAGTCTCGGCGGAAGATCAGGAAGAAATACCAACTCTAGGGTAGTATTTATTGAGGCCAGTTAGGATGAGTATCGAAAGCACGGAGAGTGATATAGTTAGCCTCTTCCGAATAAACGCGTGGGGACATTGTTCTCCCGGCGTGGGGAAACAACACTTCACCTCTGTCAGGCTCACTATGCTGCGACGGAACCTTTGCAACCCGAAGTTCCCATTCTTGGCCTCCTTCAGACGCTCGATGCACACACAGCCCCTTCAAAAACAGCACGCGCTCCCCGCAGCTTATTACCGAGGCGGCACCTCGCGAGCCGTCTTCTTCAAGCAAGAAGATCTGCCTGCCAATCGCGCCGACTGGGCTCCCATTCTCCGCGGGGTGATTGGCAGCCCCGACCCCTATGGCCGACAGCTGGATGGCCTCGGCGGAGGCATCAGTAGCTTGTCCAAGGTGTGCGTAGTGGGCCCATCGACGCACCCGGACGCTGACGTCGACTATACCTTTGTCTCGCTGGGGATCAAAAATAGCGATGTCGACTATTCTAGCAACTGCGGCAACATGAGCAGTGCCGTCGGTCCCTTTGCCGTTGATTATCGGCTCTTTGCGTTGCCAGATAATAACCTCGACTCAGTATCGGTGCGCATCCGTAACACCAATTCGGGCAAGATCATCCATTCCTCGTTTCCGGTTGTCGATGGCGAAGCGGCTTCTAGTGGTGATTTTGCCATAGATGGAGTCGCTGGTACCGCTGCTCGCGTGCAGCTCGATTTTATTGACCCAGCCGGCTCGGCGACAGGAACATTGTTACCTACCGGCAGTGTGACGGACGTCTTTGACGGCGTCACAGCGACATGTATCGACGCCGCCAACCCCTGCGTCTTTGTCCGAGCGAAAGACCTCGATGTGGACGGAAACCTTACTCCAGACGACATCTCAGCACACCCAACTCTCCTGTCCCGGTTAGATTCTATCCGCCGTCAGGCTGGGGTGAAAATGGGTCTAGCAGAGACACCCACCGCGGTTCCCGGCAGCATCCCTAAGATCAGTCTCGTCTCGTTTCCTTCACAGGCCAGTGCCTCAAAAGAGCTAAATCAGACACCTGCGAAGGTCGATCTCCTCGTCCGAGCTCTCTCCGTGGGCCAGCCGCACAAGGCAGTACCCATCACCGTCGCCTTGGCGCTGGCCGCTGCGGCGCGGGTGGAGGGGAGTACGGTGGCGGATGTTATTGCGGGCAAGAAACCCGTAGATGGAGCGGGGATCACGATCGGTCATGCCAGTGGTAACCTGCTGGTTGGCGCTGAGTTCAAGGCAGATGGCGGGTTGGCGTCTGCGACAGTGTTTCGCACCGCGCGCAGGCTTTTTGAGGGACGGATCTTTTGGAAACCATGACATATATGATATCGATCGTGAAACATTTACACCGAGGATGGCTTCGCTGTGTATCTGTATCTATGAGGCTTTCGCGAGGGATATGGAAGATGGCCTAGATACTTTACCCATAAGAGCTTGCAAGCGGCTGCTGTTTTTAAGGGATGCCCCAGTTCTAGCTCTCTTCTCCTTCTCTCCCTTCTTCAGCTTTGTTGTCCTTAGATGAATACACTCTTTGTCTGATCAAGAACTAGTTTTCGTTGCAATGTCAATGTTTATCAAGAAGCCTGTCTGGTTTGATACCGTTTGGAGTAGTTAGGTATCATCTTCATCTTTCCCCATTAAGAAAGAGGCCCCAAAATATTTATTAAATTACAGGATGAGACTTTTCGCCGTGATTAGGACTAGGCCTCTTGCCGTGAGACTTGTGCTCACTGGCCGGCTTAAGCAACCAGAGCGAGTCGCCAACAGAGCCGTCGTCACCCCGAATGTAGTCCCATTTTAGAGCAGTGGAGTTCACAACGGTCATCTTGCTGAATCCATACTCCTTCGTGTTCAGAACAGCAGTGATGTTGGTCAGGCCCTGGCCGCTGCTGAACTCGCTGTGGCTCTCGATATTGCCTGCCATACCGTTGATGATGTGGGTGATGGACTTGCCGGCGTTGGTGTGGTAGGTGTTCTTGTCCACGATAGAGGCGGTGTCGATGGTACCATTTGTGCCGAGAGGGTATAAGCGCTCGTACCAATGAATATGACTATGGGTAATATTATGAGTCAATACGTTCTCTGTGGGAATAGGCAAAGGAAAACTCACCCGGAAAGATAGGCGTCAACACCATACTCAAGCAGGAGACCCTCGAATGCCTCACGAATATCCGTCATGTAGGAAGAATAGGCCGAGCTGTACATCGGACGGTGGCTCATGACAATCACCCACGGAGTCTTCTTGCGGTCTACACTGGCGAGATCCTTCTTCAGCCACTTGTACTGGGCATAGGACTTAGTGTCCTTCACGCTACCCTCGACAGCTCCAAATGGACCACTGTCAGTAATGAAGGTCTCCGACTCAGTGGGAAGAGTCTCATCGCCGGAGACATCCTCTGCAAAGGACCACTCGGGGCTATTGGCAAAGTCCGTCTCGCCATCGATGGAAACGAAGTGGGCCAGACCATAGTCGAAAGAGTACCAGAAATTGCCGACACCACCAGTCTCGGCACCGGGCATGTAGAAACGGTGTTGGAAAGCAGTGAAGTTTCTAAAAGAGGGATTAGGCCTTGCGTTGTCTAGTGTTTGGCAGGAGATCTTATATACCTCTGAGAAGGCGGGCAGCTGTAGTAGGTGAGGTTATCCTTGGAAGCAGTGCCATTGGCAATATCGTCGTTGAGATAAGCAGTCAGAACGTTACCAGGGCCATCGAACTCGGCGCAGGCAGCCTCGTGATTGCCAGGGAGAACCATGTAAGGGATCTTCTTGGTAATCATGCCCATCCACTGCTGCCAGAGATCCCAATTGGACTCGTACAGAACGCTCATATCACCACCCTCAGGACCACCCTGGTTCGGGATCTCACCTTTTGGCAGGGGCTTCTTGTACTCATTCGTAATAACTCCCCCAGGGAGCGAGCTGCTGGTGCCATTGTAGCAAACTGGCCAGTCATCCTCACAGGCCATGATCCCAGAGGACCAGTCGTCGGCATAACTGATATCACCGCCGTGCCAGGCAAAGGCGGCGCCCTCGTTGGCAGCCTCCGTCAGGTACTTGTGGGTGCCCTGGGCATTGGTGTACCCCATGTCGTTCAGTACAGCCACGGTAAACTCCTTGGGGTCACCAGCTTTCTGGGCCGTCTTGAAGCTCAGCACCTCGGACTGGGTGGTGCCATTGGCAGCTGGGATCTGGTAATAGTAGGTGGTACCAGACTCGAGATGGTCCAAAGACACCTCGTGGAAGAATTGGCTGCACTGCGTGATGGCCTTGAACTGCGAGCACGATGGGGTACGATCATAGCTAGGATGAAGTCAGTATAGATGATGGCATTGCGAATCCTGAACCTCTCACGTGTGGGTATAGCCGCTTGCGAGCTTGTTCAGTTGGCGGGGATGACTCCCCCACTTCACCGACGGAGCTTCGCTTAGACCAAAAGGCGTCTGATAGTGAATGTGAATGCCTTCGGGCAGATACGACAACGAGATCACATTGACATTGTTGGTCGGGTGGGAGGTGGCCGGCTTGACAGCCGGCGGCTCGACCAAACGAGGGAAACCCTTGCCATTACCATTAATCGTAGGATCAACCCAGTCGCCGATGGGCACTGCGGGGCCTTTATAGGGATAGCGAGTGTCGACCGCAGGTCGAGCATCGACAGCGGCGGAAAATGCTAGCAAGATAGCAGCAGTGGTGGCCTTCATGGTGAGAGAGAACTGAGCCCATGGCACATTCTATGCCGCGAGGCCTGCTTTTAACCGAATCGACTACATGGCAAGCCACCAGCCCGGGTCGAGCCGACCTGTTATCATAAAAGGTTGCATCGTGGACTACACGTGCAAATGCTTAGGTCAACAATTGGCGATCGCCAGGTACTACGCACACTAGTGAAGCCGTCGGTCCCTGAGAGCGGGGCCCATTAGTTAGGACACGGATCCCGGTCGGGGCACTGATTGGCCTGATATCCTTAAGCCTTGTGGGGGGGGGGTGTTTGGGTACTGAAATGCTCTCTAGGTGGTTGGTCTAGGGGCGATAGTGCACGGCTCCTGTCATTTTAAAGGGGTCCTGTGTCTGTATTTTCTTATCTCTGGCTATACCCCGTTTCAACCGCTTCTAGCAAACCGAATGGTATTGATAGGTAGTCTGCAGAAGTTATCTAGGCACTTCGTTTAGCCGGAATTCCCGTGCCCAGTCAATTGCTACATCCATTCTCTGGTCAGGGAAATTGTCAGACCCGGGGATGGGTTTCCAGTAGCGAAGTGCAATAGAGGGGAAATTTGCTTCGGAGGTTTCCGGTGCGTGCGACGAAGGCGTATAAACACATTAAATCCATTGTAATAACTTAGTCTATTATGCCACTTTTGTAAACTCCAAACCTTTGTATAGCCAAACCAAAACACCTGTCTAAGCACGACGACCCAGATCCAGATCCGCCACCAGCTTCAAATCACCCTGTCCACCAGCCCCCAGACCAAAGAACGGCTTCACCGCAACATCAATAGTCTCCTCAAACAATCTGCCCACAACAACCTCTTTCAGATGCTCTCCCGTCTGCGCAAAATCCGGGAACGCATTCAACTCCAACAACCAAGCACACCCGGCGCTATCAACCAAGAAATCCACCCCAAAGAGCTCAAAGGCATTGGGCAACGTCTGAAAATGCACCATCATGCCCCGTGCAGCAGCCTCAAAGACCTCACCGGTAACAGCGCAGATCTGCTCGAAAACCTTTTCCTTCCAGTCCGCATCCAGACACGGAACGTGGTGGTCGAGATCCCAGAATCGACGGACGCTACCTTCGTTGCTGCTGCCGCCTTCTTGGAAGCAGGTGTTGGTCAGATGGCGGGCGAGATCCTTTACCTCGTCGTCTTCTTCGTGCGGAGGACAGTAGGGCTTTGCGGCGAAGAGGGCCAGCATCTCCTTGAAGACGTAGACTTTTAGGGCACCGGTTGCGAGCACGTACGTGCGAATGTGGAATTTGCGGTTTGAGGATGAGGGCAGGAGGAGTGGCGGGTCGATGTAGGGTTGTGCGAGGAAATGGCGGAGTTGGGAGGTGACCACGCCGGCGTCGTGAGCGGCTTCGTAAGAGTCGGGGTTATCCTCTTCAGCCTCGTCATCCGAGTCAACATCCCACTCCTCGAAAATCTCGCGCAGTTGGTCTTCGGTACTGAAGAGGCGGATCCCCTGGCCACGATCACTCATCCCGGGCTTGAGGATCCACCACTCCTTTTCGGAGTCGGGCCGTTCTTCGTTTTTCTCCAGGCTATCGCGAAGCTCGTAAGCCTCCAGTAGAGCCTCATCCAGGAACTCGGCGTAGTCCAATTCGAAGTCGAACGCCGGTTTGAAGTGGCGCTGTAGGATGCTCTCCGGATGTTTGGAGACCCAGTTGGAAATCGTGTTGGAGAGGTAGTGTTTTCGGATCAAGGCTTTGCGAATGACGTACGCGTTCGCCAGAGACGTCGATGGCCGCGACAAGACATGTTCGAAGTCCAGGCGCTCATATTCACGGTATTGGAAGACAAGGCTCGAAGCATCGGGGAGATCTTCGAGAGAAGATATCCGCTTTGTGCAGGCTGCGTCACCGAGGCGGCGAGTCAAGGCTTGCTCGACTAGGGCTTGCACGTAGGAATCGTCGCAGTCGACAATGGAGTAGAGCGTGGGCCGGTTAGCGGATCTACATGGTGCCAACCGATTAGAATAACTTCGAATCCAATAGGTATAGGGGAAGCATGACGATGTCTATCAGCTAATCCAAATATCTAAAGTGCCAGCCACAAGTATATCGGAAAAAGCACATCTGTATCATGCCAGAATCTCCACTCACAGCTGAATCTCCCCCGAAATCCCGGGTGCGTGCATAAAACTCGCCTTCAGCGGCGTGACACTGCTAAAGTTAGCGCCCAGTGGTGTAAATAAAAAGAGGTGGGCCAACAATACCTAGTCATTTGCTCCTTGACTGCCCAGCCATCATTCCCAGGAACACTATCCTCCACACTCTGATACACATCCTGGAAGTTAGGCGCCCACTTGAAGTTCTTGTGCTGGATCCTGTTTTTCCGGGCTGGCTGATCGCTAATGCAGGTCGCATCGACGTTCTTTCCAGCCTCACCTTCACGCAGCATCTGCTCCTGCAGATTGGGGTCGTCGTTGGATGCTGGGTCGGCCACTTGGAAGCAACTCCCAGACTTCCATGTATTGTGCAGCATGTTCGTGTAGAGAACCTTGTTCTGGCTGACGCCGGGTTCGAGGGGCACATTGACGCTATAGAGGTCGACGTCATCGGCCCAGTGGGAACACAGATACTCAATCAACCGGACCGAATGGCGCGATGCTTCTGCGATAACCACGGGATCATGATTGCGAGAGCTGAAGGCGTACGACAATGCAATGGACCGTTTCCCACACAAAGCGCCTTCCATCGCGGCGCCAATGGTTCCACTGGACAACGCGAACAGCGCGGTGGAGTTGCGGCCGTAGTTTGGGCCTGAAACGACCACATCAATCGGGCCTCGGTCCTGGAAGTAGTGAAATAGGCCGATTTGGACACAGCTCGCCGGGGTCGAGTCAATCAAGATCCATTCGTCGTCCTCGGCATCGTCATCGCTGCTCAGCGGCAGGTGGTGTACTGTACCGTCCTCCTGGTGTAATGTACCCGGCCGAAAATAGGTCGGTTTCACTGAGGCACCGATCATATGCGCTTTCCCGATCCATGATCGCTGTTGATGCGGGAGAACTACCGAGACGGTGTGGCCGGCGGACTGGAGCGAGTGGACGAGGGAATGGACGTAGGGCGACGACTGATTCGACGGAGGCCCGTCATCGTTGGTGACCTATGTTGCGAGAACATAAGCGGGATTTTCGGAAAACTGTTCTCGATCAGTAGTCAACTCACCAGGATATGCATTGGGCTTTACTGATTGGGAACTGGAAGAATGGAAGGAAGAAAAGAGCGAAGTCGGAAGTGCCCCGCCTTCTTGGGCGGAACACCAACATTCATGCATTCGGGAACGGGAACTATGGATGGGTATATTGGGCAGCAACTGAAATCCAACTAAACAAAAAACATCACTCGGGCTCGTCTCTGACATTACTTCGTCGTTTCTGTACCCCACGAGCCTCTGCGCTTTCTAGGCCAGAGCCAACGCCCGGATCATCAGACGGAAAGCTCCGAAGCAGAGCACTCTCCTCCCGCTCCTCTTTGATGTTAGGTCCAGGGGAAGTAGAACTATCTTCGGGCTCGTCCTTGATGCTGTTATGATCTTCATCCTTAATCGTCTTTGTAGGTGTTGCTTCGGATTGTAGGACGGTGTTCAGAAGCAGCCAGGTGAGGCTGGCCGAAGCCATGGAGAGCATCCAGAACAGAGAGCTGAAGATGGCGAAGGAAGTGAGCTTCCAGTGGTACATGAACCGTCTATCCTATTGTCAGCTTTGGATATGAGTAAAACCCCAAAGACACCTACCTCATGCCCGTAAACCGGGCGCGAAATTGCACCCGGGCACTGTAGACTTGCATCTTATCGTCGCTCTGAATTTCTAGGCGTAGACTCTGCGGCAGGTTGCGCGAACCTCGAGCGAACTCGACCTGCTCCAGCATTGACACTTCAATAGTTTCGGCTTCGCGACGCCAGCCGACCACGTAGAGTGGCAGGCGCGCCATCCTTCGAGCAACGTCGACCAGCGGGGAGGTATAGGTCAAAATAGCGGGGCGGCGGGATTGCATGATCGGATTCGCGTCCTTGACTGAGCCTGGGAGCACTGCTGACCCCGGTCGAGAGTATAGGGTGAGGTCGATCATGAAGTTGCCGGTGTCGAGGTTTGAGGGCGTGCGCGGCAACTCGAGTGTCACGGATACATCGTAGGGCTGAAGTGACACAAATTCCGAGTCGAAGGAGGCCGTTCCCCAGGGATTGCCATCGCTGTTCGAGTTAGAACCCTTGAGGTGTCACCGAGGCGCAGCTAACTTACCCAAATTGCAGGTGCACCACGCGTTCCAATCCAGCCGCGGGGATAAAACGGAGATAGAAGATGGTGTAGGCAACCACCGAAACTCCAACCAGTAGTAGCGATACGCCAATGAACAGCAGAGTGTTCAGGTAGAGGCGCATGGCCGACTTGGAGACCAGCGCGCGGAACGGCGCCAGGAGCGCATCCTATTGCCCGTCAGTAAGACCAGTAAGCAACCCAACCGACATCACTGATATAACTACCATTCCAAGATCTGCCGGACGATCAAGTTCGGTACCATCGTCGGAGTACTCAGAAGCCATCTTGAAGGGAGGTGGCCGGGGAAGTGGAGGGGTGACAGAGAGTCCGAGCTTAGCTTTGGCAGCTTTACCTCACAAGCACGCAGCAGCAGGGATGGTGCCTCGACACCTTAGGCACCAACTCCTTCCGCCTTCGACACCTGACGAGCCCCGGCAACCTCCAACGCCCACTCTCTGCTCTCCATCCGCTCATCCATCCCTTCATCATCCCCCCATCCCTATCTTCTTACCCCCACCCACACCCCCCTACCTATACCGCTTCCCTCTCTCTCAAGGTCGCACAATTCAGCTCGTCTCGCGTGCCCGATCTGTTATATCCATTATCCCCAGTGGACCGCATCCGTCACGCTTAAAATTCTGTCCTTCCGACCTTCAGATCAAATGATCGCGTCTCCTAGATGACCTTCCCTCCCCCTCACCATTCCGCCCAGTCATCGATTGCTTCTGGCACCGACAAATCTTCTTCGTCTAGACCCGAGATTGGTGCCTGGGGTCGGTCCTCCTCACAGTCCAGTGTTCGTCGTGGGTTGACTCCGCTCGCGACCAACCTTTCCTCCTCTGCCGCCCCCTCCGCGTCTGCCCGGGGCTTGGACGCAGGCCCTGGGGTTCCAACATCTTCCCCCCTCACCTCGTCCTTTTCCGCTGTTCTGAGCTCCACCAGGGGTCTTTCCAGTGGCCGCAACGCGCCCTCTCCATTCACGCCGCTCCAGCCTGGCTCGTCACAACCGAGCCAATCGATCTCGTCGCCCAAGTCGCGAGCCCATACCCCATCTGGAGGGCCTCATTTGGCGTCTGTCGGTTCCATCACGGGTGGTGGAGGCTCCGGGGGAGGAGGTGGGCCGGGATCTTCCAGAAGTGTGGCCTTCTCACCGCTATCGTCCGGAACAACCGTGAACTCTCCAACCGGCTTTGATAAGCCGGGCTCTGCAGCCGCTCATTCGAGTCAATCATCCCTCACCAAGATCTCCATTGCGCAGGTCTTCCTCCTGCTCGATTCTATCACCGAAAAAGAGGGCAAAGAGAAGTGGGAAACCAAAGCTGCTCAAATCCACAAGGTAAGATAAATGCTTTTTCTACGTGTTCGCAGCACTAATAAAATCTAGCTTGTCACATCCAACGGCATGGAAGTTTTCTCCAAGTACTTTCGCCGTCTTCTGACAGGCAATGCGCCTCAAATTTTCCCCGGAGTGAACAAGTCCGTCGAAAATGCCGCCAATTACCCCCTTCTCGTCCAGGAAATGCAGAAAGTTTCCTCGGATATCGAACAGGCTCAGAAAATCGCGGAGACGGTGGATACGTCTGAAGGAGACATCTTCCGTGATTTTGACCTGTCGACCTTTCTGGACCATTTCCGTCTCGATCCCCTTGTGAAGGTTGCTCTCGCTCTGGCCTTTAAGATGACCAACAAGTCCGATCTCCGCGCAAAGGGTATGTTGTAATTCTGTCTCATTTCACGTAGTGAATCAAACTGATCTTCTTGCTTGCAGCCGATGCGATCCTCTCAAATTCTGTTACCCCCTTCCTGCAGAGCCTGGCGAACCCATCCGATACCACCAAGGACTTTTCGACTGCCTTTCTGGGAATGACAATTGAGCGATTCATCCTATACCCCCCACGCAATTTCACCGACGATGTCAAAGCGAAACTGGTGTATGCCGCGAACCTGCGATACCAGAAACTCGGTCTGGACATGCCATTCGAAGTATCCTCTGCTCTTCAGATGTTTAATTTCGTCAACCCCCGATACGTTCTTGTTCGGCAACTTCACTCCAAGGGACCTCGAGCAACCGCAAACACTGAAACCGTCACTGAGATCATCAATGCGGCGGGATCAGAGAGCTGGGGCGAGGAGCATATCGCCAGCGCTATTCTCTTTATGGTTCTATCGCAGTACTGGCAACAGTTCTCCCTGGAGACGTTCCTTGGTGCCTTCGCTGAGAAGCAAATTAATTGGCCTCTCGTGTTCCGACACTTTGACCGGGAAGGCTTGCGGGTAGACCCGAAGCAGTTCTCCAAGCTGTACAGTGTGCTCTCGCCCATTGAGAATATTGATATCCAGAAGCTTTGGGGTGGTGACTGGGAGCACCGTGACACCCAGTTGTCATTCTTGACAGCGTTTGTTGCCTCTCGCACCGATGCCTCCCAAATTCCCAATTTACGCGCAACCTTCCCTGCCGACTTCTTCGAGGAAGCACCAGAAATTGTGAAGCTGCAAGGCGAACGCGCCGCGAAATCACCGCTCCGCTCGATGGATGCCATGAAGGCCATTTTCGACCTGGCTCTCTTTTCTCAGGCCGCGTGGGCTGCCGCTGAAAGTCAGCTCCTCATCAAGGCTGTGGTCCAATTCGATCTCCCAGTCTTCCTTTGCTCGGCGCTCGCTATCCCCCAGCCGTGGTCCAGTGTCCAACAAAGCTTTGTGCTGCGAACCTTTATTGTGTTTATTCTGAAGCAGGAAGAAGGATATCAGCTTGCACTCTATGGGGCTTGGCGTCAAGATCGGCAGTGGGTTGCTGAGCAGCTCTTCACTGCCTTCACACAGGACCCCACGTCTACTGCGGCGATTTATGATCATGCTGTCGCCTTCGGCTGGCTTGACTATCTCCTTGGATTCACCAACGGCCTTGCCCTGGACCTTGCCTGCTATGCTCATCGCAAGGGTCCGTTTGACCTTGAGCAGTGGGTTCGGAACGCCTCTCAGAAGGGCCCCGTGGACATGGGCAAACTCCTGTCGAAATTCTTGAGGATCAAGGCAGAGGATGAACTCCACGTCCAGCGGAAGGAGCAGTCCGCCGCTCAAATGGTCAGCCTGGCGGTAAAAACCGTCTACACGCTTCTGTCCGTTCTGGAGGAGTACGTCGGCGACCGTGAGAACCTCACTCCCGTTCAACGGATTTGTATTCAGACGTACCCTCGTTTGATCAACTATGGCGAAGGGTTCGACGACATCATTGACGCCAATGGCGAAAATGGTAACACTCTCCCCGAGGCCATTGACAGGCAGATGCAAGATCTTTTCGGGAAAATGTATCACGAGGAATTGTCTTTGAGAGAAATGCTGGAGTTGATGCGCCAATACAAGTCTTCGCGGGACTCCACTGAGCAAGAGCTATTTGCTTGCATGGTGCATGGCCTCATTGATGAATACCACTGCTACCACGAGTACCCTCTGGAGGCTCTGACTAAGACCGCGGTTATGTTTGGCGGTATTATCAACTTCCGCCTTGTTGACGGCATCACGCTGAAGGTCGGCCTTGGCATGATTCTTGAAGCTGTCAGGGAGCACGAACTCCACGATCCGATGTACAAGTTCGGCGTGGAGGCAATCGAACAGTTGATCAGCCGTCTTCCTGAGTGGGCTGGCTTCTGTCATCTACTTCTCCAGATCCCATCATTGCAAGGCACACCCATTTTCCAGAAGGCGGAGGAGGTTCTACACGAACAAGGAAACCAGGTCGGTGATGCCGAGGCTGCACGTTTTGAAGATCTTGCGGCGTCGACCTTGACCAATGGCAATCAGGATGATTCCTCTGCTGCTGATGGTTCATCCCGGAAGTTCCGATCTGTTCAAGTTGATCCCCCTCTGCGATCTGAGCTCTATCAGGAGCCAGATGAGGATGTTCAAGACAAGATTCTGTTTGTGCTGAACAACGTTTCGGAACAAAATTTGGATGAGAAGTTGGAGGATCTGCAAGACGTGCTGCGCGACCAGCATCACCAATGGTTCGCTGCATATCTCGTAGAGGAGCGTGCCAAGTTGCAGCCCAATTTCCAACAGCTGTATTTGGACTTGCTCGACCGCATTAATGACAAGATTCTGTGGGCCGAAGTCTTGCGAGAGACCTATGTCAGCGTCAACAAGCTGTTGAATTCCGAAGCCACTTTGACCTCATCCACCGATCGTGGCCACCTCAAAAATCTCGGTGCTTGGCTTGGCTCGTTGACCATCGCCAAGGACAAGCCTGTCAAACACAAGAACGTTTACTTCAAGGGTCTTCTCCTGGAGGGGTACGATACTCAACGCCTCATGGTCACGATTCCATTTACCTGCAAGGTCCTTGTTCAAGCCACAAAGTCAACGGTGTTCAACCCTCCCAACCCGTGGTTGATGGACATCCTGGCTCTGTTGCTGGAGTTGTATCACTATGCCGAGTTGAAACTCAACCTCAAGTTTGAGATCGAGGTTTTGTGCAAGGATCTTAATCTTGATCATAAGACTATTGAGCCGTCCATCGTTATTCGAGACCGTGCAGCCCATGGCGAAGAGGCCCTGTCCACCACCAACATTCCCGAGGGTCTCGAGGCCTTCGAGGACATGGCTCTCACCTCGATCAACCAGAGTATGCGGAACGAGAGACTCTCGCCCGCTGCAATCATGTCGACCTTGCCCAGCCTCGACAAGATCCTTGTTCTGCCCTCGTCAGCTAGCAGCATGGTGGATCCGAGCGTTCTTAGGCAGATTGTTCACACTGCCGTGGAACGTGCCATCGCGGAAATCATCACTCCTGTCGTCGAACGCTCCGTCACTATTGCTTCCATCTCAACCGTTCAGCTGGTCTCCAAAGACTATGCTATGGAGCCTGATGAGGAGAAGGTCCGACATGCTGCGGGTATTATGGTCAGGCAACTCGCCGGAAGCCTGGCCCTTGTTACTTGCAAGGAGCCCCTCAAGGTTAGCATGACGAACTACATTCGGATGATTCAGCAAGAGTACTCTGATCAGCCTATGCCCGAAGGCCTGATCCTGATGTGCGTGAATGATAACCTGGATGCTGCCTGTGGCATTGTCGAGAAAGCGGCAGAAGAAAAGTCTCTCCCCGAGATCGAAAAGGTGATCGAGCCCCAATTGGAGGCCCGCCGCCGCCACCACGCTGCCCGGCCCAATGAACCATTCATTGATCCTTCGATGAACCGCTGGGGTCTGTTTATTCCGGAACCCTATCGGCAAGCTCCCGGTGGGCTCAACAAAGAGCAGCTGGCAATATATGAAGAGTTTGCGCGCCAGTCACGCGGCCCAGGATCGGCCTCCACGGAAACCGGTCGCCAGCTTCCCGACGTCCTCCAAGAATCATATCCCGCCATTCCCAACCTCTCAACGCCCGCGGATCAGCCCGCTGTGCCCCACAGGACCCCAGCGCAGCAAGATGCCAGACTGCAACAGGTGGGCATGGTTGGTGCTCAGCCGCAATTGAATGGTTTCCTCGATGCTCAGAGCCCTCGGGAGCGGGTCGAAACAATCGTCTCCGACCTCCAACAGTCTGCTCGCAATGCCCCTGAGGAGCATATCAAGGATCTTGGTAGAGATAGCGCCATTCTCCAAGAATACAACCAGGCATTGCGCACCATCCTTGCGTCGCCGAATGGCGAGGAGCTGGCACGCCTGACCTCTTTGAAGATTTGCACGACTTTGTACTCCCAGTCCTCGACACCCCTTGAGATTGAGGTGCTTGTGCATCTTCTGGCCAAACTCTGCGACATGTCTACACTCATCGCACGGTACACATGGGCGCTCCTCTCGGAGGTTGATGATGAGCACATGTTCAATGTACCTGTTACCGTCGCTCTTATCGATGCGGGTCTTCTGGACATTCGTCGAGTGGACATGATCTTGACTCGACTCATCATACAGAAGAATGTGAGTGCACTGGAGCTGCTGGAAAATCTGCTCAACCGAGTTCTCTTCAACGACGAGCCTTCCGCCTTGAGATCTGATTTCTCCGGCAGTCTGGAGGCCATGAGCCAGTGGCTCGCAGAGGATTCGAACATCGCACCGGCTCTTGAGATCAACCGCAAGCTTCGCGAGTCGGGCATTCCTGAAGTGGTCAACCCGCTCCTCAGTGACCAGGCCAGGGCAAAGCGCGATCAGATGGAATACATTTTCAGCGAGTGGATCGGTATTTACAAGGCCCCTGGCGCTACCGATCGCACCTATCACTCCTTCCTCCAGGACATGCACCAGCGTCAGGTCATGAATACCCAAGAAGACTCTGCTCTGTTCTTCCGCCTTAGCATCGACATCTCTATCGCGATGTTTGAACACGAATCGCAAAATCCGAGCGGCAGTCTGGACGAAGCATTCCTCTACATTGATGCGCTTGCCAAGCTCGTGGTCCTTCTGGTCAAGTTCCAGGGCGAGAGTGAAGGCGCTGTTAAGTCCAGCAAGCCCGCCTATTTCAACTCCGTCCTCTCACTGCTTGTTTTGGTCCTCAACCACCACCAAGTCATGCGTGGCGAAGGGTTCAACCAGCGCGTGTTCTTCCGACTGTTCTCCAGCATTTTATGCGAGTACTCCATGAATGGGCTTCAGCATACCGATCAGCACCAAGGCATGATCTTTGCCCTTGCCGACAAGTTCCTGTCTCTCCAGCCCCGTTACATTCCTGGCTTCGTCTATGGATGGCTCTCTCTGGTGTCCCACCGAGTTTTCATGTCTGATATGCTCAACATGCCGGAACGTGCGGGATGGGCGGCGTACTGCGAGATCATGCAAGCCCTGCTCTCCTACATCGGCGAGCAGCTGAAGGCCGCCAACATTTCCTACGTTGCCAAAGACCTGTACAAGGGCGTGCTTCGCATCCTGCTGATTCTGCATCATGATTTCCCGGAGTTTGTGGCCGAGAACCACTTTCACTTCTGCAATGTGATCCCAGCTCACTGCGCTCAGCTACGAAATCTAGTTCTCAGTGCCTACCCGTCCTCATTCCACAAGCTTCCCGATCCTTTTCGCGAAGGCTTGAAGGCGGAGCGCATTGAGGAGATGCGGGACATCCCTAAGATTGCAGGTGACATTGATGCTCCTCTTCAGCAGGCGAACATCAAGGATGTTGTGGATACTGTGCTCCAAAATGACGACGTCTCAGATGCTGCGGTCCAGCAGATCTGCGACACAGTCACGACGACGGAAAAGCAGGAGACTGGCCTCTTCTATGTCCCGATCAACGTCGACACCGTGCTTGTGAACGCGCTTGTCCTGTACATTGGCCAGCAAGCGGCGACTGAACATGCTTCGAAGAGCAACACCCGCAGCGCATTCGAGACCTCGACGCACGCGACTCTTCTGAACAAGATCGCGCAAATCATGACTCCTGAGGCTCGTTACTTTCTCCTGAGCGCGATGGCCAACCAGCTCCGGTATCCTAATAGCCACACCTACTTCTTCAGCTTTACGATCCTGCGTCTCTTTGGTGTGGACTATTCTGAGCAGGATGAGTCGGATATCCGCCAGCAGATCATCCGGGTGCTTCTGGAACGCCTCATCGTCCACCGACCTCACCCATGGGGATTGATCATCACGCTCCAGGAGCTCCTCCAGAACCGGAGCTATTCTTTCTTCCGCCTGCCCTTCATCCAGGCGGCACCCGAGGTGAGTTTCCTTGTTTCTTGCATGTCAACTTTTTGCTAACTTGTTCTGCAGATCGGTCGGCTTTTTGATGCCCTCCTTCAGCATATCCAACAGCAAAGCCCCCGTCCGCTGTCCTGAGCTCTCCTCATCCGCCGCTGTTTCCCAATCTCTTCTCCGCCCCTTTTCTTTCGTCTGACATCCTAAATTTTTTTTCATGCCTCACGATACGGGGATTTGCAGTGAGGATGGCCTTGCATATTTTATCCCACATCTCTTACCCGCGGACCAGTTCCGTATGCCTTGTTCCATGATGTTTTTTTGTCTGATGCTACTACCTTCCTGTAATGATAAAGTGTAAAAGCTGGCGTCACATTGGTTTGCTTTGAAGTTATCTTATTGCATCGAGAGGGGATTTAATTGCCACTATTATTATCATGATTTGTGCCTATTAACATGCTTGTAATCTCGGCCCTTGCCTCTTCCTCATCCAAGGTCAATAAAAAACATGCCCGGGGTGGGAGGAGTGGTCACGTGATCTGCCCATTCATGGCGCTGACATCAGCATGTACCTGGTTGCCCGAGAGACGGTGCCATAAACACCGCTCTGCTGTCACATCCGCCTCGAATTCCTGCGACCTTCAGGTTGGTCTTCTGGTCCACTTGTGTTTACCATTTCCCCCTACGACATACTGTTGGCTCCTGTTCAACAAAGATGCCAGGAACGGTGGCTGATGGACCGAGTGTGTCCATGTCTTGTATGTATTGACTGAAAGAGCGTTGGGAAAAGCTCACTAACGGTCTGGTTTCTAGTTGCGAACAACTTCTGGGGCAAGGATGATGCCGGCCTTCACCCCATGCTTGAGCGCATGCATGGATCTAAAATCACGAATGATGAACTAAAGGCGTTCTACAATGGTTTGTGTCTATGTCTCCGATGTAGTGCCTCTGCGGTTGCTAATGTCAACAAATAGTCCGCGCTGCCATCGAAGATGAATACGCCAGAAAACTCCAAGCACTGTGTCGCAAGTCACTTGGATCGGCTGAAACAGGATCGCTGCGTGCTTCACTTGATGTGGTTCGCGGAGAAACCGAAGCTATTGCGAAAGCCCATGCGGCCATCGCGACCCAGATGAAGGGTGAATTGGAAGAGCCGCTGGCTACCTTTGCCAGCGGACTCAAGGAAAGACGGAAGATCATTCAGGCGAGCATTGAGCGTCTGCACAAGACGAAAATTCAACAGACACAGGCCGTGAACAAGGTGAGTGCCTGATGACCTAACATCAAGTCTGACGTATGCTAACCACAAGTATAGACTCGCGACCGCTACGAGCAGGACTGTCTCCGCATCAAGGGATATCTTGCGCAAGGCCACATGGTGATGGGCCAAGAAGAACGAAAGAATAAAGCAAAGCTTGAGAAGACCCAGATCCAGCTGGCCTCCAACAGCAACGAGTATGAAGCTACGGTCAAGACTCTTGAGGAGACAACTGGGCGTTGGAACAAAGAGTGGAAGCAGGCTTGTGATGTACGTGACACCTCCCACAGTTGTTAAATCCTCATACTAACGGCCTGCAGAAATTCCAAGATTTGGAAGAAGAGCGTTTGGACTTTACAAAGAGCAGTCTCTGGACATATGCGAACATTGCATCGACAGTCTGTGTCAGCGACGATGCTGCTTGCGAACGCATCCGCCTCTCGCTTGAGAACTGCGAGGTGGAGAAGGACATTGTTTACTTTATCAAGGAACGCGGAACTGGCCAAGAGATCCCGGATCCTCCACGATTTATCAACTTCTGCAAAGAAGATGCAAGTGATGCTGGCTCAGAGATGGGAGAGGACGGCTACTCCGTCGCTCAGTTCCAGCGCACTATGAATCCTGCGTTCCGCACATCCTCCCCCCAGCCGTCTGCATACGAGTCCCATAACGACCCTCAGTCCGATCTCGCGGGTCAAATGGGCCACCCTGCTGCGGAGAAAGGGGCTCAGCAACCAGCGCCTCTCGATCTTCGCAGAGGCGGCCAACTTCCTCCAAACTATGACCCTGATCAGCATGGCGAGATCAACACGATTCCACATAATGCATATCCAACGGATGGTATGACCATGTTCTGTCGAGCTGGCCCGCCTTCGGAGCGATCTGCAACCAGCGCATATCGTCCATCCAGCCGCGATTCTCAGAGCGAAATCTCCAACCCGACCTCTATGTCGAGCTTTGACCAAGGCAGTACCCTCAGTTCCAAGTCTTCTCCCGTTAAATCACCTGGCCCCGGGCTGCCAAGTGACGGAGGCGATAAGCAGATTCAGAAGAAGAGAAGCGCGTTTTTCAGCAACAGTCCTTTCCGCCGCAAAAGTCGCCATGAAAAAGAGAGACCTAACATTTCACCCTCGCCAGCCAGACAGAGTCCGATCAAAGGAGCTCCCATGCTTAATGACGGTCGTGTGTCTGGAAGCCCAGAGCCCGTGGATCCTCGCGCAAACTTCCAGCTCAATGTTGGCAACAATGTCTTTGATGTCGCTTCACCTGACAAGAGCTCCCCCAGGAAGGGAGCGCAACCGATCAAGAGCCCTGAGGATGACCTCGACCCCATCGCTCGGGCTTTGGCTGACTTGAAGACCACTGGCAAGCAGTCGACCTCTCGTGTGTCGGCCGATAGATACCATGGTATTCAGACACCAAATCCGTCCGCCCCAAGCTCGGCCTATGGTGGAGGCGCGTCAGGCGCACCTCCTCCGGCATATCATGACCCCTCCGTGAAGCGACTTGATGCTCCTCAGCCGGCTTTTACCTCCAAGCAGATGCAAAAGACGACCCAGCGATACACTGGCCAGACTCAGAATATGCTCCGAGGCGGAAACGGCAACTCTCAGGACATTCCCCGTGCTCGATCGCCAGCTCCAAGGCGCAGCGCCAGTCCCCAGGTCACCCCTCGTGCAGACACTCGAACAAGCCAGTACAGCGGTGGAGGAGGCAGCCCTAGCCCAACTTCATACCAGTCCAACAGCATGAACGGCCGTTATAGTCAATCCCCAACGCCGCGTCGAACCCAAGATCCGCCGTACCCGGCCAACGATTACAATAGGGGATCACCTGGTGGTCTTAACCGTGGTGTATCTCCTCAGCCCCAGTTCAGACAGCAGGCTCGTCCCTCCAGCGCCGGGGGCATGGAGCTGCAGTTGTCTGGCAACCAAGTTGAGATGTACGGTGGTGGCAGCCGCGAAGGATATAACTCAGCTCGACAAAACGGCCGGCCAGTATCTTACTACGGTGATGGCAGCGGTGCGCCGCCTGGCCGATCCAGGAGCCGCACCTTGGCTGTTGCCGAATCAGGAAGGAAATTCAGCCGCGATGGACGCCCGGTTCTGCATTTTGCTCGCGCAATGTACAGCTACTCTGCCGCCATTCCTGAGGAGCTCGGCTTCACCAAGGGCGAAGTGCTGGCTGTACTTCGCCTGCAGGATGACGGATGGTGGGAAGCTGAAGTCACCAGCACCCGTGCTCGCCCCGGTCTGGTGCCGAGCAACTACCTGCAGATCATCTAGATGGTCTACATCGCTAACGAACCGCCATGACCCACTGCAACCTCTTGTCCTGACGGAGTTTTTCGCTTCCCTTGTTCTTACGTAGATACCACACCCTTCTCCGAGCCACTTTGCACATTACGATCCTTTATCTTCTTTTTCTTTCTTTTTCTTCACTTAGTTTTCTTACTTCCGTGCTTCGAGGGCTCAAGAATTGGTCAACTTTTTTGATATTTCTCCGAATTTTCTGAAATTCTTTTTATTTTTTTGGCTTTTAAAGCGTCTTCGATTTTCAGGGCTATGTCCAGTGCTGTGCGTTCCAATTTGTCAAATGCTTTTTGCCATGATATTTGAATTGAGGCTTTTCTTCAGGTCGAATGGGATGGATGTTGAATGAATGGTCTCAGGCCATGTACATTTGCTAGGATACTTGCTATTTGTGTTTACTATTCGGGCGCGCCTGATGTCTGTGTGGCTTCAATGATATTCTTTTCCTATGTCAACTTGCTTTGCTTTTTTCTTATCTCAATAAAAGTACGGGATCAAGATAGCTCCTAGTGCCTTTAATCTCCGTCTGTAGTTAGTGTTGTGAATATACTAGTGTGTGGTTGCTTCTCCACGATTCTTCCCCGCAGTATATCACCCGAATCAAACCTTCCTTACCCGGCACTATGTGCCGATGCCGGGCCATAAATGGTATATAAAACACAAATTCCCCGCATTAATGGGGCTTATCACCCGTCTGTTCGACTAGAGCCAAGTCTTCTAATCGATCATGAAGATTTCAACCATTTTGGCGGGCATCCTGCCCACTGCCCTGGCAGCCGATCCCCTCTTGACGGTGCGCACCTTGACTGGCACCTACACAGGCCTTCAGAACCCCGACTATCCCAATGTCCGGGAGTTTCGTAACATCCCATATGCGCAGCCCCCCGTTGGCAAGCTCCGCTTCCTGCCACCGGAGTCGCTACCTCACTCGGATGAACACCATTACTCCACGCGATTCCCACCTTCATGCCCGCAGTTTGTTTCCAGCTCTCCCAGCTTCTGGAACCTATTTACCCCTTTCCTGCTCGTGGAGAATGGTGATCAAAACCACACCAGCGGCCTGAGTCTGCAGACCGGCGCAGAAGATTGCTTGAGCATAGCCGTCTGGACACCCTACAGAGTCTCCTCGAAAGCCAAGCTGCCTGTTGCTTTCTTTATGACTGGAGGCGGATTTGTTACTGGTGGGATTGACATAGCAGGCCAGCTTCCGCCGTCATGGGTGAGTCGCACCCAGGACCATATCGTGGTGACAATCAATTACCGGCTCAATATATTCGGCTACCCCAACGCAGCCGCATTAGATGTGCCCAATGTGGCTCTGCTGGACCAGCGCAAAGCGTTAGAATGGGTGCACGAAAACATTGCCTCGTTTGGAGGCGATCCCGACAGAATCACGATGTGGGGACAGTCTGCTGGCTCTATCAGTACGGACTGTCATAACTACGCTTTCTGGGATAAGCCAATTGTTCAAGGTACGTTTTCGCAGTCTGGCACGGCGCTGCTCGCTGCCTCCTCGAAGGATTACAGTCATTCCAACTTTACCTTCGTGGCGAAGAACCTGGGATGTGATTTCCCCGATGATCCCATCGCAGAACTGGAGTGTATGCAACAAGTCCCAATGACGATGATTGAGAACTTCGTCGGACAATATGACAAAGAGCCTGGGATCAGCTTTACTCCCATTGCTGATAATGTCTACGTCTTCTCCGATTATGCGGCCCGCGCAGCTGCTGGAAAGATCTCACCTCGGCCGGCGATCTTCTCGGATTGCGCCAATAACGACGCCTCCCTGGCAACCTGGCCATCATCCAATGCCACCGTTGGCCCGTGGCAGCCCGGGATTACCGCAGGCACTCTAGCAGACTGGATCTGTCCGACTGCAAACACAAGCATGTGGCGCGCCGCCAACAACATCACTACGTACCGATATCAGTACGCCGGCACCTGGCCCAACGAGACCCCTTACAAGTGGCTGGGCGCCTACCATGCGGCAGACCTGGTCATGAATTTTGGTACATACTTCTACAGGGTGTCCAATGCGACCACTGGTCCCAGTCCATTAGAAATCGCCACGAGTGAGGCCATGCAGGACCATATTCTGGCTTTCATGAAGGATCCCATCCAGGGACCCCCTGCCAAAGGCTGGTTCCCGTATACGTATGGTGGCGATGTGCTTCGGTTCGGTGGGGATGGGCTTGCAGTGCAGAATGTGAGTGGGTATTCCATTGATGGACCGTGTTTTGGAAATGGGACGTATAATCCGTTTCCGTGAGGGATTTATTGAGATTGAAGGACTTGGGAGGGCGTTATACTATGCCATTACTTCATAGTATAAGTTATGATCTAACAAGTAACATGAGATCCCAAACATTTCTTCATTTGACTATCTTGTCAAACCCAAATGTCCTCTTCCGTCTTGTAAAGAGAACCCAGGGCTTCGTGATAATCCATCGCGATAGAACAGGATTCCTGTATTTTATCGGCAAGACGGTTATCTGCAAACAGATCCCTGTTGAAGAATTTAAGGACAGCATCCCGGCGATGACCGATGTTTTTGCAGAAGGATATAGCTACGAAGAGGAGTTCGGCTACTTTGGCCCTGGTACACCGCAGTTGGTTGCTTGGGCTGCTGAGAACGCGAAAAGAACACTCTCCTCGTTGCAAGAGCACTTGAGGCACATCCATTCCAGCTCGCATGAGTACGAAGGATCAAGCCACGCGGTAGATTTCGCCAAACGCAGACTGGGTCGGAGTGAGGGATTTATTCGGGGCGCATATCAGTACACCATAATACGAGATAGTACGGACAAGAACTATTCGTATAGGAAGCTATGCAGTGGTCCTAGTTGAGGAGAGCAGGGCCTTGTGTAGTAGCAGTACTTCGACATTTCGTACGTAGGCACTGGAGTGCGGACGACAGAGGGTCTCCCGGCAACCACCCCCGGCCGGTTGCCGGGTAGATGCCGCGCTATTAAATGGAAGGGGAAGTCAGCTTCAGAAATAGCTGAGGTTTTTTCAAATGTAGTGGAAATCGGGCAACTTGCAGCACTAAAACAGCCGGCGTAGGGCCGGTGGTTTGGGGGCGACCGGGAGACCCTTTGTGCAAAAGGGATACCTAGTCTGCCATAGTAATTACTACGCGATACGATGTACACATCGCTATTTTCCCCGGCAATATTATGGTATTTTGCCGGTACAGAAACGCCGTTGATCATTTTACCGTTATCACTCACCGCCCGTACCTCGTATTAGGAGTAGGTACATTCCGTACGTGGCTGGATGTGGCTTCCCCCCGCAATTTTAAAAAGTGGATCTGCGCTGGGCCGAAATGCACGCAATTTGTGGAGAGAAACTCTCAGGGTCCGTTTGTTCGTCGGTAGGGGGGCGAAAGGCAAGACGCGCAGACTATTGCAAGAATAATCACCATAGAGATCGAGATAGCCCTAGTACGGTGTAGAGACTGAGCAATTGTTCCTAGAGCGGACTATTACTAGGGTTACACTGCCATCCGCATCGGACGGGTGGATGACATCAGGTCCGATGCGGATGCGCTTAGAGTTTACGGGGCCACGCGAGACATGGACGCCCAGCGTTTTAACCGAGGCGAGGCAGATTGCTTGCAGTTAGTTAAATACCCTCGTACGGGGCCCCCCTAAAGCCATGTAACCCCCCAAGTTCCCTCTTAGTTGTGCACATATTCCTTCTCCTGTTCTGTCCTGTTCTGTCCCTCCAGATGTCGTCGGACTCCGAGAAAAAGAAGCGAGAGGAGGCCCTAGGCGCCACAACTTCCGATATCGAAAGCTCCTACTCGCGCGATGCAGTCTTCGGCGAGATCACAGCCGAGGGTCCCAACTATCGCAATGTCGGATGGCTGGGCACAGCCGTGCTGATGATGAAGACCCAGATCGGTCTCGGCGTCCTCTCCATCCCCGTCGCCTTCGATTCGCTGGGGATCATCCCCGGCATAATCTGTCTCATCGCCATTGCGGCCATCACCACCTGGTCCGACTACATCATTGGTGTTTTCAAGCTGCGGCATCGCGAGGTGTATGGCATTGACGACGTGGGCCAGATGCTCTTTGGGAAATTTGGGAAAATTGTTTTCGGGGGTGCTTTTATTCTCTGTGAGTTTATGTCACTTTATCGTAGTTTAATCGCTCTCTGACCCTCTCTCCTTCATAGGGTGGACCTTCGTTGCGGGTTCGGGGATGCTCGGCATCAGTATCGGTCTAAATGCCGTATCGACTCATGCCACTTGCACCGCCGTGTTTGTCGCTGTGGCTGCGGTCGTCACCTGTACTCTGTCGAGTATTCAGACTCTGGGCCGCATCTCCTGGCTAGCGTGGGTCGGGTTAACATGCATTCTTACATCCAGTAAGCAATTGTCCCTTCTATCCATTGAATCAAATTTAATAATCGTGTCTAGTCCTCATCGTGACCATCGCGGTCGGCGTTCAAGACCGCCCATCAGCCGCACCGCCAACGGGTGTCTGGGTTTCCGACTACAAGATTATAGGTAGCACAACATTCGTGGAAGCCACAACAGCCCTCTCCACCATCGTGTTCGCGTACGCCGGCACTCCGGCCTTCTTCTCCATCGCGTCGGAGATGCGCGATCCCCGCCATTATGGTCGATCGCTCATGGTGTGCCAGTCTGTCGTGACCGTTTTCTACATTGTAGTTGGAATCGTGGTCTACTATTACTGCGGGTCTTATGTGTCGTCTCCTGCTCTGGGCTCCGCCGGTCCGACGATGAAGAAAGTCAGCTATGGCTTTGCGCTGCCGGGCTTGCTGGCTAGTACATTGATTTTCATCCATGTGAGTGTCTCTCTCCGTTCCGAAAAATGGTCTAGTGTACGTTCTGACAGTCTTTTGTTTAGCTGCCGGCCAAGTATATATTTGTCCGCGCCCTCCAAGGTTCCAGGCACCTGACTGCCAACACCTTCATCCACTGGGGATCCTGGCTCGGCTGCACAATCGGAATCTCCCTCTTCGCTTATATTATTGCCAGCGCCATCCCCGTGTTTGGTGATCTCGTCTCGCTCGTTGGCGCCTTGCTCGGTACGCCGATGTGCTTCCATCCCATGGCCGGCATGTGGTTGTACGATAACTGGACCCAAGGCAAGGTTATTAGAACGACCCGGTGGACTTTGATGGTCGGCTGGTGTATCTTCGTTATCTTGGCTGGCACTTTCTTGATGATTGGGGGGACGTATGGATCGATTGTCAGCATCATCGACGACTATAAGAAGTCCGGGGGTTCGGCTGCTTGGTCGTGTGCTGATAATTCTGTTGCTTGATAGATTTTCCCATCTGGGTGTGTCAAGACGGTTTTATAGCTTCTCCGTATATATAGAATCAGAATATAAATGAAGTTTTTTTTCACTAGAACGCTAGGTGACGGTAAACCGGGCACCAAAAATATATAGAGAACCACGAATACGCCGGTTGGAACTGCCGGGACCTTAAAGCTCTGACCCTAACAAACAGCCATCTGACCATTTAGCCAAAAAGTTGTTGCCGAGCATTATTGGTCCATTGATAGAGGGATTCAAACTGCCGCACGTTGTCGACCATGTCATGTCGGAAATTCGCAGAGTGTGTAGATATTGCGTAATTGGATCTGCACCATTAGTCCCTTTTTGCAGGAACCAGTTCTTCCCATTCTGTTTTCCTTTTTGGGCCGCATTGTATATCTCCCGGGGCATAATGAATGTGCCAGTCCTTCCTTGCCCATATAAACAGTTCACAAATATTGCCTTGCCTGGGACATTCATTGCGTTAACGTGCCATGTCCCTCCCTCCTTCTACTCAAGCCGTAAGCCTTCACATATCACTCTAAGAGTCGCGTAAGGTATATCGCTCAGCATAACACCGAGATTACCCATTCCAAGCTAAATTTCATTGGCGATATGATACAGAACCAACCACTTACTGCGGTTCAAATGGCCGATGAAGCTGAATACAGTAAGCGTTCGAACAAAAGTATTCGGAGAAGCTTCCCGCAATTTGGAAGCATCCACGCCTCCCTGGATTGAATAAGCCGGAGAAAGATCATAACGCGATCGATGTTAGGAGCGCTATACGATCAAAGTAGGTCGTGTGAAAAAACGAGAGCGCCAGAGGACATTTAGGGACGTAGGCCTCATGATACACATTTACAGCACTTGAATCCGATTTTTGGTGGGATAGAAGAAAAATGCTCATCTAGCTCTACCACTACCACCAGGGTTGCAATTTATATGTGCACGATACAAGATTGATGGACAAGCTGACTTATCCAGGATTGTAGAGAATCTTCGGGGTTTTATCCTGACAGTATATCCCGGAACGGTGATGGAGCTAGTGCTTACCCTGTTGGCGCCTTGGTTGGTGCCTGGGAGTCATTCCGCGACCTTTACCTAGGTAGGTTAGTCATGATAACCCGACAACTTCTTGACTCTCTTCCCAATAATATTGCTACGTTGCGCTCTTCAATTCATTATTGACATAATGTCGCGAACCACTGAAGATACCCCGCTGCTGCTGGACCCCACAGCCGATGAATTAGGATCCCCGAATGATGAACGATACGCTCCCATTGTGGAAAGACATCAACAACGATGTACCAAAACCATCTTCATTTTGACGTGGAGCTCGGCACTACTCGCGGTCTTCATCCTTGTTCTGAACCTGACCATCATATTCATATTTCTTGCCCGATTCGGGAATATCATGCCCTGGGCACCAGAGGGTGCTCTAGTTGCCCTCTTGTGGACGGTATGTTTTGATGTCACGCACATATATACTCCTCACCAGGAAAATAGGCCGCTGACCACAGCGACAACAGCTCCTGGCCGCCGGATTGATCTCGTTCCTTAATCTGGCTCGTCTATATCTCTGGAACCGACCTATCTGGCTCTGGTTGAACCTGATCCTGGACCTCGCCATCGCCGTATTCTCAATCGGTAATGGTCTATCGAATTTGGGCCTCGACGGCTCCGGATGGAACGCAGATGTACCCCTATGGTTCATCCGTATAGCCCAGGTCGTATCCTGGTTGGCTGTGGTGTTCGGGTCAGTCATTCCGAAAATATCCTCTCTACTCGTCTTCTTAATACATGTTAACACCCACTGGACATCTAGACTGATCCACTTGGCTCTGTTCCTCGTGCGATGCTTCCTGTCCTTCAGCTACCGGCCCTGGCGTGAATATCGCAATTGGACGTTGCCCCGTGGGCGCTTTAGCATTGAGTTCAAGGTGCAATTCATTCGACAGACGGATAACGCCGTAGCGTCGCCCGACACTACTGACTCTAGCACCGGAATCCAGGCAGAAGTGGCGGCGCAGAGGGTTTGAGGGGGTCCATTCCCAGTGTGCACCAGATACAGCAACCGATTCAAGCCCATCCATGTTAACTCATCAACAGATCAACTATATAGAGGCAATACAACGTTCCATTTCCAACAGAATTTTTGGTTGTCGTAGATAACCATTGCTTCAAATCCATTTCCCGATGTGCAGATGAGGTAAGACTTTACACGAAGTCTTCGACCCATTTATAGGTTATGTCAAAGCCTAACAACGAGGGCGAAGAAGAGAATTCCGTGACGGGTTTTACCCAGCAAGGGCTAAATAAGAGTTGGCCATCGATTGTCATCTCGAAAAACGTAATAGATAGAACAGAAAGCCGAGAGGTTTATTTAATTCTGCGGTAAGTTCAATAAAATCGAGTTTTGTCACTACAACTCGAAGCGGATGAATGCAAACACATCCCGTAGTCTAGCGGAAAAGATAAGCTAAGGAGTATATCAACATAGCATGTATGTACACAACACAACGCAACGCATCGAACGACCGTAATATACGAAGAGCAAGCAGGTACAGACAGGGGTAGGGTATATGAAACACAGGCACGCATTCTCACAATTAGAAAAGCAGACCAGAAACAAAGCCAAGCGGATCTTTTATTCATCATCGACAAAGGAGTTGGCCAGGCGACCGAAGAGTGGGACTTCAAAGTGCTCGAGGGTGTCGACTGAGGAGAGAAACTGGGTCAGATCCATGTATCCCAAAAAATAGATAAGAGAATAAACCCACCACCCCGATATGCTTTCATGCTCAGAAAGCTGATGAGGAGAATGTCGATGATAAAGAGAGTCCAGGACAAGAAGCTGGACCAGGCAAGGATGAGATGGAGTATAAAGATGACGGTGAACAGCATGCTAGACTGCCACGCGTGGAATCTGGACGATAATCTCAATCAGCACCATTACTACCTGCCTAGATATCTTCTCTCCAACTTCTCAACCTCCTCCTCTAACACATGTACATACCGCACATAATCACTCTTATGCTCCGTTAGCAGCAAGAACACGCCTCCGGCCGGAGGCAGCAGCAGATACGCCAGCATGGCCTCAACATCCATGCGAATGGGCAGGCTAGTCTCAAACGCTCCCAAGCTGACATGACCACCTTCGACATCGCGTCCGAGCCCCATGTGTCCGTTTCCGCCGGCGAAGTGACTGGGAGGCGGCAGGTCTGCCGACGCGCGCGGCGAGCGGCCGTTGGGCGACTTGGTGCGGTCGCCGCGGGGAGGGGACAGAGCCCGCTCGATCTCGGGGGACTCGTCCTGGTAGGGAGCGAAGTTCATTGCTTGTGTCGATCTGTGGGTGTGTGGGGGAGAAAGTTGTCGCGCAAGGCAGTCGAAGTAACTGACTGACTCCTTATCGCGCGCTAGGTTTATCGGGCATGTTGACCCCTGGATGCCTGAGGCATGATATCGTTTCTTCTCATTTGCATCTCGAACTATCTTCATGGGAATATGACAACAAAAAAAAATGATATACACGAAGCAAAACAATAGTCATAACAATCAGTGAATCATGAAGTCTTCCCCCGACCGCGGGAAACGCCACTCCCGCGCGCAATCCCGCTGGCTGGCCGCCGTGTCGCTGTCGTAGACCCGCGCGTAGCGGTTGTGCGCGACGTGCTCGTACTGGTACTGGGCGTGCGTCCCAGCCCCGTGCTCCGGACGCGACCACGCGTGGTTCCTCGGGTCTTGCCCGTCGCGATGCGTCGTCGTTCTTCTTCCTCCGCCTTGCGAGCAGCCGCCTCTCGCTGCTGCTGGAGGGCCTGTTCGCGCCGTTCCGCAGCTTGTTGTCGTTGCATTGCTTCGTTTTCAATATCGGCGACGTCTTGTGTGGCGCCTTGCCAGTTGGGGTTGAGGAGGAGGCGCTGGTTGTGTTCTGTCTGCGAGAGGATTCGCGTCCAGGTATTCAGGAGCGTCGATGCAGATGTGACTGTTTTCGAGACCGTCTGTAGGCAATGTTAATGACTGTCCGAATCAAATGAATCGCATTGGCACCCTGCTCACCTCCATGTTTCCCTTGGCGCGATCCAAGCTGCTCAAGAGTCCTTCGAGCACCTCGTTGATATGCCGCACGCTCTGCAGCTCGTTCCGTAGCGCTGCCTCTCGTGCCTCTTCGCGGTCAAACATGGTGTCGCCGGCATCGTGCGAGGGTTGGGTAGGTGGTATCTTCTCATCGGAGGATCGTGGATTGGGTGCATTGTGGGCTCCCCGTTTGGAGGGCGAGTTCCAGAGCTCCTCGGTGTCTTCGTCCGACAACTGGAGACGTTCCATCTCCTCGGCCGCACTGCGCGAAGCCATGTTGAGATGTTGAATTGCAGTCGGGCAGAAAGACAAATCGGGAAGGGCATCAACACATCTTTTGGTGGGGAACCAACCAACCAGCCACCCAAGGGCGGTGAGCGTGGCTGGGTAAACACATTCCACCTCGTCGTCTCCCTGTCTTCCCATCATTACATTGCTATTCCCTCCCATCTTGACTGCATCGTGGTTATTTCGGGTTGTCAGTCTTATTTATTGACGTGTCTCGTGTGTTGGACCGCGTCTCGATATTTCCCGGTTGATTTCCGCTGTTGCGACGCTGCACGCAGTCTGACCCCCAGCCAATCCTTGATCGAAACTGTTCTCACAGCACATCCGATTAGCTGTGCAATCGGCATTGTTCTCTCGAGGACTTTCATTCACTCTGCAATCATGGCGACCACTCCGCCGCCTCCATCGCCCTCTGCCTTGCGCATGCCTGCGGCACCTCGACATGGCCCTGCCTACGATGGATATGAGCCCTATCCCACGCGCGCTTCAGCCAGGCTGGCCAACCAACGGGTGACCCGAATTGAGAAGACTCCGCCTCCCAGTTCTCCCAGTGTGCGAAGCAGAGCCAGTGGTTCTCCCAAAAAGCAGCGCAAGGTAGAGGTGGAAGGGCTGTCGCCTCCTAGATCGACTCCAGGTAGTCCTCGGAAGAAGGCTAGATTGGGAGGTCACGCTGGCACACACCCCACTACTGCTCATTCACTGCCAGATTCCAACTACCGCCATCATTCTCTTTCACACACTTCTGTGCTCTCTCACCCTACATCTCGTTCCACCATGGCTGGTGATATGCTGCCCACTCCCATCAAAACTCCTTCCAAGAAAGCTGTGGATGATCACTCGGCTGCTCGAGCTCTCTTTGCTCCCCCCATGTCCACCCCCAAGAAATCCAAGAAGCACACCGGCTTCTCCCTCGGGAGTTTCGGGGAGGATCTTGCTCCTGGCCAGCCTGCCATCCAGATCTACACCGACTCTCGGGACCGTATCCCCACGATGGATCCCACCGAGGACAACCCTTTCTACGCCCATCCTGCCATGCCCACGGCTTCGGAGAAGCCGCCCACCCGCACCTCTAAGAGACGTGCTGCAAAGCGCGACCCCGAAGTTGAAGGTTCGCTCAAACGGGATGATGGAATCTACTGTGTGTTGTAAGTACTTTATCTCCCCCCCGTCTCCTGATCAATATCTTCTAATGCCGTTCCTACAGCCGCGGAAAGAAGATTTTCAACCAGTTCAGCGAGGAGGCTGACAATGATGATGAGGACCTGGGTCTGCTGGCAGCTCGTCCTGATCTGATGGACACCGACACCAGCGACCTCCTGACCAGTGTCCAGCCTCTCACTCGTTCATCTATCAAGCCCCGGGTGCTCTTCCCTACGGCCAGCAAAGACGATGAGCCTCACCACGAGGACGAGGCAACGGACGTGGAGGAGCACGCCAAGGACGACCTGTCCACCCCTTCTCCCAAGTCCCCCATAACCACCCCTGCCTCTCCCGGTGCCACCATGCGCCTGCGCTCTGGTGCTCGCTTCGACAAGACCCAGGTGGATGCCACGCCGACCGTGGTGTCTGACCTCAAGAAGACCGAGAAGAAGCCAAGCAGTCCCTTTGCCCGCTGGCAACGCAAGAAGCAGAGCCCTGATGATGGAATCAGCACCACGCCTAAGAAACGTGAGGCTGAGCCAGTCTCCGGCGCCAGTGGCCCTGCTCCCAAGCGGACCCGGGGTGTTCGGTCGGCTTAAGCGCGTTCCAAGTGGCTTGCCTTCTTGTTTAGCGTCACTCATCCCTTCAGCGCTGGATCACTTTTTCTTCTTCTCTTTCTTTTCTTCAGGGACATTATGCATCGTGCGACATTCAATTTGCTCTTCAGCCATCCGTGCAGCCTCCATTTTGTGCTGCATGTCCACATTCTTATCCTTTGGCCTGTTGTAATTTCGCTTGTTCATGACAAGCCCACATCTTCTTGGCCTTTTTCTGGGTTCCTACTTGTGCGTGCTGGTTTCTTTCTTTCTTTCTTGTCTTTCCACCGGAGTGAAGGGCTGTCTGGCTTAGGACGGGATGGGACAAAATTGTTTTGTTTGGGATTAGGATTGAACTTCATGGATACCTTGTGGTGACTTGCCTCCAATTTGTTTTTTTAGTATGCAGGACCACAAACGGAGTTTTTGTTGCTTTTGATTCCCTGTCTTGTGTATCGAGGGTTCTTGCGTTGAGCTGTCACGTCTTTCACATACTTCGGTCTTCTTTTGAGGTTTCTACTGGCTTGGTCAAGATGGATCCTTCGATCGCCCTGGTTTTGTTTTTATTTTAATGGGAAATGGTGACGCAGTCAATCCTTTGGATCATCTCTTGTGCTTCGTAGGTTGTAGTTCCGTAACTCGGCTCGAATTCATCGGCCTTTGCCATTCATATACTAACAGTGTTGTCTAATTTGGGATAATTGCCTGAGACTGGACTTGGATTTGCAGATACATTCGGACCCTGTTAACTGCTAATCGCCACGCCAGATACTCTCAGATCCCGCCCACTACTCACGTTTGGTACAAGTTGCGTGGACAGCACCCTGCTTACGCCACCAGCTCCATGTAACCAAGTACATTATGCATGTCATTGACTCGTGATGATAGCGCTTTCCGTGCTGTTGAATAAAGAAACAGACCCGGATTCGACACTTCCCAGAAGAACCAACGCCAAGAAAACAAACAGAAGCGCCTCAAATAATATCCAAGTCATCATCACTATCCGAGAATGGAATGCTAGCCTGGCCAGCCTCAGACGGCCCACCCAGACTATCCCGTCCCGCCTCCCTGATCCCCTTCTCAGTAATAAACCGCGTCTTCTTAACGCCACTGCCATGGGGTTTATCACGAGCACGCTTCATCGGACTCAAGCGGACATTCTGCGCCTTCCCAAAACTGGACAGGTTCAAGACACTGGCGTTGGACGAGGGCTGTTTCGGAGTAGATGGAGCTCCTCCGGACGTCTTGTCTGGAGCATCGTGGGATGTCTCGGTGTTGGCGGTGCGCGCGCGAAGATACTCGGCGCCCACGCCGCCGACGCGGTTGGAGAACAGTTTCTGGGTGATATCGCGCTCGCGCTGCTGCGTCGCCAGGCGTTTGCGGAGCCGCTCTTCTTTGCTGTCCGTTCCGCGGCCCATCATGCCGGCCGCGATGAAGGGATCGTCGCTGACGCTGTCCAGCAAGTTCGCTGCGGTCTGTCCAGCAGCAACGGGGTTGAAAGAGGAACGGCCAGCGCCTCGATTTTTGGGTGCCGGTGCCAGGTAGTATGTAGATTGTGTTCCCCAGTGGTACTGGGGGCCTTCTTGCTTGAGGCCTTGCTTGGATGCGTCACCACCTCGGCCGTCTCCCTTCTTGCGGCCTCCTTCACTACCGAAATATCCGGTTCGTGAGCCGGATCGGCCGCCAGGACCGTACGTACCAGACCCGCTATTGACACCCGAGCGATGGCCCTGGGTGCGCCGCACCTGAACGTCGACGTGAAAATCACAAAACTCTGTCTTTCGTCCGTCCACCCAAGTCTGGCATGTCTTGCCGTCTTTTCGCACGGCTTTGCAGAATCCAATGTCTCGAGCGTATCCTATCTCCAGGACCTTGTCGTCTGATGAAGATAAGGCGAGACTGAACCGGTTGGTATCCAGCTTGTGTTTTGGTGGAGGCATGATCGTGGGGTTTAATATTGCGATCAAGGTTCCTTCCGAGATCTTGTAGTAACGAGGAAAGGCCGTGTCGAACAGGAAGAGGTCAATCGTCCACTTCAAATCAGTCAGAGTGATCACCATGTATCGATTTGTGTTGTTGCGGCCATCGTCATAAGGATCTGCTTCTTTCGCAGTCGCGTTCCCCGAACGTTTTATATCCTTGGGATTGGATTTAGACGCCACAATCCCGAAAACGACAAAGTCTCCATCCACTTCTTCTGGAAGCTCGAAAGCGGGCGCTTTCACTGTTTTGAGGAGGTCGGGGATGCGGAGGATGGTTTTGCTAGCCAGGTTCCGGCTCAAGAAAGAATGGGGTAGAATGCGGTTTGAAAGATACAAGGATGAGTAGGACTCGAATTTGGAAGGATCAGACGACTCGGCCTCTTCCTCGTGTGTAGATGACACTGTTTCTGATTCCGCAGTATGGTTTTGTTTGTGTAGTTGAGATCGTCCTTGGCTGTCATCGTTATTGTTCTCCGTTCGCCGCACGTTTGGCGTCGTCTGGCTGCGCTTGATGCCCAATGGACGAGACTGACCGAGAGACCGCAGGATATCTTCACGACTGAAACTTTCCACTTGTCGGTCCCTGGCTGCTAACGATGGTGCTGGATGCTTTGTTTCGGCAGCTGCAGACTTGAAAGCTTCTATCTCGCCTTTGTCCAGCTGGAAGCCCGAGCTGCGGTTAGCCTGCAACTTGGCTGCTCGTTCCATGCGAGACTTTTCGGCTGCTCGCCCCTCAGCCATCCTCTCACTAAAACTTTTGATCTTGCTGAGTCCAGCCGGAGAAGAAAGATCACTGGGTCGGCGTCCAACTTGATCATGTCTAGGAGCCCGCTTCAGCGATACATCGCTGGCTTTCCAACCCTTATCAATGCCCAACAGAAATCTTCGCGGTGACGCCGGATTGGCAGCCGGAACTTCTCGTTTCGTAGGTGACACAGGAACCTGAACCCCATCTGCATCCGCTTTTCTTTTCTCCCCTCTCGGACTGCTTTGTACTTCCTGTAATCGCGATGAAGAGGAACTGATAGCAGAAGAGGGGCGAGCATTGCTCTGGTTTGAACCAGATCTGCTGCGGCTCTTTTGGAGCTGCTTCAGCTTGAGTCGAGCCTTGATCTCTTCGAGTTTGAGAGCCAGCGTCTCCTCGTCTTCCTCGTCATCTTCGTCCACATCTTCATCCTCTTCCAAGATCTGTGCGGCTTTCGACCGGATGTTTGGGGTGGTGCTTGAGCGTTTCAAGAGGGACATGTCCCCACGACGGCGCTGCATATCCTCGTACTTGCGTCGTCCGCCTGGAGAACTCAGCATCGCCGCACGGGGCGATTTGGGGGCCATTCGGTCTCGCCCACTAGCCCCTCGGTCAGTAGACGAAACACCAATAGCTGGGAAGCACATTACTGGTGGTGGGGTTCAAGGTCCTGAGGATAAGGACGGTAAAGGATCAATCACCTTGCGGCCTGCCATTACCGTGTCACCGGTACATCCAGGCAGTAATTGAGGTGGTATGGAGTATGTACAAGCAGGAACGAAACTCAGCCCTGAAGATGCATGTATCATCACATGACTCGTCGCGTGACTGACGCGACGCGGTTTCCATCTTCGCAATATTCTCCCTTCAAACGCACGTTAACTGCATGCATGGCTCGCAAACTGAGCCACCAGCCTTGATCGCCTCGTTTTAACCATTCTACGACCACAGCCCACCAAGATAATAATGCCGCGAACACGATCCGCTCCAGCGGCCAAGTCCGAGCCAAAACAGACAGAGCAAACACCCAAGCCCTTGACGCCAGAGACACCCTGCAAGACTTTCATTCTCCCCTCTTCATTCAGTGACAATGCCCGACTACTATCCCTGCCGAATCCGCAGTCGGGAGATCTAGCGCGTTATTTATTCTGTCCGGACCGCGGCGTCTACGAGTTTACCGTTGTCGCACCACCTTCACAGCCGGGACGAAGTATCCTGTTCACGCCATGCTCACAGATTCCCTCTCAAGATGAGGATGCGGCCGTCACCCCGAAAGCTACAGTTGCCAAGAAGGCCGAATTGCTGGTTGCAACACCAATTGATATCATATTTCTCATGATCCCATTGCTCTCACCTTCTTCAAAGTCTGGCCCTTCGCTGTTTCAGCCACTGGACGATATAATTGACTCGCAAGACGATCTGCCACCGCATCTGCGCCATGTTCTTTACGATGAAACGTTTCAACCAGCCCTCCTCTCGCGCGTCGAGGCTATCTGTGACACTGTGGAAGCGGGGGATGAGAAACTGTTCCGCTTCAGCGAGACAAAGCTGGTCCGGGAGTTGATCGGTAAAGCGGAGCGCATGGTCGCTCATGGCCTGCCGGCAAGCTTGGAAGAGCGGTTTGTTCGACAAGCCCTCGCTACTCCGCTAATGGCCGTCAAACGGGAAGACATTGTGACGAGCCAGACCTCATCGAACGAGAGCGAGTCAGGCATGAAACCAGAGGAACGGCCGGACTCGCCGTCGACAATGGCTACTACGGCGACGCCGTCTGTGTCGACACCTGCGGACGAGTCGACCCCAGCTCCTCAACCACCCGGTGCTGAAGATTTTATGCCTTCAGACCCTGTGGTTCGCTTACTCCGAATCTCCACGGCGCTGACCTTCATCAAGGAGTCATACCTCCTGCCGTCCCTGTGCACCCGGCTGGACGAGATCCTCGCCTCTCCCGAGAGCCCGCTAGATTTGAAACCTCTGACGGAGCGTCTCAAACAAATTGCGGATCTCCGCGCCGAGGCTATGGCGTCACGGAATATGTCTGATTTCAGCCGCAAGCGCGGGTTGGATGAGGACGATGAAGAAGCGGAGACAAGAGCCGAGAAGAAGCGCAGGAAGGATGAGGAGGAAAAGAAGAAAAAGGCAGCTGAGTCCCGAGGTGTTCGGGACTTGAAAAAGGTCAATACGACTGGGATGAAGAAGATGAGTGATTTCTTCGGCAAGGCTGCTGCCAAGAAGAAGACTTGAATGCTGCTATAATAGCAAACAAGATCCCATTTAACATCTCGAACCCCCAACGGCATACACGCCTGCCGCAGCGATGCTCCTATCCCGCCCGATCTCACCAAAACAACCATCCAGTATGGGCTTATGTACAGCATGACGGAGCAGCACCGTTTCTACGCGATCTAGACGGACAGCGACCATTTGAGTCTCCCTAAACCTCAAATTTCTCGCCCAACCGTTATACGGTATATCTATCGAGTGTTGTGCTTGGTGGGTATGTTTCTTTTTGGAACATGGAATGATTTTTTTGGAACTCCTATAGCCAGCAGCCCTCATACCAAGGGGTCTGCCATTTCACGATAGGAGAGGACTTAGAGAGGGATCTGGTCAATAGCAGCTCCCGTAACCCTATAATGAAAGTCAATCAGTGACCAAATCTCACGTTAGAGGATCATAAAACGTACAAGAACGAGCCATTGGACGGCTTGCTGATAACCATGGCTTGCTCCAGTTTCTCGGCGCTGATATCCGGGAACTTCTTGAGATAGTACTCGTCGCGAAGAGCATTGGTAACCGCCTCAACCTTGCTCTGGGGCAGCATGTGGACAGTGCAACCGCCCCATCCAGCACCAGTCAACCGGCTACCCCAGGTACCAGCACGGCGAGCGATGGCGCAGATGTCGTCGACCTCGGGCGCACTGCAGTCGTAGGCCGTGCGGCACGACTCTTGCGACTCGTTCAGCAGCTGGCCCAGGTAGTGGATGCGCTTCTCGTCAAGCTGGGACGATTTAGCGAGACACGCCGTGAAGTCGAGCACGCGCCGAGCCTCCTTGAAGCAGTGCAGGGCGCGCTGGCGCAGGAGGAACCGCTCCGCTTGCACGGGGAATGCGGATAGGAAGGTCGACTCGAGCTCGGCGACGGTGATGCCCAGCAGTTGAGCCATCTCCTCACGCGTGTAGCCCTGCTCCTGTGTCAAGAGGTCCTGCACGGCCTGGATCACCGAGTCGATCTGGTACTCCAGTGGGTCCTGCAGCCGCTCCTCCTTGGTCATCAGCTGCTGCTGGAAGTTCCGGAGACTGTATCCCAGCGAGCTGTTATCCTTGGGGAGAGTAAGACCGAAATGCTTGGCCAGAATCACCGCCGCCAGGGTGCATTCTGCGACGCGCAGGTTGTAGTGCCGCGGGGCGGTCTCAGCCTTGTTCGAGGTGACGAAGCTTTGTGCCATGAGGAAGGTGATCTCTTCCGCGGCCGTCGGGATCGGGACGTGCTGCGCCTTGAACTGCGGGAAGAATTGGGTGTAGAGCAGATAGCCACGCTTCGAGAAGATGGAGGCCGCTTGGTCCATACTGTAGGAAAGATATTCAAGTCAGAAAATATACAGTCGTTGCGGAATTGACGCTGCTTACCCGCCCGAATACACGCCGACAGCCCGCTCAGAGACGACCGCCAGATCCAGCAGGTCCTGCTTGGAGACGTTGTGATTGTTGGCCTTCATGACGGCCAAGGCACTGGCGCAGACGAACGCGGCACTGCTGGAGATGCCACCACCGGGGGGAACATTGCCATCGACCAAGATCTCCATGCTAGCGGGGACGAGCGAGCCATCGGACTTTTGCTTGCGCAAGAACTTGAGTGCGCCCAGCAAGCCGGCCTTGAAGTAATTGACCCACTCATGCTTCTTGGGATCGATCTCGATATCCGTATCGCGGGGGACGCTGAACTCGCGCGTGGGGAATTTGTTGGGCGAGACATTCGCGATCTTGACGGTGGCGCCAGATGCGCTGGCGGGGACGACCTTGACGGCCATGATCACGTCGACGCTGACGGCGGTGGGCAGCACATCGTACAGAGAGTAATCAATGTGCTCGCCGATAATGTTCACGCGGCCGGGACTGCGTGCGACAAAGTCCGGGCGGTGGTTGTAGGTCTTGTTGAACTGCGAGATCAGCGCGGCCCACCGTTGCTGGTGTTCCGGCGCCACCGAAGCGACGGAGGCATCGTCGGTGGCATAAACCTCGGCGATGGATTCGGTCTGCGGGACGAGCTCTTGGGAGGGAGACATGGCAGATAGGAGGGGAGAAAAAGGAGTGAGAGGGAAAGAAAGGAAAAAGAAGAGAAAATGGAGAATGACGACGACGGCGTCTCCCCGGATAAATTCACGGAATGTTGGTGGGGATGCTGCGTGCGGTGACCGTTTGGAGATAGCGCTGTGCGGGGAGAGAGTCCCTGGTCGGGCCGAATGAGGCAATTCGATGGTGATTGGTTCGATGTCGACTACAGGCCGCTACTGTAATTACAGGCTCGACCAGGGCATATGCCCTCCGTCGAACGGCATCCCGATGGTGGTGGACTAGCTAATTAGCCTGGCGATATCCCGTGGATCACGACGACTGTGGGACTATGGTCTCAAGGTCCTTATGATCGGATTTGTGGACCAGCCTCTCTAGACCTGCGTTTTTTCGTATCCGTCACCGGTTCTCCCGAGGAAGTAAGTGCCTTACACTTTGCTGATAGACCTCCCACGAAGAGCTGTCACTCTCTGCATCTTTCCACGTGATGCGATCAGGTAAGCCACACTCCCTCCTTTGTGAGGCATAAAGTCTCGAACTTTCGCTACCCTTCGGCACTTTGGCGGAGTTGGTTATCGCGCAAGCCTCGAAAGCTTGTTCCTTCGGGAGCCTGAGTTCGAATCTCAGAGGTGTCGTTTTTTTTTGTCTTTTCGTTTTATTCTTTTCAGTCTTTTTTTTTTGGACATTCTCAGTGATGCGATACACCCACATGTAGTTGAGTGATAAAAGCTGGCAACTAGTCTCAACTGTCTCACTCCTGTGTAACCCCAATCCGCGGCTCGCGATCGGAACTGGATGGGCGAGGATCATGTGGTCCGCACGTGACTGTCCGACTTCGGAGCAGACAGGAAGCGGCGAGCCAATCGCACCCGCCGAATTGCCTGAGTCATCGATTTTCTTCGGATGCCCCAGAGACAGACCGAAAGAGTCACGGCGCGCAGATTTCGGTTTCTCCCTTACACTCTCCACTCCTCTCGACTGGCCTGGCTGTCATCCCACTGATGATGCCTCTAAGACCGTCAAAAAGCGCCCTGCGCTCCATTCACCTGCAGAGGCAGCTTGCCTCGGGGCGTCGACCTTTTTCCACTGCCTTTGTGGCCTCGGCCTCGCCCCACCGCCCTTTCGGTCAGAAGCGCAGTCAGAGCACAGCTACCGCATCGGCATCGTGAGTGTTTTGCTCGGCAATTGATGGGAATTCCATTCATACTGACCGCAGTGCTTCTAGTGGCTCACGCCCCGTGCCGAGCCCGGCATTCAACCAAGAACCTCACCGGAATGAGGTCTCGCCTCTCCAAAACCGCCAGCTCCCGGAGCTCGATGACTCGTACGTCCCGAGATCGTGAATCAAAACTCCGTGATACTAATCTACCCCAAGAATGGTCGGCATGAGCGGTGGAGAAATTTTCCATGAGATGATGCTTCGCCTTGGTGTGAAGCATATCTGTGAGTCAGGCCGTAAGAGATTGGAGAGGAATTCTTTGCTGATCAATTTGCAGTTGGATACCCGGGTGGTGCCATTCTGCCCGTGTTCGATGCCATCTACAACTCGAAACACTTTGATTTCATTCTCCCCAAGCATGAGCAAGGTGCCGGTCACATGGCGGAGGGCTATGCTCGTGCATCTGGAAAGCCCGGCGTCGTCCTGGTCACCTCCGGTCCCGGAGCAACCAATGTCATTACTCCTATGCAAGATGCCATGTCTGATGGCACCCCAATGGTTGTCTTCTGTGGTCAGGTCGTGACCAGCGCCATTGGTACTGACGCTTTCCAAGAGGCCGACGTGGTCGGTATCTCTCGGGCATGTACGAAGTGGAACGTGATGGTCAAGTCTGTTGCTGAACTTCCCCGTCGCATTCAAGAAGCATTCGATATCGCCACCAGTGGCCGCCCGGGTCCCGTTCTGGTCGATCTGCCCAAGGATATCACCGCTGGCATCCTTCGCAAGTCCATCCCCATGCAGAGCACTATCCCGTCCCTCCCCAGCGCAGCAACCATGGCCGCCCGCGAGATGGGCAAGAAGCAGCTCGATGCCACCATCTCCAAGGTCGCCCGCCTGGTCAATGCCGCCAAGAAGCCCGTTCTCTATGTTGGTCAGGGTATCCTCGCTCGTCCGGATGGCCCCCAGGTCTTGAAGGAGCTGGCGGACAAGGCTTGCATTCCCGTCACCACTACCCTTCAGGGTCTCGGCGGGTTCGATGAGCTGGATCCCAAGTCTCTTCACATGCTCGGCATGCACGGTTCGGCATATGCCAACATGGCCATGCAGGAGGCCGACCTGATCATTGCCGTTGGTGCTCGGTTTGACGACCGTGTTACTCTTAGCATCCCCAAGTTTGCGCCCCAGGCGAAGTTGGCGGCTGCTGAGGGCCGTGGAGGTATCGTGCACTTCGAAATCATGCCCAAGAACATCAACAAGGTTGTTGAGGCCAATGTTGCCGTGGAGGGTGATTGTGCTGAGAACCTCGCCCTGCTTTTGCCCCATGTCCACGCCGTCAAGGAGCGTCCCGAATGGTTCGAGCAGATCAACGACTGGAAGGCCCGCTTCCCTCTGTCTTTGTACGAGCGCCAGAGCGAAAATGGCACCATCAAACCGCAGCACCTGATCGAGACGCTCAGCAAGCTCACCGCTGACCGGAAGGACAAGACCATCATCACCACCGGTGTCGGACAGCACCAAATGTGGGCTGCCCAGCACTTCCGCTGGCGCCACCCGCGGACCATGATCACCTCGGGTGGTCTTGGTACTATGGGCTACGGTCTGCCTTCGGCCATTGGTGCCAAGGTGGCTCGTCCTGATTGCTTGGTCATTGATATCGATGGTGATGCTTCGTTCAACATGACCCTGACCGAGCTGTCCACGGCTGCTCAGTTCAACATTGGCGTGAAGGTTCTTCTGCTCAACAACGAGGAGCAAGGAGTAAGTTAATTTTCTTGTCTTCTTTTTTCAGCCCATGCTAATGGAGTTCTCTTAGATGGTCACCCAGTGGCAAAACCTCTTCTACGAGGATCGGTACTCGCACACCCATCAGCAGAACCCCCACTTCGTCCCTCTGGCCCGCTCCATGCGTGTTGCCGCTGAGCAGGTCTCAAATCCCGCCGAGGTTGAGGAGAAGCTGAAGTGGCTGATTGAGCACGATGGCCCTGCCCTGCTGGAGGTCATCACTGACAAGAAGGTCCCTGTCCTCCCCATGGTGCCGGCCGGTAGTGGTCTACACGAGTTCTTGGTTTATGATGAAGGTAAGCTTTCTCATTAGCAGAAGCCTTGATAGAATGAATCGTCGCTGACTTGTCGTTCTCTGCAGCTAAGGAAAAGGAGCGCAAGGCCCTGATGCGGAAGCGGGGTGTGAACTTTTGAAGCTGGCCAGAATGGACGTGACTTGACCATCATCATTGGGGTGTGTTTCCGTTGATATCCATGGCGTTTTCTTGGCAGGTTCACAAAAAGCGAAAGGGGCAATGTCCGTTGAACTCAATTAACGAAAAAGGGTCTTGTGCCATTGTACCCTTTGTTGGGGTTACTTCCACTTGATATGGCGTGCTCTGGCGCCTTCCTCTCCCCCCCTGTTTCCCCGACTCAGGGGCCGCAGAATAACTGGAGACACAAAGCATTCTATTATACATTGCAGCTGTTCTTCCAATGCCTTGTTGTATATAATCACGGTAGTTTTTTTGAGGAACCAATTGTACTTTCACTTCTTCCTTAGGGCTGTGTATTCTGACGTGATCATCCACGTGACCCGCTGACAACCGCGGCTCGCATCCGATCGTGAGTGGATGGAGCTCCCCTCTTCCTCCTCAAGGGCATCTGTGTTTGGGACCTGATTTTTCCCCTTCCAAGACTCACCTCACTCTAGCGGCTCATTTCATCATCTTCCAATCCCCATAGGCTCCACCTGGAAGATGCTGAGCCCTAGTCTTGGCCCCATCTTGTGAGCTCTATTTAACAGTCCAGTCATTGCTGCCTTGTCCACCACCACTTCTTAGTGGCAAATACCCTTCCAACACCCCCACGATGGCCTCCCTTCCTGGATACCCTACCACGAACCGGTCAAGATCATCCGATGGCGCCACATCTACAACCCCCCATGGCGGCTCCACGTTGCAAGATACCGCCGACGCAAGCAGCTCTCGGGCCGAGGACTCGGAGGAAACAATCTTGTTGAACAAGGGTTCCTCGACTCCCAGCGATACATATAGCCTGGCCCCCTCCGCCAACAAATCTCTCAGCCGGTCAACACATGTCGTTGACGAACCCCGCAAGTGTTGGATCTGCTATACAGACGAAACGGAAGACTCGCCGCTGAATTCGGAGTGGCGCTCGCCATGTCCCTGCGCCCTGACGGCCCATGAAGCATGTCTTTTGGACTGGCTTGCAGATCTGGAGAACCCTCGGTCGCGCAAGCGCAACGGCGGCGGCGCCACCAAAATGGTGTGTCCCCAGTGCAAGACGGAGATTGTGGTCACTCGGCCGCGGAGCTATGTAGTCGATACTCTCCGTCTGCTGGAGCGGGTTGCGGGCCGCTTGGTCTTGCCGGGTATGGTGTTTACAGTCGCAGGCACCGTATGGGCTGGATGTTGTGCGCATGGGATCTATTCGATGTACCTGGTCTTCGGTACGGAGGAGGCAAAGCAAATTCTCGAGGACAGTGTGGACGGCCCTTGGAATCCGGGCCTGAATCTCGGCCTGCCTCTGATTCCACTGGTCTTGATCTTCTCCCGCACTCGCTACGCCGAGGGCCTGCTCCCGGCCATCCCCGTCCTTTTCTTTGCCGCGCACAGTCCCGGGCAAGAACCCGATTTCGAATTGTGGCCCCCAACACCTGCTATGACGTTCGCTGCGTTGCCGTATGTCAAGAGCTTCTATGGCGCGCTCTACGATCGGCTCTTTGGTGGATTGGAGAGAAAGTGGATCGCGGAGGTGCAGCCTCGTGCAGCAGAAGAAATACTGGATGATGCTCAGCAGCAGGACCAAGCAGAAGGTCTTAACCGGTTTGGCGATAATGGGAATGGCCAGATTCTTATGGAAATCGACCTTGAATTGCAAGTGGGAATGGGCAATAATGATGTGCCACCCGAGGTTGCGGCTCTGCCGGTTGGGGAAGACCAGAACGGCGTCAATGAGGGCATCCAAGCAGGACAAGGACAACAAGATGATAATGAGCTGGGTATTGGGCTAGGACGGCGGCAAAACGAGATCATCCACAATAGCAACCTCGCCGACATCGTCCTCGGGGCCCTTGTGTTCCCTGCCATCTCGGCCTCTATGGGCGGGCTGATGAAGTACGTGCTGCCTAAGTCTTGGACGACTCCATCGCTCTTGGAACGCGGCCGTCCAGGGCTCCTGCAGACCCGATGGGGTCGCAGCGTTGTTGGCGGCTGTGTCTTCGTGCTCCTCAAGGATGCTTTGGTGCTCTACTGCCGATGGAAGTTGGCACAGACACACCGGCGCCGCAAGGTGCAGAACTACGACCGAAAAAAAAGACATACTGCAGCACGGCGGTAGATTTTTAGGGTATCTCTTTTCCTTTTCTTTCGGACCTCCTGCCATCGGGGTTTCTTGTACTTCCTCCCCTCTTCCAACCCGCTCCACTGATATTCGGCGCACTTTTTTGCATTCCAGGTGTTTTCTTGGTGGCATTCTCTCGTGACGATCTCGGCGGGATGTCCGTCACATCCCTCATTCGCTTGTCTCTGTGACTATCTCATGCCTTTAACGACTTGCAAGATACCGTTAGTTTTGTTTTCTCTCCTCTACATTCATATATTTCCATGGAAGATTTTGAGGGTTTCTGTCATTAGTTGTAGAAACAAGGTCTTACTCGACGAATGAACAGAGGATGTACCATCGGGAAAGGTTTAACGTACTATCTAACTATCCTCTGTACAAGTATAACCTAAGAGTTCCAGTCTACACGAAGCTCGAGCCCTGGTAAGGGATGTACCTCGCCGTCTGGTGGTTGTACTCCGAAGTAGTGTTGTAGTTCCACCAGAAGGATAGATGCTGCGGTAACGTGCTGTTGATCTTGCACTCCGACAAAAAGTTGGGGAGCATGTTGTTGACCATCTGCGTGTAGTTGGCTAGCGAGCAAGAGAACCCAGGTCCCTCCTGACAAGATGTGAAGGGAACAACCGCCTCGTTGAGAACGACACGTACATAAACGTCCTTCTCTGTGGCAGCTGTTGCATTGCAGCTCATTCTTTCGAGGGTCAGATGGCCGCCCATGGGGATAATATTGCCAGTCTCATATGTTGATGGGAAGGGAATCTTGTCCAATGGTAGATCTTCACTAGGTGATGCGATACCAAGCGCCGCTAAAATGGGGGTGATGTTCGTATCATGAGCGCTGTCATGCGGTGTTAGTATCATGCATCCAGGAGAGAATTGATTCAAACTCACAAGTTGAAGTACATGGTACCTGCCTTCTCTGGTCCCTGATTCAATAAAGTCAACGAGGCATTGGCGTAGACAGAGCCAACGGCCTTGGAAAAGGAAGCTCCGGGGCTAAATCAGTCGGTCAATATCAAGTCGAGAAATAAGCTAGGCCATCTTACCCGGCGCAGTAGTAGAATCCCAGGTCCTGCGTGTATCCAAACCATTTCCACTCATCCAGGGTGAAGGCATCGATCCAATCCGAGTAGCCTCGGACGTTGAGCTCAAAGGCCGACATAACTATGCACTGTCAGTGCCAGATCTGTCTAAGAGTTCTCTTGGCTTACACATGAGCTCATATATATCCGTTGAGTTAAGCTCAAGCCCTGGGTTCTGTTTGTTGAATCTCTCAGCTGCCACCCGGAACACGGGCAAGTCCTGACTGAGACTGTCGCAGGTCCGCATATCGGTATCCCCGGGGCACACAGGTGTGAGACTGTTGGCACCCATTGACTCACTCTCGGATATGACGTTCAGCGCGACCGAGTTAGTATAGTTCCATCCAAAGAAACCCTCTCCTATACGGATATCAGGAAAAGCGAGTTTAGGGCTAAGCAGAGGACTACATACCAAACTTGCGAGCGGTCTGCACAACGCGCTCAAATTCACTCGTCCACATGGGCACAGTCTTTCCAGATGTCTGATCCCACAAATGTCCGTACCGCACACGGTACTCCGCGCCGTGCTTGTACGTCGTCAGTAGCCCGTTGTACGGTCCTGTCTCAGTCTCGAGCTCGTAGTAACTCGGGTCGGTCACGTAGTACTTCCACCAGTTCAGGAATGTCAGATCGCCCTTCCAGCCTGTCACATTGGAGCTGTAAAGCTTTTCCAGGACATCCTCGATCCCCGTGGCATCGTTGGCTTGTGGGTACCGCTCGCCATGACGTCTGATCATAATGACCTGGTCAACGGCGCAAGACTCGGGAGGATCTCGTCCGATGCCGAAGGACATGCGGTTGCTATATGGTCCTAGTCCGCCGATGTGCTTAAGAATCGAATATCCGTCCAGAAAGGACTGGTCATACGGTGCTGCAAATGTGTATCGCCCGGTGTAGTCAGGTCTATTGCCGTATGAGGCTGCAGCAACAGCCACCATGCTGAGGAGTGTTCCAATTTTCGGTCCCATGTTTTGAAGAGAGCAACTAAAAAGACTGGAGAGTATGGTGCAAAACTTAGGAAGGGTGAATGAGATAAAAGATAAACATTCCTCACGAGATCACGTAAATAACGTTCCGGGTAGGACAATATGTATCCTGCATCTTCGCCCGCATAGTATATAGCGATGTCGGGTAACTCAGGCCAAGAAATCCCAGCTAAAGTTCATTAAATGAGATATTAGCGTCTCGATATACTTGAATCAGAATGGCTAGGTTTATGCATGGTGGTGGAGTAGTCTCGCTTCCCCGCCCTCGGTTCTAGTTTTTATGCTGATCAAGGTTAATCCTCGGAAATTAGACTAGTAGTAGTACAACTATTGACACCTCGGATGATGGAATCCACATGGGAGTGTAAAGCGGGACTTGCATTAAGGACTTGTGCTATTCTTCTGTCATGCTGGCAGACAGCCCTGATAATCTAAATCAATGGTCAGGACGAGGACCAGATTTGTATGGTTAAGAATTATGAAAACTCTCTGAACGTTTGGTGTAAATGTGCAACTGTCCATGCAAAGGATGATGTACCTTTACTGTTTGACAGCATTTGAACTAACTCCAATCGTCAATTAAAAGGACATATGACTTTTTGGGTCAGATGCGCGTGCAGATCGTCGAAGTGTCGATGTGTCCGACCAGACGAGAGTGAATGCTTTCTTCGACTTGGCCGAGCAATTTGAGCCAAAAAGTGAGCCAGCAGTTCATCGGTAGTGTGCTTTCATGGACGTGCTATAGGTAGTAAGCACTGTCCCGTGACCCCGGGTGAGAAGCCAGGTGAGAATCACAGTACGAAGCCCGAATGTTACAGTAATCTTCTTAGCTTGAACTACTTTTGCGCCGCCGCGAATGTCGAAGCTCGAGACCGCAGTTTGTCAGCTGGGTTCTTTTCAGCTTACATTGCGGCGACAAAGATCTAGGATCTTTAGTCCATGACAACACTTGTTTGACTCTTTCGCTAGCATTAGGAATTTCCCCTCACCGCTACGAACCATGTCCCGCATCCTTCTCCAGAATGCGACCATCCTGGTACCCTCGAGCGAAGCGGATGACCATGTCATACCTCTACGGAATCACTCATTGCTGATCGAAAACAACAAAATTGCCCAGATTTCGCCTCAGATCACCCCTCCAGTTGGGGCCGAAGTGATTGACTGCACAGACAAGATCGTCTCGCCTGGCTTCATTGATACGCATCATCATATGTGGCAGACACAGTTGAAGGGGCGACATGCCAATCATTCTCTACTAGAATACTTTCCTAATGGTGTGGCTCATTGCTATTATTTTCCTAATCTCTAAAAAAAGCGAGTTATCAACTCTGATCTGAACTTAACTAGGCAATATGCAATCTGTTAACTATACCCCGGAAGACGTTTTCTGGGGTGTACTTGGAGCATGTCTTGAAGCCCTGGACGCGGGCACCACAACTGTTGTGGACCATGCTCACATGAATGTTACGCCAGCTCACTGTAAGTTGTCACAGTAGCGTCGATATTTCCATTCCATTAATCTGTCAAACAAGCCTCAAATGATATCGAGGCGACTGTCGCATCTGGTATTCGATCCATTTTTTGCTACTCACCTACCTTACGAGTCAAGTCATGGAAACCCGAGATCACCTATGCTGGCGGCATATTGGATGACTGGGTTGTCGAGACGTTCAAGAAGATTGGTTCTGCAGCCCCCTTTGGTGATGGTCGAGTGCAGCTTGGGCTGGCATTTGATGGGTTCATGCTACCAAAGGAGCAAGTCATCTCACTCTATGACCACGCGCGCAAGATGGGGGTGAAGGTGATTACAATGCACTACGTGCGTTGCTATTTCAGTGAGTACTCTCTCCCTATAAAAATTAACGAATAATTTATTAATGATAATACAGGCGACAACTCGCTTGTCGACAAACTCGAGGAGTACAACCTTCTTAAATCGGACATCCTTCTATCACACGCCAGCAACCTTACGACAAGCGATATCGAAAAGCTGAACCAGGCCAAGGCGTGGATCTCTACGACTCCAAATACCGAGCTCCAGATGGGACACGGTGATGTTGTTTGTTTCAAAGGAGGCTGCTTTGATATCAGCTCCTTAGGAATTGACTGTCATAGCAATAACTCTGGTGACATGGTTTCGCAGATGCGTCTTGCCCTCCAGCATGAAAGGTCGAAGCGCAATGAGAAGCTCATTGCTCAAGGAAAACGTGCCTTATCGCTGGATTTGCTTGTGCAAGACGTTTTCCGGCTGGGCACTATTCAGGGAGCGCGGGCCATTCACATGGAAGATAAATTAGGATCTATCGCAGTTGGAAAGCTCGCAGATCTTGTCATCTTTGATAGCAACAGCCCTGGAATGATCTGTGCGTCCGAACAAGATCCCGTTGCCGCTGTTGTCCTACACTCCTCGGTCCGCGACATCGATACAGTAATCGTCGATGGACGCATCCGCAAGCGAAGTGGAAAGCTGCTTTCAGTAGAAATTAATCCCTCACATCCAGACGTCAATATCCCACAGCAGAGAGCTGAGTGGAGCCAGGTTGCAAAAGAGTTGATCTTGAGTCGTCAAAGAATCGAAGATGCCATAAAAGATGCGAAGGCCGACGATCCCGAATTCTTGGTGCAGGGATTTATGAAGGTGATGCGTCTTGACGAGAACAAATTTATCAAACTATGATACGTCCATATTATCATGCGAGCAATTTTGAGAGATGATGACTATCCTATAAAACATCGTAATAAGCAACTTGACACGAGCAGGACGATTCGGCACGCCTAATCAAAATTACAGGGCATCGCAGTCTTATTTCGAGCATTGTTTGAGAGATAATGTCTAATCAATGATCATGTCTTCAAGATTAGGTGCCCATGCGCCGAGAAGGCCAATTCCCAGAGGACTGATATCAAATCCAAAGAGCGAATCACTTGTTCCAGTCATGTAACAGGCGGAAAAGAAGAGCGGTCACGTGTGACCAAGCTACGTTTTGGTACCGCGGGGAGATCGCCCTTCCTCCTCGCAACTTTTAAATTTAAGTATCATATGTTCTAGGGCCTCATTGAGGGTTGTCGATGAACCTTGGGCTGTAAATTCAGATGACAGACTCCCTCTTTCCACTCCCAAACCTGGCACTCCGAGTGTCAATACATGTCGTGAATCCTGTACCCTGCATCCACCATGGCCACGCCGTCCATCTCAGAGCAAGAAAGGCAGCCCAAGGAATCTGCAGGACTATCAACCAACTCCTCCAGACGAAAAGCGTGCAACGAATGTAAACAACAGAAGGTATTGACCGCACACTACAATTTTGCTGCATTTGATCATATAGACGCCTCACACTGTTAACCTGAAAGTTAAGGTGCAACCTAAGTACGGCGGGCGATAAAGACCTTGGCATATGCGATCGCTGCCAGAAACTAGGGCTGGAATGCAAGGTGGAATTGTCATTTCAGAGGACGCGGAAGCGAAGGTAACAATACCAAGGTTATGTTTCCAAAATCAGATTTTGGATGGCTAACTGTGCCTCCTCGCTTCCTTCCAGGCGATCATTTGAGCTGCATAACGAAGTCCGAGAACTCCGGCGTCAATTAGCGGCGAACCAACCCAGCAGTCCTGTCCCGGAATCGATCCTGGCAGCGACTGGGGACAGTGCGCCTAATGATCCAACCTCACCTCCCCAATGGGTCCTCGGAGAAGAAGACCGCCATCCAAGAGCTACAGATGGGGATTGCGCTGCTGTGGCTCAATTGACCAGTGGAGGATTGGGAATCTTATCGAACCGTGTAGAGCACCTATGGACGCCAGGCTTAACCACCAAGCCTGTGATCGATCTGCCACAACCACCTACTGAAGTTGCTGCAGTGGTCCCGGGAGGGAGAGCTTTGGGCAATGTAGAGCTTTCTGTCACAGACATTGACGAACTATTCTCGATGTGAGTGTAACTGATCAAAGCCAACATCAAGGATTATATCTCTTACGACGTGCCAGTTACATGAATCACTGTCACCCATTCATCCCATTTCTGGACCCGAGAAAATCACCGCATGACTATTACGAATCCTCAGAGCTGCTCTTCTGGTCTATCATCTCGGCAGCATCACGACGTTCACAAAGTCAGCCTACTCTCCTTGCAAAACTAGCAAGGAACGTCACCGATCTCTTGTGGCGGAGTCTACGATCTATCCCCTATTCACTTCGTGTGGTACAGAGCCTCATCGTTCTCTGCGCCTGGCCATTCCCCACCAGTAGCAGTACAGCCGATCCCACCTATTTGCTCACCGGGATGATGGTTCTACTAGGCTCACAGATGGGTCTCCATCAGCCCTTGAATGTTCAGGACTTCACCAAAATCTCCACGAACCTCAATGCTGATGAGCACTCTGAGTGGGCGAAGACATGGAAAACTTGCAATATTGTTGCTCACAGGTGGGTTGCCCTGTGTAATTACGCTGGAAAATTCCCCAGGGCTGACAGAAATACACAGTGTAAGCGTGGGTTGCGGGCTACCTGGAGTGGTACAGTTAAACGAATGGCCGCTGAATGTCACGCCCGAGTACATGTCGTCTGCGCTCTACGACGCTTCGCTCCGGTCACACCTTCAGATCGAACGATTTCGGCGCAGAGTCTCTTTGGCATTTGCTTCGAACGATCTGAATTCAACAGTATCCACATCGGGAAATGAGCGACTGGCGTTGTATCGCCTACTTAACTCCGTTTTCATTGACCTTGAGCATGAAATAATACAACTATCACCCGCACGTAATGCTTTCACTCAACACATCTTTTTCATCCTTGATACCTGTGTGCTGATACGAAATATAGCGATAACTCGTATTTACTTGTCAGCTGCGCGCCTCCACCTCCACGCGTTCTATTTATTTGACGACCCTGCCCTCGATGGCTACACAGAGCGCATTATGACACTATACCAGACGGCTTGTTCCCTCATCCAACAGAGCCTAGATCTGGAAAGCCAAGAAAACAGCTTTTTCAGCTATTGCCCTTTCTTCTATTGTCAAGTTTTCGTCTGTGCGGCGTTCATTCTCCTCAAAATCATCAGCAGCCACTTTCAATCGCTGCTCGACGCCGACGCCGGGAACATCTTGCTAAATGCTGCCATCTCCGCTCTGCGGAAAATGTCCATCGCGAACAATGACTTACCAGCTAGGTTAAGCGACGTGATCGGCTTTTTCTGCTCCTTGCCCGACCATCGGGTCATCGGCGGGCAGACGACCGACGGTCTGCGATTGCGGGTGCGAAACAGATTAAGCATGAGTATTGTGTATGATTCGCTCTGGGAATGGCGAAGACATTTCCAGGCCAGTGAAGAATTTGATAACGACAGACCGAATACTGAAGGTAAAAGTCCTACTGTCTCCGGCCCTCAGGTCTTGTCCCTGCTTGCTGACTAGTATCTACGTTCAGTGTTTTCCCCCAATGAATTTCCAGACGCCTTCGCTTTTGACCAGCTGGGCAGCCTCACAGATATGTTCAATTTTCAGTGGTCTGATAATATGGGCAATATGCAATAGGGTGACGGACGGCTGAAAGGTCTCTCTCCGTCATAATTGCGGAGTCGTGATTCCCGGTCCTCATGGTCTCTCCTGCCATTCATCTTGATGTGCCTAATATAACTTCTTGGCTCTATGATACCCCTTATACGTTTGTGTGGCTGAGATAGTGGCGAATATCAAGTCCTAATATCTTAACCCCTCCTTGTCCCAGAAAGGATGTATTACGCGTTTCTGTTCATTACCGAAATCGACCGTCATCATGCGTTCTCTATCGTAGGCTTTACAATACTGATCTACAGGAGAACATTACTTGATCTCAGAGAGAGGTTTAATTTACCTAATACATAGTACAAAGCAGGAGCTAACCAGAAATCACGAGTCCAAGCTTAGTTATCGCACGAAAGTGATGCCGGTTCTAGTAACTGCATCAACATATGCCTTAATGCGGCGGACTGATTCAAACTTTATCGTAAAGGCTTCCGCCCGCAGAAGTATCAACAGCCACCGCTTCCTTCAACCCAACAATGTTGAATAGTGCCTTAGGCGTAAATTCCGGGTCGATGCCCGAAGAACCTGTCTCTTTGATGCGGCGATATGTAGAACGAATAGCTTCATACGCAGGAGCGATAGCTGCGAAGGGCCAGATGACGATTCGGAAACCGAGATCTTGTGCCTCCTTTGGAGTCCAGGATGGCGTGGCCCCGTTTTCGACCATGTTGAGTAGCACTGGCGCGGGCGACAGCAAGCGACACACCTCTCGTGCTTCTTCCTTAGTCGTCACACCCTCGAGAAATGCGACGTCCGCGCCAGCCTGCATAGCGGCCCTTAGTCGCTTCACCGCTTCGTCGAATCCATGCGTCTGTAGCGCATCCGTCCGTGCGATGAGGACGATGTCAGAGCCAAGTTTGTCACGAGCTGTAGCTGCTGCGCTGATACGAGACACAAAAGTGTCAAGCGATACCAACTCCTTCCCACCTAAGTGGCCGCATCGCTTGGTTTGGATCTGGTCCTCAATGTGTAAACCGGCAACGCCGCTGCGATGGTACTGCTCGACGGTGCGGGCAACCATAATCGGTCCTCCATACCCCGTGTCGGCGTCAGCGATCAGAGGGACATTCGGGTTCAGATTCGCAATCATCTCGGCGTGCTCGCGCATATCGTTCAGTGTGGCCAACCCCAAATCAGGTTGTCCCAGCTTAGAGGCGCATGTGCCCGCGCCCGTCTGTGAGTATACAATTTAGCATGCGTTTCCAGTGATGGCCAGGCCTGGCGGTAAAACCGAATAAGTTGCGCACCATGTAGAGACAATCGAAGCCCACCTCCAGGGCTATCCTGGCACTGAAACCATCATATACCCCTGGTGCGATGACGATCTCTTTTCCAGAAAGCAATTGTCGAAGACGTGTGGCTGCATGTACAGCCTTTTGGCCATTCGAGCCGTTTGCTCCTGTCATATTGGTACTCGTTGGATGGTAGACTTGTTGGACTTTAATGTCGGTTAATCTGCGATAGAAAACCCAGCTGATGTGGTGGATGATGCTTTCTACGTTTTTATATACATTCTCCCAGTGCTAGTCGGAGCTTCAACCCCGAGCTTCGGACCTCCAGCAAATCGTCTCTTTCCGTGCACGGCTCCTCTTTTTTCTCTTTTCGGCTGCGTCTGCCATCATTGATGCTGGTCAGGAACAACTGAAATGCGATCAGTGGCGGTCAAAGTCTCCGATCGGCTTTGAGCCGTACAGATCCGGCAGTATCCTTCTTGGCAGTTTGGGTAGTGGTTCCGATCGGAGATCGACCCTCGCCGATCGGCGACGCAGTTCGCCAACTGTGATTGGCCTGCATAGTGACACTTCTTAGGCCCTGGTCGCTAGGTCTCCGATAATGTTGCAAAGCAAAAATACCTTGACCAATCTCCAACATGCGGTCACCCGTTCCCATGTCCAAAAGCTGGGTTAGGGGAAGATCCACCTAGATGTACTGGGGTGGGGTCCATCAGGTATGAGAAGCACCTTGGTAGAATGACCATCACTATATCGCCATGTCTCGATTCATTTCTTTCCGAGTCGCCCAGTCAACCATGTCCACCGAGAAGGTGCAAGATTATCACGAGGAGAATGCTCCTCCAGAAGACACTCGGTACGTTCATATCGACCCAGCCATCGAGAAGCATGTGATTCGTAAACTGGACTGGAATTTTGTGCCGCTAGTGGTGGCTCTTTGTAAGTGTAGTAGAGTTTGCCTATGCGCCTGAAAGGTGAAGCGGATGCAACCGTGAGAAATCTACGGAAGCTTGTTGTAGAAGTCGAAACGAGAAGTATTCGGCACGATCATACTAACTACTTCTTCCTTATCGATAGGCGGTTTGCGGTTAATCAAAAAGTCATCGCGGTTGAAATTGACTCGAATTTAGACTCGCCAGACCCGTTGGCGTGCGGGCTTCTAGATAGAATAAAGCCTAGGCTCTTTAGCTCGAAGAGCTAGGAATGCCTCCCGACGCTGTAGGCTAGCCTTAACAAACAAAACGAGCCTTCGAATCTTCAAAACATTAGTATGTTCTTAGTATTAGGAAGAAGTAAGGGTAAACAACACCTCTAAGGTATCCACAATCTACTATGTAGGACACCGAGATTTTAGCGACTGAATACGTTCATCAGACCACTCAGACTCTGCTTCTCTGTTGAGCGGGATTGCCTTTAACTTTCTAAGTAACTGCTGTAGACTGAGCTGAATGACATGAGCAATACAAGGAACCCGGTAAATAGAAGTGCCGCTAAGAACCAGCGACTGCATTGTCTCCTGGACGCCTGTCAGCATAGTATTTGTTGTTTGACGCATTATCAGTGGTGACTGATAATACCCGGTCGGCGATACCTGGTGCCTAAAGAATCCGGATAACAGTCTCACTCAAGATTACCACTAGTGTGCGATCCATGGAGACGTTCAAATTCAAGACATTAATGCTAGTCCCCAACGCCGAGGAGCATTCTACACCCTTCAAATTGAATTACCGAAGCTTGTTCCAATCCAGGATTCAGACTCGTTGGAATTCAGCATTCCTCTTGGCCTTGGGGGTCTCCCATATGGAGATTTCCCCACCCATGACTATGTACTGATTTTCGAACAGAGACTAAGTCAGCTTGCAATATGCAAGAGGCGAAAAAGCGTATGTTTTCACTTATGGTTTTATCTTGTATTCTACTCACTTAGTACTCACTATTATCGGTATCTTTCCTTTACACTTTGCCCTAACCCCTTTCAGTCTACTTCCTCTGCGGGGAATGCGACGATCCTGATAGTAGTTCATTAAACTCATTCGGGCAGGTAGCTAGCCTTACCTACGGAATTCTTCCGGTTTATTAGCCGATTGGATTATCTCTAGCCTTCGTTCGCTCCTTATCCTGGCTCCCCAAGAGCAGTCGACTCCAATTAAGCCTTCCATGTTCAGCGTCCCGCGTCTTATCATCGTCCAGCCAGTGTGCCATTGGCGTCATACCTTGATTTGTGGTACCCGCCTCCAAGTCGGACCCATACCCGCGTCGCGCAGCGGTTGGGGTAGGTTGGGGGTACGACTTGCTGGAGGGTTTTTATTCTATCTCAGTTGGAGCAACAACAGAATGTCATTGAATGGTAGGATAGAATGAATGATAGCTATCCTGCCTATCATTCGCTCGCAGCTTATACTGGCATCTTAATATATATTCACATATCTAGATCATGGCCACTGTTCTCTCAAGACATTTGTCCAGCACACGTACACGCCTTTCAGACGTGAGTCAGTTAGATAGGTCCCAGCTATGGCTTCCACCACAGTATTCCCCCAGGGCGTGGGATATGGAATCGTCGTCGGCATCGGCTTCTTCTTCGCCCTTCTCATGATGTTCATGTCTTATATTCAGGTCCGCACGCCCACCTTGGTGCACGGCAAACTGCCTGGATGACTCCTGCTAATCCATCTTGCGCAGAACAAATACACGAAATACTCTACTCACACCAGCGAAGAGTTCAACACTGCAAGCCGGAGTGTCAAGCCAGGTTTGATTGCGAGCAGTGTGGTCTCGGCGTGGACATGGGCTGCGACCCTTTTGCAGAGCAGCACCGTCGCCTACGAGTACGGCATTGCCGGTCCCTTCTGGGTATGTTCCTGCCTTCCTTCCACCCCTTTATTTGGGAGTTCCATTACTTGGATGATACTGACCGAGAGGGAACGCAGTGTTAGCATATCCATATCTTTGTCCCGTTCGGCGCCTAAGGAGAACACACCAATGAAGCTAACCTGCCCTCCTCTGCAGATGCCGCTGGTGCAACAGTCCAGATCTTCATGTTTTCCGTGCTGGCATGCAAGGTCAAGCAGAATGCCCCCTACTGTCACACCTTCTTGGAGATCATTTACCATCGATACGGCAAGGCGACCCATATCGTCTTCATCTCATTTGCGCTGTTGACCAACGTGCTGGTCGCCAGCCAGCTGCTGCTCGGCGGCAGTGCCGTCGTGACGGCACTGACTGGCATGAATGTCTATGCGGCCGTGTTCTTGATCCCCTTGGGCGTCTGTGCCTATGTCGTCCTTGGTGGCCTCCGTGCAACGTTTCTATGTATGTCTCTAGCTCGCTAGTCTCTCCTTTCCCCTTTCCCCTGGATTAAACGCTCAATCCCTACACTCCCGATCGGAAACAACAGTTGGAAACTGACAGGACCCGAACAACGCGCTTACAGGTGACTATTCGCATACGGTCATCATGCTGTCCATTATACTGTACTTCATGTTCTCCGTTTACTCGACCAATGAGCTCATCGGCTCCCCCACGAAGATGTTCGAGCTTCTGCAAAAGGCCGCACTTGAAAGACCAGTCAGTGGTAACACGGACGGCTCCTATCTCACTATGAAGTCCAATTACGCCCTGATTTTTGGCGTGATCCAGCTATGCTCTGGCTTAGGCACCGTGTTTCTTGATCAGGGATACTGGCAGCGAGCTATTGCCAGCCGTCCAACAACGGCCGTACGGGCCTATATCCTGGGAGGAATGGCATGGTTTGCCGTTCCCTTTGGGTTTGCCACGACGCTGGGTCTGTGTGCGGTCGCTTTGACTGGCAATCCTCGGTTTCCAACATACCCCAGCCCAATGTCGGAATCACAGGTCTCGTCGGGATTGTCCGCGCCGTTTGCGGCCACCGCGCTACTCGGCAAGAGTGGCGCGGGTGCCTTGTTGTTGACACTCTTCATGGCGGTCACGTCGTCTGCGTCGTCGGAGCTCATCGCTGTGTCGTCCATCCTTACATTTGACATCTACAAAACCTATGTCAAACCGTCAGCCACTCCTGAGCGGCTCATCTTCGTCTCGCACGCCATGATCTGTGTCTTTGGACTAGTCATGGCTACCTTCGCCTGTATCTGGAACGCCATCGGCATCGACCTTGGCTGGCTGTTCTTGACGATGGGTCTCCTCATCGGCGGCGCCGTTTTCCCCGCCGCTTTTGCCGTCACCTGGAAGGGCCAGACTCGTTTGGGTGCCATGTCTGGTGCAATTGGCGGCTGTATCGCCGGCGTGACCGCCTGGCTGGTCGAGGCCAAGGTGTACTACGGCGAACTGACGATTGCCAGCACGGGCAGTTCCTATCCGACGCTCGCGGGAAACCTGGCCGCTGTCATGACCGGCCTGATCCTTTCGGTTACGATATCGCTGAACAAGCCCGACGACTTCGACTGGCAAATCACCCGCTCCATCAATATGGACATGCCCAAGACCGCCGAAACGCTCGTCGCGCGGAACGACGTTGGGCCGGTCTCTGAGAAGAACGTCGCTGTGGCGTCTCCTCCGGTTGACCCCACCGAGGACAAGAAGACGGCTAGCAACGATGTCGAAGATCCCATTTGTGACGACAAGGGAAAGCGAGAAGATGAAGGTGTGATTGAAGATCCTAAGAGATTGAAGAGTACCTTCATAGTCGCACTCATCTCGACGGTAGTGCTGTCTTTTATCATGGATATCCTAATCCCCATCCCTATGTTCTTGTCACACTACGTCTTTTCGGAGAAATTCTTCACTGGCTGGGTGGTCATTACGTTCATCTGGGTGTTCGGATCCCTGACAATTTGCGGCTTCCTCCCTGTCTTTGAGGTGAGAGTCTTCTTCATGCAGCTGCTGAGATCCGGCAAGAAGAGCTCATGAGATTGATCAATATACGTCCTTTTCACTCCTTTCCCCACCAAGAAAGATTCGGCCACCCTGTAGATTTGAATCATAAGCTCTCTGTCTATTAAGTCGGTGCTCAGTCCAGAGATTTCGTCTGGATTATATCACCTATAAGACCGGCCAAGAGGGATCAGCGTACTACAGTAGCTGAGGCATAGCCGAGCGCTACAGCACTGATTCATTCCTTTTCAACGGCGGGGTCGACCACAAAGAGGGGGCCGTGTGGGGAGGAAGTAGTAACAGTAGTAGTATTCCTCAGGCTTTTCAGGACGTTGGGTTATGCAGCCTCCTGATTCGTGTGTTACACTGCATTTCCCCGGGGATCCTTATTTTCAGCTTAGTTTTCCATCACGAATCTGACAATGGATCGATCGCCTCCATGATCAGAGTAGTAAGAAACTGTCCGCCCTGAAGGAGCGGCTTCACGAGTGAACGCAGGACGGTAAGGTAACAGAAGTTGTCAATCCAATGGACCAGTATCTCGGGAATTCATTGCTCTTGCAATCTCCACAAGAATGTGGAGCGCCTGTTCATAACACCGCCCCCAGCGAGCCCCGAAGTGATTCATTACATATCGCACCGAGAATCGGCTGCACCGTGTCTATGTCTTATCGGCGGGGTTGCTTTTGTCGGAGCGGAATGGTCCGATTTTCCTTCAATTGTGATCGCCGACTATATTATATACGGCTGGCAGCAGCCACCGTGACTTGCAGTTGTTCCAACCTTGTCTCGGCCCTCATATCAGTGCTTTTTTCTATACGAAACTACTGTTGTCGGTGGCACGTGTTATTGTCGATATCTTTGCATCTTCCCTCCACCTACGTCCACAATGGCAGCATATCCTATCGGCAATAACCCGATGAACCAGTGGATCTATGATCCCTCGACAGGCATCATCGACCTCACGCGCAATGGACCCGCCGAGACAGCTCTGACATTACAAACAACGACCTACCCGATCCGCATCGACCCCGCCAAGACCGCCATGGTTATCATCGATATGCAAAACTTCTTCTTGCACCCGGCGTTGAGGGCCCCATCTGGACCGGGCCTGGATGCGGTTGAGGTCCTTCTCAACAAGATCCCCGCCGCTCGGGAGAAAGGCATCCGTATCCTCTGGGTGAATTGGGGTCTCACGGACGAAGAAGTGGCGACAATGCCGCCGGCCATGATGAAGGCATTTACTGTGCTGCCAAAACCACCTGCCGCCGGTGATGGCCAGCCCAAGAAGAAAAAGAACCCAGCGCTATACAAGGGACTAGGCGTGGATCTCAGTGCCGTTGAGCTGCCGGATGGAACGACCATCGAGGCAGGTCGTACCCTGATGCGGGGTACATGGAATGCGGCGCTTTATGGCGCTCTGGATGCAGAGTATCGCAAGGGATTGGAGAAGGCCTCGCGCCCGGACGTGTGGATCCACAAGAACCGCATGTCTGCGTTGTGGGGTCTCCGGACTGACCTACAGGATAATCTTGAGGCGGACGGAATCACCACCCTATTGTTCGCTGGGGTGAATACGGACCAGTGTGTGGGGGGCACGCTGATGGATGCTTTTAGTAAGGGTTATGATTGCATCCTTTTAAAAGACGGTGCAGCTACTACTTCGCCACAGTTTGCAACGAATTCTTGGGAGTGGAACAGTGAAAACACGTTTGGTTTTGTTGCGTCCTGCGATGCACTTTAGGAGATTGATACATGTAACTACTTATGTACATGAGAGACTAGGCATACTTGTTGGATTATAGTAGCACTCATACATGGTTGACATTAATCTCTGTTTCAGTCGTGCGCTCTCCCAACTGACCCTAAAATTATTACAACAGAAAGAACTCAGCGGCAGAGATAAGAAAAAGTTGGAGAATTGGGGTACGCGAAGATAAAGAGTGAGATGACAAACCAGGCCCCAACTCGATGCTGCTCGCTGATACGCTAGTCCTCCCACCACGCATTCGGGTATCCGGATAAGATAGGGAAGGTGTTGTCACTGCAGACAGGGTTGTGGGACATAAGGCTTGGGGTATTTAAACAGAAGAGGGGTCGTGGGAATAATAGTCTGGGGCACTCTTCGCTGGGGATGTTAACCGTATCCATCTAATACCTTATCCCAGACTCAAAATTAGCCGACGCTATACTTCACAACGATAAATCCAGACAAAATGACCAAGACCACATGGGAACAACGCGCAGCCGATAAGCGTGAGCGTCTCAGCAACTCCATCCCATTAGAATGGAAGATCCAGTCTCTTCCCACGGCCGCCTCGGTGATTGATTATCCCGCAAAGTCAGGCCTGCTTTCACAACAGGAGCTGCAGATAACAGGATCGAGTGCCACAGAGCTGGTAGACAGGCTAGCTCGCGGCGAGTTGAAAGCTGTGGATGTCACGGTGGCGTTTTGTAAACGCGCTGCGTTGGCGCATCAGTTGGTGAGCTTGCTTCCCTCCTCCGCGCTTCTGTGAAAGAAAGTGTTAGTAGAAGGAATGGGCATACTAAGATGTATCTGAATATGTTTAGGTCAACTGCTGTCTGGAGTTCTTCCCTGAAGCGGCCATCGCGCAGGCGAAAGAATTAGATGCATACTTTGACGAGCATAAGAAGCCCGTGGGACCTCTTCATGGGCTACCGATCTCTCTTAAAGACCAGCTTCGTGTAAAGGTAGAACACCTCACTACTGGACAGAATCATCCAGAAATAACTGCGCCAATCTAACTTGTCACATTAGGGCTATGAAACCAGCATGGGCTACGTCTCCTGGCTGGGAAAATATGAAACCGGCGAATCCGTGCTAGTCACGCTTCTACGCAAAGCCGGTGCTATTTTTTACACCAAGACGAGTGTTCCTCAGACACTGATGGTGTGCGAGACTGTCAACAATATCATCGGACGCACGCTCAATCCCCGCAACGCGAATTGGTCTTGCGGTGGCAGCTCCGGGGGTGAAGGGGCTATGGTAGGAATGCGGGGTGGGATTATTGGTATTGGGACTGATATTGGTCAGTACTCTTCACCTTAATCACGTTATTTTTGCAATCTGAGTGATTGATCGTTTGCATTACTCTAACGCGCTGTTGCCATTGTTGCAGGTGGCTCGATCCGCGTGCCTTCTGCTTTCAACTTCCTGTATGGAATCCGACCCAGCCATGGCCGGATGCCATATGCCAAGATGGCGAATAGTATGGAAGGCCAGGAAACCGTGCACAGCGTGGTTGGGCCGATTGCGCATTCAGCAGCTGGTTAGCATTCCCGATCCCTATTATTCTTGGAACGATATTGACTCCACAACAAGATCTGCGGCTATTCCTCACGGCAGTCTTGAAAGAAGAACCCTGGAAGTATGATTCGAAAGTCATTCCTTTGCCCTGGAGAGACGTCGAGGAAGAAGCTATCCATTCAAAGTTGCAGTCCGGAGGGCTGACGTTGGGCTTTTACTCGTGTGATGGTGTTGTATGTCCCCATTGTGATGCTTGCTGGCAAGAAGCGCCTTACTGATTCATTGGACCAACAGGTGCTCCCGCATCCACCGATCCTCAGAGGTATCGAGAAAGTTGTCTCCACGATGAAGCAAAATGGGCACACGATTGTTCCATGGACACCGTACAAGCACGACTTCGGGCATGATCTCATCAACAACATCTACGCTGCAGACGGGAGCACGGTAAGTAATATCCCAACAAACCAGATTAACCAATCTCCCAAATATGAAAAGGGAAACAACCGCTCACTTACAAGCTAGGATGTTCTACGCAACATCAACGCCTCCGGCGAGCCCGCTATCCCGAATACCAAAAACCTCCTGAACCCAGACAAAGCCAAGATCGACATGAACGAGCTGTGGGACGCCCACCTCCAGAAATGGAACTATCAGGGCGAGTACCTGGAGAAATGGCGCGAGGTCGAAAAACATTTAGGCAAGGAACTGGACGCTATTGTCGCTCCAATCACGCCCACGGCTGCTATCCGCCACAACCGGTTCCAGTACTATGGCTATGCGTCCGTGATTAACCTGCTTGATTTGACCAGTGTTATTGTACCGGTTACATTCGCAGATAAGGATGTGGATGTCAAGAAAGGACAGGATTTCCAGCCATTGAGTGAATTGGATGCGGAGGTGCAGGCCGAGTATGATCCTGATGCATACCACGGCGCTCCCGTCGCGGTACAGATTATCGGTCGGAGGCTGAGTGAGGAGCGCACTTTGGCTATTGCAGCGGAGATCGGGAGGCTGTTGGGTAACGAGGTGACGCCGTAAGCATAGTGGATTAGGGCCAGTTGATTAAATATTACCATTATTTGCTCGTGGATAGTAATACCAAGATGTCTTGATATATGCAGAGTGAAAAGAATCATGTTTTATTCCAAGGCTATAATTGCAGTGTCAGATGTATTAGTGGCGATTACTTCTCAATCAGGTAGAACCTCCAGCTCTATGTCCGTTAGCTCCGCATCGCCGCTGCCCCGCGATCAGGTAGATGGAATTACGGACTTTAGGCTCCTGAACTACAGTGGCTCCACAAAAGTCTGTGACCCCCTAAAGTATCGCACTAATATTCTGCCGGAAATTAGCGTCTGCACCACTCAAAAACTACTATTAGTGGGCGGTAGGTATCTTATAAGGAGGCGGTAAAGAAAGGTACTTTGGGGGGGTTCACAGACTTTTGTGGTGCCACTGTATACGTACCGGATTTGTATCTTGATGATTATTTCATGCGATGGAGATTAATGTTCTTCCTGCTCTCCAGAGTTTTCTATCGGACCTAACTGGAGTTAGAGAAGAAAAGCGACCAGGGGCTCGTATATATAATCTTTGCTAACCTCGTATTTCGGCCATTTCATCCGCAAAGAACAAATTGAGACACCCGTTCAAATCAAACCTTCATTCATCATAATGCCCAAAGTTCTCATCCTCGGCGCAACTGGGTATCTGGGCAGCCAGATCGCCAACCTCCTCATCCAGGGCGGCGAGCACACCGTCTACGGGGTCGCCCGCACTCCCGCCAAGGCGGCACAACTCGCCAAACAAGAGATCATCCCAGTTCTGTGTCCAGATCCGGTGAATGATCCAAATACATATCTATCAATCATCCGCTCGAAGCATGTCGACGTAGTCCTGGACGTTGCGGGTGCCGACGTAGGCTCCCACAATTTCCTACGCGACGTCACGGCCATTGGCCAGGAACGGCTTGACCTAGACAAGAAGCGCGGTGTGAAAGGATCCAAACTAGGATTTATCTACTGCTCCGGGACATGGGTGCATGGCTCGTCGAATGAGCCTGTGAATGACCTCGACGTTGTCGGAACGGACGCAAACACCCCTCCCACGGAGCTGGTCGCATGGAGGGTTGAGATGGAAAGGGCGGTGCTGCAGGCGGCTGACTCGCTAGATGTCATGGTTCTACGACCTGCTTTGATCTATGGGAGAGAAGGTACGATCTGGTCCTCTTTTATCACGCCTGTGCTGGACGCCGCGAAGAATGGGTCCAATTCTACAGTGAAGATCCTACTGGACGGGCATTCGAAGCCCGGCCTGATCCATGTCGATGATGTGGCTAAGGCCTTTGCCAAGGCTATCGAGAAGGTGCATTTGCTCTCAGGTACTGGGGTATACCCAGTCTTCGATCTCGTTACTACCCAGGAGAGCATGCGGGAGATCTTCGAGGCATTGGCTGCATGCTGGGGTTTCAAGGGCGCACTGGACCTACAGGGCCATGGGGGAGACTTATTTGCTCGGGCAATGAGCACCAGCTTTCGGGGATCGTCGGCGCGGGCTAAGCAGTTGTTGGAATGGCAACCGACAAGACTAGGCGGGTTTGTGCAAAACATGGATATTTATGCTGCTGCGTTCGCGGCACAGCACTATGGACAATAAAAAGTAACGCTAGCTAGTGCGACTCGGTAATGCACAATGCAATGACATACTATATACGAACCACTCGTTAATCTATTAGTAAGATTGACAGGGCGTAGCACCATACCCATATTGGTGGAATATCCGGATAATGCTGCTACACCCATACGTGGCTGCAAGTTCCAGCAGTGACTGATCCTCAACATCCTTTTTGATTCAATCTGCACCGCGCTCCATCAACAACTCGTCCATCTCGGCATGGTCCTAGACGATGGCTTTAAAAAGCGGCGTCTTCCAGGGGGTAAGTAGTCTTGTCTCATGGCCCAGAAGCAATCGGCCGACTTGAACCCGTCCGTAGAGAGCAGCCTGGGAGAGCGCCTTGTCGCCACTACTACAAAATGCATTGGGATTGGCCTTCTAGTCCAGTAGAAGAATCCGAACACTCGCCTTGCCAACCCAGATGCTGAAATAATTCTCGAGGTAGACCTAAATAACTTTAAGTGGTAATACGTGCCGCAGAATCCATTAGATTTCCTCTTTTCGCCTAACCGATTCCACTCTGTAAAACGAACGCAGTATCCCTATACGTACCGCGAATCCTGTTAGTCGTTTGTCCTTTTCTTGCGTCCATCTTCTCCTATGCGCCTCGATGGGCCTGCTTTCCAAAGGAGAACCGTCTACCCTACCTTCCTCTCTGGCGTATTGAACCCCTGTCCCTAGCCAAAGTACGAGATGGTAGGTCGCTCGAGCCCATTGTCCAAACCGCGGGCGATGGCGAATCCAAAGTCTATCGACGAAATGTTCACTAGATGTGGCCTCGTCTGGGAGCCGTCTGAGATCCTCATCCTCTGCCAGCGGTGCCGATCCACACTCTATCCGCAGGGTCTGCAATTCACCCAGCACCTGCACAAGTGAAAGATGAAAAGAAGTTCTAGGCCTGATTATTAAGACCTTGTTGGCTCAGGGCATATAATATCTGCCTGTTATTGAACAGTTGCTTGAGAAAATGTTACTCAGATTTCTTACATGGTAGGCCTTACCAAATAAATAACAACTATGGCATAATATTTTGAGTCAGTCTTCAAAAAGATATAACTATTAGTGTTTGACTTTTGCACAGTGATCATGCTATCTTGACCAATGACGTCAATGATTCCTGAACCTAATTGAAGATTACCTATTATCAATAGGCGCTGCCCATGCGAAACTGAGGAACACCAAAAATAACCAGCGACGGTGGCTGGTAATCAGTGAATGCCCACACCAAATGCCAATAACGATGACCAAGATAGCTATATTGCTGGGGCGGACTTCGCACAAGAGGAAACCAGCATGCGAGAGACACGGACACCATTGACACGAGACTCGCCATACGTGAAGCTCGCGCAGAAGAAGCCGAAACTTTCAGAACACTTATCAATCACAATAGGGCCTATTATGATCATAGTCTTCGATATTGTGGTCCCATGCATAATCTACTACATTTGGTTCGGTATTCATCGATCGCAATGGGAGAGCAACTGTCGGGCTTACGAGATATGCCTTTCAACGAAGCCCGAATTCAACAAGCAGATCCTGGGATACGCTATCATCTCCTTTGGCTTAGGTGAGCTCTACATTCTGGTTGCCCGGGTCTGTCGTCTGCTCTGGCACCCCGATGAATGCAGTCCCCTTCTATCACGCTCGCGATGGGAGCTCGACGCTACATCATGGGTCTATGGTGTGGCCATGATTTGCGCCTTGATTCCGTTCGTCATTGGTAGTAGCCAGGAAATACCCATGCTCTATCTCTACTCCCCGGGGTTCATAATGGCATTTCTCGGCATCCTAATGCTCATCACTCTTATCCCGATTAAAATTCCTATTGGTATCGACTCGCAGGCGAGAGGGACTTTATTGCGGCCATTGATATACTACGCAGCTGAAGACTTCATCGCTGTGGATGGCCTGCAGGATCGCGAGTTCCGCATACGGTACAACGCGCGATATGAATCATCAAAGATTTTCAGGCGCATGCTTCTGGTTCTAACTATCTGGTGGATATTTGGAGTTTGTGTCTACCTTGGATGTCTGTCGGCCATAATATGGACGTTGGAATTCCACTATGCGTTTGGATTATCCCTGGGAGTGCTTTTCGCTTATATCATTATTTGGGCAGCGGTATCATATATCTGGCTGCAAAGAGAGATGGCTCGAGAGAAGGCACACGGTATATGTAGGTGTTAGACCTTACAAAGACCTTACAGTAATGGGATAGATAACTTGAATTATTTTCAACGGGTTCTATATCCTCATAATCGAAAAATTAACGAAGGCACATACATCACTATTCAGTCGACCTCACAGATTCCGAGTGCGTTGAGCGAAGCAAAACGCGAATTATAGGTCAACGACGCCTAAATTTGCAGAAGCTACGCTATAGATTCATACAATTAACTATAGTCAATACTCTCAAGGTGCACCTAAAATATTAACTGTTCAAAATATCTTTTCACAATTCAAGATCGACTATCTTCTCAAACCACGCGGACACCGCTATACCGAATAAAATCTACTACTTTTATACGTAATAGAGAAGAGAGTGCATACGAAAAATCCGCCTAGCGAGTGTTGCTATATGTATAAAAATATAGTGACTTGATACCTATAACAAATTACCCAAGTTGTAATTGAACTGAGCATTGGGCCGATATACAAACTGTCTTTTCGACTTCCTGTTAGAGTTGTGCAAAGTAATATATCTGAGTTTATATATAGAGGATATTTTAGCTATTGCACAGACTTAATACCCTTCTATTAGCATTGAATGCTACATAAGCGATTTCCAGAATAACCAGACCACAGTTTTCTCGTGCAAAGCAGGCCCTAGAATGATCCCCTGGACTCGTACCGCATTAAGCGCGCGGCTAACAAAGGCGGACCGGATTCTGCCGTCAAGGAATTATTGATCTCCCCGAATGGTCAACTCCATCTTCCTCCGCCGTCTACCACAACGCACCCACCCCATCACACCCCTCACGATGCGGTCTCTATCACCAGCGCTCGCGTCTCTTGCGAACGTCTTTCGAATCCCCATGTCATTGACTCCCGCGCGCCCAGCCGTTTCCCGCGTCTGCCACGAGACCTTGTCTCGACAATCCGCACCGACCACCGCAGCCGTGCAAACAGCCCCGTTCTCATCGACGAGCACCCTGGCAAAGCGGAAGGGAGGTGGTCCTCAAGTGGACAAGCGAATCAGTACGTCTTGCCCCCTTTGCTACCCAGCAATTCCAACCCACACCTCCACGAAACTCCTCTCCTTATTCCCAGATCCCCCCAGCAAAAACCAGCGCGATTGAAAACGAAAACACCAAACAGAAGCTAATAAAATGAAACTATAGCTCTAATCCGCTATTTCCTTTACCACCCCCTAACCCCACGCCCGCTCCGCTTCTCCCGTAACCGCTTCCTCCGCCACTGGACCATCCACCGCGCCTGGCAACTGTTCCAGGCGCAGCAGCGCAAGAAGCAGGAACTAGAGCTGCAGCGCCAGTACCAGAGTATGCAGGCCGCGTGCGAGGAGCTGCGCACGGGCGCCGGCGATGGCGGGAAATTGTTTCGCGTGTCAATGAATAAGAAGGGCGTGTTTACGGATCTGTTTCCCATTGAATATGCCCGGTTTCAGACGGAGTCGCCTGCTGCTGAGGGGTGGAATTATGAGTGGAAGAGGCCTGAGAAGAAGCATTAGAAATCCTTTTTTTGTCGATTGAGTGGGTGAGTGGGTGAGGGATGGAAGGTGGGAAAATTGATGATAGGGTTGTGTGGCGGTATAGGATGGGATATATATGTATCATTGGCGCTGTGTACAATACCATTTTTCATCTTTTCTTTTGTTGAGCACAGTCTATCATTTTCATGTGTATACAAATTACCTTCAGCAGACAAGATAACATCCGATGCAATTGTGTCCACAAGTCTTACCATTGAGCACACATAGTTGGTAGATGGTATACTCCCTTGCAAAAGCAATGAGCCCAGAAATATAGTCAATTACTACAGGAGAAGAAAAAGAAAACGCAACAAATCCAGGGAAGGAGTGGTATCATCACAATGCTCTTCGGGGGAATGGGGAATCAATAAGGAGAGAAATCCGGAGCGGCACGTGCATCATAACAGGGTTCAAACAAAAAAGGAGTGTAAGAGAAACAATGTACTCCGAGGGAATAGACACGACTTCATAGAGCCGAAGCGCAAACGTCGTACCCGGATCAACCGATCGAGGAGCCACAATTAACCGCCCAAACGCCAGTGATGCATGGTACAGAAAGGGTTGCCGACCCAAAAAGAAGCCAGAGGGGGAGGCGCATCGTGAAAAAAGCCAAGGCGTTGGTTATAGCACGATGCAGCACGAGGTTTTTCGTTTCTCGAAGGTGAGCAGGGCTGCGCGGGTGGCTGCCTCGAACACGTCGTCGACACCTTCACCCGTCAAGGACGAGCACTCGAGGTACTTGCGAACTCCGATCTCGGCGCCAGTCTCGTTGCCTTCTTTCGCCGTCACGAACTTGAGAGATTTCTTGCGCATCTCCTCGATCGCGAGCGGGTCTTCGCGCAGATCCTTCTTCAGCCCAACCAGAATGATCGGCACTCCGGGACATCGCTCGTTTGCTTCTTCGATCCACTGCGGTGGGAGTTAGTGATGGCTGGCACGGTTGAAGACAGTCCACACCAACCTTGTGTTTCACGTTCTCCAGTGAGTCTGGCGTGTCCAAGGCAAATCCAATCAGAATCACATGTGCTTTCGAGTAGGCGAGTGGCCGCAATCGCTCGTAGTCTTCTTGTCCCGCTGTATCCCACAGGGCCAATTGTACTGATCGTCCGTCGACTCGGCAATCTGTCACGTAGTTTTCGAATACCGTGGGCACCTAAGAAGCAGTCATGTCAGACAACCCCAAAGCCAAATCGGAGCCTTCGTCGAAGGACTGACATAATGCTAGATTTCACAGACAGGTTAGCCATGGTGATTGTTTGAAACTTTGTTGTCGTCGACTCACGGTTGGAAAGTAGCCAAGGGTAAAGACGCTGAGCAGACTAGTTTTTCCACACGCGCCATCTCCGATGATGACGAGTTTCCTGAACGTTCATCCAGATCAGTATAACCGACGAATACGCTGGTACAAAGGCAGATCCAAGTGCACGGGGCAATGGTCTGGCAAATGCTGACAGCGGTCCGTCGCAGTGGACTCGGCTGCCTATTCGCCAGCAGTAAAGAGACTGAAGCAATCACACTCACCGTCGCATCACATTGTCATTCTCCTGTTGGGCCATAGTCAATGGCAGACCGTCGAAAAAGCGCCCTGATGACACGGGTGGAGGAAAAGGAGGGTGTGCTCAGGACAAGTCGGCAGGAGTCAGAAAGCAGCGCGTACGCAGACGGGCAGGGGGGATGTGGAACTGTTGAGAGCAAAGTACAGCCACACGCGCACTATTTCCGCCCGAGGGGAGTCAGGGGAACGGAACTGGTTGGCCTGACCGGGGTTATTATTGCAACGACCAGCTTGCTTAGTGACGTGGGTTTGGGGGGAGGGGACGGAAAGGCGGTCGCGCCGGGGCTGAGGCTGATGGGGGAGGGATACTACACGCGGTCTCCCTGAATGTCCCTAAACGAAGGATCCGGGGCAATGTGGATAATGCTGAAACCGAGAAAACGAGAGGAGGGGGAATTGGTCCAGTGAGAGTGGGAGAGGGGAGAAGGCAAGCGAGTTAGACGGAGAAAAGATACGATTATCACATCGGGGACTGGACACTTCAAGGTTTTTTTACAGAAGATGGCGCCCATGCCAAACAGGGCAGCAGCCCCGACAAGCTATTCTTATTTTATTTTTGTCTAGCGTTGCAAATATTCAAGATGTCACTAATCAGGAAATGTCTTAGTTACCGGCGTGAGTGAGACAGTCACGTGATATCGTCCCTCCCGACGAGGCTAGGTGTTCAGGGCGGATGGAAAGGGAGGTATGAGGCTGATCGTTAGAGTTATTGATGGGAGTAGGAACGGACTGCTGGAGATCCCATGCAATCATCACACCATCCCGTTGGCATTGACCACGTGACTTTGGCGCCTGGCGCCCAGAACAGACCGCGAGGCAACAGGAACAGCCGGTACGGAGTGACGGTGTTTCTGCACCGACACACCTTTCGATCAGCCTAACAACACGGGTCGCGCCAAATACGGGCAATCGTAACAGGTTCAGTTGCTGCCTCACCATTCAGGCACCGATCTCGCTTGTAGCGGCTATCCCGTTGCGGCGGCACGACAACCATCCAGAAGGCAGGAAAGCCCATCACTTCATCCATCTTCTCACCCTCCCACCACCATTCCACCCCGGCATCCCGCGCTCTCGGGCCCTGAACTTGTCGCTGGCCCTGGCCCTTGATCGCGCTTCCTGTCCCTCCGGTCAGCCAGCGCGTCGCTCTCGTCCCCGAGCAGCGAACACGCCTTGACCCGCCGGGATCCTCCCTCACTTCTTTCAACCCCCCCCCTCTCTCTCGCAAAGCCTCTCCTGCCACCTCTGCTTCCTGCCCCCGCTGCAAGCACAGCCTCTTCCCCGGAACAACAAAGGGAGAAACTGTCCATTTGTCGGCTCCCACCCCCGTTCCTTTCGCCAGTTGGATTCTGCGGAGCTTTGTTGGTAGGTTCTTTCTCGCTCCTCCCACCCCCCGCCCACCCTGTCCTCTCTCGTCTGCCCTTCCTCTCCTCCAAATCACCCTTTTCTAACTCTCTCCTCTGCGTAGGAGGTGATAGTGTGTCGCCGAGGCAAGCATTGCATTACTCCATCGCTCCGCCCGCATCCAATATGGCAACTCGTCCACCGGCGGCGAGTTCGACGCACACCACGAATGGCGATACGCATGCGCGAGGTCCTCCAAACAACGCTGCACCATCTACCGCGACGCCGGCAACTGGATCGACCGTGAATCGCAAGAAGCAGAAACGCCGGCAGAAGCAGGCCGCTCGCTTAGCTGCGGAGCATCGGTCGCCCACCGATGGCTACGCATCTGGAGATGTAGCGGATCCAGCGATGGGGGATGATATGCGTTCTTACGGAGATGATCGTGACTTCGGCGAATCATTTCCTAACCACGCAGCGACCGGTGTTCCCTTTGCAACCGACAAGCCAACAGTCTCGCGGCAGAACTCAAGCGACCACCCAGTAACTGACGGACCAGATGAACAACAACTTGCGACGGGTCGGAGATCGAGAAGGAAAAGGGGCAAGAAACATCGCTCTGGATCTCACACTCTCGCCGACGGAAGCTCGACCCCGCTCTCCACCCCGTCCGCCACCTTCTCCCACCCTCCGCCGCCGCCCCAAAATATGCCCTACGCTAGTCGGTACCCGATGAAGGCCGGAAAGGAGGGCAGCATTTGGAATCAGTCTTCGCTGGAGGAGCGCGAAAACATCAGGACCTTCTGGTTTGAGCTGGGCGAAGAAGACCGGCGGCAACTGGTCAAGGTCGAAAAGGATGCCGTACTGAAAAAGATGAAGGAGCAGCAGAAGCACTCCTGCAGCTGTACGGTGTGTGGGCGAAAACGGACTGCGATTGAGGAAGAACTTGAAGTGTTGTACGATGCATACTATGAGGAGCTCGAGCAGTACGCGAACAACAACCAAGGTTCGTTCGACGAGGGCTCGCCCATCATCCCCCCGCCTCGACTGTACCAACCCCCCTACGGTCTCCCGGTCAACATACCCGCACCCATGGCCAGTTTCACCCGTCGCGAGGCAGAGTGCAGGAGCTACCAGAGGACGATGATGACATTGAGGAAGACTACGATGAGGACGAGGAAGACGAGGACGACGATGAGCTGTACAGTGATGATGAGCTTGAGGACGAAGAGGCACGCGAAGCGCGGGCAGACTTCTTCGCGTTTGGGAATAGTCTCACTGTGAAAGGTATGCTAGGGTGATCCTCGCTTGATCTCATAGACGCTTTGCTAATGGTAAATTCTCCCCAGATGGCATCCTTACCGTTGCAGACGATCTTCTCAAGAATGACGGGAAGCATTTCATCGACATGATGGAACAGTTAGCCGAACGTCGAATGCAAAGAGAAGAGGATACGCAGTACGGGATAGCCGCCGCTCATCAGTCCTTTCATGGAGGCCACAACCATGGCCCCCTCGACGACGAGGACTATGATGACGAGGAAGACGAGGAGTATGATTCCCAGGAGGAGGATGAGTATGACGAAGACGAAATGGTGTGTTCTCGGTGTTTTGCTCCGATTCCGTGCTGTACGAATGTTGACCACCAAAAGGACGCCATGACGGAAGAACAGCGTATGCAGGAAGGCCGGCGAATGTTTCAAATATTTGCTGCGCGGATGTTCGAGCAACGAGTCATGACTGCATATCGAGAGAAGGTTGCCGAGCAACGTCAGAAACAGCTCATTGAGGAGCTGTTGGAAGAGGAAACCCGAGAAGAGCAAAAGAACGCCAAGAAAGCTCGAGAGGCACAGAAGAAAAAAGACAAGAAGCAGAAACAGAAGCAAGCCAAGGACGAGGAGAAAGCTCGCCGGGACGCTGAAAAGGCGGCCGAGGAGGCTGCGGCCAAAGCTGCGCAAGAGAAAAAGCTCGAAGAGCAGCGGCTGAAGCGCGAAGAACAACGGAAGAAGCGGGAGGCCGAACGAAAGGCTCAAGAAGAGGAGCGTGTGCGGAAGGAAGCCGAGAAGCAACGGCGTCTCAAAGAGGAGCGAGAACGGCAGGCCGAAACTGAGCGCAAGCAACGCGAACAGAAGGAACTGGAGAAGAAGAAGCGCGAGGAAGCCAAGCGTAAGGAGCGAGAGGAACGAGAGGCTCGAGAGAAGAAGGCCAAAGAGGAGCGAGAGCGCAAATTGCGAGAGGCAGCGGTCAAGGCCGAGCAGGAACGCGCCGGTAGGCGTGATGTCCAAGCAAAGCGTGCTCCCCCAACGTACGCTGGGGCGTTTCCTCTCCAGTCAAACTCGCAGTCCCCATCTCATCCGGGTCCGCTACAGTCTCCGCATTATGCTGCCGCTAATGTCGTCCCGAAAGCCCCAACACCCGCGAGGCCGCGCCAACCGTCTCAGCAGGACTCTCACACCTCGTCGCCTCGATCCCAGCAAGCCAGCACAGACTCGTCTCATCAGCCATCCGTCTCGCCGCATTCAATACCGCAGTCGCAGTCGTCGGGAGCCTCCAGCATGGGTACTAAGCAAACCCAAGGTCAACAACAGCAACCTCCTTTGCATCACCCCCAGCCTTCGGCACCGCTGTCCCCACTTGGTCGAACCAACCCACCCGGATTTCAAGGTTTGGGCCTGCCATCCCACCCACCGGGCATTCCTGGTATGGCTCCCCGGCCACCGCTGGGACCAGACTTGCCTATGTATCCGCCCAACTCGACCAACCTGATGAACCAATTCAGAGGTTTCCCTGCGCCAAGTGGAATTCCTGCACCGCCTGGAATCAATGGGTCACGTCCAATCCCGCCAGGTCGTGGGTTCCCGCTCGAGCATGGGCCCGGTCTTCCGTTCCAGGGACAGCCTGGGTTGTCCAACGCATTCCCTATGCAACAAGGTGGTCTGGCGAAAACCCATTCGAGACAACCGTCCGGCTCGTTCGAACGGTCACCATTGGAGAATAATTCCCAGCTGTACCCAATTACGCGGCCAAGTCCGATCAAGCGTCCGCCGAGCACCGCTCAAGAGCAGCAGAGAGAAACAGGTCCTGTTCCATCGCAGCGGGAGGTGGACAACCTGAGCGCCCATCTGGGCAGTAGCGCGCTTCTTGACGATACCGACTCTCCATATTCAGCCAAATTGTCCCAGTCCTTGCCCGGTGCAGTGGCCCCTGGATCATTCCCCGGACCAACAAGAGCTAGCTTTGGAGGACCATCGCTATTTGGTGATCCTCTAGCCCCCAAGCCTGTCAACAATTTCTCGGTCACTTCTTCGAGTAACACCTGGGGCACACCTTTCGGCAACTCTGCTTTCCCTGGAACCCCAACCTGGGGCACTGCACCTGGAAGTGGCTGGTCCCACAACGTCTTTGGAGCCAGCACTCATCAGCGTCCGCACACTTCTCGGCCAGTTACAATTCGCCTCTTGGTGATCCAGGCTTGCAAGCAACTCAACGCCATGAGCTCACAAAAAAGCCTCGCAGCATACCATGACGTGGGCATCGTTCTCCGACAGGTGGAACAGCTGCGGCCTTCAAGTGAGCCCTCGATCTCGCTGGGTGAGATGCTGGATATCTGCGACACAGAGGGCAGCCCTCAGAACGGCGGCGGGTCATTCTCCATCAACGAGAACGAGAACGGTCAGTACGTCAAGTTCGAGCCCGACACCAACAGCGCCGTCCCTGGACACAGACCCAGCATTGTTCCTGGAGACATCGGCAGCCCGATTCCTGGGAACAGCAACCCGGCCGCGTTTGGCGGGTTCGGTGGTCCCGCGCCCTCAGTGTTGCGACAGTACACCTCGCCCCCTGCTGGGTTCTAGGGTAGTAAGTTGTCTTGATGATGACCTTGATATGATTATGACCCATCTCATGACCCGGGCCCTGGTACTTATTTTTTCTCTTCTTTGTGCTCCCCTTTGCGGTGTGGCTTCTTTTTCCATTCACGGGATCGGTCTGGACCCTTCTCTCACCCCTTCTCGGTGAGGAGGCAATTTTGTCGGAATGAACTTCGTTCTTCCTTACCTTCTGTTTTCCGATGGATGATGATCTTCGAAATCTTGAAGCGTCATGGGATTTAACGCCACCTTCCTACCTCCCACATTTCTTCACATCCACCTCCTCAACACACTTCCTGAAGTTGTTTCTGACGTTCATACGGGTTCCCTTTTTCCTTTTTCTTTTTACCTTTTTGTCTACTTTTTGTCGAGTTTATGCGCTGGAACTTCGGGGCATCCGGGGTTGTCTGTTCTGATTTTTCCCTTTTTGACCTTTTCGTCTGGTTGTTTTTTCTTGTGTATGGTATGAGTTCCTGGCCTTGTTTTCTACATTATGCAGCGATATCCGTGGAGATCGGGTTCATTGTCCTGCTCCGTCGTTGTTTTCTTGACCAATTGCATGATCGAAGTTTCTTCTTCGTGTTGAATTACCTCTCTATTTCTCATATCAACTTGTAACTGCTCTATGATGTACACGGGCAAACCTGATGCAGGACGAGGAGCACTTTGCCAAGAAGTCGAAAACCTGAAATCAGCAGTCGACCGTCTTCGCCTCGTGATTCGAAGATGTATGAGCAGTGTTATCGGATATCATCAAATCATGTCCAGGTTTCCGGATGATGAACTACCATTCATCAAGGAACTACTCCAACAGACCGATATGGAGGAAACGTTAGATTAAACTAGAAAATAAACGTGTCTAACCTTGGCTTCTTTTATGAGGTGACAGTCCTCCACCAATGGCTGTCGGGCCGGGTGATCATGACGCAGTCAATGGTATAGATTGAGTTCAGGGATCAGAAATCGAGGTAGGGCAGAGGCCCCATCCATCGAGAGGCGCTGATACACTTCTTATATATACTCTGTAAGAGACGAAATAACAACAACAGGGGAGCTGGCTTCAAAGACACGATAGACAATAACAAGAGCAAATGAAAAGTGAGAATTGATTAAAAACAAAAGAAAACCCTTATGACATACACCAACACGACATACACAAGGCCCGATGAGAATTCCAGGCCATCCCATATAGTCTAGACGCGCAGGATAATCCGAACGAGTCCAGCACCCATCTACTACTGCCGTGTCTCCGTTACAATACCTTCATAATCGCGAGACCGGATGTACTCCAGGGTGCGGTGGAAATGACGTTGCGGGCCATCGAGACTCGGGTTGGGCTCACTCTCCGTAGTTTGCAGGTTGGAGTGGATGAGCTCAATGAGGCCATTGAGGTACTTGATGGTGACGGTCTCGTTCTGCTGGTCGAAATAATAGACGTAGCGATTGAGGATCTCGACGAAGAGCTCGACGGAGACGGCGGTGTCCATGCAGGCGTCGGCGACGCGGAGGGCACGCTGGAGGCATTCGAGGACTCGTTTGCCATCGCGGTAGAGCTGGGGCTTGGAGTTAGATTTCAAAAATTGAAAGGAAAGAAGGTGGGCAGGCTTACGTTTTTAGGATCATCATCCTCACGCTGCGGATTTTCGACTACCCACCACAAGTGGCTCGCCAAATACACGGCGCGACATTGGTCGGGCTTCTTGAGGAGCTTGCTGCCATGTAGGGCGGCCTTGGTAATAAGCGTGTCGTAGTTCTCCTTTGAGAAGCCGCGCGTGCCGTGCAGAGCTCCCGCAATGATGCAGACGGCCTGGAACTGGGCGCGCGAGTCGCTAATCGCATCTTCGTAGATGGTGAATGCCTGCGCAAAGAACTCATAGCTGACTTCCTCGAAGCCGGTTTGGTCCGCGACTTCACCGCACATCACAAACAGGCGAAGAGATAGATCGGCGCAGCCTGGGTTGACACGCTGGTACAGATTATTGATGCTCTGATGCATGAATCGGTAGAGCGCAGATGATTGCGACTGCCAATTGTCATCGTAGTGCTCGCGCGACTTCAGTTTCCGCGCTAGGCGAATTGACGCTGTCACAATAGCTGGGGTGGTGTAGCGTATCCGCTCATTGCCTTCGTTATAGGCCTTGCGCGTGGCTTGCAGAAGCTGTGGGGAACAAAATCAGTGAATGTTCATCTTAAAATGATAGATCAAGCTCCTACCTTGAGTTGTGTGTCGTTGTCTGGAGACTGGATCAGATGTACTAATCTTGCAAGCCATCCTTGTTCCTCAATTGTCTCATCAGTCTCACCACCTCGCCGCTGGGTCTGCATCCCGGGGTATCCAGCAGCCTGCTGCAGTCCCTCCTTGATCAAAACCTTCACCGCCTGGAGCACCCGGTCAAGATTCTCCGTGGTCGAAATAAGAGTCCTGTTCTTGAGGATACTCCGGATAATCTCGCCAGCGATTCCTCTCCGGGTGGGATAAGATTGTGAAGACAGGAGTGGTACATAATGCGGCAGTGCCAATGCTGTGAATATCGAAACATAAGAACGAAGCGGGGCCCCGAGAAGATGAAGAATGTGCTGTTGCGTTAGTGCAGAGTGGAGATCGGCGTGGTCAGTGTATTCATTTGTCTTCTGGGTCGCAAAGTCCAGGACCTGGTCGACATATTCCAACTGATCTGGGTAAATGTTCAGCGCGAGATTGACGAGCGACACCAAAAGCGCCATGGTGTCTTGGATTGGTAATGCGCGCGTCTTGATCAAGTCGACCACCTGATTGTAGAAGATATCGTAGAGTTTGATATCTACGGGAATTCCGGGCTTCGGGCCAGCTTCACCTCCATTTGCGACTTGATTATCTTCTTTCGACGCATCTGCCGCGTTGTCACTCTCCTTGGAAGGTCCTTCGGCGCCGTTTTCTTGGGCGGCACCACTTGCAGCAGCACCCTCGCCGGACTCTGGGGCTTTGGCTTTGGCCTTGGCTTCTTTATCAAGCTCAAGTTTCTGAAACAGTCGAGCAACTGCTTCTTCCTCATTTTGTTTCCGTGTTTCCGGTTCCGCAGGTGCTTCTGACTCTCGGGCGGCAAAGGAAGAAAGACGATCCATCAACCCGATGACAATCTTCTTGAGATCGACATGTGGATGGAGTTTGGCAATGGCGGATAGCAGAAGGTCCAAGGTGTGCAGATGGAACTCATCCGGGAATACCTTTGTGATGACTGTTGGTCAAGTTAGTAAAAACAGGTGAATCAAACACAACGTTCATTGCGATTTCGCACCTTCCAGCAGATATTCTTGCGCCAGAACATCCCGACATTGCACCACTTGTTCCAACAGTGCTTGCAAAATGCCAGACTTGTATCCTTCGAGATCCACCAATTGACTGAGTCGGACAATGTTGCTGCCCACGAGCAGTTCGAGCTCGCGCCGCTCCTGGATCCGCCTGTCCCGTTCTCTGGAGGGACCCTGGTGTTGCAGCCGAACCCAGAGCTTATTCATTTCCACAAAATTCGTCAGGACAAAGTTGATCGAGTCCTGGAGGTTGCCTTCAGGCCCATCACCATTCCCCAGGGGCAGGTAATCTCTAGCTTGACCGGACAGGTAATATCGCAGGAAGAGACCCCGGATCGGATGCTGGACACCGCGACTCATCTCCATCATATCCTTCATGATCTCTTTGACCGGCGCATCCTCAACCGACATGTACACGGTTCCCACGGTGATCATCAGGTAGAGGCGGGGGACGATATTGCCGGCATACTGGACCAGTTCGTAGAGGTCCGCTAGGTGATTGACGGGGTGGTTCTCCTTCAGGTAGACGGATAGGTGTCGCAGCGCATCGAACACGGCCATGTACAGCTCATAATACTGTTTCGGGCCAAGGCTTGGGGTTCGCAGTTCGGAGACGAGAGTAGACCTGTAACGATCACCAGTGGTTAGCACACAACCCGACGTCGCTGCCTAGGGTCACGGAGTGGCTCACCCGCACTTGAGCGCATCCATGAGCTTGCCAGGAGTCTCTAGACATTTGCGCATCATGCCTGATTGCTGGCGCACCACCCCCAATGCCTCCTCGAGGAGGCGGTTCTGGTCCTCGGGGACGGGAGGTGGGCTCGCCATCGTGGAGCGGGAGAGAGTGAGGGGGAAATTGGAGTGGCGTGGCAGCTGCAGGCGGGAGACGGAAGAATAACAGAGACTAGGGCGCAGGAACGCGGGATATCACTGGTTCAATTCATGAGCGAAGGCAAGGGATGAAGGAAGGCAGAGTGAGTTGGGGTTGGAAGGGCGGAGGTTACAAAAGCAAGTCGGTGACAGCATCAGCCGGAAGGACAGGCAGGAACGCCGATCGTTAACTTGTCCGCTCTCCACACGACCACAACACAACCACCATCAACTAACGAACTCCACACACAACACATTCATCCCTACCATAGTCTCAGAGTTGCCATATTCTCCTCTAAGCGAGGCTCCGGGGAAGAATTTACCCTTGCTGGGACCTGATACTATCTGGGTGTAACTGACCATTGACGGTCAGGATCCATGATGTGAGAATAGGGGCTGTGATGTACCCAATGCCGCAGGAGATCCAGCTGAACCAATCAGCTTCGGAAGTCATTCCTGTGGAAGGAACGACATGCACGGGGCCACGTACGGAGACGCCATGGCTTCACCGGTTTAAAGGGCAGGTGCCATGTTCGTTGTGTATCGAGTACAAAGTTCAGATCGAGGAGCGACGGGAGGCTTCTAAGAGGGGATGGGAGCGGTTCACGTCACACAGAACCTTCAGGAGAATAGAAGTTTTTCTGCTTCGGTGATCCTGGGCTCCGATAAAAGGTTCTACTGCCTCTGGATACTGGCAGACTTCCTGTTCGCGAACAAACCATACGACCTTGTGGACGGATCCTAGGGAAGTGTAAATATCACAGGGAAGGATCCGTCTTAGGAAACTTGCAAGGAAGAGGTGATATGATGTTGTCCAGGAAGCGTGGATAATATGCTGGATCCCAAGTAAGAATCAGAGAGTTGAGTTGTAGAGTGTGTGGGGAGAAGTAAGAGGACAAGAAGGCGTAGAGGGAGGTATGTAGCTAGCGCTATCATCTTCTTGTCTTGGGCACCCACGACATTGTTTATCTGGGTATCAACAATATGTGATACAGCCTTCATTATTGCCTGCCTGGAATATTGTAGTGGAATTTTCCAATGCAGTGAATGTAGTTACCGCGGCCATCCTGTCCACGGATAAACGGATGTGGCTGGCAGTCCCACGACTGCCACTGTACTCAGATTTCCAAGGACATTCCGATATCATCAATTTGATTCTCATTCTATTCATGTAAACATAACAATCTAATTTAAGTCATTTCAAATGCCGTTAACATGTTCCGCATCCAGTCTATGTAATCATGTCCCTTGGAACCATATGAAAAAAAAAAAAAAAAAAAAAAAACAGAAACAATCTGATGTCAAGAATACATAGCAAGAAAGTAGGCGATAAACAATTCGCCTCCCAGTAAATAACGCCAACCTCAGATGCATGTCCATGGCGAAAACCGGGGGCGTTGATGAAGTCGTCAACAGAGCCGTTTTGTGTCGCATGCCGAAAGATAGGAAACCCGTGTATCATTTGATTTTTTGTGTTGTTTGGTCATGCATTGTGTGGGGAATGGGGTGTGTCATGTCACAGGTACCGACAAGAAACCATGTCTTCCGCTCTCCAGATAGCCAGCTTTAGTAGCTGAATGGAGTGCTCCAGACCGGAGTCGAGCTAGGAGTCACCGAGCTCGGGGTGATCGAAGAGACGCTCGAAGAGGAAGCCCAGTCACGACGAGCGAGCGGAGTAGACACGGCAGGCACCGTCAGACTCGAAGAAGACGGGGTCGCCGAGAGAGAAGGAGTGGAAGAAGAAGAGTAACCCCAATCCCACTGGCGGCGTTCGAGCGGAGTAGACACGGCAGGCACCGTCAGACTCGAAGACGGAGTGGAAGAAGATGAGTAGCCCCAATCCCAGTCACGACGCCAGAACAACGAGCTGGTAGGGATCGGCGTGGCGCTGCTACTGCTGCTGCGCCCAGAGGCGGCGGGCTGCTCATGCAGGATGCGGTACAGTGGAGTCGAAGTGGGAATCACTGACGACGAAGATGAAGGCGAAGAAAGAGGCGAGCGGGATGGGGATGGGGTGGGTGTCACGGTGACCGTCACGGCTTGCGGGGCTGAGTCCTGGGCTGGCACGGTCACGGTCTGGACCACGGTGTCTGTGGCCTCAGGGTCGGGAGATGAAGGTGTCGAGGTGGGAGTGGTGTTGTCGTCGACGTTGACTACTTTGTAAGGCACCTTGCGGCGGGCGAGATCTCCATTCTGCTGGTTGGAGACGGGGGCAGCGGAGGTGAGGACGCCCAGAGAGGAGAGAGCGAACACAGCTGTAACGGCGAAGTGCATGGTAGTGGTGGTGGTGGTGTTGTGGACGTATGTTTATAGATCGAAGATATGGAATCTGGGATAAGAATGGACGGAGTGGATGGACCAGGGGCGGATGGGAGAAGAATGTAGAGAATGGAGAGACGAATGCACCGAAGAAGGCACGTTTAAATGTGCATGCAGCGGACCGGGGAGTGATGATGGAGCTCAATAAACTTGCGGCAAGAGGCTGGGATCGACGGGTGGCTGGGAAGCCACTAAACCGGATCGGGTGGTCCCTGTGGCTGGCCGTGGGTCCCTGTCACACACACTTATTGATCCTGTGGCGAATCATGCCTTACAGTGTTGATCTAAATGGCCAAGTCCTCGATCCGCACCAGTCCACATCCCAGGGCCGCGCTGGCCCACGCCGCGCACGCTTGGTTCGGGTTCCACCCCAGCGCAGTGACGTGTGTCCCTTCCTCGTGGATCGTGGCCAGGAGGACCCCGTCCACCAGCTTGCTATCGCCCGCCAGGTTGCGCGACAGGTTTTGCCGTTCGGCCTGGAATCCGTCGTAGAATCGGCTGACCCCGGACCCCTCTGGCTGGGGGCCTGGAACCCATGTGTGTGTGAACCAGGTCTGCTGCAATTGCTGCTCTTTGGCATACAAGAGTCGGCGGAGTGGGTTGGTGGCTACCACTTCGCCTCCGGCTCCACCATACATGACGCAGGGGTGCCAGGGACTACACGGGGCCATGGTCGAGACCGTGCTCGGCATTTTGGCGATGTAATTGGTGTTGAAGAACCGGCGCAGTGGAAGGATGCGCGCGAATTCATTCTCGTCGCTGGACAAAAAGCTCTGGAGCACGGGGGAATAGCTGAGGTGGCTGGAGGCGACCCGCATGCGACCCGTCATGACGACCTCCGCTTGGGGGTCGAGGAGAGACCAGTATCGAGTCTCGCCGTCCATGCCGATGGTGGTCAGCGTCTGTGGGTGGGTCGGGTACGCCGAGACAATGTTCAGGATGTAAGTGACGTGAATCGGACGGTACATGAGCGGCAGAGTCTCGGAGTGCGCGGTATTCCAAACTGCCACGAAGCCATTGGCACAGCCCACGGCGATATCACTGGGGGAAAGCCAGGCGACACAGGTACAAATCGTCGAGGGCGGTTTAGCCTCGAAGACGGGCGAATGGATTTGGACTGGAGTGGGTTGTTAATGCACCGAAGTGTTCAAAAGGCAAGGGTTCCTACCGAACTCGGTCCCTTTGTGACCCCGTCGGATCCTGATATCCAACACTCGCACTCGACCATCTCCCCAAACACTAGCCAACAATCCAATGGACTGGGAATCGCCCTTTTCATCCTCTTCGCGTTTCTCCCGACCAATCGGACACCAAGATATGCGCCGTAGATCCCCCCAATTCGAGCACAAGACAAGTCGTAGCCGTGGCTTGGAGCTCATGTCTAGCGTTGTGGTCGGGGTGTCACTTTTCTTCGCTTTGACCTCCCACAGCTGGAGCGCGGTCGGATAGGGATATGATGGTTGAAAGGCCGAGACAGATACATCCTCTCCAGAGACATGGTCTCTCTTCTGCTCCTCAGTAATGGGTGCAGCCACAGCCAAGTACTGGTCCAGTCCGTCTTGGTTGGGTGCCCATGCGGATGATATGATCTTCTGTCCGAGGTTGAGCATCCAGCCCTGTCGAATCTTGGTGCCGGACTTGGTTTCTCCCCAGAATTGGCCAAAGTCGTGAGCCTCGTGATGGCCCAGCTCCAAAACGTGCTGTTCCTCGGCGGGGCCTACGAGAATCGTATGCTTGCCTTTCTTGGGTTGCGGCAAATAAACCCGGCGGGCAACGGCCTCCTTGATCGTCTCGACGCGCTGTCGTTTGCGGAATCTTTCGCCAATTTCTTTGTCATAGTACCAGTCCCATGCAGTCGTGCGCTCTCTCCTCATCTCCTCTGGAGTCACGCCATGTGTGGCTCCGCATCCATAATCAGGCATGGAGCCTGTCTTGTCCAGAGACTCACGAGTGGGCAGGCCAGAGTCCACACCGGAATACCATCGGTCGCGGGAATAGACTGCAGTCAGGGCATCGCGCTCGTCAGTGCCAAAAGCCATGGTGTAGTGCATCCCCTTAGAGACATGGTCGCTGGGGGCGAAGATGCCTCGTATGTGGGTTTCAGAAGCGGCTGGCGCGATTGTGCCATCTGGTCTGCGCTTCTTGTGATATCTAGGATGAGAAACCACGCGTTCTTTTCGTGTGGTTTGCACCGTGGGTTCATCTTCTGCCTCTTCCTCCTGCTCCTCTTCCTGTTCCTCCTCTTCTTCTTCACCATTGCCGTCTTCCTCGGGCTCATCTGTACCCTCTCCACCAGATACCGCCATAAACTCATCGTCTGAGGGAGACTCATTCTTGCGCCTGCGCCGTCTGGGAGCAGCTTTGGTAGCAGTGGCATCTTCGGAATCCGAGGGGTCACTGAGCCCGGCAGACGCGAACGGATCTTCCGTGTAGACGGTCCGGGCCCCCGACTGGCGACCCGACCGGCGGATTGAAGGCATCGTCGCTCATATAAACACCAAGCAAGCGATCAAGAGACCAAGTTGAACAAGGGGATCCAAGTGAAGCTGTGCCGGTTGGAAGAGTTGAGCTCCAGCCCTGGCTTAGTATGCACCCGCGCTAGACCGTATTCGGTTAGCGTGATATCTATACAATTCCCAGGTTGTCATTGTTTCTGTTATTGTTGAGTGGAGTCGATAAAATACTAATACACATGCCACCTCCTCATCACTTCTTTGGAATCAGCTCGGATAGGATCTCCTCCAGGTGCGCGTGGAGCGTAAAATGCGTGTGATCCGCATACTCCTTCAACACACAATGCGGCAGCCGCTCCGCCATATATCGCACCATGGCCACTGGGGCATTATAATCCTTAGCTCCATGCCACATCAAGATTGGGTCGTATGTCACATCCTCAAACCGAATCCCCCAGTCCTGAGTGAGTAGCTTCGCTTCATCCACCGATGCATCTGAGCCCTGCGCAAACCCTTCGAACATCATGCGCAGCATTCGTTGTCTTCGCTCTTCAACACTCCGTCCAGTTCCCTGCTCTTCAACCGATATAGATTTTTGAATGGAGTGATCTAACCACCGAGTCACGGTGCGAGTGGCCAACACTTTCCGCAGCATCCATATCGATAAATCTAAGGACCATCTCAATACCGCAGGCCAATAATTCGCCGCCTGTGCCGTCACCCGATACAGCAGCGGCATATGATGCGCCCCAGCCTGCCACGGCCCAGCGCCAGCCATGATGCCCACACCAGACAACATATCTGCTGGGAGTGCCTGTGCACATGCAAGCGCATATGGCGCACCACCCGAGCCGCCGAGGACTGCAAAGCGTGAAAGACCCAGATGGCCTGCAAGAGCCTGGACATCAGCGGGCCAGTCCAGGATGTGCCGGTGCGGTTGGGCCGTGGACAGCCCGAAGGCGGGGCGATCGGGAGCAATAACCCGGATCCCAAGCCGTTGCGCGATCTTGTCAACTCCCTGGCCTTCCAGGCGTGAGGAGGGGTAGCCGTGGAACCACATCAACGGGGCGCCTCTCGCGCAGCCATACTCGGCATACCCCAGCTGACGCCCGTCAGGGAGACGGAGGATCTGGCCATCTTGTGGTTGGGAGGCCGTACTTGATTGTCTAGATGTGGTCCGTGGGAGAGGAGTGTGTCTTCCTGTGCAAAGGGAGGCGATTCGTCGTTTGTTTATTTCCATTTTGTGGTGCGGAGGTTTGGGGCCGGAATCACCCGGCTCTCTATAAGAATTGCTTTTGGGCATGGATGGGGCTGTGCCGTTTAGCCTTACTGCAACATGGGACCACAACGCGAATACCGAATAGGTCAAAAGCTTCATTCCAAAACAAAAGCATCAATCCAGAAGTCCATTATTAGTTATCAATCACATCAACCCGCAGATAAGATTAATTAATGGGCTGGACAGTCTCAACCGCCTGCTCTGCTTGTACGAAGTATATTGTAAGAACAGGCTCTCCTGACAAGCACTGCTGAGTGATGTAGTCTTCAGCCTGTTTATGTATGCTTCAAATTATTCCAATATGACTGTTCGTGACTCCCTGGCCCAAGCAGATTCAAGGACAATGCAGGTTTTGACAGCTCGTGTAGGACGGACCACAGAACTATTTACCTTTTTTTTTGTATGACCAGCAGAGTTCCTTTGTTTTCTATTAACTCTTTTACTCTTCGACTTTCGAATTCTTCGCCGAGTACAACACTTGTTCTACGCCTTGTTTCTCGCGGATGTTCTTGCTACGTATCCTGATCTTACCCCCAGAGATAATTTTCTAAAAATACTAAGACGGTTAAGCGTCAACTCTTATATAGTATGGTTGATGGGTTCAGTTCATCACGTAGACTAATTGCTTCTTGCGTATAGATTGACTTCACCCAAAGTGGAGCCCGACACAACCACAACCGGTTATCCATGGCCCACCTGAAGCTACCTTCGTTCTTCCTACATCCACCAGCACTATGTCCTCCTCAACAGCTAATCGTGGGTTATCGCACCCCGGAGTCCTACATGAATATGCATGTCGCTAGCTTGACCCACCGAGAAGAATGACAAGCTGATAAAATGCCCGTTAGGCTCCCCGCCTCGTAGCATTCGAGTTCACCTCGCCCGCCAATGCAGGCAATAAAAAAAACAGCCTCATCTTCATCGGCGGCCTCACCGACGGACTCTGCACCGTCCCCTATGTCTCCAAGCTCGCCGAAGCTCTGGAGGAGACAGAATGGTCGCTCTTCTCGATCCTGCTCTCTTCATCCTACGGCGGCTGGGGCGTCAGCAGTCTCGACCGCGACGTCGAGGAGATCGCACAGTGCGTGCGGTACATTCGAGATCTGAAATCTTCTCGGCTGCCGGGAGCGCCGTCGCAGTCGGGCAAGATTGTGATCATGGGTCATTCGACCGGCAGCCAGGATGTGCTGCACTATATCTACTCGGCTAACCCCCTTGTGGCCAATGAATTTCAGAAGGGCGTTCAGCATCTGGTCCGGCCGGAGCTTGATGGCGCAATTCTGCAGGCACCGTGTTCGGATCGAGAAGCGTTTATGATGCACCGCGAGGCGTCGGCTGAGCCGCATAAGATCCGAGGTGTTTTTGACCAGCTTGTCCACTTTGCACGGAGCCAGCCGTACACCGAGGACAAGAGTGACTCCCTGCTTCCGTTAAATATGACTAGTATGCTTGGATTACCGCCTGATCCGCTCAGCGCTCGGAGATTCCTGAGTCTGGCAAGTCCGGACAGTCCCGCGAACCCGTCGGAAGATGATCTGTTCAGTTCGGACTTGAGCGACGAGCGCCTAAAGCAGACTTTCGGGATGATTGCAACCCAAGGTATCATGCGATCGAAGCTTATGGTGTTGTATTCCGGCGAAGATGAGTATTGTCCAGAGTGGGTGGACAAGGAGAAGCTGCTTCGGAGGTGGAAAGCTGCCGCGGAAGCTGGTGGCGCTTCTTGGGATGTGGAGAACAGCGCGATCGTTGCTGGTGCAAGCCACGCTGTCGATTCGATTGGCCAGGCGGAATTGGTTGAGCGGGTGCTACGCTATCTGCGGAGTCTTTGAATGGAGTTCCCGGAGGAAGAGAGATAGGAATTCGCCGTTAATCACAAATTCAGAGGAGAAAAGATCAAAACACCGCCCCAACAGGGTACAATTGAAGAGACAAAAGAAAATCGAAGATCGGGGGGTATATGACGGAGTTAGGGATCAGTCCGGCTGGTAATAATCACACAAAGCTCAAACCTTCAGCCAGAGGTTCAGCACACCCTTGAGGTACTCGACAATCTCAGAGCCACCCAGCTTGCTCTCCCCGTAAAGCCGATCCACAAAAGTAATCGGACACTCAGCCACCTTGTACCCCATGGCCTTCGCCCGCACCATCATCTCCATCTGGAAACTGTACCCCTTGCTCTCGGTGCTGGTGATCACCTTCTCCAGAACACTTTTCTTGTACAGACGGAAACTGCCGGTCAAGTCACTGACACCGGGCATCAACATGACATCCGCTATGAGGTTGGCCGTGCGCGAGGTGAACTTGCGGAACAAATCCCATCCGTACACACCACCCTTGATGTTCCCGCGGTTGGCGTAGCGCGTGCCCGTCACAATGTCCGCATCCGTCTCCAGCTGGATCCTGATCATCTCGGGGATGAACTTGGGGTGGTGGCTGAAATCGGCGTCCATGATGATTACGAAGTTGCCCGTTGTGTATTTCAGGCCGTGCACGTAGGCGGTGCCCAGACCCAGCTTGCCTTCGCGGGGCTTCAGCACAATGTGCTCGGGTCCGTAGAGTTTCTGGAGCTGCTTGGCAATGTCGAGGGTGCCGTCAGGGGAGCCGTCGTCGACCACGATGACCTCCCAGTCGAGTTTTCTGTAGTGAACGACGTTAGCTATGCAATTGGGTCAGAATGTGGGAGGGAGTGGTCCGTACTCTTCGTTGAATGTCCTCTGAATCAGCCAGACAATAATAGGGAGGTTCCGACGCTCATTGTAAGTGGGCAGGATCACCGAGTACTTGTTCTTGGTGGCGATCATCTTGAAATTGTGCTTTCCTCAAACGAACACCCAATGGGGGAGAACAAAGAGGCAGAGTAGAATGGCGTCAAGGGAAGAATAGATAGAAGAATAATAGGGAGCTTAGTTCGTCCCAATCCGCCAGCTTGCCAGTTGCGGCCAGACCCACCGCTGACCGCTCCCGGCAGAACCAGGGACCTTATCACGCCCATGAGCAGGACAAACAGACAAACACATCCATTGCTCGTCGGGCAACATGGACTCGGTCTCGACAAAACACCATCGCAATACCTCCAGGTGTAAGAGTTTTGTTGTATCCATATTCTGTCTTACATACTAATTAATGCTTTTCCAGCTTCACGGCCTCGGAGTGCCACCCGCGGCCCGTTAGACGGAGCAGATCAGTAAGCCATGAGCTCTGGAATCAGATCACTGGCATCACAGACAAGCTGACTCTGGCCAGCCCACTTTCTCCCACCTTGCCCGCTTCCCCCACCTCACCACTACGAGTATTGCCGAGTATCGATGACTTTTCGGGGGATACATTCCATGAGTTGGATCCGCTCGCCCCAGATGATCTCCCAGAGACCTTGGGAAAGGACCTTTCCTTCCTTCTCCGACCAAACATCTACCATACACTATCTCCTATTGATATCCCATCACCCCTGCGCTCCGAATTTATTGTCTTGAATCCAAGCGAGCCACTCTCCGCATCTCTGAGCGTCCTCGAGAAACTGCTAGCGGAGGGCCGGTTCCTCATCGCAGCGCATTTCGCCGGCGCCATCTTGACTTCTTCTCTGATATCATCGACGAACATCAAGATGATTTTTGCCTTGTTTTATGCCCGGCTTGCATCCCTGGAACTGTCGGGAAATACCCTTCTCGCCGCACAAGAATCCAAGGCCCTGGAAGATCTAAACTCGAGCTTTTACTACATTGATTCTGATTTTGATAAATCGGAGACGGACAAGGAGCGCCACCACCCCGTCGAGCGTTACCCACGCCATATCGTCCCGTGGCCACTCAGAGTTCTAGCAGTGAGGCTGCAGAGCATTGGATTTGGTGATCCCCGCAGGAGTATTGGCGGTTTATATGAGATTGGCCTCGAAGCACGGAGAGAGATTATGAGGAGCGATATTCCCGAAGAAGAAAGAGAAATCTGGAGACGCCGACTAGCAGATCTGGGCATTCGGAGCGTCAATGCGCTGGTGGAAATGGGCGATCTAGATGCGGCGAAAAGGTCCCTCGATAATCTGCGGGATTCCAATCCAGAGACCAGCATGACCAAGATGAGAAAGGCACTTCTGTTGCTGCGGATTGGGGATATAGACGCGGCCAGCAAGGTTTTCAGTGCCGAGGACGAGTCCTCCAGAGAATCTGCACTGCTCCAGCCGCTCTTGAGTATGGCGGATGGTCGCTATCCCACCGCGGTGGAGGAATGGCGGGCTCTTCAGCAGGAGGGTACTCGGACAGATGACGCGCTTGTCGCTCAGAATCTGGCAGTGTGTCTGCTGTATATGGGTCGACTGGATGAGGTATGTTGTACTGCCGAAACTGCTCGTGGGCCTTACTGACATTCTCTAGGCTCGCGTGCTCCTTGAATCTCAAGTCTCCGCCAATCACTCCTTTAGCAGCTTGGTCTTCAACCTGTCAACTGTCTACGAGCTCTGCTCCGATGGCGCGAGTAGCTTGAAAGGGCAGCTGGCTGCCTCCATCGCCCAACAGCCCGTGTCCGGGCATACGAACCTGGACCGGCCGAATGCGGATTTGAAACTATAATGCTCGCAATGAAGATTTCGGTGGTCTGGAGCTCTGTAAAAATGCCGTTATGAAGATGATCTATTTGTTCATGAAGAAACAAACCCATGCTAAGAATACAGCTGCTCCCAAGAACAGCCCGATGCTTGTCCATCATATTCAAACCCACACTGAAGAATCACCAAATACGCCTAACTCCTTTTCAATCACGCGCGAGTAGAGCATGACATGCTCTTCTGCAGTCCGCATCCTCTATGCTCCATCCGTCTTTGTCGGCAGCGATCCTGGCGGAGGCCGTGGTTTGGGCTTTCGGATGATAATCCGGTCTCCTTCTCTCTGCCAGCCCAGCTTCTCCGTGTCGACCAACTTCTCCCACGTCCAGCTTTGGTCGTTCCCCGTGCAGCCACCCAATACCCAGCTGATCGGGACGCTGAGATACGCACTTCCCACAGCCTTGAGGGCATGCCTCCGAACTCGATCCACAGCCCAGTCCAGCACAGCACGGTTATAGGAATCTACACTCTTGCGGACCTGCCAGAAGACAATCCAGTTGTCGTGCATCAGCGCGCGCAAGACGTCATCGACAGTCTGGGACTCGAATCCATGCTCGCGACGTGCCCGTGCGCGCAGCTCAAAGGCTGCTACCATGTCCCCCTGCCGGCAGGCATAATCGAGAATGAGATATGAGACCAGCTCCTTGATCTCCGAGTCGGGCAGTGGGTGTGAGGGCGAGTGCAACTTGTCGAGGACGTGTCGCAGGGACGGGAAGTAGGATGGTGGATGCTGGGTGAGAATGGATAGGCGGATTGAGAAGACATGGACACGCTGGGAGAAGGCGATGGGGGTGGATGCGGCCGTGGCTAGGAGGGCTTCTCGGAGCTTGCGGAGGGACAAGAGGAGGGTTGACAGCTCTGCCGAAGGTGGCGGGACACCCTTTTCAGTGGACGGAGTTGTTTTTGTCTTTGTGGGCTGCGCGGCGGGTGGGTTGGACGTTGCATCTGCCGAAGGACTGGTGGGCAGCGAGGCCAGGGCGGCGTCCAGGTGTTTGGCGTGGCGGGCGCAAAAGCTCATGTATCGCTCGACAATCTTGTCAAAGTAGTCCTGCTGGGCTTTGTGGTCGAGCAGTTTCTTGTCACCCTTGGACACAAATCCGACCCTCTCCAGGGAATCTGCGATCGGCCGCAGCCGGCTGCCCTGGGTCGTTGGCTGCTGCATTGGTGAGGAAGGAAGAAACCACCGTATCGTTATCGGGTTATCTACCTATCGTGTTTGCACAGTTTGCCCAACCTGGACCGAGGTTTGCCTGGTTTGCCCCAACGAAGACACATGCCCCAACTGTTGTATTCTTGCCTGTTATATACTCTCTGATCCCCTCTTTTTCACCCTCTCCAACTCACCATCTGCTGTGCTTCTGCCGGTCTCCGCCAATTCCACCAATTTCCAACTCGCCTGCAACAGCTCTACTACTAAGGTGCACGTGTGGTCCATGGCCCGTCAACGTCGTCCAGAGCGCAAGGGCTCTGACCAGACTGCCGCTATCGCCACAGAGGTCCTGGAGACTCCGCCCAACGTCGTCGGGAGGCTACTGCATTGGAATGATCTGCCGGCCTGGCAGCGCGACAACCAGCACATTCACACGGGCTATCGGCCGCCATCGTCCTCGTTCATCGCCTCGTTCCAATCACTCGGCTACCTTCACAATGAATCTGTCAACATATATTCTCATTTATTGCCGGGATTGATGGCCGTACCCGCGGCATATCAATTGCACCGCTCTCTCGCACCGCGTTACCAGACAGCTGCGGACTCGGACATTGCTGCCTTCATCTGCTTCTTCGCTGGCGCGGCATTCTGTCTGGGCATGTCTGCGACTTACCACACGATCTCCAACCACTCACCTGCTGTTGCTCGGATAGGCAATGGCCTCGATTACATTGGGATCGTGGGGCTCATCGTAGGCAGCTTTGTCCCCAGTATTTTCTACGGCTTTTACTGCGTGCCCGACCTCCAGCGGCTTTACTGGACAATGATCTGTACCATCGGAGCGGGCTGTGCCTGCGTCTCGATCCTTCCACAGTTCCGCACGCCTCACTGGAGGCCATTTCGGGCGACCATGTTCATCGGAATGGGTCTGTCTGCCGCCTTTCCTGTCCTCCATGGTCTTCAAATGTTCGGATTTGCTCGCATGCGGCAGCAAATGGGTCTTGAGTGGGTGCTACTTCAGGGCTTTCTGTATATTCTTGGCGCGTCAATCTACGCAGCCCGGGTGCCGGAGCGCCTGCGGCCGGGTAAGTTTGACATCTGGGGTAGCTCCCATCAGATCTTTCACGTGTTGGTGGTCTGCGCAGCGGTGGCCCATCTGACAGGCTTGCTCAAGGCCTTCGACTATCGGCACAGCGGGACTGCCGAAATGTGTCAGATTCCACGCAGCTGAGCTGGGACCCTGTTTAGAAAGCCACGCGCAGCTACCGGGGAGGTTGGACAGCATGCTCATCGCAGTTAGAATAGCATGAAATGAAACATTTCCACGCTGTAGTGTACATGGCTCGATCCTCTTCGTTGGACTCGAAGGACCCTCCTGACGAGGACCCGGCCTTTCAAGGTCGGCGTGTGCGACGATGACCGCGCGAGGGCTCAGAACGCAGCGGTGAAGCTCTGGAAAGAAGTATATTCGGTCAGCCGTGGCCTTTTCGTCTATATTTTCACATGGCAGAGGCCGGTGGGAGTTCTCGCTCGCTAGAAGCCACAACTTATTTGTTTTACTTTCGTTTTTGATGTTGCATCACAGTGTGCGACGCCAACCTGGGACCTTGAGGGTCGAGTTCGTGCGCCGCCTCCTATCACGAGCTGCGCAAAAATAGGAAGACCAGCCAAGCAGATCCATCAATGCATCAATGGGAGGGGACCCTTTTACTTCACACTCATGCGCGGTGGATCAGACGGAGCGTCTGGGGTTTCACAGCGGCTGACACGGTTTATGCGGCTGTCGTCGGGTCCCCAGGTATCCGAATGCCAGAGTGACATTGTTTCTACTATGGGCGCTGGAGCTTGTTCTTATTCCTGGTTTATATATGGAGCGGACGGTCATCACGATCATCAAGGAGCTCTTCGAGACCCGTCAATCATCATTGCGATCTCGCTTCTCGGAAAGCCGTTGACTATCGGTCCCGATGCTGGCTGAGCCATATGGCAATCCATACCCGGCGGGTGATGCACCGAAATTGCGAACTGCGTGCGAGAACTGCCGACAATCCAAGGTGAAGTGTAATCTGTCCGGCAAGAACGCCTGCACTCGGTGTCTACGCCACAGCCTGCAGTGTCAGTACGGCTTCGCCAACCGGTCCGGCAAGCCAAAGGGCAGCAAAAATCGATCCACGCTCCGGAAATTGGGTCAGCTGAAGGAAGAAAAGCCGCGGTGTAGATTGGGTCCGATACGAGGGCATGGGTCGGTGGCTGATATGGAGCCGTTTATTCCAACCGTTTATATGGGGCGACTTTCTGAGCCGCTCGATGATGACGTTAGTCCTTTCTCTTTCTTTCTTTCTTTCTTTCTTTCGTTGTCTACCCATTCTAAGTCAGGGTTTCCTTTTAGTTGTGTTTGATGTCAGGCCAGCTAGGGTTGTGGGAAAGTCCACGAAGCTTCGGCAGTGTCGCCACGCTCGAGGCATCTGTCTACCCTGGGCAACTGACGTCCGAGTCGCTACAGAGGCTGGATAGCTCACCGTTAGCCGATGTCGCGGATCCTAGCTGCGCATCTCTCCCCGCTGGACTTGAATATCCTCAGACACCTGTCACGCCTGCATTCATACCCCGAGATTCCATGACTACCGAAACTTCTGGTTTATCACTGGCAGGCTCCGTTTCCTCTCTCTATCTCCAACCACCATGCGAGTGTGTGGAGAGGCACCTCTTCCACATGGACCGTCTCAGCCATCTGGTAGCTCAGTCGGTGCCGCCGCGATTCGACCATAGTCTACAGGCTATCAGGACCTCTTTCCATGCATGCCAAATATTCATTCAGTGCAGCAAGTGCGCCAAAGATAGCTCGAATCTACTCCTGACGATCTCGGCCCTCAACCTCACCTTACAGCTTTTCGAATATTGGGTGTCGCAAGAGACATCTCGGACCTCGCGGCCGGACCGCGGACCCGATCTTCGCTATGGATACTACGAGACCGGCCATGAAGAGAACCGGCAGATCCGCAACTTTCTCGTCCGGGCCCTATTACTACAATGTCGGAGTGTACTGTCGGTGTTAAAGACCGCCATCAACTCAGCTGCTCTTCCATCACCAAAGCTGGTCGATGTTGAGAGATCTGCCGAGCCGACACCAACCGAGGACTGCATCGGCTGCGTGTCATTTTGTGCAACAGTCCCGAATCTGGACCCCGATTTTTTGAACGGCACCCCTGGCAGCAGACAGCTGCTGCCAATCGTCGTGGGTTATGAAGCAACGGTGGAGGCATTTTTGTATTCGATGTCGTCGGCAGGTTGCATCTGCGGTGGCATGAGAAGTTGAATGGCCATGTAATTTGTCTATAGGGGCGGACATCGTCGAATTCCAGACCGTACCCCGAAGTCGGGAAAATAATTCACATTGTGAGCTTAGGGTACTCATTAACTATAGAAAGAAAGGCACAGCGTAGTTTCTTTTGAATGCATTCCATACGTGTCGCCGATATGGTTCCCCACACTCTCGGGCCATGGGCGGGCCTCGGCACTTCCAGTCTCGAATCGCCGACAAACAACCAGAGCCTGTATAAATCCCTGGGCCCCGCACTTTCTCCCTCACGGATTTCTTATCCATCACACGTACCCAGTACAATAATAATGGCTCCTCAAGACCGTATCGCCCAGGTGAACAAGCACCTCAACTACCCTGCTGGCGTGCTGGCCGGCCAGGTCGCCATCATCACCGGCGCGGGCCAAGGTATCGGCGCCGAGGCTGCGCGGCTATTTGCCAACGAGGGCGCAAAGGTCATCGTCGCGGACATTGATGCCCGTACGTAAATTCTTTCTGGACATCGGTTAATCAAGCTCACTCTCAAAACAGAAAAGGCCAATGGTGTCGCTGACGCCATCAACGCCGCCGAGCCCGGGCGCGCCCTCGCGGTCATCGGCGATATCCTGGACGCCAACTACATCAACGATCTAGTGAAGCGCGCTGCCGAGTTCGGTGGCGGTAAGATCCATATTATTGTGAACAATGCCGGGTTCACATGGGACGCAGTCGTTCACAAGGTTAGTCTTCCTCGGATACGTGTATGAACGCCATTGCTAAAGGATCACCCGTAGATGACCGATAGGCAATGGGAGACGATGCTGGCAGTGCACAACACGGCGCCCTTCCGACTGGTGCGTGCTGCGGCGCCCTACTTCCGCGTCAAGGACAAGGAGCCGCGGGTGATCATCAACATCAGTAGCACGAGCGGCATTCACGGCAATGCGTATGTTCCTACTCCTGTTTCTCTCCCCCATTTCTGCTCCTTCGGCTAAGTGAATGAATGCATGATAGCGGCCAAACCAACTACGCCGTCGCCAAAGCCGGCGTCGTCGGCCTGACCAAGACCATTGCCAAAGAATGGGGCCCTGCCTTCGGCGTGCGCTCCAACACCATTGCCTTTGGCTACGTGACCACCCGTCTGACGGCCGCCAAGGAGGCAGGTGCTTTCATTACCCAACCCGACGGCACCAAGGTCGCCCTCGGAATCCCCGGCAAGCAGCTTGACGCTAAGAAGGGCACCGATGCGAAGGCCGAGGCCAACGCCTATCCAGATATCCCGCTGCGGCGCCCGGCTAGCCCTGAGGAGGCGGCGAGGTCCATTCTGGGTGTTGCTAGTCCGTGGTTCTCGTATGTTAATGGGGAGACTATCCGGGTTACTGGTGGGCGGAATATGTAAATACTTGTATAGGGCACTACATATCCATTGGTTCATAGCAGCATTGTATCATGGTTTTTGCCTGACGATTCGAGCTCGGCTTTTGTTCTATCATTTTGCTGCTCCTTGCTAGTCAACCCGATGATGCCATACGTATATACTTTGGAGGCCTCATCCAGGCGAGTCCATCAATACAAAACTAATAGACAAACATTCAATGATGTGAATAACTCTCCGATTATAACTTGAAGGCATCACTGGTTGCGCAGTTACTAGCTTAGAGGTACCTTAATCCTCACTCTACACTATGTGATATTCGCATCTCATTGGACATGGCCACGGCAAGAAGACCGTGGTGGGGCTCAATAAAGGCCCATCCATCGTCCCTCCATCACGCAATTCCTTAATTTTCATCTTTTTTTAGACAATAAGATAGTGCTAATACGAAGCCAACATGTCTCCCTCCGCAGCAATGACGCTGCGCGACTCATTCGGCGACCGCAAATTGCCTGGTATCTCGCGTAAGATCACCGCGTGTGTTCTGTGCCGGAAACTCAAGGTGAATACTTAGTGCTGGGATCATTTACCAAGCTAACGATTATGGTAGATAAAATGCCATATGAATGATAATAAAGCACCATGCAATCGCTGTAAAGCTCGCGGGCTGCCATGCACGGTCAACAAGAGCTTGCAGATGCTCTTGGAGAACGATGTGTCATGGAAGGAAAAGATGGAGGGGCGGATGGGTCAGCTTGAGCAGGCTCTCAGACAGAGTACCAATCAGCCCTCTACCGTTCCTTCATTCAGTGTCAATTCCTCGGGACCATCACAGGGGTCTGCCGGTCTTGAAGCAGACAGATCCAGCATTGCACCTCCTACACCTTGGGTAATATCCAGCAACGTCACATTGAATCTGTCCTGTAGTCTGGGAGCTTTTCCAGCGTCGTCAATGATTAGTCTCACACTGACTGATGCTGGGGGACACTCAGGACAGACTTCCGATCTGGTTTCGTGTGGACTGATCCCGCACAATGAGGCCGAAGATTTTTTTGCATTCTACAAACAGAATCTAAATCCTTGTATCCACCATATCCTTACAGAAAGCGACACATTTCCAATCATACGAGCAAGGTCTCCACTCTTACTTGCCGCAATCTGCACAGTATCTGCTTTATGCACTGGCTCGAAACACTATGCGCCTATACTCAAATACTTCACAACTCAAGTCTCTGGAAAAGTATTCTCAAGTAGGCACACATTTGACGATGTGCGTGCTCTCTGCATTGGCGCTCTCTGGCTCAATGAGGTCTCGACAGCACTGAACAGTCTAGGTACGTCCCTCTACTTCACTCCGTTCCTATCCCCAAGTATATCATCACGTCTCTAATAGAAGAAAAGCTGTCCGCATCGCAACCGAACTCGACCTCCACAGATGCATCACCAAAATGCCACATACAAAGCGCGCCTGCTACGACCGCACACGGCTCTACTGGCTCGTCTACCTATGCGACCACCACAGCTCCCTAAGCCACGGTCGCCCGCCACTAACCCGCGACTTTCAATCATTGCGTAAACCGCGCGAGTTCCTACAGAGCTATTTCACCAACCCGTCTGATTTGACACTTATCAGTCAGGTGGAGATGTGGTCGCTCAGCAGCAAAGTCTTTGATATGTTTGGCGCTGATATCGAGTGGCATGTTGCTAGTCAGCGAGGTGCGGAATTGGCTCAACTGAGTAATTCGTATGAGCGCTGGTCTGAGGAGTGGTTGGATATGCTCTCTTTCGGCGATCCATCGACGACGAATACGTTCTCGTGTCGGGTCTTCGATCTTTATTTCCACTCTGCAAAGCTATACCTCTACTCGCATATCTTCCGTGGTCCGTCCCCGGAGGAAGATACAAGGTCAAAACTATCGGCTGAGTCCACGACTGGGGTGAATAGGTTTGTTCAGGGAGCTCTGAAAAGCGCCTTGTCTATCGTCCGCTGTATAGTCGATAACACCCAGCCATGGCCATGGCTTGAAACCCTTCCGGTATATCTGGGGGCAATGACTGCATTCGCCTGTGTCGTTTTGGTGAAAGCATCACGGCATCAGGGAGTCTTGTCCCAAGATATGTTGCAAACCGGTGTAGATGTCCCTGGTTACCTGCGTCGACTGGTCCAAGTACTTCGGGCGTCACCGGTTGTGGACTCACCGACTCATCCTTTGTTGAATATTGCGCGGAGTCTGGAGGTAGCCACGAACGGAGAGCAACAGCAGGAGCATAGTCACCAGACTACTTCTTCTGCGTTGTCTTGGGATTATATCCCGGACTTGGACATGGATTTTGGGTGCTTTGATCTATTTACGAATGAGGAGGCTTTGGATTCCTCTGTTCAGGGGGCTGTGTTTACGGAGGTATAATGTTAGGGTGTATTATATTGAAGTGGAATATGCCTTCCTAATGCATCACTAATCTTGCTCGCACCACAACACTAAGTAACGGTAAATCCGTTGCCATGGTTATCTTGTACCTCATTTGAACGCCCCTTTCCCCTATGCGCACTATCCTTGCCCATAGAGGATTAGTAGGCAGCCAAAAAAGGCAGGCCCATTAATCCTTCTACTTAGGATGAGGCAGCCCCTGGAATCGGCCACTCTTTGTCCTCACCCTGACCTTCCAACCAGGGCAAGCAAGCCTGGTACAAAGCTTTGATTTCACCATTGCCTAAACCCAAGAACTTCTCAAAGAGCTCCTTATCAAAGCGCTCGATAAAAGCCAGCTGGCAAGCATACAACAGATCCGCAAACCCAGGCTTTTCGCCTTCGAAGAACGGACCTTTCTTGCCCTCCTTTCCTTTTAGCATTTTAATCAGCGCCGCAGACTCGGTCTCGACCAATTTCCACAACTTGTCCAGAGTCTCCTTGTCCGTCGGCCTCACCTCCGACAACGGTTTCCCAAGGGCCGCAGACCGCGTCTCGAGGAAGTACTTCTGTCCCCGCGGGTCCAAATGGTCTGCCACGCGCGGGATGATGAACGGTCGGAACCCGGGCTCCAGCAGACTCGCGATCTTGCCCACGGCGACGACCAGTGCGTAGCTGGCGTCGCCGGATGGGAACAGCGGCGGGGACGGGAATACTTTGTCGAGGTGCATCGCGATCGGAAGTGAATCCATCATGGCTCCGCTGGGGTTCGAGGTCACCGAGGACTTGTGAATGATTGCTGGCAGCGTGTATGGTCTGCCCTGTTCGTTGGGTGGCAAGCCCAAGCTGGTGATGAGGGGCTTGATGTCCGGATAGGAGATCCAGCTCTGGGTGTAGGGGATGCCTTTGAAATTGAGCACTGCCCGAATCTTTAAAGTGTTATGGGACCATGATTTAGAGGCGCCTGGGATGTATTGCATTAGCCTGGGCTGTTCGATAATTCGATTGCGGGGCAGCTTGCAGACCTGGTTGATCGGAGAAGATGTCGAAGAAGTGAACGCGCTCGTCGTCGGCCATCGTTGTCGATTTTTGGGTCTTCTTGAAAGATATGAAGGAAGTGGGTTGTTCATTAACACTACTGTACCAAGATGATTTAGTCGATCGCCGGGTTTCTATAGGAGTGGGGCGAGATACGGGGGAAGACCGGAGATCCGAGTCATGGGAGCGGCCTGTCCTGGCCAATAGAACCCATCAGAGAATAGCGAAAACTCACCGGGAGCCTAAAGAGAAGACTAAAGAAATTATATTCTTCCTCTCAGCTATTTGCTAAATGATGTCATGTTCTAGACAGTTCTTAGAGTTATAGACGGAGTCGTTTCCACCGAGCGAGGTACCGAACGCATTAGTGCACCTTACCCTCTCGATAGTAATGGCAAGAGTCTCTTCGGATTCCATCTCCACAGAACGACCCAGCCTCCGAGGAGCGAAGAAAGTGCTGTAAAGAGAATAAGAGGCCCGTAAGAGGTCCCATACGCAAAGCGCTGACTGGCCAATATAGTTCCAGCGTTTAGTAGTCCTACACCAGCAATCCCGCCACTTACATATCCAATCCCTCTGACACCATTTAGCAGACCGTAGAGCATTCCAGGGTCAATGGCCTCATTCCTCTCGACAGACTCGCGCTCCATCTGTTTGAGCATCCCTCCCCAGGTAGCGCTGTATCCACCGGAGAAGAAGCCAAACGTCATGGAGAAGACAGTGAGGAGGCCAATGGCGCCCTGCGTGGTCAATCCCCAGAAGAAGAAAGCGGCAAGGGCGGAGCAAATAGGTGGAATTGCGGCTATAGTCTGGACTGAAAGAGTTATTCGCTTATTGTCGCTCAGCCACCCAAAGAAGGAGGAAGCAATAATGCCAGGCGCATTGAAGAGTGCCAGCATCAGGGTGCCTGAGGTCTGAGACAACAAGGCGATGTCTCTGGCGTAGGTGCTCAGATAGGTCTGCGGGATACCATAGCCAGAGCTTTGGAAGATAATGGCGATGCTGTAGAAGTAGATCGATCGGTGTCTGAGGAAATGCCAGGGGATTTTGCGTGCTCGAGTTTGGTGGATTGAGGCTTTCGAAGGGTGGGTGGGTATCAAGAAGATAGCAAAGATACTTAGTCCACCCACAATCGCGGTCCAGGCTTTCAGAGTGGTCCGATAGCCGTAGGCATCGATCAAAGATCGAAGCATGAATGGGCAACTGGTCCCAACGATGTTCTTGCAAGACAGAACGATCCCATATGCTAAAGCACGGTTGCTGGTAGTATACCACTCGCCGAGCGAGAGCGTGGTTGGACTATAGATGAGAGCACACCCCAACGCAGATGTAATGCCCTGAGTTGCGAGCAAGTGCCAGACAGTGGTGCTGTAAGAGGAAAGAAAGAAACTGACGCATGCAATCACTGTGCCACAAAGAGCGGCAACTTGGCGTCGATGAGCCCATCGCCTGGTGAATAGCGCGAAGAGGAAGGGCATGGAGAGGTACATGACACCATTAGCGGTCGTGCCGATTACACCCGTAATGTTGCGGTCTCCTTCAAATGTCCAGTTGTCAAAGTAATATTCCTGGAAGACACCGTAGCTCATCGCAAAGCCTGCATGTGCGTAAGTAGCGTGGTAATCCAGACGCGTGCCCAAACGTACCCCATATTGGTAGTTGGAGTATCCCAGAGCCGATGAGAACACAGAGTTTTGTTCTTTTGGATTCCCTCTGCCTCGAATCGGTCTGCTCCGAATCCATTTGTTCGACGTTGGGAGCGTCTAAACGAAATTCTTCGGTGTCTCTCATTGCGACTGGCACCTGGAGAGGCCAGAATAATTTTAGAGAACGCAAAATAAAGTCGGGAATTATGGTAGTTATCAGCGCGTCCTCGCTCAGCGGCCTGCGGCACGAACCCCGAGCCCGGCATGTCGATCATCTTGGTTCATGTGAGGGTCACATTGGATCCCCACAATTCCTAGCTTACTAGTCAGCTTAATAATGTTTCAATGCTTTAGGTTAATTTCTATCAAACAGACCTTTCATAGTAGAATCGTTGGAATTGCTCCCATTCAGCTCCTTCTCCGTCCAGCAGAGAAAAAATCAACTGCGCATAGTACTTCGTCCACTTGAGGCCAATAGCACATAATTCAATGTTCACTTCAGACCGTGGATTGGCGAAATGCTGGGATAAAGGTAGTACTTTGCCGGGTAGTGATTTCGCTTTTCTGTCTCAATCGCCCCTAGTGCATGGATAACATGTGCATGAATTGAGGGGCTGACCGGGCATTGCTCCAATCTAATAAACCAGTGACAACATAGTCATGTTCGAAGAGCATATTGTTGTAGTGGATATCTAAATGGCATAGCGGAAACGGGCCATATAGATTCTCTTCGGCTAATGTCGAGGTCAACCCCTTTTGAGAAACCAGGCACCGGCTGTATACCCTTCATCTTCGCGGCAGCAAAGTAAACAGCTGTGCCCCAGCTCCTGCTTTGGAAGCATTTTGGATTATGTTAGCTCCTTTGTCCCCAAGCAAGGCTAATCGCCTGCGTTAGTTCTTGTGGCGCATATCAGCCTATCGGTATGGGATATTTGGCCAATGCTGTTGAGTCGGTCTGAATAATGAACCCGTTAGTTACTTCTAAATATGGAAGCCTCTCCGCTGGATTAAACTACCTAATCTATACTTCCACGTGATCGGCTCGCCCGGCCCCGCCCCGATACAGCGGGACCGAAGTCGCAGTCCCGATTAACAAATAAGTTGTCAATCCGCTCCAGCAAAGTCGTCATGCATATTTATCGTTGAGCATTTGCCGGGACTCGCTTGCTGTTGCAACTTGTTGCGTCGTTTTCACCATGGCCTCAAGAAGCAACCCCTCGTACCTCATTATCGGCGCTGGCGTCTTTGGTGTGTCAACTGCCTATCACCTCATCCAGAAGTATCCCAATGCATCGGTGACTCTGGTGGACCGGGATGCATATGACGCCGAGTCTCGCGTGGCTGCATCATGGGATTGGAACAAGGTGGTTCGCGCTGACTACGACGACAAAGTCTACTGTAGACTGGCTCTGGAGGCTCAAGACATTTTCAAATCGGATCCCCTTTGGCAGCCTTATTTCACCCAGACTGGCGTCTACTGGACATGCCGCAGCAACTACGCCCAAAACGTCATCACCATCCACAAGGAACTCGGCCGCAATGACGATATCATTGCCCTGCCTGTCGCTGAGGCCCGAAAGCTTTACAGCGGATTGTTTGACAATGCTGACTATACCGGCGTCAAGGAGGTTCTCGTGAACAGGGCCAGTGGCTGGGCCGCTGCTGGAGATGCTCTTCGAGCAGTCACGAAAAGGTGCTTGGAATTGGGCGTCAAGTACGTGACGGCTGAGGTCGCCAGTCTGGAATTCGATGGTCACGGTTCTTGCACTGGTGTCCAGACGAGATCTGGAGAGACCCTGTCGGCCACGCATGTCATTGTCGCTGCTGGCGCTTTCACGCCCACTTTGCTAGAGTGGAGCGCTGCGAAGAGCGGCAACGCAGGTCTTCGGGCTGAAGAGCGAATTCTGGCTGCCGGCATTGCGACCGGAATGGCACAGCTCAATGAGGAGCAGTACAAGAAGTTCAAGGACATGCCCGTTGGCTTCCAGGGCTACACACCTGATGAGGGTAAATCTCTGGGTATAATTGCATGAATTCCGCTAACTGTCGACAGGCAAGCCCTTCATTGGTAGTCTTCCACCTACCAAGGACGGAGAGCTCAAGTGGTGGGGATCCAAGATTTTCACAAACACTCGAGAGGTGTTGCCTGGCCGTCACATCTCGTCTCCGCCGCCTTCGCACGACTACAACCAGTGGAAGGTCCCTGGACCTCTCAAGCAAGACATTGTCGAGTCCAGGAATCTGTGGTACGGACCCGAGAGTGCGAGTTGGGAGATGAAAAAACACCGAATTTGCTGGTGAGTACATCCTCAATCATAATAAGATGGCAAAAAATAAGACGTAGCTAACACTCAAAAGGGACGCTTTCACCACCACCTCGGACTTTATCATTTCTCCTCACTCGGCCTCCAAGGGACTCTACGTCGCCACTTGCGGTTCGTTCCACGGCTTCAAGTTCTTCCCCGTGCTTGGCAAGTACATCACACAAATGCTTGAGGGCGAGTTGGCGCCTGAATTGGTGGAGAAGTGGGCTTGGGATAGACAGCGACCTGATTCCTCCCAAAACGTCGAGTACCCGAATTCTGAGATGAGGCATCTCTTGGGGCCTACCGCGAAGCTGTAGCGGAGATTGGAAGGGCTTCTAAAGCCGGGTTGAGTGTGTGATCACAGTGAAGGCGCAGAACTATATATATATTTTTGCTTTGCAGCAGGGCATTCCCTATTCTGCATTCCCTATTCTTTAACATTAGAGCAAGTGCAAGGCATGATATATCCTTTGCTACAGCTACCGTAAAGCTGTTTATGCTTACGGTATATTAGAAGAAGTAAAGGAAGCTCCTTGGAAACCTGAGCAAACCTCTGCACTGACTGACCGTCACCAATATCACCAGACCAGGAGGTACATGCCTGAGACACGTAGAGAGCCAACCAAGGCACGTCTCCGGACCAAAGGACCACCACTAGCGAATGCGTTTCACAATGGCCCACGAACCCAGCCACCTAGACCCGAACGTTGCGCACCGCATTGCCGGGTCTCAGGCTAGGTAGGACAGAAACGTTGCACAAGGCAACCATGCATGCAAGAATGCACTACCCGGGCCAAGGCGCAGTGGCCTTCAACGCAGAGATGACAATAGTCAAGTCAAGAAGGAAGTGATGGTGGTGTGTGTGTAGATGTGTATGTATTTCTCTTCAGATGCCATATGTCCCGAGGTATCATAGTCATTCATAAAACCCAAACCCAAATCCAAATCCCATCGAAATCCAATCCAAACCATCCCAACCAGAACCAGTCCATATTCCATGCGGTGTGACAGAAAAAGTCTATGAACAAACATGCTTTGTGCAAATATGAAATGAAAAACAAAACCCGAGACCACCAACCCATGAAGATCGTGAAACAAGAAATAGTAGTGACAAAGCCCCCCCGGAAATAAAAATAGACAAAATAAATGAAAAGTATTTGTGTTTCACGAATTTTCGCAACGCCTTCCAGGAAAAAAATAAATATGTGCGCGCGTGTGGCGTTCGACCCTTAAGGATATGAGGGCGTGTTTTTCTTCAAGTCGTTCCTCCCAGGGAATTAATCGTTGCAATGCGGACCAAAAAAAAAAACAAAACAATCGTAAAGAGATCCTCCGGATGTGTGGTCGAAATATTAAGATAGGGCGAAAAAGTGTCCATTGGCCGTAGGTGGATAGATCACCGGCTCAAGAGAAATGCAAGTCCAGATGGAAGAAGTGATCCGGTCCAATGGTAAATAAAAGAATAGGTGAGGTAAGAGGAGAGTTTTGTGGCCGAGTCCCAAGAATCATCAAAAGGGGGAGGTAGGAGAAGTCGGTCCAGCGAGAGAGAAACGAAATTAAACGGCGAGAATGTACAACCCCAGGCCAGAGGGTGTCGTGAAGCTGCGTTAATGGGGAGAAAGAGAGAAGAAGTTCTCAGCAGACCAGGATGGGTTGCCCTGTCAGAGTATCTGCAATAGGGACGGGGGGCTCGGTGCAGAATGGCTGTGGGGCAAAAATCATCTTGCAGTCCGGCACCTGGTCGGAAGGTGTGGTCCACACAGTGTCCATATCCGAGTAGTCCTCGGTGAGGGCGGATGCATCAGACACAGCAGACTCGGAGAAGTCAGAGTAGTGGGAGGAGTCCGAGGAAGAAGCAGACGAAGGCTGAGCATCCAGGGGCTGATCCACAGGGCCCGTAAATGGCATCTGGGGCTGAGACAGGAAGTCGGTCGGGGCAGCAGTCGGGTTCGACACCCACGGGGCCATGGGGTTCTCCGTGAAGCGCGGGCAATCCACAATGAGCTGGCGCAGCTCGGCAATGGTAATCCGCTTACTGGGGTCGCATTCAAAGATACGGCTCAGGATGCAGACCATGTCCGTGGACAGGGGCAGGATGGACTTGAGGAAGAAGGGGTCCTTGAGGTAAGCCCGGAAGGTGGCATCTTCCATTGAGGCGCGCTTCCATGGGTTGCGACCGCAGGTCAGGTTGACCAGCATCACGCCCAGGCTCCAGACGTCGTTGGCAGCAGAGGCATAGCACGACATCGGGCGCGGGTTGGACTGTTGGCATTCTGCATTCAACGCAAGCGATTAGCGTCCTCTCTTCCACATGTGGAGCAGAAACACATACCTGGCGACATGTAGAAGGTCGACCCACATCCGAAGTCTGAGGTGAAATAATCCGTGGTGGCCAGCCCAAAGTCGGCGAGCTTGACCGTCATTCCTTGGTCAGTTACCAGCACATTCTCTGGCTTGAGGTCCCGGTGGTAGATTCCCATGTTATGGCAGAACTGCACGGCGTCCAGTAGCTGGAGGAATACCCGCTTGACCAAGGGGTCGTTGCCGACGAAGTTACCTTTGTCGGTGATGCTGGAGAACAGGTCTCCCTCCGGGCAGAACTCCATGACGACGTAAGTGCAGTCCACGGAATCCATGATGCGGACCAGGGAAACCACATTGGGGTGTGCGCTGGCCAGGTGGTGCAGCTTGATCTCATGTTGCTGGAACTTGAGCTGGCGGGGATCCAGGCCAGCTTTGTTGAGGGCCTTGACGGCGTACAGGACGTTGGTGTGGATGTCCACGGCCGTGTAGACCACGCCGTAGGCCCCGACACCCAGGATGCCAGTGAGCTCCAGCCGGTTGGCCAGGAGATATCCTAATCGGTCCTCTGGCGCACAGCGATGGGGGGTGGGTGATGGAGGAGGTGTAGGGAGCATGGTCGGAAACATTTTGTGTTGGCGTCTGCACACTCCCGGATGGGAAGGCAGTTTAATGAGAGAGGGAGAGGGAGAGGAAGGATCCAGATCCAGGGAGTAGAACAATAGGGTCCAAAATCCACGGCAATAATAATCCAAGTTAGGAATCCATTCCACGGCGGGAGATAGGGGAGAGAGAGAGAGCGCGCGGGCTGTGGCTCGCCTAAGAGGAGGAAAGAGGAAAAGGAGAAAAAAAGAAGTAGGGGAAGAAAGAAAGGAGTGAAGACTGAAGCTGAAGCGAAGAAAGTGCAGCAGGGAAAGTAGAAGAAGAAACTCAGGAGGCTGCTATACGAGACCAACAACAATAATAATAATAATCCTCGTTGTTAGCCTCGTGGGGCGGGCCACCACCCAGTCAATGATGCGTCGAGTCGCGTGGTTGGGGACGGGCCAGCGTGGCGTGGGCGCGGCTGCACCAATCACCGGGGCGCCCAGCTGTGGCAATAGGCCTGGGGGGAGGTGGGTAGGGAGTGCTTGCCACTCACCCGCTCTGCTGATTTCACCGTCTTTTCGAAAGTGAGGCGACGGTGGAGGGCCGCTCTGGCCCTCCATTGCCCCGTTGAGCTCGAACCGGTGGATCCGGGCGCGGCCTCGCTGCGTGCTGACTGGTGCCTTGCACTGGTCATGGCGCACGCACCCGGATCCTTTCCTGGCGCGAGGGAGGTCTGGACTATGGACCTCAAACAACAGGGCTGTGCTGGACCGTGCTGCACACTACTCCCTTGTCCTTCCTTTACTTTCTCCACTTGCGTCATGCTGCACCACTCAACGGCCGGTCGCACACGAGTCAACCGCCGGTGAGGTCGAGCAGATCAGGTGACTGGATGGATCACATCGGCGTCGTCGGGCCTTCTCCTGAATGATATGCCGGTGCACACCGCCAGAAGAACCGTCACACACTCCCAGTGCCACCGCCTCAACTCTATCCTCCACCCGGCACGGAGTCCTAGGACTGGCCCCGTCGCGATCTTGACCCACTTGATGGAAGACAGAGTTCATGGCATCGTTGACTTTTGATGCTTGCGGATGTGCCGGCCTGGCTCTTGCCACGGGCAACTCTACTAGGAGGTGTGACTGTTATGCGATGCGTGGCAACGGCCAGAGCGAGGCCCAAAAAGGCAAAAACACCTGCCCCTGGGATCCACGGTCGGCGTACTGGATGATTGGTCTGGATCCTGCCTTCCAGAAGTCTCTATACATCACCACCGTTGAGGAGAATGTCACGACCACTGTCCACAGGGCCACGCCTTACTGGATACCTCCTATGTAATGAGTAGCCACCTTGCCGAGTACATACAGACAGACCGGGGCACAAGACAAAGAAAACCGCGCAGCAACAGCATCCTCATCCACCGTTCTGTACTCCCTCCCTCTTTTGCCGCCACGCCACCACTAGCCTACCCGTAGTACATGATTGATTACGATTGTCCAGGGGGGTCAGGTCGTACGTGCACCACAGGCAATAATAATCAAGCAGAACACGAAACAGGAGTCCAGAAGAATAATCAGGGAGGCCAGTCCAATCGGGAGCTATCCTCCCACCCGAAATCCCAGGTTCGGTCCTCATTTGCTCCCACTGCGTTGGTATCACATCACATTGTGAAGTAAGTTATTATTATTGTGGTCCGGGGGCGGGGGAACAAAGAAAGCCTGAGAATAGGCAAGTGCCAGGGGTTGGGTGGAATACCCGACTGCTGGATGGCGGTGTCGCAGGCCGATGGCCATTCCTGCGCTGATTATTCGCTGGGCCGTGGTGTTTTGATTAAATCTCTCCACCCGATCGACTGGACAACCCTCAGATTGGGGGCTGGTTCCATGGGTGGAAGCTCGACGTCAGTGGAGGAGATGGTGATCTAGAACCCTTGGGAGAATGGCTGACGCCTCTGAGTGACTAAGTCAGATCTGGCAGTCACCCCATTGAGTCAGTCTGTGACTGCGAAACACGAAATCAGGTTTCAGCTGCCGGGCATGATTGGCCGGTCTCGGGACTTCTCCCTGGACGCCGCGGGCCCAGCAAGGGTGGGTGAGGGTGGATGAAAGTGGAGGGCTGGGATGGAAGGGAGGTGGCGAGAGGGAATTATAACCTGATCGCCTAGTCGGAGTGATGAAGTCACCAAAACGTCCTATAATGAATCCGTTCGAACTTCCATCTCCACACATTTTGGCCACCACCCGGGCGTTGTGAACTCACCCCCGCCTTGCTCCTCTGGCCCCCGGGCGTAGACGAACTCTAATGGTAGCCTGCATGTACAATATACATGTGGTATAAGCTTTCTTGGTAGCAGTAGCGGGGGGCGATAGAGCATGAACATGGCAATGATAGAGTAGGCCACTTCTAACTGTGTGAATAGGTGAATAGGTAGATAGAACGGGCCACTCTTAACTATGTGAATAGGTGAATAGTATGGGGATACAATTCTCAGATGTAAACCAACTCCCCCTCCACTCAAACGCCAGGAGGAAACAAAAGACACCCACCCCCTCCGTCTAAACCTTGCGCGCCAGGAATGGATGCTTCAGCGCATCTGTGGGTGTGATCCGCTTCTCGGGATTGAGGGTCAAGCACCGGTCCAAGAACTCCACAAACAGAGCCAGATCCTTGGCCTCGCCGTCCTCCATCCCTCGCGTGCCCTTGCCCATCAGCCTCGTCTTGAGGTCGCGCGTGGGTTTTTTGAAGTCCACGATGCGCGTGACAGGCCGCCCGGTGATCTTGTCTTGCTCGGTGCTGTGGAAATTGAGCATGTCGTCGAAGTGGAGGTGCGCCAGAGAGCCGCGCCGGAGGAGCTTCGGCGGGTACTTGCCCCGGCATTCCATGATCGAGCGGAGCATCTGGTTGTTGTTTCGGCCAGTAAAGAGGATCTTGCCCGTGTACAGCTCGAAGAGCGTGCATCCGATGGACCAGACGTCGATCGCGTAGTCGTATGGAATGCCCAGGATGATCTCCGGGGCCCGGTAGAATCGACTGACGAGGTATGGCGTGATTTCGTTCTCCGAGGCTGGGGATGCAGACCCCAGATCGCAGACCTTCAGCACGTTGCGCTGCTCGTTCACGAGAAGGTTGTCTGGTTTCAAATCAGCGTGCAGAATATTGCACTTGCGCATAAGGCTCAGGCCAAGAAAGATCTGCTGAGCATAGGCTCGTATCGCACGCAGATTCAGGCCGACGTCTCGTCCAAACTTCTTCAGAACCTCGCGCAGATTCATGCTCAGGTTCTCAAACACCATGCACAAATGACCCTTGTGGTCGAAATACCGCTCGAACTTGATGAGATGTTTCTTGTCGTCGGGATCGGCCTCGTGGAGTTGCTCCAAGATTCCAATCTCTTTCATACCGGCCTTGCGCATTGTATCGTTCTGCCGGATGATCTTGACAGCCACCAAAGCCCCCGTCTTCGAGTCGGTTGCGCGCACAACTGACGAGAACATTCCCTTGCCGAGGTTCTGCTGGACGTGGTATCGGCCGTTGATCAGCTCTCCAAGTCGCACTTTATAGTACCCTTCGTGGTCATCCCAGTTGTCCATCATGCTGATATCCAACTCTTTGGGCTGGGGTACCGCAGACATCGCTGACGCATGCGCGGGTTGCTCGTCATGTGTGTCCTCCGCAAACATGTCGTCGTCGTCTTCGGCGAACATATCATACGGGTCCTTTGCTTTTGGCGGGGGTGGTGGTGCCGATTGCTCCGCCGGTGCATCTGGGAGGAGGAGATCCTGCTTCACGGTTTGGGTTTCATCGTACGCTGCGGATGAGAGGTCCCCTTCCCTGCTACCATCAAGTTTCTCCCTCTCTTCCTTCATATCAAGAGTCGGGTCGTAATCAGCTGCAGAAGGTTCGTCTTTATCAACGCCGTTCACAGGAGCGTTGGAGTTAACCAGGTCGGTATCTTTTCCAATCTTGAAATCAGAAAAGGACTCCGCAGGAGTTTGAGATGGGGAACGATGGGGAGAATCTATAGAAGCAACGAGATCAGCGCAATTCAAATACGACAATATAGAAAACTCACCCAACGGGCTCTGTGCACTAAGAACTTCGGTGCCGGGCGTGGACGAATCCGTCTCGCCGTCGCCGATGTGCAGGGCTTTCAGTTGTAACGGGTTCGCTTGCCCTCGATACTTGGCCCGAATGGCCTCTCGGCGTTTGCGACGGGCTTCCAATGCAGCAGCCTCATCAACTGGTTCGGAGAGCTCCGGCTCTTCAGCGCTTTCTCCTGCGACCGAGGTGTCCGTTCTGTTGAAACAGTTAGCCCACTCGCCTCTTATGGCAAGACGCAGAAAAAAAACATACTCATCGGTCACGCGGGCGTGGAGCGAAGAGGCTTTGCCAACCTGATTCTCCCGAGTTTCAGCACCAAGCTTTGAATTCCGAGCGGTGACCGCTGGCGTTCGTCCCTCGTTCACTAACTGTTCTCCTGCTAGAGGCGCTGCACCCACAACTAGTTCATCACCCGTGTACTGCTTCGGCTTCCTCGTTTCACGGTACGGCGATCTGCTGCGAGTGCGCTGCCGCTTGTCTCTGCGTCGATCGTAGTCATCGGAATACCGCAATCCGCCACCGTGATTCTCCTCGCGATCGTAGTCGTAGTAAGATTTCGGCCGCCGGGTCCCTCGGTCATAGGGTCTGTCATCGTGTCTGCGGCGCGGCGGCGGTGGAGGCTCATGGCGCGAGGGTCGACCGTCGTAGTGATGATCATAGTCATCCTCGCGTCTGCGCTTGTAACCTCTGGAGTCCCGGTAGGGGGAGCGGGATCTCGAGCGAGATCTCGTCTTCGACCGCCGGCGGCGTGGCGAGCGACTGCTCCTCAGCGACGCGGGGGATCTGGGCGCAGAGGAAGTACTAGCTCTGGTTGGACGGTCAACAACGCTGGTGCCATTAAGAGGAGGTTGTGACGTAGTTGCCTTCATCTCCGAACCTGATTCGATGATCTCGCCCTCAGAAGGGGTCGATGGAGACCTCGACCTGTCGTGCGACATGGCTTCTGGTCTTTGTATTCTGGTGTTGGCTCTTGCACTGAGTTCGGCCTTTGGAGGAGGCCCTTTGAGAGTGATTACCACTCGGTTAGCGTGGGCTCCAAGACAATAAAACGAAGCTTTGCAAAAGGATTGTTGAAAGTCCAACCGGCTTTGAGAGGCCTGCCTTCGCACCACAGCCTTGATCTATCGCTTCAGCACATGTCTCGTGAAAGTCCAGTGGAAGGTGGTGGGGGACTGGACAGAAGGAGTCCAGCGCGCGACAGTATAGGATTGAGAGTGACGAGAAGTGTGAGTTTGACCTCGGCGAAGAGGAAGGAATGAATCCCTGAGAGGGAAGGCGGTCAGCCGGGATGGTCTATGATAAGCCCCGCGCCTTCAACTATTTTTTTCTCTCTCTCTGCAAAACGTCCAAACACCGATCTTTTCCTTGTGTTCATCGATTTCCACTTATCAAAAATGGGTGGCCAAAGCAGAGAAGGTATGCAGGTTTTATGCCCCCCCTGAGACAAGCAGTCACAGCAGTTTGACTCACCACCCCTGCCACAGGCGGCAAGGTCAAGCCCCTGAAGTCGGCCAAGAAGGAGAAGAAGGACCTGGATGAGGATGATATTGCCCACCGCGAGAAGCTGAAGGCCGGTATGTGGTTCTGGACGTGGTGCAACCTAACTCCTTCACTGACAAGGCAACAGAGGCCAAGGCAAAGAAGGAGATGGCCGAGATGGCCAAGGGCAAGAAGGGCCCGCTGAACACCGGTCAGCAGGGTATCAAGAAGTCGGGCAAGAAATAGAGAATACTGTTACGACTCAACGAGCCATGTTCAACGACAGGGGGTGTTTCTGATCTACCCGAGCAATACCAATCAATCTAGGGTGGTGTCCACCTCACTTCAATATCTACAGATGTTTGCATTCGCATAGTCCAAATGACAAGGAAAGTTATGTTCACATAAAATCGTCAATGGGGAGCACATGAAAGGGAACGAAGAGGGTATCATCATCCATGCCTTGTAACGTCAAACCGAGGAGGAAATGAAAATGCGCAGCATCCAACTTCAACAGAAAGAGGATGTTTCGGTCGAGGTGTCATGAAACAAATAAAGCACAAAAGGCCTCACTTAACTGGTGACGCGCTTAATCCAGAGACAACTGCCATCACCCGCGTTCTCGGTTTCATCCAAGCGTCGCCAAGCCCGAGCGACTTTCAGGCCGATCTCATGTTCCTCGCGCTTGAGATCTGCAATCTCATTCTCAATGCTGGACACGGTCTTCTTGACCTCGGCTTTGGCTGCCAGGTCATAGGCAATGGAACTGGGTTGAATGACCTGGGTCAACTCATGGACCATGGTCTCCAGATTGTGTCTGCGCCGCTGGATGTCGGTCCGTCTCGCTTCCAATGATGCAATGCGTTTTTCGGGCGTCTGCTCGCCGATGGCTTCAGCCGGCTGCGGCTGCTCTGGGCCACTTTGAGACGGGGTAGGCTTGCGCACGGGCTTTTTCGAACTCGGCATGCCGCCGGGGACGGGGCGTGTTCGGGCCATGACCGAGGGGAAGTCGTCTGTAGACTGGGTATCGAAGTTGCCGCTGTCCCGCGGGCTTTGAGTCTGGCTGCCGATCTCCGTTGCCGTGTAGGTCGTGGCACTGAAGCGGCTCCTGGGCTCATCGGAGATCATCATGTTCGCAATCGCAGCTTCGAATTGGGGATCAGGTTCATACTGTTGCTGCTGTCGTGGAGTGTGACGGCCGCTGCTAGCTGTTTCCGCTGTCGCTGGTCGCTGGATTCGCTGCGGCGGGGCACCACCAGTGATCGTTGTCGTCACGGACGGAGTGAATCCGATGCTACTCAGCTGGGGACTGGCGTCTGTGGCGCTGGCACGTTTCCAGCTGGCGAGGTGCGTATGAGAAGAGGATCTGTTTCTGGGTTCTGCTGGCGGGGGAGGGGGTTCGTTCTTGGAGAAAGTGCTGATTCGGCTTCGAGCCTCGGCGAGCTTCTTCTTGGGATGGAACTGTTCTCTGCCCCAACTGAAAAGACTCGACCCGGTGGATTTGTGGAATGTAGTGTTGGTTGGATTCACCTGGCCCGCTTTGCCTGCGTCGTTGTTGGTCGGCTCGCCCGAGTAAACGTCCCAGCGAGTGGGCTGGTCGCGTTTGACTAGTCGGATAGGCTTCTCTGCAGGCGGCGGGGGAACTGGTTTCGCGGCAAGAGGGGTGTTCTGGGAGACTTTGCGCTCGTGAAAGAATGGAGGTGCTGTTTCTTCGATGGGCGAGATGCTGACGCTGCTTCGGTGGTCGGTAGGATACAAGTTGGGCGACACCAAGGGCGAAACGTCCGAGTGTCGTCTGGTCATGTCATCATGCGCTGGCAGTGACGAACCACTGGCGATCGTCAGACACATCCCCGCCAGATATTTATAGTGGTGGTCCGACTTACTTGGGCAGAGACGGTAGATCCTTGACAGAGGGAAACCTGTTCTCCACGGCTGCCCTATCGACCAATGTGGGGTTGCCAATGGACGGATTCTTCGAGCGATGGAATGGACCTTTGGACCACATGTTGACCTGTCCGGTAGATGGCCGTCAGAAGGCCGTTGTCGATCGCTGCGGGGTGGAATTGGAGAATGTGATGGCTTACAGAGATAGGATGCGAGAAAGGAAAGAACAGAAGACAGGAGCAGAAGAAGGAAGCGCTCAGGCCCAAGTTCAAAACGAAGGGGGCTAGCAGGCAGATGCAAGGATGCAAGATAGTGTAGACCTAATCAACGCTATGTTTGGGCCTTGTTTCATCATCACGTGGGACGATGTCATGCCTTCTCCGCAGACTCCGACTGGTCTTCCTCATCGGCGTCGACAACCACCACACCACACAACGCCCTCCATGGCATCCCCCGGTATGTACACTGATTGAATGTCTGACGTCCACCCAACCACTCATCCAACTAACACGCTCATCCTCAGAAGGTTCCCTGCCCCAGCAGGCCGAAGTGTCCGTGTCTCTCTTCCGGTTCCCCACAGCCCCGAATGCCACCAACTAACCTACGTGACAACCCAACGCAGAATGTCCATCGCCAGCCCCATCAACTTAATCCTCGCCTCCCTCTTCATCATCCTCCTGTATTACCACTTCAAGCCCAAACCCGCCGTGGCGCTCCCGCGCGGCCCGCCCCCTATCGTCTTCCGCACCTACACCCCGAAGACCCTAATCGAGTTCAACGGCGAGAACGACAAGCCCGTGTTCCTGGCCGTGCGCGGGCGCGTATTTGACGTTACTCCCGGCAGGAATTTCTACGGTCCGGTATGTATACCTATCATCCCATCCGTCCTCGCCTGCCTCAATGATCGGTTCAGTTGGAATGGGAAGTAAGGAAAGAAAAGAAAAGAACAGAGAATGCTGATCGATGGATTATCATAACAGGGTGGCCCTTATGAGAACTTTGCCGGCCGGGATGCCTCGCGCGGTCTTGCGTTCCAGAGTTTCGATGAGGAAATGCTGACCAAGGATTTGTCGGCTCCGCTGGATACGCTCAAGGATTTGGATGCGGATCAGTTGGAGAATCTGCAGTCGTGGGAGGAACGCTTCTCGGAGAAGTATCTTGTTGTTGGCAAGCTGGTTGCCGAGGGGGATCCTGAGGCCCCGGCTGCCTGATTAAACCGAGGGGATAGTGCCCAGGGTTTGGCGGACTGATAATAACAAAGCGGACTGTTGCAATGTTGTCTAAGCAGTTGGCTTTGATATTCATGACTACTGATCGCGTCTACACAGCTCGGGAAATTCGGGTTTACCAGAACAATTACTTCCAAAGAGAAAAAAAAGGCCCATGAACTTCATTGACATTTAAGACATTTAAGAATAAAATAGATCAACCCTCCCGAGGGAAACAAACAATCCACTTGCAAAAACCCCCATCCAGCTTCATTTACGTTCACCGTAATGAACCCACTCTCGCGCCCATTTTTCGTTTATCAAGGACGGAGGAACATCTTGTTCCATCCTACAGCTCCCCATGCACCCTTTGCGTTGCACCAGCCACCTTCTCTCGGAGATTCTCAGCAGCTTCCTGGCCCTGGGCCCGGCCGCTGGACGCACCGAGCTTCAGCTGATCCAGAGCCCAGTTCACGGTTTCCATGAACTTGGCGTAGATGGTATTCGTCGGGGTGGTGGTGCCGTACTTGAAGTACTGCGCGTGGCGCCGGGCAGCCGCGCGGAGTTCGTTGATGCTCGAGCCCTGGTACACGGGGATGCCGTACGAATCCAGGTAGGCCTTAAGATCGGAGTGGGACCATGTATCGAAGGAGGCATCCTTGGCGGCGTCCGTTGCAACGGCCATATTGGAAGTGGCAGATGCCCAGGCCTCGCCGCCTGCCTTGGATGCCTTGTGGTAGGAGTCCTTGGCGTTCTTGATCAGTTCCTCGCGAGAAGCATCGGTCTTTTTGGCGGCCTTGTGGTTCATGGCAGACAGATATTTCCTAGTGCTCAAGTCAGATCGATCTGTTGGAGTCGAGGCACCCTTGTACTTACAGCAAGTGCTCCTTGTCCCAAGTATCAAAGTTATACTCATTCCACCCGCCGGCAGCCCGGTGTGCGTGGGAGCGGACCTTTGCGATAAGCTCATCACGTTTGCCGTACTGGGGAACGGGGACGCCTCGTGCGTCGAGGAACGCTTTGAGGCGAGAATCGGACCAGGTCTGGATGGCGTTGTTGAACTGATCCTCAGCCTTGAGTCTCGCGTCATCGGTGGCACGGGCATATTCATTTCCAGCTCTGGTGGTAGCAGCGCCCAGGATCTCCTCAGCCTCGGTCGAGGCCTTGGATGCCTTCTCAAGCACCAACGAGCGATGTTTCCGCGCCAGGGCAATCAGCTCATTGCGCTTCGAACCCTGGGGCACCTTGACACCGTGCTCATCCAAGAACTTCTTCAGCTCGGAGTCGGACCAGGCATTGAACAGCGCCTCACTCAGAGACGACTGAGCCGCTTCGGCGGAGGACACGGCCGAGGCGGCGATCGCGCGCGCCTGCAAGCTTGTCAGACGGGCATTGCGGCGCACGCTGGCAATGAGCTTGTCGCGCGTGGTCGGCTGGGGCGCCGGCCAGCCGCGCTCATCGAGCCATTCCTTTAGATCGGACTCGGACCACTGCTCATAGATCCAGTTGCCGGGATACGAGGCCGTCTCGCCGGCTTTCTTCGCGACCGCCTCGTAGTTCTCGCGCGCAGCCTTGATCAGATTGTCTCGCTTGCGCGGCTGCGGAGCGGGAATGCCATGGCGATCCAGGAATGCCTTGAGCTGCGAGTCGGACCAGCTGTTGCGACCAGTCAGTTTTGCGGGCGCATGAACGGGACGGGGGAAGCCTTACGTGTCAAAGATCCACTCCTTTGCATTGTGCAGCTGGTCGGATGTCGAGTCCGCGACCTGGCCCAGCGGCTGCTGCACCCTGGAGTCCCAGTTGGACTTGACCAGGTTCTCCAGGTCGCGGCGGTCAGCCGGCTTGGGGTAGGGGATGTCTGGCGGGGAGGTGAGCGGGTGTCTTGGAAGTCAGAGTGGTGTAGACAATACCATGATCAGAGAGCCATCGCTCCAGTTCAGTTTCATGCCATTTGTTGTACACTGGAGAGGGTTAGAGTCGGTCAGCCTCCACACCGCGACAGGGCTTACCAGCTTTGCTCCACCAGCTTGACGCTGCCACCACTTCGGTGGTGGTGAGCAGCAACAGCAGACCCGGTATGAAAGGGAGCTTCATTTTTTCGAGATAGTAAGAAATAATCGAGGGAAGAAGGAAAAAGGAGAGGCAGCGTCCCAGCGTTGTTATAAAGGAGGCAAGAATGATCGCCCAGTGACGTAGTTGGGGAATCTTGCCTGTTTCCAATGCATGATTCATAGACTGGCGTCATATCCATTGGTTCTGGGCAAGGCGCGACATCTCAGGAGGATTCTGCACGGGCAAGAGTGCATTTCTTTCTTGGCCTACTACCTATCTGGGTACGGTGGTGCTGTCCTGCCTGGTTGTAACAATAGTGACTGCGATGGCGGTGCTTAGCGCCCCAATACACAATGCGGGGGACTCTCCCTCCCTTCCTACCTGACGCTTCCCACTCACTCTCTTCCACCACCATAATGGACTCCCGGAGCTACGCCTGAACTATACAATGGACCATTTAACTCCCAACTGTCGCAAGGTCGCCTCGCCTGGCATCTTCCAGCCGATTCTCTCCATGTACATACCCTATCCCCCCAGCTCCAACCTGCAGCTAACCTTAGCTCGAGCTTGATCATCTTCGGCATCCTCATCTCCTACCTCCCCCAGCACATCCGCATTTTCACCCTGCGCAGCTCCTTCGGCATCTCCCCCTACTTCGTCCTTCTGGGAGTCACTTCGGGCACCTCGACCTTCGCCAACATCCTTGTCACCCCCGCAACCGCCCGCGATGTCAGCTGCTGCCAGGAGGTCAACGCGACGGCCTGTTTCGCGGCCCTGCTGGGCATCTTCCAGATGGGCATGCAGTGGCTCTGTTTCTTCTCCATGTATGCTCTCTATCCCCCTTTCCCGCTCCTCTCTCCCGGGTTGTCGCAAAAGAGAACGAACGCCTCTAACCTACCACCCAGCCTCCTCCTCTTCGTCATCTACTTCCCGCGAGCCACATCGCCCACATCCCCACTCACCTCAGCCGGTCCAACCTACCGCACTGCACTAGTCATAACCGCAATCTGCATCCTCCACGCGCTAGTCGTGGTGATCATCTCCGCCGCCTTTGCGCTGCGCCAACCCTCGGCGCTCAAATCCTGGGCGGACTTCCTTGGCATCCTAGCCGCCATCCTCGCCTCGATCCAATACCTGCCCCAACTCTACACGACCTTCCGCCTCCGCTGCGTTGGCAGCTTCAGCATCCCCATGATGTGCATCCAGACTCCTGGCAGCTTGGTTTGGGCGGCGAGCTTGGCGGCGCGCCAGGGTCCCGGCGGGTGGAGTACCTGGGGTCCGTTGGTGGTTACTGCTTGTCTTCAGGGCTCGCTGTTGACCATGGCTATCTACTTTGAGTACTTTGGGCCAAATAGGACGCGCAAAGCAGTGCATCAGGCCGATGAGAATGGGGCGCCCAGTGGTGGAGCTGCGGAGCAGGAATCCGCACGGCAAGCAGCGGTGGCGGCGGAGAGGCCATCAGAAGAGACGCCGCTGCTGCAGAGTCAGTGATGTTGAATCTGTTGTTGGTTCTGGATGATTTGATGGTATATATACCCCCTTCTTCTTCGATTGCTAGGAAATACATAGCGCGAATACGACGTACGACTTCTACACTTCTAAATGGCCATGAAGACATTGGTGGAGACGCAATTGAGGCGCCGTCTAAGTAGATTGACTTTATTTGTCGCAGACAAACTCACTCAAAAGAAAAGAAAAACAATCCTCTCCATCCATCCATCTCAAGAAGAAGCAAGTTCTCAATTCTCCCCGGACCCCCGCCAAGTAATGGTTATGTCCTGTTTCCTTCCGTCATCTCGTCATAGCAGTTTCGGCTTTCTTCTTTCTTCGCACCGGGAAAAAGAAGCGCTCTTTACGAGGCGGCGTAGATCAGGCGGAAGACGTCGTTCAACACGAAGTAGCTGCCCGACCCGTCGGGAGAGAGCTTGAAGCACTGCGTGTAGTTCATGGGCTTCTGTTCCTCGTCGATCTAAGAGGCGGAGAAGAATGGCACATTAGAATCTAGATCAGGGAAGAAGACGCAGAGCGGATGGGATGACGGACCAGGAGAGCACCGGTCACCAGGACGACAATGCTGCCGTCGCTGGAGGGCTGGGCATCGAGGGTGGCGATCTGGTGGCGCACCTGCTGGAAGGGCAGGCTCTGTGTATTGTTTTATTAGAATATCGTCGATTGTATGCCAGAGGGATCGGGGAAGACGCACAGTCAACTTCTCAGTGATGGCGGCAGCGCCCTGGACCTGGCTGGTCTCGAAGGTGAGCATCGACTGGTCGCGCTGTGCCAGACAAAAATTGCCGTCAGCATCTGTAGTAGATCTCTATCTCCTTCTTTCCTGTTGTTCGGGGTTCCTGGCGAGCAAGCTTACGTAGAGAGGGGTAAGACCACCGCGGTTGCTGTCGAAGCTCTGGTAGTAGAAATTGACGAACTGTTCTGTGGGCAGGATAGCGAGTCAGAAACATCGGTTCTTGGTCCATCTCGTACTTTTCGCATTTCGAGTTGGGGTCCTCGATCAATTAGGCCAGCCTGGGGGTCTAGCACTGTGTGGACTTCCGTGCTGGGAGTCAGGGGAGGGAGAACGTACCAGCGACGGCGTTGAAGTCTAGAGAGGAATAGTCAGCCAGTGATCTTGATGCGCTCCAGAGGGCTCAGTTGGGGCAGTCGTATGGTCGCAATGACTGCCCCGGCCGGTGCGATGTGCCCCTCCATCGGAGAACAGCCATCGCAGCGCAGCCAAACCACGTAGATCGGGACGCTTACCCATTGTGAAGGAGGTTTATTGGGAGATGCAATTGACACAAAGTGACTCGACCGTATATGCAGAAAGGGCGGGGGGATGAGGAACAGAAGGTATTTGTTGACGAGGAAGAGAAAGGGTTGTGGGGCCGTGGATTATTTATTCTCCTCATCAATTCATTCATTCATTCTATGTACATACAACTAACTACGACCTACAAGCAATCATTCAGCCCAACACTCTGCCTCACTCCGAGTCCGACGCGAACATGTCCTCTGCCTTGGGCCGTGGCTTGCGAGCTCGTCGTGATTCGGTCTCGGGCTGCCCAGTGTTGTTGTTGGGCTGCTCCGGTGTCGGCTCGGGTGCCTTGACATGCTCGGGCTCTGCCTCTTCCTTCATGGGTTCGCTGTCCGGGGCTTCCAGGTCACTGTCTTCCATGGGGACCCCGTCAATGTCACTCATAACTTCATCCTCTGGCTCATGGCCCTGACCGGGGTCCATGCTGCGGCTGGCGTCCACTCCCGCAGGCCGAGTGGGATCGAACTTGCCAGCGACACCGTCCTCATCAACGGTCTTCCATCGGTTTTTACCCTTGGCGAAGGCTGCAGCTGCTCGCTCGGCGTCGGCCTTGGCCTTGTCCTTCGGGATTTCTTCTTCGGCGAGCGGTGGCTGTTCGAAGACCTCGACAAAATGCTCCTGGGACGATTGCGGGAACACACACCACCCTTCCCACAGATGGAGAAGGGAGCCGACACTGCGCTTCCATTTCTCTGCCTTAAGTCGTCCCCAGTTGAGGTCCTTTTCTAACCGGCCAAGATGCTCAAAGACCGTGTGTGAGCGCAGTGCCGACTCGAACAACTGCCGGTATCGCCATGCGTGGCGCACGCCGCTGGTGGCCGAAGAGGAGAGAATGTCGGAGATGAGATACAGGCCGACCAGTTTGGCAGAAGACAGATCCAAACGCTCGTTAGGAGGGATGTTGTCCTGAAGCGTGGTGTTCTCTTGATAGTCGGGTCTCGCGGCGTTTTTCTCCAGTTCTCGGTCCGGATTCGCCCCGGTGTAGGCTAGTGGGTTGAGAATATTCATGACGATCATGTCCACCACCTCGTCAGCACCCGCCCCGGCGTGCTCGATGGCAAACGCCGTGACCCGGGCAACGTCACCCCGTCGTAGCTTGGCGTGGGTGGTTGGTAATCGAGCCAGAAGGTGTGTGAGCTTCGCCTTCTGTAGCGGATTCATATAGCCAAGACCGTCGTGTTGGCCGCTGCCGCCGTCCGGAGGAGGTGGTCCTCCACCAACGTTACGGCGCTCGTCCTCCGCATCTGAATGTTCCTCATCAGACGAGTTGTAGTCTTCATCCGACACAAATTCGTCCAGGCGTGTGGTGTACTCAAATTTGAGACTGCTATCGGGCGGGACCCAGTTTGTGCCTCCTTCGAAGATTGCAGATGGTTTCTGGCCCCGAGCACGCCGACTACCCCGGGACCGAGGAGTGGTGATAATTTCCCATAGCTTCCATCGGTAGTAAACACCCCCAGGACTCCTTGGATCCCAGAGCCAAGCCCACTTTTCTGCTCTTTGTACCTCTGGTCGGCTCATAAGTAAAGCCTCAAATTCAGGCCCATATTTGAGGAGGCTCTCCAAGGTCTTGTGTATCAGTCTTAATTGCTTGAGATCAGACGGCGTCTTGACTTCCACCTGAGATGACGATCCAACCCTGCCTAAGCTCGGTCCGTAGGAACTTGGAGGCGCAAATCCTCCTCGGTGAGCCCCAGGAGGGGGTGCTCGGCTCAGACTTCCGCCGAGGTTGGGCTGAATGGTCTTTGCGCCAAATGGAAGGGACGCTGTCGAAGGCAAACCAACAGCAGTCGGCAGGGTCGAGCCGATGGCAGCGGATGAGAGGTGTCGAGAGAGTGTCAGATAATACCCCCAGCCCAGATACTTATGCTGAAGCGCACTCACGGTGCTGTCGATATCCGAAGCTGCGGAATCGCTAGCCAGAGTGACAATTGCAGCAGACGTCTTTCTTTCGGTGGCTGACTGGCCAGGAGGTCGCAGGATCTTGACATTGTCTACGGTGAGAACAGAGGGGATCAACGACTTGATCACAGAAGGTGATGTCCCAGGAGGCAGAGACGCGAGGTACAGGGTAGGTTTCGCTGCAGCCCTCTCCGCCTCTTTTGTATCTGCAGCCCGATCATTCTCATCGTCAGACGCGCTGCGGAACGCTGCTGGCGCGCCAGGCGATGCCGTATTCGCAGCCTCGAATCCCAAGCTACTAGTATCCCGATTGCGATGCGATGGCGCAAACCCTTCGTAGGTGCGCTTTCGATTCAACGACGGGGGAGGCGGTCCTAATGTCCCCGGGCCACTCATCCGAGGACCGGAGCTCGTGAAATGTCGCCTCGCGGGACCTCCGCCTCGATTCCCAGGCATATTCAACCGGCCGTCGGCGGAGGACCGGGGCTCGGTCGGGGCGTCATCCTCGAATGATTTGACAAAGTCCTCGTAGACTGCGGCGGTCTCTGCTCGTTCGCGGGCCCGTTTGGCTTCGGCTTCGGCTTTCTGGCGTTCGAAGAGCGATTTCTTGGGGAGTGTGGAGAGCTTCGCCGAGAGTTCGGGGAACCCCTTGCCCTTTGACTCCTCCGGCATGGTGTTGTTGAGCTGCAGCCGCTGCAGCAAGTATGCTACACGGCCAGTGAGGTGGTGAGGTCAAATGAATTCCGGGAGAAATGCAAAAGAGAGATGTCACAACCAAGACGGAGTTGATGTGCAACCCTTCCTGATCGGGGAAATGCGCGAGGGCGGTGAGGGCGCTCTTGTCTGGATTGATGAACTCACTATCTATCTCTTTTTCTTTACATACCAAATTAGACATGGCCACTGCACAAGTCCAAGATCTGCTCAGGTTTCTCTCTCAAGTTGCCAAGGTCCCGCTGGCCGTCGCACTGGGCAAGGCCGGGCAGTTACAGAAAGCTAATCTGACCAGGTACGCGGCCTCTTTCTCCCATCGTGCTCTCTCTGATACCTCCCAGTCCCGACCAAATCGCCAAAGCCGACCTTCAGACCCTCCAGGAGATCTTTCAAGATAACAAAGTCGCCAAACAAGTGCTAAATGCGGCCAAACGAGTATCCAAGAAACGAGAAGCTCCTGCTGACCCTGCAAGAGAATCACCTCAAAAGAGGAACAAAGCATCCGCACTCGATCAATCTTCAACTCCATTCGAAATTGAGTCTGCGTTGAGTTTGCCCGGCTCCTCAGCCAGTGGGGACGAGTTACGCAGTAAAATTCTTGTTACGAATAGAGCACCACTTGTGCTTGCCTTTGCCGTCTCTGTTTTGAAATATACGATGCCCGAACAGCCTATTTCAAGCAGATTAAGCCTCGCGCAGGCTGTAGTTAGTGCTAATAGCCGTACCAAAGCCGTCAGCTTGGGTATTGAGAGCGGGCAGCCGGCCGAAGAGGAAGGTTGGGGGGAAGGGCATCCCGTTATCAATGTCCTTGGTAGGGAGATTCCGGTCTTGAAAAGATGGGATTACAATCCTCGCGAAGGTCAGCCAAGCACTGTGTCTGCCGAGGACTTTATAGGGAAAGAGACCACCGATGGATTGCCGCCCCTTTGGGGCGTTGATTTGGAGGCCCTTCGGAGCTCTCATCGCGATAGACCTGGTGAAGAACCGAGGAGCAGTAAAACTCTCCCTATTTTCACCCCGGAATCGGCGAGGTCTTATCTCCTTCGAGCATTCTCAGAATACAGGGAAGAGGTCAAAGAGACATCAGCTCGCCCAAAGAAAAAGACTTCCATCGTGACTGATAACGATAAAGAAGAATGTGTCGGCCATCTCTTATGTGCCATTGACATCGTCTGCCAATCATGGGCTGCAACCTTAACCAGGACCGAATTGGACAAACGCGCTTGGACTTGGTATGTCCGCGTTCGCCCAGACGTCCAGAGCGGCGTACATGGCTGGGGAGAGAAAGGACAGGTGAAACTAGCCAATATTCTGGCGTTCCGGCGAGAAACTTGAATGCGAGATTATTAGGCCCTGATTCTATGGCCGGTAGAATGGCCAGAAACGATCAGATTACCACTTCGCTCGTTTCAGAATGCTACTTGTCAACTCGCATTTCTCCATTGTGGGCAACATCAAGCTATTTCTTCTCTGGGAGTTTCATCGACCGTCTCCATTGTTGAGGCTCCGGCTTGCTCTGATTTCCTTCCTCCAGGGCCATGTCCTTTCCCACCTGGACAGTGACGTTGGCCTCGGTGTTGTGGTGCAAGTCTGTGGTGTCCTTCTTGAACGGGTCCACATAAATGGGGAAGACGAGTGCGAGCGTATAGCCCATCACGGGGATCGTGCTTCAGTAGGCACAGTATTTTCAGTCCAATAGAAACCTTTCCCACTCCCTGGTTACTCGTCTAAAACGAGGTGCACTGCGGCTAGCGCGTTCAAATCACATTGAAATGTTTCCTCTCGGATCCTCATAATCCGACCCCAGCACTTTGTTTTGATTGTCTGTTGGATCACTAGGGTTTTTGCACGGTGAAGTGCGATGGCGAGCACCGTTTCTGCTTCGGAGTACTCCAGTTCATTTAGGTACAGTGTCTGTTGCTCATTTAGTCCGGCCATTGTATATTTTGGTGGTCAAACTACTGTAGTTCCCAGCGAGCATGTTGAGAAAGCATATCATTCAGCTAAACCAGTCAGCGGGAATCTACACTGAGTGTTGGGATACTGGAATTGTTAGTATATCATGGAATGCTTGTAGCTACCTAGCTAGGATATTAAGCCTTCGTTTAATTCTTTAAAGACTATCGGGCAGTCTGACGTTATCTACAGATCGATCTCCACGATCATCATTGATCGTCGCCAGCTCCACAGCGCCAGCTACGTAGATGGACATGATGTACAAAGGTTCAAAGAAGTAGACCAACATGAACACGTCTGACTTCTATGGGACATGACACGAATCCTACCGCTAGGTGAACTGGTGCTTGTTCGAGAGGGAATGCATCTACTTATTGGGATATTACATATTGTCTGACTCTCTTGATCCACTGTTAATGGGGCGGTGAAGCTTCACTTCTAGACTTTATGTCTAGTTTCAACATGTCTAAATTGCTCAGATTGTATGGTACTACACGCGGGGAGCTGCAGCGGCTCTATGCAGGTCTACATGTAGATGCATGCATGTGTCTGGATGAGGGCTAGAAGAGACTGGGACCTATTCAGTATTCATGAAAGGTGGGTCGGGAACTAAAAGGAGAAAAGTCCTGGTCTAATGAAATGAGTCTATTGGATACTGGTTTGGTCAAATAGGCTGTCTCAAAGTTCTACACACACCTGACGTCAAGGATATATTTTCTCTCATCGTGGCCAATATTTGGTCTTCATCACTATAACCTCGCAGCCTAATCTTCAAAGCACAAGTACTCGATAGATAGACAGGCAACAAGATCCAGCATACGGCTGACTCGATGGAGACCCTGCAATTTTTGAAACCCGTAAGATGCTATCGATCAGTCCAGACCACTATCTGATCGCAGTACCGAACGATCATCCATGGATGTGAACGTTTTCATCAGGGATTGTGCCTAGGTGGATTCAACATTGCGCACCCTCAACCACTTGTTGTCGGGCATTAAGCTTTTCCACGAGCGTAAATTCTGGTTGAAGCAGCGTGGTTTATCCGCGCCTACCAGAGGAAGCCGATCGATTTCAACGGGAGGGGGCCTAACTGTGTTTGGTAACGGCCCCGTTTTTCCCAGGTGTTTTCCATGGATGCGATGCAGCGACTTTCTCTTTGCCGAGCCTGAATTCGCCGTGCATGTGCAGGGAATGAACTGGTCTAGGCTACCGACCGGGGAGGACTTGCTTGCGCAGGACATCAGCCCACAAAGAACCCTGCGGCCGGACCGATGGGGCATCAGCGCAGCCGAAGCAAAAACCTTGTACCTTCGGATCGCTGTTTTACTCGCACGGCTAACGATTTGTCCGTGCCTAGATACTCCGAGATATCCGCGAGGGCGCATCCCTTCAGCTCTGCTTCACAGCGTGAGACTCGCCGCATACCTGTGCAACTCCGGACCTGGCCAGTCTCGGTTTTAGTGCGGGCAGATTCCAGGTCTCCCATGCCCAGCCCACATTATTCGTCATGTCCTCCGTGATCATAGTAATGGAAAAACCCCCAGAGACCTTGTGTGGGCCAAACCAGGGACTGAAAAGGGTCGGGGGTGTCTATAACCGTGAAAGAAACATTTTTTTTTTAGAAAAAGGAAAGGAGAAAGGATTGCAATCTGGACCCCAACTACGAGGCGTGGTTCTAGGCCTATCAAGTACACATCACTGGTCTAGGTCGGAGGTCGAGTTCGCATGGAATTCTAGATCCAGCGCAGAGATAATAATAAAGTGAGGTTCCGGAGGAAAGTAAAAAGGTAGCGAAGCCCAGTGCAAAATGCCCACTGTGACTAGCACCATACAGCCTCGAATCGGTCGTACACGGTACCCTGAGGGAGAAAGCCACCCTTGGAGATTTAGTGATCAGTAGAAGCAGAGACAAGTGCAAACCAGGTAACAAGCGCTGTATTAATTGATGACAGTCCCGTGACCGAAACATTTCACTGTTTGGGCGGTGACCCTCCTCTCCTGCGGTAATACACGGTCACGCCCTCAGAGTCCCGAACTCCTCATCTTCTTCTCCATCGTCTCACCCCCCTTCCATCTAATCCAACTCTCCTCAACTCTTCGCGTTCCGTTCTTTCCATTCGTCTCGTTCTTGCATCCTCGTCGAAGAGTATACCGCGCCTGGCTCTTCGCTTCCTCCCTCCTCCCCGTCGACACTTCTCCATCGGCAACCCTGTCGACGGATTGACCTAACAAAGAGGTGGCCCGACAGGGCTGCCGTACACCAAGAGCCATGGCCGGGCACATCTCTTCCGATCTTTCTCGCTCTGCGTCTCGATCCTCTCAAGCCACTCGACAGTCGCAAGGACAGTCTGGCGAATCCATGTCCCGTCAATCCTTCGGTCGCTCCTCCCGCTCCAATCCCAATGTCTTCTCCGACGAATACTCCCTCGAACCGCTGGATCCTGATCGAATCGAACGCGCTCCTAGTCCATCCGGCTCAATCGCCTCCTCAACCACCCTCCGCTCCAGTAACCACCCTCAAAAGTCGATGAACGCCGCCACAACCGAGAACGAGAACCCGTTTGGCGATGAAGCCCGCGTCTCCTTCGATGAACCTCACCGGTCCAGCCTGCCCCAAAAGGGTGCCATGGGCATGTCAAACCATTCCAACTCGAACTCTGGTGACACCACCCCTACCGGCGTCCAACGCAACCACAGCATCTCCTCCCGTTTTTCCATGCCGCGCGCAATGAGTCCATATACCGGAGCCACCGGGCCTAGCCATCCATATGCGATGTACCCTCAGGTTGGCGTTAGCCGGTCTGCGAGTATGACAAGCACCTCGACGATCCGCCAGAATGACAATCCGCTAGGAGAATCAGTTGGCCCGCAACATCCGTACGCGATGTACCCACAGAATGTTGTCGAGGAAGGGATAGATGAGTCGTTGATTCCCGTTGGCTTCCCCGGCCACAATCCTCATTACCAGCCGCCTGCCGCTCGTCGAGACGATGATGTAGGCGATATCATCGGGGCTGACGGCCACACGGAGCCACTACCACCTTATTCTCGCTACCCAACGGGCGCTGTCCCCAAGCCTCCAGGGACAGAAAACTTGTCAAACTCAACGCTTCAACCAGAGGAACATCAACTGAATACGGTTTCACGGGAGACCCCGATTTCGTATGTTTCGTCAAGGGGTGATATTGTTTCCGAGCAAACACCGAATGGCGATGGCAATGGCGATGGCGCCCAAAGGGCACCACTCACCGGCATTATGGCGTTTGAAGAAAAGCTCAAGCGGAAAGGGAAACAGACTGCGTGCTGTGGGCTACCGGTTTGGACTTTGGTCCTAATAGGAACGGTGATGGTAATCGGAGGATGCATCGGAGGTGCTATTGGAGGCGTTATAGGAACGAAGAGAGCCGCCGATGCCGAGCAAAGTGCGGCAGCACAAACCAGCGGTCCACGAGTGGTCACTGTCACGGCTCCTCCGCAGATGGACGCCTCCAGTTTAACGGCCACACCGACCAACCTCCTACCACTTCCTACGTCCGGCAACTACGTCGTTCCTTCAAACCCTCAGAACCACTCGAAACTGTGTATTGAGGACCAACAACTGAAGGATGCCTGGGGTTGTATGCAAGATCACACTGATACCGAAATCTACTTCGGTGGACCTGACGGCGGCCACCATTCCGTTGTTTTCAGCAACCAACCCCCAAGCAGCACCTTTACCTATGGCGCTCAGCCGCCCTATCTGCCCCAACCAACTCAAGTTCTGAACATGATGATTGATACCAGTGAGATAAGCATGGGTCCGACCCTATTCTTCTCGACCCTGTTCAACAAACTCGTTATCGTTCCCGAGGACGAGTTTTCAAGCACCCCCATGAAGCGGGACTTCGACGGCGGGTTTCCAGACTTTGGGAAAAAGTACACCCAATATTCGGAAGTTGGGCAGAAGCCGTGGTTCTGTTGGTGGAATAGGACGATGATGGAGTTTTTCATCTATATCAACCAAACCACCTTGAATACCCCAGGCACTGGCACCGCCTCCTACGCCAGTGAGATGCCTGGTGCCACAGCCACCTCGTACCAGCAGTCCAGGCGGGATTATGAAAATCTTGAGAACTACCCGCGGAGGATCAAAATCGATGAACGACGAGATTCTCCAGATTCTATTCAACCTTATTGCCAGCAGATGGAAGTGATGTCCAACGGGCAGATTACTCCTCTGTCCGGGGAATACTTCAATGTTCATGAGATTGAGCCCACCCCGACGACAACCTATGTCAACCATCAGGGCACCAGCCAGACATACACAGCCCAGGCTCAATACGGGACACCTTGTTACTGTGTTTCGCTGACGGACTAGAGCACTTCGCTGGTGTTAATGCTGGCCATGTATCCTTGGCGTTGGCGTTGGGATTAGCCTGGAAACAGGCATCGATTCACGTGCACATGACTGCCTTTTTTCTCACTATGTGTTGTTCCTATTTCTTCGGTTTCTCTGTGTTACTGTCGTTAGTTTCGTTCTCCGATGCCGCCTCATGTTTTGCATCTATCTTTTCCCGAACGCCATTGCGACATGATATGATCCTTTTTTGTTGTCCAATTTCTCTTCTTCATTGGTTATATTCGATATTCTTGTCAGGTCTGTTGATCATTTACTGGGATTGAATACGGCGTTTTCGGACTCAAATGGTGAGCCTTTGGGTTGCGGTTTAGGAAATTATTTTTTATTTGGTTAAGGACTTTCCCACATTTGTTGCCTACTCTATTTGTTTCTGGTGCCCAGGGCCACCGGATTTGCGTGTGTGTTCTATATGAGCATCTGGCGTGATGAAAGATGCCTTGAATATCATTATCGTCACTATTTTCTAGAGCTCGTAGGGCAGTGACTAAGAAGTAAGCCTGCTGTGATAGTTAACGTATCTAGTTCACCAACTAGTAGGCTAGTCAGTTAGGTAGGGCTGAACTGCATTATTAATCCAGCACTTTGTAGCTATGCGCGACCTTGAGATAACGCCCTTTTCTTCCCATTCAATACCCCAAGGACTTTGTTGTTATTCAAATCGGCAGAAAAGAGCACTTGACAAAAATAATAAACTGAGGGCATTGAATAGCCAGCACAACGATGGCACGCCGACGTCGACAGTCTGACAGCCACAATCCAGACAACAGCGTCTTTGCTTCTCAAGATCTGGAAGAAACCTTTGCTAGTGCAGCCTGCGAGCAATGTCGAATCCGCAAAGTCCGATGTGACAGACGAATTCCACAGTGTTCGAATTGTGAAAAAGCTGGTGTTCCATGCAACTTTCCCAACCGGGAGAAACGGGTCAACCACGTCAAGAAACTCGTTGAGGATGTCTCTGGACTGGCCTCGCGACTTGATGGAATCGATCAGACTATGAACAAAGTGATTCAGCACTTGTCCGTTCTCCAGTCGACGCATTCACGCTCTGCTACTATCCCGTCTTCACGATTGAGCATGGGCTTGAAACCAGAAAGTCCTCTTGTCCCTGATGCTGAAGATATGGAGTCGATCTTCTACGCCAAAAGCCCTGCTGAGGCAAAGGGAAACAGTCCCAAGTCGCCGAATATCCAGCCGCGAGATCATATTGCCACGAGATTACTGTTCGATGACTCGAGACGTACACTTGGAATGCTGCTTGAACGCCTGAAGTATTCCCCCGCTACCTGTGGTGTGTTTCACGCTGCCAAAGCAAGCGCGGTGGAATTCGAGCTGCGGATAAAATATGAGCTATACCCGCAATTTCCCCAGTCGAACCTACCTTTATCAGCTGGTGATGGACAGCTAGTTGCGCTGCCTCCTCGGTCTATACTAGAGACGTGTATCTCCGACTTCTTTGAATATGTCAACCCCACAACACCTTTATTTAGCGAATCTCATTTGAGAGAAACCATGGATATTTATTATGCCAAAGCCTGCAAGCTGGACGAAGCATACAATCTTTGTTTCAACAATATCATTATTTTGGCACTAGGTCTCAGGTCCCGGCTTGGACGCTTTGACAGAACCAAAAAGGACGGCATGAGTCATGACCTTTTACCTGCATTTTTGAGCAACTCATTTCGCGCGTTGCAGCACTTGAGTGTGTTTATGCAACCGCGGCTGATATGCTGCCAGGCGCTAGCAACTCTGGTACGTCCCATTCTCTTTCTTTACAATCAACCAGGCACATTGCTGAAGAAGGGTGTTAGGCCATGGTGGCTCGAGAGTACCATGAAAGCAAGGTGTTTGATATAATCTGTCACACAGCTTCTCTAATATCAAAGTCCATAGGGCTGGGGCAATGCAGCAGAGATGATGAAGACTTGAACGAAGAAAAGCGGGATCTGTACTGGACGATCTTTGCCATGGACAAACAGCGAACTTATGTCGCAGGCCAACCATTTGACTTACACTTCTACGATTCTGACGTCCGATTGCTCCAGACATCTACGTCAAATGATTCACTCCAGCAAGGTCGAAAGGCACATATCCACATGATGGCCATTTGGGAGGACATCTATATCCACCTTTACTCTCTTAGGGCTCTTCGCAGTAGCTCCACTCATAGACAGCATCACATCGCCAATCTGGATCGCCTCTGCCGCAATTGGTATTCCCGCCACTCAGCTCTCCTGACAACCCGCTGCAATACCGAAAAGTCTGCCCTTGAGTGCTGGCATATCGAACTGAAATATGCTTTCCACATCGGCCAAATCCTGGTGCATCGCTGCTCCAATGAGGAAGGTAGTCAGCAGGTTGCACTGGTCAATTCACGTGCTGCATTGCAAATTATTCGCGATGTATTTCAGTCCAAGCATTCCCAAGGATCGATCTGGTTGTTGTCCAAGTAAGTCTAGTTCTTGTGGCCTTTACGTATCGCTAAGCAGAATTGACGGCTACAGATTTTTTCGACATTATCCATTAGTGAGCATTCACGGCCTATTCTCGTCCTTTTTAGCCAATCCAAATGCAGACCTTCTGGGAGACTTGGGTCTGATCGAAGACGTGGCTGAGGCTCTCGACATTCTGTGTGACCATAACATACCAACTGCGTGTTTGTTCAGAGTCAACGAGGGTATTCAGTGGTATAGACAAGTTGCCAACGTATTCCGAAATCTTTTTGAATGCTCGAATTATCAGGCATTGGAGTTACCGTTGACCCGATCTGCAAAACGGCTTCGTGCCTCTGATACCCAATCTGGAAGCCAGAGCCAGAATGAGATGCGCTTTGTGTCTCAGAAACGCAGCAAACGCCCTGCCTGTGGTGACATTGATGGTATTCCTGCAACACCAGAAGGGACCCACAACAATTTCTCTGAAGAGATACTGGGACTAGAGAATTCTATGCAATATGACACTCTGTATCTGAAACAGAAAACAACCCATAACCGTCCAGCCACGATTGCGGGAAATTACGGAAACGAGCTCATTCAACCATCTTGGGGGCCGGATGACGACCTTGCAAAGTTTTTGCAAGACACTCTCCCACTTCCTTCAAGCTCTATGGAAAATTCCTTGCCTCAGTCACAGGCACTATATTCGAACCTGACACCATCTGGTACCTCAATGCCATTATCGGGTATTTGTCCCAGCATCCTCCAAGGCGATTGCTCCGGGGTGGCAGAGGACGACATGTTTTACCCATATTTAAACGATCCATTCGATCTATGGGGAGCAAATGAACATGGCCAGTCAGTGCCGGATGAGTTCTTCCTCCAATGAATGCCCGCATTTTGAATTTATCCCATAGTCAAAATCTTGATTTAGATTGACCGGCTTCTTCTTCTTCTTCTTCTTCTTCTTCTTCTTCTTCTTCTTCTTCTTCTTCTTCTTCTTCTTCTTCTTCTTCTTCTTCTTCTTCTTCTTCTGCTTCTGCTTCTGCTTCTGCTTCTGCTTCTTCTCCTCCTTCTTCGCTGCCTGGTTCGCCGACCCAGACCAGGCGTGGGCTGGGGAGAGAGTCGAAGGGAGTGTCGTAGAGAGGAGATGGGAACATTCTGGGCAATATTTTGCATTGGTCCTGGGAAAATTAGACGTAATTGATGTTGCTGGAGTAATCGGAAATCTTGTGAGAAATGTTGATACCCGAGCAATGATGCCAGAAGTTTTTGAAGAGTGTAGCGGAGTTGAATGTCCCCAAATATCCTCTTCATTCATCTTCTGGATTTCTATGCCAGCTTTTTAAGCACTGGCATTTCCATCTGGGGCAATCTTTGTGAGTGAGCGCCGTGTTGCCGCCCGAACCGTATATCTCGGTCCCGGATTCCGGGTACCGAGAGAATCGGACTCAGGCGGATTTGATTCAGGAATTGACACAGTGTTGTCACTTGGTAATGTATATTTCTGACAAATGACTAGTTTATAAGCTGTCGATGAGCAGTTTTGGCCTGTTCAAGGAACAGCTTGGTACTATCCTTATCCGCGCTACATATAGGGCTCCAACTCCTTTGCTTCCCTCTCCCAACGCTCCCTGATTCACGTATCCTGCAATTTCCTCATATTTACAATGCAATCTCACGCGCAGTCAACAACTGAAGAGACTAATTCTGGATCTGTCTCTCCAGAAAATTTTGATTTGGAAAAGCCAATGCCACAGCCGACACCCGCACAGGACCTTAATGTTGTTGTTTGGGAAGCCTCTGACCATGAAAATCCTCATACATGGAGCACGGGCCGTAAATGGCTTGTGATGCTTGCACTGAACACACTACCACTATTTGTTAACGTTGGATCCAGTATCCTCAGCGGCTCGGGGGCAGCTCTTCAAAAGGAGTACGATGTATCCGCCGAGCTGACGGTACTAGTCACCAGCATGTTTCTTCTGGTAAGTGCAGCACAGACAAATCTTCTGATCTCTTGAGCCTGACTCCATTTTAGGGATTTACATTTGGACCACTCATATTCGGCCCTCTCTCTGAACGAATCGGCCGCAAAACCCCCATTATCATCGGCCTAACACTGTGCTCCACCTTTTGTCTGCCAATCGCCCTCGCACAAAATTTCTATACAATTCTTATCTGTCGATTTTTCAGTGGTCTCTTTGGCTCGGCAGCAATGGCTGTCACAGGCGGTGCTGTGGCGGACCTATGGCCGAATCCAGTCCTTCGAGGAGTGGGAATGGATGCCTTCATTGCCACCGGTTTCCTCGGCCCTACTCTCGGTCCTATTGTTGGGAGTTTCATTACACAGAGCTATTTGGGATGGCGTTGGGTGATGTGGATTACTGCAATAGTGTTGTATAGCTTCACGATCTTCGCATTCTTTTTCATTCCAGAGACATATGCCCCGGTCTTGTTGACCCGGAAGGCTGCACGGCTACGACTCGAGACAAGGAATTGGGCACTTCACAGCAAAATGGAGGAACATGATACGGACTTCAAAACATTTACAAAGATGTATTTGATGCGGCCATGGGGTAGGCATTTTCATTCATTTGCCTTTTTCAAACAATATGCGTGGCTTACTTGTCTCAGTCCTCTTATTTACCGAACCAATTTACTTTCTAATCACCATATACATGTAAGAATATTCTTGTTCCTTTTGGAAAGATTTTGTGCTGATTTTGTTCAGGGCATTCGTTTACGGCTTACTATTCCTGTTCTTCGAAAGCTTCCCCGTCGCATTTGCGGAAGTACGTGGCTGGGCACTGCAAATCGCATCGCTTTCATTTATCGGACTCGCAATTGGAGCTGTTTTCGCTGGCCTTTCCATTGTCTACTACACTATGACTTTGTACAAACGCCAGATAGAATCCACACCAGGCCTCTTTGTCCCCGAGCGACGTCTTCCTCCCATGATGATAGGCGCCGCAATGTTACCACTGGGCATGTTCTGGGCCGGATGGACAAGCCAACCATCTACTCCGTGGCCCGCACAGGTAGCAGCCTATATTGTGGTTGGGGCAGCTCTTTACATCATTTTCGTCCAAGGATTCAAATATTTGGTCGACGTCTACCTAAACGTTGCCAACAGCGCTATCTCAGGAAATACCTTTGCGCGCAGCTTCTTTGGTGCCGGGTTTCCGTTATTCTCTACCGCTCTGTATCATAATCTGGGTGTGCCATGGGCTACCAGTTTGCTGGGGTTTATCTCGCTGGCGTTGGCTCCAGTACCGGTTTTGTTTTACATGTATGGAGCGAGAATTCGGACATACTCGAAGAATGCATTGGCTGATGCATGATGTGTATCGATTGTGAATTGGAACAGCAAAATGGAATGTGACAGCGGAATGTATTGGTGGAGATTTTAGGGGTTGGTAAAAATTGGTGAGAGAAGAGCAAAAATAGACGTTGTAGAAACAAGTGAATGACACCACTCCATATAGCTGCCCGAGATGGACAATAAATAGAGATATGTGATTTGATTTCCGAGGGAATCGATCTCTCTCTCCCTGATGGCACTAGAATGACCGCACTTCATTGGGCGGCGCGAAGAAGACATGTAATGGTGTTAGAGCAACTCCTCGCAGCGGGAGCTGATATATTTGCGTTAGACAGATGTGGCAGGCCAGCAATCCAATGGGCAGTCGAGGAAAGGGAGTATGCAGTGGTGGTATTGCTGGCAAAAGAGCAACTGGATGCTTACCAGAGATCAGACGATTCTTGCCCAACTGAGCTTGTATCTCTCCTCAGACGTTTCGTTGAGAAATCAGCCTTGTTCCACGGATGAGGACTCCCATCACATACTATAATGACCACGTACATCCAGGTATCGTCCTGGTGGACTGGTCCACACTGTCGTTGTATTACAATTTGTTATTCTGTTGAAGGGTGTTCACTAATACAATGGGACAGGCGTTATCCGTCTTTGTTTGCCTCCGTTACGATAACGTCGAATCTTGGTCTGTCACCTTCATTCCTTCTTCGTCTTTCGAGAGTCTGCCCAAGTGGATCTGACGAAGGGAATGTCCAAAGAACATCAAAATGATCACTAAGAAAAATGCAAAAAGAGAGAAGAATGCCATCATCCCGAAAACCCATCCAGGACCTCCCACTCTGGCGATCCATTGATCTACAAAGAATGGCACAATTAGTCCGAGGGTAAGTCGATATGTGCCCATGATGCAAGCAACCTCCGTGGGATGATCCCTAAAGCACTCGATCAGGTAATTGACTGCAACCGGGATGCTACAGAATGCAGCAATCGTGATGAGGAAGCTGCCCAGAGCGAGAACCATGTAATGGAGATGGTACTGGAGGGCAGAGCCGAAAATGCCCAAACCAATAGGCATGAAAAGCAACGAAGGGATCCATAGGGAGTGAAGACGATACTCAGGCTTCCATGTTCCTCCGGCTCGTCGTGCGCGCATCAAGGGGATCCGATCGTTGAACACGGACCCCCACATTTGAGCGCAGATCACACCCAACCATAGAGCGAAGGAGACTGTTGACACAAATATGATGAGATTAGTTCGGTCAATCGCGGTTATCGGATGGCTCCTTACATCCAGCATTCTGTTGCGGTGTGAATCCATACCCGCCATCTTCTGTTGGTTCTTGGAGGAAGACGGTAAGTAGCGTATTGACGCTGACGAACCAACCGAAGAATCCAAAGGTGTATGTCCCAGCCAGAAAGCCTACGGGCGAAACACCAATGAGCAACTGCGCAATTGCAGATCGAGGCTATGGAGAATTTAAGTCAGAGGATTGGGTGGCCTGAAGGTATCTCTATATTTATACTCACGGCTTCCTGAAGCCCATCCCGATGAGCAACTCGTGTACCAGGGAAGAAAGTGGCAATTCTGTTTGCAACATAGCCCTCCGGCTGTTTCGGGTAGACCCTGCCTCCATCTCGAGTGAAGCCGATCTCAGGCAGGAAGAAGAACACTGGCGAAAATTCATCAGCACGGAACAAATCGCATAAATATTAATGACTTTCTTACCGAGAAGAGCGACAACACATTGCAGTGCAACTGTCCACCAGAATTCAAACGGCCACGCCACATGCTGAACGACAAAGCCACCGAAAGTTGGGCCTGCAACGGTGCCCATGAGGAAGCACATATGAAATGTTGTGAAGACTCTTCCTCGCTCATGAAGGAAGAAAAGATCCATCAGCATCTGGGGTCCTAGGATGGAAGGGATAGATCCAAAGATCCCACCGAAGAGACGTGATAGAGTAAATCCCACATAGTCATCCGGGTTTGTCATTCGAGCCGACCAGATTCCACAGCAAATGCATCCTATCAAAGTCCAAAATATGATAGAGGCACGACCAAATATATGAGCCAAGGGAACAATGAAGAGAGGCCCGGCAGCGATACCTGCGACTGCGGCAGAGATCTATACTGAAGATGTCAGAACATTATTGAGGGAAAGCAATGCACAAGATACAGCCACTGCAGAAAGCAAGAGTGAGAGACAGACCGTATACGAGAGTTCAGTAAGCGTCTTGTCGTACAGCTTCGCCTGGGCTCCAAGGCCAAGTTGGTTTGCCAAAGACGACGCAAGTCCCGAGAAAGCTGTCAGACAGAGAATCCCCAGAATGGAATACTTTTTACGTTGCGACCAGTTCTTGCACATGTGTCAGTAGAAGATCTAGTCTGCAGCAATGATAAGCATGCAAGGACTCACCAATGGATCCTTAGGATCGTCTGAGGGCTGAGGGACAAGAACGAAATTGTCTCGATGTTTGGGACCAGTCTCAGGCTCCAGGGGTGATTTGCTATCCACAACGTCTGACTCTGGCCGTTCTTTGTACATGGTGGGGAAATTGAAATAGAGGAGCGGAAAGCAGAGGTAGACCGTGAACACCCAGTAAACTTACTGCAAAAAGTCAATTCTCGAATGTCAGGGAGGGCTGCCCCTGTTTTTCTGGAAAGATTTTTGCTGCAAGGGTGAAATGGCCAGTGTTTATATAGACGAACATCCTTTCCCAAACGAGTTGGAGTAGCGCTAGCTCCAGGTGGTTTGATGCAATCCGCGACGAATCCCCAAAAATTGGACAAATTTACAAACCAATAGTCTAGAAAACTAAATACTAGGAAACTGTTTAGCTAATGTAACACACTGACGCAATACCGGACTAGTGGTGATCGAATTGGATTACTGGTTCATGTACCTTGAGTAGCGTAGCCCCATCTGGCCCCGATGTTGCGTCCTACCCAGATTTAGCTCCTTCGCCCTTCTTTTGCCACGGCAAACCGCACGGTATGAGGACGGAGTATATTATACATCTCCTTAGCAGACTTTTCCCTCCCTTCTGGCTATGACCGTGCCGGCACCAGACCATAATGACATACTATTACATCGGGGGACAGCCGTACAATTCTCAGCAGTGGTCCATCATTATTGTGACGAGTTTCTTAGTCGCAACCTCGACTCTCGCCGTGGGATTGAGACTCTACGCCCGGCAAAGCAGCGGAGGGAGGTTGTATCTGGATGATATCTTCATCGTGGCATCGTTGGTGAGTGGTTTCCGTGTAACGTTCATACAGAACCTCAAATGACCAGAGAACGTGTAATAGCTCTTGTCATACGGTAATTGCGTCTGTGAATATGTCGGCGTCTACTTTGGGCTGGGAAGACATGCATCAGAAGTTGGAGAGAAGAAGACACTCAGATACATGCTTGTGAGCTTTGACAATTTCAGTCGCTTTGTTAGCCACTCGCTGACATAGTTCCCATTTTGAAAAGGTTCTCTTTATCCTGCAGATGTTTTGGAATACCACACTGCCTATGATCAAGGTGAGATGGATCGCATGCTCTCCCTTCCGTCCCTTCGCTAATGGATTTGTCGAATGATCCAGGTTTCAATCTTGCTGTTTTACAAGAGAATCTTCCCGACGACTCTAATGAAGCAGGTCTGCAATGGCCTGTTTATATTCCTGGGAGTTTGGTACATAACCTTCCAAATAGCCGCCATTTTCCAATGCACACCCGTGAAGTTCTTCTGGGAACGGAAGATTCCAGGGGGCCATTGTGTCGACAATGTCAGCTTTTACATTGCCCTTGCATGTACCAATACATTGACGGATATTATCCTACTCATCCTGCCGATGCCACTCCTGTGGCGGCTGCAGATCTCACGGAGCAAGAAAATATCACTCTCTGGAGTGTTTCTGCTGGGCGGATTTGTCTGCGCAATTGCGCTCTATCGCATTAGCACCCTGCCACTGATCGATGACAACGACATCACCTATTCCAACACATACGCCGGGTTATGGACGTCAATCGAGGGAAGTGTGGGAGTAATTGTCGCATGTCTACCCAGTCTGATGCCTATCTGGAATCGGATGCGAGGAAAAACCGTTGGCTACGCACAATATTCGAGTCAATTGACCCAGTACGGGAACGAAAGCAGAAATTGCCGCTCCATGGGTGGAGGTAGATTAAAGGACAGAAGGAGTGAGTTCGATCCGTTGTCTAGTCGAGCCGGCCCGGAACGGGGCCAGTCGCAGGAGAGAATAGTGCGCACGACGGTGGCGCATGGCGAGGAAGTATACAGCACTCATAGCGACGAGCAGAGCGAAGTATCTCGGAATGCGATCGGAGTGGTCACCGAAGTTCAGCAGCAGATTGAACTCAGAGATCTCGGGACCCGGGAGCATGTATGATAATGAATCGGTGGATTTTGAGGACTTCTATCTTAAGGTGTGCTCAGTGCGCTCTTGTTTATAACTCTCAATAAATGATTATGGTATACGTTAGATCCCGGGTTGAATATCCCGGGAGATCACCGCATATCGATCGCTCATCTGTATCGAAGTACTTGCGGAGTAAATTGAAAAACAGATACTCGCCCCTAAGTCGGGCCCCAACTGCCGGGTTGTGTAGGGTTCGACTTGGGAGCGAGTTTCACCCTCCTCAGCTTCGGCACTAACTTTCCCTTGCAGGATGAGGAGAAAAGAAGTCTCGAAACCGAACAAATCCTTACAATTGATCCCTGTCTAGTTTGTTCCTTCGATGCAGCTGCACCCAACCAGCCACTCACCGAGCAAAGTTGTTGGTGATCGGCCAGTCAGCTACCGTACATGTTCTTCTGACAAATTCAACCAGCCCACTCACTCTTCCTCCTGCAACCATGGGTTAACCGTCCTCCTGAACGATCTTCATTATTATTGCCTTGGGGGCCTGATTCCTGAATCCAATCCTGAACGCTAGAGTCTCGAAGCCGGGCGGATCTCCGAATAGCATTCGAACTAAGTTGTCATTGGCAACCTCTTCGGACTTAAGCGACTCGGTGACTGAATTGGACAACGTGGTTCATCTTTCTCCCTAGAGAACTTCTTCGGAGGTTCATTCTACTACTTCACCCACCAAGGGGAGAAGGGAACAGAAATCCCAAAATGGGGTCGCCCGCCAATCATTTCGGTCGCTTGAATACGGTCGATGATTTGATCAGGAAACTTTCTGACGAGGGAGGCTTTGATGCACCACCCGTCATTGCATTTCCGACTTCCCGTAGTACCGGATCGAACGATGAATATGAATTCTTCCGAGCGAGTGACCTTGACAGACTTGCGGAGGGGGTTGCCGCCACCTATCTCCAATGTCAATTACAGCCAGTGGTTAGTAGTCATGCTTCGGTCCTTTCCCCGGGGTGTCTCCTTGGCTGAGGATATCAATTCATAGTGGCATGATCGAGACGAAGTTAGCGTGGTTGCCATTCTCGGGAAATCAAACCTCGAATATTTCGCTTCCTTATTGGGGCTGTGTAGGTTAGGCTATGCGGTCCTTCTGCTGTCCCCACGCCTCGCAACAGAGGCTGCTCTCTCCTTGCTGGACCGCACCAACTGCGGTACTCTCGTATACATGCGAGAATTCGAGGCAGCTGCAGAACGCATCCAAAAGCACCGAGCCGTCCAGGCCCTTCGGACCCCAGAGAGGGATGTGTTCGATACCGGCTTGACTACTGGGATCGATTGGCGGAACGAGAAAGTCGCCGGCGCTGCCGACCGCACAGCCTTCATCATGCATAGCTCGGGTTCAACCGGGATGAACAAACCTATATTCCAAACGCATCGAGCGTGCCTGGAAAATTTTGAAAATGGCAACAGTTTGCGGTCATTTCTCACTGCACCACTGTTTCACACTTTTGGTTTCGCCACGGTGTTTCGCACAATCTCCAAGGGAGGTCTTCTCTATATGTACGACCATAATCTGCCATTGGTATCAAACTACCTCCTGGAGGCATTAGAGAATGTCCGCCCTGAAAATTTCTTCGGAGTCCCTTATGCATTGAAGCTTCTCGCAGAGACACAGAGCGGCATCGATGCTTTAGCGCGATGTGGCAGTGTGATTGTAGCAGGAAGCTCATGCCCAGATGAACTGGGAGATCGGCTGGTTACAAACGGCGTCCATCTGATTGTTACATTTGGCGCTACCGAATGTGGCCAAGTTGCGACGTCGAGGCGTCCCAGTGGGGACACCAGTTGGAACTACTTACGATTCTACCCTAACGTAAAGCCTTATGTTTACATGCAGCCCATCGGTGATCAGCTTCACGAGCTAGTTATCTTGGACGGCCTAAGATCAAAAGTCGTATCTAATTCAGACGATCCACCGAATTCTTTCCATTCACGCGATCTCTTCTCTCCGCATCCTACAATTCCGGATGCTTGGAAACATGTCGGTCGAATGGATGATCGAATTACCCTCGTGAACGGGGAGAAGGTCCTTCCTCTTCCTTTCGAGGGCCGAATCAGAGATCATCCGTTGGTTACCGAAGCAGTTGTCTTTGGGATCCAGCGAGACTTCCCAGGTTTATTAGTTTTCAAGGGCCCTAACGCCCAAAACTTGACAGATTCCGAATTCATCGACAACATTTGGCCCGCTGTAGAAGATGCAAATTCACGGGCCGAAGGGTTTTCCCAGATCAGCAAACAGGCGATTCTCCCCATTGCGGTTGGAGTACCATACCCACAGACTGACAAAGGGACCGTTATTCGCGCTAAAGTTTATCTGGCTTTTGAAAGGGAAATTAACGCTATGTATGAGAGAATGCAGCAAGACACATGCGGAGTCGAGACGCCGGACCTGCCCAATCTAGAGAAAGACCTTCTCGCCATCTGCAGGGAAGACTTGGGTCTGGATATTGAGGATGTCAATACTGATATGTTCAACGCTGGCATGGACAGCCTGAAAGCTGTTCGTCTGTCAGCCGCAATCCGGAAGCGATTCTATATAGAATCGGAGAAAAGACGCAGTGGTCTCGGTGCTGACACGATATATCGCAGTGTGACAATAGCAAGACTTGCCAAGTATATCAAGGATGTCCAAGATCTCGGTGACTCCTCGGATCTCGATTTGATGACCGACTTGATCGCCCATTACTCGGACTTCAGCCCAACGGCCCCAGCCATGTCATTACGGACTCAACCTTCCATATCAGATGGCAGTACAGTCCTCCTCACTGGCGTCACAGGCTCATTGGGCTGTCACATTTTGAAGATTCTTCTTGATTCTGCATCGACCAAGAGAATTATTTGCATCGTCCGCGTTGCGGACAGCGACTCTAATCTAAGCTCTGAAGCTGCGAGGAATCGCATTTTGGGATCCCTTCGAACGCGTGAGATTGATGTCACACCAGACGCGTTTTCAAAAGTAACTGCTCTACCTGGAGATCTCGGTCATGCAAATTTTGGCGAAACATTGGAGAAACATCAGGAGACTTTACAGTCAACTACAGCAATTGTTCATGCGGCCTGGCCCGTGGATTTCAATTTGACCCTGGGAAGCTTCAGCCCGCAACTTTCGTCGCTCCAACAGCTTCTCAATCTCTCTCTTCGTGTCTGTAAACCGCCAGCAAGGGTGCTCTTCTGCTCATCCATCTCCACCGCTCTATCCACCCCAGCTCCGGCGACTATCCCCGAATCCCTCATCAGTCATCTGCAATATGCACAACCAACCGGATATGGCCAGTCCAAACTCTGCGCCGAACACATCCTCAACAATGCAGCCATGCAAGCAGGAGCGGACACGATAGTCGCACGAATCGGCCAGATCGTCGCGGACACAAAAGCCCATATCTGGAGCGCCAAAGAAGCAATCCCCCTCATGGTACGATCCGTGAATGCGATCCACCTCCTCCCGGATCTGAAAGGAGAACAATGCCGATGGCTTCCAGTCGACGATTGCGCTCGGACGATCTGTGAATTGATCCTCGAGAACCCAACTACGGAGGAGAATGTAGTGCAGGGAGCTCGATTCCTCAACGTACTCCATCCACGCGCCTTCTCTTGGACGGATGACTTCCTACCCGCCCTTCGCCAGGCAGGATTCACATTCGATGTATCATCCGTTAGCGAATGGCTCACCCGTCTGGAAAGGAGCGACCGGGACCCGCGGACTAATCCAAGTATCAAACTCCTGGATTTCTGGAAAAATCGTTGGGGTTCTGGTACGAATCGGGTAGAACGAGATATTCAGTTTGATACGACCAAAGCTCAGCGCGGGAGTGACACCCTGGCTCGGTGTCCAGATGTAGTTGCGAGTGGGCTCGTTCTCAAATTGGCGGCACGATGGTATCGAGAGTGGAATACTGTTTAAAAGAAGAATAAATCGATATTTAGCATTTAAAATAGGTATCTTTCATCGGAGTCTGCATATTGTAAGAGTCCCTTTAAGTACTAGACAAAATGGCTTTAGAAGGAGGCGCCTACACACAAAGAAAATTTGAAAAATAATTCCAGTTCTATTTCTGTGTTGAGCGGCTAAAAGCAGTTAAGAGATAGAATAAAAAAACGACACCTCTGTTCATCTGCTCTGAGCGCTCAGTGAGCACATAGTTCACTCGTATCACATGACGTGCGTGACTGGGAGCCAGATCAAGAAAGATAACGATTAAAATAATTAATTTGAGTGCTATGGAGGACGAGAGTTCCAAATTGGAGAAGAAAAGTAAAGAAAAAAGAAGAGTCATAGCTATCTCTTTCTACAAAAAGCATGTCACGTGATATCAACAGAACAGTTGCAGCGTTGGTCAAAACGGGTGGATGACTGGTTAATCGGGCGCCGAACTGGCGTTCTGCAAGGTAGGCGCCCGATTGACCGTCACTTAGCATTGTGGTGTAGTATTATTGGCTGTGCTGTGCAGTGCAGATTTGCAATCCTGGTTGATATGACATCGGGGTACGTCATCACCAGCGATAAACCTCACTTAGACCCATGTATCAGAAAACCGGATTCAGGTCGAGATGATGCGCAAACGCATAGTCATGAGTAGTTTAAATAACAACTCTTTCAATAAACTCTCTCGCAATTACTCTGTTGTTAGTCTTTTACTTACTCGGTCACATCGACCCACATCTGCTACATACGAACAACAACACCACCATCTCCATCTACATAATGGCATCCATCCTTCGATTTCAGCCTCGGCTGTTTGCCCGAGCTTCCACTATGCCCTCCGGTCGCTCCATCTGGAATGCTACAGTCCGGAGAACTTACGCCCAAAGCTCCTCTGATCCCAACAAACAAGGACAAGGCAGCTCTCCCGATTCCAACCATCCAATCCCATCCAACAAGGCGAAGCCAACCCTTCGAGACGGTAACCAGTCGCCCATGGCTGACATGGAAGGCCACCTGCGTGATGATTTGCCGGAGGACGTGAAACGACACAACGAGGACGTTGCAAAGCGGTACGATCGGCCGTATAACCACATCTCAGATAAAGGGAAGATCGAACAGCCGTGGAAGAAGGAGGATTAGGCCGCTGCATACTTTTTTTCCCTCGCTAGCCTAGGCAGCAATGGGCGTGTTGAAAGACATTTCTCTCGGCGTTGGAAAGGATTGCGAGTCTTGTGTACCATATTTTTGAATTTAGGGAATCCTGTGAATAAAATGCCAGTCAATCGAAAATAATTGTTCAAATTTTTGTCTTGGTTTCTAATTCTTTGGTTCCGTGTAAAGTGCAAGAAGAAGGGCAAAGCCGCTTTGTTTTGTTTCAAAGCTGACCGCCCGGGATCGGATCTGCCGCGTGGACTGAGACTGACAACTAACTTGACACTTCGCACCTTTCTCTTGTTTCATCCACCACTCTTCCACCATGACGCTGGCTGAGGAGTTCCGTTCGCGAAATTTCAGTATGGGTTGCCCTCCCTATTCTCCGTGGTGTTGCTAACACAACCCTCTTTCCAGGCATCTACGGGCAATGGTTAGTACTCTCCCTCATCTGTCACCACTCTGTACCTGGTGCTCGAGCTTGTGAAGCGGTATCATGATCGCTGGCCATTGAATGGCTATTGCAGACAGCGAGGCCAGCCCCCTGTTTTCACATATGGAACCGTCGATCCGCTCCCCCGTGCCCTTGCGCTTGAGAAGAAATCAAGGGATCTAACAACCTTTCCTCCAGGACCGGCGTGCTGTCCATGATCCTCTGCTTCGCCGTGGGAATTTCTAACTTTTTCGCGGCACCGCTCCGCATCATCTTCGGGGCGCTATGTTTGTAAGTCGCTGGCCCAGCGTTCCAGGGCACCGCATTTGCTAATAGTAGTGGCAGTGCCTCTTCATTCATCATCCTCTTCATTGAGGTGCCATTCCTCCTCCGCATCTGCCCGACCTCCTCCACCTTCGACGCCTTCATCCGCCGCTTCACGACCAACTGGATGCGCGCCGCCATGTACACTATCCTCAGCGCCATCCAGTGGGCCAGTCTGGTCTCCGGCGCCTCCAGCTTGATCGCCGCCGCCGTGACACTCATCCTGGCCGCGGCTTTCTACGCGCTTGCGGGCCTGAGGAGCCAGGAGTTTGTGGGTAGCAAGACTCTTGGCGGCCAGGGTATTGCACAGATGATTGTCTGATGGGGCCGATGGTCTCAGAGTATAGCCGAGGGCTGTCTGTGTGTGTTGGAACAAAAGACGGGATGGATAACTCGATACCCCTTCCCGGGACTGGGCTTGTCGCGCGCGACGTGCATTGGAATGCGCTATGATTAGTTATGGATATCGCTCTGTTTGATTGCTTTTGTCTTTCGTTCTTTGTTAGCCTGTACTTGTATGTCTCCCCTAACTAGCGGCACTGGGATGAATCAGCCAAGCATGTGTTTTAAGATTCCTCGAGTGAGTCTGTAGTTCTATCCTTTCGAATAGACCGAGGCCGCGTCTTGTGGTTGTTTAAATATTTACTTCCAGGTGTATACATCGTCCTATATAATAAGGTGGGCTCACGACTGCAGATCAGCCGATGTCTTGCTTGTCTTTCTATCTACCTCGGACCGTGACCCGTTCTGATCCAATAGAAGTCCTCATGAAGTCTGGAGTCGAGCTGGCCAGACTCCACACGTGTATTTCCCCGCACCGTGAAGCCGTTCTTCCAAGTTTGCACTATACTTGTTCTCGCGAGGAAGCCTACAACATGATAATCCCCCGAATCGCAATGTGAAATCTTCGAGCTTGTATTCTACCAGCAGCAGACCCAGGGACATCATGGCCGTATTATTCTCCCACGATATGATTATGGTCTCTCTGTTCCTTCGAGTCGTGCGAGTACATCGTGACTTGAAAACCTGGTGGCTCACCTGATCTGCCGGATGATGTAATGCGGAGAGCCCGTTCACCGCCTCGGCGTCCTCGACCAATCCTGACGGCGGATAAAAATCACTATCCGACTCCAAGCGGTGGATGGTGTTGTGTTATCTGCACCAGAATGGCGATAGGATTGTAATCAAAGGGGGTGAAACAAAGAATCGGATCGGCTGATCAAAGGCCTCGCTTTGACGACCAAGGCCTGGACCATCCTAAGTATAGATCCTGTATGAGGGATTTGCACCCACTGCAAATGCAACGGACCAAGCGGCGGCTGGCGCCCTGTCCCCGTATCGTCACGGTACGGTAATGCGAAACCTTCAGGCGGGCAGAGCACAGTCACGCGCCGAAAGTGGGCTGTGGCAGAAAGCGGGTCCGGTTCTGCTCGCAAGGCGAATACATCATCCTCTCGCTCTCGCTCTCGCCCTCTCTCCAACTCCCTGACTCTGCTTGCTTGCAAGTTCCTGTCTTTGCATTGACTTCGTTCGAATTGATGCTTGCACTCCAGTTATTCCATTTCTCATTCTGGGTAAGCTCTTCCGTTCTGTTCTTCCATATCAATCTCCATACCTGCCCCTTCCTCGTTGAGGCAGAATCTGGCAGCAGAGCAAGCAATCGGGCAGACGAACAACAGGCAGGGGCTGCGTCAGCAGATCGGGCCAGCTATTGGATTGATTAATCCCTCTCTGCCGTGTTGACCGTGCCTCTTCCTCCGACGGCAGTGACCAATTGCCCTTTCTTCTCTTGCCCGCACCTTGCTTCATTCGCAGCCCAACGTGCCTGCACCTGGGGGCTGCAGGTCACTTTATTTCTCCTGGAGCTTCGGCCAGCTGACAGTCAACGAACAGCTTTAAAGTACCCTCTACCACCTCCACCATGACAACCCAAACTGCCCCAGTCATACCTCCTCGACCGAGTCGATCGCCCCAAACCCCCACATCCGCATCGGACATGCCCAAGATCCCTCCGCGTCCGTCCAACCGCCGACTCGATCGATCGGTCTCACCAATGCCTGACAGCTATGCACCGTCTCCCCTCAATGATTGGAGTGGGCCGGGCATGACCCGTACCACCTCCAACGATCTCCCTCAGCGCCCGCCCAGCGTGACAATACCGTCCCTGGGTGAGGAGGGCATTGAATACGCCGACCTGGATGTGGGAAACCTGTCAGATGGCCACCACCAAGCGCCCGCAGAAACTCGCAACATTAGCAGTGACCTCAAGATTCACGCACCGAGGCCTTCTTTGCCGACATCAAGTGCCAAGGCCAGAGTGCAGGCTGTCACCCGCACCGATTCCCGTCAGGCCGCAGCCGTGGGAGTGGGTCGGGATGGGCCTTCTCCGGCTCACGAGGAGCAAGAACGCTCCAGTCGTTCGCTTCACTCGCGCGCGAGTGGATCGCGGCCTGAGTCCTCGGCCGCCTCCTCAGAACGCCGGCACTCCGCGCAGCTCGGAGACGAACATGGTATCCGCGTTCCCATGTACCCCAACGCGGGAGACGTTCAGGCTCCGTCGCCGAGTCCCTATCTTGAGCAGGGCTCTCAGCGTTCAGGTCGTAATCACCACCGGACTCGCAGTGGTCGGGACTCATCCCTGCCGCCGGGCAGCTATGGCCTGCATGGCCATGGTGTGCAGTGTACCGATAAGTTTGAAGCGGCCTGGTACGAGAAGCACCCCGATGAATACGTCAAGGAAGAAGGGCAGTACGGCCCTGGTGTTGGCACTCCCCGTCCCGATTGGGCCTTGAGCAGCGATGACCTGAACAAGATTGTCCGAAGCCCTGCCAACGCGGGATCTGGTCTTGGTAAGTAATATATCATGCGGAGGCCTCGTATTGATACTAATCTCATATAGGCACTTCTCGGGCCACGCAGGGTACACCCGACGAAGAGGTGGGCTACATCGCTTCGGACGAATACACGCATCGTATGGTATCTCCGCCTCTGGAAGCTCGGCACGACAGCAGTCTGCCAGTGGTTGAATCGCCCCTTCGGCAAATGAGCTTCCCAGCTTCAGCCCTCGAGCCCAGGGAAACCCCTGGCTCTCCGCTACGCCGTGCCCGGACCGGCTCCTCTCATGGACACCACCATGAAGGTGAAGTTATTCATGTGGATGACCCAGTGCATCCTCTGCACCATCCCGACGGATTTGCCCCTGCCCCATCAATTGATGATCATACCCACGACGCGGAAGTCGTTATCGAAGAGGAAGAAGAGCCTATTCTGGCGGCAGATGAGGTGCGCCCCGAATCGGCGTACTTACATCCTGCGATCACTCCGACATTCGAGCACCGAGACAGCTTTGATGAAAGCCGAAGTCGCACGCCCAGTGTCACTCATAGCCGCTCGAACAGTCGATCGGCCAGCCAGGGTGGTATCCCTGCCTTAACCCGGTGGGACTCTCGTGAACAGTGGGAGGATGCGCATACCCCCTCGAAAATGTAGAAGAATACGAGCCGTTGTTCCCGGATGACGATGAGAAGAAGGACCGGCCTGTGTCAGCCGCAGACCGTTTCAAGCAGCGACCCGATATGAGCAAGCACAGATTCCCCAGTGAAGATATCTGGGAAGATGCGCCGAACAGTCTACAGCTCCACGCGACTGTGACAACCCCAGATCTTCCCAAGTCCGATTCCACTGAGGTGTTTGAGACACCTCAGCAGGAGGCTGCGCGCAGAATGCAGACTTCTCAGATTAATTCTCATCAAGTCGCCACTCAGATTCTCGAAGGCGAGGGCCCTCAAACCAAGAAGAAGCCTACGCGTCCGGACGCTATCAAGCAGCGTTTTCCAAGTCGGGATATCTGGGAAGATGCCCCGGATAGTCAGCAGCTGGTGACCACCGTTGAGCCTGCGACAGATGAAATGAAGAGCCCCGAGGTTCCCTCGAAGCCCAGCATTCCCCTACGTCCTCAACGCCAAGCTCAGGCAACCTCGCCCACGGAGAAGCGGCCACCACCGATGATTCCAGACCGACCGAAACCGCAGATCCCGTCCCGGCCCGCTAAGCCAAGTTCACCGGAGAATCTGACCAAGGTCCCCTCCGCCGGTTCAACTGGCAGCACAGAATCAGCCAAGGATGCGCCCGCTGTGCCCAAAACGAAGCCCGCCATTCCCGCTCGCCCCGGCGGAAGCAAGATCGCAGCTTTGAAGGCCGGTTTCCTTACTGATCTGAACTCTCGCCTGCAGCAGGGTCCTCAACAACCCAAGCCCCAAGAAAAGGAGCCTGAGCCCGCTGCTGAAAAGCAGCCTCTCAGCGATGCTCGCAAGGGCCGAGCCCGTGGCCCCGCGAGGAGGAAGCCAGCAGCAGAAAATGCCAACGCCAGGCTGCCTTCTATCCCAGAGGTGAAGATCACGGCAACATGGAATGTGTGGGAGGTCCGCGAAGACGGCAATTTGATTGTGGGCAGTGATGCCGCGATTGAAAAGCCTTTTACCGCACCAATTGAGACTTCAATGGCCCCTGAGCTCGCCAAAAACACAGCCGGTGAACCCGTTGATCCAGCCGCGGAGTCTCCTGTTCAGCAGGAAGATCTCGTCTCACCCGGCACCGTCGCGGCCCCCGCCGAGACCAAACTCGTTCAGGAGGAAAAAGAAGCCCCGACCGCCACTGAGGAGATCCCAGAACAGGTAGATACGTCGTCTCCGGTAGAAACCGAGACAGTCGCCAAACAAGTGGATCTAGAGCCAGCTACTGATCCTGCGACTGTTGCCAATGATATGGCCGCTTCGGTACCGCCGGCTACCCTGGAGGACCAGCTTGAGAACCTGACTGCCTCGGCTGACGGCAAGAAAAGGTCTGATGGCGAAATCCATGAGCGGGTGTAGATGAAATGCTCTTCTTCCCTTCTTGTTTCTTTTATGACTATTATGTTGATGGACTTCATGTGTGTGTGCAAGCTAGTGCTCGCTTGTCTCGTGTGTGGAAGAGCATCCGAGACTACAACCTACGTAGCTTTTTTATTTCTTTACTATGCTGTTTAATGACTTAAGGATCCATTGGGTTATGAATCCACATCACTCTGGCTTTATTTTCCATATTCTTATTCCACGGTTGCTTCGCAAGGCACACCCATTCGTACGTCAAGATATTCAATATTTACATAGATCAATGTAGAGTAGAAACTTAAGACACACAGACAGCATTCAAACACCCACCTCAACAGCTACCACCCGATCCTCGACATAAGCCGAATGCCTTCTTCATTTGGTCCGTGGTACATTTGGTAAATAAATATATGCAAAGGCTTGATGAGGATTTCAAGTCGGAGTGATCGTCAATAGATAGGGCTAGCCGGGGTGTTGATCCCGTGCTTGTAATAAGTGTAAAGGATCAACCTGTTGATTTCTAACTCGTTGCTCAGGATGATGTACACATGAGACTACTTGCCTGAATGAGACTCGAGTATCTCGCCCAAATCTCGCCCAAAAAAAAAACAGACAATAAAAGTAAACTAAGAGAGGGTATGCATTGTATTTGATTCCATCTGATATGTTTTTTTTTTTTTTTTTTTCTTCAGGGATCAGCCATCCGGCTACAAAGATCCTGGGGTAAGCCTTGAGGGTTCTTGCAGTCGGTTCTGAATAAATATCAAAAAAGAGGTATGAGGGCATGCAGCCGGTAACAGGCGAGGCTGGTTTTTGTTGGATAGGAAAAACAGAGGTATCATCAAAAGAACAAGAAAAACGACGCAGATCGCGCACGTTCCCGTTCAGCTCAGCTCACAGGCAGCTTGGTCATATCACCCTTGCCCTCTTTGATCCATTCTGGATCGATCAGACGCTCCCGTTCAGCATAGAGCTGCTTGTAAGCACCGCGAATGGTTCCATCACTGACGTGGGCCACCTGGGAAATTTCTTTGGCAGATTTGCCCTGACCCATCAGGTAGGAGGCCATGTAGATGCAAGCCGCGACGATGGAAAGCGGAGAGCGACCGGCCAAGTCACCCATAGTGGTGACCCGGTCAGAAAGCGCAGCGGACACGCTGGTGACCTGGTAGGGTAGATCGAGGAGATTGCAGAAACGGTTGCAGAGATCGCTAGGCTTGGTCGAGGTGGTGGCCGTGTAGCCCTCGTTCGGATCAGGCACACCGCCACTTGACACAACGGCATTGTTGCGCTCGATGTTCTGTGCAGTGAAGAACTTCTCCAACGCCTTGTAGATGCGGCCAATCTCCTTCCGGGTCACCTTAGTCACGGCAAAGATCTCAGTAAAGGTCCTGGGCACCTTACACTGGCGGCATGCAATGAAGATGCAGCCAGCAATAATGACTTCCTGGGACTTGCCCTTGAACGCCTTGGCATCATCCACGATCTTGAAGAGATATTTGGCAGTGTCGGCAACGTTCTTTTGGATATTGAATCCGTCGCACAGCGCACCGATCTCCTTGTAGGCTGCAAGCAGCGCTTTGTTCGCCTTCTCGTTCGACTGCTTGTTCTGGGCACGATACAGATCCCGAGCTCGACCAGACCCTCCGCTGGCAATCGAAGTCTCCAGCTGATCACCGTTAAGCAGCGGGTTCATGGCGTCTCCAACACGGGACGGGTCATCGTTGTTCTGGTCGTCGTTGGAGAATGTTCGCCACTCAGAGTGCAAGTCAATTTCTCGGTCAGCGAGCACGAGTCCACATGATCCGCAGACGGTCTCGTGAGAGTCGGGGAACTCCAGGTTGGGAGGCACCTCCTTGCACTCCGGGCAGAGAAGATGGGCAGACAAGTTTTTCTTCCATGGGGCTGCCGCCTCGGCCCTTGCTACGGGTGACATGGCCGCCATCTTTTTTGCGATTCGGATGTCCTCAAACCGTGCGCTGTGTCTTTTGGCGACTTTTTTGGCACTGACAGATAGATTGTATTTGTGGTTGTAGTAACGAAAGAAGAGTGGCGAATACAGTTTGGCAGCTGAACTTCGATCACAGAAGAAATGAAGTCCACCTATTGAGTCTTTCTCAACAGGTGCAGGGCAAGGAGGATAACACCGACGACGTGCTTCGCGTTTCGGCTTTTCAACGTCTTCTGTGCGCCACTGCCTTGGTAGACTCAGGTTAGCCCGCTTGCTACATTCAAAAACTCAACAACATCCTGGATGAAGCCACCAAGCTCTCATGGAAACGATGCATGGCTGTTCGCCAGCAACAGGATCCATCGAGCCACTTGGAAGACGCCACCCAAGTTAATCAGGCTGCTATTACCTTTCCCCGCGATGTCACTCAGTCCAGTAGATCACCCCCCAGTTGTGAAAGCCTTCACAAGTCTGCGCTTTCTCAAAGGAAAGTGAGCCACCGAAATCCCAGATGCCAGCGAGTCCGACCGATGAACCAGTCAAGGTCTCCGTGAGAGTAATGATCTCACGAAAAGGGGTCGTAGAACCTGACCGGGCCGCTGCAAGTGAATCAGATCAGAGTGATCGAGCAAAGCAACGTCGAGAGTCGAGTTCCGGGGACAGGCAGGCAGGTAGTTGGACAGAGAGGGATCGAGGACTGGGGGAGATGGGGAGATGAGAAGAGAGAGGCAAGAGCGAGACGACGGCAAGTTCTTGAGGTTGCGCATGCTGAGTCATTCACCGGATCTGAGTCAGCGCCAAGCCGCCCTTCCGACTTTCACATCGTTTGCACTTCTCCTCGATCAGAATAATCCATCCTGTCAAAGCAGTTTCCCCCTCCATCCCCTTGAGACACTTCTCGCAGCCAAGATGATGTCCCAGTCTCTGCGAGCCTCGGTATGCTCCCATTGTATATGCCCCGTCCCTGGCCCTGGCTGACCTCCCGCAGCGCTCCGTCCTCTCCCGTGCCTCTCGGCAACAGGCCTCGATCGCTCGCCGCAGCTTCCTGACCTCCGCTGTCCGTCGGGGTATGTCACCAGTTCTCTTCATCGATGATTGGATTCACCTTCATCCAATTGCGCCCGTACTAACCCATTTTGCCTCCAGCCGACCCCGTTCAGGAGTTGTACCTTCGCGAACTCAAGGCCTACAAGCCCACCCCCATCAAGGCCGGTGACGCCGACGCCCACGTCCACAAGTTCACCGTTCCCCAGGCCCCCCAGTCCCCCGAGGAGGCCAACCTCGCCAGCGAGCTGTCCGCCTACGAGAGCCAGCAGGTTGAGGTCGAGGGTCAGGCCGCCGCCGGCGAGGCCACCCCCGTTGAGGAGAGCTGGTTTGAGGAGGATGAGGAGGAGGCTCCAGCTGCCCACTAGACATTTCTTTGTTGATTCGACTCTTTGGTCTGGGGAAATATGAGACGGATGGTTGGTTCTCCGCCCGTGGCGGGAGAGTAGCCGCCTCTCGGGTGCTGATGCTTGTAAATTAGACCACCTTGAGAAACGTTGAACCTTTTTCCTTTGTCATAAATCTGTTCTCTGCGTCGTATGTAAATCCCATTTGGGTGGACTGAGATGTCCAGATGTACATGAATCTGACAGGTTTTATACACACGTCCCAGCTCACATATCGTCCCACTACGAATACTCCTGTGTAGATCAACGATGGATGCATGCATTGGCCCAACCTGTCAAAAAGGTCTGTGGTTGTGGCTGCATACTTGCCCTTTATTGCGCCATCACGGCGAGTTGATCCTCAGCCAGGCAACTATCGCCAAATCCACGTTGAAATTGCTATATAGTCAAGACGCAACGTGGGAAACTTCAGATTTCGTCTACATATTGTATCCAAAACTTTCAGTCCAGTCTACAGTACAGTCTACAATACAAATGGCAAGGAGATAGCCGAGAGAGCAAGACCCCGTATTTCAGATATGTGCCGTGCATTCAACAATCATATAGTTGCCCCCACTGCACGCCACTCAGCGAACTTTGGCCCGTCGGCTCGCTTTTCCAAGCAGGGCGGGTAAAGTAAGCCCTAGACATTGACTACCCCAAAGCCCTGCATGATAATAAAGTGGTGGCTAAAGGCGAGAGAAGATTAGCGGGAAATATATACTCAATGATAAGGCGCTTTATGCGTCAGTGGCTGGGTTCCCCCCATACAGGGCTGATTGCGATCGTTTGAATATCCTTACTATTCCGGCAACTTCCCTGCAGACCGGAAGTTTTTCTCGTGCAGTTTTTCTTGTCGTGCGGCCATCGGCGGATGGCGATTCCGGCCGGCTGGATGTTGTGGAAGCGTTCGTGCGCCGACCGCCATGAGCAACAGCTGGAATGCGGGGCGACTTGGACGCCGCTCGTGTTCCCTTGACAGGTGAAGTGAGTGAGCGACAGAGACACATTCTTGTACCAATTGGGCGCTGCATAGGAATGCGCGAATCAGCAGCCAGAACCATTCGGCCAGTACCCAAGAATGGGCATTGACGTATCAGGACACGAGTTGCCATCCATGGGCGGAGGGTGCGGATCAGGTAACAAATCAATAATAACCGTTCCCGCGTGGGTTGGAATCGGGGCTAATACAGAGATACAGCAGTCAGCCTCGGGGGATGGTGGGAGGACATTACGCGCGCATGATGGCTGAGATGCTGACGGAGCCGTGGTTGGAGCAGAGGACGGAGAGAGAGAATGTTCTGGGGGTAAAGCAGTCCGAGATGCCGAGAGGCAGAAAAGAAGAAAGTGTCTCAGAGGAAGAACAGGACATCACGGGACATCTTTCTTACTCTTTCCTTCAACCATCACTTCACTTTTCTCTCTCCCTCCGTCCCTCTCTCTCTCTTGTCTTCTCCCTGCTCCTTCACTCATTCCCTACCTCCCCCCTGATCCCTCCACTCCATCCTCTTGTCCGATCTCCCTCGCTTCTTGACGGGCCGATCGCCCCCCGCCCTTTGCCGACCCTTGTTACCAGAAGGCCCTGGCAGCAAATTCAAAAATAAAAAGTACACCTGGCAGTAGCTTCCCCGAGATTAAAATTCCCTGCCGCCGATCAGTGGCTGTTTGGCTCCACCGCCCTTTGTTGCAGTGAGCGGAAGCTCGATCTATCTTCTCCCAGCCAGGCACCGATCCTGGCCCTTTCAACTTAGCAAACCTCGCCCCAATTGATGTGCGGCCCTCCTGGATGACGGCAAAGGACGAGACCCGCCTCTTCTCCCTCATTGTGACTGGTCTCCGTTTCGATCGCTGCCACCTGGAATACTTTTCCTCCATCTCTCAACCTCACCTCCTGCCCTTGTTTCCGTCTTCCGCCAACCTCCTACCCGCCACGCCCTCTCCGATGCTGCGCCGTTCCTCACATGTCCTGTTCTGACCATCTTTAATCTGGTGCCTGGACGAGCTGGTCTCTCCGACGCCAACCTCAAACATCCGCTCACTGTTTACCCCGGGGAGACATGTCCACACGCCGACAAGCCATCCCCCACGCTCGATAGTCAACTTCGTTGGCCCCCAGGACCATGTCTTCGCCTTCCACCGAGACTGTCAGCAACTACGCCACCGAAGATGGGAATGGGTTCCTGCCACGTTCGGCCAGCTATTCGGACATCCCCCGTGTGTTGCCTGCCACAGAACCCGGCCCTTCGAACCTAAGAAGGACATTCTCTGACTATGCCGTCCCCACCCTGTCGGAATCGCCGACGAAGGAAAGTGTGGCGGCAGGGAAAGATATCCTACGGCGGACATCTTTGCGTTCCAAGAATCGACCGGAGATCGCCGTCTCACACTTCACCCTATCATCGTCAGAGGAAGTGAACAAGACTGGTACAGATTCGCAGGGCCATGCCGACAAGACGCCACGAACAAGGGCACCGGAACCCGTGGCGCGACCATCGAAAGGTCGATCAATGTCAGGGCGGATAGTGAGCCTTGCCCGGAAACCATGGGGTTCGTCGTCACGCTCTCCATCACCGTCATCTAAGCGAGCCAAGCAGCACCAGAGCCGTGGAGACGAGCAGTCTTCAATTAGCTCGCGCTCCCCGGCCAAGAAAACTACCACGGCAACGGAAGCGGTGGCAGACTCGGAATCTGTCCAGCCCTCCAGGAAGCGTACGATTTTATACAAACGGCCAAGGCGCCCAATGCTGGCTGTCGTTGCCAAGGACCTTGAAGATAGCCCGGAAGCGCCGAACAGCCCAACTGGCCGCTCGTTACAGCAACAATCGTCACTGGAGAAGTTTACCTCGTCTTTATCGGTCTCCACGCCAGTTCTACCGCCGATGCCTAAGGGAGCCGCGGCCACAGCTGCTGCTGCGCTTTCACATAGTGGTGGTGATTATTCTCGTCGGAAGGATGAACTCTGGGGTGTTTTTCGCGGCCTCGAAGCGGATTATCAAAAGTATGAGCGACCATTTTCAGAGCATAATCGCAGTCACTAACTAGAGAAATCTAGGTTCCAATCCAAATCAAGCTCTCTCAAAGCCAACGTTATACGTGCCTCCCTGGTTCCTTTTCTCGGCCGCCATCAGCTCCATGCATCATGCAAGGATTTGAGACCCGAAGACTTGGATCGCCGAGTGAACATTCTCAACAAGTGGTGGATTGGAATGCTCGAGATGCTCAATGGCAAGAATAACCAATCCATCTCTGGAACAGACAGGCCAGTGTTCCTGGAGGCGGTGGTTGGTATCATGGCACGCCCGGAATGGCGGATCCCGTTCACTACTGCGCAAAATAACAGTGGTCCCCCAGATTCGCTGAAATATGCGTCGACCTCGGTCTCGGAAACATCCGAAGCCTCGGGTTCGTCGGGATCGGACTTTCTGGTCGAGTCGATCCACCATAATACTCGGAATATCTTCATTCAAAATCTGCTTTCCCAGATGTCATTTGTGGTGGAACGAATGTCCATGCGCCATGCACCCGCCAGTCTGGTAGCATTCTGTGGAAAAGCCTGTGCTTACGCATTCTTCTTCTGTCCCGGAGTAGCAGATATCTTGGTTCGGCTGTGGAGCACGCCTCCCACCACGTTCCGTCGTGTCCTGGCGCAGTCGTCTGGGTCCCGAAGCAGCAATTCACGCGCATACACCCAAGAGCTTTCTCTATACTTTCCGGTGGCGCTGCGTTCCCTCGCTTTCCACTCCTACGGCCCTCTTCTACGGTACCTTCGTCAGAAACCTGATATGCCTTTGAACATCACAAACATTCCCTGGCAGTCCCCATGGGTGACGCGTTGGTGCGGACGCGATACAGACCTGTTCTTCGTCTTCGTGAAATACATTCATATCCTCTACGCAGAATATCTACCGCCCGAGACCCAAAAAGCCGACCGAATTTTGGCGCCGGGTCTGCTGCTCGTCCATTCCCAGCTCTTGGTCGTCCTGGAGGATACCATTTACAAGCAGTCCGCCCAGCAACCTGAAAATCCCCATGTCGCAGCCGCCATCACTTTCGATGATTTTATTGAAGCACCAGACGCCTCAGCCGCTTCGCATCCCCTTGGCGGAGGCAACAGTCATCGGTCTATGGCCGAAAATCGATTGATCATCCTTCTACGGGATTTCCTCTCCGAGTCATCTGCTGAACCAAATCGTGCCCGATTGTTATACGCCGAATCCTTCTGTGCAATACTCAAAGCGTCCGCCCAAAAAACTTCCCTTTTCGACCACAACGCGTGCTTTTTGCTATGTGACTTTATCGAGGAGGTCATTCCGATTATTACCCGCTACGCTCTGTCAACCGAACGGGAATTGTTTGACTGGGGCTTTTGGCTGGATGTTGCGAGGCAGATGCTACAGAGCCACAATTCGCTCACCGAAGTCCGGGTTTTCTCTTTCCTTTATTGCGCTTGGGGTACCTGGACTGCCACCGAGCTGAGGAAAGCTAGTCTCATCCTGGATTTCCTGCTCCAGGAGCCACTTTTCTACCATTACTTCACTCACTGGAGCCCAATGGTTCGCGCATACTTTCACCGTCTGTTGTGTTGGAGAGTGGGTCGGTTCAGTGGCGATCCTACACCACTGGATTCGTAAGTGCTTTGATCGATTTCTGATTTGTTTATGTGCTAACTGGAATTTCTAGTATGATCTATGAGACCCTCTCCGATCGACTCTTGCGCGTCTGGGAATACTATATTGGATACCAATCCAAGGCTGAAGAGGGACTCACGGCTCCTCTGTCCTCCGCTCCCTGTACACCGGCCCCCGGTCGAAGAATCATCATCATCCGATGCGATAACCATGTTTCCCCTGTGAATCTGTTTGTCTCTTTCGACCGCGTTGTCCCGCCTGTTCCTCCAGACCAAATCAGATCTCACCGGAGATCCGGATCAGCCGATTCAAGTAGTTCGGAGGGCAGCATTGGCAAACGTCGATGGGGTCTTCTCCGATCCATGTTCAGCAGTTCCTCGAACTCCCGATCTGGTGATGACACAGCCAACAGCAGCTCCGATGAGTCTGAGAGCGGTCTGAGCGAGATAACCATGACTTCTGACACGAGATGCCTTGACAAGCACGAGCTCACCCCGAACAACAGCACCGAAGAGCTTGTTCGGCCCGAGTTGCCACACCAGTCGTTCTTCTTCAAGTTTTCATTGGAGTGGATGGATCGACCGCAATGGCCCAGCAAAAACAAGCGTCTCTTTGCTCCATGCCTGCCGGTGGCATCCCAGCTGCACGTCCAACGTCGACGCTCTCCCGCGAAACCGTCAGACGATGACACGATATCAGAAGATACCACAATTTCTTCGGAAGACGACCACGCCGAGGAAAAATCAGAAAACACCATAGACCCACTCCAGACACCTCGTCTCGACCAAGGGCCCAAGACACCCAGAACCCCTACAACCAAAAATTCACCGCTTCCCGAACTCCCTTCCGTGCCCTCTTACGACCACCTTGTACCTAGCAAATATGCGGGTCGCGCTTTGGCGGAGTGGGCCCACATTGTCTCTGAATGCGACAGTTTCTTCGCCCGGCGCCGCGATGAAGGCGTGCCCACGGACCGCATGGTGGAAACTCCAACATTAGGCGTGGAAACCTTCAGAAAATAGTGCCATCAACTATGACAGGTCCAACAATAAGCCTACTACTCTCATCTTGAGTCTTGCAAAAGGCAGAGATGTCTTGTCCTTCGAAAATCTGCTTCTGTTTTTTGTTTTGTTTTCAGTCCCGCACCATACATCCTTGGTGTGCAAGGAGGCATAGGGCATCGGCGTTTGAGCAACCGCGTTTCCATCGGTCTGCATTGTTTTCTTCTCTTGTATTCTCTGCATCGGAGCGCGATGTACTTCTCTTGCAGTGGTAATCGAATAATCAATGAGATACAATCAAGGAACTAGCCACTTTACTCTTGCGAGGCCACCATAGCAGTTTATCTGGCGCAGTTACATGAACCACACGATAACTTAACTAGCCTGGGCACACACCGGTTTACACAAATTTACACAGAACCGCTATATCTTCAGAGTATCATTAAGCATAAGTCTAAGAACAACAGTCCAAGAATAGGGGATACCAATCCTATCCATCCATCTATTCCTCCTTCTTCTCCTGGGCAAGCTGCCTATTCAAAAGATACAACAACGCGCCTTGCACATCCTCACGGCCCATAAACGCCTCCACAAGTCTTACACCCTTTCCATTCTGGACTTTCTGCAGCACGTCCTGTAACTCGCCGCATGTCCGCGCCGTGAAGGTACTCTTTGCAACATGGTCCTCGTCAGCACCGAAATAGCTCAGCGCCTGGGTATGCCGCCAGAATGCGACATCATTATAGCTCTGGTTCCGGCCATGGATGACCCGCTCGATGGTGTATCCGTCGTTGTTGATGATGATGATCACAATATCCAGCTTCTGGCGGATCATGGTGCTGATTTCCTGTGCCGTCATCTGGAGGGATCCATCGCCGATGATCAAGGTCACATTGCCGGGAGTTTTCTGTTCGCGCTTTGCGAGCGCGGCGCCCAAGGTAGCGGGGAGCATGAATCCAATTGACAACCATGTCACGGCTCCGAAGACGCGTGCTTTGGGTGGGAGGTTGAAGTGCCGGCCGCCATGCGATGCAGTGCCCGTTTCGGTGAGGATAATGTCGCCTTCCTGGAAGATCGGGTTGACTAGTCTGAAGAAATTGTCTTGGGCGATGAGGTCCGAGCTCTTAATATCGTCCAGAGTGGTTACTACCTTGGGCGGTGCTTCCATTGCCTTCGGGATGCGAGTGGAGTCAAGACCCTGGAGTAGTTGCGACAGCAGGTCTTTTCCTGAAACATCGCGGTAGATAGGATCGGTCCCGATTTGAATGGATGAGTCTTTGAAAGTGACCGCGGCAGCCGGAGCAGGTATGCCAGTGAAGAAATAGCTATTTGTGTCGCTGTAGTGCGGCCCGAATGTAAGAACGAGATCTGCCGACTCAAAGTATGCCTTCGCGGGCTCGTCACCAAAGGCCGCTGCGTACAGCCCATATACATTGGGGAGCTGCTCGTTCACTAGACCCTTGCTGAAAACAGTGCACCATGTAGGCCAGCCAGTCTGTTTGATAAGAGTATCAAGCTGGTCGACAACACCGAGGGCGACACTCTCGCCGTCCACGAGGATCAACGGGCGTTTCGCAGTGTACATGCGCTCCAAAATCTGGCTCACAATCTGTGATTCCTTGCCCGTGCTGGGAACGGGGGGAACTGCCACTGTCTTGGACAGATTGGCCGCAGACACGAGGACATCTGGCATATCGTCAGGAATCTCCAGGTAGACGGGACGGCTGTGGACCAGAGCCTGCTGCAAGATCCAGTCAATCTTATCCGGCGCCGACGCCGCATCCGTAATATTAGTCTGCGCCGCGGTGATATGCGTCGACATGGCCGCGAAGCGACGGTACTCGCCGTCGGCGAAGGTGTGGTGCATCAGCGCACGTGTGCTCTGCGCCTGGCGTGGCGGCGTGCCGACAATGTGGATAACAGGGGAGCGCTCGGCATAGGCGCCAGCGATGCCATTGAGCGCCGACAATTCACCCACGCCAAAGGTTGTGACCAGCGCGGCCAAACCGTTGATGCGTGCGTAGCCATCGGCAGAATACGCGGCGTTCAGCTCATTGCAGTTGCCGATCCAGCTCAGCTTGGCGGGCTCGACGAAGTCCAGTAGGCGCAGGTTGTAATCGCCAGGTACACCGAAGACGGAGTTCACGCCCAGCTGGCGTAGGCGGGCAAAGAGGTAGTCGGCGAGCTTGATGGTGTCCATTGTTTGATGGGGAGGGAGAGGGATAGAAATGGTGTAGATCGATAAGTACCGATAAGCAGCTTTTATACTTGTTCCCCCGCCCCCGCCGCTAGCCGTCTTTCCCTTTTTCTCCGAGGCTGTTTTATGTAACAACTATTCCCTCCAAAGACCATGTCGCGACGCCCGGCCTGTGAGACTTGTCGGAAGTCCAAGCTGGCCTGCGACCACGGGCTGCCGGTATGCTCGCGCTGCAGTAGCTCCGGGGCGATTTGCATCTACCGCACGGCGCCGTTCAAGCGCAGACGAGTTGACTCCCCGGCAAAATCTGGGTCCGCTGAGATTCCCGACCAAAAGAGAGTTAAGAAGCTAACGCGCCCCTACAGTCTTCATTCCCGAGATTCCTCGCCGTCATTGGGCGCAAGGCGCCCTCCGTACCCGAATCCCGGTTTTTTGGGTTCTTCCAGTCATGCAGCCATCTTTAAGCATATCACCCCGGACGGCGATCATGGCTCTACGGCGCATGTTTCGGATCTTGCTTGCTCGGCCACCCAGCCCCAGGTCACCGGTGACAATCACCTGCTGTCGCAAGGAGCAGATATCCTCAAGCAGATTGTAACCAGTTATCCATTGACGGCCATGAAAGATCTGGTCCTGTTCTGGCTAGTTAAAGGCGCAAATCTCGCTCTGGCCGAACCATTTGTGGCGCAGTGTGCCGAGAGCGTGAGCCACTTATTCACAACACAGGATGAGAATTGGAATTTGGTCTATGCACGGCGGCTGCTTCAGAACACTGCCCGACCACTGGTCTTTGATGCCGATTCTGACCTCCACAGCTTCTCCGCTCAGTTCCTAGCCCATAATTCTCGATGGGAGACAATTGCGATCTTCTTTGCTGCTGTCAGCCGAGCTACGATCGATATATCGTTCTTTCCCTCGCTGTATGCCACCGAGGAAGAGCAGTATCCTCTCCGAAGACTCGCTATGAAACTCTGCGATTGTGCACTAGAGATCTCTCTCTCACTGGACTGTCTGAATGATTTGCAGCTGATCGTTCAGTATGAAAATTTCATTGTACATTCCTATGTGGATGGCGACCAGAGTGAGTTCCCACAAGCGCAGCTATAATAACTGACGTGCTAATATTCTGCAGGCTATCATACATGGCGCAAGCTCGGAGACGTGATTTCATCCACCTTCGCTCTGGGCTACCACGAGAACCTAGAGACTAAACCCGGCATCCCGCCGTTTCTCATAGAACTGCGCAAAACTGCGTTCGCGAGAATCTACTCAGCAGATAAGAACATTGCCATATTCCTCGGCCGGCCGCCGCGGATGAACAAGCGTTTCTGCCACTTTCAGATCCCATCGTGCCGGACAGTCATCGACGATCCAACTGAGACACATCACGATATCAATCATTGGGAGCCGGATTCCCAAGCTGGATACAGAGCTGACACCCGCTGGTCTGCGCTCTGTGCTTTTTTGAAAGAGGAAATTTGGGAATTACTGCAGGATAAACACCACGCCTCGTGTTCTCAGCGAGCCAGGTATAATCGAACCAGCTGAGAAAATGGAATTATACAGAAGTTAACGACAAGCTACAGTGAGATACAAGATCAAGCAAAAGCACAATGGCAAGCACTTCCAGCCCATTTTCGACTCGAGGGCAGTCTGAAACAATGCACTCACACGCCATTCGAACGCGACTTTTTAGCAGGCGTCCGCCTGCAGCATTTACATGTCCTATTTTTGCTTCGGCTCCTCTTACTCCATTCATTGACTGAACCTGATATGGCGATCATCGAGACGGCAGAACAGATGCTTGCCCTCGTCGTGGAAATCATCTTGCTCAGAGACCAGTTGACGAATTCAGGAACAGGTCTGATCTGGAAGGTATCTATCTATCTCGTCTTCTGGATTCTGCCTTGTATATTGATAGAATTACAGGTTGCGCACTATGGCCTCCCGGCCGCAGGGATAATCCTTCTGTCCATGCTAAACCTACATTCAATGTCGCAATCAGGGATATCACGCACAAAAACTCTACAAGGCCTCAGCGTCTTCGTAGCTGAAGTACAAATCGGGACGATTGTGCGTCCAGGAGACCCGAATTATGCGCTCCTATCAAAAGCCACGCAGACGATCCAGCGATTCCTTGACTCTTTCCAATCGGACCCGACACCGCATCAGCAGCATCAAAAGCAATACCAGCATTCATACCCAAGAGATGTGGCGCCGCACCACGACGAGGCAAGCGATGACTGGGCTGCATTTCTGGAACAGGATACGTGGGACTTCGAGGCGGGATTCTGGCAGAGTTTGGCGGATCATCCGTCGTTGTTGGCGATGGATCCTACCGTGCCTTCTTCATAGAGCTGTTTAGTCTTCTATAACTTGAACGTGAACGCCTATAATTAATACCCTGGTACAGAGGAAACCTCGAAAATATAAAAATCCCCAAGTGGAAGATATAAATTTTGATATCACCTGAGAAAAAAAAAACGCCGGACCTGCTGAGCAAAGGTGGTGATGATAGATACATAAAATGCCAAAGAAATCGCAGACGTGCGAATGGTAATCGACCGACTAAATAGAGGCTGATGTGCAGTAATATGAGACCGAATAAAAATAGAAAGGCAGGCACGCATGGCTGGTGGTATATGATATGCCGAGAGTCTTTCAAAGATGCAGGGAGGCGGATATGGGGGCAAAGACAGGGAGGAGAGGGAGGGAGAGAAGTCGACATGATTCAAGGTCCAATGTGAGCGGTGCTGTACAATGCCCGCAATGGACCAAATGCTGAAGAGGTGGCTGCAAAGCGAGCGAAGTCGGAGAGAAGGCGATAAGGTGTTGAGACAGACTTGGCGAGGGTAAAATACATCAATCAGTAAAGCAGCTTGTTGCTGGCAAAGTTGATCACGTCGGTAACACGGAGGATCCAATGCTGGGTCAGATTCCAGTCTCCAGTGTCGATGGAATCTCGGATGGCGGGGAAGATCGAGGCGCCGTAGCCAGACCACAATTCGGGGCCGAAGATGACATGCCGGAACTGGGTGCGGTTGGGAATCTGCAGGACAATCGTTAGTCAAGATTGTGTGCGAGTGAAAAAGGTACACTTACTCCGCCCCCATACTCCAGATCCAGTAGATGAGTGTCAAATGCGGCCATGCGGTCGTTGTGGTTTAACCGCTGAACGCGCATGACGTTGCTCTCGTATCCGCCTGAGCCCCAGACGGCATCGTGCCATACTTGGTTCCATTTCTGGAATTGTACCGTATTCTTCTGGAGATCTCGAGCAGCCTCGACTAGTGGTTTCATGTTCACTTTGGCGTTCTTAGACTGCGCATACTTGCGCAGATCCTTCACCCAGTCGGTAATAGAGTTGCCATAGGCCTCCATATCGAACGGCAGCATAGGATTCTCAGAAAGATCGAGCACAAGCAACCCCCAAAACTGAGCAAGAAGCTTGTGGTAGTGGAATCCAGGATCTCCAAACTGTGCCATCCACTCGAAGTTCTCATAGCAACTGTGATAGGGGTACGGCTCGCCCTCAAAACCAAAATCGATGCTCGAGGTACCTGCAATGTCTTGGAACGCCACATAGTCGCTGCCAGCACCGAGGGGTTCAAGCCTGCTGCCTTTTTCTTGCCAGATTTCTCTTAAGGTTTTATTAGCCTTGGGATCGGACAGCCGGCCGAGAATTTGCAGCACCGCACGCTTAAAGACCGGTGCCGCCGCCACGCGGAAGTTGGGGCCATAGACGCCGACATCAACATTGAGGTAGGCATACGCCCGGGATCGGAGAGCATCCACCTCCTTCTCAACGTGTTCGGTGGAACCAATGAGGTTGTATTCTTCTCCGTCCCAACTGACAAACTCAATGGTCCGCAGTGGCCGCCATCCGTAGGTGAGAAGCTCTCCAAAGGCTCGCACAACTTCCAGAAAAGTTGCGGTGCCGCTGCCAGGATCGATGCTACCCAAGCACCACGAGTCGCGGTGATTGCCAATGATGATTTTCTTGTCGGTCTGTTCCATTCCGAGAATTCTGCCGTGGACGTTGTAAATGGGCTGGCGGTTTTCCTCGTCCTGCAAGTTCATCAGATTGACGAGGGGCGAATTCTGATTTCCGGTCCACCACTGCTTCATCTTCGGCACTCCGCCCACCCAGTCTTTCGGCACTTTGGAGCCATGTCCGTCCAAAGCCTGCAAAAGATGTTGCGCATCTCGGGAGGAGAGGGGAAGACTTGGAATCTTTACCAAGCCGGTGCTTTCGTCAAGAGGGATTCTCACTTTCTCTTCCGGAGTGGAGGCGAACCCAGGACTGAGGACATCGCCCACCACATGGGACATCAAGCTCACACCTCCTCGCTGTACGCCATCAGGTGGCATATAGCGTCCCTGAGGGAAGCTGGGCCCGTTGACTTCTCCATCCTCCGCTGGATCGGAGTAAATAATGCAGCCGACTGCGCCAGCCATCTCTGCAGCCTTGATCTTCAACGCGCGATCGGGTTCTGTTCCATAGTATCGGACAAGAGCGATGGAACCCTCGACCTGGATACCTTTGTCGGCCAGCCACTGAAAGTCCTCCCTGGATCCATAGTTGGCGTACACCAGAGGGCCAGTGACATTGCCAGATTTCGAGTGGCCGTGAAAGACCGGCACGTACTCCTTCTCAGGTATATCCCCCTCACCCTCCTCCAGGGCTGCTTCCCAGGCGAGCGAGGGTGGGTCAACAATCGCCACCCGGCGGCCGTCCTTGCGCGGGTAATTCAAGTAGACCTGGAATTCCTCCCTCTCAACTTCATCAAATTGTGCCTTCCGAAACGCCGCCTCAATTAACTCTGCGATATAAAAGCTACCCTCGGAGCCGGCGACGTGGGAATAATTGGTGACATGCTTCAGATTTTCGGCGATGTTGGTTTCGTTCATGTTACTTTGAATGAAGTTCTCGACAGATGACGCGCTATAGGATTGGCCCATGATCATGTGGCTGTTCATGTTGAAAATATCAGATATGAAAAAGACGTATACCACGGAGATGACGAGCAAGAGACCGAACAGCCGTAAAAGCATAATACAGCCCTGGTCGTTGAACCGTGACCGCATGTCGGCGAGGTTGGTAGTAAAGCGAAAGCTGGGGATAAAGCGTCGAAAGGGTCGTTGGATGGCTGACAGTGTCCGGGATAGGTTGGAGAACTGCTTGGAGAGATGATGCCGGAGACGGGGACGCGCGCCGCTTGAGGAAGACGGTAGGCCATCATCGACGTCCATCTGATCTAACTCCCGGCGCATCTCTTCCAACGACCCTCGAGCTGACTCTGATCCCGACGATACCAGATCATCGAGACTGGTGCGCGCGGACTCGACCGTCGGCGGCTGGTACTCCCGGCCAGATGGCGCATGATCGGACCGGCCGAGGAGACCTTGTCGTTCGGCATCGTCACCCTCTTCGCCCAGATCGGACCGAGAGGAACCTGGTTGGGCGCCGACGGCCTCCTCGTAGGTGGGGATCGGGAGGGATTGATAATCGAACTTATCGTCGGGCATGGCGGATAGCGGTGGACTCCGGGCGGGAGAGGCAAATGGGAGAGTCTGCCGATTTGACGATGACGGTCATGATCCTAGAAAGTACAGGCGAAACGAGCGACAATCATCCTGTAGGCCGAGTTCAGAGGGATCACTAAGGTCGTAAGGGGGTCAGGTCAGCGAGAGTTGGAGATAGCGAGTCACGGGGTGTTGTTGCCTGGGGCCCCACTCGGATCACGCATTTGACAGGAGTAGTTTCTCGAATATTACGGGGTGAATACGATGGTATACTACAGGTATTCGAGAAGGGAATATCATAGTAGATTCAGACATGAAACCCAGGATACACTAGGCAGACAGCCCTCTGCTCCTGCCGGTGATCGCCCAGCCGATCGATCCAGCGGATCCGGGGTGGGCATATTCATCGTCTGGCCAGACCGGGTGGAATCATAGCCGGAATTAGCTATGAACTCTGCAGGACTGCTCCCTGGAGTCCCTGGCTGAAATCCATTCATTTAATTCTTGCCCGCCCACGGACGGCGTACACGGTAGAATGCAGACCGGCGGGCCCACCGATAAGATAGGAGGTGCCAAACTCTGTTTTGTGCGGGTGAGAGGCCAGGGAGAGATTCAGCACAGGGACCAAGGCAACACGACTGGATCGAAGAATAGATTCAATGGACTAGAAGATCCTAGGACGGAACTACTGCACGAACAAATAGACTACTCCGTATTGCAGCCGTTCGGCCCAAAGGAATCCCCCACCTGAAAAAATAAAACCCATTCCCAGGACTGATCGTACAGTGTAGATCCGAGTACACAACTCCTTTTTATTGATGCGGATTGCCTCCCCTGACCCGGCTTCTTCTCCCCCAGTTCGATTTTTTTTTCTCCTCGTGCAAATTCCCCTCTAATCATGTCTCGCCCCCAGAACATCGGCATCAAGGCCATCGAGGTCTACTTCCCCTCCCAATGCGTCGACCAGGCCGAGCTGGAGAAATACGACGGTGTGGCTGCGGGCAAGTACACGATTGGTCTCGGCCAGACCAAGATGAGCTTCTGTGATGACCGCGAGGGTATGCTAGTCGTGGAATTTGGTGTGAAACAGCCAACAGAGTACTAACAGGTGAAATCTAGACATCTACTCCATGGCCCTGACCACCCTCTCCTCCCTCATGAACAAGTACAACATCGACCCCAAGTCCGTTGGCCGCCTCGAGGTCGGCACCGAGACTCTGCTGGACAAGTCAAAGTCGGTCAAGACCGTTCTCATGCAGCTGTTTGCTCCCCACGGCAACACCAACATTGAGGGTGTCGACAGCGTCAACGCTTGCTACGGTGGCACCAACGCCGTCTTCAACAGCATCAACTGGCTCGAGTCCTCGGCCTGGGACGGCCGTGATGCCGTGGTTGTCTGTGGTGATATTGCCCTGTACGCCAAGGGTGCCGCTCGCCCTACCGGTGGTGCTGGTTGTGTGGCCATGCTCATCGGCCCTGACGCCCCAATTGTTTTCGAGCCCGGCCTGCGCGGCTCGTACCTCACTCACGCCTACGATTTCTATAAGCCTGACCTCACCAGCGAGTACCCCGTTGTGGACGGCCATTTCTCGCTCAAGTGCTACACCGAGGCCGTCGATAACTGCTACAAGGCCTACGACGCGCGCGAGAAGGTCCTCAAGGCGCAGCTCCAGAACGGCACCAACGGCACCAACGGCGTTGCCGACGAGTCCAAGACTCCGTTGGACCGCTTCGACTACATTCTGTACCACGCCCCGACCTGCAAGCTGGTCCAGAAATCGTATGGCCGCATGCTTTACAATGACTACGTGAACAACCCTATCCACGCCGCGTTCGGCGAGGTTGCTCCGGAGCTGCGCGATATGGACTACGAGAAGTCCCTCTCCGACAAGATCGTCGAGAAGACCTTCATGGGCCTGACCAAGAAGCGCTTTGCCGAGCGTGTGCAGCCCGGTCTGCAGGTGGCCACCCAGTGTGGCAACATGTACACGGCCACCGTCTACGCCGGTCTGGCCGCTTTGCTCAGCAACGTCAAGTTCGACCCCAGCGAGCCCAAGCGCATCGGTTTGTTCAGCTACGGCAGCGGTCTTGCCAGCTCTATGTTCAGCGCCAAGATTGTCGGTGATGTCTCCCCTCTGGTTGAGAAGCTGGACCTGCACAACCGGTTGGATGCCCGCACCGTCTTGGAGCCCAAGGCCTACGATGAGATGTGCCAGCTGCGCGAGCATGCCCACCTGCAGAAGAACTTCAAGCCCACCGGCAGCACCGAGACTCTCCAGTCGGGAGCCTACTACCTCACTGAGGTGGACGACATGTTCCGCCGCAAATACGAGATCAAGGCATAAAGAAAAATTCCCTCACATTCCCCTCTTCCCCGTTTGGACATGACCCCTGTTTAGACCGTTCATCCTAGATTCCCCCAAGCGTTTCTGTGGCACGATCTATGTATAGACCAGCGCGAGGATCCGGCTGAAACGGACCTTGCTTATTATTTGTTATTTTTTTTTTCCTTTGTCCAGTCTACTCGAAATGATTAATGCTATGAAATAATAACTATTATTGCTCTCTGACGTGATCTGGCTCTGAAACACCACGAGGGCGCCAATGGGGAAAAATGCGCGTCCACACTTTCTGCACCAATCCCCCCCCCTTTTTGCTCACATCGGCATTGATCGACAGATTAATTCATGCTAATTATGGGCATTTTGGTTCGTTTCAGGAAATCGCCCACACCACCACTGTGCGTGACGCCGAGCCCGGCGCGTACTCGACACACTCTGTAGCCGCCGGGCAGTGGACATCACACTTAGTTGCCGTCGCATTATGGCGCCGAACGAAGTCACTCGACTGCCATGGAGATAAGATGCTACCTATTGCTTCCATCCACGCACCTCCAGGAATCAAATGGCTATTTTTATCCCTCCCGACACTCCCGAACCGCCCACGGCGGCGATACCTGAGGCATAGCAGTATCACTCTTTCCCTCCACATCGCCGCTAATTACCTGGGAAAAGGGAGCTAAGTGTTGCTGAATTTAGAATCGTTCATGGCCTCTGCATCGATCTATTCCCAATCAAGGATGTGAAGAAAGATTGTCGAAGCAAAACCCAGGCTAAGGCCAAATAAAGCAACATCTTAACGCGCGACTATCCTCTGAAACACCCATCGGCGGGCGTTTCAGTCTCCTGTCGCGCGACCCTCAGGCACAAGGGGCTGCTTCGGCAGTTTCGCCTTGTTTACTATGGAGTGTGTTCACGCCTCGGATCGGAAACTAGCATACTCAGTCCAAAAAAAGAAGCGGGAGGCTCCGTTGGCGTCGCCATGGAGCCTCTCTCCATGTTTCATGTTGTGCGGATCCGCTGTCTTCGATCCTTTTTTATATCTATCTGTCGTCCCTGGCCTGTTTGGGGTTTCTTGTCGATGAACATTTAATCTCTAGATTTTCCCCTTCTGGATCATGTCCTTGACCTTTCCAAGTGTTCGCATTTGATAGACCTTTCGGTCTTTAAGAATCATCTTAACCTTCGTTTACTTTCTTCTTTGCCATAGTCCTCTAAGAACTATCGGCCTTCTTTATTGAAAACATGTCTCTGGCATACGCTCGCTACCAGCCGACCACTCCACCGGGTGTCCCTCTCGAGGAGTATCTGACCACTGGTCATAGTCGCAACGCATCTGGCTCTTCTATCTATTCATCTGAGTCCTCGCCATGGTCAACAATGACCGGCAACACAAGCCCCGGCACCTCACCTACCCGGCATCACCATGGCCCAGCCCTTCTCCCAAAGATCCGTCCTCAGGACGTCGTGGTCGAGCCCATGTCGGCCGGGGGACCTCTACGCCATCGCCGGGTTCTGTCAAATACCCGCAACCCACCGGGTTTTGTCCCTTACCCTTCAAGTCGACCTTCTGTGCCGCGGAACAGGATCGATCCCGGTGAAGGACTGACTTTAGTGTCGCCTATCTCACCAGCGTACTCAGCAGGACAGCGTAGCGTCTCTGCCTTGTCGTCTCCAGTGACCATCACCGCACCACCCAAACGCAAAGCAGGTGGATCGCACTCGCGCTCGGTGTCTACCCCCAGTATCGACGCCGATATCCTAAGACGATTTGGCTATCCCACCTACCGGCAGCTGCCCAAGTGTGTGGGGCAGATGCAATCGCAAACTACTCCAACCACACCGGTGACTCCAGTGACTCCCCAGGTAGTTGTTTATCCTCCATATCCGCAACGACCGACAATTGAATTGTCCCAGCATATTCCTGGATGCCCGCAGGTGCCATTGGTAGTACAGAGTCCTCGGTACAACTACAGCCAGGCTTCAAGCGCGCAGACGTCGCCAGTAACTCTAGTCAGTCCTCGAGAAGACACGGCATCGTTGTCCACAAACCTACACTCCTACCTGACGTCCCCAACCCAAGCAATCAATCTAGTCCGCAACGTAAACGTTGTTCCTACCCGCGGTATGCACGATTATTTCTGGTGGGATATCCGCAACCTGCGCAGCTGGGCTTCTTTTTCCCTGGCGACCTTCGATTCAATTCCAAGACTGCCCAATCTCATGAAGACAGAAATCTCTGCCATGCTCACTCCTCCTGTTTGCGTGGCTCCCACACGATTGGATCCAGAGTCCGAGCCTGCGTTAGTCAATCTACTTCTAGACCTCTACGCTCCACGGATTAATGCCGCTCTGGCAGTTTCCCAAGGACCCGATCACCTCCAACTCTACGCAGCGCCGGATGTGCGCAGCACAGGCAACAGGAATCAAGGACACCCTCATTTCCTGGCAAACTACGCCTCCGACACGGATTGCACAAGCGCGGGATTGACCCGCGGCCGGCTTGTCGGTATTGTCAAGAGCTTCGGTCGGTGGAACTCGGGGATGCGCAATGAGGCACCGCACCGGCGCGTCGAGTACTTGAATGGTCTCGCGCATCTGCAACGCTGTATGCGCGAGCATTCGTGTCGCTATGGGTTCATAATGACGGAGATCGAACTTGTCTGTGTGCGCGCTGGTTGTGATGACGGAGACGACGTGCCCTATTTTGGCTACTTGGAGATTTCCTCCCCGATCCCATTGAAGACTACTGCTGGCGACGTTGCAAAAGATGGCCCGCCTCTGGCAACTCCCATCAGTGCCCGGTCATACTCATCCTCATCGTCGTCTTCGTCCTCATCTTCATCTTCTCGACCCCGCCGTTCATCACCTGTCCCGGAACTTAGGATCACAACGGATAACAACCTGACCGGTCCTATGACAGCGAGTCTAGCGCTGTATTTCCTGCTCATGCTTTCCAAATCTGTTCCTCTCCCGAATCAACCATCCGCACACCTCAATGTCGGTGGTCCCGGCGCGCTCACCCGCCAGCGTATCCTCCCCGAACTAAAAGACAAATGGATTCCCCAGCCTCAAATCGGCGAGCAGCGAGATGCTAAGCGTGTCCGCGGCTGGGTCTGGCCGCAGGATGCTTGGCACCGTCGTGAAGGTGGCGGAGCTGCGAAGTCGAGGACGGCCTCGGCGAAGAATAAGCGGTGGCATAAATAGGTGTCTATATGGAGTCATAAAGGGTGGGTGTTTCTGGTGTTTGTGTGTTTAACGATGCGATCTTGATGGTCTGCTTGTTTATTTTCATTTCGGTTGGTTTTTTTGGGGGGTTTGGAGCTGGGCGTGGTGGCTTGCTTCCTTTTTTGCTGTTTTGTTCTTTATATTCCCCCTTTTTCATTTCGATAGTAATGTAATTTTTTTACTATATTTTCTATAAGAGACAGGTTAATGTTCTTCTATTCTACTCAGGTCATATGGAATGTGAATCAGGCCCAAGCGATCAACTTCCTCAAGGTCCTCAACTCTGACAGCTCCAAGGGCCCACTCATAGTAAGGACCCCTGCAGATCGACAGGATACTATAGCAAAGCCTTTCCTTTCCCGGATATTATCAAGGTAGGGACCTTGGGGAAGGAGTACCTCGATAGCCAACCTGATCATTGGGATGAGGCCATTGCAACACAGCTCAGATCCACCAACATATTCCCATGACTATATAACGAACATTGCCATACTTTCTCTAAATGTAGCTCTTATTTTCTTCTAGCCCTAACCAATTGTGTCTATCCTATGCAAATCAAACTACAACATGTCAACCAACGCCAACCACCCAGACTCCGAAATCCAAGACGTGATCATCATAGGTGCCGGACCATGTGGTCTGGCTGTCGCCGCCCGCTTGCAAGAAGAAACACCTTCTGCTATGTTCACAGACGAAGAACACCAGCGCTACCACTGGATCAAGAAGCACAGTGGAAGAATGAGCCTTGTGCAAGGCAGGAAAAGTAAGATCAATGGCGTGCAGGCCGAGAAATGGAATGGTGGCCACTTACCTGCTCGAAAAAACTCTCGAGCCCGACGTGAGTCTTCGGAATCGGCATCTTCTGTGCCGTCGTTATCATCGGTTTCGTCTTCCACGGTTACCGAGTCAATCTCGACGCTTGTAATTGATGGATCTGGTGATGAGTGGATGCATAGATGGTCGAATCTATTCCGCGCGCTGGAAATTAAACAGTTACGCAGTCCCATGTTCTTCCACGTTGACCCTGGGGATCGTGATGGGATGCTCGCGTATACCCAGGAGGTAGGTAGAGAGCACGACCTGTGGGAGATTCCGGGATGTGTTGGGAAGGAGATGAGCAAGCATAAAAAGAAGAAGAGAAGGCAGGGAGGAAGATCGCAGTGAGTGTGCTTTTTTTTTTTTTTTGCGGAATAAGTGCTCGTTACTCACTGGACTCTGTTCTGCAGAACAATCAGTGGAGTTGAGATAGATGAGCGAGATCGCAAAGACTACTTCTCTCCATCGACCAATCTTTTCTTCGATTACAACTCTTCTATCATTGAGCGGTATGGTCTGGACAAACCGGGCCAGATCTTGCGGCGTGAAGTGACGGAGCTTGAGTACGACTATCTCCCCGAGAAGGCAGATGTGCCTGTATCCAACTCAAAGATCTTCACCATCACCACGTCGACAGGCGAAAAATTCTTCAGCAAGGCGGTCGTGCTCGCCATCGGAGCAGGAGGTGCAGATGTCGCGAAGATCTTTCCATGGAGGCCATCCAGCGAGGAAGAGGGCGCGAACGCGTGCTGTCACAGTATGGAGATCCGCTCGTTTCCCGAAAACCTTCGGACCAAAATCCAGCGGCAACAGGAGACGAACATCTTGGTTGTTGGTGGCGGGTTGTCATCAGCGCAGATTGTAGATATGGCTGTTCGGAGGGGGGTTACCAAGGTGTGGCTTCTCATGCGGTCAGAACTGAAGGGTGAGTGAGCATCTCTACGATCTTTATAACGCAATGCTTCTATAACATGATTGTACAGTCAAACATTTTGATTTCAGCCTTCCCTGGGTGGGCAAGTTCAAGAACTGGGAGAAAGCGGCATTCTGGTCTGCGGACACTGATGAAGGTAGGATAGCCCTAACTCTCTAATCCCATCATCAAAGCACAGATCTTACTTTACTTGGCTTATTAGAACGCCTCGAAATGATCCAATCTGCCCGCAATGGAGGCAGCATCACACCACGCTACATGAAAATCCTCAAGCGTCATGCCGCGCACCACCGCGCCCCCTCCACCCGCGCACCGTTATCCGCACACATAAATATAACCCAGCAACACAGACCTGGGCATTGGCCACTGATCCACCAATTCCCGACCTCCCACCAATTGACTACATTTACTTTGCAACCGGTGCACGCGCAGACGTTGGCGAGATGCCGCTCCTCAGCCACATGAATGAGCAGTATCCCATAGAAGTCAAGGGCGGTCTGCCCTGTCTGACAGAGGATCTCATGTGGAGAGACGATGTGCCGCTGTTTATGACTGGACGGCTTGCGTCTCTACGGTTGGGTCCTGCGGCACCGAATCTCGAGGGCGCGAGAGTCGGCGCGGAAAGAGTAGCGTGGGGGCTGGAGGAGGTGCTTGGGATGAAAAGGGAGGTGGGAGGGCAGTGTGAGGGATTTTGTGGGTTAGGGAATCGATATACCTCTTTAGAAAGACGTGGGAGTGAGGATGAGTGAGGGTTCTATGCAGATGGCTGCGGGTACAGCGCTAGGTGACGATTAATGGGAGGCCTAAAAGGCTTAGCGGCCAGAGCCACGTATGACTCTGAATTGATACGGCCTGTCTCACGCTTTTCCAGCCATCCAGTAAATAGTTTGCTCGTTCTTCTTTACTCATATCTTCCCACAGAAAATCAACCTCTACCCGATGGCTCCCTTGAAAGTCCTCATTTGCGGCGGTGGTTGTGCAGGACCCGCACTGGCTTACTGGCTCAATCGCAGTGGCCACCAAGTCACTGTTATAGAGCGCTTTCCGATTCTCAGAGCGGCCGGTTCGCAAATTGACCTGCGTGGTGCAGGCATCGAAGCTGTCAAGCGCATGGGACTACTCGAGGCCATCCGCGGCATTCTAGTGGACGAAGCAGGCGCGGCCATGTTGGACTCCCATGGTAATGCTATAGCACAGATTATGGCCAACAAGTCGGGCCAGGGTGCGCAGTCCCTCACATCGGAATACGAGCTTATGCGCGGAGACCTTGTGCGCATCCTCTACGCAGCAACAAAAGATAATGTGGAGTATATCTTCGGGAAAACCGTCGATCATTTTGAGCAAGATGACCAGCAAGTCACCGTAACCTTCTCCGACGGCTCGTCGGACACATTTGATCTCCTCGTAGGTGCAGATGGTCAAGGATCGCGGATTCGAAAAGCGATCCTGCCACCGGGTACCCCCGATCCTTACTTCAAGTTTGGGACCCACGTCGCTTACTGGTTCATCCCACGCCTTGAGGGAGACAATAATATGATGAACGTATACAACTCTCCTGGAGGCCGGATGGTCATGCGCCGAAGTCACAGTCCAACGGAAACCCAAGTTTTGTGTTACCTCCGGGATAGCTCTCCAGAAATATCAAGCATCCACAGAGCCTCTGTGGATAAGCAAAAGGCGTTTTGGACGCAGCGATTCCGCAATGCAGGATGGCAAATTGACCGGTTCTTGGAAGGGATGAAAACAACGGACAATTGGTACTGCCAGGAAGTGGTCCAGGTACACACCGAGACATGGTCCAAAGGTCGCGTTGTCCTCCTCGGGGATGCTGCACACTGCCCATCGCCTTTCAGCGGCATGGGCACCTCCGCTGCTCTAGTCGGTGCCTACGTCTTGGCTGGGGAGATCAGTCAACACAGCGATGATTTTCCCCAAGCTTTTGCAGAGTATGACAAAATCTTGCGGCCGTTTGTGAAAGAGGTCCAACAAGTGCATCCCTTCTTGTTGAGGCTGGGCATGCCGGACACATGGTGGGGAATTGCGATCCTTCGCTTTATCTTCCAGACCCTGTGTTTCCTTCGAATCCCAGAGTTGCTCTCCAGGTTTATGAATGAGAGAGACGGGGGGTGGCAGTTGCCCGATTATCCAGCCCTCAAGGCGGCAGAACAGTAGAGCGGCAACGGTCTATCTAAGATGGTCTCAAAGACAGAATGTGACAACTATAAATTTAGTAATGATCAGAATAATTCAATTCTATGATTCCCGGGTACATCGCCACGGACTATCTTCGCCGACTATGTTGTGCTGATACCCCGCGGTTGTCTTACACTCGGTTTCCCTCTAAACAGCGGACGCGGGGTTGCTTGGTAATCCCACCCGACAGGTCCACGAGATGTATAAATACATGTAGTTCACTTGGATCGCCGCATTTTGTTCTCTGCTCTCTAACTGTCAATCTTACCAACATGAGCGACTCACTATACGACGGAACGATTCGCACGGCGAAGAGCGCCCTGGAGACACTGGCACACATTCTCCGCAAAGCCGAGGAGAGCCCTAATGCCAACTCTCTGCTCGCAGCTCGTTTGTACGACGACATGAAACCCTTGACCTTTCAAGTCTACATAGCCACTCAAATGGCGGAAAGAATGACTGCGAGGCTGACTGGTCGCGAGCCAACTGTCTTTGAGGACAACTTTTCCTCGTACGCCGAAATGCACCAACGCATCGATAAGGTCCTGAAAAGCCTATCAGAGGTCGACAAAGACAATGTCAATAAGCACGCCGAGCAAGTCAAAACTACTCAACTGGGCTCGGCGGAAGTCGATTTGACTGGCGCCGCTTACGCTCATGGGATGACTGTGCCGAACATTTTTTTCCATCTTAACATGGCGTATGCTATCCTTCGAAAGGAAGGGGTGCCGTTAGGAAAGCGGGATTATTTAAGGTCCTTCCTGGCCCCATATACCACGAACAAAAGCGGGCCTTGATTGCGATGTCATTCATCTCGTGGCATGTTGGCAACCTGTGCTTTCTCATGTGAAGTCAGTTTACATATGCTCTGTGTTGCGAGTCTCAATGTGCTTGGATGGATGGAGTTGTTGATAAACCAACGAAGGACCCGACACTTCAAGAATTTTACCTTACCAATAACATTACATTTGATTCATCCAAAGTGAGATAAAAGGTAACTCTTGCTGAACTTGTGATAGACACCACTACTTATCGAATCACACTGTATATATTTTAATTCTTAGCTTTGGTACATTCCAACCTTATTCGCTTCTCATTTCTGATACCTATCCGGCAGCAAATGTTGACAGACAAGGTCACCCGCCCCGCCAGTTCATAGTACTCACAGTAAACTACTGGACAGAACCTTCTTATCCCAGACACCTCAAATCACATTGTGAGCCATGAAATTAGGCATTCCTCCCTTCATTCTCAGCCTCTCCATCCAATGACCACCCCAGTCCCCGTTCTTCACAGGCGACCAATGCCAAGAATGTGGATAATAATCCCTTGTTGTCCAGCGCCATGGGGAAGAGAGCTATCTCCTATAAAGCTTGACACTATCAAGCTGTCTTGAGCTTGCCTCATTCGTTACGCGTGATCTGTTGCCCACGAGGTCGTGGAGGGCTACAATCGCATTGCATAACGATACACTATGGGCCAAAAGACAGAGTTGGACTCTCCGACGGAGACGTATAAACGTCTTTCCAACAATACGCACAAAAACTGGATTAAGGATAAAGGATTGAGGAGATTGAATCTGGGGATTGTGTTTATGCTTTCATCGTCCGCTGCCACGGGGTATACATCGAGTTTGATTAATGGGTTGCTTGTTCTGCCTGAATGTAAGAACAGCATCCATCCTTTTGGCTGTTTCAAATACTGATATGACTATTTCTCAACAGTTGAAACACTTATCGGTGGCCTCAAGGAAAGTGTTCTCGGCCTCATCATTGCCTCTCTCTCCCTGGGCGCCATTATATCATTTGTCCCCGCATCATATGTAGCCGATATCCATGGCCGGAAAATATGCGTCTTCTTCGGTTCCGTCCTTGTTATAACCGCAACTCTCGTGCAAGTGCTCATCACACACCACTGGGTCTTCTTCGGCACGCGAGTCCTAGCCGGCGTCGGCGTGGGTATCTCGCAAACAGCAGCGCCACTATTGACCACCGAAATTGCACACCCGCGGCATCGGCAGACATTCACAGCTATTTATAACGCCTGCTGGAGCTTTGGAGCGATTATCTCGGCTTCTGTTATATTTGGCACGCTGCCTATAACAAACAGTTGGTCATGGCGGATTCCGTGTATCCTGCAGACATTTTATCCAACAGTCCAGTTGCTGGGACTGTATTTCGTTCCCGAGAGTCCGAGGTGGCTCGTTTCGAAAAACAGGAAAGAGGAAGCTCTGGATATGCTGGCAAAGTACCACGCGAACGGGGATAAAGATGATGAATTGGTTCAGCATGAATACCAGCAGATATGCAGCAGTATAGGAGCGGAGATGGGCATCAGAGCCAGAAGCTGGAGCTCATTCGTTTCCACCCGGGGTGATATCCATCGCCTCTCAATTTGCGTGTTGGTAGGGATTATGCAAGAGTGGGTAGGAAACGGTATAGTTATCTTTCTTTCTGATTTTTCATCTCTGATGGTTTACAGGCATTATATCCTTCTACCTGGCCCCGATCCTGGACTCAGTCGGCATTACAGACGCATCAGATCAAGCGTCCATCAACGTAAGCTTGCAAATATGGAACTTCATCCTCGCCATCGCTGGCGCAATTGCCTCGGAGCGCTTCGGCCGACGTGTATTGTGGCTGACCGCAACGGCCATGATGTTCACCTTCCTGTCTATCACAACCATAGTAGCCGCTCTCTTCACCGAGAGGGACATTCCCGAGGCAGGCGTTGCCGTGGTCCCGATGCTGTTTCTTTTCTTCGGGTCTTATGACCTCGCATATGCGCCGCTTTTCATCGCCTACCCAGCGGAGATCCTTCCGTTTCAGCTACGGGCCAAGGGCCTTGCTATTACGCTCACTACCGATGCAGTTGCCTGCTTCTTCAACCAATATGTCAACCCCATCGCGTTTGCAGCGCTCCAGTGGAGATACTACTGTTTTTACATTGGGACCTTGTCTATGTTTTTTGTGCTGGTTTACTTCCTCTTCCCAGAGACGAAGGGCCGGTCGTTGGAGGAGGTTTCGGAGATTTTCGATCGGAAGAACAACAATAGCAGCAACAACAGCAGCAACAACACTGTGTGCGTTGACGAGGTCTTGCATCCGAAATGACAATATGAGATGGATCGATAAAGGTTGTATTGTACTTTGTATCATTAAATGGAATGTATTATTGTGTATGTCTTCTCACTACACTAGTTCGATCCGATTCGATCGCAAGGAGATAGTGTCTTCCCAATCGTGTTATCTTAGTCTCTGCTACTAGAGCCCTAGTTAGTGACTAGACAAGCACTATGGTTAACTAGTATAATCCTCTCTACCGCCAATCGGCACCAGCCCGAAGCTGCTGATTGATGTCTCCCCGCAATCAATGCAACGTTGCGGCACTCTGAGGGGTCTGTCGCATCCCTGCCCGCCCTAACTATTATACAATAATCCCTGCTCTTCTTCAACTTCAAACCAACCCACTCCATCCCCCATAATGACCCCCAAACCCCCCAAACAGCCGCGCTTCCTTATCATCGGCGCCGGTCAGCGCGGACTTGCCTATGCCAAGGCCGTCAACACCGTCACACCGGGCACCGTGCATGCCGTCGCCGAGCCTCACGCATATAAACGGCGCCAGTTCGGCCGGAACTTCATCTGGGGCAAGGACGGGACGCCCGGCGAGGGCCAGGAGTTTGCGGATTGGCGCGACTGGCTGCGTTGGGAGGATGAGCGGCGGGGGAAGAAGAAGCAAGCTGGGAACCTTGATGCCGATAATGGGGGAAGTGATGCATCCCCCGCCGGCGTGGATGGAGTCTTCATCTGCACGCTGGATGAAACGCACGTTGAGATCATCGAGGCGATCGCGCACCTCCAGCTCCATGTCCTCTGTGAGAAACCGCTCGCCCTCTCGCTGGACGACTGTCTATCTGTCTACCGCGCCCTGCAACCACCGCAAGGCGATGACCACCGCGCCACATCACCTACGGCCATCTTCTCCATCGGCCACGTGCTACGATACAATCCGCACAACATCATTCTGCGCAAACTCCTCCTCACAGAGCGCGTGATCGGGGACATCGTCTCGCTGGAACACTGCGAGCCCGTGGGGTGGTGGCACTTCTCGCACAGCTACGTGCGCGGGCACTGGCGGCGTGAAACGGCAGCCGGTGACGGGTCCTTGCTCACAAAATCCTGCCACGACATCGACTTCATCCTGTGGCTTCTCTGCTCGCCTACGTCGCTCGAAGATGCCAGCGGCGCCACGGGTCAGCAGCGGCCGCATTTTCCGCGCAGTATCTCTTCCGCTGGCAGCATGACGCAATTCAAGCGGGCGCGCAAACCGATCGATGCGCAGAACGCTACAAATTGTCTTTCTTGTCCGGCTGAGCAGCACTGTAACTACAGCGCACCTCGTATCTATTCGGAACGGCTTGCGATGATGGGCAAGGATCGGATCTGGCCGGCTGATATTGTTTGTCCAGATATCGAGGATGTATTCGGCACGCAAGGCGCCGATGCGGCAGAGGACCATCTCATGAAAGCATTGCGGGAGGACTACGACCCCAATACAATGGCAGACTCGCAAATTGCCGAGCGGCCGTGGTATGGACGGTGTGTCTACGAGGCGGACAATAATGTCTGCGATGACCAGGTTGTCACGATCGCCTGGGACGACGAGGACACCGCACCGCACCGACTCGCCAAGACAGCGGTATTCCATATGATTGCGCCGACAGAGAAACAATGCGAGCGTCGAGGACGTGTCTACGGGACAAGTGGCGAGATCGAGTACGACAGCAGCTCGATTTCCATATACGACTTCGCGACGGCGAAGACTAGGGTGATTGACGTGCCCCCGCCGCCAGAGGACCAGAAGGAGTCCCATGGAGGCGGGGATTACGGGCTCGCGCGCCAGTTCGTGGCTGCTGTTGATGCGGTGCTGAATGCTAGGATGGATGTTGAGACCGCGCAGGCGCGGTTTGTTGGGTGTACGCTAGAAGAAGCGGTGCGGAGCCATGCGGTTGTTTTTGCGGCGGAGGAGGCGAGGAGAGAGGAGACAGTTGTCAAGTGGAATCAATGGTGGGAGCAGAAATTGGCTGCTTCGGCTGCGGCGTTGAAGGCGTAACTGGTTTACGACGTCTATGAGCTATGACTTTTGGGAGAGACTTTGACTCGCATACTGCATTGTCACACCATCATACTTTAGAGAAGGAAAACCTATTGCATATGGGGTTGTTGCATATAGCTTGTTCGCGCATCAACCATCAGTCCATTATCATAATCCCACCCAGCGGGAAGACAGCTTAGGTCTTGACATCGGGCTCCTCGCGACCGACATATTCCTTGAACTTGAGCAGTGACAGGGCCATGGCGATGTTCTCGCTCAGATAATCCTGGGCACTGAGGTGGAACTTGGACTTGTCACTCTCGTAGCGCTCGACGTACAGACGGATCGTGGCGCCGCTGCTACCCGTACCGGACAGCCGGACGACGATGCGGCTGCCATCGTCGAACTTGACGTACAAGCCCTGGTTCTTAGAAACGCTACCGTCCAAATCGGTGTAGGAGAAGTTGCCGGCATCCGTCACCTTGCGGCCGGCGATGGTCGACCCGACAAAGGTGTCGCGGTTGGCGACCAGATCTGACAGGGTGGCAACCACCTTGTTGGCGCCTTCGGAATCGACGTTCTCGTAGTCGTAGCGCGTGAAGAAGGTACGGCCGTAGATCTGCCAGAACTCGTTCTGGATGGAGCCGATGCTGGGAGTCTCCGAGGGCTTTTGCTTGGCCACGCCGGCGATGATGTTCAACCAGGCCACAATGGCCCACACGCCGTCCTTCTCGCGGATGTGGTTGCTGCCCGTCCCAAAACTCTCCTCGCCGCAGATGGAGATCTTCTTGTTGTCGAACAGATTGCAGAAGAACTTCCAGCCCGTCGGCACCTCGTAGCTTTCCAGCCCTTGCGCCTGAGCAACCCGGTCCACAGCACCCGCGGTGGGCATAGACCGCGCCAGGCCGTACACGCCCTGCTTCTGGAACCAGGGGATGAGCTTGGCATGGTGCGCAATGATCGCCAGACTGTCGCCGGGCGAGACGAACGACTTGGCGCCATAGATCATGTTCCGGTCCCCGTCGCCATCGCTCGCCGCACCAAAGTGCACGCCGTTCTTGTCGACGGCCTCGACAAGCTCATGCGCATACACGAGATTGGGGTCCGGGTGGCCACCACCAAAGTCCGGCTTGGGCACGCAGTTCATCGTGCTGCTGGCGGGCAATCCGAGCTCCTTGACAAAGATGTCCACGCCGTAGGGGCCCGTCACTCCGTGCATGCCGTCGAACAGCACCTTGAAGTCCTTGTGCGTGCTGAGAAACTCCTTGATCAGGTCGAAGTCGAAGATCTCCTTCATCATGTTTACGTAGTCGGCGGTCGAGTGCACGACCTCGACCTCCAGCGGGCCGTAGGTCTTGGAACCGATGCTGGAGATGTCCACTTCTGGGATCTCGGCGTATTTGTAGGAGGTGAGGGACTTGGAGGTCTCGTAGATCTTGTTGGTCACCGTCTCTGGGGCTGGAGCGCCGTTGGACAGGTTGTACTTGATACCAAAGTCGTTATCGGGGCCTAGCATGACCGCTGTCAGAAGTGATCTTGCCCGCTCAATTCGCCAACTTACCACCCGGGTTGTGACTGGCCGTCAGCAGAATTCCACCAGTCGCCTTCCTCACGCGGATGAGGTTGCTGGCCGCAGGAGTGCTGAGGATGCCATTCTGGCCGACCAGCAGCTTCTTAACACCGTAGGCGGCACTGATCTTGGCGATCTTCTGGATCACCACGTCGTTGTAGTAGCGGCCATCACCGCCGATGACCAGGAACGCACCATCTGCGCCCTCGGGAATGGACAGGATAGTGCTTGTGACGAAGGATTCGGAGTAGTTGGGCTGCTGGAAGACCTTGACCTTCTTGCGGAGACCAGAGCTAGAGAGTGGGGGGCGGGGTGTTAGCTGGATTGAATTGGATGGAACTAGGGGGCAAGTGGGAGCCGTACGTGCCGGGTTTCTGGTCAGCAAAGGGCTGGAAGGAGACCGTCTGGACGGACATGATGAGATGATTGGGGGGAGCAGGAAAGAAAGAGGAAAACAAGAAACAAAGGAGGAAGGGAGGATCAACACACGTGGGGCAGCCAGCGTCGTCATGTGTGTATCATCCCACTTCCACTGTTCCGGAGGGATTATTTGTTGATTCTACCATTCTAAACACAACCCCGATTCGAGGGATCCTGGTCATCCGGAAATGCTCGCCCATTCAGCAACTGGTCCAGACCGCGTAGGAACACGCCTAAGTAAATAGCTTCTCCCGGTAAAACCGCATCTCCGCAATGCTCTCCAGGATATCGTCCCTCGCCAAATGCACCTCTCGCTTCGGCGGCGCCAACTCCAGCAACTCCGGACTACCCCACCGCCTGGCCGCCTCCTTGATGGTACTCACATCCAAAATCCGATAGTGCAAGTGCTCCAGCACTTGTGCGTAGGGCCCACGGGCCAGGAATGCCTTGTCGGCATGGACGCTATTTCCCGCCAACAGCGCCGTGCGAGGCGTGGGCACATGGCGCTGGATGTAGGCAAGGAGGCCGGCGGCTGCAGCGTCCGGCGTGGTGGACGAGGCGCGCACGGCAGCGGTGAGGCCTGTGCGGCCGTGGGTGTCGATGCACCACTGCGACATAGAGTCCAGGGCCGAGTCCGGTTGGTGGATGACCGTTTCAAAGCCGTCGGGCTCAACGAGCTGGAGCTGCGCATCGGTGATGAAGCAGCAGATCTGGAGGATTTGATCTGTTTCGGCGTTGAGGCCGGTCATCTGGCGTGGTTTGCGGGATCAGTCTAAGTCGCATGGCATGGGGGGTAACTGCGCGGTGGTGCTAGCAGTTCTACGGAATGAGGGAACGAACCTCGCAGTCGATCCAGACCAGGGGATCGAATGAACGGGCCAGCGGCATCGTGGTGATCCTCCGGCACGCGGGCGCTTCTGTCAATGGCCGTGGACGACAGGATGTGTCTCCCGCAGGAGAAAAGAGCCGGGTCTGGCAGCGGTGGAGACGAGGAGCCTTCAACCCGCCGAGTCTGGTCAAGGTAAACAAGGTGGGTGGGAGGTATCGGGCATGTCCTGCAAACATGGAGAAACAGGGATCAATTGCAGGAATGATGATCAACTAACTACAATGGCTCAACAACAACATTCCTGTAGTGTAGATAGATTCGGTGGGCGTGACGGGCATAAGATAAATCAACGAAAACGAGGGGCATCTCCAGCACCGGAACACAAACACTGCCGAGAAAAAGAAAATAAACAACACGCCAATCCCGGTTTTAAGGAAGGGGGAAAGCCCCCCGTCAGTTGTTCAACCAATTACACAAAATTTGGAGAGATCTTCTAGCAACAGCCCTCTGGCTCCTCCCGGGAACCAAAATCCTCCATTCAATCGAACTACATGGCTCCGATTCCATAGATGTCATGAGGGGAAAAGAAGAATCTGGGCAGTCTCATAAGCGGCCGCCCAGGTGCAGAGCGTAGAACGTAAAACGCCTCGCCGTCACGCCAGGTGTACTTCGACTCACAACTCCTCGTCTTGGTTCTGCGACGCAGCAGCAGGTGGTGGTGGTTGGGACCCAAGACTCTCGCCAAATGAGCTCCCACTCGGGGTCTTGGACTCGTTAGTGTTAGAAGCCCCAAGAACGTCGTTGATCTTGTTGGATGACTCGGCAATTCGCCGGCGCAGGGAGTTCTCATCCGCTTGCGAAACACTGGCTCGCTGTTTCTTCAGCGGACTCCCAAGGAATCCATCTGGCAGATCACCAGGAAGCTGAGCAGATTCGGTGATGGCTGTACTTTTGGGTGGTGTTGTCGCCAGGTCAGAGGTTGGAGGGGGCGGGGTGCCAGAAGCCGGAGTGCCAGTGGAGTTGCCGGCACTATCTGCAAGAGGCTCGGACGAGTGCTGGCGCTTGAGCTGTAGACATGGTCAGTAAAGGTCGAAAAGTCATAAGTTGTCAGTGGGACGTACTTTGATCTTCCGGACACCTTCTGCAAGTTCACCCTGGCGTCTGATGTCGTCCGGAGACAAATGCTGGTCATCATCCTTGGCTTCGTCGTCATCCGCCTTACCCAGAATCGGGTTGTCAGTGTCGTCGTCGTCACTATCCATGTCATCGTCACCCTTCTTATGCTTTCGCGTACTGGATTCTTGGTCTCGGAAGTTCAAGAATCCCACACCTCCACCAGGCTTAAGGGGACCGATATTAGAGAAGTCTGCCTGCAGCGATTTGCGTTTCAGGGCTGGAGTTTCTTGGGCCTTGGGGTCTTTCAGAATGCCCATCTTTTGGAGTTGGCCTGCAGGAATACATTAGTATATCATATTCTTCAGGGCATGGTTGATTGTGACCAAACTTACGCTCGCCTCGATACATGAAAGTGAAGATGGCGTAGGGTTTATCAGTGGGGTCAATTCCGGTAACCGTCTGTGTGCTGATGGTCTTCGGATCCAAAGTCTTGGGCTTCGCAAAACTGGTGGTATGGTCGATATCCGCATCTCCACCACCGCTCTTGTCCTGTCCGCCTTCCTCGTCATCGTCGTTGGCGTCGAATTGCGGCGAATACTCGCCCCGCTTGATCTCTCCGGACGCTAGCACCCGGAATAGAGCCACCTTGATCTGGCCGGCTGTCTCGGGGATCGGGTCGTCGTCAGATTCGGAATCAGAAGAGAGATCTTCGTCGGACACATTTTCGAGTGGCGCTTTCTCATCATTGCCGTAGCGCATGATACCCTTGGACTTCTTGGAGATGGTGGCCTCCATTTCCATGGCAGTTTGGCCCTCGGATTCCCGTTTCGCTCGTCGTTTCTCCATCTTCTGTCGCCGCCGTTCGATTTTGGCCGCAGCATCTTTGCCCTCGAGGTCTAGGCCGTTGAGCCAACGCTCCAGACCGACCTCGCGGAACAAAAACTCGCGCTCGGCGATTCCTCCGCCCTCTGAATCGGAGATGCTGACCCAACGGGAATTCACCCAGGTCTCCTCGCCCCTCCGGAGCAATGTAGCCACTTCCTCCTTCTTTCTGCCGTCGAAATAGATGTAGGCGGCGATCGTCTCATTGGGCGAGTTGGTTAACGCCTGATATGGCGCAACTGTGCCTGTATATTGTCCCCGCTGTCCAGACTGACCAGGCAATCCGCCCACCACCTTTGGTTTCGGGGAGGGGTTATCGGGAGTTGGCTTGGGCGTCGAGTAGGGCACGTCCTGGCCCGAATTGAGAAGCGTGATGGAGATGGCGAAAGTCGATTGCTCCGACTTGCCTGTTGCAGAGTCGGGGATCTTGGGTGGGGGGACGGGGATGAAGCATGCTATGCGTGACGCGCGGGACTGTCGCTGGATCGAGTACTCGGAGATCGGCCCATCTGGGGTGTGGATGCTCACGGCAAGCCCCTTGAAGCAGGGCATGGCGGTCGACCAGGTGGGATTGGATCCCGCACGGTGAAGAAATGAAAGACCGAGTCAGGTGCGGAGAAGGGGGGGCTATCCTCTATCCCACACCCGAGCAAAGCGCGGGTTCGCAGATCAGAGAGACACAAGCGGTCAGAGGGATTCAGGTCCTAGAGGACTTTTCTCAGATTGTGAGGGACGAGGGCAGGGCTCGAGGTGGGAGGCGGTCAGGATAGTGTGTTTGGACTCGTTAGGAGGATCGTTCGGCAGCCCACAGGGACTAGTATCTGGACCCCACCGTAGCTGCAGGCTCGAGGGTTTCCGGGACGGAAGAGCGGCAAGGCGCGGGATGCAGAGTCAGGTTGATAGGTAGACAGATCGATTCCAAGACAACGGGTAGGAGAGGGGAGGGGTTGGATGTTATTAAGGATCTCCAGCCACGCAGTTTTGACAATGGGGCGATTCAAAGGTCAGGTCAGGTCAGGTCAAACCGGTCACGGGAGGCACGATCGATCCCACGACGGGAGTTGGTTCATGAGGACATGAAAGTGACCCTGTTCAAGTCAGGGCGGACGAAAAGCGTGATGCAGGGGAGGCTGGTGATCAGTTGTTTGGCAGATGAGGAGGAACAAAACATGATCACGTCGAACCCCACGTGACGCACCTTATCCTGATACCTGGACTGAAGCAGGTATACTTGGCGGTATTACAGTACTATCATATATAGTAGCTGTCATGGTTAGTTACTCCTATTCTTATTATTATTATCATCATCATCATCATAATAGCAGGCGTTGGTATTACTATTGCTCCCCCACCGTCATCGCCCCTCCACATTCTCCACCGCGCCTTTGCTCATCCCATGGATCTGTTCCTGCCGAGATTCGAGTCACGATTCTACATCTGGGACGAAAAGAAACAGTAGAAAAGATATATTCTCATTTCGGAATGAAATAACATTTCCCAAAGCACATATATACCATTATTCCATAACCCATTATCACAGGCCCTCCAAGTGCAGAACGGAAGCCAACTCGTAATCTCTAAATTAAACATGAAAACAACAGCATGAGAAACCAGTGCCAAACTGTCTTGCAGACAGATCCTCACAGCAGAAGTCAATCTACGACTTCATGTTCGCAGAGACAACGCTGCGCTTGCGCACTTCGGCAGCCAACTCTTCGCCAGTCGCGACATGCTCATCAAACTGGTACAGAGGCTCCAGCTGGACATTCTTTTGACGCAAGACATAGCGTCGGATCCAGTACGGCAAGAAAGTGAACGCCTGGTAGCGCATGTGCTTTCCGGTGGGGACAGCAAAAACGTAGTCCAACTCTTCCAGGGTGCGCTGCTTGGTCTCAGGAACCCAGAAGAAGATCATGACTAGGGCGGTAACATTGAGGGCACTGGAAAGAATCGTTAGTGTAGTTCAAATCAAAAGCCTTGTAGGAAAGAGGGGGGATCTTACGCATAGAAACCGAAAGCACCAGTGGGAGTCATGACTTGGAGCATGCGAGGGAAGGTAATGGAGAGAACAGCGGCCCATCCCAGACAGGTAGACACGGCCCACGACATGCCGACCTCACGATGCGAGAGCGGGAAGACCTCAGCGGAGTAGGTGAATGGTACGGGACCTTCGCCGGGAGAGTAGAATGCGGCGAATAGGAAGACAAACAGGGCAATCGCTCCCAGATGTGCTTTGGAGTCTGAAGGAATCCAGAAGCAGAAGCCGCCTGCGAGCAGCGTCCATGCCATCTGGGGGAAAGTGAACAAAAGCAGGTTGCGCCGGCCGAAGGTGTCGATGGTCCACACGGCAGGGAAGGCAAAGAGAAAGTTCACCAGGCCAAAGCCCCAGGAGGCAAACAGAGCTTCCTTGGGGGTGGCGTTGGCCTGCTGGAAGATGGTGGATGAGTAGAAGGCAATGATGTTGATACCGCACATCTGCTGGGCTATCATGACGGTAAACGAGGCGAGAGTCGCGCGACGAACACGGGGGATCGTAAACAGCTCCACGAAACGCTTGGCATAGTTGGTATTTCCAATCAGACTCGCCTCAACCTGGATCTGGGCATGGATATAGTAGAGATCACGAGCAGCCTGCAGAGGGGTGTTGCGAAGGCGGCAGAGCGACTTGAACGCCTTGTTCATCTCACCCCGGCGGATGTACCAACGAGGAGACTCCGGGCAGAAGTAAACACCGATGACGAGGGGCACAGCGGGAATGAATGCCGAGCCAAGCTGCAGACGCCAGGAAATAGCACCGGTATTCATAACGGCAAGATTAGCGCAGAAACCCAGGAAAATGCCGAAGGCAGTCCACAGCTGCCAGCACATCACCAGACCACCGCGAATAGAAGCGGGAGTGTTCTCAGCACAGAAGATAGGAATAGTAGACGCCTTCAGACCCATACCGATGCCGAGGAGAAGACGGGTACCGAAGAGTTGTTGCCAGTTCTGGGTGCATGCAGAGCCAATAGGCGAGAGGACACAGAAGATGGCGGCGATAAAAATGACACCACGGCGGCCAAGCATGCGGTTCAATGGATCAGACAGCCAGCAGCCAAGAAAAGCGCTAGCAATATACGGGGCCGCGTTGATGACACCGACGATCCAAGAGTTTCGCGCCGCGTTTGGTGCGCCGTTATCGTCCGGGATACCAAAGGCAGTGGGGAAAGAAAGGTTAGCTCCATTAGAGCCGGTCTGGTCCCAGCCCTGGACGGCGGCACCGATGGAGCACAGAACGATGGTGAAATACAGCGCCTTGGGCTGGCGCCACTTGTGAAGCACTTCATCCTGCAGCGCTGTCCGCTCGGTCTCGGTCAAGTCCAGTACCGACTCGAACTCAGTGGGATCTCGAGCAACCAGCGCTCCCTTCTTCAGCTCCGGTAGGATATCGCCGAGTTGGAACTCCTGGGCGAACGATTCGACATCCGAGATCAATTGGTTCTTGCTCAGATCGGCCAGCGGGTTCTTGATCCTGTTAAGGCAGGCCGTTAGTTAGGGCTAGAAGTAGGAGAGAGATATCGAAACACACTTAGCGGAAGTATTGTTCTGCAGGTTCACTTCCTCGAAGTGGCCCTTCTCGCCCTTGCTGTCAGAGTCACTGCTGAATGGCGGGGCATAGTCGGCCGTCTCGACCTGCACTTCGTCTTGCTTGGACATGGTGATGGTCTTCCACCCCAGGGTAGTCTAATAAGAGTCTCAGGCAAGAAGAATAAAAAGATATGTGACAAAGCGAAGAGAAGGCCAGCTAACTCTGCTGAGAAGGGAATAAATGCCTGTGATTAGAAGAACATCTCCAACTTCACCGGGGGGGGACCACGTCCTTTTATGCTTTCTGGACTCTCCTCTCCCACTCCAGCCCATTTCTCAAGGCCCATCTCTACCTCTCATTGGGCCAATGTAGGGCAATTGTCGAAGACCCTACGTGACCATGCCTGTCCCGTCTTAGCCGGGGCACTGGGTCCGGGTTCGATCTACTTCCTGAAACGGGCACGACCCATACATACGGGGGTGGGGAGGGGGCTAGTTGTTGCCCATGGGGAAAAGCCAAAAGTCTCAAGTTGGGGCCCCTCGAGCCATGCGATAGTTTTCTACTAAACCTTGGGGCAAGGCTTCGGCATCCTGGCAGCCAGTCTCGCGATCTGAGCGAGACGTCCTGCATAAAAGGTTCTTGGGGCGATCCTTAGGACTCGCGCGGCTTTCTCCCTGACTAGACTGTCCACCGGATGCTCCGTTCGTCGGAGCGAAGTGAGGGGATTAAGCAGTGTATCCATCGTTTTCGGTTTGTTCTTAGGAGGCACGCGGCAGCAAGTGGAACCCTCATTAAACCCGAAATCGAAAAGACAGAATGCTGGTCCACGCGGTTTCGCTGCTCCACCATGTGTCGCGATTGACCCCGGCCGGGGTAGCCACATGTTACCTTTGCTCCAAAAAGAAAGAAACCCCCCTGGTTGCGGAAAGACGGCGGATAGAGTCCCGTCGTCATGGTCGCCGCTCTGGGGTTCGATTCTGCCTGTGGCGTTCCCAGGGCCACTGGGGCTGTATTGTACATCACTGTGGTCGTGGAACACTTGCCTTGGGTTGCTTATCAACCGTTAGTGCGCTGTTTAAACTTCCCGTCGTCTTGTTTGAACCAAGCAAACCCGGCTGCAGGCTGTGATTCGCTCGACAAGCCACTGGGGCGCACGGTGGCTGCCGGACTAATCCGGAATGGGCTAAACCGCCTGCGAATCCTGAACAAGGTTTACGCCCGTCTTTACGTAGGCATGCAGTACTAGGTCTAGGCTGCGTAATACGATCGGATCCGGCCAAAATCACACAATATGTACAGTACCAAAGGACAAAGGCACACTGGGATGAATGAATGACCCTCTCATTTTCTCGCGGGACCCCGGTTTCTGGAGAAATGGGCAAGTTGGGAGATCTGGGGTTGCGGATCCTTCAGCTAAAAATTGGGAGATTCGGGCCAGGCAAGGTTCGGCCCAGACAGATTCGGGCCAGAAGCAGGGACCGGCAACCCTTGCAATTGAGTAGCCAATTTGCGATGGCTCGGCCCCGGCACTAGTACTTGCATTCCACGGGGTTGGCCGAGGAACCCACTTTCCCCCAAAGGCCTGCCCGCCCGTCGGTTCGGGGATGTGTTGCCCCATGAAAACACCTTCATCTGGAGTACTGACTAACTGCCGCGATGTAACTAATAGTAGTGTCATGCTTTATCGTGGTCTAGTCCTTCGCCGCTTCACCTTCATATGTACTAATTACGTAGTGTATTCCCACTAAATTCCCCTTTCCATTCTATTTCTGCACTTCTGATGACGTAGTACTTTTGCTGCTACCCTGCTGCATTAGCTAGACTAACGGGCGGGTTAGCGATATCGCGATGAGAGCGGTAGAAAGGAGGAGAAAGAAATGGGATTCCCTTCTCCACGAACTCCTGCTGCTCCCAAATCATGGCGGCAAAGCAGGTCGTTGAACATTTCCGTGTCGATCTCAATGTCAGTTTCCTTGGGGGTTCTGACGACCGCAGGAACAACTTCTCAGACTCGATCACCAGCGGAGCATCTCCAACTGTGCTCCGCTTGTTGGCGTCCATGGAAATATTGATTTGTTGTGTTTGATGCTAGCAACCGTCTTCGAGATCCCAATATTAAACCTAAATTTCAATGCCAACAGCATGTAACCAAAGGTCTCGTGTGCTGCCCAAAGCGGCGACTGACTACACGACACGGCGCTACCGTCTTCGGCCAGCTGCCACACAAAAAGGCAGACTCGGCTCGGCGCGGCTTGAGCGTGAGCATTCTCTCTTTTTTTTTCCGGGGGTTGCAACGCTAAGCTCCTCGTGGCCTGGAACCATGTGGGGATCGCCATCTCTTCCGCCAGGCCTTGTGGGGCGACAGGAATGCTCTACAAAGTCATGACTGTTCCAGTTTTGATGGACTTGGAGGAAGAATACACTCAACGTATCACTAATCCCCAGGGCGAACATGATGATGACTCTACGAAGTGACGAGGAAGACGAGTCCCTACAAACCCCAACTGATCATCACAATAGTACGGATTTACGACCTATATCTAGGGAACAATAATAGAACGGCCGGGGTATTGACCAGAAAAATAAGTAGAGGACGACTTGTGTTATTCGTGCGGCTTTCCATCTTAGCCTACTATTATTATTTGTCCCTATCTGTTTCATGTCAGATCCTTGGGGCCATGCACGCGAAACGGGAAGGGTTCGAGAAGATGATCATCTCAAATGCCGGGCCAAGGAGCTGACATCGACAAGGGTTAGCCTTAATCCTCGTCAAAACATAACAGCGACCAGGACGCGCCTGGAAAATCCGTCGCACAGGATTTCTTTAGCTTTTCAAGTGTTTCGACGAAATCCTTCATACTCGGGAAAAGTCACGCTTGCCGATAGCTATTTCAGGACTCATCCCAACGCAACAGCGCCTGGCCTTATTAGCTAGGAGTATCTTTGATTCACAAGCTTTGGGGGCTTGGTAAATAGATCCTGTCGTTACGCCCGATGCTCAAGTGGCCCTATGCATTGTTGGATCAATGGTCTCCCGTCACAAGATCTAGTGTGGAAGGCGCTACAGAATCAGGATTTGCTGTTCGGGATCATAATCGGAAGGGTCTTCGTGTTTGACTTGCCTTCCACGGGACTTCAAGAAAACTGTCAAAGTGGATGCTGACACTCCTATTCGGCGGTGTAACCCCACAGTTCTAGCAAGATTAAGCGATAACTTGCCTGCAGGAACTGGACTCAAGGCTTGGCCTGATGGAATACCCGCAATTCCAAGCGATTGGTGTTTGGGTGTGTTCGAAACGCGGAGCAATTGAGCCCTGCCCAGAAGAACCCATTGCTCAATCTTGGGTGTTCACATCCGTTCCTTACAGTTGGTCTAGGTCTACTCTTTCAATAAAAAGATAATGGTTAAAAGAGTGTGATTCAAGTTGGATTTTCTGGAGACTATGTTGGATAGTCCGAACCGTAATCAGAAACGCATGAACAAGCCATGTTGGATGACATCAAACGGCAAATGTGAAGGAATAACTAAATGGAAGATGATTGGAGTTCAAACACACATATTGTGTTGCATACTGGGTAGAAGACCTTAGTAGTCATCTCCGCGGCTCATGACTTCCTTGCCTGTCTCGCGCAGCAAGAATGTCTAAAAAATATTAGCGTTGTACACCTTTGGAAAAGAGTAGAAGATCATACATGTTCAAACTGTGCAGAATATGACCCTTCAACGTCCATCAGAGGTGGGTAGACCTCCACGACTCCCATGGATTCAAGGCTATTCATCTAAAGACGGTCAGCGCACGATATATGAGTGTAAGGTGAGCACCTACCCCAGCCAAGTAACGCTGAACACCAAGTCGCTCGAGGTAACGACGGCAAAATACAATCGTGCCAAAGTTTTCATTGATCGTCTTGTAAAGAGATCTAGCCGACGCAAGAGGAGACATCACATGCTTTGGAGCATTAATGTCTCTGCCGTATCCGTAGACACCAGGCTGAAAAATAGGTCAGTGTGTGCCTTCCGATATGAAGCAAGAAAGGGAACATACCCCATCCCTCAAGCGTCCACGTCCAGTCGACCCGAACGTTTCAACGGCAAAAATCTCCCCTTCTTCCATTTTGGTTTGGTCAGAGGTCTTGACAAACGGGATCGATTTTCCACCGTGGATCTGGTACTGCTTGATATTGTGTCCACTGAGGTCCCGCACAGGTTTCACAGGATAGGTTTTGCCGGCAATCTCAACCTCGTAGCTTTCCATCGCCTCTTGGATGGCGGCACTGACATCGCTAATGCGTACATCAACTCCGGCATTCTAATTCGAATGTCAGTCATGCGCTCAATCTTGAGAATAAGTTCCTGCAAACCTTGATGCCAGTGTTTGTTGCATCCTTCACCGCAGCAAGCAGATTGTCATAGGTCGGATCGAAGGACATTGTAAACGCACTGTCCACAATCCAACCGTTGATATGAACGCCAAAGTCAACCTTCATGACATCGCTGGCTTGCAGGTAGATCTCCTTTTGGCCAGGATTCGGCGTGTAATGCGCAACGCAATTGTTCAGCGCGAGTCCTGTGGGGAATCCCATCCCGGATGCAAGACAGCTTCCGGGTTCAAGGCCGGCATTATCGAGCAGCGCTCGAACGCCATCCTCGATCTCCACGGCAATATCAGTGAGGGCCTGGCCTGGACGGACGCTTTCCTGCGTCCAGCGGCGGACCTGACGATGCACCTCTGCTGCTTTACGATAATCATTGAGGAAACTGTCATCTTGAAGATGGCGGCGGGATTGGATTCGGGCTTCCTCGGCTGTCGTGCGAGCTGTGTTTTCGACAACTGCGGATCCATAGCTCTGGATCTCGCCCACTGGGTACTGGCCAGTTGGGAAGAGCTTGCTCAGAGGGATCCGGGGTGGCGATGACTGCGAGTGCTTTTTCTTCTTCTTATTGGCCTTCTTTCGCTTCTTTTTCTTCGAGGCGTCAGTCAAAGGCGACGTCAGCGTCACGGTGGCAGTGTCGGCCGTATTGTGGTCATCGCCGTCATCATCGCCGTCGTCGTCTCCGAGGCTGCCATCGCCGTCCCGGGACAGATGAGCTCCGCGCGGCTCTCCACCCGCGGCATTGGACTTGATTGGGTTTGACGATTCATCTGCTGGAAGTCAGTCCACGAATCAAGAAACTGAGATTAAGGATACATACCACCGCCAGTGTGGCTTTCGTGCTCGGGTGTCTTAGAGCCCATTGCGACATGAATGAGTGGGTTCTGTGATGAGTGTGGTTGGATGATGAGGAGGAAAATGGAGGTCGGGAGAGCCCTTGGATGCGGGAACAAGGCGGTGTGGCCATTCTTAGAGAGGTACGGAGAGGATTAGATTATCGAATCAAGATCAATATTATAGCTTAGGATATCTTGGTATTTAAGCTTCTAGAATTCCTGGTGAAAGGTATACGTTGCAATATAATCCTAATGGAACGGTTGAATGTTGATCTCGGCCTGTTGATATATATAGGCTTGTTATAGTCATCGCAGGATAATATACTTCGTCCGATAATCTTTCCACGCTGGAATCAGCCCGATGAATGAAAACCGTCAAAGCCGGAACATTAGACAGCGACCTTGGAATATTGATAGCTGTCAAGTTCTAGATCGCATGAGTGAGACGGCAAGGAAGGAGGTCACGTCATCGATCCGGAGCTGACAAATGGAACCATCGTCTATGATTCTATTTCAAAGAGGACAAAAGAGGACATCACTTCTCTACCCTCCATGCTCTCCCGCACTCTCCTCGGTGCTGGATCTATCAAGGCTGCAACTCGACTCTCCCGACTATCCTCGACTGTCAACTTCCCGGCGACATCTTCCTTTTCCACCATGGCCTCCGACATCACCCTCTACTCCTGGGGCACCCCTAACGGCATCAAGGCCTCCATTACGCTGGAGGAGCTCGGCCTTCCCTACAAGACCGAGCCAATTGACATCAGCACCAATATTCAGAAATCGGAGTGGTTTTTGAAGATCAACCCGAACGGCCGCATCCCTGCCATCGTGGACGGTTCGCAGCGCGTGTTTGAGAGCGGCGCAATTATGCTCTATCTGGCCGATAAATACGACACCAACCGCAAGATCAGCTATGCACCAGGCACGCCGGAGTACATCGAGCAGCTGTCATGGCTAATGTTTCAAATGGGAGGTATTGGGCCCATGCAAGGCCAGGCAAACCACTTCCGCGTCTTTGCTGGGACGCGCTCCGATTACGGAATCGATCGATATATGGGCGAGACGAAGCGACTCTACTCGGTTCTGGAATCCCGGCTGCAGGAAAGCCCTTACTTGGCTGGATCCAAGTACACCATTGCCGACATTGCGAACTACGGATGGGTCCAGTCCGCACCAATCACGCTCGGTATTGATTTGAGTGAATGGCCCGCACTGAAGAAATGGTATGAGAACATCGGAGCACGCGCTGCAGTGAAGAAGGGCGTGGATGTGCCGCCGTCTACCAAGAGCTATGAGGAGAAGGTAGAGTTTTTCCGGAACTCTCGGGCCAAGATTGATGCCATGACGAACTCGGATAAGCATTAGGCGGATTTCGCTGGATGTGTATTTGTTATCAACATGGTGATGAAGGGACAAATTGTTGATTGTTTCTGGACTTGCCTGTGCACTGAGCAGGGATTGCCAAGTAAATAATGAAGCAGAAAACAACCCTGACGAATTGGGCTGAACCAATGAGATAACTCAAGACGAGTATAGCTCAGCAGAATGGTATCTCCGCTTAGACATCGCAAATCCGAGAATGCAAAGCTCTGGTTCTATTGATGTGGACTATCAATGCATTGCTAAAACAACGAGACAACCACCATCTAATCTATGCACTACAATAATGGACCAAAACACTGCCTTTCCAACGAAAAGCTCATATCTCACCAGGCCGGTAGCTGCGCCAGACCTCAAACCCAACTTTCTCGTACCATCCATCCAGAGCAACCCAATCCACAAAGATACCCTCGATACCTCGTTTCTTCATATCCTCAATGGCATGGCAAAGTAGCGCCAGGCCAATACCCGACTTGCGATGGGCAGCGTCGACGCCCACACAACCAATGAGGCCGGTCTGAGGCCCGCAGATCTGCGGGAATGCCCAGGCCTTGTTCAGCACGTCGGACGGCCCAAGCATCAGTGTCCATCCGACTTGTTGACCCTGGGAGTCGAACGCGACCATCACGCTCGAGGGGTACTCGCTTGGATGTAGTTTGACGTACATTTCCACCCAGCCCTGGATCATGATTAGCTAGCGTATATGTCGAAAAATCTTTGGCGTACGTACCGGTTTGTCTGAGAAGTTCTTCCGCTGCCCTACCAGACACGCTTCATAGTCCTCTGCCTGGAGCGGTGCAAAGTAGAAGCCACCTTCTTGCGCACGTGTGACGTACTTCTCGGGTGCTTGGAAGTTCCGGATATCCTGGAACAGATCGACAGACCGCGCGCCAGGTGGACTGAGTCGGAAGCCACGATGGATGAAAAATTCCTGAACAGACTCTGGAAGATCTCGAGGAACCCCGGGCCAGAACCGAGGGAACGAGCTGCTCAGTTTCAGACGGTTGAAGCCAAATTGAGCTCTGAAATAAGCGCGGATCTCGGCCAGCAAGACGGTGCCAATACCCTGGTGCTGGTATTTAGGATGTACGGCAACAGCGGCGATGTAAGCGGTGTTTGGATCGCCGTGGAAGTTGGTATATGCAAGACAGAGCCCTGCCAGCTCAGCGCCAACGCGTGCCACATGGTGGTGAGCATTGGGCTGGGCTATGAGGGAGCGTAAGCTATCGGAAGGCAGACTGTAAGTCGGGAGTGCTGCTGTCCAAACATTGACCATCGCATCCAGGTCCTTTTCGGCATCAAATGGGGCCACTGTTGCCGCATGCTGAGCCGACGCCTTTGGTCCCACGGGAAGGGAGCCTTTTGGCGCGAGAGTTCCGAAAATGATGCCTGCAGCCACGGAGAATGCTTCAAGAGTTGGCTCATAGGTGGCGATGTATGTTTTCAAGTCCGAAAATCCAAGGAAATCGTACGGGTTGCAAAGAGCGATAGCTATTAGAGAGCGAACATGCCGAGGAAGCTCGTGGCCCAGTCTCTCTTGGTAGGGCGATTCTCGGGCATTCATTGAGGTGAAAATAACCGAATCTGCAGCCTCAACAAGCTTCCATTGCTCTGCGGACAGACCTGTTTCGCCATACTGAATTTCAACAACGTTTGGATTGTAAAGTCGAAGGGCGTTGAGATATGGAGTCGCGTCGTAGTCACCTTGCCTTCCAAGGCCTTCTCCATCCACGGCACCTCCCATGGGAGTTCCAGCTCCTGGAAAGAGACAAACGATGCTCGATGTTTTCGATAGCGGCAGAGCGGCAGCATCGTCACGGACGAGCGTCACCGAGTGCTCATACGCTTCCTGGGAAACAGCAGATACCTTGCTGTTAAGCGCACTGAGCTCTGCCAGGTCATGCTGTCGCAGTGCGGTCTCCCAGTTCAGGAATTTGTCCTTCACAGCTGCGACACGTCGACAGGCATCCGATAAGCGTGAAGATGTAATCTCTCCAGACTGCACCGCCTCGCATACTTTCTTGATAGAACCAACTTGCACCTCGAACGTGTGACACATCATGATGCTGTCACTGCCAGCCTTCAATGCGAGCACCGAGCCCTGTTCTGAACCGATCGTAGCCCGGATTCCGTCCATTTCCAAGCAATCCGTGATCACCATACCATCATAAGCCATATCCTTTCGCAGGATCCCCAATGCTTCCGGCGAAAGCGTAGCAGGGAGCTTGTCATCAATTTTTGGCAGAGAAATATGAGCGGTCATAATTGTCTCGGCCTGTTCAGCCACAGCTCGTCGGAACGGAATGAGCTCGCATCGTTCCAGCTGATCTCTCGACTTGGGAATAACCGGCAGACCATAGTGAGAATCCACCGCCGTGTCTCCATGGCCAGGAAAATGTTTGACACTAGGAACAACCTTCTGCTCTCGCAGGCCCCGGGCAGCCGCGCAGGCAAATCTTCCCACGAGGTCTGGGTCATCGCCGGGGCTGCGGACTCCAATGACGGGGTTAAGTGGCTCCGAGTTAATATCGCAGACGGGCGCATAATTCATGTTCACCCCGTAAAACCTCAGAGTTTCGCCCGTAGCCTTGCCGGTCTCGTAGGCGAAGTGCGGGTCATGGGTGGCACCGAGCGCCATCGGACCTGGAACCTGGGCTGCGAGCGGAGGAGAGATTCGGGTCACCAGTCCATTCTCCTGGTCAATACCGATAAATAGAGGTTGCTTGTGACCGGCTTCCCGCGCCGCTTTTTGTAAATCCAGTGTCAAGGCCTGCGGGTATATTAGCGATGACATTCAAAGAGTGGAAAGCCAGCGAGGTTGTTGCATTACCTGAAGCTGTGCGGCATCTTGGATGTTACGTGCGAAGACCACAATACCTCCGATGTGGTAATCACGGATCAGGATCTTGAGCTCCGGGCTGATGGTGAAGCCATGGAATCCGACCGCGAATAACTAAACAGACATCGGTGAGTGGGCGAGTCTGCCGCAATGAAGTTGAACAAGCATCATACCTGGCCAACTTGCTTCTGGAGGTCTATCGCCGCCATGTTGTCTATTCAAGCCTGATTGCCGGGAAGGTGAAGTTGGTTGATAAGGGGATGTCGCTATCCCCAGCTCGGGCCCATCGTGGCTGCTCCACCTGTGGATCTGATGCAACGTCCCATTGCTAAACAGCTTAGGTCCCATTGCTAAACAGCTTAGGTCCCATTGCTAAACAACTTAGACTCGGTCCGGACTGTCACTAGGCTGTGCAAGGCGTCCTAGTTGTCCCCGATAAGTAAAGGGAGCGAATCCCAGGAATGCGGGGTAGGCTTTGGTGCATAAATCAAGTGTCTCCTTGATCTCGTGTTCTTTGTCTTTCAGTTCAATCATGGCCGACATCCAGGACGACCCTGAACCTACCCGGCGAAGGAGCAATGCATCGAAGAACGGAGCGGCCGTCGAGGTGACGCAGAACCCACCGGCTCTCCAGGAGTATGAGCGGCTTTTCGGGGTCGACGAAGATGCCTATGAGCAGCCGACCACCACGCGCCGAGAGCTGTGGGCATATTACCTCTACTATAACGGTAAGATCCGATGAAATCCCGGGGTAGTGGATAGTGCTGACACCGGGTCGTGTTGGTATTCAGGGGACAATGGTGTCGGCCCGGGATCTTACAGCCAGGCCCTGTAGGTAGCCGACGCGCAAAGCAAATGGCCCAAAACTAACATCTCTGCCAGCTTTCAGTGGGCTCTAACCAAGTCTGGATTTCAGCCCGGCACGAATCCGCCCGAGCCCTGCACCAACACCTCGGCTTGCGTGGTACCCTGGGCCGGGGGCACGCGAGCGATTTCCTCGGTGGTCCTGATCGCCAACGGCCTCTGTTTTGTTTTTATGACGGTGATATTCGTTTGGCTAGGGAGCGCGGCCGACTACGGCTCGTAAGTATACACAATTCTTCATCAACGCCAATACAGAAACTAACCTTCCGTCGTACCAATGACCAGATTTGGCCGATGGCTTCTTCTAGTCCTTACCGTGGTGTGTTGGGCTCTCCAGTACGGAATGATGGCCATCAAACGGCCTTCCCAGTGGCCTGCAGCTATGGGAATGTATGTTGTTGCATACAGTATGTTGATCGATCGCTCACCAGGTCTATGAACCGCCCTGGCGACGCAAGCCCCGCAGAGGGACACATGATTGACAACAACGCTAACTTTTACAGTATCTTACGGCGCAACACTCGTGTTCTACGCTGCAGTGTTCCCTCGTCTAGCGAGGTTTATGCCGCATGTGCGCAAGGCGCGTGAGGAAGATCTGAGAGAAGGCAAGATTGACCAGGAAGAGTACGATGCAATCGAATCGCTGGAGAGAAACCATATCAGGTAATACACTCACTGCTCTATACGGGGCCTATTTATAACCATGTACAGCAATATATCCACTGCACACAGCAATATTGGATACCTGCTCACGCTGGTGCTCAATCTGAGTGTCCTCCTCCCCCTTCAAAGTGACCAATACTCCAACAATCTGGCCCTGTGCCTGACCAATTCATGTTCGTCCCTTCACCCTTTTACTTGGCTTTCATCTGACGCTTGTCTAGATTGGGTGGTCCTCGGCATCTGGTGGTTCATCTTCCAGCAAAAGAGACCCGGTCCCAAGATCCCAAAGGGTTCAAATTACGCAACCATCGGCTTCAAGCAGATTTGGCTAGCTATCCGAGAGGTCAGGTCTCTCCCACAGACATTTATCTATTATGTCGCCTATTTTCTACTTGCAGATGGCCTCAATACCACCGGTAAGATCACTGATCGCTTCATTCAGTGAAAATTGACTCAAGCCGTTTATCAGGAACACTCGTCAGCATCATTCAAAATGATTACATCTCCTTCTCATTTTTGCAGCTCACTTATCTTGGGATCACGCAAGCTGTCTGCTCGATTGCCTCAACCTTCGGTTTCTGGTACATCCAGAAATATTTCAAGTTTAAAACCAAAACCATGTTCCTGGTGACCAATTTCTTCAGTGTCTTCATTCCCTTCTGGGGCATGCTGGGACTGTGGACTACCAGAATCGGATATCATAATCGGGTATGTATTGTTGAACAACTAGAGATATCTCAGCCGCTTACTCGTTCCTAGTGGGAGTTCTACTTCTACAATGTCGTTTTCGGGCTCTTCCAAGCCCCGTACTACGCGGTAAACTCTACTTCTCCATTCTTTCCAGCTACATCTCTAATGATTATACCAAACAGTACGCACAAACAATGATCAGCGAACTCATGCCCCGGGGATACGACAATATGTTCTTCGCCCTCTTTGGCATTACCAACCGTGCTGTCAGTTTCATCTTTCTGTAATTATCATATGTTCTTTGCTGACGCCTCCAGTCCTCCATCATCGGTCCCAATGTCATCCAAGCCATCATAAACGATACCAACAATAATTGGATGGGATTCCCATTCCTGTTTTCCATCTGCGCCGGGGCCACAATTGTCATCTGGTTTGTGAATGTCGAGAAGGGCCGCGAAGATGCCAGGCGGTATACAGAGGCGCGGAAGGTGGATCGTGTTGTGGCGGAGACGGGATTCAGTCATGACGCCCTTGTGAAGGGACAGGTGCCACCAGCAACTGAGAATGGAGATGGGCATGCTGAGAAAGGCAATACGAGTGCATAGGCGAGCGTGTCTATCAGATTAGGCTTTGAGGTATCATTGATTTTAAGCTTGATACGCGTGTTTTTGTGGTCGTTACTCATTCTAAGATTATTATATCCAACCAAATCAGTCTTCCCAAAGATTGGCAGAATGGCTGCCTCAGACATCAACCTTCTTTTCCGTCTCCTGCTGGGCGGGCTCCTCGCCAGCTTGTCTCTCTGCCTTGCGCTGTCTCCTGGCGTCAATACGATCACGCCACTCATCGCCAAAGATGGTGATCATCCAGACGCAGGCGCCGGAGAAGATCAGAAACAGGGCGCTAATGGTACTAAACCAGCCGACACCAATAGCCTCAACGGCAGGCAGGACGATGCCCGAGCCGAGCGCGGCAAAGACGTAGCGGAACATGTAGTTACCAGCTACGACCTCGGCGCTACGGCCTGTAGACTGCATAACATCCAGACAATACGTGTTCAGACTGGGGAAACAGAACAGCTGAGCAACACCTTGAATGAACATGGCAAGTACTGGGACGGGAATCCCACCGACGGCCTTTTCGACTGTCCATCCATAGATCAGAATGCAGCCGGGGATGACCAGGCCGATGAAGACAAGACACGACTTAAGTCGGTCCTCGGGGATGCGTATGCCGCCGCGCTTCCTGATCCATTTCTTTACGACGTGATCCGCCCACCTGCCTCCCATAAACGTTCCCACCAGATATCCACATCCGGGTGCAATGTAGAACAAACCCGACTGAATCGGGCTAGTCAAGTGGAATCGTGGGTTGAGAACATATCGGATGGGTGTGAGGAGAGAGTATTGGTTCCACACAAGTGCGCCGGCGCCTAGTCCAGCGAAGAAGAGGTTCGGATATGTGAAGAGAAGAATGCCCACGCGAAGAGGCGAAACACGGTGGAAGAGGGTTTTCGCTTTCTGGGCGGTGGTCTGCTCAGCCAGTTCACCTTTATCCAGGTGCGGGTATGTCTCCGGGAAGAAGAAGAAGATCAGCAGAAATCCGCAGCCGCCCAGGGCCGTTTGGAGCCAGAAGACTACACGCCACGAGCAGAAGGTGACGATCACGCCCTGTGTATCACCAATCAGAAAACGTGGCGGACCAAGTGCCAGGGGGATATACGAACACCAAGAAATGGGCCGAAGGCTGGCCCAATGAGCGTGCCCGAGAGAAACCATCCCAGCGCCGTGGCTCTAGCTCGTGGTTCGTAGACATCGCCGATGGCAGAGCTGCCGACTACCAGAAATGATGTCCCCTGGAACGCAGTCAGGACGCGGAAGATGTAGTAGGCCGGCAGGTTCGGTGCCAGAGCGGTGCCAATGCTGAAAACAAAGAATAGAAATGAGCTCGTTAGGAAGATCTGGTCCAGCGGTCAGTATTTTGATGATTTACTTGACATTGTGCTGCTCACCGGCCGACGGCCATACACTTGCGAGAAGGGGCCCCAAAAGGGTGCGCTGATGCCCATAAAAGCGAGACTGCAAAAGGAAAGTTAATAACCATGGAGGTGTGTTTGATTTCACACATACTATAATGCGTTGCTGGCGTTGATAATGCTGCCGGTAGTGTTGTAGGTCTTGGCGACCTCGGGAACGCCTGATAAAATCGAGGTTGACGAGATAGGTGCTAGGAAAGAGCAAACCGACAGAACAAAGACAATGAGAATCTTGCGCGTTGGTGAGAAGCGCAGGTACTGTTCAGCGTCGACCTCGTGGAATTCATCATTCACGGGCATGTCATGATGAGAGACCTGGCTCTGTACCAAGTGAAGGCTGTTTGCTGCCTCTAGTACTGGCTGAGATTGAGACCGAGTTCTCCTGGTTTGTACTTCTTCGCCATGTGATGACCCTTCTTCGATACTGGAAATCGAATGCACAGACGAATGCACAGACGACATGGCTGCGAGGCCATGCAAGAAAAAGAAAATAGAGGCAATGTTTCAGGGTTGATGTTCCTCCAGATTCATGCTCGAGGGCTTCCGCGCTCACTAAAATACAATCCCGAGGCTGATTTCGACGTTGAAACGTCAATTATTGAATGGCATTGAACAAGAATAAAGTTGAGTCACGAGAAAAGAAAAGACCGCAAGACCGTCGTCGGCGTCCGTTATCTTTTGCCGAGGATCGGCAGCGGGGCGAGTGGTCGCAGCAGTGCAAACGAAATCTCAGCGTTCGGCGAATTGCCTCGTCCAGCCGGAGAACCTGCTATCGTCGTCTGCTAGGGTCCATCGTGCCCCGATTTAGGCGCAACCAGGCCCAATGAACAGCGCGAGGGAGTGTTGCCACAGCCGAATGGGAACTAGAAACTCGGAAAAGAATCCGGGCCCATAGAGATTTCATTTTTCCGCGCATTTAGGGCTAATGTTGAACAGTGGAGAGTATGTTAGGAGAACAGACAGACTACTTCTGCGAGTGAGTCTCATTATTCCATCAGAGCATGAACATTCTGATAGGCATCAATGATGGCACACAGACTCCAGGCCTACAAGGGCGAATGCGCCGACACATGGCCTGGCCAGGTCCACTGTCGAGCAGACAGAGAGCCTAATCTGAGACATATCAGGCGCCGTAGGATCCTCTTTTTGCCTCCGGTATGAGGGTGTTGTCAATACATTTGTGATCTATTATTATTGTTGTCAATAGGGTTCAAGTACATGATCGTCCTCCTGACGCCGATGACGTAATTCCTCCTGACCGCCAACAAACTCGTCTTCACTTCCCCACCACCACCACCACCAACCAACCAACTAACTATACATTCCTTCTCCACAACCTGGGTGGAATTCTCAACAGAAAATAGAAGAAAATGTCCAAAAAAGAAGCCGGCGCTGGGGTGCCCGCCCACAGTAAGGGCTCGTGGACGAGTTTCCTCAAGGTAGGCAACCAAGCAACCAACCCGCCACGGTTGGACTGGCGGAATAATCACTGACGACTGTCTAGTCCATCGCCTCCTTCAACGGAGACCTCTCGTCGTTGACCGCTCCGCCTTTCATCCTCTCCTCTACCTCCCTCACCGAGTACTCTGCGTACTGGGCCGAACACCCTAGTGTTTTTGTCGCCCCGGCCAAGGAGTCGGATCCCGCAAAGCGGGCACTGCTGGTCCTCAAGTGGTTCCTCAGCACCCTGCACCAGCAATACTGCAGCCGTAGCGAGAAGCTCGGGAGCGAGAAGAAGCCACTGAATCCGTTCCTCGGTGAGTTGTATATCGGCAAGTGGGATGGCGGTTCGGACGTGGGCGAGACCTCTTTGATCAGTGAGCAAGTCAGGTAGGCAGCCTCTCGCTATCGTCCAAGGGAAGTACTCATTGGTGTGTGTCAACAGTCATCATCCCCCAGCTACGGCATACGCGATCCGCAATGAGAAACATGGGGTTGAGGTGAGTGTATTACCGAGATATCTGTTTAAATGACGGCCACTGACGGAGCCCCTGATAAATGTAGTTGCAAGGATACAACGCCCAGAAGGCATCCTTCTCCACCACGATCCAAATCAAGCAGATCGGGCACGCCTTCCTCACACTCACCCCACCCGGATCCGACGAGAAGGAGAAGTACGTGATCACGCTCCCGAGCCTACATATCGAATCGCTGGTCTACGGCACCCCATTCGTGGAGCTGGAAAAGACAACAAAGATCGCCAGCAGCACTGGTTACGTCGCGAAGATCGACTACTCGGGCAAGGGCTGGCTGAGCGGCAAGAAAAACACGTTCAGCGCAAGCCTGTTCAAGGCGAGCGAGGGCGAGAAGAAGCCGCTGTACACCGTCGACGGCCAGTGGTCCGACTCGTTCACCATCAAGGACGCCCGCACCAAGGAGGTCGTCGACAAGTTCTCCATCAAGGAGTCCACGACCACCCCGCTTACCTTGGCCCCGCTGGAGGAACAAGATCTGTACGAGAGCCGCCGTGCGTGGAGCGATGTGGCAGCCGGGATCCAAAAAGGCGACATGGACGCCGTGTCGATTGCCAAGTCGCGCATCGAGAATGGCCAGCGCGAGTTGCGTCGCATCGAAAAGTCCGAGGGCCGCGAGTGGGAGCGCCGCTTCTTCACCAGCACCGAGGAGAAAGACGATGATCCCGAATTCTTGCGTCTGGCTCGCTCTATAGATCTCCCTCTCGATGGCGAGAAGACCGGTGGTATCTGGCGCTTCGATGCCAAAAAGGCAGAGGGTGCCCGCCCGCCCTACCACAAAACCGGTGGCGAGGGTCTGGGCATCACAGAGTGAGGGTGATGCTGCGTTTCATTTAATGGAACCAGCTTGCATTTACACTCTCTGGCTTAGAGATGATCGACGGGATGACTCGTCACCCGTCCACGAATCAGTATCTGCTTGCTTGCATAGAATTGGCTTTTGTGTTTCATGTCTTGTACCGCGTGAAGTTGCACATTTCGATTGTATATAGTTTTTTTTCTTTTTAAGTCTCAGGCGAGGCCTGGCCTCTTGACTTACTTCCTCTCTGCCGGTGGAAATCGAGCAGCTTGACTTGCGCATCTAATCATATGCCATCGTTTATTACGTCTTGTGGCTGTCGGTGTTTGGGTATCTACTACTTAGTAATACTTGAGGTACATTGTATCTATATCCAACTAAGTGAAGCAATAGCTCTTCACATGAGAGAAACATATATCTCCGCAAGGGTAGTCAACCAACTTCGAGTTTTTGCCAGGGTGGGTGTATAGTTCAACCCGAAGCTTCTGTATTATCTCATATTTAGCAATTCCTGATCCAGTTCGGAACCAGTCGAGTTCAGATGAAACCAAGGCATACATTCATTGGTATCTTCCGCTAGCCCAATCTGGCAATTGGGCACGCGCCAGCGATGATCCTACGGAGACAGCTTACAACTGTAGCTACGAGAGCATTTACAAGGATAGCAGAAGAAGCCCATAACTCATCACACTTTTGGCAAACCCAGCGCACTCGGCAAGCGCGTCGGGCAACAATCCACCCTCTCTACCAGACTCAGCAAACCATCATCCATCGTCATACTCATCGATCGATACTGCACATGTTGGGGAAGAGGACAGGAGAAAAAAATAAAAATAAAAAAAGGAGAAACACAAAGAGAGAAATGAAGTAAAGGACAAAACAAAAACAACCCGTCTTTCGCGGCAAATGACACAATCCCGAATTTTGACACCGTGGCCGAGCTAGGTAGCGAGGAACCTAGCGAGAGAGAATGGGTGGATTTAATACAGACCGCATCAGCGGGGGAGCAGTAGGAGCAATAATGAAAGCAACATGGCAAGCGAACAAAAACGCAGACACAGATAGTTTCCCAAAGGCAAGACCCAGCCAAGTTCCCAGAAGAGAGTAGAGATTACACAGATGTTGAGGAAAGAAAGATGAAGAGAAATTCTTTTTCTCGGGTTCTATCTGTCCAGTTGATGACAGGAAACCCGCCCTTTCAAATCACCCGCAAATGCAACGCCATATGTGTTGGTCGGAGGGAAGTAAACAAATTTTTGTTTAGTGGCCGTAGTTGCCGCCCCAGCCACCGCGGCCAGAGTTGCCACCGTAGTAGTTCCCGAATCCGGCGCCATAGTTGCCGTAGCCAGAGGCCTGCTGGTGGCTCTGCGTGGCCGCCGCACCACCTTGGGCACCGAGTCCGCCGAGTCCGCCGTACTGCGGATTCAGGTGGGGATAGCTGCCGAAGGCCTGCTGGCCCTGCTGGCCCTGCAGCGGGGGCAGGCCGGACTGCGCTTGCGGCTGTCCAGGGACGCTGTTGGTTGCAGAGCCGGGACGGTTGGCCTGGGCAAGGGAAGGACTAGGGCCACCAGCCTTGGGAGCCTCAAAGCCCTTGGCCTCCTCCGAAGTCACCGGGGGCTGCTGAGCGATAGGCGGGTTCTGACCGAAACCCGACTGGGCGCGTCCAAAGACATCAGACATGCCGGAGCCGAATGCATTGGCACCCGACGCAGACGGCTGGCTGTCAGACGGCTGCGCGGAGCCGGTACGGCCGTAGACCGAATCGCGACCAGGCACGGACTGGTTGAAGCTGCCGGCATTCGCGGGGGAAGACGACTGATCGTATGAGTAGCCGCCATGTGGCTGGCCGTACATGCCTCCCTTGCCGCCGTACGGAGCGTACTGGCTGCCATAACCATACTGCGTGTTGTGTTGCTGCATGTAGTGTTGTTGCTGTTGTTCGTCATACCGACGAGCATCATCATACATCGGACGGCTCCGGCCATACTGCTGCTGCTGATGCTGCGTCATTTGGTTCATATACGAAGCATAATGAGGGTTGGAGTAGTAAGGGTAGCCGTAGCCGTAAGCGTGGGCCCCAGTCTGGCCCGGCATGTGCTGGGCAGTCGGAGTCTGTGTGGCGGCAGGCAAGGTCGGGTTCGGGGTGTTGTGACCGCTGTTGGTCGCATCCACGGGGCCGTAACGACTAGGAGGCTGTGTGGTAGGGATTCCAGGCTGAGCTTCAGCGCCGGAAACACCGAATCCAGGGGCGGCGCGAGGGCCAGCGCTGGCGTCCTGAGACTGGCCGTAGCTACCATAGTAGTTGTAAGGGAAACGCTGCTGGTCGGCAGCATAGAAAGGAGAATACTCGCTGCCCGTGGTGGCAGTCGGCTGAACGGGGGCCTGGTTGGCGAAGGGCTCTTGAATCTGTGGCTGGGGCTGGCTCACCTGCTGGCTGAAGGGGTCGAAGGGCTTCTGGGGTTCGGAGTAGCGAGAAAAGTCGGCAAAAGCGGCCTCGCCGGCAGAGCCCTGGGGTACTGGAGGAAGGCCGGGGGCAGGACGCGCAACTCCAGCAGCCTCCCCAGGTACCTGAGTCGAAGGAGGGAGAGCAGCTCGGGGAGCGACAGGCGAGTGCTGCGGAGGCTGAGCGCGGGTCTCGGCCTGTTCGCGGTTCTCATCAACATCGACCGCGTCACCGTTGAGTCCCATGCTACCGAACTGCACCGCGGCACGGTCCACGGCATGGTTGCCAGGCATGACCACAGCCTGCTGCTGCTCCATCACGCGACGCTGGAAGCCGGGCACACGACCACTTTGCTTGAATGCACTGGGCGGGTAGCCAGATGACGACACCCGGGAAGGAGTAGCACCGGACGCGGCCAGAGCAGGATCAATGCCGCTACCGATTGTGCTAGCTGCAGTCGCAGTCGGGGCGGGAGCGGATACATCAGGAATTTGCCCGAGGTTTGTCTCCGTCAAGTCATCGATGGGAGGCTGCACGCTTGTCATCGGAACGGCGGGGGCAGCAGCTTGGGAGGACTTCGAAACGGGGGTCTTCTCAGCGGCAGCAACGGGCACCGGCACCGGTTCAGGCGCCTTCTTCTGCTGAGCGGGCACTGCGGTTGGAGGCTTCTTTTGCGGCGGAGCAGGTGCAGGCTTGGCGAACAGACTAGCCCACCCCTTCTTTGTGCCCTCGGGGATCACGCTGCTCTTGGGCTCCGACTCTGCAGTGACCGGCTCCACTTCGGGTTCTCCCCATGCCATTGTAGTGGAAGGTTCGGTTGCGACAGGCGCTGCGGGCTCTACAGCACCGGCCAGTGTAGGAACCGGCTTCTCCGTACGAGTCCCGTTCGTATGAGCTCCTGCCCGGCCACCGCGACCGCCACGACCACGATCTCCGCGAGCGCCGCGTCCACCGCGGGCCTCGAGACCGCCGCGACCGCGACCTCCACGGGCGGAAGCGGCAGTCGTCTCGGTCGGGGTGCTCTGGACCTCTTTGGCCTTGGGACGAGCCCGTTCTGTGGTCTTCTTCTTGACCTCTCCCCACTGCGATACATTACCTGTGAGCGAGTCAGCGGAAATCCTTGGAGTTGAGCAATGGGGTGTCGCGCGAGGGTAAGGGATCTCGACCTTCGGTAATGCGCTCGATCGCTTCTTCGAGCTCGCCGTTTGAGTCCTCCAATGCGAAGACGAGATCTTCATCCTTCCAGTCAGGGAATAGCTCCTTGAGCATGGGCAGAGTATCCGAGTATTTCTTCTTCATTTGAGCGATCTCTCCTTCTTCGAATGGGGCGTCTGAGCTGTCAGCGTTTGCGGATCTGCTGCTGCCACCACGGCCACCTCTGGAGCTGAAACCACCGCGGCCACCGCGGGCGGATACCCTGCCACGCGAGGCGGAGGGTCGACTCTGTACTTCAGACATGGTGTAAAAATTGGAAGGTGTGCGGGAGGAATCGAGCGATCAGGATCTGGTCGCGATGGAGTTGGATGGAAGGGAGGACAGGGTTTGAAGGCGGGAATTTCAGATTGGTGGAGAGGCAGGAGTTCGATGCACCCTCGCAAAAGAGGATTAGCACCGGGACCACAGGCACAAGGGCCAAAATCGAAGCCAGAACACAGGCAAGGAAAAAGGTAAAGAAAAGAAGATGGATGGGAGAATGGATGGGTTTGTTGGAGTTGGGGGGAGAGAAAGCAGGAAGGGAAGGGAAGAAGGAAGAGAGCGAGAAAGGGAACGGCAAGCTGTGTTGCTCTTCCCTTGGCGCTCTGCCCGTTCTTAGCGAGTGGCGCCTATTGGGTGCAGCCTCCCTACATCGCTGTCTGTAGGTACTGGGGGAGGTCCTGGTCACTCTTCTCTGCTTTCATCTCAACTAACTACAGTGATACATTGATCCCCAATCACCTCCTGCCAGCCCTCTTCACAACTCACCACCACCGAGCCCAGCCTTCTCTTGTGCGCCTCATTGCCAAATCTTTGTTCCTTCTCTCACCGCCCGCTCGTTCCCGGCAGATCGTCCCCAACTCACATTCGATGCATCATCAGTCACCGCTGGCTCTCACCGACTCATCATCATCATGAGAGGGACCTTTGTGTTCCAGTTCAAGGGGTGGCCCAAGATCCACCAGCCACTGCCTCGCACGCCACGCGAGTCTCAACAACTGCTCAACGCCCTCACATCCTCATTCCGTCGCCAACTCGATCGGGCCTACCCAGCGTCGGATTCCACCCGCGAGCACAATGACGATCAAACCACTCCCAATCATGCCGAGTCGTCGGCCCATGCGACCAGCCAGCATCTTCGAAACATCCTCGAAAACCCCCTCTTCCGAATTGTGCCGTCGCAGCCAATCGGGATCCGCGAGACCCAGCAGCGCCGGCTAGCCGAACAACCGATGGTGGTTTTCGACGAGCTGTTTGCCTTTGGTCTAGTCACAGTCGAGGATATTTGCCAGTGCTTGGAGTCGCAGCTTCGTCTGGCCCATGGAGGCGCCGAAACCAAAGTCACCGAGGATGTGAAATCGGCCATGAAGACATCCCGGGCAGGCTCGAAAGTGGTGGACTGGTTTTCGGCGTCGTCCGTGCAAGATAAGAAGGTGCTTCTCCGGACCGGAAGCTGTACTGCACCGTTGACCAAATTCATGGTTGTGGAGGGGCTTCACGGGAACATCATAGAATGGCTGAGAATGCTCCTGGCGCAGGACTTGGGCGGCGGCCACGGCTCCATCAAGCCAGAGGCCGCGCACCAAGCCTTCAATTTCCTTCTCCTACATTGGATGAAAGCAGAGAGACAGTATGGACACGGATTGAGCTCGGCTTTAAGATACTACGTGCAAGTGTGCCAGATGCACTCGTCGATTTCCGATCCCATCACGAGAAAAACACTGATCAGCAGTGGCGCTCACCTGGGCCAAATCGCTGAGCAACAGGCGTCTTCGGCCGAAAAAATCCCAGCATTCATCTACGACGAATTTCAAGATGCCATTTCCACCTTGACTCCTGGTTCCCTGTTATCGGCGAGAACGGCACTCGGTCATCCTACACAACCAGATCCACAGCCGTTCATCCGCTATGTGCAAAGTCTGGATTATAACAAAACCCCGTTCTGGAGAAATTCTCGGCGCGTAGCGTTTCTGGATACCGGCTTCAAGGCTGTTCAAGTCTTGATGGATCGGGAGAAGATTAAAGATGCGACATACGTGGCACAACACCTTCAATCATTCCTCCCGGACAAGATGATTTCAGAACCCTCCGATGGTCCTCACTACCACGCGTCGCCTGAGCAGACATCTCTTCTCAACCGCCTAGGCATGAGTCTGACATGATTTACTTTCGGCTCCACTCAGAGAGTGGGATGCTTACATACGCCGGCTTGAGTGTCTGATGTCATTGGTGACCATCGCTTAGAAGCAACCAAAAGCGATCGAGGCTTTCATGGTTGTGATGTCCTAGGGGGTTCTTGTACGACGAGGAATCCGCAGATGGGGCCGAGGAGGTCAGCGGTTGCGCCTACCCACCGTGCTCCACGCCACCCTCGCTTCTTCCCTCCAGCCCAGCTTCTCGCTTCCCCATACAGCTGCAACCATTATCTTCACTCTGCAACCCATCTACCATCTCTTCTGACATCATCATCCCCGCCATGGCCGAATCCCGTCTCGTGCAATCGGCTTTCCCGGCGTCCGGTATGTTGATTTGCCCGTCTGAATCGCTTGCACCGCTGATGACGAAGTGATTCGCAGAAACCTCTCAGGTGCGCAGCGAGCACTCTCCTTCAGTCCTTGGGCCATTGAACACCACCCAGACAGACAGTGGCCCCCTATCTGCCGACAAGCCCGATGATGGTGCGACAATCGTCAACCGTCCAACGACCCCCAAGCCTGCTGAGGGGGTGGATTCCACCCTCTCCATGGCACAGCCTCCCGCCGGATCTACCCCAGGCATTGCGACACCTCCCGCCGGATCACACGATCCTAGCAGAGAGGCTACTCCCTCCACGACTACAAAGGCTCCAGATGCAGCGGAGGTAAAGAAGGAAGAGGCATCTACGGGCGAGAAGCGTGCTCTTGATTCAGGTTCTGCGGCCCCTGTCACTACGTCCGGGACAGATAAACCCCCAGCGGGACCGGAAGAGCCCGAAGTTAAAAAGCCGAAGATCGACACCGCGGACTCCGACCAATCCGTGATAGGCATGCCGGCGCCTGCAGCATCCACAAGCGGTGAGAATCATGGGCAGCCCAAGAAAACCAGTCGGCCCAAGAAGGAAAAGATCAAGGATGCCCTGAAAAAAGCCATTCCAAGCGATGGGATTGGCAGCCGGACTCGCAGCCGCACCAACGGTACTTGACGGGCATTCTAGATACTCGGTCGGTCCGAGGTGATATTCGTATTGAGGAATTGAGTGATTCGGACACTCACCACCAGTCTGGTAACGATGAACTCGTTCGCTGTTCACCGATTTGTATACAACTCTCGTATCATTATCTCAATTCATATTGTCCCCCTCAGCACGGCATCTCATCAGTCTGTCTGATAATGTAAACGAATAAGCCATGACTTACGAGGTCATCATGTTATTCGTTTACAAGGGGAACACCCAGGGCAGAGTGGGTGCGTCCATTTATGCTTTTCCATAGTTCACTCATTAACTAGTGCGCCTCCGATCTCGGATGAGTCAGATCGCCCGGCGCGGAACAACTCTTGATCCGCCCCGCGATTCACCTGAGTTGATCAAGTGTGTGTCATTCGCGATCAAGTGGAAAGTTCCTTGATTCATATTTCAACGGATTTGCTATTTTCTCAACTTTTCCCTTCCCATCATGTCTGGACAGAAGATCTGGCTGCGCGCCGAAACCAAGCCTGCTGAGGCCCGGTCTGCCTGTGAGTCACTTGCCCGCCCAAAAAAAAACCGTTAGCAGTTGGAGGAATTGGCTGCTAATAAACGTTCCGGGGACAGTGACTCCTACGACCTGCAAGGCTTTGATCGATGCCGGATACCAGGTGACCATCGAGCGCTCTTCGCAAAGTATCTTTGACGGTGAGTTTTTTCTTCTCTTTCTTCCCTTACCGCCACTTGAGAACACCGGCGCATGGAGCATTGAGAATTGAGCATTGAGCAGTTGGCTAATGAGTCATGCCAAAATACAGACGAAGAATTCGCCAAGGTATGCATCCTCACGAAACATCCAACGTCCGCATTTCTCACCACACGTCGTATCATAGGTCGGTGCGCCTCTCGTGGCAGAAGGGTCCTGGGTCACCGATGCACCCAAGGATGCCTACATTCTCGGTCTCAAGGAACTGCCCGAAGATGACTTCCCTCTGGAGCACGTCCACATCTCGTTTGCCCACTGCTACAAGCAGCAGGGAGGTTGGGAGAAGGTGCTGAGCCGGTGGCCGCGGGGCAAGGGCACGCTGCTGGACTTGGAGTTCCTGACTGATGACCAGGGACGGAGAGTGGCTGGTAAGAACAGTGAATTGACTCGAGATGCAGGCTTGGCTGGGCTAACTGTCTTCCCTTCTAGCTTTTGGATACTCGGCTGGTTATGCAGGTAAGGAAACCCGGACCGCGCGACGTTGAAATGCACGATACTAAAACTTGATGGATAGGTTCTGCATTGGCGGTCAAGAACTGGGCGTGGCAGTTGACGCACCCCGATGGCACGCCATTGCCCGGCGAGGTCCCCTATGCTAACCAAGACCTTCTGGTCCAGTCTGTCAAGGAGTCGCTTGAGGCGGGCAAGAAGCAGGCTGGCCGCCTGCCCAAGGTCCTTGTTATTGGCGCCGTAAGTCTATCAAGTGGGTGCTAGGAGAGTCACATACTGATCTATCTCGTACAGTTGGGACGCTGTGGCAAGGGTGCCGTACAACTGGCCAAGGACGCCGGGATTCCCGAGTCCAACATCATTCAGTGGGACATGGCAGAGACTGCGAAGGGTGGCCCCTTCCGGGAAATCATCGAGGAGGCAGACATCTTTATCAACTGCATATACCTCTCATCCAAGATTCCTCCGTTTGTCAATGTCGAGAGCCTCTCCTCTCCGAATCGGACTCTGTCCGTTGTTTGCGACGTGAGCGCTGACACGACGAACCCCAACAACCCTATCCCTATCTACGATATCACCACCACCTTCGACAAGCCCACTGTCCCTGTCACCCTTCCTGCCAGCGCCCAGGGGCCGGCTCTCAGCGTGATCAGCATCGACCACCTCCCGTCCCTCCTCCCGCGGGAGAGCTCGGAGATGTTCAGCGAGGCTCTGCTGCCTAGTCTGCTTCAGTTGAACGACCGGGCTAATGCGCGGGTGTGGCAGCAGGCCGAGGACCTGTTCAATGAGAAGGTGGCCACCCTGCCGTAAACTCCAAGGAAGAATTGATGGTACATTGATAGAATTATTGGGGCATCCTATATAAAAAGTTGCGTATTCATGTCTCTCGGGTTCATCCACAATATATATAGTACCCTCCTCTCTATTTTATCGGAATGTATGTAGCTCCAGCTGCTATGAGACACTGCTGTAAGACCGGAGCACGCGATCGATCGAGGCCATACGTCCTGTCTCTTGTAACGAATTTCCCCGGGACCCCGCCGTCAGCACAGCATCCTCTCGTCCACTGCGGGGAGAACGAGGATCCGAATATTCCGAGGAAGAGGCCAATAATAATCATCCGAATGGCATGCGTGCATCGGAAGGATCCTGGGCCGTTGGGCCCTAAATGAGATCAGCGATCGGACTTCCGTAGTCCAGGAACTTGACTACCTGGGACATACTCGGCATTCTCCCGCCTTTTTCCCTCTTCCCTCTCCTCTCTTCCCCCACAAGAAACCCAACACCCGCTTCTTCAACCCCGGATCCCCATTGTCCCTCCACCACAGCGTGTCTCGAAGAGCAGTGGTTGGCACTCGGACCGGACCATTGTTCCCTTTACGGACAAACACTTTCAGCGTGTTCCTCGCCACCTCCCAACGACCGACCTCATGAGGATGGAGTAATGAGACTGCAGGCTTAACACCACCCTCCCCCTCTCTTCTCCCTCCTCCCACACCGCGATCCCGATGCAGGAAAAACCGGGTGCGGTCGCCGCTTACGCCGCGGGGGCTTCACTCGCCGCGATCGCCCTGTTCTACGTGTTCAGCCCCAACTACACGATCGATGGAGACGAGTCCAACAGCACCAACCGCAAAAAGAGCATCGTGGGCCTGTCAAATCTGGCCAATGACTGCTTCATTAATTCCGTGCTGCAGGCGCTGGCCGGACTGGGGGATCTTCGAGTCTATTTAATCCGAGAGCTGCACCGGCGCGAGCTCGATGGACCTGAGATCTACCAGTCTGTACCGAGTCGAGACGAACTTGAGCGTGGCCAGCGGCCGGATAAACTGCGGGAGCTACAACAGGGAAGCGTTACGCGGGCACTCAAGGACATGCTGGACCGGTTGAACGAGCGCCCAATCTACAAAAAGACTATCACCGCGCGATCGTTCATACAATCGCTGGAGTATGCGTTTCGGACGCGCATCAATCGCAACCAACAGGATGCGCAAGAGTTCTTGCAAATTGTCTTGGAGAGGCTCTGCGATGAGTATCATGCTGGTGCGCGGGCACGGCAACGCATGCTCGGTCCTGTCGACCCGCCTGCAGGTTCAGGTGCGGCGGAGGCTCAAGACAGTCCGGCGGAGGTGGAGGTGCGCATTGATGACGGGTCTGCAAATGGATTGCCCGCGATTATCGATACCAAATTGAAGGAGATCGATCAAGAGCCCGGATTCCCGTTGGAGGGCAAGCTGGAGTCGCAGATTGAATGCCAGTTCTGCCACTACCAGTACAAACCGAACCAAACCACCTTTGTCAATTTGACGCTCCAAGTGCCACAAAAGAGCTCGGCGACGCTCAACTCATGCTTTGACGGCCTACTCAAGACCGAGTATATAGATGACTTCCGGTGTGACCGATGTCGCCTACAGCATGCGGTGGAGCTCAAAACTCAGGAGCGAACCCGAGCACGCACAAAGAGCGACCAGGAACACCTGGACTGGGAGATCACGCGGATCCGGGAGGCGTTGGAGACAGACCCCGAGGGACCGCTGGAAGGAGTCACGCTGCCGCCGTCGGAGCAGGCCCCGAAACGGAAAATTGCTCGACATATGCGCATCACGGCATTCCCCAAGGTCATCGCCATCCACCTGTCCCGGTCCATCTTCGATCGGAGCTCCTCGTCCAAGAACGCGGCCAAGGTTTCCTTCCCCGAGCGGCTTCCGTTGGGTGGGATCTTAAATCAAACCTGGTACAAGCTCCTGGCCATTGTCTGCCACAAGGGCAGCCATAACAGCGGCCACTACGAATCCTTCCGGCGCAACCACCTGTACGCGCCCTTCTCCACCCCCGAGGCGTTCAGCTCGTACGCACAGAGCCGCGTGGCGAGTGCGAACCCCTCGGAAGCACCTAGTCCACGACTTGCACCGCGTAGCGTCCCAGACGTCGACCTGTTAGGCGGCGGCGGTGGGGAGGAGGGCGGCAGCAGCAGCATCTCAACCGCGACCTCGTCGACCTCACTTTCCGGCGCATCAATACCGTCCACGCAGCTAACCCCTCCATTACCGCGACCCACGACGGCCAGCTCGCCCCGATCCTTCCAGAGCACGCACTCCCGCTCCTCCGTGTCGCAGCAGACCGTGTCGCCCGGCTCCGACAGTAACAGTCCCACGACCGACCACGGCCGCTGGAGCAGCTCGCCGCGCCCGTCTACTGCCCGCACTATCTCCCGCTCATCCCCGGACACGCCGACGGGGGTTGGCTCACGCCTCCGCCGGCGCCGCAAGCCGAATGATCGCTGGTGGCGCATTTCGGACGAGAAGATCAAAGAGTGCAAGACCTCCGATGTGCTGGGCATGCAGCGCGAGGTGTATCTGTTGTTCTACGAGATGGACAGGCCCGATCCGGGCCTCGCGGGGCTCGAGTGATAGAATGTGTGTGTGTGATTTTTTATTGTAGAGTCTGTACTGTACATCCAATCATATACAACCAAATTTTTGTTTGATCTGTTGTTTGTTCTCTAAAACCGGATTGGCAAGACCACGAACCGGATTGGAAACGGGGAGGAGGTATCGTAAGGTCTCCTGAAACGGGGCCGAAGCAGAATGAATGGCATCGAAGCTTGGGTCCCCGCCGACGAACAAAACACGGAGCAGGGGTAATGTTTTACATGCCTGGTCCGGTTCAATAATATGACCACCGCTCAACAGGATTAGATACGCGGCAATAATATTTACGGCTCCCATCGTCATGAATCGTCCCACGACCTCCGACTACGGTTGCGGTTACGGGCACAATCCACGTCCTGCCGATGGGTAGCCATTCTATGACGCATGGCGGGGCACTCTTCGGCTTCACCTCAGCAACATCCGATCAACGGCTCTCCTCGGCCAACGGGCATTTCCGGAGACTCCCTGGATATAACTGTTCCTCGATCGTCTCTTCCCGCCGCAGATTATTTTTTGGATTATTCACGGCTGAAATCATACTGACCTCAGTTCCACCGCGAGCTCCACCACCCGGTGAGTTCTACACCGATGACGATTATTTAACAACCCTGTACCCGCTTTCGTCGCCCGGTAAAGGCTGATTTAGGACACTGACTAACCCGCCCTTTTTCTCTTTTCCCTTCTCCCACAGATTCTCCTCAAGCCATCAATCATCACCAGCATCAATCATCATGGGTGTCCTCCAGAAGCTCAACCGCAAGGCCGGCGTCATCGTCGGTGACGACGTCCTGCGTCTCTTCGAGTACGCTCAGGAGAAGCAGTTTGCTATCCCTGCCATCGTAAGTACCGAGGAGCTGGGGTGCCCCTCCATCATAATCGATGCTGACCCTCTGCTCGCAGAACGTCACCTCGTCGTCCACCGTCATCTCCTCTCTTGAGGCCGCCCGCGACCAGAACTGCCCCGTCATCCTGCAGATGTCGCAGGGTGGTGCGCAGTTCTTCGCGGGCAAGGGCGCCAACAATGACGGCCAGAAGGCTTCGATCGCCGGCTCCATTGCCGCGGCCCACTACATCCGCAGCATTGCGCCCACCTACGGCATCCCCGTGGTCCTGCACACCGACCACTGCGCTAAGAAGCTCCTGCCTTGGCTCGATGGCATGCTCGACGAGGATGAGCGCTACTTCAAGCAGCACGGCGAGCCTCTTTTCTCCAGCCACATGATCGATCTGTCGGAGGAGCCTGTCGACTACAACATCCAGACCACCGCCGCCTACCTGAAGCGCGCTGCCCCGATGAAGCAGTGGCTCGAGATGGTACGTCATTGCGGTTCCACTTTTCTCTTGCATCATTGCTAACTATGTTTCAGGAAATCGGTATCACCGGTGGTGAGGAGGACGGCGTCAACAACGAGGACGTCGACAACAACTCCCTCTACACCCAGCCCGAGGACATCCTGGCCATCCACAACACGCTGTCCCCGATCAGCCCCTACTTCTCGATCGCGGCTGGCTTCGGCAACGTGCACGGCGTGTACAAGCCGGGCAACGTTCGCCTGCACCCGGAGCTGCTGCAGAAGCACCAGGCTTTCGTGAAGGAGAAGACCAGCTCGCCCAAGAACAAGCCCGTCTTCTTCGTCTTCCACGGCGGCTCCGGCTCGTCCAAGGCCGAGTTCAAGGAGGCCATCAGCTACGGCGTCGTCAAGGTCAATGTCGACACCGACATGCAGTACGCCTACCTGTCCGGCGTGCGCGACTTCGTCCTCGGCAAGAAGGACTACCTCCTCAAGCAGGTGGGTAACCCGGACGGCGAGGACAAGCCCAACAAGAAGTACTTCGATCCCCGTGTTTGGGTCCGCGAGGGTGAGAAGAGCATGAGCAAGCGTGTCCAGGAGGCCCTTGAGGACTTCAACACTGCGGGCCAGCTGTAAACACGCACGCACCCCCAAAATGGAAATTGTATGTAGCGATGTATTTCGACACGTTTAATGAATGTCCCTAGCCGACATGGCTGTCGTTTTCTGGCGAATCCTGATCCGTAGGTGTCCTTGATCCGGTGCAAGTAGATGGAGGGGCAATGCTGCCTCAGGCACAACTCATGCCTGAGGCATGAGTATGATCACCTGACTCCAGAATGTGACCGGATCAGACGACTGTTTACTGCTGTTCCTACAACTGCGTGGGTGTCCTGCCAGACTTCGATCATGTTAATGCTGTGCTACCACGGGATCTCGCTTCTCCCGTGACACCTCGCCCGTCCCGGCACGCCTGATTGGCTGCTGCACAGCCGTCTGCCAATAACGAAGCCACAATGGACCCAGACCGTGGAAACGTCCGCCACTCAGGCACGCCTTCGGCGGGGAAACTGTGGAACAAACCACTTTCGTGAACAGGAACGCTGACGGAGGTGTGTGTGTGCGTTTGTGTGTGTTTGTGTGTGCCAAAACTCGTTCAAAGAGGATGGTACGTCAGGATCGGCCAACGGTCTAGAATGCGTCCACGAGTGCTAATAATAAAGTCCCGACTTGCTCCTCCACCTGAAACCCACTTTTCTTTCAGCCTGTCTGTCTCACCTCGTTTCTTCTCGTTTCTTTTTTTCCCTTGACCCTGTTCTTGATCCTCTCGTTTGTGTTTTCGCTGCTTCATATTGAAATTTTTAATCTATTCTTTCCCCGGTCCCTCGCTCCCTTTCCCCCCCACCACCGGCTCTGTCTCCATGCCGGATTGTCACTCGCTTCATCTGCCACATTGACGCAATGGATCCGATCCACGCGACCTTGTGGTCCAGGGACTCTTCAGGGACTGACCAGTTCCTGAAGCTGATCGCAAATCCCTTTCAGTCGGCCGTGGGTTTGCATCTGCCCTCAAAAAGTTTGCGTCGACTAATCTGGTGTCTCATAGTTCACGGTCAGCGCCGTCTGGGCCTCTCTAGGCACCTCCATCGGCATCTCTATCCTCCTCACCCTCCTCTTCTCCCTTTTCCGACCCCGCCACTCGCTGGTTTATGCGCCCAAAGTCAAGCATGCAGACCAAAAACACTCTCCGCCCCCGGTGGGTAAGGGGTTTCTTCGCCTGGATCAAGCCGGTCCTGTCCACGCCCGAGTCCGAGGTGGTGGACACAGTCGGCCTGGACGCGGCGATTTTCCTGCGTTTCACCAAGATGTGTCGCAACATCTTCATCATCATGAGCATCATCGGCTGCGCCGTCATGATCCCCGTCAACGTGGTCCAGAGCCACGGCAACAATATTTCCTCGGGCCTGTCTGTCTTCTCCAAATTCACACCGCTCTACATCACCAACCCCGAGGCCATCTGGAGTCAGGTAGTGTGTGCTTGGGTCTTTGATATCGTCGTTGCCTTTTTCCTGTGGAGGAACTATCGCGCTGTGCGAGATCTCCGGAGAAAATTCTTTCAGAGCTCCGACTATCAGCGCAGCATGCATGCGCGGACCCTGATGATCACCGATATTCCTCCTCCCGACCGTTCAGACGAAGGTATTCTGCGACTGACCGACGAGGTCAACCCCACCGCGGCCCTTCCCCGTGCCTCGATCGGCCGGAACGTCCGAGATCTGCCCCTGATTATCAAGGAGCATGATGAGACCGTGCGGGAGCTGGAGAAGGTGCTGGCCAAGTACCTCAAACGGCCGGATCAGCTACCTGCGAACCGGCCCACGATGCGCCCACCGAGATCTCAGCGGAACCAGCTTCCCGAGGGCAAGGTAGACGCCATCGACTTCCTCACGGTGCGCATCCGGGTGTTGGAGGAGGAGATCAAACATGGCCGGGCCTCGATCGACCGGCGGAATGCCATGCCCTTTGGCTTTGCCAGTTGGGAGAAGATTGAGCACGCCCACGCCGTTGCGTGGGCCGCCCGTAAGAAGCATCCCCGCGGCACCACCATTCGCCTCGCGCCCCGGCCAAGCGATCTGATCTGGGAAAACCTGCCGCTGTCCAAGCAGGCGCGCAAGTGGAAGCGGCTGATCAATATTGTTTGGGTCGCTGTATTGACGTTTGTGTGGATCGCGCCCAACGCCTTGATTGCTGTCTTTCTCTCCAATTTAGCGAATCTCGGTCTCGTTTGGCCGGCCTTCCAGACCTCGCTGGAAGCTCATCCGGATGTTTGGGCTGCTGTACAGGGTATCGCATCTCCAGCCATCACTTCGTTGGTTTACCTGGTGCTGCCCATCATCTTCCGCCGGCTCTCTATTCAGGGTGGTAGTAAGACCAAGACCTCTCGGGAGCGTCATGTGTTGTCGCATTTATACTCGTTTTTCGTCTTCAACAACCTGATTGTCTTCTCACTCTTCTCGGCTGCGTGGGGCTTTGTATCCACGGTGATCCAAAAGAGCAACGACAGCGATGACAGCGCGTGGCAGGCAATCCAAGATGGTCAAATATACAACAAGGCCATGAATGCTCTTTGCACGGTGTCACCATTCTGGGTGACCTGGCTCTTGCAGCGAAACTTGGGTGCCACCATCGACCTGGTGCAGGTGATTAACTTGGTCTGGGTCTGGTTTGCAAAGACCTTCCTTGCCCCGACCCCCCGACAGGCTATTGAATGGACTGCGCCGCCGGCCTTCGACTACGCCAGCTACTATAACTACTTCCTCTTCTACTCGACTGTCGCGCTCTGCTTCGCCACTCTGCAGCCGATTGTTTTGCCGGTGACAGCGCTGTATTTCGGTATGGACGCCCTGCTAAAGAAGTACCTATTGCTGTATGTCTTCATTACCAAGAACGAGTCTGGAGGTATGTTCTGGCGGGTTCTGTTCAACCGTATGGTGTTTGCCACCATTCTTGCGAACGTCGTCATCGCCCTGGTCGCAAAGGTCATGGGCTCGTGGACTATGGTGTTCGCTGTGGTTCCTCTGCCCTTCTTGATGCTGGGATTCAAGTTTTACTGCTTCAAGGTCTTCGATACAGACTGCAAGTACTACAACCGCGCCAACCTGAACGACGCTGAGGCGCTTGGAGGTGTGGGCAAGCTCAGTAAGAAGGCGGCCGAGCGGCTCAACTCGAAGTTCGGACATCCGGCACTGTACAAACCGCTCATCACGCCCATGGTGCACGCCAAGGCTGCCGCCGCGCTGAAGGAGATCTATCAGGGCCGCCTGGAGCACGGCGACACGGGAGGCGAGTACTCCGATATCGCCATGGATCGGATGATGGCCTCGCAGCCCGGCAAATCCGCGGACCCGGCTCCATTCGAGGTCGTCCCGGAGAGCCAGCTGGATTTCTCGTACTTCAAGGACCGACCGGACTTCCGCGACGAGTTCGGCGGCGGTATCTACGGCCGACCAGAAGATCTGATGACCGAGCGCTCCCAGACCCCACGCAGCACCTTGGGCGGAGAATGGTCGCCCTCGTCGTCGCGTGCCTCGTCTCCAGCACCATCCTTACCATCGATGGCTGGACTGAAAATGTACGAGGGCTACGAAATGCCTTCTGCCGAGGGGGCCCCTCTGGTCCACCCGGCTTTCCGCGTGCCGCATTCACGGAGCAGCAGCGCCGGCGCGCCCGGTGGCTTGTATCAACAATCAAACGAGAGCGAGACCAGGTTGTTGAGTCAGGCGCAGGGTCCTGCGCAGAACGACCCGGGGGCGTTGGATCGCTGGCGCACAGGCGGGTATGGGCCTGTAGAACAGGAGGAAGAAGAGCCTTCGTCGTACACCTCCTACGAGCCATACCGTGCGCCGCGGTAGATTTTGCGAAGTCTTGAAAAGACGAAACTTCTTGCATCTAATTTGTATTTTTGGATGGAGGCGAACAGCATTTTCTGTTTAGAAACGAGATCACGATCTAGTCAATATTGCCAATTGTACATTTATGTTATATATAACCCACTGCACGATCGATCTTCTGTCTGTAGAAGGAAGTCTAGCTTTGGTTCCTCAGGCCGTAAACAAACAATGTTTGCTCCCCCTTATCGTTATCAGCTCCCCCAGCTCTCTCTCCCTCGGCCTCGCACACCTACACTCACTTCCGCCGAACCCCGATCTATCAGTCAACCTCCCGCATCCGAGCGTGAGTTTCGTCTGCGTCGTCACCCCATCCGATCGCGGTTCGGTCGTAGCTCACCGCCGCCTGCCTGACTCCCGCATCGAACGGCCGAGGGACCGTGCGGGAGGGGAAGGAAGGCATTCGTTGTGCACCACCCAGCAGCTGCGTTCGTTATTTTGAGCTGTCTGGATATGGGGTGGTGGTTGAAGGAACACACGACGTACACGACACGGACTTGAGAGTGATACTTAGCCACCGAATCTGATCTTGAGGAGGCAGTACACAAACATTAACACCAACCAACTAGTCTCTCCTCAACCGGACCAGACCAAAAGCCCCAGACCACAACATCAAGCACTTCCACCTCTCGACATCGCCCCAAAAAGAAAATGGCGTGGTACTCCATCCTCCCAGCAGAACTAATCCACCTCGAAAGCTGGGCCGCGCGGATTTTCGTACGTTCCGTTCCAAAAGTCCCTACGCAGGGACCTACCTCCCACCTCGGTACCTGAACTGTATATGAACGCGAAAACTAACCCAACCCCACAAATGCACAGTTTGTACTCGGCCTCATAACTATTGTCCCCTGGGGCGTTCTCCTCGTCTTCGACGCAGCCCTGTACCTCTACCACTTGCTCCTCTATGAATTCCCCGTTCTCGGTGGTCGCGCGCGCGGGCAGCAGCGTCCTCGTGCACCGAGCTTTAATGAGGGACCTGTGAGGGTTTTGGGGTTGAGTGGGGTTGATGATCCCGACGACGAAGAGGGTGAGGAAGGGTTGCATGCAGAGGGGAAGGAGGAGGGTACCGATCATCGCGAAGGGAAAGAGAACTTATCTCCAGGGCCACAGGTTGTGGAAGACGTGGAGCTCAAGCGGAGGGCCTCACCGAAGTCTTCCTAATTATTTGATTTATGTTTTTTTTTTGCGTCTGAAGATGGATTGTTCGGGATATGGAGTATGCGGTTTGTTTATTTCTTTCCATGTGTGTGTCCCGGACGCCGGGCGGGTTTCTTGATTGAGATGACACGAAACCTCATCCGAGGAAACTAATTTTTCTCGTTTGACTGATATGACGCAAATATATGATATGATTGTTTCTGTACTAGTTCTTCTCGATCCTATTCCTGATGAATCCCCGATTAGGAAATAGACCACGAACCCTTGCACTTGACCTCTCCAAGTAGTCTCCTGTCCTTTTCTCTCCTTCACCTCTTTAATCTCATAACTGCTTTGAAAGAAATTCCCTTCTCGCATACTACTTATTACAACCTTGTATACTGAACATCAACCGTCACCCATGGCGCCTATCCCATCCTCTGTACTCAACACCGCCACCGTCGTCGTGGCACGAGAACTCCACCCCACGGGACTCACTAAGGGAGAGCGAGCTGCACTCATCTGCTTGATAACTCTCCTGTCTCTCACGGCCATATGGGCGTTCTACCATGTTCTCTCGTGTATGGCATGGAGTATATATACGTACGTACCTTCCACCCAACCCATCCCCAAAGACCAATACCTAACAGAGTCATTAACAGGTTGATTAACCGTCTTTTCGGAAAATTGGTATCGTTCCTCAAGTTCACTCGAGGCTGCTGCTTCCTCTTCTATGCGTCGCTGCTCTCCATCGCTCAGAAAGCCACGGCGAAGGTGAATGGCACTGGTACGGCCAGTGATGTGCCTAGCCCTGGCTCCAGCGTGACCGCTCTGCTTCCGTCGGAGGTTATTGCTAAGGCCCCGGCTCGCGTTAAGGTCCCGGCTCCTACTTATTCCCCTGGCAAGTTTGCTACTCGCAGTAAGGCAGTGTATGAGCTTGAGGAAGTCGTTGGTCTTAATCATTATGTTGAGCCTTATTTTCGTGCTTGATGGTGGGGGTGAATTGAAGATGAAGCGATTTTCGTTTCTACAGAAGTTGTTTTATTCTATGAGTCCTTTTTTTGTTTCTCCAAAGGTTGGTTTTCCTCTGTTGATTGTTTCGTTGCCAGATTAAAAGAAAGATTTGATATTGGATAGGTTATAGAAATGGGGTTCCTGGTGTATTTCTTTCTTTCTTTGGAGATTATCCTTGCTCATGACTATGTGAAGGTATTTTTGCTCTGATATTGCATTCAATAATATTCTTGTTTCTCTTCAATCTGAGAGGATACTCGCAGTCTCTTATTCCTATTTGGTAACTGTCTTCTATTCAATGTCTTTAGTACGGTAGATTTGAACGTCCAGCCTGGGATTACATTCCCCTACACCACAACACTAGGTGATGGTAAATCGGGCGCCCAAAATACTATCTTAGACGGCCTTTTCGGCGCCCCTTATCTAGGATCTTGGTCATTCACAAGTGAAACGATTGAACTATGGCCTGAGAACTCAGGGATGCGCTCAGCCTTCACTTGGGGTGCTCAGGAGGAGGATTAATGATATATATTCTTTCTATCTCTAATCGGCTTGTAGCCGCTTAACACAAAAAAAGAACTATATTTTTATTAAGTACAGGTCGTAGTGTCATTTTCTTTTGAACTTAAGTGTCTCTTACCTCCGTCAACTATAGATTTTGTGCAGAGTAACTCTCCTACAACCGCCATCACCGAATTACTTCTATGGCATCTTTTCAGATGACTATTATTACCATGTTCTATCCTATCCAATTCCGTCTCCTTGTCTCCTTGACATGTCTGTGAGCAGCCCAGAAGCAGGTCGAAGGCATGTCTGGCTCTCAGGTTTATCTATGGAAATAGAATTTATATGAAAACAATTTTAAATTTTCTTCGTTTCTCGTGTGGGAAATGGATCCTCATACAGAAGTTGAAGGGGGCCAATCCTCCAGGATCGCCCTGGGATAGAAGACAACCTTCGGCCCCTGTTTTGGGGGCCGGGCCTGAGTACTGTAAATAAGGTCAAGTGGGGCCGGCCCATTGAGGTTTTCTAATAGAAAGCGAGAAAATAAGTGCAACCTAGTACTTATCAAGTTTACCCATTTACGCCCTTGTGGGCCCTCAGGGGTTCATCCCTAGGTATATATATGTAGTTTCGTACCGGAAGACGACTATGCTAGGAAGTGGAATTTCCGCCTCAAATTGTTGTTCAGAATGTCTGCCAGTAGCTGGGGTTTTTCTTGGATTTTAGCACTGACATTCCTCATTTCTGCTTCTTTACCTTTCACCTATGCTGCGCCAGTCTCCGACCCCGTACTGCTACCCGGATCTGTCGACAATGCTCCGGTCCGGCTGCGAGTTGCATTCGACGAGGGCCTACAAGAAACGAAGTTTCTCGGCAAGCGGAAATCTCCAGGTCTAAGTCCGGGACTAACTGGGACCGCATGGTTCGAGCGCACGCGGAGTAATGGCGATAGACTTTATGCGTTTGGTCCAGATACTGGAGATAAAAAACCTGGTATACAATTGGGATCAGTCTCGGTGTCGAATAAAAAACTTGCTGATGGTGGTTTTGGGACAATATCAAATGCCATCTTGTTTGAAGTCAAGGAAGAAGAAATCTGTGGTAGCACAGAGACTGCAAAAAAAACCGAGAAGACTAAAGGTCTTATCGCAAAGTGGGGGGAGGGAGACGACGGAGTTCATGGCGGAAAAATACAAAACCTTCTCAGAGAATGTGCTTACGTTCCGCAAGTACACAAAACTCTTTGGATACCACCTGATAAGACATACCCAGAGGGCCAGTCACTCGTCATTATGGAGTCGATGGCTAGTGATACCTGGGATCTGGTGAATAGCTACCCCCAAGCGAGAAGGGAAAAGCAACCGTGGGCCGGCCACTTCAATCGCCTCTTCATGATGGAGGATTTAGTGACAGGTTTGGCATATGCTCACTCACTACAAATCATTCACATGGATGTTAAGTTGGAAAATCTGATGCTACGGCATAACAAACCGGGCGAAAAGTATTATCATTTCGCCATCATTGACTGGGATATGGCGATGATCCTTACGAAGGAGCAAGTGGGTCAGGCTCTGAAAGGCACTCCACCTTATATGGCTCCAGGTAAGACTAAGAGCCTCAATTGCTACCGATGACAGAAGACTTACACCTACAAAATCTTAGAGGTGGTTAAGAGGGAGTATGAAGATTGGCCCAAAGGACCAGATGTTTACGCGGCTGGAATATGCCTTCTATTCGCCATTGTACCGGATCTGTTAAAGCCTGAGTACCAGCCCCGCGTGGAAGCCATTCATGATAAATACAGAAGCCCAGAAGAGGTCGAAGAATATGTGAAAAAGGTATTAGGAGTGCGCACAAAACTTTTTCCGGAAACTTTCAGTCTCTTGGGCCAAGTTCTCTGTGCACCGTGGCTTCGCTTGTCAATGGCGGATTTTGAGGCGAAGCTCCGTAAATACCCGGTCGATTACCCTTATCTAGAGAGCGATCTTCCATTGATTAGTCTCGAAGAGACTCCCAAGAAGCCCGAATAAGGGGCCCCGTCATTGATTACAGCACTCAATCTCGGGTGAAGTGACAGGACTATCACATGGATCGACCCATTCTAATATTTGCGGAACCTTCCGCATCCATACTTCGCCATCATAGTTATAGACGTGACTGCTCTGACCATGATCACTCCGGCAGACACCATTCTGTATATAGGGTCGCATACTCAGCCAAATACCGCGTTTTGAAAATAAACAAGGAAAAACATTCAGTACCAGAAGAGGTAAACTTCAATTATACAGCTCACGAGGATACTTTAAGACAAGACTTACCATTTTGCTCATTGTCGAGTCGGATGCCACAAGCTCGGAGCTGCGACTCTCTGGTGAGCTAGAACGGCCAGCAATACTCTTAGTTCGTGGTTGTCCTGGGCCACAAGGCACTCTATAACCTTGTGTTTTTGAAGTCCTTATAAAGCGCTGCAAGACATTGTGGGCTAACACGATTAAATTCTTGAACCATACCACGAATGCCTCTTTCGGGGAATTGAAGAAGACTTGCCGCTGCCACCTTATTCTGAAGAGCAGAAATTTTCACCATTATAGTACAGTGACAATCTCCTGGAACAAAATCTCACATGAACTTACAGTGATGGAGCATTCAAATGTACAGATTCACGTCCATAACAACAAGGCATGCTCATCCCACCTCAGTAACACCAACCCCGCGAACAAAAGCAAAGCCAACAACTTCACTGTCTCAAGCTCATTCCAGTGTCGACTCAACCAATTTTCTAACTCCACCCGCCAAATATAATGGCCGCTGTCTTTAAGCGCAGATCGGAGACCTGGGAGTCCGTCAAGGCTGTGGGTATTACATTCTTGCTGGTATTTTTGCATCTTCCCAGAATTAACCATTTTGGCGGCAGAATGACCCAGCGTTTGGCGGTCTTTGAGATGGGGCTTGGATTCGTTGGTTTCAGGATCCGTTGTTAGGGACAACAGCGGGACGCCATAGCCGCAGGAGGTTTGGACCTAGATATATTGTTATCCAGAGTTGAATCAGTGTTATGGGTGACAGTTCCAAGACGGATTTTGTTCGGGACATATATCAGTGTTAGAAAGAGACTGACTGGTCCTCGAGCGAAAGTCACGTCAGAGACCAATGCTAACCTTGAAAACATCAAGATTGATAATAGCACGCGCTCCCACAACCTGGGATTTTCCCATGCGCTGTGAATATCTTAGGAACTCGGGCTGATCCCACTCGATAACCGAACCGGTACAGAACAGTCGCAAGATACGAGGAGACGTATCAAACGAGCAGAACATCACAGTAACGCGACCATTTTCGCGCACGTGGGAGATCGTTTCGCAGCCAGACCCGGTTGAATCGATATACGCTACCTGGTTTGGACTGAGTATCGCAAGGCAAGAATCCGGTAAGCCCTTTGGTGATAGGTTAACATGTCGGCCACGCAGAGGAGCGGAAGCCACGAAGAAAACGCTTTGACGTAGAGCCCAGTTTCGCAGATCGTCTGGAATGGAGTCGTAGAACTTGGGCATGGCTTTTATTTGGTGACGATAGGGAGATTACACAGAGGAGTTGTGAATCGGGCTAGTGATAGATGTAATCCACTTCCACCTCCCCTCATCACCCTCAAACGGCCGCGACTGTCACATGACACCGGCAAAGAACAAGCACATCAAAGCCGCATGCAGCCCTACTGGCTTGTTTGCACGGCAACGACTATGTACATTTGCCTGTATTCGCTCACAACCGTCGTGGTTACCGTAGCTTTGTGACTGGAAGAAAACTGTCGTAGCAAGTGACACCTGAGAGATATGTAGAAAAGAGTAGCGGCCTGTCCCTTTTCTACTCCTGTTCTTCCGTACCAATCCCTCGAATTTCCCACAGCTCTCTCCTTATTGCTTTCCAAATTGAAGGATAAGCGGGTCGTGATTATCGGCACAGGGGCGACGACGGTGCAAATTGTCCCGCAGCTCGCCCAATGGTGTAAGCGCCTCTTTGTCGTACAGCGGACACCGGCCTCAGTAGACGTTCGTGATCAGCGAGAGATTGACGAAGAATGGTTCCGTAAAGAGGTTGCACGATCGAAAGGATGGCAGCGAGAGCGAACGCGAAATTTCCACCAACATTTCACTCTTGGCGAGATGCCAGCAGTCAACCTGGTCAACGATGGATGGACCCGCACTCCTGGCTTAGTTGGTCTAACTGGGTGTACAGAAGGACCCGAATCACCCGAAGAAATTCCAGCATACACGGCGAGATTGATTGAGAAAGACACCCCCATCAAAACCGCATTCATGCTCGCGTGGATGAAGAGATGAAGGATCCTGCCACCGCAGAGAAACTGAAGCCCTGGTACCCTGTATGGTGTAAACGTCCTTTATTCCACGACGACTACCTCAAGACCTTCGATCAAGATGACGTGACTCTTGTCGATACCGACGGCAAGGGCATCGACCGGATGATGGCAGACTGGGTTATCGGCGACATGTAGGGTGTCGTAGTGCATTGAGCAAGGGCCTGGCATGCATTGAAGGAGATCTTAATTCGTGGGTACGTAGTGCCTAAATGCAAAGAGACCAGGAATCAAGAATTGAATACTCAATTCTACTACCGTACGGGGTAGAAAGCCATCTCTAAGGTTTCCCCTTACCTTGACAAGGACAAGAAAAATCCTTTACTGTAATAATAAAAAACATTTCAAGCAAGTCCGTGAACCATGTAACATTAACTCTCGAAGCCCGAGATGCTCATTCTAAGTACATAATACTTTGCGCATAAATACATTTAAACCGCTTAGAACAGAGCGGCAGCAGCGAGGGCAGCAGCAGCGCCTAGCGGAGCAGCGGTGATCAGTGGATGGTGGGGGCCAGCAGCGGCATCGGGAGTCTCAGTCGCCTGAGGAGAGTTGAACAAGGAGAGGCCACCAGTAACAGTGAGCGGGAAGTGGGTGACCTGGTCAGTAGCGATGGAGCTGGTGATGGTGGTTGCTGAAGATGAGCCATCGTAGCTGGCAGTGGCCTTTATAGTGCACTGGGCCGATTCAGTCTTTCTGGTGAACGAGCATGCGAGACCGTCGGTCAGGCTAACCGTAACACCATCGAGCTCAAAGGGCAAAGTTCGCTGGATGTCGACCGTGGTTGGCCCGGCGATAAGGGTATAGGGGTCAATGCTGCACGCCAAGTTGGCTGCGCCGCTCATGCACTCGACATGGTAGGTGGTGGCCTCCGCGTTAATGCCCACGACACTGCCAGCAAGATTGGTGGCGGTGGAAACGCTGACACTAAGGCCGTCTCCGTAGTAAGGATTTTGGATTTTTCCTTCAAAAATATTGACCACGGTGGTGGTCTGAGCTGTAGCTAGGGCTGCGAGGCCGGGGACCAGGACAGACGAGAAATGCATGGTGTGTTGGAGTTGAGTTGATCTATATTCAGAAAAGATGCTAGGAAAGAATTTGATGCACAGAGACTGGGAAAGATAGAGGGCAATTCGATGATGAGAAACAAGAGAAAAAAGAGAAAAAAGAGAAAAAAGAGTCTGTACTTAAAGAAGCGGGCCCTCACACTGCTTTTTAAGCCTCAATCGCAACCTCCTCAATCGGATCCTTTTCTAGGGCGATAGGCTGAGCATAGCAGGCCAATTTTAGCGCACGATCTTTATTATTGTTTGGTCAAGTGGAGGCACCCTGGCAAATGAAAGGGCGGCACAGCCCCAGATGGTTGCACGCTTAACAGCCTTGTTAACTAGGGGCTTGGCACACCTTCGCGCCAGCCATTGGCATCACGATAGTCTGTCAGTCGGCGGTGTAGCGCTAGCCCTGTTAAATATGTGATTCGACTGCTCGCACAGGGAAAGTACGCAGGGAAATGGGGCCATTAACCCCTCGGGGGGCCAAAAAAGCAGCCCGTCGTCATTTGCTGCCACATGATCCTGTCACGCCTAGCGTAGTTTTTCACATTAGCCATACCAAAGAGTGGAACGCTGGCTCGGGAACTTTCTTCCCGGGTGCTGGGGGGCTTGTGATAGGGGTGATGCAAGACCCTTCACCAACTCCAAAATGAGGCTGAGACCAAACTACCACCTCGATTTAATACATTTATGGCAGCCTGTATTTAGCGAGATTAGAAAAGTATCGATCTTCTCCTACTGCAGGGTGAGCGAGTGAACCATTGGCCCCTGTATGCGCTAACTAGGTTTCTCTTTGTCAAAGCGTAAACGTGCTTTCAATCTGCTTCATGGAGCGGAGCATACCTCGGCCCCAGCGGCAAATTTATGGAGCCGTTTCTTATGAGCGGAAAATGGGGTCAAAGGTCAGGCCTCAAGTTGACGGGAAGGGAAAGTTTCTCTGAGGGACACACTAGACGAGCGCAGCACTGAAAGAGCCGAGTCCCTCCCACGAAATCAAAGCCTATTATGACCTATGTGAGGCGAGATGCTCTCATGTACACACTACGCACCCGTCAGTGTCGGATACGATGTCTAGGGTTTCCGGGCCTTTGAATTTTACGATGAGATCACGAGGCCCTCGGAGGAAGTAAAAGTAGAAGACTCGTCATCATCATAGCAGTCATTTCTCTGTGGAATAAACGCCAGGCATCTATCGAGAAGACCAACACTGAATGAGATCACAGATTCGGCAGTGGATCAGAGGAGATATGATGTCAATTGCTGTGCTTGAATTGAATGAATAGTGGATTGCTTGGTTGATGAATGACTGGGTTTTCAATGATACTGATGACTGCGTCCCATTGCTAACAACTGGGGCCTTCCAGTTCGTGAAATTTGCGAAAACCGGTCACCTGCTGTTTGTGCTATAGCTCTTTCCACCATACCTGTTTTCCACTCTGAATAGCTATTATGGATTCATTTAGTCAAACCCAATGACTTGTCCATTATAACTTAACAGAACTAAGTGAGAATTGTGAAGAAATCCGTAGTGTTTCTGAATCCGCTGAAATGAAGCAACTTGTACGTTGTTATACTTCTCTTTGCTAACCTGAAAGCTAAAAACTTCAAAAAAGCAGTTGAGTAAACCTAAAACACGCATATCACGAGATTTCTTATGTCTGTCCTATTTGTTAACCCGCGGATCAAAGATTTAGACTTCGTCCACACTAATAAGAACACTCTTTGTTTCCAAGTAGTTATCGATGCTAACGGTATAACCCTCACGACCGGTGCCGCTAGCCTTGTAGCCTCCAAAAGGCATGTCTCGAGCTCCGGTCGGGCTAGTGCAGTTCACGCCAACACTTCCAGCTTCCATTTTCTTCGCCATCCGCAAGGCTCGGCTAATGTCCTTGGTGTAGACAGCGGCGTAAAGACCGTATTCAGTATCATTAGCTTTTGCGACGACCTCATCCTCGGTTTTGAAGGTGTTGATGTGCACCACAGGCCCGAAAATCTCCTCTCTCATTGGTCGCGTATTTTCAGGGGTTTCAAGGAACACCGTCGGTTGAACGAAATAGCCAGTCTTGTGCTCTGATGGTTCCGATCCCAACGCCATTTTGCCTACCCTTTTTGCCTCTTCAATATAGCTCTGGATCTGTTTGTACTGAATTTCATCTGCCTGCGGGCCATGGGTCGTGCCCTTGAGGAGAGGATCACCACTCTTGATCTGAGCAAAACTCTTGTTGAACAGTTCGATGAATTTCGGTGCGATGGACTCTTGGACGTAGATTCTGGAGTTAGCCATGCATACCTGTCCACTGTTCCATTGCACACTGTGCTTGGTCTGCTCCACTGCCTTTTCGATATTGGCATCTTCGAAAATAACGGCCGGAGATTTGCCTCCGAGCTCCAGAATGACATTCTTCAGATTCGACTTCGCGGCTGCAGCTGTGATCACACGGCCGGTTCTTCCAGAGCCAGTAAAGCTCAACACGCGAACATCCATGTGGTGTGAGAGTACATTTCCAGAGATGTGTCCATGGCCGGACAAGATGTTGATTACGCCAGGTGGGAATCCGACTTTCTCTATGAGAGTTGCAATCTTTGCAGACTACAAAAATCACAAAAGATATAATGAGCAGGCTGCGGTTAGGAACATAGCGAAATTTCTATTCCTCAACTTACAGTGAGTGGAGCTTTCTCACTACTCTTGATCACGACTGTATTTCCCGCCATCAAAGCAGGGGCTGATTTGTTAACCTTTGGTCTGTCAGTATTCATTCCAATTTCCTTTTAAAATTTGGGGACATTGCTCATACCAGGAACAAGACTGGAACATTCCAGGGAATGATGGCAGCCACAACACCATAGGGCTGGCGCAGAGTCATATTCACAAATCCCGGAGTATTCAAGCTGGAGGTTCCCAGAGCCTGAAAACCAGCCTCGGCGTAGTGATCCAGAGAGTCTGCGGCCATGAAAGACTCAAAATACATAGAGACCGGGCGGCCCATCGATAAAGCCTCTAGCTCAGCCAACTCATCGTGTGATTCGCGAATAAGAGTGGCCAACTTCTTGAAGTACACCCCTCTCGCGCCCGGCGAGAGAGCAGACCATGCCGGAAATGCAGCTTTCGCAGCCGCAACGGCAGCATTCGCATCAGCCTCGCTTGCCTCCGAGACTACATCATTTTTAAGATTGATGTCAGGACTCATGAAAGATGCTCAGGTCAAGACAAGAGATACCTTGCATGAATTTCTCGCCCGTTGCGGGGGAAGTCAAGTCGAACTTGCCTCCATCGGAGGCTTCCGTGAACTGTCGTTCGGCTCAGCATGGATTGAATAACGTATCCGCATTTTGAACAAACTTTTCCATTGATGAAAAGGCGGGTCTCGAAAGACTTGACCTTGGGCTCCTGGATGATACTCATAGTCCTTTTATGCCGAGGGTGTCAGGGATCAGCAAATTTGTGGATGCAAGAGGGACTGACTGACTTGCGATCCGACAAAATTATTAATGTCAAGTTCCAAAACTGTCCTCAGTACAAACGATTTTTTGTGAATCTTGGCTCGGTAGAATGTCCAGGTCTGTTTGCCGCAGCTTCGGAGGGATGCCTCCGACCCACTTATAAGTCCAGGTTGATCACGACTCCGCACGCGAAGTGGGATAAATGGCGTTGACTAGTGTTGGAGTATTAGGGTTAGACCAGTATCCATGTTACTGGGTTGTAGAGAATACAACCATCTTACACAGACAACAAAACTCGAAACGGCCGACAGGGACCTTTACTCGGTGTCGTCAACACTATGTATAACTTTATGAGAAAATGATAAATTGCTGGAAAACATTTACTACATCCGGAACACATTCTATATCTGCCTTGAGCAGGCTCAGCCACTGAAATTGACACCGATTGAATTCTAGCTGTAATTGAGTTGCCAGTCCAGTGGTTTCTGGGCCACTTGAACAGGACCAATTTCGCCTCCTGGTGCTCGTCGCTTCTGCCAAGTCTCGATCTCGCGATGGTCCACAAAATTTCCATGCAATCCCAAGCGGAGCTTCAGTGGTAGATGAACGGTCGCAACCGGGCCTGCAGCTACATGGAGCGCGTCGACTATCACAATATCGTTTCGAAGAACATCGAGACGATTGACAAAGGCAATCAGCCATCCTTCTCCTTCTTCCCCGCCCTGCTTAGGAATGAAAGTCGGCTCTTGAAATGTGGCGCATGGACCCGCCCAGAGCACATCCTCGGTCTGACCGTTCCAGGTGTAATGGCCCAGGCAATTGAAGAGTCCTCCAGCCGGTGAGCCGCACTTTGCCGCATCATATTCTTTGGTCGGGTCAATGCGAGCCTGCCAAAAATGATTATATTTCTTGGTGACGAATCGATGATCGATTCTGGAAAACTCTCCTGAGGTATCCCACCGGACTGCTGGCCTGACGTGGGATCCTGTCTCAGCGTTCGGATCCAATATCCAGCGATGGGTAATGCTCTGCAGTCGATTTCTGGCTCCTAGGTTACTGGCCTCTTCTCCATCCGGTGGGAAGAAGAAGAACACGTTTCCATCGGCTACTGTGAGGTCAAAGACGATTTGACCGTCATCGTTTTCGTAACAGCCAGCGACATGTCCATGAAAGGCTACAGTATGTGTCAGAAGCTAGTTAGGCAGTTTTTGTTAGGAGAAAGGATATCTTACCATTCTCTGCCTGTAGCCAGACAATATCTTCGGGTTTGCCACCCCTCCTTGGGACAATTCCATACCATTGACTCTCGTTTGGGTCCCATGCCCAGTGATTACCACCCATCTTCAGACGATCGACCGAGCATTTTAAGGGTGTTAGTGGAAGAACAACGTAGTTCTTTGAGATGCCACAATCGTGTATCATCCCGCAAAATGGAGACTTATACCATGTCTCCTGGGTCTTCCTCCCGTTGGTGTCGATTGTGTAAACAACAATATCGCAAGATCCGTCATTGCCATCACCTCCGGCCTCGTATGCAAAGCAAATCATCTCGCGTGTTTCCGGATCGAATTTGGGATGTGCTGTGAAAGTAGGAGATCTGACTTGCCCTTCGAAGTCATAACGGCCAATGGTCTCCAGCGTAACTGGGTCCATAGCATATGGAGGCCCATCTTCCTTAGAGGCTAGCAACATCCCTCGCCAGAAGGTAATGTTGGTGTTTGCCACAGTTCGAATAACTCCCTTCACGGATTCTGAATCGGTATAAGGATTGCGGTATTTGCCAAACAGACTCTTTCGAGCTGCCGTCTCTGCATGAAAGCGATCTGTTTTGGCATAACGTTGTTTGAAGTCTGCATGGCCTTCCTGAATTCGGATAGCCGTGATGCTTCCATCTCCACTGAAATGGATATCTTCCTCAAAAATTGGCGGATATCTCTGATCTGGCTGTATTCTGTAGAAAGTCCCATCAATCTCCGGTGGAATCTCTCCGTCGACTTCAAGATCCACGATATCGCCCTCCAATCGACACGGTGCATTAAATGTTTGGAAGACAGGTGTATTCGGGTATTTGACCTGTTTGCCCGTCTTACGACCCTTGACATATGGATAATCGATCGACTTTGCCACGTCGTAGATATGAGCCATGTCTCTAATTCGATTTAGCTGGCAACTTTTCGTATTGGAAGTGATTATGAATTACGAGGCTTATATCACACCTTCCGTTGCTGGATCGGAGTTTTCTATCCGATGGCAAAAGCCGTTGTGATCCCATGCGACTTCTCGGTATATTGTTTCCGCGCTTCATCTCGCTCCCGGCAAACGCGATCCTCAGAAATGCCGATGGAGTAGAAATGCTTTCCCTACAGTTTAGGAGCTTTTGAAATTCCTTAATGTTAATTTTTATACTAGAACATCATTGTCTTCTACCTCGCAAGATAGTTTCTTCTATTGTACCAAGCAAGCACGATCATGGTTTCTAAAGGCACTAGTGCAGTTGAAGAGGCGGTCATCAGTCCCAGCACAGCGTGGAGACGGCAGCTGAATCATAACCATACTGAAATTGACCCAGCGCTATAAAGATGCAAATGCGAAAAACACGCTTCTCTTTCCATATTAAAGACAAAAATCGATTGTCATTGTTCAAGTTCTCGTGGGCGTCCACCATAGCGACTTCACGAAAAGAACTTTGCAACTACAATTGGAAGATCTCGCGTATCATGAAGCGAGATCTAGCGACTATTTGAAAAGGGAATATATTAATTAAAGTCGGGGTCTTTGGGACACTTACTTCGCGCAGCTGGTCGCCAATTCTCTCGGATGGCTCATGCAGTGTTTTGGAGTCCGGATGGCATCGGCTGCAATAATCCGAACGGTTGTTATGGCTCGGCATTCCCGACTGAGTTCAGGCTGAAGCAAGCAGATCCAATATAAAATGAAGCGAGTTATTAAATCAAGTTCTATGTATATTGCTCCGGCAGGATCTCCTAACTCCCTTATTATCGATATATCTAGGATCATGGCGGATTCCCAACAAATCACCACTCTGGTGGATCAAGTGGAGACTCTGGCTAATGAAGTTGTTAGACTGAGAGGTGAAACCTCATTCATTCTTTTTGCCGTTGAAGTTACTCATATTGCCATAGGTGAATCGGATGTCAGGAAGCTTCATCACAAATACGGCTACTATTTGGACAAATGCCTTTACAAAGAGGTACGCCAGTCTCGGCTACACGTCTTCAGAGACCGCAGACTGATAACCCAGTAGGTCGCCTCGCTGTTCGCCGATCATCCAGACACATATGTCCAGTTCCTGAACGGCCGCTACCGAGGGAAGGAGGGAGTTCATCGCCTTTACATTGAGCGGTTCGCCAAAAGATTCGTGGCCGGTCGCAACGGTCCGATTGATGGATGGCTGCTAGATCACCTCATGGCACAAGACATTATTGATTTCGATCCACAGGCAGGAAGAGCGAAGGCTAGAATCCGTGCCTTCATGAGTGCAGGAACTCACGAGTCCATGTCCCCGAACTTTCCTGGTGGCTATCGACAGTGGTGGGAAGGCGGCCTGTACGAGAATGAGTACATTCTACAGGATGGGGTGTGGAAAATCCTTCGTCTTCGCTATTTCCCATTCTGGCACGGATCTTTCGAGACAGGCTGGAAGGGAGCAAAAGAGTTCGTCCCCTTGTTCAAGGAGACGCAGCCGGCGGATCCACTGGGCCCTGATGAGATAGTTGACGACTTTGTTCTTTGGCCTGACACTCGGGTGATACCTTTCCACTACAAGCATCCAACTACTGGCGATGAAGTGGCCGAAGAGGACATGAGAGCCCCTCACTGGCTAGAAGACGCTAGTACTGCCCCGCCGGCTCGGGTGATCGCAGACTGGGGATTCTGAGAGCGGGCTTCTTATCATAGTCCTTCAGAAGGTTCAATCAAATGATAGCATCAATACAGCCATTTATATCAAATAGTAACTCTTCCTGGTATAAAGATACTGTCTGCCATCACATAAGCCCTTCGCTCGCGTACGTAAATCAAGCTGTTAGCGTAACGATTCCCCATGTGGCCTGGCCAGTCCCACCCACCCACATGGATCGTTTGCCGCAAACCCCGCAGTCCCCAGTTTCGTACCGGAAGCCCCACAGCCTTGTGCTTAACCAAGATCTGACAGCTTCCTGATTTCAATGGATCATCGATCATTTCATGATGGCGGGCCACCGTAAGACGGGTCGAAAACATCGTACGGCCATGAGCTGTGACCGTTGTAGAAGCCGCAAGACAAAGGTAAACACTCGAATCTCGATGGATGGACCCTAAGACTCGACTAACAGAACCTCCCTTTTATTATGCTCATTAGTGCAATAGTCCAGGTATTTTTATATCCTTGGGAACCTTTTCTTGTCTTGTTACGTGATGCATATGAGGCTGATGAGTATACGCATTGTTGAAAACTCAGTCCCCGGCCCTTGTGATTACTGTCGCACCACCGGGGCAGAATGTCATATAGATCTGGGACGGCGACGTCAGAGGCCATACTACTTCGTTTCGGAGGAAGAGTTTCGAAATATGCAAGATATACTGAGCCACTATCTCCCAGAAGCCAGCCTCAGCCCCGAGAACCTTCGCTCCCTTGCTGCGGAGTGCAAAAGCAAGACTTCCCACAATATCTCACACGATTTGCCGGCTTCTCCCCTTTCTCTATCTCCCATATTCCAAACCGCTTCGTCTTCTGGTTTAGGAAACGAATCTTATGCGTCGTCGGCTGAAAATATGAGCAATATAGCGGAATGGGAGAAAGATTCAGAAAACCTCGTTTTACAGGAGGTTTTCGGTCTACATCAGCGATCAGGATGCCTGCTAGAAGATTCGCAAGGGGAATATCGTAAGTTTTAGTTGTTTTTAACATTAATCATTACTACAAGGCCTATAATCTGATATGGGACAGGTTATATGGGTTCTGAGTCGGGGTTACCCTTCAATGCCGCCATTCGCTGCTTCAAAAACAAAGAAAGATTGCACATACCGACGACACCCGATGTGATTCCAGGGATGGTCACAGTGTCGATGCCTCTTCCTACCGAGACTAATATGAAAACCGACGTACATTTGCCCCCTCAGGAAACTTGTCAAAAATTGGTTATGCGATATTTCGAAGAAGTTCATTCGTTGTATTGGCTTTATTCATCCGAAAGATTTCACGGCCAGTTGGAGGAGACATATAGAGCCCCATCACAAGATCTGACAGCATCTTGGAAATGTGCCCTATATTCCATCTTTGCAATCGGAGGCCTTGGGTCACCATACCCAGAAGAACTTCCTCATTACACCGTCCCGGGAGAATATCTCCAGCATGCGAAGTCTTTCGTCTCCGGGGTATGCGATGAAGGAAGCCTCGATAGTGTCCGTGCTATGCTATTATTGGTATGCGATTTGGTCATTTTTGAACAATAGGGGTTCTGACTTGATCACCAGGCAACGGCTATGCAATCACATGGATTCTCAAACCCCGCCTATCTATATACCAGTCTCGCTGTGCATATTGCCTGTTCTCTAGGGCTTCACTGTGACAAGTATTGCACCTCTTATGGAGGTGTTGAGAAAGAGCATGCGAGGCGGATATGGTGGTCTCTGGTCGTATTTGACCAAGACCTTGCATTGAGGCTGGGTAAGCCCTGTGCAACCGAAGATGCGTGGCAGCCACTCTTGCCATCTGAAGTGGTAAGATTTTCTTCCCTTTCATTAGTTCTCCAGGCCCCGCTAGTGTAGATGATTTTAACTTGGATATCCAGATCTTGCCTTCCGGTCCCTATAGTCCTCCTGGATACTTGGCTGTGTGCAGTACCTTAAGCCAGCTAGGCAAAACAGCTCGTTGTAATCTGTATAAAAACCCACTTATGCGCGGTCAGCTACTGGAAATGGGATCTGTGAAGCTCTTGATGACTTCATTACAGGAGTGGGCCGACACCCTCCCACCACATCTGAGCATTTCTACTCCAGCAGCGCCACTTCTACGCCGACCAATTGCCATTCTTCATTTGAGATATCATAGTATTCAGCTCCTGATTGGCCGGTCATTTTTACTATACCGCCTTATGTGTCGAAAGAGGCAACAGGAGAGCTTGATGAAGTCGCCTTGTCTTGAGCATTTCACTGAGGTCTGTCTGAGTTCTGCTGAAAAAATGTTAGGGATTCTGGAGACGATGATATCTGAAAGCACTTATTCAAGATTAATTGCTTTGGACTTTTACTATGCCTTGGATATCCTGCAGATCTTCCTTTCGGTATTTGCTCTAACGAAAGGCGAGAAGCAATTCGAAGACATATGCTCCTGTCTGAAGGTGCTCCAAACAATGGGAACAACGGGATTTGGGGCTAGGATGATTTCCGAAGTCCTCTACGAGCTCATGGAGTGGGGACTATTCCCTGATCATTCAGATCCTTTGCATTGCCTAGATACTTCCTTACTTGATCTGGATACTATGAGTGAGTTTTACGATCGGTAAGCCTGTCTTTTATTTCGCCTTTAATTAAATATATCACTGATTTTCAATAGTATGTTTGGGAGCTTTGATATCTCAGTTGATCAGACTTCGAGTGCAATACTATCCAGCTTCGATGACTCGATAATTACTGATGACATGCTGATGCAAGACATTCTCCACCCTTAAGCTGGGTCTTGTGAGGAGTGGTTCAGTTCTTGATCCCTTCAAGAACTTTCTGACCGGTTTCGAAAAGACGACACTCCTTAGCTTTGGGCTGAAACTTCTGCATCAAATTTGCGATATCTCTATCTCTGGAACTGATAGCCAGCTGCACGGCTGCCTTCTTTGTCTGTCGGTGATTGGTCGTGTTCTTTGTATTGCGGCAGATCACCACTCTCGGAAACGCGAAAGTGATCTAAAACACCTTCATGGTAGTATATCAAGAAGAGTGGACGTTTGCAGGTGGGGGGACGAAGTACCTGCGAAATCATCGATGCCAATTAACCTTCATTTGAGTACAAATTGCGACATCTAACAAGATACTTGAGGGTTAGAGAAGGTCCTCAACCAGAGCGTACATGGAACTCCCATGTTTGTAACATTCTCGAGCAGCCTAACACAAATGTGGTTGTCGCTACCCTCTCGCGCCTCTTTCTGACGCCAGAGTAATGAGTCCGCGTTTGTATGTCCTATTTATCAGGCGACCAATCCCTGGCGGCTTCTCTTTCACTTCCTACCCCGCCCAGTTTTGTCCCACTTCCTGTCAGGACCGAAGGACCTGAGTGAGAGAGTATTTGCACCGTTTGGTTTGGTTCTACTTCTACATTATCCTAAATTCGGACATCTTTCAAAGTTTCGTATAAAGAACGTCATCATATTCGAACCTGAACATCTCAATTTCCTCTCGGATTTCCACCATGTCGAACAACCCCCTTACACTTGGAGAAGTCGTCACCAACACCAACCCTGCACACTTCCCCGGACCCGAGCCCTTGACTGGCCAACATGTGACACTGGAGCGCCTCACGCAGAGCCATTTCCCGGGCCTTTATGAGAACATAGGGTCTCATGCCGACCTCTGGGCATGCTGGCCTGACGAGCCAGCCAGCACGGCTTCCGAATTCGATGACTACCTGAACAAGATCCTCAAAATGAGCGACCTTGCGATTTACGCCGTCTTGCTTCTTTCCGGACCGAACAAAGGCAAAGCAGTCGGCCTTGCCTTTGCTTTTTCCGAAGATCGTCTCTCCAATCGAGTTGCCGAGCTCGGACTCTTCTATGGTCCTCAGTTACAGAAGAGCAAGGCGGGGACAGAAGTGGTCTATCTTCTCAGTGGTCTCCTTTTCGAGTTGAATCATCGAAGATTACAATGGAAGACCAATTCCTTAAATCTCCAGTCTAGGAAGGCTGCAGAGAGGTATGGGTTTGTCTACGAAGGGACATTTAGACAACATCAGATCAATAAAGGGAGGAACAGAGACTCTTCTTGGTATTCCATCATAGATTCTGAATGGCCATTGTGCAAGAAAGCGTTTGAAAAGTGGTTGGAAGATGGAAATTTTGATGAGCAGCAACGGCAGAGACGTAGTTTAGAGGAGATAAGAGAGAGTCTAAAGTAGGTAGTTACGGTATCAACATATTCCATTCTTGCTGTTAGGGACTCGGATACCCTCATCCGAAACTGGGATATCGCAGATGCTGAGAAACAAAGGCGGAAATGAGCGCGGGAGGCTAATTATTTGAGGAGTATACTGGAGATGGATTTACATACATGTATGTAACTTTTGGATGGGTTGTCTTCCGCTAAGCCACAATGAGACGCAAGTATACTCACTGATTCTCGCTCTAATAAATGATATTCTACATCCTCAAGCTGATATCGAAATGTTCTCACTTGTATTCACTTTTCACATAACTACTTTTGTTTCTATAAAACCCCTCCATCTAGTGCAGCCGCTCGATAACCTTGAGCAGATCCGCAGATACACCCATGGCAGTGACATCACCACCAGCCCCGGCACCCTGCACAATAAGTGGGTTGGCACCGTACCGCTTGGTGTAGAAGCTGATGATGTTGTCGCTGCCTTTCAGGCCGGCAATGGCACTGTCTTTGTCGAAGTATTGCAGGCCAACCTTGACAGCCTTGTCAGCAACATCGATGCTGCCAACATAACGCACAACCTTGCCCTGCTTCTCTGCCGTGTCCTTGATGCTAGACATCTGGGTATCAAACTCGGGCAGACGAGTCATGAATTGGGTGATTCCCTCTGACGAGGACGGGAGCGCAGCCAGCTCGGCTGGAATGAGCGACTCAATTGGGAAGGCATCAGGGCGGGCAACCTCGAGACCAGCCAGACGGGCCAGGATGGTCAGCTTGCGTGCCACATCCATGCCGTTCAGGTCGTCGCGAGGGTCCGGCTCAGTATAGCCCAGGTCCTTGGCCTGGGCGACGACAGCGCTCCATTGCGCATTCGAAGAGCCGGAGGCAGGGGCAAAAGTGTTGAACAGGAACGACAGTGTACCCGAGAAAACACCCTCGATACGAGTAACCTCATCACCAGTTGCAACCAGGTCCTTCAGGGTCGACAGCACCGGCAGCCCAGCGCCAACCGTACTCTCGTGGTACACCAGGGCTTTGCCCTGCGCGGCCGAAGCGAAAATATCCTTCCATAGAGACAGATCGTCAGAGAAACCCTTCTTGTTCGGGGTCACCACCGACACGCCCTTCTTCAGGAAGATTGGGTACGTCCGCGCCAGATTGATGTCTGACGTGTTGTCCACCAGGACTGCTCGCCCCGGCGCGGAGGCGAGGTAGTTCGCCATCTCCTCTGCGGGTAGAGCACCGGTCTTGGTCAGAGAGGGGGTCGCGGCGGCAGTCGCCCAGTCGGCCGCGGGGATGGCCGGTGAGTACGCCGGTGTCGGGGCGAGGAGGGTTTGAGATGAGCGGGCAAGGAGGATCAGCTGCGGAGCATTGGGTAGGCGCGCAAGCTGCGAGAGGAATGCGGTGCCGACACCGCCGACGCCTAATCATGTCAACTGTGTTCTCTTAGGTAGAAGCTGATGGGTTTTGTACCAACGACGCCGAGATAGATAGGGCTGGCGGACATAATGTGGTTCAATGGGGTGGGTTTTTGGAGTAGGTGGTTCAAATTGCAACAGGGTATTTCTCAGTGAGCAGGGCGTCTGCAGGCACGCAATTGCAACAATTCAAGCTCCGAAAAAGAATAATATACGAAGTTCTTCAGATCGAATGTTGGCCGTGGGGTCGCGGGGCAGCGAAATCGGGCTGAGTCATATGCTGAGTCATTTTCCATCACATTCCTAAGGCAGTAGCTCTCTCTTATCGTTATCGTTATCGCAACTACTCTTTCTTGCCTCTCCTTCTCTCTCTCTCTCTCTTTCAATCCACCAAGATGCCACCCAATCCACCATCCTCCTCCTTATACGGAAAGCCGCGCTCCAAATCCAGTACACAAGCAAACCAACCTTCTTCCTCTAACCTCTCCTTCACGACCCAACTATCCTCACTCATCTCCCAGGGCTCTTCCGAATCCACCTCCCGAGGACGCCCACGTCCATCCAAAGCCGCAAAAGCCGACCTCTTCTCCAAGCCCAACAAGGGATCCCAAAAGCGCGCCGCAGCGGATTTGGAAGATGAATCCTCAAAGCAAGTCCACCAGCGCAGCCAAGACATCGGGTCCGTGGACGCTGCGGCGCTGGGCCGGTCAAAGCGGCGCATGGAGGAGAAGGTGCGCATGTATGAGGATATGAAGAAAGGGATGTATCTCGCGGGAGATAGCAGCGACGACGAGGAGGGAGCAAATAAAGAGGACTACGCAGCGCGATTAAGGCGGAAAGAGCGCGAGGGGTTAGTGGACTTCGATAAGAAATGGGCGGATGAGGAACGGAAGAGAGACGATGGATCCGATGACGAGGAGGAATCCGAAGAGGATGATAATGCATCTATCATATCCTACGAAGATGAACTGGGACGGTCTCGTCGCGGGACAAGGGCCGAAGCTGCGCGCGCGGCCCGCGAAAAGGAACAAGACAGTCGACAGGGCGGCGCAAGCGGGGATCGTTGGAGGCCCTCACGTCCGGACAATCTCATCTACGGTGAAACGGTCCAGTCGCAGGCTTTCAATCCGGACACCGACGTTGCGTCGCACATGGCGCATCTTGCGACGAGGCGAGATCGATCACCTACGCCTCCAGAGAATATGCACTACGATGCAGATGCGGAGGTGCGCAATCGGGGGACGGGTTTTTATGCATTTTCGAGAGACGAGGAGGAGCGCAAGAAGCAGATGGAGGAGCTGCTGAGTGCGCGTGGTGAGACGCAGCGGGAGAGGGAGGCACAGCAGGCGCGAAGAGCAGTGCGAGAGGCTGCTAAGGATGAACGGCGCGCGAAGATTCAGGAGCTAAGGAATAAGAGACTGGCTGAGAGGTTCTTGGCTGATTTGCAGCCGGGGACTGAAGTGGTTCCGACGGAGTAAACCTTGCATAACGGCTTCGCGTTCTTTGTTTTTAGAGATACCCTCATGTTTACAACTATACGGTATGGAGAAAATGCACTCGAGCTAAGTTCATTTTCAAAGTCGATGGAAGGAAGTATAGGAAGTCCCTTTTCAAGGGGTCTAATATGAGAACCGCCCACCCTCGGGGTAATCCGGACCCAGAAGAGGTGGGAGTCCAAAAGAACAAACCAAAAATGCCGCCCTCTAAGTCAAAACACAAAACCCAATCCGACTTTTGAATCATCATCAATCATATCAACGTATATTCATCAGTCATTCCCACAACAGGAGTTCTGGGAGGAAGATGGAGAAGAAATTCCCATCATCTGACAATAGTCAGCGCAGCTAGTTCCGCTATCGTATCCAGAAACCCGTCGGCATCTAATTGTCAGAAAATCAGCATCACTCTCGGCAATATCAAGTACGGACAACCCACCATCCGAGGTCAGAAACGTCAAGATAAACCCTCCCCGAGGCGTTTGCGGTGCATTATAGTCATCTGCAGACATCAAGATGGCAGGTCTCAGGTCGCGAATTAGAACTTTCTCTGGGCCTGTGCGGCGGAGCCAGCCCGAGGTCCCAAGGTAGGATGTTATGAAGGCTGTCCAGACGGGTGTGCTATTTTGATGAGCGTTAGTTCACTGTAAGAGGTTTACTGGGAGGGGGCATATTGTTCATACCGTTTTAGTTCTCCCCGGTGAACAGATGCCTGCAATCTCACAGCCCCGGTTACCGTATCCTGATATACGCGCAGGGCATGCGGAAAGCCGTCGTCGATAATTTGTCTGGGCGAGGTTCAGTACTATAATTTGGTAAAAGATAATGACGACTCACCCTCCGTAAATCTCCCCTTCTTCATTCAACTCATAGTCTCGAATATATTCGACCGGCCTCCCCGCATCCTGGGAGCGAAGCGCGAGAAAAGTGACGTAGAATAAGACTAGAGCTGTTCATCATGAAACATCAATAAGATAATTCTCTTTTCACCCAAGGAACTGGTGGTTGAACATACTTTCGATGTTTGTAAAACTAAGATTTGCCCACATCACAAGTTCAGTCCCCTGGCGTCGTCTGCGACATAGTTGCAGGCACGAGCCGTCTCGAGCAATCTCCAGCATGTTGAGTGGTATGCAGGAGTACTCGCTCGGACGGCTGCGGTGCGGAGTTTTGCAGAGCATGCGAGCACGGTGGTCGTTTGGACGTAGATGAAAGGCCACGCGCATGTCGTTACCGTCAGCGAAGGCTCTAGAATGAAAGTTAGTAAGGCAAGGTCCTTTTGGGGTGGTTGGCGGGATAGAGCTGGCTTACAATTGGAGGACTTCTTGAAAGCCTGCCTCTCGAAGCCATTGTTTAATTCCCGGGTCAGATTTTCCGTAACATTCCGATCTGCAGGGCATTGTTAACGATATTCATTTATGACTGGTATTGTTCATAGTTCATCGTACCGGGATTCCGGGGCAGGAATAGGTGTATCTGTGTCAGGGCTTGAGAAGACTTCCTTTGCCCAGTGGTACTTGATCGCATCATTGGCCGACTGGCTGGTCGTAGTGGTTGTTGCCGTCGTCGACCCTGTCAATGGCGAGCTCGGCGCATCAGGGGCTTGCGGTGGAACATCAAAGGTGCCGGATGCAGGTGACTGCGGTAAGGAACCCGGCGGGCGAGGGCGCTCGTACGATCGACGAGCGCGCGGTCTACGGTCACTGGCTGGACTCCTTGGTTCTGTATTGGTGTCGCTGGAGGACGGGTTGCGGCCGAGATTCATACGTTCCAGTCGGGGCGCCAGTCGCTGATCCTGCGTGGCCAGCAGGGTCTTAAGGCTATTCCTAGATCTGGACAGGAGTGAAAGATTTGGTTCTTTGCTGCAATTTCTCAACGTAAGCATTATTCTGGAGACACAAACAGCCCTAAACACTTACTTTTGCACCACATCGGTTATCTCCCCTAGGAAGGATTTATACTTTGCCAGCCGGGTTGTGAGCGAATATTGCGATTCATCCCAGAAGAAGCGGTTCATAGCAACCCAGGTGCGCCTATACTGCTCGGTTGGAACATTCCCGCTATCGAGCTGGCCAAAGAAATCAAAGACATCCTGACATGTGTACTTCAAGCTACCGCGCACCAATTCAATGTCTGCATGGGCGCGGGCGAAGCCGCGCTTATAGCGCGGATCCTTGATCAATGCATCGATGGTGGTAAACGACGCGCTGAGGCCATACAGATCCGAGATGAGGCGGGTGATCTCGGTCTTGTGCTCTGGGAGAGGGACGCGGAACGCCTGAAAGCCGGCGGCGACGTCTTCGGCGTTCTCGGCTGACGTGCGCAGGGCCATGGTCTCAGACTTGTGAGTGGTCAGGCCATGAATTTTAGATTTTTCCTACTATTATGTGTGTGATTTGTTTCAAGTGGAGGGGAGGGGGTTTGGTTGCTCGTGTTCTCGTGGGGCAGAGACAGCGCCAGACAAGGAACAACACAAGCCAACGACGCTCGGATGCAGATAAGATTATATTTTGGCAATTAACTAAGGAAAATTGGAAAACTGCACGTGCGACCATGCGGCTCTTGTTTCCAGTTGACTTTTTGACGTGTTCGTGTGGGAATGGCGGGGCCCGCGGTGGAGCCCTATAGGGAGGGGAAGGATCAGGGATGCTGAAGAGACTGAGTCATGATCTATTCTAACTGCATCTATGTAATCCTAATTAATATTATGCATAATATGCGAGTCCTTAGGCTTATCCCGAAGCCGCTCCTCCGACTTGCTGCCGGTTAATACCCAACTTTCTCCGTCACCAGTTCGCTAGAGAGCATGTCCAGTCCGTATCCCGGGACGATATTCAGGAATGTACTTGCTGGGATTCAACTATGTAATAGGAGTCCCTATCCCAGCAACCAACCACCCCAGATGGCCGGCGGGAACTACTCTATTTGGACACCAGCGTGCCCACGACATTCAAAACCAGGTGATGGTGACCCCGCCGGACATTATCTAGGTGTAGCCTTTGACGCACCCGTAATACAGGTGACTCCCATATGCAGAGCAGTAGACAACGACTCGACATGTAGCGTACGGAGAGGGAAATCTCTCGGTTTCGGATATTGGTCTTACTTGTGAGACTGGGACGAGGCTGTGAATCCGGTAAACAAGATTAAGCTCGACGCGGTTCCTGAATAAATGGATTGTAAAGTAAAAGATCGAATCATATCCATGAATCCAGGGGAAGTAAGGCCACCACAGACAACTATTGGATCGCTGGTTGATAAGATCTCCGTCTAGCGTGTATTCTCTTCTCAGCCTCACGAAGATGTGGTGACAACTGTATACTAGGAGTACAACCAAGCTTGGCTTTCTCCTTATTGGTGGATACAGTCTGCACTTCTGAGGTAATCCATTGTTCAGAGCTCAACCATTATATATCTTGGACAACCTCATTGTTGTCTGAAAGAAAGACAAGAATGCAACACCACATGTATCAGTCTCTGCAGCGACATACCCTTCAAACCGAGAAAAACAGATGCTTCAAGTCCACCACAGTGACGAATAGCCACTGCACGCTGCATTTGTAAAGAGGCATTGACACGTATCTCCCATTAATCACTAGATCAGGGCGAGCAACCGGGTCAGCCGGAACAACCATGATCCGATGCGTTCAGGGCAAAAAGTAAACAAAGGGAGCTTGGGCCACCGCATAGTGTTTGCAATGGAGGTCTCGAATCATCATTATTGGCAGGGACATAGGAACGGTTCATTCGACTAGTATACAGCCTAGGCTCGCCCTGCCGGATCTTCGCAAGCAGCGCGCCCGAAGTAAAAAGAGCGAGGAGGATGCGCAGGAGAGAAAACCATATTCCCATTTAACACGAAGACATTGAAACCCCTTTCATACTCGAGAGAAGAATAAGTTCAATCAAAAAGCAAAGGAGAACCACCGTCATCCCATCCCAGAAGCCGTGCATGACAAAAATAACGAGAAGAAAATAAACCAGTGACACAATTAACGAAGTGAGGGAGGGAAAAGGGAAGAAACGACACCAACGCCCAGCGGCCCTGACACTTGGTAGAGCGGCAACATGACGTTTAGGACGACTCTTCCTCCTCCTCTTCGGCAGCCTTCTATTCGGGGGTTAGTGCGGGATATGAAAGAAAAGGGATCAATCCGTCTTACGTTGGCGTAGGCCTTCTTCTCCTCCTCGTAGCGCTTGCGGTCAGTGGCAGCCTTGGCATCATAGGGCTTGCGCTCGGATTCGGTCAGGGCCTTCCACCTGTCACCAAGGCTCTTGCCGACCTGGCCTGGAGGGTTGTTAGTAACTATATACCCCAAAGAGCGCGACTGTAACCCGTCGCGACGGGGTGAAAGTCTTACCGAAGCTGATGCCGGGGTTCTCCTCGCGAACCTTGTCGCGGTTGTCGTTGGCGAAGAACATGTAGGCCGACAGAGCACGCTTGGGCGCGTTGGGGTCTGCGGGACCGAGTCAGTTGGGGGGGTTCCCAGGACTGCAGACGCGTCGGTCGCGTCCATTGCAGGTTGCGATTGACTTACCCTTCTTGCGGCGCTGGACCTTACCGCCAGTGGCGGCCTTGCGGGTGGACTTCTCCTTAGGCATGGTGACTGGGGATAGGTGGTTAGATTTGAGCAGATACCGAGCGCGACAGCGACCCGAAAACAAGGAGTGGGATTTGACGGGAATCAATGGCAGCGAATAACAGAAAGGAACAGACGAGGACGGGGGTCAACACAGCGGAGAGAGGAGTGGGAAGAGCGCGTGGTGCGCGTTGACGGCGGTCGCAAACCACGCGCCCACACGTCACGACCGGTCGCCAGCGGATAGATGAATGGAAAAAGCGCGCGAGAAATACTTACTTGAGTGGTTTGAGTAGATGAAAGATCTAGAGATCAAGCGCGAATTGAGCTAATGAAGAGCGCGGGCGTTGTTAGTCGATGGCTCTCGTACAAACAGGGCAAGACGACGAGATGGAAAAAAAGACAGGGTAATGACGTGAGAAAAAGAAGAGAGAAAAACAGAAAAGAAGGCAAAAGAAAGAGTGGTGGGTGGTTGGTGTTGAGAGAGAAGTGTTGAGAATATAGTATTGTAGTATACAGTACCTTTTTTTTTTGTATGGGGGGAAGATTGTATGGGAGAGTAGTAGTAGCAGTAGTAGAGAAGAGGGAGGGAGAGAGGGAGAGAGAGTGGGAGGGGGGACGGCCAGGTAGTAGGGAAAGCGTCGCACGGGAGAGGGGGACGCACAGGCAGTGTTTGCTGTGGTATGTGGTGTATTGGTATTACCGACTCTCCGCCGACAAATGGGGCGGGCAAATGGAGTGGTCATGGAGCGTGACCAGACCCGTACACGCCTACATCATTCTCACTGCCGTACGTTGGTGGAGCAGCACCCTGATTAATAAACCGCGCAGTCGTCCATGAACTAACTTAGTTATTACCAGTACCAAGAGTTCCGAGGAAAGGACTTGGGTGAAAGTTATATTATGATAGGATGATTCTGGAAGACAAAGAAGATTCTCATTATTATTATGATTATTATTGCCAACGGGGCATTCTGACTTTCATTCATGTGGAGGTGGGACAACCTGGAAGAAGGACGACTCGTCACAACGCCGTGAAAGACCAGACCTGCTAGCGCGGCAGACAATTTCAATGCCTCGAAGATTTCCGTCAGACCCCGTCAAAAGTACCGAGCTTTCGTCTGACCATGATCCGGGGTGTGGTTCAGCGTGGCGGACCTTACGCGCGTAACCGGCAAGTAGTGACTTGGTAAGGATTCCGTCCACTCCGCTTCAGACTTATGATTGAGGGGCAATATCATCGACGCAGGAATATATATATGATATCAAATGGTAGAATAGCTAATGAGCACGCCATTAGCTATACCGACTGGCATGCTCGGGAGGATAGCACATTCCGGTACATCGGCTCCCGCAGTGAACACGCGCTGTACGAGGTACCGCGTAAATTACCATGGCAGGAGTAATCCTCTTCACAATAATAATACATAATGCCTGTCAGCAAGCTGAAACTGCAGAGGCGAAGCGCCCTTACTCCCTGCAGAAACAAACAATAGTTAGTGTCCATAACCCGTACTAAAAATGATTTCCGTATGACTTGTTGTAAGATTGCTCCGTCATTGTGGATAGCAGTTGATCCAGAGTGATGAAGGCGTGGGTAAGCTTGCTGAACACGGCACAACCAAGTATTCTTTTTGCTAAAAGGCCGAGCACGCCCTCGCTACGCTCGATGGATCAGATCGCAATAAATAAACACCAGACGCCGTCTAATAATCCGTGGATAAACATGTCAATCATCACTCTCGTCCAGAACCAGCGCGCAAAGCGCGTCATCATCCGCCCAGTTCAGTCCGCTGCCCACAACCACCGCGCTGGCGATGTTCTTCATGGTCTCCCACTTGGCCTTGCGGGTCTTGAGATCGGCCTCCACGCTCTCCAGCTGGGACGCGAGATCCGCGTCCTGGAGTCTCTCGCGCCACGAAGAATCCTGCTTCGTGAGCTCGAGAAGTTGCCGCACCAGCTCCTGGTTCTCCTCATTGATCCGTAGATTGTCCACTTCCAGATTGAAGATCTGATTCAGCACCAGATCATGAGCCGAGGAGAGATTCTCGTGCGCAAGCGCCAATGCGTCGCGTCGATTCACCAGGCGGAGAAGCGTGCTGTAAACAAGACCGATGAGAACGCGATCCGACACATTGTAGATAGACGTACCGCTCAGCAGGAGTAGATGCTTTCAGGTGCACCGCTTTGAGGATGGGGTCCGTCATGAGAACGGTCTGCACGGCTTTCCTCCTGACCGTGTAGGTCGATCGCGCCTCGAGGAGCTCGCGCTCGGCGATGGCGAGCTGCTCCTCGGCATTGTCTCCGGAGAGAAACTGCGGTTCTAGATTGACAATCAGAAAAAAATGTACATTCTCCGGGATGATACTACTGATTCGTGGTACCTTGTTCGAGAAGCGCCTTCTCCAGGCGCTGGTCCTGGAGTTGGTGGTAGAGCTGCAGGATAGCGGCCTCCTTGTCGGCCAGCGTCACGGTGTCGCGTGGATCATCCGCGGCATACTCCAAGAGGGTCAGCTCCTGGGGGTGCAGATGTGTTACCGCCATACAGTCATGTGTGGAAGGAGTGTGATGACGATGATGATGGAGGCGGTGGATCATCACGAGATGCCCGAGCTCTTATCTCAGCCTGCCCTCTTTCCCTTCTCCCCTGTGTCTCCCTCAACAACAGACAAGCTCGGGGGCCCATGTCGTTGCACATTTATATTGCTCACTCCGGTGAGCATTTACTGGCCGACCCAGTGTCTTTTGCGTCGTATGTTCTCCCCTCTAGAGCTCGCTACCCCAGTTGCTGATACCATCTCCACACTTCGCAGTCCGGAAGCCTTGAAGACATGGATCGTTCGCAGCACTGCCATTCCACCTCCACGGCAAATATTGATGACTGCCCGGGGCAAGAATGTCAAGGTGCAAACGCTGGCCACCGAGAACGAGATCTTCGTCTACGACCGACAGTACGTGAGCGATCCAGCCGACTCCCAGCTGCCGGACCTTCCTCCGCCGGAATCCTTTCAGCCCAAAAGCCCTCCTGCAACTCTGACAGACCAAAATGACCTTCACGCATGGCGACAACTATACATGGCTCGGAGAAGCTGGGCATTAGATCTGTCGAACCGTTGCGGGTCCATCGATAAGAATACGCGCGAGCACAATGAGCGGACCGAGGTCATAAACCGCGCGGTGGGTGTGGCCCTGGAGAATCTCAAGTCGCATGTGGGCAATCTGGAACACCGGTTTCAAGAGGCGCAGGCGTGGGCGAATAATCTGCTGGAAGAACAACAAGCAGCTCTCGACGGTTGGCAGCGGGCTCTGACCACCCTCGAGAGCATCCCTGCTCGGGAAGACTTTCCTGTTCTCGGTCGTCCCTCCACGCCGAAGAAGGACAAGGACCGGCCCACGGGGACCTTGCGTGATTTCGTAGATGTGGCCGATGTCCACAGAGCTGGATCGGAGGCTGCAACCGTGTCCTCGCGTTTTGCGGGACAGGTTCGTGATATCGAGAAAGCAGTCAGCGACATTGCCGCGGACACACAGCGGCTAGTTGACGAAGCCTCTCCATATTCTACTGATGGGGTAGATGGCCTTCTTGAGGAGGTGGAGACCATCACCAAGAAGATCAGCTCGGACTACGAACACGTTCTCGGCCTTCCAAACAACCAGAAAGCCCTGGCGAATGTATCCAGGCTGGCCCTCAGCCATACGCAAGATCTATTACCATCTTTAATGGAGATCGGCACGGAGCTTCAAGCTGCTCTGGAGCAAGCTGTGCAGCGTCGCCGCGATGCACAAAAAGCCGCCCTGAAACATATGCGCGTCATCTCCTCTATAGAGTCTTGCCTCGCCGATGCACACACACAACTAGTCAACTTGGACGTGGAAAGCACTGCCTTTGACACAATCTACGCTGTCTTTCATATGCCCATGGTATATGGGTCCATTTTGATCGAATCTGTACGACGTCGAGAATGGAGTGATAAAATCAAGACCGATTCACTTACCTTGGCGGAAGAAATGGCCGTTTTACGAGACGAAGAGCAGCGTCGAAGGAAGAAATGGCTGAAAAGTATGGGTGATTTCATTGCTTTTGCCGATTCCTCCACGCCAGGAATCGAGGTGAACCTCCAAGGTCAGGATGAGGAATGGCCCGAGGTAACCCGGAAAGAGATCGAGACTTATATCGAAGACCTGAAGACCAAACACTCTATGAGCAACCTGGGAGAGGACCTTTCGCAGCAGTACAAGGATCTAGATGCGCCTACTCGCCAGCAAAGACGACGGGCGAAGGCGTTTAAAGAAGGGAGTGTCTTTGACTTGAGCCGAAGCTCCATGTTACTCCGCGGGGACGATATGGTCCGGAGCTTACAGGAAGAGAAGACAAAACTAGAGGAGAGACTGAGGGGCTCTGAAAGTCGAATCCGGAAGTTGGAAGACCTCCTTCATCGCCAGAGCCATCTGAGCCGTCCGTCGAGCGGTAACTTTGGTCCAGAGTTCCCCAGCTCGCCTGCCTCGCCACACCCGGATGCACTTTCAAGACGATCGTCTGTCTCGTCAAGGCGCGTTTCAGCTACTCAGTCCCCCGAAGACAAAGCACTTATCCAGCGTATCGTAAGCCTGGAGGCTGAGCTGGCTGGGGAGAAAGACACCGTGCAAAGACTTCACAAAGAAGCCCATGCCGAACGCCAGTCCAACTCCGACAAGTTCCAAGAGGCCCAGTCTACCAAAGAGGATCTTATCGGCAACCTTGAAGCCCGACAGCGCGAGTTCGAAGATGAGCGGAGATACTTGGAGGCGGAGCTGAAGAAGTTCAAGCTGCGCACAGAGGAGATGGAAGAGGAGTTGGATCGGCTGATGGACAGTCGAGAGCATGAAAAGCACGAGGCCGACGAGCGGATACACCAACTTGAGACCAGTCTGCAGACTGCGCACACCACCAGCGCTGACGAGGCACAAAAGGCCAACGAGCTGAACGAGCAGATTCGGGTTCAGCGAGAAAGAGCCGACACCCTTCAGGCGAAGATTGACGAGCTTGAACGCCAGGGAGCCGAGTTGGCACAAAGGGACCAGGAACATTACCATGCGCTACAAGCCGCATTCATGAACCTGTCACCGGGAGGCTCCATGCCGCCGGAGGTACCCAGCATCATCAAAGCCATCGAGGTCCTTTCCGAAGGCTTGTCTATCCACGCGAGGAGTGCAGAAGACAATGCGTCCAAAGCGGCGGCTGAAAATAAGACTCTCGAAAAAAGAATCGATCAATTGGAATCCGAGGCAGAACAGCAAGAGAAGGGCTCAGCCGATCGCGAGGAGGAATTGTCTCGGCTCACCGAACAGCTTTCATCTGCGAGGTCTAAGCTGGGTGCCGTGGAGGCAGAGGTGGACAGGGAACGCTCGAAATTCAAATCCCTGCAAAGTCAAATGGCGGCTGGCGAGAGCGGCTCAGATGCGCTTCGGGAACGACTTGCCGAGGAAGAACAAAGACAGGCGGACTTGTCACAAAAGCTGGCTGATATTGAATCCCAAGCTCAGAAATCGAAAGATGAGATAGAGGAATGGAAGCAGAAAGCTGGCTTTGCATCCGAAAGAGAGCAGCAGGCTGCCGCTCGGACTGAGGCCCGCGGACTCAGGTCCCAAGAGCTTTCAACGCAGCTTTTCTCGCAGATTGAGAAATTGGGACGAATGTTGGAGCAGCTGGGATTCGCCGTGATTCAGCAGGATGGTAGTCTCACCGTCCAACGAGCTTCCAAAGTCAATGCGTCTTCTTCAGGTCTTGGTGACAGTCTGACCCAGTCCGGCATCGTCTCAGTGAAACCCGATGCAGCACTTCTGGACTGGACACATGCCGAAAGCCCGGAAGATGAGGAGACCAGATTCAAAGCTTTCATGGAGTGCCTGTCTCAATTTGATGTTTCTGTCTTTGGCGATGTCGTCGTCAAACGCGTCAAAGACATCGAGGTGCTCGCCCGCAAATGGCAAAAAGAAGCTCGAGCTTACCGAGACAAATACCACCGGGTCCAAAGTGAAGCCCACGACAAAATTGCCTATCGAACCTTCAAAGAAGGGGACCTTGCACTCTTCCTCCCTACGCGGAACCAATCTATCCGCTCCTGGGCTGCTTTCAATGTCGGTGCACCGCACAATTTCCTCCGCGAGCTAGACAGCCACAAGCTCCAAAACCGCGACTGGTTGCTCGCGCGCATCACCAAGATCGAGGAGCGCGTCGTGGATCTCTCCAGGTCATTGAACGGTGTTGCGCCTGACCGCCGCTCTCTCGGGGGTGCCAGCGACGGTGCCTCATTGGACGATGAGAATCCGTTCGAATTGTCCGATGGTCTGCGCTGGTACCTGCTTGATGCCATTGAAGAGAAGCCCGGCGCCCCCGCTACTCCGGGTCTAGCCAAGAGCACCGTTGCATCTGCACACGTCGATGCCAAGGGCAGCATTCGCCTGAACCGGCCCACCAATGAAGGAACTGTCGCTAAAACACTCACCAAAAATCTGGATAGCCGGCGTAATAGTTCGAATTCCAAACGGGGACCTCCGACGCCTTCACAGCAGCCTGCCGATTCTGGAGCTGACCTCGTTCGATCTACCGACGCAGACGCCACCTCCGCGCCTCGAGAGGCCGCTCCGATCTTCGATGAGGTTCGCCGTGATCTACTTCAGGGCCCGTGAAAAGTAGGGAGATGAAAGGCTTTTTACGGGTCATTGAAAGAAAATTTTCAGATCGATCTGACTTTTGTTGTTTATATATAGAGCGAGCAACATATCCAAGATCATACGTCTACTTCAGCACCGACTTTGGTACCGACTCAGCAGCCGCAACTGGCTACATCCCCTTCATCTCCGTCATCGCGGTCGACGACCGATCGTCGACCCGGTGGCAGGTCGCGTCCTTGGGAGAAACTGTGGTCTCTCGACTATCGGGTTGAAAACAATGCACAGTAGTTCAGGAAAGTGTGACCTAACGGAGCAATCTATTGTTTGCGGCTTTTCTGTGAGAGGATATTCTGATACTGGGGACTAGAGAAATATTTTGACAGATGCTTGTGCATCATTCTGTGGATAGATATACCCAACAACGTGATTTTACTTTCTCATACACCACGGAACGGCTTAGTGAATCAAGCAAAACTCATCTACGAGGACAAAGCAAAATGAGACCAACCCGAAGAAACCAAGTCTATGATATATATAAAGAAAAAAGGCTAGAAATCAGTCAAGCAACTCAATCCCTTCCATCCCACCCAAGTCGTCCCAGAAGCGACTGAAATCTACATCCTCTTCCTCGAACATCTGCTTGGCCTGAAGCATAGCGGACCGCTGCCTCTCCGGCGTAAACCCGCCTGGCCGGGAGCTCTCCCACTGAATCAACTCGACCCAACGGAAGAACAGGTCCTCCTTCCCCATAGCCGACAACTTATCCTTGAACGCCAGAATCTGGTCCCGCTGCGCAGACCGCACCCGACCCGTAGGTGTATTCTCATCACCCACACGCCAAATCAGCCACCCGTCCGCATCAGTATGCACCAGAACAGCCGTGCGGAACTCATCCAGCTGCACGCCCTCGCCCCTGCGTGTCCGGTCAACCAGCTTATGCGCGCGGATCATGGCACTGTAATCCAGATTCCAGTCCGCGTCGACAAGCAAGTACCCCGTCTTGCTGATCCGCTCCGGCGTAACGGCCGCAACGATCTTATCGCGGTTCGCTTCGTCGTCCCGCATCCAGGTATTGCGTTTCAGCGCCTGGCTCCAGCTGCGAGCACTGCGGCGGACGATAATCTCCCGATCCCGAAAGCCCACCGTACTGCGCCAGTAGACGGGCCCGCACACGAACGTGATCGGCCAGGCCAGGAATAGCGTTACGAGGAAGTAATCGATGAGCACTACGCCTGTGCGCTTGAGGACAATCGCCGCCATCTGCATCCACGAGATGGTGGCCGTGTCGACGCTCATGGAGCTTTGGAGGCCGATCAGTGAGGCGAGGAGGGCTGGGTATACGCTGATTCCGACATAGACGCGGTAGGCGATCACGGCGCTGATGAGGGTGTTGATCGCCCATGGTACGATGAAGGTCTGTCGCTTGAGGTCTGTGGCTGTTGTGTCGATGTGCACGAGGTAAACTTCTTCGGGGGAGAGGGGCTCAACGAAGGGTTTGAGGATCGCGGGGACTTTAGTGAAGGGCGGGATTGGGCCGGATGAGGTTGAGCTGGGGGTAGAGGTGCCGGATGTGCCTGGCGTTGAGGCCGGCGTCCTGTCGCGCGTGGAGCGGCGGGAGGATTTCGTCATGGTTGAGGATGTGGTGGTGGGTGTGAGGGGAGCATGGAATCGGGGGTGGCTCGCGCCTATTATACCCGGTAGATGGATGTTGATATATCTATCGGGCAGGGTAGTGACCAAGGCAGATGAGCGAGTCAGCTGGAAAAAGGAAAGAAGATCAGATCATGAGCAACAAACACATTCCGCAGTGGAGGGCGCCTAACCACATTGGGTATGCCCCCCAAGCAAATGTACATATCCATTCATTCTTTCCGTCTCTCTCTCTCTGTCTCTAGTCTCCTTTTTAACTATCCCTTCTAGGCATACTCTGCCTCTGCCATGTCCCCCACGAGCAACCAGGTCTCGGCCCATTCCCGTCCCCCTCCCGCATCCCCCTTTGCCCGCGCCCGCCCAGACCCGGACTACGAGTTCGACCTCAGCACCTCCCACTTCCCATCGCCCTCGAAGCAGCATGGCACCACGCGTCCTCGGCACACTCTACGCACCGGAACTCTAGCAGGCGCGTATCGAGCCGCGTCGCGTCGCCCAGCCATGACAGACGAAGACCTCTTGCTCGCGGGAATGGCCTCCTCCAGTCCTCGGCGCAATCGCCAGGAGTTCATTCACGCCCTCTCCCCCTCGTCACAAACATCCAACCCCCCCGAAGAGCTCGTGGGCGTCTACAGAAGAATCGAAGAAGATGGCACATTGGCCGACTATGTACGCCCCGAGGAGGACTGGCCTGAACTCGCACAATATCCTGAGGCGCGTCCAGCCAGCACCCGCATCAGTCGCTCCACCTCGCGACCAAGGGAGAGGAACAGCGGGGTTTCTCGAGGAGATGGGCCCACGGTTTCGGATACAGGGTTTCACGATGATACCGGCGACAGTTTATTATCGCGCCGGAGAATCACAGAGATTACCAGGGACGAGCAGCGTCTCCGACGCGTCACGGGCACTGATTCCCCGGTCTTCAGTCGCGCACACACCGGGACACAAGCGGCGTTGACGGCGGACAATCTGCGACGCCGTGACGACGGGGATGATCATTCCCAGCTGCCGGACGAGGACGATGACCGTGGACCCTCGTTGAATCTGCCGTCTACCTGGGGCAGTCGGGCGTCCCGTCGACAGGAATGGCTCAGAAATGTCAGTTCACGCAATGCGCCGGAGCAACGAGATTCGGAAAGTATTCTGCCTCGGACCAGGACAACGGACGAGACAACCTACAAGCCTCTGCGTGCTTCACCTCGGTCATTAGAGCGAGGCAGCTTTCCGACAAGAAGCGCTCTTGGGGAACGCACCGCCAACCCTCTTGCGCAAGATGCGCAGGACGAAAAGACAGTGGACGAGCATACAAGCTCGGGTGAAGGCAACCCCATCCCCAACACGCCCATTGTGGTTTACAAAAATTCCGCATTCACCAAACCAAGTACTGTGAAACGAGATTCACAAGATCTGCTGCGGCGGCTATCAAGGACAGAAAGCCCCAAGCTAGATCAGCTCGCGACCCCGGATCCACCCAAGCTTTTCGAGAGACGCATCTACGACAAGACTCCCCGAGTCACCGGTGCATGGATCGATACGCCCGTGACCGAGCGGGTGACAGAAATACCGAAAGATCTTACAAAGGACATTCTTCCTAAGCCAGTTTTGGAGAAGGAGAAGGAGAAGGAGCCTACGCAGGAAGCAAAGTCATCCGGTAATGATGATATAAATCCAGGTAGAAAGGAATCACAACCCACGAAACGGTCGAGACCACCATTAGTTCGACCTAAACTACCGAAAAGTGCTTTGGAGACAGTCATGGAGGACTTCAACTCTGGGAAAGAGCCGCTTGATATGGGTGATGATACCATTAACTCTCTACAACTGATTCTGGATGACTCGGGGGAGCTGAAAACCGAAGAAGAAGACGACGCCGCGTACGAAAAGACCGTGCTCGAGAAACTCGAGCTTGCCAACGCCTCTGAGACGAAAGACTTGGCTGATATCGACCGACTGAATCAGAAACTGCTGTCGCTGAGGAAGAACATCAACGAAGTGAGGAAGGGGCTCGATGGTCTGGATGGTCAAGTCAAGCGAGAAAAACAACTCGAGTCGCAGTCGAAAAAGAACGGTCAGGCTATCCAAAGCGGCCACTCGTATCACGATGGCCGTGTCTACGCTGCCATCCCCCTGCCTCGATTGTGGGAACGACACCCCTTTTCCCGGCGTATCCAGCTTACCAAATTGGGGTTGGTCACTTTTGTCTCCCTCACATGGTATGTCATCGAGTGCATTATGTGCGAGCAGTACTGCCACCCCGTCATCTCCGACACCTGTGAAGGCTACTGTCTCCAGCCCGACGCTCCCCAATTCCCATGGGTGACCGTGACAATGCTGTGGCGCTGGTCCTATCTGTCTACCCTACTTGCGCCCTTAATTACAGTCATTGTGGCTATCTTCCGACTCGTAGCGCAATTGCTGCGTTTGTCTGATGGGTACGTCGATGATGCGCCGGCTCCGCTGGGGAATCTTGTCGGTGAGATTCGCATCAACGGTACCCCCGTCTCGTTCCCGTGGCTCTTGTCGCCTTCGGCACAGAATGTCGCATCGTTTGAGCAGCGCCAACCGCAACAGGTATGGACTGAGCGTAATGCGCCTCCTCCGGCGCGGGGAGAGGACGATCAGATCTCGATCGATGATGATGAATATCTTTGATTGCTAGGAGGGAATAACGGGTTTGCATTGCTCGGTGGTTTGTTTCTGGGGAAAGGTCTACCATCACGGATCCATGGAACCTACATCATTTGCATTTAACTCACATCAACTCGATAATATTGTGCGTATATCATGCATGTAAAGATATGAGCGATCCCTTCCCTGTCTACTTTGCTGTGATGTCATATGGTAGAACATCTACAGGTCCAGTTCTGTATGATATCATCAAGCCAACCCCGTACTATATCTGAAAGTCTTCCAAGCCACCCTCAACCCCCCCCAACAAACGATTTCTACTCTCACACAACCCAAAGCCTACCAGCCATGGCGCGTATATTCATCACCGGCTCCAGCGACGGCATCGGCCTAGCAGCAGCCAAAATCCTCTCTGAGCAAGGCCACACCGTGATCCTGCACGCGCGAAACCCAGACCGCGCAGCCAGCACGCGGAAAGCAGTTCCCAAAGCCTCTGCCGTACTAGTAGGCGACCTGCGCTCCATCTCCGAGACCAAGAGTCTCGCCCAAGAAGCCAACGCGCACAAACCCTTCGACACAGTAATCCACAACGCCGGTATCGGCTTCGGCACCACCTCCAGTACGGAGATAACAGCCGACAAAATCTCCGCCGTGTTCGCCGTGAACACTTTAGCGCCCTACATCCTCACCTGTCTAATGGACCGCCCCACATCCCGACTTCTGTACATGAGCTCAGACAGCCATTATGGCGGCGATGAGTCGCTGCGGAATGTGACCCAGTCTCATTCGTATAGCGATAGTAAATTGCACGATGTCATGCTCGCTAATGCGTTTGCGAGGCGCTGGGGTCAGCAGATCCAGGTTGTTAGCATGCATCCCGGCTGGGTGAGGACCAAGATGGGGGGCATGAGTGCGCCGGGAGGGATGGATAAGCCGGCGAAGGCTTTGGCGGAGTGGGCTGTTGGGAGTGGACAGTTGGCTGGGTTGAAGAGTGGGACTTTTTTTACAACGGGGGGTGCCCAGTCGGCGCATCCTGGTGCTGGGAATGTTGCGAAGCAGGAGGAGTTGTTGAGGGTCTGCGGGGAGGTTTCGGGGGTTGATGTTCCTGGTGGTCAGTAGAGTAGTATATAGTTGGCTATAAAAACGTCCCGCCTGCCCCGTATCGTGGATCAATCTTCTTCTTCTTTTAATACCGCTATGGTAGTGCACCAATTCACTAAGCATCTGTTGAAAAAAAAGAGCATCTAAACGCAATACGTATCTGTCTATTCGCACTGCAGTGACAATGATTCTAGTACATTAAGCGCTGGTTGCGTCTCTGTCTCTTGTGTGCATTTCAGAAGCCATTGCTTCTATCTCCTTCAGGATTTTCTGCTTCCAGATATAAGCTTCAAGCGCTTCAGCTTGACGCTCTCTGTGTTTCCGCCTTCGACGCAAGTTTTGGCGCCGGGTTCTGATGTCTTTGGCCTGGATATTTGCGCATCCTGGCGTGTGGGATGTATGGAGTTCCTCCAAGATGGAGCGTGTTAAACACCCCTCACCAATTAGAGGATCAACCATTAGATGCATGAATGTCTCTTTATCGCAGGCACGGTGACCGTTGTGTTTATCGACGGGCGACGGGCCATGATTGTGGGTGGCATTCAGAATGTTGACATGCCATTCTTGCAAGACTTGTTCCTGTTCAGATACCATCGCAGCCTTCTCTTTGCAGGAAATCTCGGCCAAAAATGCACATGCAATGAGAGGATTCACGCGGCGATCACAGTGGAGGTTGATAATGCCATTGTTAGACGACTTGGTTGTGGCGGCGAACCCGGATTCAAGCGCCCAGGCTTGTACAGCTTGCTCGGCGGCGCTGGCGGAGTCGAAGACTTCGAAGGAGGGGACCTTGGAGGTTAAATCCATGGAGTCACTGGTAGAACTCATGGTTGAACGGAGTAAATTTGAAGCTCGAAGTTGTGAAATGCAGACCTCTGCCCAAGAAAGTTGTATCTTGATTTCAAAATCTAAATGGTTTAACGTGTCTGTAATAATTGGAATGATGTTTGATAAGCTGACTTTGCGCTTCCTTGAACAGGAGTGTATGTAGTTGGTGTGGGTTTGGGGGAAGGTTTTAAGGGATGATATGGATTGGGAGATAGTGTCCGTACACTAACGCGTACACTAACGCGCACACTAACGCGTATCTACGCGACGCGGTAGAAACCCACCCTTTTTCAACTCAAGCATGGATTTCTTGATTCTCAGCGGGTTGCCCTCAGAGCTACTCGATCACATCGTAGTCCGAGTTGACGGCCGCAATTGTCTCAACTCCGCCTAACTTTTCTGGCCCTTAATAGCTTTGCGACCCGGCGGCTCTTAAGAAATATCTATATCCATATAGCCAGTCTCTCAGCAGAGCTCGTTCATCAAGAGCCAAGGAGATTTCAGGAACTTGTCGATAAATATGGCCATCTAGTGCGCGAGCTGCACGTCGATGGGACCAGGGGAGTCAATCAGCGCCCAACGACCAGGGATTCCGTTCGACCCGCAGCGGGCGCTAATGCGGCCCCTCCGCACCCTATTTCTTGGGTGGATACAGGGAAGTGCAAAACCAGCTTCACCGTTCTCCACTCATCTCTTGATTCGGGGGCCCACTTCAAAGACTTTGGCTTGAAAAATGGGTGCTGTTTAGTGGGGTGTGACATGTAATTTTTTTCGATGGCGTAGAACCTTCCATATCTAGTCAATGGCTCAGCCTTACCTCAGGCAACCACAACACAATAATAGGCTGCATGGTATCTGAAACCTAGTGGAACTTGGTGGTACTTCCCAATAGCACTAGAGGGCGATATAAATTCTACTTCTCTCCAAGGCCCTTCTTTTACAAAGAGATAAGAAAATAAAGGAAGGAACGAAAAAGGAAACTATTGGCACTTGCTATACACGAAATCGTATGAAAGAAACCAGCCCTGATGCGTACCCCAAGGCAAGCGAATTCCCATTAATCGCGGAACAGCTAGGCCGAAAGTCAGGAGGAAGCCATAGTACATTTTTGCCGTTTAGGTTTATCCACTGTTCTTGTTCAATGAAGATCGCCAGACTCGTATAGGTTGAAGTAGAAGCATGATTTTCGTGCCCGGACTGGATGTTGAGGGTGCCTGAGTTATTGATTAGATATGAACCATCTTGAGAAAATTCAAGTTTGCTGATAGTTCCATCCGTGTTCAAAATCTGCTGTAGGGCGCCCGTCGCCGAGTCCTAGAGCCGCACTGTGTTATCCTAGGAGCCGGACGCTAGCAGCCGGCTGTCGGGCAAGAAGGCTACCGAGTAAACCGTGTCGAAGACGTACGATGTTTCCTTGGATTTGCGAACTCCTACTGGCAGTTCATTCCACAGTATTCTGAATAGTATTCTGAACTGGCTCGCCCCCTAACCGATTTGACTAAAAAGGGCACGGCATTCATCTGGACTAAAGCCGCTAACGATGTATTTGAACTTTTCAAAAAGATTTTTACTACCGATCCCGTGCTTGTCCAATTTGACCCAGACCGAGAGACTGTTGTCGAAACCGATTCCTCAGGATATGTAACAGGGGGCGTACCATCACAAAATATGACCATGGAGGCTTGCTGAGGCCTTGCACGTACTTCTCTCGGAAAATCACACCAGCGGAGTGTAATTACGAGTTTCATGATAAAGAGTTGTTGGCAATCATAGCGTGTTTAAAGCAGTGGGAATCCGAATTAATCGGCACGAAAGAATTAACCATCCTGACTGACCATTGGAACCTTAAGCACTTTATGCAACTCCGACGACTGAATGAGAGACAGATGAGATGGGCTGATCCCTTTCACGCTTCAATTATAAGTTGCTGTACCAGCCCAGACGATTAACCGTGAGGCCAGACGCCCTATCGCGACGTTCGCAAGACATGCCTACCGGCACTGAAGATAAGAGAATAGCATATCGGTATAAGGTCTTAATAGATCCTAAGAGACTCCTGAGAAAAGGTCCCCCTAGAACGATGCTTGCTGAGGGCCGTCGGAGTAAGGATTCCAAGAACCCTTTTTTGAACGCCCTTATGACACTACATAACCCGGAACGCTTGCCTACCTCCAATGACGCCTGCGGATACTATCCACAAGGTCCCTTGATAGATAATGAATTACATGCCAATGCTATCCCGCTTACCGACAGAAAGGACTTCGTGTAATTACTCTCCATGCTCCTCATCCACACGGGCCCCTACCGAGCCTTGATCGGAACTCTGCCGCTGATCTCCACAAAATCGAAAATATTTGCTGTAGTGATAACCAGCAACTGGCTGGCTCCTAGGACATTTTTAACCATGGTACGTATTGTAGCATATATACAGGCAGTCGTTGATAGGGTTTCAGAATGGGGCCATGGGCGGCTGCTGCTGCGCAGACGTGATATTAGAGATATCCGAAGTAACCATAATTGTACATGTAATGCTCAGGTGAGCGGAATAGAGAGATGAAACTTACGATGATTAACTCCTCCTCGCTGTCCATCTCGGCGGTCCTCCTCGTCACCGTGATGTTCCTCGTTACGGCGATGCCGTTCCATTTTTCGACATTGGCTTTTTGCAGCTTTGAAGGGGTCGATATGGAAGTCAGGGTGTCGAGCTGCCACCCGCCGGCTATGGCACTAGACGCGGCATTGTTTGTAGAGCGCGACCGCTGGGTCGAGCTCGAAATCTTGGCGTTGATGAGGCCGTAGATGGGCGGAGCGTTGGCGACGAAGGCGGAGAAGAAGAGCTCGATGTTGGCGATGTTGTGGGAGGCGCCCGAGCGCTGGTAATTAGTGACGTTCATGATCAGGCGCGTCATGGTAACGGCGACGATGGCGAGGCCAACGAGGAAGAGGCCGATAAGGCGAAGGCGCGCGAGCCAGGGGCGGTTGATTTTGGACAGATAGTGGAGGGGCAGGATCATGAGCATCACGTCGGTGACAATCTCGAGGATGCAGAAGACGAAGAGCTGGATGTTGCCGGCACCGCATTTGCCTAATTAAAGGGGCAGGTCAGCATATGGTCAGAGGGGACTCGGTAAAAGGACGAAGAAATGATGGCGCATTTGCGGAGACGAAGACTACCGCATCTCTGTGTCGTTGACTGGCGTGTTGCAACAACTTGGTGCCACGAAGAGAAACCGACATCCCTCCCTCTCCATTGGCATGCTCTGGCTGGTTTTCGACGGGGGTTGTCTTACCTGGATCAGGGACAACCTGCCAGTACAGCTGGAAAGGGTGACACTCGGTGAAGCAGGAGACGATGGAGCCGAGAAAGGTTACTCCCAGAATAGCCCAGTAGGCCTGCAAGAACCTATGCGATTTGGTGCCTCGGAACAGCTGTTGCACAATGCACATGACGACGCACTTCTGTAACCAGACACTTGTTCAAGTCAGTGACAAGGTCTTCCTCCCAATCGCTGATTCGGACCAAAGCTCAAGAGCATGAGAACGCATAAATGGAAAGCGGAAAGTGCAAATACATACTACACGGTATAAAAGACCCGGTTGACCATGGTCAGCTTTGAGCCCACCTTGAGACGGTAGATGTCCTGCGAGGTGAAGGTGGTCGTCGCCCTGTTCTTGACTTGGTTGTCGCCCCAGACCATAGGGACATTCTCGACGGAGGAGCGCAGCAGGAGAGTGACAATAGCGGCCATGGTGCAGTAGTCGCCCATGTCAAACCTCCGCCGCTTGCCGACGTTCATTATCAGCCGAAAGGCCATGATGGCCACGCTTGCGCCCGTCAGGGCCCACATGATGATGATCTCCTGCGTGAGGAGACTCATGGCGGCTAATTAGCTGAAGGAGTGTCGAGGTGGATGTGTGCTTCACCCGTCCGGATCCCCATGTGTTCGCGGCGGTAATCACAGCAGGGTTTAGTCATTTATATCAGTGGGGCGAAAGTAGAAGCCGGAGATGCGAAGCAGTGCGACCGGGGGTGGTATTCTGTGTTGGTGGACATGGGGAAGCATGGGAGTTTCCTCCGGGAAAAAGCCGAGTCTAGACTCTGCAGGGACTCTTGTCTATATGTTGTGCCTGTATTCCTAGCTATTCTCTAGCATCAGCCCGGGGATAGTATGCTCTGTGGTTCTACACGTGGTTTTTCTTACTTATCGGCTACAATATAAAGTATGCTTGCCCTGCTTGTCCTACTTGTCCTTGACAATGATTTCAGCAATACAAACTGGTACTAACTATCTAGCCTAGTCTATTTGTGCAGAGAGACGTATGGGCGAGAAGAAAACCGTGGGATATCAACGACTGACATGTCGGCTAAGCGAGCAGCCTATGTGGTGGAATTACTTGACAATATCCGAGGCGCCTCTGCTGTTTCGATCCCCTTGTTCCCCCGTCCTCCCATCTTTTGGAAGGTGAGCTTTCAGGGGCGCGTAGCATCGAGTCCCAAAAGCGGAAATACCCATATTGTTAGGTTTGCCCCTGAACCCTGCAACCCGTACGTCGGACATTACTGGACTGCAGGTTGTGAATCCCTCGCGCTACTAGCGCACTTTCCCTCTAACCTGAGATAGTTACTGTACTTATATTTGTTGTTACTAATAATAGGATTTCTTTTTCCTCCGTAGGTCTCTTTACCTAAAGAAAGAAGATATGGAGAGTTGATCTAGGGTCCAGGTCTGGGAAGCGAGCTTTCGAAAGAACTTGGAGGGAAGTCATGGAGTCTGTGAAGGGAATTGAAACAGCGCGGCGCTATTAAATCGGTTGAAGCGGGGCGGGCCAATACGCATCGGTCGATCCGGGCGATCCAAACCGAGTCCGTCTCCCGTCTCCGGCGCTCCGCGCAAACTAAGACGGCGTGGCGACGCTAAAGAGAAGCCAGCCGGTGCAAGGTGGCGGGGCGACCATGTTCTAATGTCAGCGCATGGGAGACGATGTAACCGCGCCCTGCATGCATTCGAGACGCTAACGCTCCGGCGTGCTAGAACAGCCTTTGGCACAGTGGAGATGCCTCAATTGTCCCTCCCTCCATCCTGTATCCGTACGCTGCCGTGTTCCGCGGGTAGCAAGATGAACACCCTTTGCCCATGGTGGGAGTGGAGAAAGGATTGCCAGGAGACGGCTCGACACGCTTCGAGGAAAGGGTCACTAGCTAATTAACCAACGCCGGCTCTCCTCACCCCCGCCCCCCTTGTAAATATATCGTTGGTCCTAGATGGGGAAGGAGGCACGCGATACTGGAAGGGGTAGCGCGAACCCCCGCAAACTGGGATCCGCATAACGTTCTATCTCCACGAGTCGATAGTTGTGGACCATTGGGAAACGCAAGGCAGGCCAAGCAAGAGCCCGGGATCCCTTCGCCACGTTTTGACAAGACAAGACAGTCATCCCCTGATCGAGCGATTTAGTAACTGACATCGGTGTTGCCCTCCCCTCCGTTTTCCTAGCCCCATATAAGGCTACTACCCTCCTCTGCCCCAATTTTGCTTCCTTTCACTCCTTTTAGTCTATATATCAACCACCCTCTGTCCTCTACCTTTTCTTCTTTGTGGACTGCAGTGTTCGAAATATTGCTGCCATGATGCGGTCCCTCGCGCAGCTCAAGGCCCTCGTGGTGCCTCTGCTCGCGCTGTGTGCGCAGGTCAGCGCGAAGCACGACACGATGGTCAACTCGCAGATACGCCTCGCGTACGTGGGAGACACCGCCATGAGGGTATCGTGGAGCACCTTCGACAAGGTCGACCGTCCCGTCGTATTCTACGGAAAGACGCCTTCTGCCCTAGTCCACGCCGCCTCGTCCGACGAGTCCGTCACCTACAACACCTCGTCGGTCTACGCCAACCATGTGACCATTGAAGGACTGGAGCCGGACACTGTCTACTACTACTCCCTGCCGCAGCATCTTATTTACGACAATGAGGCCCACGCCCAGCCTCCTTTCAGCTTCCGCACCAGCAGGTCCCCCGGGGATATGACGCCCTACTCGGTCGCGGTGGTCATCGACATGGGCACTATGGGACACAATGGATTGACCACCTCCGCCGGCCAGGGTGTGAATCCCAACAACATCCTCCGGCCTGGCGAACAAAACACCATCCAGTCCCTCGACGCGGTCAAGGATGACTACGAATTCATCTTCTACCGTACGTTCACGCCCACGCGCTTATACCGCGTTTTCCTAAGCAACTAAACCTTTTCACTAACCTCGCCTTGCGCGCGCGCACACAGCCGGCGACTTCGCCTATGCCGACGATTGGCTCGATGAGGAGTCTGAGGGCTTCCTGCCGAACACCACCATTCAGGAGGGCTATGAGGTCTATCAGTCTATCAACAACGACTTCTACGACGAGATGACGAAAATCTCCACCGTCAAGCCCTGGATGGTCGGCGCCGGCAATCACGAGGCCAGCTGCATCCCGGACGGCGTCGAGACCTACAACGGCATCTCCTACAACGCCAGCCTCATCTGCCAGCCCGGCCTCACCAACTTCACCGGCTATAGGAACCACTGGCGCATGCCATTCGACGTGTCCGGCGGCCAGGGCAACTTCTGGTACAGCTTCGACAACGGCATGGTCCACTGGATTATGCTGGACACGGAGACTGACCTGGGCGATGGCTTTATCGGGCCGGACCAGACAGGCGGCGTCGAGAAGGATATTGCAGGCCCCTTTGGACCCTACGCTAACGCGCAGCTCGACTGGCTGAAAAAGGACCTCGCCTCGGTTGACCGCACTATAACACCGTGGATCATCGTCGGCGGCCACCGCCCCTGGTACCTTTCGTACGCCAACCAGTCCACCACCATCTGCTGGGACTGCAAGGACGTCTTCGAGCCCCTGTTTCTCGAGTACGCCGTCGACCTCTACCTGTCGGGCCATGCGCACTTCTACCAGCGCTCTGCCCCGCTCAACAACAGCGTCATCGACCCCAGAGAGCTCGATAACCCGACCTCTCCCTGGTACATCACCAACGGCGCCGCCGGTCACTACGATGGCCTCAGCGAAGGCACCAACCCACCAGCACCCTACGAGCGCTTCCGACTCGACGAGAGGAATGCCACCTACGGCTGGTCCAAGCTTACTTTCCATAACAGAACCCACCTGACCCACCAGTTTGTCGCTTCGGGCAACGGCAGCATCCTGGACACTGCTACCCTCTACAAGGAGCACTAGCAGTGAGACTGTCGGGTTTCTCAAACGTCCCGGAGAAATGTCCTCAATCGTTCTTTTCCTGTGTATTATATAGAGACTTGAGTACTACATAGATAATCACCCTACTGTGCAGGTATTAATGAACGGTCGTAAGAAAGTTGTCTTAATTTGTGTCACAATAATCTAACTGGAAGAATTAGAATGTCTCGCCTGAAATATTGAACATTTAAACAATCTCCTCCCGCTAATAGCCACTTGCAATGGCGGGGTGAGGGGATGTAGAGAGATGGAATCGTTTGGATCTAGACGTTTGTAATTTTGACCAGAAAATCCACCAAGGGCTGTAGACTTTCATGGCACAAGAGAGCTTTCATTATGCTTCGCGTAATATCTTGTTGAGTGTTCGTTCTTCTGTCGCAATTTGGAGATAGGCATGAAGGCGGGAACACAAGCAGCAATGATACTACTGGAGAGCTTGAGGATAGTTGTCTTTCAAGGATAGTGCCTAGGGCTAAACATCTCACTACTACATGTAGCGGGGGTGCCCAATGTTAGATGTTATTATATTGAGTAGCGCCGGACGTCAAGATGAACTCCCTGGAATGGCAAGGCTTGCACGAGATGTTCTTTCTATTCCAGCTAGTAGTATAAGAGTAGAGCGGCTTTTCAACTCTACACGAGATATCTGTCATTATCGCCGAGGCTCTCTACAGCCTCAAACGATCTCGGATCTTATGATGTATATGTGTACATCACGGTTCGAGATTCATGAAGAGGAGCGAATAATGCTCTCTGAATATCTTTCGGCTCAGGAGATACAGGCTGCAAAGGAAGAGAGAACATAGCAACAAATCACCGTTGTTCCAATTAGTGATGATGAAGAGGCTGAAGGGCCTTCTACAGAGCTCCCGAGTTCAAGTAACTTTACAGCTCCGAGCAACCTCGCATACCATAGCAATTTCACATGGCCCATCTGCAAAGGCACTTGGCAAAAGACGCCTAAGGAATATAGCTGAGGATGCGGAAAGTGATCAGGAGGATGATAGTGAAGTGACGTCTCTGCCAGAGATATAGCACCGAGAGTCAAGTAGACTTCGCAAGCGTTCAAGGTTGCTTGATGGATATGAGACGTAGAACATGCATTTTAATCTGTTTAATTCATCTGTTTAATTCATTTTGATTCAATGCTTTTAGGTTGATTAAAGCTAACAAAGTAGACCTACAAATGCTCTAAGTGAGATACTCTAAATACCGCTTAAATCTACAGAATTCATGCACCTCGTGAACTGCCGATGTTTGCATTGTTTTACGACCCTGAGGGTCGGGTCGTGGCGAGGTCTATAAAGCAGAGTGCTCATGACGTGATGTACAAAGGTCCATTTAGACGTACCCATTTTTAAAGCTAGCGTCTTGGCGGTGGGGCCCAGAAAGAATGAAAGTGTGTAAATTGGTGAAGCTGGTTTTGCACTTCTCTGTACGATCTAGCTAGCTGCCCATTCTCTGTAGACAACAAGAAGACATACAAAAAAAGAAAAAGACTAGCAGCAGCCGGATCAAACCCAGGCATTAGCAAACAGAATTGGGGATATCTCTTCGCAAGGGACTTTCCTGCCCGCATAGTCCATGCGACATCGGGAGAGGAGGAGCGTCCTCAGTCCTACTACTATCGGGGCACAGGGCGGCTGTCTCTTACAGTAGATGTAGGAATCACTGTGGATTTTGCTATAACTCCTTCCTCTATATTGCATAACGGATACTACTTCGTACCAACAGCTCCAATAATATCTGAAAAAGAAGAAATTGATTATGGAAACAATGCACTGGTGGACATCCACGGCGTTAGAGTATCATAAATCTATGTACGAATATATGCTTATATCATGCATCATGTATGTACAAGACATCGCAGAACAAACCCTTACAAGCGCGCTCTCTCCCGCCACTCGCGCTGCAACTCCTTCTCCGCCTCCATCCTCCACGCCGCAGTCCTGCGCATCCGGTCTTTGACCTCCTCATCGCTCACCTCACAGGCTTGGTCGAGCGGGATCTCGCGCGAGGACTTGAGCTGAAATCCGTAGTAAGTAAGTGTACCCGTCGAGGCAACACTGCCAGTCCCAGCATCGCGACAGAACTCCGACAGATTCTCAAAGAATCGCTTGCCCGTCGGAGTGGAGATCATGAGAAAGCCGTGGCAGTGCGGCATACCCTCGAATTGCTCAGCGACGACAGGCACACCGGCTTGATGGAGGCGGCGTGCCATGATCAAGTCTTCGTCCGTAAGGCCTTCTTCACCAGTTGAGATGAAGACGGGCGGAGCGTCCTTCCAGAGCTCGGGACTGGCAGCCAACGGCGAGGCGAGCGGGTGCAACGCCATGTTGGCGTGGACGTACATGTCGACGCGGGGCGGAGCGACGGGCCATATGCCGTCGGGCGGGAAGGGAAGTGGCGAGAAAGGGGTTTTCTCGGCGACTTCATCTTCGGGGGTTGGAACGGGCGCGTCCATGTAGTCGAATTTGGCGTTCCGGTGGAGGGACGGCATCGAGCGCGTGATATCGCACCACGGCGAGATGGTCGCTACTCCGGCCGGCAGCTCCACGGCGACTTCTTGGCCATGAAAACGAATTGGTCGTGCTGCTCGCTTGAGTGTGAGAAGCGTCTGCAGGAGGACTAGAGACAGATTTCCGCCCGCGGAGTCGCCGGCCAGCACGATCTTGTTGGCGGGCACAGGCTTGTGCAGTGCGCCCGGGGGTGGGTGGATGAGCGACAGGTACGCGGTCATGGCGTCCACGAGGGCAGCAGGGAAAGGGTTCTGCGGCGCAAGACGATATCGCACTGAAAGCACTGGGGCACCCGTTAGACGAGACAGCCTTGCACAAGGGACTCGGTGCGTGCAGGGATCCATTAAGCTGTGTTGAAGCAGAGTAAGCATGTGCATAGGTTGCGAAACACGCCGGCCTCAATACTCACAAGTATGCGCCTCCATGGAAATACAACACCGTCGTATCAGACGGCGCCTCTTTGCGCAGTTCGCGATATTTCTCCTCCTCCGAGACGTCCGGCAGCGGTTCGCGTTTTCCCACGCCACTGCGATACCCAGTCCACTCAGCTTCGACTGCCGCGATACCAGGGACGTCGAAGGTGCCTTCACTCCCATTCAAGTCCTCAACGGCGCGCAGGACCGCATCGCGCACGTCGAACTCAGGCTCTGGCAGGGTGACCTTGGACACCCACATGGGACCCTGAATGCCGGGGTCGCGCATGCTATCTTTCTGGGCCTTTGTCAGCGGCGTGCTGAAGGTGATGAATGAGCGGATAATAGCGACGGTCAGTTCGGTGCGCAGGTCCTGTTTGCCTGTCACGGGAGACATGCGGATGGCATTCAGGAAGGCCGTCCTGAGGACCAAGGGGATGCGCACGAGCAGCGCCTTGAAAAGCGCAAGTGGGCGCTTGAGGGAGCTCATGGTGGCAGCGCGAGAGCTGGCTGGGCGCTCGGTGGGACGCTCGGGGGTTGTGCTGCTGTACAAATAACCCACGCGCAAACCGGATATGGGTCAGGGCCATGGCGTCACTTGCCGAGGTCCGCCTGGCGATGCATATGTGGAGCTCTCATAGGGTTACACAACAAACGCCTTATTGACTGATTGATGGGTCTTATTTCTACGTTTTTACAAAGTAGAGTATATCCACACGGTGCGGTATGTACTGCACTCGCCGACGCCAACTATAGAAATCCCATCTTTTCACAGAAACGCCATCCAAACTCATTCCCATGCAACCGACTCCGGAATTTATGTAGAGTCCGATTTCTCCGCATCGACCCTCTGCGCTTGCTCCGGACCAGCCGGGCCAGCGCTACGAGGGGTGAGTTCCTTCTGGTATATAGACTGCTCCCCATCCTGGAGCCCCGAGCCCGAGGGATCCCGTCGCATCAAGAAGCCCTGGACACGAGCATCGTTCGAGTCCATCTGGTGAACGGTGTTGTGCCGGCGGCCGATCAGGAGACGCGTAGACTGCTCATTGACCTCCTGAAGCCGCTGCTCATAGCCATTGTTCACATGCCCGATCCACGACGCATTCACAGCACCCCCGAACAAGAGAAGCAGGACGACGAGCCGGGTGAAGGTACGGTGGTCGACAAGATGCCGCTGCGGGCCCTGATCACGATTACGCCAACGCTCCCAGTCCTCCCATGTCGCGTTGGCGTAGATTGTCGATCCGTACGGTCCCCACTCTGCCGTCGCTTCGGCGACTGTGTTGTATCTTTTCGGCCCGTGGACCCAGCCCGTACCGTGCAGGTCGTAGGCGGCTCGTTTGCTAGGATCGGAGAGAATTTCGTGGGCTGCAACGATAATTCGATATCGTTGCAGTCTGACTTCAGGGGTCAGCTCCCTCGAGAGAGGGTCGTTGCAGGATCGGTCCGGATGGTAGATCTTGACCAAGTCATAGTATCGGTTCTTCGAGTATGAGGCATCGCGCTGCAGATTGAACACGTCGTATGGAGTAAATGATGTAGCGGTCGGCCATGAGTACTCTCTGCTCGGGAAGTCTGACGTAGTAGCATACTTCCTGCGTCTCATTCCAGGGAGGCAAGAGGGTGACACGGCCGAGGTTAGAGAGTTCAGTAACTGCAACCCCCCGCAACAGAGTATATTGGATTTCTTGAACATAGCCACATGGTTTTGATCCAGAGAGCCCGGGCTTCTCTGGGACAAGAAGTGATGTGTGCTGACGGAAGAGAAAGAGAGAGATAGCGAGGACCCCCGCCAAAGTCATGAGAGGGTCACGTGTGCGGCAGATAAATTTCCCCAAGTGCTTCAATTCCAACTGCTGTTTTTCACCAGGAAACAATGGCCTCATCACGCGACGCCCGTGACCAGCGCTCACTGTCCGACTCCCCAGATCGAGACCGCGATCGGCGACGAGTTCCCCGCAAGGACGACCACCACAAGAGCTCCCGCCATCGAGAGGACGACCGCCGGAGCTCCCGTCGAGACAGCTCTCGGCGACGCTCGTCCCGCAGTCCACGCAGGGAGCGGGACCGTCACCGGCGAGAACACAAGGACGGCTCTACAGACGAGCGAAGACATAGACACCGCAGCCACCGTCACCGCGACAGACGCGAGCACGACGATGAGGAACGGCCATCAAAGAGACCTCGCAGTCCACGCTCGCGTTCTCCTCGACGATCACGCAGTCCGCCGCCACCACAACCTCTCCAACGACGTGGCCCATTGCCCTCACAATCTGACGCATTCACCGCAACAGACGGGGCCTCGGACGCACCACCAGCCCCCGAAATACAAAAGCCCAATTTCAGCAACACCGGCCGGCTCGCGGCTGAAAGCAACACGGTGCAGGTCCAGGGCGGCCAGGGAGTTGTCCTGAAGTATCACGAACCTCCAGAGGCTCGCAAGCCCCCTCCAAAAGAGGCCTGGCGACTCTATGTGTTCAAGGGCGAAGATCTATTGGAGATGGTGGAGCTGGGAGAGCGCAGCTGCTGGCTGATCGGGCGGGAGCGCGTAATCGTTGATTTTCCGCTGGACCACCCCAGCTGCTCGAAGCAGCATGCCGCGCTGCAGTTCCGGTTTGTCGAGAAACGGAATGAATTCGGGGACCGTATCGGCAAGGTCAAGCCGTATCTTATCGATCTAGAGAGTGCGAATGGGTCGAGCGTCAATGGGGAACCTATCCCGGCGGGCCGCTATGTGGAGGTCATGGATAAGGACGTGCTACGGTTTGGTCTGAGCTCGCGCGAGTACGTGATGATGCTGCCTCCGAGCTGAACTGTCTGCGGGATAGAGATTGACGAACGACAATACACGGCTTGCATATTACAAACTCAAGAAATGTACACAAACTTGTCCGGGAACACACATCCATTCGACCTAGCTAGGTCGCTACGCCCCCTTGACCTTCCCTGCAGCTTCGTGCGCTTTCCCCTTGGCCTCGCCTAGCACCTCCTCCGTTTTTCCCTTGGCCTCGCCCATCGCCTCCGCTGCCTTTCCTTTGCCGTGTCCGGCATACTCGGCCGCCTCGCCCTTCATTTCCTGTGACTTGGTCTTGGCCTCTTGGGTGGTCGCACCAACGGCGTTCTTGAGTTTGTCGCGCGCCTCCTCTGGATTAGTGAAGCTGTCAGCACACTGTCCGTCTATGGTTGTTATGGACTTGAAGACCTACCGCCTTTATTCAGACCCTTGACTGCCGCATCAGACACAGTCCGATCCGCCTTCTTGAGAGTATCTTTGGTCGCCTCGACAGGGCCCTTGCTCCTCATAGCAGTGGATGAAATGGTCCGAGTAGCCAGGAAAGCCGACGTGGGCGCGGGCATTGCCACACGGGATTTCATCAGAGCGAAGCGTACAGCCGACATGTTGGATTGTTATGGTTGGTATTGTTAAATACTTAGAGGAATGGCACTCTTGGTTGTAATGTTTAAATTGAAATCTTCAAAAGCTATCATTGCTTAAATGTCTGGTTTTATAGTAAATCTAATCTGAGGATCATTCTTCCTTGTCTTGTTGACGTCATCAGCAGCGCATTTCTTACGTCGATTCGCGCTTAGTCCGGGGTCCACATATCTGAGAGAACCTAGTTTTTGGGCAGGTTTCTTGATCCAGGCTAGATTTTAGGAAGCAGGTTTTGGGCATAGTGGATTTTCTTTTTGTGAAGGCGATGCTTTTATTAGGGTTTGATGTAGTGAGGACATCAGCTCCTAACTGAACTTGTTGCTAGGGCTTCGTTTTGAAGTTGTTATTTCATTAATTAGTGCTCACTTGCATAATAATCATTACTATTATCAACTCTACTTTTCAGTTTGCTTTTGTTCTACAAAACATCACCAGAGTAGTATACCACCGATGCAAGCATCTCCAAGAGTATACTCATTCGTCGAACAACCGAAAAGAACAATAAGAGAGAACAAATAATTAGTGATGAAGAAAAAGGCCCTGCAACGCCAACATGATCCTCAATGCAATGCAATGCACCGCCCATGCATATAAACCCAAGCCCCATCGGAATACTTCACTGTGATTGTTTGCGCTCAACCGATTTCCTCCTAATTCAACGTACCAACGCGGATCCAATCCGCATCCCATCCGGACCCCGTCCCTATACCTCACTATGAACCCCCTAGCCTAAGCACCGCTCCATAACATAACATTCTAGACCCCATCCGGACCACACTGTAAAACCATTTCGAACGAGCTCCGCTCCACACGACATGAACCTCATCTTTCAACAACATACAACTTCTTTCTTCTCTGGACACTTCTATCTAAATGTGAGAATCCACGGCGATGTTCGCCTGGGATGGAGGTAACTCCATGAATCATTTCCATGCAAATTTCAGAGCAAAGCAACATAAGGCAAGGCAAGGCAAAAGAACAAATGCAAATGCAAAAGTGTCAACCAATTGGAAACATGAAAGAGAGAAGGGGGAGAAGGGGGGGACAGGGGGTATAGTCGCAGGTGTATACCCAACAAGGATAATCAAGAAACAAGAAAGAAAGAGAGACAGGTCCTAGAAGCGCACACCCAGACCCTCATAATCTGGACGCGGAGGAGAACTGCCACTGCGAGCGCGCCTGCCATGCACTTCCAGCGCAGGTGCAGGGGCATGAAGATGTTCACCACTCTGGACCAGAGGACCAGACAGATTGGGATGATAGAGTCGATAGGTGGGGGCATGGCGCGGAGTCTGCAGACGGCCTTGTTCCATCAGTCTATGGCGTGCATCACGGACGTCGACGCGGTGTCCGCCGAACTGCAGCAGCTGCGCGGGTTCCATGTCAGGGTTCCAGCCCAGGTCAACGCTCTTCAGTCGCTCGTCCACTGAGCCCAGTCGGGGAATTAGTGGCGGTTGGTGGGTAGGGAAGGCAATGTCTGATTGCAAAGCGCTCCCTCCTACCAGTGGATATTCGGCGGCCCAGCCGCCGGTTCCGGAGAGAAGTTGGTGCTGGGGTGCTGAGGAGGCAGTAGAGGGTATCGAGTCGCTGGAGACTCCAAAGGACGACGGCTGCGGTGAGAAGCGAGGTGGGTATCTGACTGGCTCGGTGGCCCAGGACTGGTGTGAGTATCCAGAGCCAGCTCGGGCGAGTGGCTCGGGTGCAGGTCGTTCAGGAATATTGCCGATAGAGTTGGAAGAAGTGGAGAGAGGTGCCGCGCCAGGCATGATAGCGGACGGGTGCGGGATAGGAACGATTGTCGTCGCAGAAGAGGCACCGGACATGGGGACTTGTTGGAGTTGTTGAAGTTGTCTCCTGTGAGTCGGCATACTGACAGCAATGTCCTCTTCGTATGGAAGTGGTGGTGGATATGGAAGAAGAGATGGTACGCTGGCGGACAAATCTCGAATAGCTTCAACGGGCGCGAGCGATCCACGGCGGGAATTAAGTCTTGATCCCGGTGCAGTGTGCAAGTCCAAGCCGGCCAGGGGGTACTTGTGGAGGTCGTAATAGCCTGGCTCACTGTAGGTCGACCGGTCCATCGCTCCATCATGCCCCTCCAACTCGTAAGAGGTCACCTCGTGGGACAGCGGAGATGCAAATGGGTTGCTATTCAGAGACTCTGCAGATGGTTGCATCTGTAGTCCAGGCTGCGTCTGCAGCCCATGAGCTGCAGGCACTGATGCCGGTCGTCGTACCAGTAGCTCACCTTCCAACATACGCCGAGCAGCCACAGTCGCATAAGTGGGTGTGTTCTCTTTCTGTACCGGTTTGGGGGTCGTCGCGCTTGATCCCGGGGTATCGGAAGTCAGCTGAGAGCTACTCAACCGACGGCGAACAGCATCTAGTGCCTGTTCCGCTGCAGAAGCCAAAACTGTAGAGTTACCTCCATTTTCACTGAGAACCGGCGTGCGACTTGATGATCCTCGTCCATGGACAGAAGAAACTTTGACCAGTGGAGTCACAAGTTTGGTGCCTCGAGGTCGTCGAGGATCTCTGGCTCGTCGCCTCGGCTGTCTTTCCTGATGTCTTTCCTGTTGCCTTTCCTGCTGCCTTTCCTTGAAAGTCCTAGCCCTTTCATGCCGCTTAATGACTTTCCATTCACCTTCGTCCAATGGAACAGGAGGGCTCGAAGATGACGGAGACTGTTTGGCCCGTTCGGTGGTCTGGCTGGCTTGTGAAAGCGACGGGGAGATTTTTGGCGGCGGCTTGGTCTCTTGGTCCGTTTCGTACCCATCTTCTGATTCGTAACCTGCCTGCCTGAAGATATGCGGCGGGAACAGCTCCAGCCTAAAACGCGGAGGCGGCACCGCCATCTCCTCTGGAGACTCCGCGCGAGGCGAACCCAGCTCATTCCAGTTAAAGGTCGATTTGCGGGATAGCCCCTCGTCTGCTGACGAAGAGTCGGGGATCGACGATGAAGAGCTGCTCGACCGGTCAAAGACCGACCTTTGGTTCCTGACTGCCTGATGTGAGGAACTGGGAGAGTTGACATCAATCTCGTTGCTGATGCTCTTCACAAGTTGCCGCAAATTCTCCCGCGCCTCACGAAGGACCGGCGGGTACGAAGCCCCAGGTGACTTCTTGGGGAATAGCTCAGTCAGACGGGAGGCGTGAGTTTCGTACTCGCGATAGTCTCGCACAAGGCCGCAGTCGTGGTAGTGAGCCATCTTTTCCTTGGCACCTTCATAGGATTTACACAGGAAACGGGCAGTAACAATCAACCAGGAATCGTAGAAGCCAGGATCATTCTTGTTCATACCTCCCTTATACTCCTCATCCTTGATTCGGAGCTCATCTCGGCAAAACCCTTGTACCACACTGTGAATCTTGACGACGTCCACCGCCGAATCACCTCGGTAGATGGAGAAAAAGCCCTCTTGGCTGCTCTCAGTGAAGGATTCAGATACCTCCTGAACGGTAGGTTTGGCTGTATCGTCACCATTCGAAGTATTCCCGTTTGAGTATTCCGTACCTGAGTACCGTATCGATTGATGTATGGATGTAGTTTGCGAAGACAACGGGTCCAGATCCGTCGTCCGCTCGATCAGCCCATAATGTATAAGAGTTCCCAACGTGGTGTCGAGGTCAGCATCCTCGCCGGTCTGAGCTTTAGTCAAGATGTCCACATTTGACGTTGCCATTGCGGGTCGACCGAAATTGAGCATTCCAACAGGTACCTGGTGGCCAAGGAATGAGAGAAGATTGATCAAATTCAAGGCTTGTACGAACTGCAGCCGATACAGATCATTCATAATGCTCAGAAACGGCTCGGCAAGCTTCTTGTCGGTCACTTGAGATTTGATGCGGAACTTCTCGATCGGCTTGCCCGTCGCATTCAGACGATGGCCGATGGCATGGATGGCCAGTGGTAGACACTCGTAGTGATTGACCAAATCTTTAGCTTTGGACTCCTGCTCTGCGGTTGGCCGCTTGATTCCAAGATCCTTGAAGAGAAGGTGGCAGGCATCTTCAACCTTCAGCTTGGAGATCTGTAGGCAATATGGCTCAAAGAGGCGCTGCTTCTTTCGTAGCGTCATGTCGACCGATGTGTAAATGATGCTGCATTTTTCCTTCCACGGCAAGAGCTGTTTGAAGTCATTGAGGTCGTCATCAATATCAAAGGTGAGGCCATCAAAGACCAAAAGCCAATGCTCGCGTGTTTGGAGCCAGCTTCGTACAGCATTCACATAGCTCTTGGACTCTCTGTACTCCGGATCTCGGGCCTCCTCGGGGTCGATCAGCATGGCGACCTGTGCAATCTCCCAGAAACACTTGTACGCCGACTCGCGGGTTTTGGAGTCTATCCAGAAGATTCCTCCTGGGAAGCAATGTCGCTGATTGAAGACGTACTCTCGCGCTAGATGCGTCTTGCCAGAGCCCGGGACACCGGAGATCAAAACCGCTTTGGTCCGTTTCGCGCGCGACTTGGCCAAGTACAGGCGCTGATGAAGTACGTCCAGTTCTTTCTTCATGCCGAAAAAAGTCGCGTTGGGATGAAATCCGGGAGGGACGATGAACAAGGACGGTTCCTCGTGCGGAATCGTGGGGAAAGAGAGGGAACCACCATTGTCCATGTCTTGGACTGGGGAATAATGGCCTTCACTAGCCGGGGGAGGCGGCACAGTGGCCACGGAGTGACCTAGGGAATAAGTCAGCGACTGACTGGGAGTGGTTTGGTCAGGATAAAGATATCAGCTAAATTGGAGGACACGAGATAGGAGCCTTCCCACCAGCAATAGCAAACTAGGTACAAAGAACGGAAGCAATCAACTCAGTCTCGTACCTTCCATGGGAGCGAGGGGAGGCTGAAGCATATGGGTCAATTGTGCCCACATTGGCTAGGAAAAGGACAGCCAATGACCGTCAAACGATCAGTTCCTTGGAGAGACCGAGGCTGCCGATGACTGTCAAAGGACCGTCTTGACCGTCCACCTGCTTGACCGAAAGTCCAGCCTCCCCAGTCCTATAGAAGGTATGTTCAGAAAGAGCCATCGTCTCCCAACAAAAAGAGGAAGCCACAGGACAAGCAGGCTAGCAGAATTTGACGAAAGAAAAGCACAGACACGTGGGTAGCATATTCAACGGGCATGAGTCAAGACCATCGGACTGTTCAGGAAGTACCGTGGTCATGGTAGGGAATCGGAAACGACGATGTCAACTAACAAACGCTGGCCAGCAAAGAAAAAAAAAGGCATTAACATCAAGCAGGAGGCTCCTCGATCTCGTAATCCCTCAAGGTAACCGACTCGCCTGGCGAAGGGAGAAGGTGGGAATCCCTACCGCCTGTCGACCTCAAATCAGGCATGCTCTGCCTCAATGGGTCATCTGTTCTTTCTGTAATCGTCAGCACGGCACCAAAGAATTACCTACCAAGTAAGGTAGGAGGCGGTCTGGTGGCTCAGGAAGGGGGGGGGAATAGATGCTATGAACCTCCAAAGTCCTCACTTACCTGGAAATATTTCCCTAGCTGTAGCCGCGTGCTCCAGAGCCCGTGTCTTCTTCTCTTCCACCCAGCGATCAGCAACCACACTGGGGGCCTGACGAGAGTAGCGCATCAGAGCTTCCGCCACAGCCTCATAGCCCGGCGCATTCTCATCCTCAAATTTGCACATGTGGCTGTGATCAGCCTCGATGCCCATGCGCTCCACGCCTTCGATGTAGGGCGCCGCTGACGCTTCGTCCACAATCACGTCCCGAGTGCCACGCAGATCTGTTGAGCGTGTTTCGTGGAAGAAATAGATATGGAAGCGAGGCATGAGGTCGGCAAAGAGACTGTTGATGTGTTGGAGGGTCTCGTTGTTGGTGCGCAGCGCCTGGACCAGCTGGGGGGATGATTCCATGAACTTCTTGGGCAGGACCGCGCTGCAGATGTTGTGCAGCAGGAGGCCCCATTTGGCGATATCGGATCCATTGTGTGGGGTACCGAGGAAGAGGATGCCGAAGGTGGATACGTAAATAGATCGTAGGTGCTCTGTTCTGACGCTTCGGAGGTTGAAGCTGTAAATCAGGGCGCGCTTGACGACCAGTCCACCTAGCGAGTGACAGACGAAGATGATAGGGCGTTCGGTGCAGTTGCGCAACTAGAGACTAGGTCAGCTCGAAGGTTCCGTCTGATGCTTCATCCCAGCCCGGTTGAGATCAAAAGGATGATGGAGTGATCGTGACTACTTACGCTTCGGTTGGCGGCCAAGGAGGAAGCCAACGTCTCTGCATGACTGACGATCGTATCCCGCGATGCACCATCCGTAAACGCCGTGACGTTCGCATTGTAGCCATATGTGAGGATGCGCGGGCGCACGGGGGCGAGGATGTCTGGGAGAAGGTCGAGGGGCCAGAAGCAGCCCGTCTGCTTGTGGCTCGTCCAGGAGTCGTGGGGGTTCCCATTCAGGCCATGGACGAAGACGATATCGACCTGAGGGTCGCCGCGGGGGAGGTAGATCTGGGTCAAGCCAAAAGGCTTGATGGCGGACGAGTCGGGCATTGCGAAACGATTATGCGCCCGCCATTGTGGGAAGAAGGGAATGATGTGGCTCGCTGTGGTTGGAGGGACGAGAGGCGGTTTATAAGTGGCCCGGCGTGTTCCCCTGACCGGAGCAGATGACTGGGGTGGATGGATCGCCCGGGCCGTGACTGGTGGGGGTGGGTCAGGAGTGCCACCAGGGGAAAGATGCAGGGACGAAACCGAGTGGAGGGGGACAAGGCAACTATAGTGCCCCGATCGGGAAGACAGGAGCCGAGTAGGAGATCAACGATGGAAGAGAGAAGACCAGCAGGGAATCATCCTAGGCAGAAGTGCACCGTCGGGGAGAGAGACCAGGAGCTAGAGGCGATCACCCGTGGGTCTAATGCAGCCCCCGTGAAGAAAGTGATCATGTCGGCTGACGGAGATTTCCCCCAGGGCCTGATCGGATCGTGGCTGGCGTTCAGAGTGGCGGTGTCGGAAGTCAACGAGGCAACCGAGTATGGATGGATTCACCCGGGCACACATCTCAGGAGCGATGCCATAATGCTTCCACCTGCCAGCTCCCATCTCGACTCGAGTGAATGAGAGTAGGAGTAGGGCAACAAGATCTCCAGGGTCCAGGTACCCAAGGTGGAGCTATCCGTGGACCGAGGACCCAGATCGCTGTCACCCGATGAGATCACTGATTCCATAGTTCATACCCATCCGGGGTGATCCTTCTCGTTTCTTGCTTCTGCCTGCCTATGGTTCTGCGCCGTCCGATTAGGGCATGGTCGGTTGACTCCCCGTTCAATAGTCTTGTGTGGCGGATGGTGGTATTGACTGCTCGACGGTCCCAGGGTTGATCGTTTCGGCCTATTGTGTGATCTATTGACTCTTCATTCCTTAGTTGGTTTTGTTCTCTGTCTCTTTTTGGTAAACCCTTCAGCCCACTTACACACACAGTGCATAGGCGCTGAATTCCACGATTTACAATGTTAGAGTCCTCGGGATCATCCGATTTCTCGAGCCGCATGAGCTTCGGAGAAGAAAATTCAATAACAGTAATCTATCTCACGAGGCAGGCCACCAATTTATTCCCCCGGAAGGCAGGCTTCCTCTTCTCAGCAAAAGCTCGCAGCGCCTCATAGCGGTCCTCGGTCTGAATCACGCCCTCATAAGCCCTATTCTCCGACACCTCGCCAAGCATAAACCCCTGCACCGCCTTGAGCGCCTGCTTGATAGCAATGGGCCCCCCCTCACAAATATCCTGAGCCAACTTGATGCTCTCGCGCAGCACCTTCTCGCGCGCCACGCCCTCCTGAGCCGCCTCCTCCGGCAACACCTCCACGAGCCGGTCACAGAGACCCATGAAGTACGACTCCGGTCCGGACACCCGTCGGCCTGTGAGGATCATGTCGCGTGCCCGGTTGATCCCGATCAGCGAGGGAAGCCGGTAGGTGCCTCCTGCACCGGGGATAATGGCCAGTCGGGTTTCGGGGAGCCCGACGGTGCTGGAGGAGCCGAAGACGCGGAGGTGCGTGCATAGCGCTAGCTCTAGACCGCCGCCCAGGGCCATTGAGGATATGGCGGAGATTGTGGGTACCTGGAGAGCGGCGAGGGCGCTGAACGTGGCGCGGAGTTTCTCGAGGAATGCTTCGGTCCTGTAAATGGAGGGCCATGTAGGTGAGTAAATGAAAACGGTGGTGGTTTCTCAATTGCAGAGTGACGGGAATACGCACTCTGCTTGAGACATATGCGCGCGCTCCTTCAGGTCGGCCCCGGCGCAGAACGCGGCGTCTACATTGCTGGCCACGACCAGAGCCCGGGTCGGCCCATTGCCCTCTTCGGTGGCGATCTCGTTCACCTGCTTCGAGAGGGCCTCGAGCAGCTGACGCGAGATCGCATTGCGGGCCTTGGGCCGGTTTAGCTGCAGCACACGCACATGCCCTGAGCCCGGGGCTGGGATATGCTGGGTTTTGATGACGTCGTCGTCGGAGCTGGTGCTGAAGCGCGAGATGAACACCCGCGAGGGAACCACTGCTGGGCGAGAGAGGTTGCGGACGGAGGAGAGGCAGACGAGTCGAGGTGACATTGTCGTCGCCATGGTGTCAATGACAATGTGAGTAGTGAGTGAGCACGGAGGTGAAGAATTGAAGTTCGGCGAGCCGTGGGGAGCTCGGGGGTGTGGGGAAAGGACGGACTCGGAAAGCCGAGGATGGCCGAAATTTAAAAATAAAACATAGGGTATAATATGTACATGCTAGCTACCACTCAGACACACGATTACTATATACAATCCAACGGGGTCCGGTATTCCTGCACTTCCCAGTCACTCGGCCACGTCCAGTCCGGCGTCTGGCTGATGATGTCGTATGCTTCTTGCACGGCCGAGGCCGAGGCCGACGCTACCCGATCGTCGTCTTTTTCTAGGAACGCCCGAATGGCCACTAGGACGCGGTGCATCTTGATATCTCCGCTCATATAGGCATCGGTGGTTTCGTTGAGAATATCTGCGGACCGACTCATCCACAGCAACAGATTCAACAGGCCATCATCGTCCCCCGCAGTCCCCAGAGCCCGAACAAAGGCATGTAGTGCGGCGGGCGTGGGAACCTGTAGTATGGGCGGCACGGTCAGTGACGACTGGACACGGTCCGCTGTGAAAATACTCTGTTCCGCCGCCTCAGGAGATTTGGGGGATGAGGAAATCAGGTGGTCGAAATGGTCCTTCAAAGTGCGGACGCCAGTCTGAACCATGTCGTCGAAGTCAGCACTGGCCTGTGGAGGTAGGGTTCTGCGGACAATCCTCAACCCCTGCTTGGCATCATGAGGTGAATTGAGACCTGCGGCGACAGCCTTGGTAAACAGCAGGCACATACAATGCAGCGCCTCGGTGTCAGGTTGCGCGGAATGCTTCTGCATCAACTCCAAGACCTCGAGTGCCTCATGCCAGGCGAGAATCCACTGAACACTGCGTTTGATCTTCCGACGAGGTCTGTGGGTGCGTTTGCGGGACAGCACGGTGAGAATATGCAACCAGGCCGGCGTGCACGCGTGGGCTCGCAACTTGGTCAATTCGATCGCATGAGGCAAGGCGTGTGGGAGATGACGGTTGTTGTAATCGAACAGACTCTGGGTCGAATGGGATAATCGGAAGTCGGGAAAAAGAATTGGGAAAAGGTCGCCAATGGAGGAAGCCCGATATGGCGAGTTAACATCACCAAACGGCGTATGCCGGCACAGGAAGCCGATGAACGCCCCGAAAAGATAATCCGGGATTTCATGGAAAGACCTGAGGTCCTGCCTTTTGTACAGGGATGATTTCCTCCATACCGTTGTCAACACCTCCTTCTGTGATTGGCCAATCGCGCTGCAGTTCAGGTAATGTAATCCCGAGTGGAAACTGGGTGCCGTGCTTAATAGAAGAGCCAAAAATTTCCGAGAGGGACGAAGCCCCTTTGAAAGCATATCCTCAAGAAGCTCGTCCAGTGTGGGTGGCTCCGTGCGGACGTAGATAATGTCACGCGCAGAAGCTGGCTCTGGATAAACCTCGCGACCATCTCCCGGTAGGGCATGAGCTGTGTCGTCAAATTTCCGTTCAATGGTCTTTCTCCGATAGATCAACTTTTCAGCCATGGCAGCGTAAACATCCTCGCTAGGGGGAAAGCCATTATCTTGAAAGGTCAAAAAGCAAGCCCACGCTTCGCGCACAGTCCTTGTGGCGCGGATTCGAGCCATCCAAATCCATGGATGCTGCGGATCATTTTCAATTGCGCGATGTAAGCTCCGCGTTGGTGGTCGCATCAAGGATCGAGTTTGCACGGTCGGGCTGCCATCTGTATCCCAACCGGCCAAAACTGCGGATATATTTTCCAGGTGACCAGGGCAGTAGCCTGCTTCTCTCATTTGCGCGATGACGAGCATCGCACGGCTGGATCGTCCGTCATTTCCCCGCTGTGAATCGATTCCCAGCTTCTCTTCCTTCCAGGGTGGCCATGAGGGAGCCTTGAGCTCGGCAGACTGACGTTCCTCCACCGTCTTCTTGTGGGTCAGCTGAACTGCAATGAGGGCTCGGTAGCCTTGTCGTATTACTGGTATAACCGGTTCATGTGTAGCCATGGCCTTGAGAATCTCGAACTGCGCTCGTTGCTGAATCGAAAAGAATCGATAAGGGCCTTTTTTGATTGGCTTTGCCAACAGCCCAAGGATAAAGTTGAATCTGTCGCATCTTCCAGCATCAGTGTATTGTGCTGCTTGGTCCGAAGATGTCAAGACAAGGACCGATGCCCGGGCAATGGTGACAAGCGCCTCTGGCCACACTTGCCGAGCGTGGAACATCAGACTAACGGCCAAATCCATGAAGGTCACTGTGTCAATCTTGGGATGGAAGGTATCAGGTAGCGAGGCTTTGTCGAAGTGGGCTCTGGTCACTTGCGTTTGTACAAGTGGAAGCTGTAATCCACTCATGAGATGAAGAGAATAAATCAGGAGTAAACGAAACGTTTGGCGCCCCAGATACTTTCCCTTCAAGAGAAAAAGCGGTATAAAAGAAGGAATCACGTGTGCATCAGTGTCTGTTCGGCTTCTGCAATCCGCCTCCAAGGTGAATAGTCGCCAAGTAGCCTCGTGAGCGTCCCGACTCTTTAGAATCCAGGCCCAAGTCACCACATCGGAGGCGCCATAGCCCATGGACCTAAGATAATCGTAGGGCACATCACCGAAGACATCCTGGAGCGCGGCATTCAGGTCATCTGCTGTGTCGGTGTCGGCGCCACGGGTAATCAACGGATCCACTTTTTGAATGTAGTCGGCAAGAATTGTTTGCAAGGACATCACCTGTGGATCATCGAGTTCCAACTTTGGAGCCTGGTGCGTTTTCTTGTCATGAGAAAGCCGCTTTGGTCGAATGCTTCCACCTAGTGGGTGTCCGGTGTTCCGCAGAGCTCGGTCAATGTAATCAATTCGCCTGGATTTCCTGGTTTGTGTGGGAATTTCATCGACGTGTGGTGTTTCAGCCTCATCAACAGAGGTGTCGTGCTTCGAGGCTTCGGCTTGTTCCACAATTGCGCGCGCGTTCTCCAAGGACATATTCGATCCGAGGCGACTTAACAAATTTGATCGCAATTCCCATTCCGTCCGTTTCTCCGGATATGATATGGCTGCAGGCAATTGGGATGGACCAGCGAAGGTGGTGGACTGGCACAGATGTCGGATGCTTGGTATGGTATTTGGGTGCAAGCCACCACACATATAGAGGGATGGCCTGGGCTCATCGCGATGTTGCGCCTAGAATAATACAAAAGCATTCATTAGCATCAATTCGTCCATTTAGTCCAGTATGAAGTACCTGTCGCCAGCGACGGCGGTTCATCCAATGCGCCGGTTTCAGAGAGGATATCTCCGAAAGGCTTCGGGCAGGGCTCCGGACTGATAACATCCATGAAGGTTGTCATGGATCAGGCAGTTCCAGCGCCACAGGCCCAGAGCGGAGCCAACAGTAGTCGAGAGATGGGAAGTGGTCGAAGCCGGACAACTTTTTTCTCCCGTAACATTATTCACCAACCAAGTCGCGCGGCTCTCACGTGACCGATCGTCACGGGTTGCGCTTTGGGGGATCGCGCAGTCTGAGCGTCTCACGCAGAACTGTATCTTTCTCGCCCTTCAGGCAAAACAGCCACATCCAACTCGTGGGTGTTTACCTGCTGCCCTTGGATTCCGATTCCTTGATCCTGTCCGCGCGACATTTTTCTTGATACACCCTTCTTCCAGCGGTGGCGTAGCAGATTGACCCTCTGTTATCCCCTCGCTCTTCGCGATCCTCCATCCTCTGCGATTCACCCGCGTTGGCTCTCGCATCGAACCCCCGTCTGCCACCGCTCTCTCGTCCGACCAACCGGCGCTTTATACCCTGATTATTTCTTGGTCTGTCGTCGCTCGGTCGCATTCTCCCTATCTCTATCTCCGCCCTTCAATTGTTCCAATCTCCGTGGAAGAGAGCAGTCTTTGCACCGTCGCGACTCAGCAACCATGAGCGCCGACGAAGGCGGAGACGCAGTCTTGGTGCCCGCCACCAACGGCGAACACCATCCCTCTCCTCCCGATTCTGCTGCGGTCGCGACTCCAGGCAAGAGAAAACGTCCGAGTCAGGATGAAAAATCGGCTCAGGAATCAGACTTGCCAGCACCCCAGGGCAAACAAGATCTCCACGAAACATTACGAACCCTCGTTGTTCTTCTCCTTAAGTAAGTTTACTCTTCGACAGTCTTGCCGTCTTTGTTGCTAACAATTCACAGACATGACACCGAACTTCAACTACTTACCTGTCCCTTTGCGGCATCTACGAGCAAGCCTCGGACGAAGCGCGCCAAAACCTCGAATGAGCAAGAACTCTCTAGTATACAATCACGGGTGAACTCGAACCATTATAGTACCCTGCAAGATTTTTTGGCGGACATCGACAAGGCATCTGCCGCGGTCATTGAGCGCAACCAAAACCAAGCAAATGGCACCAATCCCGACGGGGCCCCTCTGACGGAGGTGGTCAACCGCATCGCTGCGTTCAAAAAGCACATGAATACCCTGGTCGGGCAGTCGTTTGTCAACCAGGTCGACGTGAAAGCAGAGGCATCTGATGACGATTCAGAGGCGCCAGTGTGGTCCACTGTATCGAACATGGGCGCTCGCGAAGACAAGCAGGCTCTGACGCTTTTTGGAAACCCGTCGAATCCACGACATCTTTTCTCGAGTCTTCAAAAATCCACCAAGGTCCCACTGCTTTCGTCTGATTCAGAGGCCGAAAAGTTCGTCGAGGTTCAAGAAGCACTACGCGAAACGGCCTTGCCTAGTGGTATCACAGCAACAAAAGTGGTTCCCTACAATGTGGAAGCCGCCCCTAAGTCGCCGAAATTAACGTTCGGCGATGTGTTTGCACCTCGTCAAGGACTGCCTCAATTGGATCCTCCACGCAGACGACGCAACCGAAGCATGTCAGGCACCTGGGTCGATCCCTTTGATGCCATTTTGGACACACGGTCCTTCTTGGGCGAACGCAACAATTATTGTCTCTCCTCACTACCCTCTGGGCAATGGCTACAGTACGGTGGCGTTACTTCGTCGCCGTCTTGTTGGAGCCGCCTTGAAAAGCATGGTGATGGAGACATCGGTCCGAGACGCCATGGAGATTTCACGCTCTGGACTGATGATGACTCGTCCTTGTTACAAGGGGTTTATTCATCATTTGCCCCGTCGTTCGACAGCTCCGGTGCGGTTATCGAGGGCGATCTGAAAGACATGGTTTGGTGGAGTAAAAGAGGTTCCAAACGCTTGCGCACACTTCTTTCACTCCCATATATGGAAGATGTCAAAGATGAGGAAAACTCTACGGTACAACCTGGCAACATTGGCGAACTCGACGAAAGCACTCTGGACGAAATGGTCGCAAACTTCAATCCGGATGACTTTTCTGAGAATGTTGGAGAGACCGATGTGGAAAACAAGGAGGAGTCCGAATCCAAAGACGTTGAGGAAATGCTTGGAGATATTAACGAATTGCTGGATACATTGAGTTCCTATCAGAGAGTCCGCAACCTCAGTCTGCCTTCCGATGGTGACCAGGAAACCGAGTCCAAAGAATTGCCCGAGCCAGACTTTGGCACTCCGCGTTCCCCGTCCACCGCAGAATCGGCCATTTACGATACTCTGAAATCCAGTCTGGCTGCGCTTATCAGCAACCTGCCACCGTATGCTGTTTCAAAGTTGGACGGCGATCAATTGGCAGAGTTGAATATCAGCCAGACGATTCTGATCGAAAACCAGAACTACAGCGGCACAATGGACAAAGACGAGTACACCCTGCAACAGGAACGAGCTGCGGCGATGGCTGCCTCAGCGGCCAACGCCGCGAACCGTACCTCCACGCCATCCAGCGTGCGGTCCAGCAGCTTCCAGGGACCCCATGGCGGCTATAATCAGCGTGCTTACGTCTCCAATGCTCGAGTTTCGCAAGGTGGATTCCAAGTACCGCCCCAAAACGCGCGTCAGTCTTCTTCCGGTGCCTACACACCCCAGGCCTACGGCGGAGGTCGTCCACCAAGCACAAACACCCCATCCCAGCGCCCAGGATATCTCCAGCAGTATTCGCAGATGACACCTCAGTACAGCCAGGCGAACAATGTCCCACAATTCCAGCGTTCCGGTCCCAACGGTTACACTCCTTATCCCGCTCAACAAGGCCAGTCGTCCGCTCAAGCCTCTCCACAGCCCTACACGCCGCGCCCTGGACAACCCTCGTCGTACAGCCAGAAACAGCCGTCATATAACACGCCACAGGCACGGACGCCATATGCGAATGCAGGTGCCACCAACCCAGCACAGCAACGATACCAGCAACAGAATTACGCGAATTCTGCTGCCGCCGCCACCTACGCTCGCAGCGCCGCCGAGCAAGCTGCGTTGATGGACCGTAACAAGGCACAGCTGGCAGCTCAACAAACCCGGCAAAGCCCGTCGACGCCTCAACCCTTAGGACAAAGCATCTCTCCAGAGCGCAGCGTCACTCCTGCCAGCAAACAGAACGGCACACCTGTTCCGTCATAACTTCTTATCTCTTGGTTGTCAGCACTCTTTCACTGAGAGCAGATCTTGGACAGCGAAAAAAAAAGTCCGTGTTTAGAAAGTTCAAACGCGCAGAGAAGTGTTTTCTTGTTCTGTGCTGCATTTCGAATTTCCCGCCTTTCTTCTTCTATTCTCACACATTGTGTTGCTACGGATCTTCTTGCTTTTTTTATCTGGTGTTCTTTGTCTTTTCGGTGACAGCAATTGGCGCGGAAGGGGGTTTATCTGTCTACTACTAGGAATTTTTAAACTGCTAAACTTAGAAGGTTCCTTTCTTGTTTTGGTGCAATTCAATATCAATGTATTCCTACATCATCTTATGTCTCCCCGCATATGGTTAATCGGTAACAATTCAAAGTGGTATTCGGGATAACCTCAAATCAAATCAAAACAAAAAAGGACTCCCCAAACACCTCGTTCCCTCGCCAATGCCTTATCCAATCAATGCCAGTTCCCATCCGTACCCTATATCAAACGCCATCTCTTTCTTTAAGCTTGTTCCATCATATCATGTGGTATCATATCATCCATCCAAGTCTTGTTTGCTGCTTTTGCTCTATCTCAAGGCTCTCTTCTCGCCTTGAAGATAGAGAGAGTTAGGGGATAAACATGGCTGCGACAGTCATGAAACCAAAGTACCTATTGAGAAAAGATTAGTATCGTCCCTTCGTTTTAAGCGCACTAAGAGGACGAAAAACATACAGCGTCGCACACCGCCACCCATCCCTCGAATCAACCAACGTTTCAATTCCAGCCGAGTAATTCGCCGCAATCGCAGCCGCCGCGCCTCCCACGACAGTCACGACGACGAGCCGGCCCGAGAACTCGGCGATCATGCTGAATGCCAGCAGCGGGAGCAATATCGCGCCGGCGCCGATGATGATGGCCATATACACTGGTGCCGCGGCGGCGGAAGCGGCCAGGCGCGGGGTCAGTGAGACGAGGTCGGCGTCGTGGTCCAGGAACTTGGTCTCGGGTGCGGCGATGGGGTTGTGTTCTTTCAGCCAGGCGCGGTACCTGTGGATATCGTTTTCTGAGGCGCGGGGGAGGGTTTGTGCGACTTTGCTGTATGCGCTGAGCGCGTTGTCTATACTTCGTCAGGATTTGTCTTCAAGTAGACTCCCTCCTATGGGAGAGAAAACTCACTGTATTGCTCAGTCTTCTGTACCAGAGTAGACATTAGGTCCATGCGTCGATAGTGCAGGGACGAGTACACCTGGTGCTTGACATCCATCCGCCGTGAAGCAGGCACTACCTTCGTACCTTCCTCCTCGGCGGTGGTGGACCGATGGAGCTCGTCGTACTCGTCGAGAGCTTGCAGATCTTCTTCCATCTGCGCGATTTCGTCCTGCAGATGGAGCAAAACACGATGGTTCAGGTTCTCAAAGCGTCGGTACAGCGGCGGAAAGCCCGTTTTCTCCTCCGCGGCGGGCTGGGTGAGATGCGACGCTACAAGTCCATAGCCGGATGGTACTTGAGAGGCGCTGCTCCGCCTATTTGTGAGCGCATCGCGGTGAAGACTGTCTTCCGGGCTGCTGGGCGGAGAAGGTGGCAGTGGTGATCGATGCATGTCTTGTGTGTAGTAACTCTCTGGTCGAGTGATTTCCAATTGACGTTTGCCGGACGACGACGAGGAATTGGCCTTCACTGGGGGGGACTTCGATTGTGCGGCTGACGACTTCCGCGCCAGCTGCAACTGATTCTCTGACGTCGAAGTCGCTGGAGTATCCGATGACTGGCGCGAGTCACTCGAACTTCTTGACCCAAAGGAACTTCGTGGACTATGGCCTCCTCCCGACTTCAATAAAGCGTGTGCCACGGGACTTGTTCGGGGTTTGGGAGATTGGATCTTGGTGAGGGCTTGCGTTCCTTCCTCTTCCGACTCTGAAGACGACTCGTCGTTATCCTCGAGGAACTCGAAGACATTGGGCGTTTTCTTTGCTGGCTCTGAGGATGAGGGATCGGACGCCTTCGGTGATGGCTTGGACTGCTCGTTAGCCTCGACCGGGCCAGCCTGTGTGGTCGAAACCGTGGAGGACGTCCTTACTCGTCCATCTTTCTTATTGTGATTCTTCTTGGTACGCTGTTGGAACGGCATGATGATGGTGACGATCGACAATCGTCGGTGACGATACCCGAGATTCACTGATTAGATTGCATAGACCATGCCCGTCTCAGTGGAAGGACATGAGATGAAGGATAAATAACTCCCCATGGGGGTCTCCAGACATTGCAGAAAGGGGCGGCGACGATAGTGAGGGGCGAAATTCCATGCGAACCGATGGGAGGCGTGTTTCATGGAATCTAGGGGGTGTCGTTTGGGGCGATCCGAGTGACGACCAACGGGAGCAGGGGATAGTTCGTGATGTATATAATCCTTGTAGAGGGGTCAGCCCGGGTGCAACAGAACCATGGACCGCACGTCACCCCCACAGCCGTAAAGGAAGATCCCTTTTGCGCCAGGCCTAAAAATGGAATGCAACGGGGGCTGTCATTCGTCGCCTAGCGGGGGATCCTGGCTTGGGCTGAAGCAGACGAAGCGCCGATGGCCTCAGATCAGCGACCAAAGAGTTCTGGGGTTGCAAGGAGGGCCCCCTTGTTTGATCGGGTTGTGTACAACCTCGGGTGAGAGACCACGGGAAGAAAAAGAGTGTCAACCCGAGAGTTAGTCAGTCCGTGGACAACTCACTACTGCGTCGCCCTTGCGTCCGGCATCTGGCGGTCTAGAGGCACCCGGAATGGGCCGAGTGCAGCACCGCTGTGACGAGTCGCATCGCGATGGCCGATGATGATTGGAGACTGTGTTGGTCAACTTGACAATCATCATCACCACAATCATCTGTCATCATCGAATCGGATACAATTCATCTTGACGGCATTCATTGGCATGTCGACCGAACTACATTGAGTGGTTGGCGATGGATTGGATCTGCCGATCTCGCCGCCGTGGATCTGCCCAACTTCCTCCCTCACCTTCTTTGTGCCTTGCGGTCGGCCACTCCCCCCATGCTCCGTCCTCTGGCCCGTGGAGCTGTCCGCTCGCTCTGCTCACAATGTCGACTGATCGCCCCGGTTCATGATAATAATCATCCTTTCATCCTCCTCCGCCGTCTTCAAACCTCCACTTCTCCAGATCGTGTCCCCCTCCGCAAACAACTCAAACAAGACGCCAAGGCCCTCAAGGCGCAAAAGAGACAACGCAAAGAGAGCGAAGAGGCCTCCAGACAAGAATGGGAATTGACAGTGGGTGTGGAGATCCACGCCCAACTAGATACAGCTGCGAAGCTGTTCTCCAGGGCGCCGACCTCCAGCACCGATACCCCGAATACCAACGTCGCGTTGTTTGACCTGGCTTTTCCGGGCAGTCAGCCGGTTCGGATACCCAAATCCTGCCCAATTGAATTGATTCTGACACGCATTCCCCAGGAATTTCAACCCGCGACACTTCTGCCTGCCCTCCGCGCCGCAATTGCTCTCAACTGCCAGATCCAGCCCGTCAGCCGGTTCGACCGGAAGCACTACTTCTACCAGGACCAGCCGGCAGGGTACCAGATCACACAATACTATGGTTGGTGAGATTCTCCCATGAGGGTTGCCTCACAACTGACCCGTCGCAGAACCCTTTGCCCGACACGGCTACGTGGACCTCTTCGATTACGATGGCATTGCTCCAGAAGACGGCGATCGGGTGAGAGTGGATATCAAGCAGGTTCAGCTGGAGCAGGACACGGCCAAGTCCCAGGAGTATCCGCCTTCCACCCAACTCCTTGACTTCAACCGTGTGTCGCACCCCTCATCGAAGTCATCTCCATGCCCCAGATCCACTCCCCCGCGACGGCCGCGGCCTGTGTCCGGAAACTCCAATCAATCCTACAATCATGCGGTGCCGTGACGACAGGAATGGAACTAGGTGGGCTGCGTGTCGATGTCAATGTATCGGTCCGTCGCCGGGACGATGCCCCGGGACAGCATGCGTATGACGGGATCAAGGGCTTGGGCCAGCGCACCGAGATCAAGAATCTCAGCAGTTTCAAGGCCGTGGAAGATGCGATCATCGCCGAAAAGAACCGCCAGATCGCCCTGCTGGAGAGCGGTGGCGTCGTGGAAGGCGAGACGCGCGGGTGGACAATCGGTAGCACCGAGACCCGCAAGCTGCGCGGCAAAGAGGGTGCTGTGGACTATCGCTACATGCCCGACCCCGATATCCCGCCACTGATCATTGGCGAGGACTTGATCGCTAATCTTCGGCAGGCGTTGCCATCATCGCCGGATTCGCTGGTGGCCATGCTGGTTGGACCGGAGTACGGCCTGCCCATCGAAGACGCCAGACCGCTCATCGAGCTGGATGACGGCGCGCGACTTGAGTACTATCAGGATGTGGTGGATCTCCTCCGCCCTCTCCAGACCGATCAAGACGATAAGAAGGTCGCCCGCGTCGCAGGCAACTGGGTTCTACACGAATTGGGCGGGCTGTTGACCAAGACAGACCGAGCGTGGGATGCGGCGATCGTTCCAGCCCAGTCCTTAGCCCACATTGTCGACCAGCTCCAGCGCAAGCGCATCACAGGACCCACGGCCAAACTGGTGCTGGCGGCCGTGTTCGACGGGGACCGGCGCCCCGTGCCGCAGCTGCTAGAGGAAGACAATCTCCTGCTGCGCCCGCTCTCGCGCGAGGAGTACGTTGCGCTGGCCAAAGCGGCCATCGCTCTGAATCCCGGGATGGTCGAGCAGATCCGCACGAAGAATCAGCTAGGCAAGCTGGGTTGGTTCGTGGGCCAGATGATGCGCGCCGGCGAGAAGGGCCGGGTCGAAGCGCCCAAGGCGGAGGAGATTCTGCGCGAGCTGATTCTGGGGGGACCGTAGCTGTGTATAATATATGTAGTTCTATTCTCAATAATGATACCCTTGTCCATGTACCTCTTATAGATCCGGTATCACCCTCCCCTCCCGGCCGCAACATGCGAACCACACAAGTCAAATCAAATAACTCAATTGATCGTCCCAAAGTCATGACGATAGGCATCCATGCACCAAACCTGCAAATTCCTATGCAAATCCCTCGTGGTGGACACCGACCGGGCCTAAACGGGGCCGCTCTCCTCAACCTGTACTTAGGGGAAGACACGGCGGAGTCGCTGATCCCTAAAAGCAGTTTTTAGCGACTCGCGGGTTGCAACGCGCACCACGGCCTGGCAGAGACACGGTTGGTGCCGGAAAGGGGGGGAAGGAGGTATTCATAAAGGGAGCATTGTTTCTCTTCTTTTTTGTTTCTCTTGGTTTTCTCATACATCATTCTGACTTGACTACTACTGTCTCTTTCTCTCACGTTGCCCCCCTCGGTCCCACTTTTTTACTCTGATCTAGATCGATCTTATCTTTTAAAATCTCCCTCCCTCTTCACGATTAATTTACAGAGCTGCACAATGACGCTCCCGCCTACGATCGCCTCGAGATTCCTCTCCCACCCGAACAGCCTCGGCGTGGTGGCCGTCGGGTTCGATGGCGGACAGGTATGTATATCCTCGAGACCCTGTAGCAGCAACCATGTCGCTAACGATGAGGTCAAAGTGCAAGAAAGGCGTCGAAGCGGCACCAATGGCCCTCATCGAGGCCGGGCTCCTCACTCAGCTCCGCGAGGACCTCGACTACGACATCCACCACGACGACAAGATCCACTACTACGAAGACTCCATCCCGGCCGCAGACCCAGACCACCGGGGCATGAAGAAGCCGCGCGCGGTCAGCGCGGTGACCGAGCAGCTGAGCAAGCAGGTATACAGCCACGCGCGGGAGGGCAAGTTCGTGCTCACCCTGGGCGGCGACCACTCCATCGCCATCGGCACCATCTCCGGCACGGCCAAGGCGATCCGCGAGCGGCTGGGCCGCGAGATGGCGGTTATCTGGGTCGACGCGCACGCTGATATCAATCTGCCTGAGACGAGCGACAGTGGCAATATCCACGGGATGCCCATGGCGTTTCTGACCAGGCTGGCGAGGGAGGAGAAGAAGGATATCTTCGGCTGGCTGCAGGATGAGCATGCCGTGAGCACACGCAAGCTGGTGTATATCGGGCTGCGCGATGTCGACCGCGGCGAGAAGAAGATCCTGCGCGAGAATGGGATCAAGGCGTTTAGCATGCACGACATCGACCGGTGAGAAGCGTTTATTCACTTTCTTTCTCTGGAACTGCAATACTAATTTTCGTCGGTCAGCCACGGCATCGGCAAGGTCGTGGAGATGGCGCTCGCGCACATCGGCAACGACACGCCCATCCACCTATCCTTTGACGTCGACGCCCTGGACCCGCAGTGGGCGCCTAGCACGGGCACGCCGGTGCGCGGCGGCCTGACGCTGCGCGAGGGCGACTTTATCTGTGAGTGCGTGCATGAGACGGGCAACCTGGTGGCTATGGATTTGGTCGAGGTCAACCCCAGCCTGGAGGCGGGCGGAGCGAGTGAGACGATTCGGGCGGGATGCTCGCTGGTTCGGAGTGCGCTGGGGGATACGCTGTTGTAGAGTGGGTGGAAGTGTAAGGGGTGGGTGTTAGTTGGTGGGTTGTCTGAGAATAAATAGAGTAAACAATCATGTGGGGATTGATCCCCTTCCCGGCCTCCTTCATTATTAGTTCTTCTTCTCTTTTCTTCCGACCACAGACATTCGCGCCACTGGATCTGATTCCTCTTCCTTCTCGAATCATTAAATATCTCGCGCCTCCCTCCAATCGCCGGCCTTTGACCCCCGGGGTCGCGCAACGCATTGGGCCCATAACTCCCCGGCTGCAGCCCCGCGATAAACAAACATCCAACGAAACAGACGCAAGGCGTCAGAGTATTCGCGTCGGGCATACAAGACACCACACCACACCACATATCAGCAGTCCCGCGCGCGCATTTCATTCCCTGTCCAGAAGACAATATATCACCACCGACAGTGTCCCAGACAGACTTGAGAAATCCAGCGCCGAGTCCACCACCGCAACCGACATCCGTCTCTGATCATACTTGCCCTCGTCCTCGCCCACCATGGCGGTAATCCGCCGCGAAACGCGCCGCCACTACCGCTGGCCGGAGATCCAGTTCCATCTCTTGATCATGGTCGTGCTCTCCGGGTCCGCGACATGCCTGGGGATCTTTGCGTGGTTCATGGCTGTACAATCGCAGATGGATCTCGGAACACCTTGGTCAGTCTTACACACACTCTCGCGCCTATGCCTGGCAATAAACATCCTAATGCTTGAAACAGGCTCTTCCCATACATGGTAGTAGCCAGCGCCCTGGGTGTCTTCTTCGTCCTCCTAGTCGTCCTCCTTATCTTGCGCGGCTTCCTCTTACCGGGGATCGTCATCATCGGCAGCTTCATCCTCTTCGTCCTGTGGCTGACGGGTCTGATTGAAACCTCGTTGCTCCTGTATGGTGTTACGGGCAATGTGAATGATAATTGCCAGATCTACGTCGTGGAAAATGTGGCGAGGGGGAATACTATTGATACGCTGGCTTGGTTGACGCAGAGTACCATCTGTATGCCATTTCCTTCCCTTCAGGTGATCCGAGCTACTTGCTGACTGTTTCTATAGGTAATTGCTGGAAAACGGCGTTTGCATTCGAGCTCGTCAATACCGTCTTCTACTTCTGGATGATGGTCATGTCGTGGCAGGTGCATCGCGATTTTATGGTTGATTGATCTTCCCTACGCCTACCTTCGATGTTCATCTTTATTTTCCATTCCTGACTTTCTGTTCTTGACACTGACTTACCTTTTGATACCACTTTGCATGAGCATGTTGGCGTTTACTGTGAATAGCATCGAATTTTGTTTCTGGTTGAATGGAATTTACCCTAAGCGTTGTCCTGAAACGTCACCTTGTATCTCTCCATCTTTAGATTTGTGCTTTATTTTGAATGCACGCAAAAACATTGACGAATGCAGGTGAGAATGACCCCGTAAAAGGCCCTGTTACATATCGATACTCTTTCCACAGGTATTCATACTCTTTGTAATTGTCACATGTACCTACAGCAAAAACGCTTCTCGAACAGGATACAAAAACCCCCGGAAGATAGCCAGGGTGGGTAGATGGTCACCAAACAACTCTTGGAGATCCACCCACCCACTCATCTATCCATCTAAGGAAATCGAAAGAAAAAAGACAAGCAAATGGGGGGCAAGAAAAGACACTGATGAACGCCGTCGCTATGCCATGGCGCATTGCAACTGCAGACAGTTGGAGGAGAGAAGACAGACAGAAAAGAAGAGAGTCGACACAGAGAGAGCAGGGAAAGGGCATCTTGATAAGGATGGCGGATGGCAGGGACAAACAAAGGATAGAGGAATGGAAGCCTAGCAGCCCAAAGCGAAGGCACGCACTCGACTACCCATTCTCCGCAGCTATATCCTCCTCCGCCTTGGGATCGTAATCCCCATCCTCAAACGCAGCAAGCATCTCGCGCTCCATTTCATCATCGTCATCAGCCGGGTCTTCGGGATAGCTCACCTCCAGACCGCGACGCGCGCCCGCCGCCGAAGCATCGGGGTCCTCCCCATCTGGACCAGACGGTAGCGCACGCTCCGATGCCGTCTCGTCAGTACCTGAACTATTTGCCGTAGCTACTTCTCGAAGACCCGTGCTGCGCTCATAGGAACGTTTGATGCGCTGCGACAGCCGCGAGCCCGCGATATCGGACTCGTCGTCATCATCTTCCACGGACTCCTCATCATTTTCACCGATGGGGGCACCCTCGTCGCGTTTGCGTTTCTTGCCACTCCCCGCGTTTTCATCGGCCAAGAAGGATGCTTCGCTGTCGCTTTCGCTCTCGTCGTCGCTGCCGAGGAACTCCTTTAGCTCATCGTGTACGGCGGCTTGCTCGTCGGCATCGTAGCCGATAGGCGATGTCTCGAGACCCGAGGAGCCGAACAGCTCCTCGCCGCCTTCTTCGTCTTCTGCCCAGAGGGATCCTGATGCTTCGTCTTCGGACGATAGCCATGAGCTCTCGGCGAGTTCGCGTGAGCCGGGGGAGAAAGGTTCGCCGCGGTCATCCGGGTGGACAGGGAGCAGGTAGGGCTCCTCGTCGAGGTGACTCCATTGCGCCAGGCAGTCGACCAGCCACTGCGTGGTAACGATCTTGACATTCGGATACCGCGTGGCTTCGCGGACTTTGGCGGTGCGGTTGCGGCCAGCCACTAGGTGGGTGGTGCGCGTGTTGATTTTGGGTGCGATGACGGCGCCAAAGCTCTTCGCCCAGAGCGAGATGTCAGCGTTTTGGGTGTCCGTGCCGAGAGGGAGGACGCCCGAAAACACCAGAACCACACCTCCGAGAACTCGTCGTTTGATCAGCGGCATGATCTCCTTGACGTCAGGGACGAGCTTTAGATCAACGCCTTTCCCCTTGGACGCGGCTTTCTCGCCCTTCAATTCTGCCACTCGGCCTCCAAGTGCACGACTGCGCTTCTTGTCGTACTCCTCAAAGAAGCTGGTATGAACTTGCTCCAGTCGGTCCTGCAGCTGATAAAGCTCGCGATCGTGGTCTTCCAGCAGGTGGTGGCGAGGCTTGATAGGTTCCTGCGACTCATCGACACTGTCCTCGCTGCTCTCAGCGGATGCATCGTCCTCCGCCTCCAGCTCTTTCTGCTTTTGAAGTAGTGGTCGGTCCTCTACCTGGTGCAATATTGTCTCTTCCTGTGCATGTGTCTGCTCCTTCAGCAGCATTGGGTTGTCCCCTCCTCCCATGCTCACCAACTGCTCCAACGCCGAAACTTCGGTTCCGGCTTCTGACTTCGCGGTTGCACCGTTGACATGGTGCTCGGTAGACGGTTTCTCCTTGATGGCTTTCACGGGAACTTTATTCGTCTCGCCAATATCTTGCTTTTGGGGTAGGAAGCTGGAGTTGATATCACCGATGCCCACGAAGAAATCATAGGGTGAGACCTTGATCAAATTGGGGTTCCATCGCCATACATCGCCGCGGTCGTCGATAATGACAACCATCTTCGTGTCGACGGGAAATAGTCGCTGCAGGTTCTTGGCCGTCAAGCTTCCGCTCTCGTCACGGCTGAGGATGCGATCTCCAAAGAGCTTGCGGGTGGGGTCGATGATGTTGGCGATTTGCTGAGCGTAAGCCCGGGTGCCCATGGTGTAGATGTGCAGCTCGAATAGCTGGGCAACTTTCTCCAGAAACTCCTCTAGGCCGGGGCGCAGCTTGATGTAATACCAGCACCCCCGCATGCCCGGTCCGTCGTCAATTAACTGGAACTCATGCACGTCACGAAGCGCTTGATGGTTCGGGTTGTCCTTGTCCTCCTTCCATTCTTTGACTGTCGGATCCACCGTCGCATGGATAATCGTCTGATCAAGATCCACTACCAGCGAGAGGCGGCGTGATTCCAGCAGGCGACGTTTCGCATCCTCTTCAACACGTGCCGCCTCATTCTTACTGACTGTCAGAGCGGTGTTGTCGTGAACCATCTTAATTGTGGCGCGCTCGGTTCCGAGGATCTCCGTGTTGTAGTTGTATCTACCCCATAGTCAGTAAGCAAGTCATAATGAAACTTACTGGTGTATACATACTCGGTCATATCTTTCCCACACTCCGCACACATTCCACCAAACTGAATCTCGTGCGCACATGGCTCATCGATTTCGACAATGTCGACCCTAGAACGCATCCCGTAATCAGAAAAAAGAACGTCAGCCACCCCCAAAGGAAAAGGTCAAACTCACGGGTCGTCAATGATATCCCCCTTGGCAATCTTCCACTGCACAATCTCCCCATCGACAGTGGACTCAAAACGAGTCGGGAACCTGCGCTCCACCTCGACTCTATTCCCCAGCCCATCACCCTCCGAGACAGTGGTCTCGTAAACATACCAGAACAAAGCCTCGTCCCGTTCCACCGCGTCGCCGGGCTTCTTGAGCAGCGACGTCACGGTGATCGGGTAGTGGAGGCTGGGCGGCAGACGGAGAAGCATGGTCGGGCTCCTACTTCGCCCACACCCAGGCGATGGTGATGACGGAGTTCCTCAGCTCAATGCTTTTATCTCCTCCGCGCCTCTTCTTTCAAACGCGCGTGCTTGCGAGATCACGTCGGACGCGGACGTGGTCGTCGTGTTGTGGGGGGAGTCGCGTGCGAGTGATTTTTTTCAACTGGGAGCCATTACCAACACGCGACGCGTGTACGGGTGCGAAATGAGGGTAACGTGATGTAGAGGGGTGGTTGGGATTGTTTGGGGATCAATTCGAGGGGAATGATGGGGGTTGAAGAAGAGATGGTGTGCTGGGCGCAAGGTACGGTTGACGTTGGGTCGGGGCAATTCGCCACGGAACGCGGATCGAGTAGACGGAAGCGTGCGCCTAGCACAACCTGGCGCGTAGATCAGAAACAAAACACGCACCAGGCGCACGAAGTGACCGAATGGAAATGGTATGAAAAGAAAAGGGGGATGCCAGGATGAACCGAGGGAAAAGGCGAGCTCAAGTACGTAGTGAGGAACGTCGTGCGGGGCGAGGAGAGAAACGAGAGGTGCAGCTTATGTCAACCCGGTGGCTGCTTGAGTGAGCCACTCACTCCACATCTACGGCAACTACATAATCAACTACACTTTGAAGATCCTTCATACAAGCAGGGTAATAAATTCAGCAAGTCTGGCAAATGAACGAAAATTCGAAATAGGTCCAAGCCCCTGGGAGAGGCTGCATTCGCGGTATCAATGGATAAAAACGACGGGCAAGAGAAACACAAACTCAAGACAGTGCCACTATTGAGATACTCACAGCCCCCGGCGCAAGACCAGCAGGCAAAAGCCACGCGTATATACGAAACATCCTCCCGGCGCAGATCACTGACGGACTTCAACGCACGTGTTATAAGAAAACACTTTACTTGGCCTTGGCCAGACCGACAGCGTTGTTGCCCACGTCGTAGACGCTGTACCACTGGCGCAGGAAGGAGTCACCCAGAATTGCCAGAGGGCCGACGGGCTCGGGGAAGTCCATGCCCATGAAGCTGCTGATGCAGGAGCCCTGGACCTCCATGATGTAGTCGTACGGGCCAATGGTGAAGTTGTGGCCGCTGAGGGTGAAGGTGAGGTCGGGCAGCGAGTCACGCTTCTCGCATTCGACGGTGTACTGGCCAGTGAAGGACTTCTTGGCACCAATCTCCTTGTTCCTGTTTTGGGGTGGTTAGCAGGGAGGGGATCTCAGCAGCAGATACAAGGGACTTACAGAAGCTCGGCAAGAGTCGAAGGCAGAGCAATGAGCGACGTGCCGGTATCCAGGATAATACCGGTGTTCTCCAGCTCGGCGGTGTTGTCGCCGAAGCTGATGGCGTTGAATTCCACCTCCCAGTAGGCCTTGCGGCGCAGGGGAATCTTGGTCAACTCGCCCGTGTAGTGGCTCTTGTCCAGACCACCGAAGGTGGCCTCAGAGTTGTCGCCCTCCTTGTTGGTGTCACCCAGGTAGAACGCAAATACGGGCTCATCCAGAAGATCCTGGTTGAGCATGTTGTAGAAGGGAGGCACCATCTTGTTGACGGAGATGGTGTCGTAGCCCAGACCCAAGATGCCGTCGAACCGACCGAAAGCAAAGGCCAATCCGGGTTCGTTGGTAGCCTCGGCAAAGTCCTGCTTCTTGACCTTCAGGTCACCGATCTGCAGCGTGTCCTGAGAGACAAAGCCGCTCAGGCTACCGGATCCATAACGGATCTCAAACTCGGTGCCGTTCTTCTTGTAGGTGCTCGACGAGGACGAGTCATACTTAGTGTGGAGGAAGCAGGCGATCGAGTTGCACTCGGAAGATGGAACCCACAGGTTCGAGCTGCCAGTGTCGAGAACGACCTTGAAGGTCTGGGGAGGAGTCCCGAGAGAGATCTCGGAGAAGTCTGGGAGAAGGGTCAGTGTGAGTTCGGAAAGATCCACAGGGGGAATCTCATACACTGGGCGTTCATGAAGTTGTCCACCAGCACATCGTGGCCCGCGGAACCCTTCAGAGAGGTATCCTGGAAGATGTTGTCCTGAGACTGGGGGCGGTAGCCCATGTACTTCTGACCCAGGGCGCGGACCTGGTCATCAAAGCTGTGTGTTTTCTGCCATCCCATCAGATTGAGACGGACTCGATGATCAAGAGTGGTGGACCTACCAGCTGCTCCTCGAGAGGGACCTTGTTGATCTTCAGCTTGTGCACCTCGGCGGCAGCACTGCCCAGCAAGGCCGAGGCCGTAAGCAGGGCGAGGGACTTCATGATGGGTCCAGACAGGGGAGAGAATGAAACAAGCGAAGACAATCTAGCGAACGACGGACTGAGATGGAGTGGGTGATGAGAGATACGAGATGGGGGAGGAGAGATGGATGGAAGAGGAAGGAGAGAGACAGTCAACAGCGGTCGATCGGGTGACTGGGGGGATCGGCGCCGGGGTTACTCATGACGCAACCAGCGACGGCTGACTCAGCGGATGGTCTGGATCAAGCAACTAGGCTGCCGGGATTGCGACACACGGACAGGATCGGGGTTACGAGGGACCTAGTGAGGGACGATGGAGGCGGCGAGAATACATAGTACACAGATTGTATGGAATAAATTATCGTCGTGTCTGCCTCCTGGTGATGATGCAGGCGCTGGGATCCGGTTGCGTGGCCGGATGCGCCCCTTCCGGTACCTGGCAGCAGCTGACAACCAATAAATAACACGGGCAAAACATGGTGTCACATCCACGATCAATCTACCGGTAGAAGTCCATCCTGTAGGAGAGAGAGAGGTTAGCATCACAAAACATCAATAGTGCAGAAAAACACATACCGCTCGTCGTCCTGTCCGCTCTTCACCTGGGCCTGATACGCGTCCTCCAGGTCGGACTGGATGATGTTGTAGCGATTCTTCCGCACGGCCCGCAGCCCAGCCTCCTGCATGATCGCCGCAATCACCGCACCGGACAAGGGCTCGTTGCGCACAATCAGCGAGTCCAGGTCCACCTCGGGGGACAGCGACATCTTGGATGCGATGGTCGTGAAGATCAGGCGGCGCTCGCGGCGGTCGCGCAGCGACGGGAACTCGATCTTTCGGTCCAGACGACCGGGACGCAGCAGCGCCGGGTCCAGCGTGTCGGCTCGGTTGGTGGCCATGATGACCTTGACATTGCTGGTCTGTTCGAAACCGTCCATCTGGTTCAGCAGCTCCAGCAGGATACGCTGCACTTCACGATCCGCACCGGTCTGCGCATCAAAACGCTTGGTCGCGATCGCATCGATCTCGTCGATGAAGATAATTGCCGGCGAGTTCTCACGCGCCATCCGGAACACATCGCGGACCATCCGAGGTCCTTCTCCCAGATATTTTTGGACAAACTCCGAGCCGTTGACACGGATGAAGCTGGCAGTCGTGCTGTTGGCCACGGCCTTGACCAGCATGGTCTTACCCGTACCAGGGGGTCCGTACAGCAGGACACCGCGAGGCGGGTCAATACCTACATCGCGTTAGCCCAATATTACACGCGGAGGATAGTAGCTTCAACCCACCAATCTGTCTGTAGAGGTCGAAATGCGTCAAAGGCAGCTCGACAGCCTCCCGAATCTCCTGCTTCTGCATGTCCAACCCACCAACATCGGCGTACGTCACATCCGGCTTCTCGCTCTCGCCCAGCATGGCAATTGAGGAGTCGGCCTCCGGGGGAAGGATGTCAACCAGCGCGTTCGAGTGGCGGTGGAGGGCGACGGAGGATGAAGGCTTCAGCTTCTCGCGGTCGAGCGTGGACAGGATGCGGACGACGTAATTAGAGCCGGTCGAACTCTGGACAATGCCAGTGCTAGAAGACGCGTTAGCGTTTAGTTGTGGTTTTGATGTCAAGATGCCTACTTCTGATCGATGGCTTCCATGAACTGTCCGATGACCAAAGGCACACTCTGTATCCGCTTGATCTCCTCTTGTGCCCGAACGAGCTCCCTCTTCAAGCTTCTGTACGCGAGAGACCGGTTAGCATTGTCATAGAACGGTCGAGGAGTATGGTGCATGCCTCTGCTCATCTTTGATATATTCCTCCTGCAGTTGGATGTACCTGTTCAATCTCCATCAGCACTGGCCACTTTGGCTCCAGGGTCTGCGAAAGCATACTCCAGGTGTCTCTGTAGCCTCTTGAGCGTGGCATATTCGTCATTGGCATCCGCCTCTGTGCCCTCGAGCGATTCTATGTTCGAGAGGGTATCCAGGGCACCGGGCCTGGGCAGAGGCGTGACGTTCGCCGGGCTCTCCACGGCAACGTCTCCCATGGTGGAGTCGGGGGACAGGCAATGAAAATGGGTGCGTGAGAAGGTTGGAGCGGGCGAGGTGGTTGCAGTTCCGAGAGTGGATCGAGAAGGATGTGGTGATGGTGAAGGTGATGCGTGTCGGAGCGTCTGTGGCTCTGGAGCTTTCGATGATCCGGGAGCTTGGTCGGTCACGTGATCGTTCTTCCATCTCATCGGAGAGTCGGTAGTAGGAACAGGATCAAGGTTTCCGGTTTTGATTTAGAAGTTCTGCCAGAATCATTCGAGAGTTTAGTAGGGCCATGGTCTACTAGAACCTGTATTATCGGGTTTCATTCTACGCTATGGCGTTGTGACCGCCGCACACGGTAGAAGAGAGGAAAATAACAACAATCACAAAGCCGCGCTCTGATAGCAATTTGAATAATTATATCCTCGAATAATATTATTGTTGTTGATTTGTAGCAAACGCTCAACGAAAAACCAGGGTTCCTTTCAAACAGAGGATTTGATCGCTCCCCGGCCCATAACCCGACTGATCCTCGATTATATATTTTGGGATGCACACCGACAACCAGATGCTGGCCGTACAGACTCCGAGCAACACCAGCCACTGGATAACCATGCACCAACACCTCTACATAATGGAGACGGTCGCATACTCCTGTGCTACACCTAAACGAGGCCATGGTTCCGGTCACGGACGGAAACGAGGGTGGAGCAGCCCCCCCGGTGGGACAGGCACAGACGATGATAGCCATGCGGATCGAGTCGGATCTTTGCCCGGGTGGCAGGGGGGAACCCTGGGCCGGTTGACTGGATCGTGATCTGAGCTTTGATGGGCCGTGACTGCGGTGGGAGGATTATTGGGCGCGCATAGACACATGGTTATCAGGCGCTAGTCTAGGCTTTATATAAGGATGCCCACCTGTCTGTCACCGGCGGAGGTCCTGAAAATTCTCTGCACGGGGAAATTCCTGTTCCCCTGGCTTTTTACCTTCCCCGCCATAACGTTGACTCCCACCGCGGTTGACTGTCCTGGCCATCCCTGGGCGGTGGTGGCGGGTGTTTGAGTATAACACGCCGCACTAGCCGGACTCGGCAGAGACCGTTGGAATGGATCTTCGCCGGCATCCGGGGTGTGGTACTGGCTGTGAGGGTATGTTATCATGCATTTCCGAACAGCCTGTGCCAGTGTTGAGGGTTGTTTTCCTATTTTTTCCCCGGGCAGTCCAACTTTACGGGCCATGACAGGTGTCGGCCACGGATGACAGCCGCGATGAGCGCAGAAACCAGGACCAAATGCCCTCCCCGACCCCATCAACCAACCGAATAAATGCGTATTGACCATAGTCGCAACTAACCGTAATAGCAATCATTCGGATGGCCACGCCTCCTGCCTCCTCCTCCTTGACAACCGGGTTGGCCATTACCATACCAATACCGCGGTACGACCCTAGCACAGACTGAATTTTGCCCATTCTTTCCCACTCCACTCTCCCTTTCACCCCCGATGCCAAAAGTGACGGCTCTTGTCTGCCCAGTCGTAAGTCCTATTATTCCGGTGCGCTGATTTGCTTGGGCCCTTGCGTTTACCTTTTCCCCCACACTCCCCATTATCCCCCTTCCCTACCGTGTGCCCACGCACCTGCTGGCTGGCCACCCGGGAATGGCGGCCCATCGCCTGTAGCCCCCGATTTGTCTGGCGCTCCCCTGGGCTGTTGGCCTGGATCAATCCTGACTGAATCTTGGTTCCTGAGATCATCCCCTGTGCATCATTTGCTAATGATCGACCTCCCCCCAGCCCTGATCCTCTCTCTCCCTTCCCGGCTGCAATCCCTTCTTTGGCCGCCCCCAGGTCGCCCTTGTGTGTCGTGGCCTCAGGCACCCACCCACTCCACGTGACCGGACCCCGTGACCAGCCAACCTCTGGCCGCTCCCCCCGATCCCGTCTGCTATTTTCGGGATTCCATCACCCGTTCGCAACGGAATCTTAGTGATCCAGCCTTGTCGGTATGTACCTGTCTTTTTCCATTGCCCTCCATCATCCCCATCCCCTCCCGTTCAATGGGATCCATGTTGCTTTCCCTTCCCCCTGCTGCGCCATGCTGTGTGGTGTTCGCCCGGGGGCCGTGTCGCGACGGATTTGCGCGCGACCCTAAACACCAGCCACCCCTCCACCCACGCGTCCACATGGTTCTAGATGATCATCCGTGGTCCCGTCCCCAATGAATTTTGATGCTACCACACATACCTTAATGATTGCACGCGTGGATCAAGCCATTTGGATGCTGACCAATTTCCCCCCAGATGGGTTGGTAAGACCGCACGACATGAATGCCTGGCTCGCTGACGCCTCGAACCTTCCGGGCCATGATAACGGGGCTTTCAACCCTGCCACCATCGATCCCTCTGCCGCTTTCCTTCATGGCTCCCCGGCGCCCCAGGATCCCAATCAATTCCAGCGCATGTTCAATAATGGCGTGCCCCGGAATGCATCGCCAGGCTTTCACAACCCAAACCAGGTGATTCCGTCCAAGCGACCACGACCGGAAGATGGCATGCCCATGTCCCCCCGGCCTGCGCCGGGCGGCGTGACGGGGTCGCGATCACAAACTCCTCACCAGGTGCCGTTCCCTGGCTATCAGGGCCCGGCGAATGGCGCGCAATTCCCCCAACATCCCACCCCATATCAACATCTTCAGCAGGGAGCATCGCCCAACCTCACGCAGTCGCCAATCATGCAAGAATTTGATCAGCAGAGCGTCCGCATGGGAACGGCCTCTCCAAGCCCCTTTTCGCCCGCAGGCCCGCATGTAGGTGGTCCCCATATGTCTCCGCAGCAGTCGGACCATGGCAGCCGTGTGAACACACCTCAGAACAACAACTTCATGCAAGGGCAGAGTTTCCCTCAGGGCATGAACCCGCAGCAGTTCCAGCAGGCCAATGCAATGACCACCGCTGGCGGTCAGCCGTCAATGCAAGCTCAACAATTTAGCGGCATGCAACAAGTACCTCAAGGATATCACCAGGCTATCGCCGCTCAGCAACAACGACTACATGCCATGCAGATGCAGCAGGGCCAAAACCGGCAGATGAATGCCAATCCGGCAATGGCTGGCCGGCCAGTCCCTGGTGGCATGAACGCCATGGGTAACCCTCAGCAGATGGCGGCCATCCGACAGATGCAGCAGAACGTGGGCAAGCCCAACAATCCCGAAGGGTTTATGCGCACCCTGCAAAAATTTATGATGTCACGAAACCTCCCTTTGGATCCGAACCCGATTGCGAGCGGTCGCCCGATCAACTTGGTGCAGTTGTATGCTACAGTGATGAAGATGGGTGGGTCGAAGAAAGTGACCGCGACCAACATGTGGCCCGCTGTTGCGCAACAGTTGCAATTCCCCCAAATGCAATTTCCCATGGCGGCCCAGGAAATTCGGGAGCACCACCAAAGAAACTTGGCTCCTTACGAGCAGGCATTTTTGAGCTCGCAGCAAAAACAGTTTGAAATGCAACAGCAACAGCAACAGCAACAGCAACATCAACAGCAACAGCAACAGCAGCAGCAGCAGCAGCAGCAGGGTGGCCACCCAAGGCAACCCAGTGACGCCTCGGGGATGCAGTTCCAGTCGCCCTCTGTGAAGCCGGGTCAGGGATTTGAACAGCCTCCGCAGCTGGCCCAGTCACCCACGACTGGCACCCCTGTTGCCAACAATGCCCAGGCCATCTCTGCAAACGGGTTTGCAACACCAACACAAGCCCGAAGTCAAAGCAAGCAAGCACAGCACCGGCTGAGTGTCTCGCGCCAGTCACAACCATCTGTCCCACCCGACGGCCAGTTTCCTGCCCCCTCACCGTCACAGTCTGGAGGTAAAAGCTCCGTGTCTACTCGTCAACCACCGGTACAAGCAGAGTCAAAACCTGAGCACCCTGTGAAGCAGCCAATTGAAGATCCTTTCAAGCCTATGGTGTTGAAGGAACATCGTTTGCATGGGCCTATTGCGGTGGATGAAATGTACCAGGTTGGAGAGGATATCTCCCGGCTAAAACCGAACGTGCCCAGCTTTTTGGAGCTAGGGGTGATTGACATTCACGCTATAACGATGAGCCTCAAATCTGGTATACATGCCGAGGTTCGCCTTGCCCTGGATACGCTTACTACCATCTCCTGTGAGCCGCAGATCCAGATCTCGTTGGAGAATTGCGACGACTTGGTCGAGAGCTTGATCGACTGTGCAGAGGAGCAGCTAGACCTGCTGGCTGAACACACCCCAGAAGAGTCGAACACTATCCGAATACCTTTCTACGAGGACGTCACACGTGGCTGTCAGTCCGAATTCACATCACTTGCCGATGTTTCTGAATTCGGCACTCTGGCCTATAAACTTGACCGGGCGGTCGATAAGCTCATCTGTGTCACCACCATCTTGCGCAACTTTTCCTTCAGCGAGTCGAACTTTGGAATTCTGGGATCGCCGCCAGTTGCCGAGTTTCTGTCTACGATCTTCCGCTATCTGGGGACTCGCCGAATGCTTCTGCGTACCAACCAGAACACATTGGATTTCATGAAGGATGCGGTGATCTTCCTGAGCAATCTGGCCCACGCCATCCAGTTGCCATCAAAAGAGGATGCGTTGAGCTTACTTCTCTTCCTCCTGGCGTTTGCACCATTGCCTGACCCTTCCACCACACCCGATAAAGTGATGTTCACCGCGTTCAATTCTTCCACCCACCGGTATACACCTGCGGCAGTGGATGGGCTGGCCAAGTTGCTGGCGCGGGATGATCCCAACCGGACATATTTCAAGGCAATCTTCTCTGGTGACTCACCCGGTCCTTCCCACGTGGAATTGCTCACCCGCGCTTTTGGCCTTGCCATCAGCCCGATCCCGGACCAGCTTCGAAAACCCCTTGCGGTTACAGACGTGCGCAAAGTCTTCCTCATGCAGGGCCTGCTGGCTGCCGACATCCTTGCGTGGTATGCAGATGGCTCTCTGGCAAGAACGTGGCTCGAGTCCATTGATGGGTTTGCCATCCATCTTCTGCGACTCTCCTGCTTGTTGTGCACCGAACGCATCCCACAAATTCAGATCAACCCGCGGCAAAGAGGCCAGGCCGAGGCTGATGCCTACGCATTCAGCTCAATTGTTCATCGCGGATTGGCCATTCTCCGTCGGCTTGCAGAGAAGTCCAAGCAAGACAACTCCTCCCCTCTCCGGCTACCTTCTGGGATCCTCCCGAAGAAAGAAAGCCTGCTGGGGGCACTGCTACTGCCGAACGTCGATCCGGCCGTTGTCCGACAGCTCGTCACTTATGCAAAGCTCGCAGAGTAACGCGTGTATGCACTTCATCGCGCACATATGAGCAATTTTGGGTTCTATCATGTCTTTTCTACTCATGAATGTCCTCGTGGTCTCCTGATCGTCTTACACATCCGGGCGCCGGTGGGAATTGGGGGGTTTGTTTTTTGTTCCCTTTTTTCTTGTTCTATTTTGTGAGATAGCGCTTCGCCATTCTGCTTTCTTCCGTGTACAATGCTTAAAATACCCTCCGCTGAGTGCGAGAGATTCTGCATGATTTTTCCACAATAGTACGATTTCAATTCTCTGCCACGAAACACACGCAACACGCTGTAGGGTGCAGGAGATCCCCGAGATAGTAGTTTGCACGCATGTGTGAAAGAAACATTCGACTTCGGCTTCGACTTCATAAGCTGACAGCCCTACCTTGGTTAGGCCAGCGGAAACAGCGGTATCTTCGTCGCAGAAGCCAACCTGAAAACAGGCAAGCACACCGTAATTGCACTTACCACGTCCATCATCCACAATGGATTATACAACACGACAAAGGTCTTCATTGCCTCTAAACCTGTTACTTTGACTAGAATGATCGTGGGAGATGTCCTAAGCAAACAATTTGAAAGTTTGATGGCAACCTCCGAGTGGAAAGGCATATAGCCCTGCTCTTCCCCCAGATCTCTCTTCTTCTCTTCAGCTTCTCCACCTGTCAATCTCTCCACTTGCCTTTAAGCTCTTCAGAATAATCAAAAGTGAGCTTCTGCTATCCCCTCATACATACAATTTCCAATGAGGCCCTGCGTAAATTGACTGACAGGCTGCTGAGCTAGATCCACTCAATCTACATATCAGAACACCATTCTCAATCTTGATAACAGGCAACGACAAAATGTTCAAGTCTGATGCCTTGCGCATCCAGTCTAGTCAGGTAACGTCTTCTTACTAGGGTGAAAAGCTCAACAGCATAGTGATACAAAAATAGGCCAGCCAGGAGCGGCGGCGACATGTCGTCTTGCGGCTTTGCTTCACTCGCCCAAGCAGCTGGTGACCGTAACGCCAACGCTAGCTCGGGCTCATCGGGCCAGCCGGGGGAGAACACCCGCAGCTCTACCATTGGCAATGCCGGTTCGACCTCTGGTACTCAGGGATCGGGCTCTTCTGCTGGCAAGCGTTGAGAATTGGACTTGCAAGCCTGCCTCCGTTATGAGGGCCAGAAATCTTTCCAGTGTTGGGTTTAGATAGCTCTTGGCTGGAAAGTTGCCGTGAGAATTGGGTTGCAATGTACGGAAAGATAGAAATGAATCAATGAATGATAGGGAGATCAACCACCACCTGTTGTCAATGAATACGTACATGGAGAGATAGAAACAAGTACGCAGGGTCAAAAATCATGTGCGACGAACACCAACCAAAAAGACAGAAATAAAACCCATAGAGATAAGAAAATACAGTGCCTGATGCAAGAGGGAATTGAGAAAAGAAACATTACCCTTCCATGCTGACCGCTCATCGGGTACTCAACTCGACTGCCTGTTCCCACCCCCGTTTTCTTCATTTGACGAGTCATTGCCTTTGCCGCCACTTAACTGGCTTCACCGGCCCATCTCACCCCAGTTGAACTTTTGTAGTATGATTGGCGATTATGATAATGTTTAGAAGTTCCGTTCCTCGAGAAACTTCTGGATCTCCGGTTTCCGCCAGCCCTAACATAGCAAGTTAGCATCCAATGCCGGCATCGCAAACACAACGGAACATACCTTGACAAGAATATGCCCATTCAGCCGGTTAATCGTAACCTCAGGCTTCTTGGGGGGCGGTCCGTTGGGCGATTCAACGCCAAGCGCCAACGCCAAATCCCTGCGCAGAGCATCCATGTCGCCCTCCGTCTTTTGAATCTTGGTCTGCTGCTTCGTGCCGCCGGCTTTTGTGACAAGGTAGACGGGAAGTTGGTTGGAGGGAGTGCGGCGAACAAAGTAGGGAAGATTATTAAGCTGCAGAGCCGGCTGCGGTGTCTGGGGCGGCTTAACTGGGCCAGTGGGTGTCACAGGTTGTTCCTTCAGGGCTTGTGCTTGGTGGCGGAAGTGCGTCAGGAATGTGCGGGTTGAGCGGGTAGGAAGAGAGGGTTGATGCGAGGTCGCCGGGCGATGTGAGAATTGAGGCTGGGAATCTGGAGGGCACGTTCAGTTGGATGCTGATCTCCATCAAGAGCGACCACAGCAAAAGGTGCCCGCGAGGCACCGCGTAGAGCCCCATAAGACAAGACACTGGCAGCAACTTACGTGAAGACAGTCGTGCCCGAGAGCATAATGTGGAAAAGGAACTAGATGTGCGGAGGGAGACGGCTGCAGGGCTGAGACGCAGCGACAGGGCCGTCGACTGGCGCGTAGCCGAGGACGGGAGGAGGGAGGCCATGACAATCTCTCCCACAGCAAGCAAGACGATGGGCGAAGACAGGAAATGGACGAGAAGAGCAACAAGTCCAGTGACACGGCCATATTTTCCTGCCCGTCCACGCTAACCCCGATCGGGCCTAGCGCAGATTACTCTTTCCCACATTTTCTTTCCCACTTGCCAAATTCACTGTTCGACCCTTTCAGTCTCTCTCTCACCCATCCACCCCGACACACCATGGCAGACAACGCCCCCCCTTCTGCTGAGACCATGCTCAGCGGCGCTGCTGCCCACCAGCCCAAGGCCGGAGAGGATATCGCCAACCAGTATGACCTGCTGCCCCGCCTCATCCCGTACCTCGACCGTCACTTGGTCTTCCCGCTGCTCGAGTTCAGCGCCGACACCGACGAGGAGGACAAGGAACTCACCCGCGCCAAGTACGAGCTGCTCAAGCACACCAACATGACCGACTACGTTGCCAATCTGTGGCAGGAGATCAACGATTCCGACTCAATTCCCGACGAATTCGTCAAGAAGCGCGAGGAGGTTCTGGCCAAGCTGCAACACTACCAGGAGCAGAGCGAGAAGATCACAGAGCTGCTACAGGATGAAGATGTCGTGGGCAACCTGCGCAGCGACAAGGCGGCCAACTTGCGGTTCCTGGAGGAGCAGCACGGGGTCACCAACGAGATGGTCAACAGCCTCTACGACTATGGCCGCTTTCAGTACAGCTGCGGCAGCTACGGCAACGCGGCAGAGCTGCTGTACCAATTTCGGGTTCTGTCAACCGACAACGACAAGGTGGCCGCCGCCACCTGGGGCAAGCTGGCGTCGGAGATCCTGACCACCAGCTGGGATGCCGCCATGGAGGAGGTGCAGAAGGTGAAGGACTCGATCGAGACGCGCCTGTTCAACAACCCTCTCGCCCAGCTCACCAACCGGTCCTGGCTCATTCACTGGTCTCTCTTCCCCTTCTTCAACCACGACGCCGCCCGCGACGTTCTCACCGACCTCTTCTTCTCCCCCGCCTACATCAACACCATCCAGACCAGCTGCCCATGGATCCTGCGGTATCTCGCCGCCGCCGTCATCACCAACCGCAGCCGCCCCCACAAGAACACTGGTCTGTACCAGAAGCAATTGAAGGATCTGATTCGCATTGTGCGTCAGGAGGGCTACGAGTACACCGACCCGATCACCGACTTTGTCAAGGCGCTCTACGTCGACTTTGATTTTGAGGAGGCGCAGAAGAAGCTGGGCGAGGCCGAGGATGTGCTGCGGAGCGACTTCTTCCTTGTGTCGGCTGCCGATGCTTTCGTCGAGGCTGCCCGGCATCTCATTTCGGAGAGCTACTGCAAGATCCACCAGCGGATTGATATCAAGTGAGTTTGCGGCTGATCTTTTTGAACAAGAGCTGTGCACTGACGTTGTGGTAGGGACCTGTCTACCCGTCTCGGCCTGAGCCAAGACGAGGGTGAGAAGTGGATCGTCAACCTGATTCGCGACACCCGGGTTGATGCCAAGATTGACTACAAGGAGGGTACGGTGATCATGAACCACCCGCCGCAGTCGGTGTACCAGCAAGTGATTGAGAAGACGAAGGGTGCTTTCTTCCGGACACAAGTTCTGAGGTATGTGTTGCCTACTGATTGCTTCTGAAGTATCATCATCACTAACTTCCTCTATAGTTCTGCCGTCGCGAAATGAAATTCTGCATGAGTTGATGCCAAAAATTTCCATTTCTGTTTACTTTCAACCCTGTTTCTGCCCACCCATTTCCCAGTGATCTTCCCGTGTGTGTCACGACACGGCTCTTTGAGGGGATGGGACATCTCGCGAAGTGGCATCCGGCTGGCGTTTTTCGGTGGTCCACCCTTTTTTGAATTTCTTATGTAGTCACTTTACTGTTCTCCGTCTCTCCTTCCGCGCCTTGCTTGTTCCTGTCGATTCGCCAAGCGGCCAATCTGACCCTGGAGGGTTGGACGGAGGAGAGAACCCTCGATAAGGGATCATATACAATCCCTTCGCGAGGGGCTTTTGACGAGAATAGACAGGGGAGCGAGACAACTATATCGTTGACTCTGGTCATGTTTGGGTCTGACTGATCTATGCTGTTACGAATGGTCTATAGAGATGATGAGTGAAGACGAAGTCTTGGATAAAGCCTTTCCGTTTCTGTATTCCATACTAGATATCCTGTTCAGCCCTCGCAACCATCAGCTGCATCGAGCGATTGACGTGCAACGCTGCGCCCACAACGCAAGTGTATAGCAGTAAGAAGATATCGTGCTCGACTTCGAATGTCCCCTGCAACCCCTGCGTCTATCCTCGGAGATTCCCCTTGTGGATCGGCCATTGTCCATGGGGAAATGATAGATTCCGGGCATTCGGCTCCTGGAAAAGATAAGGCCCATGGTCTTCCGGCGCGAATGGGACATAGAATAAAGAAAATCAATCCGGCCTGCAAGTAGGGATCGCCTTCCATGTCCGGTTCTGGCTGAAGCAACAGAGACAAATGCAATACACAACCAGCTACCAGGGATCTGATCCAGCGTGCAGGGAAAGCCAGGAAAAAGGACTTTCAACGGCTGCCCCGAGAATCGGATTCCGTGCGTCTGCGCGTCCGGCCTGGGTCCACTGGGACGATCTCATTGATATAGGGCTCTCTCTGCTGCCGATCCGAAGAACCGCCACCATTGTTATTGGCAGTGGAAGAAGAAGTGTTATTTCCCTGGTTCGTCATGCGCAGGGCTTCCTGTTTCTCATATTCCCGAGACATAGCCGCCAGATCGTCAATTTGTTCCTGTTCGCCAATATCAATCAGTCTCCCCGGTTCTTTCTTTCTTTCCTTGCTATCATCTCAGAACTAGGAAATAAAACGAAAAACACACCCGCGTCAGCGGCATGCCGACTATAAGATATCCTTCGCGGCCCTTTACTCCAAGAAAAAAGATATCTGGTTAGAGAGGGTTAACCGTGGCGCACAGCGGGTGTTCTGAGGCGAAGTACCTGGTAACTATATGGCCTGACTGACGCAGATGGGCCAAGAAAGTAGTGGATGTGCCCGAGGACGATGTGTCGGGATAGTCCATACCCCGGCAGCCAGTATTGCTGAACATGCGATGACATACCTCAACGCGAACAAAGGTGGTGTTTTGGAAGGGGGTTGGTTGTTCGAGACCCTAAGGAAGACCTGGGACATGCGCAGGCAATAAATAGCTCGGCTTGAGAGATGTCCGAGGGAAGAAACGAAACCAATAGGATAAGCCTCAGTTCGGAGCGGCAGTGTCCCCTTCCCGTCTCCTACCTGCAATCCTTTGGAAAGAAACAATAAGCTTCATACGTCGAGATCCACCGGCCAACCGATCTCTCGATACACCATAAAGGACGGAGCAAATGAGAATCACCCCAATTGGCAATATCACGAGCGACACATGCTCATGATACACTAGAGGAGACAGCAGTATTCATTTATCCAGGCACACACCAGTAGCTAGTCCCCTGGCCAGAAAAGCAATCAGCTGGCGTGAAGGATTCCCGTCGGAACCGTCAAGAGCAGGTTTGTTGGGCCGGCCGCCTCACTCTATCAGACGACGAGATCCAACCCTTTCGGCAGGCTAGACTGGCACGGCATGGTATCTCCGCTAGTAGTAGCGACAGCAATAGTGCGGCGTCGTTTGGTTCAGCAGACAACTAGGAGAATTCGACGGGTCTGCCGACCTCAAAGTGAGGCTTGCGGCGCGGGACAATGCTCTCGAATCAATTCGAAGGCCAAAGTTGATCTCTATGAGGGTGACTTCTTTCGAGTTTCCCGCCCTCACCGCTCGGGTTCTTTCTTCAGATCATCGTTCGAGCAAGTGAGCGGCCATGCAGTCGGTGGTGGCGGTGATGTCGTGGCACCAGGGACCGCTGGTCTTTGTCGCGGGGTCCAGGTGCGCCTCGTCGGATAGTTGCACTGGTTCGTTTGAACACATGGCCGGCAGATACATGGTTGTCTCCAGACGGAGAGTTTGCTATGGAAGAGTCGTTCATAAGAATGAGTGACATTTACGGACTATCTACAACAGAGATGAGCGTGGTATTATACTCTATCATTTGATTTTTCGTAATTCGTCGGACGAAAAAAAGGTATCTCGCACTGACATGGCACTCATACTTACTCTGGAGGGACGTAGGGCTGCACGAGCATTTCGCTGAACCTGTAGGTAGAGAACCAATTAGCCTGGACATGACTCTGGACAGAGGGGAGGAAAGAGCGCACTTCTCCAACTTCTCCTTGCCCCGAACCTCCTCCACCAACAGTGGCATGCGCACGACGTTGAAATCCTCATACAGCTCCTCAATCTGCTCAATGTACTTCTTCTGCATCTTGCGGCGCGCATTGCACTGTTCGCAACCACTGCCCTCCTTAGGGAACAGAAGCTGGTTCACGACAATGGAGTGCGTGTCGATGCCGTAGCTGGTCAGTTCTTGAACCATGCGCTCCGTCTCATACAGCGACAGGAACTCGGCAATGCACACGCACACAAAGGTGGTCATATCCGCGTCCTTGAACTGCGAGTTCACCTCGCTGATCGTCTCGCGCAGGGACTCCATCTTCTGGAGCAGGTCGTCCATGTTCTGGCCGTTTGGCAACCCGCCGCGCGCGCCCAGGATCGAGTTGAGCATCGGGCCAAACTGCGAGGAGAGCTGCGAGAGCTTGGCCAGGGCTTTCTCGAGGACGGTGGGAAATTGCAGGAAGCGGAGGGTGTGGCCCGTTGGTGCGGTGTCGAAGACGATGACTTCGTAGGAGAGCGACTTGACTTGTTTCAGGACTTCGGCGAAGGACATGGCCTCGTCGACACCGGGGATCTAACAGGCCGTCCTCCGAGTTAGCAAGTGAAAGACCCCCAAATCCAGACGAAAGACTCACGCTGAATGCCAGATCCTGCATCATATTCCCCATGCCCAGGCCGGCCATGGGATCTTCGCCCTGCCCCTCGCCGCCACTGGCCAACAGATCCTGGATACTCCCATTGGGATCAATCTCCATCGCGCTGAGGTTGGAGAAGCCATCGATAAGGCGCGCCTCCTTGCCGAACTTCTGGCCAAAGGCATCGCTCAAATTGTGGGCCGGATCGGTCGAGATCAACAGCACGGACTTGCGCACTTTGGCCAGCTGGATAGCCAGTGAGCACGAGGTGGTGGTCTTGCCGACACCACCTTTGCCGCCGACGAAGATCCAGCGCAGGGTTTTTTGGTCCAGGATCGACTGGAGCGTAGGCTCCAGATCGAGGTCGTCATGAACGACGGCGGTGGAGGACATGGCGGGATGAGGTGAAGAGGGAATAATGTGGGATGTTGAGGATGACTGAGGATGAGGGATTCCCGCCCCGCAGGAAAATGAGCTTGGCAACGAGCACTGGGGGACTTGTTTGCAACTATCCCATTGACCATTATTGACTACGACTATTAGGACGATGATTATTTTCTAATGTCCTCTTCCATTGAGGATTTAACTATGTTCAAAGCCAATCCATGCTTGATCTGACCCACCACTCATGGCATCCTCCGCATCATCGGGGTCCTCCGATGCTGGGCAGCAGTGAGTAGAAAAGGCGCCTGCTCGACCATTTCCCTCCTTAACAACAACACTCTCCCTCACTGCGAATGGACGCCAACAGTGCCAATCGCACCACCCACCGCCTCGCTCTCTACCAGCAACAAATCGCCCCGTCATCCAACCACCAACAACCCACTACCTCCACAATGGCCGCGCGCGACCCCATTACCTGCCACTGCCTCAACACACTATCGGGCACTCCGGCCGCCAACCTGCCCGTGACACTCACCCTACTCTCCTCACCCGCCTCCGCGTCCAGCCCGATCACCTTCCACGCAACCACGAATGCCGACGGCCGCGTCGCAAACTGGACCGCCGCCGGCGCAGCTTCCGTGACCGTACCCGCGCTGCTGGCGTCGCTGCCGGCCGCTGATTCCAAGACGAACTGGTCGGTGCGCTTCGAGGTCGGCCCCTGGTATGAGGCTCAAGGGGTGGACAGTTTCTGGCCCGAGGTCGAGGTCAAATTCACGGTCAAGGGCCGTGGCCGCGAGGGCGAGGAGGGATGGCGCCATTACCATGTGCCGGTGCTGTTGGGGCCTTGGAATTACTCGACATATCGGGGGTCGTGAGATGAATGTGCAAGAGTTGGTTGGGGATTGTATATACAGTATCTATCCCATCGAACAATAGTTATAGACCAATGTGCTTTCTATATCTATCTAGATCTTCGCCTTCGGCTGCCTCGACGTCTCCCGACTATGCACATGGCTAATCTGTTGAAACTTCTTCAACGCATCCCCATACAGTTCACTCCTCAGCAGCGCAAACACCCCCATGCGCGACTTCCCCTTCACCTTCTCTGCCAGCGCAAGAGCCCGATCCAGCATCTCTTCCGGCGCGGCAATCTCATCCACAATCCCCGCCTCCAGCGCCTCTTTGCCAGTGAACTTGTGTGCTTCCAAGAGGACCTTTCTCGCGACCTGGGGGTGCAACTTGGCTCGTAGCAATGCGCCCATCCCGTTGAAATGGAGACCCAGGTTCACCGGTGGCATGGACCAAAAGCCGCGCTTGGAATTCATAATTCGATAGTCGTGTGCTAGGGTTAGCAGGCAGGCACCGCCGAAGGTGTGTCCCGTAATCAGACAGATTGTTGGGAAGGGAAAGTCGAGGATTGTGCGGACGAGCTATGGCTTGGTATAAGAATGCGACGGCATTGAACAAAGGTGCTTTCCTTACCGGGTAGAAACCGTCGGTGCTAGCGAAGATATTGGTACCTCTTTCGTCTAGATCCAGTCCCTACATAGTGTGCCGATTAGCAAGTTGCTCGGTTGTGTCCCCATTTATCTAACCTACAGTAGTGAAGAATTTCGCGTCCTGTCCGCGCAAGATCACTACGCCTTCCGGCTCAGGCTTTTCAGAGAGCGTTTGCTCAATGCGGCGGTAGGTATTAATCAGAGACTGACATAGGCCCGTTGTAAGGCGGTTCTCTGGGGGTTTCTGTAATGTAACGATAAAGACGGCGCCATTGCGCTCGACCTTGAGGAAATTTGTGTCTGTCTCCATGATGAGAATTGTGAGTCACGGAGAGAATGAATTGATCTCAAGTCAGAGGTAGACCTTGAAGACCGAGCTATAAGTTTAGTTACCATTGCCATGTCGGGTAGATCCCCGCAGCCGATTCCCTCCGGTGAGAAGGGAATCGCCGAAGCAAACGCCGGATATACTCCTCGGAATTCGCGGAATACCACATCTGAGCGGAATATAGAAGCGGGGTACACATAACACATGACCTGAGACTATGTCAGGGATTGGAGTATCTTTACGGACTAATTGACATGGTTACGTGGTTTACCTGCGAGCGTCCTGTATAGGAAGGTTGGGAGGTGACTTCCCCCCCGCGCCCCCCGGGGAATAATGTTTGTATTGTATGAAAAAGGAATCTAGAAATATTCTATCAAATGCTATTGCTATATACCGATTATTCCTTCTGTCCACGCCCTGGCTATCCTAAATCTTAGACTGTCGAGATCGCCAGATCTGGATACTCGGATCGTCGAGCTGCGAGAAAAACTTCTTGCCCAAAATCCTCTTCACAACCTTTCCAGATGCACTCTTGGGGAATTCATCCACCACACGCAAGATCGTGGGCATTTTGTACCCAGCCAGGCGCGAGCGAAGATCCGTCCGCAGCTTTTCCAAAGACACAGATGAGACCTGCATGTCATGTTATTATGTGTCTCTCCAAGATTTATTCACGAAAGACTTACGCCATCTCTCAGGGTAATTGCAGCGGCAACTTTCTGTCCATACTCTTCATCTTCGACTCCGACTACCATGACCTCGCCGATATAGGGGAGGTCGAGGATCTCGCGCTCAATGTCCAGAGCGGAGATTTTGTAGCCACCTGATTTGATAACTGGTACGGTTAGCTTGGTAACCAAGAGCGATGGTAGTGTGTGCTTACTGTCGATTGAGGCTCGTCCAAGAATGAAGTAGTAGTCTCCCTCACGGCGGGCTATATCTCCAGTCTTGTAGAAGCCATCTGGGGTGAAGGCAGCGGCGGTAGCGGCGGGATTGTACAAGTACCTGGTTCTGATTAGCACTTCATGTTGCTTAGCGAGGAGGGCGAGGGTACATACTCTCTGAACATGTGCGGGCTCTTCACCAGTACTTCTCCCTCGTTTCCACCAGACAACTTCACCTGTAGACCAAAGAAGGCCTTTCCTACGGAGCCCTGTCGACCATAATCAGCTAGGAAAGCAAATGAAAAAGAAGGGTCCGTTACATCTGGATTCTTCGAATCACCAGGCTTGACACTGAACACACTGCTAAACTCCGTGGCTCCATACCGCTCCAAAATCCGCTTGCCGTCCAACAACTTGATCCATTTAGTCTGTAGCGAAAAAGGTAGCGCCGCACTACCGGACATCATTATCCGGAAGGACCTGGCCGCATCCGCATAAGACTGGATTTCTGTGGGAGACCGTTTGGAGATGTTCTCGTCGAAGTATCTCATCATGCGCATGTACATGGTTGGAACACCAGAGAAGATGGTGAGGCCGCCCTGTCGCCAGCGCTCCCAGATGTGGGCTGGGTTAAACCCCGAAGACTGGAATTCGATCCCCGCGCCGGCGAGGAGAAAAGGCATGAAACTAATTCCGATTCCTGTGGCGTGGTGCACGGGCAAAGTGTGCAGAACTACGTCTGTTTCCTGGAGATGGTACCATTGTGCGATTGCCGAGGCATTCATGTCAAGGAATGAGCGGCGTTTGATAGCACCCTTCGGCGGACCACTCGTCCCCGAGGTGAAGATCACCAGTCCCGCTCCGAGGTAGTCAAGGAAGTGGTCTGACGAGATAGCTATCTGAGCGACAGGAATCTGCGGCTTACAGATATGCGGACGAATCTCCATAGAGATAAACCCGGGCATGCTTGATGCATTCATAGCACTGGCAAGGTCGTTCCCCAGCTTTGCGCACTTCGTCGAGCAGACGATACCGACCGATCGAGAGGTTTTGGCGAAGTACATTGCTTCCTCGAGAGGTACATTGACGGCTGTAACACAACGGGATCTAGTTAGAATCTGTATTGTCGAGAAGAAAGTCTAGAAACACTCACAAATCGGCACGATTACCGCGCCCAAGGCAAGCAATGCGAGGAACGCAGTTGCGAATTCATAGCCTCCCGATGCAAGTAGGTTTATAGCAACCTCGTCGCCTTGCAAAAGACGGAGTCTAGTATCCGGATCCAGACGGTCCTGGAGTGCATTGCGGAGGTGCAGTACATCAGAGAGGAGCTGTCGATGCGTTGCTTTCAGGCCATTCGTGACATCGTTGACCACGAGATGATCGCGATTTCCAGCAAAGAAAAGGAGACGATTGAATATGGAAAAATTGGGTAGAATGGTATCTCCAACATGCTGAGGCAACTTTGAGTAGTCATGGCGACTCTGTTGAGGAGGATCCCGTGGAGGAAGCGTGATCGATTGCATGACTTTGTCCTTTGCGCCCAAGCTCAGTCTGTGTTGATTCTTTTTTTTTTTTTTTTTTTCTTTATCCAACCTCGCCTTCGGTTAAAATAACTCAGGCCAGCTAAATTCCATACCCCTCAAAGCAAAGCAGACGATATTTCCTCGGCGATTTCGATTTGTCCGGCGATTTCGGCGTTTGCACGTAGCCCTAGTTTGATTGACTGGTCCGGCGGGGAACTGGAGCTCGAGTAGAAAAGTAGATGCGCCAACACGTTTGTCAAGACCGAACAGACGAAAAACTGTTGTGACACTTTCATTTTTCGAATTCTTTCTTCCAACATGTCTGACGATTCTTGGGTCAACGACCTCAAGCCTGCTGCCCCCGACGGGGCCACTACCATCCAAGCGGAACGAAAGCGCTCCAATGTCGACGTCAATGCCCTAGCTCAGCATTTGTTAGGAAAGGAATTTCTTGAGCGTCAGACCCACATTTTGAGTCTGCTGCAACAAGATCGCCTCTTTTCAAAGGCGCAGCAAGGGAACTTCGGCCACCCAGAACGGTACAAGCTTGGCCTCGCCCGCGCTAAGCGCCTTCGACAGATGGCAGACAAGTATAACTGGGATGAAGAGGACCACGAGATGGCAAAGCATTTAGTGGATGACGTCTCTCCTTATCAACTCCATGTTTCGATGTTCCGGCAGACACTCCTCGAGCAGACGAGCCCGGAGCAGAAGAAATATTGGATGGATCTCCATGCTTCCTGGACTATCATCGGCGCATATGCGCAGACAGAGCTGGGCCATGGAAGCAACGTTCGAGGTATCGAACTGACGGCGCGTTGGGAGCCAGAGACTAAGGAGTTTGTCTTGCATTCGCCTACTCTGACCGCTAGCAAGTGGTGGAATGGCACGTTGGGACGTACTGCCACTCATTCTGTTATTGCTGCACAGCTGTTGCTTCCAGAGAAGGACTCGAGTGGCAAGACTGTGTACAAGAACTATGGACACCACCTTTTTGTCTCTAGGGTTCGAGATGCCGAGACGCACAAGCCTCTTCCTGGAATTGTTATTGGTGATATTGGCCCGAAATACGGCTACTCTTCCATGGACAATGCGTACATGCTGTTCAACAACTTCAGGTGAGAATGGTTTCTGCAATACTCAAAGAACATGCGTGCTAATTAAAATCAGGATTCCTCACAGTGCAATGCTCAGCCGGTATAGCTGGGTAGATCCTGAAACAGGAAAATATCACAAGCCAGAGAACCCAGCGGTAGTCTATGGCTCTATGACCCATGTAAGGGGATAGTCCCTCTCTAAGAAAGTCCACGACTGACATATTGCCCAGGCTCGGAAGCGCATCGTCATGGCAGCACGTCTTGTCCTAGCTCGCGCCGTAACAATTGCTATTCGGTATTGTTCCGTCCGCCGGCAATTCCGAGACAAAGAAAACCCTCAGTCCCTAGAGAATGCGGTGTTGGACTATCCCACTGTCCAGATCCGCCTGCTTCCTCTCTTGGCTACCACCTATGCGCTACACTACACCGGCGAACGGATGGGCCAAATCTATGATGCGACAAGAAGTAGCGTAGATGCAGGCGATTTGTCTTCGCTTATTGATCTGCACAGTTTATCTTCCGGTTTGAAGAGCTTGTCTAGTGACCTTGCAGCGGCGGGTATTGAAATTTGCCGTCGTGCGATGGGTGGCCATGGATTCGGTGGTGGTAGCGGCCTCATCCAGCTGAATGCCGATTACTTGTCCAAGCCCACAGTGGAGGGTGACAATTGGATGATTACCCAGCAGATGGCGCGGTATCTGGTCAAAAAAGCGGAGCTGGTCGCCACCACTCAGCACTTCTCGCCATCCAACCGGACAGAAGTGGCTTTGAAAGCGTTTTACCAGTCGCGTTCTGCAGGACAGAAGGATTTCCGCATCTATCAAGAAGACAGCCATCTGGTTGCAGCATTTGAGCACCGTGCAGCGTCTCTGGTAGAATATTTCTTCTCTCCCGTTTTTAGTCAAAGCTAATATTCACTAGACTTTTGATGCATACACCGCATACCGAGTCACGAAGAGAAGCTGGAATTCCCTGCTAATTCAAATGCACGAACTCAGTCACGCCCAATCGGAGCTCATTCTCGTCTACAACTTCTTCGACGGCCTCAACGACGATAACACACTACCGCAGGAAACTAAGAATCTATTGTGGCTCAACTTCCGACTTTTCGCCTTGTACACAATTAACAAGTCCAGCCGACAGTTCTCTCGCTGTGGAGCTGTTCGCGAGGAGGATCTTGATGAGTTGCCAGACCGAATACTACAGCTGATGCAGGAGATTCGGCCACATGCTGTTCGTTTGGTGGATTCTTGGTCTATTCCGGACTATCTTCTGGATAGGTTAGTTACTCTCGCTTTGTGGTTGAAATATCTTCTGACTCCTCTCTCTAGTGCTCTGGGACGATTTGATGGCAGGGTTTATGAGGACCTTTTCAACCGAGCCCATCGCTTGAATCCGCTTAACAAGGTCACCTTCAATCCTGATTACCGTACTGATGAGATTATCAAGGGATCTGGGGATGGTGGGGCAATCCTCTCGAAGCTATAACTAAGGGACGGAATCTTCTCGGGTCTGTTTGTAATCGTCCTAGATTTGTATGTATGAAAGGATGGGGCTTTTGTGAGATTCTCTGTGATTTAGAAGAGAGAAGAGACATAGCAATAATGATCGATCGAAATGATCCTGGCCATCTCCATCACATCCCATCCAAACAAATCTGCCCCCTTGGACTCGTCTAATCGGGCCCCTTCTTGACGAAACAATTTACTCTCCCTATTTGTTTAACGACTCTCAACATCCTCCACATACTGCACATTTCCAGAAGCTCCAAGCTTCATATCCTCGAGTTCTTTAGCTTCCTGTGCCTGGATAGCATGCAACCGAGCCAACGTCGCCTCTGAGACTTGCGAATTCTCCGCATCCAAGATAGCACGCAGTGGCATCGCATGTCCTGTTTTCTTTTTGCGGTGCTCGGCCTCCAGAAGGAGAAGAGTCGGAATGCAAAGACAGGAGATAACACAAATGACTTGCAGGATCACACAACCAATGAAGCCGCTGTGGAAAAGTGGAGCATCCGCGTCGGGGAACATCTGAGTAACATTAAGTGAGCCATAAGACGTTGGCACCAAGGACGTTAGGTCTAACCTGAGGTGCAATAATACTGGCTATCGACAAGCTTGCAACAGCAGCTGAAGTGCCAACTGATTGCTCTGCTGCTCCGTATAAAGTGGCAGAACGGTAGCTCAAGATGATAGGTTGGGCAACCACCACCATCATGCCAAGGAGGCCAACTCCGTACAGGCTGATCGGTGCGATGGAGGTGTCATCTGAGTGATAAGAGAAGTAAAGCCAGACCCCTGTCTAGTGTGTCAGTAAGGGAGAAGCAGCTTATAGAGTTGATGAAACAGACCATAGCAGGGGATACTGGAAAGCATGCAAAAGAGATAATGCCAGATGCGCTCCCGGACCTTGTCACTATGCCATGGAATGACTAGGTATGGCGCTATAATAGCCAGATTTAGGGCAGCAGTATAAATATTCGACTTGCTAGCCCCGAATTTCAAGAACTATTGGGGTGTCAGAATATTTCTCCACGTCGACGGTGGGACTCACATAATGGAAAATAGAGGGCAAAAACGTTGCCTGGGACACGGCAATGGTAGTTAAGCAGATATAAGTAATGAAGAAACAGTATGTAGACGGCCGTGTCATAATGCGGATAAATGCTGCTGTATCCCAGGTTATATCTGTGGAGCGAGTTGCACCCCGACCGAAGCGATTGATTGCAATATACCGCTCTATAATGTTGTAAGTATCTCCAATGAAGGCCAAATCGCCTGGGCTTACCTCGCTCAGAGAGTGCAGTCGAGTCTTCGGGGAAAGTAAGGAGCAAGAAATAAATCACAGGCGCCATGACTAAGGGAATGGCGCCTTCTATGATGAACACCCATTGCCAGGACATAAGACCGCCTTTGCCATCAAGCTGCCTTCGCATTAGCACATGGATCATACACGCAAGGGCTATACATACGTGATCTAGTCCCGCTGCCAGAAACCCAGAGACGGCCCCTGCAACTGAATTTGAGACATGGAAAAACGCGAGCCTAAGCGCTCGTTCTCGTGGTCGATACCAGAAGCTGAAGTACATGACACAGCAGGGAACTATTGGTGATTAGCATAATAGAGGACAGCATTTTCTTAGTTTGAAATTGCCTTACCAATCCCAGACTCTGGAATACCAAGGCAAAATCGAGCTGCCAGAAGGCCAGCCCCGCTTTTGACTCCAGCCATGGCCATGACAATGGTACCCCCTAAATCATGGTTAATATCGATGTCGTCAAAAGAAGAGAGGGATTGAGCCGTACAGAGAATCATGGCACACGGAAAGTATCGTTTCGCGGAATATTTTTTAAGAATGATAGTAGACGGCAAAAGCAGCGCAGTCACTGCAAAGTATGAAATTGAGACTGCCCAGTTGAATTGGGTACCTTCAAGATGAAGGGCTGAAACAAGCGAGCTGGACGTTCCAACCTGAAGCACTTTGACATTTCCCAGGTTGGCTCGATCGAGATATCTGTATCGACTCAGCCGAAATGAACAATAATGCCATGTATGAGAAGAGCTCACGCCATGAAATATACCAGGCAGCAAGGGAGCAAGACACGGAAGTCCAGTTTCCGAACCAGGGCTCGTTCCTCTTTTGCATCCCAGTCCTGCTCGACTGCATTCATTGCTTCGATCCTGTCCTCGCTAGTATCTAACAACAGATAAAGGTCAATAAAACGGTTTCCTTCAGACAAAAATTTGGCTTACCGTATAGGCCATCATGCTTGACAGCCTTAAATGCCCTGCGGATACCATATCCACCAACATAGACACCATCTTTCTCAATGGCCTCTCGACGAGCAGTGAAGTTGAAAAGCATAATGGAAAATGCACACACGCAGTGCAGCAAGGGGCAAACGTGGGATAAAAAGGAAGTAAGATGAATCTCGATGAGTGCTGACCATTTATGCATTCTCTGGGACTAGCTATAGTTACGGCAGAATCACCGCTGACCGGCGATTACAACTAAACGGCCAAGCCAGGAAAAGGTATCCCCATGTTTTCCCCCGCAACTGTACTATTTACTACTAAGTTTAAGGAGTCGGGAATGCCCTACCGGTACTCTATTTAGCCAACAAGGACACCATCTTTCTCGGTGGCTTCCCGACGAGCAATGAAGTTGAAAAGCATAATGAAGAAAATGCACACACGCAATGCAGCAAGAGGCAAATGTGGAATGAGAGGGGGGTAAGATGAATGTTGACAAATGCTGAGTATTTCTTTTTCATCCTCCGGAACTATACTGCAGCAAAATCGCCGCTCACCGGCGATTACGACTGGATAGCCAAGCCAGGAGTGGGTTTCCCCATGTTTCCCCCGCAATTGTACCATGTACTAAACTTTGAGGAGTCGGGTTGAAGAAGGAGCTTTGTATCCTTTGGGGGAATTGGGTGCTCTTACTCCGTAAACTGCCGGACATTGTGATTAGTGGCGGTCTGATCTACTTGAGGGATTTTAGATCTACCTAATTGAGAAGCCAGAGGTTGTGGCTCCAGCCTTGGCAGCTGGAGGTCAAAAATCGTGAACTGTATTTATGTCAAAGGCTGTATCTGGCATGAACTGGCCAATGATTCTAGCTGTAGCCCGCTATCTAGAGTGACAGGGACAGGTTGCCGTCCTTGAAGTGGCTCAACCTGTTCAAAGCCAGCGCGCATGGCACGTCGAAGACAGGTCGAACCAATTTCATCAACTGGTTACGGAATCCTGAGTCGGACTAGATCGCTCGAGAAGAAGACTTGAAAAAGAATTGGGCTGTTTCGTTTAGCACCCGGCCAAAACGTGTGAGGATTGTCTCATAATTGAATTCCGGCCATGGGAATATTTGGCGGATATCGCTTGAACGAACTGGGTATTCTTTCTGTTTCGGACTTATTCTGATAGGAATTTTTCGAGACTGATATTGTGAGAGCGCTTGTAGTCATATGCCGATCTTTCAGCGTACAGAATTACAACCTGTTTGTGAAGGGTTGCCAGATGATGTGTATAAATTGTATTCAGAATTATAAGCCTACTCCCACCCTTCTCCTGCAGGATATCCACCAGGTAACCCATCAAGAAGCCAATTACCGCTTAGTACAGGCCAGGTCCAGATACCGGGGTCCATAGTAAGATCGGGACTTTGAGTATCGAGCATGGGCAAGGAAGTCAACGGGTCCGCAAAGTCACCAGGTGCCAAAGGCGGCTGAGGCGGCACCATTGGTAACCCAGCTTGCGGCTCCTTCGAGCCCGGTTGCACACTCGTATCCGAGCAGTCATCGGTCTGCCATGGAACCTTCCGCATACTCTCGTTCCGTGCAGCGGCACTTTTTTGATCAACCAAGTACCACATGTGACACAGCTCTGGACCAAACGCGCGGAACAATGGGGATGCCTCATGGTGGCCAGAAAGGACAGGTAGATAATCAGTCTGCTGCATCTGCGTCGGCATTGTCTTGCCGATATTCTCCAGGATGCGAATGTTATTCTTCGCTGAAGGCCAGCGTTCCGAGTGCGCCGTGAGTGCATGTTTTACGGTCTCAACTTGATGTCTAATATCAGACTGCAGCGAGACATATGGGCGTGCATTCAGCTGCGCCACCCCTGCTGCGAAAGCGTAAAATTTGAACCCTGCTGCCAAGAAGCGACATTCGTCGCGGGCTAGGAATTCTTCGAAGATCCCGCAGATAAAAGACGATGCAACGGCTCCAATGGTCGTGGACGTCTCGTGTGGTGTGACGGATCGGTAAAGGATCAGTACGGTTACAAAGTAGGGTACGTACAGACTGCGCGTGCACATGTCGTAAGGATTCAGGCGCCGAGCGGGTCCCTGGCTGAAGAGACATAATTTGTCCGGTAGTTCAGTGACCCAGCAATACAGCGCATTCCGAATTTCTCTCCGCTTCAGCGGCGAGAGCTGGTGTCGTAAATACGTTTGAGTCACGTCACCCATGATCAGGGAGATGTTGACGTGGGCCATGAAGAACTCTGCGTTGTCATGATGCGCAGGGAAATCTCGCGCTGACAATGGTGCTACATCCGAGTCTTCTAGACTGATGGCTCTCGGCCTGCCGTGGGCTGCAGATATTTGACAATCTCGCGCCTAGAAACAAGAATCAGAACTCAGCGCCTTCTTTGCAGTCAGTCTTGAGTTAGCTTACCACTAGCGTCCACCAAAGCCTTCGCCGATAGCTTGCAAACTTTCCTCTCGGAGGCTCTCGATGCAACCCAATTTGGTAGGCTATACTGACGGCCACGCGAAGCCAGAAATTGCTGCTATCCAGGGAGACCTCTTCTGGCGCGGATGGGTTGAACCAGTTCAGCAAACAAGCCGCCGCAGTTCTGATGATGGGGTTTTTTTCATAGCTACTGAAAAACAGAGCCTTGGCCCGACGGTAGTAGGTCTCAGACGACGCCGATATGTGCGGAGCTGCTGCGAATCGGCTGCCTGCCACAAAGACGCTCTGTAAGAGGAGGAGGGACGGCGGGTTGGATCGGGGCTCGCGTAGCCAGCTGTTTTCCACAATGGGCGTCCATGGCGCACAGTAAGTTTTGAATGTGTCAATGAGAGTCTGCTGGATAGCAGGTGGCGGCAGGTTGAAGGCGCGGTGGATTTTCAGGATGGCCTTTTCCTCTGCAGATAGGATGTTTTCCGACGCCGGGGCCTCGGTAGTACCCTTCGCCTGGGATGCTGCCACTCCGAGGTACTCTAGTCGACCGAGATATCCGCGGCTATCAGGCGTTTCATTGTCGACGGGATCAGCCGTCGGGGTCTCTACGGGGGGCACTGGCTGATTCCCAATGCAGTGATTGGGACCCGCTGGGATCCGCACATCCTGTCTGCGCGGTGATAAAGGGGTAGTCGGTTGACTTAAGGAGTTGTGCTGCTCGTCAAGCACGTCTCGCCCCTGGAGCCAGGAGTCTCGTTTGGGGCTGGTGGCTGTCGCCGTCGAATCCAACCGCCTGCGCTTGCGCTGACGTACATGCGGCCTTGACAGACATTAGAAGATCCTGGTCCAGCACGAGTTCTTCTCACCTGCACGAGGCATTATAGGCGCGGCAGTTTGAGCAGGGAATGCCGTCTATCAGGTCACAGCGAATCTGAGCACGGTCAGAGATTCCTTTTCCGTCCGGCCCCTTTCACAGGTCCTCTTACTTTCTTTTCATGGCAGATCTCACAGGCCCGAGAAGGCCGTGGTTTCCGTGAGGTGTCCTCCATCAGCTGGGACATCGGCGATCGTGCCAACAGCAATCGCCGGGCAGTTGTATGTCTAGTATGGGAGCCAAGCGTGCGGAATTATGGCCATGATGGCCCCTCCTATGCCTACAATAAATCGCCGGGCCAAACGCCGAGGAAGCGGGGACCAATAAATGCAACTCCACCTCCCTCCTCATCCCGGCACCCGGCACTCGGCAGTCCCGTTGGATCGAACAGCCCTGTAACGTCACGTGATACACGTCCGCAATCGTTCACCTGTTGCGCTCTCTGCAATACTGTAACAGTACCATCGGTATCGCACCATGGAAGAGGAAAAGGAATGGAATGAGGGAAAGGAAGAGGAAGCAGAAGAGCAGGCTGATACTCAATATGATAAGCTATTTGACTAGACTGCGGCAGAACCCGCAAATGGGTCCCACCCTTGGACCCAAGATCCGACTCGTGATAGGTTCCTAGCTTCAGAGCTCGCCCTCGAGGTCCAACTTAGTAACTCTTTCCTATGCAATCCATAAACGACAGTATGCGCGCGTCTGGGAAATCTCATGAGATGCTCTATAAGGTATTGTGGGCCTCGTGGTGGTCAGAATCACGAAAGTGAATCCTACAATGGAAGGAAGGTTGGTGCCTGAGATGGTTAGAATGACGAAAGTGAATCACAATAAAAGGTTGGTGCCTGAGGTGGTGAACTTTTTCTATATAAAAACAGTGGCTATTTGTTTGCTTCTCACCTCTCCTTCTTCTCTTCTTCCACCTCTCCTCCTCTTCCCACCCCCCACCTCCCTTCCATTCGCGGCATCGAGCTGAGCGCTTGGCTTAGAGTGCTCGTGGCTGCTCGCTCTCGCTCTCATCTCCCATCCCAAGGTACGCTACTCTGTGTCTCGACCAGAACGTCAGCTGACTGAGTTATCCAGTTTGAAGATGATGTCTGCAATCGCCGCGTCTGTGTCTGTCTATACTACTGGACTTAAAAGGCTCTAGTCCTTCAGAGCACCAGATCGACGATATTGCGGCAAAGTGTCGGACATTCCGTCTTCAATAACCGGAATGTTCTATCCATATCGATCATCCGACTAGCTCGTCCAGTGTCTGCTTCCATGTACTCTGCCTGCAAAACTTTACACCAGTCACAACGGAACTTCATACAGTTCCTTACCCGCAACTGCACGTTTTCGTTCGGTACAGTGCAGCTTGAAGTCTTTGCCATATTTGATAGAGGCCAGATGAATCGGGACGTTCCCGATAGCCAGTGGTTGCTGGTGTTTTGTGAGATTCTAGGAAACCTGCGCAATCCAAAAACACAGAGCCGAAGTCGGATTTCTTCGAGAACATACTTGATCAGCGAACCCATGCGCGGCAACTCGCAGAGGCAAATCCCGCTCCGCGCATGGGGTCCCTAATCAAGTACGTTCTTGATGAGATCAGACTCCCGCCGAACGCCAACCCAGTGACCCGCACCATGCTCGGGCTCGTTCTGAGCGCGCAGCCCTTCAACCAGGATAATCGAGAGCTGGAGCGAGTCCATCGTGATTCGGCCTAGCTCTCGATTATCCTGGTTGAAAGGATCGCCAACCCCATTGCTTGTACCATGCTGCTTCTCGTTCCAACAGTGTTGTCCATTGCTCATTCCATGCTGCATGTCGTTCTGAGAACATTTATGTTGGAGTTCGCCCACCCTCTTATCTCCTCTTTCCAACTCCCCTCCCCTTTAACCTGCCCTCCCTCTTCTGCTCCTTTATCACTCTGCTCGTGGAGCATCCTGAGCAGGATGCTCCACGTGCTGATTATCCGGCGCTATATATAGACCCTCGACAACGCCGTGCCGCAAGCAGCCACGGCGGTGGAGGCTATCAACAAGAGCAGCGGCTCTAAGGTGGTACGTCTCTGTGTGCTATTCAACACCTCAACTTTTTTGAATGCCCTCCCTCCTCCACTTCTTGATCGTGTTCCTATATACTAATCATCAAGTGCTATAGTTTATGATTGGTACCAGATAAGTGCAAAAAGCGATCATCTGGTACCAGTCATGGAAAGAGTCAAGGGGTGATGGTTGGAACGTTTCGGCACATCAACATTGTCAGTTGAATCCGAGATCATCCCAATCGTCCAGTCAGCACTAACAACGACAAGATAAAAACTATAGTCAACTACTCTCACTCTATATTTACAACACACACTTTGAAGAAGAGTTTCCACCGAATATACTAGCACCGATGCTTGCAGTAAAAACAAGGACATATATCGATGGCCCAATGAACCCAAAGAGGATGGCCGAAGAGAAAATGCAGGTAATCGGTACGTTTACTCCTAGTCTATCTATCCTTCTACTACTCAGTGCTGACTTTTTTGGTCTAGTGCCACAGCGGTGAAGTACCGTCAAAGAAAAAAGCAGGAGCTACTTGATCTCCACTGAAAGCATCAGGTACTGGATGAACTACTCGTCCATGGAATTGGCAAGGAATCAGACATTGACGAGCCTATGCTGCCGGATCCCGATTTCAAGATACTCGATCGGCCATCGACTTCACGAGAACGCATGGATATGAAGGACCATACAGTTCCTGCACATACCAAATTATTTGGTGTGCTACATTTTGCCATGACTGCGGAAATTGTGATATGATCGAGCGGCTGACTTTCAGGACCCGCCAGAGCGACACTATCCTGAAACCGGCCTTCCAGCAGAACACAGCTGCTGAACCGCTGCCTCGCCTATTGATAGAAAGAGATCATTGATCTTACCTTGGCGAGATGACATGTAATATAGCATTATTGAGGATGATAACGACAAATCAAAACATTTTATTATAGTCTACGCTGGTAGCCCAAATCGAGTCGTTCGGCCGAAGCCGATGGTGTTGGAAGGGCAAAAAAAAAGACGGGACGGGGGGAGCTCGACCGGTTTGGGGGCTATTTCGACTTCTGGTCGCGTATTACATATCCTTTCATTGACGGCCACCCGACAGAAAATATTCTATGATTTCTGTACAGAAATCTCTGCAGTCACAGTGTACTTGGTACTGCTCCGCATGTCTCCTGATGATACTGTACATGTTCGACGAACCTGGAGACGCGGTGGGGGCAGCCTCTCCCGCTCGACCAATCACAGCCCGGGTCTGCTCCATTTAGTGGTGGGGAGTGTGCCAGTTAATGCGTCCAGGGTGGGAGTTATTCGATAGCCCCTGCTACCTCGATCTGTACGTACATAACAAACAGGCCGCTGTCAGGGCGAGAATGAAGCAGATGATATCACGGTGACGAAAATTCTTGCCGGGGTGGGTCGAAGACCCTGTTCTGGGTTAGTCTGGAATGGGGCCCCCAGCCCGGCTGGCTGCTTTTCGCCCGTCCACACAACCGGCAGCCCGGATGGCGTCATCAGTCACGTGGGGTGGTGCTGCCAGCTGCACCGGGGCGCGGTACATCTGGGCACGAGCCGTCCGTCAGTTACTAGGGCTGTTCAAAAACCAAAAACCCTTCCGTCATTCTACGTCACACTCCTTTTCTCTTCTCTTCCCTGACTCTTTGGGGTGTCCTGCAAGCCACCGTTTATCTGTACGTGTGTCCATTATATCATCGAGATCGACTACTCTCCTCGCCACCAAACCCATCTACGCGGCTATTCCGATGTCTGCCGCGGTCGCTCCCAGCGTGTCGACTATCTCGAGAACGATTGCGCCCATGGACTCGAAGAAGGACGTCAAGGAAGGTACGTAACTCGGCAGTCACGACCGCCATCACCGCCCTCGTATTATGATCGTTGTTGTGGTCCCGTTTGGTGGCTTCATTCTTGCCCTGCATTCATTATTATACACTTCCCTCTCTCGTTTCGGCTTGGTAATACGCCACCCTGGTGTTCCACATGCCCACTCCCTCCCTTTCTGCCGTCGGGATGACGCAGAGGGGTGAAGTCATCGACTAAGCACCTCCCCCCATTCCTCAAACCTACACACCTCTTCCTGCACGATGAAAGCGCCCAACACTCGTTCTCATCAGCATCGTCCTGGTATCGTTGTCGCGTGTGCAATGTAATCTGGTCGCGTGGATGTGCTGACTGTGGGCTCCCCCCAACAACAGAATCGTCGGCCTCAATTTCGGAGTCCAAGGACCAGAAACCGGACGGAGACACGCAAACATCGCTGGGACCACCCCCCGACCGGCCGCGACAAGTGCGACCGACACGCCCGATTACTTCAATTCCGTGCACAACCCGTTCTCCCTGGAGCCCAACCCGTTCGAGCAGTCGTTTAGCGGAGACGGCTCCGGCGAGACTCCTGGAAAATCGCTCCTGCCGCCGGTCGCCTCGCTCACGTCGCCGGCGCTGCCTGGATCCAGTTCGGCTGGTGGTTACAACTGGACCAACTCGCTGCGCTCGGGGCCCTTGAGCCCGGCCATGCTGCCGGGCCCCACAGGATCTAGTGACTACTTTGACAGCATCAATCGAGGCTTCCCGACCCCGAACGAATCGTCCCTCCGCACTGGTCTAACCCCCGGCGGCGGTGGTTCTATGTTCCCGGCCCCCAGCCCCAACTCTCAAGCTCTCCTGCAACAACTCCAAAGCGGCGGCGCGACTCCCTCGACGATCGAGTTCCACCGCACTGCACTTGCCGCCAAGAAGAATAGTACGAATGGTCCGACGTCTGGCCAGACCGAACAAGAACAACCACCGAACACGACGATGGATGTGAAAGGCTCTCAGAACGCCACCGCCGACTCCTTTACCCACCACGATGCGGCGGATGCGGCCAACGGCTTGTTTATGCTGGCAAAGGGTGGCCAGCAGATGAATCAGCCCGCCATGAACGAACAGACTCGCGCCGCGACGCGGCGCATCTCGCACAATACGAACGGCAACAGCGGCCGTGAGATGAGCGGCGAATCGGACCAGGTGGAGCCCGCGAAGCCTGCCCCCAAGGGCAAGGGCAAGAAGAACGCACCCAAGGGCGCCGCCGCAAACAATCGGCGCAAGGCGGAAGAGCCCGCGTCGAAAGGCCCTAATAAGAAGGCCAAGATGGCCGAATCGCCATCGGATGACATGTCGGATGAAGATGACGAGGATATGAAGATGGATGGTCCGATGGACACGAAGAAGATGACCGATGAAGAGAAGAGGCGCAACTTTTTGGAGCGCAATCGGTACGTTTACTCCCCATCTGTCTGTCTACTACTAGGTACTGACTGGTCGTGTAGTGTCGCGGCGCTGAAGTGTCGTCAGCGGAAGAAGCAGTGGCTGGCCAATCTCCAGGCCAAGGTCGAGCTCTTTACTACGGAGAATGATGCGCTCACCGCAACGGTGACCCAGCTCCGCGAGGAGATTGTCAACCTCAAAACCCTGCTGCTGGCGCATAAGGACTGCCCGGTCTCCCAGGCCCAGGGTCTTGGCCCGCTCATGATGAATGGCATGTCGACTGGATATGATCATCATCATGCCTACAACATGCCCAACAACATGGGCATGCAGCATGGTGGACCGATCCCAGCCCAGGGCATGCGCCGTTAAAATAAACACACACGATCGAGTGGGCAAGCACAAGTCGGCCTGCTCGTTCTGACTCCCACCATCTGGCTTTGTCCCTAGCTGGACCTTTGCTGAGACTCGGCGGTCACCCTTTTCTTCTTTTTCTTCTCTCGGCCCCCGCTGCTGCCGACACACTTTAGCATGGGCAGGTGTTCATGATCTACACGACTCAAAAATTGGAAGGTTCGGAACAGGATGAATTTTCTTTAGGTCTTTGGAGGCCAAATTAGGCGTACGAGAATTTGGTTCTCAGGTTGCTCTGGCTTTTGTGTTTTGCTTCCTCTTGTTTCCCCAGTTATCCTTATCCCCCCCAGTTTTGTACCTTTCCCCTGGTGGCCCCTGTTCTCTAATCCCTCTATCTCCTGCCTTCTTCGGAGGGTCTCTCTTTCCTTTCCCTGTTTAATACTTGAGGGCTCACTGGTGCATGCCTTCCTTTCTCGATGGGTTGCTTGTCTCGATATATGATTCCTGATCGGCGTATGGGTGGTTTCGTGCTTTGCGTGTCTGATTAGTTTCTTTACCCCGATGCTTGAGCAATTGAACTTGGTTGCGAAAAAGGTGTTCTGTAAAACACTAGTGGTTGTTTACATGTAAGATGTAGATAAGTGGGTGGTGGTGATAAGAGATCGGGTCAAACAGCCCAAACACGGCAAACACGACTGTTTGTTGGGAGTGTCACGAATCTCCAGCAATAAGAGAGACGCGACTGATTCTCCATCACGGCGTCTCGTTCCCTCAGCCTGCAGTCTGAAGTCAAGTTCGGCCTGAACGAGTGCCCAACCCCCGTCCCCAACCCGCACCTCTCCTGTCCGCGCTCATCAACAATTCACCGACCAACGAAGCCCCCACGAAAACGAAGAGAAAACCGACGTGACACCACCAACCAACTGCGAATCGCCAATCTATTTGGCGGCGGGCAGACCATGTCCACAGCGACCCGGCAGCCCGCTCGCCCTCGGCGCATCGACGACGCGCTCTCCCAACTCGTCGACTCTCTAACCCCCGCGCTCCCCCTCTCCGCTGTCCAAGACGACGACTACTCCGACCCCGAAGAAGCCCTCACCGCCGCCGAGGAACACCGGCACCAGACCCATCTCGACCGCGCCTGGCATGTGCTCGATGCCCACTACTCAGCTGACCAGCCCTCCTCGCCTGCGGGAATCGGTGGTGGCCGCCGCGGCAGCCTCGCGGGCACAGGCACAGCTGAGAATATCAACAACGCGCCCGATCTCATCAAGCGCAAATTGCGGCGCGAGAATGCGAGCCCCGATAAGGCGGTGCGCTTCTCGAATCTCTATTCCCGTCTCCTGACGCAGCCCGTGCTCTCGCAGAAATGGGGGATTTTGTATTTGCTCTACCGCCTGTCGGGCTCGGATGACCCTGCTACTGCTGCTGCGGAGGGTGAGGAGAGGAGTCGCAGTCCCTTGATGGATGATGTAAATTTACATAACATGTTGGGGCGGAACACAGCGATCCCGAGACGAGGCGCTGGACTGGATTCTGAGGATGATGAGGGCCCAGCTATCAGTTCATCTGCTTCTCAGCAGCGCGGACCAAGACTGGAGCACAATGGAGCCGGTCAACATACGCGCCCCTCTATGGATAGAGTCCGGGGTGCTAGTAATGTCGACTCGGGGGTGAATGACCATTCCGGAGATGAGTATGGGATGCACACTCCAAGGCAGTCAACAATGCACACCCAACAGCCGGAATCTATGGAGTATGGACTTCTGCGAGACCTGCCCTTCAACTTGCAAGGTCTGTCTTCGTCGAACTTGCAATTCCAGTCATCATCTATCCTGAAACTCCCGCCCAACCTGCCTACTCCGGTCATCTCGCTACTCAACTCACTGGCCGAGCCATGTCTGCTTTACAAGGGATTGTCCGAATTTGTGGAAAGCACAGACAGTGGACTTGTGAAACAGAGTTTACGAGCAGCCATTGCCAATGAACTACGGTCATATCTGGGCTTGATAGCCACGCTCGAGGCGGAAATCCGACAGGCGCTGGCCGCAATCGGAGATGCAAATGAACCTAAAGGGGTCCGGAAGGGCGGCGTTACTTTGAAGCGCTGCCTGGTGTGGACGAGGGACGCTACGATGGCGCTTCGGCTGATGAGTTTGATTGTGGAAGAGGCTCGGAGTAAGTGATGCCTTTACGATCAAAAAGCTTTTCAAATCACGCTGACAAGCACTGCAGATAAAAAGGGTGGCCAGTTGATCTCACTGATACACAGCTTCTCCTCGTCTCATGGAGACCCCTTTGTGGGCGCTTTCGCCGAAAAGCTTCTTGCTCATATTACGCGTCCGTTCTACGATATGCTACGCCTGTGGATCTACGATGGCGAACTTTCAGACCCCTATACGGAATTCTTTGTCGCCGAGCCGGAGCTTAGACCCAGCACTGATCCGCGGCGACTTGCCACGAGCGTCTGGGAAGACAAGTATAAGCTCGATGATGATATGGTTCCTTCGATCATCACACAAGACTTTGCAAAGAAAGTGTTTTTGATTGGCAAATCATTGAATTTCATTCGGTATGGCTGCGGCGACTCCGGGTGGGTTGAGGCATATTCCAAGGAGGCCTCGAAGGAGCTACGATATGGCGATACGGCGAGTCTGGAAACTTCCATCGACGAGGCGTATAAGACGACCATGGCGCGGCTGATCTACCTCATGAACGACAAGTTCAAGCTCTTTGATCACTTGCGCGCACTCAAAAGATACCTCTTGCTTGGCCAGGGAGATTTCATTGCTCTGTTGATGGAGTCGCTGGCTTCCAACTTGGACAGACCTGCAAACTCGCAGTACCGACACACTCTCACTGCGCAGTTGGAACATGCCATCCGTGCGTCGAATGCGCAGTACGACTCACCAGACGTGCTCCGCAGGTTGGATGCACGGATGCTCGAGCTCAGTCACGGCGAGATCGGATGGGACTGTTTCACGTTGGAGTACAAGATTGACGCTCCCGTGGATGTCGTCATAACGCCCTGGGGATCGACCCAGTATCTCAAGGTGTTCAACTTCCTCTGGCGCGTCAAGCGGGTCGAATTCGCGCTCAACAGCACTTGGAAGCGATGTATGACGGGCGCCCGGGGCGTTCTGGCGAGCGTGGATGACAAACTTGGCCCAGACTGGAAGCGCGCGCGCTGCGTGATTGCAGAGATGATCCACTTCATCTGCCAGCTGCAGTACTACATCCTCTTCGAAGTGATCGAATCCAGCTGGGACGCGCTACAAGCCGCGGTATCGAAACCAGGCTGCACGCTCGATGATCTGGTCGACGCGCACACCAAGTACCTCAATTCCATCACGCACAAGGGCCTACTCGGCTCGGCCTCATCTTCGTCCTCACGCTACGGCGTGTCAACCTCCTCCTCCGCGAAACAACCCGAAGAAAGCTTCCTCAGCCAGCTCCATCAGATCCTCAAGATCATGCTTGCCTACAAAGACGCCGTCGACGGCCTCTACTCCTTCTCCGTGGCCGAATTCACCCGCCGCCAGGAACTCAGCGCCAAAATCGAGACTCGCACCGCCCAGGGTCGCTGGGGCGTCACCGATCGGGACATGCTCCCTCCCCGCCGCGCCAATAGCCGAGGCGGAACAACGTCCATGGCATCTACCCCCGATGTCCGACCCGCGAGCGCCGCCGGCCTAGACGGCTTGGACACGCCCTTCTCGCTTTCGACACAGGACCTCGCCGCCGACGACAACATGCTTGTGTCTCTGCGTACGCGGCTCCGCGACCTGTCAGCGGACTTCAAGTCGCGCCTGAACATCCTGCTTGGCGACCTAGCGTATCAGCCCGATGTGGACATGCGGTTCCTAGGTGTGGTCATGAACTTCAATGATGTATATGAACCTGTGCGGCGGCGGCGCACGGCTAGCTCGAAGGATAAAGATAAAGAGAGGGAAAAGGAGAAAGAAAAGGCAAAGCGTAGGGCTGCAACGTCTAGTTCGGGAGTGGAGGGGACGGCGCAGAAGGATCCACGACGGGAGAGGAGAGATACGGGAAATAAGGAGAATCACGGTGCTGCGGTATAGCCTTACTTACTTAGACAGGGTGAATAGTCTAATGCGACTGACGAGTCCATGACATTGATTTTTACATACAGCGTCGTCGTTGTATGCTCGTAGTCTCATGCAGACTGTCGTAGTTCGTTCTCCGCCCCGTGGGCCCGGCAGAAAAAAAAGTCCACGCCGCCTAAGAATCAAGAATCAAGAATCGACACTCTCCTCCAATTCACTCGCGGGGAGCAACGATCTCTATCTCCGAGGCGGCGCACATATTTTACCTAGTGGAGGACTATTTGCCCTTGTTTCGCTTTCACTTTTCCACCTCGCCACTCCCTCCACCGAGCTACAATCCCCCCAAGCAGCCATGGCGAAAGACAGCTCTAAAAGCTCGACGACACCACCGTCCAAAAAAATCGATCGGAAGGCTAAACACGCTAAGGAATCGGAGAATGCACAAGCTGCAGACGCGCAGGATGACGCATCCATGGTAGAGAAGGAAGGTGGGGAGGACATCACCGAGAAGAAGAAGAAAAAGAAGCGCAAGTCCAGCGATCGCGCAGTCGCCGAGGATGGAGATGGGGGAAAGGAGAAGAAAAAGGTGGAGAAGAAGAAGAAGCGGCGGCATGCTGGGGATGAGGAGGACAGTGGTGCCGATGTGTCCAAAGAGGAGAAGAAGCCGAAGAAAAAGAAGAAGAGGGTTTCCTTTGGACCTGGGACTAAGGCAAACGATGGTAGTGACGCCGAGGACGCGACAATGAGCACGGCGACCAACGGCGACGAGGCAGATGCAGATGCAGAAGACAACAACGACGCAGCAATCGAGGAAATGAAGAAACGCAAGCGCGAGAAGAAGAAAGAAAAGAAAAAGAAGAATGATGGATCTTCTCCAACGACGACGACGACGACAACATCGCACCTCCATGAGACTCCCATCCTTTCCTACCTGAGCCGCTACCATGCAGACCGCGCGTCATGGAAATTCCAAAAAAATCGCGAAACACACCTCTTCAAACACCTATACTCGCTTGAACATGTCCCTGTTCAGTACAATGCTGCACTGCTGGTCTATCTACAGGGGCTGAAAGGTCTATCGGCGAAGGCGCGGCTCAGCTATGGCGCGGAGGAGGTCATCGTTGCTGATATGGATACTGAGAAGAAGAAAGATGGCGAGGGTCATGGAGAAGAAGAAGGTAGCGAGGGTGGAGAATACCAGCAAGCTGTGGAGGCCTTCCGGACTTGTCTGTCTGAGGGCAAGGACGATGTCAATGCTGAGGAAGTTGGCGAGAAACTGGGGGCCGATGGACAGGCCCGTCTGAAGAAGAGACAGCGAGCAGAGCTAGTCTTTTTCGCGGTTGCGGGTAAATTGTTCAGTGGGGAGCAGTCGAAGCCGGTGTCTGATAAGCAGACCAAGGCGCCTGGGGCGAACAAGAAGAAGCGGAAGAACAGGACGGCCATTGTTGAGATCTCGAGCAGCAGTGAGAGTGAGGAGGATAGTGAGGAGGATAGTACTAGCTCGAGTGGCTCCTCGTCTTCCTAGTATGCTGGCTGTATATAGTGTTTTCTTTTTTGTCTGTAGATATCTATACCAATGCATAGAACTGGTGTCTGGTGGTTCCAATATGAGTGTAATAATCGCTCTAATCATTTGCTAAGATGTTGTATCGGGCAAATTGACATTTTGTGATGTGGGCTGAACGAGGGCGAGCAGGAAGCCAGCCATGCGGTGTATTGGGTTCTTGTTGAGTTGCTCTGGAGATTCCAGGATGTTTATGTCGTCCAACGGTGAAGCGTCATTGTTTCTTCTTGTTACTTCTTCTTCTATCATATCGCAGAATGCTACGGCAGCCACCAACCATGGCGTTGTCTCTGAGAGAACCCGAGATGGTACTATTTGTAATTTGACTCGTATGAACGCCTGAAGTGGGAATATGAGCAACTGGAGCGGGGATATAGGCAATCTGGTCGGGAATTTAGGCAATGGGGCGGGGATATAGGCAACTGAAGCGGGGTTGACGAACCAATGCTACCGAGAGAAGAGCCCCGCCGTGGATCACAGACAAAAAGCTTGGCCCAACACAACGCGGGGGGGGGGGGGGAGGGGGTAGATTGCTCTGCTTACAATGCCCGGTTATTCTAAACCGCTGCTCCGCCTCATAGCCTGGACCATGGCTATTCTATCGCGGGAGGTCGTGAGATTCAACGGAATTACATAACTAGGACTAGAAACAGACCGACGCGTCATGATTGTTAGTCGTAAGGAAGTCGAGACTTTCGGATCACTCGGTATTCGGATAACAGAAGCCGACGATCTATGGTGAACCACGGTTGTTAATGCAGGCTGCAGAATAGTTACTAGTCACACGCATGGCTAAGGATGAGGTCATCGATCATCGGACGGTAGCTTATATAGCCTTGCAGTTGTGCCCGTCCGATGGAGTTTCGATTTCATTTTTGAGAACAACCACTTCCTATCTACAACTTCATCTGCTATTGGTCGTAACATCTGACCTTCCCATCCATCATGCCTAACACCAAAACCGTTCATGTCCCCCACCTCGGTGGTATCGAGGCCGCTTACCAGATGCCTCAACCTTACGATCCAAAAAAGCCAACTTTGGTTCTCGTCAATTCGTTCACCACGTCGTCAGAGCTATACCGCAAGCAATACGCAGACAAGGAGCTGACTGACACAATGAATCTGCTCGCCATCGAGCTTCTTGGTCATGGCCAGACACGCACTAAGCGCGAAAATTGGACGTATTGGGATACGGCTGAGATGAATCTGCAAGTCCTTGATGCCCTGAACATCAAGAAGGCTTTTGTACTCGGCACAAGTCAAGGTGGCTGGATCACAGTGCGGATGGCGTTGATGCGGCCGGACAAGGTAGATAAAACCCTAACAACCTTTTGAAGCAATTCTAGAAGACCATTATGCTGACACGGGTATTGAGATCTCTGGCATCATCCCCTTGGGCACGTCCCTGGATTTTGAAAGCGACAGAACCCGCAGCCTTAATTGCTGGGACGCACCTACCCTGTTAACTCCCTCTATTGAGAAGTGGACTTCTGAACAGCCCACGCCTCAGTTTGAGCCTGACCAAGAATACCGCGATTTCTTGATCGACATCGGCTTCGGTAAAGATGACTGTCCTGCTGATGTTCGCGATTTCTGGCGCAAGACCATCCGCGAAAATTACTTGGGCGACGACGGCCGGCGTCGCATTCGTATGGCAGCTATAAACTTGAGGGATCGGGATGGCCTGCACCCGAGACTTTTTGATGTGCGATGCCCTGTGTTGTGGTTGCATGTAAGTTGTTGCATCTGATTTTCCCATTCACCGGAGTTTCGTTCTTGTCTCCGAGTATAGGAAGACGTATGTATTTGTCACTAACTTGCCATTCGTGCAGGGAACCAAAGATGTAGTCTACTCTGCTTCCAACGCCGAGCAAGAGATCAAGCTATTTGTGAACTCTCCTGATGCGCGTCTTGTGACTGTCAAAGATGGTGCTCATTTCTTGAGTGGTTCACACCCCAAGGAAGTGGATCAGGCGCTGATTGAGTTTGTGAAAAAGTACAGCGCGTGAGGTTTGATTATTACGCGTGTCTCTGTTAATTTTCGACCAATGATATCGCTATGCCTGATTTTTGGTTTAAGTCTTGTCACCTTCCCACTGCCAAAATTTCCACCTTGAGCTACCTACTCGTTGTAGTCGACATACATCGAGCGGACGAGCAATAAGCGTGATGAAATACCGGTGTTGATGGGTAAGCCTGATAATGGCACAGTAAATATATGATTTTCAATGTTATCGATTGTTCTAAATGAAGAAATTATGTATCACCAGGTCGGCAGAGGCCCCAACTAGTGTAGGTGTAGAGCGGCTTTTCAACCTCCAGATTTTATAGTGCTCACGTGTACATCAAGATATGAGGTTCAGGAGGAGCAGCGTGCGATGCTCAAGGAAATATTTCAAATGAAGAGATCCAGGTAGCAAATGAAGGAAAGGCAACACCAAAGGATACTTTTGATCCAATAGCGATGACGAAGAGGATGATCCAGATTCACTCTCTGTTCAAAATCAATCTGCTCTGGAGGTGCTAAGTCAACATGCATTGGGCCAACGTCGAAAAAGTGTTGCGTCTGAGTTAGATGAGGACCAATCTCAAGAGCTAGAAGATGAGAATGCTGAGATTCCTTATTGTATTATAGATTCAGGATTCGTTTGAGGGCCGTCGCAAAAAACAAATGAGTCCAGAGTAAGACCTAGTATTGAATGTCCAGAATATATAGAAACCCGCCTGGATACGTTGTGCCTCAGTGAAATAACGCACTGATTAGGCACGTTGCGCATGGGTTTTTAGTGATACGTGTCCGTGCAGTTAAATGGCAAACTATATATCTTGAAGATGTTGGAAGAGTATGGAACTGGTCTCGATTTATTTCACCCATAATTCACCCATTCATTTCAGGCTAGGTTCTCTTTGAATTCAAAGACACAAATACTCCGCTAAATACAGACTTGAATTCGTCAATGTACGTGCGAAGTTGGTGACCAGTATAGCACCTAACTACCCCAAAGCGGCAAGCGGTCAGCGCAGAGCTCCAGCTTCCGTCCAGGCACCTCCGGGCGCGCGTCAGACCTTCCTGTCATCCACCGGCGCCCAGTTCTATCTCTCTCTCCCTCCTCTGACCCTCTCAATTCTGTAATTCAACCACCCTCACCCGTTCATCATGTCTGGTAAGCTTCTGCATTTCCCCAACCCCCCCCTGTGTGGCATCCCCCATGACTTCATCACCGACTGACCTCGTCCTCGCCAAACAGGAAGCGCAGGCTACGACAGACATATTACCATCTTCTCCGACCAGGGTCGATTGTACCAAGTTGGTATGTTATCCCACCTCGCTCCTCGAGACCATTTCCCAATCCCTCCACGATGTGCCGCCACAATGACCACTGACCGATCCACCTGCACTCTAGAATATGCATTCAAGGCCATCACATCGGCCAACATCACCTCAATCGGCGTGAGAGGGAAAGACTGTGCTGTGGTGCTGTCGCAGAAGAAAGTTGCTGTAAGTCTGGAAGCTGATGCAGCCGGCAAAGTGTTCTGATCGTTCGATTTTCGCACTTTCTCCAGGACAAACTGATCGACCCGTCCTCCGTTTCACATGTCTTCAAGATCTCGCCCTCCGTGGGCAGTGTCATGACCGGCTCCATAGCAGATGCTCGTGCATCTGTTGACCGTGCTCGTGGAGAAGCTGCTGAATTCCGGTACAAGTTCGGCTACGAGATGCCGTGCGATGTTCTTGCAAAGCGCCTGGCCAATATCAACCAGGTGTACACACAACGAGTCAGCTCCTTCTCTCTTTAAAATCCTTGAGGGTGTGCATCATTGACATATGTCCAGGCTTACATGCGACCACTCGGCGTGGCCACGACCCTGATCTCGGTTGATGACGAGCAGGGCCCGCAGCTCTACAAATGCGATCCAGCTGGTTACTACGTCGGGTACAAGGCGACGGCATCGGGCCCCAAGCAACAGGAGGCATTGAATTACCTGGAGAAGAAACTGAAGAACAAAGACCATGCACCGGGCAGCTGGGAGGAGGTTGTGGAGCTGGGCATCACGGCCATGAGCAACGTACTCAGCGTCGACTTCAAGAAGCACGAACTGGAGATTGGCATCGTTGGCGGGCCGCGCGCGGATGGTGCAGAGGGCACCACCACAGATTTCCGGGCCCTGACAGAGGAGGAGATCGATGAGCGGCTGCAGGCCATAGCGGAGAAGGACTAAACGGGCCGTCTGCAGGGGCTAGAGACCAGGAGGGGGGTGGGCTCGAAAAGAAGCAGGACGAAGCTGTGAATGACATGGTTCTATTTTATTTTCGTGTTTGATCTCCTGCGAGTCAGCCAAGTCCGATTGTTGACGCGCAGTGTATTCTTTGCTGAAGGACTCGAATCGTAATTGTAACTACCCGGTCTCCGGCTTAATACCACCTCAACACGCACTGCCATCCTAGCCGACCTCCGTCCTGTGGCCACGGCTGGCTGCGCAAGCGGGCATGTCAATATCGAGGGTCGGACCGTGGAAGCGAGGGATTGATCACACATCTCACCATCCGGCGCCGACAGCAAGGGCGAGACACCCAGCAGCTCGCATATCTTCTTCAGCTGTTCTACGCGGACGCCACCTGTGGCTTTCAGTAGTGGCTGGGCCCCATTTTGTGGGACTGGGAGCTGAGAAACCCCAAGTCGATGAGGGATCCGATCTCGCGCCGATTCCTGGTTTCGGTGTTTTTTTTTCTTTTTCGATTTGATCATCCTTCTCGGCAATAACAGGGGGTCCCACGAGACGAACTGAACTTGACGTATCCCCCTGGTCTGTCCCGGCAGTTTGCCCCCCCGGCACCCAATCACCGCGCCCAGACACTCCTCGCTTTTGACTGGAATGGAGAAGCAATCGGCCGTACAGGAACCTAATCTCGATTCGCGTGGCACTAACTAACCTAACGAGACCTTCTCCACCGGCCCTAGTTAGTTCGCGCCCCAAAGGGGACTGACTGGCTGGTCCAGCTTCTGATTGATTTTTCCCTGCGGCCGTTGCTCCCCACATCTGCTGAAACTAAGCACGACTCGGCCCCTTTCTCTCTCCCTGCGAACGAACAAGGATGTTCCTGGCCTGGTTTGCCGTTGACGGTTTTCTCGGGAGGCTAATCGGGTGTTCCCCGAATCCACTCACGCACTTGCCCAGCTGGCGTGTGCTCGAGAGATTCTTTCCATGACACTGGATCTTCACCGTCTATTGGCGCAGCCGACCATGCCCGCCGATGATCCTCCTACCGTTGCTGCTCCGCTGTCACGGGCTGATAGTCCTAATAATTGATTAAATCTTTTTTTTTTTTTTTTCGATCCCCTGTCTCTTTCCTTGCTGGGGCCAAGACCCTGTTTCGAGATCGCTTGCTGTGATGTATGTATGGGGTAAACCCCAATAGATACATTTTTCGGTTTTTCTTTCTTACTGGTTTTTTTTCCTTTCTTTTTCTATAAAGGGTCTTTATTCTTCGCCTCCCTGGGACCGTTGGGCGGCCTGACAATTCGACCATATCGAAATTTCCATTCCGTTTGGCCCATTGTTACAACGTTTGCCTCTCGCTCATTGGCTCTTTCTCTCGATGTCATTTTGCGTGGCCCTTCCTTTTCACTAGTCCTGTTTGTTCTTCACCAACTACTCGTACTTTATAATATCCCATACCGAGAGCATGGCGGACGGACGTAAGCAGGACCTTCTACAACTATCTGAGTTCTTGCCGGACAAAATGCTGATATTCCCACCGCGGATTTGAATCACAGTCAATCAGGCCCGTGCTGTGCGAGTGGCCGAGCTCATCAATGACTATCGAACTCTGTTGTTGCACATTGCCCAGCAGAACGTCCAGATCCATCCACAGGAAGCCCACGAAGAAGGATTTGTCGTGCTACGAGAATGTCTAGCCGCTGCACAAGGCTTAATGGCTGCCAACTACAACCCGGCCCCGATGTCCGGACGAGGCAGTGCCGAGGCGGAGAAGGCAGAGCTCCAAAGGTAGGGGAAAGAATGAACACAAACCCCTTCACTCTGCTTCTTCTCACACTTCTTGCCTCGAACAGAGTCATAATCGACAGCAGCGCCAGGCGGTTTCAAGCACACAAGATCTACCTGCGAGCAGCAGCAGCACGCCGATGGGCCATGTCCCGCGCCAACATTCTTCACGGTCAACCGTCAACATCACAGCGTGTCGCGGCGCTGAAAACTGCCAGCACGACACTACACCATGAGTTGGCGCATATCACTGACGAGCATATTGTCGCGGATCTTCGAGCCGCTGACCTGCGGGCAGGACATTGGCTCGAGGACGACCCATCCTTGTCTATGATACGACAATGGATCCACGGACGGAGATAAACGACCTCGGCAATTCTTTCTTTCTTTTCTGACAGGGCGTTGAGCGTTTGGTTTTCATAGAAGGGCACAGCGCGGGCGTGGATGGGATTGTGGACAATAGCGCTGGCCGCTACATACTGTTCTGAGCAATACTTGAGTTACAATGTGGTTCTGACTTCTAGTTACGATATCCCCTGCGATTTTGTTTTCACCATTGTTTTCTTCTCCTGGTATCGAGGCGTTCTGGACCGTTTTTTGGTTGTGGGAGTGTGTGCGTACCATGAGGGTGGGTAGAACTAGACACGCTTACAATCATAATTCTGATCTACCGTGTAGATCGATCCCGATTTCCAGATTAAGCCGGTTGCATTATCGGAGTGCTTGGTTCGAGAAGCGTACTTTTGGATAGTGAAATTGAACAAAAATTACTATTGATTCGATCGAGAAATCCACCCAGTAAAGGTGCATTGGATCCATAACCCGAAGAGGAAACAGCATGTTAATCGACAGTTCGCACGGACATACCCAAAGTGCCGGGTGCCCAAGGCAGAGACGCCAGCTGAAACAAAGTGGAAAAGCACAAACACTATTTTTTTTGGTGGGCTTAAGCCTCTTTCTCTCTCTCTGTGGGTACTCCACATGGCTACCATATACTACATACTATCTTTTTTGCGGATAGAGTTAGATGATTCGCCGGGCGCCGGGAACCGGTTGGAGGGTTGGCGCAACAAGCGATGCCGATCGACCTGGAGTTTCATCATCACAACGTACCCGACATTCGGCAATTACCTAGGTAGGGCCATTCCAGCGCGAGCGAAAAATAAAAATAAAAATTGGCGAAATGGATCTTGGATCGGTGGTTCCGGGGCTAAGACGTTAGTTGGGCACGGCGCGGTGCCAATCGGCGCGCAGGACGGCCTGATGTCCGCTCAGGTTCAGCTGGCGATGTCCTTTAGTCCTTTTAGCACTTTTAGCTCCCCTTCCAAGTTTGGGTCCTGAACTCGACTCTGTGGAGATTGTTGCTAGTCTCGGTGTCACTTATCGTTCTTGCCCCCTTTTTTGCCTCTTCTTTCAGGTCCGAATGTGATCTCGGTGATCGGCTGTGGGGCAATGTACTATTGGGCATAGCCATGTGCCCAACCATTCTTTTTTCCCCTCTATCTTTTTTCGGCGTTCCGCTACCGTCTTTAGGATCTACTATACCTTGCTAGCGGTATACATGCTGCTGCCATTTGAAGTTGGCGTACGTCTGATCTTCAGATCAACGGGTTGAGAGAAGAATGATCTGCTCGTCATTCTCTTTCAAGCCCAGGGTCATCCGGTGGACAGTACCACCCTTGTGGTCTCCCATTCTGAGGAATGTGATCTCTTGCCGCCTTTCTACTCAAGAGCCAATCCGATATCCGCCGTTTGATACCGAACGTGTCATTTGGGTGTACAGTTGGTGATCTAGTGGTGTCCGTGAGCGGCCAGAACAATCTATAGATCAATTTGAGAAGCCCGCAAAGGGTTCGTTAGGCGAGTTTGACATCAGACAGCTTGTGCACTATGCCCAGAGGGGAGAGGTAGCCAGTTAAGCCAGCAAAAATATTCTGCATGATCAGAGCTGGAGCGAGTACTTCATTCATTCTATACTTATCATTTCGCGGTTCGTGAAACAAAATCATTCGAACTAGATTCTGTATGGCCCACTTCTTTTCCAGCAGTTGACCCTTTACGCAAAGTCTTCGTTCTCATGACCAGCTCTAAATTTTATTTCTTGGCCCGTCCGGATTGCAGGATCATCATTTTGAGAGGATAGTCGTGGATAGTGTATTTATTCATTGGCGCCATGAAAAGCAGCTCTTTCCCTGTCCATGCAGAGAAATAGCAGAGTTATAAAATCAAGATAGTCACTCCGTTGAAGTTATTTGACAGCATAACACATAACTCAGGTTGCACCAAGACCCTGCGCAGGTGGCAATGTCACACCGCAAGGACCTTGCAGTTTGTGCGATTGACACATATATGAGTCGCTTTCAAGTCTCCGTTTCTGGCCTCCAGATGAAGAAAAACAGCTCAGCCACGTTTACCCTCAGCCACGTACACAGCCACTGCAGGATCCCGCCAATAAGAATGTGGAGAGCTGTTATTTATAACCTGTTTCCCTCAGGTACAAGGACCCGCTAACAATTAGGCTGCGACATCAAGTACCCCTCCATATCAACATCCATCTCCTTCTTCAAACAACCCAAGAAATAACCGTGGCTCTTCACCTCCTCAGACCGGCTGCCCTGCTCACTGCCTTTGTGGTGCTTGTTGCTGTTCTGTTGCACTACTCTAATACACCCTGTGCTCCCACTTCGACACCCACCATGTCGTCTGGATTCAGAACCGTTGCCTACTATGTCAATTGGGTATGTTTGATATTCCTTGAGAGTGTCCTCCACTGGACCACACTCTCTATATTGTAACCCCCCTTGTTGACACACCAGTCACTAGGCAATCTACGCACGCAACTACAACCCGCAAGATCTGCCCGCCGAGAAATTGACACATGTGCTCTATGCCTTTGCAAATATCCGTCCCGAGAATGGTGAAGTGTATGCACAGTCATGATTGCTTTCCCCAAATCACTCCTGGCTAATCTACATGTCTCCAGGTACTTGACGGATTCATGGTCCGACATTGAAAAACACTATCCCGGTGACTCGTGGAATGATAGCGGCAACAATGTATACGGATGCGTCAAGCAGCTGTTTTTGCTCAAGAAGCGGAACCGCAAGCTGAAGGTCTTGCTTTCTATCGGTGGCTGGACCTACTCGGCCAACTTTGCCCAGCCGGCCAGCACTGATCAGGGACGGGCCAAATTCGCGGAGTCGGCGACGCGGCTGGTTCTAGATTTAGGGTTTGATGGTATGTCTATGTGCCAGTGTAGGCTTTTGTGCACCCCCAAACTGACCGGTTTTCTTCAGGTCTGGATATCGACTGGGAATACCCTCAAGGTACAGCTACGGGACCAGCTCTATTCCTGGACGACTAACTCACACCCTGAACAGATGACACTCAAGCCCAGAATCTGGTTCTATTGCTTCAGAAGTGCCGAGAGGTATGATGCCCACTTTTCTAAGTCGAGAAGATACTAACAATGCTTCAGACCCTGGATAAAGCAGCAGGACCCGGCCGCAAGTTCTCCCTGACAATAGCCTGTCCCGCCGGACCCAATAATTTCACCAAGCTCAAGCTGCCTCAGATGACACCACTGCTGGACTTCTATAACCTGATGGCTTACGACTACGCCGGCAGCTGGGACACAGTCGCCGGCCACCAGGCGAATCTCTTCCCGTCAACTGCAAACCCAAGCTCGACGCCCTTCTCCACCGTCGCGGCGGTGGACCACTACATCAACGTCGGTGGCGTTCCACCCTCAAAGATGGTCCTAGGAATGCCGCTGTACGGACGCACCTTCGTCAACACCGACGGGCCCGGCACCCCCTTCTCGGGGGTCGGCCAGGGCAGCTGGGAAAATGGCGTGTGGGACTACAAGGCGCTTCCGAAGCCCAGTGCGAGCGAGCATGTTGACTCGAACAGTGGCGCATCGTGGTCTTATAGTTCCGCAGACCGCACGATGGTCTCGTACGACAATGTCGCCATGGCGCAGACCAAGGCTTCCTTTGTTAAACAGCGTCAGCTGGGCGGTGGTATGTGGTGGGAAAGTAGCGGTGACAAGGGAGGAAAGACGGCCAATGCTTCGGATGGCAGCTTGATCGGGGCTTTTGTCGACGGCGTTGGCGGCCTCTCTGCGCTGGAGCAGACGGCGAACGCGATCGACTATCCGGATAGCAAGTATGATAATTTGCGCGCGGGATTTCCGGGATGATGATACCCAAATGGCTGAGAGACGGTTCGAATAGGCAGGAATGTGTCGTGTCTTTCATGACTTTGTACTACGAAACCAAATTGAAGACTTTTTCTTACGACGGACAGGGACGAGCATTTGTTGGTTTTTGTTTCATTGACAGCTACCTCAGAAGTGATACCACAAGGCGCACCACCAACTACTAGGTCAATCCCATCACTCATGCCCTAGCCTAGCATCACTATGCCGGAACCTCGTGACGAAACATCCCGCTCAACGACGTCCACTTATTTGGACTCGTCGAAGACGTAGGTGAGGTGGCACTTGCCGCAGTACTGACGGTTGTGCATGGCAGCCATGAAGACACCAGCACCGCACTGAAAAGACGTATATATTAGCATGTGGAGATGATAAAGAGAAAAATGACGGAACATACCTCGGCGGAGGGGCACTCGCGGCGGAGACGCTCGATCTTGCCATCGCCATCAACCTTGTAGTACTTGAGGACGGCGAGCTTGGTCTTCTTGCGCTTGTGCTTGATCTTCTTGGGGGTGGTGTAGACCTTCTTCTTGCGCTTCTTGCCACCACCACGCAGGCGGAGCACGAGGTGCAGGGTCGACTCCTTCTGGATGTTGTAGTCCGAAAGAGTGCGGCCGTCCTCGAGCTGCTTGCCAGCGAAGATCAGGCGCTGCTGGTCCGGGGGAATGCCCTCCTTGTCTATATCGCGGGGGTTCTCATTAGCCACGTCGTCTTTTGTGTCTGATCAAAACGGCTCGCTTACCCTGGATCTTGGACTTGACATTGTCAATGGTGTCCGAAGACTCCACCTCGAGGGTGATAGTCTTACCCGTAAGGGTCTTGACGAAGATCTGCATCTTGAGAAGGCCTGGAGAGGTGCTGGGTTAGCAAATGTGTTGATGATTTTTGGTGCAGACAGCAAGAGCAAGTGCAGTGATGGTTCTTGTCTGCCTCGCACACCTTGGGATGGGGGCTACTCACCTCGACAAGTTGTCTTCCTCAACCTTGAAAGATGGAAGAAAATCGGAGTGTGGGCAAAAATCGACTAGCGAGGAAATCGGGTTGTGCGGTCACGTGGGACACCGCCTTCGGGAGGGAAGATTAATAATCCACTTAGTGCCTAAGTTAATTCATCAGGCCTAAATTATTAGGTGTCTATTTTCAGGTGTCGATGACATCGTTCGTCAACAACCCACTCGCCGTGGAAACCATCGCCCCAGACGATCGATGGACCCAAGATCCCACCGATCACCCTATCTGCTTTACCGAACAGCACAATCGATCGTCCGGGGAACTGGGACAGTCATGGCGCGGCGCGACGGACACCATCCCGCGAGCTCCTCGCAGAAACATCGACAGGGCCCTTGCAGAACAGGAATCGGGAAGAAATCAAGGACTAGCAGCTCCCAATCGCAAGGCACAAAGGAAAATCAATCAATAATAGTGGGCCCGCCCTCGTCACAGATGGGTTGCTGGGCCTCGGGCGCGTCGGTTGCCCTGCCAACGGCCCCATTGTTGATAGCCCATAGATAGCTCGCCGTAAGACGGGTCCGGACTTCTCCATTTCAAAGGTCCGGAATCCTCCAGACACCATTCTTCTCGCACTGGATCAGTTTTGAATCCTTGACTGCTCTCGCGTGTCACACTCGAGCTTGGAATACCCTATTCCATCCCATTGAAGAGAGCTAGAGTCTAGCTTCTCGGTTCCGTTTCTTTTCGTGTTTCTGCTTTGATTGTTGCGCGTTGGTTGTACTGTTCACCGACTGACACTGCTGTAGGGTCGTCCCGTCCGTCCGCTCCTGTCACCAACTGCCAAAAGCCCTGATGAGCGTCGCCCCGAGATCCCTGGGCCATCGCCGCCAAAATTCAACGCCATTCAAGGCCAAGGCTCCGACCATGATGGCCGCAGCTGCGCCGCCATACCGAGGCCACCGCCGCGGCCAAACAGTCGATTATGGCTCGTTTGGTCCCCAAATCGCCATTGACAGGCGCAATACGCCGAAGACGGTCACACAGCTTCGCGACTTTTATAACGAAAAATCAGCAATCCCTTGCCAGCAGGCCACTATGCAGCAGAATCAGGCCTACTTCCCCGTGGCCGAACGTCAATTTGTCCCGGCAGATCTGTCTGCTCATCAGACGTATCAGTTTTCGACCCCTACAGCCGTCAGAGATCAATGTCAAGCTTTCACCCACGAGCAATTGCAAGGCATACACGCCCAAGTGGGAGATATGACTTCCAGCAGGATGACCTCGAGTCTTTCTCGGCCCCGGAGCCAATGTTCAGAGACTGCATCTTTGAACGGACCATTGAACCATATCCATCAAGAGCCAGAAAGACTTCGCCGTAACTTGCGCTCAAATCAGCATCCGAGTCAAGCACATATTGAGACCGATGACTGGGAGTTGTTTCCCCAGCGATGTTCCGTTGGCATGCCGCCGAATGTAGCTATGCCTGGACGACATAATCGGCAAGACATCTCTGTGAAAGCAGAGACTAGCCCGGAAATGTCCCACGCTCACATCTCTTCTTCTTGTATGTGCCTTTGCTTATATCTTGCCTGCACACGCTGACGTTCACCAGATTTCCCTTTAACCCCACGTCACACCCCTTCAAAGAGATCTTTTGATCTGTCTATGTATAGCAGTGATCTGAGCCCTTCCAAACAGCTAACCCAGTCATTTCCTCCCCAGATGCCCTCCCCTGCCAGTTCCCCTCTAGCTCCAGCATTTGCTGAGCTTGCTGCTATGCCCTCCCCAGGCTCATGCCAGATCAAGCCCCAGAAGATTGAAAGTGCCTCTCCCACACCCTCAGACTTGGACCAGGTCGCCTCTCCTACATCTTCTCCCATCAAAGGAGACATGGATGCTTGCGAGGAGTCCATGAGTCAGGTTGACCTTGACACTCGAGTCAAGGCATGCCTCCGCAAGACGGGGATCTCCAATGAAAAGATCAACCAGTATATCTCCGGCCCTGACGCTCAGGACGCGAAATGGGACTGTCTGTTCCCGGGATGCAGTTCTCGCTTTGGACGAAAGGAAAACATCCGATCCCATGTCCAAACCCATCTTGGAGACCGTCCATACCATTGTGATGTGTGTACTCAGCACTTCGTTCGCGGCCATGACCTGAAGCGCCATCTGAAGACCCACGCTGGAAGCAAGCCTTTCGTTTGCCCATGTGGTGCCAACTTTGTCCGCATGGATGCCTTGACCCGACACCGTCAGCGTGGCATGTGCATCGGTGGTATCAATGGTATCCAGCCGAAAACGACCAAGCGTGGCCGGCCGCCCAAGAACAGCCGTCCGGACATGGAGACTCGCATCGAAAAAGCAACCCGCACTCGCCGCCGTGTGGCTCAGAATGACGCCCAGCAGTCACCCACCACCACACATTACGAGACCATGACTGAGGCTTCTTCCTCTCGAAGCTCTCCTGCTCTTGAAGATGCTGCGGCGCTCTATAATTCCCCCGTCCACCATGATGCTCCCATGTTCAACTCACCCAACTATGGCAACGCCTACCCGGTGGCACCGTCGTCTTACACGCCGCCCGCCTCGCCGGGAAACAGCACTGGAAATCTCCCATCGGCCCCGTTCTCGCCTTCGTTCGACGATGACATGCTGCCGATGTCGCCACCTCAGCTCAGTCAAACCACCTATGAGAGCGCGCTTTCGCAGTACGACCCTAGCATCGCACCAGAACCGTACACAAAGGAGTATCTTTACAGTGACCCGGATATCTCGCCTCACGACATGTCCTCGCCTTACACAGCACCCACCCTGGCCGAGTCTGTTGGCTCTGAGCTGGACCCGTTCATCAACAAAGATCCTGTTGAGGACTTTGATAAAGAATTTGCCTCTCTGACCAATCAGTCAATGTCGAGTTATCCTACCTCCTATCCGTTTGTCGACGCATCTGACTTTGCCTCCACCACGTCGTTCTACAACGACAAGTCCTTCGTCAGCCTCAGCTCACTCGGCGAGGATACGTTGTCTGAACAAATCGAAAACCTGTCCAACGAGTTCCTCGTCGACCCCTGAACCACTCATCACACGTTTCTCAGCGGGTGGATAGATCTTTCTCTTTGGTGGTTGTTAGGGCGTTATTCTTCTTTCTTCTCACGAAAGACATGATGATATAGACGGCATGGCCAACCATACAGGCGTGACAACTCTGGCAACGACACACTGGACCATGTACACTTTGACGATGGGTATGACTCAGCAAAAAAACGAACGGGAGTTCTTCTTTCTTTTTATAATGCTCATTCTTCTTGAGCTGACCCATGGCACGGGTCTCGGACTTTTCATCTTCTTCTTCTGGCATTTTACTTTCAACTTCAGCACATGGCGGGGACTCAGGGATTTGGACTCGACTGGCCGGCTTTCCCACGGTGGTTTGGGAGGAGTTCGGAAACTGCTCTTTCTTTTTTTTTTTTTTTGATTTGCCCCTGCCCCCTTGTTCTTCCCATTTCATGCCCATTTTTTTTATCTGATATGATCAGTGTTCATTTTTTTGTCTGGTTTCCCTCTTTCTTCTTCCATCACTTCCCTTCCCCTTAATTTCTCCCCTACCCTACCCCCTTGATGACTTGAGATGTGAGTGTATTTTGTGTGATTCGGATCTGCTTCTCTCGATGCGAATATGGTTAATGACCAGCCTGTACTTTAACTTTCGTTTCAATTGATCTCCTGTTGGCGAGGGAAATCAGCGTTGTTTTGTTTCTACCGTAGCGGGAAAAACATAGCTATTTGTTAACATCGACGACCTTTTATTCATCATAACTATACCCAACCACCTCGTGGTTGTGGCCGTAGGATCCTAAAGTTCTCTGTTCTCTTCAATCGCACTCTCTGAGACAAGCCATGACAGCAGCAGGAGGCCTTGAAAGTCGGACGCTTAATTCCTATTTCTTGGCCGGGCCAGCCCAATGCTGTCAACAAGAGACCCACATGGCGCACGGGAAGGCCGTTGTTCTGGGTCCCTGGCTAAGGACCTCAATTTCCTGGATGACATAGTTAGCCCTATCCAAGCCTAGAATTCTGCGACAGGACAAGAGTATCTTCCAATTTACATTCTTATCATATAAAGTTATACGCTGGTCGTATACCTATTTCCCCAAGACCATTGCTTGTTCCAAGCTGGGATGGTATTCAATCTACTTCACTCCTCCTTGACCCACAATCTTTTGAATTGACCCCACCCTTTTGCTTTACTTCTTTTTCTTGCAGTAACTTGTCTTGGCAAATTGAAGCTAATATCTAGGGTCTTTTAGGAATAATTTTGTGAATTTGAGTTCAAGGCAGATAGTGGAGATTGGTGTCCAGTACTTTATACCATTGGGAGATGAAAGAGAAATTTAAGTTGTAGTGTTACACAAGAGCTTTCAGATACTACCAGAAATACTACTGCCGTTAGGTCTAATTAAGAGTTCTGCAGACTCTTTGCCTCTGCAATATCAATCGATGGAAAATGGCGCTGTTAGTCACGACGAAAAACGCACGGCAAGTAAAAGTCAACCCATCAAAAGTTCGAATCCCGCGACTTCCAGGTGATCTCGATCTCAATTTGATGATCTTCTTGTGAGGCAAACACTTGACTTTGCACATGGCCCTTTGGTGCCTTGTCGGCGAAGAAAGTCGTGTTGCCCATGTAGCAGAGCTTCCCATCCTTCACCTGCATAGACGGTAAATAAGAAAAAGTCCACTTGAACATAATGAGGGTAGAAAAACGCACCGTAAATTCTTCTGGGGCATCAACGTGAGGGCCGCAGTTCAATGTGTCTTCTTCAAAGCTGCAAGACCCCTTGCTAGAGGTCAGGGTGAATTTATCCTCTGGTGTAATTGCTCATTAGCGTCACAAACAAAAAGGAAAGAAAGGAAAAAGAGATAAAATAGCACGACTGACCTGAAACTTTCTCTGCCCGGAAAGTGGCACATGTTCCAGACACAAACCATGTCCCGTAGCTGATAATACAGCCGCGTATTTGGTTTGAACGGGAGACCATCATGTTTCCTTTACCCAGGAACGGAATTCCTGTTGCTGTCGGCTCAGAATGACCAGTTGTTGTCCTCGTTGGCTCATTCTGACCTCGTTTTGGTGGATAGCGGACGCCTCTGGCAGGGCAGTTGGAGGTTTGACCGTCTGGTGGAGAATTAATCCAGATTTCAGAAGACTGCACTATATGTGGACTGACGAACCTGGCTTCGCGGGCACAAACTTCCCGGTCTGTAGATTTCCCGCTACGTTGAAGTGGTACCAGATCTCGCTCAGCGAGTGGTATCGACAGCGGACAGTCACTGGAGCACCATGGAAACGCTCCAGGGCGTCCTCTATATCGTCCAGAGCATATGTTTGGGTATGGGATGGAGTGATCCCTGCATCCGCGAGGACCTAGGTAGATGATGGTCAGTAATTAGGAGGGCACGTCAAAAAGGGAAACCAACTTGGTATGAAGGCAGTGTCTTAAAGACCTCGGTGGTCTTGTCAAAGTAGTCCACTACCTCCTGCTGTGGCATATAACCATCGTAACACCGCGTCTCCAAGGTGCTGATGCAGGTACCGTGCTTGTTCCACTCGTGCTGCCAGAGGTTGGCGTCATCGCCGCGGAAATCTTTCCAGTACTCGCCCATGTAATCCACGAGATCCCCTCGACCGGAGTCGACGAGGATCAGCGAGATGTTACTGTAGCTCCGGCGCGAGTCACAGAACTGGTCAAACCCGCCGTTGCAGTGATCCGGCCTGGAGGGCGTTAATATTGCATGTTCGTGAGGGATGATATATTACTCACCAGAGTCCATGTATTGTCCAGGAGTCATCTGGACCGAGTGCCGGGTCAAAGTCCCAGAGCTGGGTCAACAGGAATTGACCGCCCGGGTAGTTGAAGCAGCAGGTGTCTTGGCCATTATACACGGTGTGGCAGCTTAGGTCTGAGCGAGAGCAGGTTGATGCGGTTTCCAGTGATTGCGTTTCTGGATTTGAGAGCGAGGACAGCCCCAGTGAGCCGGCCAAGGTCTTGAGAATGGTCTGGGGGCCTGGAAGCCCCCGCAGCGGTTGTTGACCGGATCCCCACATGGTGGTCAAGCTGTGTCGGGAGCACCCACGTCTAATGAAGTCAGTTCAGCGAGTCAATCCAAATTCCATGAAATCCCCGATGCACCGATCGCGTCTATAACAAAGAGATTCCAGGATGACTCGCATCCAAGATACACGTGCCCTCGTTCACCCCTGACTAAGCGGGTGATCTCATCAGCTGATAGCTAGCTTATCAGGAGATCTACACCTAATTCGTCTATCGCCCTCAGGAACCACCACTCCTTCTTTTGCTTAGAAACCCCTATCTCTCGGTACATCCCAAGGCACAGGGCACGTCGAAAACACCAATACAAAAAAACACGTATAATGAGCGCTGCCGAAGGCAATATGAACGGAGTGAGGATCAATTAATAATACAGCGATTTCAATGTTTTCGGGGTCCCATTCCTACATACTCTTGGGTTGCCTACATGGATCAAAGGGGATCAGATGAGCTAGTCAGGCTGGCAGGCTGTACTACGTCTCCCGAGACTGTGCCATCTCTTCCTTCTCCTGGACTCTCTCTTTCCACAACCGCAGCACTTCGAATCCCACCTCCACCGCGATCAGCAGGATGATGATCCACTCCAACCGCAGCCCATGTGTCTCACTGAGTCGCTCACGGAGCACGCTCGCAATCTCCTGTGCATAATCCATCTTCTCGTTCAAGAGCTTGATGCGGATGCCCACATCCAGAGCCCGTCCGACTTGTTCGTAGTAGCCTTCCAGGCCGAGTTCATGCCGACTATCCCAGAAAATGTCCGGAAGAGAGTCGGTCAGCTCGGAGTAGAGATTCAGCTGCGCGCGCACGCTGAGGAGCTGACCGGTCTTGCGGAGAATAAAGTCTCGCGTGAAGGGGAGGCGCGAGCCATGCGATAGCAGTGTGGGAATCGCTCGGGTCGATTCGAAATAGTTCGCCAACAGACTCTCAAGAACGGCTAGTTTGGTGCTTCTAGCCAATCCTGATGAGAATGCTACTTTGGTGAGAACAGTGTCGATGGATTGTCGCTTTGCGAATGGTACGTCCGGTCCTTCGTGCCCGGTATGGGTGCCGAGGATGATCGTGTCTCCCTTGATGGTACTATTGTCCCTTTTGGGATCCTCGACGTACTCCAGATCCTCTGTTTCCAGGTTTTCCGTGTGTGCGCCCTCAGCAGCCGGGAGAAGTGTTCGTGTAGCCAGGAAGGAGGTAAAGCCCTCCGGGAGAGACCATGCCACGACTGTGCCGGACGGAAAAACAAAGACATCGCCAACTTCCTCTGGAGATAGATCGACTGTAGATGGATTTGCCACGCGTCGTATTGAGTCTATAGGGATCTGGACGTGAACGACTTGCGGATAGAGTCCTGTTTCCAACGGATCCGGCTCGTAGCCCTTCTCTTGGAGAATGTCTCGGACTTTGCGAATGTTGAATTGTTCGGCTACGGCATAGGCGGTTATTGCCTGCAATGCCAAGAGAGAAGTATTAGCACACCATTAACATATATGGCGGAGCAATTCTCACCTTAGTCTGATATAAGCCCTGCTCTTTGAGCTGGGCTTTGGAGAGAGATCCATCCCTCGATCGTTGTGCTTCCACAGCTACTCGTCGCAAGGATGTGGGCGCGGCGGGTGTTCGGGTGTTTCGTCTACGTGATTTCTGTGATTCTGGAAGCAGTTCGTCTGGCGTTTCACCGGTTTGACTGGACTGCTTTTGCTTCAAGTGTGCATTAGACGAGAAGAAGTCTTTGCGCCGGGGAAGATTCAAGAACGGGGAGGCGTGTAAGCGTTGCGTCTGGGGTCGGGGCAAGAGCCTCAATGGCGTCAGGCGCTTGCACAAAGAACAGACATATGGCCGGGCAAACATGGCGACAGGATGATGAATAGCGCAAGTCCATCCATCAATCAAGCTTAAGACCTCGGGAAGAATTGCTTAGTCATGACAGCAGCTAACCAACCTTACCCCAACTCCGAAAAGACGCGCTGGTGGCATTCCACTTCAACCCGCTCCGGAGTCCCGGGCGCTGAAAGGGTCTCTCTCAATGGATGCGCCGGACACAACGATGGCGAGTCAAGCCGGTTCGAACAAGTCCAAGCAAGCCCCCTCTGCTGCGCGAAGCAAGTTCTCCACGAGCACGACCCCCAACGAGCTGGATCGACGTCATCAGGGGAGCGACGACGACTCCCACACCGGAGATGACAGCCACGGAGATGAGGGGGAGGAAGAGGAAGACTCAGATGAGGAGGAGGAGGAGGAGCCCAGGCTCAAATATGCTTACCTCACCAAGCACCTGAAGCCGGTATATCGCAATGGGGATGCGACGAGCTCTTTCCTCGCCGCAGGAGATAAGATGGTGCGCTGTCCGCCTGATGTCTAGCTGGAATACAGGCTAATATTCTCTGTCTAGATCATCGGCACCCATAACGGCAATATTGTGAGTTCCTTACACCCACGCCAATCACTACAGATGAGCTGACCTTGTCAAGCATGTGCTCGGACTGCCTCTACTACGGTCTCTCCGCATCTACCATGCGCACTCGGCTAGTGTCACTTCCATATCTATATCACCGTTCCCACCTCCTCTGCCGAGCCTCAAGTCTGATGTTGCCAGCAAACAACCTGGCGAGGAGCATGCCCCGCCGACCCGATCATCCACAAGTGCGGGCAGTATTCGCGGACACTCAAAGACAGGCCACAATGCAGGCGTCCCGCCGACCCCATCGAACTCGATTTATATTGCGACCTCTTCCATTGACGGCAATGTATGCGTCTCGTCGCTGGTGGACTCCAAGGATGTGCTGTTGCGAAATTTCGGTCGTCCAGTTCAATCAGTTGCTTTATCTCCAGATTACAAAAGCGACAGGACCTTTATTTCTGGTGGCCGAGCCGGTGAACTGATTTTGACCACGGGCGGTCGTGTCGGCACAAGTTCAAACTCGACAACAATGGGCGGTGCAGCTGTGACTGCGTCAAGCTGGCTAGGGTCCATGGGACTGGGATCTAATAGCGGCAAAGACACGATTTTACACAGCGGCGAAGGAGCTATCAGCACTGTCAAGTGGTCTACATCTGGGAAATATGTTACCTGGGTGAACGAAGAAGGAATCAAGATTATGCGATCTAACTTGCATTTGGATTCTTCCCAGTCAGAATTTGCCTGGAAGCGAATCAGCCATATCGATCGTCCCAACCGTCCGGGCTGGGATGAGATGGCAAGTGTCTGGAAGGCGCGTGCTGAGTGGATCGACACGTCTGCATTGGACAGCCACGACAATCTGGATGCTACCGACACTGTCTCCCGCCGCAGTGAAACGCAGTCAGTTATGCCATCCGACAAGCGTGAGAAGTTGGTTGTTGGCTGGGGAGGCACCGTATGGGTGATTGATGTGTACCCTGACCGCGCAAGCAAGTCATCCAAGGGCGAGAGATACGGATCTGCAGAGGTTGCCACGATGTGAGTCCTGCACCATAGTTGATAAGGCAAGTACTGACTAAAATCCAGTTTACGAACGGATTGTGTGGTATCTGGTATCTCGCTGTACACACCTCGCCTCCTTGTGGTTCTTGCATACACCGAAGCCGACGGCGATTCCACCCAAGAGACCAAGAAAAGCACCGGTCCACGTCATCGACAAAGAGCCCTGGAGCCTGAACTCCGAGTTATTGACATTGAAACGAAGGAAGAACTCAGTGCTGATACGCTGTCTGTCAGTCGCTTTGAGGGGCTTTCTTCATCGGACTACCATCTGTGCGTCCTCCCTCCGTGGAAGACCCCTGAGGGTCAGGTAGTCCAGCGCGGCGCCCTTGGGGCTCTTGGTTATGGCCTCTGGGATGCTACCATGTACTCTGCACGACTCTTCAGCTCTGGTAACAGTATCCGCAGCACCACCAGCAGTGGTGACAAGGGATCTGGCAGAATCCCACCGTCTTTTGCCTCTCGAAATCTCTCTAACGACGAGCCTCTTCCCAAGGAAGTTCAAGATGTTGCGGGTGCGCCGGGCGCCAAGATTTTCATCCACAGCCCATATGACTGTGTCGTTGCAGTGAAGAGAGATTTGGCGGATCGGTTATCATGGCTGGATTCTCATGGACGTTACGAAGAAGCATGGAATCTTGTTGATGAGCATCCTGAAGCTGCAGGTACCGTCTCTGATCTCAGTGAAGTGGCAGCCGAAGCAGCCCAATCGCAATCTAGCCTGGGTGACTTTTTTGCTGACGATCGATCATCAATCACGGGTGCTGGTCGGGCGAAAGTATCTGCTGCAGAGCAGGAAAAAGCTCGGGTAGGGGAGCACTGGGTTGAGCAACTTGTTGGCGAAGAAAAATGGAGCGAAGCTGCCCAAGTTTGTGGTAAGGTATTGCGCAATGCCTCGCGATGGGAACATTGGGCATGGGCATTCATCAAGAAAAATAAACAGGATGAGATCACACCATACATCCCGGTTGACCTACATCCACTGCTTCCTTCCATTATCTACGAAACCCTTCTCTGTCATTACGTTTCTCGAGACCTTCAGCGGTTCAAAGAGTTGGTTGAGACATGGCCTGCTGACTTGTTTGATGCCAACACCGTCACAACGGCTATCGAAGAACAACTGAACTCGGGATCAGTGCCTGTTGAATCCGGGGATTGGCGAATCCTTATGGATTGCCTAGCCAAACTGTTCCTGGCTGGTGGTCACTATCGTGAAGCGTTGCGCTGCTACATTCGTCTGCAAGATGCGGATGCAGCCATGTCTTTGATCCGGACCCACCGCTTGCTTGACGCGGTTTCTGACGACATTCCCGCTTTTATCATGATCCGCGTCTCCAAAGAGCAATTGAAGTATGCTCCGGTCTCTGAACTCGAAGAGGCAACCGCCGAGTCTATCAAGCTGCTTGTCAGTGAAGCATACACGGGAATCGTCCGTCCGGAAACCGTGGTGTCGCAGCTGCAGGCTGCAGATAAACGCCTGTTCCTCTACTTCTATCTTCGCGCTTTATGGCGTGGCGAGTCACTTCCACACGAAGCGGCCAAGCCACGACGAGGTCATGGGGCCCACGCTCGAGATGCAGCCAGCAAACTGGCTGCAGATGAGGGCAAGGCGTTGATCGACAATTTCGCAGACACGGCAGTTGAGATCTTTGTCGAAAAAGACCAGCCGCTACTGATGGAGTTCCTGCAAACAAGCGTCTCTTACTCTTTCGATACTGCCCTTTCCATCTGCGAACGTTATCACTTCACCCAGGGACTGATCTATCTACTGTCCAAGATGGGCCAGACAAAGCGAGCGCTGAACCTGATCTTGTCGGATCTGAAAGACGTTTCACAGGCCATCTCATTTGCAAAGTCCCAGAATGACCCAGATCTCTGGGAAGATCTGCTCAATTACTCAATGGACAAGCCGCGATTTATTCACGGCCTGCTCGTGGAAGCTGGAACAGCCATTGACCCAATCAAGCTTGTGCGCCGGATCCCAAGTGGCCTTGAGATTGAGGGCCTTACGGAGGGTCTCACTAGGCTGATCCGTGAACATGATCTGCAGGCCAGCATCAGCCAAGGGGCTGCTCGGGTTATGCAGAGTGAGGTCGCTTTAGGGATGGATACCTTGCGGAAGGGACAGCGCCGAGGAATCAAGTTCAACATTATCGACGACAGCTTCCACGACGAAGAGCAAGCTCCGAACGGGGCTGCAAAGGGGCAGGACCAACACGCAGAGCCAAACCTCAGTGCATCAAAGAAACCAACTGGTGCTCTCCAACCAGGAAGATGTGGAGGGTGCCACGCTCCCTTCCAACCCAACGGTACGTACTCCCAATCTCCAATGGCTGCTTTGCCAGTGGCTAATATAATGTAATATAGAACGAGAAATCCTTATCGGTTTTGCCTGCGGCCATGTCTTCCATCTCTCCCACCTACATCCAGAGACAGAGGAGTCGCAGCAGCAGCAGCAGCAGGAGCCATCCAACCAGGACATCTCTACCCCTTCTCACGGCGAATCCCCGTCTCCCACTACCGTATCACGCACCGTCGGTCCCAAAGTGACAACAGCACGACTTCTGCGCGACAAGATCGGCGACGGGTGCCGTATTTGCGCTCTCACAAGAGAGATCGAGGCTCTGGACGGCGACGGTGGGGTGTGAGATTTTTCTTTTCGTGTCCCCCTCCCTCCTCTTCGTGCTTTACTCCTTCAACATACTCGTGTATACACCCATCATCTTTCCTTTTTTTACTGAGATACCCCAATCCAATCCATCTCATGCATTCGGTTTTGTGGTCCTGCATATGTCGCCCTTCCGGGGCTACTGGATAGTACCGAGGGCATTTGCGCCGATGGTGTGAATACTACCCTCCCCACTTGATGGAGATTATCAAGCAGGTGCCATGTTTTTCGAGTAGTTAGTTAGACAAACATGCTTACTGAACTGTGCAAACCATTTAAAAAGTTAACTAACTACTCAAGCCCCTGGCGATGCTGGCTCACCACCGCCCGAGAATCTGTATTGTTCGGACCCAGCGCGTCATTGTATAGCTGCTCACTTGGAGGCCGTGTAGCTCCTTTGCAATATACACCTAGCCAGAAATTTGCACACGGTGATGCATATTTCATCTTCAAGACCTCCCTGAACTGGCATGGCTGTAAACGTTCCATCGGCACAGAGGCTGGGTTGATAGACTTGCATATTACTCAGACTAGACCCTACATGTACGAAGGCATCAAGTTATTTTGAAAACTGATACTAGGTTAGATCATGCAGACAGAGCTGTCACTAAGATCTGTACCTATCGATAGAAACATTGAGAGATCAGGGGGAGCTAAGCAGAACAAGCCGCCACTGCATCAAACCCCATCTCAAAAGTAAAAGAAGATAAAACCATCATCATCGATCTCATCGAAGCACGCCAGAAACAACTCCAACTCCTGACCAGGGTATGACCAGAACGTAGTCCATATCCACGAAGATGGCGCAAGACACGTTTAGTCATCGCAGAGAGAGGGTGGAATCGATCGAGGAGGATCTCACATAAGGTATGCGAGACCAACAGCCAGAACAAGAACCGAGTGGTTGTGGATGCCCTTGGCGAAGGAAGCACCGTTGGGGTGGGCAGTAACCGAGGGAGCCTGGGTGCTGTTAATGAGGGTCATTGCACCAGTGGTCTTGACAGAGTGCAGCGGGACCACAGACTCAGTGTTATTGCTGCCGCTGGTGACTGTCTTGGCAGGGATGGGGTGAGTCGCGGTGTTGAAGGTGGATAGCTCCTCAACTGTTGGGTGAATAGTGAAATGAACAGTTGAGATGCCACCCTCAGGAGCAGGCAAAGTGGTAGGGATTGGGACTAGGCCAGGAAGAGTGATGTGCACAGTCGAGATGCCTCCAGGACCAGAGACAGTGGTAGCGACCGTGGTCGGGAGAGTGATGTGAACAGTCGAAATACCACCTTCAGGAGCAGAGACAGTGCTCGTACCCGGGATAATGAAAGGAGGCAGCGAGATCTCAATCGTGGTCAGAGTGGAGGTAGGCTCGCACTCAGTCGCAGTCACAGTCACAGTTTCTGTCCTTATCAGCTTTGTGTACAGGAGTTGAAAGGAAAGAAATAAACATACCAGCACGGGCGAACAGGTGGTTGACCATGTAAGGCAGATTGTCAACTGTAAGAAGCAGGACGTGTCAGGGTCCGGCCATCAACATGGACCACAAGACAAAGGCGCCGAGAAACAAACCAAACGCCGAAAGAAACCTACCATCACGTTCAGTGACCGCACCGGTGTCCATGGCGAAAGCACTGGGGACCGGGAAGCCAGCATCTTATAGATGCGAGGCGGGTCAGTGTTATCAAGGTGAGGAAGTATTTGGTCACGGGCGACAAAACTTACCAAAGATGCCAGTGAACATGACCAGCAGGATGGCAAGCCATCCGACCAGAGAGAAAGTGCCGAAAGTAGGCATTTCGAAACGAGTGTTAAGCAGAAGCTTGAAGATGAATGGAACGAAAGAGTATGGAGATGAAGGGGAAGTGGGAGTTGATGGAAAAGGAGTGGGGAGAGGAAGGAAGAAGGAAGGAGGAGGGAGGAGGAGGAAGGAAGAAAGAAAGACAAAAGAAAAACAAGAAGGTGAAGGGCGTGACGATTGCATAGCAGGTAGTGCGACTTTGTTGTTGCTACTATGGAAGGCACGAGGGGGCACGTGCAAGGCGGTTAGGGCTGAACGGTAGCATGTATACCTTCGCGTCACTGCCAAGAACGGTAGAAAAAGCAACATGGAGAGGTTCTATGATATCAGAAAAAGGCCAGTAGTCTTGGTGATATATCTTATATGTCAAGTTGATATTCCCGATTATAGATGGCTGAGACTGGAAGGAGTAATTCCTGCCCGTAACAAGCTGATGCTCCAGACTATTCTGATTGGAAACCACCTATTCATGATGCTTCCATCCCTCGTCAGATGCTTCCATCAATGGGCATATGGTGAACCACCTTGGGCCAGGTTGATTTCTCCTGGCGTATTGGCAGCGTCTCGGCCGAAGAGAGCAAACAATCCATTGCGCGGTTGTTGGAAATGAAAAGCCAGGTGCAAGCAATGCGGCTCTGTCCTGTCATATAGAATTAAACTACACACCAACCCCAATCTAGATTGGCAGACAATCTTCCCACCCGCGACACCTGACGATAGTTAATTACAAATACGTGACAATTCCCTCGGCTAGCCCATTATTGACGGCCCCACAGCAAATCTCCCGATTTCGGCAGTGCACAGCATCTATATCGGGATCGCCATGGTCCAATCAGAATGGGACCAAACCCTTCTATCAGGGAACCGTCAACGACAGTACACCGGATCCAACAAATACCAATCACTTTCCATGGACGTATCGGAAAAACAAGAAACCGCTAGACCGAACTGGGCATGATGATCTCCATTACGGGACGAGCCGTCGTCTGTGACGCGGTGGGGCATAGTCAGCTCCACTTTCTTAGGTAGGGAGATCGTATCACAGAGTGCTGTGAAAGTGTCAAGGGAGGAGGGATGTTATTATGTAGGATAGTATGAGAATTCATGCTTCTGTCAGAGTGTCTTGTCGTTGGTCGCATCTGACTGAGAGAGCGGGCAGCGGACTTGGGAATAATGCCCCACCCATCGCTGATCGACAGACCACAGACCACTTATTGAATCAGTGGACAGTGGGGTTGTTGAAAGTCTTGAATCATGGCCCGGGGAGAAATTAGGGTGATCCACTTGGGGATGTAGTTTCCTAGCCCAATGAATGGAAGTCGGGTATCACCGGTCCATACAATGACATTTATTCATTAGAGTAGGTATAAGTAAAGGATTCTACTCTTACTGTCCCAGTTAGCTTTTACTCCACCGACTCCTCCGTCGACACTGAAGACCTCCACTCATACGACGGATCATACGACTGATCATACGACGGATCATACGGCGGATCATACGACAAAAGTGACAAGAGCGTTGAAATGTGGAGGCCAATAAGAAAATGAATGGCCCACCCCGAGATTGCGCCACACAGCCACCGCCACGGTGGAAATAATACAGCGTACGTCCGTGCCAGCCAGTGGATGGCGATCGTCCAATCAAGAGTTCCCGATTAACCGGAGATCATGCCCGGATAATTTCCGAGCATCCATTCGGTCGCTGACAGGCCTGGACTACTGGCCCAGCCAATGAACGGCCGAGACTGTTTTTAGCAACATCCTCGGTTAAACGTAGTTCACCCAGTTGTTGGACTGGCGGAGATTATTGAAACGGACCGCGGTAAGAGTCGTTCCTTGGGGAATAGAACGCAGAATTATACGTAATTCAAAACCCAAGTCCACCCAGAAAAAAATCTGTCGCGTTCGCGTTCGCTTGCCTGAATGGAACGAACCCGTTTGAGAATACGGAGATGAACCGTTCTTGATCCAAATGCCAAGTACTGGTGCAAATCAGATTTTTTTGGCATGCCTCACTGAATCTATGTACTCAGTCCCGTGATTGAATTTTTATGTGCTTGAGCACCTACTCTAAGGCAAGGCAAGGATTCTTCAAAAGTAAGGAATGTGGTGCCAGCAAGGTCATCGTATTCTGTACCTATGCATCCAGTCCTAAAAAGCTATTGATGCCTCTCCGCTAGTTCACAGGCCATTACATGCAGAGAAAGAAACCCGGACAGTAAACAGAACAACATAAATAATCAACTCGGGACAGGGTATCAACGTCGTCGTGTACTTCGTCCTCTTTTTCACACACCGATCCGACATGCCAAAGAAAAACTGCTCCGTGGCCCTTCCGACTCATATACCGTCGTTGGGAATGATGACGCCCCCACTGGTGCGATAAACAGGGAGAAAACAAAATTAAACACATTAAAAACAACAACATATTGTGACAGGGTATCATTGCTCGGAGACTCGTGTATTATCCCCGCAATCAACGCCCCCAAAATGATGATTTAGACCACCGGACCCAAGAGAAAAGTAGGAAATTAAAAAAAGTCGTACCCTGCTCGGAAGCAAGGTGAGTCGAAGCGAGGGTGGGAGGAAGGAGGGGAAAGAGAGATAGAGATAGAGATAGAGAGAGAGAGAGAGAGAGAGAGAGAGAGAGAGAGAGGGAGGGAGGGAGAGAAAAGCAGATTATCAGTATGTCAACTTCATCTCGACGCCCATGGTATCGGTGTCAGCGTCGGTGCCATCTGGACAGCGAGCTTCGCTGATGTCGACGACCATGTCTTGACCCTCGGGGAGTTCTTGGACCACGTCGTCATCCACCATAATTTTTAGACCGCTGCGGGTGACATGCAACACGCTGACCACGCGCGAAGGATCGATTTGATGCTTCTCAGCGATCTTGCGCAGTAGGTCTCGGACGGTTCGTTCGGTCAGGTAGACGGCGCGGTAGTAGTCCCGCGAAGGTGTTTCGGTATCGGAAAACCGCACGTAGAAGCAGGCAATTGGCTTGCGAAGCCGTTCGGCTGGTGGTCGGTAAGTCGGGTCGATATCAATGGCCTCGATGTATCCCGCCGACATAGACGGATCGCCGGCTCCGGTTCTCTGGATGGTAACGGGATGACTCTTCACTTGAGCTTGGGGCATGCGTGGTGAGCTCAGGGAACCGCAGCTGTTGCTCGGAGAAAGAATAAAAGACTCCACGGACTGCTGCGATCCACCTGTGTTCTGGCGATCTAACCTCTCGATCTTGGTAATGTCGCCATTCGCCTCTCGTGGTAACCGAACCGGGTAGAGATCGGGATCATCACCTTCTTCACCGCGCAGACTCAACACGCTGATAGAACGAGTCGATGAGAACATGGCCTCCATCATGGCAAGCTTGGAGTGCAGATCGTCCTCCAAGGACATTTTCTCCGATTGCCCATCCTGTGAACTAACCGACCACGTCCGCTTGTGCTTGACCTTCATCGAACGATCCGTTCCCTTGAAGTTGGCGTTAGTGCTACCGCGTTTCCGTTTGCCAAATCCGCCACCCATCTCAGCCTGCGCAATCTGCTGGCTCAGCTTCTCGATGGTTTTCTTGACATGTGCGATATCGTTTGACAATTTCCGCTCGGCGCCATGATCGCGGAACAGTTTCACTTTGCAGTAGCACACTTCCGATTCCATCCCTTCGCCTGTGTCGTCTCCCGGTGACAAAATCTGCGTTTTCGCGCAGAGCCGCACCGGGATGCCTTTCACACCTTTAGAGTGGCTGAAATCGGTCGAGAGGAAGTTGAATCGCACGGGAATTGAGCAGTCGGAGGTACCGGTGGCCGGATTGGCCGTCCATGTGACGACGAAGCCATCGAAAGAGGCATGCTCGACATGGATCTGACGGTGCTTAGGGTCCTCACCACCGCCCTGAAGCGGATCAACATATTCAACGGCCAACAATTTGCCACCGCGCTGGTGGGACTCGCTGGAACCGCGCCCCTCTTTCCAAAGCTGCCAACACGTGGACGGTTTTGAGCGCTGCTCCTCTTCGTCAAAGGAGACGCGGACGTAGGTTCGATATTGGATGGGTTGCGAGCTCATCAACGGCGGGTTTGCGTCCATTACTGAAAGGTTGTACGCTTGGCCTTTATTGAGATAGGTGATGGGGATTTCCTTCGCGTCCTTGACCATGGCTGTCGGAGCGCGGAGGGAGACATTAAAGCGGAATCTGGGACAAGGGCGTTAGTAGGAGGTATGGTTATTGTGAGGGCATGCTCAAAACTCACTTTTCACCGGATGGATCCGCATACGACATGTCCACCTGGCCTGACAAATCTGTAGAGGCAGTAATATTCGACGCCGCGTCCATTTGCATTTCTTTTGAATCGGAAGTTTCGTCCATCGCGTCATAACCCGAGTCGCCGCGGTGCATAAATGCGCTGGGCGCAAAGGAGGACTGTTGCTGAGCCTGCGCATACATATTTATGCCGGGCATTTGTTGGGCGAATAATTGTGGGTTGTAATGTCCCAGAGCGTTCTGAGGATTAGAGACTGCAATCGGCAGAGACAGGGGCGTCATTGAATTCAGTCCCAGGGTCGGTGTGTGCAAGTCGCCGGCCTGGCTGCGCCACATTGCGCCCATACCACCAGAGTTCGGAGTGTAGAAGCCGGGGTGTTGGCCGGCGAAGTTCATCATATTCAGCGATTCGGGGTCCATGAACGAGGGTGTGAGGTTCAGGTCCAGGAGATTGCGGGGGGTGCGTTGTTGTTGTGAGGGAAATTTCATATCACCATTCTCCATCATTCTGTCCCCGAATCCCAGCCCGTCAGCGACAGCCCTGGAATCACCTAGAAATGCGTACCTTGCGGGCATCATTGGATCACCGGCTCCCTCGTTGAGAGGCCCTGTTCCTTGCCCGTTGGGTTCTCGTCGGGGTACGACATCTCCAAAAGTACGCTGGAACCGGCTGATAAGCTCGTCATCAGGCTTCTGGGAGTTCTTTCTACACAGAGAAGGGCAGTTAGCAA